CTAACGTGATACTAGCGTTAGACAAGGGAGGAGGTAGCGACTTTATTGCGCTCCAAGAACCATGGGTGAAAAACGGGATCATTTACTGCCCATCTTGGTCGAGCTACAAAGTAGTATATAGCAGCGGACGAGCAGCGCTCTACGTACACAAAAGATACGACATAACAACACTACACCCCCGGTTAGGCCACGACTGGGCATGTATTACACTTACAAAAGGCTTGGAACCAGTCACGATATGGTCTATTTACTCACCGAACCAAATAAGCAGCTGGGTTAGCCCTTTAACAGAGCTCCCAAGCGACGCTCTTAAAGGAAAGCACTTGCTCGTAGGGGATTTTAACACCTACCACCCGTTATGGGATATACACGGGCGAGAGTCAAGGCATAGTGAGAAAGTAACAACGTGGGCGCAACGGTGGCGACTTACGTTAATAACACCGTACGGGGAGGTAACAAGGAGCAGACACAACCAAAGGGACTCAACTATCGACCTAGCTTGGGCTACGGAAGGTACAGAGATCCTTTACGAAGGGGACCCAGGCTTAGAAGGTTCAGATCACCGGGCCCAAAGGGTACAAATCCTCAATAGCGGCGAAGCCGCAGCTAAAGGACTACGTACGATAGAAGGCTGGAACTGGGCAGCAGCCGACAAAGAGCTTATCCTAGCCGAAGCGGCCAACAGATTCGAGAACTGGCTACCCGTCCAAATAGCCGATGAAATCGACCAAGCAGTGGACTGGCTAGTAAACGAATTACATGAAATCGCAGACTTAGCAGCGCCAAAACGGACGGTAAGCACTGGCCACGGGGTACCATGGTGGAGTCCACAAGTTAGCAAAGCCTGCGCAGATACAAAGCGACGCCGTAGGGACTACTTACAAGCGAAATCCCTTAACACATGGACTAAGTATACCACTGCTACGCAGCACCAAAAGGAAGAAATAGCAGACGCCTAAGAACGGAGCTGGTAAGAAAAGCTAGAAGCCACGGCAAGGGACCGTAACAGCTTATGGGCGCTATAACGGTGGGCTCGACTACGCAGTTGGAAACCCCAAGATCAACATAGTATACCAGACCTACAAAGCAACGACAACGGGACGGCCACGGCCACAGGGACTACCCATAGCATAAAGGCACAAATCCTAGCGGAAAGGTTCTTCCCGAGCCCGTACGCGGACCTATACGACCTCGCTATAACACCGCCACGAGCGAGCAACGTACTCGATATAGAACAAGAGGTATCTATAACAGATATCAGCATTACCGTATCAAAGATGGCGTCATGGAAAGCCCCGGGAGACGACTTAATCCCGGTAGGACTACTAAAGAGCTACGGGGAACCACTCTATAAGATCCTAGCGGATATAACTACAACAAGCCTCGCTATTAGCTACTTCCCACGGCGCTTTCGCACCGCTAGAGTAGTAGTTATCCCTAAACCAAACAAGACAACAGCCCAAAGACGCACGGCAAGCGGGTGGCGACCAATAGCGCTACTTAGTACGATAGGGAAGGTTATCGAAGGAGTAATGGCCCGGAGAATCACAGAAGCAGCCGAGAAAGGGGGCGTCCTTCCTAACGGCCAGATGGGCAACCGTAAGGGCCGTTCTACGGAACTCGCTATACGTATCGTCGAAGACGTAGCGCATATAACTTGGCGGCGCGGAGGCATTGCCTCGCTACTATAACTAGACATAAAAGGAGCGTTCGATACAGTTAATCATACCAGGTTAATCGCGATCCTAGCCCAGAAGGGATTTCCGGAATGGGTCCGGGCATGGGTTACGAGCTACGTAGAGGATAGGACGGCTAGGCTACGCTTCGACGGCGAAGAGTCCACGCCCTTCTTACTAAACGCGGGCGTCCCCCAAGGCTCCCCACTATCACCTATATTATTCTTACTCTATATCTCTACCTTATACGAAGAGCTAGCAGCAAATTACCCATCGCTAATTATAGTAGGGTTCGCCGACGATACGAACCTACTTAGCGTCGGCCACGATGTAAAGACAACCTGTACACACTTAGAAGCAGCGTGGACGACGTGTAAGGCATGGGCAACTAGGCACGGCATGGACTTCGCGCCAGAAAAGTGCGAGCTTATACACTTTACAAGAGCCAGAGACCCGTTAACGTTAGGAGTTCGCCTCGGAAACGCAGCTATAACGCCGGTTGTGTCAGCACGGTTCCTTGGCGTCTGGTTCGATAGGAAACTAAATTGGCACGCCCATATAGAGAGAGTAAAATCGAAGTTCGCTACACAAAAGCTAGCCCTTACGAAGCTCGTACGAATGGCGTGGGGAATAGACTTCCTACGAGCAAGGCTATTATATACAGTAGTGATACGAACAGCCCTTGTATACGGAGCGGCTACGTGGTACACTATTAGCGAGAGACCCGTAGGCCCGGTCAAAGCACTAGCGAGCTCCCAAAACGAGTGCTTACGCGCTATTTGCGGCGTATATAAGGCTATACTAACGCGGATACTTGAAGCTAAATCAGCGATCCCGCCGCTAGACATTTATTTAAGCGCTTAGGCAACGAAGTTCGAACTACGGATTCGTAAGAAAAAGACTAATAAGCTATTACGTACCGCTTGCGCAAAGGCGACGCATATATTACGAGAAGCAAGGCCGGTCAGGCGAAGAAAGCCGTTACCGCTCCCCTTACGCCCAGCAGCATACCCGATCGAGAAGTACGAACGAGCACTAAGATGGGCCGAAGGACCAGATATAAGACAAGCTCTCTCTAGACACTAGCAAAAGCGTAGACAAAGCGATAACGCTTCGCAAGATGATCGCCAACGCAGAGCATTAGCCGACGAAGCCCCTGGAACCGGTCTAAAACAGTACGAGAAGTTTAAGAGGAAAGAAGCCACGATAATCTTCCAAATCCGGTCGGAACGGATTGGACTCGCAGCCTTCTTATTTAGAATAGACGCGTTCGGAGCGTATACACCCCTCTGCCGCTGCGGCGAAGCCCCTGAAACAGTCGTACACGTATTCCTTTATTGCGGATTATTAGAAGAGGCTCAAGCACGCCTAAGGAGCTTTATAGCTCCGGTAAGATTGGATACACGCCGCGACCTCGCCGCGGCTACGTTGATTCCGAAAGTGTCAAAGGTTCTAGTTCAGTGGCTATTATAAACGGGGAGACTATCTAATATCGGGGATAGCCAGTCTTTTCAGGGGTAGTTACGTTGGTTAGGTGAAAACCAACGTCGCATTATAGACATTATAACGTAAACGCTATTAGAGCGTAAAGCACACGAAGCGTACGGGTTTTGTCCAGCCCTTAAGGCAAGGTTTACCGTACGGTTTAACTCGGAGAGGTACCGAGGGACTTAGAGTCCTACGGCGTATTTAATAATAATAATAATTAAACTTATGAATTATAACTTATAACTAATATATTAACCCTAATAATAATACATTAATTTTAAATATAATAATCTCAATTAATTATAATTAATTCTTTAGAAATTAAATAAATATATAACAAATTTTGCCTTATATTTTAATAAAAAGTTTAATTATATTTTATATAAAGTATAGATAAATATATATATTTTAAAATTATTTAGTTATTTAATAATATATATTATATATATTTCAAGGTTTAAGTTTTTTTTTAAATCTTTTTATTTAAGCCTTATAATAAGTAAGTTCTTTAATCCTTTTTAATAATAAATCGTGAGTTTCTTATATATACTTTGCTAATACTACCACTTATTAACCTCGGCTTATTAAATTTTTATTTATATTATTAAAAAGGTAATGACTTAAAAATTTATAAAATAATAATGTATTCTTAAATTTCGAATCTTTTAATATTTTAAAATCTTTATTATTATTTAATAATAATAGAAATAAACTCGTAAAGTTTATTAGTCTTACTTACTAGTCGTTATTATTATTAATATATATATTTAAAATATAAGAAAAATAACAAACATTATGTTTTAAATAATGTTATATATTATTATTATAATCGTTATATCGGGTATTATTATTTAAATTAAGTATTTAATGTTAAAAAGCATAAATAAATACTTATAAATTTTCGAAAATTTTCGTTAAGTTAAATAATACTTAATTGTTTTCGTAATTTTTTAATAAATATTAATATTTTTAATTTTATTTTATTTATTTAAATCTAATTAATTTATATAATAATATATTATATTTAAATACAAAGTAATTATATTAAATTTATTTAAATATGAATTATTAAAGAGAATTTCCTTTTATAAAATCCTTATTAAGTAAATTAAATAATAAACTATAATTAATAATAAAAAATAAAAGTTTATTATAAAATCATTATTTATTAAATATATTGTTAGGCATGTTAGTATAGCCAACGTTATATAAAGTATGTTTAATGACTTATTTATAACATTAGCCTAGCCAAAGTTATGGCTAACTTTACGCTTATACCATGGCTGGCTTAAGGCCAGCCATGTATTAGTCTAGCCTAACATATATTAATCGTATAAGCTTTAACGTATTTTCGTAAGTTATTATCGAAGAAGTTTAATAATATATTAAAATAACTTCCTTCCCTTTTAAAACATAAGATTATTAAACAATATTAAATAATAAAATAAAATAAATTATATACGTCTTATTTTTGAATTTTCCTGTTTATTCTTATAGATTATTTATAAATATTTATATAAATAATAACGTTAATAATTCGAAGCTTAATAACTTTTAATATTATTAATAAACGCTTAAAACTAAATAAGTTTTAAAGCTTTAAAGTTATATATTAAAATTATTAAAACTTGATAATAGTTTAAATAGTTAAAAAAGTATTAATAAAAGAACAACTAAATATAACAAAAACTATATATTTTAATTTATATAAATAATTATTACTTTAATACCGAATTTAAACATTTGTTTTATATATAAATATAATTAATACTTTAATAATTATATTTATAAATATCTTTATTTAATTTTCTTTTATATATTATAAAATTTAATCATGTTATCTTTATGTTTATATATATAACATTAAAATTTTAAATATAAATTCTTTATTAAATAATAAAGAATTTAATTTACATTAGTTTTTAAATACTTAATAAGTTTATATCTGTATAAAATGACCCATTTGTAACAGCCGATATCGTAATATTTCCCTGTTTTTCAAACCTTGTTCGAATCACAGCGAGGGCTAAACCATTAAACGCCTTCCGTGTTAATGACGAAAACGGTGTTAAATCGGTCGGGTCACCGTTATCAGTGGATATAATGTCCCCTGGCCCTGATACTGAGAAAGTAATATTGTTGCTCGCTTGTGGTACGATATCTCCAGCAGCATCGACGATAGCTACCGTCACAAAGGACAAGTCATACCCATCAGCTGAAATTATTGCCCGGTCTGCTGTAATGTTTAGAGCTGCAGCGGCGCCAACCGTCTTCTTGCTTGCCTCGGCCCACTTCAAGCCATTCTTATATGCCACGACATGGAGATCCCCTGGTGAATATGTGACATTGTCCCAGCGAAAACGGTAGGTAAACGGCTCCTTGAGGATTCTGCCAGCTGATCTTCCATTCACAAAAAGTTCCGCTTCATCACCAGACGAGAAAACGTGGACAGGCGTCAATTGACCCACACGATCTGGCCAACTCCAGTGTGGCAAAATATGGGCAATGGGCAAGTCAGGTCGCCAGCGCGACTGGTATAGGTAGAAACGGTCCTTCTTGAATCCAGCCAAGTCGATAATACCGAAATAAGAGCTCCGTGCTGCCTCAAAGTCATCATACGGCGTGGGCTCACCAAGGTAATCCCAGCCAGTCCACACAAACTCCCCTGCGACATAAGGGTGAAGGTCCTGTTGCTTGAACACCTTGTCTGGGGAAGAAGCCCATGATGGTGCGTATAGCTCATAAGAGCTGACCTGTAGTGAGCTGGAGTTGCCACCATCTCCAAGTCCATCGCCAACAACCTGGCTCATATTGCTAACAACGGGAAAGATGTAAGTGCCGCGAGTGCTTAGAGTGGATGCACTCTCGCTTGTCCAGATCAGCTTTTCCGGATATCTGTTATGGAAATCAGGGAAAGTGCCAATCCACGAATTTCCTCGTCCCTCGCCCTGATAGTTAAGGCTTTCAACATCTAGGAGGTCCGCTAGTCCATCGCCTGGTTGGCCGTTGTTCAAAGCCGATGTCACCGGTCGCGTGGGGTCCTCCTCATGGGCGATATTGTACAGCACTCGGCCAGTCGCCGCGCCAGCGTCAGTTCTCTGTTCGGGAATCTCATTGCCGATGCTCCAGGCGATTACGGAAGGATGGTTAAAATCCCGACGAATAAACGATCGGAGATCTGGCTCGTGCCAATCAGCGAACAGTAAATGGTAATCATTGGTCACCTTTTCATCGTTCCACACATCAAAGGCTTCGTTCATAACCAAGAAGCCCATACTGTCAGCCAAGTTGAGTAACTCAGGAGCCGGTGGGTTATGCGACATGCGGAGTGCGTTCCCACCCATTTCTTGCAACAACTCGAGTTGCCGCTGCGCAGCTCTGTAATTGAATGCGGCTCCCAGGCTACCAAGATCGTGATGGTTATCAGTTCCTCTGATACGTACCTCTTCGCCGTTGATAAGGATACCTCGATTGGCATCATAAGTCACTGAGCGGATGCCGAATATTGTCTCATACTTATCAACGACCGAACCGTTGCTTGTAGATATAGACGTCACAGCCACATACAGATTTGGCTTTTGTGTTGGGGGTGGGCCCCATAGCAATGGTTCGGGAATGGTGACCGAGCCACTGATTGATTGCCTCGACCCAGCCATCACATTCACCAGCGCCCCTGGGATTTTAGCTACCATATCATCAGTCCCCTTAGGACTGATTACTGTTTCCACCGTTACAGCTTGATCTGATGTTCCCTTGTTCTCGACAGCCACGACAAGTTTGACTGTTGCTTCTTCCGCCGATACAGATGGGAAAACGATCCGCGTACCAAAGTTCTCTATGTGTACTGGATCAACCTTGACAAGCCAGGTGTTGCGGTAGATTCCAGCTCCAGGGTACCATCGTGACGAATCCAGGGCGTTATCGAGACGAATAGCAAGCAAATTATCGTCATTTACCTTAATGTATGGTGTCAGGTCTAACCGGAATGAAGCATATCCGTACGGCCAACCGCCGACAAGATCGCCGTTTAGCCAGACAGCCGAGTACGACATGGCACCATCGATGTCTAGGAAAATTGACTTGCCGACGTCACTCGATGCGAAGCTCAAGCTACGGCGATACCATCCAACGCCATTAGACGGGAGGCGTCCCATACCGCCACTGATGCCAGGTGCATTGAAGGGTCCTTTGATTGCCCAGTCATGTGGTAACGTGACTGCTTCCCACGAACTATCATCAAAGGATAATTGTGTAAACTCTAAATTGTAGCCAGGGGCGGTCCCATTCGGGCGTTGATGCTTGGTGCCATTGAGAATATAGTCGTTGGCCGATGGTAGCACCCATGGTTTCAATGTCTCGTTGTAGGACAGAGAGTCCGGGTTCGACGTGAAACGTGTAAATCTCCAGCCGCCATTCAAGCTTATGCGCTCACGAACCGAGGACGACACTCCTCGAGAGATGGAATGAGCCGTTGCTGAGTGCGTATTTGCCAATTGAAATAAGATACCTAGGATCATAAGCCCCCAGTTCTTTTCTACAATACAAAACATGCCTAGCATTGTCGTTATTGATGTCCTAGCGAAGGGCTGGTGATTAGAAACAAATTCATGTCCAGGACCTCTTGAATGTATGCTCTATTTATCTTGATCTTCGCTTGCCGGCTCACATTGCCCCGACCTGTTAAGATGACTACCACATGTGCTGGATGTGACCCAGCAAGATATAATAATTGCCGGTGAGGAGAACAGAACTGCATCGTTGACCAGGGCTTGGCAGCATTGAAGCGCGCCTGTCGGCGCCGAGAGCTGAATTTCAGACCCCGCTTGAGATATACAGTACTTTCGACGTTACATCATCCAAGCCTACGTCTAGGAGTTGATCCGATGTTTCGGCTTATATGACCACATGTTTGCCGCTACCAGTTGTAACGTAGCACATTACCTCGGACCATTTCGGACCGCGCGCTTCCCCACAGACCCCTTTCCTCTTTACTCCTTTCAGCCCATGAACTCAAACTATGGTTACGGATTTGTAGGTCACCTAATCAACTTTGGACTTTGATGCAATAGATCATATCTGCCGTGTCACACAAGTGTAAATTATTGATGAATCTAGCTAGTATTTATAACATCTCTATGCCAGGGGATCCCTTTCATTAGAGTCTACTGTATCATAGCCCTCGGCGAAAGGACGCCGGATGAAAGATGGACTGGTCGGGAAACCGTTAACTCTGCAATATATGTTCCCGGATGTGATGCATAGTGCCTCTCAGTAATATCATTTTCAAAATATCGTTGGATCGTAGGCTTTACCTTATTAAGCACGAGCCGGTTTCCTCGTCTAGGAAGCCATCGCCCATAGTCCGCACGTAAATGCGATTGATACCCCCGATCAAACCAATCTGTGGCTGCATGTGAATTTACAAGATATAATTTCGAGCAGATGAGGACAGCAGGGGAGAATTTTGCTTTTGCCTGTCCTAGTTTCGTACTGTCCTATAAGTCGCAGTCTAGCGATTCATATACACCAATTTATGGTAGCCCGTTCAACAATAACTCATTCAGTAATCATTAAGACCGGCACAAATATATGCAAGTTGCGATCTATGTACCTGTCGCAGTGGAACGAAAGGTTTGAAGTTGTACTAGGTCATATACCGAAAACCATTCCCCGTTCATGGGGGGTATTCCTCCCCGCACCTTCAAGTCAACGTATTTCAAGCTGATGTTGTCACTACATCGGACCCCAAGACGGTCAACACTGATTTTCCTCTCAGCCACCACGGATACGGCCTCCAATACCTACGACCAGCCGCACCACAGACAATGGCTGGTTCAGCCAATGTTGACTTGTCAGATGGCCGTTTGCTCCAACGTTTCTTCCTGACCAGAAACTTTAATGCATGGACTTTTGTCGACTGAGGAATAAAGATCACATTCCCCCAGAACTCATGCGGGTTTTGTTATGTAAACGGGTTATTCTCGTTATTCTATGATCAAGTCGTCGTCCATGGTCTAGAAATATGCCAAGGAGCTATTTTTATTCACCTGACTTGGAGGTAAGAATTGCATTGGGAGATTAGATTGGCATATGTCTAAATGACAGGACTTCAACTAGGTGGGTGCCTCGGTTTTATGCCTTTCGACGAGCTTGGGAGTCAGTTTTGATAGCTTCATATTAGCTTGCGGAGAAGGGAAAGCAACACGGTGGGCCTACATGATTTAGACCTTCTAGTTTAAGACCATACCAGTGGGATGTGGTGGAGTGATTGACCGGAGGAAGGTGCAAGGTTTGGACGTCGACTCTTACATAGTTGGCTCAACACCTTTTGCTCCGAAAATCGAGGGCAAGTCTGGGTCAAAGGCCGCGTGAAGTGCGCATGTGAGTTAGCAGCTTATATTTCGTCGTCAAGGCACAACAACATCCGGATGCTTTGAAGGGTTACAGAAACCACGAGAAAACAAACGGGGCAAAGTAGAAAGAAGAATATACATTTCCGGCTGCATGATGAGGATCCAGAAACTACAATGTAGGACGCTGCTCGCTCCGATGGACCTGTGTAGAATATAGCAAAATCCACATGCGTATCACAGACGATACAGGATAATGGCTTCCAGGTCCATTTCGCTTCACAATCCACGTTTAGTGCGGCGATTTCATACCACAAGTACACACACACAACTGATATTCCATGGACAGACAGTCAACTTAGGGGGCCGAATTGAACCAAATTCAGGTCGATGGCCGGTGTGCCATTCAACGTCTCAGGTCAATACTAGACCGTGAAGCCTCCATAGATGGTCGTAAAGAGCTGCTCGAGCTCCGCCGTCTGCGCGCTCGCTGCTCACTGGGATCCGACGGGTGTAATCCCGAGTTTCTTGCGAACAAGTTCAAAATATCAGTCAGTGTCACGACACCGGTCAAGCGCCCAGAGATATTCGCGCCCGCCATCGTAGACGTTGGGACCGAGGGGAAGTGTGTTCCCGTAGCCAGAGAGGACTGAGAGCTGGATGTTGAGTTTGGCACTAGAACAGTTGGGCCGAGGAGTGGAGTAGCAGGGGCCGAAGGCGAAGGCGAGGCAGACTCAACTACCCACATACGGTGACTTCTGGTTGCGACCAGTTTGGCGACTGCGAATAACCGTCAGCGAGACATACACGACCGAAGACTACAAGCGACCATACCGGTATGTGCGAGCGTTGAGTAGGGGTTTACATAGAAGACTGGAAATGAGTCCTTGCCCTTCTCTACGCCGCGTTCATTCAATATAACGGAAATGAAGTGCATGCATGTGCTCTGTAACAGAGGCAAACTTGCGGCATTGGTGAGAAGTCTGACATCTACTGTCGAGATATTGCCGACAACATTGCGGCCATTGTCAACAACCGCGACGCTCGACAGGCCCTCGTTGCTCATGAGACTGAGAGCATCGGCCAAGGGGTTATCGGCACTGCGAAACTTTTTAGCACTGCACGCCGACAGATTTGAGAGCGGCCTTACTTAACGGCAATTATCTGCTGAGAACCAATTCCGAGGTCTCGCATAAGCCTGGGATATAGCTCATCAATGGCCCTGAAATTGATGCCTTCGTTCCAGAAAAACTCAACAAGTCTAAGTTGGCTAAGCACGCCCACAACATCACCCGATGAATTGGTTACGAGAAGTCGATGAACGCCACTGCCGAATATTTCGATTACCTTGGCTAGATTTTCGTCGCCAGGCAGTGTGACTAAAGCCTCCTTCCGACAGATGGGCTATTATGCGCTTCAACATTAGCAACAAGGTAGACAAGGCGTAGAAGTTACGTTGCAAAACGTACCTGAATATCCCGCAAGGGAATGCTTTCATGTGCCTGCGCCTTTCCGACAAGGGAGTCGTAAAGTGAGACCAAGTCGTCTGTTGGATGAGCCAAACCAACGACTACAAGTAGATAGGCGTTCAAGTCGTTATGATCGAACGTCGACACGGCAATATCCTGAGAAGCGTCGTCCCGAATGAGAACGATATTGCTAGACATGTTCTTTAGCAGGAGCTGAAAAAGAAAGTTAGCCCAAAGGTGTCGAGTCAAAGAGACAAGTTGGCCGGGTACAGACCATGGTAGCGTCCTCAACGCTCGTGTCCATATCCACCCATTTCAGGTCATCCTTGGGGATGAGCTCGCCGACTTGGACATCGCGCCAGTCCCTGCCGGCGAAGCGGGGGTTTTGGGGCCTTGTTGTCGGTGGATGGTTGAGTAAATCCTGGATGGCAGCCTGTGTGAGGGAGGGATGTCGCTGGCTGCGTGGGGAAGGTGGAAGGCCTCTGAGATTCTCCGCGAAACTCTGTCGATGACTGGGTATCCTGTGAATGCTCGAAGAAGAATTTGATCTCGATGGAGGGGCTGGCGATGTGGCGGCTGCCTCCTTGGAGCTATCGATGGCCGAGCTCGCGTGATCCTTGGATTCATCCATGGTGGCCAGGTAACTATGATGAAAGTCCAAAGGGTACTATATGAATTTACACAAGCTGGCGGGCTGATGTGAGTATCTATATACTGTACTGAGTATGCTGGACTGAAGCAGACCAGCTTATTGCAGAAGCAGGAAGCCGGAGGTCACCCAGCCTAGCTTATTTCTCCCCTTCCCCGCAAGCTTTCTTCAATCGCAGCACTTGTAGGGACGGTCTGAGGCAGACCCTCAGTTGAATCCTTGGAATGTAGCTTTTGCTATTACACTTGACTTGAGATGGAAGCGGAGGGTTCGCCCGTTACCGTGTGTCCGCAGTCCAAGTTTGGATGACTTTATATGAGTTCAATGGGGCAATCCTGGAAGCTACTGCCTGTCTCACCAGCTCAATGAAGCGACTGAGAGGCGGGGTTGATAGTGGTAATGTACGATTGCATAACGGCCATGATTGCGAAGGAAATGATAAGATTGAATCGCGCCTGAGCGAGCGAGGTTGACGGATGAAGCTCAATACGCACCGTGAGCCAATGATTTGGATCAAGTCGGTAGAGTACAATAACGCGTCGCGGTCCGAGAGGTCCTCCCCTCCCCTCCATACTTTTGGTCAGGTTTCGTGCCGTCATAGGCTTACGTCTAGGCTTAAGCTTAGGCTTAGGTAGCCGCTGTTATCGGCTCTTGCAATACCCCCGCCATCAGCCACATCTTGGAGGGGTAATCTGTCTATGTACTCCGTATTCTCTCATTGTTTACCTCACAGGGGTCGTCGTTACTTCATAGCCCATGGCCACATGCACGGTGTGACACTACACTGGTAGAGTCGTACCTGGGCAGGCAGACACACAAACGTGGATGGCTGAGAGTTTGGCATGTTATTGGCAATGAGTTGAACAAATGGACACAGCACACATGCGTAGGTATGGGCTTAGGACCAAGAGAGAATAATGATATTGGGCGGTCTTGTATTGTCAGACAGCTCGGATGCTGCCCACTCGAGGCCAAAGTTGATACTGATATAGACAACATGGAAGAAAATGAATAGCACTAGACGTGATTGGGACCCGACCATAATAAGCCAGGGTTTATGTACGGATCCGTATGCATGATCAACCTCAGAGACCAAGTCATGTTTCATGGTGGAACACATGATTATTGGGGCGGCGTTTCTGCAACGAGGTTACAAGTAAAGGCTATTATGAGACACATGATAACAAAGCGAACCAGAAAGAAAAAGAAAGACAGATACGTGTTTCTTGACATGGAATCAAATCAGACTGACCGCGACGCATAACCTGGGAATCGCTTGGGTCTTGGGGGGAAAGAGAGACGGACACCTACCCTAGATATCTCTGCACAGTACACGCTAAAACAGGTGACCTGTGACACTGTAGCCTGTGACTTGTGACCTCAAAGCTGCCCTGCCCCACCTTTCAAAACATGGACACCCACACTACCTAACCTAACACATTTATACCACCTAACTCAAAGTACATATTATTACTTGTACACACCACACACACCAACACGCACTACATGCACTACATGCAGCTCCAGCTGAGCGTTGAGCCAACCCAGGAAACGCCCACCGCGTCTGTCAACGACCCATTCTCCGCCATAATTTTTTCTTAATAAATTTTTTTATTATTATTCTTATTCCTACCTTGAAGTAGTATTTCCTCGTTACTCGCCCGGCGTTCTGGTTTCTCCTTGAATCGCAAAGCGCCTATCCTCTTCACCAGAGGCTGCTTTTGCGACGACACTTCTTCTCTACACACTGCAGAGAAACCACCGCACCGCACCGCTCTCGCGCGTCTCGTCTCCCCAGACTGGACTTTGTTTTTTTTTTTGGAGCCCCTCCCCTCCCCTCCCTTGGTGCTTTTTGCTTGGGTACCTACGCAACCAACGCTAGAGAGGGACCCTACCACCGACTCCATCACAACCCCTCGAAACCTTCCACCCACTACACCGTACACAGTATAGGACTGCCTCACTTTACCAGTACCACGGTAGTTCACAGCAGAGCTTTAGGACCAGGACGAGGACCAGGACCACACCGGGCAGAAGCAACGTCTTGATCGCGAAGGGCACCCCGATCCGAACAAATCGCCGTCAAAATGTCCATGCTACCGCCTGCGGTCCATGCCGAGCTGACCCAGCTCCTGCAGGCCCTGCAGTCCCCCGACAACACAACCCGCTCCCAAGCCGAAGATCACCTCCAAAACAACTGGACTGCCTCGCGCCCCGAGGTCCTCTTGATGGGACTGGCCGAGCAGGTAGCAGGCTCCACGGACGCTCCGGTATGTTCACAATCTCTCTCTAACACTTGCTCTAAAGAATTCAAACCTTCCATTTGCCTCACAAACCGTCAAAATCACGGTAGATCACAACTTACACAAAGCAGATACGCTCTTTCGCCGCCGTCATCTTCCGAAGGATATCCTCCAAGAGCCGCAAGAATGATAAGGGTGACACCGTCGAGATGTTCATCTCTTTGGTCCCTGACCATGCCACCGCTATCCGCCAGAAACTCCTCGAGGCCCTGGCCAATGAGTCCGACCGTACTGTACGCAACAAGATCAGCGATGCCGTCGCGGATGTCGCCAGGCAATATTCCGAAAACAGTCAGTGTGTCCCGATTCCCCGCCTGTCTTCAAACGAGACTCCAAAAGACACCCAAAAATCCCAGAACGAGATATTGATGCAAACTTCCGCGCAGATGATAGCTGGCCAGAGATTCTCGGTGTCCTTTTCCAGCTGAGCTTGTCTCCCGACGCTGGCAAGCGTGAGACCGCTTACCGTGTCTTCACCACCACCCCGGGCATAATAGAGAAGCAGCACGAAGGCGCTGTCTTGGAAGCCTTCGGGAGAGGTTTCAAGGACGATGCTGTCGGAGTAAGCATCCATGCCCGAACTATACTCTACTCTACTCTACTCCGTCCTACTCTACACTTATCTACTCTGCTCTACATGCACTTCCCGCAAATGCAGCGACCTGGACTGACTTGTGACAAACTGACAGGTACGATTGGCCGCCATGGAGGCCTTTGCCTCCTTCTTCCGCAACCTGAGCAAAAAGGCACAACCGAAGTACTTCGGCTTGCTGCCCGATGTTCTCAACATCCTGCCCCCTATCAAGGATTCTCAAGACTCCGAGGACCTCAGCAAGGCTCTCATCGCCCTTATAGACCTTGCCGAGACTTGCCCCAAGATGTTCAAGCCTCTTTTCCACAATCTCGTCATGTTCAGCGTCGGCGTCATTCAAGACAAGGAGCTGTCTGACATCGCACGCCAAAATGCATTAGAGCTCATGGCAACCTTCGCCGATTACGCGCCGTCAATGTGCCGCAAGGACCCATCTTACACCAACGACATGATAACTCAGTGTTTGAGTCTCATGACTGACCTTGGAGAAGACGACGACGATGCTGCAGAGTGGCTCGCATCCGAAGACGTAGGTTTCCCCCATTCTGAAGAATTATCCCTCCAAGACAATCCCAGCCCGAGAGGTCTCCAGAACTGACCCCATGTCTAGCCCGACTCGGAGGAGAGCGACTTCAACCATGTTGCTGGAGAACAGTGCATGGACAGACTGGCAAACAAGCTCGGTGGCGAGACCATCTTGGCCCCCACGTTCAACTGGCTTCCTAGAATGATGACTTCGATGGCCTGGAAGGATCGTCATGCTGCTCTGATGGCCATTTCTGCCATCTCCGAAGGCTGCCGTGATCTCATGGTCAAGGAGCTCAGTCAGGTCCTCAACCTCGTTGTTCCCGCCCTCAAGGACGCTCATCCGCGAGTTCGCTGGGCGGGTTGTCAAGCCCTTGGCCAGATGAGCACCGATTTCGCTCCTACTATGCAGAAGGAACACTACGACACCGTTCTCAAAGCCATCATTCCTGTTCTCACGTCACCAGAGCCTCGTGTCAAGGCTCATGCTGCCGCCGCTCTTGTCAACTTTTGCGAGGAGGCCGAGAAAAACATTCTTGTGCCCTACTTGGACGAATTGCTTTCTCATCTTTTCCAACTCCTGCAGAACGACAAGCGCTTCGTGCAAGAGCAAGCTTTGTCGACCATTGCCACCATTGCCGATGCTGCCGAGGCCGCCTTTTCAAAGTACTACGATACACTTATGCCGCTTTTGATGGGTGTTTTACAACGGGAGAACGACAAGGAGTTCCGTCTGTTGCGTGCCAAGGCAATGGAGTGTGCCACTCTTATCGCCCTAGCTGTCGGCAAAGAGCGCCTTGGTAATGACGCCATGAACCTCGTGCAGCTGCTCGCCTCTATTCAGTCTAGCATCACTGATCCCGACGACCCGCAAAGCCAGTATCTCATGCATTGCTGGGGCCGAATGTGTCGTGTCATGGGAAGTGATTTCCTCCCATTCCTGCCTAACGTCATGCCCCCCCTGGTAGAACTGGCCAGTGCTAAGGCCGACATTCAGCTCCTCGATGACGACGAGCAGGTCGAGCAGATCCAGCAAGAGGATGGATGGGAGTTGGTGCCATTGAAGGGCAAGATGATCGGCATCAAGACGAGCACGATGGACGACAAGCATATGGCTATCGAGCTCCTCGTTGTTTACGCACAGACCCTCGAGGCAGCTTTTGCGCCTTACGTCAAGGACACCATGGAGAAGATCGCCTTGCCGGGACTTGCGTTTTTCTTCCACGATCCTGTCCGATTCATCTCGGCCAAGCTGGTGCCGCAACTGCTCAGCTCTTATAAAAAGGCCTTTGGACCTACCTCGAATGAACTGCGTGAGTTGTGGTTGGCTACTGTAGACAAGCTGCTCGAGGTTCTCACGGCCGAGCCGGCGATCGACGCTTTGGCTGAAATGTATCAATGCTTTTACGAGTCTGTCGAAGTGGTCGGCAAGGACTGCATGTCGTTGCAGCACATGGGCAAGTTTATCGACAGTGTTTTGTCCGCCATCGAGGATTACAGAGACCGTGTCGCACAACGAGAGCAAGACAGGGAAGGCGTAACGGCCGAGGATGTCGAGGACGAGGCCGAGGAGCTGCTGTTAGCCATCGAGGATGACCAGACGCTCTTGTCCGATATGAACAAAGCCTTCCACGCCATCTTCAAAAACCACGGTGCCGCATTCCTTCCCTCATGGGAACGTCTCATGACCACATACGAGACCTTCCTCAACTCGTCGGACCCTACACAACGGCAGTGGGGCCTGTGCATCATGGATGATGTTGTGGAGTACTGCGGGCAGGAGAGCATTCGCTATGCCAACTACATTCAGAAGCCCCTAGTTGATGGCTGCAAGGACCCGTCCGCAGCGATCCGTCAAGCAGCGGCTTATGGCATCGGTGTGGCGGCCCACCGTGGAGGTCCATCGTGGTCACAGTTTCTCTACGGCTCTATACCTTATTTGTTCCAGATAACACAGGTGCCCGATGCGCGCGGTGATGATGCCGTTTACGCAACGGAGAATGCCTGTGCTGCCATTGCCAAGATTCTCCATTTTAACAATGCCAGTGTGCAAGACCCACAGGCTGTCGTGGCACAGTGGGTGAATACCTTGCCCGTTACCAACGATGAGGAGGCAGCGCCATTTGCGTATGGATACCTCGCAACATTGATCAGCCAGTGAGTCCACCCCCCCTTCCCATGTTGAGAGTTTGTTTCAGACGCCGTGGACTGTGTGACGTACTGACACGTGACAAATAGACAAAACCCGGCGGTTATGGGTCAAGCCGACAAGATGTTTGTGTACGTAGCGCAAGCACTGGAGGCCGACATGCTCGGCTCTGGAGAGGTGGCACAGAGAGTTGTACAGGCCACCAAGGCGTTGATGCAATCATCTGGAGTTAACGCCCAGTCGTTGCTACAACAATTTTCGCCCGAAGCGCAACAGACCATCTTGCGCTACTTTTCCTGAACTGGAGGAGGGTGGTGATTGAACGAACGAGGGTGAAAAGAAACGGAGAAATCTTGCTATATGCTAGAAGAAAGACTATCCGATGAAAGCGATGTCGAGTTGGGAAGGAGAGGAGAAGAAGAAGAAAAAAGAAATTCCAAATAGAGCGGCGTGTGAAGAGTGCACATTCGACATTCGAGGCAGATGCAATGACGGGCGAGAAACAAGGCGCGCCACTCGAGGGCAGCCGAGGCAGGAATGACAGAGATGAGAACTCTTTGATGATACCAAAATATATTCATTACTAGTTACAAGGATTTGATCTGATTTGCTTGTTGGGTGCTTGGAGTAGATACGACGTGGGGCTACGTGTAATTGAGGTAGGTATGCAGCGTAACTTGCGTAAGGCGGGCGGGGCGGGACGGCCGGTGAGTGCTGATGTGATGGATGTACTTGGAAACACCGACGTGTGCTCAAGGGCTTTACTCGAAGGAAGTTGCTGGCCAGTAACGGTATATGCGTTTGCGATGTATGCACATGTACATAATTATACGAGGCAATCATAACCACGTAGACGACATGAAAAGTCACAGCTTGCAGCACGTAATGTACATAATCGCCAATCGCAGCGCCGGGCGCCACATCCCGCATCCCCGCTGTTTTTTTCACCCTGACCAAGCCTGAACCTGAAGTCAGCTCAAGCCCCGACCATCCACCTGCTACTCGATCACTGAGTCGACTTACCGCAGATTGCCACTACGGATTACACTGGGCTCATTGGCTGCTGTCGGGCTCTCTCCTGCAGCTACCTACCAAAACGAACCAGCCCTTCAAGTATTCAGATCGAAACGTTCAACCTACTCCTATGCTCTGCGAATCCCTCAAGTCCTTGCATCTTATGCCACAGATCACATTTGCTCACTGGTAACCCTCGTACTGTCATCAAACCTCGCGTCGTCCATGTTGACCATCCGGTTGACAGTCATCGCCTCTCCTCTCGTCCCACAGGGCCTCTCGATGCCATAACGGTACACTAGTATACGGCATCCAGGAGCGCGCGATTTACATGTTCATCTGCATTCACCGCTACAGCCTGCCATAAACAGGCATTGTTCCAAACTACAAATTCCCTCCTCTATCGCTGTGCGTCTTCGAATCGGGTACCGACGACATATAGCGGACAACGAAAACCATCTACCAGTACTACTTGAGGTAGCGCCAACTTCTGGTCGCGGTACACGTTCGAGTCAGGGCTTGCAACCTCCGACTTGGAAGGCCTCGGAGGAGATTACGAGATGAAGTTGTAGCCCGCCCTGTGTCGAGCTCAAGCCGGATAAAAAAAAAACCTCTTCCCATGCCAATACTTTCCTTGTATCTTGGGTCAAGGTCGCAGATGCCACCAATCAAATCAAACTGCATGCCATTCGCGTAGTATATTACAGCACGGGGAAAAGAGAGGGTGATAGTGAGAGAGAGAGAGAGGGAACAAAGAAAGAAAGAAAGAAGGAGAGAAGGAGAGAGAAAGAGAAGAAAGCCAACACCACATGTATCTGTATTCGCGGCCGCCATGGACAACTCTTCCGCTTTCCAGCTCTCTCCGGAGGACCTGCAGCGTCGACATGCTCGACAACGCAATCAAAGACGTGCTACCTCAAACTCTAGTTCTGGCATGCACCAAATGCCAATCTCCCAGCACATGTCTGCCAACCCCGATGCCTCCCTCGTAGGAGCCGACAGCCTCGACGACATCATTCGAGACAATCATCACACCATACAGAATCGGAGGAGGAGCCTGCCACACCAGCCCTACGCCGCCCAGATGTCTCCCTCCGAGGCCAATCGCCACCTCTCCATGATGGACTTTGGCGGCAACGGCATGAACGGTGTCATAAACCACGCCAACGACGCCTATGGTGATCATCAGTTCGGCATGATGGGCTCTCCTGTTGACGGCATGTCCGGTGCCTTCCCCAATATGAACCACAACATGACCATGCCCGGTACTTCTGGAAACTTCTCGCCTCGCAGTATGCTTGCCCATGACTTTTCCGCCAACATCACACCGGAAATGATGGGAAACATGATTGCACTTCAGAACATGAACATGGGACAGATGGCCGCCGTTTCCTCGGCCATGAACCTCTATCAATCAGGTATGCCTACCGCCTATTCCCAGGCCTCTATGGACCCTATGGCGAGCGAGCTTGCCATGGATCTGGATACCGCCGCCAACCAGATGAGCAACATGCCCAACCCTGCTGCCTCGGGGATGCTCCTGGACGGATCTGACTCGACAACTATGATGGCCACATCTCAACCATTCATCCCTTCGACCCAGCCAGAGCAGACCCAGCCGGGCTCAAATCCTATTCCCAGCCCTGGCAATTCACACACAAACCCCTCCGCAAACCCTCAGCCCCGCATCTTTTCCATGCCTAGCACCAAGGCCATCCCCCCCGACTATCAATCCCCCATGCCGCCAACCTCCAACCCGAACGGTATCAATGTCGCCCAGATACAGATGCAGCCTCCACCCATGAGTGCCCTCAGCCCCAATCCCGGTCAGGCTCCCTCATCCGCGCCAAAGGATCAGAAGACCATCTACTCCAAAAGTGGCTTCGACATGCTCAGAGCCCTCTGGCTTGTCGCGACGCGCAAGAATGCCCAGGTCAACCTCGGTGCGGTGGACATGTCATGTGCTTTCGTCGTCTGCGATGTGACCATGAATGACTGTCCCATTATTTATGTGTCGGACAATTTCCAGAACCTGACCGGGTATAGTCGTCATGAAATCATTGGCCAAAACTGCCGTTTCCTCCAGGCCCCTGATGCCAAGGTCGAGGCCGGCACCAAGCGTGAATTTGTTGACAACGGCGCTGTCTATAATCTCAAACAGAAGATTGCCGAGGGTAAGGAGGTACAGCAGAGCCTCATCAACTACAGAAAAGGTGGGAAGCCATTCCTAAATCTCTTGACCATGATCCCGATACCCTGGGATACGTCCGAGATACGATATATTGTTGGGTTTCAAATCGATCTCGTGGAGTGCCCAGATGCCATCACGTCATCCCAAGGGCAGGGTTCTCTGCAGGTCAGCTACAAACACAATGACATCGGACAGTACATCTGGACGCCCCCAGCCACTGCCCAGTGGGAGCCAGAAACCGGTCAAACTCTCGGGGTTGACGACGTATCAACACTGCTGCAACAGTTCAACCCTAAAGGTGTCGTTTCAGATTGGCACAGGCAGTCGTGGGATAAGATGCTGCTAGAGAATGCCGACGATGTCGTGCATGTTCTCTCGCTGAAGGGTCTATTCCTCTACCTGTCCCCGTCATGCAAGCGTCTTCTTGAATACGACTCGACTGAGCTAGTTGGTAACTCGATATCCACCATTTGTCACCCTTCCGACATTGTTCCAGTTACGCGTGAGCTCAAGGACACTACAAATGGATCTTCCGTCAACATAGTGTTCCGTATTAGACGAAAGCAAAGCGGTTACACTTGGTTCGAAAGCCACGGCTCGCTATTTGTCGAGGCTGGCAAGGGCCGCAAATGTATCATTCTTGTCGGACGAAAACGTCCTGTATTTGCGCTACAGCGTCGCGACCTTGAGAAACACGGTGGCATTGGGGATAGCGAGATGTGGACCAAGCTTTCAACCTCGGGCATGTTCCTCTTTGTATCCTCCAACATACGGTCCTTGCTTGACCTTCAACCAGACCAACTGATAGGGACCAGCATTCAGGAATTGATGAGGAGGGAGTCGCGACCGGAGTTCGGACGTACTATAGAAAAGGCTAGGCGGGGCCAAACCGTCACTTGCAAGCATGAAGTCCAAAACAGACGTGGTCAAGTTCTTCAGGCGCACACAACCCTCTATCCCGGCGATGCTTCGGAGGGACAGAAACCTACGTTTCTCTTGGCTCAGACTAAGCTATTGAAGGCATCCTCCCGGGCCATCGCTTCAACCGCCACTCTCAACAAGCAGGGGCCTTCCAATAACAACACATATGACCCAAAGTCTTTGGCAGGCAATTCTACAGGAAGCAGCAACGGTTCACCAAAGGAGACGGGAGTAACATCGGCAGCTGGGGGCGGTGACATTCCGCCAGGCACCCAAGATGTTGCGCTTGCGTCCGATGATAACATATTCGATGAGCTCAAAACGACGAGGTGTACGAGTTGGCAGTACGAACTGCGACAGATGGAAAAGGTCAACCGTGTATTGGCCGAGGAGCTACATGGCTTGCTATCGAATAAAAAGAAACGGAAGCGCAGAAAAGGTGTCGGCAACGTTGTTCGTGACTGTGCTAATTGTCATACCCGCAATACGCCTGAATGGCGACGAGGTCCGAGTGGTCAAAGAGATCTGTGCAACAGTTGTGGTCTTAGGTGGGCCAAGCAGGTAAGCATCATCGACGTTGTGCAACTGTCGTGTCAGGCTAATCATGCGTCGTTCATCAGACGGGCAGGGTCTCTCCGCGGAACTCTTCTCGCGGTGGTGCCGACACGGCAAGTAAGAAGTCCGCCTCGCCCGTGCACACGTCTTCCCTCACCCGTGAGGTCTCGCAGGGAGAGGTCAGTGAAAAGCCTTCCGAGACTGACTCAGCCGGCACTGCGAACAGGTCCCTGAGCTCTAGCGTGGGTCCCAACACGAGCGCTGTTACCACGCCCACCGCACTGAAGACTCCTTCCAAGCCGCCACTCAGTCAGCCACTTCTAGAAGGCGGCGCTGAAGGCGGTCAGATGGCTCCTATCCGGGAAGAGCGAGAAGCGCCTTGAAAATCCCTTGCTACATATTCACTTGCTATGGCTCTACATTCGATGCGCGTTATCCAGGGTCATGTTCAATTTAATTTTGAGATACCACACAGTCTGCTCTTTATTTCGAGGTCATTTAGGTTTCATCATTTAAGGTTCATCGATATCAGTAGAGATGTCGTTGCGTGTACAAGATACGACACGCCAACAATAGGGATCTTGCGGGGAAGGAAGAATGCATTCATGCGGCGTAGGGGGGTCCTGTTTCTGCTTCTCATGGACTCGGCTTTGCACAACCTCATGGAAGATATGGGAGATTACAAGGTTGATCTTTAGAGCAGCGTAAACACAGTGCTCCGGAGACGGCTTTGACTGTGCACCGTGAAAAGCTACGACGCCAACGATTAGGGTATTGGGCGTAGGTGGATCTAGCAGCACACGCTCTCGGTCATTGTCTTGCTTCACTTGACATTTTGGGTTGTGCTTACATGGTTCAGGTACTTACTGACATGCCGATACGACGTACACGAAATACGAATGGCCTTATATTTGTACTCCGTTATCTACTACGTGACTAAGCATCATCTGTACCACGGCTAACCAATTTTCTATGCCTGTAATTTAACCTTGGCTGTTGTTTTGGTCTGTTTCTCCTGTCCGTCTGATGACTATTCGCCTGGGTGTATTTGTTAGGGATCTGGTCTGGGACTGGTCGTCTGCGTAATCTATCGAGTTTGTGAGTGACTTCAAATAGCCCCGTCGTGAGAACTCATGTAGTTAACAAGGCTGAAGTCGGGCTCTTATAGGTTAAAGGCTTGTGCAAGAGTGTGTGCTGAGCCCACAATCGTCGGGTATCACGGATCAGGGGCTTTGGGGCACACAAACATTATACACAGAAATCGATAATTTCTGCATGAAGCACGAAACTCTGCGCGACTGCAGTTGCTGGAGTCCACTCCACATGATGTAGATATGCCTCCAATATAATTTAGCTATGCTAACCTTTGGTCTGAGTCTTTCGTGTCGTGTTCTATCGCCCACTTACCGAGCTGAGCTGGGACGAGAGAAAAATTTCTATTCCATCCTGTATAGCAGTCTCAGCAGTAGTTCAATTACGTACTGGTCTCTTTTCTGCTGCTACATTAGTCGCTATAACCTCCCCGCTGATTTTTGTTTTGCCCCCTCTAACACCCCCCCAAAGTTTTATTGGCTGCTTTCAGAACAACCAGATTTCTTTTAGAGATTAGACAGGATACGGTTTGCAAATATCGGTGTAATTGGAAACAGGGATTACAATAATCGAATGTCATGCCATGCGTGCTAAGCCTCAATCATACCCCCCCTCCCCGAAGCGAACTTCCGTGTCCTTGGAGATTTGCTACGACTTCGCACTAGACACATCATTTACTGCGCTTCTTTGTTCTTAGCAATAGACAAGAAAGAGAGCAAGAGCGGCAGCGAATACCGACATGGCGCCGGAAAATCGGTGATATGGTTAAGACTGCATGAATAATGAATAAAAATTCACCTCACACCCCGGATGTTATACAACAAGCGAAAAATACCAGAACCACATTCGAAACCACAGTCAGTCTGCCTGAGGTACAGAACTCCGGAGATCTGCTCCGAAGAGATGCTCACGGCTCTCTACCCATCCACTCTTACACTCTTCCAGGGAAAGTCACAAGTGATGGCGGCGATCTTGGGTCTCAAGAATCCGGTCAATGGTCAAGAAGTATATCCGTATATCGATAATTCAGCAATGCTTGTATCGCTAACCCCCCGCCCCCTTTTCCTTCTTCCTTTTTTCCAATTTCTTTTTGTACGGCATTCAATACCTATCATTAACCAGGAAGTACCTAAAGCTATGCATAGTTAAGGATGAGTGGGAAATGCTTAACACTACAAATTATGCTCACAGGTTGTCACATCCGAACAAGTGCAGGGGTCCGGCCGATCACCGACAGCTGTAGGGATCCGTAGATCCCAGAAATGCCCAAAATAGCAACAACTCATCACACTTGGAGACGAGCAACGCTGTGGCGCGGGGCACGACAGGCTTCTTACTCACCCTCGAGGCCCCTTAGTAATGTTACTCACAGTTCCTTTAATGCCAGAAGCAAGCAGAAAGAAAAGAATAACCTTGGTCTGACTGAGAGATAGAGTATCTTTCAGTATATGTTACGTGAGTAATCCCTTTCATACTGGAACTAGTGCATACAGTCTCAATTCCTTGAAATAATTACGATACTTGACCAGGACCAATGCTTCGAAGTTGCATCGCTGGCAAGTGCGTCCGTGTCATGTTACAAGTATGACTATGGCTTGTCGCGAAATTGGACTATGGCAGCCGACCCTGACAGTCTGGTAAACCATAATCTTGTTAGATCCTAGTCTAGTATGATCGTAAATAATTGCTGAAAGACCAATCCGAGCGCGTTTTCGATGGAGACTTCCTATCGATGTCTTTTCCCTTGAGTCCCATCCTTTTACCTGAAACTTTGCTTTTACGTCTCAATATTACGCTTGGATAGGGAAGAAAAGGAGCCATTGTATGTCTTTGTGTTGTAGGGCAATACGAATCTTTCATGCCGGATAACAGCAGCCGTCGTAGTATAAGACGAAAGGCCACCCCGGAAAGACATAGAGGCACAACCAATGAAGTGACTTGACAAGCAGAGAGTATAAATTAATTGCTATTTTATGCTTGGCGATTAATTGAGTACTAAATTGTTGAATAGAATTTGATACTAATCTTGATATCCATACAGGTCGTATACGGAGACCTAGGCCGCCTCGACTGTAAATTTACAAATCATAAATACAATTTCTCCACAATCGGATGATATTCTTGGATGTCATTAATAATGCCACAGGCAGTATCTCGAGTTCATGACGAAAAGTCTTGCAGCCAACCCGAACAATTTCCGTTGTTGGCCATGCTGCATATATGTTGATTCGAGTGCTCATAGATCGCTTGTAATAAATAATTCTTCTGATCTCGTGGTCATGGACCGTTGAAGCGGTCTTGACGGGCTGATGGTAGAGATCGGTGAAACAACCCCGTCGAGGTATGACGCCTGATCATCAACAGACGGCGCATACCATCCGTGGGGCGGAGCGGTGGCTGGAGGTTCGGCTGCTGACAGTAAGAGTGCGTCCGCCATACTAAGTCTCGGGGGCTCTTCTTGGTCCCTCGGCCACCATGCCGTTGTCTCTCTTGGCCCTTGATACCACCACTGATTTTCAAACCCGTTATCAACGGTTACCATTGCTGCAGATAGAGATTCAAGCTCTCTACTCCTTTCTGGGTCATCGCTGCGACGGCGGTATGGCGAAATGGGAACAGTTGTCGGTTGGTTGGCATATGAAGAGTCATCCTCGTTCTCATTGCTACGCCTCCGCTCATAGGAGTCTGACGGCCCAGCCCACGCAGACCAAGGTAGATCATCCTCTCCGAGCCGAAAGCTGCTTGGGGGTGCCGGTAACGGCTTCCAAATTCTAGGCTGCTCCGCACTTTCCTGAGGAACGTCTGGAAATAGAGATGCCGACGGTCCTGCAGTAGCATCCCATGGACTGTCTTGAAACGGTGGAGGTGCCGATTTTCCTCGCTCGTGTGACAAGCCGCGGGATTCACTCCTCGATTCGCGGCGCTCGTGCCTCTGTTCGTGAGTCTGCTGTGGCCGTGAACGTTCTTCTTCCGTCGGACGGTCATGTAGCCCAGGACGCTGATGCTGGTCCTGTAGCTGTGGATAATAGTATTGTTGCTGCTGGTGATGTTGACGCCCTGCACGGTCTCGCGCTTCCCGCGGCCGATGTTGATGGTTGTCTGTGCTCAGGAAATTTGCGTTGGGTGGAGGAAGTTGGCGTGGGAAACCGCTCCGGGTCCTGGAGTCTATCAAATTACGTGAGGTGTACGTGACCGTGTGCGTTCGTGGTGTATGATGCTGCGACCATGACAGCCCAAATTCGAGGTGTACGAACATTTGTGGTCTGGACATGGGACCCCTTTCGCTGTGAAGATTGTGATTGTAACTCTGATTCTGATCCATGGTGGATAATTCTGTACTCCGCGCCAGCTGCGAGGATGAAGTGAGTAGCTTCGGACTCCAGCTTTGTCCACAAACTGGAAAAGATGTAGACACGTCAAGATGAGCTCGACTGATAGGCGTAGAGAGAAGGAGATCGGTTCCAGCCACTAACGCGGAGCCTAGTGGTTGAGCTGCACTAAATGTATTTAACGCGGATAGTAGCGGCCGTTGAAAGACAAGTGCTACCAGCTCTTGCCCGTGATCACGGGTTTATCGCTCAAGGACTTTGGCTCGAGAGGACGCTTCCCGCGCACCGTATGAGCAAGGGAACACCAGAGGAGGAGCGGATTTGCAAGAGGGGACTCGACTAGGAAGTGGCACGAGCACCACACCGCCGCAGATATTCTTGATGCGGCTTGGAGACTGTTAGGAATGGCGGAATTGCACCGGGACGGATGTGGCCAAGCTTGTCAAATATCCACCCCGACAGATGGCCCAGCAATGTATAACTCGAGTATATAGTACTGTGGACAGGACGTTGCAAGTCGACCCGACAGGATGGAGTCAATGCTGTCCGCCTAGCTGGGAAGAATGGGCTCAACACTAAGTACGCTTGCGCCTAGTGAGCCGGAGATGAGAAAGAAAATAGAACAGCTTTGCGTTGTTCCCTTGCTTGGTCCCAATGCTCAGACTAGGCCGTTTGCCTGGTTGAGGATGATACGCAGGAGATTCGAATTGTCCGACAGAATTGGTGGCATGGGCAGCGGCACCCACTCCTGACCTTGATAGAGCCCCTTGTAAAGACGATTTTAGTGACAAGCTACGTTACGCCTCACATACCAGAAGCTCCGTAGAAAAAGCGAGCCAAAGATTTGTGGTTACCTAGATGGAAAGGCTCGGTCTTGGAAGGATTGTAATCCCTGGAGCCTGTGCTTCTGAGAAATCTGAGGGGACGGACAGGGCAGATAAACCAGCTACCTACATACAGTACAGTAGCAGACCGCCAATAATTTGGAGCACGGCGAGCACGATCCAAAGACTGGTAGTCTCGGATGAACTTGTGCGGGCTGTTGTCGGCGTCGAACAGTTCTGACCGTGTGTGACGAGGTTGATCGATGGGAATATGTTTCCATAGAACAAGAACAAGAACAAGAACGTCTAGGGGGAGGAACAAATTCGCTCTCAAAGGGACTAGCTTTGGCTTTTACTGTATCCGTATGAAATCTAATACCTTGTACCGGAGAGCCCTTTGGGCCTTGGCATGGGGCCCGCCAGATCGACCAGGCAGCCCCACCAAACATGTCAGGCATAGGATACCTACATCCCTACATTGTATGTAGCTTGTGCTGCTTGTGCTGCTTGTGCCCCCAAATCAATCGAGGCGTCACGAATTAGTACATACGGCACTGCTGAGAATCTGATCATGATTACATGCCACCCGTCTTTGGCCTTTGCACATGTAAGCGCTTGCGCATGGGCTATGGCGTGCCGTGACAACGGGCATCTTCTCTACATACCGGGGACATATTCTTTCTGCGCTGCGTTACACCGCAAAACTAGGGCCGTAGGTGTCCCGGCGTCTTCAAGGGGGTGCATGGGTGACCGGCCAGTAAAGTACGGGGTAGACTAGATGCTGCTACGTTTCGCCATCTATCTACTGTGAGGAGTAAGTAAGTAACTTATGTACAGTATGTAAAAGGTGAGGCCGGGAATCGCCCAGGCTAAGCCAAGCCAAGCCATAGTCTGATCGCTTAAAATAGAAACCCAAATGTGGAGCAGGGCTATGTCTAGCAGGGATTCCTTACAGAGCTTGTAATTTCTTCTCTTCGCCGCCTCAAGCCACCATTTCCACGTCCTGCGAAAAAGGTTCTGCCTGACTATCACCGCCTGGCTTGAGGTACATCGTACGGCTAGTCGTCGTTCTTAACCGGAGTATCAAGGTCAACCCCCCACTGACGGACATGCATTTTACATCTTTACCGTATTGCTATCCTGGGAACAGAAAAGCCAGTCGCGTGAGTGTTCAAGCTCTTCCTTTACAAGTGTAGTCAGTTATCCGAACTTGTCTGAACTTTACGTAGCTGGTTTACCCGTTGAGCATTGTCCCAAGCAGAGACAACCTTGATATCTTCGTCCTGGAGTGGGATAAATTCCGCGTTTCAAACGAAGCACTCCTAGGAGCTAGTAATAGTTCTGGGATCCATCTCATTTTCCTATTCGGGACCGAGTCATGAGGAACTCCACCATGTACGGCGAGCTTTTCTTTGAAATACAGCATATTCTCTGGCTCATACAGCCGCCATGCCGTTTCTGACGTACCAAGATCGACAATCATCCGCACAAAACGCCGCTTCACGTCAGGTCTTCTTGTTAGTCCTTGCCAGTATCTATCAGTGGATAACTGTCCAGAAATCCCTACCGAGGCAACTCGCACTTACCGTGTTCCTTGAAGATTGTTCATAGTTAAAATTGGTGTATATAATTTCACATGCTTGGCCCAATTTGTGAAATTAGAACTGGCAGCGGCTACTGCTTGGCATCTAGCCCTCCGCGACCAAAGAAGCACAAGTCCTCGGCCTATTTTTGTTTTACAATACTCGCATAGTGTATGGTGCCGGGCAAGTGAGAACGAGCTCTTTGCAAAAGGCACGACAACTTTGGATGTTGACTCTGTATTGGCTGAAGCCTGTACCCATTTCCCAAATATCACATGCACGAGAACGAAGATTGGATGTAGGTCCTCCCCTTGATATCATCTACAGCCCAGGTCACTCCACGGCGCTTTGGTGGCGTAATAGCTCCGTCAGGTATTCCGAAATGGCATGCAATCGAATTGTTAGTAAGTGATATTCCAACCAGCACAGTTTATTCTTAGAAACGCTAGGCACCTGGTCCGTATTTCCGCCCAACAACACTATATACAGCTAAATTATCTCAACTGTCATGACTGTAGGACATCGGCAGTGGAGCTCGAGGAGGTATACCGGGTTTTTAAACTGAATAGCCTGTGGTGATTATGCCGGAATGCTTTTTTCTTTTTTCTTTTTTGGTACAGCAGTGCTTCCCTTCAGGACCTCTTTGGCTGACTTTGATGTTGGCCGCCGAGTGCTAAAGTCATGTGTTCACCATTACTGCGTCATATTGAACCATTTTATTGACAGTCATATTTGTGGATTAGCAGGTTGTTCTCGCAGTTGTCTTCTCGAGGACAGCTCTCCCATTTAGCCTTTAAAATGCACCACAAGAATGGAACCATAGCTTTCAAATGCTTTGACAGGACGAGTGCTATACACCACTGTTGCGACATGCTCAATATATATCTGGCTACTCGTTTGTGCTATGCGGTATTGCCTTTGACCTATGCATCCACCACAAGAAGTAGACAGACCTAGTGACACCTTTGACCGCTTACAAGCAATAACCGTCCACACATATCGCTCGGGAGATAAACCAATAGTAATTAGTCGAAGAGTGTTGCACCCCGAACATTAGACTGCTGCAGGGGGGCGGGGGCGTCTTAGCTCTCGTCGCTGCAGCAAGATCGTCAGCATTGCAGACACTACACTGTAGCGACCGCCACCTACAATGACCTGCCATAGGTAGAAGTGATCTATGGGCGTATATACGCAATGGTAGAACTCAGAATGGCTATGTTGGAAGGCGAGTTCATAGCAGTACGTGATAGACCTGTCAAGTGGTAGGCATCATGGTACATAAGATAATTGCTTGTTCAATTACGCTATCACAAAATATTGGCGGTTGGGTATACTCGTCATTACGTCGCCATAAGCACCGCCTGAATTTCCCCAGGCCGGCATGCATCTCGTGTCTTAAGAGGGATGATACACAATACCACCAATCATGAGACCTGATAAGGAGAAATTAGGTTAGATTCACCGCTTAGTCAAAACCTCTTTGCATGATAATTACTACGTGAGCGATACTCGACAGAAATGAGCTGCTACTACTTGTAACCAGTCGCGACCTGAAGCTGTCATATCAGACGATTCAAGACTACGCATGATCATGGGCCAACCGCTCAGTGTCGATGGAATCCATGACGCTCGAGTACACAGTGTCTAAAAGATCGTCATTGTAATAAAGAAGCTGCAGCGTGGTGTCATAAGGTTTAGTTGTCAGTCCCAGTCGCTTACTCGCTGGACAGACAGGAAGAATATTGGGGACCTCTGACACTAATATTGGAGATCTACGATAGTGCTATCATCATATAATACAACCGCTCCATAGCAAAGTTGACGGTCCGGTTAATTTCGACATCATTGACTATGAGTCATTGCTACTAAACATTTAGGTGGAAGACTTTCAAGCTTAGAACACGATCAAGTGACCTCGGTTGCTCGAATGCGGCAACTTGAAAAAAGGGCGCCGCTGGAAGTTGTGCAAGCTAACGAGGCGACTTGGATATACCTGAATTCCTCGATCTACGGCATAGCGGTATTTTTGTCGCAGCCGAAAGCTCCCTATGATACATTATTATGTGCCCCCGACACCTGTTTAAATTCATATTAACACATATATGCAAGCACAAGACGCCGAGTACCCGTCGAATGTTACCCTTTCCTACTACACAATCGTAAATGGGCTTTCCCTCTAAATGCATAATGGGTTCAGTTGTCAATGCCGTCAAACTCCTTTGCCATGCTGTAGAGATATCATCGACGAAAAGAAAAGAAAAAGAAAAATCCGTTAGCACGTGAGTAGTATATCCCACATCCTTCCCTTTTACACCTCGACCAAGACAAAGTATGGATTTCAAGTTCTTAATCAACTTCCCAACTGCGGTCGTTGTGGTCTTCCGAACCCGACCTGTTCATATGTATGGAGGACTGTTCCTGGAGGGAGTTGTGACTCGCCGAAGGTGTCTTTGTTAATCGCCCAATTGAGAAGTGATAGTCATCATCATCCTCCCACGAACTCAGTTCTCCATCCGAATAATCCCAGTGGACAGGAATACTCTCGCCCCCTTCTCCTAACCCGAATACCAAGCCTCTCCATTCACCAGCCGCGATCTTAGCAGCGACCTTCAGCATAAGGTTGACGAGATGACCGGGTGGCGAAAGAAGGATTTCGACCGTTTTGTGGATGATTGCGCTTGGCAGTTTGCCAACGGCGGCTAAGCGACTTGCTGGGGGCTGGCGCCTTGATGGCGAAAATAAATTGGCAGCCGGGGGCAGGGGCGAGAATGCTCGCCTACTAATCGACAGGTTTGTGCTCTTCCTGCGATGCTCAAGTCCAGGCCGTTCATAGGCAAAAGAAGATGACCCAGATGACTCGAGCGGCAACGGCAAGTTGGCGTTGGTGGCTTCGCTTTCCTCAATGGCACTGAACGAGGCCGGAAACTCCGCGTCTAGTGAACGGGTTGTAGCACCAGTCGAGCTCGGCATCAAAGTTGCATCGGTAACAGGCGTAATATCGGCACTGGTCAAGTTGGCCGTGCTCTTGCTCGGGAGTATGATATTTTCATGTGGGTATGGAAAGGATGGCGGAGAAGGAGAAGAAGAAGGTGGGGAAGGAGGGTTGGGTGTAATCGGACTATGCCACGATTGCACACTGTGGAATGAGTCCATAGAGCCGACAGGAGATGCCTCTTCTGGCAAAGGCTCAACAGAATATTCAAGCGGTTGTGTCGAAGCGGTCCTTGAGCCCATGGGTTGAGTAGATTTGGACGGTGGAGATGTCACGACAGTAAGATGTGGTGGAATTGTCACAGAACGACCTGCCAATATACGACTCATCCTCTTCTTTTTGAGACTAACGGCTCCAACGCTGCCAGCGCCTTCGAATGAGTGGGGATCAGCATCCTTCGTGTATCCGGCAACTGCTTCTTCCCCTTTGACTAGGCTATCATCTACAATGATAGGCTTCGTGTGCTCCGAATCCAGGACCGCTGGGATTTCATAGGACAATGATGGACATGATGAGGTATTGCCATGTAGGGCCCTGCTAGATAAGTTTCCCGCTGAAGCTACAGAGGGTATATTCGTCTTTCCTGGGATGTGCTCCGAGATAGCGGAGCGAAGCAAAGGCACTGTTGCGGGTATAACTGAAGGCGCAGCAATTTGCTGCGAGGATAGCTCTAGTGTAACCGAGGGGGCCAGGTTGACCACACTGGAGTGGGATCTTTGCGATAGCCTCCGGTCAGGTTGCACCACCGGCTCAGGTTGTACGCAAGATTGCATTTCTGGGTTGTCTATAGGTAGCGTTGCCGTGGTAGGTTGTGAAGTATGATAAATTCCTTTGGGAATGGGAACGGTTGTCGGTCTGAGTTCACCAAACTCTCTTGTGACTTGTTCTGCCATAGGATCTGCTGCTGTTGTCTCTGCTGCTGTTGTCTCTGCTGCTGTTGTCTCTGCTGCTGTCGTCTCTGCTGCTGTCGTCTCTGCTGCTGTCGTCTCTGCTGCTGTGTTGTCGGCTGCGTCATCCAAGAACTTAGCGACCTCTTTTGGTGACGGCCCACCACCCAGTGTTCCCGTTGTAGGTGTAGCTGAGGCGAGAGCCGTTTCTTCAGGCTGTCGGCCCTCCTTGTGCAAGAGTTCCGTTGGTGCAGGAAGACCAGGGTTGGGGCGCCGTTTCTCATTTACTATTTTTGCTGCCGGTAAAGGCAGCGACGGGTTTGCGGAGAAGGGCGCGGAGATGAGGTTTTTCCCAGCGGCAGTCCATGGCTTCTTCTTGACGGGAGTTTGTGGCCTTTGCGGCAGCTGGACAGTGAAGCTTCTCTGGAAGGGACACTCGGTCTTCTCGAAGAGTAGGATGCTGTCGAGAACCTCTCTCAAAATCAAGGCACGGTGGGCGTCTTCGGGATCGGATACAGGCACTTCGATCCTCCAGTATTGCGGGCGACGGATTTGCAGGACAAAGTGACTGTTTGCCTCATCGATAGACCAGCACTGAGACTTTGGTAATATAGGCTGCAGTGCCGAGCCACAGTTTAAGAATGCTACAGATCCCGGGGCGCGATAAATACGGAACGGCCCTGGACACGTTGATTGTCAGTACTTGTTTCTATGCCAGATCGGGCTGGAGATGTTTTATCTACATACCCACTGCGATTGTTCTTTCGAGCTGCGAAGAGGGAGGAAGGGAACCGGGGGCAGGTTCATCGGGGAACTGGGGAGCAGCAAAGGAGGTCCGCTGGCTGGTGGTGAAGGCTATGATCTTGACAGAGGGGTGATTGTAGAGGGTCTCGATGGATTCGTCGGGAAGTTTTGGGGCGCCAAGGAAGCCGGAGCGCGAAGAGGTGGAAGAGACGGACAGCGATCTTCGGAGAGGCTGGAGAGGTGCGGGTTCAGTTGCGACGCGTCGAGGATGGAGGAATCGGGTGTCGACAGAAACCTGTGCCTCCATGATTGCGCATTCTTGGTCGAGATGGAGACAAAGATGTTCGGTATGAGTGTTATGCTTATCCTACGGGGTGTAGCCGCCGTATGTTCCAAGCCAAAGTCTTACACCTTGAACGTGGCAATCGATCGAATAATTATGCGAAAGCCCGGCTGTCTTGAGCATGGCCGGATCCCTGGTAGTCTGCACTGCGCAACCATGCAGTCGTAGATCTAACGTGACAAATAAATCGGTAGAAGTAGTAGTTTCTCGTGTCATCTGTTCCGTCGTGGAAATAGAACAGACCCCGAGTCTCTCGAACTCTATCCAACATACAGTTTCTGTAAAATACAACTAAGATATGGAGAGTCTGCGCTCAGGGCAAGGACGCGGACAAGGAGACGGCAACAGCCATGGGGAGGGGGAAACAGGTTGAGGTTTGCGACAGAGGGTTGAGGCAAAGTCGAAGCCCTTGCGAGAAGGGTGGCTAGAGAGAGAGTTTGAGTGGATTTGCTCGGGGGTCAGGATCAAGAATCAAAGAATCATGAATCAAGATTGGCTGAGGTGCCTCTTGGTGCTGCTAATGCTAGCGCGAATGCTAACATGCGTACGGATCCGTACTCATGCAGGTACCTCCTACTGTAAGGTCTGTGTGTGTACACACATTAGCAAGTTATGGATCATTCAAACCGCGCTGAGCGGCTCGCCTACAGCATGAGGGGGGTTAGTATACCAAGTAGAGCAGGCAACTGAATAGACCTCGCAGTCATAACATACCTGGTGTTTGAACATTTGCATCGGCATTAGATCAAGGACCACAAAGACATGGAGAGTTGATCAGGTTTTACGAAGTGATTCCCAGCCACAGCCATAGGTATTGTACCTGGACAAGAGCGGTCATAATTGCTATCGGCTGACCGAAGTAACCAAATCCTAAAATCTTGTTCCTTCCGAGCTTCTACTACTACGGATGTTGATTTAAATTAAATGGCTTGAGCGAGCCCACTAATGTCATTGCTCGCCACAAGCCAATGCAAGTAATAGTTTTTTTTGCAAAATCAACTGGACATTTCGTTACTTCTCTGACCTTGGAGGATTAGGCCAGGTCTCACTGCATACCTCCGGATCCTCCAGATCAGGTAGAGCGACGATAAGCTACATTACAATCTAAGTTACCGGCTGTATGAACCCCGTCCGTGCCAACCTGAGCAGAGCTTGAGCTTGAGCTTGAATTGGCTCCGGTGTGGGTGCGTGCCGTGCAAGCCGTCAGTCTGCCTACTAGTACATAGTTATGCCTACCTGTCTGCCTGTGCCTGTGCCTATGCATGCCTGTGTGCGTGCCCTGGCGCCGGCATTTTCCTTGGCAATAGTGTCGTCATTCTGTGCTTACAAGCTCGACTGATACTGCACTCGCTCTCTCGCGTCGGGATAGCATCTTGGTTCTTGTGCCATTGCAACTCCAACACAGCTGGCCAAAGTCAGTGCCGTGCATCTTACTCAAGCAATTGACCATGGCAGAACCCAAGCTATCTCAACACGACAAGGAGAAGCTCAAAAGAGCCTTCGACCTGTCCCATTTCGACATCAACGCCATACTGCGGGGCATCCAGTTGACCCTGGTTGGAGGTGAGAATTCGAATGAATCAAACGGGGCAAACGAGGAGAGGCAGTGACCTGACGAAACTCTACAGCAAACCGAGCCCTACAGAACCCGGACATCTTCACCAATGCCCACTACAAGCAGGCGGCCCTGGCTGTCGGTGCCGGTATAGCAATACGACTTCTCATCGCAATTCCCGTCAGTAGGCCCAGAAACACCCACCACAAATAATCACACACAAAATCCCCTAGCTCTTCTACAGACAGACATACAGACAGACATGTATATACACAACTGACCGAGAATCTACAGATCCTGTCTGTCAAACTCGGAATTCGCTTTTCCGCCCTCTTCTGGGACCTCAATCAGACATCATGGGATGAAAACCTTGTCGAATTCCTCCAGCTTCTTGCCAACCATGTTCTTCAAGCTCCCTTGTTCCTCATGACCCTCATGCGATACATCACTCCCACCCTCGACAACATGTTCATGGATTCTTTACGGTGGGTTGATCAGACCTATGTTCAGAAGCATCAACACGAGAACCCCGATACTCTGAGAGATATGTACTATCCCAACCTACGACAATACAAGATCAAGGATGGCAGCACCCATTCCACCAGCACTGCCGAGGCTAGCACCATGTTTGCTGTACGGTTCGCTCGCAAGGGCGCCATTTCCTTGGCCATCTTTGCCTTGTCCTACATCCCATACATTGGCCGACTTGTACTCCCCGCCGCCAGTTTCTATACTTTCAACAATGCCGTGGGACTGGGTCCAGCTGCCGTAATCTTTGGTACCGGCATCTTCTTCCCCAGGCGATACCTCGTCATCTTCCTGCAGACCTACTTTGGTTCCCGAAGTTTGATGCGTGAGCTCTTGGAGCCCTATTTCGCGCGTGTTCACATGAACAAGGAGCAGAAGAAGAACTGGTTTCACAGCCGCGAGGGGCTGCTGTTCGGCTTTGGTCTCGGCTTCTATACTCTGGTTCGTGTACCACTATTGGGTGTTCTGATCTATGGCATCGCCGAAGCCTCCACGGCCTATCTCATTACCAAAGTGACGGATCCACCTCCACCCCCTGCCCAAAGCAAGAACTTCGCCGCAAGCCAACAGGTCTGGAGGAATAAGCATGAATTTCTAAGCCTGTCGCTCTTTGATTTGGATGCTTTGCATGCTGGCCGTGATCCCCCGTCCGGCAGCGCGGCGAGCTCCTCTTCCAAAGTGCCGCCCTACCCCCCTTCCTACGAAGACGCAACAGTGGGGAGGAAGGATCTATAGGGTTGGTACGGATCGAAGTGCACGTGCAAGTCACAAGGAGCAAGAGGCAACTACTCGGCATAAGTCGTGGAGCTGCAATGATAGCCACCTGATAGAAAAGTACCAGTTTCTTTTTCTCCTCAGTGTCAGCACGTGAACCATGTAATAGTTGCCCAGGCAAGTCATAATTCCAGGGCCAGCTTTGTCTGACTTTTGAATATCCTCTTATCCATTTGACCCCCAAACAAGCCCATCAATGTGAACCGGAAGTTGCAAAGCCGGCTTATCTCCAATGTATGCAGTATGCAAGCGGCAACGAGGGGGGGAGGGTCCGCACTGCGACGCTGGCGATAAGCTGATCAACTAACTAATGACTACAGCAATTCGACAACCAACATCCTGCAAGATAAAGAGTTCTTATCCCATCGTTATGACGTCTTTTATGTTCCAAATGTACTCGGCATTATGGATGAGGGTGGGGAGGTTGCGGGGTAGCCTCGCGATGAACCGGTCGACGGTATATAATTCAGTAGACCTGGGCATGACCACTTCAAATGGTGCCACGTCCAGCACGCCCCATCACATCGCACAGAGCTTGTCAATAACATCTGGCTGTGCATACTCCTGAACTTTATTCTGCTTCTAGTGATAATGGGCTTGAACGGAATTCGTACCGCTGGCAAGGTGAGCTTGGACAAGCCGGCAGACCAACAGGAAGTACTCCATGTAAGCCACAGCCAGAAGCGTGTAAACCGAGAATCATTTTATTGACAAGTTAGGAAGAACAGATGGCATCCTGACAGTATGTTTGGACCTCGCTCATGGGCATGTAATGAAATGTGGAACTAATTTCTGACTTCCTCAGTTCCCTTCGCTGGAACAATCAAAGATGGTGAGACCGTCAAGATTGAATGTGTCGATTGGTAGGTAATACCGCGGTCCTCACTCAGACTTGACCGATTTGCTATCAATATCATAAAACAGGCATTTATGATCCAGCACCGTCCCGCACATAGACTGTTTCGAGAAGCTGATTTCCAACACAGGACCGGTGGGCAAATCGGGAACAATGACAGCGCCGACGATATGCGGAAAGTTGACCTGACCAAAATCCACTATCTCACTGGCCCCTTTGAGGTTGAGGGTGCCCAACCCGGGGACTTGTTGCTTGTTGAAATCATGGATGTCCAACCATTCCAGGTTAGCTCGATAACCTTCTTCTTATGCGTGGTCTCTGGTGACCTCCCCAGAACGGCATTGAGTCTATCAAGTACATTGTTGATTCAAACACCGTTTAGACCAGTGTCTTTACTTGGGCATTCTCACACCATACCAAAGAAAATATGTTGCTAATACTCCGGTCCCCATTCAGGACCAACCTTGGGGGTTTACTGGTGTCTTTGACAGGAGAAATGGAGGTGGCTTTTTGGACGAGATCTACCCATCCGCGTAAGCTCTCCATCCCCACTATACTAGGACGACTTTTTTTTTTTTTTTTTTACCTCTTTCTCTGACGACAACGTGATTTAAACAATATTTTCTTGCTGACACGATTTCCCGGCTGGTAGCGCAAAGGCCATTTGGGACTTCGAGGGCATCTATTGTACCTCGCGCCATATTCCTCACGTCAAGTTCGCAGGTCTCATTCATCCAGGCATCCTAGGTTGTGCGCCTTCCGCTGAAGTGCTGGAGACCTGGAACAAGCGCGAGGGCGAGCTCATCGCGGCGAATAAACTTGATAGAGATGTTGCGCAGCCGCCCAACGCGACTAATGTTCATGCCGGTGGAGCTGATGCTGTCATCAAGGAGAAAGTCGGCCGGGAGGGCGCGAGAACGATCCCTGGACGTCCAGAGCACGGTGGAAACTGCGAGTGCGTATATCCAGCAGACAGTGGCGATGGCGCGGTGTAGAGCAGTGACAAGACTAACGCATCACAGCATCAAAAACCTCAGTCGCGGATCGAAGGTGTATCTGCCCGTGCACGTCGCTGGAGCCAAGTTTTCCGTAGGTGACTTGCACTTCAGTCAGGGCGACGGTGAGATTTCGTTTTGTGGTGCCATTGAGATGGCAGGCGTCATCACCGTCAACTTGAAGGTTATCAAGAACGGTGTAGGAGACCTGGGACTCAAGTCACCTATTTACATTCCTGGGCCTGTCGAACCACAGTTTGGGCCAGGACGCTACATATACTTTGAGGGCTTTTCGGTTGATGAGCATGGCAAGCAGCATTATATGGACGTGACTGTTGCGTATCGACAAACTATTCTTCGTAAGTCACCAGCCGGAAAAAAAAAAACCAGCTTTCAAAATCAAGGTACTAATTGCGACCAAGGTTGTATGGAGTACCTTAAGAGGTTCGGATACAGTGATTACCAGATATACCTCTTGTTATCATGCGCGCCTGTCCAGGGTCACGTTGCCGGCATTGTGGATATTCCAAATGCTTGCACCACCTTGGGCCTGCCAATGGACATATTCGATTTTGACATATCACCGTCCGGCGTCGCGAAGGCTCTCGATATGGGCACGTGCGTGTTTGAAACAGGTGTGAAAGCAGGCAAGGTGACAGAAAGCGTGAAGAACAGCGAGCACAGTTTTGGAGGTGGTTTGACATACAAGGCAACTGTTGTGGACAAGGTCAAGGATGCCGTTTCTACGTCGTAGACTCACAAGCGCTCGGGCAAAGGAGGCACGAAGGTAACCATGTGATCTATAATAACATATCGCTATAAGAGAGGACTACGATTTCGGGTTCGTCCATACTCTAATAGGCCAACAAGCCGGGGCTAAGTAGATTCGGCCATGTCCTAATAATGAAACTGCATAGTCCAGCACCACCTGCAAAACTGATGACCAGAGCCTTGCGCTGAGTTCCAATCCATCTGTGGAGTTCACGAAAGATCCGGTATCTCCTCAATGGCGATATGGCCGGTCTGTTTTGAATGCAGGACAACAGACTGTTCACCTTGGCCGATCCACCCACATTGATTGCACCTGACAACAAAATCACTTGTGTCGGTAAAGTAATGATATTCCTCCTTCAACTTCCGACAGAGGTCCTTAGCACTCTGGAGGATGTGGTCGCTCTCAAGACGATTCCAGGTTGTCACGTCGAACGAGTCATCGACTTGGTCTTCGGTGAAGATCTCGGCCACGCGATCGTAGTGGATATTCGACCAAACAAGTACACAACGAAGATCGTACTGATCCTCGCCGTACTTGATGATGGTGCCCTCCTGTGAGTGTGTCAGTTGTGGTGGTCAATCCTCCTCGGTGGGCTTGCAGTCCAGTGGGGCTATACCTTAACATTTACCACACAAATCTCAATCCCGAATACCTCAGATATAATACCAAGTTCTATCGCACCTCCCCATACATCGGGTCGAAGGATGTTAGTGCAGTATGCTCTGGGTTCCTTCTCGAGGACGACTTTGGTATATACATCGGGTTTTGCAAGGATATGGTCTGCCACTATGTGTCGCAATTTCTCTGGCGAAGACCCGTCGAGGCCTGAGTTTGTGCCACGAAGGGCACCGGCGATTGCAGTGAACATGCATGAGTTGTCGTCGGGCATTACTCGCAAAACTGTTGGGAAGGCACCAATCTTAGCATATTGCTCAAGAGCGAAATTTCCCACATGTATGTTCTCACATACCTAGGTAGGTCCCTGTTTGAGGCATCTGCACTGTAACTGGCCCATCCTTCACGTCCTTCTGGCCTAGAGAAGCTTCAGGGCCTATCGTTGCCGACGGAGCAGATGGTTGCGGTAACGAAGGTGCAGGACTTGGGCTCGGAGCGGCTGCTTCAGCAAGTACGACAGTAAGACTTTCGCGCTGAAGGTTGAGAGACACGATAGACGCGCCAGCTTCTTCTGTGGTTAAAGCCTTCGGTGGCCACCCATACTTGATCGTAACGTCACTCGAGCTCGTTTTTTCTTTTATAGCATCAAACAACTGCTTGACTGTGGCATCGTCATCGAGGTCGAGAGTCCCGGGTCCCGAGGGAGCTCGGTATCGAATCTTGAGCGGCATATTTATGGCAAGTCCTGTTCTAGAGGGCGCAAATGACTAAAGCACGCTTTCACGGTCTTGTGTCCAATCGACAGTTCAGCATGGATGTCAACAGTGAAATGGAGTCAAATCAGCTGGTGATCAAAAGCCACTTCCTTCCCGCGATCGGCTGGTAATGCTTTTGGTATGTAGCAATGAGTTGTGCTTATCTCATCGTCGTCTAGGGCAAGCGGTGGAACAATATGGAATCAGGGGCAAGTCCAGCCGTTCTTCCAAACTTGCGACGAAGGACGTCCGAGGCAAAGAACAAGAACGTCACCATCGTCGGCGCGTGCCCAACTGCCTCGCTTCCCAAGCGGCTCGAGCTGTGCTAAAGTGGGAATGAATCGTCGCAATCCAATCGAGGGGCAAGTGGCGGGGAGTACATAGAGGGGCAATTACGGAACACAACACAACCACCAGGCACACCCTTAACCTGACTTGGTACTTGCGACACCGAGTATAGCGTGCCTTCAAGTCCCAAAATTCAGCCTCGTACAGTGAACACATCGCCGGCACTAACGTCATACGAAACGGTTTCTGGTAGATTTACCTATACCATGCTGATGGTTACGGCAACAACATGCAGAGAGTCATGATTGATTTACATGGATTACTGAACCCATGCAAGTACGGAGTGGTTCCGGGACTGCGGTAAGGTAATCCACAACAAGCATGGACAGCAAATATCTCCACCACCACTAAGGACGAAAGAGAAAGTACTGCAGTAAGGTTAAACATGTTCCTATAGCTCTACACATCCAGCCTCGATTCGTGACTGTGATCACACAGGATATTACTATCTAGATATGAGCGTCTCCGAGAGGACCCAAGCTTTTCTATGCATGTGGAAAGAGGCAGCGTGTCGATTGCCAAATATTGCTAGATACTGCTAACTATTGCGAACTGAACCAAGTTCTTGTACACAGCAATCATGCGACGGAGCCGAGTGTCTCAGGCCTTTGTATCCGTAACTTTAGATGCTCGACGTCACATATGGGGCGCAGTCAGCTCCTTCTGGATCTCATCTTCTCCCGAAACCCCATTACATTCCAAAGTGCTCTAGGTTAGACTGTACACTTGTGATAACATCACCTAAGGAACTCATCTCCAATTTGATTGCCTGTCCGCAATCCAAAGTTACAACCCTCAAAAACACACATCTTCGCTACCAACAATGGCCCCGCACGAAGGTTTGGTTCATCCAAAGGAATACGATTGGCGTGACAGCAATGTCGAGCTCATTGGCTCCGACATTGACCATCGAGTCAAATACAACTCTGCAGCTTCGGAGCCTGCATGGAATGATGGCCAGGTTGGCAGCGTTGCCGGTTTGTACATATGGCGCATTGAGGACTTCCAGGTCGTCCCGTGGCCCAAAGAAAACCATGGACAGTTTCATGAGGGCGATAGCTATATCGTCCTGCACTCGTACAAGCTAGGAGATAAGAACGGCGAACAGAAGCTGGGCCACGATATCTTCTTCTGGCTGGGTACGAAGACCTCACAAGATGAAGCTGGTACTGCTGCTGTAAGCGCGCCTTATTCACTTTGCTGGCCGGCCTCCATAAGCGAGCTTCGGAACGAAAGTTTCGTCGTCAAAGTTTTCGGCATACCCTGCATAACTGTATACTGACCTTTCAAAAGTACAAAACAGTTGAGCTAGATGAATTCCTACATGGCGTAGCTACTCAACATCGTGAGCTGCAGCAAGAACTATCCGATGATTTCGTGGCGCTATTTCCAAAGATTTCCATCCTGTCAGGCGGCGTTCAGTCTGGCTTTACACATGTGGAGCCTGACGAGCAACGAAAGGAGGTCTTACTGCTTCTCAGAATCTTTAAACACCCCTCCGCTAAACGCGCAGATTCAATCATGGTCTATGAAGTTGAGCCCACCTGGAAAAATTTGGACGAGAACGATGTCTTCGTTCTGGAAAAGAATGACAAAATCTGGGTTTGGCAGGGCAAAAATTGCAGTCCGATGGAAAAGGCGAAGGCCGCGCAGGTTGTGCACGATATGACAATCGCCAAGCATATCGACGTTGAGGTGGTTTCTCAGTCCGAGTCAAGGTCACATGCAATTGTTGCCTTACTCGGTGGTGAGCTAGCTGACGTGACAAGTCTCACGGCTCAACGGCCCATTCTATCGCCAAACAGAGCAGAACACCAGCGACCGCGCCGGCTGTTTCGACTTTCTGACTCATCTGGACAGCTGTCTTTTCATATTGTCAAGGATGGTCAAAGCATAAAGAAATCAGACCTTGATAGCAATGACGTCTTTCTTCTAGACACTGGCTCGAACATATGGGTTTGGCAAGGTTCAGGGGCTAGCAGAGGAGAGAAGGCCATGTGGATCAAAGTGGCACAACATTATGTTCGTCGGTTTGCCAGCTCGGACGAAGACATGGAAGCACGAGCCGGCCCTGTGTCCAAGGTAGTTGAAGGTTATGAAAGCCCGGCATTCCTGACCGCTCTTGAAGCCTGGTAGATTACTTGGCAGCCTAACCGGGCGTCTTTTCTGCCTCCGTCCGCACAAGGCGATACAAGCTATATAGTTCTTACAAGAAACCAACGTGAAGCATAAGGTCACTGTGGTTGGTGTCATTCCTACCTTGAACTGTCGCGCAGGCACACGGCCCTGGGAATTCTTGATGCAAAATAATATCTGAAGTATTAGCCAGATTGTGAAATTTGTTTGACCAGGTAGGTATCCTGAAGTGGGCATGCCATGTCATGTCATGTTCACCTCATTTAAACCACGTCACAGGAATAGAGACAGGTTATATTCGAACTGCATCGATATGGGGATGTCCTTCTGACTGGGCAACAATACCTGTGGTGTCAATCTCACAATGTGTTCCCGCTTTAGAATTAGACAATCAGTCTATTAGCTCGTAAAAATAATTAAGAATTTTTTTATGTTTATTTTTAATGACTTAGTTCTGCCTGTCCTAAGGTTTAATAGGATGATCATCCACGACGACGACCCGAATACGTGCAATGCTTGCTTACTTAGAATCGACGCAGCCAATGAGCGCTCCTTACGGGTAGTACGAAATACAAATGCGAGGAATACGGTAGTGCGCCCAGTGCCACTCCCCTTGGCAAGACCCCACCATATCCCAAAATCAACTTATCGTTTGTGCTTTATGCGCTCGACCACAGGAAAGACAGAACCTAGCTGACACACTCGATGAGTAGTGCGCTACCAGCACTCCATGTGATATGATGCCAGATGTGGACAAAACCTTACCGTATCTCGGTTTGATCCTTCCATGAGTTCCAGGGGCTCGGCCAGCCTCAGACGAGGCTGGGTACAATCTCGAGTGACTGGCTAACTGCCAATAGAGGACCCCTTATCTAGTTACCACCATTATAAAAGCCATCCTTGTGCAGCTCCGTCTTCAATTCAGCAATTCTCCATTCCGACCGTGTTGCGTTCCTTTTGAGTGCTACATTTTGGCCATCGACGAGGCTAAGCTTTGTTTATCATACCTAAACCGTTGCTTGTAACCATCATTCTGTGTTCTGAGAATGGAAGACGGACGCTACGTCGAGGGTAGTGTGTGGTTCTATGCTCCCAACAGTGGAGCTCCTGTCTTTTTCGCAGCGGCCTTCCTTATATCTGGGGCAGTACATACATGGCAGACCATGTGAGCTTGTGGGATTAACATCTTCCAAGCCTCTACTTACAAGGATTAGACAATACAAATGTTGGCGCCTGACCGGACTCTATGTCTGGATACCCATCCTGTTCGTGGCAGGCTTTGTTACCCGGGAGCTGGGTGCATTCGATAACGGTAACCTTGTCAAATATATTGTGAGCATATGCCTGGTATACGCCGCACCGTGCGTCCCGACACTGCAGAACTGGCAACCCAAGCTGACTATCATGGTAGACCTCTCTATGAGTTGGCTAACTATTACGTCCTCGGGCGTGTCATGTACTACGTGCCATACTACGCGCCGATACACCCTGGACGTGTATTGACCACCTTTGCCGCTATATCGATTGTCATTGAAGCCTTGAACGGTAACGGAGCAGCTTTCATTGCTAATCAGTCACTTTCCGGGGAAAGGCGGAACACTGGCAAAGCACTTCTCAAGGCTGCGTTATTGTTGCAAATCGTTGTGATTGCTTTATTTGCATTTCTCGCTTTGTTTTTCCAACTCAAGTGCCGACGCAACGGTATCGATTCGCCCAAGGTTAACAGCACCCTGAATACCTTATATATCAGCACAGGTATCATGGCCATTCGAACTATCTACCGAATTGTTGAATATTTCGATTTGACCGGTACTGATTTCTGGGACCCGAGGTTTGACCCCATGGGAATGAGTCCCATCGTCCGATACGAGTGGTTCTTTTACGTCTTTGAAGCCAGCTTGATGCTTCTGAACTCGGTTTTATGGAACGTACGCCACCCACGGCGCTGGTTACCAAAAAGCACGACGGTGTATCTGGCCGCGGATGGTATCGTAGAGATCATGGGTCCTGGTTATGAGCAGGAGCGCAATTTCATTGCCACACTCCTTGACCCTTTCGATATCTACGGCGTGGTTACAGGCAAGGGTAAAAAAATAAGATTCTGGAATAACGACGGTGTTGGTACGTTGCAGGCAAATATAACTAAGGCAACAGCCCGAGATAATGATCTGGTGTGAAGGACGACGATAAACAGCTAAGCCCAAAGGGCGGGAATACAATAGGCGCTGCTGGTAGATCCGCCCTTGGTTGGAAACCCAAATGTTCGACGCCGGCCAAGACTGAAAGAGCTGTAATCATTCCCAAGAGACTATTACACCATACCCTAGCTTTAGTCGTAGCTCACGAGAACATAACATTACTATATGATTCCATAAGTGGATTCGTTTCTTGTGCATTATGAATTGCCGGTTTGATGAATATAAAAACAACAAAACCACTTTTACATGCCTTTATTTTGAATACAAAGATATATGAAAGGTATAGCTGTTGTAAAGAACTTGCTGTACTCGTGTCAATACGACAGTCGAGAACAACGCGGGACCAAACGAGATTGGTTGAGGATCTGGTCTCTTTATAGCCAGAAGCTGAAATACGATATTCCCCATCGCCTCGTGTAGAGGCTCGGAAAAGGGAACCGCTTCGGTGGCGTATGAGTCAATGAACCAGAAATGCTTCGTGAAAATGCTTCTTAGTCTCCAGGCCCCTGGACGTGCATCATATGCGTGACGTATTATCCCATACCGACCGACAAGGAAATATTTATATACTGTTCATGGCTAACTGCCATCGAATGCTGCAACGGTTTTGACAAGACATGTGCATGTTACAATCTGCTCGTAGTCTGAAAGTTTTAGGACCAATGACGGGTATAAAGCGAAAAACTGTCAGAATTCATCCATGAGAAGGATGCAATGTGCTTGCTTGCAGGAAGATCGCATCTGGATGATCGAGGGTAGGTGGCCCGTGCTCTAAATAAGATCCCCTCCTCCTCCCCCCTCCGTGACATATGTAGGATGCCGAGCTTCGAGCGTGCCCATTAACAAACATCAACAACTGAATTGGAAGCCCACAATATCTGAAAAACGATATCGGCAGCATCTGCAGCAAGAGTCAACGATCGGCCGGGAAAAGAAGGTCTCTTATATTAACTCAACATGTCTTCAGCCGCGTGCATTTTCTGCAAGATCATCAAGGGTGAGTGAGCTAGCCTTCGTATCCTTATTCGAGGCTCAAGCTGCGGACTGGACGTCAAGGTGCTTGATTGGCGGCAGCCCCGATGCTCCGGCGTTATACGGGCCAAGCAAGCTGATCAAATACACAGGCGAGATCCCTTGCTTCAAGCTCTTCGAAAGCGACAAGACTTTAGCGTTCCTGGACATCCAGCCCTTGAGCCGAGGCCATGCCGTGGGTTCCTGCTCCCATTCCATTTCTACCGACTGGCCGCGACTAACAGGATTGTAAGCTCGTGATTCCCAAGCACCACGGTGCCAAGCTCCTCGATATCCCAGATGACCACCTCAGCGAGATCTTGGTAAGCTTTGGCCATTGCATTCTCTCAGGTCACCGCTTGGCTAACACTATTGTCTAAAGCCCGTGGTCAAGAAGCTGGCCAAGGCTTCAGGCGCAAACGACTACAACCTGCTACAAAACAACGGACGCATTGCCCACCAGGTTGTCGACCATGTGCACTTCCACATAGTGAGCCTATTATCCACCCCTGCCAGAGTTGGCTTTACGGGCTACGGTGGAAGATCCCTACTGACAGAAGCACAGATTCCCAAGCCCAATGAAACAGAAGGTTTGGGCATTGGCTGGCCGCAGCAGCAGACGGACATGGATAAGCTGAAGGCACTGTTCGAGGAGCTCAAGGCAAAGGTGTAATCCACTTTATAAAGACTTCTGTAGGTACACGCATCAAGCTACGAAAGCAAGTGGCATCAAGTGGAGTGTGTATTTTTGATAGTTTGATTGAGAAACAAACTTTTTGGCATTATGATTAGAATCTTAACTGGGTTCCTTCAGTCTACGTCATCTGCAGCTGAATCTGGAAGTGTTGGTGCAGAAGCCGCCGCGCCTGAAGCACTGTTGGCGGGGGCAGCCTTGTTCCACGAATAATAGTCTAGCTTTCCGCCTGCGTTCAAGATGCCGACTCTGTCGTATAGTGACCTTGCCCTGATGTACGGGTCCAAAGTCCAGTATCCCTCCTTGAGTTTAGTGGCGAGATTGTTGCGCTCTGCCACGATAGCTGCACGTTTCCCTGCATCCTTCTCATTCAACCACTGAAGAGTCTTTTGCTCATATTCTTCATAGAGCACGTCCCGTTCCTCGAGCAGCGTATCTCTTGTGTCGGTGTCTTTCAACTTCGGGTTCTCACCAATAACCGGCTCAACGTAATGGTACTCCCACGGATCTTCACCGTCCAGCTCCTTTGGCACTCGACTGGGCGTCAGGAACTCGGACATGTCTTTCAAGTTGTTCGTGAAGTGAACTTTGCTTGCGACAACGGGATCGAGCCAACCCTTAATAATCTTCCAAACACCTAGAATGAGTCAGCAAACCGTGGTTGAATCGTATCATATCATCAACATACCTTGGAAAAGCCAGGGCGCCTTGTGAACCAAGACGACACCCAAGCTCTCAGGATAGTTAGCCTCGAAACATTGGATCATGAACTTGACGGGTGTATAATCCATGTTCGCCATGCTGAAGCCGGTCATGTCGAAGATGACGGTACCGGTGTCGACTGGGGCCGAAAGCAAATATCGGTTCGTCTCAATGAGATAGACAGTGTACCTCTCCAAGCTCTCCTCGGACTGCTCTCCGGCACGATGTAAACGCGCTCTCACCACAGTCGTCGGCCTTCCTTCCTTGTCAACACCATGCGAAAAGCTCTTGCCCATGCGCATCTGATCAAGGAAATCCTTGGCTTCTTTCTTCTCACGCTCAGTGGCTCCTTGGTGCTCCTGCAAGAACATATGCTCCTCGCCATTGACCATGATATCGTCATCAACTTTGGCGTCCTGTCTCCACTTCATGGTCGAAATGAGCATGACGAGCGCCTTCTGCACGTCCCATTTCCGTGCCCGGAGGAAGCGCAAGACCAATTGGTCAGGATGGTCCATCTTGATCATTGCCCACAGAGATGCTCGTATGCTCTCGGGGGACCGGTTTGCCAGAGTCTCTTGGAATACCTTGTTGTGGCCATACTTATCGTCAGGGTCGTTGTCCTTGATACCTTCGAGAGTTGCTGTCTTTTCGGACAGATTCTCCTTGTCCTTCTTGTCCTTCTTCTTGAAAAGCCCTAATCGCTTCTTCTCTTTCTTAGGCTTCTCTGACGCGATTGTCGACGTGCGCGTTTGCACAGGACTCGGCGTTTCACTACTACCGTCATCCTCAACACCGCAGATCTGGAAAATCAGCTTCCACAGCTCGAACAGCTTCTCTTCCTGCTCAGGGGTCAGATTCCCCACACGGCCCGGAGGACTCGACATATCTTGGAAGTTGAATCCGTTGACAGCAGATGATTCTATGTTGGTATCTGCAATACTTGCCTCCGGATCTGCTGCGGAAGAGCCAGAAGAAGTGTTCCAAAAAGAGCCGGCGCCGTATACAAGTAGAGCACCCGCAAGAAGGGGTAGTATATAGACCAATGGTCCGGATGAACTTTTGAGGGTCTGGGATGCCGTAGGTCGCTCAAGTCGTGTAAGTGTCGATTGGTAGTGAGCGTTTCGTAAACCAGAATCTCGTCTTAGAAATATGCGACGAGGGGTGGTCGCGAAAAGAGAAGAACTGGTCAATGAAGCTCGTCCAGGACGACTATGGACACGAATGCTGCTCAAAGTATCAAAAAAGGTAGGATAAGAAAGATAAGTTCGCGTGACGGATCTCGAAGCTGTTCTCATATGTCCGAAGGATCCGGGTGGCTTGGGGATGACAGAGACAGAGGGAGAGAGAGTGTGTGAGAGAGAGAGCGAGAGCGAGCGCGCGGGAGAGATAGAATAGCTCTGTTTATGGTCGATGAGAGAAAGTGGTTTCCCAACAAAAGAGCGACACTGGCGGAATCCACAGGCGTGTTCAATACGGCGAAGAATCTGTTCGCCGATTCGTTGCGCACACAGTCTGGAATGTCGAATGGACAGGTAGAGCCAGCGGGGTTGAGAAGGCGACAAGACGTGCACGATGAATTAGTCTATAGGCCTGGGAAGAAATGCATGGAACACGGAAATATATTGGACGGTCACTCTCACGGGGTACCCTGTCTCAAGTCACCCTCCGCTCGAGCTCGGAACAGGCGATGTATGGTAATTTTGTGTAGTTTAGTCTGTTTAGGCTCACGATGGAGCCGAGAAAAGAGGGCTGAGTCGCGCGGAAACCATGGTCGTCATCAAAAGGCCGATGGCTCATCTCCGCAGCAGCCGAGTCGCGTGTGGACGGGGTGGATAGTGGTGGGATTTGCTGCTGGGAGTGCTGTGACGTCTCTCGAGACGCTACAGCCACAGCTGAATTGCAGCTACAGCTACAGCTACGGCTGCAGTAATCCGTGCTGTGTTTACGAGATACGCGACCTCCACTTTGTCGCTTGAATATTAAGATTCGGGGGCGGGCGGTAACAGAGCCGGACAATTGGGAATCCTCACCTGGAAGTCGATCCGCCTCATACTTAATAAGTTAGCTGCTTGATGAATATGTGAGGTAAAGTCCCCCCCGTCCCTTGCAGTGGGTGGGAATTGAAAGCAACGGATGGACTGGTGGAAAGCCCCGAAAGCTCTCACAGCCCTGCAGGTGCATGTAGCGCAGCACCCCCCCACCATTAACAATGTTGACTTTTGCGTGAATCCGTTGCGCTCCATGGGGATACTCACTTTGTGAACCAACCCGCAAGACTGCACTGCACGCGCCGCCAGGGATAACAACATCAGACACGAACACGAACCAGTCGAATTCAACATGGCCGATGCTCAGGATACCGGCAAGCGATCCAACTCGCGCACGCGCAGCATCTCACGCCCGACGACGCCCCTCCGCCCCTCATCACGGTCGTCCTTTCGCGAGTCCGCTCAGCGGTCTGTCGGTGGCAGCGAGCCATTTCCCTTGAACGCCTTCGAGCCCGCCTTCGCTGAACTGTCCGATGCCGTCGCCGATCTCGAAGCGAACATGATGCACTTTCAGCTAATGCATGAGAGTCTCTCCCGTTTCAGCGAGAGCTTTGCTAGCTTCTTGTACGGACTCAACATGAACGCATTTTGTGTGGATTTCCCCGAGGTAACACCAATATTGACTACACACACGTCGGATTCGAGCTTATATTGATCATCATCGCCAGGGACCTATTGCTGAATCCTTTCGACGGGCAAAACTGAACGAGGAGCGCATCGAACCAGCAGGTATGTTAGCAAGCAGGGGATCGTGCTGCCGCTATCGACATGTATTAACGCATCGCGTCTCGGCAGGGAGATCGCGTAGTACGGACCGCGACGAACTGGACGGTGAAACAACATTCATGTCAGGATCTACGTTCTGCGAACATGGGCTATGCGGAACTGACTTTTCATTCGTCTAGGACTACGAACACATCCTTTGTAGAAAACCCCCCGACTGCTTCCAAGATGACCCCGAAGAAGTTTACAGCACCCGAGACAAGACAACCTCGCGTGGCTTCTGGCACCCGCGGTGGTACTCGCGGCCGAACAGGCACCGGCCGGGGCCGCACAAGCGGTCTTGTCAGACCGAGAGCGCGTGGTCTCCGATGAAAGTTGACTTGAAGCATCGCTTTACCAATGATGCGCCGACCTATACCGAACTTGTATTGCAGCACCTAGAACAGCCAGAAAACCACGAGACCTGTAGGGCTGCAGTTCTGTCAGTACCACAGACATCCAGGACCGTTGCCGCGCCACTACGGCGAATGCTCGTATCATACGTTGGGGGTATCTGATTACTAGCAAGAGGACTAAAGTAGGCACCGATAGTTGGTGTGGACAGCCGCCTGCAACCACACCAGAAGCGGGCGGTAACGCCATAGATAATGATGATTGGACTAGCTCCGAAAGTGATGACGAGGCGACGAGGCATTCTTTCAAGTTGTCATGATGACTTCGTCCACGGCCGAGGTAGTCGGCTGGTTAGAGCCAACATTGTCGGTTCTCAAGCCGATGGCAGCCTCGGCTTCTTTCTGTGTGTAGGGCTCTTCCTTCAACTGCTTGACTCTGGACAGGAATGGGTTAGCTACGCGCCAAAGATAGTAATGAAAAAGGTTGAGTTGTGAGGAGCATGGCGTACCTTCTCTTGTGAGGCTTGCCCTTGACGTGTCCCAGAAGACTTGTCTCGCTCTCGAACCACTTGGCGCATTCGGTGCAGTACCACTTGCCGAGACCAGGCAGATCTTCCCTTGATTTCGCATCTTTGTATTGCGACAGGTGCTTGGGTGAGAGGAGATCGGCTTTGATCTGATCGAGGTCTCGTGTATGACGGCGTGTCTTGGTCAGCGTACGCTTGTTGCTAACGCCCATTTTGAACGGTCGTGATGCTGTGAGTATCCTGGAGTTGATAACCTCGTCACACTTCCAATCCTTTCTGGGGCAGCTTCCTAGTTTCGTTGTTTGCAGCGATATATTGTTTGATGCAAAGGCAGATTGGAAGGCGGTGATGGCGACCTATCGAAAAATGTATGGTGGGGTTTCAGTTTATCTTATCGCCCCGATTCGACCGATAAGCTACTGTACTTTGTAAGTTAGTTATGTAGCAGGTGGAAAATGGGCTCGGCCAATCCTGGAAATACGACTGCCAACTGGCCCACCCACGCACCTGCCTGCACGTAGTCGGGTAGTTAAAACTCACCGAATGCTGCCCGGTACCGAGCACGGAGTATAGGGAATAGGGTATAGTGAATACAGATCAACTTCCCGCATACCTGACCCGACCCTACCTGTTTCAATGAGGTAGCAAGGAGGTAGTTGTCATATATATTGCATTCCTGTGGAACATATCTAAGTAATCAATACTTCAACGTGAACTGACATATAAAGTCGCATAAGATTGTTCGTGGGTTTTCTAATACTTGTTTAATTCAATGTCATGTTTGCCTGTACGCTATCAAGATAACTACACTAGGTATTGACAAGATGTAAATATATTTACCATTTTACCTTAACAGCTTTTAATAAGCCTAGGAGGGCCATTCGCTAGGCGCATAAATAACAAGAGGACTGGGAAAATTCTTCGGCATCAAACAAAATGCTTGTCTCTTAACGTGCCAAAGGAATGGCAATGCCGTATGATGCAGACCTAAGGTTTTAAGTCAGCGAGACAATGTGTAGGCATCCATATCAAACATCCAAAGATACTGGTTGTATGTATGTTCAATAAAGTCACTCCAAGACAGCGACCAGTCTACCAAAGTGGAAAGTCCAAGTAGCAGAACCGGATCTGCTTTCCACGGGTCTATCTAGCCGGAGTCATCCGAAGGACAATCTGTCTTTGGCGCGTTTGTGCAAGCTCCATGCCTTTTGGCCGAGGCTGATTGATGACTTTCAACTCTCGTCTGTGTCGCCAACGCAACCGTCCACTTTTTCCGCGCATTTCCCTCACAGGGATTGGGTGCTCATGTACCCACTCTTGATCTCCAGGTCTGCAAGTTTTTTCGCAGCCCCATTCTAAAGACCCCGGGTGTTTATGAATTGCCGTTACGTGTTTCCGGCGTGCATTTGAAGTTGAAGCTGAAGCCATTGATTGTCTACAGGGCACCTGGAGTTCGAGAAATCCAAAGCGTATTCAGTAAGGTTTGCCGTGCAGCTGATTGATACGGTATGACCATTCTAGACGGTGGAATCGGAAACCAATGTAGCGAAATAGGTTGCAATAGCTTGACCGTCTTTCGTCACATGTAAAGTGGGCGGAGGACAGTACGTACTGTACCCGCGGAAGGGTTTAGCCTCACGAGAACGGGGCTCTTCTGGCCGTGGAGTCGTCTCAGACATGCCCCGGTTGGCAGAGACGCATGGGAATTTACCGGCTACTGTGGTAGGTCATGAGCACAGTGCAAATAGTCTGGTGGTAAGTTGCATAAGAGCTATGCAGAGTGCTTTCTAGCCAAACTCAATACTGGGAATTTCTTGTAGCCGTATCGACGACGGATATAGGTGTTCTAGCGAGGCTGTTTACTGAGACTCGTAGCTGCATTTGCGTCAAGGGTCCGGATCCGTACTGATAGACCCAGTGGGCATACTCATATATGAGCACTGTAGAGGGCACATCTGCACCGAACCAGTCGGAGCTCGGATCTTGGTAATTACTCATTTGCACAAAGGCATGTTAGCAGCTCTGCAACGAACGGGATAACAAGCGACGATATCATGGGAATACTGTGAACGGCCCCATGGCAGCAGTAGCTTGAAGAGATATCCTTATTGTCAGCAGGGCAGAATTGGGAGGAGAGCCTTCCATGCTATCCTTGGCCGGAATGGCAGCACAGCTATGACGATTTCTTGATGTCCCAGAATTGCAATGCGGCGGCTCTGATTCGTCCGCTGGACCGATCCCCAGCCCGTCGCTGTTTGCCGAGAGCACACAGCAGCAGCCAAAGACCAAAGACCAGAGACCCAAAAGACCTAATAAGCCGACTGGGGGGGTGGCAGCTCCATAAGTTACATGCTGCTTGGTGCATACCTGGATTAGCGTCATTTCTGTTGCGACTCGCCTGCCATCGTCTTTTCAAATCGCGAGCCCGTCAAGAAACTCTCCACCTTTTACTTTTTCCCTTCCATTAGAAATAAACATCTCCCACGGAGTCGACTTCTTTTCTTCTTCATGCCCTGATCTGAGAGTCGGGTGAACCCATCATAATAGCCATCTCCCCTCCCATCGCCAATCGTCACTCACCAGCTTCAATTGCTGAGACTGACCACTTGACCCAATAGCTCTCAGGACCACCCCCCCCAAGCTCCGTCACAATGTTGGCAACGAGACAGGTCCTGGGCAATGTCACCCGCTCGCGGGCCATGGCCAGCCTGGGCCTTCGCAGAACCATGGCCACTGTCTCCGACTCGCCTTTGGACAAGAAGGTAAGCTTCACTGTCCTTATCTTGCCTCTCCGCCAGATAGCCGAGGATGCTGATATTTCCCTCAACACCATAGGTCAGGCAGAACATCCACGAAGATGGCAACTTCATCAACTACAAGAAGATGTCTGAGAACCTCAGCATCGTCCGGAGCCGTCTGAACCGCCCTCTCACATATGCCGAGAAGATTCTCTACTCCCATCTGGACGACCCTCACGGCCAGGACATTGAGCGTGGTGTCTCCTACCTCAGGCTACGCCCTGACCGTGTTGCCTGCCAGGATGCCACCGCCCAGATGGCTATCCTGCAGTTCATGTCTGCTGGTATGCCCTCGGTTGCCAACCCTACCACCGTGCACTGCGATCACTTGATCGAGGCACAAATTGGTGGCGAGAAGGATCTCGAGCGCGCTATCAACATCAACAAGGAGGTCTACGACTTCTTGGCCTCTGCCTGCGCCAAGTACAACATCGGTTTTTGGAGACCCGGCTCTGGTATCATTCACCAGATCCTCCTCGAGAACTACGCTTTCCCTGGTGGTCTCCTCATCGGAACCGACTCTCACACTCCAAATGCAGTTGGTGCCACTGTTGAACCCTTGTGTTGACGATTTACTGACATTCTTCAGGGTGGTTTGGGAATGGCAGCCATTGGAGTTGGTGGTGCTGACGCAGTCGACGTCATGGCCAACCTCCCATGGGAGTTGAAGGCTCCCAAGGTCATTGGTGTCAAGCTCACTGGTCAACTGTCTGGCTGGTCCACGCCCAAGGACATTATCCTCAAGGTCGCTGGTATTCTCACTGTCAAGGGAGGTACTGGTGCCATTGTCGAATACCACGGTCCTGGTGTCGACACACTCTCTTCTACTGGCATGGGAACTATTTGTAAGTAACTCAACAATCAAACCCCCCCCCCCCCCCCCCCCCCTTTGGTAAGGAGAATGAAGTAACTAACGTGACTAAAGGTAACATGGGTGCCGAGATTGGCGCTACGACTTCGCTATTCCCTTTCAACGACCGTATGTACGACTACCTAGCCGCCACCAAGCGAAAGGATATCGGTGACTTCGCTCGATCGTACGCCAAGGACCTCCGTGAGGACGAGGGCGCCGAGTACGACCAGCTGATCGAGATCAACCTCTCTGAGCTCGAGCCGCACATCAATGGTCCCTTCACTCCCGATTTGGCTACCCCCATCTCCAAGTTCAGCCAGGCTGTCAAGGATAACAACTGGCCCGAGGAGCTCAAGGTCGGTCTGATCGGTTCCTGCACCAACTCCTCGTACGAGGATATGTCTCGTGGTGCCTCCATTGCACGTGATGCCCTGGATCATGGTCTCAAGGCGAAGGCTGCCTTCGTTGTCACACCTGGTTCCGAGCAAATCAGAGCTACCATCGCCCGCGACAAGCAACTCGAAACTTTCGAAGAGTTTGGCGGCGTCGTTCTTGCCAACGCCTGCGGTCCTTGCATTGGTCAGTGGGACCGCAAGGACGTCCCCAAGGGCACGGCTAACTCCATCATCTCATCGTACAACCGTAACTTCACCGGTCGCAACGACGGTAACCCCGCCACTCACTCCTTTGTCACCTCTCCTGACTTGGTCGTCGCCATGTCCATTGCTGGCTCTCTCCACTTCAACCCCTTGACCGACAAGCTCAAGGACAAGGACGGCAACGAGTTCCTGCTCAAGGCTCCTACTGGCGATGGTCTCCCCAGCCGCGGATACGACCCTGGCAACAACACTTACCAGGCTCCCCCCGAGGACCGCGCCTCTGTTCAAGTCCAGGTCGCTCCCACATCGGATCGTCTTCAGACGCTTTCGCCATTCGCGGCTTGGGATGGCAAGGACGCCACTGACTTGCCCATTCTTATCAAGGCTCAGGGCAAGACCACTACTGACCACATCTCCATGGCCGGACCTTGGCTCAAGTACCGTGGGCACTTGGACAACATCTCTAACAACATGTTGATTGGTGCCATCAACGAGGCCAACGGTGAGGCCAACAAGGTCAAGAACGCTGTCACTGGCGAATGGGACGCTGTCCCTGCCACTGCTCGTGACTACAAGTCCAAGGGCATTAAGTGGGTTGTCATTGGTGACTGGAACTACGGAGAGGGTTCTTCCCGAGAGCACGCCGCTCTTGAGCCCCGCCACCTCGGTGGTCTTGCCATCATCACCCGATCCTTCGCTCGTATCCACGAGACCAACCTGAAGAAGCAGGGTATGCTTCCTCTGACCTTTGCCGACCCCGCCGACTACGACAAGATCAAGCCCGAGGACAAGGTAAGCCTACTTGACTGATTTGATGAGAACGAGCCACTAACTTGCGACAGGTGGATATCCTGTGCACTGAGCTCGCTGTTGGCAAGCCCATCACCATGAGAGTGCACCCCAAGAACGGCGAGACGTTCGAGGTCAAGCTCAACCAGACCTTCAACGAGCCCCAGATCGAGTGGTTCAAGAACGGAAGCGCGTTGAACACAATGGCCAAGAACGCCAAGAAGAACTAAAGAGATGAATGGCAAGGATGTTGATGATACCATAAAGAAGGCCAGCCATCAGACGGCGATGTGAGGAGTTTGATAACTGGAAATGTCCTCTTTGCATGCATTGTTGGGGAGGTCTCCAAGATTCCTGGGGGGTTTCTATACGGATTTCGGTATGGACGTTATGCTTTACGGGATGACATTTATACCGCACATGAGTTAGCCAACTGTTTTTATATGTCCTGTACAAAATTGAAACGTTAAAAAGTATCGAATCAAGACATGTGACGCGGATATGCTTTTCCTGTTGCGCAAAGGAACGTGCATGCCTCAATATGAAGTGAATGCAATACAAGTGTTGATGGGAGGATTTGGAAAAACGTCAACGTAGACGGCGGGTATGTGGTAATGGGCAGTAAATCTGTTCCTGGCCTTATAATGTTGATGGCGGTATGGACACACATGCAGGTGGTGCATGACGAAAACTGACGAAAGCCACTAGATTCCATATGTTTCTGCTTGCTCGTTCTATGTAGAGTTCTAACTGAGTAAAGTTGGCATGATCTGGGATAAGATGGGTTGTCGCATGGAGACCAATTAATAATGCTCGAGGTTATCATTACGACTGGAAGTGCCACGGCGGCATGTGTGGTAACGAGGAGTGAAGCCCACCAAATGCCACAGGTTCTATCTACATAGACTTGGGACTGGGATAGGTGGTGTGGAGCAGCCGAGAGTGCCGTTAAGGCACCCCCGGCGAAAAGGAAGAAAGAAAAATCAAGAGAGAGAGAGAGAGAGGGAGAGAATAGGAAAAAAAAAAGATGGCGTGTCATCTTTCGCATCGCTAACATTGTACAAGTACCTGAGTACCCGGGCAGGGGTTGGGTAGCTTAACTTTAGTGCTTAAGACGAGAAACAGCAGGCACACGACCACGTTGAACTCGACTGCAAGTAGTTAAGCTACTTGACCAGGCGCGTCTGCTCCGACCGATTAGTTGGAGTTTTTTGCAATCCACACACGCTCTCTGGTGCCTTTTGTTCAGGCCGCTTCAACAACCGGGTGTGTTCCTGTCGAATCGAGCCGGATCGATCTTGGCGGCCTGCTGCACTTGCCAACGCCTGCGACTACGACTACTCTACTTGACTTTGCTTTGCTCTACTTGACACCTGCCCGCGCGACCCGAAACTAACCGTCCGTCACCCATCGCGAATCGTGCTGCACTACAAAACCAAGACGGGACCTGAGACGGGAGACGGACTCTATATAGAGACACCACGCCCATTCAAGATGCCTAATATCCAGGGCCTCAGTACCCTGCGCGCGCGCTCGTATGTCCTCCGATTGCCATTGTTCACGCGCGCCATGGTGCTCATCATTGTGGTGCTCTGGCTCGTAGGCGTACAGTCAGTCTGGGATGAAAGGCAATGGGGCGCGCTGATTCCGGACCAAGTCAGTATAACAACCGGTAGGTCAAAACATCCTGCGAAGGGAGAGGAGGGAACATGTAGAGCGAGGGCTCGGCATCCGAAAGAGCCGTCCGGCGAACCGAGACAGCTATTCCTACTGACCAACGCGCCACAACAGCATACCGGATAAATACCTTTCCCCTCATACACCTCAACTTCTTCCACATGATCTTCAACGTGCTGGCTCTGGCGCCCCTCCTAGAGAGGTTCGAAAGCGAATATGGGACTTTGACCAGCTTGGCCATGTTCTTCGGGCGTAAGTCAACCAACGGCTGCACACGCGCATCCCGCATGGGAACTTGGGATAATACACTAACAAGTGGCCAGCCCTAACAACGATACCGGCCGTGCTATACGTGATAATCGAGCGCGCCATACTTAGGAGCAACACGGCGGTCATGGGTGCCAGGTGAGCTTTACCCGACAAAGCACAACTGCTGCCACACATACACACATATATATATACACATATGTATGCATAGATATACATGCTGACCGGGCGGATAGTTTATGGGTTTTCCTGCTGTTGGGAGTAGAGGCCATTCGGACATACAGGACAAATCCTTACCTGATCCTCGGCACTCTCCATGTGCCAACTTGGACCACTCCCCTGGTTTTGACGCTTGTCACCAAGGCCCTAGTACCGAGCAGTAGCCTGCTGGGCCATCTCTGTGGTGTCGCTGTAGGGTATTTGTGTAAGTTGATATCTCCCAATCTCGCCCGGCCCGGAAGTTGACGAGACTGCAGTCGGGCTGGGATACCTCAAGTTCCTCGCACCCCCCGAGAAGGCTTTGCGATGGGTCGAAGGGCGCCTGAACCTCCTCGGCAGGCTGCCGCACTATGTCAGCGTAGATCAGAAGACATACGGCCGTTTCGGCGTTTTGCCCACCACCAACGGCGGGAGCTCGACGTTGCCTGGTCTTGTCGGGAGTCCCCAGGGTTTCGGAGGATTGAGCTAGATATATCATCAGAGCAGCAACCATGAGAATCTGATAGAACCGTGGCCGGCTCAAAACAAACTAATTAATTATATCGGGGGGCCATTGCGTACTGCAGGAAACAATGGCTCGCCAGCGTTTTGTCCAATACCAAGTGCTCCCGTGACATGAACTGTAAGCAAAGCGCCCAGGATGGACTGAGAGCCGACAAGACGAACGAGGAAGCAGGTAGCAAAATGTTACAAACCACGCGGTCACAGTTCTATTGTGGGGACTTGATATGCTGTCTGCCATCTCTAGATTTAAAAAGGGATTTGGCGGATTTCTAGCTATTACGCTTTCTTACTTTCCCCATCGAACAGGCCATGTCAAGCGCTTTTGGCCTTGGGAGACTCTACCCTGCCAAGCACAACTACACTTCCCATGATCCAGGCAGGCCACCAGACACACCAGACTACCAGTGGCGTGTACATGCCCCAAACGTCCCAGCCAAAGGCGGCTTCTCTCGACACAAAATCCACCCCGACGCCAGAGACGATGGCCGCAGTGCTAATCACGACGCCGGGGTTAAGGAGAGCCAACAAAGCCGTGTAGCTGGTTTTCAGAATGGGGTTCCGGAACGGCCGCGCAAACGAGAGGGGTGTTGCAAGCAGGCCTACCAGGAACGCCAGCGAGAAGTTCAGAGTTGCAAGGGCAGACAGGAACATGCCCAAAAAGAGCAGAGAGAAGGACGAGAGGAGCTGGTAGTGCTGGGCTGTGGGTCTCAACTGCGTGGTCAGGAGGTAGGATCCGACAAATGGAGCAGCGGCTGAGACGGCGGTAAAGACGAAGAACAAGGGTGAAAGGAACTGTCATAGCATTAGCTGAGGTATTCAAAGTATTGTGATCTGGGCCCAAGGCCGGGACTCACGCTTGCAGGCGCATGACTGAACACGAAGAGGGGTACGAAGCCGAGGAACTGAGAAGCGGCGACCACGCTGAGGGGGAAGACGACATCTCTCTCGGTTGTTTCAACGGTCGCTGTATCCACGTCGACTTTCGCGTCCGCCGCTCTGACGCTCGCTTGGGGGGTGGGCGTGCTCGTCGGCCCTTTTGATGTAGATGCCCTGTCCGTGTACCCGCTCTTGATCCAGAGATAGATGGCCATGATGGTGAAGTTGGCGGCAATCAGCATGGCGCAGGGCAGGTATGTACCAATACTGACGAACCTCTCCTTGTGCATAAGCAGATAAAAGAAGAAGCTCTGATGCAGCTTTTCGAGGAGGTTGTTCAAGCTTCTGAAGGTGCCCTCCACCAGGCGTCCCAATCCCATCTCATCATGCCAGCCATTACCGATGGGCTGAATAGTGATGGCGTCGACATGATAGGGGATGAAGGAGCTATGGGGGCCAACGGCATGTCCCAGGCCCTGGTTGAGCATTCCGCGCAATATGGTCTTGAGGCGGTCGGGGTATTTGTCGGAATGGTGCCACATCTCCTGGATCGCCGAATGCATGCCCATCTGCCCACTGGCAATATTGACAACGGAGTTGATCAGATCCAGGTTGGGCAGCTGGCCGTTGACACCATCGTATACTATGTGTACACCCTCGAAGCGGCCCTCTTGCGGGTAGTCAATGGCAACTGCGCCCTGCAGAGCACCTGACTTGATGGGCAGGGAGGCAACGTTGGAAGCATCGTGTCCATCATGGTAGGCGTCGACCCAAGCCTGTGTCCCTGCGCGGCTGTCCGGGGGCACGACGAGTATGATATCCTTGGACCACAACGACCAGCGCTTGAAGTATCTGGTCAGGGCGAGGGCGAGGGCGAGGCCGTTGCGGTTGAACTCGTGCTTGACATTCTTCCAAGCGGCGATGAGGACAATGGCCTCGGTGGCGTCGCCCCTGGGCGCCTGCAGAATGGCGTAAATGTTTTCACCAGCGTAGGTGTCGCCGGCGGAATGGTAGGTGTAGTTCTGGCGGCCGACCTTGAGCCCGATGCCCCTGAAGATGCTCTCCAGCTTGTCGTTGACCTCGGCATTGGTGGTATTCTCGAGGGCGGTGATCTCGTGCCTGTAGGCCCGGAAGACATTTTGGTCGCTCCCGCCAAAGTAGGTATGGACCTGGCCGGGCAGCAGTGCGTTCTCGGATATGTAGGTGCGGCGCGAGTAGTCGTCCAGCGGGAGCATGAACAGCCACGCGACGCCGACGACGATGCACAGGAGCGACAAGTACGGTGGCACCTTGAGGAGTCGCGGATCGCGGCGGGCGAACAAGGCCCCGGCTGCGCGTAGTGAACGAGGCCGTTAGTCATTTGATGTACGGGCGACTCATAGTAGATGTTTGCGCAGGTCATATGTACATTACACATATAATATAACGAGCATATATAATCCAATGTAAGCAAGGAAGAGGCCGACTTACACAAAAGACGAGGCATCACTCCAGCTCCAGCTCCAGCCCCAGCTCCAGCTCGAGGTCGAGGTCAAGGTCAAGGTCGAGGTCGAGGTTGAGGGATCCTAGCCTGGAGGTATGTCTTGAGAAGAAGAGTAGATACGTAAGACTAGTCCAAGAGTAAGAAGAGCATGGCAGAGTATGTACGACTATGTAACTCGGCGTGCGTATGCGTGTGTGTGTATGTATGTATGCAGGGACCCCTGAATTAGCCTGGACTGTGACCTACGATAGACTACTTCCCACTTGAACGTTAGTGGAACGCGCCCCCCAACTTCACACCCCCCCCCCCCCCCCCAGCAGGCACTGTAGCAGTGCCAGTAGCTATCGGATGTACGGGCCCGTATCCTGAGGGGGGCAGCAGGGGGACTCCCAATCAGACTAGCCCCGTTAACTGCATACTAGACTAACCTAGACTAGTCTAAGGTTAGTCTCCCTACTTTCCCACTCCTTGATATGTAAATACTTGTATCAACCCCGGCGGTGCCTCGAGTATGTATACTTCTAAGCAACAACGTGTTCCGTCAATCATGCCGAAAACTCACACATCTGCATCGACAAGAATTCTTGATATTGTTGTTTTTCTTTAGTAATGCCCTTAGGAGAGGACCCAGTTCATTTCAACAATGGCAAGCTGGTAACCCGGGCTGGAGAAAGAGAAGGATCTGAGATATGTACCGGTAGCAAATAAGTGGTTTGGAAAGAATTTTTTATTTTTATTTTTCCTCCCCCCAGCGCTATGACAAAAGATGCGTCCCGTATTGAATAACACTATACCCACGAGTTCACCTTACTAGTACTTCTCGCATGTGAACTCCCGATCTGTCTGGCACTTGCGGCATGTTCAACCATGACATCAGCGCTGCCGATTTCAGAACTTCACTCCGGGCGAAGTCGTTGCCGGATGGAGATCCTCTGAAACATGAAACAAGCCATGACATATTATTAACCATACTCAGGATCGAGGCCGCTGCTGACCAGCAAGGTCGAGCGTACCAGAAGACGCGGAACAGCACGGAGAATGTGAAGGCCAGTATGAAGTGATCATGCAGGGTATCCTGAACCCCGGCGAGGCTCTTCAGAAGGTGTTGGAGGGAACCATGTATATGATGGAGCATTGCTGATGTCATCGACGCACGTCTCCTTAGACTCCCGTCCTTGGACACAATACTCCGTCTGAACTTCACGGCAGGCTAAGGCGTCACGGTTCAGGGTTCGAGATCGGGTGTATCCCTTCAGGTCTTGGCGATAAAGCCCGGCAGTCCATGGTGAAGTGACATATTTGAAGCGGCAGAATTGCAGCAAGTATGTTGCCATACTAGAAAATGATCACGAGTTTCACTCGCTGTTCGGAACGGTGACAATTTCGCGCGTGTCGGAACTTGGAACCAGATAGATACTGACAAGTATAGACAACGTTGTAGGGCAATGTTATCATTGTGGCCCAGCACCGCGTGCTGATAAAGATTTGTAGACGTGTAGTCGGTTGCTGTTTCCACCTTTGGTGCCTATGGCGTGGTCTTCGGATCCAGGATTCTCCGAATAATTCAGGGGGGTGTTGTCACAGCTGCGAGAATGGGCACCGATTATATGTGTCTCTGCTCCTTATTTCGTTTGCGACTAGTTGGAGGTTTGATATTGCTCACACGCGCGGTCTGGCCGATCATATCTTAACTGTTAGTCGACTCAACCACGCCTCGCAGCAACATCTAGTCCCATCAGAAATAGCGTGAGCGTCTGGCTGTTATCCATCAGTGATGACACTTGCAGGATGGAACCTATGATTGCTTACAGGATTATATTGACAGAAGTCCGAACGATGAATCGGTAGACACCGACTATCAAGAGACTTGCAAGAACAACGAACAATTTCATCTCGTTACTTACCCGCTGTACAGGTGCAGATACGGCAACATCCAAGGCATGGCAGGAATTGCAGCAATTTAAATACATTTCATTAACTTCCGGCCTCCATGACCTGGCTGGCTCATCAAATCATTGGGAACGGGGTGTGGTCACTGTACTATAATTGGATCCGATGGCTTGGAGCAGCCCCCGTTTGGCCCCCTTTTCAATAGACCTGCATATTATTGTCACACAGCACTTGCCAATACCCCTGGATTACCCTATAGCGACATGGAATCACGGAACACCCAACGCTGCCTTACTCATTCATCGGCAAAGGTCTTTAAAAGGTTGTTGCTGTTGATTGCTGGTCCTTATCCGCGAAGATGCCAAGCTCGGGGTGCCCTTTCTGCAAGATCCCGCTCGTGATGATTGTGTTTGAGTTGCTGATCCTTTTTCCGGGACTGGAGACACGAACTCTAGATCAAACTGATTCCAATTTCCTCGTGCCATGTTTATTGGCCATGTGCCATCCGTTTGCAATTTCTGTATGCACAACAGAAACCGTAAAGTCAGTGTGGCTAGTCGCACAAGCGCTGCAAGAAACGAGGAACACCTTTGGCCGCGAACGGGATCTACTATCCGTCATGTACTGAATCTCAGAAGGCATGAACATAACCAGATGCGTTTCTTGTGGGTTGGCAGAGTTGGCATTGACTGAGAAGTCTACGTTAAAATGATTAACGCGATAGCTGCCGGATGGATGTCGTACAGCTATTCTGGCTGGGAATTGGCTAACTTGAGAAGTGCAAGCGCTAACTTGGCCAGCCCATCTAAAATTTGAACCTCGATTTCCTGCCTAGACTAGCCTAGTAATCGCTACTCTAGCGATCCGAGTAGATAATTAAATAATACAACGTTAGAGCTCCCAACAACAGAGAAATAGGTTCTGGCCTGATTAAACCTGAATTTGCCAAACCAAAATCTGTATCCATCTACTCATAAGCTTACTCGACTCCTATAATCACGACCTCGGAAGCTCTCGCCCCCGTAGTCACACAGCATTGCGCCAGGAAAATCCTGTTCCTGCGAGAACACTACACACACGCACACACAGAAATGGCAGGCAGTCAAAACGACGCTTCGGAGGAATTCACCTCCTTCTACCTCCAGCAAGCCACCAAAGAGTTCGCCGAAGATCTTGACAAGGTTCGCAATGCGGACGATTTCAAGGGCGATGCCTTCCCCATGCTGATCAGGGCGCTGCAGCAGGGCACAGCTCTCTTCTCGTCAGCTGACCAGCGCCGTATCATGGATGCCGCCCAGAAGCAGCCGGAAGAGGGCTCGCACGAGGATACGAGCAGCAGCGGTAGCAGCATTAGCGACGAGGGAAAATGAGGCGTGGCGTGGCATCATCAACCATTCTGATTCGCCACGGACACATCACAATTGCTTACCCTGCTGTTACGACGAACTGGAAATACGTGTGTGCTAGTTTCTCTTCCCGCGCTCTATTTCTGCCTTCTGGTAGTTCTTACTGAATATTATACGGCCTGGTCTGAAAAATATTCACGGGTCGCACAAAGCAGTCAGTAGCTGGTGGTCAACCAAGACCAGCACCACCAACAATTCATGGTACTTTTCCAAGTTTCCGAAGCACTGCATGATAAGAGCTCAGGCTAATTAGCTGAGACTGAACGAGATTATGGGCTCGATTTGGGCAAGGAATACTGCACTATGAACCGAGCTGTCGATGAGAATGCATGTATAGAGAGATATTCGGGGCATGCTCAATTGTACAATCAGTTAGAGATCATGTGAACAACTCTACCGTTAGTTATTCATTGGTTGGCCATAAGTATGACCTGGAGGTGGTGCGTCAGGCCTCGGACGTTGGCAAATGATGAAAATTTATAAAGCACCACAGGATAGCAATCCTAACATTGTCATTCTAACATCACTACGCATTTCTTTTCTTTAGTCCTTTTCTAAATCATAAAATCCGCCAATCCGTGTTTGATCTTTATCTCCCATGCTTCCTTTACAACCATATAAACTATTATCGATCATGCCTCGATCATTCTACTGAGCTTACGTAATCCTTCAATGGGAAAGTACATGATGACAACTTATAACGACGGTGGTGATGACGAAGACTATCCATGCTATAATCCAGACGATCCGGACCCTTAGTTCGATCATGAGGATAAAGACGTCGATAAACTGGACGACAATCTCGAGGATGTGGAGGTGAATAACGATATCGACGCAGACGCTGGCTCCCGTGGTTTTAGCGATGCCCATTACAATAGAAAGTGTAATAAATAAGCTTGATAAAACATTCTCGTCCTCCTTATCAAATCTTAATTGAGTAATGAGGTCTAAGATGGTGTTGATCCGAGGGGTAATAGTTACCCAGCTTCTGGTGGTGAAAAAGATGGTTTACACGTTGTCTGGATATCATATACACCGCCTATGTCTCCCCGCCAGACTATCTGACCAAGATATCTCAATCTTAGCCAGATGTCATATCATCGATTATTTTCCGGGGAGTAGATGTCGATATATTCCTTGTAACGGCCAATAATTATACACGGAGTTATAATTTATAAGGTCGTGGGAAACCTTACGAAGTTCGAGTTCTTTGGTTTAACAGATTGTTGTAGAAAAGTTGGCGGACCATCCGCTCGACAATGTTGAGAGATTATTAAGGGACATCGTCTTTATGAATGGGGTCTTCCTTAAAGTTTATTCCTTCCCGATGTGTCTCAGTTGTGTTGTACTAATTACAATGCAGATTCCTTTGCATTTCCATATCACTCAAGTCGCACGATTGCAAACTGTACCGCTCTCAGTTATTACTTGCCCCTATTAACCAGTACCATAAGCTGCGTCATGGGTGAACTGATTCGGTAACACCACTGTTCAAGTACGCGGCTAGGCAACAACGGGTTGTTAGTCTGGCTAGCTCTATCCGGCCACTGTAAACGGTCGTCGTGACTGTACACCGAGGAAAGACCAGTTTCGTGAGCTACTATCGCTTATACCAATTCCATATTAATTGTGGAAGTTCCCGAGACCGAGTTCTAACTGATGTAGTATTATAAAGTTGGCTTGAGCGCGATGATTGTGTATCGGGACGATACCATCCTCGGCTTATCGGTTCGTCAACCTTGTGTTACAAATTGGCTACAATTATAATACCCTGCTAAGTGACTGTGTATACGAAATCAGTTGGGAGACTGGGCACAATGACTTTTGGCACTGGTCCTTTGCGAAACACATTTCGTTATCATTAACAGAGAGATTCGAGAACCGTAGAATAATGTGATAATGCCTGATTCTAGATGTATAAATAGAAAGAAAGAAAAGCCATATACCATGCAATACAACACCAGATTTAAAGAGGATCGGGATTCATTAGTCGCTTCATAAGCAGGACACCCACTCCACCACTGTTCTCTATGATACATATATACCCATGAGACCAATATCTACACAAAACGGAACTTGTTCGAGGTGGCAGTAGACTTCGAGGTGGTAGTTGCGGCGACGCCGTGGTACGACGCGGCACCAGTTCCAGTTTTGGTCTCGTTTCTAGTGTTGTCCTTTTCCCAGTTGTTGTTGGGCTGGTACAGGTTCATGGGGATTTTGCTGGTCAGGCTGGAAGGAATGTACTTGCCAGCCACGATCGGACCAGCAATCAGTGCAACGAAGAGGATGACCATTGCGAAATAGAGGATCGCGAACCGGATTACTCTCCTCCTTCGAAGTTTTGATTGCTTGAGAGAGTAGATTGGCGGGCGAATTTGACGACTAGGTAATGTTAGCGAGAATGCTTGACAGAGCGGAATTTAGACAAAGCATACCTAGGTCGCAACCAGAAGAGCATCATGGAGTGCAGCTTATCGATCTGCGGGATGAGGATGAGGGGAAGCATCAAGAAGAGAAGAATGTGGCCGAGAGCGAAATCAGCGGCGAATAAGCTCAGCTCGGTAATTTTGCAGAGGAATTCACGTGCAGGCTGGGAAACCGAATGCCAACCCATAGAGTACCACTTGCCCGTCCAGAACGCGATGTTAGATTGGTCAGTCTTGAACTCACGAGTAAGAGCAAGGGCGATGATGAGCTTGAGGATAAATCGCTGCAACGCCATGACCGCAATCATACCCAACAGAGTCTTGGTGAAATCAAACCCTTCGAGGAAGAACATGACCTCGAAGAAAACAAGCAGCATGATCACTGCGACGGCGTGGGCGATTCCAGCCAGCACACTACCAAACTTCTTGCAGCACATACTCAGGAGTGGTCCCATACAGCAAGCCATGCCAAACATGGCAGCAAGCGTTCCAGCGTTGACGGCTATAGGACCGAATGCGACGACAGCAACGCGTATCAGGGCATTTGTAGCCTTGGCACTGTTGTCGTTGGTAAAGACTCCCGTCTGTGCGTTGATGAATAGGTACGGTATCAAGGTAACAGCGACAAAGATTAGAGGGGCAACGATCTCTCCGACAAAAACGTTGGTGAATCCCGCGCGAGGCACATCGGCAGAGAGCTTCCCGGATGGATCACCCAAGGCTTTGCGCTTATAGCCAGTGATTCTGGTACGAGACAAGCGGCAAAAACCAATCCACGAGGCCGCGTGAGATTTGGAGTTGCCACGTGACAACCAGCGCAAATAGTCACGGTAGTCGATGAAAAAGTCGTTCCAGGAGAATTGATGAGGGTTGTACAGGAATGGCGAGACCAGAAGCGCTGGGACTGTGATATAGAAGTAGGTCAAAGCCGACTGCCACACTGTCAATGTGGCGAAGAGAAGCATCATGAAGCAACGCGCGCCAAAATAGATCGAAGGGCCGGCGAAACGCGAGTACAACACACCGAAGGGAATGCGAGCTGTGGCGAAACCACGACCAGTACCGATGTAACGGGCACCGCCGAATGTCAAATCCTCTTGCACAGAGTTGGCGTAGATCTGACAGACGAACACCTCGAAGAACGGAGAGAGGGAGCAGAATTGCTTCGCCAATCGAGTTGCCATGCGCAGGAGACCACGTTCTGTCAGTTCTTGTACACAGAGAGGAATGTATGACAAGAAGAACACGAATAGAATGGAAATGACACAGCGGTAGATCCAGTCTATCAGTGAGTCAGTGTTCGCACAGCCAGTTGGATACAACGGATCCGTGATCGGAACATCTCGGTTATAGTCGCAAGGAATCGTCTCGTGTCGGAGAGCGCCGAAGCTGAGAAGAGTTATCATGAATGTCTGAATCGAAAGCATGATGAACATGTTGTTCAGATGGAAACCAGGATGAGCATAGTAAAATGACAGGAAGCGATCGAGAGGCAATTGTGTTCCGAGGTAATAGTACTCGCGGGAGAGCATCTGCTCACCCATACCAGTACCAATCTTGGTTGTAAAGTTCAGAATAGAACCAAAACCTAAATCACGACCTTTACCGCACTGATAATACTCGCAGTGCTTGATACGCCCACCGCGGAGTACAGCATTCATACCAGCGTAGATATCCTCGTTCAGGTGAAGACCTTTTTGGGCCTTGGAAACACCGCCACGGGTGGTCATGAAAATACCGTTCAAGAAATCGGGATGGCCATAATGAAGCTTGCCTCCAATCTGTGCGAGGGTTCTCGCGAAGAGGGTACCGAAGGTCTGTTCCTTTCCAGCAGCAATATCACCAAGGATACCAATGTTCTCTGAGAAAATGTATTCACGAGCACCTAGGATGGCAACGGGGGCAAAAGCTTGATTCTTGACGCCAGGAGTGTATGGTGAAACGTTGTCAGTCTTCATTTCCTCGAATTCGGCCAGGACGGAACGAATCTTCAGACACTCTTCCAGGTAGTTGTCCTGGTTGGCATCGATAAGCTGGATGTACTCTCCGCGGTAGAAGATGATAGAATGGTTCTGGTTGTCCGACTTTCCGTCACCAAGGACGGGGTTACCAGAAAGCTGAATCCTGAACTTGGGGCGTCTCATGCCGTTCTCCATGATCTCAGAGTGGCCGTCAATAAGGGCGGAGTAGATGCGTGGCTCGTCACCCTCGACCAGCGGAGGCTCCTCGTCGAGGTACGCAATTTGAAGGTCGGGGTAAGCGCGAAGAAGGAACTCGGCGTTCTCCATTTCTTCCTTCTTGAATTTGGCGAAGCGTTGCATGGAAACGCACAGCTTGAACTTGCGACGAGCCATCCTCTCGAGTTCACGCTCCAGCTTGTCAGAGTTGCCACCGAACATCTGAACGACTTCTGGGTTCTCAACACGATACAGAAGTTTGATGGCACGGCTATAGTTCATGAAACCGGAAATGGTGCGGTAGAGAGTTTGAGATCGCAGAGATGCCCAGATACGAGTTCGAAGAGTGTATTCGGGGGCCGAGGACTTGAAACCAATGCAGTAAAAGGGCAGGTCATCAATCTTGCTCTTGGCAGTGTCCTTTTCGTTCTTCTCCTCGTCACCATTGAACTGGGAAGTCTCGTCCGCGAGAATCTTGGTGTCCTTGACGAAGCAGTCCCACTCGTGAGGGTGCAATTGCTTGAGATATTCCAACATGGTAACACGAGAATAAGGCTCGTCCTCACGGATAATTTCTCTTAGTGAGAGCAAAATCTTCTCACTGTAATGGGGGATCAGAACGGTGAAGGTGGGCATGTTGTCGACGGGAAGTGGCTCAGGGATAGGTGTAGACAGAGACTGTGCAAAGAAAGAAATACGGCGCTCTGCCTCGCTCTGACTGGGGAAGAACTCTGTCTTGAACGAGTGATCTTCCTGGGAAACGAAGAAAGTGGGTGCACGGAGTGTTCTCTTGCCTTCCTGCTCAGACGGAACTTGGTGATAAAGAAGTTTCTGCACGTGATCGATTGCCAGAAGATGCTCACGGTACATGGAGATGACGATGGCATTCCAAATCTGTGAAATCAGGACCTTTGGCTTATACTTGATTTCCATGTCGGTGGTTGCCAAGATCTTGGAGTAGATACGCTTGGGCAAACGGGAAAAGATGTTTCGCCAAGGCGTCCAGATGGAGGAACCAAGGTAGAAAGACCGGGCAATCGAACCGACCGTGTTGAGGATGACATACCACAGATAGGTATCCAAGAAGAAGAAAATCAGATCGGTAAAAATCATGAGGATTAAAGTGATGGTTGGCTGCTTCTGGCAAAGTACCTTGCCAATGATCGCGTCTCCCAAGCAATCATCGACATTCATGATGCTAAGGTAGCGCAGAGGGTCACGAAGGGAGAGTGTCAAATAGATGTAAGACTCTCCAAACTTGGCGCCGAAGACAACGGCCCACATGCCGTAAGACATGGCCATGTCATTACCATGGAGGCGCGGCCAACTGGCGGTAAATGTCTGGCTGGCAACGTACTGACGGGAGTTCTTCTTAGTCAGGTAGCTTCCGAACAAGCCACCTAGAGGCATGACTGAGAAGAAGATGAAGCTGGCGATAGAGAAGAAGAACTGGACAATGCCCAGAATCAGACCAACCTGTGAATCTTGGCCCCCAGAAATGCCAAAGACATACACACTAGGGCCAACGTTGATCAGGAAGACGACGATGAGGAACAAGAGACGCTTAGTCAAGTGCTGCGCTCCCGCCCAGCGTCTCGGAACATATGACCATTCTGCAAGTGTGGCGATGATCTGGACCAGGGAGGCAATACCACCACCGGCACCGACAATTGACCACTGAGCAGCAGCAGTCGGCTGATTGTTAACCTCTTGCTCGTACTTGCTACCCAAAATAAGAGACGGAGCATTGTGAGCAGTGTAAAACCAGAACATGGTCAAGTGGATTACCCAGATGCGGTTGAAGTTAACAAGCATGTGGAACCACGACCGAGTCTCCTTGTAGGTTTTGAAGAAGCACTTCTTCCAATTGACATCCTTCAGCTTGAGGTAGCGCTCCTGTGGTGGGACGTCCACCAGCTTACTCTTGTCTTCCATGACAATGCGCTCGATGCCCTCGGGGTACCAGAAGAGCTGGTTGCAGTCATCGTAACCGATGATCTGGTTGTGGTCCCGCTCGCGACGGACATATACACCACCAGAAATCTCATAACCTTGGTCACGGCAGTACTGATACAACGGCGTAATGACGTTGTTAAGGAAGGTGCCCTCCTCAACTTGCTCGACCATGTTCTGGCAGGCAGGAGAGTTGAGGTAGTCATCGGCGCACTTGAAAACGAAGCACAAACATTCAGGCATGAAACGAACTTGGTTGGCTTCACCCCAGCAGAGAAGATACAAGGCAATCTGGCGAATGCGGTCGTGCTGGGACATGCGGTTCATGCGCGTCTTCCAGCGGTATTCGGCAGCTTCCAAGCTGTCATCGCCCTCAAGCTCCTCAAGGGCTTGTTGCTCGTCGGGGGCGTCTTGGGCAGCCTTGCTCTTCTTGGACTTCTTTTTGCGGCCTTTGCCCTTGACATTGGCAAAGCCAACGGCATCGTCGAGGTCGAGGTGTGCAGCGAAATACCATTTTCGGTAGTTGGCATTGTCGCCACCAATGTAGTCGGCGTGAAGCGAAAGCAAAGCCTGGTTGGGAGTCATGCGGGATGCTCGAGAATCCAAGAGAATCATGAGGTGGTCGTACATGTTTCTCATGCTGTCACGCTGGAAACCAAACTTGCCGGTCAAGTCCATGAAAATGTCTTCGATCTCCTCCTTAGACAGGGGGATCTGTGCATCCGAGGTCCAAGCAGGATAAGGTTCCCTCGAGCGCTGGCCAGCAGGGAGAACGTTTCCAAAATCCATACCGTAGTTGGGGGTTGATGCGCCAGAGGAGCGGTTTCCGCCATAGGAGACCTGAGAGGAAGGGGGCCGGTACCCACGGGCTCCTCCCTCAGCGTAGCTGTTATATCTTTCATCGCCACGGCCGTAGTAGTCCATGTCAGTGGCACGAGCCATGTCTGACCTCATGGTGAAGTCACTGAAAGTCTCGGAATCATTCTCGCCGCCCTGGTTATAGGCCTGGTCGTGATACTGTCCACTCTCATGGTTATTGTTGTTGTTGTTGTTGTTGTTGTTGTTGTTATTGTAATAATCGTCTTGGTACTGGTCGTTGTTGTCGTAGTACCCGCCGTCTTGGTGGTAAGGATTCTGGGCGTCGGCATTGTAGTAGCCGCTGTGGAGGGCGAAGCGGCATGGTCAGCTTACACATGGAAGTGAGGAGGGTAGCAAGGCGGAAGAAACTCACGATTGATCGTAGTAGCCTTCATTGTGGCCTTGCTGGTTGTTGGCATTGCCGGCGTGGTTGGCGGTGTTGTCGTAGCCATCATGGTCGTAGTACTGGCCATTGTGGTCGTTCTCATAGTAGGAGTCCGTGTTCTGGGCTCCCTGAGGATGACCGTAGCCATCGTCGTAGTGGTCGTTATGACCACCACCTGGGTAAGCCGACATCTTGAGGGAAGATGGGACTTAAAGTGTCAGTATTCGGCGTAGACCTAGTGATTGAGCAAGTCAGTGTTCGTCCATGCTTGCAAAGGAAATGAGATGGCGGGAAAGGGTTTTGGGTGGCGCCAATAATTAAACTGCATGACACAGAAAGAAGGTAGGGGCGGATCTGCAAGGGTGGTCTTGATTTTGACTTGAATCTTGACGTCGGAGCGGTTGCATTTTTTGGGTGTTGATGCAGACGCTCGTGCAAGGTGCAAGATGCAAGATGCAGGTTGTTGTTAAAACCAAGTAGCAAGCAGTAGACGCATGGCGGGCAGGCAGGACAGACGGGAAGGAATTCAGATCGGGATCAAGGTGCTGTTGGGGGTGCAACTTACAGGCTCAGAAACTCATGACATGCAAAGGTCAAAAATTATTGATTAATGTTGCAGCTTGTTCCTTCCTGTCAATGAACGAAAGAACAATCACGGCCAGCCAGTGACTTTGTTGACGCGGTCGGACTGGAGTTGTGTTGTATTGTTTGGTATCGTATTGGATGGGATTGGAACGGATTGAATTTGGAGCTGCTGTGCAGGATTGGCCCGACTCTGGGTTACGCGGCGTAGCGTAGTGCTGTCGTCCTGTCGGCTTGACCTAGCGATAAGTTCGGCAGGCTCGGCGTCTCCAAAAACTAGCGTTGAATCCTGTCAAAAGAGGAACTTGAACTTGGCCTCAAGTTCCCAACTTCTCCGATAACCAATTATTCGGAATCCCTTGACAATTTTTGTGGTCGGGCAACGATTGACTAGAGGTGAGTCCGTATGTGGTAAAACAATAAAGGAGGCGGTCCCGGCGTGTCGCGGTTGTCCGTCCGTCCTGGTCGTTGTTGTTTAAGGTTTTTGTATCGGCTGTGTGCACCACGACGAGCAAGCGAACGTGTACTGGTCGTCTAACGCAGGCAGATGGCCAAAAACTAGATTTGAACCGGTGCAAGGTAACGAAGGTCGGAGTGAGTGTTTCTCTCGCAGAAAAGAGGGAAAAAAGAACTACAAGCTTTCCTGTCTCTCAACGCTGCTTTCCAAGGAATCGGCCCAATGCTGCTACACGAGGCAGATCAGGAAGAAATTGAATCCAAAGAAAGAAGAAAGTGTGAAACGGTTTGCGAGGGAAGGTAGAAGTCAGGAAAGTTGGGAAGGGGGGTTCAGGAAAAGAGAGTGAGGTTGGCCTTGGAAAACTGGAATGCGTCGAAAGGGGAAAGGACTATTACAATTACAACATAATACAGTACTGTGCTGTGCTGTATTGTGCTGTACTGTACGCTATGCTATGCTATCTTGACTCCTATGCTCTCCTAAATGTACCAAGCATGGACGAATAACGCACTGCACTACGCTACCGGTACCTCACGGAGCATTGCTAGTTACCTGCAATGCGATTGACACTGGGGGCAGGGGTTTGACTTGCTTGACCACTGAGGTCCGCTAAACAAGGAGGAGGGAGAACCCGCATCAGGATCGAGATACGGAGGGAGGGAGGCTGTGCAAGTTGAGGTTTGCCCATTCGACAACTCGCCCCTGTATCCGCTAAATCACCCCACAGCTCGTTATTGCCCTAGATTCAGGTTCATGGAGGGACGAGGGAGGAGATGCCAGCTGGTGCTTGGCTGATACTATCATAGTACGCGGTATGTAGTAAAGTGAGCGCGCTGGCACTCTCGCACTCTGCCTAGAGGTTGCCAAACAAGGAACCGCTGGAGCACTTCGGGGGCAAATCCACGAAAGTGGGCATGCTAACCCCTTTCCACTTGCAAGAAACCAGAAATGGATCGTGTCAAGGGGCAATCCGCAGAAACCGACAGGGTTTCCCTGAGCACTGATTGGCTGCTCATCCCGCTTTCTTACAGCCTGGAACTTGTCCAAGTGCACTAGAATGCGAATCACCGAGAGAAACCTTACGAGTACAAACTCCCAACTCGTCGCTCCATACCACCCGACGATCGATCTTTTCGACCATCCAGCCCATTATGGTTGAAATGAATATCTCAGCAAAAAAAAAAAAAAAAAAGGTATCCATCCCATCTGGTCCCCCGGACCTATGGTGCAACGATTTTGTATGCATAATGAATATCAACATATCTGCTATACGTTGTGGCATTTTCGGACATGCGTGGCACGTATTGTATCGTCTTGTGTTGTATTTCATAAAAGGCCATGTTGATGACCATTTGAATGGGCCAAGCCATATTAAACCACGAACACAGCAACCCCCTTAGCCCATCAGTTGCTAATAAATGTATCTACTTTGTAATCTACTATATGTTCTAGTGCTGCTTTAATTATATGGGCTCGGCTTCTACGTCTTGCCATTATAATGCGATGCTCTGCACTGTCTTCATGCATATACGAGTACACTCGAAGTACCTGTAGGCTGCCGCTTATATGGCCAAGGGTTATCTGCAGTTCTGGGGCCACCTACATACAGTACATAGTACATCCATGGCTTAGCAGAACTTGCCGACCCACTAAACCAACCAATTTCAACTCATCTCGACATGAGCTGGGACAATAGAAAGCAGGTCTCCTAGCAATCTAACAACGAGATGTAGGAATGGTACATAGGCATTGCGGTTGTCTTTATAGCTCTCCTACAGCTGATGTTGACGCGTTGTGTTCCAATCGTGTTCGCAGCACCGCCCCGTAGTTGCTTCGCGTGCTGCATTGGCGTGCCTGCATGCATTCGTGTTCTGTGCCGCGCACGCAAATCCTCCCGAGAAAATACGAATCGATCAACATGTGGCAAATGCACCAGGTGCACCAGGCACGAGGCGCGAGGTGCGAGGCGCGCAACACTAAAAGTGATAGGCGAGATGGGTTTTCCAAAAGCTGGCTGAGAATACCATAGTGGTGTACACTGTTATGCGGCACGAGGTCGCTTGCCCTGTTTTTGCATTTAATTTCGGCGCCTTTGATGTAGCCATAAGAACGCGTGTTGAATCTTACACAGGGCGTCAAGATGCGACCAACAACGCCAAAAAAACAAAACAAAAAAACCTTATCGAGTTCTGAAAGTTTTCCGCGCTTGGCGGGAGGTTTTCCAAGCTTACTAATTGCCGTATCCTGTTGGAGAGTCCCCATTAAGTATTTATCCTGAGATACAGGACTGTGCTGAAAGGATGTGTGGCACCTGGATCCCACCGCGTTGAGAGTAAACCTTCGCGACACATGAGCTCCATCAGGAGGCTACGCAAAGGCTTTACAGTGTGAAAGTGTAGCGTTGTAGCAGACAAAAATAAGCCCGCGTCTCATGCAAGGTACAGGCGATGACGACATGGAAATAATCAAGTTCGCACTACCGGCAAAGGTGTGGCAAGGATCTGACCAACAAGACTGCAGCCTGAGATTAGACGTTTCCGGCCTTGATAGCCCCTTTTCTCTCGAATTATTCCGTGTATTCCGTGCACCTCTATTGTAGATGGTCATCATGAGGAATGTATTGTTTCAGCAGTGCCATGTTACCTTGTTCAAACATTGGATGACAGCGCAACCAGTGTTTCCCGCCCACGCCCTAGTACCATAAGCCCAACTGTAGCGGTTGCAAATCTGGTGAAGGTTTTAGCCACATTAGGCGTCTCCCCATATGTTTGTCCGAAGCCAAATGGTGATACTCTAGGCCCGGGAAGATAAAAAAGAAAAATACCTTTAAGAAAGGCAGTTTGACCAGGAGCAACAGTACCCAGCAGCCAGCTCGCCGGCTTCCATTGCTTCCGCTGCTCTCCGCTGCCCCTCAATTTATCTCATATAATTGCGGGGCCTGTTCAGGTTTATATCTTAGGCGCTCCAGCGCGTTTGACGGTTCGGAGCCCGTCGAGGAAAAGCTTCCACAGGCAAGTCTGGTCAGTGGATCAGTGACTCGTCACAGCACCGTTTGTCCTTGCCTTCGCATCCACTTGATGGGCCACTTTCAAATTTCTACAAGGGCTTGAGCAATTCATTTACAGTCTGGATTACACGTCTAGTCATTGTAGCTCCTCTAATAACGCTGCGACTCAGCCGCAATGGTAGGGCTGCGCACGCATCGTGGTGCTGAGAAATCAGAAAGTCCGGGGATTGCATTTTGTGGGCCCTATTCGTGCCACCGCCGAGGTGTGCGGTGAAGGCCATACTTGCACGCATGAGGTGACCTGGCGCAGTGTGCGCAAGTCAAATTCGGGATTGAAGCGTGCTTGTGGTGGTAGTTAGTAGTGTGAAATGCTTCGCATACTACAGCAAATTTGAGCAGACTGAGCTTGTCAGCCAGCTTAACATCAGAACTTTGAGCAGATTTGAATAAATCGCGGCAATTGCTCGTGCTCCTCATTTCAAGCCGAGATGGTGAGACTTCGTTTGTATTTCCGTTTGGTGGATCTTTTCTTCACTTATGTTGCCATTCATTTGCCAATTTCACCGGGAATCCATTCCTTCCTTATGGTACGTAAATAGTCAAGGCCGAGTACCTTATGTCTGAAGTTGTGGGACCAGGGAACTATTGCCACGGAACTATATGATACCATCTCTCAACGCGCCTCGAAAATAACATCCGCCAGGGAATCTGGTGGAGCTGGTGTTGCGAAGTTTGCGTAACTCCTACATAGTGGACAAGATACGACTCGAGCAGTATTTTGCTCAGATACCAACCGCGCAGTACCTTCTGATGGTATATCACCATCAGGGTTAACAGTTACTAAAATCATGTAGGCCAAGTCGATTGTCTACTTTCCAGTATCGCGGTACCCTTTTCTTTCCTACGTGCGATCATATACACGCGCGCGATCAAAGTAAATGCTGGTGATGCCAAGCGTTGTGGACAAGACAAATGCCTGATGTTATAATCATACATGTACGCATGATTATATATGCCGCCCGCTATCGTCTAACGATAGTACTTTAATGCAAACTTAGTTCTGCTATAAATGGTAATAATGACCACATATTGTAATCATGGGATACAAAACAAACGCATCCGAAGCATATAATGTTGGCATTATTGCCTTGGTAGTTCAGTGTCGAAATATCAAGTCGTGGTCTATAATACAAGAAGATAATGAGAAGGGGCTAAGCATAAATAAACGACTGTCCAAAAAGACATAAAGCCCGAGTGCCTGGCCAAATGACTAGTAGCTGATATATTACTCCGTTGGGTAATATTTCCGTAAACCTCGAGTGAGTTATGTTAGGACGCCAGGGAATGACGATTTCGCATCATGTCCAGATAACAATGCACACAGGCTTTTTACCTTTCTAGACATTGTGGCGGTTGTTGCCATCAATGGAGCCTGTATGCTAACGCTATGGCACCGCTCTCTAGAATAGTACCACATCATGACGTTCATAGCAATACGTTCCTTTCACCTAGCCGTATTCTTTTTCTAATCTGCCGAAGGGGAAGGGGGTGCTGGTGGCCTACATTCTTAGGTGATGATTGAAGAGAACTTATATCAGCTCTCAATCTTTCCAAACGTACCGCCATAGAAAGTCGAAGCTCATTATTCAATGTTATTTTTATTGAATTCGGAGCAAAATCAGAAGTGCAGTGTAGCAATTACTAGTATGCACCGAGACGAAAGTGTGGACGTGCGAGTTAGTTGTCGAATGAAGGGTTGAAGCGGCTTCGTTGCCCCTCCAACCGACCCGCATCTTCACGGATGTGTTATTAGTTTGATTAGGTGCAAAACTATTCGCGTTTTCATTTGGTCGAAAATCACTTCAGAAAGTAATTCATTCTGCAGGAACCATGGCTAGATTATTATATGAATCAAATAGCGAGGACGAATTCCCGCCACTAAAGGTTGTTGCAAAGCGCGTTAGACAAAAGATGCCAGCGGCGAAGGACACAAAGCCAAGCATAACAGACAAGGAGAATGTACCATCAAGCGAACCACCAGCAAGCCTTCTCGGGAAGTCAAAGCTCTCAGAACTGTCGTTTAGAGGAACTCCGCTGAGGCGACGGAAATTGGGCGACTCGCAGGCATTGGACAATCCGCTCTTCCGAAAATGGAGCGAAGATACTGCAGAATCCAGATCAAGGTCGTCTCGTGTTAGCAGCCGGGAGACCAAGAGGAACACATCGGACATATCAATATGCCCCTCACAAGAATTAGAGGACAGCACCCAAGAGTCTGACGACGACGTTTTTGTGCGGAGGAGAATACGAGCCAAACCTGCTGCGGAGAAGCTGGTAAGGAAACGTGCGGAAAGCCGGGTCAAGACCGAGGTTCTACTATCGGTCACTGAATTAAGCGACAACACGCGGACCACTGAGGAGACGCTGGAGATATCGGCAATTCTCTCTGAAGGGGAGGAGCTGGAAGGCCAAGGACACTCAAGTAATGATGATGAGTCGGAGTTTGTGACTGCGTTGTCTGAGAACGTGGAGTCAGACTCGAATTACGAATCGCCATCAGAATCCGGGTCCTTGACCAAACCCAGGCGATCAAAAAGTCCCGGTACCAAATCAAGAGGACTAGTCCGACTATCGCCACCAAAAGAGCCACCGAAAAGGCAGACACAATCGAACAAATCACCGGCAAAGGATAACAAGCGAGCTCACAGCATGGACAAAACACAAACCGTCCCTCAGACCCCAGGGGTAAGATCCAGAAAGAGCAACCCTATAACAGAGAGCCTCGGAAATGATTTTCAAAAATTAAAGCTCTATGCTGACGATCTGGATAATTCACCTGATGCCAAGCCGCAAACACAACTCAATCCAGTCACTCCTAAGAAGTCATTGCAACAGTCACCATTTAAAGCAACCAAAATTCCACCTTCTCCATGGAAAGCCGAGCATAAAGAATTTTGGGATGTTGAGATACAGAACGAGTGGGTCGACCAGCACTCGCCTCCCAAACGCGGCCCCAGAAAGGTTGACCTGATGGCTGGCACTTCCAACATAGAATTGCTGAAGAAAAAGTACGGGGCCAGCCCAGAGAAGCGGGATGCAAAAAAGATGTTCGACCAGGCCAAGGAGAAAGTGGCGCAGGAATTCCTGCACGAGCTAGATGAACGCATCACGACCGGTCAGCTGTCTAAGCTGACGGAAGCTACAGGAGGGTTGCGCATCAAGTGGTCTACCTCGTTACAAACCACGGCTGGCAGAGCTCACTGGAAGTGTAAGGAAACGACCACCAACGTTCAGCAGCCGGATGGCTCATTCAAATCGACAAGGGAGCGCCGGCACGAAGGCTTCATCGAACTGGCCGCCAAGGTTTTGAGCAACGAGGAGGACCTACTCAACACAGTTGCGCACGAGTTTTGTCATCTCGCAGTCTTTATGCTCAATGGCAAGCCCAAGTTTGCACACGGAGCAGAGTTCAAGTCATGGGGTAGCAAGTGCATGGATGAGTTCAAAGACCGAGGGATCGAGGTGACCACGAAACACAACTACGAGATCGACTTCAAATTCATCTGGCGCTGTAGCGACTGCGCAACCGAGGTCAAGCGACACTCAAAGAGCGTGGATCCTCTCAAGCAAAGGTGCGGACGGTGCCGAGGCACGTTGGAGCAGGTCAAGCCTGTCCCAAGAGCCCGTGGCAAAGGAAAGAGTGCGTACCAGGAGTTTGTGAGCACAGAAATGAAGGTGCTGAAAGCTGAGGGCAGGGCACTGAGTTTCAAGGAAATGATGGCCACTGTCTCCACACGCTGGAAAGCTCACCAGGAAACGAAAAGGATGGAAACCAGCACTCCCGGCAACGACCTTAAAGATCTGGAAGTTGAGTTTGAGGAGCTGGCGGTCACAGACGTGATATCTGACTGACCTTGAACTATGTCAGTGCTCCCGGTTTCGTCAAGTAAACCGTTGCGGCTTCGACATGGAAATGTCCATCATCCGTTCTGAAATAACAGTCAGTCAGTGTATGCATTGCTTGGAGTTTCGCTTCATATAGAGGAGTTCTGCATTGGCATCTTGGGGAATAGAGCGCATTATAGAAATGACCTTATTTACAATACCACACCCTCAATCTTTAAAATCTACTCTTGACGTCGGGAAAGGAAATCGGCGTTTTACCGTTGTACAATCGACGCAACGCAGATATACACATGCATGAACATGTGACCTAGCATTCTTAGAAGATATCAGTCTGCAGCTCAAGACAGTCCAAAGTCACAAGTTACATTCGTTCATTTCGTAATCCATCCAAAAGTTTGCCAAACTTGTCATTCCAGACATAAAAGACAGGCCTGCTCCTAGTCTTATCCGTGCTAGGCTATACCTCACTGAACAAATTCCAGTCCTTGACCTTGAAGGTCTCCCAGATCTTAGCGGCATAATCGACTGCATCGCCTATTAACTTTCCTTGTTTGCCCAACTCCAAATCGATATCGTCCTCGTCGTATTCGCCTTTGATGTGAGGCACATTGATGGTGATGAGAAAGTCTGTCATCTCACGCTCAAGCCGCACCAGGGTCATGATTAGTGCAGTGAAGTCGGGCGCAGACTTTCGGTCCTTGTCCGAGCTCGATTTCGGTGTTATGGTAGCGATGAGCGTATATGCTGGGACGTTCTCGCTGTTGGGCAGTTAGCGACAGGCATTGCCCAGGCATGTACCTGCTGGAACATGGGACATGGAACATGGAACACGGAACACGGAACACGACGAGCGTGGATCGACACACGATGGATCGGACTTTGTCAAAGGGTAAAGAAAAGATGCTTCCACGTACTCGAGGCGCGAAAAGAGTGTCGGCGTGGTATTCCAGACTTTGAGCCGGTCAATATCCTCTTCAACTACATCCTCCAGATGTCGTGTCAAGGCACGACCGTCGATCTCGGGACCGGTGCCTTTCTCGCCCACTCGCTCGTTGATCTCAAAGACGATGCTTGTGAAGCCATCTTTGTCGATCCAGACTTCTTGGTGATCGGGGACTTCGCGCAGTCGGCTGTGGGTGGGGGGTTTGTGTCAGTTGTGTAACGGGGTCCCTTGGGTGAGATTGACGTGACTGGCGCAATATGCACAGGGCCAGCGCGCATCGAGGAAAATCATACCTGACATCGGCAAACTGGTCGGGTAGCGAAACGACGATTGCGCCACCGTAGAGTGGTACAGTCTTGTAAGACATGCTGGGAAGCTTTGAAGGGTGTATATCGGTGGCAGAAATTGAAGAAATGTGAAGATAGTAATTTGAAGCCTCATCAGGTTTCCGTTGCAGATGCACTGAAGGAAGCTACAATGACGCAGCAGGTTGAGGTGGGGTCTTGTTGGTCGCTCGCGGGGTGAACTCAGCTTAATAAAAAGTCCATGACCTTTAACTTATTCAACATGTGTCACCATGAAAGCAGGTTTACATGGAAATGTGTAGTTACCAGGACGCCTAAAGATTATGATGATTCTCACTGCTCTACCACTACTCTGCAGGGGGTCCAACAAATTACCGTTGAGCAGAAATACCCATCCATACCTGTAGTGATGATTTCGACTGTTGGATTGTATTGTGTTTATTCAAAGCTAAGGGTGAGAACCAAATGACTCTTGCAGCTATTTCTGTGACTGGGACCGTATTATGGAGCCTGATCTTTCAGACGGCACCCTAAACTCCAACGACAAGTGCATCAAGGAAGCAAGTTGGGGTTCGTTCTGGGCTTGTCTGGCTGTCGCTTTAGATGAGCTTTTATTAAATGAAAGGACAAAAAAGAACACAGAAAATATTAATAAAAAATATGATAGAAAGAAAAAAAGAGACCTTCGGCGTATTGCTGGAGTTCGTACTGCTATTGTACGTCTGCTGCCATTTCGTACCGGCATTGGCACCTCGTTCATCCACCATCCTCCTCCCTTTAGATGACAGACAGATACCGTGCATGCTGGCCATGAATCGTTCGAAACAGAAATACACCCACGTGAAGATATCCGTAGCCCATTCTATGGTCCATCCACCATGTGACTGACACAGTGTTTTTGGTAGTCAGTGGTGTTGTCTCTTTGAAAAGGATAACCTACCCAAAAGAACGGATTGAATGGTCGACGCCAACCAAAGAAGAAATTGGGCCCGTTTTGTTCCCGCTGCATTGGTTCCCGCCTGCCACTAAGCCAAATTGTATGATCTCAGCATTTGTGGTAACGACACACCACATCCGCTGAGCAACCATGCAAAAATCAATCTGCTGATGCGCAGAGAATTGGTTCCAAAGATAGAGAAAGGAGCATCTCAACGGCAGATCTCTAGCGAATCATGGTAAAAGGCAATGGTTCGGTTGTCCAGATCACTCGTTAGCTCCAAGAAATTTGTCATCTATTTCTATATATATTAGTGCTTCGGTAGAGCTGGTGGGTGAGGACTTCAGCATCGTATGCCGAAGTAATCCCGAGCGTCAAATCCGAGGCATCTACACTCCTGTGCCATGTTCTTTTGGAGAGAGCAAGGAGAGGAAGTGTCTGCCTTGCTTTCAGAGTTACCATAAGTTCTTCATCCAAGTCTAACATATTGACACTTCAAAATCACAACTCAAGGCGCTCCATGGTCGCCGAAAGTTATTCAAATCTCTCCAACCTCTCTCCGACCATGGAGCGTGATCGTCTTGATTCAACCAGTTACCCTGGGTCATATGTCACCAAAAAGCTTGGCATAAGGACTCCCCGGGCCGCAACGAGATACTTGGTAGTTAAAGCAGAGCCGCAAGTCTGTTAATATATTTCGCCATTAGTCACGGTATTCATCGTACTTGTAGACTAGATACTGTGAAGAAACCACAGAACACCCACCTTCCTGCCCCAGGACAAGCTAGAGGCTTCAATAAAACATACCCCGCCAGGCAGTAATGAAAGACCAATGACACATTCCAATGTCTATGAGGCACTGGGCTCCGAATCATTGTGGGGCAAACGTTTCAATGGACCAAGCCTATGGATCAACCAAGCGTATGAATAGACATTTCGGACTGCAAGGTTAGAGGAAGCTTACTTCCTTTACCGGTTTGTCCTTCTTCGTAACCTTCCTAGTGCCACTCTATGACGTATCCTTTGTTAGATACTGGAAATATGTCGAGATACTCCTGTAGGCATATATAGGTAAGGGAAAGAAGGTGGTATACTTGTCAGTCAAGTGGCTCAGACATACCAGGCACCATAGCGAGTTTACTGCAGGACACCAAATTGCTAGTTCGTTCCGTTTGATTGATAACGGATGCCATTACAGTACTCATTTTGACACATAGAATAGTATATTAGCTAATTGTGATACATGGATTGTGATGAGCTACTTGGAATGGACGTTACCAAGGCATTCACAATGGCAGCGGAACATAAAAGGTGAGCTATGAACCCAACACGATAGCACAAAATGTTGATGGTAAATAGCTTTGATTTTCGCTTACAATAAAACATTTGATACACTATCCCAAATGGGCCCTTAGGCAACAAGTCTTTTGGGTCACCATTAGATACGACTACATCACTAGAGTCCACGGACGAACACCTCTGTCTACCACACCACTTTCCCCCGGTATTAGCTATAGCATTTTTGAACAAACCGGCGCTTGTGAGGCTTCGTTACAATTACGCAACTCTGATTAGGATCTATGCAACTTGGGCAATCAAGTCCGTGCTATTCTCTGTTTCGTCGGTCGTCGTACGTGGACACATTGACTTCAGTATACGCCGACTTCTCCTCATGTTCTCTCAGTAAGAACTTGCACTTGAAGCCTGGGTAGCGGCGCAGAAATCCAGACCGCTGCAGTAGTTCATGTATCCTACGTTCATCTGTAGTGCCGACCAGAGTGTCCCTATAACATACCACCTACACACATCCATGGTAGCTACACAGGTGTTCGCATTCCCTCCACCACTGATACTGCTGGTGGTCCCAATACATGTTATTACAGGCAAACGCCAACCCCCGAACCTCGGATGATATGCCAGTCGGCGCCTTCAAAACGCATTTGCCTGTGCCGGATTGGGTCTTCAAGCCTTCAACGGCAGCCACAATATCAAGGAGGAAGCATTAGAACCGTGTACCTGTCTACAACAAACAGATCACTCATTGAAGTTTCGGCATAGACAGCGAGCATTGTACATTCACTGCGTGAGGCGACGTGAGATTCATGATAGGCAATGCATGCTCTGACGGGGCAATGCGCTCTGCATTATGCTTTTCTCACCCCAGCCATAACCCGGGGATGATCGTCTATGGTATCTATCTTACAGACCAGAATTACGCCAGACCAGGCTCCTAATCAGCTTCAGCCAGCCATAAGTCCATGCCTGTGCCCGCCTTGTAGTTGGCAAGCCGTTTTATCATCATCATACATTAACAAGACGTTGTTAGAGTTTACGGTGCCCAGATATCCTGGCCTGTGGCCTCGATCCAGTTGCCCAGCTTGTTCACGTTCTCACCCCACTCACCCAGCCTCGCGCTCATGCTGGCGATTTGAGTCATGTCGAGGACACGGGGTTGAACCCAGGTGAAATTGACGAGCTTGTCGACTTCATCAATTGTGCCTCTCACCAGACCCAAACTTAGGGCCTTCATGACCAAGTGCTCAATCTCGTTAGGACGAACTCTTGTGTCGGCGGAGATGTCGTCAAAGGTCATGGCGCGCTGATGAGGGGGCCGCCGGAAGACGGCCTCGGTCAGAGCTGTTAGGTAGATCTTTTGTCTGATTTCTTGCTCGTTATCAGCGAGTAGCTCATTTGACTTGATGTTGCCGGAGAGCTTGTCGTAAGCTACCAGGTCGCCTCGGTTGAAGGCAATGAGAAGTTGGCGTAACCAGTCAGCATCGCCCGATAGAGAGGCCAGAATGGGGTGTTGTAGCAGCTCGCCGAAGTTGTAGATGGAGTCGGAGACGAGGGCAGCGATGCCCAGCTCATAGGCCCTTTGCTTGCGCTCCTTGTCGGACAAGTCCTTGAGATCTATGCAGGCAAGGTAGAGCAGAGCGTTGCGGTAGTAGGAGGCGTAGTCGCTGACGGAGTTGTAATACATTGCATTTGTGCGGTAGAAGGAGGCGTGAACTTTTGTCTCAACGCTGTCGAACGTGTCGAGGATCTTCTCTGCCTTGTCGAGATCTTTCCTGGCACCCTCATCATCGTCCACGCGCAACTTGATGAGACCAACGAAGATGGTGGCGTAGACGAAGGCGTCTTGTGAGCTCTCGTTGTCGACCCTTTTGGCGAGATCTTCAAGGAAGGACAATCTCTCATCGTCGTCTGCTGTTGGGTCAGTTATTGGTCAATGCGTATTCGGTCAGAGGATAAAAATAGATGCAAATATAAAACAAGAAGAAGAAGAAGAAGAAGAAGAAGAAGAAGAGGAGGAGGAGGAGGATGAGGAAGCTATGGGATATACCTTTGCATGCGGCGGCGGCCTTGAGACCTAGATCGACCAGCTTGATCTGGTTGATCTTGTCGGCAAACTTGAGGATGAAGACCTTGTAGAACTGTAGGCGTTGCTTTTGACTGGCGGGGTTCTCGAAGAATTCGACGAGGGCATCGGTGAGCTGGTGCCATAACTTTCGCTCCCACAAGTTCTCGAACTGGATGATGAGGCCCTGGAGCTCTTCGGGAGCTTCGTCGCGCTGATCGGCGAGGAAATCGGAAATGGTGTCGACATTCATGGTGCCGTGGATGTTTGTTTGTTTGCTTGCTTGCTTGCTGGATGTACTTGGCCCCTAGTCTGATCGAAAGCTGAGAGTTATGCGCAAGGAGCGGGATTGTTTAAAATATGTAGGGTTGTCGGGGAGGGGCGTGGAAGACGTTGTGATGATGGACTGTAGCTGTGGTGAAAGCTCCGGGGGAGACGATGTCACAATATGATGATGTGCCACTAAGATAGAACACGGCCTACAGCACATGTACCTACATACATACGTAAGTAAGTAAGTAACGTGGGTATCTCGGAGGCTACAAGAGCTGGAGCTGGAACTGGAGTGAGTGCAAACGCGGCTGGTCTGTAGCCTGATGGGGGGGGGGAGGCGCGTGCTGGAGACTTTGATTACAGTAGGTTAGGTGCCTTGGGTGCCTGCCTTCACTTACTTCCGTACCTAACCCACGGGAAGACTACCTAATGTCCTGAATGGGGTCGCTGGGTGAGATAGGGTGCGTAAGCCACAGCTGACCTTTGTGCTTCGACGCTCGTGGACGGATGTATGTAACCTAGCGGTAGGTTAACATAGTCACATAGACAACGACAAACTGTATTGTGGCTGAAGCTCCATGCACTCACGCCCTCAAATCAGCTGGCGGTGATTGGCGGGCTTGGCGGGCCGGTCAAAGTGGCAGGCAGACCGGGTCTCAATTCAAGGCGTGAAGCTCATCGCATAGCAGCAGCCAAATACCGGTACCATCCTGTTGTGATAGCTTCAATTGCCCATCGCTCAACGCTTCTGACAGGAATTGGAAAGGTCGCTGCCATTCTTGCAGTCCAGAGCAATCGCAAGAAATGGCCTCCTTTCCGGCCGCTGCGCGGTCTAGCACCAGACTTGCCCTCAATTTCACTCAGCGAAGGTCCATTGCCGACGTAACCATCACACGTACCGGCAAGCCCATTCTACGACAGCAGGGTGGCCGGTATGTCCTTTTCCCCTTCCCCCTCCCCATCTATGCCATGGCACAAGACAGAACTGACCCGTTCCTCCTATACATATAGACACTCGCTCGGAGGTATGCCAGCAGACCCTCGTCCAATCCAAAACCGGAACACAGACGGTCTCTAACCAACTCCATGTCTAGGCCACACTGCCACCGTATTTGGCGCAACCGGTCAATTGGGCCGATACATCGTCAACAGGCTAGCCCGTCAAGGATGCCACGTCGTCATTCCCTTCAGGGACGAGATGGCCAAGCGCCATCTCAAGGTCACCGGTGACTTGGGCCGAGTCAACTTCGTCGAGTACGACCTCTACAACACGGAGTCCATCGAGGCCAGCGTCCGGCACTCCGACGTCGTCTACAACCTCATCGGCAGAACATACCCCACCAAGAACTACAGTCTTGACGACGTCCACGTGCAGGGCACCGAGCGCATCGTCGACGCCGTCGCCAAGTACGATGTCGACCGTTACATCCACGTCTCCTCCTACAACGCCAACCCCGACTCCCCCTCGGAATTCTTTGCCACCAAGGGCAAGAGCGAGCAGGTCGCACGGAGCATCTTCCCCGAGACCACCATTGTCAGGCCAGCACCCATCTTCGGCTTCGAGGACAACCTCCTGATCCGCCTGGCGACCCCAGCCAACCTCTTCACTTCCAACAACATGCAGGAGAGGTACTCGCCAGTACACGTAAGTCTCCTTTGTTGCCCTGATTCTCTCTGTCTTGTCTTCAACTTGCCTTGTCCCGAGACGGCAACTGACCTCTCCGCAGTCCATCGACCTCGGTAAGGCTCTTGAGCAGATGCTCTACGACGACACCACCGCCGGGCAGACGTATGAGCTCTACGGCCCCACCGAGTACTCGACAGAGGAGATCGCCGAGCTTGTGGACCGCGAGATCTTCAAGAAGCGCAGACACATCAACGTCCCCAAGGCCATCCTGAAGCCCGTCGCACAGCTCCTGAACAAGGTTATCTGGTGGCCCATCCTCAACGCCGAGGCCATCGAGATGGAGTTCATCGACCAGGAGATTGACCAGACTGCCAAGACCTTCAAGGACCTCGGCATCACCCCTGGCGACATCAAGGACTTTACTTACCACTACCTTCAAGGATACCGGAGCTCCTCATTCTACGATCTCCCCCCGGCCACAGAAAAGGAGAAGAGGGAAGACAGAAAGTACATTCATGTTACGGATGAGCTGTAGATTAACCTTCACAGGGGCAAAAGAGAGAAACTCATGTGTTTGTACATATACACCTAGACTTACGGTTTCCTTGCTTTAATAACCAGTGAAAAGTGCATTCGAGTTCACCTTTTATCCGGCTGTGCTCTTCCCCCTGATGGGCGCCATGAATTCTGATGCTCTCAAGTAGTCAAAACAACATCCAAACGCGTGGGTTTATTAGTCAGAAAGGCGCAATAACCGCTCTTGTTGGCGGTGCCCCGGCCCAAAAACAGCAAGACCAACTAGTTGTTCAGCATTCTTTTTGTCTCGTACCAAATTGGTTCAGGAACTACGCAAGGGAGACTACCTTAAACCGCCCCATTTCTCTGTCTTTTGACACGCACCGTCACTTGTCATGAACAATTCTCCTCTGGCCCATCTCATAAACCTTGGCCATGACTGCTATTTCGGAGGAAACCCCTTTCAGACCTCCGTGTAGTTCTATACTGGAATTGTGGGCGTTTCTTCCCTCCGGTTTTGCAGTGCCCTATTTCAGTCCCTACACATCATTGAAACAAAACACGTCAGACCTTGGTTTAGTAGAGTATAACACACAGTAGTCTACGAGCTATCAATAGGGAAAGGCGGACGGGAATTCGGTCGTGTGGAATGACTGTAGATTGGACAATACTACTACGGCATTCAAACTGTAGTTGACGTACAAGCCCTGGAGCGGGGGCAGCCGCAGGCACATGAAGTGTCGATGGCCAACGCAGGGCACGCCTGCCGATTAACAGCGAGGCGAGTGTTGTAGAGATCTTTGGAGGCCTGGAAACTCTCTTGGTTGATGACCGGTACAGCCGAATGCCTCACTAGCAGCCAGTGCCTTACTACTCCAGAAGGCCTATAGAAACCAGCCGTTCTAGTACGAGGTAATGCTGTTCTCACAGCAGGACCTACAGCTCTGGGAAGAGAGCGAGCCGAGGCTTCGTGCCGGCTGGACACGACGGAGAGGGTGTGATGTATTGGCGGAATGCACCATCCCACCCCGCACAATCTCGAACCTGTCCCAAATAATGATCACACGTGGAACAAGAATCTTTTTCATCTCCGAGTTCTGGCTGGTGTTCTCTACGGGGCATCTACTCTGAAGCTTCCATATCCTACCGGACAATTTCCAACCACGACAGACAGCGTGCGTACTTCGGGGGGCAGAGGAGGAGGCAGCTCCAGGTTGCGGAGCCTCGCGAAGACAGGAATGGGTGCTGGCTGAGACCTTGGATTGTCCTTCTTGTCTTTTTTATTATTAAAATTTTGATCTTTTTTGTTATTACGTCCTTAGTTCTACCTATAAGTGATGTTGTGGGCTCAGTAAAGACAGCTGGCTAGTGAGCTATATTACGTAGGTAAGGGGGCATATATTATATACATGAAAGGATAATTTGCCTCCCTTAATGGATTGGTTGTTTAATATCACAAATACTACTCATCTGTCAAGGGAAAACAGGATGGCGTCTTGTAGAGCGATATATTTCACAGGTGCGTTCCGTGTAAGCTGGTACTAAGCAAGAATCGAAATGAGATCATTTAGCATCATATTCTGCAGACACAACATTATGGAACAGAGGAGATGCCTCCACTTTAAGTCACTTCACTGGAGAAAACTATGTTTGTACCATCAAATGTGGCTGGGATATGTTCCCAGGGTAGAAAGTCCTAAGGAAAAAAAAGCATTTGCATTTTGTTCGTTTCTTGTGATCATTGTTTAGAGACTGCGACTGCCATCTCGCATCATCATGAATAAAAAAAATAAAAATAAAAAGGAATGACAGCCTGGGGTGTGCTTGCCCCCAATGCCTATATCAAGTCCAGCCAGCTGCTTTTCCATCAACCCGAATATGCAAAGTATGAAGTAGAACGAAACTGTCAAAAAGTCGGCTGAGGAGAAACCCGTGTATCTCCTACCTGTCCGCGGCCGAGTATCGACCTCTCATGCCCCAATATTGCTCGGCAAAAAACGTCCCAGCATCGGCCTGCTTCCACGGGTCGTTGAAAGCGGTGAACATGATGCAATCTGCAGGATTGCTGGAGAAAGAGCCTTGAATGGAGGTGATTGCCACGGCTTGGTTGTCCAAGCTAGGAACGGCAGCACCATTGGCCTCGCCCTTCCAAGGCCAGCCCGTCTCAGTGACAACAATGCGTTTGCTAGAATCAGAAAGTTTGCTGCGAATACGCTTTATTTGATTGGCGACAAAGGAACCTGCCTGATCTGCACCTGTGTTAGGGTCGAAGAAAGGATGGACGTTAACAGCGCAGTAGTCGGATTCGTTGCAAAGTTCGGGATGGTTGATCGCCGCGACAAATGTATCGACAGTGACGACTGGACCTTGGTAGCCGTTGCTCCGCAATGCAGTACGGGCTTGGTTGATAGCGGCTACAACTTGAGCAGAGGTTTTTGCACCATTGTTGACCAACTCATTTCCAACGCTGACGGTATCGACGATGCTCCAGTCATTTTTGACACCAGCGGCGATGGTAGAGACGGCCGATTCGACAACACTGATGTCGAAGATACCAAGGAAGAGCTTGTTGCCGTACTTCTTGGCTGCAGCATAGGCCGTCGCAACCTGGTTACAGTCGACGCCATAAAGGCGAACAACCCCATGGTCCTCAGCAAAGACGGCAAAGTCGGCATCGACCTCGGATGCAGACTTGCATCCACCAGTCCCCTTGTAAGGCGAGTATGTTATTCCGTGCAAGTTGGTGTCGCCACTGGTAGGTTGGGCTAATGTAGCAGTAGATGGACTCGGTTGGGGGTCCTTCGAGACCGAGTCCTTAGTAGGGGTGGAGCTCGGCGCAGATACAGAGGATGCGGTAGCGTAGGCAACCGGTGTAGAAACATCCTGGGTTGCTTCAGGCTTCGCCGCCGTCCCAGCAGAGACAACTGAGGCCCTAACAGACGTGGAGTATGCAAGAGTCGAGGACAAGATGGCAGACGAGGTAGTGGCTGGAACAATCACAACAATCTCAGTCGCAGTACGGATGGGCTTACCAAACTGATTAACATAGACCACAACCTCTGGTACCTCAGTGGGTGAGGAGATGGACGAGTCTGTGATGGTCAGTTGACCACGCTTGGGAGCAAATGCCCTTCGATGAGCATATCTCTGCTGGACAGTCCGTCGGTCTGCGGATAAATTAATTAGACGTTGCGTGGAGCTGGAGATGATGAAAACAATAGACACTTACTGGGCTCTGCAGCTGACAACTGAAGCAGTGCTAAAGCAGTTAAAGATAGGGATGCGACCTTCATATTGTAAGAATATTCGTAGTTTGATATAAACTCTCAATCTTTATTCCTCTTCTTCAGGATCAAGGAATGGCGGCCCCTTCTTCAAATAACGAATGACAAACTAGCTGCAAGGGGGCAACAAGTCAGTAACAGCCAGCAGATATGACTATGACAGCGAGCGACAAGGACAAAAAATGGACTTGCAAGCAGCAAAGGCGACCAAGGTTGTCAGCTGCCCGTTAGTCTCAAGCGATATGAAGCCTTAAAGGGGGAGAAACAAAAGGAACAACAAAGGAATATAGTGGTTGGAGAGACTTTGTGTAAATAAATGAGGGTCTTGTTGGCCCCGACAACGCAGCTGGGCACTCCGCCCAGTAAGCGTCACACGACAGATTCGGCGGTTGCCAGAACATAGTGGGAATGCGCCTCCCTTGATGGTGTTGAGGTGAGGCGAAACGTGGAGGAATGAAAGCTAGCAAGACTGATACTATCGTTCAAGAAGTGAGACATGAAAAGCGCATTCAAGACCACCTTCCTGATCCTGAAGGGGCAGATGCAAATAACAATCACAATGCATAACTGACCAGTGGACGATTACTTTTGATGGTGCTATTCGACTTCCGTGGAGTATCCTCTGCCAACAATTCTGGGGTTGGAAAGAACGTCAGGCTTCTGCGCTGTCCTGGCGCATTAACGATTTTGATGCTGCGGAGATACTCTGAAGAAAGCAAGAGACAGGACTAGACGGCGGTGTTTTGTCAAGCGAAACGCCAGGTCGAGTATGCGATGATATTTGTTCACTCCAGTCAACTGGAATTCCTGGTATCGAGGTTGGTGAAGAAGATGTCTTGTGCTTGCCCAGCAGCAGGAAGAAGAAGATGATGAAGTAGAAGAACAAGAAGGACAAGAAGGGACGACGTTGGCAGATGTGAAGCAAATGGAATAACAGCAGCGAGGACCGTCTGATGATGCCAGTTCTTATTATTCAATTGCGGTATTTCTTTTCATGAGTTCACCACTCCGTGAGCATATGCATGTGCTTCAGGAGTATTATTAACCTCCAGCCACTGTATGTAGTATACTGAGCGATTAATATACCGTAACTTCTTACCTGCAGAAAGATTTGCAGATTCACGACCGGCACGATTCGTGCAGAAACCTAGGTTTTCAGATTGGTCTAGTAATTATCTGTGCAAGCCCGATTAGTCTGGCCAATTCCGTCTGGCATGCCACATGTCCCAGAGGCCATGAATACATACGTAGTAATCTTGTGTCTCTTATGGTCCCTTCGTACTATTCTTATTACTTTTCGATAAAAGTGCTGATTATGCTGCTGATGATCAAATTAATTAATATTATATATCGGGGGTCGATGTCTTGTGTGCCCGTAGTCTTGCTGCGCTCCTGTCTCGTGATAAGTAGACTTCTTCTACTCTTGCTATAATGTACATAATCCGTTCATACAAGGTCGAATGTACTCCAACCACGTCTATAGTATGATTGTCATCATCGCTTTCTTATTGTGGTCTATGGCTTTTATGCCACAAGTGACGATTGTCTGTTGGTCTTCCGGGTCATGACCTTAGTAATAGCATGCCGTATCGTCACACCTGCCTTTTCTGTTTCCTTTTTTGACAAGCCAGATGTGATGCACACTTTCAATGCTGGTTTAATGGCCCATGTTTCATCCTTTGGTGTACCGATAGCTTTCACCGATGGCAGACTCTTGAGCCGAGTAATAAGAACGCCATTGTTCAGAGTCTGTTTGTGTGTGCATGGTCAGATATGTCCTGAGCTTATCATTGAAATTGGGAACTCACCTCATCAACGCAATCTTGCAAGATGCGCTCCTGGTCTTCATATGTCAGTCCTCTTGTGCGAACTACATCTGGCTTGAGAACCAGGAGCATAATAGGATTTTCTGGTGAGCTGGTGCAGCTGACCCAATCACTGCGGGGATCAAGTTGCGCTCTCATGGCTTTGATATTCTCCCGGCATTGGGTCAAGATCTCTGGATTTGATTGCAACACGTTGAGTGTTTCGCTGGCAGTGACGGCTAGCATAGCTGGCAGTGCGGCAGAGAACGTGTACGAAGCCGCGGTGATACGTTGATGAGCTACAACATCAGGGTTCCCGGCACAGAAACCACCACCAGCACATAGAGGCCCAGCGAGGGAACCGACGATCATATCGATTTGTGAGGAGTCCACGTTTTGGGCTTCAGTGAGACCACGTCCAGTGCGACCCAGGACACCAAAGGACCAGGTCTCATCCAGCATGATGCGAAATTTGTATTTTTCTTTCAACTCGACCTGCAGCAGTTGTTAGAACGAACGACTCCTAAGCTTAACGGGCATGGCAGTATTATGGTGTGCTTACCAGTTTTGGTAGATTGGCACTGTCGCCAACCAATTCAAATAGACCTTCGGTGACAATGAACCTCCTCGTGAGTTTCTTTTTGGACTGATCGCGGACAACCTGCTTCATGACCCTTTCCAAGTCCTCCATGTCATTGTGGTTGAACCATTTGACCTGACTTCGAGAAATTTCCATACCCTTGCGTATGGAGTAGTTGACCTGCTTGTCGGCAACAATGACATCTCCGCGTTTGCAGAAAGAAGGGATAACGCTGGAGATGGTTGAGAAGGCCTGGGCATAGACGATGCAGCCCTCGGTGCCGAGATAGGCGGCAATATCTGCTTCCGTCTTCATGTGGACATCCTGAGTACCATAGAATTGCGGCGGACCGCAGGGTCCCACTCCATATGTGCGCAGGGTCTGGATGGCCTTGTCCTTGATCTGTTCGTTCGCGTTGAAGTTGTAAAAGTTGTACGAGGCGAGGTTCGTGACGGTCTTGCCGCTGGCTAACTTTGACTTTGGCCCAGTCGGTCTGCAAAAAAAACATAAAACATTGTGGTTAGTCTGCGCGTTTCTACGCCAAGGCCGGACTTCCGCAAACCTACCCGATAATAATGGGTAGTCTCTCAGACTCGAGCTCCTCGAACGGGGTCTGATTGGGGACCAAAGGTTCAGGTTCCCAATCGTTTACAAGCTCGTCAATCTCTTCCTCCTTCAACTTGACATAGTTAGGACCGTGTGTGGGATAGGAGGGCGAGAGCAGGTATCGAATGAAGAAAATGACCAGGACAAGCTCAATGGCAGAGCGTATTGGGTCGTTCTGGTAGCTGGACTGGATGTAGCGGATCAGGACGGCGCTGCCGGGGACTTTTTGGAAGCCCTGTGAGACTTCGTGGAGCGAGGCCACGAGGCGGGTTTGTGCTTCGTGAAGATCCATGTCTTGTCTCGTCAAGTGAATAGATGGAATGAATGAAAGAACGTTATGATGATGACCTCAGTTCAAGTCTTGGTATGCGCCTGGCGGAATCGTGACCAGAAACAGGGACAAAATACAGGGGTGCAGTGACAATACACTGCGCAAACTTTGTCGCCGAATCAGTCTCTGCCAATATGGTCTTTTTCCCCACTCTGAATGAACTGATTACAGAACGAAGCACATTTTTGTCATTCTGCGGGAGCAACGGGATGGTTTGCGACTGGGATTGGAATTGGAAATGGAACGCGGGCGACGACCCGGAAGGCGCGCGTTTGTAAAGTGAAATTCAAGTGTTAGGGGTAATAAATGCATGTGGGGCGGCTGCAGAACGCTAAACTGCAAGCATGCAAGCAGCGGAAGCCAAAGATTGGCAGTTGCAACACAAGCTGACAAGCAGCAGCAGCAGCAGCATGACTCCGTGTCCGTCTCGATTCCCAGCACCTTAAAAGTACGCCCACGCAGTACAGTATGTATCTAAGCACCGACTGTAAGTCAATTTAAGGTTGACTGAGATGGCCCTCAATCACGTTTATTAGAATCCTTACTCGCAGATTACCTACCTAACTAGAAGGCATTCCCGTCTGCAAGGCCCTGTCTGTCAGCGGAGGCCTCTTTCTGGCAACCACCTTGCCTAGGTGTCTTCTCCCAAACCGGGGGAATACCCAACTCATCCATTCGTAGATAGTGTGTCGAGCGTTGTTGAGCAGTGAACCCAGCCATCTCGAGATGCAATGCAACAGAAAGGGGCCCTGTTGCCCTACAACCCAGCAGCCGTGCACAGTTTTTTGCCTCTCTTCGTAACCTGCTTGATCCAGTTCCCGTAAGCCGCAAGTGCCTCATCTTTGACACTATAGTCGATCATCTTGCCCACACCAGGCTCGATGGCCTCAACGAAATCGAACCCCCTCTCCTTTGCAATAGACGCAAACCCCCCAAACTGTCCTCTCACGTCGATGACATTCAGTAGACCCTGTCTGCTAACATTGAACCCCCCAGCCACACTGATGCTCTCTCCACTGGTTGCATCTGTTGCAGCTGCATACTCGGCTTGCGCGACACTACTGGTCACATTGAGCTGCTTACCGATCGCCTTGACCGCACAGTCTTGGTTTTCCGGCGTGGCTAGGTAAGTGCTTGCTGCATAGAGTGCTGCCCAGAATCGCTTGAGAGTGTCGCGTTTGGATGTGTCAGAAAGCGATGCCTCAGCTACAGTAATGGCGGAACTTGAGAATGGCTGGATAAAGTCAGAAACCCTCGCCAGTATGGTAGGTCTTTGGCCAGAAGGCAGTGCTCGTGCGAACTCGGTAAATGGGTACGTTAGAATAGTAGCATAAACGGCGGTCCCGTTGGGCAGAACTCCCGACGTAAGGTATTGGTAACGAAGCGCTGTGCTGCCCGCTGTCTATCCAAGGTTCAGCATGAGGTCAAGTTCATTCATTGGGACCGGACACACCTGGAAGTAATAATCTCCGTTTTCCAGGCTTAAACCGTACAAACTGAGAACCTTTCGTAAGATATAGGCATATCCACTGACCGGGCTATCGACAATGAGTGACTTCCCCCGTAGTTGCTGGATACTTGTGATGTCTGGCGTTGCTGCGATTACAATGTCGGGTCCAGCATCGATTTGGCCTAGGACTGTCACTGTTGCATTTTGATTGAATCGCAGGTTCACCGCGTTATCAATTGTACCTGTGAGCACATCGTAACCCCCCTTGAGCAGATTGGGATAGGCGAAACTCGAGTTAGGTATCTGAAGGTACGTCACGTTCAGGTTGACTCCTTGGAACAGACCAAGTTGGTTCGCGATTGAATATGTTGCAGTTTGTGTGAACGCACCATAATTGACGGTGTCCAAACATAGTGCGGATGGAGCAAGGAACGCAAAGAGCGTTCCAAGAAGTGATCGGGGCATAGTGCTACTGGTATAGGCCGAAGTGTCATCCCATCAATGGAGTCCCAGTATGATGTCCGCAGCGCTCGTCCGGGTTTAAATACTCCTCCAAGGTCTGCTTGCAATGCTTAGTTTTGTATTGTTGGGAGCTGACGTCGCTTTTGGGTAGTCTCCGCGTTGATGATGGCGGACTATTGAAATTACACCCCTGCCATTGCATCAGACCTTGTACACACGCCTTTAGTTAGATCACGAATGCACCCAATACTATGTCGGCCTTGGCAGTGACTAGGCCACTGACCAAGTGCGTATCGTACACCATGTCACGGGTTCTCTGTGGAGGTTACTATTTCTCAAGCCACTTCGTGTATCTACTTATTCATAGGCTCAACTGACACGACACTGATTTAGGCTTTAGCAAACAGATTTCATACTTAGTGTAGAAAACGATTCTCAATGAAAGGATTTATACGGACCTCAGTGTCAGTCTTTGCCTCGCAGGCTTAGATAATGGTGGTGTGTGTTGTTTTGTTCTGAGAACTGTGGTGACAAGTACTGCTATATTGAGTGAAGACATCGATCGTTGCAAACTGGTACTGATTAGTATGACTGTAACTAGCACCTATGACACTGTGAGTACAAGCCTCCAATGCCATACTAAGCCTTCCCGACCCAACGTGTTGTGATGCAGCCAAGTGATCAAAGTTTGCGTGCTTGTCTGGGCCTTCACAGTATTGAAAGCGTTCGAGTGCAATTAAACCTTCAACTGCTGGTGAAACGTATCTTGCCTAATCATGTCGACTCCTGCTATCGCTTGTTCAAATACATGTTTTAACCATGACCACAAGTGCTGTTCTTATTCTGCTCATGTTACTTGAAGAACATAATTTCGGGTGATGTTCGGCATGATGTTATATAATAATACATCCACCCGGGCTTGAACATCACAACGATTGGGTAATGAGTAGCCAAGGATCCACTTAAGTTGAGTCAAGCTATTAGTTTCTAATAATTGTCCAAGATCTCAACAAGGCATGTTGCCAGAGTGGTTAATGGGTGAGACTTGAATCGCAGTGAGCAATTCAGCCATCTCATGACTTCGGTCGCGTAGGTTCAAATCCTGCACATGTCGCCATCTTTTTGTGTGCACACCTGGTCAACCAAGAAGCGCTTCACTATTGTACTTACTTCTAATTATCTCGGCTCTTCATTTTGTCAAATCTATTTGTGATTTTCTCATTGTTGCCTGGGATGCGAATGAACCAAGTTTGTTAGTGTGCGAAGCCTTTTTTCTTGGACAGTTAGAAGTTGTCCGTTGCTAATAAAATAAGGTCTACCTCTCATGATTGGGTTTTTGTAATGCATCTTTCTTTCTATGTACATTGAGAAATAAATGTCATATAACTAAAAATAGGAAAAAAACATAAGCAAGAAATGAAACAAGGTGAATTTTTTTGGTTGGGAAAATACACACTTTCCTCATCTACAGTACCAATTGTGCTTCCCTCCTTACCGTCACACACCAAACTTTAAAGCGATATGTAGAATATCGTTCGAAACGACATTTCGCAGCGCCGTGGGCTTATAAAATGGCCGAAAGAACATGATCAAATACTTCGAGACTTTCGATTTTGCCATTCTCATGACATTAAAAGCAGGAAATTAGAGAACATACAGTCAATGATTTGATAATGCTTGACGCTTATAAGCTCTCACTTGCTACGACGATGGCATGATAACAAACACAATACTATACAACCTGATCATCTATTCTTCTATCGTCCTTTACTCACTGAGACTATACTAAGAAGAAGTCATAGGGGTGCGTGTGCTTAGCATCCACAGTCTCCTCGTAGATATCCAACTTGTACATGTCGACAACACCGACCTAGATACTTGAGTTGTTACAGAACTCAATGATATGGAAGTCTTTTCTACGGAGGAGACAGAAGCACGCTATTCGAAATGCACTGGCAACTCGATATCACGTAAGGAAGACTCGGAGATTGGTAACCTAAATATAGATGACTTGGAATGGTCACTCCCAACCGGCATAACACTGGATAAATAATAAACCTTGAACTCCGCCAGAAGTGGAAAAGTTTGCTTGGTTAACGAAATCCTATGTTTATTACTTGCCACTTCGACCAGCCAGCGTCAGGGATGACGCATGTCGTCACCAACATGGTGTTCCCGTTTCAGTTAGGTCAGATGATATGGTACAAAAGAAACGAAATTAACGGAATCCGTCCCGAATACTAGACCAAAGGTTAAGACTTGAAAGTCAAACCACATTTTCATTAAGTAATCTATAGTCATTAATCATCCTCTCCAGTGGTTTCCTTCTTCTCTCGTAATCGTCCCGAGTTCATCCATCTCCAAGTCTTTGTGGGTATCATAGGATAGGACGAAAGTCCAGATTTCAAAAAGGAAGTATGGGGTATTCCCGGCAATACCCATTGCGCCAGAAAGAAGACCAGGTCTCGTGGGTATCCAGTGCCAAAAATGCAAGATCAGCCATTTAAACTCGTGCAGATGCGCTCCATCCAATTGGCGCCTTGCCAGATTCGCGGCGAATAGCCCAGCCTTTGAGTGCCAGCAAGAGCACAACCCAGGCCATCAAGAGGCCAACAAAGCCCATTGTGACTGTGTAAAAGAACATGGCATCAAGGTCATAATGAACCATACCTTCGATGGTGTCACCGGACTATCTCAGAGTTAGTCATTACTTTAGAATGGGAAGATGTCCGTTGTATGCTTACACTTGCACAGAAAATAATACCACCAGCAATCAGTCCAAATGCTGTGAGAAGCTCGGTTGGGGGACGGGACGGCAGGATCGAGCGGGGAGGACGTAGATACATCAACACATAGGTAAAGCCACGGGCAAAGGAAGCACCAGTGAGCATGTTACCCCATTGCTTGTGAACCATGCTGGATATCATGGATGCCTGAGTATGCGAACTCATCATGATACCTAGCAGTAGAATCACCAAAGCCGGGATCGGATTTATCGAAAATTCGTACTGCTTGGGTGGTTGTAGCGCCTCACGTTCCTCATCATTGTAGGAATGGGCGGGCTGTGCAAGAGCTGCTTCTGAAACGGTGGTATTCAAAAGCTCACGGATATTGGTCGACTCGATAAGCATGGCGAGGAGACCACCACCAATGAACAAAACCGTAATCGAAATATGCTCAAGATCCTGCGGACTGAACTCCGAGACGCCTGCGCTAGAGTTGCCTAAATGTTCGAGAAAGATATTTGTGGATCCATAAAAGAAGATCAGGGCACCCTCAACAAATTCGGCGGATGGCTTCCATTTCTGGGATTTTTGCTTCGGTCTAACGTTCCAAGCCTGTACACAAAGATATGTCAGTAAGATCCTCAGCTGTAGGGCGGCCTACTACCTACCCAACCAAGGTCGCCAAAACTACCGCACCATCTTCCAAGCGTAAGTAGACCATACCAAACGAACACACTGCCTTTAATCCAGTGAGCTAAACCAGTGAAAATAGCATGGCCCTCCTGGATATGATTGTTAGTTCCATTCTACCACATGATCCGTGAAAGAGCGACCACTTACAAAGAAACGGGCCCAGGTGACGATGCCTGTAGCGAATGCAATATAGCCAAGGATGAGGATGGTTCTATCTACCGCATTGTAGCCGAAAAGGAGGAACTTCCAAGTCCTGTTGGATATCTTTCCAACAATCTTTGCGATGAGCGGTTTACTTTGAGATCTGACAGGGTTCAGCTCAACGGGTTTTAGCTCCAGTTCGTCGTCCTCATCATAATCTATATGGCGTTCTTCCATACTCGTTGGAGATTGATGACCGGACGAGTTTGAGGCGGAACTAGTCCTCAGAGACTCGGTATTAGGCTCGGTACCCTGCCCGCTATCATATGAGTGTCTGAATTTGTGCAGGTTGATAGCCTCATTTATGCGCTGATGCTCCGCCATGTTTTCAGTGGAGACAGGGATAAACGCCTGTTGTTCTTCGGTACCGTGCTTCCGAGAGCCATCACCGCCTTTCACGACGCCTGCTACACGGCCTACAAGACTGACGAGAACCTGGGCAGAAACGATCCAGGTTGCGATCCAACCAATCTTGTGGTGAGCATTGTTAGGATAGAGGTCTGGTGTTTGCGCATCGTAGCTGATACCCAGAAGCAAGGCTAGCGCATTCGTAGCCAGGAACACAAATTGAGTGGGTAAAGTGTACCGTGAACGAGCCAACGAAAACATGACAGCTTGGAAGGAAAAATTGTTAGCTCTTCGACCGTTTCTCTGGACGCGACAGCTCAACTTACCTATTGGCAGTACCACGAGCCACCCAAGCGTCATGAGCGCAATGTGCGTATATATAAGACCGCGATGTTCAGGGTGTGTAAAGTACGTTGGCGCGTACGAGCCGGGATTTGGGTTGGATTCTTCCACGTTCATGTCCATGCCCATATCCATTGCACCATTATCGTCTCCATGTGCATATCCTGTAGGCAAGGCGCTCAAGACCGCAGTGGCTGCTAGGAGCGACAATGCCGATCTCGTCGTCGACCTCATTGCTGCGTGTAATGTATGTATGCTCCAAGAAAACCAACCGATAACTTGTCTAATCCGGCAGAGGTTATGATGTTTCATGCATAGAAAAGGAACAATTTGGCAAAAGATTTAAGTAGTGCCTCGGAAACGCGCGACTACCAGGGAGCCCTGCCCGTATATGACAGGCCTGCGATGAAGATAAGATGAACTGGGATTTAGACTGCTGGTAGCTGCTGGAACGGACACTTATAAATAAAAGGCGTTCTGTACCGCTTCATAAGACGCCGAGAGGCCAAGCGGAGGGGAAAATGATACGGACTGGCGCCTTGGGCGGGAAGGGACTACGGTGCTACATATTTATTATTATGTCTTGGGGGACAGCGCCATTGAGGTTCAAAACCCGGATTGTAAGCAACGGTCAGAACTCCGGCGTTAGCTACCTACAAATTCCAAACCCCATCGCGCCCCGGTACGTCTTTTTGCATCGAGTTCGTTTCATCACTCGCGATTCGCTACTTGGTTTGATGGAGGCATTAGGCACGTTTGGTCAGTCACATGGAAAGCCATGCAGATCCGAAGCTTCCGGTCTAAGATGTTTTGAGGTCAGAAAAAAACCAAAAAGATCGGGCGGTAAGCATCTTGTAGTGGGGAGCTTACCCATGTCAGGTCAGACTTGGAGACGAGCGTCATCTGACCCACCTGACACCTCTCACATTTTACACAAGGAGTAGAGCCCCTGTTCGTGCAGTTCGTGCAGCTCTTGCAGCTCGAACCCCAGCCACAAACCCCAATGGTGATCTACCGTAAGGCTTGGCGTCCGAGGCTCAAGCAATCATGGATGAAAACTGTGCATCTATGACCCACTCTGGACTTGTATGTAACTTGACGAGCCACGGATAGGATGTCAGGATGTGTTACTGCAACCCCGAAACGCGAGGGCGATGTGGACAAATGTGTGATATTGAAGGAAGATGGGGATGCAGCCAGTATGCGAATAGGCTGTGCTGACCACCTAGATCAAAATGTTCCGTTGAAACCCATCTCAGTATCTCCGGTTGTTCCCAAAATCCACCGCTTGCCTACTTTACAGAAATATCGGAATAATCATGTCCTCATGTAGTAGAAAGAATTCGGGTCATGATATAAGGCTTTATGACATCAACCCAGGATACTACTTTTTGCTCTAGATACTGCCAAGCAAAAGATAGCAAATTTCCGTGCTCAAGTCCAGATGATACTCTCATAGTACCCCGGTAGGAAGCTTGACAAGGATGATGTGCTAAGTTAGTGTGTGATGCACAATTGATTCTCTGGGATTCCACGACCAATCCGACCAGTTCAAGTCTCGGCCACTGTAGATCGGTAACCGGCTTAAGCTATCGATATAGAGATTCACGAAGTCGCCTGAACTCGAGCATCCACTGGTCTTCATGCGACAACCCATCTTATCCCACATTATATCACTAGCTTTCCATGAAGAGCATATATAATCTAGTGGCTGTTGAGGTTGATTATGTTATATGTCCATGGAAGTCTGTTTGGAATCAATTGTAGCCTTCGTGAATCCCGCAAGAGTATGCGCCACTTGTCGGCTGTATCGGATAATACAAGACAGAATTGAACACGCGCTATAAAACAAGGGTGCGTCACTTGCATGCAGGCGCGGGCCAGTAGCGTAGCCTTTGCACCAAGTGCCGGCGGATCAGACGTTTACAACTGCATGGCCCATTTTTGAGCGCAGAAAGCGAACAGATCACCGTCTGCTGCGATGTAATAATCCTTGACTAACGGCATCATGGTGGTTCGAGGTCGAACCATGTGTTGTCCGAGGTGGCTTCAAGGTCTTTAGAGCCGTTTGAGGATTTGGAGGCGCTACCTCCGATGACTCCGTCAAACCCCACATTGCCATTGCGTCTTACCACCAGGCTGCCCCGGTACGGTACTGTGCATAGTATGCATCGGAGTCATCGATGATCGCCCTGACGAATTCACCGTCAGCAAGAAGTGCCTTTCTGTCTTGATATGTCATCTTGGGCGCCAGTCGAAGGCGAACAGAGATGTTTTGATTGCTGAAACACATCACATAGCCTACACAATGACGACCGAGTCTCGAGTATCTGTCAAGCTTAGGTATAGCATTGAAAGAGCTGTTTATCTTCAGCCTAGTCTCTGAGCCACAGAGCTGGCATCTCTGCTAAACAAGGACAAAGCCCTTCAAACCCTGATCACACGACTGTGGAGCGGCTCATACATCGCTTTTCATTGCCGACCGGTCGGCGAGCTCGCGGAGGAGGCAAGTAACGAGCGGCTTCTTATCGGACTCCGACGCTGTATTGCACGAACCCACTATACATAGTCACTGTTGCACGATATGGTTGTAAGGATGCGAAGCGCCCCGCGGAAGGCGAAATAAACCAGATACATAGTTTCGCAATACTCTTTCGTGTTTAATGCAATATGACAGCATGGTAATAACTTTTAGGGAAATTGAAAGTACTGCTTTGTTAAGCTATTAATCGCCATGATATTACTTTAATGTATTGATTTCTGAAGTTGTTGTGTATGGTTTTTTGTATAAGCCAAAACCAGAGCCTTTTGGCTGAAGATGAAGCGGGTCCATTCCTTGTCAAGCTCTGTAGACTTACTTAGTTGGACCAAACACAAGCGGAAGGTCATTAGCGGTACTGTATATGGCATTGCAACCGATATGATGGTTGACAATGTTTTGCTGGCCATATCGTGGATTCTTGTAACAGAAATGCTTCAGAACTACCAAAAGCGCTGTGGCGACTATCCCTGCGCTCACTAACTTAGCGCGCGTGCTTCTTCTACACTCGGTACGATCTTGCCCAAAGAGGTCACGACATCAATCAGCAATATAATATTTTCTAAATCCCCTTTGCCACTCCTGCAGCATGAAACCCGCATTGTTAATGATGAGCTAATAGCATGACTCTTATATCTGCCGAATATGTCACTACTGCCCACTGCTCCTATTAACTACTACCGAATACGGCTAACGTTAGAAGGGGAAAGGGGGTTTCTTTTCTTTCTTCTTCTTCTTATCATTACGGCCTGGCCCCATTCTAGTTCGACTTTATCCAAGTACATATGCGGACTTCGAGTTAGTGACAGCCGATTGTATAAGAACGTTTGCGATCTTTGGGCGTGGATCGCTATAGCTTACAAGTCTCATTATCGTAGCAAGCTAGCCTATCACATTTACCTACCGTGACCTGGTCACCCCCGTCAGTCCCGTCTTCAGTCATCCCACTACTTAGTAATCGGACCCAAAGATTTAATTATTAATTGAAGCAAGTTGATCATTGGTTTGCCGGCTCCGTCGGCATCCCGACCTGAGCTTACTCAACACGTCCCCAAATGATTATAACCAAATTGTCAATTCGAGCCTGCCTGGGCCTAGACCACGTCTCTATCCGCTCATATCTACTAAGGTATATATCAGAGAAACGAAGAGATGTGGAGAGGGGAGAGAGTGCGGGGGAGACAAAAGAAAAACAATTGGAAGCAAGCTTCTTGATAAAACATATACACTACCTAGGGAAGGTGAAGTTATTACATATATTGTTCTCATTAGCCTTGGGCCTATTGATTCACCCCCTACAAGATGTACATGGAGACGTTGGTATTTATATGTTACGTTCTCTGTTACGCCAAGACCATGCCTGTTTTCAGGTGAACTTCTTCGTTGAGGCTTGGATGCACCTGGGCAGGCGGCTTTTACGTCAACTCTATGGTAAACAAGACTCTCCTGACCTCTGGTCACTTATTTTTCGTAGGCCGTTACTAGAGACTAGACTTGTCTTTCAATCGCCAGAGATCGCTATTTTCGAGCAGGACTTTGCCTTCGTTCCGGAGTTTCTGCAGGATCTGAACCACGCCGTGGGCGGCTGGGCCATGAAGATTCTCTGGATATGCAGCATAGATAACCTTGACTAGTTCCATAGCAGTCCAAGCGTCGGCGGGTCCCGAGACTTCCCCAGTCGAGGCAAGAGACGATTTTTGAGAGGCGAGTGTCTGGATAACCTGCTCCTCCCGTTCGAACCTGTGGGCTATGTACTCGGAAATCTTGGCGTTGACATCGGGAAGGACTGGGCCATGACCAGGATAACCGCGTCCGGAGACTAGCTTGCCCATCTTCTCCAGGCTTTGCAAGTAGGTTGCTAGATCCTCAAATACGGATGTCCCTTGGCCTAGTACATTGTCGCCCGTGAAGAGAGCATTCTCTTCCTCCAGAATGAATACCATGTGGTCTGTCGCGTGCCCTGGTGTATGAACAGCCGTCAACGTTGCACCTTCGACTTCGAATTTGTGTCCATCCTGTATATCAAGCCAGCCCTGGTGAGGATCACGCTTGTAGACGGCGGTGCCCGGAGAGTGACTCAACAGGTCGGGCACGCCGTCGATGTGGTCGTGATGCCAATGAGTCAGCAGCGCACTTTTGATGGAGATATCTTCTTCAGCCAGAACGCGTTTCAGGGCGGCAGCCCACGATGGCTTGCCCTCTCCGGTATCGACGAGCAACCTGCTGGAGCCGGTGCCTATCAGATATGTGTTTGTCCCTTGCAGGCTGAACTTGCCCGGGTTCCCTCCAAGGATCCGGGTCACTGCGGGGGACAATCTTTCGACCTCGGGCAGTGGCACGAGCTGAGAGGCCATCTTTCTGAGACCGGTGGAGACAGCAGCGAAAGATTTCATAAAATGCGCTGGCACTGAGATGGTGCACAGGCAAGAGCTTCTCGAACGTGCGCGAAAAACAAACAAGAGCCGGGGCCAGAAAGACGAATGTGTGGGTGCTTACAGCTGTTCTTTCTCGGCTATCGACAGGCGGTATAAGTGAATAACCTTAGAGGCCTCATAGGTGTTGTTAATCTTACGATATCTATATATATATATATTCAGCCAAGATAAGGCCAGAAAGAGCCGTTTCGATGATTGGGCACACGAGGGAGAACGCCAGATAAGCCTACCTGAATATTTGATTTGGAGGAGAGGTTGATGCCGAGGTTGCGAATCACGACATTCGGAAGTGTCAAGATGTCACGCCAATAAGATCCATGGTCTTGAGAGGGCAAGGAGCTCTATAAAAAAGTAGGGGCCCGGGCGGATGCTGACTTGCCTGTAGCGCTGGAGCTGGAGCTGGAGCGCGGGGAGGAGGGACAGAGGGTCGGTATATCGGGGCTTACAGTGCAACGCTGGGATAAACCCCTGAAGGCCAGCCACTATGTAGCGCTCAGATAAGCTGCTCAATCAGCTGTTGATAAGCAATTTCCAGCGCCCTGCTGCAGCTGTCGGGAAGCCTCGTCGCGATTGTTGTGTGAGCAGCTTTCAGTTTAATGATCTTTAGACACAAGAACAATCAATTGATCCAGACAATCGCGTTGGAAGTAGACGCAATATTGCCTTTCTGTAAGGCTTAGCTAAGCCCAATCCAAGTACATCTGCCATTCCACAAGCCCCTCGGCGAGAGTTTCCAGGCGCTGACCGTTTGCCACTCTCCAGAGTTTCCATCGCATCCGTAACCTCACGATACCTTCGCCCAACAGAGAGTCGGAGCGCAGCATTAAGAGCTTCCCTCCGAGCGCACAACGTGGGCGTCTCTTCAGCCGTGATCAAAGGCCGTTCATCCAAGCCCCAAGCCCTGAGGGTGCTCTCCAACAGCAGCTACCGTTGGCATATCTTGACGAGTATAGTGAATCCGCAATCGGCGGCGCTCCAGATCACCACTTGTTGCTGCTGCCAGTAGAATACCCACCCTAGCAACACGCCGGTTCATATCCAGAAAAGGCCCGTCCACGCCACACATACTCGGCGCATGGAAACGACGGGTTCCGGGAGACAAGACCAAGCGATACACCCACCAAGAGCAAGCACAAGATGAGCGCAAAGCCATCGGAACCGGCTTCTCCAAAGGCCGCCAACATCAAGTCCCCAGTTCCTGGCACACCTCTGTTCGGTTGCGGTTGGTCGCCCATCTATCACATCCTGCCTCCCTGGTTCAAACTTTGCTAACCTCTCGCCCCAAGAACATGTCCAGATCCTCCTCTCAAATAGCCCAGATGTTATGGCCAGCTCTATCCAGTACTACAAGATGCTATTGCGGGTGATTTACGACAACACAGCTGTCGTGCCTCAGACATCCAAGATACCAGAGGGCATAATCTCCACGTCGCTGACTTCCAATTATCTTTGCTTGCAGTGCTCTGCCATTGTACCAGAAGAGGAGCGTACGAAACATGCTACTAAGAAGGGTCATCGCTTCTACGTCGATTCTCGGACTGGATCTTTCTACTGCCATCTATGCGAGGACTTTGTTTGGGACCCTACCCTCGAGGAACTCAGAGTGAAGAAGATAGGAACTGGCACTTTCACGGGTAAGCTACTGAACCTGGAACCACACCATACTTCCGAGTTGCTGCCATCACGAGCACCCAAAATTGGGCGTCTTGTCCCCCGCCGAATATCCTACTCACTGATATCCGTAGGCCGCAAGCGAAAACATGAGGAGCTCTTCTCAGACCCAGTCAAGGATGACCCTCGTTATATATCCAATAATACAACAGTGGCGTCCTGCAAGGCCGATGGCCTCCGTGGCATCTACAACGCAGGTGCAACCTGCTATCAGAACGTCGTTCTTCAGAGCTTCCTGCACAACCCTCTCCTCAGAAACTTCTATCTCAGTGATGGACATACTGAAGGTGATTGTGAGATCTCCCATTGCTTGAGTTGCTCCATGGATGCCATGTTCCAGGAGTTCTACGCAATGGAAAACACGAACGGCTACACTGCCGCCAACATTTTATCTGGCTTCTGGATAAGTGAAAAGAAGGCCTTCGAGAACCTTGTCACCACGAAAGAACAGGACGCCCACGAGTTCTTCCAATTTCTTGCCGAGGAGTTGCACGAGCGCAATGGGGACGGCAAGAAGCCGGAGATGGGCAGTGAGCATAGCTGCAACTGTATTATTCATCAGACGTTCTATGGAAAGCTCCAGAGACAGACTACGTGCCAGTCATGTGGTGGTGTGACGGATGCAGTGGAATCATTCATGGATCTGAGCTTAGGCCTCGATACACTGGCCCAGAAGCGCGGCAAGAAAGCTAAGAATGCGCCTGTCAGTCTGACACTACAGGAGTGTCTAGACGAGGAATACATCAAGTCAGACAAGTGCGAGTATCGCTGTAGGAACTGCGATTCGATGCAGCAAGCTCGGCGTGATAACAGCATCAAGCTTCTGCCGAATACACTGTCAATACAGCTCAAGGTGCGCCCAGAACTCATTGCTATATGCCGGAACCGTGATGCTGACCAAACATTACCACAGCGGTTTGAGTACAAACAAGGAGCCAGAGATGTGAAGGCTTCTAAAATCGAAACGCCTGTCCAGTTTCCACTGACACTAAACATGACACCCTATACATCACGCGGCAGAACCGCAAGCGGGCAGGAGAGCCAGGAGCTGGCCCGTTCCTGCACCTACGACCTGCTCTGTGTCGTGGTGCACGTAGGAGAAATTGATACTGGCCACTACGTGTCCTATTGCCGAGTGGGTGATCAGGTATGGCTTCCTAAAAGGTTGTTTGCGGTCTGAGCTAATGTCGTATGTAGTGGTTCGCGTTCAACGACCACCGTGTCGAGTTGGCATCGAAATCAGAGGTGCTGAATGCCAAGGCCTACTTGCTGTTCTACATGATTCGCTCGCTGTCATGAAAATCGTTTCCCAGCAAAGCTAGCTACGGCGAAGCACACAACTGACTGGCGTTACGAATGTTAAGGGAATGGCGCCTAGCATCGTTTTATGGAAATGCATAGCCTCGGTCTGGATTAGAATAGCATATGAGCAGTATGCTCTGGCGTTTTGCTACGAATACAATGACTTGTGATTCTTCCTTTTCTAAAAACATAGGGGTTGGACCAGAATCTCTCATTGTGTACCTTTGCCATTCTAACACACATGACAATTTCTCACGACCGTTCTTGGGGATAGCTAGTTAGCTCCTTGTACGACGAATCGGACGGGCTAAATGACCCCCACGGGGATTACAACGTCTTTTTTTTTTTTTTTAGACGCGGGCACACTCGTGAGCACGGCAACTATGACCGAGGCCATGTTCCTCACGAGGAAGGGGAGTCTGAGCGAGGTGCCATGGATCTGAACGCGGAGCTCGACGCCTTCGCCATTGGGCCCTCGTGTGCCCGCCGTGGAGTGGACCTCGAAGCCAGAGAGCACCTCCGAGCTGCTCAAACATCACACCCTCGGATCCGATCGCTTGGATATCGAGCTTGTAATTTGAGAGACAGTCGCGGCAGATAAGTTTCAACGACGGAAATGCCTCGAATCATCCCATGCCCAGGGGCGGGGGCGTGTCCACACCTTTTTTCTTCTTTTCTTTCCGTCTTTCCTTTTTCTTTCGCACGACTGCCGTACAGTGTCTTGTAAACACCCCCCCCCCCCCCCCCCCCCTAAGGTCGAAGGACGGCCTGGACCAAGGTGAAGCGAAAACAGGGAAAAGGGAGGGCGCAGTCGCTCATGGCAAGGCTGGAACTTGCAAGTACCGGATCCCGAGGTTCGAGAAACCGGGGCACGATCATGGTGGTGAGAGCGGCGACGCAGACGGCCTCAGCGCGAGGAGGCTGGCGTTCATGCACGAGGCGTGCCCGCGAATCACCATGCGATATTGCAAAGGGGCATAGCTCAACACTAGCGAAATCTGGGAGTCACGAATGCACGGTTCGATGAACAGGAATAGCATTGGCGAGCCAAGAGAACCCGTGTCTGGAACTCACAGCATTAATTACTCTGACGTGGTGGACAATTTGTCCAGATGCCACCGTAGCACGCACTCAGCAAACAGGGTCAGTTTCAATGTCGCGAATAATCAAGGGGTAATAGCTGCACACATGCCTTTTCACATGGCACTTATCAGAGGTATCTTATCCTACAAAACGCCGAGCACACCATGACCATTTACCGTTTTCCCGAGGGCTCCCCGGTTCTGTTCTGACATGGGGCATGTCCCTTTCCTCTAGTGGTCATCACTTCTTGATGCTGCGCCGTAAATCATGTTGTCCCCATCTAATGCTTTCGTCCAGTCCCACTCCCATTTCGTCCGAGACTGTATTAGTTTATGATGAGCCGGAGGATTTCGACGAGCTCTCCTCGTACTGACTCTCCATCCTCGTCCCCATGATCATGTTCCTGATGTTGCTCCTCGCGCTCCAGACAATGTTCTCGGTGGAGCCTTTCTCACGGATCTTGCTGTCGGCCACTGTTTGGATGTCGCTGTCGCCGCTTATCAGACCCTTGGCCTTGTGGTGGAAGAAGACGGGCGGGGTGACGCTGATACACTTGGCGTCTAGTCCGCGGTCTCCGGCTGCTTTGGGATCTGTCGAGCCCATGCTGGAGACGGCCCGTCTACAGAGCCAAGCGAGCGAGTTGTCGAAGGGCCCATTGAGATGATCGACGGAGAGGTCAAAGAGCACCTTCCTTGCGCCCCTTTGGGAAAGGGCATACGCAAAGGTGCAAATGGGGGCAGCAGTGATGTGGACGAAGCGGGTGTGCTCCGGACTCTGCTTGAAGTCGATCAGGCCGGTGACCTTGTCGAGAGGTGGAACGGTCAGGTCGTTCTCGATAACAAACTTGCGCTGCATGTACTTGAGGCCGGCGTCGTCGGCGGGCTTGCCCTTGTTCTCATCCAGCAACTCTGGGAAGACCTCGCCGCAGTGGCCTAGCCAGAGTATGTCCCAGTCGTCGCCGTAGGGTGAGGTAGGGTTTGATGCCGAGCCCAATAGCGCGCGAGCGCCTTGCGCCACCCGCTCCAATTGGGGCTTCAGCCGGACGTCCCAGTCCATGTCATCCTCCATGATGAGGGCCGAGTCTAGGTCTTCTTCGACGATTCTATCAACCGTATACTGTTAGCCGTGTCGAGACTCGAGTAGATCTTGACCACGTGGACAGTGTCCTTGTAACCGCATGAACAAGGTAGATGGGCATGTCGGCTGGAAGGGGCCGGGTGCGGTGAAACTGGAACAAGTCTCGCAAAGTCAACGCCTGCAAAGGAACTCAAATCCTTACCTTCTGATCGCATTCATATGTCCTCTCCAACTGCCCAAGTTATTCTCCCACAGCTTCTTCCTGTCAGTGCCAAAGGGCACGGCCTTGTCTGGTATCGTGTTGCCCCTGACACCATCCACCCAGTCGACACGGAATCCGGTCAGGGAGCTCGTCAGCGCAATGGCATCGCGCTTGTCGCTGCGCTCGGGCAGACCGACGACGAAGATCTTGGAGAAGCCCAGGGTATCGTTGGTAACGCGGTTGATGTCGGACGGCGACGAGTGGCCGTGGTATTCCTTCCCGTACAGCTTCTCAGATGCTCGCGACGATCCCAGGTACGAGCCCTGGGCATTGGACGTGTCGGCTTGGCTGCTCGAGGACGAGGGGGATTTGAACTGCGGCAGGTTTACGTGGGGCGATCGCGGTGTGAACACGACGAAGAGCACGATTATGGCAAAGGCGATGCCACCGATGGTGACGTGCCGCGGAGGATTGCGCAGTGACGACATGTTGGGAGTTATGGCACCCATTTGGAGAACTGGTCGCGAATCCGTTTTCTTTAAGAGTGGGCTTTAATCGAAACCTCCTCGTGGCCTTTTTCTTTTTTTTTCTTTTCTTCAACCGCCCCTGGAGTTCAGACAGATCGGAAGAAGCTACAGTCTGTACACATGTAACACAGCGTTGACGCAGTGGCAGTGGCAGTACACGCGGCAGCAGAGAGGCTGGCCGCAGGTAGAGGGGATTCAAATGTACTGTGGTGACCCGTAATCGGTACAGGATCCGGAGCCAGCAGGGGTTCGTTCGGTCTGAAGGCAGTAAAAACAAAATTATTATTAAGAAGAAAAAGTTGAAAAAGAAAAAGAAAAAACCCCCCAAAAAGCTAGAGAATAAGATTTACTGCAAGGATAGTACGAATCTAGGTAGAAGAACAGGACCTTAAAAAGATGAAGTGAGTGGTAATTGTCCGTATCTCTACTGGGCCACAGTAAGCTACTAAGGTTAGTCTAGACTAGACTAGTCCAAGGTTAACTATGTAACTGCTGCTGCTCACTTACCTTTTGCCTGCTCTCCTTTTTCTCTTCTTTTCTGCCCTTCGTTCGCCTCGGGTGTTGGCTGATCTTACTGACCAAAGCTGAGTTCCTCCCCCACCCCTCCAGTCCGGAGCAATCTCCCGCTAGAGCCGTCTGGAGCGAGCTGAGCTGATGGCGCCAATCACGGAGCAGGAACAGTTCAACGCTTATCGCGACACTAATTGTAGCTGGAAACTTTAGGCCATTAGGGGGTGCGCACCATGCCACCACCACCTCTCCGGTAGCGATGGTGATCGCACCGAGGCATGCAGGTCGATCCAGCAGGATGCTCGACCTGACGACACGCTGAACGTAGTTGCCATACCCATCAGTAACATCCAGAGCTCTGAACTCCGGACGGAATATCAGACGAACCCATCTTCGAGCATGTATCCACTTATATTCATGAAGCCTATCTCACGACGCCATACCTAAGTGCATGCATAAATGACCCCATTCGTGGCAGCAAACTCGAGTACAGTGACCTTCCAATCCTTGCACTCTTTTGCTCAAACGAAGTCAGCATGCCCGCTGGAGGATATGCAATATCAGCGATAGCCATGAGTGCCCAAGCATACATTTCACAGTTCCAATCGTTCCAATCGTTGCCCCATTCAGAGATCTCCCTTCCACCACGCCTCGCAAGAAGTCTGCCAGTATGCAATACCATGAAGATGCAACTGGAAAACCAATTTCCAATCAAAGATACCGATGCCATAAACGCCTATTACAATGCACGTGAGGAACACCCCCATGACGCAACGACGCTATAGCTGAGAGCAGATTGCTTCCAGCGGACCAAAAGATGCAGCTCATCAACTCCTCCGTGTCGATTATCTGCGGAAATACCGACATGTCCGAGTGCCTTTTTCGATTCCCCCATGTCTTCCTGTATATGGCCTTGATTCGTCATGTCATCCGTGTACTTGGTGAAATGTGAGAAAATGAACTGCTGAAAGCCACGTTTCAAGGTTTCAGTGGCCCAAGTGAGAACGATTTGAGAAAGGTAACAAAACCGGTTACAAGAAAGCCGTTGTGCTGCTCTATCATGTCAAAGATGATAATGCAAACGTCGAATGCGTATACACTAAATCATGCATGATTGAATCAGGAGTACGACTTCACGTAGTTGGTGGCTGCTGCCAATGCTACTGCTGCCGACGATGGGATCAGGGCAATGGCATTCCAGCCATGCGTCCGAAATATGATATCGCTGTCCAAAAGCGTAACATGCCAGGCAACCAGTAGGCACAATGACAATAGACAAGCACGGCGAGTCGCCGGACAACGTTCCAAGTCAGCCGATCCAGTTCATTGTGTGGGCAAGGTAGCCGCCGATTTTGCGAATCCGTTTCCACATAGGATATCGACGCCCAAGAATTGAGCCAAGACGATTGGCCACAGACGAAACGAGGAAAAGGGTAGTGATTCCAGTCACGTTGACACCGAGGTCGCTGGAGCAGAAGCATCATAAGAGTCAAACACACTCCAGAAAGCAATTATAACGGACAAGCTGTAAGATGCAGAGGTTGAGAATCGTGTAGAGCAGGAGCCAACACGGCCGTGTAGAGCGCGAAAGTATGAGGCACTTGACAAGATGTGAAACGTGTGCCATCAAACGTGAGCCAACACGGCCGAAGCACTGCCAACCCAGTCTGCATGTATCTCGTCGAAGAAATCGTCAAGTATAACAATTCGGAACTGATCAGCGTACGTGTCCTTGAATGGCGATTTCTTCCATTCGCTAGACAAGCACTTTCTCCACGATACGACCTCTACGTGCCAGCCGTGCTTCAGGGCTTTGATAGCATAATGTGCGAAACCATCGGAATACTCAGCTGGCTTCGCGTCGCCAGTTGCAAGCACCATGACGCCTGGGTTCCCCTGGGCATCAAGGATGCTATCTTGCATGGAAAGGTGCAGTGTCTCATCGACTCCCTGCTCACCCAACTTTGTGCGAGGACAGAGTATCGCAGAGTTCGCCTCATCAGCACTAGTGCAGGGACTGTTTTGAAACGGCTGGTTTCGATCCAACTTGACAACTTGATGAAGTATCTTGGCTTCGAAACCATAAGTTTGAGCTTCGAGGATGTAAGACGGCAAGTTGTTCATCTGATGAGCCTGTCGAACAGAACCAGCCAATTTGCGCTTAACCGTCTTTCGACCTCGCTCAAGCACAAAAGCTAGGTGTTCAAAGGAAAAGGGACTGAAAGTGACACGGGCGTTGATGGACAAACCCTGGCTAATCTTGGCAGTATCCTGGAACCCGATGAAGATATTCGACATATCTACAAAGACATGCACGTCTCGTGCACCTGTCATGCCATTGCTGGTGAGAAGTCCCTTCGTCTGTATCTTTGCTACCAAGCAGTTGAATTTGTCCTCCTTGCTGAGCTGGAGGACAGGCTTGAACTGCGCGCTGAATGATGCTATCTCACGAACTTGGGCCCGGAAGGCATCTTGGATAGCTTTGTGAGCTGGTGTAGGCTTCTTGCGAGAGAACCGAGGCGGTTCTTGATTGAAGATGGTCAATCTCTGCTGCAGATCGAGAATAGGTTCTACGGTACACCCTCCAACTTCTTCGTCGTCGTCGTCGTCGTCGTCGTCGTCGTTACCATCGACGTCGTTATCGGGGAGGTGTTTGTGCACAATAGTGTTTGTATTTTGACGGGGCGATGAAGCGTACACACTCTCAATGATAGAATGAAGCTCCACGTCTCGAAACTTGGGTAGTATGCGAGGCGGATATGGGGCAGTCTGTTTATATTCCGACTGTGAATGCTCAGTCTGAGGACTGCTTGGTGGTTGAGAGGTTGGGGGCCAAGCCGCGCTGGTGACTGGTGTTTGGCCTCGAGGAGTGCTTCTTGGACTGATATTCGCCTGGACTTGTCTTAGAGTTATAGAGCGCTGGGGACGTGGTGTAATGTCTATAGAAGCCCGAATGATATCAAAATACTGGTCAACATCGATGCCACTGTTGAGTGGTTCGCGGTGACCAGCGATGCTTCGAGTGGTGAAAGAGACAAGACCTTTAGTAACGGCTACGACCTTGTTGTCAGTCTTGATTCGCTGTGGACAAGGGCTTGACGCACCCGCAATGGTAGGATTTGGCGTATGGGATGCAGCAGGAAAGCCAGGAGGCAACCTGTGAGCTACTGGGTTGGTGGAACTCTCGAGTGGCGGGATTGTTGTTGCTAGCGGCTGTCTTGCTTGCGGCGGTTCTTGCTCCACGAGGTCATGGATGGGAGTATTGCTACGGAAGCCCACAGACCGGCCAAGAGCATCTTGTAAACCACTAGCCAGACTGAACCCCCAGAGTTGTCCTTGGCCGCTAATATCTTGTGGCTTGTCCCTTCTCAATGAGGTGGGTACCGGAGGTGAAGACTGTATAGTGCTTCGGTCTCGACCACAGGATGAATTCTGAGCAGTGCTCGTAGTCAGCGTAAAGGCGGAGCTTGAGCTGAAAGCAGTGGCGGGGATGGAGTCGTCGGGCAATGTCGCGACAAGACCCGTAGACAGCCTGGGAAGCTTCTGGCTGGGGACGAAGGGCGGCGTAGGCGGCCGAGTGGGAGATGCCAACGTCTCATAAACAAAAGCGTCGGGAGTTTTGGGCCGATTCTGGTAATCTAATATTCCACTCAAATCTATTGAACTAAACCCGAGTCGAGGAAGCGTTCCCTCCCAAGACGACACTCTCAAGCGAGAATTGGCCTTGAGTGGCTTGTCGTTTTTATCGTCGCCGCCACGACCCTTGGCCACGTTCTGGTCGGGATGGCCATGTGCGCCATGATTCGTAAGAAGCGAGCCAGAAGCACCGGCACGGGTAATGGCGTTGGCATCTAAGTCTAGGTTTGGCTTTGGTGCCTGGGGTGGCACAAGGCGAGGCTCATGCTCGACAGCCATTGTGCGCTGCAAGGGTGTCGATATGCTCATCTACTGGCAAGGCGTAAACCTATGGCAGGGAATGGTTTTGTTTTTGTCTTGTTGAAAACTGGTACGCAAGTCAGTGACATGTATGTCCAAGAGTATTCGGACCCCAGGAGAGTCGTTTGACCAAGAACAAGTGGCAAGGAGTTGGCCTAGAGGGTGTTTGAAAACGAGTATTGAAGGATTATCGCCAAGAGGGAACGGATGTCTGGGTTGGAAAGAACTGGGAGGGTTATGAAGTTGACTTGATCAGCTTCAGATTGGGGTGTAGCAGCATGGGATGGCTGATGGGGGGTGCTGATTATGGTGACCAAAGCTGACCTACCTTGAAATCTCTTGTCACCTCGCCGACTGTGCAGTTGTTGCTACCAGTAAATGTCCTCCACACAATAAGGATGATCGAGGCAGCTGTGACAACTCATAGTTGCCGACAAGCGGAGCAGAGGAGTATTGAATTATCGTCGTGGAGATGGGAGCAGCGAAGGCTGAAAGACAAAGTTAAGTGAACGGGAATGAAATACGAGCTGGAAAAGAGCAGGAGGAGGAAAGAAACGGGCAAAGAAATCAAAACGCTGGTCGAGGTAAAGAAGTTTAGCTTGATAGTGTTGGGTTATCTTTGGGTAAGATGAATCATTCAAGAGAACTCGGCGATGTTGATAATGAATACAAAATCCGTACAGCTACCCCAAGTGGGATTGCCAGTGGCGGGCCATGATTCTGCCACCCACCTGATGCCCCCCCACTATTGGCTGCTGTCAGTAGGCGGTCTCGGGGGGTGGATGCACTAGGGCCCTCCCCCTCGTCCCCGATCTCCCGCTAATCCGATGGGCGAGGCCCACCAGATCTCAGTTGCAATGACACCAAGAACGACCCCCCTTGCCACACTATTGGGGAGACACTTTGTGGGTATTGGAATCGGACAAAGATCTTCGCAACTTTGTACTTCGATCCTATGTCGGCCCTGATAACCTATCCGTTCTTTGTCTTACCTTACTGCAGAAGCATAATACCTAGTGTTAAGATATGTTGCAGGGCACCTCTGTGTCAACGGCCCGCGCATGACGTTGAACGCTGGACTAGACTAGCGCCATCATCTCCCAAGTGCTATTATCATGCTTGCCAGTTTAGCTAGCTAGCACTCCCCGTACGTGATTCTCGCCATTCTTTTGGGCATCCGATAACTACTTATCAACCCAGAACCATGTGCATACTTTGCTGTTGCTTGTTAACGTCTCCTATGTGCACTATCATGATATAAATCAAGAATCCTCAACTGATATTCACCTTATTCCTTTTACAAAGAAAGATATGAAAGAAATCAGCAGAACTCTCACGGACGTCGTAGGGGATCCTATGTGCATGTAAAAATACATGTGAAGTCATTATGAGCTGGCAAACAGCCATGCTGCATGTACGACAATACTAAATATGCAATGTTTTCCCTGTCATCTACATCACATCTACCATCCCTAGGCCACTTTGGTGTGGTGGTATCTTGGAGATCCTGTACGCCGCCTTCAGTCCTGAACGCCGTTAAAATGCACGCCGGCAGCTTTCACAGCAAGCCTTTGGGGCCATTCCTTACTTGGAGGAAAGCCTGTCAATCTCGTCATCCTTGACGCTCCAGCCCTCGTACTGCTTCTTCAACATCTCGTTCTCTTTGTTGACCGAACTCATCCAGCCAATCAGGACGTCACTGGCAACTTCCATGACCTCAGCCTTCGTCTTCTGCGCTTCGTCCTGTTCAAGTTCGCGCCTCTTGCTCTCCTCCTGCCTGCGTAGCTCGTCCCGAGCTCTGCGCTTGGCGCGGCGATCCTCAATGCCTCGCGCACGGTCGGCAAGATAGCGGATGCTATGGCCAAGGCCAGCACTTTCCACTGAGAGACCGCGGTGAGCCCGATCCAACGGTGGCTGCGTAAAGAAGAGAATGCGTCCTTGCTCGTCGCGCTGGAACTGCTCGCGAATCTCCGCAGGAATGCGTGCGTCTAGTGCGTCATCCAAGGTGTACACCTCGACCGGGCGAGGCGGGTTGTAAGTGTTTGGCTGACCATGTATACCAGGTATGGGCGGGGGAGGCACTGCCGTGCGCGCTGGAGATGGTGCCACGCGCTGGCTGGGGTCGTATGGAATCATGGGAGTGTTGATGGGTGGTTGGTGGGGCGGTTGGTGGTGGACGGGGGCCGGATTGTACGGCGGCACGTAACCGTTGTACGCCGGAGGCTGCGGCGGTTGATGACCTTGGTAGTGGGGTGTTTGTGGCACTGGAGGCGGAGCCTGGTGCATATTGGGAATCATTCCATACTGTGGTACAGGAACTGGTGTTGGACTTGGTCGTGCTCCCGAAAATTGAGGAGTGTAAGCACCAGGCGCGGGTGTTGGTGGTGCAGGCACAGGCGTGTAACTTGGTGCATTGCCCATGGCGATGTCGCCTTGCGCGTCTCCTGGTCGCGGGCCCTGCATCATTGATGATCGCCTTGTTGGATCAACAGGGATTGGTGGTGGGGTAGGCTCAGGTGGCGGTGATTCCTAGAAGAGACATGAGCAGGAGGACTCCTTGGAAGTTTTGGCAATTTGCAAGTTGACGGCATTAAAAAGATTCCTGGGTGTGTAATCGATAAGGGGGGGGGGGGGGGGGGGGGGGTTTCAGGCATTGGAAGGGAGGGAATTGCCATCTTGCTTATCGGGAGGATTGTAATTGAGACGAGATAAAGTAGGCAACAGGACACCACTTACATTTGATTCACGCGCGCGGCAGTGAACCGCTCCTACCAGTGGAGGCGCATTGGGTGCTCCCCAGGTCGGCTTAGGCAGAGGATCAGTGGGCTTCGCATCATCCCTCAGAAGATGCTTGATAGGGCTGGGGAACTTCTTGAGCCTCCGAGGCACATCAAACAAGTCCATCTCGTAGTCCTTGTCTCTGACCTCATCTGGTAGGCAACTTGCCCACGTTTTGATCTTGTTGAGCTTGTGCTTCTCCTCGTTATATCGTGCCTCACAAACGTAGACCTCCTTGTCCTTGGGAAGGCCACGGGGTCTGCCCTTGCTGTAGCGGGTTATGAACATGACGAAGCACCTGTCCACAACTTCCTCGATACCATGGTCCCGGTATTGGCCGGTCTTGACAACCTCGTTCTCGAAGAAGTGTTTTTCGAACCGATGAACCGTCTGCTCCGGGCGATAGTACCAACAAGCGTTGACGCACTGTTTTCCGGCTTTGTCAATGTAAGTACGATAAATTTGAGCAACGATCGGTTTGGTCAGGTCGTTCGGGTTGGTGATGTGTACCCAATCGCCTGAGTCATCACAGTCAGTAACGCAGATTTCCTCCAAAGTCATGGGGGCGTGCTTCACTTACCAACTTTCCAGACCTCACCCCTGTGATGAATTTCTGGTACGGGCCGTCGGCCATCTTCATCGGCAAACTGATCATCTGGTTTAGCTTTCTCTTGTTCGGCCAAGAGGCGAGCCTGATTTTGGAGTTCCATGGAATCCTTGTAGATCTGACTGTCCTCTTGGTTGTACTCCTTGGCATTTTCGAACATCAACTCAATGTCTTGCATCACCTGGTCCAGATTTTGGTACTTCTTGCGCTTCGCTTTCCTCTTGATCAAGTCGAGGGCTATGGGATTATTGATAGTGGCATAGTAGTCTGGCGCGGCCTGCTTATCAGGAAGTCTTTCGAACGGCAAGATCATCAGCTCTCCGTTGGGATGCTTAAACTTGCGCAGGCCCTTCAAGAATGCATGAATTCGTCCCTCGAGAGGGGTGAAGACCTTGGGCGGCCGGCGACCACGTTTTTGAGGATGATCGTCCCTATCGGCAGACTTACGGCCTCCACGACCTCTCCTGCGGCGGCGCCCACCGTCATCGTCAGAATCATCATCCTCGTCATCCTCGTCGTCTTCGTCGTCCTCATCCTCATCTTCGTCGAGAGGCGGCGAATCCTCATACTCGGGGATAGGACCCAGATCGGGTATGACGGCCTCTTCCGCTGTTATGATCTCTTCGTCGACGAGTTTTTGGAGCTCCTCTTTGAAAAGTTCCCTCAATCGTCCGGCGTCTTGGAAGAAATGCGAAGAAGGCCGATTGTAGACTTGGGCGTTGTGGCAGATCTTGGCGACATCACGAACGAAATCCGAGAAAGTCGGGTATTGCTTCCTGAGCTTCTTTGTCTGTAATGCATGTCAGCTGGACTGTTGCAAGTTTCGGTTTCAAGATGATGCAGTCATACCCTAATGGTACTGAAAGCTATGGCTTCGTCGATGACCTCGTAGTAGTCTGGTATTAATCGACGGTTGGGAATACGCTGGAACGACGAGGCGATATGGTAACCACTTTCATCTTTAAAGCTGGACAAGTAGTTGGCCGTATTTTCGATGATTGTGTACATGTCTGACGACAAGCCGACCCGCTCTCCTCCATCATCCTCAAGTTCACCTTCGGCATCGGCTTCTCCATCCGCATCCATGTCTACATCGCCATCTGCATCTACATCAGCATCAGCATCAGCATCAGCGTCGACATTGATATCAACATCTGCTGGATCTGCTTCGGCGTCTGCATCTGCATCTGCATCTGCATCTGCATCTGCATCTGCATCTTCATCTGCTTCTGCATCAGCATCAGCGTTGACACCTATGTCAATGTCGGCATCCGCATCCGCGTCTGCGTCTGCGTCTGCGTCAATCTCTGCATCAGCATCAGCATCCGCGTTTGTGACTGCGACTGCGTCTCCAGTTGAATCGACGTTGTGTTCCGTTTTGACGGGTTCCATAACTGGCTGCACTTCAGTCGTCTTGTTGCTATCGCCCTCTGGGTTAGCTTTAGCCTCGATGGAGTCGCGAACCTCGACGTTGACATCGACCTTGGGCGCGTTGCTGGGCTCGTTCGCGTCAGCCATTGTGACGGGAGTAGCGTGTGTATTCTCGTCAAAATGGAGTTCCAGAGAGACAAATTGTTATGATTCCATATAGGCAGGTGTCGAAGCTAGACAAGTCAATCCTCAAGTTTTGCGCAACAAAACAAAGCTGCTTGTCGCATCGCAAGCTCGGAATCTTCTTGCCTGTTGGTTTCGCTGCCAGAAATTGAGCTAGGTTAGACTAGACTGATTGTTAACCGTGCCACAGTTGAGCGACGCGACAGCTGATGGGATTGGAATGGGGGACGGAATTAGCCGATTTATAGCCGATTTGTATCCGTATCCGCTCACCTCTATTACATACGTAACTAACCTTACTGTACTTCCATGTACACAGCGTCAGTTTTGGTCAGGGTTAAGGCTGTGGCTCGTGCTTTAGTCTAAGGTTAGTGCGATATCTCTTACTACCGTAAGTGCTACATACTCATACGTTATACCAGCTACAAGTTTATAAATCCTGCTCAATATCACCAGTGTCCTGCCACCAAGGTCGCAGAGTAATACTGCCCGCTTGTAGAGCATATTCTCGTCATTTACCTTAAAGGTTATGCTTGACATTCCATTGCGTCTCTTCTTCTAGACCCCTGGCTGTGTCTCTTGAACCTTTTCCTTCCACCAGATTTATCCTGCTATACTAACCTAGTGTTTGATGTTGATCATCTCTTGCTGTTATTCACGCAAGCCATAACGGTCAGCAATGAATCAACTCGATTTGCGTTGCAAAGCCCCATCGTGTGAATTATATTGGGACTTGACTCTTCGTAAATAACCAACTCACACTGGCCGGTCATGTTTGGCTAGCAACTAGAACCGGTGCAGGTTTGACGAAACTCATCTCAGCATGTAATAGTAGTAGCCCACCGCAGTTGAGCACATTTATCACCTCACTAACAATAAAGTTCAGCTAGGAGTTCAAATCTGCATTGTGCTCCATCATTCAAAAAGTCATGCCTGAACACTCCCCTCACTCTAGTAATCTTAGATCGCCGGTTGAAACTCAAGAACAACAACTACCAGCTGTACTGCACAATTTCTGTTAGTATGCTGTTCCAACTTGTTCTGAAGATCAACAGACTTACTCTGAACTCTTGGTTCTCTCGGTCAGTTAGGTCAAGGAATTCATTGTTTTCCTTGTGCTCGCTGTCAAAAAGCCTATCTCTGCGCTTGTTCTCCCACGAGTAGTACGCCATAAGCAGACCGGTAAGTGCCACTGCAACAGCACTGGTGGCTACTATGGCTATCTTCGCGGGTAGGTAATTTGGTTTGTCGGCGTTACGAAATGTAAGTGGTCCAATGATATTGCCGAGACCTAACTGCTATGAGCAGAAATTCTTTGCAGAATCTGTGGGAATGTACTTACAGAAGGACATGAGAAGTATCGCATTCATGGTAACCTTTTTGGTATGACCAGCATAGTTTGCAGAGCTATACGAGTATAGTAGGGGCAAAGATGAGCCAATAACCTATATTCAAGAAGTAAGCATATCGAAAGCAGTGGTACCGAGTGTCGACAGGGGAAATAACTCACGTTAGTCAGATAATTCCCTGCCAAGAGACCGCCTTGACTATCTTTGGGTAAGAAAGCCAGCATGCAACCCCCCAGAATACCGCCAATGAGCAGTATAACGATAACGATGGGACCTCGCATATTATACCTTGATGCAACCACACCAGAAGATATGACGGAAATGCATGCGATAGCTCCACTGGGGATACTAAGCAGTGCAGTCTCCTTGCTGGTGTATCCAAAGCCCTTGATGATAGTAGCCTGGTAACTACTCACGGCTCCATTGGGAACATTGCTGCTGATGGTAATCAAACTTAAGAGCCAAGTTTGCGGGTCTTTTAAACATTCGAGTACCTGATAGAGCTTGAAATGCTTGTTCTCAATTCCGGTCTGGTTCTCTCGTACACGCTCAATGGCCCAAATCTTTTCTTCGTGACTCAGTTTCGCAGTCATTGGGCTATCTGGCATGACCACCACGACAAGGATGCCGACGGCAATGGTGATCAAGCCAAATAAAAGAAACATGATCTGCCAGCTAGTGAATTTTTCGCTCACATAGTGCTGAAAGCCGAACGATGTCAGAGCGCCGATGATGGTACCAGTTCCGGTACCCACATACCTAAGCGACAATCAGAGATCAGTATTGCTCCTTTTGCCCAAAGTTAAGGACGGGTTCAAATCTCCCCCCAAAACAGCCAAAAAAATATATAGCTTAGAATGTTGATGAATGCCTCAGGGGATCGCATACCAGAAGCCGACACGTGCAGGCTGCTCCGAACGTTTGTACCTGTGTGATAACCGAGCTCAGTATCATTCTACTGTAGTAGTAACAACAAACATTGTTTGTCGCCCCAGAAGGAGGTAGCGGAAGTTCCCGCAGGAGTTTCGAGGGCTGCAGTAAGTCACATACCACATTGATGTTATTAAGATGAGGGCTGGGGCAACGGCTGCCTCAAAACAACCAAGTAGGACTCGTAAGGTGACTAGAGCAGCCCAATTCTTCGCAGCTGCGGTGAGTGTCACCATCAACCCCCAAAGAATTACGTTCGCGCCGAGATATTTCGCAGTCGGCAGCCGTTGCATTAGGTACCCAGTCGGAAATTCGAAAGCCAAATATGTAACATAGAACACAAGAGCCAGTTGGGAAAACTGATCGCCAGTGATATTGGTGTCGTCTTGGAGGCCCATGACATTCGCATAATTGACTACTCCTCATCAGCGCCTGCCCATCGTCAAACGAGACGCTAGGAAGAGAGAAGAAGAGCCTCACTCAACGTTTTGTCAAGGTACTGCAGATTGTAACAAGCCCCTGTTTTGCTATGATGTAAGTCCCTGTCACACCCCCATCGAAGTGACACTTACACATAAGAGGTACAATCCACCAATCGATTTTGCGAACGAGTTTCCTCTCATTGATCTCAGTCATTACGGTCATGTCTTCATGATTGAGGTACTCCAATGCTGCGTCTACATCCACAACCTTGGAAGTTTGCCCCTCGGCATCTGATTTTCCACTTGGCATTACTTGTTCCGACATTGTATATTGCTATCTGCGTATAGCCTACTGAAGAAATTTTAAGAGTTGATAATTAGATACCGGATGGTTGATTGCAAGATTTCAATGCGACCAAGAAAAGCTTTGTAGACCGCCTGGACAAGCTCAGAGGGAGCAGTCGTACAACCACTTTCTCTATATACTCATATGTTGCGACGGACGCTAACTCCCGGGTAAGCTCTTATCAAGAGGGCCAAGGCTTACCCTATCATGCATGGTGAGCTCGGGAGGGGGGTAGGGGTGAAATGAACATTGTATCTATTTCTTCTTTGGTAGGTCACACGATGAAAAGGCCTCGACATCCCAGTTGGCATTCGATAAGCGGTTGCAGAAACTCTTCTCAATGGCTTGATGACTTCATGATGTCGGGGGTTCGGTGAGATTGACAGGGGTTTGTGAGCCACTTGTGATCTGCAGTCGCCAGATACGCTATCATGCAGATATACTTAACTGCGGCTCCAACAACCAAGTCAGGTAAGGTGCATCGGAAGGGTCCGATCTTTGGAAAGTTGAATAATCATAATCACTCACAATCAGTAGAAAGCATTGTGAATTCGGGTAGAGCATATTGACAGCTGCCTGTGATCTGTCTACTTCATGCCAGCCCGAACTAATGTCGAATCGCTTCGCTGCCTTGACTCTGCCACAGCGGAGTCGTGATACCCGTCCATCTCGATCCTTTATTTCGGGAGGACTGGTGAGCTTCATTTGCCGTCACGCTTCGCCCGTGGCAACAATTCTTGGTTGCAATGGCATACTTCCGGCTGGATGCCCCCAAGGCATCACATCCTGACTGACCAGCTAAAGCTTGAACACAGTCTTGCTAAGCGCCTAAAGACTTCTACATTTGGTGCTTCTCATGACGAATTGTGCGGTGATACGAGCACGACACTATCTCCTGGAGATGTTGTCAGTATAGAGTTACCTCATCTCATGCCCCAAGTCACTCACCTCGAACAAACAGCATTTCGGATTTTTTCGTAATTGTCTAGAGATGATGTCAGAACAGAAACCCGCATTTTGCACGAGGTCCTTTACCTTGATATCCTCATCATCGTCTTCTTCATCCACGATGTAGATAGTCTCTAGCACATCCCCCAGGACCAAGTTCATGTGGCTATCGTAAGCCTTAAATGCATTAGCAACGGTAACTCTGGTGACGTTGCTTCTAGACTCACATGTAACCGGCCTTGCAGTTCTCTGTCACCTCGCAGCTTGACAAACACTATCTCGTCAAGAAGCAGGCGCACCAGATCAAGAGGCTCTGGAGTAGCGGCAGCGCCTGCACCTTCTTCGACATCGGCCATTGTGAATTGTAGAAATGGCTCACGTAGGACGACGAGGTTTTCTTTCTGTCGAAATGTGTGATGTGGCGTAGTTTAAGTCAATTTCGTAATGCCATCAATATCTGACGCGGACGATGGTGCTGTGCTTGGCGGGTGACAACAGGGGTTTGTGCCTGGCGGCCCGCAGGAAAATCTTGCAGCCGACGCCGACTTCACTGGGGACCTTCTGGGAAGGGCCCAAGCTTCAGCTTCGAGATTGATACAGAGCATGTGGATCCGTATTAACGAACGCGCCAACAGCGATGCCTCCACCAAACCGTTGAAGATCTCCACTTCCCCAGATTTCAAAAGGCGCTTCTTCCCAGTATGATCCACCTAGCCAACATTGGGTGATGTCTGGCCTCAATCAGGTGGTCGAGTTCGCAGGTCCTCGAATGGCAGCTTATAAGTCTTCGAGAGGACCGCCAGCGTGGCTACTGGTGACTAGTCCCCAACGTTATCGGAGTTCTTGCCGGGTTGGTCGACATCTTGGGACACGTCTCACCCCAATCCTGCTGGCGACGAGACCTTTGTCATATTTCGCTGGCCAGTCCACACCATCTCATTTGGCGGCATATCACAGGGTCCGCCCGTATTCCACTTGGACGGACTTCTCATCCGCAGAAGCAACGTTTTCAGCAGAAGACATACACTTTCTGAACAGGTTGGCAGAGTCTAGCAGTGGCCTGAGCGGGGCATCACAGAATGGCGACGGGTATACGCCAACTCATCATGAAGTGTTCCTTGAGAGAAGGAAGGCGGAGAGATGGAATGCGGAACCGCCAGACACGCTTAACGAACCCACTGTTCCTACGGATAATATTCATGAGCTATTCCGTAAGGCGCTCGGCGCAATGCAACGACGAGATAGTCGAGAGCTTTTGGCTTCCTTGAAGAAGATCACTGTATTGCCCGAGAACGAACTGGTGGATGCTGTTGATGCCTTCCCTAGAACTGCTTTCTCCGAATTTCTACGTTTCCTGGACCCGTTTCAGATTGGCCGGGACAATGATCCTACTCGTGGAGTTGCTATCGGAGCTGGTATGTGGCAAATACTCAGCCTAGGAGCTGTGGTGGATGAATGGGGCACCCGAATACTCTACACGACGCTTCTGAGGCAGATGTTGATACTTATGCGTGCGCTACACAGCAATGGACAGCGGCTTAATATCAACGACTACCTACCGTTGTTTAGAGCAGCGGGGTTGACCTCGGATGTATCTGTCACTCAACTGCTCTGGAACCAAATGGTCGAACACGAAATTTCATATTGGAGAAACAGCATCACATATGATGAGTTCATGAAGGCAAGGTTTTTGACCGAGCCTGCGTACACCGGATACGACAAGAGTCATCTGATGATGACCCCACGAAATCTACATCGTCAAGCTGGCACATACTTGATAGCTTCTGTTAGCCGTCTCGACAATCTAAGGAAAAATATACGAAGACGGAAGTTCAAATTCGGATTGAATAGGAACAGAAATGTTGCGGAGGACCTCAGTCGCCTGATGAGAAAGCGTCTTCCCCCAACACGTTTGTTCTTTTACATGCGGATACATGGCTTGCGTATGACACATAATTCTCTTTGTCAATTCATTGTCGCATTTGCACGAAGTGGTTCGCTCAGGTTTATCCAATACCACATCCTTGAGGACTACTTCGGAATTTCCGTCCACAAGGACAACCGTGACGGCGAGATATCGGTCAAGCGAGCATTTATCAAGACGAAATCAACAAAGAACCCATTCCGACCAGCAAGACCGCCGTATCTACCAACGGCCAAATTGATTGACGCCGTCGTTTACGCGTACTGCTCAAATGGACAGCTCCCCATGGCCTTTCACATTGTTGACTTCATCTCGAACAAATACAGGATTCCGATTAGCCCAAATGTTTGGTTTGAGCTGCTCGAATGGGCGTACATCATGTCCACACCGCCTACCAGTACAGCCTGGGATATTGCAGGCCTCAGCAATCGCATCCCGAGTCGGAACTCGGTTGAAATCATTTGGAACACCATGACCGCACCTCCCTACAAGGTTCAACCCGGGTTCAAGCAATATGATATTTTCATCAGGGCACTGCTCAGACTTGAAAGACGCGAAGAGGCCTTTGTACACATGCGCGAAGCTCGCAAAATTTATGAGTACCAATGCACGGAATTTGAGACAGCAGCATTTGAGTATGCCAGCGCCAAGAGCGCTGGTATAAACGATACAAAGGAATTGCAAGCGTTCCGGCGGGCTCGTTTCCTCAAGGCATACATGCGGCAACGGATGAACGGGTGGTGCAACATCTTCCTGGAGAAAGTATTTCGCACAAAAGACATGCATGATCCTGTAGCAACGCGTGGAATACCAGATTTCGTCCGGGAATGGCGGGACGTACTCAGCAACCCTTTGAGGTATCGGATAGCATCAGGCTTTGTTCACCTATTAGACCCTGCAGAGGTGGTGGAGAAGACGATTTTTGTGCGAGACCATACCGTTGACCTGGCCATGAAACGCGGCGGGCGATGGCGTGTCACCCCCATGGCCCAGAAGCAGTTCCGCCGCGTGAGCATGCATGCGCTGGGAGATTTGATGAGCACCAGAGTGGACCCATTGGACATCCTCCAAGGAGTTGTGCCAGCGGGACGTCCCTCTCAATCCAAACGCGTCGACAAGTGGCGTGCTTGGGAGAATGCTCAGGTAGCTGAGCAGCAAGAGGAGACGGCGCCCGAAGGAGACATTTGGGACGATGAAGAGTATTAGCGCTGTGAGATTGGTCTTGGTAGTTACCTCCGTTGGTGGTGTGCTGAGAAGAGCAGAAGAAGGTGTGGTATTGTGTGTGTAAAACTTCTCGTCGGGTTTATGTACCTGAAACTTGGGATCTGACAGCTATGCGCAGATCAACTGTTCGCTGGTTATGTAGATGGGTACAATTTAGATCTCTGTGATACCATGCAAAGGCTTCTTGCGTGTCTATTATTTGTAATTTTGCTTTCTTTTTGTTTTCATGCTATTTTGGTGTTTTCCTAGCCAGTTGTCTCGAAGCGACTTCAGACTTGCTTCTCTTAATTAACACTCTGTCACGGTTTCGACTTCTCCAAGCTCAAGGTATTGATTACCATATAACGACTCATGGTGATCCAGCCCCATCGAAACCACACCATTTGGCTTTTGTGTGCCTCTGTCATGGCCTGCCTCGCGGTTCCTGCGCTCTCTCTTCCCCCAAACAGACTGCTCATGGCGACGAGAGCCGCAGGGTTGCCCTTGACATTCTTCTTCCGGCCGTCGGCGCCAGCCAGCACCACATCGAGCATGGTAGCGAACATGTCGAGGAAGGTGGTGTACTTTCGGAGCACGCTGACTGTGGTCAGGGTGTACAGGTCCACGGGGGAGGCGAAGCCAGGCCTGCCTGCAGTGAGAGCGGCCAGGAATCGCTTCGCGCCGTGGTGGAGCGATATGTGGTTCGGGTGGGAAGAAATGCCTTGCGCGTCGAAGGTAATAAGCACGTCGATGGAGGCGGTGGGGTTGGCAGACGAGGGAGAGTTTGGGCGAAGCAGGTAGGGGGCAAAAGCGCTCGACAGGAGCGTGGATATGCGCTGATGGTCCCAGGGGGTGGTCATGCCGTCGGGGAAGTCACTAGAGAGGTGTTGGTTCAGTGTGTGCTCGTCGTGATATAAAGGGGAGGGGAGGGGAAAGGTGGTCAAACGCGCCGGCAGCTCCGCTCGAGAGATAGCCATTGCGCGAGCACCGAGAAATGCAGGTGAAATATACATACGGGCTATCGATGACAAAGACGTCGTCCTCCTGTCGCAGTCCCAGCAACATGCCGCTCTTGACCAGTTCCTTCTTTCTTGTCTCGCCGAGGCCGTCGGCATTGCCAGTGCTGAGGCACAGGATCTTGACATGATTTCCAGTTTCGGGCCGAGTGAGGGCCAGTACGGTGGGTGCGAAGAACATGGCCTCGTCGTCGGGGTGCGCAATGAGCAGACATATGCGCTTGTTGCGCACAGTTGGGAATCGTGTTTGGGCGACTGAGCATGTATAGACATACAGGAGGGGCAGGACGGCCATGAAAACCCCCATACTGCTCAGCCATAGCAGATCCATGCTGGGCGACCAATTCTCTGTGCAAGCCGGCTGGATTGTGCCTTTTGAGGTCCAGCTATGTCATACAAGCTATCCAGAAAGCTTTTGGGAGAGGTTTGGGGGCAGCTTGCGCCGTTGATGGAGGTGCGGGACGGCCGCTGGGGGGGCGCTGGGCTGGGCTGCCGTGGGGGATGCAATGCGATGCGCTGCACGGCTGACGTGCGTCTTTGGGTCTTTGGGTCTTTGGGCGGTTCCTGTGCCTGTTCCTGTTTCCTTCAGGGGGGGAAAGTGTGGATGAGGTGGGTAAGACAAAGAAAGGAGAGCACGTGCAACTCAGAGGAAGACTTCCCGTGCGGGTTTGAATAAAGTACGGAGATCAGAGGGGATAGAACGCGACAGAGCCTTTTCCTCTATCCCCTCACGGCCGTCAGCTGGATCAAATGCGACGGGAAGAGCGAAAATGCCACCTTGCGACTTCGCAAAGAAATGAGGGACAAATCATCCACCCCCCCTGTTCCAATATGCGCCCGGGGAAATTTGACATTCGACGATCCGCACTTTGGTCAATGGCTTCAAATCGGATCGCGGAACTGAGGCTCGCACTAGTTGGACTAATTCGTCCTGGGTAAAGCTCGATTCAGCACATATAGACCAGGATAGGGCAGTTAGTAGTTCAATCTAATCAGAATAAATATGTATCATCCATCAATTCTCCCTGTGCGGGTGTACAGAGATTACAGTACTCTGTCCCGGGGCGAATACTAACTCGGTCACCTCTCTTGGACTGGAGCTACATATGTGTGTATGTGTGCATGTATGTATGTAACATTGCAACGAGCCATTATTACAGCACGGGACCTGTTCAGTTGCACATAGCAGGGTTGACGACCCCATTGCCGTGGCTTCGTGTATCAGGTAAGGCGATGCATGCGAGTGAAGCCTTCTTGAGCCTACCTGCTCTTTGCTTGTCAGTATCGTCTTGTGGGAATGGATGACTTGTCCAGGGTAGGTACAGCATTGCTCGAATATACTGTGTATAATCTATACTATGGTTAGTCTACGGTTAGTGTACAGTGACACCCTACGTAGTACTAGTATGTAATTTGTGCAGCCGTCACCCGCATATCAGTCGCAGCGCTAAGGTCTAACCTTAAGGGGGGGAGGGACCTTGGCAGAGCCCTGGCATGACATTTTCGCCCATTGCAGCAAAACACAACTGGGGCACATGCTCCTTCGAGGACCTATCTTTTCCGATTCAGCCTCGACACCGGTCCTACCATTTACAGGACACTCGCATCCGCCAACCCTCAAAATGGTCCAGACGCGCAAGGAACGCAAATCTGCACAGATACCACTGTCGCAGCCCGATCGATCTGTGCCGACAGAGAAGACCCTACTGGAACTCGCACAGGAACGACAGCTTTTCGACCAGGCGGATGTCAGACAGCGGAAACTAGACAAGAAGCCCGCAACACAAAAGCCACATGGTGGCCCAGAGGATCAAGAAGACATGTCCCCTACGGCAGAACGCATACTGGATGTCTTCTTTTGGAGTGTGAGCCTGTCAATGCTGCATTTCACCCTGGATGTGCTAGTTCAGCACCAGTACGCCGTCGAGTTGTCCTGGTCTAGCGCCGTCTCCAGGACTCTGACAGCTTTGTTTGGTAAGATCACAATACCCGACGCCTCCCCATCTATGTGACATGTCACTGAACTGAATGTTGCCCTACCAGTCTTCTCCTTCCTGATGTTCTTTCTCCATGCGCATCCGTCCTCCCCAACCTTGGTGTCTGCTTTGCCGGACAAGTACCAAACCCCTCTGCGCCAGGGCATCTTCTTTGTAACAAGTGTTGTATCTGGATGCTACCTCATATACATCTCAAACACCTTCAGCTACATAGCTGTCATGAAGCAGGCCCCGTCCATAGGCTGTCTCTGGATCTGGAGCGTGATTGAACTCAATGTGCTTCCTGCCGTCATATCGCTGGCTTGTGCAGGCGGGTATCTGTGGTTTGGAGGCTACAAAATCATCTGAACATGGTCCAACGAGGAACCCGTTGCATCCGAGGCGGACCTAAATAGACAAGTACGATCGCATGGTGATGAACCGCATTAGCAGACTGGAGTACATCACCATGTCTTTGGATAACTCTCGGGTATGGTGAAACGACAGTCGCACCCCGAACGCAAAAGCAATCACGCCAGTTGTACGGCGCACGTGTTATGCTGTTCAGAGGCAACGACGGCTCGTGCTGTCCGCGATATTTAAGATGCAGTTTAAATATTCATGGCCTAGATTGAATCCGATTCGACATACACAGGTCGTATCTCGAGAAACTCAGGAAAGTTGCGACGGTTCGGGGTGGGCTCGACATTGGTAGCTGCCTATACCGCTCTCACTTACAATAATTATGAGATGTGTTGATCTCGAACAGTACTTGCTTAACCTCAATATGCAGAGTTGCCCGGCAGTTTGTGGTCTTTTCATGCAAGGCAGCTACACCGGTGCTCTTCTGGGCGACACCATGGGAGATACACGTATAGAGCCCTGCTTCGTAGCAGTATAAGGTCGACCAATCAAAATGATAAAATCTGAAAGTGCATAAGGTGTCTTTCGAGATAGTGGAGACATGAGTTTCCGCTTTTACAGTATAGTTGTATAACATCATCAATAGCTTTACATTTGAGTGAGGATTTGTCCGTCTACACCATAATATCCATAACTCTCTCCTCCATAATCCACTAGCCATGGCCGACATCTGAATTTACATCATCTCCGGATAGTCTGGGAGATCCCAGTCCTTCACCTCCTCTTTGAGGAACCACCCGAATATCGGTAATTTGAAGAACGAAGCGAGGCCAAGAAACAAATGTGCAACGGCAATACCAAACGCCGAGGACGGGTATACCATGCCCGAATCTCCCTCTAGAATTCCTTTTTGTACTTGGTCCATAAACGGTCTGAACTTCTGGTCGTATGCCTTCAGTGCAGCCGCAACCCCGTCGCCTACATCAGCATTAGCAGCCTTTCCGCAATGCCTCCCGATCTCACCGGCCAGGATATAGGCGCCGACCAAAGCGGAAGTTGTGCCCATGCCTGTGTTCGCTGAAGGGCAATAAGCAGCATCGCCGACGAGTGCGACATGACCCTTTGACCAGGATTCTAGCTTGACCAGGCCCATGCGCTCGCAGTAGAAATCGTCGGCTGTCATCATGGCCCGGACAATCTCGTCCGTCTGCCACCCAGCGCCGCGCATGATCTTCGCCAGCGCCTCCTTCTCGGCCCCGACATCACCGCGGCGGATGTGCTTGAGCGGCTCGGAGCGGTCCGTGCAGCCGACGTACACCTGGACTTTGTCCGGATGGGACCTTCGGAGCATGACCCCGCGGTGGTTGGTGGCCAGGTACTGCGTCGCCATATACTCCTCCCCCTCCTCGATGGGCCGCGGGATCGTGAAGTAGGCCACATATTGGCCAGTGATGGGAAAAAATTTGTCCTCGGTCTCTGCGCCGAGCATCAACTTGCGAGTGCGGGACCCCTGCCCATCGGCGCCGACCACGAGGTCAAACAGCTCGGTTCTACCGTCCGCGAAGCGGACCTCCACGGAGCCGCCGCCGAGGCCCTCCTGCTTTATGCTTTCGATCGAGGCGCCGAAGACGTATTTCGCCCGCTCCTTGGTTTCGTCATACATGAGCCTGCACAGATCGCCCCTCATGATCTCCCAGTCCGTCGTGAAACTCTGCAGGCCCTCGCCGGAGCGGTTGGCAGGAAAGTATGCCCGCCGGCGTCCGGACCTGTCTACCATCTGGAGGCCTTGCTCGGGGGGCGACACGGAGCGGTAGGACTGCTCGAGGCCCATCCGCTTCAGCACTTCGACGCCGTGGCCGCGGAGATCAATCTGTAGACCCGTGGCCCGGAGTGTTGGGAACCTCTCTACGACGGTGACAGCGTGGCCGAGGTTTGAGAGCCAGAAGGCAAGTGCGTTGCCAGCGATGCCTCCACCGCTAATTAGCACTTTGAGTGGCGCCATTCGGATTGCGTCCGACATAAAGATACAAACGAGTCTGATATACTTCAAATTTCTTGAAGATATTCAGAAGAAAGAAACACTGCGAGCAGCTTCTTTGCTCTCTTATAAACAGCTCGGCAAATTGCTGCAGTGAAATACTTATCTCCGCTTACAGCGAATGTGCTCCAGCGTATCGGCCGAGGAGGTCGCACGCATGGTAACATGGCCAATACATATTGACGCGGTTTATGCAAAATCCGCGTCTCCCAAGAAAAAGTCCAGGTCAAAGTCCAAACCGTAGCTATCGTGCTCGCTGAAGTTCGTTGGGGTAAACCCGATGTTGTCAGGGTTTGCTAGAGAGATAGCATCCGATCTTTTCTGCAGCAAATCGACACAGTGCTCAAGACTCTCTCTCCCACTCCGAGCGATTTGGTACTCAATTGGGATATTAGCTTCAATAGCCGCAACGTGTGCCATTATCATACTCAGGAACATCGGACCCTTGATGTTCGTTTCGCCGTATTCGATCCGCTTCACCGAGAAATCGATAATTCTATGCATGGCTTGTTTGAGGTAATCGATGTTGTGGGAGTTTCCGTACAGAGTTCCCGCGTGGCGTTGTGCCTCAGCTCGTGCGATCACCTCGTAGCTGATTACGCTACCGGCGCAGCGAAATCCTTCTCGAAACATGCCACCGCCAAGAACCATCAGTTGGGAAAATGCGTGATCCGGCTGTGGCGATACTATAGCCATGGCAGCGTCGATGCTTACTTTGACAGAGTTGTAGAACAACGGGTTGGCTCGAGCTTTGACGGCGAATGGGCAATGTAGAAGCAGAAGAAACCGACGTAGCAAGTAGTCGAGTAGGTTTCGATGGAACAAAGTCGCACCGAATTTGTCGTTTCGCGAAAGGAACTCATCGTTTGTCCGAATTCCATCCATGATGTCGGACGTTATTGCAAGCACGTCAAGGTAGGAGATTTCTGAATTCAGGCCATTCAGGAGTTCGACCACCTTGTGACGGGTTGGTAGTGAGTCGAGCAAGCGGAGCTGCATGGAAGTCGCAGTATAAGTGCTCTTGTTATGAGGTTCTAGCGTTGTTGTTGAGCCATCGAGCTCTTCGTCGTGGACATTTGATGGCGGATCGGTATCGAACTCCGCAAAGGAAATCCTTGGTGGCATCGCCGAGTCCAAAGATGATTGAACAAGCAGCTCAACGATCGTGGCCCAGAGCCTTCTTCTAACTTCAGCTTGTAATATCGACATCGGTGGCAAGTACTTAGGATCACGATGCAAACCTATTTGCATGGCTCTGTGAATCAGGGAGCCCATTGACATCCACACCAAGTCGCCACCAATCGAGAAGACCTGACGTGCTAGAACCGTAAGACAATAGATTTGAAGCCCGTCAATGCTTAGTCGATCCTTCTTCAGTGGCCCTGAGAGCCAACTCTGGGCAGCCTGTACCCATTGATAAAGCATTACACGGATATCGGAATCAGGATTGGTTTCTGCGTGTAAACTTGACCCCAAACCAACAACAAGAAGTACTTTTAGTCTCAGCGCTGTCGCGGCACTTTCGGGTCCTTCCCAATATTTTTTGTACTCGGTCCAGAACGTAGGCACATGGAGTATGCGATGTGCCGACTCGAATGACTGAAAATATAGGTTGGTCATTTCATCTGCTAGTTCGCGTGTAGGGTTGATAAGGCCAAAGTCAGGATCTGCCAAACTCCCACTAGGCCGTGTCATCTTGATGCGCTTGGTTATATCTTTGCTCGTGCGGAGCAGGTCGCCCATCTCAATGACAACGGCTCGGGTCTGTACATCTTCAACCGATGCTCCTCTGTCATTTTTCATTGCCCGCATATAACAGGACAAGACGGGTGCAAGCTACGTAGACAATCAGCCTGGTTCACAGATTCCAGGGAAGTTCTTGTGTTACTTCTTGCGTGGTAGTCTTCCAGTGACTGGAGCTGACTATTCGTGTCTTATTGAGACTGATATGCGAGTGATCTAGCGCAGAGTGTTCATTCAAGAGATCTACTGCTTTCTCCCGTGTGCTGCTTGTAGTAGATCCCCGTTCTGAATTCCTCTCCTGGTTTGCCACTCGCCGCAGACTACCTGATACATTGATGTCTACCCTTGGGGTGTGGCACGGAGGTTGAGTGTCGTTGGGAATGGAACGATCCAGGTCGCCCTGTTCGCCCCCTTCTGTTATTGCAGTTGTGACCAATGGAGTAAGTGTATCTCGGTTAGACAGAGAAATACGCAAACCCGCACTATTCCCAGGATATTGAGGTGAACTAATAGTTCTAGCATTCGGCACGCTGGATATCGTACTCGGATGGCATACTGATTCCTGCCGCGCACCCGGCTCGCCGCCATAGAGCCTATAGGTGCACTGACTCTTGGCGGTGAGGCAGTGTGCACATGGATCGCCTCTGTCACATTTGATCTTGCGTCGTCGGCATTGAACACACGATAATGCCGGCCTCCGCCGCCGTCGTGACTGTTGTTCCATAGCGCGGCTGACTGCTAAAGTGTGATATCGAATTCACCGAAGGTACCTAAACTCCGTCAGGGCTATGGTCTGCACGGAGCTTCTAAGTAATATACGAGGGACCATGAACCAGACGATGCCGTTCAATCAGGTAACGTGTCATAGACCAGTAGTTACTCCCCGGCATTGCTCCAAAGAATTGGGTGTTAACAGACAATGAGAAAACCCCGAGGAGAGTGCGCATTTCTCGGTCGTAAGAATAGTGAAAAGACCGAAGTGCCCCACTATTCACTATTCTTACGACCGAGACCGTGCCAGGAATAAGACGCCACGCATGTCTGGACTGTCAAACTGGTTCTAATAATATCGAGTGGAATTAATAAAATAAAATAGGTATCCTCACTGTGATTCAAGTTCAAAGGCACACTAAGCTGGCGGCAGCCTATGCTTTTTACTCAATTTCTTAGCAGTGTTTCGGCCGACGCGATCGCCACGCTCAGCTCATACATTATTCAGCACCAACAGTACCGCACCGCAACGCGAACACTAATAAGAACATCATATCTTTTTACACAATATCAAATCAAATGACACAATCTTCTAGTAGACATTAAATACTCTATCTAATGTTGTTCAAACGCTTTATCTAAAACGCTGACACAAGTATGGATGAGAGTACTCTTTCGATCGACCCTCTTCTTGTGTGGGCCAAATCAATACCTGGCTTCATCTAACAATTAGCCAAAGTCAAGTGATTGAAACAAACGCACGTTTACTTAGTTAATCAATCTAGACTGCCGTCTTTCTAGGCAGATCAAGTGGTTGTGCAAGCCTGTGCAGTGAGGTATGCCAAATTCCTCTATAAGTCTGACACCAGAACCAAAATGCCAGGAGTCACATAAATTCCGATCATTCAAGTTCCTATAGAAAAATCCTCAGTTGTACTGAGCGCCATTGTCAAAATTTGAGCCAACAGTTCAGGAATATTTCTAGACGTACCTCTGGAAGTCACTTGTGTTTCGTTCATTTTCGAGTCGCCGCTTTGTCACAAGAGAAAAGGAAATCCTCGGAGTTTTAAGTCTTGACTCTTCGCAGATTAGGAATTCAAGAATCATTGGTATCGAACATGCCCTATTGTGTGCACTAGTACTTCTTGCGACGCCCGGTAACAAACCCCTACATCAAGCGCATATGACTTTTGGGTGTATTGCCAGTTCCTGCCATTTTTTGCCAGTCAGAGTAGCTCCCTGCTACTGAATTTCGGCCAGAAACTGATAATCATCCCGAAGTGCGGCGAGATGCCAAGATGGAATCCAATCCTGCCACTCCGAAGAGCTCCTGGGAGACAAACCCCTTGTCCATCTCATAGTCCGACAACTTGAGATGATAAACGCCTTCGTCCTTGCCTTTGTTTGTACGGGTATCAAGGTCCTTTGATCCATAGTCGTCATCGTCGCTCAATACAATAATATCCTGACGATCAGACTTGGCGTTGCTGTCATCGCTGTCGTCACTGATGACCACTACCTCTTTGCTTTTACACAAAGTGTTGTTTTTATCGGAGGGAACTAGCTCCGAACTTGTCTCGGGAATATGTCCAGTCGCATCAAGCTCTTGACCGCACCAGAATGTTCTGATATCCTTGCCTCCATGTCCGGTTCGGCCACAGCAAATTTCAAGGCCAGGTCTTTTCATGGAAAGTACCCGCATGCCCTTCTCGGTTATTGAGCGCTGGTTGCAGAGAACCAGCTTGCGAAGCTTCGGTGCTGCAAGAATAGCGTCGTCAAGGAGGTTGCCGCCGTCATGTGATTTGACTTGACCGAGTTTATCCCAAGCACCAGAGATGTCAATGTATTCAAGCTGCGGGCAGTGCTGCAAAAAAGCCATTAGAGTTCCTTCTGTCATCCTGGTGGCACCTTTCAGGCTGATCTGCTTGATATTTGGGCAGTTACGGGCAAGTGGCAAGATGGAATGGTTTGTAAGACTATTCGCGCTGCCCGGCTCGACGGAGCCCACATGGAAATCCTCGATCGAATCGTAAAACAGGGCGCCGCGATTCAGGAGGTCAAAGATGTGCTCGCTGTTAAGTGTCAGTCTTTCGTTGGTATAGAGTGCCGGGTATGACCAACTCAGTGACGTCTAGGTTCCGTAGAAGATGGACGGATATAATGGGTCTGGGCTGATCGAAAACGGCACCACGAGCATCCCACGTTACATCTTTCCTACCCTCCATGGCTGCGACATGGGCTTTGTCATGAACGTGCTCGCCCAACATGATCGCGTATGGATTGAGTGTGAATGCACGGTACGGCAGGATGCTCTGCCGCGTGAGCTGAGTGGCAGCTTGGGAGGTCTTTGGAGCCGCCCGGCTTGAGGACTGCCGAGCAAGGAGTTGCAGCTGGCGCCGTTTGTTTCCTGGCTGGGCCTTTTTAGTTCTTGCCATTGTTCTCCTAGAGCTTTTGTGATGAATCTCGAGGGTGTTGCTTCAGCGGCTGGATGAGAAGATGGCGAAGTTCTGAGGTTACTGACGTTTGAATTACTGCTGTTATTTTTGTGGGAAGGCATTGTAGTTTGGAAGTCGTGAGCGTGTTGCACTGGAAACAAATATTGCCAAAATAACGTAGCTAGCTGTTATTCGGCTGACTATACGGAAGCAGAGTACCTCGACCCTATTTTTATTTATTTAGATTGGCGACAAGTACGGGTAGGGTAGTAGGCGGACCAAACTGCCTGATGTGATTCCTAAAAGAACTTGGCACCGAATTGTACGCACGGGTCTTGGCAAAACAGATGCTACACATACATACTATGCAGCAATTTATTTGAGCACCGACATGTGCTTGCGTTGCTGCTTCCACCAAACACACTACTTCTGCTCGCAAAAATCTCTCTTCAACTACCATGCGCATAATCTACCTCGTGTCATAATAATGCATCCCTTGGACGACTGTGCTACTTTGACCTTGTCTTCTTTACATTATCTAGCTCTATATGTTGTGTTGTGCTTACAACTCGTCTTTGATATGTTCCTCCTCTCCGGTGCCTTGTGTCTTCGTCTTAGGCTCTTCCTCGAACCGGCGGCTCTTGGGATTCTTTTCGACCTGGACTTCATCGCCACCGAGGACTTTCTGTTGCTCCTCACCTGTGATGGTATCACTCTTGAACCGTCTGGCAACCGCGGCAATTTCGTCATCGTATAAATTCCACTCAGGCACTTGTCTTCTGGCCCTGTCAAGTTTGGGCTCCTTCGTCTGTGGGTTGTTGCAGAGATCAATCGTGCGAGCCTCCTTTTGGCTCTCGTCAGAGCACCAAGTCTCACACCAGAGCCATTCTTGAGGTAAACTTTTGATAGGAATCTGGAACTGCATGTGGTTGGGCAAGTCCTGGTCCAGGTTGCTGAGACTGGCTGGATCAGCCGAGAGAGTATGGTATTGCTGTCGAAGACGGTCACCGGCTGCCAGCTCACGGAAGCGGCGTAGGTCGACCACATACAACGCTGAAATATGGTAAGGAAGGCCGCGGAGGTAATTTGCCCAGTACCCTTGCTTCCAGAAGCGGAATCCTTCCATCTCCGTGCGAGAATCACACATAGGGGTGAAACCGTAAGGCGCGCCTTCGAGGTCGAGGTTTACAAGATCAATCATGTCAGTCCGAACTATCTGGTCGGCGTCCACGAAGATAACCTTATCCAGAGACAGCGGGAAGAGAACGTCCAAGAAGAGAATCTTATAGCCCCAGATCTCTCGCTGCTTCTCCTTCTGCTGGCGGAGCCAGTGCGGCCATTTGTATGTAACCATTTCATACTTGAAGCCGTATTCCTCGGCCAGATGGGGAATGAACTCCTTGAATGAAGGGGAGAGAAATTGCTCAATGAACCAGAACTTGACCGTGTGGTTAGTGTTCTTCATGACAGAAACCATCATGATATTCAACATGCGCTCATACAGGTGCCCGCTAGCGACAGAGAAGATGTTGATCTCCGCATGCTCGGTATCCGAAATAGACTTGGCCTTGCTCTTGCCACCTAGAATACCCTGGGCGAACTTGAGGCCCTGAGAAAGAATATCGCCACCGGCAGATCCAGTCTCTTCGAGGACATCTTCCAGCTCCTGGCCAGGCTTGCGTTCAAGGCGCGGGTAAAGAGTAGTTCCCTGAAAGCCTATAAGAGCAACGTCGGTGCCCTCGTCGCCAGCCGCAGCATTGAATCCTTTAGCGCCAACACTAGTGATGGAAAATATATCTGAGCTTCGTCCCTCCTTGAGTTGAATATTGTAGTAACCTGGGTTGGCCTTGAACTGGAAGTACCCAATATTGGCCATGATGATGGTGTCCGCAAAATGTGCGTCCGACTCGGTGCCCAGCAGCAATTGAACACCGCGCGGCGGGTTGCCAGATGATTCTCTAGAGTGGCCTTCAATGAGGATGTTCTCAAGCTCGTACGTAGCCTCGACATTTGATTTGATGGAGCTGAGCTTCAGGTTGTCGAGATCATGGACGGAGTCCTTAGCTGCCACCAGCCAGGCGGGTTGCACGTCCATGCCTAGGTTCAGTAACGCCTCAGATGGAATACCCTTAAACTTGGCACTTAACGAACGGACTTTGCCAGACTCATCGAAAGTAGGCGCTGATTCAAGCACATATCTATAGAACCGCTTGACGGGTAGTTCGTCGATTCGCTCCCTCGGGTTCAAGAAGATACGCAAGAAGACACCGTCGAGCTCAGAAAGTACCTTTAGTATGGGTGCCCATTTCTGGCCCTGTTCGCTTGCTGGATTGAGAACCGCAACAAGATGGATGTTTGCAGTTGATTCATCGCCGACTGAAATCATAGTATGGGCAGACTCCCAATCATCAAAAACTGTTGTTCGCAAGGTTGGCGCAGACTCAAAAATTCCTTCTGGCAAATCTGAAATGGTGGATAAAGCAGTTATTGATGTCAGCTTCGCCGCTGCAAGTGGCCCGGAAACCTTCTCGGTCAAGTTGAGAGCCTCGACTGCTTGATAGACGGGCAGAATGCGACTTGCTTGCTCGAATTCCATCAATTGTTGAAAGTCATCTTCTGTCCACTCAGCGTCATTGGCAAGAGGACCGACAACACGGCCGTTCAGGAGCAGAACTTGAGCGCCAGGCTGGAAACCGGCAGCAGACAAGAACCGTGCCAAAGACATATAATATGCAGTACCGTCTACTTTGTCGCTACCCGCGCCAGTTACGAGAACTTCCAAGGTTTCCAAGTTCTCAATTTCTAGCAGCTTTTCGATCTCCCTTACGAGGCGGGCATTGACATTGTCGTCATTGGTAATCGTAGTAGGGTTGTGGATGATATCAATACGCACGCTCGGGTTGTTGCGACGGAACTCCAGAGCTGACAGGAGCAGCTTCAAGCCGGGCTGGCCAGTAAAATCGGCAAAGACTGATAAAGCAGCCCAGGTCTCTTTACTAGAGTCGGGACTAGCCTCAATTACAGGCACAACGTTGAATAGATCGTGATGCTCACTATAAACCTTGTTCACGTCAAGAACGGTAAGCTGGTTATCCTTACCGGGGAAAATATAGACATTTCGGCGCGTTGGTGCGTTTTCCAGGAAAAGGCTTGGAATCCACATGTCCTCGTTCACCTGGCCATAGTAAATGCCTTGCTGGATAAGCTGAAGATCTTGGCCAAGCTTCATGCTCATCTCCTGAAGCCATGATTCCTCTCGTGGGATGGCTTGACCGTTGAGAAAGATAGGAGGAACTGTGGTGGCCGCATTGAGTCTGGTGACCCAATGTCTAGCATGTTCAATCTGTTTGATGTAGTGTTCGGACTCAAAAATATCCCCAAAAGATAGAGCAGTCGCCTCCTCACGCAGGGATCGGTCTTTTGTAGCTTTCTCAAACTTCCCCTGCTCAATACTGAAAACTTGCTTCCCAGTATTGCATGACTCCAGATACGCCATCAGTGATGCAAGACCGTAATTCTCAAGCAGGTAGTAGACGATTTTGGCTTGCTGCTCTGCTACAGGAGTCGGGGTTAATGGAACAAGCCCGAATCGAATGGGTAGCAATCTTGTGATGAAACCTTTCAGCTGCTCAACGACGAGAGCAATATCTTCAGGGTTCGTGAGGTCGACAGGCACGATCAGATTGAACATGTCCTTCCTAACGGGCGGGATTTGACCGGGCATAGTGCGTTGCATAAGCTGCGGACTTGGTAAGTAAGTTTTAGTGATTGCAGCGGTGGCAATACTTACAGACATGAGGCTTGTGGGGTACTCAGCATACCGCTTGTCCTTCTCGATGTTATTGAGCCAAACAATGACTCTTCCATCTTCGATTTCATCTCTCCAGTCGAACCGACCAACTTCGTCATTAGACTTGGCCATGGTCACTTCTCGATTTCCGAGAAGAGAGACGGCTTGTTTGCCAGTCAAGCCAAGGTCCAGGACACCCTTGATGAGTGTCCGTTCTCTACGGAGCAAGTCAACCAGCGTGTAGGGGTCAATTTGTCTCTCAATCATCTGGACACCGTTCATCCAAAGCACATTCATCCCCTGTGGGACCATTTGACCACGGTTGAAGTAGTGCTCCCTCAAGAAATCCTGTGATTCGTTGTGGGCGGCGAACGATGCGGAGTACTTTGGAAAGTCCTGAGTCAACTTCAGCAGAGAATCGAAGGGATCATCGCTTTCCATGATGAAAGAAGCAGCTTTAACACCCAGCGCAGAGAGTTCGGAGCTCGCAAGGGGCTTTAAATCCGCGACCTCATCTTCAGCATCTAGATTTACTTCCAGTTTGGTAGAGCCGGACGCTTCCGCTTTCGAATCTCCCTCGCGGTCGTCAATGACGATGTAGTCTGTGCGCTTCAACTGCAGCTCTACGCCATAACCATTCACGGGCAATTTCTCCAGCAGTTCTCGCTGATCAGGTCGATACCGCAGGCGGTAGGAGACCTCTCCCTTCCTTGCCATATCAGAGAGCGCAGTATGAAAGGAGCCAAAGCCAGGCTTGGTGAGGTCGGCATAGAGCACTGCCTCAGGACCTCTACCTAGTGCGCGATCAAAGGGCAGCATTCGCGTTTGCGATTGGCCATCAATGGTGCCTTCTGCGTGTGATAGAGACGCAGAGCAATACTGCCTCCCTCCAAGCAGGATCCAGTCTGCGCAATCATCCTTGGGTGACACGACTGGTTCGACGGCAGTATCATAGTATTGGTAGTGGGCCTCTATTCTCGGGGCAGCCGACCGCATAGACAAGGCGAGTTTGAAGGTGGACAGGGCCTCGGGGCCGGAGATGTGACCATCTTGTTGGAGAAGATCAAGAAACCTATCATACAGGCCTTTGTCGGTTGTGGTGTCGGTAAAGTGTCCGCTCGCAATACGATCGAGCAGGGGGAAGTATGAAGTCGCATTCTCTTCAGCGGCGGTCTCACTGGTGTTGATAAAATTATGTCAGACCTGATTGGTGGGCACTCTTTAAGGAAATAGAGAGCGACACTCACAGCAGCTCGAGAAGATATGGAGGCGAGTGGAAAGCAGCTTTCATGCCCACAGTAACAGTCGGGCCTGCTGTGGCACTGCCGGCATTGAGACAGATTGCTGCCAAAAAGGTGGCGGCAAGACCACCAGGCAGCTTCAATAGCCGTAACATGTTTGCGGTGATGTCCCTCAGTAGCAACGAGTACGCGTATGGCTATGACAACTGAGCTGGGCTACGTAGAGAGTATAAAGTACAGGGCGGTCCGCCGGCGGATATATAAACAATAGAGTTTGGAGGGGTTCCCACTGCTAAGGAGCAAGGAGCAACTTGAAAGGTTCCAGTGTAATGACGGCGAGGCGTCTCCAGCGAGTTTATATCATAGCTTTGTTCGATGCCAATTTCAAAGAAGACATCAATTAAAAAGGGCGGAAGTTGGCCAGCATAGCATTTACAGCTGCCACCTATTGGAAGAGAAGAGGCATTCGGTAACCTTTGATAACTTTCGTTGCATGTCTGCACGTGTAGTGACAAGACAACAAGAACACATTGCATCAAAGCTGTACAGTTAAGGCCTAGCGGGTAAGTAAGCTAGCTCTCCACAGCACAAGTACTTACACATCAGGGGACGGCGGCGTTTGGGTGAACAGGGATCCTCTGGCTCCTGGCTAGACTAAACTAGAACCTTGAGAGAGAGACTCTCCAGCTCACATAACTAAGTTAGATATGTAGTAGAACCCCTGAGTCTCCCACATGTCCCCTGTTGGTGCTACTTGGCACGTCGGACAGAAGACTGCCCCTCCATCCTCCATCTGGGTACCTACGGACCCGTACATCGAGCCCACAATTCACAGTTCAAACTTCACATCCAGGCGGAGGCGGAAAAACCACGGAACTCATCTGTCCTCTTGTTTAGTAGCGCTACCCGGCCGATAAGTCACTGGCCACGACGTCGGAATTGGACTTTGGGTGAGCTGTCAGTCTAACCAGCGCAGCCAGCCTGGGACACGTTCAACTCCCTTGCCTTAATTTTATAGACGACAGCTTGCGCAAAAGAAAGGCTACTGTTGCCTTCTCCGGCGCCGTCTCTTCCTGCACTACACTCTGAATTCCGAAGAACAACTCTACGCTACCTCTCTCTCTGCTTCAAGAGCACATTCTCCGGAGCCGTGCATCATCGTTTGCCATTCCACTGCATTTGCGACTCCAGCTCGCCCCATTGATGAACTACCCCTAGGGGCTACCAACTCCCAACACCGCCAAAATGGCTTCCTCAGGCATGCTCACAAAGGTCCGCCCAGCCACCACCACTTCCTTCCCCATCGCTCGTCTTCCATGAACACAGCTGACTAGTTCCTCAGTTCGAGTCCAAGTCCTCGAGGGCAAAGGGCATTGCCTTCCACCCCAAGAGGTAAGAGCTTCACACGATGCGCCCACCCCTCCCTCACCAATCAACCATCACATGAACTCATGCTACCTGAATTCGAATTCTGCTCCTCAAAACACCTTGTTAACCCACCACCTCAGGCCATGGATTCTTGTTTCCCTCCACTCCTCCACCATCCAGCTATGGGATTACCGCATGGGAACTCTGATCGATCGATTCGAAGAACACGACGGCCCCGTTCGCGGCATCGACTTCCACAAGACCCAACCTCTGTTCGTCTCGGGAGGCGACGACTACAAGATCAAGGTCTGGTCATACCAAACGAGGAGATGCTTGTTCACACTCAACGGCCATCTCGACTACGTTCGAACTGTCTTCTTCCACCACGAGCTTCCCTGGATCATCTCCAGCTCCGACGACCAGACCATCCGGATATGGAACTGGCAGAACCGTTCCCTCATCTGCACCATGACTGGCCATAACCACTATGTCATGTGCGCCCAGTTCCACCCCAAAGACGACCTCGTCGTCTCCGCTTCCCTCGATCAGTCCGTAAGAGTATGGGATATCTCAGGTCTGCGAAAGAAGCACTCGGCCCCTACCTCCATGTCTTTTGAGGACCAGGTCGCCCGCAACAACCAGCAACAGACTGATATGTTCGGCAATACCGATGCCATGGTCAAGTTCGTTCTCGAGGGCCACGATCGCGGTGTCAACTGGGTTGCCTTCCACCCTACCGCACCCCACATTGTCTCCGCCGGCGACGATCGTCTCGTGAAGCTCTGGCGCTTCAGCGAAACCAAGGCATGGGAGGTCGACACTTGCCGCGGACACTTCCAGAACGCATCTGGCTGTCTGTTCCACCCCCACCAGGACCTCATCCTATCTTGCGGTGAGGATAAAACGATCCGAGTTTGGGACTCACAAAAGCGAACCGCCGTCCAGTCTTTTAAGAGAGAGAACGACCGTTTTTGGGTTATCGCCGCCCATCCCGAGATCAACCTGTTCGCTGCTGGCCACGACAATGGTGTCATGGTCTTCAAGCTGGAAAGGGAAAGACCTGCTTCGACTGTTCACCAGAACAACTTGTTCTACATCACCAAGGAGAAGCACGTCCGTTCGTACGACTTCCAGAAGAACGCAGAAAGCCCGACACTGCTTTCGCTGAAGAGACTTGGAAGCGCCTGGGTACCGCCTCGTACACTTTCGTACAACCCTGCCGAGCGATCTGTTCTGGTCACGTCGCCGTCTGACGGGGGCTCTTATGAGCTAATCAACTTGCCACGCGATGGATCCGGTGCCCTGGAAGCTACTGATTCCAAGCGCGGACAGGGTAACTCGGCCATTTTCGTCGCACGTAACCGGTTCGCCGTTCTCAACACTGCTGCCCAAACCGTTGACATCAAGGACCTGTCGAACAACACTGCACGATCGTTCAAGCCTCCTGTTGGTACAACCGACATCTACTTTGGCGGAACCGGCCATCTCCTCATCATCACCCCTACCGCTGTCCACCTCTACGATATTCAGCAGAAGAAGAGCATTGCCGACCTGTCTGTTAATGGCGTCAAGTATGTTGTCTGGTCAAACGATGGTCTCCATGCCGCACTTCTGAGCAAGCACAATGTCACCATTATCACCAAGACCCTGGAGCAGGTCAGCACTCTTCACGAGACAATCAGAATCAAGAGCGCAACCTGGGACGACGCCGGAGTTCTTCTTTACTCTACTCTCAACCACATCAAGTACACCTTGATGAATGGCGACAACGGTATCGTCCGAACTCTGGATCAGACCGTCTATCTTGTCAGGGTGAAGGGCAGAAGTGTCTACTGCTTGGACCGTGCTGCCAAGCCCCGTGTCATCAATATCGATCCCACCGAATACCGCTTCAAGCTGTCCCTGGTCAAGCGCAACTACGAGGAAATGCTTCACATCATTAAGACGTCCAGCTTGGTTGGTCAGTCCATCATCTCATATCTGCAGAAGAAGGGTTACCCTGAAATTGCCCTGCAATTTGTACAAGATTCTGCCACTCGGTTTGAGCTGGCTATCGAATGTGGCAACCTTGACGTTGCTGTTGAGACTGCCAAGGAGCTTGACCGTCCTGCGCTATGGAAGAGACTTGGAGACGAGGCTTTGGCACACGGTAACCATCAAGTCGTTGAGATGGCTTATCAAAAGCAGAAACAATTCGAAAAGCTCTCCTTCCTTTACTTGTCCACCGGTGACCACAGCAAGCTCGCAAGGATGGCCAAGATTGCAGAACACCGTGGAGATTTCACTGCTCGTTTCCAGAACGCCCTCTACCTTGGCGAGGTAGAAGATAGGATACAGATGTTCAAGGAGATCGATTTGTGTTAGTATTCCCGCGATCAACTTTGTGCTCATTCACACTAACCGGTAACCCAGATCCTCTTGCGTACGCCACCGCGAAGGCTCACGGTCTCGAAGAGGAGGCTCAGTCCATCCTGGAGGCTACTGGCATTACAGAGGACCAACTGACTCTGCCGTCCTTCGGAGAGCCGCTCAAGCAACCTCAGCCTGTAGTACCAACATACAAGGCAAACTGGCCGACCAAGGCCAGCTCTCAGTCGGTCTTTGAGAAGGCTCTTACTGGACAATTGGAAGGTCTCACATTAGACGACGAGCCTGCGGCGGCTACAGATGGCTTTGGTGAACTGGGCGAGGATGACATGGCTGCCAAGAAGAATGGTACTCTTGAAGCTGACGATGATGAGGATGCTGCTGGTTGGGACATGGGTGATGACATTGTCCCAGAAGCTGACAGTGATTTTGTCAACGTCGAAAGTGCCGATGCCGGTGGCGCTGGTAGCAGCGAGGCGGATCTATGGGCCCGTAACTCGCCTTTGGCAGCTGATCATGCAGCTTCTGGCTCTTTTGAATCCGCCATGAACCTTCTCAACCGGCAAGTGGGTGCTGTCAACTTTGGCCCTCTCGAGCCTCGCTTTACGGAAATTTACGAATCCACAAAGAGCAGCTTACCAGCTTCAGCCGGTCTTCCGCCACTGGTCAACTACATTCGTCGTACGCTCGATGAGACAGATCTCAGAAAAGTTCTTCCTATCATCCCCCGAGACCTGGAGTACCTTGCAAGCAACGATTTGCAGAAGGGATATGATGCCATGAAGGGAAACAAGCTCGAAGACGGTGTTAGGATCTTCAAGGGTATCTTACACGCGCTGCTTGTCAACGCCGTATCTGCGGAAGGCGAAGTTGCCGAAGCAAAGAAGCTCATTTCGTCGGCTGCGGAATATGCACTGGCCATGACAATTGAGCTCAAGCGCCGCGGGCTCGGTAGTCCCGATGCTGTAAACTCTAACCCCGATCTGCAAAAGCGGAGCTTAGAGTTATCGGCATACTTCACAATACCCAAGATTGAGGTGCCGCATAGGCAGCTCGCCCTACTCAATGCCATGAACTTGGCAAGCAGGAGCAGGAACTACAGCACCGCATTGAGCTTCGCAAACAGAATGCTGGCAAATGGCGGAGCGCCAAGATTGCTTGAAAACGTAAGTCTAGTCTACAACCGTCGCAATGCCGTAAAGCTAACCTTCAAAAGGCCAAAAAGGTCAAGGCTCAAGCTGAGCGAAACCCTCATGATGCGGTTGAGATCGAATATGACCAATTTGCTGAGTTCGATGTTTGTGCTGCATCATATACCCCTATCTACAGTGGTACACCTTACGAAGAATGCGCCTTTGATGGTGCCAAGTATCACACGAAGTACAAGGGCACAGTATGCACGGTGTGCGAGGTATGCGAGGTTGGCAAGCACGGCAGTGGTTTGAAACTCTTTGCGTAGAGAGCTAGAGCTCGCTCGAGTCACAGCTGGATCTGGGTAGAAGGACCTGCTTCCACACTGATCTATGAGTGGGCGGATGAGCTCAGGTAGCCAGGCTGTCTGACCCCACCAAATGGGAAGACGGCCAAATGTTTTGCCATAGCAGATAAGTCCGGCAGAAGATGAGAATGCACACGAGTTACGAGTCTTAGGTTTGGTACAGTGTGCTGGCGGTATGTTGAACCTAAATCAAAAGTAGAGATAGAAAGGAAGGGAGTCAGAACTGGAGTGACTGAACAAAGCCAAACTAGTCATTTGGAACAGTATAGTAATGACCCAAGCAATGAAACACCCATTTATTTTTATATGCTAGCTACACCATACACGGCGCTGGTCAAATACGCCGATTCATGTGACGGTAACCTTGGACAGAAAGTGCAAATCCAAGCTCAACCTCTCATCATTCTGGTGACTGTACCAAGCCTAGCGAGCATACTTGATTAATCACTGCCGAACGTGTCGATCTCTCAAGGCCCTACCGTTTCGTCGCTAGGTTCTTCAATCCCCCAATCGTGCTCCGTCTTCGCCGTTCCATCCATCGTGTGTTGAATCCACGTCCCCGTCCTCCAAGCCAGCCGTGCGTGTGCAGGCGTAGTGCAATTTACTGGCACGCTGGAACGAGAGATATTTCCGGCTCGGAAAGGGGGTCTGATGTCGGAGCTTGCGGTGCCTGGTGGGTGAGGAGATGCAATTCGATACTTTCAACGTGAGCTTGGACCTTCTCTAGGGAGCAGGAGTGAGTTCAATTCTAAGACGACGATGTGTATAGAGACAGCCTTCTTTTTTTCTTCTTTTTTTATTATAAATTTTTTTAAATCCTTTATGCGTCATTGAAGACCGCGGTGAAGGCGAGTTTTGTGCGGAGCACTCAGTATAAATTGCACGTTTCTGGAGCGATGCACAAATGGGGAACCTTGACGTCAATGGGTGGTCATGCAAAACGTATAGCTCTATTTCAGTCCCAGCATCTACACCTATGCATTACGCTGTGATGCGTCCTTTGGTTTGTATTAGTACAGGCGGACTTTCTCATGTCCTCCTCAAAGTGGCATGCCGGTGGGCCATGGTGGCTGGAACCATTCGAAGGGCGTTTCTGGAAGGATTCTTTCTAGAGCCCCAAGACCACCTCAGACAATTGTCTCCAACTCTCGAGCGTATCCAAGCGTGTTCTCGATGATCATCTGCGAAACATCCTTCTCCTCGGCGTCCTCGGCCTCGGCAGCTGGGAAGTAGATCTGACCATCACGAATCACCCAGCCGCGCTGGCGGGCAAACTCGATTACAGCACCTTCAGATTCGAGGAAGAGAAGCGACTTTGTGCTACTCAGTGGTAGGGAGGGGTATGCGCGTTCCGAAGACGAGGCGATTTCGGAACGAATTTGTGATGTGAGAATCTACAAACATGGTTAGTATGGGCCTGCCTTGCTTTGATGCTCTACAAGGGTGTTGACATACCTCGGAGAAGACACCAAATTCCTCACTCGGCACCTCTCCCTTCTTCATGGCCTTCCACACACGGTCATAGCTTCCCTCCATCAGCCATCTCTCCAGCTTGATGGGATATCCGAGATAGCGATCGGCCTCGATAGCCTCGAAGCCTCCATTGCCAACACGCATACTCAAGCTCTCCAGCTCACTGTGGAAGACGTCGTAGCGGCCTTGGGTCAGGAGGAGCAGGAGGTACAGTCCGGTGATCTTGTTCCGTCCATCGGGGTTGGGCTTGAGCTGACTGGAAGGAAGTTCGTAGAAGGGCTGCAATTGCTGGACGTATCGGGTGAAACCCTCGGGATTCCTTGCGCGGATGGACGCTAGAGCGCCGAGCTCATAGACATCCCGAGCGAGTGACAGAAGGCTGGACGGGGTTGAAGGTGTAGGTGTCAGGGCCTTGGCCTGCAATAATGAGAGCTTGGCTTTTGAGAGGAGGGACAAGGCTTGTTCGTAGGAAGAAGCGCCCTTGATCTGGGTGATGATCTGCTGGATTTGTCTTTCGGCCATGGCGCTGGCGTGGGCGTGTGTATCCGAGTACGAGCTTGAGTATGCGTATGCGTATGCGTCTTGGTTGTGGATTGCCGTACTTGACAATTCCGCAGGTGTCACTTGCGACGCCGCTATGGAGGATGGGTCCGGTTGGTGGATAGATTGATAGTTTGTCGAGGCGTTGTTTTCCGCTGCAGCAGACAGGCTATCCTCTACTGGCTGACGTTCTGGATCTGAGGTGTCGTCGGATATGGTGGTTGATGGATTCGCGGTTCGAAGCGATGATGTTGGCGAAGATGGTGGGTTGGGGCGGACAAGGCGTAATGACCCGAGCCAGGCTGAGAGGCTGACGTTGTACTTGGGCCTTAGTGCTAACGTCAAGGTCTTGCTGGAGATGTTGCTGTTGCTGTTGCTGTTGTTTGCCCTCGCCTTCCAGCTGCAGACGGAGCTCAAGCTTGGGCCAGTTTGACTTTGAGCTCCACTGAACTCACTGAACTCACTGAACCCCGACCCCGACCGAACGCCTGGGTCGCTGGCTCCGGCTCCTGTAACTCCTGTAGCTCCTCCTGTAGCTCCCGGGTGCGCCAAACTTGACCTTCCACCCTTCCAACCTGCAAAGTCAAGGAATCTCATTGCCCAAATATATAAGTTACCCGGACACATGCAACTCGAGGAGCTCTGTTTCACCAAGAACGAATACATGTGTATGATCTAAATTCGAGTCCCGCCACAACTGTAGGCTCACCATCTGTTTTACTACTCAATATTTCTTACAGCCATCTATCACTCGTGAGCATGAGCATGAGCATGAGCGTGCGCCAGTCAGGTGCACTTGAGAAGGGTGGTCATATGGATCCTAGAGGTGGGGCCCTATACTGAAGCCCAGCTTGTTATTCGCAGCTATCCGTAGCCATTGCAATTGTGTCTTGGACACGGCATTCCACCTTTGGAAGAGGCAGCTCGCTTGGAAATGTATTTTCTTTCTCATGTGCACAAACAGGGATTTGGAGCACACGAGACAGCTTACGGAGAACCAAAGTCTGGACATGTTGTATGTACCCACATATCGAAGCTACATCCTTCGGTCGTGGCTCTCAGACATCAAACACAATCATGAAGAGATGCAAACTTCCAACTCTCTTCGAAAAAGAAAAACAAAAGTTGAGCATCAACTAGTAATGACGCCAAATCTCCTCGGTTTCATGTCCCCAGTCGTCTCTCAACTTCTCAGTATACGAGTGTCGGACCCTGTCAGATCGCTGCAAGCGACGAAAATGAGCCTAGTCTAGCCGCAAACCCGCCTGGAATAACCTTAAAATAGAAGCCACGAGGCTGTGTTCTTGTTCTTCCGATGCGCCATGTCCCGCCGCCCAACAGCATCGTGACTTACTCCGATCACTGCTCTAATCTTTCGCTGCATACGGGCAGTGCGACATGTACTTCCTCCCTGAGAGATACACATCTCTGTATATGGACTTTGTATGTAGATTTCGTGGGCCGTCTTACCATCTATATTGGCTGTCGCGATGTCCTAGGCAGCCCAAAGCAAAAGCAAACCTGAGAAGATACGAATGGAGAATCCAACTATCTTTTCTCTATTTGTCTGTTGAGCACGTTTGAATCTGTCCTGTTTGGCCCTTTTCATGTTGCGAATGGTACATGAATCTTCGATACAGGTGATCATTCAAGTTAGTCTAAGTAGTTTAGATGCTCGCTCTGCTTGACAACTTTAATTCACTGTACTACTTTGTGTGTTTGGGCCTCCATGCTCCGGGCAGCAGCGTCGACCACCTCGTAGGCTCACATCACAATACTTGGTACTCGGAACATGATTCAGAATCTCATTGCAAAGATTACGTTTGCACATTCATTGGAACCCCGCAGTAATTTCCCATCTCAATAACGAAGACAAAATCTACTCAAAATCCATTCGCAACAACGCAACATCACCGGCGAGACAATCGAAATGATGCCCCAGCGTTACCCACCATACGCGCGGCCGAAGGGCGGTAGTCCAGCCTATACCGCGCCGCTCAGCTCACATCCCCAGGATTATCACTCACCAGGTAAGCTTCCACCAGACTACACAATACACCCATGGCAGCCAGGTACATGCACCGGCGATGCATGCAATTCAGGTGCCCCCTGTACGGATAGCATGCACAGTACGCACTACAGCTGAGCCGTCTGGTCGCTCGTCCCTCATGATAGCGATTTGGAAGAATGGTGACGATGAGAATTGCTCCGCCGACGTAGCTATTGGCAGCATAACTCAGTCTCTGAAGGGACGAAATGGACCGCGCCCGACAGCAGCAAACATCTCATCAAATTATCTTGAAAGTCAAGACCATTCTAGATGATCCATAACCACCGGTCAAGGTACCCCAAGACTCAAGAGCAATGAGGCCATGCCAACTCGCATTGCTCTCGCATTCGCTGCTGCCGAGCTCTGCCGGATACGACTCAGAACAGCTCCGGAGTTTACTATGGTACAAGGAGGGGTCGCTTCTCGCATTGATGAACGAACTTCTACCTCCAAAAACGAAGCAACTGTTCTCTTCTCAAATGAACAAGGTCGGGTTGTTCTCGTCTGTCAGCTTGACTGAATGCTAGTTGCCTAAAAGCCACGCCGTCCAGCTCGGCCTCTCCACAAATCTCCTATTACACATAGTACAAAGAGACCCAGACCCTCATACTGCAATCTTGCATAGCCCGCTCGTTGCAGGGTCTCTTAGCATATTTCACGTAAAGCCCGCCCCTGCAACACTGCATTATTATTATTATTGTTATTACTGGCGCCAGGCACTGCGCAACGCAACGAAAGAGCTCTTCCAAGTTAAATAAAAGAAGCTCAACCTGCCTTTGAGACCCATACCCATACCCATACCCATACCTATACCCCCGTTGTCAGACAAACGCCAGACAAACTTGCCGGACCCGGAAAGGATTTCCTTCGAGTGAGACAATCCTTTGCGACAAACAAGCGCCCTTCAGAACTTCTCGATTCCGCAGGCGAAGCGGCTTCGCTACAAACAATTAGGTGCTCTTTTGGACCGACAACAAACCAGTCGTTTGGTTACCCACTGGTCACAGACTTCCAAGAAGTAATAGAGAGAGCCCTGACAGCGACAAAATAAACGAGAGCGACCAGACGCCACACCCCTAATCTGCATTTTCCGGTTCTACCCTGTTCAGATTCCACCCGAAGCCCCGCCGCGGCCAGACAGTACGCGGGGTGGTGAAAAGGAATCGATTGCATCGGCAAGGAATACCTGCCAGCAAATACAACGGGCTTACACTTTGGGCTTGGATCGATTGGCTGTGAGGATTAGGATTTTGACGTGCTGACAATCTTCTGTTTCTTGGTTTTATGCAGGATCGGAACGGCCGCTTTTAATAGACGACTTTGACGATATGCCGCAATTTGGCGCGACCTTTTATCCAGGGGGTGTAGATGATTTCTACATGCCTAGCCCTGAAGTTCTCGCGCCTGCCCCTCAAAGGTAAGCTCTCATGCCACCCAGTGACTGAAATCATTCCAGCTCTGCTCAGCGTGGTGGACATTTGTACGTGTCTAGGGTATTGTCCCAATCTTTGCAGGCCGGATTTTTGCAGCATTGCAAATGCATCATAGCCGTCATATTATTGTGATTATTGTCGAGCGCCCCAGCTAACTCTGGCTATTCCCAAAAAGGGTGATGCCTGAAGTGCCCCAGAATATGCAACAAGACCTTCAGCGCATGGAACTAGAAGCTCGATCAGTCGACCCAAGCAGGATGAATTCTGCGACAGCTGGAAGTTATGGGGGTAGACCGCCTGTCCACGGCCGTGAACCTTCTTTGTCCCATGTCTTGAACACAAACGTGGGAACATACGGACAGCAGTATCAAAAGCCCAAGCCGGATATGGCAGATTACAGCCCTGCCTCGATTTACAGCCAGTCGAATTACAGCCCTTTTCATGAGAACGGCGCGACTAGTCCACAGCTTGAGAGGAAGCTTAAAGACATGCCGGCAGACAAACCCTCCTTTTCCCACTTCCCGAGAATCACGGGCGAGCATATTCCGCCTAGCGACGATGAGAAGGAGACCGTACTAGCCGAGAGCCGAGAGCATGTCCTGCATTCAAACGACCCGAACATGCAGATCTGCTGGGCTCGCGACGTACTTGCTTACGTCGAGATCTCGGCAGAAGCTGCCACGCGCGAGTACGAGGTATGCAAGAAACCCGGCGATCGCGACTTCGGAAGGCCCTCAACTCCGCGAACCGAACATGAGCTCAGGGACGATGCTACAAATATCATCAACTACCTCGCCGACCAAGGACATCCCGAGGCCGTCTTTATCCGTAGCAAATGGCTCGAGTTTGGCAAGTTTGGCCAGAGGCAAGACAAAAAAGAAGCTTATAACGGTTATGTCACCGCTGCACAAAATGGATGGGGACGAGCCGAGTACCGAATCGGCATGCTCTACGAAAACTCCAACGATGTCGACAAGGCACTGAGGCATTACTATGCTGGTCTGGAACTGAATGACTCCGCAGCATCCTATCGGCTCGGCATGATCAACTTGATGGGACAGCATGGACAGCGTAAAGACATCGCCAGGGGTTTGGACCTCATCCACCAGGCTGCCGACACCGCTGATGAGGACGCCCCCCAAGGTGCCTTTGTGTACGGCATGGTTATTGGAAGAGATTTGCCTGATGTGAACGTGCCGGAAGGGATTCTTTCTTTCGACGTTGCCGTCGCACGACAATACATCGAGAAAGCAGCATATCTTGGCTTTGCTAAGGCGCAACTGAAGATGGGCCAAGCATACGAGCTTTGCCAGCTCGGTTGTGATTTCAATCCTGCATTATCCCTGCACTACTATGGATTGGCGGCGAGACAAGGCCAGCCCGAAGCGTCGCTCGGTGTTAGTCGGTGGTTCCTCTTTGGATATGAGACCTCCTTTGCCAAGAACGAGCAATTGGCCTACAAGTACGCCCAGCTTGCCGCCTCATCTAAGCTTCCCACTGGTGAGTTTGCAATGGGCTACTACCACGAAATTGGTATCTATGTCGAAAAGGATGTTAGGGAAGCGCGGAAGTGGTACGAATTGGCCGCTGAACATGGCAACAAAGATGCGCTTGGGCGCTTAGATGGACTCTCACAGGCAAAAGTGCTCTCAAAACAGGACCACGAAACCACGACCCTGACTAGGATCAAGTCGCAGCATGGCTCGCAGCGTGGTAAGAGACCTGATCGATTCAAGCAGGTCAGTGCCATGCCAGCTGTGACAGAAGATAATTCCCCTCGACCTTCCCCAAGAGTATCGCCTCAACCCTCGCCAAGACAGTCTGCATTTGCTGGTTCCAACATGCCGGATCCAAGCAGACTGAGTGGCGAAAGACGGCAACCCGCTTTCACGGTCAACCTCGCTGAGAGACCCAAGTCAGCAGCAGCTCCATACCCAGAAGACGACAGACCTGCACCCCTGAGTCTCAACAACACCAGGCCAAAGTCGAGCGCGCCATATCCCGAAGATGACATGCACGGAGCTAAGCCACCAGTCTCACCGCACTACAACTCCAACATTCGGCCCTCGTCAGACCGCCCAGGGAGCGCTTTCGGTATCCGTACGCAGTCACCCGGTAGCCAAGGACCCCCAGGCCCTGCAATGCGCGCCTCGCAATCGTCAAGTCAGCTTGGCATTCCCGCTGCTGGGATGGACCCGAATCGTGGTCGGCCGGTGTCAGCATCTGCTGGCTGGCAACCTCAAGGGCCTGGTGGATACAGGCAGTCGCCTCCAGCCGCTGGGTACCAAGACTACAACCGTCCTGTGTCAGCGCAGTATCCTGGACATGGTGGTCCTGCTGCAAACAACCCGGCCTACAACCGTCTGACCAAGACAAACCCAAATCCCGGCTTGCCAGCGAAGGGGACACCTCCAAGCCAATACCCGATGGGTGGTCAAGGACCAGGAGGGGCTCCTGTGCCCGCGCAGCCCGGGCGGGAGTATGGCCCACGCACCTCCTCCCGCCCGGTTTCTGCGGTCAATGATCCGTATGGCGGCCGTACTCCTTCTGCTGGGCCGAATACAACATCACCTGCAATGACTGGTGGAATGGGTCCCGCACCACCACGAGCGGACACGTACGGCAGACCCGGGCTTCCGATGGGAGGTCCTGCTGCCTCGAGACCGGGCAGCACGAGGCCACCTGTTGGGTTACAGGACACCGGTGCCGCAAGTGGGAGGGCTAGTGCACCTCCTAGCCGCCCAGCTGCCGCATCCCCAGCGCCTAGTGCTGCCACGACTAGTTCTGCACAGACTGCCCCCCCTGCACCCGTCAAGACGCCTTCAGGCAAGTCGGGACCATCAACTTTTGAGGAGATGGGTATCCCGCAAGCGAAGAAGGATGACGAATGCGTGAGTCTTTCCTCCATAACCCTCTTGCCAAACTATATGCCCTTTGTGCTAAACTTGACTTCAGGTTGTAATGTAAACGTGGTCTACCTAATCTTCTGTAGAGATGATAGACATAAGCATGAACATGGCATTACCAGTCGTTATCCCCGGGGTTCCTACCTTGATGACGTCAAACCCTCGACGAATTCGTCTGATGGAAATTAGCACTGGTGGTGTCTACGACCTTGCTTGGAAATAGAGGTTTTTATTTGATAATAGGCATAGCATCAGCTGAGGTAGCGTAGGAAGGGAATGCATCGAGCGATAATTGATTGAGACGTCCGAGAAAGGGGGAGACGTCTCTCGAGGAACGACGAACAGAAAGGAGAGTGTAGAGCATGAAGCATCTGTGAAACACACATTCGATGCCCTCCGTGAGTGCGCAGTGGTTTTGAGGAGTCTCATGTAGAGGCTCCAATACTTTGAAAATGCGCGAAGCATAAATGGACACTGTCAATAGAGATGCCACGTGCATTTGAAAAACCAGGCGCGGCACTGGTGATTTAACCCATCAAGGAGGAAAATGCGCAAACATGTTTACTTGACAAGATCTCGGCTAGTCTAGACCAAAAGAACCTTTTTGCCCGCTACAACCCTTGAAATCCAACCTTACGTAATTGGCAAGTGTGAATGGATGGTAATACAAAGATTATGGAACATGTGAATCGATAAGACGAAAGCAAACCTGTGTCATCGTACAATCATCTCAGTATGCGCGAGGAAATGAATTGGGTATGCTCTTAACTAGCCTTTCAAACAAAATTTCGCCGAATATGAAGCTTTTGACCACCAAGATACTACAAAAAGAGTGCCAAATCCTAGAACTAAGCCATGGCAAGAACACCGGCAAACGCAGCGCCAGCGACAACTACTAGTGAGTCATATTCCATGCGCCCTGCTGCGTTGGGAGTGGAGGTTGATTGAGAGCCACTGCTGGTAGTGCTACCTGAGCTGGACGCGCCGGTGCCAGTGCTGGTGCTGGTGCTGGTGCTGCTGCTGCTACCACTCTCTTGCGTGTTGGTCCTGGTGGTGACGGTGACCTGACTCGTATATCCGCTGGTGGTCGGCTCTGTGGTGATCCCGGAGCTGCTCTCGTCCGTGTTCGTGGGCATGGGGGATACCGGGAAGGACGAGGTGACGATGGCGACGGTGGGCGACGTGGTCGGCATCGTGGTCTGCACGACGATCTCGCTCTCCGAAGTGGTGGTGGTGGCGGCGGTGATGGCAGCGACGCTGCTCGACGTCGCGGCCGTCGCCTTGGCCACGAGGCAGGACATGTACGAGGGCGTGTCCACGCACGCCTCCGTCCCTTTGTAGCTGCCGCAGCAGGGGTTGTTGGTCTTGGGGGGAGCGCGCCCGCCGCCGCAGTCCAGTGGGTCGCAGATCTGGAAGTCGTCCGGGTCGTACCAGTGCGTGATGCCGTCCTCGCAGTGGCCGAAGGTGTGAGTCGCGCAGCCTACGGCATAGACGCTCCTGGCTGCAAGTAGCAGCAAGGGTACGGTGGTAGTCGAGAGCATAGTGTTTTTCCTTTCCTTTCTTCTCCTTCCTTCTTTCACTATTATTAAAGACTTGGGTTGACCTCTAGTCGGTTGTGTGTTCAGTGGTGGTGGTTAATTGCATGTATAGAGGAACCTTTACATGAGACTTTGTTGAACGTTGATGGTTTTGCTACACAATGGGAGTCGGAAGGGTCATGTCAAGAGCGGCAAAATGAGATCAGTGGCTTTCAAGTATATGTACGAGCCCCAGCTGAAGATGGTTTACGAGTAGTTGCCAAGAGGGATGAAGGAAATTGAGTCATCTGGGTTGCCCTGTCGAGACGGGTTCGTATGGGGCCACTCGTATTGCTTTGACACGCGCCGCTAAACCGCTTAATACGAGAGCTTATCTCACCTTGCCCAATAGTACCAAGTTTCCTTTACAACTGCAGCATTTCAACCAAGAAGCGGTGCCGAGCTCGTGTTGAGGATATACGCAGACCTTTCTTGTGTGCTGACTTGCATGATCAAGACTTCGGAGCATTCATTTTTCCAAGGCTGCATGTTCGAACGCATTCGGAGGAAAAGATGCGGAAGATGCTTCAGGGGTAAGTAACAACAATAATAATAAGCTCTCAGCTAAGCTTAATCCAACCCCGGAACTTGTTGATTGGTGCTAAGCACCGTTAGGCTTCCTCGATCGTCGCTAAGCCGCATGTCAGCATTTAGCCAACTACGTAGCATTAGGCCAAGCCCAGGCGCTTCGTCTGCTTGGCGTGCCCAAGAATAGGGGCCTGTCGACAGCTACCCGCTCAGCGCTTCTTCCTCAAGTCACCACCCAACCCAGCAGGCCAGCGAAAGGATCTATACGATGCCCTGACAGCGTGATCAGAGAAATTACATTTGTGGATAATTAAGTGTACTCGAAGTTGATTTTAGATACAATCATCCCCATATGGGTTAAAGATATAACTCCTAAACGGGTCCAACACCTTATATATCATACATCATTAAATAGTAACGCTGGAAAGAACTGTCACACGGGTGGACGAGCCGCAGAAACTAGCGTCGCCGGGGCACTTGTTCTCGCAGGATGAAGTCACCATGCGAACACTCTGCGAGCCGAGCGAGTTTCCACAGTAGCAGTTGGAGTCTCGCAGGCCGGCAATAGTGTAACCCTGCGTTGTGCAAACGTTGGCACAGTATGTGCGGGTGTTCAGGCTACCGGTGTAGCCAACGACGGTGAAGGCAGCGACCGACTGTGCGTTGTCCACATCGGTATAGCAGCCCCGGTGAGTCTTGCCACCGGCGTACACGGTGACATCCGTATCCGTGAGAGCCGCGCCGGTCAGCGCGGGGTTGGGGTATGGATCGTCGCCCGCCTGGTGACGAGGGTACCCGGTGTCGTAGGCTTTTGAGCCGTCGCCGTTGAAGTTGTCTCGGAAAAGGCGCGCGTTTCCGCCTGGCGACCTGAACATATCCACATTGTTATGGGTGGTGTTCACGTAGTCGACAGTGTGGCAGCCCTCCCCAGCTGGGTTCGCGCACAAAGGTGCCCAGGTCTCAATGAATTTGAAGAACCTCTCGTGTCTATCTTTACCAGTGGTATAGGGAGCACAGAGGCCTTCCGAGTAGTCACCCCTGTCACGGATACCACGACCATGGGCCACAGTCTTGCTTCTCCAGTTGGCAAGAACCGCGTTTGCGCCTGCTGCCAGAAGTGCCGCGTTGTAAGCCAGGCTCGTCGAGTGAGCGGATCCATAAGATGTGTACTTGGCAAGTCCTTCCCTCCAATCATCGTAAGCGCTGGCGCACTTGCCCGTCGACAGTGGTCTGCTGCTGCTGAACCACGTCGAACTGCTGGGGTTTCCGAGATAGTAGCTGATCGGGACCTCAACACCAAGCTGCGTTCTTGTCTTGCCGACGGCAGCGTATCGGTGCATCATCTGTCCTCCCATGGAATGGCCCGAGACGACGATATGGTTCATGTTTGGGAAGAGCGTCTTATTTCCATAGTACTGGACCACCTGGTCGAGAGCATCATAGGCGGACACAGACCTGAGGCGGGGCGGGTATTGGTTGTTAGAACCTCCAGCCCACTAGATCACGGGCGGTCAGTCTTGATCTCGCAACAGGAGAGTTCAAGAACACTTACTTCTGTACCATACCAGACGAGTGCAGGTGATGGATATTTCTGATCAGGAGTAGTGCCGCTGGCGTTGTATGGAAAACCAGATGTGGCATGATTGTCCTATTGATAGACAACTTGTCAGCTTATACTCTTATATGTTAATGAATCGAAGGCTTCACATGTGGAAGTACTATCTTTCTTAGGTCGAGAGAGGAAACTAGGCATAACAAGCTGACATGTTTGACTACTCACATTAGGGAAGTACGGAGCCAAGATGATCACGTTGTCGGTGTTAATCTGGCTATCTGCCATGACTTGCAAGGCATTGATCATGTCTTTGTGGTAGTTCCAGGCATCAGCATTTGCCCCAGAGACAACTATGACAAGCCTTTTGATTGCATTGTTCAGCAGCCTCTGCCCTGTCGAATTCATAGACAGGTACGTAAGGAAGCTGAGGTCGCTTGCAGCATCAGAGGTGCAAACATGCTGGCCAGAAGGATCTCTGATCTTGAAGTATGTGATGTTGGACAACGCGTGGCTTGGCTTAAGAGTGTTCGCAAAGGGTGTACCGGCATACTGGGCTGGCACCACTTCTTGGCACTGAGCGTAAGCACTGCGCCAGAAGACAAGAGCACTGAGAAAGACCGAATTGAACCGCATCTTGGGCGAAAGCAGGTTAAAAGAATGGGAAAATTTTCAACCACTGAGCAATAAACGAGAGAACTGCTGGTACAGCGGAAGTGGCAATCCAAGCACGGGAGTTGAAGCCATATTTCTACTACACATCTCGTGAAATCGTGATGCATTTCAAACGGCCATCAGCAGAAACTAATGCACATTTTCCTGGAAGCGATGCTGACGAGCTCTCTTAATCGCCAGGCCTTGGCAAACATTTATTGATCCTTCGCTTATGCACAAGAACAACGCAGTTCGTGTATAAATAGGATTATATACCTTGATTCAGCCATGTTCCTGCAGCAAAGGGTGTAACATGCAATCACTCTATTGGGCTGCGATAGTAGGTGCGTTGATGGGACTCCAAAAGCACGCAGGTGACTGCATCTCAGCTCTCAGCCTCCTCGAGATGTGTGGGAGAGTTTGGTGGTTCGCCCGGTCAATGTCGACCTGCTAGCATCGATCTCCGGTGGCATCTAGGAAGGAAATCCCGTGAACTATTGTCAGTTAACGCATTTAAGTGGGTGTGCAACAGGGGGCACAGCAGATATGCTTATGTTGCCACGAATCGGAGAGCACGCCGACTATCGTTCGTTACCTGTTGGCAAGGATTGCGCAGACAATTACTCTATTTTAATGTCATTATCATTGGCTCGCTTGTGTATACAAGATAGCTTAAGGTTCGTCCCGACTGCTCGTCAACTCTGGCGGTGGAGATTACTAAGACCAGAACGATCTGGTCTTTGATCGAAATGCAGCTCATGACTTCTCGCAAGGGAGGGAAAACGCCTCTTACGATCTTCAGCGCGCCAGACGCCGTTAAAACCCTTGTAACAGGAATGTCTTGGCACTTACCAAGTACGACCAAGCGTAGTCGTTGGTTATCTACATTTGGGATCTTTGAAGCAAAGTGTTATGGACACCAAGTTGGAATACTATTCCGAATCTTGCAGGTTAATCTTATCTCCTGCAAGGCTCTTCCGGGTTGTACTACCCTGGGGGTCGCTTAGGAGATTATGCTTCTCCGCGCATCCGAACTCGAGGGCACGCTGATTGTCGGTTTCCGCGTCGACAAAAATAGCACAGTTGACGGAACATATCTGTGGTCTTCTTGAATACGCGTGCTCAATGGAAATGCCAATCGGCTGCCGGAGGTTCGGTCCAACATCAATTTCAGCAGATGCAATGTTGAGCTTAGTACATGTAAGGAAACCAGATGCAGTGGGTAATATTGATTTACACCGGCACCGTCTGCCAATCAGCTGTCGTATTGCCTGCATGATCTATGACAAGGAGGATTCTGCAAGCGACGCGTCCTATACCATTACCTATCTAAACCCCTGTCAGTTGATGCGTGTATTGCCAAGTACGTCATCGCATCTTGTATGACTTGCCCTGTCGCATCAATGGGGCATTGTACAATTGAGGAACGAGGACTGCTTAACCCTTTCAACAGTTGCAGTATTACGGAAGTGCGCTAACAATGGACTGAACCCAAATCCGCCGTCATGGTAGAATCAGACCCATATGATGATCTTAGCAATTCCTATCCCTGTAAACGCACCCCTGGGCCTCCAAATCCATGATGTACAGATAACAGGAGATTTCGCGATGCTAAGACATCGGACGCTTCTGTCAATCCAGGCTTCGAGGCATGAGGGCGGTAAGGCACATTTGCCAATGGGTGACAAAGAACACCCATTCTTGACGAGTGCCTCCTCCGCATTCGACCCCTCAATAATGTCATGGTATTCTGATGCTACACGAGGCCACCGAATTGGGCGTGGTGGCGTTATTCCAGATTCTGATCTAAATCTGTCAACACCATGTATTCTTTCCATCACTGGCTAATCTTACAAGACCTGATGATTGCAAAGACCCACATGACGACGAAGGAAGAGGACGACGAAGACAAATCCAATCATTGCCAGCCTCTTGTTGAGTCGGTAGCCCCAGACTGTGGATGACCAGTTTCCCGACAACGGGCTACCTGATTAGGGTCTTTGGTAGGTTCCCCTGCCGGGCCCTCTTGATTATAATTTTCATGCAAAAAGAAAGAAAAAGAAGGAGAAAGGAAGGAAACTAGAAAGAGGCTAGAAAAAGACTAGGTCGAATGAACTCTGGAACGTCTGTGGAAATCTGATATTGTTAAACAAGCGCATGAGCACGTTTGTTTCCAGGCAGTTACCTGGTCTTGCACACAGACCGCGAGGCTGCGGTGATAGTAGCTGCTTAGAATGCTAGAGGCTCGATGAGTTCCTGCGGCCAAAGACAGAGAAAGTATTTAAATTTCAAGCACCCAAAAAGAGGCGAGATCATGTTGGGTATTGTTCAGCCGTGTGGCGTCTCCAGGCTTCAAACGGATTCTCGCCCCAAATAAGGGGCGGGCGCATGTTTCTTACACCGCAAATATGGCTAGCGAATAATACACACCGAAGATCTTAAGAATTATAGGTAGAAAGCCCGGCATTCTGAGGATCGTGTTCGGTCTTGTCGAGTCAGATATGTTGAGGAACTTTTTTGGTCGAGCTTATGGTGTTACGTTGCGTCGTGTTCGCGCAGCCATTCTAGAGGTGGCGGGCATGTTAACTGGTCACTATCGACGAGCTGGAGAGTCAGCCAGCTTCGAAATCTCAACTAGTTAAGAAAAATGAGATTCCATATGGCTATATATGAACATTGACTATCGATACTGCTACTGCGGTTCTTATTACCAAGTATCCCACTTCCACGAACTAGGTCTGGAAGGGGGTCCGCTAGGTGTTGATTGACAAATTCAACAATGAAATAAAGGCGAAACATGGTCATACGTGATCAAACTTATCTTTAGACTATATTAATCACTGTAGATGGTCGTGATATCTTTATACATCTAAAAACTTGTCGTTGCTGGAGTACTCCAACCTTAATTCAGCGTGTTATACCCTACTCTAGGCAACCCCCGGTCACTAATAAGGTGGGCTCACCACATGCATGTGGATGACTTGAAACGCGGGGAACCGCCAACATCTTCATCACCAGCTTTTCTCTACTCAAACGATTGTACACACGATTGACATGAGGTCTACGCAAAAGAAACACGTTGAGACATTCCGGTCAACAACTATGTAACACACAGTTTTCAACGTAAGACAATCTTGGTTCTCTATTATATACAGGAGGTTCTTGCCTCCATTTGTTCACACCTCAACCCCAGCACATACCCCTCAGAATTGTGGAAAACCCTATCCTATCGCTCAAAGTTTAGGCGCAATCTTCAGTGCAGCTGGAGTTGAGCCGAGTTCCTATTTGTGGAGGTCGAAACGGTCGAGGTTGGCGACCTTGGCCCAAACGTTCACGAAGTCCTTGATGAATTTTTCGGAGCTGTCGGATTGGCCATAGATCTCGGAAATAGCGCGCAACTCAGCGTGCGAGCCGAAGACGAGATCAGCGCGTGTTCCAGTCCACTTCTTCTCGCCAGTCTTACGGTCCTTGCCCTCGAAGAGCTCCTTCTTCTCATCAACGGCCTTCCACTCGGTGTTGGTGTCGAGCAGGTTGACAAAGAAGTCGTTGGTAAGCTTGCCAGGCGTTTTGGTGAAAACACCGTTCTTGGAACCGTCGTAGTTGGTATCAAGGACACGCAGACCACCGAGGAGAACCGTCAACTCAGGGGCTGTGAGGGTCAACAGGTGAGCCCTGTCGACCAGGAACTGCTCGGTTCGTACACGAGACGTGCCCTTTCCGTAGTTGCGGAAACCGTCCGCGAAGGGTTCCAGATGCTCGAATGACGCCACATCAGTCTGCTCCAACGAGGCATCCGCGCGACCCGGGCTGAAGGGTACTGTGATATTGGACCCAGCATCCTTTGCGGCCTTCTCGACAGCAGCGGATCCACCGAGAACGATGATATCTGCCAACGAGATCTTCTCCTTCGAGCTTGACTGGTTGAACTTCTTCTGGATGCCCTCCAGGGTGCTTAGCACCTTGGATAGCTGCTCAGGGTTGTTCACCTTCCAGTGCTTCTGAGGCTCGAGACGAATACGGGCGCCGTTGGCGCCACCACGCTTGTCGCTACCTCGGAAAGTAGAGGCAGATGCGAAGGCTGTAGAGACAAGCTGAGGTACGGTCAGACCAGAGCCCAATATTTCCTTCTTCAATTCGGCAATCTGGCTGTCAGTGACCACAGGGTGCTCAAGAGCTGGGATGACATCTTGCCAGATCAAGTCTTCCTTTGGCACCTCAGGACCGACGTAGCGGGATCGAGGACCGAGATCACGGTGTAGGAGCTTGAACCAGGCCCTTGCAAAAACATCGGCGAACTGGTCGGGGTGCTCCAGGAAGCGTCGAGAAATTTTCTCGTACTCTGGGTCAAAGCGCAGAGAAAGATCCGTCGTAAGCATTCTAGGCTTGTGCTTTTTGTTGCCGTCATAGGCGTCGGGGATGATTTCGTCGTTGGTCTTAGCCACCCATTGGTTCGCACCAGCGGGGCTTTTCTCCAACTCCCATTCATACTTGAACAAGTACTCAAAGTAGTTGTTGCTCCACTTGGTAGGAGTCTTGGTCCAGATGACTTCGAGACCACTGGTGGTAGTATCGGGGCCCTTGCCAGAGCCATGAGTGTTGCTCCAACCAAGTCCTTGCTGCTCGATGCTGGCACCTTCAGGCTCGGAACCAACCTTGTCAGTTGGACCGGCACCGTGTGTCTTACCGAAAGAGTGGCCACCAGCAATAAGGGCAACAGTCTCTTCGTCGTTCATAGCCATACGGCCGAACGTAATACGGATATCTCTGGCAGCAGCAACGGGATCTGGGTTGCCATCAGGTCCTTCAGGGTTGACGTAGATCAAGCCCATGTGGGCAGCACCCAAGGGCTCTTCAAGCTCTCGGTTGTGGATGTCACTGTGACCCTTTTTATGTTCATCGCCATCCAGAACACCGTCGCCTTTCAGACCCTCATGGCCGTCGGCATAGCGCACGTCGTTGCCAAGCCATGTGGTCTCGCCACCCCAGTATACGGACTCATCGGCTTCGTATACATCTTCACGGCCACCGGAAAAGCCAAATGTCTTGAAGTCCATGGACTCGAGGGCGACGTTGCCAGTCAGCAGCAGCAGATCGGCCCAAGAGATCTTATTTCCGTACTTTTGCTTGATCGGCCATAGCAGACGACGAGCCTTGTCGAGACTCACGTTATCGGGCCAACTGTTAAGAGGAGCGAATCGTTGTTGGCCCTAGAGAAGGAAGCCGAGTCAGCACCCTGTCAACAAAAAAAAACCCCCCCAAAGCAGTCAATGCGATTGGACTTACCTGACCGCCACCGCCACGACCGTCGGTCGTTCGGTACGTGCCAGCACTGTGCCAAGCCATACGAATGAAAAGACCACCATAGTGGCCGAAGTCAGCTGGCCACCAGTCCTGGGAATCTGTCATCAAAGCCTTGATGTCCTTCTTCAAGGCAAAGTAGTCGAGACTCTTGAAGGCCTCCGCATAGTCGAAGTCCTTCAGGGGATTTGTGACATTGGTGTGCTGGCGGAGGATGTTGAGCTTCAACTGCTCTGGCCACCAGTCCTTGTTTCTGGTACCACCGCCACCGACGTTGGCACGCTGATGAACTGGGCACTTCTTCTCCGCCATCGCTGTGGTATGCCAAATTGATACTGGGGGTTTATGTTTATGTTTTTGTATTTATATTTTGATTTTGGGTTTGGGCTTGGGTCCGGTTCAGGGCGATGGGGGGACCTGGCGTGTGTGCGTGTTTCTCTTTATACGTCTTGTATTAGAAAGCAGCAACTAACAAGTGGAATAGATGCCCGCAGTGGACCTCGAAGGAACCACCCCCGCACTTTATACCTCCGCCCTAAAGTCCCACTCTGAAGGCCCACTTGGACCCCGCGTTTCAACCCATTCCTGACCCCGCGCCATTATAAATAATTGCGGCCTTCCTATTGGCTCTCGGCAGTTTGGCGCGTGAGATTCGGAGAGCAGGCGATTTACAGAAATGAGCCCATCGTCTTCGGTCCATTATGGTCTCATGCAGATGGAGTATGATGGAATCTTATGGGCTCGGAAACCGTCGGAATCGTACGACGAGTGGCAACGAGTGCTGTGGTATATTAACCTATAACCTGCAGACGGCGCAGATCGGGAGCTCGGAACGAGTAAAGTCTATCTGTTGCTATGAGGACCGCATGCTGAAATGGATGCAACACACCCTGATCGAGCGAGGCGTCGGGTGCCGGACCTCCACGATCCAGATCAATGTGCAGGACGCTATGAGGAATCATTAAAACCCCACTCGCTTCCACCCTCTGGCTCACGCGCGGCCAAGTCTATGCCAGAGCTTGGAGTTGCTATTTGCAGGCAGCCCAGCACTCCCCCTGCGAGTGTCCACTTCCCGGTAATATCGACCGATGGAATCACCTGAGCGGAAATGAAGCCGGTCATCGATTTCTTACAGTCCTCCCTTCTGCGGACAGGACAGGCGAAGATTACTTACACATCAATAGACACCAAACCTTCGTCACACGTGTATGCAACGGCAGGTTATGCCTCGCAAGTCATGATTCTCCACAACATCCCTTGTTTACGCGTCTTCAAGGGCTAGATCGCCGAGTCCCAGGTGCGCCATCGTCATATACGCTTGCACATCAGACGGTTTGCGGGTTTGACACAAATCTCATTCGCGCTCTCTCAGATGTTGGGTTCGCTTCCTCCTGCGGCCGCCCAACGTGTGTGCCTCCTGCTGATCCATTTCTCTCTGTCTGCACAGATCTGCTGAGCAGCTAATTGCTTGGTTCTCTGGTGGCCTTGTTCGCAGCACAATGCATCCGGATCACACGTGGTGATCCCTCTTGTTTGCTACCGGTGCATATTTCTAATTGCGATGGAGCAATCATCATGCCTTGAAACATGTGTTATCAAGGTTTAGCCAGTACACAAGCACGGAACCTCTATCGTCACTAGTACAACACGTAGCGAAGGGGGACAAACTCTATCCATGCTTGGTCGTTTTTCTTTGCCTTTTTTTTCCTTTTTTTTTTCTTTTCTTTTTTGGTTTCTTCGTCTTCGTTTGTTTTCAATACACCCTCCTTGTTGTAAATGGAAGTAGACACACGGTTTCTCAGCCAAACGGTGGGATGAAACCGTCACATATTGTTCTCACAGTCCTGCTTAGGCTTGGGAATTAGCGGTAGTAGCTCTCTATACTCCTTGCTGACTTAGTTTGTATCGAAGGAACTTATCTTGATTTGCCAGTAAGTATCTCTATATCAAGGGAATGGTCTCCTCATGTTGCCCGTTCTCTAGCAAAAACCTGATCGTCGAGTTCTTGTGCGAAATACTTTTCAGTGCCAGCCTGGGTACTTCACCACTGAAAGCTTCTATCATCTCGCTGAACTGAACCACATCTATGTGCCAATGTATTCTTTCCATTACATGTTCTACTAGATGGTTCCGGCCCAAAGAAAATGCGTTTCCCGCTTTGGAGCGCTGTCAGAAATCGGCAGGGTATCAAGATGAATGGTCCGGTTCAACAGCAGTGTTCGTCCTTTGTCATGACTTAATCTGTATTTGAATTCAAGCTTTGGCTGTCAAAAGAGAGAATAAGCTCGGACCCAAAATTACGAATGTTTTGCAATATCTATTTCGTACTATTGGTTTCATTAGATCTGCTCTTTGTGTCACCAAAGATGACACCACTTGACCAGAACCGAATCGCCAGGACCAGCAGCTCGTGGCTGCTTCAAACAGTGTATCTCTACAGTCTGGTCTACTGAGCCACCTCCCCCGTTTCATTTCGAGTGCGTTGAGTCTGTACAGCCGCCCGCCGTCTTTCTTGCGTCGTGGTCCACTTGCATCAAGTCCAGCGCCCCGCCGCCTTTCGCCAACTCCCTCCCTGTGGCGTCTCGTGCCGGCGTGAGCGTCCCCTCGGAACCCACCCTACCCCCGGAACTGGTGCCGACGTTGGTTAGCTGCATGTTCTCCTTTCGCAGTGCGTTGATCTCTTCCCTCAGCTTTTCGACCAGTAGCCGGTGATTCGCTGCATCCTGGTGTGCGGTGTCTCTGACCTGGATGAAGTCACCCACGAGGCCTTGCTTCTCCTCGGACCTGGCTCTGAGCTCTTGATCCCTCAGGGCGACGAGCTGGCAGGCTTGCTGGTGTGCGTGTGACAGCGCCTGTACCTGCCGGTCCCTGACTGCGAGGGCATGGGCCTGTTGATTGTTTCGAAATATCAGATCCTGGATCGTTTGGTCCCTCAGCCCGAGGAGGCGAGCGTTCTGTTGATTCCGCAGCAGCAAGTTCTTGAGCTGCTGGTTCTTTTGCGCAATGAATTGGATATACTGTCGTGGCGCAATTTCACTTCCAAGCGAGATATGCTCAGGGGCAGGCACACCCTGCGCTGGAGGTCGGGGTTGCCGGTGGGACCGTAACGATACAGCTGGACTCCCTTGGCTTTCCAGTGTCTTTCCCGGGCCTGCGACTGGTTTTTCGGGCCGAGGGCAGTTGTCCTGAGTGAAGCTCTTCATATCTTCATCCTCATCGTCGCTGATCGTAATGATCTGTGGCGATGCTTCGTTATAAATGCTTGTAGTGCTTCTAGCGTTCGTATTGGTGTTGATGTTAATACCCAAGTCCATGTTTGTGTTGCTAATGTTTATGACCATGTTTATATCGCTGGCGTTTGAGTCAATAATTATGCCTGGGTGGGGGTTGACACTATTATACGTATCGGTATCACTGATGCTATCGCTGTCTCCGTCAGTGATGGCGCCAGAATTGTCATGCAGAAGGACCGATCCATCATCGTCACCGTTAGGGATGACCGCAAAGAAGCCCGCGTGGTGGGACTGGGGTCCCTTTCGGGTGCACCTCCCTCGCAACTCGAACTTGCAGGCGACATAACGGCATATTTCTCCCCGAACTGCTTTCATGGCGAGATTGTCTCTTACGGTACCCTTAACTCGAAAGTGTCAGGGAGTTCTGTGGGGCAATAAGAAGTCGCATCGTCAAGATCAATTTATACAACTCGTGTCAAGATGGCCATTCCCTGGAACGGAAAATGTGTGCGGCCTCAAGAGTCATACGGCCCGAGGCAGGGTTTCTTTCTAGAGCAGGAGGTACTAATCGAACGATCCTGTCTCTGCAAATGCAGTATTGACATGAGTAACAAGATGAGTCTTGGCAGTAAGACCCCAAACAGTCGTCTTGTCTTAGCGCTGAAGTAGTGACTATGAAGTTTAGGCTTCGCGAACCTGTTCCGCGTATGACTCTTGCTGGTCGTGACTGACCTCTGCGCTGGCCTTGGGAGTGGTTCACGGCTCGGATGTTCATTGTGAAGTCTCGATGGCAAGCGCTCACTTTAAGACCAGCATTGACTTCTGGCACCAAGAGGTTCGTGTGAGTATTGAATTGGTTGAAAGGTTAAATGATTCACAAGAGCAAAGCCTATCGTGCTCAATCCAACAGGCAATCTGAACTCGAAGCCAGGGGATACGAACACCTGAACGCCCCCAAAACGCTGTGGTGTTTTCGGAAACACCAAGGCCCGATTATCCGAACATCCATTTCTACAAGAACTTGCTCTTCAAACCACCCAGCAGAACATTTCTCTTTTGTTGATTGACCCATTTTCCGGCATCCTCTGCCCAGCGCTGACTGGCATCTGCTGCGTTATCCAAAGACTCCCCCGTAAGGTTCAACTTTTCTGTGCGCTCGTTCAATGATCGCGTGAGGTATTCACCCCAGCCCTCAGCTTCCCGTGTACGTGGGCTCATCTGTCCATATGAGCCAGATGGACCTGCGCGCTGTTCCGCCGCAGTTGCGGCAATCATACGCTTGCTGGGTGGTCTGTCTGGCCCGCCAATGAGGAGGTCAAGATCTGTAGGTGTGATATATTGTGTGCCTGAGAGCCACTGCACATTGGAGATCGTAGGTCGTGGCGGGATGGGCAATGTTGGGTTTATAAGCACATCTGCCGTGTTTGCAATTTCTTGCCCCGCGCCCCAGACGTTCAAGACAGCAATCTCTGATGGCCCGGTCCAGCAGAACAAATTGCCGTCTTCGTCGACAATGGTGTCTGGGCTGCGACTACCATCCATCATCTTGAGAGGAGAGCTGGCAATTTCTTTGAGGCCTGGTAGAGAGAAGGCACGAGTGACACGGTCACCAAAAACGCCTACCAGTGCCATTCCATGAAGATCGAGTTCGCTGACTGAAGCGGCCTCGCAAAGATAGTCGTCGAATGATTTCGATGCACCTTTGGTGGTTGCCGGCTTGAAGATACGTGCCTCGGTTTGAGTCGCTATGAGACGTTAGCAGCGGGTCACGGAAAACTCGGGAAGAAGGCCAGACTCACCGACTACTAAAAGACCGTTTACTTGCTTGCCTTCTCGGAGTCCAGCAACAGCGTGCCCAGTGGCGTACGCCGGTTTTCCTGTGTCTGCAACTATGGGACAGATAGCAATGACCTTATCGCTCAGGTGGGCAACGCCGGCGACTTCGGCGGCATAACCACTTCCGGAAGGCAAAAGCTTGAAGGTGACAACTCTTCCTTGGTTTGTGCCTACGAAACAGCATATGCTAGAATATTTCTCTCCTTCCAAGGTCATGACACCAAATTGTATCACGACTGGCCATTCCTTGGCGCCTGCAGAATTGGTGTGGCTACGCAGGAACGAGGAACGCTTATCCTGTTTCGAGAACTCAAGCATCGACGCTTGGAAGATTACCGTAGGACCACGCATGTCGATGATGCTGAAGAAGCCATTCTCAGACCCGACTCCAACGAAACCGACGTCGGAGATTTTGACGGCGCTGATGGGCCCCTGCATCATCTCATAGAGGGAATATGGCTGGAGACCTTGTTTGAGAGAGGGCTCTGCCCGTGCACTGATGTCGGTAAGGCCACCCGGATTCGGATCCAAATGTTGCTCCTGGTTGCGCCCAAAGAAACGGTTGCCATCCCATCGGTACATGACAACCTCGCCACCGCTGGTGCCAACGGCAAACTCTCCTGTGCTGGAAGCCATGCTCATGGCAGTAATGTTGATGTCGTCGTAGCGGTTGAGGGCACGGGCAAGGTCCACTTGAAGCTGGGTAGGGTTCTCGATCTCATCGCCATGCCCTACATCCCAAATACGGATCGTCCCATCAGCGTGTGCAACTTGGATGATGCTACGGCCAACAAATTTGCGATGAGGCAGAGGTGCTTCTTTGCCGCCCTTCAGAATTTGATCTCCTTGTTTGCGAGTCTCGACCATACCTAACCACCTCGACCGGTCCAGAGTAGCGACCGCGAACTTGACTGCAAACGGGTGAACGAAGGAAAGCGAAGGATGCAGTTGGTTGGTAGGAGAGATGGGGTAGCCGCTTGGGAAGCTCATGGTGAGCAGTTCACCAGAAGAGAGCAAAGTGATAACAGCGATAGGATCCTGGGCGCCAGCGAAGTGGGGCGAGTATCGGGGTATCAAGAAGAAGTTCACGACTTCGGCACCAGGTGGGGTTTCGAGGACACTCTGTCGCTTGCCTTTAAAATAATCCGAAAGTCCCTGCCATGTAGATGTTTGGTAGTTGGGTGTCAATCCAAGCTCAATGAAGGTCAAGCCATTGGCCGGCTGGTCCATGGTTTGGCCACCGGCGATGAGAAGTGCAGAGTCTTCCGGGTTCTCCTTGCAACACCACGCAATGCGCAGATAGGGATGCTTCAACTTGGAGTTGCCCGAGTTGGGCAAGGGTTGGTCGATGTTGAACTCGGATAATGTGCGTGCCATGACAACTCGGCCATCTTTGGTATCCCAGAAGACCAGGCTGCCGTCCTCATGGGCCGTGAGGATAAAAGTGCCGGTAGGGTGCCAGACTGCATGGGTCACCCTGGGCCGTCTCATGGAGTCCACCGCGATGGTGCTGCCTCCTGGGGCACCGGGGGGGAGTTTATACTCGAAGAACTGATTCGCCTTGTTCTGTTTAAACGAGTATAGAGCGACGCCGTGTGTGTACGCTATCATGAGCTTGCCAATGTCCCGCGGATGCAGCTGCATGGAAACGAGGCCTACGGCTCTAGCCTTGGTGTCTTGTTCCTGCCAGAAGTTGGGCAGTTTCAACGCTGACAGGCGTTCCCGGTCAAGGTCATAAGCAAAGACCTCGCCGTTGGCGGTTCCCAGGAAGCACCAGTCCAGCATGGGATCGGTCACCATGGTGGTAACCACCCCGGGGGCATGAAAGCCAGCGACGCGGGCGCCAGTATCCAGATTCCATATGATGATCTCGTTCTTGGTATCGAGGCTGATGAGACGGTTGGCGCAAAACTGCAAGTCGGCGAAGGAGCATGGTCTCGGAGGTACTAGGAACTTGTGAACCCGACTTTGACCGTAAACTTCGATGCGTCCAGTACCAAACTTGGACTCTTTGGTGCCCACAGCAATGAGAGACTGCACTGGTTCGTATGCGACACAGCTGGAGGAGGATTCCGGGTCAGCAATGGGACACAGTCCAGTCACGATGCAGTGCAGTGCATTACCTGATCTGCGAGTTGATTCCGTATCTGAACCTGTCGTCGGGCGCAAAGAGCTCTGGTGAGATGCTGGCAGACAGGTCATTCGACATGCCCGCCTGTTTGCCCCTCAGGAAGCTCGCCATGGTGATGTGCCGCGCTGCTCGACTGGTCCGCGCAAGTATGAAGTTCGGAAAACGCGTGGTGCTGCTTCTCACGATCCTCTCTCGAAGGTCAAGGTCGATCTAGATGGACTACACATCTGACATGCGCTTCCCGTCTTGCCGTTGGGCCGCGCAAGCTTCGTTTCTAAGATTAGTCTAGGTTGACTAGTTTCCAAGACCCTGAAAAAGAGGGAGCTTCGACTTTACTGGAGCTGGGAGGGGCTGACCAAGGCCAACAGGGGAGGGGGGTCGTGTGCATGAATTGTGGACAGTGTCTACTCGACAGTGTCTCGGTTAGTAACTGACCTACATATGTATGTATGTATGTATGTATGTATGTATGTGTGTATGTATGTATGTATGTATGTATGTAACCTAACCTAGACAACTCCAAACACTCCTCCTAGGCAGCCTGGCAGTTCCTCAGGAGGGGTCACGACGTCATTTTCTTTGGCCAAGAGTGGCTTAGCTGTTTTCTTGACCAATGCCAGTGCCGCATAGCCGGGCCCTATGCTGACCCAAGTTAGTCCAGTCTACGGTCCATGCATACCTCTACACATAGTATGCTCTTTACATAGTATGCTCTCTACATAGTAACTTGGTTCTAGCTTGAGTCTAGCTTCTTCGCGTCTATTCATTTCATTTCACGTGTAAATCTATCAAAGTCACCAACCAACATACATCATGCATACTCTGCAGGGTATCAGACCAAAGCAGCCTTTGGTGTCATTTTGCTTTGGAATTAGGAACTCCTCCACATACACGCATACTTGAGCTATAAAATGATCCCTCCAACCTAGCAAATGCCGGACTGCTTTCTATTGATTAGACTAGTCTAGAGCACAAATTACTACCCATCACCGCCTGTGGCTTGAGCTTCCTTCAAATATACCAGTCTCTGTCCTCTCTTCTGCTGAAACCACACACTCCTTAGCCACGAAGCCTGCCATGTCATAGTCCGCATCTCGGGCCTTGCTTGAACGGACGCTTGCTGTTTGCTCATCATCCTTCCGACTTCAACCCAATACATGCAAACAAACAAACCTCCGTTACCATGTGGCCATCTTCCTCCTCCGATATATCATTGGTGGCCGTGCGATGATCGTGTATCCGTTGTCTTACATCTCACAGCTCTATCAATGGCTCTTGGTCTGTTGGGAACCGCCCATGATCGATGACGGTCTCTTCTTTGTCTGACCCGCTATCATCTTCGACATCTTCCTGTCCTCCGACTGCGTCCACGTCCTTGTCCACGTTGACGACAATATCTCCGACGGGAGCGTTGCATTCACGGCAGTTGATGGGCTGGCCTGGGATTGCCTCTTTAATGCTGAAGGGATGACCATTGGCGCAAACATGCCAGTAACCCTGTTCTTGAAACTCCCCCGCGTACGATTGCCAGGCACAACGTTTCGCGGCGCTGGTTACTATGTTTCCGAACTTCGATTCTGAGAGCTCACCATGCAGTGCGTCGATGTCGTCTATGAGGTAGTCAAGACAAGCATGGTGTAAAACTATATCCAGCGCTTTCACGAGGTGCGTCGTAGCAACTGCTGGATCACATATGCCGTTGGCACCCTCAGGTAGCTCCGAAGCTTCGTTAGTGATGACAATCATCTTTGCCATGAGAATGTGACCCTCGGCCTCCAGACGAGGATATGAAGAACTTCGTGCTGTCTCAATGACATACTTGCACAAGCGCCTAAACCCACCTAGATCGATTGCGACCACCGTCCTCGAGTTCTTGGTTTTGCGTCTTAGTTCGAGATAGTCGGCCAAAATGACAACATTACTTCGCATCAGAAGGACAACCCCACTCAATGTACCTTGCAAGTTTAGTCGACAAGTAGAATCCTTCTTCATTCCCTCATATGCCTGACCACCCAGGACGGAGTCAACACTCTCCTGGAAACTTCTCTCCTCTGTCTTGACAACACGAAACCAACCATTGAACTCGTCAACCAATCTTATCACCGAGTTATAACGACCATTGACCCAATTGTGGATAGATTGTAACATGGCAAACGGTTGGCCTGTGATGTCTAGCCTACCTTCTCGTCCGACAGATGCGAGTACCTCTGCTGAGGGGAGTGACTTTGCCAGCGCTTCTTGTTCGTCCAGCAACAAGAGCTCAAACTTGACCAGACGACTATGCGTTGTGCTGATAAATTTGACCAAAGCGAAGCTCGCACCAGTGTCAAGCTTAGCTAGTTCATCAGCAACGTGCATCTTGCTAATGCTGGCTGTTTTGCCGGCTTCTGATGTACCACCACGGACTATAGCAGTGGTCTTAAGAACGGCCGTTTGAAAAGTGGGAGTTGTTGTCGTCTTCGCGGGCTGAAGAGGATTAACGACGACGTGATTTGCCTGTTCACAGGTGGTGCAAGGGCCACATGGGATTCTGTCATGACAAAGTTGAGTGCAGTCATGGCCGCAAGTGAGGCCAGCACCACAGCGAGTTTGGCATTTGAAGCCATCGTGAACATGCTTGGGATGACAACTCCCGGCGCAGCTGTGACCGCAAGACAGCGGCTTGCCGCATTCCTCGTCGCAGCCACTAACAAAGAACTGCTGAGCACTTGATGCGAGCATGGTTTTGTCCTTGTGCCTGGGACATTCGAGCTCAAAACTGGGACCGATGTTCCCGTTATTTTGCATCATCTGAATGATTTCCCACCACATATCATTGAGGCTGTATGTCTCAGCATTGCCGATGATGATCATGCCATGTTTGGCGCGGGAAAGAAGCACGTTAATGCGATTTGACTGATTTAGGAACCCACATCTTCGCTCAGCGTTGCTTCTCACAAGTGAAATGATCACGACTGAAGCTTCCTCTCCCTGGAAGTTATCGACCGTTGCGACGCGTATGCGCCGTCTGCCAGTATAACCACCGGTTTTGACCATCATGTTGCGCCTTTCGAGCTCAGCGGCATCAAGCTCGTTCATAGAAATATCGTACGTCGTCCCAAGTTGAATCTTCAATTGCCGAAGCTGTCCGGCATATGGGGTGAGCACCGCAATCTCGCCGTCGCCATACACATTCTGTCGAGTCAGGTGACTCAAGACAGTTTTGACGACCTCAATTTCGAACCGATTACTGAACGAGAACTCGTTACTTCGATTAATATTTGAACCATCTTCGGGCTTGGAATGGTGGAACCAAAAGAGTCGACGTTTGAAACCGGCGAGGCCAGGGTACCGCTTCACATTTTCTGCATCCTGGAGTTTCGGGTACATTGTTGATCGCACGAGGTCTGAAATGACCGGGTGCATTCGCCGTTGCACTTCCAGGGTATCAAAGGGTAGCCTTTTATCAGACAGGAGTAGAGGCTTAACTAGTCGTTCGAAGAGAGACATATCGAAGGAAAATATCCTGCCATCAGGATTGGCAACCTGGAATGCCCAATTATTGGTCGTCGGTCGTAGTTGTTGATGGTCACCTATTAGGATAAGGTGCTGCGTATGTGGCATTAGAGCCCCAAGTGTATGGGACTCCAAGACCTCACCAGCCTCTTCACAGATTACAACTTTGCTCTTTAGTTGACCTACAAACTCACGAAAGCGAGCAAGCCCACTTGTGGTGACACCGATAACATCATATCCTCGGAGAATATTGACCTTTCTTTCTGACCAAGTCGCGTCGACCGCCTTGACGTGGGTTTCAAACGTCTGATTGAGGTCGTGAATGGCTCTTGTGATCTCTGCACTTTTTTGAGGCTCAGCCGTCTCTAGCTCTGCAAGTGCTTCGATCACTCGTTTCGCAGCACTCCTGCGTTTCTTGCTAGTTCTGCCTCGCTTCATCATCTCCTGCTCAGTCATTGGTTGCAGATCCATAATGTTCTGAAGAGTAAGCCCCCCAATGACGTCGGACTTGCTCTGTGAACCTAGACGAACGACTCGCTTGATGTTCTTGCGCAAGTACAAGTGCTCTAATAGCTGGTCAAGTGCATGGTTGGTCTGGCAAATGCAAATGATGGGTCCGAGATTTGCTTTTGCCTTATTGGCGAGCAACACATCAATGATGGCCTCACCAGTATAGGATTTCCCGGTACCAGGAGGCCCTTGAATCAGCGCCAGCTGTCGACGAAGGCTATTCAGAAGTGATTCTGCTTGGCCTGTATCGAGATCTGATCTTGCACAGAGTTCCTCGACATTCGGCTCGTTTTGTGCAGAATAGAGAAGAGTGGTTTGATCCCTTATGACGGGCCGCAGATCGAATTGGAAACTGGTGTTTGTGGCATAAGTGGGAGGCGGGATATGCTCATCCACCTTGCTATTATCTTGAAGATTGCCTGAACTACCAACCAAGTACTCACCCATCGGTACTTGTGTATGTGTGGACATATGTTGAAGGGTACACAGCATTGGCTTGAATGATGCTAGGAGGAGTGTGGGAAACTCCACCACAATCGAGCCAGCACCCAGGCTATGTCGAAGGTTTAGCATAAAGTCAACGTCACTTGCTTTCAAATCTGCTGGCTGTAAGACAAAATAGGCAAAGTCTTGAGATGCAAATAGAGTCCTTTTTGGATCGTAGACGCGTATTCGCTTCTTCTTAGATTTGTCCCTTTTCTCGTTCAGCTGTGCCAGGGTACGACAAGTTGCTCGAGACACCACACAGAACATGACATAGCCCTTGCTGATAACACACACCAGCCGCTCCCAGTCGATATTTTGAGATTCGATCCACCACTGCTCCCGGTGCGCTGGTGTGCGCCTACTAGCAACTTCTATCGGCTGTCTAACAGCAATATGAAGCCCGAAGCCATCTATCATGTCGAAAGCAACACGAAGATTTTGAACTTTGTATTCATTGGCACTCATAGAATTGTCCTGATACATCCCCATGGTGCATGAGCTACCTTGTAGATGAGTTCTGACAACGTCTCGAACAGGCCCAAGATTATCTTCTCGAAGCAATCGGAAGTGGCGGTCCAAAAGTCCCTGGATACCTTGCAAATGCCATTTAGATGGGTCATATACCGGTATATACGAATATCTAGTGGAAAGGATTTCGTTCGTGGTCGGGAGAATGCGTATATCTGTGATATTCGCGTGATCGTTGTCATGTCGTGGACCAAGTGAAGAAAGTTGGCCGGGACGATCATCACTACCCATAGACCCACGGCCAATAAAAATGTTGTTTTTCACCGGATCCACAGCTCCTGTTGCTGTTGTTGTACTTTCATCGAGTATTTTGAACACGTGCTGAATATTATCCTCGACTCCGTTCTTCTTGACGTGTTGTATTTGTCCGCCCGTGCTGTCGTACAGATCTCGAAACCGTTGCACCACAGCACGAAAATGAACGTCAGAAGTATTGACGAAAACGGATTCAAGTATTTGCTTCAGCATAGCCGACGCAATTTCGAAAAGCTCTTGTCGGCAGGCGCCGTCAAGGTCATCTCGAGGCGATTCCCAGGTTGCAGCCACATCGCTGATGAGTCGGTACATCGAGCCCAGGCGGAAACCCCATCGATTCACGTGGGATTCGGCCAGAAAAGTGTATATGGCTTGGAAGGAACTTTCAAGGGCAGTCGAATGATCATGTTGATGCGTTATGATTAGAATGAATGGCCTTATTGAAGAGTGCCACAGTTTTGTTCTTGTTTGAGGGGTAAGTGCGTCGGAGATAGTATCTAATAATTCTTTGATGCGTTCCAGGCCTTCATCAGTTGCCAAGCGTTTGACGGTATTCTGGTAGATCGAGTTTCTTGCGTTAGTCAGTTTAAGAGCTGTTTGAAAAAGTTCTGGCAGTTTGGGGCCTAGCGGTGTAGCAGGAGCACCATCCCTCATGAAGCTTGGCAAAGAGAACATTTGGTTGAAGCGATGAACAACGACTTGGATATTGCTATCAGGTTGTTTGTCTAGAGCTACTTTGCTAGACTCTGAGGAGGCGCCATCAAGCGTCGGCGACGCTTGTGGAGTAGGAAGCATCGTGAAGGTGCTGTCAGGTGAGTTTGATCAGTAAGGATGAAATGAGATCAGTGACATGATCTGCAAAAAAAAGATGGGAAGCTGTTATATCTTTCCTCCTGAAGTGTGCTTTGGATGCCAAAAGAAAAGTAGTTTAGAACAGGCAAGAGCTTTGAGGATTGGAAGTGTAGACCTTTTGCCTTGACGCGTAGACAGAAAGTAGAAACGCAGCTACTTGCTAGTAGGCGCAGGACATATCTGATTCGAATAAACTGTCATTACCTCGTTGCCTAGTTTCCTGGGATTAAAATCGGCAGAATCCATTATTCCATGCATATAAGTTGGCCCGCCGCCAACATAAGATGCCCCGGACATCACAATAGTCGACCGTTTCATTGTGTCTGGTATTCTGGAAGCCATGGCTGTTTGTGATGGGACAGTCACTGTGTCTATTGATGCGCCGGCGATGTAACTAAAGCTAAATGAATTTCCTTTCCGAATTGGCGAATGTTGTATTTCGTGGGGTTATCAATGTAGCTAACCAACACAAGTTTGTAGAGAAAACACGACCACAATCTGGATTTTGGACAAGCAATAGATTTAAATATAGGGGAAACAAACCACAGACTTTGATCCCTTAGATCTTAGAATCTATTTAAATTCATACGTACTGCACACCTACAACCCATGAGATGTCGGCCACTTCCAGCCGCATATCTTATATTATAACACCCGGGAAGCCTTGCCACTTGAGTGCGTGGCGCGTATTCCAGCGCCGAACTGTGCCTATCGATCAAGCGATTTTCATAGTCCTTTGAGCGAGGCATTTGCTACAGAACAGTGCAATTGATGGAACCCCGACATATAATGGCAGAATTTTGGACGACGCAGAATAAGAGTGTTGGATCGATCAAAGTATAATATTTTTAATATTCATGGAAGAGACTTGTCTGCAAAGGAGTTTCGGATAAAGCGTAGAGTAAATAACTAGATTAGATGTAGGATGTATGTGTCAATCACGATAGACGTCAAAGCAATATACTTACTTCCGTATTCACACAAGTTCTCCGTGTACAGCCCAATCTTCTATTTGTGTAATGTCACTTGGCTCGCCCGCCGGCACACGACTACGATTATCTCAGCACTAAGGCATATGGTTACGCTTGGTTTAGGCTGTGACTAGTCTGAACGAACAAGGTGAGACCAAGGTGAGCGGATTTGCCGATAGGAGATTACTGTATCCGTAGAGCTTGGGAGGAGCTCCAAGGTGACACGGAGACCGCAATCTGCGAAATGTATGGTTTCAAACCTGCGAAACCATTCTGCTGGAGTAGACGCCGGATCCAGGAAGGACCCCGCCGATCTCGGCAATTGCGGGGGAGGAGTTTGACGGCATCAGAGATGGGCTTGGCACATCAAGGAACCAACTTCCAATTGTTCCCACTCGTGTGGAGGATAAGGAGATTTGGTGCTTGGGCATGACATTTAACGATTTTGCTATTCGCGAGCTGTAACTAGCACATACGACTTGATGGCGATCATATGGGGCACGGTTTTGGCGCAAACAGCCCTGCCTGTGTAGGAACGCACTGAGTCAGTATTGACCCCATCAGTCTATAAATAAATTTCATCACCGGACCTCATGCTCCATGATTTCAAACTGTCCAGGCAATTTGTGTGGCAAAAGTAAAGTCATGCAGTGGTGAAAAAGGATATACATTTCTATGGCGCTCCATTAATTCTACAGCTGTAGAAGACTTATGACAGTGGCCCAGTATCAAAAGTTCATCAAGTCGTCCCGAGAGAGAGAGGGTATCGGAATCAATCTCAAGGTGTTTTTCTCCCCAAATTCCGTCGCAAAATCTCATCCAAAACCGCATACTCCATTCTCTACCTCTCTACTGGTATAGAGTCTCCATGATTATACCAGTAATACGGTACGGGTCAGCGTTGGACGCTGGGCGACGGTCCTCAAAGTAACCGTAGCCCTTGGCCGCGGTTTCGCGAGGAATACGGATTGATGCGCCACGGTTGGCGACACCGTATGTGAACTTGTCCATGGCACCAGTCTCGTGTTTACCAGTGAGACGCTTCTCGTTACCCTCACCGTAGACGGCAATGTGCTCAAGGTGGCGGCCCTCCAGCCTCTTGATGGCAGCCTCAATGTGCTTCATACCACCTTCCTCACGCATCTCGACAGAGGAGTAGTTGGAGTGCAGACCAGCACCGTTCCAGTCACCAGGCATGGGCTTGGGGTCAACGGAAACCTTGGCACCGAACTCCTCGGCGACACGGTTGAGGAGGAAGCGAGCGAGCCAGAGGTGGTCACCCATCTCAATACCCTCGCAGGGGCCGACCTGGAACTCCCACTGGGCAGGCATGACCTCGGCGTTGGTACCAGAGATCTTGACACCAGTGTACAAGCACTAAAACTGTCAGCAAATGTGTCCGTTGCCGTATGCTACTCAAACAACTCACAGCCTTGTAGTGTGCCTCAACAATATCTCTCTGGACAACCTTGCCAGCACCAACACCACAGTAGTAGGGGCCCTGGGGAGCAGGGAAACCAGCCTGAGGCCAGCCGAATGGGCGGTCGTTGAGGTCGAGCAGGGTGTACTCCTGCTCAAGACCGAACCAGGGCTTGTGTGAGGCGTACGTCTCCATCAGCTTGGCAGCCTTGTGTATGGTCAGCAAAAAGCGATTTAGCACCGAGTGTACAGAAGACCGACCTCATGTCTGTAGTTGAACTTGTTGGGAGTGCCATCGGCCATCCAGCACTCAGTCAGCACGAGGATGTTGTCTTGTAGGCGGAAAGGATCAGGGAAGACGGCGATGGGGCGGAGGTAGGTATCTGCGCAGTGTGTTAGTAGAGAATTTGTGACTACAATTAGTGAAAGGAGAACATACCCGAGTTGTCGCCGGGGGCTTGGCCAGTGGAGGAACCATCAAAGTTCCAGACTGGCAGGTCCTTGGGCTCGTAGCCGCCCTCTTGAGCAGGAAGTGTCTAGGCAGAAAGGTCAATGCCAATGCACTTCAATTGGTGTCTGTAGACCTTTTCTTAATGACTTACCCTTGACTTGGATCGGGTGTTACCTTCGGCGTCAATCCAGATGTACTCGGCCATGATCTGACCCTTCTGGTCAAGGGCCATGTACTTCTGGAGAATCGCCTGATTCGACGTCTGGGCAGCGGCGGAAGCCTGCGAGAGATTGCAGAGTCAGTTTGGATGTCCATTACTCCATGCGAGGGAAAGCGGGGTAATAGACTGACCATGATTGTGGTGATTTTTTTGGTTTTTGGGTTTCTGGAGGGGTAGAGAAAAAGAGAATGCGACTCTGGAACTGAAGGTTTGCGACAGGAGAGACTTGGGAGTTCTCACAAATCTATAGGGAGGTAGTTCAGGAACACAGATGGAAAGGGGATCAAGATACGGTATTGAGAGGGGTCGCTTTTATGTAAGAAAAAGGCGCAGCGTGTTTGGTTTGCTGGGCCAAGTCCGATCGACGGCGTAACCGTTGGTTTGCTTGTTGGTGGGGTGAGGCAGTCACAAGTGTGGGAGCGGGCAAAAGGGATCAAAGACATCCCTGAAACGACCTCAGCCCAGTCAGCGACGATGTGTATGTATGGATCCGTAGTGTAAGAGCGCTACAAATCACTTAGGTTAAGTTGCTACCTGTACTTGGCACGTTACTTTCAGAGCGCCAAACACAAACGTGAGAACAAAGGGAAACACCCCCGAGCACAGGTGCCGCGATAAGCCTCCTCTGACTCTGTATGTTTACGAATTCTAATGGCCTGACTTGCCAGACCACCCAAGTTGCTCGTTTGTCCCCTCCACGACAGTGGCTAGTCCATCGTTAACCTACGTCAGTAGCGTTCTAGGCATTGACCACCTGCAGGGTCCAGAGTCCTAGCGTTGTACTCACGCACCCGATAAGATGCCTCCCCCACAAACACCCCCACCTGTTGAGCCGAGAATAGCCAATCACGCCGAACTTTGGCCGCCTTGGGTTGGCAAGCCCTGTCCGCCTCTCCAGACACAACCTTTCCTGCACTGCTACAGTACTATTATACATAACTTTATGCCATCTAGTTTTCCTCTCGTCAGTATTGCTCGATAAAAAGTAGTCATATCTAAATCATGCCGTCTCATGAGCCAGTCAGCGCCCAGCAATTTCTCAACACGCGACTCGCTTCTCCCGACAAGGCTCAAACACAACCAAAAACAGACATTAGCGACCACCCCCATTGGCCATCGAGAGATTGATTGGGCTGGATCGCCAGGCGATAAGGCTAGCGACACATCTTTCCGAACAGGTTCCGATAGCCGTTAAGTTGAGGAGGAGTATTGAGATTAACCAGCCATGCGAGCCCATGCCACAGACTCACAGTTATTCGCAGCAACGTGATTCGTGCCATCATTTTGCGCAACGCGACAGCTGAGGTGTGAATGGGGGAACTCGGTCATTGCCATGCCGAAAGGCACGTGCTCTTGTTACCGCTCGTGTCGCCGCCAATTCTGCCGTACTAGTGAAGCTAAAAGTAAAGTTTTCTAAGGAGTTTCTGTCACACGTGCAAGGCGCAGTAACAAAGACCATCGAGTGAAGCTTGATGGCGAAGCCTTCTAGAAGTTTTCCAGTGACACCTACATACTGTCACAGCCTATTCATAGATCAGGAAAGTAGCAGCTCGTGATTCCGGACTTCTCCGGCAACGCTAGAAGATTAGCCGCGCGATTAGCCGACTGACTGAGGGCTGCCAATCGTCGCCTCCAAAACACAACTTTATTCACCGCCGGCTTTGCACCAAAACCGACTACCACAAGACTGCTGGAAGCGTCAATTCAAATTGTCGTGCAATGACGTCTTACCAAGCCTGACCTAGCTTGGAATTAGCATCCCAGTGTTCAATAATCCTGGAGGAACTCGGCTGCAAATGTCCGGCAGCTAACCGAGTTCTAATCATTTACTAGTAGTGGCGATAGCTTTTGCAATAAAGTTGTACGTGATATTATTGTCCGGGGACGCCGCCGCCACAAGCGTCGAACGCGGGCCGTTCAAACCCGGAGTTCGTGTCTGGAGCCGTCTTGTCCACGGGATAGACGGAGCCAAGTGGGCAAGTTTATTTCTATGCCGTAAATCTTGCAGCTGAGTGACGTGAGGAACTCGAGCATCGAGATGGTAATATCATTTGCCAATGCACTGCAGACTGGCACTCTTCAGAGTGAATGCAGAGTTTGAAGGTGCAGGCAATCCTCGGCTCAACTGCAACAGCTTGCTACTCGCACAACATAACGACAAGCAATAATGCTTACCATAGGCCAAGTTTTCCCACTCATATCAACCTCCATTCTTGCAACCACTCGCACCACTCCGAGCTCTAAGCACGCTGCGAACAAGATTGAACGCGTCTTTACAGTGAATTAACTTCTAGCCTGTGCTGTGTTTGATTTCACATCTATTCTGGTCACTCTATCGAGTGCCTGCCAAGTCGAGAGGCGCTCAAGCAGGGATACTTCACATTGGGAAACGATGCGACCTACTGCTGTATTTTTGCTGGTGCTTCCAATAAAGAGCCGGCGCCTAGACATATCTTGGGTGGTGGTAGTGGATCCCACTTTATCAGACACGACCCCTGGTGTTTCACCAGGAGCTGGAGGCGCTAAAATCGAATTACTGTGTATGACTGTAATTGCTGCACTGCTCGTCCTTACAGTGTGGGTGTCTTTTCCTTTCCTTCTTTCATTCTTGCTTTTCTTCACGTTGACAGTGTCCAACTCGACTAATATTACAACATGTATATACGAGTGTTAGTAGCTTTCGAATACTATATATGATTAACGGTATCTAATCAGCTCATTCGTTGGTATCTGTGAGGATGGTGACAAGCAGCAGGGTTGACTTTTAGGCATGACACGTCATGGACCCATTGAAGAACCTCAAGTATATCATATTCATCATGGGTTGTATTCAGACATAAATTGCGATCGTGACTGTTTACACTTTTTCAAGTCAAGTAGGATGTCTTAGCGCCTCCTCTTAATATACTGCAGGAGGCTTCAGGTCGTAAAGAGTGCCCACTAATCCCGGAAACCAAACACTTTCGGCTCCAACCGAGCGACCCTTGCCTCGCTAAGAGTAGAGCCTCCTACATGGGACGAACAAGGGGTAAACTCGATATTAATGAAGTCCATCTCTCGCGACTCGACTTTTGATCATTTTCCATCCGTCTTTCATACATTCTTTTCGTTAGCTTTGTGCTCCATTCGTTCCCTTCCAAGTCCGGGTTGACTTTACCATATTTGACGCCGGGTCGTCCTCTCATTTACTCAGAAATTTATTTTGAAAAGCCCATTCTTTTGCACAAACGCTGTCGATTTTACTCACCCACAATGAAGAACTTTGGCTCAACTCTATCGGTGGTCGCATCGGCGGCTCTGATCAGACTCGCGGCTGGTCACGGCTATGTTCAGAATGGTACGATTGGCGGTACTAGTTACGAATTTTATCAGCCTTACGCGGATCCGTACACCAGCCCTACACCTGATCGTGTCTCTCGTCCGATTCAGGGCAACGGTCCCGTCCAGGACGTCACATACTCGGACATCCAATGCGGTGGTTATACAGATGGTGGTGTCAACGGCTCATCGCCAGCTGCCCTTCACGCCCCTGCTGCAGCTGGCTCGGATGTGACCCTTTACTGGACTCTGTGGCCTGAGTCTCACTTTGGTGCTCTTGTCACTTACATGGCTCGCTGCCCTGACACTGGTTGCACAGACTACATGCCAGAATCGGAGTATGCCACTGGGACCTGATGATTTGTTACAACCCATGCTAACATGTGATCATAGTGCCGTCTGGTTCAAGATCGCTGAAAGCGGTCTGATTGACAAGGACACCAACGAATGGGCTGTCACTCCTCTCGAGACTGCTGGAAATGCTGGGTACACTTACACCATCCCCGAGTGTCTCGCGTCAGGTTACTACCTCGTGCGTCACGAGATCCTTGCCGTCTTCGTCGCAAACACATACCCCGGTGTCCAAATCTACCCCGGCTGTCACCAACTTGAAGTCACCGGGAGTGGCTCGACTACTGTCAGCGACCTCGTCAGCTTCCCCGGTGCCTACTCCAGCACCGACCCCGGTATCACATGGGACTCGTCTAGCAGCACATACCCCATCCCAGGCCCCGTAAGTTTTTCTTCGAAAATTGCCTAATCAGACATCATACTAACCTTCTAATAGTCTGTCTTCTCATGTGGCGGCTCATCTGGTTCGACTGCAACATCCGCAGCTTCGGTTGCTACCAGCACAGCCGGTAGCTCGTCCGCTGCTGTGACAAGCTCTGCTGCTGCCGTTACCACTTCGACGGCCGCATCCTCCTCTGCTGCTGTCTCCCCCAGTTCTGTTGCCACCTCTAGCGCTGCTGCCACCTCAAGTGCTGCTGCCACTACTTCCGCTGTTAGCTCGACTGCTGTCGCCGTTGAAGCAAATTCGTCAAGCACTGCCACAAGCAGCAGCGCCGCAGCTGCCAGCTCGAAGGCTGCTTGTAAGAACAAGAACAGAAAGAGAAGGCACTCTCGTCGTCACCTTGCATAAGTGAAGACTTTCCGACTTGTAAAGAGCCAAGCCAGTTTAGCTACCAAGATAGCTTCGATTCTTTGTGTATATATCATATGTAAATATTAAAAACCATTTGGATGATTGACTTCTCAAAACACTTGTTCCGTCTTAATTTGGAGCTTTTTAGTGGCGACAGGCTTTGATAATGCCCAAATGATCCCTTTCTCCATGACTTGGTCCCACCTCTCCGAATCAGCCACCTTATCTCCCGCCCGTCGGAAACCATGAGGTAGTCCCGGAAATAGATGGACATCGGTTGCAACACTGCAGGGATCAATAAGCTTTGGTTATATCACATGTGCCTGTTCAACTTACCCGACCTCTGTGAGCAGCTTGGCCCAAAGCAAGCCCTCGTCTCGCAGGATATCCCAGCCAGCAATGCCAAATACGGTTGGCGGAAGACCTTTGACGTCGTCTGCCGAGGCATTGCCCGGATTCACCTTCAGGTCATCAATTTGTGGCTTTTCAATCTTTAGGCTATCCGTAAAGAATCGAGCCACAGACATCGGCAGAATTGCAGCGTCCTTGTTCTGCTCATATGATGACTTCGAAGGGTCACTTAGCTTCTTGAGCTGCGGCTCGTAACAGTCTGGGTTGACAAGACACGGAATCATCAATACCTGCCCGGCCAGCTTGGGCCTCGAAGCCGACGCCTTGCCAAGGTGTTGTTGCAAGGCAAAGGAAGCTGTCAACTGCGCGCCAGCCGAGATACCACCCATGACTACCTGGTTCGGGTCGACCTTCAGAAGGCCGACGTTGTCATGCAGCCACTCAAAGGCATCGGCAGTATCGTCCCAGGCTGCAGGATAGACATGCTCTGGCGTGTGTCGGTAATTTACGTTCAACACCACGACCTGAGCATTAGTGGCGATCCGGGCGCAGACCGCATCCTCAGAGCTTAGCGTGCCGAAGAAGAAGCCACCGCCGTGCAGATGGATATAGGCGGGCAGGATCTTGTCAGTATCCACATTTGTTGGACGGTAGCTTCGTGCCTCTATATGGGATCCGCCGCGCGTAGATATTGAATGATCCTTGAGCTCCACTTTGGCTTTCCAAAGTTCCAGCCCTTTCGCGGCGATCCCTTCACGCTCATTGTTCATGAGATCCTTACGTTGCGCCATGGTGAGGCCGGCCGGAGGTGCCGGGAGCGTCGAGGCGTAAGCCAGCCACTCTTTGCTTGGGTTTCCATATTGTGTAAAGTCGCTCATTTTGGTGTCTTACTATATTTTATGTGAGGCAGTGTGAGATCGAAATAATCTAGGTTAGATCATCATGATATTTGAATAAATAGGAATTGCCGAGGCCCGGAAATCGCACATCATTGCGCCCCCGCAGAGGACTGCGCCATACGGCAACGGGGCAGGTACCGCTTCGATTGCATGGGCGTTTCCCGCGATGATGAGCTCCGAGCCAGTTATACCTTCCCTGCGAAAAAGCTCGCCCCACTGGCCTTTTCAAGGCCTGATACCATAATAAATAAGGCAAAGCCACTTGGCGATATCTTCTTCACCATATATTTTCGATTGTGCAGGCTTCGTAACGATCTCCTATCTATATGTAACCAGACGGCTGACGCCAGTCAAAATAAAAGCTTTCTACATAGCTTCATCACACCTTCTTGCCGGCGAAAATCGTGGACAGCCACTACCTAAGGTACTATGCTGGAAAAATGTGCATGTCATTTCGATTCAAACTCTTCATGTACGCCACTCATCGACTTAGAATTGTCAATCTGAATTGCGCTAGACTAGTAACAATTGGCCTGAAGGTTTGACGCTGGCGAAGCACAAGAGCAGCGATGTGTCATTGAGAAGAGACACGGCTCTAAGCCAACATGTTCAACAACTTGACCGCTGGCGGCAACCCAGAACGTAAGAAGATCAAAACAGCATATATCAGAAGAAGATAAAAACTTTAGGCAAAAGTTATAATGATCATGGACACAGGAAAGTCTCGCATCAGACTAATTATTGGTCTAGAGATGCAACATCCTGTTTATGACCGAGCCAATTGATGATAGCGCAAAATCCCTTCACTCAAAATGGAACCCAGTGTAGTTATTGGCTGCAACATCGCTCAGAGCCTTATAGTATTTTGGAACACCTCCGAGGTAGATTAAAGGCTCTCTCGGCTTGCCGGGTATATTGTCACCCATATACCTATGTGGCGAATCAGAGGTTAGCATTACTCTCTCTGGAATGAACAAAGAAAGTTTCAAGTTGCCTCCTGATACAACACGGAGATAGTCGGTCAAGGTGATGAGCGCTTTGGGATTCACATACCACTAGAAATAATTAGTAACGTCTCGAGATAACGTTTGTGGAGTCAAAGTTGCTCACAGACTTGGCACCTGGTAAGAGTGTGGCGTAGGCAATTTTCATAATCGTCTCGCGCCATTCTTCCTCTGCTTCTCTCCCTGCAGTCATTTTCTTATGCCCTTCCTGTCTCATATAACCAACAGCGTTGACGATCCAGTCTCCCTGTAGCTGTGCACATGTTGGCCCATTGCAAAAAGCCGTAGGTCCTTGTGGGGCGTACGTCATGAACATGTTGGGAAAGCCAGACACGGTCATACCGAGGTAAGTGTAAGCGCCATCCTTCCAGTGATCACTGAGCGTTTCTCCACTTGAGCCTTGGATGTCGATCTGGCGGAGACCTCCTGTCACTGCATCGTAGCCAGTAGCACAGATAATAACATCAAACTCGTGCTCTTTCTCAGAAGTCTTGATACCATTCTTTGTAATCTCCTCAATAGGATCATTATTGATATCAACAAGGCGAACGTGAGGCTCGTTGAATATCTCAAAAAAGCCTTGCTCCAGAGATATCCTCTTACACCCGAAAGCGTAAGGCTGTTCTATGGGAGCCAGTATATCACGAATTCGGGCGTCGTTAATCTTGGCACGAGTTTTGTCACGCCAGAAATTATATGCCTCGCGGTTGGCGTCGGGGTCAAAGAGCATGTCAATATATGTGGCCAGCCAGAATTTTAGGCTTCCATCGGACCAGAGCATCTCGTATGTCACACGACGGGTTTCGACGTCGTCGTCGAAGGTCTTCCGGCCCAAAAAGCTGAAGTCAAAACCAGGGAAATTCTTTAAGCGCCCACTGAAAACTTCCGGATAAGCCTCACGGGGGTACGCCTGTTCTCCGTTCTGGTAATTGATTTGCTTCATCGGCATGCAGGTATTGATCGATCGTTGAAAGATAGTGAGTTGGCTGGCGTTTGGAGTGAGCTCCGTCGCGATTTGAACACCAGTTGATCCTGTCCCGATAACTGCAATCTTTTTATCCTTGAGGTCAAGCCCTTCGTGTGGCCAATACGATGGGTGAATAAAGACCCCTTTGAAAGACTCATATCCTTTCCAGTCAGGAATATAGCGCCTGGCTGCGAATCCAGTATTCAAAGACAAATATCTTGCCTTGTATATCTCTCCCTCTCTGGTCCTGATAGTCCACTCCGACGTGTCGTCATCCCAGTGGGCAGATTGTACAAAGCGGTCGAAACACGTATCCCTCCTTAGATCCCACCTTTCGGCAACGTAATCAAAATACGCACGAATCTCGGTATGGGCAGGGAATCTCTGCTTCCAAGTCCAGTCTTTCCACAGCATTGGATCATCAAACTCGTAAAGAGGAGTGGTGGTATCAACGCGAGCACCGGGATATGCGTTCCAGTACCATACACCTCCATATCCCAAGGCCGTCTCTAGAAGTTTGACTTTGTACCCCTCATCACGAAAGCGTTTGAGTTGATAACATCCTCCAAAGCCAGCGCCAACTACAACGACATCAAGCTCTATGATGCCATCGCGGCTCAAGTTATCTACTGAAGTGCCAGTTGAACCCATGATTGATCAACATGGCATGTACTGGATTGTTGGCAGCTATGAAAGAACAAGGACGAGGAACATCAATCAGGCCTTCTGACGCCGGTGCCCGTTTTCGAAAAGCAGCATTAACAAATAACCTATGAAGGTATTGATATATATACCAAGGTGCGGGGAATGAATTCTCTCTTTGCAGCTGCGATTGATGAGGGGGGTGGAAGACAGTCGACATGGGTAAAAGGATCGTCCCCCCCCAATGCCCCTTGCGGCTGTGATTGATCATATGTCACACACCTTAGCCAAAGATTGGAGCCCAGGAATGCGACCTGAAGTAGGCGGCTGCATTGATCGTACGTTCATGGAAGAGCAGTCTTTTGTCGCTCCACATATTACCATAGACTTTTGGCATCTAAGTAGAAGTATTCCAAATCGTCGGATGGCCAGAACCACGTGCATGTAGCAAAACATAATTCTATTGGATAATCCTCTGTAAAATGTAATATGTATAGCGCATGTCATGGAAAATATCACGGAAGAACCAAAATTTAGACACCAATCTGAGCATCGACCACCCAAGCGAGCTGTACGAAGAAATACTATTGGGAATGCAGAACTTGTGCCTCCCCAGATACATATTAGAATGGTGGACACAAGCTACCGAACACCCTGAATTGCCAATTGGTGCGACTTTTGCGGGATTCGTTATTTTTGCACATACCAAGCGTCATATTTGGCGGAGAATATAATTAATTGTTGCTCAGCAGGAAGGAAGAAAAAGGAGAAAAGAAATAGAATAAGAAAGGTCGCTTTTACATTGAATAACACGGCAGTCACCCCAGTTTACCACCTACAATAGTTAGTCGTTGGAAAATTGTAATTAAATCTGATTAAAAATATGTGACAGTTATGAGAGCACCCCTGAACATGGAAGCTGATCATACAAGAAAGTCGAGCATGGAATGGCAAAATCACTGCTTGATCACAAACAATAGTGTGATAATCGCGTCTAAACAACAAAGCGAAGAAAGAGTGGATGGGGAGCACCGTCCCGTTTATATGCTGATTGCACGCAAGGCCTCCAGCCACTATGGCTGAGTCATCCACTAGCTAAGAGCTGATCCATGGGCACTGTTTTCTGTCACAAAATACTGTCAGTGTTTCCTAGCCTATTATTAATACTTGACATGAGTTCTAGCTATATCTATGTTTTGCGTTGTGGTTAAGTATAAAAGTGAGGGTGTGTTTAGGTGCAGCTATAATGAGACGGGCTATAAGTGTCCGGCCACTTCGTACATCCACCATTCTGCCTGTGTCCTGGGTGATGATATATATAATAAAATTCCTTCTAGTTAATATCTAATGTCACGCAAAATAATAAGATCTTCCACAATTACAAAAGAGTCGTCACTCGGTGGGTGTCTTTGCGATTGTACTCATGACGAGATAAGTGCTTCCGTCCTCCAGTGATCTCGCCTTCAAAGTTCGTATCCAAGGTAAAAACGATGTTCGGCGCACCGTACCATAGTAGCACATAAGAGAAGACTAGCAGTGTCTGGCCGTTAGTCCACTGAATTTCCCTTTGTGAGGGCCCCACAGAATACCCGAACTCAGTGCAACATTAGCTGAAGACATGTGGCTGGTGGGTGTTTCACATGTTATATACTTGTTGAACTTGTGCCAAGGCGCTAGGATTTATGCTGGTCGCTACGTTCTTATACCTGGTCTGTTCACCCTCCCTCAAAGGTTCAGGCAGTATGCACCGCGGCGAACACATAGGCTTTTCCGGGCGCTGATTCCTACATGGGCGGAGTTAAGCATCCTCTACAACCTTGAAATAGCTCCGCAGGGACCTTGCTTTTCGCAAGCTCTATCGAACAGGCCGACCGAGATCTAATAGCCATAGCTCTTTTGATAAGGATGAACTCCTGGCACCCTCATAGCAAGGTAGCAAAGCAAATGGTGTCCTCGAATATGATAATATTTATTGAAACTAGTGTGATGTTTTACAGCCTCTTTGACTTGAGAACCACGACGCTTACACTATTAAAAGGACACGATAATTTAGTTAGCAAAATCTCATCAAACGACACTGGCATGTTACCGATGCAAACACTAATGTTAACATCGTCCAACAGAAAGATCCTATCATGATGGAAGCTCGAACCATTTCAGCGGCTTGGAAAATTTCGACACCGGCTTAACTTGCAAAAAGCCATCCCCGCTCCTCGAAAACCGCGAACCATTCATAACCCCGCCTTCAGCATTTGCTCGTTGACCACTCTTCGCCAGCGCCAGCAGGGCGAAATGCCCTCCTACTACTGGCCGCGCCTTAAACCCGATATTTTGGCCATTACCAAATGTCTCATAACGATCCGGGAACGGATCAGTGGAGGCTGTAGAGTCGAGCCAGGTAGCCATCGATCTGATGATCATCTCTCTTGTGTTTGAGGAGCTGGTAGCAGCTGCCCATATTTGCCAGTCAGACTTCGTTTGGGTCTTTCGACTGTCGAGGGGAACGCCAAAGACCTGGGAGACTTTCGCATACCAGTCTGATTGCATATTGTAGATCGACTCGTTCACAATACCTATGTTGAGAAGCTTGTCGAAATAGATATTGTAAAGTAGACCCCAGCTAGACGTCCACTGGTAGCTCAAAACGGTATGTTGCCTCGACGGTTCGACTGACAACTCTTCCCAGCCAACGTAGTACTCCTTGGCTTTGGCCGCGTACATGCTCGCGTTTTCCAGGTTCTCGACAACAATTGCCACCGAAGACATTGCCTGCAACGCGATTATGCCTTTAATGGCAAGGTTTGTCTGATTTGCGAGTTCGCCATTGAAGTCATCCGTGCTCATTTGTGAAGCGGGGAGTAACGAGAAGTCGAGAAGGTATTGAGCAGAGTCTGTCAACGTCTTGTAGTGACTACGAAGCCAAGAGATATCACCGCTGAACTTGTAGTAGGCATAGCTCATGAGTATCAAGTTGCCACATTCCTCGACCGGCATGTATTCATCGTCGCCTTTAAGATGGCCAGTTGCATTTGGGAAGTTGCCGCCGAGGTCATGCATAGTATAGTCATTTGGATAGAACGAGTTTTCCCGCATTTCGTAAAGCGGTTGTAGTGCAAATCTTAGTAAATCCGGATTCGTATAGAGAAAGAACGGTGAAGTTGGGTATAGCACATCCATCGTGTTCATGTTGCCTATCTATGAGGTCAGCGTGAATCACCTTGAGCTATTTCCCTGTTACTTGGGAACAAACCATCACTTGATATCTCCTTCATGAAGAGCAAAGGCTCCAGCTCGGTATTTCCTAACGGTTTCTGATACGGCGGGGCCGCAAGAACACTTGCCGCCATAACTTGGCGAGCGGACAAATCGACGATAGCATTGTATGCCTCTGCTTCAGATAGATCAGAATTGGCGATACCGGATTTGTACATAGCTGGTGTGTTGTTTCCTTTCGATTTTACCGGCTCTTGAGCATTTCGTGTCAAGTTATTCATACTTCTGGAGTAGAGCATGTTTATGCCCGTGCGTAACCGATACTGAAAATCGCGTGCGAGCGACTGCGAAGTTTCGAAATCTGTCCAATGAAACGCTATCATGTTTTCCTCGGAATTATAACAATGTTTCCACCAAGGATCCAACTCACTCATACCTGCTTTATGCAGATACTTTGCGACCGGTTCCTGGATGGAGCCAACCGTGTATCGTACTTGCGCACTCTTCACACCATCGAATACATGCAGGTACGAGAATACGGCGTCTTCTCTTCCAAGGCCTTGCGTATCGAAGTTGACATTGTTGTCAAAGGTTGCGTTGACGATATAACTGTACCGGAATCTGTAATCAGTGCCGCTGGCGGCTTTGAAGGAGTCGGCGTTAGTAGGCGAAGTCGTATATGTGATAGCGCCCCATTGAGGTAAATCTGCCCACTCGTGAAACTTGGCAGGTATCCAAGGCTGATATCTCCAGGTATATAATTCGCTTGCAGGTAGAGAATCGTTGAGCATCCTGCCCACTGGCACGCCATTGCTGTGAAACTGCCACTGAACGGGATCGTCATTTGCTCCAAAATCAAGCCAGTTCGCGCTGATATCGCTGTATATCTGTACATCATGCGCGCGACCGTCGTTGGCTTCTATGGTTGTAGTCAGATAGCTCAAGGGAATGGAGGTGCGGCAATAGTCCTCTGGAAGCACCGGAGAAAAGAAGCTGGCCAAGATAGTGACCCCTCCCGCATGAAAGGTATAATTCGAATAATGAGAGTCGAAGTTTAAGCTCAAGGGCACTGCCGGTTGATAATTGGGCGTCTCAGGCAGATTTTTGAAGCCGTTACCCATGTAGCCATATGAAGTTCCATCGACCGTCACAATTCCAACCCATCCGGCTTCAGCACCAGTCCAGAACTTGGGCATTGCATCGTTCAGCCCTCCAGATGACCATATACTTGTATACGGTGTACGGACTGCTAATGGTACCGCTGGTGGCCTCAGAGGTAGATAAGTCATAGCGTCGCTGGTACTGCCATTGTCGGCCGCAGCGCCAATGGCACAAACCATCCACAGTACAAGGCTTGCAAAGATGTAGGCCATGGCTTCGAGAGATATTCAAGAACAAACAAGTTTCTAAATCTCGGACAGTCTGTAAGTTTATAAAATCTTTTTAGAAATAGTTTTCCGCCTGTGAATACCTGCACCGCTCTTTTAAAGGTCCGTTGCCTGTGATGATAAACACAACGTTACCAAAAGTTCAGCATCTGCTCAACATCTGATTCACAACTTGTCATCTAAGGAAACAATATAGATCAATTTGTGTGAGGTATGTAGAGAAGTTAATGGTTTACCAGAAATGGGGCAATACAGACCTACCGTGTGTGTAGAAGCGCCCGTGTCACTTTTTGGCCAACTGCTGTACATGACCAACACGTTTTGTACTTTTATAATTAAGCATAATCTTCCATGAGCGGGATCGGAATCGTGCATGGACTTGAAGTAACTTCAAGTGGTGGACTGATGTTCTGTGTGTTTGTGGCTATCATCTTGCATCCAAGTTCAGTTACACATTTCCAGTGCTAGCTGACCTAAATCAAGTGAAGCTTTCCTACAATTATACTTCTCTGCATTGGACCACATGACAAGAAGCTGCGGCTTCGTGGCCGCTCAAGATGTAACAAGAGACCCGTTGGCAATGCTGTGACAGGAACACGCTTGCACGAAAGGAAGAAGTCTCAGATGGCATCACTACCGTGCCTATTGGCCTGTGCCCGAAACACCACCGTCAACCGTAACCAACCTCTGGAACTTCTCTGCTGTGCAACAAACAAATTCCACGTGGGTGGCCGCTTATACGCTACTCGAATTGATACGGCACCAAACGCATAGGGTAACAGACTACACCGCCCTACTCACAAGGTTCTGAGGTTTGCATTTATTTTCAGCATTTTGGTATACAACACCTTCTGTGTAACTAGCGAAAGCATGTTCATCGGATCGCGGGACACCGCATGAATGACACTGACTAATAACACCTCGTATCCTGCCACCTGGTGGATTTGCAAAGTTTGCTTCTTCTGTTGTCCAATGCTGCTGGAATGAGCCGCCAGCGAACATGTGGGAGCCCGCAGGTTTAGACCAGAGTCAGCATACATGGGAACTTCGAAACGGCCAGTTGTCTATACTCGCCTCCACTTGGCACGCATCCCGTAACGAGAAAGTCTAACCTAAACTAGTCGGTCTGGGACTCGGCCACGGCCATGGACTTATTTACGTCACATTGAGACAAGCATGGACTTTCATGTTAGACACTACATTGTCAGTGCATTATTGAGCTATCGAACATGGCGTCTTCCCTCTAATGGACGCTTTGTCCCTAATTTGCATTAAATGTTTCGAGCGGCTGTCTTAATCGGCATTTCGCAAGAATACAGACTGAAAAGTGGACTTAGACTAGTCTAGTACACAACTCCAGGACCCAGGCGGGAAACGCCAACTGCACACATTGTGGTGAGTTCATATCTAACAGATGACTTCAAGAGTCTACGGCGCGGGAGGAATGTATTCTAAGTTCTGGTTGATCATACGGCGTTGTAAAAGGGAGCGGGCTGGACACCATGGAGGTTGGAAATCTGCACCAGCAGCCACGAAACAGCAGATCTACAACAATACTACTGAGGAGGAGACAAACGATAATGTTCAAATAAAACAGATAGAAGGATCTTCTAGGTGATCGTCTGAGTGCAGCGACAACCGCCTCCGTTACATATATCTCTACACAATAATTCCATTAGTCTTCACCATGGCAATTTTTGCAAACAAAAGCCAGCATGCTACGCTTTTGATGGCCATACAGGCAGCTGCTTCCATGGCGGCACCGACATCTCATAAGCACACAATCGCCAAGCGTGACGTGCTCAACTTCTCATATTCTGGATTGCTATGCTGAGCCATCTGGCGGACGGGCCATTAAGCTGGCAAGTTACTCCAGCATTGCCTCAACTACAGAGTCATGCACTAGCTATTGCTCGGACTACAATTACTTTGGCACCGAGTACGGCGAGCAATACTTCTGCGGCAACAAGATCGCGTCTGGCTCCAGCCCGACAACGGGTTGTAGCATGACATGTGCTGGTGATTCGACACAGATCTGCGGCGGACACAGCAAACTCAGTCTCTACGTTAACAACTATTATGTTCCCCCAAGTGCCTCGGCAACCAAGGGATGGGCCTACCAGGGTTGCCATACCGAAGGTTCCGGCCAGCGGCTCCTTCAGGAGAAGGCATCCTACAACGACAGTATGACCCCCCCAAGCCTGTGCGGATGCCTGCTCCGGGTACCTTTATGCTGGGATCGAGTACGGACGCGAATGCTACTGCGGCAGCTCACTCCACAGCGGGAGTAACGCTTCGGAATCCGACTGCTCGTTTTTATGTCCCGGTGACAAGCGCTCCTTCTACGGCGCCGGAGATCGGCTGACCCTCTACGAGGCCGTGAGGCCTACCAACGTCAGCGGCTACGGCGACGACGTCAACGCCCGGCTGCTCAGCTCGCTATGGTCCTACGGCGACGACATGACCGTCAAAAGGTGCGCGACGGTCTGCAGACAATACAGCTACTTCGGCCTCGAGGACGGCAACCAGTGTTTCTGTGGCTCGTCTTTTAGCCCCACCGCCAGTCCCGTGGCCGAGATCCAGTGCGCGCGCTCGTGTCCCGGGAGCACAACCGAGAGCTGCGGCGACACGAGCCTAATATCGACCTACGCATCCGTTCCCCTCAAACCCCCGCCGTCCAGCATTGCCTCGGTCGGCAAGTTCAACTACAAGTTCTGCTCGAGTGATGCGGGCGAGGCGCGCGTCCTGGCCCGCGACCGCGAGGGCGACAATGACATGACTGTGGAGATGTGCGCAGCCTTCTGTGCCGACTATGATTATTTCGGCGTCGAGTACGGCGTGGAGTGTTTCTGCGGAAATGTTTTCACGGGGATGCAACAACCCGAGGATGAGTGCAGTTATCTTTGTCCAGGTGACGGGTCCGAGTTCTGTGGTGCTGCGAACAGGATCAATGTGTATGAGGCTCCTGTTCAAACGATTACGACGGCCTCTGCTTGAGTCATTGTAAACGGGCGATGGATGCTGTCAATTTCGGAGGTCTACCCTACTTCATGGTTATGATCCTGTCACCAGTAGCTAATTGTTTGACAAATTTTGTCTTGTATTTAGTCTAACTAGCATAAAAACCAACGCTTACTATACTAGAAATTCACTTGCTATTAAAAGCCATGGACGGAGAACTAAGTGATTGCAGAGCTGTAATGTTGACTGTTTATACACCACCACATGAGAAATAAGCAGCCTCGAGACACGACATTGACCAAAGACTTTTGCTTCCTCGTACAATTGCATATTAACCGTCTACTTTCCCTGTAGTGAACGCCGAATCCTTAACCCCGGCACTAGCTCTCCGGGTCGTGGCAAAGGCCCAAATAAAAATCATGACGCTCTTCGAAAGAAGCTCACTAGTGTAACAGATCCAACGCCTCGCCCTTCGCAAGTCACTCTACTTTGGGCGGCACCAGGATACCTATCTGTCATCCTTGAGATGCCCGGAGAATCTTTTGCCGCAGCACGATTAGAAACTCTATTCCATCGATGAGCATGAAAGACTACAATCAAGATTATTCAATCCTCCATAATCTAAACCTGGCGCCACCCATGTGCACTAGTACCTTCGCGGTTGCCGTGTGTAGAAAGTTGGAGGCGGCATGTGAAGCAGCCGAATAGCTCCGGCGGAATAATGAGACGGTTGCACATGAGCTTCCTACGCTTGCTGTTGCGTTCCCGCTGGTATTCCATTCGCCGAGGCCGGTGTGGTGCCCACCGCCGGAGTACCGTTGGTAGCAGGCGGCTGAGGTATCGCAGGTGAAGTTGATTGCGGCTTGGGACTTGGGCTAGGTGTGTTGTAGTTTACAGTACCCGGTACGTTGGGACGGGTGCCTCCTAGGCCGATACCACCAAGGCCAACAGGTGCGGCAGGCGGTTGGCCTTGTCCCTGCATAGGCCGAATACCCTCTTGGACTTTGGCGTGTGCATCAAATCGTGCCTTGGCTTGGTCCATGGCCTGCTTGACTTGATGAGGAGCCAGGGAGGTTTGAAATGAAGTAGCTTGCTGGGTATTCTGCTGGCCTTGGGTAGGTGGTGGGACCGGGGTCTGAGCTTGAGGCGTGCCTGGCTGTGGGTGGTACCGCTGCTGTTGATTTGCTGGCATGGGTGGTTGACCAGCATAGGGTGGTCGCGATGGAGTCGCGTTAGGGTTGAAATTTTGTTGTGGTGCGTACTGAGGTTGTTGGTGAGCTACCTGTGGGGAGACTGTTCGCGGAGGCATACCGGGCGCACCATTAGGATATGGACTAAAGGGTGGATGAGAAGGGGTGTTGGGTTGCTGATGTTGCGGGTACCCAGGTTGCTGGTACGGCGGAGCTTGCGCTGGAGGAGGATGGTTTGGATAACGCGGCGGTGGAGGATTGGCTCCCATGTTGTGGTAAGAGGGTGTTGCTTGATACGGAGGTCGAGGCTGTGGCGGTGTTGCGGCATAAGCATTCGTCTGTGTGTACGACTGCTGGGCCCTAGCCAGATTCTGTGCAAAGTTTTGGTTCCCGCCGTATCCATTGGTGGGTGGCCTATAACCAGTATTGGAGGGCGGTCGCGGTTGCGAGTACGTTGGCATACTGGGTGGCGGCCGCTGCACGGGTGCCGGAGGCCGGACTGGAGTCTGAACACCGTAATATCCTGGGGTTGGGGCTGGTGGGCGAGGACTTGCACCATATTGTCCACCGTAAGCTAGATTGCTTGACGAGCTGGACGAGCGATGCGTGGCAGGTCGGGGTGCGGGGGAGGCTTGCTGAGCGGCCCTGGCACGGGCGGCGGCCTCGTCTTCCTCCATGAGACCCTGGTACTCGTCGGTGCGCACCTCAATCTTAGTGCTAATGTTCAACTCCTCCAGCTTGTCAGAGTGGAGTCGCGCCACGGCATATGGGGGCAGCGTCTTGACGACTAGCGCAAGCTGCGCCTTCAAAGTCTCGTACGTCAAGGTCTCCTCCTCGCTTGGCTGGGCTGGTGTGCCGTTGTTGAGCATGTCGTTGTTTGCAGGGTCAGCGGCATAACGGCTCTGACTAGCGACCGAAGGCAAAGCCAAGTTGCGGTTCTTTTGGAACGAGACTAGCGTCTGAATCATGTCAGACACGTCTTGCAGAATATCATCCACGTCTTGCTCTTCCTTGGACTTCTTGGGGTTGCACATATCCTCGAGACTAGGGTCAATCTTGGTGTCCCAGTTCTCGATGGCATCCTGGAGGATCTCATCGTCCAAAGCAACATCTTCTTCAGTGATGACGGCCTCTTCCACGCTGTCTTCCGGCAGCTCCAACTCAAGAAGGCGATCAAAACTGCGTTTTCCATACTTCTGCCACCACATGGTCTGACTGATCAGGCCGGAAGAGACCATGGCGGCGGAATCATCCTTTGACGGAGCAAAGCTGGAGAAGGCGCCTCGGAACAAGGCATCCATTTCATTGTTCTCCAAATGGGTTGGCGAGGGTTTCCCAATCCCCGCCAGACTCATGGCGCGCTCCCTCTGCTTGGTCATTATCTGGGAAGGGGGAGCAGCATTACTATAATCCAGCCAGCGCCCGGTAGAAATTGACTGACCAAAGTATGAGCCCGAACGGTACTTGGACTTCTCGGTCAATTCTGGGCGATGCCAACCGACCTGGACACCTTTGGTTGAGCTCTTGGGCGCCTTGGGCGGTTGTAGCGAGGGCAGATTACGAGGGGCAGGAAAGAGTTCACCCAAGGTTTTGGACCTCTTATCCTTCTCGACAGCTGAGGGGAAAGAAAAAGGAACAGCTTTGGCGGTCTTGACGCCATTGGGCAGGTTGACCTCCCGCAAGGGTCGAATGGCGCCTTTGGGATTGTCGGGAGTAGCAACGGGTTGTTGCAAGCTCGAGTACAGGTGACGCGGTCTAGGCGCCTCGCCGAAGACTTTCAGAATCATGTTTCCGCTCGCGTTTGATTGCAGATCGCTGGACTGGTCGAGCTCCCGGAGGACGCTAGCCTTCTGGGTAGTGGAGGGATAGCTGACCTCGCGACGGTACAACTCCCGCGCTTTCTGATCGAAGGCGATGGTCTTTGCTATGGCGACGTCGGTGTCCTTGGTAACCTTGTCGGTGTCAAGGTCGCGCAGCTCGGCAAGCTGGTCCTTGAAGGCGGCCTTGATGTCGGCCAGGACAGCATCGAGATGGGCATAGTGGCCCTTGGCGGCCTTGTCGGAGACTGATGGCTGTGCTGAACCATCTTCGGCCTTCTTCCGCTTTGCATCGGGCTCGTCGGATGGCTCAAAGTCTGGCAAAGGGCGTTTCAATATCGACGGACTTGGGTCGTATCTGCACGAGAGTAACAAGGTGTTAGAGTCTGATGATATGCCCCCATGATAGCATCTTGGATGGTGCTGAGGACCGAGGGCCCCGGGACGTCTAACGAGTGAGTGGATGGTACATACCCCTCTAGGACCAGGAGATAGTCGCGAACGACAGCTGCATGGTTTACGGGAGGTTGGGAGCCACCATTTGTGGTGGTGAGTGGCTTCGCATCATCAAAAGCGATGCCGTTGATGCTTGGCTCGCGTTTGCGCTTGATGGAGCTGGCGAAGTCATGTTGCGCATTCGCGTCCGCATCGGCGTGGGCGTGGGCAGCGGCGTGGGCATGCTCATCCACATCGTTCATTTCGACGTCGCGTGAATGCGCAGGCTCGGGGAGGCCATTGGGGAGTGCGACGGCTGGCGAGGCCATAATGGCGGTAATGGGTGCTGTGCCCTCAAGGTTGTGGTAGTTGTCGCTATGCCTTAGTCCCGTCGCGTTGTCGATACTTTTTGGTCGCGTACGGGTTGCTAAGGCGGGTAGGGGGGAAAAAGCGTCTGGTGGTGGATTTGATTGATTGATTGACTGACTGCCTGACTGATCGATTGACTGGCCTTGGACAGTGAGTTGGTGCAAGGACCGCAGGGACCGCGGAAAAAATATGGACCAAATCAAATGAAATCAAACCAAATCTAGCAAGGGAAGGGCAAGGACAGGGACAAGGACAAGAAACCCAACAGTCAGCCTCTCTCTTGATAGTGAGAAATTCATCCAACTCGACCACGAGAAATTTACTCCTCGACTGCTGCAACTCAAGTCAATTGGAAGGGAGCTTTAACGTGATTATTCATTGATTAAATTGAGGGAGTGACTGGGAGGCTGCGATGTGAACAGAATGTAGAGTGAGAATGCGCAGTGTGCCTTGAGCAGCTGTTGGACGCTAGGGCGCTTTTCGGCCTAGCCGCCTCTCGGATTCAAGCGTCGGCAGAATGGTTATTCCCCGGCCCCTCTTTGACCTGCGAATCCTCCTACCGCTTGTGCATACTGTAGATATGTACATAGACCCGACACCTGGACTAATCAAATCAAAACTACGTACATACGCCGGAGATGAAGCTCTGATGCTCGAATTTGATCCTTGCGTCGCCCTCTACCGTACAGTACTCAAGCGTCGATTCTGGGTCTGGCTATGTGCACTTGCGCGTCGTGCCCGTCCAACTCCACCTGAGAGCTGTGTACTTGTTGTATCTCATCGACCATGTCAAGACCAAAGGGCTGCTGCTCTCCCTTGCGGCGCAGATCCCATGCTTTCCAACCAACGACGACCACTTCTACAGGCTCCCATTTGGTGTGTGATGTGATGCGGTGTGATGCTAACAAGCCCACGCTGCTTGTCATGGCATGCCGAACTTTTGATGCCATCTTTCTGGCTTAGCCTCTTGGACCACATGAATGTAATGGCTTGGCCACCTATTCACGCAGAGCCTGCAACTCTCAGTCGCTTGTGAGCTCAGTCGGCAGTTCAGACTAGCCTCTGACGAATTGATCGGCAACACTATATCATAGGTAGCCTATACAGTACAAAATTTGCATGGTGTGACCTATATCAGTAATGGTCTATCAGAACTTTCTTTGCACCTGCCGAAAAAAAAAACACAGAAGATGCTGGAGGCAGTCTTCACCTTTCGATACACCTTACCTCCAACTTCCATCCCGACCTATCAGATGGCAACACGGTTACTAGTCGCGGCCCAATGGTCAAGTCACCTTGTGCTATTCCATCAGCTCCTGTGTGGAGTAAAATTTCTCGTCCACCATCTAGTGACCCCCAAACAAGCGAATAGCGACGGCCCGGTTATCCCTTTTGTCGCGTGAACCTGGTTGACTGTAAGCATGGCTCACTACCCACAACCGTGAGCACTCCATAGTCTGGCATGACACGCGGCGATTTCACCCTAAGCCGCATCATATGATGCGCTGTCATAAGCATCGTGTATTGGTGCGTCGTCTTCTCATATAAGGATAAGCTGTAACCCCGGGCCTGCGCACATGTCGGCGACAACCCTTCTTCCCATTTCCGTGTAAACCATCATGACAAGTCTTGCCGATTTCACAATATCCCGGATTACACCTGAACAAGTTTCATCTGTCAAATATGCTGAGAAGCTTGTTGACGTTTTCCGAGCTGCCACCAACGATGGCATCTACGACAAGCTCGGGGCCAGTGTCGCTGGATATTTGCAGGACTTGGTTCGTTACAATTCTAGTATACTACAAGTAGCTCGCCTCGGTGCAGACGACAGGAGCTATGTGGTTGGCTTCGCGCTTTTCAAGCTACGCTTCAAGGGCTGGCGTGATCCATACTGGGAGTTCACTTCGTCATCACAGCAAACAGAGCTTCAAGCTAGCATCTTTGCAGCTGAAGGCAGCACATTATCTCCTGTTACCAGAGAATTTACTGGTGATCCTGTGTTGCAAGGATTCAGCGAGAGCCTCAAAATCGATGGCCAGACGTTTTCGGAAATCGATGAAGACCTTTTAAGTGAGTTTCACTGCGTCATACCATGATATTCTAGCTCATCCATCATACTGCCACAGTCCTTGAACCGGTCTACATCTTGCCACAGTATCAACACATTGACGGATTAGCACGAGCACTAGTTCAGCCTATCATGAAACACGCGGTCGCCAACCACATCAAAGTCATTGCGTATAATCGCTTGAAGTATCATGATTACTCCTTGCCCCAAAAGATATCAGCCTCGTTCAAACCTCTTTACAACGGGTCCCGAGTTAAGATACGCGTTGACACTAGGGAGACGCCGGGCTGGACTGGACCCGAGATTATTTGGAACCAAGAATTTCAACTGTTCAGTACAGGACATGGTCAAGATGACCCTTATCCGACTGGTGCTCTGGAAGAGTGGCGATGAGCTCCAGCAGACCTTGATAAATTCAGCCGTTGACTGGCTCTCCTCAGTTTGTTTTAATTTCCCAGAGTCCTACTAGACTAATATTGACCGACAAGCAAGTTGGATTGACAGGTGGCGGACTTGTCATAAACGAGATGCTTTCATCAAACAGAACTTCGTGGTCTGCGAGCATAGATGAAAGCCTTCAAAGGTCTTCAGGTTCCATGTAGCCAGCACACAGCTGGTTTCCCTTGTCTCATGATATATGGTCCCCTCGATTATCAGGAGGGAATGTACCAACTTCGAGATTGTCTTGAAAGAGATGAACGTCAAGGGCGCAAGAAAGAAACCATTCCGTTTTAGGATCCCTTTGGAATGCCAATCAAGTCAAACGTAGTTCGTAGCTGCGATCTAAAGTTGAGGGCCCGTCCCGAACGTGGTTTCCTTCTTAGATTTTCGAGTTCGAATTTGACTATCACATAATGCAGATGGACATGAAACTGTAAAGTGAAACATTCCACTACGGGATATCAGACATAGCAAATAAAGGGCTATGATTGAATCGAAGCCGTGCGTGTGCTCCTCCCAAAGCCATTTTACAGAACCGTTCACACATAATTCTCATCCTCATTATCCCACACAGCCGGGCCCAAAAGGGTTCTTATCCAGGCCAGTGCATCCAGCGCCACACATGGCTATCGCACCATTGCCACAACCTGTCTTACCACCACAAGTTCCTGCCGCGCATACGCCCGGCCTTCCCTTTGACTCGTGGATGGCTCCTGGAGGAGCAGTGTACATCTCCTCCGTGAGGGCAGCGAACGTGGTCGATGACCAAGGCCCGAGCAGTGGCACCGACTTGCCCCAATGAGCGGCCTTGTCTTCACCTCGGGGGCCTACGATCAATTTCGATGCATCGTTGGCAGTATTTCTGGACGAAGAGGACTTAAAAATGGATGAGAATGACTTCTTCTGCTCTTTGCCTTGACCTGATTGGTTAGTCTGCTTGAGGAGCTTGGTGTAAGTAGCATCTAGATCATTCTTGAACAGCAAACGCTCGGTCCGTCGGCTACTGTTGCGCTCTGAAAGGGGAGTCACTGAAGGGTGCGAAGATATATGTGGAGGCTCGGTCGCACTCTGGTTAGTATTTCGCCATGGCTCGCGAACCTGGGGTGCCTTCTGCTTGGTCATTCTTTGTGTCAGGGACGAAGCATGTTGGAACCGCAAACCTGTCGTTATAGTCAGTCTAATGAGACTATATGCCGATAAACATAGCAAGTTGGCAGCTCACTTTCACAAAACCAACAATTGCACTCTGAGTATGCTTCGCCGTACTTTTCTTGGTAAGCATTGGCCATCCATTCAAAAGAGACAGCCAACTTGTCCTCATCAACTTTGTCGTTGTGGTCGGTGAAGGCACCTGTCTCCTTCGTTGCGTACTCCAGGTAGTGACGTGGACTGAGTTGGTGAGTATGCCAGCCGAGGTCAACATCTAGCGTGGGTGTAACGATTTGACCTGGGTTAGCGACCTGAATTTCAAAGAATCTTTCATATTTCTTCAGGAGCTTTTCCATAGTGAATTCTGCAGTGGGGCTTTGTAGCCAGTTGATCTATGGCAGAGTAAGCAACGGACAAAGCCCTTTTCCTTGACTTTCCTTTTTTTTTCTTTTCTTTTCTTTCCTTTTCCTTTTCCTTCTCCTTCCTTTTCCTTTTCTTTCCTTTTCCTGTTTCGCCTGGAAAAAATTGAGCGTGTCTCACCTTGAACATCTTCTCACAAAAAACGCCCTGTCTCATTACTGCGCCTTTGAGATCCAACCCAAAGACAGATGTATTCGTCCAGTATCGTGACATCATACATCTTGTCTGCATTCGAGCTGGTTGAGATAATACATGATGGGCAGCAGTACTGGCACCAGTGATCCCTTTGTCAATTTTCTTCAACTGATCACTGCTGTGACGATACTTGGTTTGAAGAGTAATGTCCTCGATCTTGCCTCGGATGTATTCCATGCTAGGTCTGGTTGAACTTCCGGGTTCAAACGCTTGGGTAATCTCGACCAACAAACCGAAACGAGCAAGGCGGTTAGGGAAGAGCTGATCACTATTAGCTTCTTGTAACTTGACTAGACCATCCTGAACATCAATAATTGTCCCTGGCATGGGCCAGTCTTTTGTGATAAGGTTCCTCAGATCAGCGCGGAATTTGGCCGCCCGGAGAAGTTCTTCGTTGATGATGGTGCCGCATTTCTTGCAGGTAGTGCTCAGGTTTCCATCGCCATATCCGGAACCCACAAGGCCCGGCTTTTCCTTAGAACCTTGATCCTGACCACATGTCGTCCATGGAATTGACTTGAGCTCCGAACATGTCGGACATTTCATGTCTTTGTGCATTGAGTCCTGCTCATTGGCCCATTCATGGCCTGTTCTTTCGGACCAGTTTATCCTGCCTTCTTGCGTGGCAGAGAACTCACTAATAGAGTTTATACTCTGGTCAACAATATCCCATGGCAAACCCGAACTCCATAGAGAACCATAGCCCGATCTGATGCAATCCTATAATCGTCAGGACTAGTCTTTATTGAAATTGGAATTGGGGAAGGTATACTTCAAGATAGACCCGCGGATTAAGCATGTGAGTATGCCAGACGAGAAGGATGTCTTATGGTAGGTTAGCCTCTTAGGCGCCTGTGTCATCTACTTTGCAAAGAACGAAAACTGACCAGGAGGAGGCAATGAAGCCAAGGTCCATTTCATGAGGTTGTGTACAGATGTAAAGCACTCAAAACTTGAGCTCCGTGCTTCGCTATCTCCCCGAAGCATGTCCTTCTCCTTGAGCATATCCGGCACAAAACTCTTCCACCAAGCCTCGTAGCGGTCCACTGCTCGAGCAACAAAGATCGCCCATCGCTTTTCTCGCAGCTTGGACAGGATATCGAGCTTATTTTGGGCCCGTGAATCCCAAATATCCCATAGACCGTCGGTGTACCCAGTCTTTCGCTTCAACACCTCAAAAGCCCGAAGCAGTCTCAGATGTGCTAGACACGAGTCCACCGTAGGGATAGATGTGAGGTTCGTGGTCAGCAAATTTAACCTTGGAGTCGACTCCTCGAGTTCTTGTCCCTTAATGTTTTCAGCAGGTGTCTGATGATCAGTGCTGTCAGTATACGCTGGTAGTGCCTCGTCATCAGATTGCGAATGTACGGCCGCTTCCGATTCGGCTTCTCTTCTCTTTGAATGGTCTGCCATCTTTGCGACAACTACGCCGTGTTCGGTCTTTCCACATCATGGAGATAATATCAACACTGTTGTTCAGGCTTAAGTATACTAGAGTCTGGGAGTGATCTCTGGGGGCGCAGTCGCCAGATCTGCTGATTTGTATGCCGGGCCGGATAGCCTAACTGTGGTGGCTGAGCTGCTTGGCCGCGGGGTAGACATGCCGAAAGTCATTTGAGTGTCACACTTAGATCTAGGACATAATAAAGCCTGGTTTTGGACAGCTTGGATAGTCATGCGATGAGACTACTGAATATATAAGTGGGTGGTCAAATGGCTCCACCGTAAGGTGCTGCATAGCGGCCCCATTTCTACTATCTATGTATATGGGGCATTTGTGGTTCATAAAAGTGGTTGCGAGTATGGCCAAGCGAACCAAAACTTCATACTCGGAAGTCTACTTCTTAGTGGTTGAATTATAAAAGCTGGTGATCAACCAGTACCGAGAATGCATGCAGCTGGAGTATTTTCCAGAAGCAATTAGCGCTCATAGAATGTGCTTAAAAAGTGGATTGCGGTCATCACCACATCCCGTAAATTTCTCATACAGTCCTCGTTGTTTTTGTCCCAATTGATCTTCCAACGGCACAGAGCATTAAAGAAAGTCCTAGGTTAGATGATTGGTAAAGACGTCATGCTGCCTGGAAGGAGGGGTAAGCTTACGAGATCTAGGATGCAACAAGGAGGCCCAGCATAATCGTATGGCCTTCGATATACCGAGCCATCGAGACAGTCATGCCGTATTTGATCCTCGGGTTGGTACTAGCAGTAATTATGATACATCCAGCAATGGCAAGAGTCAGTGGAAATAACAATACAATAGCCTGTTTTCCAAAAGAATCGGACACAAAAGCCGTAAGGATTGTGGTTATAGATGCCACGGCAAAAGGGATGGCAAGCAACAACTGCGCTTCATTTGCTATGTATCCTAAGTTAGGGCCTCGAAAATGGTAGGCGGAAACAGACTTAATGGGAATACGCTGGCAACGATCCTAAACTCTACCAGCACAATAAGCCAGAAATGGAGACTCGGCACACCTCGTCGGAGTTTAGAACAGCCGAACTTCTCATCAAGTTCCTCTAGTGGGCTTGGATTATTCTCGATGCGAGCTCGGCGGGTTGCCGCTGCGGTGTAGAAAGAAGCGTGTTTCGATACTGGAGTTTGGCAAGAGTACATACGCGACGGCACCTAGGACCACACTCATGAGGCCTTCGATCACGAAAATTAAACGTCAAGGCCCGCGAAGCATACATTTGTGCATCCGATGAAACAATTACGTGCGTGAACAGAACACTGAAAGGGCCGGACAAAGTGCAAGCCTAGTAGCAGAAGATCTCAAGCCGCAGCCTAAGCTCTCAAGGAGTATATATACTTAAAGGTAAAGACGATGCCAGGTAGATAACCGCCTTGTGCCGCACCTAATAGTGTGCAAACGGCTGCAAAACCTGTGAATTTATGCACGAAACCCAATCACATAGACATAATGCCCCATGTGGTCGCCATCAACGAACCCAAAGCTTGATGCCAATAGGTTCCAGATAGAGGTTGCTTGGCAAGGCACTGTAGGCAATTGTTGTCAGCGAAACTTTTTCTTTTGTAACATGTATAAGAATCCCAACTGACCTAGCGATGAAGTTAGTGTATGGGACTGCTAAAGATTCAATATACTGCCTATCGATCATTTGAATGTCTCTGTCAAGGCCGTACCTTCACTTTTATCAGATAAAGGTTGATTGGAACAACGTGCACTACTAAGTGGTAACCATACAACCTTGTGTTTCCGACATTAGTGTGATTCATGTGACAGCACGTGAATAGTGCAGCAAGTATCGGCAAAACGCTTGACAAGTTATGAGTCAAGGAAATCCGTTCGTTTAATGGGTGGCTGAAAGTTATCTCATTTCGTGTCAAATTGCCACAGCAAATTACGAATCTCCTACATTCCGTATCGGTCACAGCCTGTCGTGTCTTCCATGTCACAGTGGGCTGGATTTGACAAGGCTCAATATTCCTGTAAATAACTTGAAAAGAGAGACTTTGACGTTCCACATCGATGATAGGAACAAAATTTCAAGTACGACAATAACCGACGGGAAGAATAATCTTTTGGAGATCCTTATTAGAATACCGAATGAGCATCGCTTCTATTATAAACCAGTTTCGTGGGCAACCTTATTGCCCACTAGCCTATGGCTATGGTAGCACTTCTCGCATGTAACGCATGGAATAAAGCACATAAGACGTCCTGTGTTATCAATCGGTTCGGAGTATCCAATTACAAGTACAGACGATTTGGAAATATGAGGGCTTTCTGTGTTTCGAAAGACGCCCCTTGGTACCTTTATGACGGCAATGGCCTATCGATAAGATGGAACTCATCATGACTTGCATCATGCATTGTCTATTACATGCAAGCAAATATCCCGGGGATAACGCAAATCACACCCAGGGATTCGTCAACATCACTGCGACTATCCAAGCTGCCACGAGAGACTCGCTTATTCTAGTACCCTTGATACGCTGGCATCTGGATTGCCAACACCCTGTCGTCATTTATGCATACCACTTGTGCTCAGTGTCTTGACAAGCTCCTCTTCTTCTGCCAATGCCGCCTTCACTTGGTCTAAGGCTGAGACAGTAGGGTATAGGGCCTCAAGAGGTACATCTCTCACGTTCACTTGCGGGTCTTCCTTGGCACCAATCTTCTGGACTTCGACAACGCTGCCATCACCGTACTGCGGTTCCTGGAGGACTTGCATGATGAGAGAAGCACACTCTTCAGCTGACAACGATACGTCTTGTTCGCGTAACCTCCCACGGGCATACTCGGGATTAAATATGGGCGTCCATACCGCACCTGGGCATACTGCTGAATTACGAATACCAAACGACTCCTTCATAGGCCCAAGTGATTTTACCATACTCAATACAGCCGCTTTGCTGGAGAAGTAGAGCGGGGACAGCATTGTGTGGATGTATGCACCCATGCTGACCAGCCACAGCAGATTGCCATCGACGTCCTTGTTGCGTAGCCAGTAATCGATCGCAATCTGCGCAAGCCGGATGGGCGCTACGGTATTGACTGAGAAGACTTCATATTGTCCCGGATTCGAGTCTATGGGATCTTTGGCTATGCTCGAGTCAGGAGGATGCCAGAATGAGCTCGACGGTGGCTCAAAAATGGCTGCGCCATTGACCACAATATTAACACGCCCCAAAAATCCACAGACTCCTGTCGAATAGCCCACCGATCTGACCCCAATCACGCAGATCTGTTCGGTGAAAGACAATAAAGGGTTCATCGACTAAGTCGCGGTGAAGATGATGTTCATAGGCGCGCCCGGCTTCCGGACGGAGCGCAAGATCTGCAACCATGACCGAGCAACCCACCTCGATGAGTTTCTGTGCTAGTGAAAGGCATATGCCCGTGGATTGTTCTTGGTTACTTCTTCTGCTCTTATAGCTTTAGCTTACTCACCAGATCCGGCGCCAGTGACGATGGCGACCTTACCCTTGACGTCGTAGGACATTATCACGATGGCGACCAAACGAACCGGCTTTTCACGTTCCTGAAGTACTTTCAGTCTATTAGATTGCTCAAACAGCGCTTGTATTGTTGTCTTTCCGGGCCTCACGTTATGTAGGCATGTTTCGAGGGGATCTTGGCCGAGGTTATCTGCATGGTTGCGGTGAACATTGTGCTGATTGGCCAATGATGCTGTGATTGATGCATGTAATTTAGGCATAAACGTACGTACCAATGGCAGGAACAGAAATACGGTCAGCCGATCAGTTTTATGCCGGCAATGATCAGTGGAGGATATCATGCTTAGAGCCCGTATAACAGCGCCCAGTGAGTCTGTGAGCGTTTCCGTAGAGCTGTGCCTTCAGTTAAAAATATTATCTAATAAGTGTTCAGTACTGCACATTACGATCTCTCACAGGAGCTATATTAGTGGAAAACTATAAATGCTATATTGCTGCTTATTGTTGCAAGATGACTGTGACCATCGACCTAGACGGTACACTAACGGCAGCTATCTCATCAGTGAGAGTTACAGCCAACACATCCAGATCGTGGGAATTATCAGTAACAGAAGCTGCCGCATTGCTGACCTTGAAGCCGTTGCCACCTGAGACTTTAACAGCCAACGAAGCAGCTGAGGAACCAGTGTTGATAAACTGCACAGCGACTCGATCATCCACGTTGCGAAACGCCGAGGTCTTAACGCCGGACTTTGCCCCTGATACACCTACTCTGTAGGCACCAGGTCGTACGAATCGACTCCACTGCCCAAAGGCCCAGAGACGCTTCGAAGCGAGTACGTTATTGCCGTCGATACGGACTAGTTTCGAGTTCGTGTTGCCTCCCTGCACACCGATCCAATACAGGTAGGCCGAGCTGTTTGCATTGACGACGGCTGTGTATATGTTGTTTGCCCAGGTCATTCCCTCGCCAGCACCACCACTTGCGTACCATGTCGCCGTCCACGCTCCATTGAGATCGGCCGCTTCTGTTTGCCACACCGGGTGCCGGGTGTTCATGGGCGAGCCCGGCGAGGACGTGTATGAATGCGCCGTGATTGTCGAAATGTACGCGTCCACGGAGGATAGCTGGCTTAGCATGCTCGCCTGGCTGGACCAACCTTCAGCATCGCAACAGTTAATCCCTACATACGAGAGATTGGCTTTCTGGAGCGTTGGCCCGAGAATCTTGATGAAGTCTGCGGCTTGTGTGCCAGAAGAACGCATAGATGCGTAGCTCGTGCTATTCGTCTGTGTCAGCGTATCCTCACGATATACTCGATTTGAACCGGTTAAGCTCCAGCAGAGGTAGCATGAATACATTTACAGTAACAAGACTCACGTTAAGTCTGGCTCGTTGAGAAAACCCAGATGGGTGATGTTGACTCCTTCTTGAGCATAGAAATTGACATATTGCACCAGGTAGTCCGCATAGGCCTGTCTCCAGTCTCCACTAGAACAAGTAGCACCGCTGACGCCGCACAAACTCCCGCCGTTGGCATCGTTCCCATTCGTCTTCATATACCCTGGCGCTGACCAGGCATCGGCATATATGGTCCGCACACCTCGCTTGACTGCTTCCTGTGACACCCAGAGTTGTTTGTTGTCACTGCCATCCCAAGTATATACGAGAGGTTTGGAAGGACCGCCAGGTGACTTCGGTGCAATGCTGACCATATGGTCAGAGCTCATGTCCGGCGATGATCCGATGCCATTGCGCAGAATTGAAAGTCCTGCGCCAGATGTTGTACTAAAGAGCAAATCTAGTGCTTCTTGCTGCTTATCTCCGGACAGTTTAGATATTTGCACAGCGCGCTGAAAAGCTTCTGAGCATCCAAAGCCATCAATACGTTGGTATTGCTGGTCTAGGTTCACTGTTACAGTTGTTGCAGACTGTCGAGTTTCGAGTGATTTGGGAGACCACGCCAGAGCCCCGAGGGCCGTGGCAATAATACAATATAATTCAAAGATCATCAAGGGCTACTTTTCGAGAACAATGGCACAGGCTGGATATCAGGTTGGGGAGGCCGGCTAGCTTTCTTAAATAAGGCGTGTCGGTATGCATTGTCGGCGGTGTAATATAGGTTTAAAAAAAAATAAGGAACCTCTATCATTAGCCATAAGATATGCGTAAATGGAAGACTAGACTAGGAGGAAATAATAAGTGGCTAATATCTGCCGGTCTTATGACGGTGCATTGGCTGCCTTGACTTCCTATTCTCACCTCAGGGACGACGTCGCTGGTAAAAGGCGGTTAAATCATTCGCAGCATTCAGCCACAGACAGAGCTCCTGGTTTCAAAGAGTAAAGACGGAGCATCTGCACCGAGGACACAAGGCGCATTCTTTTGATTGCTCTGCTGGCACTCAATGAGGATTTTTAAGTACCATATTTTTAATTTGTTTTATACCGATTTATGAGCGTGAAGGCGCCCTATGACATGTTCAGAGTGCCAGGCACGACGTCGGAATGTGGACCTTCTAACATCGTGGGTTTACCGGAAGATAGGCAGATAGGTAAATAGGTAGACACAGTTTGATATTTAAGGTTGTACATAGTGCATCTATTTTAATGGTAACCGAAAATCCCCAATCAAATTCATGATCCAAATTCTCCGGGACAAAACAGGAGCTCATAATACAGGATCAGACATTCAAGAACTCATGTTATACCGGTAATTGTCCAAATTTAGGGGATTGCGCGGACTCATGAATACTAATTACTTGGCGATTTCGTGGGCTTCGACCGAATGCGTATGCCGGGAACATTAAGTTTGCTGCATTGAGCTCCTTTAATCGCTGGGGCAATGGAATGTTAACCTGCTATACTGGTGCCACTTAGTCCTATGTATGCTTTGAATTGAGCACTATCCAACGCCTGTAGGCTAGTTGATCATAGTCTATACTCTGAACACCGATGATGCGCACCTATACCATTGTAGGCATGGAACATCACACACATCCAAAATGACGATGTGCCTAGGATACATGACTTACCTTAGCTTCGATGTAATTACATCTATGCGCCCTCGCCAATTTTACTCACACAAGATCAAGCATCATGTCCTTTATCTACCCTCTTTACCGATGACCAGGTGTTCACTGTGTTCTTTCACAGCAACTGGGTTTGAAAGTATACTATACAAGCAGCCTAAAACAGATTAATATATCAAGTACGTCTAAGTTATTACACTCAGAAAACGAACGTCACGGGCATATATATATATACACGAAATCCTAGTTTGCGGGTATTCTCTGTACTCTCCAAACCTGTGTAAGGAAACATCACTATGAATTGTCGAATTTGTTTTTGGACAGTATGAGTGTCCAATGAAGTCGTTTAAGTGCTGTCTCAATACGCTGTCGAAAAATAAAGACTAAGATACAATGACAATCCGGAATTGGAAATACCTAATTTTGAGGCCTTGTTCCGCATTTTGCCGGACTGACATGATCGTCGGAAACAATGAACCTCGAACAAAAGAACATATGAAACTGGAAAACCAGTTGAGAAGTTTTACAACCATGAACGAAGAAGGTCACTGCTTCACTGAACTGTCTCTCATCCATCTTACATGATTCTAAATACCCCAGCGAAATGTGGGCTCCGAGTAACTCATATCCAGAGCTACCGCCACCAAATAGCTTGGCGGAGTCCTATACCGACTCACCGTCCAAGCAATCGCAACTTGAACAAACAGCAACGCCGACTCCAATCATACGCATCCTCGCGCCAACCCCAGAGGGCGGCTCCGGCGTGGCGACGCCTTTAGCCCTACGACCCGGTTCCAGATATGACCGACCGTCACCTGACAACTGGACCGACGAGCTGATCAAGCAATCAGGTACCACAAAAAGCACCTTCGAAGACCCGTCGTCCTCGGAGTACGACGACAGTGGCTCCGAAACAGGTTCGAGCGGGTCGACCGGCTCCCAGCAGAGCTGGCGGCTGAACTCGTACTACACGCGCTCACCACCACGCACCGCGTCGATTTCGCGCAACCCCTGCCGTATCTGTGGCGCGCCAGCTAGAGACCTTCACGCCCCGGAGCCACCTCCATCGACATACCGAGGCCACATCAAGCTGCTCCAGACCTCGTCGACGGCGCCGCGCGGGGTCTGGGCGCTGGGCCAGCGGTCGGTTCTCAAGGAGCTCGAGCGCGACGTTTCCGGCCGGCTGGCCTACGAAGCGCGGAACCTGGAGTTCGCGGCCCGGCACACCTCGGCGCCCGTGCCGCAAGTGCTGGCCAGCTGGACGGAGGGGCCCAGCTCGTGCGCGTTCCTGCTCACGTCTCGCCTGCCCGGCCAAACGCTTGAGGAAGCCTGGCCCGACCTGGATGCGGAAACACGTGAGGATATTGCTCGGAGCGTGGCCGAGCACCTGAGAGAGCTGCACTCAGTCACCAATGAATGCATGAGCGGCGCCAACGGCGGTGCGTTCCTGAATGCCGGGGCATTTTTTGGGTGCGCAGAAGACGCTGCGATTCAGCCCTGTATGTCCCAGGATGAAATTTTGGACCGTGTGGTGTCGGCGCTCAGCACCGACAAAATCGCTGTGCCACAGATGGAATTCATCCGCATGCGCGTGCCAGTGATGACGCCCTTCGTGTTCTCGCATGGTGATGTGTCGGCTCGCCATATCATGATAGAGAATAACAGATTTGCTGGCTTTGTGGACTTCGCTCAGAGTGGCTTCTATCCCAATTGGTGGGACTGGGTGCGTACACACTACAATGACTCATTGTTGGATGCTCAATGGAAGATGATCATAAGAAAGCATATGGTGCCTCTGGAATCTGAAATGTATTTCAATAACTGCCTGGACTGGTACATTAATTGGACGCAATTGCAATCCAGGTTAGAACAGGCGACATAAGCCAAAGAAGCACTGGCTCGTTTGGGCGACCAGCGAGCAAATTGGAATATCACAAATATGAAGACGATATCATGCCTTTGATGGTTTATTTTTGGTGCAAAGAAATGTGTCAGCCTTGTAGTGTTTTTACAGGAGGAACTCGCCATGCCTGGTAATTAATAACATAAAAAGAAAAACTCTGTCCGACTTGGAACAATTCCCATAAACCTAATCCAAGGGCAATGTCGCACCCTCAATCCTAAGCGCTTCTCGGGGATCGTTTATTTGGCCTTGGCAAGACCAACAGTTCCCTTACCAACATCATAGATGGAGTACCACTTGCGGAGGAAAGCATCACCCAGGATGGCCAAGGGACCGACGGGAGCAGGGAAGTCCATGCCCATGAAAGTAGAGATACAGCTGCCCTGAACTTCGAGGATGTAATCGTAAGGAGTAATGGCAAAGTCGTAACCGCTCAGCTTGAAGCTGACATCGGGCAAGCTGTCACGGGCGGAGCAGTCAACGGTGTATTGGCCGTTGAAGCCTTTCTTGGCACCAATCTCCTTGTTGAGAAGCTCAGCAAGATCGGTGGGAAGGGCGATCAAAGATGTGCCAGTGTCCAAGATGACTCCAGTGTTTTCGAGCTCGGCAGTCTCGTCGCCGAAAGTGATGGAGTCAAGATCAACCTCCCAGTAGGCCTTACGGCGTAGGGGAATCTCGGTGATCTTGCCAGTGTAGTGATCCTTGTCGATGCCACCAAAGACAACCTCGGAAGAGTCGTCACCATTCTCACTAGAAAGGTAGAAGGCAAAAACAGGCTCGTCGACGAGACCCTGGTTGATCAACTGGTAGAAAGGAGGGACAATGCCGTTGACGGATAGTCTGTCGAAACCCAGACCGAGGATTCCGTCAAATCGACCGAAGGCAAAAGCCAGACCGGGCTCGCTGGTAGCCTCGGCAAAGTCTTGGTTCTTGATTGTGAGGTCGCCAATGACGAGCTTGTCGTTGGAGACAAAGCCCTTCATGCTACCAGATCCGTAACGGATCTCAAAGTCGGAGCCATTCTTCTTGTATGAGGATGAGGCTGACGAGTCATACTTGGAGTGCAGGTAGCAGGCGATGCTTCCACAGGACTGGCTGGGTACCCAAAGGTTGGAGCTGCCGGTATCGAGGATAACCTTGAACTCCTGGGGAGGAGTACCGATGGAGATGTCGGAGAAGTCTGTTGGGAGGAGCGCGAATTAGTATGATTGAGTGATTGCGATCAACAGAGACGTGATCATTCATGTCATATAGAGAAGAGGGGGCCTGGAAACGTACACTGGGCGTTCATGAAGTTGCTGATGGGCAGAGGGTGGTTCTTGTCGGCGTGGAACGACGTCTCCTTGAACATGGCTTGGGCATGGGTCTCGGGTCTGGCGCCCATGTACTTCTGGCCGAGTCCCTTCATCTGTAGATCGATGGGGTAAGAGTCCTGTGGGTTTCCGTGGTTAGTACTGCACTGTCGCAGCGATGCAGTGGATGACAGGTGATCCGACTCACGAGCTGTTCTGAAAGGGGAATCTTCTGAAGCTTCATCTTGTGGACGCCGGCCTCAGCGGCTCCAAGCAGCGCAGCTGCTGTAAGCAGAGCTCCCTTCATGATAGGCAAGCACTTAGAGATGCGTGAACAAACAATAACTTCCAATGAAGGAAATGGACGACGTGCGGAAGTAGAGCGATGACCGCACTGATGGGATTTGAATGCTGTGTTGTTTGGTGTTTGTTGGCAGTGTGATGGTGATGATGATGATGAGAGGAGGGAGCTTCGATTCAAGTATGACGAGATGCTGGGAGCTCCGAAGCCGAAGCTGGGGGTGGATGCGGAGGCAGGCGAGGCAGGCGTGAGACAGGGCGCTAACGTAGTTTATTATGTACTTTGCTCGTACCACGTACTAACTAGCCTGCAGACTGCTGATAGCGATGGGAGATGGGGAGGGGGCAGATGAGAGATGGGAGACGGGACACTCGATGGGGCCCCCGAGGTCTCGTGCGTCTCGTGCGTCTCAATGCCTGCGGTTTCTCGTTGCCTTGAGTTCTTGTGACGACAACGGCCAAGAGCCATGACCCACTAATTCCCCTAAACGTGAAGGATTAAGGTGCGTGGCTTGGATCTCAACCAATCACAGCCATCTGCGACAGTCGCGTCGCCACCTGGCAACCATCACTAGCCCCCCAAGCTTGCCCAAGCCCCGTCCAGGTTGTTGGCAAAAGCAGGTACCGTCGCCAGCTTGCGCAGCTCGCCATCCATGCCAACTTCACGGAAGTTCAGTCATTGTCACCGACTGACGCCTGAAATTCATTGCATCGATTACTATCAATTACATACACCAATTACACCTCACATTTCCCCTGTCCTGTCGCCTTGACCTACCGACTCACCATTGACCGGTTCGTCCTGCTGACCGAGCCACGCAATCAATCCATTTGCCTGTTCACCCACCCCATGCCCCATCTGTCTCTCCCTGCCTCTTATGTGTTAGTGCTGCGACAGCAAGATCCCGACCAAGCTACGGATCCGAACATCTTATCAATTGTCATGTTGGTATCTTCAGAAATCTCACCTTGTGCTATAATACTACAGGAGTCGCCATCCCATAATCATCCACACCTATTATCATACTTGGAGGATCACAACTGCGGCGCTCACAACTCCTGTCATGTCTCGGGCCCAATGTTGCTCAAGCTCGTCGCGGATAGCCCGGGTGGATCTTGGCGACCCGGTCAAGGTCAACAACCAATCAGGACATGAACATACTCTATATTGGTGGTATAATAGCAGTTCATACATATCTTTATGGTTGAATGCAAAGCCGTCAAAGTCATAGCCGTGTGTTCAGAGGTTTGATTGACAGCTCACTCATACTGACATTTTGTCCAGCAGTCAGAATATAGTTACGCTTATCAAGAGGCACCCTCAGACTGGTAAATTGCGTCGGTCGCCTCACTCATCCCTGAACTCGGCTTCGATGCCTTCGGATACTGGGCGTCCAGTAATTAGATTCATTTTTCAAGTACAATATTTCCGTGTCAAAGTGCCCATTTTCGTCAGTGTGGCAATGTAAATTCGCCAATTGAGCCCTCATTCCTCGGCAATGTTCTTTACAATCGTGCGGTCCTGTAAACGGCATTAGTATGGTGTCACCGAATTGAAACGACACAAGCTGAATTTCAGAAATCATATTATACATGCTGAGTGACTGGTCTATTTCTAAGTTGGTGTTCCAGCTTTGCAGGGTCATGTTTTCGGCCCGGGCGACGGCCCCGACGTCCGATCATACGATCTGACGTGGGCTGATCAGCCGCTCATGAAGGTTAACGTATTTCAGGTCCGACATACCATCACCCATATAACAACAACATCACACTTCTTGCACATGGAATTCCTGAATGCATGCCTTTCTCCAAGCGCTTGCTCTTTACCATCATCAGCATAGGACTTACTATCCTGGGCATGCGGTATAGTACATTGATAACACGGAGTCTACAATCATTATCGCAAGCAAGTGCGAGATTTACAACATCGTCGATAATGACTGAATCTCAATCTCAGCCAGTAATTGTGGTCGGCTCGGGGCTGGCAGGTCTCTCTGCCGCCTACGAGGCCCTCAAAGCCGGCGCCTCCGTGCGCATGCTGGACCGCGCCCCCAAACCAGGTGGAAATAGCATCAAGGCCTCGTCCGGCATCAACGGAGCAGGCACCGCCTTCCAGCGAGCGGCTGGCGTCGAGAAAGATGACCTCTTCTATGATGACACGGTGCGTTCCGCGGGCCGCCGGTTTACGGACCCCAAGAGGAAAGACGACCTGGTCGACCGGGAGACGTTGGTAAAGAAGCTCACGGGCGAGTCCGCCTCGGCGGTCCAATGGTTGGTAGACGAGTTCGAGATTGACCTCAGTGTCGTCGCGACTCTGGGTGGCCACTCCGTTTCCAGGACGCATCGGGGTGTAAAGGGAACACCGGGGTTTTCGATTGTCAGCGCAATCCTGAAGAAACTGGGAGAGAGTGAGAAGTTCCAGCTCACGAACGGCGCGGAAGTGCTCTCCCTCACTCGCAATACCGATTCAGCGGTGACGGGCGTCAGATATGCCCACGAGGGACAGACACAAGACCTCGAAGGGGCCGTAGTCTTCGCCGCAGGAGGCTTCGCTGGCGACGCAACAGGCCTCCTAGCGGAACATCGTCCCGATCTTGCCGGTCTGCCGTCTACGAACGACGACCGCCCCGCATCCCACCATATCCTGGGAGAGATCAACGCCGCCTTCGTGGATATGGACAGTGTTCAGATTCACCCCACCGGGTTCGTGGATCCCAAGGAGCCCGAAGCTCGATACAAGTTCCTGGCCGCCGAGGCGCTCCGCGGGGAGGGCGGCATCCTCCTCGACCACGAAGGCACGCGGTTTGTCGACGAACTCGGCACGCGAGCACATGTGAGCGCGGCGATCATGGCGCTCGCTCGGCAGATCAGCGAGACAAGTACTACCCAGTGGGACGTGACGCTCCTCCTCGACCCCGGCGCCTGTGAGGCTGCGAAGGGACATTTGGGGTTCTATACCTTCAAGGGGCTTATGGAGAAGAAGAAGATCAAGGACTTGGATCCGGTCATCATTGAGACGGTGGATAAATATGCCTCAGCCGTGGCCTCTGGCTCAGATTCAGAATATGGCCGGAAGTCTTTTGGTCACTGGACGCTCAAACCTGGGGAGGAGAACCGCGAGCAGGAAGTGTGTGTGGGTAAAGTCACGCCAATTACACATTTCACGATGGGTGGCGCAGCATTCAACCAAGATACACAGGTACTGAGGAAGGACAAGACACCAATTGCGGGTCTGTGGGCAGCAGGCGAGATCACTGGTGGTATCCATGGAGACAATAGGTTAGGTGGCTCTTCTTTGCTTGAGTGTGTTGTGTACGGGAGAATCGCTGGCTCACATGCAGCGAAAGCGGCGTTACGTAAGTAAGCATATTAATAACACAACTTTATGGTTTACAGTAACAAGGCAAGCCCCATATTTGACACTGCTCTTGTATACTCTACCTGTCTAACATGAGTGTGCCCTTTCACTCCTAAACCCACGACTCATGAGCTGTGCTCAGCTAGATCTGAAAACGGAACCACAGCACATCATCAGCCAGCTCTCGCTCGAGCGCCTTCTCCTCCTCTGTCAGCTCTTGAACACCGCGCTCGGCCATCAATGCCTCGCGCCTCGCATTCTCCTGACGGCACCAGATCGTCATGAAAAGAGTCAGGCAAAAGGCCATGCTAGCATAAGTCAGTACCTATTTCGAATCGGATCAGTCTGGCGATGAAAAAAAAAAAACTCACACGACAAAGCCGATTAGGATACAATGGCCAGTGATATATCTCGGCCCGTCACGAGTGAGGTAGACGTAAGATGCGATGATACCACCGCAGTTGCCACCCATGACTTGCATAGCAATACCGGTGCCGCGCTTGAGACTTCCACCGATATTGGCACCATTCCATGCCATGCCAAGGGGAATCTGGGGGTAGATACCTGCACTAGGCGTTAGTAGAGGACTCGAGTCTTCGTTTTGTCAAAACCTACCAATGGCGGCCAGAACGGTGCCAGTGTACTGAACTGGTGCATGCCCGCTGCCGGCAAGCATAGAGAAACCAACAACAGCCACAGCCTGGAAGCCAAGCAGGAAAACTCCACGCTGACGAACCTTGTCGGCAAAGTAACTAGCGCCAATAGTGAAGACGCAGGCGAATACGTAAGGAGGGACCGACATGAGCTGAGCATTATTTGCTGTATATCCCATGTTTTTGATGATGGTTGGCAGGAAAAGAGAGAACGAATAGATGGGGCAGAAGCCGGCCATACAAATGAGCATGAAAATATATATCTTCCAGTCCTTGATTGCCTGCCACACATACTTGACGTCGAAGTCGTTAGATAGGTGACCGTGGTCCTCGAGAAGACGGCGCTCGACCTCGTTTCTTTCACTGTTGGTGAGGAATTGTGCTGTAGCGGGGTAGTCGTAAATCGCCCAGTAGGCCGTGAAGGACACGATGATACTGAGAAGGCCTTCGAGGATAAAAATCCAGGACCAGGCGTGCAGACCACCAACTCCGCTCATCTCTGCAATACCACGAGCAAGGATACCACCGAAAGCACCAGCAAGGGTAGCTGCAGAGAAGAAAAGTGCCATGCGAAAGCCGGTCTCATGCCTGCAATACCACTGCGTGATGTAGTAGTTCACGCCAGGGAATAGACCGCCTTCAAAGACCCCCAAGAATACACGCGTAGCCATAAGGCCAGAATAATTCTTGACAAAGCCCTGTCCAATCATGGCCGCAGACCAAAAGACCATGATGAATGTCAGCCAGATAGACGGTCGGAGGCGCTTCATCATCATGTTGGAGGGAATCTCAGCGGCGATATAAAACGGAAATAAAATCGCGAGACAATCATTGTACTGGATGCCCTGCAGGTGCAAGTCCTGCTCCAAGTTGTCCAATCGAGCATTTCCGATGTTTGTACGGTCCAAAAAGCAGAGTCTGCAAAACATCAGTTGCGTCACATAATATTCCCAAGGTTGAACTTACAAATAAATCAAACTCATGAACGGGATAAGATGCCAATCGAGCTTTCGCAAGAGGCGCTTGGTCTCTTTCTTGTCAAAGCCTTGAGCTTCGGCAACGTGCACCGACACTGAGCCTGACTTGTCATCCTTCAGCTCGGAGCTGGGTGGCTTCGTGGACGGAATGTCCGCCTGCAGGGTATCCGACATGCTCAATATTTTATTTGTTTTAAACTCCTTTTTAGAGGGCACCGACTGGAAAGATGATGGAAATGAATAACGATGGTGGACTGGAGTGAACTTGCGGTACACAATCTTCTCTATCGTGATCAAGAACTCCAAATTAGTGAGTTCCTAGACGCGCGATGCGTAGGAATTAAGAGAAGAAAATCGGCGGCCGCTGGCGTATCCTCTGGAGACCTATCGTCAATATCCAGGCGCCACCAACTCTTATAGAGTTCGATTTTAGACAACCTTGTCAGCTACCAGGGCTTACCCACGGGAAGGAAACCACGATCGAGACCCGAATCTGTGGATCCAGCTGAAGCCGGCAGGTGTACGAAAACAAGGGTGAGTGCAACATTGAACTGCATGTAAGCTCATGTCTCTGAACACATTATTCAGCACCAATCAATTTGATACAAAAGTCGAAGATTTATCACTGATATCCTAGATAGTGCGGAACCGCGCCCGGGTTCTGCAGATTGTGGCTGCATATTCCACCGGGCATCTATCCTCTTGCGATAAGCGGCGGCGTTTGTATCCCACCAAATTAGAAAAGCTTACACGTCTGAGGCGATTCGATTGGAACACATGTCAGAAGATTATCCTTGGCAACGTCTTTTTTGGATCTGACCCTCGTCGCCGCGTAAGAACCCAGGCTCCTCGGCTCACGACACCTCCACTGCCGGTACAGGGACTTGACGCACTAGGATATTGATCATCTCTTCGAAGCGAGATGACGGAAAACATCACGAGTTTCCAGACATGCGTTGATTATTTATTCCATTTGTTGTGATAATACTGGCCAGATTTAATCAATGACTTCTGCTCCGAGGCCAGCTTTCTGGCCTCACAAATCTTGACCCAGGGTTCCAAATTAAAGTTGAGATAAGCTCATGGGTCGGACCCTAGAACCCGCATTTTCCCCAGAGGCCTAGTCTAGGCGCCGAGAGAACAAAAATTCTTAACCAGGGTTGCTAGGCAGATTGCGCAACTCTGGATACTCATATCATCCGTGCCATCGAGCCGATATGGTTCAGCATCACAAGTTCTAATTAGTTCGGATGAGCCCGGTAAGTGTGGGCAGGGTTTGAGGTTCATTGACTTAGTGCAATTGGAGCTGTTCCCACTGAACAAAGTTGTCTGATTTCTGAGCACATTGTCAACTTGGGATATATCAACGCTCATCTAAATCGCGCAAGCGCTTTTCAATGTCCGACCATACTGTTCGATATATTTAGTTTCCATTTGGAATGGTCATTGGAATATATGCGACTAGCGACCGAAACTTTAGAGTTGACTCAAAAAATGCTTCTAGATTCATCAATATTCCAACACATTATGACCAACTTAAAATCATTGGCATAAATTGACCTTATTAATATCGTTTGCTGCGTGTCCCGATACGACTCTCTCAGGCTAACAATAGCATTTGTCGTGTAAATTGTTAGCATTCTGGTTGTTCAATACACTGTTTGATGAAAAACTTGCGGTCCCTGCCGTGGCATGATTGCTTCGGTTCAATTCCATTCACTTTTATTATACTATTACTGGTTATACAGTAGCCAACAGCCTCGGCAGCTCAGTCAGTTTTTGCGATACAGTCAGTCAGTGGAGAGTGTATCCATACACATCACTTGGTTACATAAAATCAACATGTCCGTACCACCATTTTGCCAAACACCCGGAATCATATATTCAAGCTACAACATACCATAGAAGACGTGTTGCAATGACGGTGCATTTCAATCACCAAACGGCACTACGCCTCTAACAATCGAATCAAAGAATCGAGCATGGGCTCAGTTTTATTGTCCCACATCAGATGGCTAGTCTAGGCACAAGCGCGCTGTCGAGCCCATTTGACGATGTAGCGTGTCTGTTTTGAGCATCATTGTGTGAATGGCAAATCAGCTTGCTATAAAGGGCAAGTGTCTGTTGAAGAGCCTTTAAGTAGTTTTGAATTTACAATTTGAAATATTCGATAGACCTAGAACGGAACCTGATCACTCAGGTTGTAATCACTGTATAAGCTGGTGATGTATAGTGGTAAAAGAACAGGCTACAGTGTATATCGGTCGTAGAAATCCGTTTCCACGTAATTGTCCAAGATATTTAACGCTTGATTTTTCATAACCACAGCTTGTGACTGATTGAAGGAACGAATTTCCGGCGAAGTAGAAAAGTATAGTCGAATCATTGGTCAGGACTGACCACTGACATAATATGATATGCGGAAATCAATCGAGTAGCAAAATCGGGGTATAAACAACCATAACGCTGTACTCAAACATGAATATTTGGTATTCAATGAGGCTAGACTAGGCATGACACTCTTAAAGCAAGATTCTCTAGTTCACAATCTTTTTTGTCTCAACACGTTGTATTACAACATGTAACAATTTTTGAGCATATTCGTCATTAGTGCTCCGCCAACTCGAGGAGATCGACACCCAGAAGATATTGAATTCTTTAAACCTTTATCTTGTCAAGTTTGGTCAGATCTTGTTTTTTTATATCGTATATCTCAAAGGTGAGTTATATTGCGATGCCTCTCACTGCTATAACGGCTGCTACCAATATTTGTTGGCTCCGATAAATATACCTAGACACTCACAGGAAGAGTGACGCGCGTCACTCTCCCCTCAACGGTATTCATCAGTATTATGACTTCTATTGTATGAGATCCTCCGCCTTGCTCAATCACGACAACATACACCCCACACCGTAACGCACCAGCATTGACATACCGTCAGTATAACAGATATTGAACTTTCAGAATGGCTTCATTCTACTAGCATGATGACTGCTGTCTCTTGAAGTAACAAACAGAACACAACATGGCGTGGCTCTCTCGTATGGTAACTACGTTCGACGTCATTCTTCGGCTGCTACTAGCTAGTATATCTACACGGCGTGAAGGGTAGAAAACTTCGTCTATACTATCAATGAAGAGGTAACGAGAGCTAGTTGTTCCGGTTCGAGTATCAAAATATAGTCTATTTTATGAAGCCCAACTCTAGTTGTGAAATCTTACCAATAGAAGATAAATCATGTTTAGCAAGTTATCCTCCTGACGCATGTAGCAACTGTTAATGTCCTGTCAGTCTGTATTTTACAGGGGCCTTTGAACCCCACTGTTCAACGGTCCATTGTGCCGCACATCGCCTCGAATGTCGGTCCACTATGAATGAGCATAATCTACTAGTCACTAGCGACATAATTCTCGATTTTTCTTTAATTGTCAAGAGAAATTCCACTGAGGTCTCCACAGGCGTCTCTTGATCATCAATACTATCTATCAAATCATCACCGAGACCGTTTTCCAGTTTTTATTGACCTGCGACCAAATATGACGGAGGCCCCATCATCGGCTGAAACCGATCATAATGCGACCTGCAAAGTAGATATGTTATGCACAGCGTGCCAATACATTGTCAGGGACTTATATATAATTCGCGGGAAGTGCAAGGATTTGGATGTACAGGAGACATACGATCATTACGACTCTGTCGCAAAGCTAGAGGCTTCAGCTAAGAACGGGTGTCATTTGTGTAGCTTGCTAGGAAATGCCGTTGAGCCCTATTTAGGTAGCCACTTCCAGAAGGCTAACGCGCTCGCATTCGCTGTCTGCGTTGTGGTCCTCATGAACGATGATATCAAGCAGAAAGTCTCTGAAGGTCTCCTCAGAGCATACAGCTATTATTGTTGGCCGCTATGCATCCTGGAAATCAATCTTACAAGGGCCGATGGCGCATCTATCTTCAACCAGAAGTTAGACATCTGCCGGGAAAAACACTGGGCACTAGATAAACATTCACATGGGCCGGACGATGATGAATGTGAGTTGGCTCGTAACTCTGACTCGTAGGGAATATTGCCATTGACTGTACGATATGTCAGGGGACATGGTGGGTATCAACGCACCAGATGAAGCCCAGACAAAGTTTGCATACATCATCGGACAGCTGCTTGAGCCTAACAAGAAAATGGCTCGACGATTGTATTCAAAAAGATAGGTCCTGTGCTTCGACCGGATCGGGATTTCTCCCTACGCGACTACTAGATGTAGGGCATTCGACTTCTTCCCGAACTATTCGATTGGCCATGAGCCACGTATTGCCCACAGACGCCCCATATCTTACGCTTAGTTATTGTTGGGGTCGTGGGAAGCCGCTCGTCCTCACTGGGACCAGTTTGCTCAACTTTCTTGAAGAGATCGATACCACTTCTCTACCGAAAACGATTGCTGACGGCGTCGACATCACTCAGCGACTCAGCCATCGATATTTATGGGTTGACTCGTTATGCATAATTCAAGATTCGAAAGATGACTAGAAGCTTGAAGCTGCTCGGATAGGAGAGGTCTATTCCAATTCGACACTTACTGTAGCTGCGACTTGGTCAGCAAGTAATGACCAAGGGTGTTACAAGTATAGAAGCCCTCCGAGCTACCATCCGTGCCGCATCGCCGGATCTCCAAACAACGGGGTGTATGCCTGCGCCGAGTGGGAATCGAGAGACTTGAATATGATCCTAGAGAAACGGATCCAAGATGCCCCGCTTAACACCCGAGCATGGGTCATCCAGGAACGACTCTTGTCACAACAGATTCTCCACTTTACAGCCAACGGCATCTTCTGGGAATGCTCTTCGCGCATAGCCAACGACTCTTGTCCCGAAGGCCGTCGCGCTGGAAGAACGAGGAAAGTACCCGAAAATATCAGATGGCATCTCCGAGGTCTATTAGCGGCGCCAAGCCTGCTACATTCTTTGAATCAGCCGGTTTCAGGGACTGTTGCTCGAATGAGTCGTATGGCACAGTGAATCGCACTGAGGCGCAGTGAATGGGACCAGAAGTTCATGGAGAACTGGAGGATGGTCGTCAGTCCGTTCTCTTGATTCCAGATCACTGTCAGCACCGACAGGAAGCCGGCTATTGCTGGGATCGTATCCCCGATTAATTCAGCACGCGGGCTGCGATATGCTGACGGACTGTGGTACAAGGATCAGTTGATACCTCATCACCTACTATGGATGACGCGAGGGCCTGCAGAATTATTGCCTCCGCGGCCAGCCGCGCTCTGTGCCTCAACTTGTCCATGGCTATCTGTCGATGGTGAAATAACGCATTTACCGGAGCTTCCTCCCAGGCTCGAACAGAAGGAATGAATACGGCGAAACAGCCGAGTGGACACCATACTGTATAGATATTCGATTGATGGGGCAACCTGGAATCGAAGATGACACGAAGAGCTTAGTCCTGTCTGTCAGGGGAAGGGCTATTGAAGTATCTCATCCGTGTTTGGCTCTGCTCAATTTCCAGCCTGATTGCGCATGAGCAGATCCCGTGCCAGAAATACTGGTCATTGTACCTTCGGTGTACAGGGTATCATCGTACGTAAGGATGGTGGTGTTTGACTCTGCCTAAGCCAACGAAATGCAACGACAGCCGTGGGTTCACAAAGGGTTCGCAGGTCCCGTGCTTAAGAAATTAGGAGGTGGTCGAGTTTATGAGCGTGTTGGCATGTTTTCCGTTCTCCCATCAAGGCTGTTGGGTGTGTCGGACCCGGGTGAGAGCGCTGTAATATCCCAACATATAAGTCTTTTCAACCGGTTGGAGCAATCAGAAGAAAATACCTCTCACATAGTTTAAACACAAAACCAGCTTATATCTGCACTTCCTTCATTTGGAGACGGCCAATCTGCTTAGTAGCAAGAAATACTAGTGCCGTACTCTACCTGTGCGATTTACGGGGGCCAGGAATAGTTTTACGAATGAGCGGGGTTTTTTTTTACTCTTATTTATATTTATATATTCATATTTAGTTTCTTTTTTGCGCCATGCCAACGAGTAAGAGCATTTTGGCAGTGTTGAGCCCGAGCATGGTATCTGAAACCAGAGGATATACTATGCGCAAGATAGACACGGACTATGAGCCGGAAATGCCTGTGTAGATCGGACCATCCAGCCGAACCTTTACGAGATCATACAGACTCCTAGACGGACACGCATGGGAGAGATTGTTGACAGTGCACTTGGGGCAAAAGGATGTCTTGATCCATAATTGACCAGACCGCGATAAATGTTCGGGCTGCTGCTTTCTGAACCGTGCAAACTGCTGCACGTACGAATCATGTGATCGGGGCTAATGGTGTCGTTGGCCGAGCTCGCAGCTTGGCACGCGACCCCGAATTGTTCCTTGCCAGACGCTAACGGGTTAGTGCCTCTTCGATTGGAAAATGTAGGCCATCTACGGATCCGTTAAGGCATTTGCGAGCCCTACGAGTGGTTCCTTGAGTAGCCCGGTGAGGGGCTAGGGGGGCGTGAGGAAGCAAACACCCCGCCAGCCCGCCACGCAGGCCGCTCAAGCTCCGCTAAAATTCTGTACTTTAGCTCCAAAGGATTTTTTATCGATCGAAGTATTTTATGAGCTCTTCCCCTACCCCTCGCCTCCTCAGTGCTGCTTACTGCCTGCTTCCTGCCAGCATAATCCTCTCAAGACTTTTGCTGATACCCAATTGCAAAGCAAACCACTCGCAACATGTCTACCACCAGTGCCAATGGCCAAGAGGCCACCTACGCTCTCTCCAGCGAGCACAAGGAGGTTAGCAGTACCCCCCCCCCCCCCCCCCCCCCCCCCCCCCCCTTCACCATTGCCCCTCGTGGCCACGGCGTAACTGCCGTGGTGTTTCGATTGTTGAATGCAAATTCAAATTCAAATTCAGATTCAGAATCAAGTGCATGGGGCATGCTGACACACCGCTAGTTGTTGGAGAAGTCCCTCGTGGACTCTGATCCTGAGGTTGCTGAGATCATGGTACGTGAAAACTCCTCGTCGAAAAGTAGTTTGGAGCACCGAGAGAAACAAATACTCACAACCCCTGCAGAAGAAGGAGATCCAGCGTCAGCGGGAGTCCATCATCCTCATCGCCTCCGAAAATGTCACATCCCGCGCCGTCTTCGATGCCCTCGGTTCGCCCATGTCCAACAAGTACTCCGAGGGTCTCCCCGGTGCCAGATACTATGGTGGCAACCAGCACATCGATGAGATCGAGATTCTCTGCCAGAACCGTGCCCTGAAGGCATTCAACCTCGACCCTGCCAAGTGGGGTGTCAACGTCCAGAGCTTGAGCGGTAGCCCTGCCAACTTGCAGGTCTACCAGGCCCTCATGCCTCCTCACGGCCGCCTGATGGGTCTTGACCTTCCTCACGGTGGTCACTTGAGCCACGGTTACCAAACCCCCGCCAAGAAGATCTCTGCCATCTCCACCTACTTCGAGACCATGCCCTACCGCGTCAACGACAGCACTGGCATCATTGACTACGACAGACTCCAGGAGAATGCCTCCATCTTCCGCCCCAAGATCCTTGTTGCCGGTACCTCCGCCTACTGCCGAGAGATCGACTACGCCCGTATGCGCAAGATCGCCGACTCCGTCAACGCCTACCTTGTCGTTGATATGGCCCACATCTCTGGTCTCATCTCCGCCGGTGTCATCAAGACCCCCTTCGATTACGCCGATGTTGTCACCACCACCACCCACAAGTCCCTCCGTGGTCCCCGTGGTGCAATGATCTTCTTCCGCAGGGGTGTCCGCAGCACCGACAAGACTGGCAAGGAGATCCCTTACGACCTTGAGGACAAGATCAACTTCTCGGTCTTCCCTGGTCACCAGGGTGGTCCCCACAACCACACCATCACTGCCCTTGCTGTCGCCCTGAAGCAGGCTGCTACTCCCGAGTTCAAGGCCTACCAGAAGCAGGTCGTCGAGAACGCCAAGGCTTTGGAGGTCAAGTTCAAGGAGCTCGGCTACAAGCTTGTCTCGGACGGCACTGACTCGCACATGGTCCTCGTTGACTTGCGTCCTCAGGCTTTGGACGGTGCTCGTGTCGAGGCCGTCCTCGAGCAGATCAACATTGCCTGCAACAAGAACAGTATCCCTGGTGACAAGTCCGCTCTTACCCCCTGCGGTATCCGCATCGGTACCCCTGCCATGACTTCTCGTGGCTTCGGCACCAAGGACTTCGACAAGGTTGCTGAGTACATTGACCAGAGCATCAAGATCTGCAAGGAGGTCCAGGCTGCTCTGCCCAAGGAGGCTAACAAGCTCAAGGACTTCAGAGCCAAGATCACTGGAGGCGAGGTTGAGAAGATCAACAACCTGAAGAAGGAGATCTCGGCTTACTGCCTCAAGTTCCCTCTGCCTGTTGAGGGCTGGAGAGTCGATGCTGGTATCTAAGAAGACATCACCGGCAATGATTGATGAGGTTCAACCGTATATGAGAGATGATCAGGGGTAACTCAACTTTTCTCGGCGTGAAACAAGGAGTCCAGGTTTTAACATCTGGAAAACGGAAGACAAATAGTCATGCATATTATAAGGCGTTACTGCTTACGAGCAGTTTGGGGGCTGGGTTGCCATATGGCATTTGGGTTTACACTGCTTCAACACAGCGGGTGTCTTGCTTTTACTATGAAAACTGTATAATACAGTGAAACCGAAGCTTTTTAGCTCGGATCATTTGACGCAAGACGTTTGTGTTTTGTGACAGTTGCATGTGATTGAATGGTCAATGATGTAATAATTCCAGTTGGAGCAGTGCCCGCATCCTAGCACGTCATTTACCCAATGTCATCACTTCAGGATGGAATGCTAGTATGACCGATTCTAACATGACTCTAGCAACAGGATTTGTTTCTATGAACTTGAGCGTCAAAAAAATTCGGTTGATTTCTTTAACAATTTGGTAAAACAAGTTGCATATCGCAATGTCGCCCCCAGATGCAGATCTCCACCCTGTCGCGACAGGTCTAGCTAAAGAAACGGTCGATGTAAATGTACCTGTCCTCGACACCGCACTTACACTGCTAATCGCCCATCAGAAACATCAAGCAGAGCAGCCTTTGAAACTCTACGCAGGCTGGTTTTGCCCGTTTGTACAGCGCGCCTGGCTGGCTCTAGAGGAGAAGGGTATTCCTTACCAATATGTCGAAGGTGAGTTGAATTCGCTTGACAATTTGGCTTTACCCATGACCAATTACGACAGTGAATCCTTACCATAAGCCCGATTCTCTCATGCGCTCCAACCCGCGCGGCCTAATCCCTACTTTGGAAGTTGCCCCCGGCAAAGCCCTCTATGAAAGTAATGTCCTCCTCGAATACCTCGAGGATGCATATCCAGACCACAAACCCCTGAGGCCCAAAGATCCGTATCAGCTAGCCCGCTCGCGCATCTGGACGGATTTCGTGACTTCCCGCATCATCCCCGCCTTCCACTGGCTGCTGCAGTTCCAGCCCTCGTCCTCGGCGGACGGCGAAGAAAAGCTCGACAAGCTGCGCGCCGAGTACCGCGCCAAGCTTCTCGAGTTCACCCGGGACATGCATCCTGAGGGTCCGTATTTCATGGGATCTGAGCTCTCTACTGTGGATCTAGTATTGATTCCCTGGGCGGTCAGGCACTGGGTGTTCGACCACTTCAAGGGGGGATTACGCATTCCGGAAGAGGGCAAGGGTGGCGATGATGAGAAGGCTTGGGTGCGATGGCGAAAGTGGGTTAAGGCTCTGGAAGCCCGTGGGAGTGTTAAAGCGACCACGAGTGAGACGGAACATTATCTGCCCATATACAAGAGGTATGCGGATGATGAAGCACAAAGCGAGTTGGCAAAGGCTACCAGGGAGGGGCGAGGCGTGCCGTAGAAATCTTCTGTCGTGCTGTTGCGAAATCCGCTTTACGCCTACAGTGAAGGACTTGCCCTTTGACATGATATTTCCTGAGTGTACGAGATGGTATCAGATATTGTAGAGCCCCACAAGATCAATAAAGAGGTTGTTCCCAATTTGTGATATGTTCAGTGCATTCCTACTTCTAAGTCGCAGTCATGTTCATCAGCAATACAGACACTTGTAAGCCCAGCATCCCCATATCACTAGATACTGATCCGCTCTCAATGTCCCACTGTATATCTCCCCAGAGCGTCTCCGCAACTGAAGAGAAAGAGGTGCCATCCGGGGCACTGACCTCAATCGCGGCCCCAACATCACCATAATTCATGTTCACGATACTGACCAGGGCCTGTCCTGCACCTTTGTTCACCCATGCCGCCGCATCAATCCGACTGCCGCCAGCCACAGGCAGAGTCTGTGTCAGAGGTGCGCCGAGAAGAAAGTCAGCAATCGTGTCACTGGTAAGCACACCCGCCAAGTGATTCGTGACGTTCAATATCTCCGCCGTCGTCGGGTAGTCCCACATCACGATGCCTTTCGCCCCGTGGTTGACGGCGAGGAGCGTCATGACCACCTCCTCCGCCGCCGTGGGGTACCGGGTCCAGAACGTCTCGTTCCCGAAGGCCTGCGGCGCGAACCACTGCGACTTGGACCAGCCGATCAGCTCGTCGCGGCGGCGGAACTCGTCGAGGCGCTCCGCGATGTCCTCGAAGGTGCCGTCGCAGTCGTCGCAGCCGCAGCACCCGTACGTGGCGTTGCATACCGTGTCGTACACGGTGGAGTAGGACGTGTTGGTGGAGATGGGGTACACGTCGGGCGTGATGATGTCGGCGCCGCTGGCATAGTCGGTGTAGTAGAAGTCGTAGCAGTTGAGCGCCAGGGATGCCGGGTGGTAGGGGTCGAGCTCACGGATCTTCTGGTAGGCGATTCCCGTCGAGTTGATCGGGTTGGACTTGCCGTCTGGTTCGTCTGATTGGTACCAAACGAGCTGTTCCACGTAAGATCATGGTGATGCATATTCATATGATACACGGGGCACTTACTAGCGATCTATGATTTCGTATGCGTTCCACTTGCTCAATCATGCCTGTCAGATTGGCATAATCCCAGATCACGTCATATTGCAGATACAGACCGAGCTCGTCCGCACGGTCAAGGTATGGCTCGAACTGATCCCATGGAAACGGCTTATCGCCAAGCGTTCCGGTGGGTACTATATGAATGACATTGTACCCGAGAGCCGCAAAATCATCCAAGGTTGTGATGTTGGCATCCCAGTAAAGACTCCATTGGACATAGTACGTGTAGGGGAAGATGTGCCGCCAGACCTCATCTTCCCTCTGCACCCAAAGGCCTCCGTACAGGTTGTCAAGACGCGACACGCTGCCGTAGTTCTCGGGCAGCGGCAGCTTAAATATTTCTGTTGATGCCTCGTAAGTGTACGCTTTGCCGAGAGTCGCCCGAATGCTGATATTGAGCCCGTCAAGGCCAGAAGTGAACTGGTCCAATTTGATTGGAACTTCTACATCAACTGAGCCGACACTAAGCACTGCTGTGCCAATAGCCGCGCCATCATAGATGATATCGACGCTCAAGTTCTCGGAATCGTATGCATATGTTCCCGTGTAATTGGCAGGAAGCGGCTGTCCTATTTGATCCGAGACTGCTGTGGTGATCAGGAGACTTGCTTCATCATCTGTCTCAAGATATATGCTCATTCGTGGCTTTACCCGAAGATTTAGCAGAGGAACGTCTGACTTTGGCGGTTCCTCGAACCATCCGCCAGGGTTGAACGAGGCATTCCTGGAGTAGGCTTAGTTATGGTTATACTTGAAAAACATTTTCGGGAGAGAAGACTCACGCCGGACGGTATGCTTTGCCACACCATATATCTACTCCTTCAGGGTTATTGAATTGTGCCTCGGCGAGACCCCAACGCAACGAGACCACCCACGCCCAAGACGACAACGAAGATGGAAGCTTCATCTTGCAAGATTCAGAGTGTCTACTCAGCAACGAGCTATTCGGCTTACTGGCAGTTGACTCTATATGTCCTATATCATAACGGTGTCAACAAGGGCTAGCGCCTCCCGCCACCTCTGCAAATTGTGGGGTCATGCCGACTATAGCAACATCATGCTATCGAGTGTCACGTTGCTCTCGCTTGCACGAACTACCCCGACCCGTTTACCTGGGTAACTAAAAACGCATACGTAACAAATTACACGACAGCTTATCAGGGTTGCTTTGCAGTGCTAAGTTTGCAGATCGACCGACCTCAATCCCAGAAGGGTCAAGAGTAATGGTGCTTTTGGAGAAGAGCGGGGATAGATGCGGAGCTTCGGTAGATAAGGTCCCTGATGCCGCAACGCTGCCGACTGCCCCGAACCTGATTTCCGAACCTCAGTAGTATGAATTGTGGGTTAAGTCCCTGGTCGGTCGCTCCTCGAACGTTACCTTTGGTATTTGAGGGGCGATTGAGGTCACCTTCGGACCCTCAGGCCGGTGGTATAACACCCATCGCCTCGGTGTGGTGCATTGGGGACAGTACCACCCATGGACCGTTGCAGGACCTTTCTTAACATATTCAGGGAACTCTCAGTCTCATGAGGAGGAGAGAAGCGATGAAGTCCGCTGCCACCCTGTTGCTTCTGGCGAGAGCTGCGGAAGCATATTCATGCTCGGCTACCCCATCGGCGTCAGTAAGTTCTTCACAATTGTGCTAAGATTGGGAATGATACTAACACTGGTTGTAGAGCTCAGTTGCACTTGATTTGACTCGGTTCTTCAATAACAAAGCATTTGGCACGTACCCCGGAGAAGCGGATTTCAATGCTTTGAACGAGTCTTATCCTTCACCTGACTTTGACACTACACAGTACGAGTCTACTGAAACCGGTATACTCTACTCGTTCCCTGGCTACACGGGACCTGGCGCCTCGGACAATCTCATTTGTAACGGCGAATTCATCAATGTACCAGCCGGCTCGTACTTCTCGGCTTCCTTCCTTGTTGCCGGGGACCTGGAATCTGCAAGCGTGAGCGCAAACGTTACGTTCACATACACCGACAATAGTACTTCGCTATTTGAGCTGAGGAGCCTGAATTGGTTCAGCTTTTTGACTATCAACCGTGGCGAGGTCATCTTTCCAAGCCGTTTTACAGCGGACGACATCAACTACAATACCACACACATCTTTGAACGCGCAGCATCTATCCCCGCAGGGAAGCAGCTAAGCTCCATTACTCTACCAGTTACTACAAACGCCACTGAAGGGAGACTTCATGTTTTTGCCATTAGTCTCTGGCAAGGCTCTTCTATTGAGGTGCAGTCGGTCCGCCCAACGCAAAAGTGGCTGGAGGCTGGTGTCCAGGCTGTCGAAGTCACCATCAACAATGCCGGTTCTAACTGCGTTTCTGGCAATGGATTGAGCTTGTCGATTGACGGTCAGGGTGTCCACACAACTATTCAAGGAAACTTGAAACGCTTGTGTCCTGGGGACCAGAAGACCGTGACGGTTGGTGTGGAAGGTTCTCCGAACCAGACTATTTCAGCTAATGTTGTGCTTGATGATGGAATCAATTCCTCAACAGTGACCGTAGATGGCCTTGACTTTGGGCTTCTTACATGGACATCAGAACTTGACGTCCTGTCTAAACATGAGAGCCCCGAATGGTTTGATGACGCCAAGTTCGGCATTTTTATCCATTGGGGCCCGTACTCGGTCACTGGTTGGGGCAACTCGTCTCCGTATGAGAGCTATGCCGAATGGTTTTGGTATGTTTAACTCACTTCGAGGTGAATGCTCAGTAGCTTACAGTCTCCACTAGGTGGTATTCAACTCATCATCCCCAAGCTGATAGGTCCGATTTCTACGACTACCGGCTGCAGACTTATGGATCTCAATGGTCTTACGATGACACGTTCCCTGACTTCAATGCATCCAGCTTCGATCCTAAGGCGTAAGTAACTACCTGATGCCCGATGTTATTGCACCATTCTAGGGTCTCCTAGTATTGCACTTTAATGTCTCATAACATCATCGCGACTATTCCCATATCACTTTTGATAAGCTAACTTGGACAACAGATGGGTTGATCTCTTCGCTGAAGCTGGTGCTAAATATTTTGTCATTACTACAAAGCACCACGACGGATTTGCTTTGTTTGACACAGGTAACACCACAAACCGTTCAGCAATTCATTACGGTCCGCAGCGCGATCTGCTTGCTGAGCTTTTCGAGGCCGCAGAAACGTATCAACCGGGATTGAAACGAGGCACATACTTCTCTTTGCCCGAGTGGTTCAATCCCGACTTCGGACCATATGGATTCGATCAGTTCAATACGTCATCCGCCGTTTCCTGGCCGGGCATTTTGGCCAAGAACCCATATACCGGGGAAGATGAGCCATACACTGGTCGAGTTCCCGTCGATGATTTCATCACTGATATAATGGTCCCTCAAATGGAGGCCTTGGCTTATGATTACGGTACCGATATCATGTGGTGCGATTGCGGTGCCGCAAACGGGACAGCTGACTTCGCAGCTGCTTGGTGGAACAAGGCTCGGGGTCAAGACCGCCAAGTAGCCATCAACTCGCGATGTGGTATAGCGGCTGCCGCGGACTTTGACACTCCTGAGTACCAGACTTTCTCGTCCGCGCAACACCGAAAGTGGGAATCCAACCAAGGGATGGACCCCTATAGTTATGGCTACAATCGAGCGACGCCCGACAGTGCGATCATGAATGCCAGCACCATTGTGTACACTCTGGTCGATATGGTTTCCAAAAACGGAAATCTGCTCCTCGATATTGGACCCCGAGCTGATGGCAGCATTGTTCAGGCGGAGATCGACAACCTACGCGAAGCTGGCACGTGGATTCATGCTCACGAAGAGGCCATCTTCAACACAACTTACTGGTTCATCCAGAGCGAGATTTCTGGTGGCCCTGACGTTCGCTTCACGCAGACAGATGATGCCTTCTATATTCTGTTCCTCGAAAAGCCCAGCATGTTGGACGGGAAAATCGTTGTGGCGGCACCGGTACCAGTCATAACCGGCGACGACGTGAGTCTCCTCTCAGTGGCTGGAGGCGAGTCATTGGCCTGGGAGGTTTCTGGGCGTGGTAGTGATTTACAGCTATCCATTACTGTCTCCGATGATCTTTTATCGAAAGAAGAGTTCTGCTGGGTCTTCAAGGTTTGCTATAAATAGGAAACATAATTCAGCCCGAATTATCTGTTGATCATAAGGTCATAGTTTATCGTGAGTGACTACAGTATAGCCCAATATAGCATCTGCCTGTATGATTGCAAGAGAACCTTGAGCAAATCCCTCCATAGACCCTATGCACTCTAGTGTTGATGCTCATTCAGTCTGATCTAGCATGAATGTGTGTTTGAAGAAGTGTGCTTCGTCCATTGTATTCGCAGGCTCTGCTCGAAACGGCGTAGGAGATAAAGGTTGAGCTAAGAGCCCCAAGCATCATATCAAGCCAATTTGGGCAGCACTAGGGTTGAGATTGGGGGGGGGTTTTTTTTTTTTTTCCAATAATCAGGCAAAATCTAGCTACAATTTATTCGTTAGAAGGACTGCTCTTGTCCGATAGCACAAATTACCAGACTATCAAAGTACCCTTTGAACCCGCGCGCGACAAATCGCGATCATTCAAGCTGAAGTTGCAGGTTTTACTGCAGGGTCCAATCAGGGAGAGTGACAGGTAGGCAAGCCGGGCGAACTAACTAGACATTTCTACCAATCAACTCCAAGCCTGTATGTCATTCTATACTTGACTTACGGGACGTCTTATTGTGAATGCAGATGAGGCCGTTATACTCGTGATGACCCTCCTCTCTCAATAGGTCCAGACTCTTCGAATTACTATTGAACAACTCTACAACCTAGCTCTTCGCCGTCTTGAACTAGCAAAATCTGATGGATTGGAAGGGCAACAAAAAGCGTAGGATTGTCAAATGGGTTTCCAGTTGTCTTTGGCTAGTATACGTAGTGATGCGTTATTTGAAACTCAAATAGCCCGTATGGCAAGGTAATAGGTCTCAAACTGGGCGCGTAAATCTGTCAGCTGACAGATTACCAGACCGGAACAGCGGCGAAACTGGACGAATTCGTAAAGCTGGGCCAATGAAAAGAACAGTGCGTGGGCGCACTACAATATAATACAAATATCTTGCGCGTCCCAATCAACTCAACTCACCTCACTTAAATAGTCCTGTCCTGAAGCCCGCACAGAAATTCTTAAGATGTCCGACGAAGTCGTTGTGAAGGTTCCACAAGTAGTCCTACTATAATGAAATTCATTTGCCAATATGCGACAACACGTAATCTCATAAGCAACGGAGCTCGGCCCGATTGCTTTTTTATTGCTATGGCAGGACTGCAAGAAAAATCCAAGTATATAAGTCACTTCCGGTGATGTCGAAGACGGTCTCAATAAAATCGCTCACCAATCTGGTTCTTTTGATAGTTATCGATGCTTACTGTTCGTCGATGCGCTTGACGAATACAACGGTGAACGTGCTGAAATGTTGCAAAAGCTTCTTAAATTGATCAAGTACGTTGAAGGATATATAAAGGTTTTTTGTGAAGTCGCTAATGCCCGTTTTCACCCGAAGCTTTGCTGACTTTCTGAAGCTTCTTATCATGATCGTGCAACTTTGAAACGTTGCGAATCCAGGAGATCCAACATAAACACATTGCAACTGATGACAGTACGTTCGGGGCCCAAGTTCTCGGACAATCAGCATTCCGATGGTCCCTGGGCTCGCAGAGCAGTCCATATAAATATTGAACACATGGCTGTTGCTAATTGCGATTAATTGTCTTTGTCCACGAATTTTCTCAGCCGGACCTTCAGCGACTCACGACGCTTATTCGAGAATCCAAGTTCAATTTTCAAGTATTGCCTTTGAACGCAATCAGATGCAGCAGCCGAAATATTGACACGTTGGAGCTGTGCGCTTCCCAGAAGGAGGATCTCGCTGACTTTATGATTGACGGTTCCTCCGGTACCTCTCTTATTTATTTGTTTTTATATGTGCTAGTAATCCAACTTGCCACATCCTATGACATGTTTTGTTTAGGTACAAACGTTGACATCGATTGGCAGTCCGCGAACATCATACATTTAATGCTTGGATCACGCAGCCAGGCCAAGTGTGGTAATATATCATTGGAGGATTGCACAATCTCACCAAAAGAGCAAATGCCAAGACTATACAGAATTGCGCACCAATTGTAGGTTCCTGGATCAGTCTTTCGTACAGTCTAGTAACGTCATCGGGCAAAACGCCATGGTTTCCCCAATCGAATCATTGAGGGGTACATACTCTAATCCACTACACATGCAACACCAATTTATCCATAAATTAACCATACTTGGTCTATGCATACTCTGACTTACAATGTATATCGGCCCCCGCACCCGAAGAACCCGATTCTGCGGGGGAGAACTCCATACGTCGATCTGCAGATCCGTTGCTCAACGCCACGAACTATAAAATGTGGCGGTCCTCTATAGTCTCCTCCCCGAGTGACACAAGAAACATGACCTCTGCACGATAATCAAGTCTGTGCCGTCTAATCGCGACACGCAAGATATCGGCTTCAGCATGAAAGTTGCCAACTGCCTCTCCATGCTCCTTGCAGGAGCTGGAGGACTATGCGCGTTCGCCCAGTCCCCCAACTCAACCTACTACAACCCGATCCTCCCGGGGTGGCACTCGGACCCGTCATGCACGCACGTCAACGGCACCTTCTTCTGCGTGACCTCGACCTTCATCTCCTTCCCCGGGCTGCCCATCTACGCGTCCGCGGACCTGATCGACTGGAGGCACATCTCGCACGCATGGAACCGTGACTCACAGATCCCGGGCGCCTCGCGCAACAGCACCGGGCAGCAGGTCGGCATGTACGCGGCGACGCTGCGGTACCATGCGGGCGTCTTCCACGTCATCTGTACGTATCTTGGCGGCACGGCCGACGGCACCAACCTCGGCGTCATCTTCAAGACGTCGGACCCTTTTGATGACGCTGCCTGGAGCGACCCCGTGACTTTCAAGACGACCCGCATCGACCCGGATCTGTTCTGGGACGACGATGGCACCGTGTATCTGACGCAGCAGGGCATCGTGCAGCAGAGCGTTGATTTGGAGACTGGGGAACTGACCCCAGATACGCCCCTCAGTATCTGGAACGGTACCGGTGGAGTCTGGCCGGAGGGCCCTCACTTGTATAAGAAGGATGGATACTATTACCTCTTGATTGCAGAAGGCGGCACGGAGACTAACCACTCGATCACCATCGCGCGATCAAAGAACGTCTCAGGTCCATATGAAGCGTATGAAGACAATCCCATTCTGACCAATCGGGGTACAAACGAGTACTTCCAAACCGTCGGACACGGGGATCTGTTCCAGGACGACGAGGGAAATTGGTGGGGTGTCGCGCTGGCGACGAGGTCGGGACCTGAGTGGGAGACCTACCCCATGGGTCGCGAGGCGGTGTTGTATCCAGTCACATGGAAAGAAGAAGAGTGGCCCATCTTGGAGCCGGTCCGGGGCGTCATGAGCGGCTGGCCTCTTCCATCCACCTCCCTCGACGTGCCGGGCGATGGGCCTTGGAACTCGGATCCAGATGTGTACGACTTCGCCAACGGCACCACCATCCCACGCAACCTAGTCTACTGGCGTGTTCCACGCGACGGGGCGTTTACGATCACGGAAGAGGGTCTGCAGATCGTGCCCAGCCGCGGAAACCTGACCGGCACGTCCGAACTCACCGGCCAAGACGGCCTCGCCTTCATCGCGCGGCGGCAGACAGACACTCTATTCAGCTTCAGCGTCGACCTCGTCTTCGCGCCGCAGGCGGGCGAGCAGGAGGCGGGCGTCACCGTCTTCCTGACACAGCTGAACCACATCGACCTGGGCCTCGTCCTGCTAGAATCCGAGCCGGGCGGCACGTCTGCGCTCAGCCTCCGGCTGCGCGCCGAGGCACCGTTCAGGGCAAACCCGCCCGTGGCCGGCACCCCTCCGCCACCCGTGGTGGTCCCCGTGCCCTCGGCCTGGCCGACGGGCCAGGCCATCACCCTGCAGATCCAGACCGCGAACCAGACGCACTACCGTTTCTCGGCGCACCCCGCGGCGGACCCCAACGCGCAGGTGGTGCTGGGCACGGCGTCGGCGGAGCTCGTCAGCGGCGGCAACGGGTCGTTCGTGGGCAGCCTGGTTGGTGCGTACGCGACGTGCAACGGCGCGGGCGAGGGGCTCGGTTGTCCGGCTGGTGGTGACGCCCATGTGTCGAAATGGCGGTACACCGGCATTGCGCAGCAGGTCTCTGCTACTGAATTCGTGCCGAGTGTACACATCAACCGATGACCTTGGGGTTGATTGGCTTGCCGAGGATGGGAACGTAATCGAATGTCTTTATATTATTCTTTTAGCGGAAATATAGCTAGCAAGATAATCAAACTCTTTATTTTGCCTGATAAGTTGACAAATGCCTGCATGCCAATATGGAGGCTGGATTCAAGAGGGATAACAAATCAGTGAAAATAGCCAGTGTCTGCATCGTCAAGCCCTTAGTAGACGGGATAGTGTTTCCGTCAACAGTATTTCGTTCTCCAAGCTCGAATAAACAAGCCTGGAAATACACACAGCCTGATGTTTGGGAAAACGAAATCAAAAGCCACCTTGCAAAGTATGATTGCGAAACACGGAACAAAATAATATGATATCAATGGTCTTTATTCTTGTTGCTAGCTCGAAATCTTCAAGGGGGGTATCTATCGCATACACCCGTTTTACACGTCCAGTATCAAATTCCTTTCGTTAGGCCGATCCGTCAGAAGGACCTCCGATCAGCACGAGAAGACACCGAAAATAATTCATGGATCATCCATGTATTTCCTAGTCATAGTGCGTCGGAACCACCCAAAACCACGTGTAAGCTACTTAACCAACCCAGCTCAAATGTCATGATTATTTAAATAGTAGCTTTCTAAAGCAGTGCAGAATGAGGCGACCATCTAAGACCACCAGTCTCAAAAGAACAAATTGACCCTATCTCCGGGTATCATCGCTAGTGGAAGAAAAAGAAATATGCCTGATTTCAAGACGCGTTGATCTGGTTTTGTCGTGTCAGCTTCTTCTAGCGCTTTTCACAGGCTGTGGGCTTCCTTCCGTTGGCTTTACTGTGCATCTCCAAATAGCCCAGTCCTCGTATCTTCATGCCGTCGAGTAGGGTCCGTTCCTCATCTTGTGACCATTTAGTGGCCCTAAAATTGATGGTAGAAATGATTTGCTGGGTTTCCTCAATGTTGTGTTTGTTGTCTGGTGCTTGGGCTTTGTTGGCCATGGTAATACTTTCAAAGTGCTGACCGAGATGTCTCTTGCCTTTGGATGTTCGGCCACAGTATTTACATTGTGCGTTGTTTGGTGTTTGTTGAGTTGCAGCACCATCACCATCACGAGGCATTTGATGTTCTGATACCTTGTCATCAAGTATCTCTGATCTGTCGGCTGTGCTTTCCTTGTTGTTTTCGTCAAGGGGCTTCAACATACTTGCAAACTCAGCAAGTCTAACTTCTGTCAGCAGCCTCCTTGATCCAGTCTCATCATTCGACTGTTGCTGTATATTTGTTTCGATGGATGTAGACCCCTGTGCGTCGTTTCGCACAATGACTTCCGGTAGAAAAATCGATGAAACAAAATGCTGTATTATGTAGTCACTGACTGAGACAGGATAGTATCTTCCCGGCACTGGTTGCTCTGCAATCTCCCCCAATCCGCTGGGCTACGGCGAAGACGAGGTGTTCATGGATTGTGAGCCTTCTGAACCAACCGAAGTAGCACGCTCGCCCTTCTAGGACTCGTTACTCTCGGGGCTCATCATACCGGTACCGGTCTTGTCCGTCTGGCCATGACTGCCCTGGCTTTGCATGCCCTCACCATGGGGCATTTCAGTAGCTACAGACCCAGAGTTGGGAGCGCCATTGGGAAGAGCACCAGCTTTCGCAGGCAACTTCTTATCTCTGCTCTTTTCGGGGCTTCCGTTTACCGTACTGCCTTTCTCAGCTGCTGCTGCCGCAGCAGCTTCCATCTTCTTCTTTCTCTTGTTAATCGCGTTCTGCTCCTTTGGTGGCCTCTTTTGGGCGCCTACGATTTTGCCAGTTGCGCCGAGACGTGGGCGGGGACGCTGTTGTTTAATCGGTAAGTCGAGGTCTTCCACCAAAGGTTGGTCGCCATTGGCGTGTAACTTGGCGAGGAAGAAATTTTTGGCCAGACCAATCTCGTTCTGGATGTTGTCTTTGGTAACGGGATCGGGAGGCGAAAGCTCGTCGAACAACAGCACATCGACAGGACCTGACGTGGTGTTTTGGCTTGCGTAGGTCGTTCGTACCCTAGAGTGCAGTAGATGTAGAGGGACAGACAACATGCCTCCGAGCTCCCCTGCAAGACCCAAATCCTTGAATCCGAAGTAATCCTCGCCAAGCTCGTCGGCGAAGTCGCCACTTACGAACTGCTCACTGCCTTCATTAAATGATGATGCACCTCCGTCCGTGATGCCTTCGTTGAGGGCAGGCCGAAGAAGTTCTGCTAGGTGGTTCTTCATACGATCGTGCATCACTCCAAGTTTGTTGCCCAGCCTATCTACCTCATCCTTGGCGTACGAATCAAGATCTTCAATGCTGAATCCGTTTTCATGCAAGGTATGGAGTAGAACCTCCTCATCGGTGAACCGGGGTTGCACATGAGCTCCACGTTGAGCGTATGTTGGAGTCGGATCAACCCCGTCAGCCTCGGCGTAGGTCGTGAAGGTCTTCACTAGCTTGTGAAAATAGTCGGCAGCGACATCTGTAATGGCTTCCATCGCAGAAGGCTGCATTTCTTCGAAGCCGGCGTGATAAAACAATTTGGCAACGGATCTTTGCAGGGCAGCTCTGTTGACGGTAGGGTCCATGACTAAGTTGTCGGCACTGCAGATGACATGGGGCTCGATGTCCTGCTCCGTGAAGGGCTCGGGCTCGTACTTGGGAAACTGATTTGTGTAGACCTGGAAAAAAAAAATTTGTCAACACATAATTCAATAGCATTTGATATGTCACATACCTGGGCCTGTATTTGCATTTGCTTCACCACGGCGATTTTAGAGCAGACCTTTCTCGTTTCCTGCATTTGTCGCAAGTTGGCGTCGAGCCTCTCGGAGAGTGCACCTTTGGGAGCGGTGTAAAAACCACTGGGAAGAGTCTTCAAATAGTCCTCATGATGATTGATGACTTGTCCGTCGCCATCCTCTGACCACCGCAAGTTCGGGAGAATGTCCGGTACCAAACTTTGCGGCTCGTAATAAGCAGGAGCGAGAGTGTCCACTTCCTCCTCTTCCATCCCTTCTGCCAATGTTTCTGTTGCCTTTGAAGCATCCTTGGCAGCTGCCGATGACGACTCTGCTGTAGGACTGACTGCACCCAAAGCTTCTGCCTGCTGCTGATGACGTAGGTAGTTGCGCATACCAGCTTTGGTGCGGAGGAGAGCAGGCTCCTCGACATTCAGTCTCCTGCCATTGAATAGCTGGTTGCGGCGCATGGCAATTCGAGCGCGGTCCTTTTTAGTAAGTTGTTTGTAGATCTTGTACTCCTCATCCTCGAATATTTGTTCTTGAGCTTCGTTGAGGGCCTGGTTGAGGGCCATGCCATTCAGCGACGGGCCGTCGATGTCCATGGCATCTCCGTTGCTGCCAACACCTGATATACCGTTCACACCGCCTGGAGTTATGGAGCCTCCTACGGGCGGTGTTGCGAAGCCATTACTTCCGTCCAACTCAGACCCTTCGCGGTGGGCTTTCGCAAGCAAACCATTTAGTTGCAAGACGGGTTTCTGATCTACATTTGGCGTTTCTTCCTTCTGATCTGATGGAGCTTTCCGAGATTTGCTGGCGCCTTTCGCTCCTGTGGTATTGCGCCCACGCGACGACATGATGGGTTCATCGTCGGAATCATCGCCATTGTCGTCCTCTCCGCCGTTCAGCTTACGGCGTTCTTCGGCTTCCACTTCAGCACGTGGTCGGATGACCAGATCAGGGATTAGCGGGATCAGTTTCTCAGCTTCCCTGCGCATGCCGTTGGCCATTCTGCGTAACGGGTGATTCATGTCTTGGTTGTATCTGAGGCAGTTGTCCCAAATCAGATTTAGATCTCCCACAAAATCCGCCTTGGACTTGTACTGGGTAGACTTCAGCTTCTTTGTCATGGTACCCAGATCCATGGGGGTTTTGATGACTGGTAATCGTAAGCGAACATGAAGACAGGTAAAAGGGGAAGAAATAATTCACGACTTTGCTTACGATTGTAGTAGTCAGGCGCATCCCTCTTGTTGACCTTCTGTAAGAAAGGGGTCGAATATTCGGTATGCGCCTTAAGTTCTGTCAGGACTTTTTCCACTGCCTCGTATAATTCTTCCTGATTGACATTCTCCTCGCTAGCCCACTTGCTTCGGTTCTTTCTGACTTCGTTCATAAGATGGCGCAGTTCAGCATCCGAGGCGCGGACCATATCGCGCTTCATGTCGATTCGGGCAATGAGATGCTTGAGCGTGAGACTTGAAGCGCCAAGATTTGCGCTACTGAGAGAACCATGATTCTCGCCGGTCGCGCCAGTATTGGACTGGCCATTATTGTTCTTGTCCATCTCAGCCTGGAGCAGCTTTTCGGACTCTTCTAACTGCTGTTGTTCGAGCATAGCTGTGCGATCGTTCTCGAGGGTATAGAACACGGTGTGGAAGCTGCGCTTGACAGCCTGCTCGGTGGCGACGCGGTCCTCCTCCAACTTTTTGCGCGCATCTTCAGATGACTTGTTGCGGTCTTGAGATGCTTGCGAACCTTGTGACAGGTCTTCTTTGGACTTGTCGGCTTGTTTTTCGGGAGTGGTAACGGAGTGTCCAGGAGAACTGCCGGATTTGGAGGGGGATAATAAACCCTTGTGGGCTTGAGCAGCTTTAGAGTTGAGCTGCGTGGCACCTTGACTGTCGTCGTCTTCTTCATCATCTTCTTCTTCGTCATCATCATCGTCGCCATAATCATCTTCGTCGATGACACGCTTTACGCGCTTGAGTGGGCGCTCCTCGACGGGCGCATGGTCGGTGGTTGGAGGTAGCAGGGGTGCGGCGAGGGCGACGGGGCGGCGGAGGGAGTGTATGCCGGGGTAATTGTAGGATCCGTCGTCTCCAAATATGTGCGCGATGTTTGCTTCGGTCTTGCGAAAGAGGTCGGCAAAGAAGGCGCGTTGACGGTCATCGTCGGTGCTATCAGATGTGGATGCCTCAGGCATCGAGTTCTGGGAGTGAGACTGGGACTGGGATTGGGATTGAGATTGGGAATTGTCGATGGGTGTTTGGGTACGTCTTGGGCCATCATCGGGAAAGTGGAAAGGTCTGTTGCCATTGACTTGGGGTCCCGATGAAGGCGTCCATTGTTGATTGCCGTTCATGATGGACAAAAGATGGTCCTTCGCGTATTATGGGGTAGGCAGGCCTGCGGTCGCCATGCGGGAAAACCAAGCAAAAACGCCAGGTCTCTATCGCGCAGGCAAAAGGGCGTTTTCTGCACCTAAAATAGTATTGGTAAAAAGAGCGTCATTGAAATAGATGGGAAAACCGAGTTTGGTCGAGGGAGTGATGTTGCTGCTGCTGTCGCGATGATTTCCAGGTTGGTCAATTCGCGTGTCGTTGATGGATGTGGTTAACTTGGGAGAGGCCGAAAAGGGTACAAGTGAGTTTTGCTCTCTCCGCGATGACCGCATTCGCATTTGCATTTACAAAGTACATTTGCATTTGCGTTTGGCTGCCCCCGTGTACTTGAGCGAGGCAGGCGCCATGTCAGATTACTGAGGCAACATGCTCTTGTATAAGCAACTGCGCGTTACAATTTTCCATTCAGCCGTCAGAGCAGCCGTTACGCTGTTTTGCGCAATTTGCAGTCGCCATTGAGGCCTTCAATCAGCAGCATTGCCTTGTTCCGATGCGTGTACCTCCTCTCCGCAAGTGGCCCTCCCCCCCCCGTCGTCCCCCCTTCTCCTTCTTCCTGGAACCTCGAGGCTAACTTAGTCTGACCATGAAAGAGTCAATCACGTGTTTTCATTGTCCCATGTTGGTCCTACATATCACTACAACACACATGTGGCTGCTCTACACACGTTTCATTGTCTGCACAGGCAAAGACAAGGAGGACGTGTTTCGAGCGGTTTACACCCTCTAGGAGCTCTCCTGTCCAGGTCACTCTCTCTTGATCGAGAATCCTGGTCTTGGCGCCCTAACCCCACATTGAGGTTTGGCGCAAAAAGGCAGAGCCTCCAAGTCCTCCACCGGGTTGTGATGCCGATCCCCGTCGTCAGGTATCGACAAGAAGCAAATGAATTTCGAGTAGGATGTGACAGTCTGTCTGTCCGACTCGTCTGGCACCCCTCACGCCTCACGGTATTTAGTACTGGGTGACATCGCAGTATCCAACCACGGGTATGTCCTGTATCCGAGGCTTTTCCGGGATATAGGTACAGGTGCCGCACAGATTAGTTATTCCTTACAGGCCACCACAACACAGCCTTGGGCGCCCTGACCAGGATAGCGCGTTTAGGCCATCACCCCACTGTGGGATGCTTTCAAGGCAGCACCTCCAGCTCTGAAGTCACTTTACTCCCCCCAGCCACGCGGGTCCAGGCATGCTAAACGTCACTTGGTAGTTACATCCAGTGCGCGCAACTCCAGTTGCCAGGCTGCATGTCAAAGGCTCGCCCAAATCAAAAGGTGGAGCTCTCTCATGCTGGAGCTTCGGCTGGTTGGGAGCAGCTCTCCAGCTCGTCTTACACAAAATCGCAAACAGGACAACTCTTCAACAAGTCACCTTCACGACGACACCCTCCGCACTGAAGATGTCCCCGATATAACCACCACTTCTTAATATTCTTCCCAACAACCACACCCCCCACACATTGCAAAATGCGCATCCGATTACAATTCGCAGGTGAGCAAACCCCCCCCCCCCCCCCCCCAAACATTGCCGCCTACCGTTGCTTCACCTCGTATCGCACAGCAGCCCCTCGTCGTTCTGTATCACCCTCCACATGCTACCCGAGGGGTTCGAGAGTTCCGAGAGACTAACAAGGACCTCTACCAGGCACATTTTTCCTCCTCTGCCTGCTAGCAGGCTACGCCGGCCTCTCATCTTTGCAGCTCGGCCTCTACATTGACGACAAGCTCCTGCACGTCCTGACCTTCTTCCTGCTGACCGTCGTCTTCTACTGGATCGTCGACACGAATCGCCGCCGCACTCTCAATCTCACCGCCATCGTCTGCACCGTCTGTCTTGGTGTCGGCTCCGAGTTTCTTCAGGGCTTCTTACCAAATGGCCGCGAGTTTGACAGCTATGACATCGTAGCCAACATCGTGGGGAGTCTGGGAGCTCTGGGCCTGTGCAGTTGGTACCACAAGCGCATGCTAGAGAGGAGGCGGAAGGGCAGAAGGTATGACGCCGTGCCTGGTGAAGACGAAGACGATCTCGAGTTGGGCGAAGGCAGCGTGATACCTGAAGATGCGGAACGAGAGGAGGGCGTCATGAGCGCTGCCGGTAATGAGCGGGCCACGACGCTGGAAGATGAGGTTGATAACTGGGACGAGAATGCTGTCGACGCCTGGGATGAGGGCGACGATGATGGCGATATTGGAGGTTCTTCGAGCAAACCGAAGGCCGCCCCTGCTGCTGCTGCTGCTGCTGCTGCTGCTCAAGACATCGGCGACATCAACGAGGCCAAAAAGCGCGTCGACTAACTGCAATCGTGTCTTTGTAATTGTTATGATAACGGAGGACTACGCGGGCCCAAATGATACCTTCTGCGGCGTTCGGGCTGGGCTAAGCTTCATGATTAATGGAATGATGACTTACTAGCCCCTGTACGAATTAGATGAACGCCATGATGGCTATGGATTACGTAGAAAATGGTTCCTTGCAATCTTGGCCGGCCAAACTATATTTAAATAGGTCTTTATGCCATTCGTTGTGGTTTGGTCCGCCAGGACTCAAACCAAGCTCAGAAACACCTGGCTTTTAACAGCCTTATCTTATAGCTTCACTCGTCGAGATTATTGTGGCCACATTCGGGAACAGGCTACCTTCCACTGCAAATATATGTCAAGTCTTCCATGCAGATGGCGGCAGTTGCTATAAAGAATCAACGTAGTATTAACTTCATCGAGTCGCGATACCCGCAAAGCAGGCATGGCCTCTGCATCGTACAGAGGTCCGAGCGTAGAGTTTACTCCTATACTCTTTGACTCACAGCTCATTGCTTTCGAGCATTTCATGGCTGCAAACAATACACTCCCATTTTAATTTCAATTAATCAACACCGTAGTACCAGTTGAAACCTAAGGCATACGAATAGCTAGATACCTACCTACCGTTCGGCAAAGGCTCGGGCTAAATCGCTGACGAAATCGGCCTTCAAGTCTACGTGCGTTGGGACTAAGAAAATTATGCAAGCCGGCATTAGTCACGTATGTGGGGGGTTGTTGTATAAACCTCTCGGGGGTACGGGGACGCCTCGAGATGAAGTTTTGCATAGACAAGTAGACTTTTGCATTCGTGCTATTATTTTGTAAAGTAATTTTTCCTTGCTTCAAGAAACAGGCGACCGCAAACCGACCAAGACGGAGGAAATAATGGGCCAGGATATCAAGAGTACGAACGGTGTTAATGGCCATATCCACCATAACGGCGCGGTGTCGTCCCTGACCAGGGCAGCCGAGGTTGAAGATGTAATTTATGCTGTTCGTCCCTTATAGTCCCGTACGCTACTAATACGTGTCTGTAGCTCGTAGATGCCGTCAAGTCTCTGCTGCTGCCCTTCATCAAGTCCGCGGATGATGCGGCGCCGGAGAGGGCCAGGGGCGGCAATGTGACATCTCAGTCAAGCGTACTTGTCGACTCCTATGCCCCTAAGGCACTGGTGGAACGACTGGCGTTTTCGTTGCCGGAACGAGAGGGTCGAGGGCGTGACGGACTGCTCGCTACCATCCAGAGTCTCCTGAAGTACAGCGTCAACACCTGGGATCAAGGGTTTTTGGACAAACTGTACTCGAGCACCAATGCTGTGAGTTACGTGGATTGTATCTATCGTGTCGCGGAAGTACAAATTAATCAATCTTCCTTAGGTCGGCGTAGTCTCAGAACTTGTCCTCTCCGTCTTGAACACGAACGTAGGTTTTATTCCAGATGGGCTCAGATCATTGGAATCTGACTAATAGCCTGGCAGCTCCACGTATACAATGTCTCTCCCGCTTTAACGGTCATTGAACGGGAGACTGCAAAGTCATTCGCCGCGTTGTTCGGATTCACTGGTCCACGTGCTGGCGGTGTGACATGTCAAGGTGGTTCGTCATCGAATCTGACCTCGCTAGTCATCGCCCGCAACGCACTATACCCCGATACCAAGATCAACGGCAACGGGGCTCACAATTTCGTCCTTTTCACCAGCCAGCACGGCCACTACTCGGTCGAGAAGGCCGCGACGACCCTGGGTCTCGGAAAAGCGGCTGTCGTTGCCGTGCCCGTGGATGACGCAGGCTGCATAATTCCCAGCGCCCTCCGAGAGGCCGTCGCGCGCTCCAAGGCCGACGGCAAGACCCCCCTCTACGTCAACGCCACAGCCGGCACCACCGTGCTCGGCTCGTACGACCCGTTCCGGGCCATCTCGGCCATCTGCAGGGAGTTCAACCTCTGGCTGCACATCGACGGGTCGTGGGGCGGGAGCGCCGTGCTCTCGTCGAGGCAACGCCACAAGCTCGAGGGCGCGGAGCTGGCGAACTCGCTGACGGTGAACCCGCACAAGATGCTCAACGTCCCCGTCACCTGCTCGTTCCTGTTGACCAACGACTTGAGTGTGTTCAAGAAGGCCAACACCCTGGCCGCTGGATATCTGTTTCACAGTGACGATGACGACGACGTGGAGGAGGAGACAAAGGAGTACTGGGATCTCGCGGACCTGACTCTTCAGTGCGGGCGCCGCGGAGACGCGCTGAAGCTGGCCCTCGCGTGGGTCTACTACGGAGCTGCTGGCTTCGAGAAGCAGATCGATCATGCCTTTGACATGGCTTCGTACCTTGCGACGTTGGTCCAAGAACACCCAGACTTCAGGTTGGTGAGCAGCAACCCACCACCATGTCTGCAGGTGTGCTTTTACTACGCCCCCGATGGCGCGTTGGCGGAGGACGAGAGTGAGAATACCAGACGGACGAGCGAGGTGGTGAAGAAGCTGGTGCCGAGAGGTTTTATGATCGACTACTCTCCAGGACCCCAAGGTAGCTTCTTCCGAGTTGTTGTGAACTGTCAAACACTGGAAGGAACCGTGGAGGGGCTTCTGAAGGCGTTGGAAGAGGTTGGCCGAGAAGTGGTGGTATAGACTGCACATGGACACCATTCCACCATCATTTCGTGTAATTCTCTTCCTATTCAATGGACTTATGGTGCTCTACAGATATGTGCCAAAATTCTTATATAGCTTAAAAAGGGTTCAGCTTGGCTCCTAGGGGCTTTGCACGGCACGTCCCCAGTGTCGTTCGGAAGCCCTGGCTGGCTTATAAACAAACACCCGCTTTTCCTGTTTTTTTTACGCCCGTTCTAGGTTGCGCGATGGGGTGCAAGATTTGTCCTTTTCGGTGTTCCTCGATCAGGAGTAGAGATTCTCCCCCTTCGTTATACTATAAGGAAGACTAGCGCATAACTGCATCTATTACATGTTTACTAATCTTGTAAAAGCTTAACGTAATAATTAAGAGTTGTCATATTAAGCTTATATATTAAACATTTCTTAGAAATATAAATATATTTATTATGATTCTCATAACTTTGAAATTAATTAAATGGTTTAATGATTAAATTTAATAATACTTAATGTCCTAGTCCTGCAGACGATCGTCGTGTTAAAGTGAACAAACTAGGTCAGCGTATACTGTAAAAGATACCCCCACCATAACGAAGCTTGAGACGTAATCAGGCGCTTGCTCACCTTGTGCAAGTAGTGAACTGACCGGCACGGCTCTTTTTTGAACCTCTTCAACAGCATTATATTTAAAAAATCAAACACGTGTGGTGCGCCATTCATCTGATCGCATCCGACACCGGAAGCTTCTCTAATTCCAGCTGCCATAGAATATCATCGGCTCTGTGGGGCGATTAATGGGCATTCGAGGCTTGCGACAAGGTATATGCCCAATATGACTTCTTGGAACATTTTCGATGGTGTGAACAGGCACAGCTCCTACCGAAATCGAGTGGCGAAGGTAATACCCAGCCAACCGAGCTACTAGAGGCTGCTCGGAGAGAAAGCTGATTTAATAACAGATAATACACGTTGGGTCATACATATATGGCCAAAGGAAAGAAAAAGAAAAGTGCAAAAATAAGGTCGATTTATTCTAATGATTAGAATGCATCGGGAATTGAGCCCGATGCGGGGGTCGAACCCGCAGCCTTGAGATTAAGAGTCTCACGCTCTACCGATTGAGCTAACCAGGCCATCTTTTCAGATGGTTTGCTGTTGAAAATTGCCTCAGTAATGGTATTCATATAAGTAGTATTGAAAAATCAAAAATGTCGCTCAGGTGTGAGTGGAGCGGAAAACTTGACGACGGGAAGGTGGAGCCAATCAGAAGTGGGCGTACTTGGAGAACATCGTCTCAGAGCCTGAGACATAAAAAGGAACATAACCTTTAACCTTCGGTTTCACTAGCAGTGACTTGATATCTGATGGGTTGAGCCAAGGTAACTTCAAGGGCCACAAGTGCAAGTCAACGTAAAAGTCCAGTACACGGTGTTGGAAGACATGCTTCGACGATAATAACCAGACTCCTGCCACATGGTTGACTTATAAACCACCAAGACGCATGTCTGTTCTGCACTGTTACACATGGACTAGGTGTCGCCACACAAACCTGAAAACGCAGCGACCCGAGGCATCTAACATACCGCACACGATACCTGGTAGATTTGGAGAATCGAGAGAGATCTGCCTTGGTTGGCACAGAATAAGGATGTGAAGAGTTGGAATGAGTGATGGTTCATAACGACGGTCCTATATGGTTGTTTGGCTAAATCTGAGCATTAAAAATACAAGCGTCTGGTAAGGCCGCTTGGTTGAAGGATTTTGCAGCATGCTATCAGGCATAGTTTTGGTTTTATCCAATCAAAGTCGACCGATTTCCATCGTCAATTTTCTATTCGGCCAAGTGCGATCCTGATCAGAAGAAATAGGCGGGCCATGATATACCGCAACTTACACTATGATTTGATCCCAGTGAGCTGCGATCAACATTATTGTTGGAGCTATGTATATGATAATGAAGGCGGATTGGTATATTCGAAGGAATCGTCCTTCGTTTTGGTACTTGAGAGCCTGTATAGGTTATCTTTCGGTCGTGGGGTCCCCTAGTTTACCCGCCAAGGTACCAGCTAACTTGAGATATCATGTTAGTTAGAGACTAATCTAAGTTCGTTTGAATATTAACAGAGACACCGATACTTACGAGCATGATTGCGCAGCCATAAGCTTTCCCTTTCCGTGTTATTTGCATCATAGCTTGCAGCAATTGATGTTGAGTACTCGTATCGCATTATTGCAAAGTCTTGCTACATTAACTTATACTTTTTGAGGATAACTTGCCTTTTATGTATCTGTCAAAGTGGTCGTTTGGTGAAGTACATCTATGCCTTATGCTCAGGAGTGATAGACACGTCACGTATGGTGATCAATAGTAGTCTATTGATATGGATTGTTATGTAACAGTAAAGAGCAAAGCCAACGTCTGTTCCATTGAAGGCTACCTAGTGTGGACTGTTCGACCTGCGCCACCATGATGAAGGGATTTTGTAGCATTGCATTCTCGTATAACTCTCGATGAATGCCTCATAACCCAGCGATGTTTGAATGGGCCCATCATGGTACAGAGTTGTGATTTATAAATCTAGAACTGATTCCCGCGGCTTGTCGGGGTTTCATAAGAAGGGAACGATTTTCTAGAGGAAATCCTCCAACCATGGAAATTCGAATCAGGTGGTTGGAGTGTTTGGGAGGCGAGAGTTGTGAATACGAGAAGCAATAAAGTTCGATTCGGTATGAGCCAGCTGCCCGGACCCTCACGACACTGTATTACTACTGCCCACGCTCATTCTACCTGGTTTGTAGTATGGTTCGTGTTGTAAAGGCTTAAGTCCGTGCTACTTGGAATACATATCTCCGAACAGGCAGGTATGTGAACGGTATATAGTGCTTATAGACTTACACAGCTCTCATTATCTCTTCTGTAGCCTTGTTAGAACCCAGATGCAAAGGATCCATATGTAGCTCTTCAATGTGCTCAGAGATTCATTGCAAGGCCGAGCAGCAGATTTTATTTTATTTTATTCTTTTGTACCTGATTTGGATGTGCGCGCTCTAGGCGCAAGTCGGTATTCGACTCAAATATGTGCACTCCTGATTCATTACCAAATTTTCTCTTTGTGGTGCAGACATGTCTGCATCCATTATGACGATCCCATAGCGATGGATTTACGTGTGGGCCGGTCGCGCCTCGTCACTTACGAGCTATCCATTGATTACAAAACGAGTGGCCTCGACCTCCATGGCATAGATAGATCGGAGTTTGTGTAATCATTGTTCAAGATTAGCCCGCAAGGCAGTTGAGACGATGCCATGCGCCCAAGGATGGCATCGAAGTATTTGAACTTAAGAACAGTTTTTTTTTTTTTTTTTTTTTTTTTTTTTTTTTTTTTTTCAAATAAGGATTCTAGCCAAATCCACAAAAGGTTCCCGCCATTCTACGTACGTGGGTCGTAGGTTACTCGTTAAAGTACAAGCTTTTCGTTGGCCACGGATGTCTTTTCTGCTAAGGATTGCGAGTATGGCGAATGGGTTGAAACCCAAATCTGGAAGTATCGTGAAGAAGATCTAGCGAATTGTGTCTTGATACCTCTATGAAAGATCGTGGGATATCACGCCAGGCCGTTCATCATTGTCCATCATCAATACTACCTCCACAAAAACAAACCGCATGGTATCACATGCCGACAAGATTACATGCGTCTTGACAATTAAAAGATATGCGGATGGAGCAGCCAGTATTTAAGCTTGAGAGTTATTATTCGGCGTGGATAAGAGCGAAGGAAATCTCTATCAGAATACATTACACTATAATCTTAGTACTTTCCTCAACCGGCAGTAATCCCACATTGGAACACATGGTTTCAAGCTTTGTCTAATTACTGCTACGAGCGCAAGCAATATGCGTATATATAGAACTCAAAACTTATTTGAGCCTCGATAAAACGAGTGTATTCGCTTGAGCCGTTAGTATCATCTACTTCCCGTCCAGGAAATGTCTGGCAATCGTCCCAAATTAGGCAACCAAGGGCTGCCTTACGGAAGGAAGCGTGAGAATCGTCTAGTGTAGCTTAATTGTTGTAAGCAACAGGCGCCAAACAATTCCAATAATTATTCTCCGGTCAACCATGCTCGATGCCTCGATTGCCCAGCAAGCATCGATTGTCAATATGAGCAAGCCCAGCCCATGTCCACAGCGCGGCTTTATCGGAGTATTGAAAAATAGCGAATACGACATTTCCGACGCCAATCTCAAAATTGCGAAAACTCCGGCTATGGCTGTGTAATCGATGTGTGCATCACCGTGACATGCCATGAAATCGATCGCAGGGGCATTTCAATTAAACTATATCATAGTTGCAATCGTGACACTCGAGACAGGCGATTCACACCACCACCAATCACTGCAACACACATCACGCGATTCCTAGAAGCCTTCTTCCGAATCGCAGTGCGCTTACGTTCTAGTTGGCGCCGCTGACGGTCCACCTACCCATAAGCTCCAGAGAGCTGGTAAGAAGTTAAACCACATGGGCTCGCAGATGTGTCGTCTTCCATCTTCGCAGCCTTGTGAAGCCAGCACCAAGAAAACCTTAAATAAACGCCAAGAAAACGTAGAATTGTCCCTGGTGTTCCCAGGGTAGCAGAAGTTCCACGATGCGGGCCGAGCGGCGGTTGAGCTCGCAATCGGCGATGGCCAGACCCCTGCTCCCCTAGCGGGATATCGTGCGGCATCGTCCTGGAGGTCCTGGCGGGTCTGGAGCCATGAGCTTACCGCGGAGCTCATTGCTGACAATGTTGGTGGATTCTAATAATGCCGAGCGCTATATTATGCTAGGATCGTTTGGCAGTCGCACTCACGAGCGAATGTTTGGAATCGGCCGTATTCCTTCATCAGTGTTTCGTGACAGTTTTAATATTGATCGTATGGTCTACCCTAGCTATAAATCGAAAAACAGTTTCGATCTCTCCACTGTCAGTACTACAATGAAGACGGGTTTTCATGATAGGGGGTGGTGGGTTCGTTCTGCCCCGCTTAGAAACATTTATCAGAAATGAAGAAAAGAAAAGAATTATAATTTTACACAAAGTTGACCCAGCGCGGAATCGATCGCCAGGCTGGAAATGTGGATAGCTTCACCGAAAAGTAAGATTGTGGTTTTCTCGTTCCCTATGCCTTGTTTGTTCAATCAATGTGATAGACTGTAGTTGAGTGCCTGGAAATCAGCGATTTTTTATGCTTCAAAAATAGATTGTAATATGAATTCGGAAGCACCTGTTCGTTATATCCTTGCACGGTGGCAATTGATCATTTGATGATATTGAGGGTCTGGATACTACATAGTTAATTGTGCAGCACCTCGTTTAATCTTCGTTCTCAGATCGGAATGATCGCTTCGTAACATGGGGTAATGTGAGTAGGACAACATGAGGAACTCTTGGATCTGCGCTAAGATCCTGGTTGATGGAGCCTTTGCAACCTAAGATTCAATTGCTTAGATGTACTGTACCTTACGTTTGGATGCCAGGATGCTCTCAATTCGAATCTATCTAACGTGCTCCGTACTTAGTATTTAGTCTAGTAATAAGATCGAATTGGCAGGTTAAGTAGTTCTATTTATCATACACAGATGTTGGAGACTGAATACGGTTGGGGGATGGGGTTTAGTGGAATTTGGATCACTGATACCAAGTACTATGGTATATACAACAATACAACCCGGTTGACCTTGAAACACGTGTGAAGGTAAAATGTTGTCAATGCGACTTGCAGCACATATCATAATTGTGAAACATCTTCAATGACTTCTACCATGAAACGAAGCTCTTGTCAAAGTGCACTTGTTGACGTGTCGAAGCCTGAAATTTCGGGGGCTTAGCTGTTGAGTGATGGACGTCATATGCAAAGTTCAGCTACCACATGTTAGTGAATGGATATGTCGATCAACGGGAGATCTAGAATATGATGGACCGTTATCTCCGAGGAGATTCCTCCGTTTCAGCCAGCTAGGGGATCCGCGCCGTACACCAGGAGAGCCTGGTGGGATGGATTCGTGGTGAGCAGCAAGCGTGATTGCTCTTTAGTCCAAGACTATGGGCTCAGGTCAGGTACTATGTATGTTGGTCTGTCGCCTAGTCTAGGTTAGGGAGAAACTAATAAAGAAAGCCGGCGTGGTAGCAAGCCATCAAGGCCAGTGGGGTGCTTTCCCGGGTGATTACTATACATCCGTCACCGTGCACAGAAATATCGTCAGAAAGAACTGGTACCCCATTGTTGTTGATAACACTCTATGCCATGGTAGAAAGGATCGGGGACGAGCCCCTGAGTATCAACACCAGAGGAATGGCTCATCCAGACCTTGTTTGCTAGAAATGGAAGCGTAACCACTAGAGATGCCCGGTGCAAGAACTAAAATGCGCTCTGCTGGATACAAAGCGGCATTTCGAATAGAGCAGTTCAAACTAACACGCTAAGCAGCTACATAGCAAGTAAAGAACGATTTTATACAGTAGCATGACCTCAGTTCCATACAAGTAAAGGATCTTACTAACCGCCCAACGCCAGAAATGCACAGCGATGCAAATGTAGAAATTTGATATACGGTGTGCCGCCCAAAGATGACATGCAAATTCGCGTTAGGTCCATTGCTCAGTTTCAACCCGTAGTCGCGAGTCAAACAGGCTTGGATGAAGCCAATGCTATGTTCGTGCAAGGGATTGATAAAACACAAACCACCGAGTTTCTAGTAATTAGGATATTCGCTTCGTGTTTTTTCAAGTTGTGATGGCTTAGTTCGCCCGCATGTCTGGAATGCGGAAATAGCTACAAATTGACATGGTGGACGACGTTCGGCAGTGCAAAGCTCTCGTACACAAGAGGAGAAGGAAAAACGAAAAACCCCCTCCCCCCAAATTTTTTTAAATATTTTTTTTTTTTTTTTTTTTTAAGGATCTGAGACAGAGGGTTCTTCTGCTCGCACGCTGCTTCAATTCATCTCAACTGCAAGAATTTGTTATGATTAGTTCATAGCGATGTCATATTTCGAACTGGCCAAATCAAAATGCCATGTTAGCAAAGATGGCATTTTGGGAAAAATTGGATTGTTTCCTCGCTAACCTGACTCCAGCAAAGATCGCCGAGATGTGTCCTGTGCGATCTGTGGACCGTCTCAAATTCGGAGAGATCAAAAGCTTGGCGCAAGTTGAGGTTGCATGTAGTGTACAAAGTATCTTGTCTCGGGAGCGAAAATGGGAAGCAGTGCCGGATAGTGTTCAATGCGACTTGATCCATCCAAAAGATTCCAACAAGCCAATCAAAGAAGCATGGGAATGTGTTCCGACTTTAGTTCGTCTGTGTGCTCCCAAGATACGATTGGTTGATTCCAGCTCTGTCCTACATACAAAAATTGTTAAGGATTGATGTACCTTTGTGTGCAAGGGCATTTTGAAGAAAAGCCGGACACACTGCTCCGGATGCTAGCAATCCCGCGATGAGTTTTTGCAAGGCTAAAGATATTAATCGAGCACAGCCGCCTAAAATAACCAATTACTGATCAGTTACGTTTGCAGTTTCTGGGCCGTGGGGATATGATGTAAAAATAAAATAAAATAAAAATAAAAAAGTCGCATCGTTCTGATCTTCAAAGAAATGAGATCGAGGAAGGGGAGAGGAAATTTCAAGTATATAACGACATGGCAGATGGTCCAACTAATGAGGTTGACTGCAACTCTATCGCATTCCCATCAACTGCATCCATATTCCCAACTTGTTGCCAGCATCCAAATGAGCAAGAAGAGAAATATCTTTTCATATCACTGTTCCCTCTCGTTTGCTTCAAATTACAGTTAGAGAAGTTCATTGCGACAAAAATCAGAGGATCAGTGCATAGTCGTGTCCAGCACCCCTTGTATTCTCGGTCAAAGCGCTGTGATGTACATTGCTGGTCTGAGCTTTGATCAATTGAACAAGCTCAATATACAGTCAATAGCAGTCAATCATGCTGTTACTTAGTAATAACTTTCCAATGACTTCACCGCAACGCGTGGGCCTTGCAAATTACAGATCTGGCTATTGTCCCAGGCGAGTACAGACAATCGATATCGCTAATTTCCTAGTCGTACCTGATAAGCAATACAAGGCAAGAAATTGAGCAACAGTCAATAATTGGATGTTGGTGGCCAGCATAGGATGCTTTCGATGGCTTGCTATGCCAGCTGTCTCACCATGTTCTACGAAGATTCCATTATGTTGTTTTGCAATATATTATTGCGTTAGTGGAGGGCTTGTTACTAAGTAAACTGTTACGGGCTGAGTGGTCAGCAATCATTGATACCTACGTAGGACGCTCGCGCAGGAGTACCACAAGTTTCCACCAAACACTACGAGCAGAACATGTTTTGCGTGTACACGATTGAATCTGTAATTTGAAGCATGGTGCTTGAATTGTACCCAGTGATCCTGCTAAAACGTAGAGTTTTGGTTCGATTTCGGGAAGTGTGGCAATTCCCAGGCTGGCGTCCTGCTAAGGTATTCTTCACAAGAATAGAGTTTGCCTAATGCCCACCCTTACCTTGAACCCACGCGTTTTGTGAAGATTTGTCCAATCTGGGTTTGGCTTTCGCACATCAAGACACATCTAGTTAGGATCACAATTAATGCAAAGCCGGCCGCGTTAATATGGGGCTGGCACATTACTGGTAGTCCTCACTAACCACGGTACGGCCAAAGAAATCGAAGAAATGTGAGTGAATCGCCTCCTCAACAGTCGGAGATAAATCTTCAAAGACCGACCACAGTCGTTTAATCCAGCGATTGCTGTGTCAGATCAGGGCGGCTGCTTGGGACACAACCCAGGAGGGGTTGTTCGTCTTGCAACAAAGCAAGCAAGCCCCACGGTACTGGTATGGAGATGCGGTTACAGAAGCAAGCCTGAACTCAAAAGGTTGTGCTATAATCCTAAACCAGCACTTTTTGCGAGTTACGGGCGACTCTGGGTTCTGAATCCTCATGCTAGGAATGCAGACATACCAAGTGCTGTAGGCAAAGTTATCGAAGTTGTCTCTACAGAGTTGAGGCCGCGCCAGCACCCGTAGTCTAAGTCTAACGATCTGCGAATTGATGTTGAGCATACGATCTCTGCAGCATTTATGGAGCGTCCCTCCCTATTTTGTATTTCATTCAAAAAAATTTCCCTTCACATCTCAATTGCACAGATTGGATACCTAGGTACTATGTATTACGAAGCTGTAGTGAAATGTGGGTATTTTGCAGCTCCATATTCGGCTGCAAGGTCAATTGCTTCTTGTTCATGGGGGAACATAGAGAGCACATTTATTCAAAAAGGCAGAACTGCGAAAGCTCTCTTGCTACACAGTACTCCATACGTGTCTCTGAGACTTCGTCTAGGTTAGTGGACAGCCATCATGCTTGTGAAGGCGATAGACTTGGCCAAGTGTATCTATTACTACGGGGCTATGACAAGCCTAGAGCATATTCCATCTTTCACTACCTGATTGTATAGCGCGCCGCAAGTATTGAGTACTTGCAAAAGCCGAGAAACACTAAATCGATTTGGAACGTTTTGGCATTTGCTCCTCCAAAAAGCATACAACAAACACTATCTATCTGCTTGTTCCCCTGCTAGTCTTTGCTGCCGAGGAGGCCCACTCTCAGTTATCCTTGCAAGGCGCCGAGGCCTTCGCGGTGTGTCATTGGTTCCAGCACCAAATGATCGAGATCTGTTAAGAATGGGTGAAGTGTCACGATCGATCAGTGACTGAGCAGTCAATCGACCGAAAATGGGATGGTACTAAAGTACATGCAGCGGCATGCCGCTCTGGTGAGGAACGCTGCAATGTAACCCCTCTGTGCTTGTACCTTCCATAAGCCCCATGTTTTTTCAGCATGGGGAAGTCCAAATCCCCCCAGCCAGATATTTAATGTTTTTGTCCCTTGTTCCTAGGTGTAGTATATCTCTGGGTTTGTCTTCTTCACAACCATTTGGCCAACGAGATACAGTTTATCATCCCACAACGCCAAACACCAAGGATAAAGCTCAGCCTTCCCGAGACACAATTAACGAAGCTTTGAGCATCACCTGGCTCAACTGCATCTCGTCACCCACATACACACGCTTGACTGCAGCCCAGCTGTCGATACATTACTCCGTTTCTATAGTTTTAACTGGATATAGTCGTCTATCCGACAGAAATAGTTTTGGAACTTGAACTAGGCTTCACGTCTTCAGACTTACACGAGTTAATCATTCCCCGCGTCGTTACCCACGAGGTATATCGGTTCGCTTGGATTAGCAATTGTATATAGCCAGGAACCAGAACTTCAGTAAACCTTCACAAGGCCGTCCTCTCACAATATCCACCGAACAGAGCGATTGCGCTATTACTTGCCAACTATCGGGGTTTATATCGACTACGCAATCACGCTTTACCAAATGCCTAAGCGACCTCTAGATGTGACAGCAGCGATGCCGATCAACGATCGAGTACCGCCTGTCAAGGCCCAGAAGGCAAGTTTACATCTATCCTGGTTCCATGAAACCTGCGCCCATGAACAGCTACAGTTGTACTAATTGTTTCAACTAGACCGAGAGATCACATGAAGAAAACCAAGAACGAGCCTATATCGCCGCGTCCCGCCGAGCTGACCGAAGCTTGGAGGCAAGAGTTCAATCCGCAAGGATGGCTTCAGAGATTCACCGGAGGAGAACGGGACGAGGCTTGAAAGTCACTGAGGAGATTGTCATCAAAGAAGAGATGTACGAGGAGGAAGAGGATGATTTGCCGAGACAGTTTCGACATCTGACGCGACACTTGCAAACAAATTCCCCAAGCATGAACCATCGAGTAAGCGCTTATATCACGACGCAGGCCGCCATGGCATCAATGGCCAGGTACAACGAGGTGAACAGGCTCTTTAACGAATCCTTCCCTACTGCCGCCGCGTACCAGCAACAGTTGAATAACTCGATCTACATGACTCCCCTTATGACAAACAATACCCAATTCTCGCCAACTTCGCCCACAATTTCATCCCCTACCCACACCGACGGTGGTCATTCGCAGTACAGAGGAATGGATCGCAGGATCTCCTCAGCGACCACATCGAATTCCACGCCACCAGCTCTGTCTCCTGCTTCCGTCACCATGGACACACCCGAGTCGAGGCCTACACCCCGCCAGAACAATGCAATGCATACCTTCTCCACTATAGAGAGTCAACAGCAGCGTCCCACCTCTGCATTTACCTCTGAGCTACCAAACGAGATCAAGTTACTAGGAATGGCCAACGTCGACATGAACGATCCTATGGCTCCCTACTATTTCGGTGGGGACCCATCAGCGTTAAACAACATGTTTAGTCATCGTGCCGACGAATCTGTCCAACCTGAGTTGACACTCGACAAGCCAGAGCCTTTGCATGATGATTCAGATATCACCTCACCATATGAGTCAAACGTGGACGACATATTGTACTCGCCGATGGAGAATACTTTCACAGGCCAGTTTGACAACTTCAACAGCCGGATGGGTACACCGGCTGGTGGATACATGGGCGACGCTACTTGGGACAATCTGATTGACTTTGGTGCTGAGCAATAGGATTCATATTCCTCCTCATCAATTCTTAGCTGACCATAGTGGCATCATGAGATTGATTCTCTACAGTTTTTTGTTGTGTTTTTTTATGATACCACGCATCTTATGCGGCCTTTTATGGTTTGATGCATTTACGGCTGCATGGTATATGCTCGGGGTCATTCAGTGCCTGGAGTTTGATTTCATTCATCCTCAAGCGAATTTTAGGAGTTTTGGAGTCATCTTTTGTTGCGGCAGCTCATTGTCCCTGCGGAAACAGCCACAGCATCCGCGTTTCAAGTTAATGAATGTTTCGATGAGTTGATACTAGTGCTTATTGGAACTCTCGGGAGTTCCTCTTACACGACGGGGTATATCACATCAGTCAAATATGGATCGGAGTTATTAGACCACCGGAAATGGATAAACGGGCAACTCATGAGATGTTTTTATGAAGCTCAGAGACCCTTGAGGGTTGGCAGGAAGCGATTTTAGTCGCTAGGTTGAGGTCGGTGTAGGCATCAGCCCTACCTACATATGGTGAGGCGTACGTCTGAAATACGGCTACGTCGTGGAGAAGGATTCCGCGATCTCTTGGAGAGGGTAATGTTTCTGTTGCTTCGTAGAGAAGCATGCGGTTTGCCAAAGCGAGAAAATGACAAAACTAGCCGGACACTGGTCTGTGATACATGTTCTATTGCGGTTTCCAGATCGCGGTCATAGGCAAGGACCACAAAAACATAATATAACCCACAAAACCACAAAACTGAGTTTCCACTGTACTACCGTGCGATTCCCAATACTATCTCAACTCTCTATAGTCTAACCTACGCTGTTGAATGAAGTAATGCAGTAAGAAAGATCCAGACAAAGTTGGTGTGCTTACCATACAAAGCATACACCCATGGATGTGTTGAATTAGTTATCCCTAGGACACGGGTAGCATTCGTCGAATCATTCTTTAAGCAAAACACATGCATATACCACAACTCTAGACGTCCACACAACTGCCGTCCGCGCTTTGCCTCCGCCCATGTAATAAAGTCCGCGCCAATTACACAAGCTTCTCTGACTGCACAATCGACCAAACAAAGTCCGCACAAATTGCGGGTAGGCCAGCCAAAACTCTCCTTCTCGAAGAGGTACCCCATGTCTTACTCCCAATGGATCACCGCATTGGCAGGCAGGTATGGAGAGAATCATCCGCAGAACTCGCAGGCTTTCCTTTCTTAGACCAAAAGTAAAAACCGATCTTTTCGTTTCCTGCCGCTCTTCTCACGCGGACAAAGAAACATTAATTGGGCCGACTCGCGTGGAGGCGTCACAAGCTCAAGGACCACAGAAGTAATTCGTCCACCGAATTACTGCGTGGGACTTGAGCCGGTGATTATTAGGCGACCTGGACGGGAAGGCGCCAGCTTTCCAAGTTCCTTAACCTGCTGCAACCGTTGCCCCTTCACCATGAGGTCACGATTCGAGGCCTCCTTGGGCCACCATTACCAAGCCATCGCTAAAACATTAGTTTCCAGAGTTTATCTCTAATAAGCTGCATTGGCCTAGAGTAGCCGACAAAACCCCAGCTTTGTCTTACATCATCTTTACCCGAACATTCCGTATAAGGCTTGCGAAATCAGTTGCGTTTTCTCCGGCTGGTACTATCCATCGCCTATTCATCCGTATGAAATACTCTTTTGGTGAGATATAGGCAAGGACCCCCGCTAGAATCGAAAGGGATCGTGGTAGCACGGAAAAGTACCCACTCGCGATCGTGAGATCCGCGCCATCGTTTATCTGAGCCGATCTCCCTTCTCATCATAAACATCTCGTTCTCATCCTGCCCCCGAGTCATATCACTCCCATATTTTGCATTCTGCACTGCCAACCCTCCGACTAAAGATTCCCCCATCTTTATTGTGACAGCCTAATCGCAAGTGGCGAAAGAAAATTGGTAGAACGCGTGAACAAGGATAGAGCCCCCATAATACTTCTAAGTACCTCATGTACCAGGGTAGTTGTGAGTTTTAGTAGCTTTTTTATTTTTGGGTTTTGTTTTTTTGTTTATTTTTTATTTTTCGTGTCGTACTAAGTGCGGATCTTGCATATCGGATCTCGCATGTTCAGCGTGGTTCCCTTTCCTGATAAAGGATCACCATCCGCCATTTCCGGCTACCCACTCTGACGTTTTCTACCCTGAGCAAACGAGAAAGGTCTTGCAACATGTGCTCTTTTTGTCATAAACGACAATATCGCACGGCCCTACTTGTACGTCCTTGGCTGCACATGTGGAGAATTGGTTGGTTGAAGGTTGATGGGCCGGTTTGCAACGCACTATTTGCTGCCTGCATGTGCTGCAAGCAATGCAACCACAATCGAGCCCATAATCGAACCACGTTGCTAGATAGTGTACCAAGCTTTTCAACAACCCCCATCTGTCCAATTGAGCAAAGCATTATCATCAGAGTCGTGGGGTGGTACAGTTTGTCGATCTGTCAGCCGCATGTCGTTATTCCTCGTCCACGTGTGCCCTGGACGTTGGCTAGATCACAAGGATGCTTGGAGGCATGCTTTGGCAATGGAACTCGTTTAAAATCTCTGTCGTTATCTTGCTAAGCGCTCTGGATTTTGCTTTTCTGAGTAGTTTTTTTTAATGTCGATAGTTGCTTTTAGCCTCCTTTACAGTAGTTTCAGTCGATAGCCGAAAATAATGCCATCGAGATTTGCCACTTCCCCGGATTATGGCCATGCTAAGGTCATTCTAGATGCCCTGTGGCAATTAAACGGAGGCTACGTCTGAACTTTTCTGATCACAAATCTTGAGCACACCTCATAAAGCCACCATGAACTTGATAGTGAAGAGAATGGGGGAATGTACGGGATAAAACCGTGGAGGCAACTGATTGTGTTGACTCGTCTTGAGCAACGGTGATCCTCTGTGTGAACTTGTTAGACACAATGACTGTGCCAGTCGACTACCAAAAGCATGGACCGTTTCCTTGTGAAAGCTCTTCCGCACCGCCGAGCTCTCGCAATGAGCTGATGCCAGGGGCTTGTCCCCAGCCATCCTGGCCCTTCTTCCCATGCTTTTCGGCTGCCCACGCGCTTGAATAGATTTTCCAATTCCCCGGTTTCATCCCAACTCAAGCGGGGGTCTGGTTGGCCGCTCAACGGGCTGTCTAGTGTTACGCCCGAAATTACTCGGACCGGAAACTGGGCACTTGTCACGAAAGCCATTAGAGTTGCCCTGCGTAGATTGGAGATGAGGCACGCGTTACGGCGCCTGCTTGTAATGTTATGCCTAACTATCACGTCGAATAGGTCAACAGTTGTGTGAGGTATTAGACTCGATGAAACGAATAGGCTTCGATAGTTATAGAGTCGTTACATGCACCGGGCTATGTTATCTTAGGCTATCAGCTTAGAGTAAATAATTATAGATATATGGTTAAATGAACTGCAGTGTATTTTTCCATGTCTTGTTCAAAACTCTCACACATTGGTTTATATATGACTGGGCCGTATCATATCGCCGCATGGTCTAGATTTGGGCAGGCACGTGTCGAGGTTGAGACAAACCTCTCCTGTCATACTATCGAGGTAGGATCAGCTACACCGCATTTCGGAATTTTGTTATTTTGGAGATTGTTTTACAGCCAGGCTTGTTATGTGAGAGCATGAATCACATGAACGAAACTGTGTTTTGACAACAGTTACCTATTAATTACAATTCAAAACGAGGATCATTGAAAATGGGGCAGGTAGCTTGAGGGCTTCTCGGAATTGTCCCCAAATAGCATACAAAGGATTTTACTAGTTTTGGTATCATGAGGTCGTCTCAACATCAGCCCTCTTCCTTCGTGCTGCCTCATCAACTTTAACCATGTTGGGGTTGTTTTTGGTGATTTTCCCCCCCGCCTGCTGTCTCTTCCACACGGGTGCAGCAGCACGTGTCTCAGTGTCGACCTCCTTCGTCCATGCGATCCAGTCTCTCGGTCTTGTCTTCCACATATCTCCTTGCCATGCTTTCCACACTTTCCGCCCTTGGAATGAATCACGTAGTTCCATCTCATGCTCCCCAAGCACGTCCATGATCTGCTGCTTCATGTGGAAAGGCAGATTGATGCCTTCACTCTTGGACGGTACGGACACGATGGCACTGATTACTTTGCTACCGTGATCCGACACGGCGAGCCCCATGATGTCCTTCATAAGTGCTGCTACCAGAACCTTGTGGAAGGCCTTGTTATCTGATGGGGTGGCAAAGGCAGTGGTCAGGACATGCATTGTTGGACCGGACGATGTCGCAAGACCCATGATAAGCTCGGGGGAAAGAGAAACTAGAGATGTCTGGATGGCGTTGGAGGTTGCACCGCGAATCGATAGCATAGTCGTTGCCAGATGGCATCCATGCGAGATGATCGCAGATTGATTTTTTGACAGTGACTGCTGTCCTGACTTCTTTGTGTCTTCCTCCTTCTCTGGTATACACAACTTTGGTATCAACGTCTTCTTATCACCTCCGCAGGCGGACGTGAGTGCTCTTAGTAATGTTCCAACTTCACTCTTAGCGTCTCTGATATTGCATCTTTCGAATAATGCCTTGATGACGTTGAATCGTGATAATGACACCAGCTTCGGCATCTCGGGAGCAATCTTTTCGACAGCGGCTGCAAGGTCCTCCTTACCCAGACGGTTGAGAATACGAATGGCAGGATACGATGCAACGTCGTTTCTTGCCAAGCTTTGGATGCGGTCGGCGAAGTTGTGCTTGAACATAACCTTGAACAACTTTCCAGGGCAGTGTGATACCAAAGTCTCCAATAACCGGGACCCGATAGGATCGTATAACATCGAGTTGATAAACTCATTGGCCATCGACTGCTCTTCCTTGAGCGAGGCAGGGGCGAGGGGTAAGAGCTGCCACAGCAACCGCCTTTCACTCGAGTCCTCTTCAGGTTCAGTCTCTCCTTTCTTGGTATCTTTCTTAGAATTGACGGCAATGTCCAACTCCAAAAGTAGTTGGAGGATAGGGTTACCAGTTGGATGACGGGCCAACAAACGAAGTGCCGTCGCATCCATGCCCTCTGTAGAATCTGCAATGATCTTCTTGGTCGCCGCTGTAAAGGAGGATGGGACTGGTCGCAGTGCATCCTTCTTTTCTTCCGAACCAGCACCAGACTTCCAGGGTGCCGAGATCTTCTCCTTCTTCTTGCTGTGAACGAGTGACTTGGTCGCAGCTTGATCGAGGGGCCGTCCGGACAGAACGATCAGCAGCACTCTTAAACTATGAGATGCAAAGCGATCGGTCAAGAGGTATCCCAACTGACCTTCAAGCTCGTCCAAGGTCAGAAGAAACAGTTCCTCCATGGTGGGCAGAGGCCCTGCATCTTCTTCCTCGCCTTCTGCGGGCTCGTCGTCTCTTTCACCGCTTAATTCTCTTGAAACAACCGGAGCGGACTGTAAGAAGAGTGTCTCGCAACAATGACTGGCGAAGCGGTGCTGAATGAGGTTGAGAAAATGGGAGGCGAATTGGTCGAAAAGCTTCTTCTTCTGGCGGGTGTTTGACATGAGGATAAGTCGTTCCATCAGCCTAGAGCATGACTGGCTGCAAGCGAGCTTCAGCTCCTTTCCCTGGGCCTCAGCAAAGACGTTGGCCAAGTACATGTCCCTCTCGTCTTGCGATGGGAAGTCGTCGACGTCCAACTGCTCATCGACGGACCGGAAGTATTCCTGCTCTTGATCGGACAGCATACCAAAGAACTCCTTTTCCGGTCGGGCATCGCCAGAGATCCCTTGCATATCGGCCGAGCCAGTGTATTCGGCGTACTCGTCTGCAACATTGTTGGCGTTGCCATCCTCGTCGATCCGTTGTCGCTTGGAACGCTTGTTCGCACTCTCTTCGACTTCTTCTTCGGCGTCATGTCGCTTCTGCTTCCGCTCGTCCCGAATCGCCTGTCTCTTTGAGCGTGGCTTCGGCATGTTGGCGGTCGAGTCTGTGAGTGACAGCCAATAGACAAAAAAACGTAGCAGCCGTGTTGACGCTATTCGCGAACTGGCTACGCCAACTTTACCTGGAATTCCAGAAATTTTGGCTGTCCAAGCTTATCGTAACTTTTTATCTTTATCTTATCGCCATGTGGGGTTTTGGCTGCCAGCCAGCCCAGCTTCCAGTGGACGTTGAGCTGCAATGTCACGCACCTGCCGCCAGTTGTCACCATCTACCATCCATTTGCATCTGCATTTACATCTTGCTCATTGCATCCGGCTCAAGGCTAGTCTGGACGATCAACATCGAACACCCCATGTACGCTATGGCACATAATACAAACCCCTCCAACGCTACGATTATGCATGCGCGGGAGCAACTCGCTTTCGCATAACAAACCATATTTAGTCAGATTCCTGTTCGAATTGTTTGACAAGTCTGAAATGCGGTAGTGCATCAATACATCAGCTGGTCATACGTTGTCCACTGTTAAGCTACCGACAATTTGTTATCTATCCACAAGGCAAGCAAGTCATGCTGCCATGCTCTCCCACCCCGTACGCCAGTCATGCGGATCAGCGACCTTTCTTCAGATTTTCTGTGATGAGAACCTTGTATCCGTCCACGGCCGTCTCTAAATCCTGGGTTGTGAGGTGTTCATGGTCCGAGTGAGCAACCAGTATCGTTCCCGGCCCGTAGAGGTACCTTTTGTGGTTGCCTTCCAGATTCGGTATGTCAGTACCATAGTTCATGACGGCAGTCTCAAACCCTGGACACAAGTTAGCACGGGTACGGTGCACAGCGCTTCTGCGTTACCTTGGATATCATAGTCTATGGGCACTGGACCCTTGCCTGGAGCTCTGGATTCCACCTCCAATTCGGGAGCTGCATTATAAACTGCATCTCGAACCAGGTCCAATACCTTTTCAGGACTTCCCGCCGCAATTCTGATCAACGCAGTGGCTGATGCGTCTGCGGGAATCACATTCGCTGCCACACCTCCTTCAATTCTTCCAACATTTAACGTCGAGTTACCAAAGCGTTCGCTCCAAGGCAGCTCGAGCTTCTGAAGGCTAGCCAGCCCCTTTACAAGCAAGTCGATGGCATTCTCGCCCTGCTCAGGATAGCCAGAATGGCCAGCTTTCCCCTTGGCAACAAGTTTGAAGCCGATACCCCCTTTATGCCCGCTGGCCAACTTCAGCTCCGTCGGTTCTCCGAAGATGACAGCCTCCCACGAGAGTCCAAGATTATTCGCGGCTTTCATGCCTCTACCGCTGTTCTCCTCGCCGACCACGAACAGCAACGAAACGTCACCATCTCTGAGTTTCTCAGCGTCAAGAAGCTCCTGAAACGCGATGACTTGTGCTGCCACGCTGCCCTTGGCGTCTACTGAACCACGACCCCAGATTTCATCGCCTTTGCGCTCGTACGGCCAAAAGGGTGGCACAGTATCAATATGTGATGTTACGAGAATTCTCGTTTTTCTTGATGTCCCAGCATAGGCGAAAATGTTCTTGCCACCCTGGACGACCTGAGTCTCGACATTGAGCCCTTGTTTCTCGAGGTAGCCCTTCAGGAAATGGGACACCTCATTTTCCGAGTCCGATATTGACGGTATTTCGACTAGCGATTTGTGCAAGCTGAGAAGCGCCGATGTCCGCGACGAAGCACCTGAGAATACCCCCCGAAGAGGCTGTTGACCAGGGTCGCCAGCGGAGCCGCAGCTGATGTTCAGTGCCGCGAGAGCAAGAAGAGTTGGCAGTCTCATGTTTTACTACTGAGCTAAAATGATGGATTGCTTTTCTTGGTTCTCACCCTCAGCAACAGTCGAGAATCCAACAATCGAGTGTGGAAAGGTGGGGTAACTTGCAGGAGACGGTGCAACGTGTGATGCCACAGTATTGAGTGGACAGACCAAGAATCAATGGACTAAACAATGATACATAATCTTATCAATTCGTCTCAAGATTTATCTCGGCCGAAGAAGTTGGTTGACATGCAAGAACGTAATTCAGCCTCCTTATAGCGTGCGGTATGCAAACCCCCCCACAGAAATCGATGGTCCCTATTGCGCAACTTACCCCAGCGATAACAAATCGACCCATTTCCATAAGGAGCCAAGCTTAACCATCTCACTGGTCGACGCATTGTGCGGGCGTGGGATAACCCACCGTGATCGACACGCGAAGCCGATGAGCTGAAGCGATGTCGCCGAAATGACTATAGATACCTGATACTCCACCATGTTCACGTGCTCGTTGTGAGTCCAAGTGTACCTGGCATTCGATATGAATATGGCCGTGCTAAGATCCAACGAGGACAACCATGACTATGAAGGGCACGGCCCTGCGTCGTTGCCCATCGATGATGCTGGCAACGAGAAAATCCATGTTGCAGCGCGCAATGAGACATTGCCTGAATACTCAAATACACACGGCTACAACCCAGCGCTCATGAGTGCTCGGACGACCTTAAGTGCTGATGAGGAGAAGAAGCTTCTGAGAAGGATTGACTGGCATCTGATCCCGCTCATGGCCGTCATCTACTGTGTAAAGACCATTGATGCCAGCAACGTATGTGAATTTAACATCTTCTCTAGCAACATAGTGGTTAACGTCGGATCAGGTATCAAATGCTCGTATTATGGACCAAGGAACGAATCACAGTATCTTGACGGAGCTCCATATGACGTCGGATCAGTACAACTTTGTTACGTTGGCATACTACGTTCGTGTTCACCATAGCATTGGGACGGCCCCTGACTGACCGTGTCTTAAGATTCCGTATATCCTGGCTGAGGCACCGTCTAACCTATTGGTCAAGAAAATGAAACCGTCTGTTTGGAACGCCAGAATTCAAGTAAGTCGAGGACCATTTCCTTTGCCCGGGTTTGTTTGTAGCTAAACCTCGCAGATCTCATGGGGCGTCGTGCTATGCTGCCATGCCGCCCTCACCAATGCTACAGGGTTATATGTTGTTCGCGCCTTTTTAGGATTCTTCGAGGCTGGCCTTTGGCCTGGCTTGCTACTGCAACTTGTCTACTGGTACCGTCCGGACGAGTTAGCTCCACGTATCGTCTTGGTAACGATCGTGGGAAATTTCAGTTCTGTGTTTAGTGGAGTATTGGCGTTCGCATTTAATGGTGTGACGGCTAGAGGGTTGTCAGGTTGGAAGTGGTGAGATGATGCGACTATCGAGGCTGATTACCAGTACCGCTGACTTCTTAGTAGGCTTATATTGACAGAAGGCATCTTTACTATACTACTCGGTATCTTCACTTACTTCTTCCTAGCGGACTTCCCCGCGCAAGCATCATGGCTTTCAGAGAAAGAGAAGGCTTTTGTCCAAGCTCGACTTCCGAGCAATGCGCCACGAGACGCGGAAAAGAACTTTGATTTGCACGAGTTCATTCAGACGCTCAAAGACAAAAGACTATGGCTTTTTCTATTGTGTTGGGCATTCTACACTGTCGGAACGACTGGATTGAACTTCTACCAACCAACTGTCATTGCTAATCTCGGTTTCACGTGAGTAGAGCGATTTCTCAAACCCGGACAATACGCTCATGATATCATCCAGATCAATCTCGCAGGCCCAATTGTTGAACATCCCCCCGGCCGTTTTTTCTTGCCTCTTAACTCTCCTTTTTGGAGTGTTCGCTGATTCAGGTCGCATCCCTCAGCCGCTAATTCCTCTTGGGTTTATGATTGTAATCGAGGCATGCTATGTAGTACTCTACACATTTCCCAGTACTGGTGGCGTGTACGCAGCCACTGTAATTGCAGGAGGCTTCTCAACGGCTTGGTATAACCCCTCTATAGAGCTATGAGTGAGTGAGAAAAATTACTGACGTGTGCAGGTATACTATGATGTGGCCGTGGAGAGTTCAAACCACCCAAGGCGCGACTGGATCTGCCTTCGCAATCGCCTTCGCAAATAGCTACGGCCAGATAGGTGGCGCTGTCGGTAGTCAGCTATTCAATTCGAGATATGCTCCGCGCTACACGACCTCTTTCGGCATCGCTATGGGCTTTATCGGAATGGCCATCATCATGAACATTATTACCTGGTCCTTCACATGGCGGGTCGATATGGAAACTCGGAGGATCAAGAGAGCGAGAATTGCAGCTGCGAAAAGGAATGAGACAGTCTTGGATGACGTTGAGATTAACGGCAAAGGTAACGCATGAGATGGCCATATACACGTTCTGCCCGAGCAGAGCTATGCTAGTTGTCATCAACCTGATAGTTTGGTTGCAGTTGTTATGGCTTAGACGACGCTGTCATCTCTTGTTATGCTTGTTAAAGTGATCCTTGGGTTACTATCTGTTTACACAGGGCGTTTTCAAGTAAAGTTTACGGGTTCACTTGGGGGAACGTGGAATGCGGAAATCAAGTAGCAATATTCCAGCCATCGGTTCTTTCTGATTGGCTATTTCGATGAGCCAAATCAAGTTCGCATAGGTCCAATTACAGACTAGACTAGGTTAGTGGAGCTTCTTACCACTTGGCCCCACGAACGTGTCTTCGGCGTGCAACAATGTGAGAGTACCGATGGGAGCCGACATGCACGGTGGCGGCTGTACCGATGTGGTTGCCGCACGTATTGCGGATGAAGTGCTCTAAGCCGAATGTTTTATCCACATGAGGACATAACGGCCGCGGTCGTGCTCAAACATTGGCACTCAGATTCAATGATAGTCTTTCCTCACTGAGGCATTAATGTTCCTATCCAAATAACAATCGCCATGAACGAGTACGATCTAGTTATCACCAATGGCGTCTGTGTCACGGCAACCGACATTGCCCCATACGATATTGCAATCAAAGATGAAAAGATTGTTCTTCTTTCGCCATCGGGCTTCCTGAAGGGCGCAAGAACCACGAGATTGATCGATGCTGACGGTGGATATGTCATGGTAAGCAACTTTGGGTGTATCATAGAAGACCCCAAAATCCATTAACTGACTCAATGGCAGCCCGGCGGTATCGACTGTCATGTGCATCTGCAAGAGCCGAGTCTCTTCGGGAAGGGGTCTTCCGCAGACAGCTACGAGACAGGAACTCGGTCCGCTATTGCTGGAGGCAACACAACTATAGTTGCTTTCGCTCCCCAGCAGAAGACTGAGGACTCCGTACTGAAAGCTCTGGAAAATACTCACAAGCTGGCGACGGGCAACAGCTATTGTGACTATGGACTGCATCTTTTAGTCTCGAACCCTTGTGCGCAAGCTCTATCTGAATTCAAGGAATTGGCCACAACCGAGGGTGTAACATCGTTAAAGATTTATATGACTTATGCCGCTCTGCAACTGCGAGACAATGAAATCTTGTCGGTCCTGCTGGCTGCCCGTCAGAACCACATCTTGACGATGATTCATGCAGAGAACGGTGACGTCCTGGATTGGCTGACCGACCAGCTCGAGTCCCAAGGAAAGTTTGCTCCAAAGTATCATTCGAATTCACGACCGCCTTTGCTCGAGTCGGAGGCCACCAATCGAGCAATCGCGCTTTCATCACTCATCGCCAACACGCCGATCCTGTTGGTACATATTAGCGACCCAGCAGCCGCTCTTCGCATCCGCCAGGCCCAAACAGCCGGCCAGCCCATTTTTGCTGAGACCTGCCCTCAGTACTTGTTACTGACCCGCGATGATCTGGACAAGCCAGGGTTCGAAGGGGCAAAGTGCGTTTGCTCACCGCCGCCGCGGAACGTGGAGGATCAACTGCAGATATGGAAAGGTCTCAAGAACGGCACGTTCGCGGTGCTGAGCTCCGATCACTGTCCTTTCCGATATGAGGACAACGTAACGGGCAAGAAGACCTGTATCACACCTGAGTATCCCGTCGGCAAGTTCAGGTATATCCCGAATGGCCTACCGGGTATTGAGACGAGGCTGCCACTGGCCTTTTCAGCGAGGAAGCTCGCGCTTAACAAGTTCGTAGAAGTGAGCAGCACGAACGCGGCCAAGCTCTATGGGCTTTACCCCCGGAAGGGGAGCATAATCCCCGGTGTGTCCGATGCCGACCTGGTGATCTGGTATCCGAACGGCAAGCTGGAGGCCCTCGAGGTCACCAACAGTATGCTCCACCATGCCGCGGATTACACGCCGTACGAGGGCCGTAGGGTTGATAACTGGCCGCGATATACCATCCTACGAGGCAAGGTGGTCTGGGACAGAGATGGCGAAGGCATTGTGGGCGCAAAGGGGTACGGTCAATTCATTAAGAGAACTCCAGGCATCCTGAATGATATCTGGCAAACAGTAGATGAGGACGGGGCATTTGATCTCGAAAACCTCTAAATGGTGTGAGCGACCGAGAATCCTTTCGTGTATTAAACTCTGATGAGGCTCACCGGCTACGCCCTCTTCCTATTCGCTCTGTATGAACCCCCCCTTATGGTTCCTGGTAAACTTTGAGTGACTTGATTGATTATAGATAATTATTGATTCAAACTTCCTTACAAAGGACCTTCTATCAAAATTCTTAAAATCGGAGGCTAAGGGAAACAAATGACCAGGGTCTCCTTGATGCGATCGGATTAGGTCATCATACCACATCATTCCCACACATCTCTAAGATGTCCTAGCAATGTCGGAAAGACCCGAAGAAAACAGAGCCGTAGTCATGAGAAACCCCGTATCATCTCATACATTCCTCGTAAAATCCCACGCCACTTATCCGTGAAATCGGATCATGCCGTTCGGGGAGGAAGACGTGTGTGGGGTATCGGCAGAGTCAGGAGTTGGAGTGATTTTCAGAGTTGCCTGAAACTTTTTATGTGCGTAGGTCAGATTGTTTATGATGCCTCATATATTGTCTCCATGGCTTTGAGGGCATGTTTTACACTCCTATGAGTCGCCATTCAAGTTAAGTACAATCAATTAACGTTATTCGCTTAATTAATTCACCATTCTAAGGGAGAGCTTGGCAAAACCGGATCCTTCAATGATCTCGTGCATCTCCAACAATACATGAGAGAACATTTATTACCGAAATACAGCAATCCAAGATAGGATCAACAAGTCCCCACTCTTTTGACAGCTGCTTGTTATGAGGAGTATGTGCCGATGACCACTTACGTCGGCTCATCTATAACAACGTCACCTGGCCTTTTCCTGACCAGAGCGGTATCCATATCGACATGATTTTCTTCGTACCACTCCAGAAGAGCATCGAAGTCCTTGCATTGCGCATTGGAATTGAAGTCCTTATCTGGTCCTTTGTCTTTCACCCACCACTGTCCGTAGATGGCAGTGTTCGCGTTGCACATGATAAACTGCCGGAGCATATCCAGGCAGTGAGCTAGAGACGTATGAGTAGTGATTTCAATGCCGGAATCGGGCATACTGACTGAAGTGCTCCCAAAGGTCATCCTCGTCGACATAGGCCTCGAATGCAGTGCCGGGAGCCTCATCAGTTCCTGCCTTGGCTCTGTAATAATCCCAGTTCCAATGGGAAGTCTGTCTGATAAGGTTCTTGGGTACTCGTCAGTGCGTGACCGCCAGCTTGAACTAAGAAAAAGACGTACCAGGCAGTGAAGATCGTGAAACACAAAGAGATCTGCCATATAACCACCACCTTGCTCGGCGACCCGTTGGACTTGGCCTTTTTGGATGCCAAATTTCGGCCCTTCCTCAATGGGAATGGCAATGGATCCAACTAGAGTAATCATCATAAGCGACAATTCACTATCTGCGAGTGTAACCTTACAGTTCGTGCCGAGTGCAAGCCATGCGTCGTCAACTTCCTGGCTAGGCCTCTGACGGTAGAGAGTCGGCTTTTTCACAGACCCATTGATGGCTTGTGTATGATATTGGATGCCCATCTGTGTATCAAGTGGTGAATCTGGTACAGTCAACAATTAGTTCACGTTCCTAGATTACTAGGGGGAGGTAAAATCTTTAATACCGAATATTTCAACTCCATGGCTATGGGAACTCTGCTGAAGCACGTAAAGCTTTTGCCACGACAAGACATTGAGTACAACCGAAATGGCCAAGAGTACTAAGATCAGCGCAGATGAAATCAATAGTAACCTTTTTCGCGTCCTCTCGTCCCCTAAGGACTGAGATTCGTGCTGCTCAAGAAGAGATTTCTCATCTTCCAAAGGATCATAACGGACATCATCTTCGGAGTTGTCTCTATATTTTATTGTCTGTGAGACCTTCTTGATGATGTTTCTTGGGCCTGACAGAACGCCTGCGTGTGGAGAGCCCATATCGGCGAGGGAGCAATGTTGGTTGAAAGGGCTAATGAAGGTGGTAAATGAAAAGAGAGATGACTGGCCCTTGCAGTGTGGGATATATATGCCGTAGTTAAACGCAATTCATCAGAGACATATGCCTTATTGTGGTTATCTTTGTGCAGGAAGTTTGACATTGACCTGGACTATATTATCCTGGTCAAACACTTGCATTAGATACGTCCGGGTACATTTCCCATACTTATCCTTGTTGCTGCAGCTTGAAGTCCTAGCTCGACCAATTACCACTTCGTCTTTGTTTCCGCGGTCTAGATGCGCTCTCCTTCCATTGTTAGTAAGGCTATTGCTGTTCTTAGTCAACCCAGGGTGGCGACTGGTACTTTCGGGTATTTCTCTTCACTCTTCTTTTTCTTCTCACCCGTATCTCCTCGGCTAGCTGGATTCCCTCTTCTGGCAGGTGGAGGCTGACTGCAGATGCAAGACATCCCCAACGGCATGGTGGGGACACCCGGGATCTCACCTCAGATTATAGTTAACCATAGGTCTTGAAAAGTGTATTGTCGACTTATAGTAACACGGGATTATAAAGAACGAACCGAAAACGCCAAACTTATCTCGCATCACATATTCGCCGCCTGTTCCAGAAGTCCTTCTTTTCACCACACCCTATCGTACAAAATCGTCAAAATGAGATTATCCACTGTTCTTGCAATTTATGCTGCCCTGACACCTATCCAGGGGTTGGCGATCCAACGCCGAGAGGCTTCAATTGAAGGGAGAGCTATGCACGACAAGTAAGTTACAGCATCACTTTATATTGAGATATATCTAACAAGGCGGAACAGCAACAAGCGTGGCGAAGATGGTATTGCTGTTGCTGCTGCGCATAACAGCTATAAGCGCGACGAGGATGGTGTTGCTGTCGCTGCTGCGCATAACAGCTATAAGCGCGACGAGGATGGTGTTGCTGTCGCTGCTGCGCATAACAGCTATAAGCGCGACGAGGATGGCATCGCTGTTGCTGCCGCCCATAACAGCTATAAGCGTGACGAGGATGGTGTTGCTGTTGCTGCTGCCCATAACAGCTATAAGCGCGACGAGGATGGTGTTGCTGTTGCTGCTGCGCATAACAGCTATAAGCGTGACGAGGATGGCATCGCTGTCGCTGCCGCCCATAACAGCTATTAGACTCAATCGCAAAAGTCACCTACGGCCATTATAGCCTTGGATGATTGTGAGAGGAGGTCGAGGTAATGATGACAAGGGTACATTATCGAGTACGGATGGACTATCGAGCTATGAGCGACTTGGAAAGCGCATTGATTGCCCCTCTCTGATATCAATAGCTATACATGTTCAATTTCAAGTTCATCAAAAGCGGCGGACATGTATGCAAAACGTTTAAGTCGGCAATTGTAGATAATCTTTGGGACAGAAATACATGAAAACACAGTCAGTTCTATGTGTGTGGCTACTAGCTCGTCTCCTATGTGGTCACCGAAAGGGGCTTTCTGGAGTTATGATTGAAATATTGACGAGCTTAATAAGCCCCCAAGATCGTTTTTGGGTAAAAGTGCCAAGCTTAAAGTTCTATATCCTAGCCTTGCACGAATACCTCTGGTGGGTGACCACAGAGGTCACTTTAGTGAGCAGTGGGGTGATTCAAATCAGGGACAGTTACGCACATGATCATGTGCGAAAGAAATTACATCTTCTCATTGAGTCTAGATGTATATAGGAGGTTCTCGCCATGACTAAAAGGACCTGGCGGTAAACCGCCCTCTAGCGATGTAGTCGGTTCGATTCTGGCAGCTCTGTGGGCAGCTTACATGGTGGGTATTCTGCCAGCTTGCATGACGGGTACACAACCCCTTCCCCTGAAAACAAGGTGGTGGATCTAAACGCCCGATTATAGTTCAGAAGATGTGAAATAAGTACCAAAACAAGAAATCTGATTGGTATAAAAAAAAGCAAGCCCCGGTAGGCCAACCCTCGGCCCAATATAGTATAGCTATCAACTTCAATATAGATGGGTATGCCGAGGGATTTCTCTCGAGCCAAAAGTTCTTCTGAAGGCAAATATGGACAAACTGTGGCATATCGTCAGCACTCCACAGCCGAAGATTATGATTTGCGACGTGACAAGGTATACGATCCGTCGCCCATAGGCCGCTGCCAATAGGACACAAATACATTCACGTCCCCATTCGTGAACGTGATTGTACTGATACCGTATCCATGGTTGCGTATGTCCAGGCAGGTGCTGACGCCATTTTCGGGTACAGCCTCCTTCAGATAGTTGGAATCTAGACCGTGCTGCTTAGTGAGGTCAAGCGAGTGACAGAAACTAGCGGGCGCTCAAAGGGCGTGGAAGGGTGGATATAATGCAACTTTAGATATATGTTACTACGGATTGCTGCAGAATAAAGGCTTATCGCTCTATGATTCTGCCTCCGGAAGGGTTAGCTTGCTAGGTTAGCGTAATCCTGTGTGCCCCTCACGTGCGTCGATTGGCCGACGATGGGGGGCAAATATGCACTATAACGCTGTAGGTCTGTTTAACCATGTTCTTCACCTACAAATTCCCAAAGTCTCCTGCGTACTCCATGTTGATCAGGATCTCACTGCATGTTAGTCTTGCACGTTGGCCGTGTTACCTTCTAAATGAAGTAGTCCGCGAGTCACAGCCGGGCCGGGCCTGAAATTCAACACTGGAAGAGCGTTCATGAAGCGGAATACCAAACTGAGATACGCGAGATTTTCGGTATCATAGATATTCCTTCTCTGGTCTTGTAATTCATTCGATATTTGACTGTTGCTACGTCTTACCACGTCGTATGTCATTTAGTTATACCAGAACCTCTGTTGAGATGTCACGTACAAGCTCAAGTGAGATGTCCCGCGAAAACTTGCTACCTATCGAGGAGCAAGAAAAGGATATCCTGCATGTCCAAAAGTCGAACCGAGTGTATAGATTATGTCAAGCAGTCTGCAAGCCGCGGTTCTATCCCAATGGAGTGTCGATTCTCCATCACGTAATCACGGTCGTTGTGTTCCTAGGAATCATCCGTGTTGCGTACAAGCATGGACTTAGTCAACTCTCCCCGAGATCCTATAGAAGCTACGTTCCACAAAGTATGCTTCACACTAAGCGAGGTTGAACGCAAGATGATGGCTAATTCGATGTAGTTGGGCTTGCAACAGCTCCTGTCCTTTTTACTGACAGTGCTGACTGGTCTGGAAATACATCGCGAGCTGCAGCAGGGTGGGATAAGTGGTTGAAGAACTTTGAGACGCATACTATAGCGATTCCGTCCGCTTCGATCGAGGAGTTTGGCTATGAACCTGGGCTTCCTGATAGCCAACACTCCGAACGATTTGGGATTGCCATGTTCCATCAACTTCACTGCTTGGTAGGTTAAATTGTGCTTCGTGAACAGGACCATTGTTCCATAAATTATATACGCTGACTTTGCAAATCACAAAAGGCAACAATACGAGAGTTTGCATATTTGCCAGACGCGATGCGCATGCCCAACGGCAAGCCTTTGGATCACGATGGGGTGACATTTTCACCATTCCACATGGATCACTGCTTTAATTACTTGAGGCAAGCGATCGAGTGCTTCGCTGATCCGACGGTTGAGTGGGCGAAGATTAACGAACACGGAGAACGGCGAGGAATCCAAGGTTGGGGCATTCCTCATTATGAATGTCGCGATCACGATTCGCTGGAAGAATTCGCTTTGGAGCATCATACTGTCCATTAAACAGATTGATCTCTACTGCCATGCGATATATACCTTAATTTTATTGCCATCGCTCCTGGCTGATTAAATCTTACTCTCTAGCAGATTATCAAATTTGGCAACCAAAACAGTATATAAGACTTTGAGATCATGTAAATCGACTCTTCATTCATTTAAGCATAACCCAATCATATTTGCACGTGTCTTGGCGAAGCAAACTATCATCAATGCAGTGTAACACGGCTATAGGGTGTATGAGAAGGATCCTAGTAAAAGCTTAAAGGATGAACTTGTTATATTGTGCCACATCACCCCATACTTCTATGTTTTAATGATACTCGTGTCGACTACTATGGTATAGAGGGCAAGAAAATACTAAGGGCAGGTACCGGGTTGATTGCATAGGTGTATTCTTGTGATGTTGAGCTTTGAACCAGTTGTACGAAAGAACCTGCCACACGGTGATTATTTGGCCTGGTACCATAGTTGTTGGACGATCATATTGCCTACTTTGGTGCGTGTCTGATGTCCTAATTGGAAGTAGGTCTTTTAATGAGAACAGGAGTTTCTCTTCGTCCCATAGTGCTGGGTCTGCTTTCAAGTCATCGAGCGATCCCTGTACAAGAGTAGGCATTAGTGTTTAAAATTAGCGACTTCTAGAAAATCTTTATGAACAGCTTAAACTCGTTAAATTCGGGAAAGATGGAATCCAGTATCTTTGACCGAATTTGCCAGTCCAAGGGCTCCGCACAATATGGTAAGGAACAGCAGAAACCGGAGATTTGAGGATGATATGATCGTAACCTCGTACACACCTGGCCTAGTAAGCGCATTGTTTCCCAGATATCGACAAAAATCTGCCGTAAGCACCTCTCAATCAATTTCACTACTTGGAACGATACACTCAGACTGACGATTGAAAGCAGGGACATAAGAGATGTTTAACTGCGTTAGGTATATGGTTTTTTTCTTCTTCCGTTCTCTCCCTATTTATCAATTGGTTGGTTTTGCGACGCATGTTCCTCTGCGACCAATCTACTTGTTGACTGGGACTTCGATGATGGTGTGAGTTAAAACATTAGCAGCCGGTCCTTCCTCGCTAAAGGTATCCTGATCCGGCCTTGGTACAGTGAACGGAAATAATTGTTCCAGATGCATAGTAATGTGCCTCTCGAACTTATTCGTAGCGACATAGTGGAACGGCGGCAAGGGGAAAGGTAGAAAGTTACAGGACAATACACAATAATTTTGAACACTTTAATTTGATAAGAAACTCTAATAGGATTACATGGAATATTATGGCTGTTGCGCAATGTATGGCAAGAATGATCTGCGTGTAGTGACACGACAGTGACACCTAACCAGCTTACTTCCTACTCTCTTTGATGATCTCCTCTACAACGTCCAATTTGGTTATCTTCTTTATCATACCCTCAAACAAGCCAGAACACGGCAACCCGACGGCAACCCGAGCCATTAGCGCGCTCTCACCCCTCCAGATAACAGCCGGTGGGCTCTTCCCCAGAAGCAGTGCCGATACCTCATTGGCCCACTGTTCCGCTGTGATACCTCTCTCGCTAAGATCTTTTTGGCTCATGGCGGACTCCACGATTTCGCGCGCCGGTGCATATATTGAACCTTCCGGCAGCCGCCTGGCGCTGGGGTCGGCACTTTTGTTGACGTTGTTGTTGAAGATCATGTTTGTGCGCACGCCCGCCGTCTTGAGATCGACGACTCGGATCCCAAAGGGAGCCAGCTCTAAGCGCATTGTTTCCGAGAGCATGGCGAGCGCCGCCTTGGAAGAGTTGTAGACACCTTGGAACGGGAGCGCCGCCATGGACCCGACCGAAGTGTGGTTCACGATCATGGCTTGGTTTGGGCGACCACCCGTCGTGGACTTGAGCAGTAATGGTAAGAAAGCTTGTGTGACTGCGATCTGTGACCAGACGTTCAGATCGAAGAGTTTCTTTGCGGCGTCCAGCGACGCGTCCGCAATGGGCATCGTATAGCTGCCTGCAGCGTTGTTGATGAGCATGTCTAGGCCTTTGCCTTCCGGTAAAGAAGACGATAAAGAGGACACAGCGGACGCAATGTCAGATGAAGAGGTAATATCCAAGGTTAGAGTCTCGATACCTTGCGCGGCGAGTGACGTCAGCTTAGACGGATTCCTCGCCGATGCAAACACGTGGTGTCCGGCGTCGTGGAAGGCGATAGCTAAAGCCGAACCCATTCCGCCTGGTGAGCAACCAGTTATTAGGATCGTGAGTCTCTTGGAAGATGACATGACGACTCTGGTTATTTATTGCTGGACGGGAAGTATAGTTTAGAAGTGGATGACTTCAGGTTGTGATAACACTGGCTGTGGTGAGACACAAATAAGTAGTTTGATAATCGATGCAGAGTTCTGGGACGATAAATTTAACACTAATGATTTAATAAAATCGTTTTACTCCGCAATATATATAATTGCAGTATTAAATTATGTCTGGATCTTACAATTCCGATATAGCGGACCTTGTGCTGCGGAGTTGCGGACTTTGAGTGGGGCTTTGCTTTAGCTTGGTCCGCTCCGCGAAAACGTGGTCCAAGGTAGAAAGAACGCCGTATAGGTAGGCCTCGGAGCCGTACGAGTTATGACTATCAGGGACAGCCACTACTTTAATACTCCTCGGAGCGACATCATATGACTGGCGAGACTATTATTGGCTTGAAGAAATGATAAACAAAAGGCGAGTTTCTAGCCTACCACATGTGGAGATGCACCGTGAGTTCCGGCCACATAGCCTAGCTTATGATTATAGCATGCCGAAAGCTCTATCTGCCATAATTGGCAACTCCTGCTGATAAACCAGCAATCGTTTCAAAAGACGGCGAGTTGGAAGGCAAGAAGAACGTGTTCGGACAGCTCAGATCGGAATGGTATAGTCATCGTTTCCACGTCGCTACTAAATCCAGTGGTGCTGTATTTGAGGTGATCATTGGTGGAATCGGATATCTGCAGCATGCTACCTTTTTTTCGGTGTCCTTTTTCTTTCTATTTTCTTTTCTATTGCGTAACGCCGCTCTTTCACAAGGCGCCAAATGGTCAACCAAGCAGCACAGAATGCTAGCATTGATGACAATGAACATCGGATATTTCTTATCCGTAATGGGTGGAATACTTCTTGGCACGTTTCTAGCGGGTAGGTTCGGGTTATATGACGGCCACCATTAGACCAGAAATAAAGTTAGTACAGTCGAGATCTTCGCCGCAATACATAATACGCGAGTTTGTTGATGACTCGGGTCAGATGCATAGAAAAAAGAGAAGTTTGATTAGATACATTCGCATCTAGGCTCGGATCTTCGAAAGAACCAACATAGCAGCAGCATAGCTCGCCGAGCTTGTAAAATAAGGGACCCCTAGTGCTGCATCTCCAAGTGAGATGCCTCGAATCCATAACGCTGCCATAAGTGGCGCTCCAACTAAAGACCCTAATGTCTTGATCATCATGGTGATTGAGAATAGATGCGTCTCTACGTCGGTTGATTTCGGGTTGCTATACTCCTCCGGCGCGATTGCAGACGACTTGAGTAGTGATAAGGTAAATACTGGTAGAGCGGAGCCAAGCGCGTAGAGAAGTAAAGATGGAATGAGGAACCAAAGCTCAGAAGCGAGTCCGATAGCGAGAGCACCGATGACCGAGATAGCCAAGCACAATTGGGCATAGCGCAAATTGGCCCTATCTGTTGAGACCGGCGAACTGCTCCTCAGGCTACGTGTATGTCTTGAGCGTAAAACCCATGGAATGATGACAGTCAATAGCACGAAGTTCATGACTGCCTTACTCGACAAAAGATAGCCTGCTGATGCAAAGCTCCAATGGTACCGTTTGGATATATATTGCACTAAGAGTTTAGTGTCGGAGCTCGCTAGAGATGTTAAGAAGAACGAGATGAACAACAGCGTCAAGTTGCGTGGATGGCTGGCCAAGATAGAGCTGAGCTCTCCGAATCGCATGGAAATAGCCTGCAGAGCGGAAGTTTCCAAAGTTTGAGCTTTAAGTAAAGGAGATGAGATGAGTGGATGAGACAGCACCTCTTCCTGATTACCGAAGACATTTGCATCAGCAGTATGAGGATGATCAGGTAGCAGTGTTATCGCGGGTACTGCTAGTGCCAAAAGTATGATTCCGATGAAGAAGGGTAGCCATAGCATTACAGTCATAGTAGCTGAAGCCAGGGCAGGTCCAAGCAGCGCAACAACATAGGACACAGAGCTCATCCATCCAAAGTAAGTCGCACTGAAGACAATGAGCATGAGACAGTATTTCAAGATGTGATAAACTGACCGTAGTACGTAGTCATCCGTAATTCCAGCGGCTAAGGCGTAAGTCATCGAATTGAACACGCAATCACCACCAAAGACTGATAGGAAGGGGCCCGCGATGATGGCTTTGGTGGGGAACAGCTGATCAAAATATCCCACCATGACAGCCCAAGACAGCATGAACACTCTCGGGGCAATGTTAAGCCATAAAACTGCGCGTTGGCCGTACTTCTCAGCCATAAAGCCTAAGGGAATGGTCATGACGAAGTCTATGCGAATCAGTCGCCAGTACTAATTGCTCTATCACTCGCATGACTCACCACCGATAATCCAAGCAGTATCCATTGCACCTTGGATCCATGCCAGACTCTTTTGAACATCGTCAAGCTTGCATAAATCTTCGGAAATACTGTCATCTGGGCCAAACCTGGACGGCTCCTTCTCCCTGTAGTAATCGCGACACAAACGACTTTCAACGACCCTGTTGAGCGGTAATTGATAAAGACTCGTCGCGAGATTGACGAGCAGTAGTAAACCGAGCAGAGCGCTTATGGCTGCCCTTGAGCGCCTTATACGTGGCGTAGACAGAGAGACAAAAGCCTCTCTTTCAATCGACCCACACTGGTCCATGTCGAGCTTCAGCGCGCGTTGTGCTCGACAGGATGCGAGGCGCTGGAGAGTAAAAGGAAGATCAATATCTCCAGGCTGTGCAAATCAGAAGATCCCTAGGAGGCAGCACGCTAATTAGCAAACACGACTACGTTGACCGCGTTGCAGTGGGGCATTGTGCCGCAGGCCTATCAGAAGTGGAATTACCCAGCCGCTCGATCTGAGAACACACTGCATTCCTGCTCATAAAACCGCAAGTGCTATTAACCTGCCTGAAGCTTGGGTAGTCGGCCATACCAAGTGGTCGTGTATAAGCCGAGTCTCATTTGAGTCTGGTCTTTTGAGTCAGGCATGACCCATAAGTCCCAGGCAAGAGCCTGATGCTGATATATTGAGCATGTGTACGCTTTTGCTGCTCCGATAATAAGCCTCGACGTCCATGTGACTTCATTACACCCAAAGGAAATTCGATTTTTATTTTATTTTTTCTCTTCGGAATTACTCAGTCGGGTTGTGCGACAACTCATTTCATACGTTCATTTCAATACCCGTACTTTACCCAATTTGACCTGTGGCCTACCTCACGTTCAAATATGCATCTGATCAAGGTTGACTACGTGCAGGTTCTTGCTGATCTACAGTTACAGCACCCTACTGAGTTCAACACATCATTTCATACGGCAGAGGAGGCGCCGCATTATGAACGACCATCTGAGGAGCCTTATTCATTCAAGCGGTGGCTGGCTTTGATACTTCAATCACGTGGACTTCGCCTTGAGTCCATGCAGACAATCCCGTTCTCTAGACGAGAAGCACGATTATTGCTTGATGCGGCAGAAGCCTCAATTCAGACCCGCACTGTCAACAGAATGTTCAGAGAAGATATCGATGAAGAGATCATCCCCAAGTTCTCATCCCTCAAATTCCCTAAAGAGGGTCTCTTCATGAGATTAAATGCATGCTCTGCTAAGGACGGTGCTCGGAAGAATCCCCAAATCACATCACTCCACTCTGCTGAAGAGATTGTACTTCTCTTAGTAACTTCGATACGGGCGCGTAACGCTTTGTTCAAATGCATGGAAACTGGGGAACAGTTCGAGCTGTTCTTCTTGCCCTTTGACCTGCGTATGCGCAGTGAGAACGAATATCGAGTGTTCTGTCCACCTGATGGCTCCACGATCTCAGGGATCAGCCAGTATCAATGGCACAAGCGCTGGAAGCATGCAGACCAGACTACTGAGGATGCACAGCAGCTTATGCGCAATATTAGCCATGGCTGTGAAGCGCTTAGGTTGCAGATATTACAAGCATTACGTTCTGATGACGAGACGGACAACCTATTGCTCAAGCAAGGGTTCTCGTTTGATGTCTTGTTCGACGATCAAACCAAGCAGTGCGAATTAATCGAGCTCAATGTATTCGGCACACGGAGTGCGTGCGGCTCCTGCTTATTTCACTGGGTTAGAGATGGAGATATGCTTTATAATGCGGTACATGAAACGGCGCAGTTTCGAGTTACAGCATAATCAAGATCTAGTAGGTAAGCTCAATAACTCACTCCGGTGCTTCATACGGGACAAACGATCTCCATCTCTCAGCAATGTTCTCATTCGGATTCATGTGTAGCTACAACTATAGTAAGCCTACTAACTACCGTATCAGATCACGTCCAATTCTAGAGAAATCTGCAATCAACATACACGATCGATATGCTGCACTCAGCGATCATAGTTCACTCGAGCTAGGATCTCATTCCACCAGGGAAGTGAACGCTCAGTGTATTTCTCACGACGTCAGCGACAGGCTCTCTGTTTCCGCAGATTACCTCTGCTGGATTTTCGTGTAGTTTTCTCAGGCAGGCGGCGCGCGTCACGTGTAGCTGTGCCTGGTACCGAAGCTATCTGAACGCAGTACACGTAGCGAGGGATAATTTTCGAATTCCTGCTTGGCCTTTTCGGCATGGCTCCAGGCATAGTCACCAGCCAATTCACGGATGACCTTATCAAGCGCATCGTCAAGTTCGTCTGTACAAATGCTCTGGCCCGCATGTACTACCAGTTGCCTCGCGAAGAACTCACAGGTAGGCGGATCCCCGTATTGGTATAGAGGGTAGGGCCAAAATGATAGAGACTCATCCATGTGATCCCTTTGTTGCATGTTGAGATCCGCCATCAAGGACGTTATCTGTTCGTATCCATTGGCCTTTTCACGATTGGGACCAATCGTAACGAAGCCGGAATCCCAACGGTGAGGCCGCTCACCGCCCCAGAAGTTAGGAGTACAGTGCTCTAAAATGTCCTCGACCCAACTCCAGTCAGCAGCCGGGTCAAAATCAGGGAACGGGTCCATATCGACTGCATCAAGCTGCGCCGCAGTATGTGCACGGTCCGGCGCATCTTGAACGTTGATCTCTGGTTGACGAGACGACACCCCAGGATCTCTTTGCGACCCTAGGCAAAAGAAGTTCCTGACCTTATTCTTTAGTATGTAGATCAGAGTGGTCATGCTAGACGATGAGAACACTGTATGATGGACAAGTCCCTCCCTGCATCAGCTGCCACAGTTATGTATTTATGTCCCGGAAACAAGTTCATTGTCAACATTTAGGGAAGTGGTACAGGCCCTGTCCCATTGTGTTTCACAAGCGCAATTGCACTTGTCCTCGGAGTGGCCGAGTATCAAAGCGGACACAAGTGATGGTACTAGGACAATAACGGTAGCACAACGAAGGCATGGCAATGCGCATTGTTATCATTGATAATGCCGCTTGTGCTCAATTCTTCGGTCGGTTGCCCCTTTCGGTATGCTTTAACTTTCGAACTGACCTGGGCAAAATTGGCAGGTCTCAGGCTGAAGATCGATGCCTTGATCAAATGTGACAATCTATAGGTCAAACTGGTATAACCTTGTATTTATTCTGGACAGTTGCTTGTTGTTGAGCGATTCGATAGGAGGATATTGTGTGATTCCATTTACGAGATGTTCTCCCGATGCGGCGGCCGCTTACAACTAGTCTAACCTAAGATTAGTAGAAAGGCGCTAACCTAGGTTTCTCTTGATTTAAATCAAGCAGGGTACATACGATGTGAGATTTTAAAATATAATTACCAATTGAGTGTTTTTCTTTTCCTAATCCAAAGCTTGCCCATTCCGTAGTCTTCCCGTCAAGTACAGCGTCTTGCGGAGTTGTAGTATTTATGATGGCTGGCCAAATCGACTCGACGCGGCCCTTCAACAGCCTAGTCATCTCTATCTTCGCGCTCTTTTCGTTCGCAGGATTCTACTTCATGCGCATCGAGAGCGCAATCCATGGCGTGCCAATCAACTTTGAAAAGATCTGCACAGAAGGGCGCTGGGAGGATGGGACGCTCATAAAGCAGACTTACACTGGCATCAAAGCTGTCGACTTCCTCTTTACCTGGCTCGTGCCCGCGTTTCTCACGGGCCCCGCGGGGTGGGATGAAGGAATCCGGCTACAACAAATTCATTTCCTGGTGAACTTCTTCGCAGTCTTGTCCATCATCAACATTGAGGCTGTGCGACAACGGAACAATGGGCGGATCATTAGCTAGTAAGTTGTTGTGGAATACTGGGATCCCCTATATGCATACCTGACTGAAAATGGTTCAAGCACTGCGATTTGGGCGGTCCTATACCAAACCGTAGCGGGTGCAGCAATTGTCCCGCTCTACCATCTCGCATTTACTCTCGCATCCAAAAAGAAGACCTACCTTTCCTCTGGTAGAGAAGTATCGCTGGGTTACGCGAAATCGCTACTCCCAGCACTTGCAGTCGGCTATCTCGTCCCCACAATCGCAATGTACCTCCCTTGGGGAGATCTGAACATTACGCAGAACCTGACAGCATTGTGGCAACCTGCACCTGCGTTCCCCAACCTGCTACTCCTAGTTCTTGCCCCAGTATTAGCTTCAAGTTCAAGAAGCTCGTCCAGGACCTCCGATGTCAAGCACTTGAAGCGAATCTATGTGGCCGCCGGCATTGTCTCAACATTCACGCAGTGGGCTACGCTTTACTTGTTTTTCACGTCAACGAATCCCAAACTGTCTTTCAAATATGTCTTCGTGCCTAATAAAAACATCTGGAAAGAGAACACAGCGCTGGGTTTACACTACATCTTCTTGTGGGACTTCTGGATCATATATGCGTCGTCTTTGGTATGGTGCTGGGTAGTCGTTGTGGACTACCTAAGATATGTTCGTGGCAAAGTCACCCCTATACAGATGCTTTTGGCTGCAGTTAATATTGTTGGAGTGGCACTCGTCGCAGGACCGGGAACTGCCATGGCACTGGTGTGGAACAAGAGAGAAAACCTTTTGGTTGAAATCGAGACGGGCGATCGGAAGAAAAAGGCTGCCTAGACTAGATGTTGCTGGTTTTAGGTTACACCTGCTCAACAGCAGGAGAGACTTCCATCGAAGGAAAATGAAATATGATTACTAGTCTGTGTATAAAGGCTAGAACGTCCCCCATCCAGTGTGAACTGTATCCACCTGCTGAATCGGATTCTTTAATAGTTGAGTCGAGTTGTTAGGCTGCGATACAGCTCCTGGCTATTCAGTAATCAATAATTCCTCAGTTGAATGATCTAAGGGTGGACAGCTTGCTGAACCTGCGGATAAACTCTGACCATTTCTTGGTACAGCTCGGGATGCTCGCTGTACAGAGTTTGGGGCTCCCAGGCTGTTGCCACAAAGATGGTATCAATACCACTGCTGATTGGCGTTGTAAAGATATTGCAGATTTGTAGTCCAATTAAGAAGGCAAAAGCAACCACGACCGGGGTATAAGATCCATCTGAGTTGTAGGATGGGTTGGTGAAAATCATGTAGAGGTAAGCCATGAGCGCGCATGCGTAACCTACGAAGGTCGCGCCCATACTCAGTACTGGTCCAATGAGGCACTCGTTGATGAGAGCATCAACACCCCGCTGCTTGATCATACTCCATGTGTCCTTGGCAGCTGGAATGTAAGCCTTTCCGTAGAGCGCAATGTATGAAAAGGCGTAGCGATTGAGGAATTGAACGGCCCAGTCGAGTATGCCGATGATGCATCCCAAGACGCAGAAGAGTATGGTTCCCACGATGTTTCCTTGGCCAGCTTCGCTTCGCTGAGCAATAGAACAGATCTGTCGTAGGAAATTGATAATAGCCACAATCAAGCTGCCGAAGCTTATGCTGCCGAAGCTGTAGGTCAAGGACCGCTTCAGTGCACCACGAGTAGCGCCCTGGGGTAGATTGTGTGGTTGGAAATACCACGACCCGTAGACACCGGAAATGGTGGTATGAATAGTGTTTTTCAGCCACTCGGATATCCAGTACATGGCAAAAGTGATGAATGCGATTAGCCCGGTGACTTTGGCTGAGCTGCAGCCTCCACCGCTGGCGTTGCATGATGAGTTCTGACCAGGCTCAAACCGAGCGTAAATAGCCACAAAAGTGACGCTGTACCATGCCGCTAGAGCCGTTGCCAACAGACCCCCGAGAAAGCTGACTAGATAGACATGACCGTATGTCTTGGAAACGTCGACGGATGTTTTCAACATCAGCGCGCTGAAAGGAATGCGTGGGATCCACGTGTAGAATGCGAAGGCGAGGAACACCACGAAGATTAAGAAGACAATTCCTCCAGAGTAATAGTGACGAGCGAGCATGTAGATGGCGGTCACAAGTCCGAAAACAATGTTGAGGATGCCGGTGATCCAGATAAAGGCCTTGGGAAACAGCCGCGCAAGCCAAACGTAGACATAACTGAATACAAGGGCAATGCAGAGGCAAAATATGAACAACACAAGAGTATTTGTGGTGAGACCGACGGCATGGGTTCCGTTATAGATGCCGCCACCACTGATATTCCTGGTGGTAGCTGTATATAAAGTCAGAACACTCTTGCCGTTGTTTTGTGATGCAGCCAAATTCAAAGTGGCATAAATCTTGGATGGGGCTCAGATGGGCTGATGAACTTACAATATCCATGAAGAGCAATGCCCGAGACGGCTACAAAGCCTAGGAAAACTGCGATAAGCTTGAAATTGTGTCAGCAGCGCGCGCATCAAAGCAAGGTTTAACTTGAGGTCGGATTGTACGAACAAGGATGCCAGCCCAGAGGTCGTTCCATTTCGGCTTCTCGATCTTGAAAGTTTGATCAAACGTGGGCTTCTCTCCACCGTAGCCCTGCTCTGCTTGATTGTAGTTCTGAGGAGGATAGCCCTGTCCTGGTGGAGGACCAGGGGGAGGTTGTCCGTATTGTTGCTGTTGCTGTTGCCCATATTGTTGCTGTTGCCCGTTCTGTTGCTGTTGCTGTTGCCCGTATTGTTGCTGTTGCCCGTATTGTTGCTGTTGCCCATACTCTTGCGGTTGTTGCATCTGATAGTAGTTGTTGTTGTTGTTGTTGTCGTTCTGCTGTCCGCCGCTGTAGTAGTTGGCGCCCTCGCCCCCGGACGAGTTGTAGGCCATCCCAGCAGATGGAGCCGGACTAAAGATATCCGATCTTGAGCTTAAGTTAAGCTTAATCACGACTCGAGGCAGATGCGACAACGGGCAATTCGACTGGTGGAATCTGTCAATTGACGCGCAATCTGAGGTATTAGAATGGGAAAACTTGAAAGAAGAGGCAGCCGTTGAAATGAGCGTCTGTTTGTCGCAGTTTTCAATTAATCTTACAGTAGATGTTTTAGGCTCGGTAGCTTGCTTGTTCTGGGTTATCTCTCGCGCTAGCATCGTGCTATTGGATCTTGGTGTATCTTATCTCAGTGTCCATCCCTCTTGGCACGCCTGGTCTGATTTCGTGGCCGCCAGTTTGGTACATGCAGGCTGCAGACTTGGCCTGAGCTTGACCAAGATAAAACTTCAGCTAGCTTGTGCATGCCCTCACGGCAAATAACAAATGTTGATGTCATCGCTTCGTTGCAATTCGCCTGGTCGTTGACATCGCATATGCAGACGGTTTTGCAATTCAACGCCGTGGAGATGGACACGGTGCATGTGCCTGCCAAGACGGCCTTACGGCACAGTGACATCTCGGCCATCTCCACTTTCATATAGCACTTGACCTGAACATTTCATTCAGTGAAGCGACATGATCATCTGAGCGTCACCGTTCGTAAAGCATACCATCACTGACATGTAATATATTTGGTCTAAGCTCCGAGACCAACGTTTGATTTCTCAACCTGTCCCAATCTCCCAATGGCTGCAGCATCAATCCGAAGAACTGGCATCCATCACGGGATCAATCCAAGTTGAAGGAGGACAAAGTCGTGAGACCACAAACCACCATGACAACCGACAGCAAATTCCCACATCTGAGACTATCGTTTTAGAAATTATGGCTGGTCGTCTCGCTCCCCCCCCCCCCCCTCCCCTGCTTTGAAGTCTAAAATCATCAATAATTTGACTTCATGGATACCGCTAGACGTAAAGGAAGATCTCACAACTATAGGCTGGCTTTTCGAACCCAAGCACCTAGACTTCAACGTTTGCGACCGGCCGAAGAATTGGGGTCGGGCGTCTGAAGGAATCACAAAACCCCAGTCCTCTTTATTTGATCATTGTTGCACTCCCTGCCAAGTTCAAAGTTCGCACTGCGCAAATGCCGCTTAACCGAACGATGGGAACCCAGCTGGCGGTGGACAGTGGGTCAGAGTGTGCCGTTGTTGTCCAATGTTTCGCAGACATGACCCCAGCATCTTTTGCCGATGTCGAAATAGTCTATCAGTGGTGTGCTGATGTTGTGGCCTACCTTTCATTTTACTTTGATATGTACGTCTCACGAGGATCAAAGGTCAACGCACCTTTCCCGAGACTTCAGCGCTTGGCTCTAATATCCACGGGCCAAGCACAGATTTCAATGAGTTGATCAATACCCGATTCCAAAAGCATTGCAAATAAATCAGTTGCGGCAGTCATTGTTGGCTTCCCAAATTATTTGAGGCATGAAAGCAGGTCGCCTCAAGCCCACGAAGCACCGGGTTTATTGGACTCTGCAGTCGACGGAGAATACTAATGCATCACCGTGTCACGTATGACTGAATGGTACAATTACGTCGATTTTGAGCCTTTTGTGGGACTACCGAACAGAGCTCGTAGATCTTTTGGGAGTACCTGTCCTGGATACGGGTTGTCAAGGTACCCGCGAATTTCCCAGCTTTTATGGCCATTTGAAAAGTCAAGACTTATGCTATCATGTTCCCGACAAGGTACGCCATGCCACCGTAAATCCCTTGACGCTTGCTTTCCCGCAATGCTTTTTTTTCTTTTTTCTCTTTTCCATGCGTAACGATATCTTCGCTAATGTCTTATTGTTCCCTTGACAAGTTGGCCTTGGCAAGATCCGAGATACAAAGACCTTGGGCCGAGAATCTACTGGCATGAATAGGACAGTCAAAAGACTTCTCGGTCTTGTTCCAGCAAGCCACATCGTGAAGACGAGCACAGAGTGCGCTCATCCTGGCGATGTTGACATTTTCTCCTTAGGCACTGTCAAAGCTTCGAGGTCTTAGGATTCAGGATTCAGGATTCCACCGCTTCCAGGAATAAGATCCCCAATGTCTGTGATGTAAAATTCCAGGAAACGCTTGTATTGAGTTTTGACTAGAAAATCATGAGGGATCATGGTTGGCACTGATTTGAAAATTGAACCGAGTCGCTTCGACAAGTACAATTGCGCCCAGTCATTCGGCTTGCCCTCAATCTCATCCGCGATGAGCTTACTGCCGAGGAGAAATTGAGTCAGTCCGTTACCAGAATCACCAGTCATAATAAAAATGCTGTCAATCTCCTGCTTCTTGCCGATGTATGCCATAAAATCGACAAGCTTGAAAACCTGCCCACTCCATTTATAATTAACAGAATTGGCTTGAGTAAAGCGCTCGCGGGTCCATTGTTCTAGTTTCTCAACCCGTCCACTCCATCTTCTTGGCCAGCTACGTGGTCGGCCCCCTTAACACCATATGATTATCCTTATGATCACACGCAGTTATCCGCAGATAGTTGTACGGGCCAACACTGTCGCATAGCACACAATCCTTGGTTGAGCCCTTTGGTATATGGATGGTAATGGCATAGGTGGGCTTATACTCTATTTGGACGATGACTGTAAGTTTTTGAGGAGGAATGTAAGCGGCTCTAACTATAAACTCTTATTTAATTTTCTTGTTATTTTGATTTGATCGTAATATTCTTGCTGCCTGTACCCAGATCACCAGAATTTCGCGCGTTAATAGACAACACAAGGTTGTTGGTGAAGCAACGGAAATTTGATTGATTTTTGAGCCACCTTAGGATGCCGGTGACATACTTGGTGGGTGGGAAAGAGAGAAGCAAGCGTCAATTGTAGATAAGTAAAGATAATGCCACTATTTCTATCCTTGAAAAGAGTTACTGATCTAGCCAATAATCTCGAGACCAGCGGTAGCATCACCCCAAGACGCACCCCACATATCGACTATATAATTCTTTTTCGCGTTCCAGTACCCCGATCCTGTCTTTGGAAATATAGAGCCGGCACTTTTGAGGTATGTTGACGATAGATTGAACAGTGATCCTGCTTTCATAGACACTTCCTGTTCCTGCAATCGAGGGATAGCCACTTTTGCATGTTTCCTCTCCAACGCACGTACTAGTCGTATGAAGTGCCGGATGCTCACGTCGGCTCCCAGCGTCCACGAAGCATTCTCATAACCGGTGATGAATACCATGTTCGGTACGTCCTGTACCATGACGGATTTCCATGCCCACTTGTCCGAGAAATCAACGGCTTCACCGTCAACTGCCACTTTGATGCCGCCCGCAAACTTGAGCTTGAGGCCAGTCGCAGTCACAATGACATCGGCCTTCAAAGATTCACCAGATTCTAGCTTTATACCGTTCTCGGTCACTCGTGTAATGTTATCAGTGACCACACTTCCTTTGCCAGACCGAAGAGCAGCGTAGAAGTCGCCGCCCTTAGATGCACATAGGCGTTGCTCCCAAGGATTATAGCGCGGGTTAAAATGAGGGTCCCAGCTGATTCCTGGTGGGAGCTGCTTGGTGGTCGCTTCCTTGAGCTTACGCCTAATATAGTCCGGCCAGCGGCGACAGACAAAGGCCGTGAAGCAACTCCGGGAAATCCAAAGAGCTCGAGTCAGCACTCTTGATATTGAGGTAGGGAGCCAAGTACGTAGAGACGTCGTCAAATTATCTCGCAGTGGTAGAGAGAAAACATAGGTCGGACTTCTCTGCAGCATCGTAACGTGCCTGGCCTGATGGGACATCGATGGGAGAAGTGTTATGGCAGTTGCTCCGCTCCCGACTATGACGACATCTTTATCTTTATAGTCGAGGTCTTCCGGCCAAAACTGTGGGTGAACCACGGTCCCTTTAAAGTCTGTGAGGCCAGGTATAGTTGTTTTCCGTGGTTCCGTATAGTCGTAGTATCCTGTTCCCATAATGAGAAAGCGGCACTTGTGAATGTTGCGCTTTACTATGTCCGATCCTGAAATTGACTCTTGCACAGTCAAGGTCCACAGTTGCTCTTCACGATACCATTCTGCAGAGACGACAGAGCGTTGAAAGAGAATGTGCTCGTCTATTCCAAACTTCTGTGCAGATCTAATCATGTATTCCTTGATGTCAGGCCCAGATGCCATGGACTCTGCTTTGTCCCACGGATTCCAAGCAAACCCAAAGGTAATTATATCAGAGTCGGATCTGATACCTGGGTATCGAAAAAGATCCCACGTGCCTCCAATCGAATTTCTTGTTTCAAGAATCAGATACGTCGTGCCTTGAGGCGCCTCGGATTGGATTCGATAGGCGGCGTTGATTCCTGAAATGCCAGCACCGACGATTATGACGTCTGATATCTGCGGCAGTCCAGAATTCGCATTGGCTGTGAGTTGTGTCATGGTCAAGAGATTTTGAAAATATGACGGTCCGAGTGAGTAGCGGAATGAGTAGGTCTGAACACTGTTAGATATATCGAAAGCATGATGGCAGGATATATTATGTATTTCGCAATCAAGCTACTTAGGTAATGTCAAACTATGTTAATACGACGCTAGTTTGCGCTTGAAACAAGCCGAGGCAAGATTCGCCGCCTCTTTGGTTCGAAAAGACAAACACCATCAAATTCAACGTCTACCCAAACGTCAATTAAGCCACATACACCCCACCCACCAATTAAAGGATCGTCGTTTTTCGGTTTTTGAACTCGGACTTCGGGTCACTCCCGGGCTGCACGTGGAACGAGCGGTCTCATGCCGCCACACAAGTAGCGCACAATGTGCGGAGTAGCGCGCCTACTTAAGACTATTCTCATGCAGCGCGACGTTTGCCAGACATGGTATTAGGATTGTCGCACAAGAGATGCAATGATTCCCACGTGAAATTCGGCATTTACAGTAGGCAAGGCCATGATCCGTCTATGGAACCTCAATCCACTAACCTTAGACTAGTCTAGTCTCGAGTTCATATATAGTTAAGGAGTTATCTAACCGTAATTAGTAAGTATAGGTTGTCAGTATAACTATAACTATGACGATTGGACGCCTTAGGTATCCACTTGTGGCCACCAGATTAGGTAGCCTTCAGTGGAATAGAGGTTAGCTCTGTTCCTCCCGTTACATCACACTCTATCAATCAACTGCTACTGATCACCATACGTGACGTGTCCATCAATAGCCGCTTTCCACGATGTGTAAGAAAAGCTTTCTGTTTAAAGGCATTTAGTAGTATCCTAGGGACTTGCTACGTTTCTGGCGGGGGCCTCCTGCTAAATGCAAGTAGCCTGAGAACTCGAGCAGGTTTAATGGCTTGTTACCCTTGCACGCCCATCATAATATTTGTCCACAGGAACCTTTGGTGAGAGCAGAGGTGAATAAGTCCACCTTGCTGTCATCCAACTTAGATGTTCGTTTCTTTTATTCTTGGTTTCGAACTAGCCGGCGTTCTGACTATCGTGAGGTCGCTCTACCAAATCTATCGCGAAACAACTCCTGCATCCAGTTGGGCCAAGCCCTCAAAGTAGAAATGATTGATACACGCTCGGGAATAATGATTTGTCCACCCTTACGTTTGAATATTTGATCCAATATTTTGTAGGCAACCAGCTCGCTCGAGAGCAACACCACTCCAGCTGCTTTCAGCTGACCACTCAAGTTCTCGATCAAGGGCGTTTGGACGAAGCTAGGATGAACAACACTCGTAATGACACCGGGAGTCTTGTGAATGTTTTTGAGCTCAGTTGACAAAGACTCATGGAAGGCCAATGCGGAAGCTTTAGAAGCTGAATAATCGGCACCAGAAGGTAACGCCACGAAGGATGCGAGGCTAGCAATTGTGACAATGTGGCCTTTGTTCAATTTGATCATGTGCGGAATAAATTCGTTGACTGTTATCCAATGAGATATTGTATTGACTTCGAAAACTTTGCGAACACTGTCGATGTCGGTACTCAGGATGGGTTTGGAGATTTGTATGCCCGCATTGTTGATGAGGATAGACGGATGTCCAAGGTCGCTCCGCAAGGCACTGGCAGCTCGGTGGACAGACTCTGGAGATGTGATGTCACAATCGTAATATCTCAGACCCTCAACGTTGAGATCGTGTAGCGGTGGCTGAACATCGAGGATTGCGACTTTCACTCCTTTGCGGACCAATCCGAGCACTGTCTTCTCACCAATTCCGCTTGCGCCACCCGTGACGACAGCGACCTCTTCCGACCAGTCCCAGCCTTTATGAGCGGATAGTCGCCAATGATTCATTGCCCAGGTATTGAGAAATTGGTTCAACGACCGCACGATCCCAAATGCAAATAGAACCCATGCAGCCTTTACTACAAGCCTGGTATCGGTGCCATACTTTGCCAGAATCGCATCAAGACGGCTTTGCTGTTGCTTGGGCAGATACTTGACTATCGCCAAGAAGAGACCAGTAAAATACGGCAGGGAGACGGCCATGCTTGCGTTGACGCACGTTCAAGTTGGGCGACGAAATATCTGCTGGAAACGAAAGAGAAGTGGGGCTCAGAATAGTGAAAATAAAATCACTGATTAACTTAAGATGATTAAGATGGAAAAAAATGGGGTATCCATTTATGTCTATTTATATCCATTTACGGATTATCATATTCGGGGCCACAATCGCCAATCAACTCAAGTGTCGGGCCTCGGGCACATGCACAGTTGTCATGGGGTTGAAGATCTGGGGTAGCTTAGCGCATCGATGCAACTTTCCCCACAGCGTAAGATTTCGCGAAATGGCGGTTCGGCAGTGACTAATTATACATGGCAGCTCGCCTCGGACTTCGGAACTCGTAACGCAGCAGATCCAGACTCAATGTTTACAAATGGCAGTTCATTTCGCCGAGTTCAATGGCAAATCACTACTATGGTAGTAGGCATAACCTCACTAGCCGTATCTTGTACAAACTGGCAAGAGTGTTGGGGGCAGTTGTTTGTGGTTTTAGTACACAAGTCAGACGTGGCAAGGGTTTGTAGAATACCGACGACAACCAAGTTGAGGATATGTAGCTTGCTGTTGAACCAGGTTAATAATTACAGGTAGAATAGTACTTTTACAGACGCCACTAGCTGTGGCACGATCACTTGCGGTTTGGGACAAGTCGCCTATACAGTGCATACAGGACAGTGGCCTTCGAGACATGTAGTCAAGAGACACAATGAAAATAATACTATGCTGAAAACAGCAAGGCATGATGGGCTAGGGTATATTGATTCGACACAACGGTCAGGACTCCTGAAAAAATTTGAGCATATGTCTTCTCCGAGATGTCCGCGTGGTGAACAGAACTACCCAAGGTTAGTGCCCACCAAGCGATTTGATGATACACGCCCAATCGGCCCTCGAAATTTGATTTTGGTGCGACGAGCAGGAATTGCCGGGCAAAACTTGTTTATTGAATTTTCTATTCAGACAGTGCCTGATGTATCTTCAAAGCTAACGGCAGTAATTCAGGGTACCAGCATCTCCCTACGTTCTGGTAGCTGGTCAAAATGTTCACGAAGATCGAGTCTCCAACAGCGTTGCCGAATAAGCCTAATACTGGTGCTTCTGCATGGAATATCCCAGTTTTATCTCTGACCAAATCTGTGATATGAGGTGGTGTATCGAGCTGCATATCTCCTGGCGTCAGACCAAGATTGTTTAATGGAACAGCGGAATCGACAGCCTTAAACCAACCATTTGCCCAATTTTTCAACTTAGCTTTCTTGAGTATAATTCTCCTGATTTATTGTTGTCGTACAAGCCCAGGGCCCTAGGATCTCGAGTAGGCGGCCGATGTTGATTGCCAGAGTCTACGAGCCACTGTTTATTCATGTGGCATCTGGGTTAACATCATCGCCTTTCCGCTGTACTGGAGATTTGCCTTCTAAAAAGGAAAAAGCTAAAAGTGACATGAGCGCAGCGACTCCCGCTGTTGCTTGTTAACCATGCCCGCCAAGTGGCTATGGAAAGACAATACTCACAAAATATCGAGTTCATGTGATAGTACCCTATAGCATCCGCTAAGGAGCCTGAGATGAGTGGTCCCAATACAAAGCCCATGGTGTAGCTCATATTTGAGAGCGCGTAGCTCCGCGAATAACCGCCGTTGGGACCGAAGATCCCCGGTTGGTCCCTTTCAAGTTCGTCCACAGCGCCTGTTTCCATCAGTCAGCAACTAAATATAGACCTGTACTTGGTAGAATAGAGGATATCATTATCTCTATGACTTACAAGTAATCTCAATTGAACCGACGGAAGCGATCAAGTTCTGAGCGCACCCAATGGCTACAATGGTCAATGCGTAGGTCACCTCGGCATACTCCCCCGATACAGCCCAAGGGTACCTCGTTTGATCTGCGGCACCAAGCAGCCACAGCAAGGGAGCCAACAGTAGGAATCCTACGCCCGTGGGGAGTCGAGTTCCCACTTTATCTCTGAGCCAGCCGCATGCGGGACTAAGGATGAGAGTTGGACCTTGGAGAGCAGAGAATAGCAAGCCGGTCTGTAAACTCTCCCAACCAAATGCTGATCTGACATGAGTGGGAATCGTCGTGTTATAACTGGCGTGCAACGACGAATAGACCATATAGCACATCAGACCGACGATGACTCTTGGACGACCAAGGATGACACGATAGAAGGACTTTGTACTCATGACATCGTTCTTTGTTAAGTTTTCTCTCGGTACGGCGGTGCTGTACTGCTGGGTATGAACGTCAGAAAGCAGGCCAGTCTCCTCATTGGCACCGGCTGGTTGCGAAGTTGGCTCGTTCCGTTCCTCGCAAATCGCTTCTTGTACTGATGCTTTGCTAGCTTTCTTCGGCCTTTCTAACATCGCCAGTCTCATCGCAATGTCCAGCAATAGTACAAGTAAGGCGGCCCCCCACGTGGCCCAGTAGCCTGCAAGGCTAAGTAGCAGACCAGCGATCGCCGGCCCTGACATCGCCCCAGCACTACTGAAACCACTGACTAGTCCAAATGCCTTACCCATATCCTTGGCTTCAATTGTGTCTCTCAGCGTTGCAAATCCGATAATCCATGCCGATGTACCACCAATAGCTTGGAGGAAACGGCCAATGAATACGCCTGACACTACTCGATTGGACCACAGTCAGCATTATTCCAACCAACCCTCCGAAGAACCGTCAAAGGGGACGCAACAGCAAGGGAATGCGACCTACGCTGCGTGGCACAAGCAAGAGTCACCGTGCCTACAAAAGCGACGCCCAGTCCAAGGACCAAGGGCAACTTTCTGGACTTGATATGATCTGCCGATTGTCCGATGGCGATACCTGAAATGACTGCGACAATGCCATAAGAGGTGAGGATTTGGTAGGTCAGGCGCACAGTGTCACGAGGATCAACATGATTGCGGACTTCAAGAAGATATGGTAGGATGGGCACAACGAAGCTATATAGAAAGCTCTCTATTACCAAGTCAGGACGATCTGGGCGAAATTGTTCTAGTAATCGCACATATGGACTTACCAGCGAACAGCGCGATCGTGATCGATATGATGATAAACGCAGTGGATGACCGCCACCGATAGTCCAATAGTCTCATCTCAGCTCTTTCAGAAGACATATCAACAATGCCTATTCATTTACAATAATATCTCGTGCAGAATAGGGAGCTCATAGAAGAAATATTCTTCTATGTACTTGGCACCTCGAAGACTGGTCCCTGAGATGAAAAGTAAAATAAATTAGAGTTTGGTCAACTGATCTCCAAAGACTCTGGATCTCCTATCAGATTCTCGCTTTCAGTGCGGCTGAATATTGAAGTGTTAACGATCTAGCTAATTGATCACAAGCTGCTTTGTCTTATAAAGTGGCGCCGCAGATTCGCCTAGGTAATGTTATCCCGTTGGTCAATATTGCACGATATCGGCAGTAAAAGAAGCCGTCTTACTGGTGGCTGACAATTTTGAAAACTTGCAAAACTCACTGATCGCAAGGTATGTATCATCCCCGCCTGGTCCTTCGGATGTAGTAAAGTCCACACCGGGTAATACTAGCCCATTATATGTTTTCGTCACCGAACATTTGCTCTTAATCTACTGATCTATTTAAGATGGACGAGTCCTTGTTATGGTACGTAATGTACTGTTTGCGGGTCACTGTCTTGTTCATTGCCTTATCCATTGGCGCGAATCTTACTCGGATTCCCTGATTTGATAAAATAATCTCATCAACCAACTTGAGTCCACAGGATGATACAGGAACAGTCTTGATGTTTATTTCAGTGACGCCGCATTATTAAGTCTTCGTGGCAAGACATGCAAAACATTCCTTGGGACGTCTTGCCATAACGCATGGCAACTCTCGCTCGCTCTCTTTCTCCGATACCGATAATGCCACCATCCTTGCCACTATAATACGTTGAGCACAAATGTTATTGGGGCCTTGTCGTGCCGCGTTTCGGCAATAGGCTCATTGATCTGTTTTAAACACCTGAACTATGAGATAACCGCTCGAGACACCGTTAATATAGAGAAAATGTACCAGTGAATTTCCTGAGCTCAGAGAAAACAACCATGGCATTACCTAGTGCTACGATCAACTCGACAATGAAAATCAATTATTTTCGGTGTGTGCCAACATGATGCAGTCGCCAAAGGCAACGCAAGGGAAAACGCAAAATCAATATCTATGTTATTGACCTCGACTTGTGATCTTGGATAGTCGTTAGCACGTTCGCCAATGAGTAAATCTCTAGGAGACTAGACATGCATCTTCACAGCCGCAACCAGCCATCCTATCAAGGATACCACTAGACTGAGTGGATCTATGATTTATATACTCTAATCTAGGTTAGTGATGTACGTAGGAAGATTGATTCTTGAGTTCAAAAGTTTCGCATCGTTGCCTTGATCGCTCAAAAGCATTCTAGAGGGACTTGCGAATGCACGAAGGATTAAGGCTAAGCATATATCACCACCACCACTACTACTACGACTGGGCGATGCTGCAGCCCAATCAACGTTATATCATCGTCGACCTTGTCCCAGTTGTAGATCTGGGTAGGTGCTTGCAAAGCCTGGAGGGTGTTCGCCTCACGCAAGTGCACCACTACGAACAATGGTATAATGTTCAGTTAGCTTGTTTTCGTACATGGCATCAGGCAAGCAGGCTTCATGCACCCACTATTTGGCTTATAATTAGCATGTTCTTGTCTTGTCATGTCTTTCTTTTTCGCTGGAGGAGAGTGGAGAAAGGTTAGGTGAGCTTCACGAGGGAAGTTAGTGGGGGTTTGCCGTACGGTGTGTCCCAGGTTTAGTTCCCTAATACACTAAAACATGTTATTCCTTCTACAGGCATAGACGCCAAGCGCATACAAACCATTAATACAAAAATGTATAACGTCATAAACACTCAATCGTTTCTTAGTTCGAGTATAATAACTCATATTTTCCATACTATGTATTACTAGATTCCTATTTGAAACACCTACCAATTTTAGTAATCTCCCGGCCAATCCATATCATATTAGTGGAAGACTACTAAGAATCAATTCATTGTAGCGTCCGTGAACTTTTGTGTGCACCACTGCAAGCCATCCTGTCAACGTAGATTCAGCTAAGCCTACCCCATAGCAAACACGAGAAGACGTTGAAATGAGATTCATGTGCGTGTTATGTATGGATTGTGCCTTAGCTAGAACATGTCAAAGAGTGACGAGAGTTTTGCCATGAGTGTTTATTCTAGTTGCAACACAGCAGCTCTATAGAAGGTTCTGCATCCATAACCCCTGTTGCTAGGCGGGTGCCGAGAAAGCTTGTTTGACAGCGGTTAGGATTGCGGATACGGAGTATATTGATACTCCCCTTCTCCGTGCTAGCTTGCTGCAGCAGTATGCAACGAAGCTGTGAGGCGTAAGCACAGCGCTTGACAATCAAGACCTCACATGAATCACCTGACGTTTGCGTATGATTCTACAGACGGTCTCTTTACTGCCAAATATCAATTGCCTGCGAGTACCAAAGGCAATAAGGGAGGTCTCTATCCTTCACCTAGACCCAAGTGTGATTTACGAACGCAAATAAACAACATGTCGGACCCCTTTGTTTCCGCACGCCCGCCAACCCCGCAGGTACTCATACATCGTTTGCCTGAGAAAGCCGACGATGAGGAAATCCCGTCCAAACCTTCCAAGTATATCATTTTAATCATGGGATCAACTGGTGTGGCAGGCAAAACCCAGATCGCCAACACCGTTTCGAAAGCGCTGGCCTGCCCGACCTTCCAAGGTGACAGTCTGCATGCGTCGTCCGCCAAGGCGGCAGAAGTGGGCACGAGCAAAGACTCCGGTCCCAACGAGGGTCGTTATCAGCGCATGTGGCTCTCGAAGCTGACAAGGACGGGTTTACTGTTTCCTGAGGAGTCACGAGCTGCGACGGACGTATTCGCGGGGTTTGGCAGGAGTTCGTCCACTACCACCAGTCGCCGCGGTTCTTCGAGCTCGCTTGATTCTACAGGGTCGAGTGCTTTGGAATCGACTAAATCAAGCGTCATGAGCAGTTCCGTGAGCTCTGGCCCGCCCAGGTCGACGCAGTTTATCCACAAGCCCGTGACTACGTCCGAGGTAGAGAGGCAGCGACAGGAGAACCCTGCCTTGCTTGTGCTTACCCACCCACCGCTGAAATCATGGCACAAACAGACCATTCGCAATGCGGTCGGAGAATATGGCATCGGTGTCATCTTTGTCCCGCTAGATGATGACGGCGAAATACCTGTGCTAAAGCCATTGGATCCACGCACTATGTCCAGCTTTGGATCATTCGGTGCCTTTGGTGCGACGCAAAACAGAAAGGGCGGCTCATTGAATGAAGAGATGTTACTGAGAGTTGATTTGGATGCAAATGTGGAAGGCATGATCGAGGAAATCATTGATGGTGTCAAGGATATGATGGGGACTTCTGAATAGAACATGCGTTAGACTGACCATGATTAGTGATTCGCAATAGAAAGTCATTGAACATATTGATGGTAAATGCCGAGGTTGAACATGCACGGCTCAAGGATCAAGAAATGAGTGACAGCTGCCAAATGAGAATGGTTGGGGTTTTCTCTGCATTGTTCTGCATCTGCTTCCTATCGCTTTAATCAACGACTTCAAGTGCAGTTTTAGCGCCGTGAAGTCAGCTCTTCCCATTGCACACCGGCCCATTCCTCAAGATAGCCTGCCTCACCCTCTGAAACTCCTTGAGCTTGGCAGTCTAACCCACAGACACCGATAATGATGGTGCCCCAATCCATGCCCTCCAGACTCATCTCCTCAGCCTCCAGCTCAGCAATTGCGTTCGGCGTCATCTGGACTTCAAAGGCCCTTTCGCCGCCACAGTTTCCGCAGCGAGGCATTGATCGACCACTGCCTAACAACTGTCCAATAGCGTCTGTTTTCGAATACAGTAAAGGTTGTCCACCAAACTCATATCGAATGACCTGCTCAGGGTTCTGAGCCATTCTGTCGGCAAACTTTTGGAAGTCGGCGTCATGAGATGATTCAAAAATCTCTTTGTCCTCTTTTCCTCCGCTTGCAGAACCCGAATCATCCATATCCATGCGAGTGGCTTGGGGTATAGGTGGCGGGGTCGGATCCAGGGTTTCGTAATCGGCATCTGCGAGGTACAAAATAGGGTATGGGGCTGGTGAGTCCTTCTCGGCTGGCCAAGGCTCTGGGGGTGGGGGTGGACCTGACTTCTTCTGTGTGTTGTTGAGCGACAGAGTTTCAGAAAATGTCTTTGGTAATTCTTTTACTGCCTCCTCCACTTCAGTCTTTGTGGTTTGCTCAGCAGGCTTCGGTGTCTCGGCCTTGGAGGCGCTGAAGGGGTTCCCACCGCTGGAGAATGGGTTGCCCGAGCTAGAAGCCGACGTTGCGAATGGGTTCGCCGAGAGGGATGAAGACCCCAAGCCCTTTGCGCCGAATAGAGTCTCGCCCAGGTTCGTTTGTGGTTTTGGTTGCTCCTTGACGACTGGTTTCTCCTGTCTCTGCACCTTCTTCGAACCGGCCTCCTTACTACCAGGTGCTATGCGCAGGCCTCGCAATACTCTTATACTTCCGTCCTTTCTGCGACAACTCTTTCTCCTGCATGCAAACACATACAGCCGCCGTTCATGTCCTTGGAATCGATCGGGTAATTCACCGTTCAGTTGCAATAGAAGTACCATCATGTCCTTGCAAAGCTTACATCGTGCAAGCGCGGAGGAAGGCGGTGTGGAAGAGTCGAGCCAGTCCTGGGCGTCAAGTGTCAGTCCTGGGCGTCCAAGTTGAACATGTGCATTGGGCAATGAACCTACAGGATATCCTCCTAGCCGGCTGATGGTATCCTCGTCAGCATCTTTAGAAGCATATCCGAGGAGAACATTTGTCTCCTCGAACTCAACTTCCTCTCCACCCGAAGAATCACTGTCATCGTAAGGCGCCATCTTGAGATGCTTCCAAAATAATTTTTGGTGTTGTTGGCTGAACTTTTTTTCATGAACCTGCGGGATCGTTGGCGGGGGAGGGGCTTATCAGGGCTTATCTGCCTGTTAGCACCCTCTGTCTAACAGGACGGACAATTGAAGACAAAAACCGCACCCCCACCTCGAAGGTGACACCAGGCACATAGCGCACGCGTTATTCCATCCACAGTAATTAGAACCATATCATACAAGACGACTGACTCAATGGGCGGACGACCAGCTCAAAAAGTCGCTCTCTGCAATTGGTGCAGAGCAAAGGCAAAATAGAATATGTGCACTAGCCGCGAATCGAACGCGGGGCCCATCGATGGCAACGATGGATTTTACCACTAAACCACTAGTGCTGTGTAAGACCACATGATTGGTTGAAGGTTTGGTATTCAATCAGCCATTATGATAGTACACATCTTATATATAGTCAGAATCTACGTCGTGGACTCTCAACTTTTGAAATATCATCAATATTACTAAATTACAGTCATCACTTCTCATTGTGAAGCAGCCACCGACATCTTATCTAGTAGTGCGATTTTAAGCATAAAGCGAGCTCTCTTTCGTGCTAGACAACACGCACATGTGATTAAGCTTCGGCATTAATATGGTTCCTACCGATGTTAAAATGTACGATACATAGCGATGAAATGGGTTGGAAGCGCTACTATGCCTGTAATGTGCTTAGGCTTCACGTCACCAGAGTTTTATGCCTTCTTGGACAACTCACGCCCAACTGTTGTCCTCACCACATTAGAAAGCGGCCCTTCAACTTTGAAATACTTGATCGGCACCGCTGATGTAACGTCCAAACCCCAACAGAAATCAAGTGGCTATACCGAGGACACCCCGTCACAGATCTTTCTACCATTTCATCCAGTTGACTAGGGCTGAGATGTGACTATGCATATCTTGTCCTAATCCCGTCCCCAGTCGCTTTCGCCAACAGCAGCTCTAGAACGATAAGCGTCATCAAGAAAGAGACGGATTCAATGCAGACTTCTCAGTTGCGGGCGATCGCTCGTGTTGCCATTATCTGTGGGTGTAACCACGATGACTTGTTGTAGTATGTGCAAGCCATCCTCTTTCTAAACTCTTCTAACGGGTGGGATATGACTTTGTTAGATAAATACATATTTCACATGTATAGCTCCAAGTAGGCTACGCCTTCGCTGTCTCAGTCTTGAAAAAGCAGCTGAAAGTAATCAGAACTGATCTCATATCGTATCCTGTGTATTGAACGCATCTGCCCGCTCGCTCGATTATTTCAGATCACCACGACTATATCTCCATATTGGAACACTTTACTTTCATCGTACGCCAAAATATGAATAACTAGGTAACTACAATTGCTCATAACCGAGTTTATATCATTGTGTGGAGAGTTATTCAGACCCAATCAGAGCAGGTGACCAGCCTATATTTCTCACCGTGAAGGTACAAGAACAATCACATATTGGGAAATAATTACGGAGGAGTAGAGGCAATACATGTAGTCATATCGATCGTGTCTCTATATGAACACAATACCCTCATGCAAACAGGGCAAAACGTACATGAAGACACAGTCATGAAAGTTGGAAGATGCTGATATTTCTACGGCTCTCATTTTCAAGTGCAGCTCTGGGAGACGTTAGATGCCTTGATCGCAAATGACGCCTGAATCTGATATTTATACACGTCTCATCAAATAGATAACGTATCAACATCTATGGTAGACAATACGAGACGCAACATTAGTTGTTATTGTCGGTCTTTCCACACGAAATATTGGTAGATGATAAGGACAGTAGACAGAGCAGCAAAAATGCACCTTAGCCAAACGCTGACGATTTATCACTGGCTACTACCACATAAGCAACGACAATGACACCAATTCTAATTCAGATGATGAGGACCGATAATAAAACGTAACGCCCGTTCATTGTCTCATTGACATGGACACCCCATCCTATCACCCGTTCTCCGCCAGGACCTGATAGGCGAACTAATTGCTTGTGTAGTTTTTCTTTTTTGGAAAAGCTGTTATCCAGAACCTGTCAGTATGAGGGCCTGGCTTCAATAAGTGCAGTAATGGTATTTCAGCCGGTTCCACATCTTCCATGTGGACGGGCTCATATTTATATCTTCCTGCTGTGACCGTTTGTTGTAAAGGGAATTGTCTCCTCCTAAACCGACTGGGACAGGAATTCAGACCTGCAGGAGTCAATTGAAACTAATAGCGACAGTTAGTATAGTCGCTTGGCTTACAGGAGCAACAAAAAAATTGGGAATAATCACACATACTTGGATAAAGTCCCCCGAGGCAATTCTGTGTCAGTTCCCCTCACCCAAGCTTTTGCGGAGCTTTGGAAGAAGGTCCAACCGACCCAACAGAAATGGACACCATGGTGATTGCGCAGGTATTTTATTTAGCAATTCATCAAACCGCGATGGAAGAACTAGTGAGATGCTCCATTCATGCCTTCCGCGGACTGTCTCGTATTCGTCCTTGATACGCTTAAAGAGCAGTTCGTTACTGCCAAAAGGTTTGATTTCGACTTGCAAAAGCACTGTAGAAGTTTTTGTATTGAGGCAGAGAATATGGCACTCAGGTGCCATGATGCCACGGGAATTCGGACGCTGAGACTCAGTCATATTTAAGTCGACGTTTACAAGCTGTGAAGCAGTCGTAAGACGGTCTTGTTGGGCTCCAATTTGCACGGCCCTGGCACTGCTATCGCCCATAAAATACGTTTGAGAAAAGAAATCGGGTAACTAGAGCTAGTCAAGTTCTTTGCTATATACCTCCTTAGAAAGATGCTTAGGCTAGCCTACGCTGGAGTTTTCCTATTCTGCCTCGTGATGGCTCTCTAACATCGAGATAGCGAGACTCTCCACATCCCTACAGAAGCGTTAAAACATTTACTTCCACGGGAAGAAACGAACCTACACCCATGTGTGAGGTACGTTGATAACCAACGAGAGGCGGGGAGTAGATATTCATTAGCCAGCCCCATGATGAATTTAACATACCGTTGAGAACCGCTCATTTATTCTATCATGTGTCCTTGTTGTGTCTAGCGACGATTCTCACTGGTATATGAGTCATCGAGCCGTGAATTTCTCTGGTTCAGGAACTTTTCAGTTGCTTCTTATATGTTTGGCGCAGCATCTGAATCAGTCTCGTTCTCGTCTTCACCACTGCCTCCACTCAGATTGACTATGAGTCTAGATTATTCGGGTAGCGCGAGACTTGGTAGAGCTTCTTTTTTCTTTTGTCACCGCCTCCATTGGGGTCAATCAGAAGGTCAGGTTACACATCTGAGTCGTTGTGAGAAGCTTTATTATACTTACTCTTGGTTTCTATAGATGCTTCTGTCTCTCCTAGGCGCAATCGTCGATCATTGACCAAGTATCGATCACTCTTTCGCAATACAAACTCACTGCGTCGGAAAAGGTTACGGATAGTAGAATTTCGGTGGATGTTAATGAGTATTTGTGTAGTTTAGTATGACGGATTGCCATATCGGCGATTGGCGTCGGTTTCGTTGAACTTTATTCTCAATTCATCAATATCAGCTCACCCAGAAGCTTCAGTGAGTATCATCATTTGATAATTGTGTCCGTTTCTCATGCGTTCGAATTTCGTTCATTTACTTGAAGATATAATCAGCCAAAGCCAAAATATTGGATAAAGTGAAAGTGCTGCTCACATCTGTCACTGACTGCTTCACTTCAGCATACATCCATTTCGAATTGCGTAGAGCTTGGAAAGGCGTATGTCTGGACTCCAAACTGTCCCTCCCCCGCTTGTCGTCTGTTTTGAGTTCTACCCAGAGTGCGTGTGTCGCGGTTTGGGGTGCCGTTTTTGGCAGCCTCAACCACCATGGACAAGTACATTTTGAGCGGGGTGTTTGTACTATTTGAAGTTCACTGTACGCTCAAAATACGTCCAACATTCTTCTCATTGGCGTACAGCCCAGCTACAAGCCCTGTACTGCCAGGCACTGAGATGACGCCACATTCAGGAAACAGAAAAATCAGTAATTAGGAATCAAAGTGCAGGACATGAGGTCAAAAAGCTTTAAATCGGCCATTCCTGTAACGACAGATGCATTTATTGAGTCCCTTACACTGTATCCAACTTGCCTTAGTTTATTGTATTTCAAATTCCATCTCCATAAAATCATCGGTTCCCAATGCTTCGCCTTGCATGATACCCCTGATATATGAGTCCCCAATAAATTTCCATTCTCCTTCGTCTGCCCGGAGTACATATGGCGTCGTACCGCCCTTCATAATACAAATTATATCATCAACCTCTGCGTGTAGTGGTACGAGACCAATACGCCCAAGTTCTGTGAAGCAGAAGCGTCGGTCGGTGATGATTTCATGTACATATTGCTGGTTTGGTATGAGTGTGGTCGGGCCATGTTGGAACGGCTCCGGATCAAAAATGTGCTGAAAAGCTTCTTCCATGGGATCCATACTTTCTAAAGCGCTCTTGTCGCCCGCTTGACAGGCTCGGTAACTCGTGTTGGCTAGCTCGAAGTATTGGCGCCGAGACTCTGCCTAGAGAACGTCCCTGTGACGGGTGTACTTGAATGTAGTTGCGACAGCAATGGACTGGAGCCACACTGGGGCACCAGCAACACAATCCTCACATTCCATTACCTGATCAACGCAATTATAGATGAGTGCATCACGAATGGTAAGAGGCTCAAATCCTTCTGTCGCAGCTTTCCTGCAGTAGGCTTTGTTGTTGATTAAAAGGTTCATGCATGCCATGATATCAGGATGTCGAGGTTCGCCAAACTTCCATGGCTCGGCGAGGAATGTGATCTTGTCCACCAAGCCACCGCTTATAGCGAGTATTCGAGACTCGGGCTTGACACGTGCTTTTGTCAAGCCGTTGAAACCACCCGCGTGGTACAGATACTGCCCGAAATGCTCGTTAAATCGCTTGGACTGCACGTTTTCCCTGCGAGACGTCCAGTCTGGAACCCATGAAGGAAGTTCAGGGAGCCGGGAGCTGCCTAGATTATTGAGGGAGGCGGAATGAAGCATGTCGCACCAATATCCGGAGTCGACGAAATAGCATGCGTAATTATAGTACACATCCTGAATAGAACTGTTGTAGTCCGGCTCGGGCACCTGACAACCCGTTGAACTACTTATTTTTGCGATTTCTCCATCATGCTCCCATTTGATATCTGTGGCCAGTCCTAGGAAAGCATAGATCTTGTCACGGGGATCAGTGGCATCTCTATTTCGGAAGCTCTCTAGCAGATCAATCAGAGGATACGGAAATGGCCGGAAGCGTTCTTCGAAGGCTTCCTCAATCTTGCGGAACTGTCGCTGCTTTTCTAGATTGTTACCGAATTGTTTCTCTAACCAAAACCGTCTAGCATTGGCCATGTGTGCTGGTTTGAAGTTCTTCGCGATTTCTCGAATCTGCCGTATCTGCAAGAGTACCGTGCGAAACGGCGTGTGAGAGGTAATCTCGACATGGTCAATAAGCAACTTGTAGTCGAAAGAGACATCGCCGAATAGAACGATGCATTGGAGACTGGCAGCGACCTCTTGGACGACCCATACGCGAGAAAACCAGTTTTGTTCCAACAAGCTTCCCATAGCCTCGTTAGCCTGCAGCTGATCCTTGCGAGTAGCTTCATGTAAGCGCATTCTATTCTCCTCCGTCAGGAGCTCAATGCGAAGATTTTCTTCGTTTTCTCCAAGATATACATATGTTTTCAAGGAGTTCTTGTAGATATCTCTCATCATGCTGATCTGAGCAGCCTTTTCCGCATTGTCTGCCTGATTGATGCAGATTGCGTCAGCCCAGATTGCGACGTCGCCTTTTCCATCTCGGCAACGGCGCAAGGCCAGTTCTAAGCTGTAAGTGATCGCAACAAGACAATGTCCTATCTTGATCAACTTGGGTTTTATCGGGGAGCCCCAGACGTAACTCAAGGTGTGGTACTCAAGGGGGTCGTCCACAGATGCAACGCTGACCATACCCTCAAGCGGATCCTCGAAATTTTGAGACGGGCGAATATGAAGAAGTCGGATATGCCGAGGAGGAACAGGGGTTCGTTGATAGTAGTGCGCCATGTTATGTTCCAGCTTAGCCTGACACAGGACGAGCTCGTGTTGGCTTGGGTGAGGGTCACAAGATTCGCCAGAATCGCGACATTTTTGACATAATATATAGGTTGAGCCATGGGCTTTGCTGCCACAAGCAAAGAATCTTTCTGTAACAGGTGAAGACGACGAGCAATTACCACAGGTCCAGAACGACAGTGCCTCCATTCTTTTGACCTCATCTATACTGACACCCTCGATTTCTGGGAGATGATAGAATCCGTCAATGTTGTCGCCCTTCGCAATAGGGGGAGCAAATGTGAAACTCGGCATGGTGTCGATGCTGAAGCTAAAGATCTTTTTTAGCGAAGGGACAAAGAGATGTGTATCAATGTGGACAACGGCGTGAGCTCAAATTAAGGTAATCTACATCAAATAGCCCACCACCAAGATTGAGTGAATGTTATCACACAGGAATCTCCTGTGGGGCTGTGCAAAGGAAGTTCAAGGGGGCTGAGTGTTAGAGGAAGCGATGCATAGCCCATATAGCTTACAACTTGGGGGTCTCCAAAATTCCCTGTAAGTGGCACGTGACCATGATTTGTATCGCTTATAGATCGTGTTCTCAAACCATTGAGCTTCCACATTGAACCTTTCAGCTTTTAAGTAAGGTCAGGTTACATTCAAGCTAAGTACCAAGTATAAAGGCTTCCTCGATTGTTCTTATGGTCCTCAGCTTTCGCGATGGATGCACGACAACATGCCAATGACTAGTCCGCCCGTATATACCGGTAGGAGACAGAAAAGCTTTAGTCATAGCAATACAAACATTTACCAAGAAGGTTCTTGTTGGCATGGCAAAATGCAAGAATATATATGCAGTGACATTACAGTGAAGATGCTATCAAAATAGTGGAGAAAAGCCTCTATTTTACGCCACCAAGATTACACAGGCTTTTGAGTATCTCTAAACACAGCCGAGTGCCGTGGTGTAATGTCGAAAATCCTGTTTGGAAACTGCCTTGGTGTGGGTTATATCGCATTTCCTAAGCAGGGCGTGCAACATCCTGGAACCCACTTTCGTAGTGATGTATATCATATCTACCATAGAACGCGCCAGTGTATAGAGCTAGATCGCCAAGTGAAATGATCCTCTTTTTTATTTAAGCATAATCATCAGCCGGGACCGATTGAATTACATCCTGTATTTGCAACTGACTCGGGTGTACATTTGCGGATATGGACGTCCCAAAGTGGCCATACCGAATCCTGGCCGACTTGATACTCAAGCCCCGAGCGAACTGATCTGTCGTATTCCCGTATATCTTCACTCTATATCTTCAAAGTATTAAGAGTCGCTAATCACTATGATATAGCTTGTCCAATTTCATCGGTGGCCATGCATTCATGAAACCTGGTCAACGAGGTTTTGGATCTTTACTAACTGTTAATGCACTCGATGAATTGCGCTGATAATCATAGTAGCACTAATGAAATGGAAGAGGCGGAAGGTTTTAAGTGTCATAGTAGATAAACTTCAAAGTATCCTGCATTCGTAATGATTATCTTATTAGCAACCAGAAACATCCCTGATTTAGCTAATCCCAGATAAGAGGCAACAGAAAAGAAGAGGTTGAGGTTCCTGGAGAGTATGCTAATGACTTTGGTTGTTTCGTGGCCCTTTATCGATTTCAGATCACCATTGACGTCTATAAATATGCGCGTTGTGAGGTGGCCGGTGAATGGCGGGCACTGCCCCTACTAAAGGCCATTCAATTGCTTTGAAACCCATCGAACATCGGACACATGCTTAGGCCGCGCCGTCTGCTGCTTTCAAGAAGAGAAAGGGTCGCATATTGTTCTGGGCAATAGGTGGTTTCTCTTGTGTTGATGCGTAAATGTTGTTAATTACATGACCAGATGGTTATTAATCCTCCCATTGAAATTCTTGAAAGAAAGATACAGTGAGAAGGCCAACAACACCCCTTCTTCAAAAGCTAATTCAAAATTGTGGGAAAGCGCGCTCTCACATTAACATTATAATCGATAGATACGAAACTCGGTGATTGTGTTGTATGTTCACTGAGGCATGGTGTATATATCGAAACATTGCAGTTCATCTTTGAGCTCAAAACAGTGAAATACAAATCTTTCAATACTATATAGCTACATTATGTTACCAGAGCGTAGAGATAATTACGTTATTTAGGTCTAACTCTATCATTATCTAGTTGACATATTTAAAGCCCGCCGTTGAATTGAATTAGATTAAAGTCCGCTCAAATTGTTTCTAAACAAGCCAAGAGGTATAGAGTTCGACGAGGGTAGATGGGAAGGTATGATCTCTTCCTTTGGTTGAGATAAAACATGAAGATCGTGAATTGTCAGCGACCGCGCCAACCTTCGACATTTGAAGTCAAGTTCATTAGTCCAAACGATGGTCAAGTGCCGCCTCTAACAAAACCTGGATCATGAACTTATCGCGGCGCGAGAATTTACTCTTCATATACCGTACTCCTGCAGAAACTCAAATATCAGACCAAATGCTTTAGGAGCAATGGTGTGAAGGTTCAGATTATGTCTATGTACCAGGTCAGCAATCAGCTCATCACGAGTTTTTGAGGAGGGCACCGCTTACCCGGCAGGTAAATCATCCACAATCTTGACTCCCCGAGCGGAGGTGAATTTCGCCGTGACCTCATCCAAAGCACCAACGCAGTTGCCGCCGCAAGCAGACAGGTCATACCGCCCCTGCAACAGGAACACGGGAGCCGTGATATTCCCGTAATAGACAGGCACCGCAAGCAGCGACAACAGCTCGCCCACAGCAAACGGCTCCCCATCCACGGCATAGCTCCACTCGGCAACGCGGTGCTCGAAGGCGCCCGCGAAGTAGCCGTAGGTCGCGGCATAGAGGTCCGAGACGGTGAGGTACGCCGAGCCCAGCGCGCCCCAGCGCTTCGGGTCTCGAGTCCGGGCCACGCGGAAGCCGGCGCCCGCTAGGAAGGGAGCGAAGTAGTCGAAGCCGCCGCTGAAGCCCGTCAGGATAACGGCGTCGACGTCGACGCCGGCCTCGCTGGCCGAGGCTGCCGATATGTACGAGCCGTAGCTGTGGCCCACGAGCGCGACCTTGGACGCGTTACCGGTCGTGCGGGCGTAGTTTACGAGCGAGTTCAGCACGGCGATCTCTACCTGGAACTGGGCGTCCGCGTACGGATCGACCCTAGGACTTGCGTGTTAGTATCGGCCGCCCTTGTATGGCCTTTTTGTTTGTCTTGGGGGCGCATGGCGACGTACTTGGAAGATGACCCGACCCCGATCCGGTCGTAGCTCAGGACCGAGTATCCTGCCGCGATGGCCGCATCAACTAGGCTATACTGCGATGCATTATCCAGGTTGGGACGCCAGTACCTGTGGATGTAAGTTAGCCAGTCAAATTTTTGGTCAGCTACTATTCATCTCCCGCAAATATTACCCTTTCGACTCTACGATACCATGTGTGAGCACGAGTGTTGGTCCCCCGTTTCCACACAACGTAGCACCAATGTTGTACGTGCTGTTGACTGGGACCGGGGTCGATCCCGCGATGAGGGTTGGAGGATCTTGTCGCGTAAGGTTGAAGGTAAGATCAACGGCGTCCCAGTTGTCATTTACTGTTGTATTAATGATGAACCGCGGAACGGAAACGCTGACAGGAATCTGTATTTCAGCACAGATGTGTTTGATGACAGGAGATGCGAGCGCCAGAGCTCCTCCTGCAACACAGCCGAACACGGACAATCGAGAATACATAGCTAGTCTCACCGTAAGATGCAAACCTTGTGGAAGCAGAAGTAAAGATGCGTTGGTTTCATAAATACCGCCAAGAAATCTGTTTCTCTTGGGGACGTATGCATTCTATACTCCATCCATTCCAAACCCTTTCAGGGGCTTTTTTTTCCCCGTCGATTATGTCAACCGCTCTTGATGACATTATACACGCGATGAGTAAGTGTTGCAGTATAATCTGCAGTAGTGCTTACACACAAGCTCTACAATCCTTGGTGTCATGGTTAATGATCTCCATATATTCAGACATCTTGCAGATTGCAAGCATGGTCACAGTCAGCACGATAGGGATGAACACGAGTTGTGCCATTGCCGTTGCCGTTGTCATTACCGACCTCGGCACGGAAAATCGTCCTGGGCAGTAAGTGGCTTGCTCGAAATAAGTTCGCTCAACGCCAACATACTAGTGACTCTGTCGCATAGCTCGCTGTTAAAAATGGGCGCCGACTCGCTTTTTTTTCCTCCTTCTTCTTAACGTCGCGAGTTGTCTTGACAAATAACCTGAGAGAAGCGCTGTACTAGTGGATCCTGGTCGACGCGGCTCGCGACATTACGGAGAGGAAAAACAAAAGAAAGAGAAAAAAGAAAGTTAAGGGCCGTACTGTGCTATTCGGTTAAGAAAGAAAGGAAATCAAAGTTTTTTCAACTCAACCGGAACCCAAACTTTGGTGAGATCTCAGCATTACATGGAGCGGGTGAAAAGCCATGGCAACGGAAGTGCAATTGCGAAAAGCGGTCTCCTAGGAGGCGGCCCCGCACACGCTGCCAACTTTTCGGAAGCGGCGGAGAGACTGAAGACATCAATCAACCTTTCTCCTCCGCAACATGTTTCGCACCAAGACTCAAGGCAGTAAACAGAAAACGGCACAAGCTTTTCCCGTCGAGGCAGCGCAAACACTTCCTACGGACTGGACATATTCAAGCAATCTTCTTTCTTAGTTGACCACTCTCTATAAATCTAACCCCAGTTTTCTGTGACCCTTGGGTATCAAAGTCTAGTTTCTAACGTCTATTGCGTGCGAAAGATCTATTACCCCCATTCCTTTCACAACACACGTATCTCTATCATGCAATGTCTTTTCCAAAAAGCAAAGCAGTAAAGGATTTCTCATCATAAAAAACACATGGCGCTTCAAGGCACCTAATCCTTGTGCCATCTCAAGACACCGGGCATCTTGGGCTCCGGCTCGACGTACTTGAGAGTGGTGAAGGCAGACCAGAGCTGGGCGTGGAACGATCGCTTGTCCTGGTGGTAGAGGTCGCCGAGCATGGGCTTGATGGCCTCGGTGGCGTCCTCGGCGTAGTAGAAGGGGATACGTCTGTTTTGAGGAAAAAATTGTCAGCGCTCTTGTTTCAGTGCTTTCCGGCGGTGTCGAAGTGAGGTCAAACTTACGCGAATAGATGGTGCACAACGTGGGTTCCGATGATACCATGGAAAAGGTGGCGGTCGATCCAGCCCATGTCACGGTCAATGGTGGCTAGGGCACCCTTGACGAAGGTCCAGCCCTCGGCGTCGAAGTGCTTCACATCCTCGTGGTGGTGGTGCAGGTAGGTGATGGCGATGAGCCAGTGGTGAACCCAGAAGTAGGGGACACCGTACAGCAGGAAGGTGGTCAGACCGCCAACCTTTTGCGAAGCCAGGTACAAGCCGTAGCCGACGAGAGCCAGACCGATATCAGTGATCAGAACGTAGAGGGCCTCCTGAGGACGGAAAACAACGGAAGTAGGCTCGAAGTGCGACTTGCGGAACCAGGTGCCCTTGCGCTGCAGACTCTTGGGACCGGCGGAGATGTTGAACAGCAGGTATCCCTGCCAAGCAAACAGCTGGTGGCCTACCAGCTTGACCATGTTCACAATGGGCGTCTCCTCAAACAGCTCGCCGTCAATGCCCAGGTTGCTCCACCAGCTGCGCGCGGCGACCTTGCGCTCGTAGTCCTTCTTGGTGGCCGGGACGAAAGCCATATCCTTCTCCATGTGGCCCGTGTACATGTGGTGTCTGGCGTGGCTAAACTTCCAGCTGAAGAAGGGGACGAGGAGCAAGGAGTGCAAGACCCAGCCGACGAAGTCGTTGAGGTGGCGGTGCAGGGAGAAGGCGCCGTGGCCACACTCGTGTGCTAGAATCCAGATTCCGGTGCCGACAAGACCTTGGGCGAAACCATATGCGGCCCACGCTCCGGCGCGAGCCCATGGGTTGGAGAGTTGTGGGATGTAGGTCAGTGCGGCATAGACCAAGCCAGCAGCGAGGGTGAGATCCCTGGCTACATAGCCGAGAGAGCGGACAGCTGAGGGCTGGAAGCAGTGAGGAGGAATCGCCTTGCGGAGGGTGTTGACATCTGGGTAGGCGGGCTCAAGCGACTGGGAAGAGCATGTTAGATCATCTGTGCCTTCGGAAACAACATTGAGATTGAGTTCTCCCGAACCTACCTGCTTGGCACCTCTTGTCTTGATCACGGTGGTGGTCGTGGTAGAAATCATGGTGTCTAATCAGTCTGGTTACGCTTGCCAGGCCTCGCAGTACATTCAGAGGAAAATCCGTTGCGAAAGGACAGAGAGCATGGCCACGAGTTTTATTGGGAGCCGGCTAGTCGAGATCTGCATGCGAGTTAGGGGTCTAGGTCTGGAATTTCAGGGTCCTAGTCAAGCCGCAAGAACGAATACCCACAATCTGGGTGTGAGTCCCGACCCCTGCCCAAGGTCAAATCCTTGTCTAAGCGAGGCTCCTGTTGGGAGCTTGGCATTTTCTAGAAAAAGGGACAGCTTGCTTGGACATTTCGACAGCGTCCCGCATGGTCTGCAATTGGGCTCGAGGATATGTGCGCGTCGTGCAGCATGTGAAGAGCACTAGGGCATGACAAGAGGATGTGTGTGTATCTCGCTGCCCGGGGGAGTTCGAGTCAGTATTCTGTGCCCGTATGGACAATTTCGAGTTGAAATGCGATTCAGCTAATTCGCCATCCGCCCTTGGAAATCACATGGAAAAAAAGCAGACAAATCCTCAACGCTTTAGCCGATCCTTGTGGGAGATCGCTCCGTCAACCACCCAGTCCGGAGAAAGTGGATAGGCTCATAATGTTGAGAAGAGAGCTAGACTACTAGGGGAGACCCCTGAGCTATAATCAGTGGGGCCTAGTTTCATCGCGCAACGCGGCGTTTTGAGCGAAAAAATTCTTGTCGTGTACCAAAACCATAGACCGACAAAGGAAGAGGAACGGGGCAATGGGGGAGGGGGGGACATGACGCCCGCATTTTGGCAAACCGCGGTGCGGACGCTAGCAGTAGTTTTTCAACGGACGAGTCAAACATGTGAAAGATACTGTGTCGCGAAAGGAGCGCTTGTCTTGTCTTCGAGGCCGCCGATTGTGCAATCTGGAATCCGTAAGCGGATGGAAATTGGGTTGGTTCGCATGGCCTAGGGTAAACCTAGATAGAGGGTTGATACAATGGCTGGGATACCTGTTACGGCAATTCGCGTATCTGGCATTTTTCCAATTCTGGCACAATATCTAGCCCCAGTCATATTGTCAAACGCAAGTGTCTGATTGGTCGCCTGCGGGGTTTTGAATGGTTTATTATCTATCTTGTGGTCTCGGATCTGGGCACCCTGCATTAGAGCCTCAAGGACCCCTTCTGGATGAGGATTCGTACCTCGAATCGCCACGAATGTTGGTCTCTGCTCCAATATGAGGCATGCTCCCTAGTCCACAGCTTGTGCATTTGTAGACTGGTCTCGGAGTACCTTGGCATGAGAATCCTTGAGAGAATGAATGATTGTCAAGCTTAACACGCCACTGCCGCGTTTCGACTGTTCAAACGATGCAAATTGATCAAGTCGTGCTCGTCATAATCATGAGACTATCCCTAAAACGCCATTTTTGGGCCTCCCAATGCAAGCCGTTCCGAGTAGGCGGCCGTTGACTACGCATGTACGTAGTCTTTTATCTTATGCCATTATCCACAGTAATCCAGCTCCAAACGTGTGCTTATGCTGTCTCCTCCCATGCCCTGCGGACAATTCGCGAGAACATGTCAACGTTGACGTCCTCGCGCACTTCGGTCTTCTTGGCCTCGTTCTCGGCGTTCTTGGGGATCTGTACAAGGTCGCCCTCAACCTTCCAGCCGGCGGTCTCAATGACGAAGGTCTTGGCCTTGGCCTCGGGTAGTCCCAGCCAGCCAGCAAACACGCTGAGCTCGACCTCTCTGTAGGCCTGGCTCACCAAGGTGGCGATGCGAATACGGATGAGCTCCTCGAAAGCATTGACATCGGCGACCAGGTCGGCATACAAATCATCGCTGTCGAGGGTGTCCCAGAAGCGGGCATACTGGGCTCCCTCGAGCTGGTTGTTGAGCTCACGCAGGTGGGTGATGGCTTCGGACAGATCGGCGCGAGAGTTGGGGGCGAGTATCGAGGGGGGGATGATGTGCAGGGCGAGAGAGAACTGGGGAGAGGGGAAGACGGTCAAGGACTTGGCGAGGACGTTGGTGACGACATCGTCCTTGATGCGGTCTGGGTTGAGCTGGTATCTAAAGACAAGGTACGGGGTCAGTCAGAGGCTGATAGGGCACAAGAACATGGAGACCGTCGGCAACAGCAGCAGCGAGATGCGAAATGGTAGGTCAGACAGTTCTCAGGGTGACTTCACTGGCCGGCGTGGTCAAGTCAGGTAATAGGAAACGTTTACATGTGATCGTCATACCAGATGGAACAACAAGCAATGGTGAGATATCAAGTAAAGAGTGCATACTCACAGCTTCAGCAGCGTTCGGTTGGCATTGCCATCAGTAAACTTCTCCTCGCATTGCTTCTTCAGGTACTCCTCGAGGAAAGGGACGGCTTCGGGGTTGTATCGCTCGAGACCAGTGATGATAGTGGTGATCTCGGAGGGTCTCTCCTTGGGATCTTCGCCGTCCATGTTGGGCAGTGTTGTAGATTTATCTATCGCGTGAATGGTGGCAGCAACAGACAACAGACGGGCGCAGATTGCTTTGGCGGGGCTGATGAAGTCGAGAGATTTCCTTTCGAATTGTGAATGTGCCCGCCGTGTGGGCGGTAATCACGCTAAACCCGAAAGAGCTGCACTGGGTAGGGAAAGTGGAGATAGGAGGACTGACGCTGGCCAGCTGCCCATCTGTCCGGCAGCTGCCAGCTTCTGGAGACGTGACTTGCACATGGGATTACCAAGCTCCCTTGAGAATGGTCTGTAACAAGGTAACATTTATTGACCGATCAGGTAGTTTATGAAATCGTCTCATTAATGTGGCCTTGGCGAATGGAAGACTTTATCACATCCAGGAATTATCTACAGAGTTAAGACAGCCAAGCGAGAACGGTTTGTCTGCCCGCTCACTAACATCTAGACCGAAAGGAATAATACTAATCACGGGAAATGACATTGTCCCAGATATTTATTTCTGGGCGAGTCATTTGGGTCTTCGTAGGACATATGCGCAAGGCGAAAATGAGTAGGCAGCTCACATGGAGACTATTCCTTGTTGTCTCTGTGTGCAAAAGTACCGCCCGAGAAAACCCGGATCATGGAGGTACTATATCAGTCTCAACAATGCAAGGACGATTTGGACTAAGGGGAGAGATGAGTTACATCCAGTGTTGGGGTTTGGAAACTGGCGGTAACGCAACATCACCACACCTGCTAGACGACCGAAGCTGTTCAACTTCATCTTCAGGTATGGAACGAATCACGATTCATAGAGCAAGTCCTTTGCGAGATCTGTGGTAGAAGGGCCTCGAAAATGACCATCAGCCTACACGAAGAATCGGCCTCTGCGCTGGTCAGGTGTAGACACTACGGCACAAAAGTGCTGAGACTCAGTTGACAACTCTGATTTATAAGCAAGTCGTTCTTGGTCTATAATATTCTATCATCTCTTCGTACCGCTGCAAATTTCATGCCGAGCGCCTGGATCCTTCCTTTTTCCCTGCTTTCTTTTTGTCTGAAAGACGCCTTCCCACGGTGTTCCTGAGCTCTAGGCCTTGACCAGTAAGCTCTTGCCAGTCATCTCCTCAGGCTGAGGTAGACCCATGACCGCAAGAACGGTAGGTGCCACATCACCGAGCACGCCCTCGTCGCCCTTCTTGAGGCTCCAGCCTTCAGGTGCATTGGCCATGATGAAGGGCACCTTGTTGGTGGTGTGCGAAGTCTTGGGCTTGCCGTCGGGGAACTTCATCTCCTCAGCGTTGCCATGGTCAGCAGTGATGAATAGGACGTATCCCTCCTTCTTGCAGCCCTCGTAGATCTCTCCAATGGCCTTGTCTGTGGCCTCGCAACCGATGATGGCCGCCTCGTACACACCGGTGTGACCAACCATATCCGGAGGAGCAAAGTTGTTCATGACGAAGGGGAATTTCTGTTCAGCCAGACGCTTGACAACTTGCTTGCCAACACCGGCGGCGCTCATCTCGGGAGCCTTATCGTATGTAGCCACGCTCTTGTTGGACGGGACAAGATCTTGAGACTCATCACGGGTCTCAAGCGCGAAAGCCTTCTCAACACCACCGTTGAAGAAGAAGGTGACGTGTGCGTACTTCTCTGTCTCAGCAATGTGGACTTGCTCGACATCCTGCTTGCCCAACCACTCAGCCAGGACATTGCCCATGTGCTGAGGCTTGAAGGCAATCTCGAATGGGTAATCGAGCTTGTACTGGGTCATGGTGACAAGGCGAATGTTCTTGGGGTAAGCGAAGTCGGGTCTTGGTGAACGATCAACGTCGCCAAGCAGTTGTGTAATCTGACGAACACGGTCGGATCGGTAGTTGAAGAAGAAGACCACGTCATCATCCTGGATACGACCTTCCTTTCCACCGACAACGATGGGCTTCAAGAACTCGTCGTTCTCACCCTTCTCGTAACGCTCTTTGACGGTCTTGACGGGGTCAGAGCTCTCCTCACCCTCTCCCAAGATCATACCCTGCAAAGCAAGCTCGACTCTCTCCCATCTCTTGTCGCGGTCCATGGCGTAGTACCGTCCAACGACGGTGGCAATTTCACCGATGCCGATCTCTTTGGTCTTGGCGACAAGCTCCTCCATGTATCCTGCACCAGACTTGGGGTCGGTGTCACGGCCGTCACCGAAGAAGTGAATGAAGACCTTGGGGATGCCCGCATCCTTAGCAGCCTTCAAAAGAGCGTACAAGTGCTCTTGCTTGGAATGCTATCGAGCCATTAGTCACGAATACTGACAGTTTGCAGGGAGCCGTGTCGAGGCACGTACCACACCACCGTGAGAGACCAAACCGCATAGATGCAGTCTGCCGTTACCACTCTTGGCAGCATCGATGGTCTTCTTGATTACGTCGTTCTGTGCGAGCTCCCCCTTTTTGATGGTCTGGTCGATGCGGACAACGTCCTGCCATACTACACGTCCGGCACCAATGTTCAAGTGTCCGACCTCGGAGTTACCCATCAAACCCTCTGGCAGACCGACAGCAAGCGACGATGCCTCGAGCTCGGTGAAACCGGTTGCACTTTTGGAGAGCTCGTCCATGACGGGGGTGTTCGCGTTGGTGATGGCGTCGCCATTCTTAGGAGAGTCCTTGGAGGGGATGCCCCAGCCATCAATCACGACTATACATTCGAAGCAGGATCAGTATCAGCCACCCCACTTCGAAGTAGATGAGGACGTAGGCAAGGGTGAGTATATAGTCGGGTCTTCTGTGGACTCTCGGAGGACCCTGATGTCCACGGCTGCCACGATCTGCAACTAAACAATCGCCTGTGACCCCCGAACCCAACGGGGTGTCTTTCGGGGGCGGCTTTGGACCGGGTGTGTCCGGGATGAATGGAGGGGCAGACGAAAGAGGGTTGGACGACGTACTCAGGCATGCTTTTTGATCCGTTTGCTTCGGCATTTTCGTGATAGTTCTCTTTCTTGTCAAATATGATAAACCAGGACAGTAGCAGTAGTAAACCTTGTCGAGGTGAAGGTATTATATTTTTGAGGTGCGTGATTTAAGGAGTCGAGTCGTCTGAGGAGCTTTGTTGAGATGATAAGTAAAACTTCAAAGAACCGGAGCTAATGGTGGGTTGGTGGGGTTGCAGTATCGAAAAAGAGTTTGACGTCAGGTCCGAAAGCTTACGCAGGAGAAGGATTGGCCTAAGGTTAGAGAGACCTGTTTTTGCAAAGGACCCCGACTTCCAAGGGATCTTGTTGAGGCAAATATCGTTTATATAATTCTAGGTTAGTTATACATGATGCAGACAATACAGACGCTTTCTTCCGAACTTGTTAAATATATGGTATCCGAGAAACTACTTGTCATGAATGCCCCACCGATTCCTCACGTAAAAGACATCTGATATGTAGCCTCATGATTCACAGGCCACATGGGACGGTGCACCCAGTGGATTCCAACGAAATGCTCAATTGGCGAATATTGAACGAAACCCTCTTATCTATGAAGTGATGCTCCTGTGTCGTTCGACTTTGTGGATGTGCCTGCCACTTGATTGCCCTGAGATCAACTACCAGGGCGCGCTTCAGCGCTTTAACCCCGCCAGGGCCCGTAAGTTAGTACCTTATTGATTACATACTGTAACGTCACCAACTCTGCCAAGCTTTAGCACTAATGATACTGTGCAAGGGCCCCCCCCCCCTTCATTCCAATCGCGGGACGCAATTGCGAGGTAATGCAAGGCTGGATGTTGCACACCTTCTCAGCCTTCACCATCGTTGGACATCACCTTCTTTCTGTTTCTTAAACTGCGAGATGCAGGTACTGGCAACCTTGTCGTGATCCTGGAAGTATCCGCGAACGCCTTCCTGCTCTGACCTTGTCTCAATCCCGGGAAATAAATCAAAGAATACCACTGGCAAAAGATGGCCGAACAGCAACAACCCACGCTCGGCCTCCCGGCAGGCATCTCGCCTGACCAGCTCGACATCATGACTGAACTCACCTCCCTGCTCTCGCGCCTCCGCACGCCCGTCAACCTCCCGGGCATCTCCAGCTCGACAATGGGACAAACACCCGCCGCCCCGACGCCCTCCCAGTCCCAGTCCCAGCAGCAGCATAGCAACAACAACCAGTCGTCGCAACATCACCAGCAGCCCACGGGCGACATATCCCTGCGCGACTTCCCGCCCTCGACCGACCACCTGCGCCTCAAGCTGCAGTCCGCCAAGTCCGCCGTCCTCGCGCTGCCGGACATGGACAAGAGCATCGCGGATCAGGAGGGCGAGATACGGGAGCTGGAAGACCGCATACGGCGGCAGAGGGACCAGCTGGGCGCGCTGAAGGACAAGGGGAACCGGTTCGCCGCGTCTGAGCGCATGGTCGAGTAGGATCGCCATCATGCTGAAGATGGGGACGAGAATAACAACAACACCACGGCAGGTGTACACACATTTCTTGGTACACCTCCGCGTATTTCATAGCAAGGCGTTCGGGGCGTTGAACATATTGGGAATCTTGGTATTGTTGGGCAGATTCCTGGTTTGCATCATTTGGCAAGGAAAATCATGATTTCGAGGCTATATGAAAGCAGGAGTTCGTCTAAGCGATCATACTATTGACAAGGCTATAAACGTAGAAAACAGCTTCATATAAATAGCTTTTCACTCATTCGGAGAGTACATGTTTTCTGTAAAGCTGCAGCTCTGCCTACTGCCACCAGATAACGAAGTGCACCAACTCTTTGATTTGTCACTTGTTATTTATGTAGTTTGCCTGTTTACATATTCATATCGTATTGAATCTCACTACCAGATAGGTAGGTATACATAAGCCCCTCTCGACACCACAAACGCCATGCCAAACCGGATAGGTATCCCCAACAATGCGTTTTAAAATCAAGCCAATTTTCCGCTCCCCCCCTTTTTTTTTTTTTTTTCCTTTTTTTTTCAACGAACATTATATTGAGAGCCCAACCTTGCGCAAAATGCCGTCGGTGCTCAAACTGGGGTTACCCCCGACGTCCTTGGACCACACATCAGCTGCGACCCTTTTGTCTTCCGTCAATATGCTCCAGTTCGGCGACGGCTCGCTCTTGAGCCACTTGAAATCATCCACCTGGTCCCATTGGTTCTTCTGGCTATCTTCGGTTTGCTGAGCCTGATCATACGTTAGCGGTGGTCATTGAAACCGGTAAAGGTGAAGACTAGAAGGAGTTCTTGAAAAATACTCACATAGGTCTCCGGCAGAGGCGCGAACCGCACGTCGCGGCAGTCCTCGATAATCGGGTGACTTCCGCACCAAAGGTAGAAGTTGACGTTTTCGCACTCATGAACCCGTACCTGCCGGGCCGCGACAACGACCACGCTGTCCCTAACACCAGTAATATGTACGGGGCCAGCAACGGTGCCGCAGATCAGGAGACTCCGCCTCACGTTCTTGATCGCCAGCCCGGCGAACGGCACACCGCTGTTGGCCAAAGTCGGGACCGTCATGTCGACGACGCAGCGGTCCAGATCCGTTAGCGAGCCCGAGGACGTCGCCCTTGAGGCGCTCGGTGGCAGCATGATGTGCAGGCCGGACTGGGAGTAGATGGCAATGGTCTTGGCGCTGGAGAAGGACGGCTTGCGGATCGAGGCGCCCTGCGACGGCCGCGACAGTTCCTCGTTATAGTCCCTGCCGAACTGCGTCGGCAGCTTGCTGATGCTGTCTGTTTCCTCGGGGTTTTTGGCTTCTGGAATATTCGTATCCGGCGCGAACCTAAGCTTTCTGGGATCTGCTCGCTGCTCTTGTTGCCGCGTCGTGTCTTCGGACCTCTGCTGTTGTGGGTTGGCACTGGCGCGCGGCTTGAAATGGAACCGCGACTTGGACGCGAACCGGCCGGTGGCCTCGTTCAGCTTCTCAGTCAGCGCCTTGATGGCCTGGCTGTAGGTGCGCTGATCGTAGGCTGGGATGAAGTCGCGTGCGTCGCCGACCTCATTGGTAAGCCGCGAGATACCAGCCAAGATTGTGTCGACGCAATCCTGGCGCTCACCGCCTACCGGCGACACGGTTGCAAGGTCTTCGATCTGGTCTTGAATTGCTGTTATTGTACGTCAGTAAGGATCCATGCACCGTAAACGCTGGGTAATCGAACTATGTTGCAATTCGGACCTTAAAACTCACATGTAATCTCTGTTTGGAAATGGCGGTAGAACCGCTCCTTGGGATCGCTCATTCTTTGTGTGCTTGTTGGTGTTGGCCAACCTCCACGAACTGGGCTTGTTGGAATAATGAGCTGAGTAGTTTCCATGGTGTAAGTCCTGATCCTAAGGATCGTATATGTGTGTGGATATATCTTTGTGACAGGATGGGAAAATGATCTAGGAGTATGATCTGTGCCCTGAAAACAACTCTTATCTGAAACTATTCAAACAAGAAGACGCGAGGAGTTCTATGAGTGCTCTATCACGGCTGTGAAGAATCAATATGCAGACATAGCGCACGATATGATGACAAAGGCGGATGGTCGAACATCACGAGTCCAGAAGAATGCAAACGACAAATATATAGGGAAACGGAGGACCTACCGCAGCAAATGAATGACAGTATTGACCTGTTGGAGAACGAGTCATATGATGGCTTGAGTGCACCGCTCAGCTGTCACATCCGTATAAGATATTCGTTACGCAGAATGGGATTGGCTGTCAGTCTACGTATATGTGCAGACGTCCCTTCACGATGTTTGTGTGCGCCATCGCGGGGGAGGGTCAGTTAGTGGGGGGTCAAGGAAGGAGCTGATTGGTTGAGAAGTGCAGCTGGTTGCATTGCGGCGCGGTTCTGTGCGGTCAGTCAACGCGGGGGTTTGGACCCTTTGCGTTAATGAATTGGCTGCTACTGCAAAGGACCCTGACCGGCTCAGAATGGAGTGACGTCGTTTGATCATGTCTGACGCTGACTGCAGCGCTGCATGCAATGACTATATGGACCGATGTCGATGACCCAATGCATTTCTGATACGACGATCGCATGTTGAAATCCTACCAAGTACGATGATGCTTTTGTGCATTGCCTGAGACCGGCAATTGAAGGAGGAAGCATGAGATCACAAGCTCTCAAAACGCTTGGCGATTCACATTGGACCACCGTAACCGCCATGGCTTGGTTGAGAAAAACAAAAACGAACTAAACTAGCAGAACACTTCTACCTCTCGTGACAGTCGGATTCATCAAATAACATCATTCATTTCACCTCGATCTAATACGCAACGACCACCACAGTATATCGCGGGATATAATCTTTCCGTGCCATGATAATGACGACACGTAACTGCCTTACTGCACTAGCAATCGATCAATACCCTTCCTTTCCCGCGACTCACGCAAGACAGCATAGACTCCTCCTTCATCTCGTCATCGAGCGCAGTGCCGCGATGTTCGACTTCGCCTCTACAGTAGTCAACCATACACGTTCCACAATTTCCAACCAAACAGGATGACTCTAGCTCAAACCCAGCCTCTGTCAAAACTTGCAGGAGGGACTTGTCCTGCGGTACTTGTAGGACTTGCTTAGTAGATTTGACTTCAACCTCGAACGGATTTCCAGTCCCTGTTGTGGCGCTACCGAACTCTTCGAAATAAACGAGGTTTTGTGGGTAGCGAAGTTTCTTCGTGAGATCTTTGCACCCGCTCAGTAAGGAGGTAGGGCCACAACAGTAAATCATCGCCATCTTAGCGGTAGGTATGATGCGGGCAAGCTCGAGGCGACGTCCTTCATCCTTGGCGTATACAGTCGTCTTACTCGCGGGCAGTAAATCGAGATAGGCAGCCTCGTTGCGGCTCCGCACAGCGTAGTGGATCTGAAAGTCTGCGGATGTCTGAGAGAGCATCGCAATATCGCGAACGTAGGCTGTAACTCCAATGCCACCAATAACGAAGATGTGCTTCATACTTTGATCATTGTCGACATGGTCAGTCTTTGGGGTTTGAGCTTCGTGCCCTTTTGCAGCAGTTACCACATCACCCACGTGCACATGATCGTGTAGATAGACGGAACCGCCCCGGGATTTATCGTCTCGCGCAATGCCCAGTTCAAATCGCTTCATATCTCCAGAGACAACGGAATAGGCTCTCGAGAAGGCGAGATCGGGTCCGAACTGTAGGCGAACATGAGGAAATCGGCCAAAACCCGAGCTCTCGTTGTCAGCACTAGACCCATCAATCTCGAAGACAAATCTCTTTACCCTCGGCGTCAAGTCGTTTTTCTCGACCAACCGGTATGATTGCCAGACAACAGGTATGCGATCACCTTCAAGCCGCCCACTAAAGTCCTCTGCGCCTTTGACGAGGCGGTTGGTGAAGACACTAACCATCTCTTCGCCGAGTCCGCGCAGCTGGGTGATCTCCTTCATAGCTTCAGCATTGTTGACATCATGGTAGAGATACTTTTGGATACGCGACAGCGGCCAAGTAGGGTGGGTACGTTCAATTAGCTCAAAGGTATCGCCCTCCCGGATATAGCCTGTTTTGAGTACTCGATAGTACCAACCAGTGCGTCCGGAGTTTTGAGTGATGGAAGACGTTTTCTTGTACTCGAATCGATGATTCAGCTTGAAGCAGGGCTGTCTCACGTCGCTGACTTGAAGGAGGACCTCGCTCCCAACCTTGAAGATATCTCCGACACACACATTGCCTTCGTTCAGGTACCGGACTGACAAGTTCTCACCAAAGCCGCCAATCTTGAATAGATGTTCGCGGTTTGGGACCTCCTTGTTCCAAGCGTCGTAATGGGCGGCGGAATACATATGCAACGCCTTCTCAGGGCCTCCATGTGCCTCATATTGAACCTCGTCGCCGATAAGGCCCGTGGAAGTAAGCTCAATCTTTCCTTGGCGCTCTTGTTTGTTGATTGCGCTTCGGATCTTCACGCCGGCCAACGCTCGAATTTTGCCGGTCCTGACGCTGAGCAGGACGTCGCGCGGGGGCAGCGGTGCGACATTGACGGCTGCGATATCCGATGTGACCTGTCCCACGTTCAATGAACCCATTTCTTGTAGTAATTCTGCGATTCAATGGAATATATTACTTACAGCGAATCGACAGACTCTTCTGATACAAAATGCGGCTTGCTATCAAAAGAGTTAATGATATGGTGTGAATTTCGGACTTGTGAGATCGGTGTCAGCATGCTTATGAAGGGTCTAGCCGACGCCCGAAATGAGTTAGCGCTTCGGATCCGTCCGCAAATCTACTCCAGCCCCAAAACTCAACTCGATCCCGAACTCCAGACTAATGCTTAGTTTCGGAGTTAGTCTAGGCACAGGTTGGAATCAGCCCGGGCACCAGCACGGAGTAACAGACCCATGGCTCCATGGTCTTCATCTCGAACGTGGGGAATTGTCTGCGTTGGTGTTCGACCGATAGCCAGGACTGAATTCTTTAGGTGAGTTGTGGCTCGCGTTACATGACGAAATCATACATCAAGGTCTTATTCAGAATGCTTAATTGACAATGCCTCAGTACCCAGTTGTAAGACGCTGCTGTTTGGAGTATATGTCAATCAGTATCCACCAGGCAGCGTCAGGCATCTCCTTTTTTGAAACTGCGCCTGAACTCATTCCAGACGCATATAGTCCTCACTAGACTAGATAGAAAAACAAAATAGAGAGAAAATCACGGATATATATAATGTCTATATCCATGGTTGCTACGAATCAACTTGTCGTTTCTCTGTTGAAGGTCATGGAATCTCAATGTGCGAACCAAGAGAGTCGCACTACGTATAAGTTACATCCGATATTTCAAAATCGGTTGTCATTTTCATATGACATCCAATTGTAACGGTTCAAATACGTGAGTGGATATCGAATTCGTACAATGAATGTCCAATCAGAGCTCTAAAAATGAGCAAGATCGTGCCGCTCTTACACCACTGACCAGGCATTGCTACGGCCTCATTTGTGAAGATGATTCATATACCACAAAGCTATCATGTCGATATTCTAAAAATCAACAATGCAAGGCATAGCATGGTATGGCAGATACCCAATGACAATATGATGATCGCCGGACCACAATCAGGAAATTTTGTGCAGCCGTCTGAATTGTGATCATTGCCAGTACGACTAGAGTGTTCTACATCATCCTCAAATCATCCAGATTCGATCTCCGCAATTTCGAACCCATTCGTAGATTCCATTGGATTATCAGCGCTGCTCCGTGTTGTTGTTGTGGTAAATTCAAAAATAACAAGGTTTCGAGACGTGTGCAAAGTCCTATACCCGCCATTTGGTAGCGATATCGACTTACAATAATCAATATTCAAATTGGACTCCTTGTAAAATCACAATTGCCCAGTTTTCGTTGATGGTCCCAGGGTGTTAGTTGAACCGAGGCTTTTGTCCTCGTATCCACGCAATTAGCAATACAACGGTTAGTTTGCAGCTAATAGAAACTGGCCAACAGCCAATAATGAAGGATTCGAGCAGTGTCCCAAACACCCGAATTCGTAAGATCAAACACCAGAGGGCCATCACAGACATATCGGATTAGTCTGTTCGCCTTGTACTAATTCGTCCAGAGCTGAGCTCTCTCCTAGAACTCGAGTCTCAAAGCAGAGAAACGGCATACAATGCCACCAAGCATTGCTCCTCGATGTCTATGAGAAGTGCCAGCTCTTGTCCCAAATAACGCAAGGGTAGTTGGGTACCGAGAGCCTCCAATGTTCTCGTATCCACCGGCCCGTCGCCGGCTTCTTCTGATAGGTGCGGTTATGACTTAGTCCACTTTAAACTCACCACTGTTGACCTGGGGTGACAGGAACGACGTCATCAGCACTGGCTCCCCCGTACCTAGTCAGGAACTATGATGATCACTCCCATCTTGTCTTGTATGGACTACCAAATCATATTCACATTCTGACTCGCGATGATATTGGTGAGACGAATATCCACAACATCGGTGGAGGATCCGGTCCTGGTCATGATACGAGCGCTTAGGCTCCGAAGTGGATCGGAAGTCCAACTTCAAGCAAGAGATGCAAATGCTCTAACGGTGGTCCACAAAGCGGTTCCCCATGGGGCTGCGAAGTAAGCCCGTGCTATATAAAGTGGGCATGAACCCTCCTCCAGACCTTCGCAATGACTTTTTTTTTTTTTCCCCTATGAGTCGGTAACTGTTGCGTTACTCTGGCCTGTAGATCACCTGCCGCAGTCATGTATCGCATCTGGAATATCTATGTGCTGGCTGCCTTTGGCACCATCGGCGGTATGCTGTTTGGTTTCGATATCAGCTCGATGAGTGCCTGGATCGGATCACAGCAATATCTCGACTACTTCCACAACCCAGATTCGTCTGCGCAAGGTGGTATTACAGCCTCGATGTCGGGTGGCTCGTTGGTTGGTGCACTTGTTGCAGGTTTCCTTGCGGACAGGTTTGGCCGGAAAGGCGCACTACAAATCGCTTCGATCGTATTCGTTGTCGGTGCTGTACTTCAGGCATCCGCTCAGAATGTTCCTCACCTCATTGTTGGGCGTGTTATCAGCGGGCTTTCCATTGGTATCACGAGTTCCCAGAGTTGTGTCTATCTTGCCGAGTTGGCACCATCTCGCATTCGTGGTCGTGTCGTCGGTATTCAGCAGTGGTCTATCGAGTGGGGTATGTTATTTTAACTTGTTCCTTACTACTGGTAGTGCTGACTATATGAATTACAGGTATACTTATTATGTACCTTATCTCTTACGGCTGTGTCAACGGAGTACAGTCCCCTAGCGCATTTCGCATTGCTTGGGGTATCCAGGGCGTCCCAGCTCTGGTACTCTTTGGAGTTCTTTTCTTCTTTCCTGAATCGCCCAGATGGCTTGCACAGAAGGACCGCTGGGAGGAATGTGAAGACATTCTAGCACACCTGCATGGAAAAGGTGACCGCCATCACGCTGCAGTCATCACTGAGCTCGAAGAGGTGAGGGAGGCTGCTCGCGTTGCAGCCGAATCGAAGAGCGTCAGCATGCTCGGCCTCTTCGGTCCGAAGATTTGGAAGCGTACGCTGGCTGGATGCAGTGTCCAGTTTTGGCAACAGCTGCTTGGTGGCAACGTCATGTTGTACTATCTTGTCTATATCTTCAACATGGCTGGCATGGTAAGCAAAATGTCCTTACTTCATCATCCGGGCTCGGCTAATTCATATTTTAGAGCGGCAACGTTGCTTTGACTTCATCAATTATCCAATATGTTATATTCCTTGTTACAACTGGCGCTATTCTGCCTTTCATCGACCGCATCGGCCGCCGACCTCTCTTGATCGGGGGTGCCATCATATGCTGCATCATTCACTTCACCACAGGTGCTGTGATGGCAGTTCATGGGCATCCTGTAGACAGTATTGATGGTAAGGTCCGAAATCTCGCCTATAGTCGCCGAAGTCTAACAAGATTGCAGGAAACACAATTCTTCGATGGGAAATTGGTGGAGCTCCAGCCAAGGCTGTCATTGCTCTTTGCTACATTTTTGTTGGTATATATGGTTTGTCCTGGGCTCCCATTGGCTGGATCTACTGCTCGGAGGTTTTCCCTCTCAAGTATCGGGCTGTTGGAGTAGGACTGGCGGCTGCCTGCAATTGGACGTAAGTATCTTCTCGAGCATATCTCCCCGACCTATACTTGCGCAAAAAAATGCTAATCACTGAAAATTTTCCAGTATGAACCTTGCCCTGGCCTTCTTCGTCCCTCCGGCTTTCACAAACATTCAGTGGAAGACGTACATGATTTTTGGCACGTTCTGCTTCGTTATGACGTTTCACATATTCTTCACATACCCCGAAACGGTTGGAAAGTCGTTGGAAGAAATCGATGAGTTGTTTGATTCTGATATCCCTGCCTGGCGGAGCACGAACCTTGGAAGCCGGTTCGATCAGCGTGTTGCGGAGACTAAGTTGGCTGGAACAGTCGAACACAATGAGAGAGTCGAGACAGTATAGGCTCGTTCAGTGTTTCAGGGTTCAACAATGTTCATGGAACAAAGCCTATTATGACCTATTAACGTTTTAAATTTAATACCAATGTCTTAAACATGCACGTAACTCATTCCGGTGGGAGAGCTAACCACGCCAAATACCATTTCGCTCAAAAGCCACCTAACCTAGGTTAATGGCATAAATGGCCCGTCAGTTAGTGCCTGCTATACTCATTCAAAAGTTCGCATGGGCATTAACATAGTTGCCAGAGGCGCTTCCCGTATGAGGCCTTTGGCCAGCAACGACGTGGGAGTAATTGTCAAGGGTTGTCATTACGCACGGGTGTATCACTTGTATCACTGTAATACGAAAGATTTTACGCCAAATCCCACTGTTAATGGGCGCATTATTATATGTTACCTTGGACTACTCATTGCAGGGCTGCACCGAGGATTTGGAATTTGTGCTTGTTTAGTATTGAGTTTGTTCAGAGGCTTCTCAAGTCAATGTGCTCTAACTGGTTTTACCGATATGATATTACAAACTCTCGTTGATAGCATTCTATGTATTACTTTCACAGTCTTATTCTGGACAGAGGCATGGTTTGAGTTCAATCGTTGCACTATCGCTATACACACAGTGTTTCATATAACAAATAATGATATATTCAAATATGCCCAACGTGACACGAACTCGCTTCGAAAGTTACCATAGAAAGCTTCAGAGCGATATCAGCGCATCATACTGCTCCTGAGTCACGGCAAGGACAGAGCCATGCCGCATATATGTCGGGTCCGACGACGAATCGCGGGTAAACAGACCCGACTCTGGATTGCCCGAGTACCAGCCCCTCAAGCCAGCAGCTCCTCCGACAAGATCACAAAGCAGCCAAGCCTTGCCGTCAATTTTGTTGTCCCACCAGCCGTAGGGGCCTTCATAGCTCGCCGCGATCGAATCCTCTGGGCGGGCCCACTCGCCCCAAAGCCCATCGTAGCTCACTTCAACCGAGGGTCCATTCAGGCCGCCCCCCGTAATGAAGCGGATCAGCGTGGTGTCGTTGATGCGCATGAAAGCCTGGTCGAGGGTGTCGCTGGGACTGTTGTCAATGTAAGTCGCAGGGGCTTGGTAAGTAGTGAAATCCTTGGTCAAGGCGGCGCGAACATAGAGCGGAGTTGTTGAATTGCCCGTATGGTTCGTGTCGCTCTCCTCATACTGTTGAAGTGGGCATTAGCGAAGAAGCGCGCGTTCACAGCCGGGAGATCTGCTCACTCACGAATTTGGAGGACCAGGTTACGAAATATGCCCCTAATTCGTCATCCCAGAGAGCGTCGGGGGCCCATACCATTCCGGCAGTGGCTCCCTCGACTTCGACGAGCCTCTCGTCGGTCCAATTCACCAGGTTGGTGCTCTCATAGGTCAGCACACCCTTGGAACCTGTTCGTGTGGACTTGTCCCACGTAGTCTATGATTGTTTTCTTAGTCCCAAAGAAGCAAGCGAATACCTTTGGAGACACTCACTGCGCCAATGTTCAGATCGGTGCCAATGATGTACCATTTCAGACCAGCTTCATCGCCACCCCCAGCGACGATGGAGACATCTCGGATGACTTTGGTCCCGGCAGCAGGAACGAATACTGGGTCTCCCCCATTCACTTCTGCGAAGTTTAGAGGATCATCGTTTGTGCTCAAAGAGAAGAAGACACCAGACTCCGCTGTTTTCCAGTAAACAGCGAGGTAGCCAACTTTACTCGGATCGGCCTTCTTGGCGAGCATTGCTTCATAGAGACTGTCGCCAACGGACCGAGCGACCGTGGCTCCGATAAGGCATAGCGATGCGAGAGATAGCTGCATGATGTGTTTTTAAAATGCAGAAAATTAAAGCCGTCCAAGATGAAAATATCACTAATTAACATGCAACCCGTCCTCGCTACGCATAGCCGCCATCGCATATATATGCATACTTTTCGGCAGGCTCGGTGGTCGTGACAATTGGTGAGTCAGGATGATTTAGCGATCTTCATGTGATTGCCGGGGAATACAAATTCCAACATTCATCGTACTTTGTTATAGCACTGTAAGAACAGCAAGCGCCCCAATCATATTTTTTTGACGATTTCGCCGGTCGGAAATACCGCCCTAAGGTTGTCGTTATGTACCGAGAAGCAGCCCGAGTATGGGGAAATGTGGGGTAATTCACCGGACAGGATACTAACTACTTAATATACGACAGCCAACCATCTGCGAGTTTGGGTGCCATATTCCGTGGGAAAGATTGACCTGTGGTGAGCGATTTGTTCAACGACACGTAGCAGTCCAAAGTAAGGATCTACGGACTACACATGATGAATGGAGTTGGCTATTCTGCTATACAGTGGATCTGGGAGTTGCGAAATTACCCATTGCCATACGGATTGGTGCGATTGTTCGTTTAATCACAGATCAACTGCAGTAGTAGTCTAATCATCGACCATACTCGTTTGTTTCTGGTACGGCACTCAGTGTGACTGACGCAGCCTGCTGAAGTTCTACTTCTGCGGATTTAAGTGACTATATTGATGAAAATGAATTTTGTTATACTAGGCGCTCCTCGGCATTGCAAACTTCCATGTCTCTGGCGATACCCTAAATCTGATCAAATCCCTATGATTGATATCCAGGAACAATACTTTCCTGTCCAGCAGGTAAAACTAAGGTTTGTTCCTGACTATCATAACGCCTAACGAACGGGTGTTTTTACCCGTGCAGTGCTGCCACTGTCCAGCATTACCGTCGTACAGTCCGCATATTGGTTACCATGAAGTCGTATTCTGAACATTGGCTCGCTGCCTTGCTCTTCAAGCTTTTTGAATGATACGAGGGGTCTTTCTTTCCGGTCCAGAGATCTTTCTGTATCGCCATACACAATGTGCAGGCTAAAATCTGCAGTCGGGCCTATAACTTCGTGTTCTTCTAAAGAAGCAGCGAGGACTTCCTCACATGTATCGTTCATTGATACTCTGAGGCACATGGGGATGTTCATGTCCACGGTTGCTGCTCGATCTCGTGTCTCTCTCTCACATCTCCGCAGCTTTAGCACAATCCGATCGATATATAATAGCTGCAGATGGGAAGGAGCATTCGAAACAGCTTTGGTAGCCCGTGAAAACCAGTCTACAAACAAGGATTCTTTTGCGCTATGGTTAATGGCAATGCATAATCGTTTAAATGACTGGAATATTTCCACGGTGTCCGCGGTATTCTCCCAGGGTATCCCTGGCCAAGTGTTCATTTCCTCGAAGAGATCAGTCATTGTCGGAGATTCTGTCTTTTGGGTTGCATTATTGGCTTCAAAGCCAAATACACCTATGTTCTGGGACAACTGATACAGATTTTGGAAGGTAGGGGTTGGATTTATCTCTATTCCGAGGTGTTGCGATATGCGAATACTGTGTGCCAACAGCGAGCTGTTAATGTTTGCTGTAGTCGGATGATAGCCATTTGAAATCGAGGGACGTATATTCCGTACCTTTTCGCGCAGATTGACAATTAAGGCGTCGACTTGGGGGAGCGCTGCTGTCTCTCCAGCCACTTGAGTGTCGACAATTTGATCGAAAGGGGCTTGGGAATCGGGATATTCGTCGCTATCGTTGCCTTCCGTCGCAATGCGAGCCACGTCTAGGTCTTGGAGACTGGCCTGATATTGTAGTGTCAATTCCTCTAGAGGTGGCGGAGCGACGTGACTCTGATGGCCAAAACGTGACGTAGAATCATGCTCGCCAAAAGATAGCCTGTGTAGAAGTTAGATGGCAGCATGCCTAATGTTTCAAAGTGCTCGTACTTATTGACCCTAGAGGCCTGCTCGAATGACACCAATCCAAGTGAAATGGTCAGAGTTGACTTCTAGGCTTCAATCGCCGCTCGCAGAAAGACCAGTCTCGGTTTGTTCACCATGCACATAAATCTAGCGGCAAGCTTCTTATTTGAGCCCGTCTGGCTCGACTGTTCGCGTCGAAGATCTGCGACGAGATCAAGAATTTCCGTGAAGATTTCTTGCGACACCACTGTCATCTCGAACACCGTGTTTGAGATCTGCGATAGCTGATGGGTGTCTTTGAGCATGGCTATAGTAGTGCTGAGATTCCGAATGGTCGAGCAAAATGAACGCAGCTCTCGAGACATGATCAGCGCATCTTTACCGGCAGAACCTAGATTAGAAGCGACAGTCAATAAGATGATATCGATTTGGGTACCAACAGAGACAATGTCCATCAGGCTGGCCACAGATACGGCCATAACTGATGCAGATGGAACGAATTCCATCGTAAAGTACTTGTTAGAGAATATTCTAAGCCCGTGGAACATGCGCTGGGGGAGCATCTATATATATCAAAGTGTATGTCTAGAGAGCACTGACAATTTATTAACACAAGTTTGGGTAGGCAGTAGTACCGATGCACCTTGATACTCTGGTTGCTTCTCCTATCCAATCATCCCGACTAACATCAGTAATACGCACTGCACGCGTTTCAGGTCCCGCGTGACCGAACAATCGAGGCCCAATGGATAGCGACGCAAGATAGAATCGGCGAAAGGCGAATTGGCAAGGCATATTCCCAGGAGTTGGAGTCCGCCACGGGGCCTCTATGATACTAGACTGTACAATGCATGAATAACGCTCTACCCCTCTCCAGACGTACAGTTCATCCAAATTGAAGGTAATCATTCAACTCGACAGTACAAAAGATGATATATCTGGGGAAATGCAGGCTTAGTAGTACGTTCGAGGCGCACATTTGGGGCTCTCGAAGGCCAGACCGGTGTGCCATGCCTGATCGATGCTTGGTAACACCAAGGAATTGGGCTTCCTCACCTGCCCGATCAAAAAGACTGTAGTTTTGGAATGATTGGCCATGAGTGATGTGAAATTGATGCAAGATGTTGGCCCTCTTGCTCTCTGCTCCGCCTGTGACCCATCTGGTCTCTGTACATGAACACCCGTTCCTTAAAGTTGTCCGGCAACTGCTACAAAATCGTTCACCAAGTATCACTACCAGATTTATTAACGCAAAACCAAAGTTCATCTGTATGCCAGGCCTCCGCACCGCCCCCTGACCTCTGCCGCCGCCCTTCATCTTCACGCACGCCTCGACTCTCTCGCGTGCACTGCCCACTTGACCACATGCTTGGCGACTCCTCGTAGCATACTGTGTCAGATAGCATGCGGACCAAAATTCCATGGTACGTGACCCTAACTTCGCGCGGCACCCTCTCCTGCGGCGAGCGGACCGGTTCCCATGGAGATCGCCAGTCGAGGCTTGTAGCCCGTGCGTGGAGGCGAAGAGGAGAAAGTATACATTGCTACGTACCTGGGTTAGCACTGTGGTGGAATCTAAGGGCAAAGTACGGGTTGGGCTAGGTGATACATGTGAACTGGGTGGGATGGTACGCCGAGGGGCTGGTGTCTGGGGACATGGAATTGGGACAACGGCGGGTGGGACCTTGGGAGGGGAGAGCGATGACGAGCGCGACAGCTAGTGAGGTAAGACTGAGCGTGTGCAGGTACTTGACACGATTCGAACAAGGTAGAAAAGGGCGGTTATTATAAGTTGCGAAATATCCAATTATGTAGGCACCATCGTTCATCCATGCCCGCCTGACTGGTATTGTGCATGATCCATCCAGACAATATTACAAAGGCCCTGGGAATATACTGTTTTATAAACTCGATCAGGGATATATGAGAAGCAGTCTCGCCATTTTTGAGCCAAAAGCAAATAAATTGGAAATATAAATGAACATGAGCCGCAATAGCAATAGCTGGGTTTATATGCGGAAACAAGGACGATGGCTTCAACTAATGTTCAATATCTTGCAAGCTCGCTAATACACCATAATCTATACACCGCTACCTCTATCCAGCGAAGGCACAGTCCGACTTCTTACAGGTTTATCCTGAGCGTTACTTGTAAAAAAATATCAAAAATATCAAAAAAGGACACCCGACGCCATGCTCGAGACAATAAGTCGCTATCCGTCATAACACATGCGTCATACCCAAAATGAATTTCCAGTGATATACAGAATGCTCAACCTGTCCTAGTATTTTTTTTGAGTATTGACTGAGTAAATATCGACTGAGTAATACTTCAGTTCGGTCAGCTGTAAGTACCACGGATTTTGGCATATAGGTCCGTGTCGAAAAAGTGGTAATCCTCCTGGAGTTCGCAGAACTCATGCTGCATCAGCAAGCGCTCTGCCGTGGGCCGTTCCCTCGGGTCCCTGATTTGAAGTTAGGGACAACATCGCCGAAAATAGGAATTATGACAAAAAAAACTTACACCGTGAAACAGTCCAGCATGAAGCCAAGAGCGTAGGGACTTATGGCTTCGCGAACCTCATCCGCGATCGGCGGCGTCTCTCCATTCGCGATCTTGTAGATGGCGCCGACTGCCTCCTCTTTACTCCAAGGCCTTCGTCCAGCAAACATTTCGAGCACCACACAGCCCAAAGACCAGATATCAACCTTTGCGCTGTATCCTTCTCCTTGGGAACGGATCACCTCTGGCGCCATCCAGAAGACGGAACCTTGCATGCTGTTTGTTTTGTCGTTTCCGTAAATGTCATCCGTCTTCTTAGAGATACCGAAATCGGAAATCTTGCACGTGCCGTCCAGATCCAGTAGGATGTTGTCAGCTTTGAGATCTCTGTGCAAGATACCCTCTCGGTGCAGATAGGCTAGACCGGACAGTGCCTGCCGTGTCAAGGAACTGACGACAGGCTCCTCGAACTTGCCATGTTTGCGTAGACAGGAACCAATCGATCCGCCAGAAATATACTCGAGAAAAATACTGATGCTCGTTTCCTTTCTCTCGCAGCCAAGATATTGAACGATGTTGACGTGATCAAGGTATTGCATGGTTTCAATTTCCGTGTTCAAGGCAGCAACAAGTTCGCGCATCTTGTTGCTATCACCCCCCGCCGCTCTGGGGTTAACCTCGACCTCCTTCACAGCCAAGAATTCACCCGTTGTAGCATTCATTCCGAGGTAAACGCGGCCATATGTTCCTTTGCCGATTAGCTCACCCTTAAACCAGCGGAAAGTTGTCTGGCGTTTGGGCAGAGTATCTTGCGGAATTTCAGGTAGGATGTCGATCATCGAACCACGTTCGGGTCGAATTTGGACCACATGAGCACCAAACATTTTGGTGCTCTTGCGTCGTTGTATCATGGAAGCTGCGCCTCCCGCGCCGGATGCTGCTGAAGCAGTGGTGAAGCGCTTGTTAGCTTCATGCGCCCCGCGGGCTACTTCACGAATGGACTTCATACGGCCAAGTCCACCCGAGCGCCTCATACTTCTCTGCGCGACGGATGCGATAGACTGTGGTCGTTGCTCTAGAGCTTTGAGAGTTGACTCGTCAGAACCAAGTGTGTCGTTGTCGCTATATACAGAGGACCGTGCCGTGGTGGTGCCGTGCATCGGCAATTGAAGAGACTCGTTGCTTGTGGCCCTGGAATGCTCGCCACCCTGCTTCATAATGGCATCGATGCCTGGCGAGCTTGGTGAGGGAGGTTCTTGAAGTGACGCCTCATCAAGGACAGGTTGATCGAGATCAAGTTCGGGGAAGAATGCATCGAGGTTGTCCAGCAAAGCTTCAGCGGGTGGGCGGGCGGCCCAATGATCACGCTCAATGAACGATTTGCGCCGTCCAAGCTTACCGTCGTCCGACTCTTTCGAATCCGACCGCGGTGTCGCTGGAGTCCGACGTGAACTTTGCCCACTGCGCACACTAGGATCATCTCCTTCTAAATCGGGTATATTGTTAGAACCCGGCGACCCAAAAGACACCGATAGTTGCTTCTTGGACCGTGATGTTTTTAAAGTAAGATTAGGTTTCTGAATCACATCAGCATTGGCATCATAAATCGCACGGTCTAGGTGACGTACCTTTGTTGACGGCTGCCGGCCCCGTACGGGTACAGCAAACAGTCCGTCATCTGAATCGTCGTCGGAGGAGTCATGCTTTTGTAAAACAGGAGCTGCCGGCTTGGAAAATTGCACATCCGCCTCTTCGAAATCCACATCAGGACCATGCGATTTGCGTCGTTGAGGCTCGGGGCGGCTGAAGCCATTACCAGTTGGGCGTGCCGAATTGGGACTCACGCCACCAGGGGATGTCGCTCGATGTGCTGTTTCATGCACTTTAGCAAGGTCTCCAACTTCAAGCTTATTCCGGGCATCATTCAGAGGCGTGCCGCCGGGCGAGTAGTCCGGAACGACAAATGCAACATCTCCACGGCTCCACGTAAAAGTCCCGGGTGAGCCAGATCGCGGACTACTGCGACCGACGGCCGTCTGGTCAAGATCAACCGATGCCATAGCGCGCTTACCTCGTTGTTCATCATGTGTAGGGGCAGCTGCAGGACCAGAATTCACCCTGGGTGGCGAAGCAGGTCTCTGGTGGCGAGCACCTGCAGTAGGGCGACCGAGCTGGCTAAGAGCACTCCCCATGCCCAATAGAGCACCAAAAGCAGTAGGCTCCCTACCGGATTGAGGGGGTCGCCGTTGAGACATTTCTTGATTCGTGTCGCTAGTTGAGGTACCCGGCCGCCTGGGAGTGGGAAATCCATCGAGACTAGTTTGAGATTGCCGCATTTGGTGGCCGGACTTCCTACTCAGTGAATTAGCCTTGAGGAGGGTAGCTGTCTCAACCCCAGGAGGAGCAGGTGCTCGACGCTGGGGAAACAAGTTTTCAGGTTTCTTCTCCTCGTACGGCGAATTACGAGGCTGGTCAAAGTCGACATTCCTTCCAACAATTCCGTACTGTGGACTGTTGTCCTGAGGTGACGATCTTTCGAGCGCTTGCTTCCTTCTGGCTAGATATGCTGCTTGCTGCTTTTCGACACTTGCTTTATAATCCATGGCCTTTTGCGCTAGCTCATTGGGATCTGGCTCTCCCTCGCTCACAATGTTCACCCTCGAGGTGGGTGGTGACGAACTTGATCGCTCACGACCATCGAGGCGCGCGTATGCATCCTCGTCCATAGAAGCACCGGCGGGCATATATCCTGGAGTGAGCGACCCAGGCACAGCAGGCTGTGTGGCTGGATTGCCAAGCTTGACAAAGAACTTCAGGGTGCCTAGTGAATCCGCCTTGTTTCTTTTGTGGATCATCAAGCTCTGGTCCTCAAGCGGCTCGTCGTGTTCACCACGTCCAAGTTCTGTGATGAACAATTGTGATAAGGATGGATCCGGTAAGCCCAGGTTCATGCAGATATTGGCGCGCAAGTCCATGGAAGTCTGGCAGTCTGTAACATCGCACATACGATAGTTCCATCCGTCCATTGTTGCTAGAACAAAAGCCCGTGGAGCATTGGGGTTTCGGCGGAAAGCCGGAGCAGTATCCAATGAGGAGGTATCCAGCTCAGTACCGCCATTACCCCTTGCAAGTGAGGAAGCTTTGGAAAGGTTTGGACTCGTTTGAACATCCCCCTCCTCAGGAGACGCAGCAGATCCGTCCTCTCTTTTCTTTCGTTTCAAAAAGCTTAGGAAGCTCTTGTCGTGCTTTGCAGACCCGGGTGGCTCAGCCCCAGCAGAGCGGTCGCCAGGTTCTAAAGGGGATTGTCCAGAGCCGTCTTTATTGCGGTTTGTATTCAACATCTCGCCGATGCCATTCATCCCATTACGCAGCATTTGGCTGGCCTCGGGTGGCACGCCAGAACCGTAGATGGCGGCGTTTGATGACACGGAACTGGTGCTATCTCTGGACCGATGACCAAATCTACCAGAAGGTGAAGAAGCTGACAAATTCCCAGCAGACTGGGGGAACAAGCCAGAACCAGGTTTGGGGCTCCTACTCGGGCTGTCGCCCAGAAAAGCTGCAGCGCGATAGTTGTCATCAGCATCATTACCAACAGGACTATGTCTCCGAGTGCTCTCGATATCAATATTCTTGAGAATAGTCCTGTGGTTGGCATCCGAGCTCATTGTGTTACCGCTGAGAGTTGGCATTGTAGTAGATCTCGTCTGGGAGAAACGTCTCGCACCAAAACCTTGCCCAGGCGCCTTGATGGGCGTGTTGGGCGACTCAATGTCCGTGCCGGGACCTTGATTGTTGTTTGGCGGTGCGCTCGATGTACCTTCTTTTGGGCGTGTGGATAGTCCTCCACTATGCGCAATATTGCGTATCAGCCGCCGCATGCGCTTTCCTTCCTCCCTTTCTCTAACCGATTCCCATCCAGTACCGCTTTTGGTGCACACTTGGGCTAGTCGGGGATAAACTTGCTGATGCATTAAGCCAAAGTTTCCTCTGCCTCCATGACCACTGCCAAGTTCAAGGAACTGCGCTCCATGCAAATTCAGTCCTTTGAACGTATCTTGCCAGTCCTTTGAGAATTGGTTAGTAGCCAACCACAGGAGGACATGGTCCAAGGGCCATTTGGCGGCCAACTCGGGAGTGACTCCGGATGGAGCATTGGAGGCAGTGGAAGCCATTCTGTTTGACATGGCACTGGCATACAACCTGTCTCGGCTGTCATTGTCGGCGGGGGTTGTGTTGGCAGTGTCAATAGTGCCATTCTGACCATTTGCTGGCCAGGTCTTCTGTGGTGTATACAGGGCTGCAGGCTCATCGAAGTCGAAGGCAGGTATGCCTACGCCCTCTCCATATGTGTCGCCTTGTGGTATGTAGGTGGCCGACATGCCTGGACGCTCCGAGGGCGGCGGTGGTGGTATAGACAAAGTGCCGGCAAGGTTGGTACCGGACATTTGCGAGTGAAGCTTCGGGTCATAGGCTCTGTGTGGTCCCCCAGAGGGTGGGGGTGGGATAGCCATGCCTGTCCTTGAATCATACATTCGCCCCCAGCTACCTTGCCATGGCGCTTGCGAGTTCATGGCGCTGTTCGGAGGTGGACCAGAGGGCGGAGGGGGCAGTTGTAACCCGACTGCTGCGGATGGCGCGCTGGGATACCTCGGCGGAGGGGGCGGTATGGACATGATATTGTTCATTTGTCCGGGCATAGGCGGCGACATGGGAGGCGGGGGCGGGACGGCGAAGGGCCGCGAGGGATTGGCTTGGGTATTCGGATACATGATGGGCGGGGGAGGAGGTGGCGGCCCGTTTCTGGTGGAAGGTCGACGGGAAGATTCGAAGAGGCTGGGCGAGGCCAGTGAGGGCGCAAGGCTGGCGGTGGACGATCGTGGACGGAGGCTCGGGAGACTGGAGGCGAAGTTGGCACTCAAGTAAGGCGGTGGTTCGGCATCCGAGGCTGGAGGCCTTTGATTCAGGAGGATCGAGGTCGGAAGAGTTGTGGTGTTATTATTATTATTATTGTTGGCGTTGTTGCTCGCTTCATTGACCAAGCCGTTGAGGGCGCTGATGTTGTCGTGCAGTCGCTGTCGTATGTTCGCGTTGGTGGGATACCGAGGTATGTTTGCGCTTGCGTTGCCTTCGCCCTCTCTTTCCCTATCTCGTTCTCTTTCTCGTTCTCTCTCCCTTTCTCTTTCTCGTTCTCTTTCCCTTTCGCTTTCCCGGTTGCTCTCCGACCTGTTCAACACCGTTGTATTGCGCGCAGCGGTCATGGCCTGACGTTGACCAGACAAGGCGGACACATTGCCGGGCGTCACTCGATGTCACACGAGTATTGGTGTTGTATAATAGTAGCAGATGTTATGTCTGAGGAATCCGAGAGCAGCTTGCATCAATTGTTTCTTCTCCCTCGAGAGTAGTCTGCGTCTGGGGGTCCGTCTGGGCCCTTGCGCTGTGGTGCTGAGGCTAGCCTAGTACAGTGCCTAATTATGTACCACTGGGCCTAACCTTAGGTTAGTCTAACGTTGGTAGTTATGGTGATGAAATAGCCTGGTACCAAGTAGACCTGCGTCTGGTCCGGGATGGGGGATGAGTTGAGGATGGGGCGCGATGGGCACTGCACTGTTATGGCCAAGTCAGCGGAATATCCTGCTGTGTAGTGTGGCGATGTCTCGTCTCATCTCATCTCTCTCGTCGCTGCTGCTTGCCTCTGAGGATTGGCGCTGGGGGCCTGGCTGGAGTTGCACTTAAAGACGTAAACGGCCTGGAGGGCCCTGCAAAGCCCCAAAAACCCAAAGCTGCTTCCCGGAACACCCCCCTGCTGTAGGGTGCCTTAGCGTGTGTCCTCCGGCGGCTAGGCGCTTAAGGCATGTACTGACTAGCCTATGGTATTGTATTTGTTTCAGCTCAACGTGGCCGGCAAGTCCAGTAACTGCCGGAGTGACAAGCCTAAGCTTGCGGTTTATTCAGCAATAATCATGCTGCTTGGGTTTTTCTTTACTTCACCGCGGTCCACGCCATCCATACTGCCTTGTTCTCAATCATCTATCGACACGTCCTTCCTCGATAGCAAGCCCCTTTGGAGCGACCAGAAAGAGCCCGTCTCAAAGTCGTCTTACCGAAGTAATACAGCGCGATCCAGCTGCTACTAGCGCGTGCCCAAATGCATGTTGCATGCATTGGTCAATCCTTAGAACCAATCGCGCCCAGGCAGTCCAGCGAATCAAAATAAGGCCAAGCAGGCCTCGGGAATGGCCCGACAAGCATCCAGCACATTGCAACCTTCCGACGTCCAAGACAAAGACAAAGACAAAATACAAGTCGAAGTCAAAGTCAAATAACAGCACTACTTGTATGTACTACGTAGCATATGCATGCACCTGAGAGCATAATGGAGCCACCGAATTCCTCCAAACACAGCCCTTGAAAGGTCCAATCTCACGCACATGACATGCACAAAGCACGTGTTCGTTCATTGTTTCATGGCTGCTCTCTTCGATCTCCCCACTTGCAGTACCATGTCGGTCCATGTCCATGTCCATACGATACAAGCATGCCTACTGGCGTACTTGACTTGCGCCGCTTCTGCCGACAATATCTTGGCATGTCCAGCAATCATGGAGAAAGCCACCATAACAGCCAAGGTATGCTTCCCCGCTTGAGACAACTCTATATTAGCATGTTTGGCATTCCGTGCATAATGGTCTGAAATCTTTACGTCCTGTATGCTACGTACCGAGAAAACCAGGTCACCGGGACTGTTATTACTAGGCGTGTTGTAAAGAGAATATCGCACCTAATTTCATCACGGAACACAACTTTTCAAGGAAATGACGATGAGGCTTCCGGATAACATAAAAATAAGAAAGAAAAAAATCACGCCGCTTGCAGCACTTTTCTGAGTCCGTCTGCGACAAAGAAAAGCTCATCCAAGCCTGTGAATTCTAGGGAAGCTGTCTTTGTTGTAGGACTTGACAAAGACAGCGCCAAATATACTCAACCAGAAGAGCATCATGGCTGAATTTATCACCTGTGGACCCTGCAATGGAGACGTGACACCTAGACTCGGGCATCCGAGCATTCATTACAATGACAACAGCCCCGATCAATCTATCGCCATGGGCTCAGCGATTTGGCCCGTATCCAAAACGATGGAATGTCGATCGGCATGGAAAATACCATTCTCTCCTTGCACCAAGATTGCCAGACATAGATCCCCAGTATACGAATGACATACCGGGTATTGATATCCCGCTCCCTGGCGTGAATGCCGAGGGTCAGATCCCCAGACCAAGTGACACCGAGCTTGACGCGCTATTTGACGATGAGAGATATCAGCAGATCATGCTTCACGGTATCAAGTCCAGGCAGCTTGGTCTTCTCAGCACAAACACGTACTTGGGAAAGAGTGGGCACACTCATCTATCTGGCCCAGATGGCGCCGGAGACAATGCAGGCGGAACACCCATCCAAGTGGACGAAAGCACCTGGCTGCCCTGCATGCAACGAAATCGATGGTATAAACCACAGGAACGGACCAACGTACCATTTCCGCATGTTCAGGACTGGAGTATTGATGATGACAATATCTGGTCAATGCTTATGCCGATCTTTGAGCTAGCCAACAGGATAATGAACCTGTTGGTAGAAGAACGACATTCATAGTATGTGACCTTATTGTGAGAAGTCCACAGACCCCTGACTCATCATAGAGCCAGTCTAGCTAATGTTTTACTTGTTACAGCTTTGACATGTTGCTCTTTGGGGCTATATGGCTAGAAGAGAAGGAGCCAAGCCTGCCTCAGCAGCCAGGGAAGTACCGGCAATTACAACCTTCTGAAAATCCGCCTCAAACCAAAGACCGGAAGAGGATTTTCATTCGAGAGCGGCCAATGTGGCAACGACCAAACGTCGCAACGTTTCGCACTACTCTCTCGCAGCTTACTCGCAATGTAATGTGGTCCTGGAATGACGAAGACGACTACCGCGCGGCGGGCTACACAGCGCCTGAGGGATCTACACAAATTTGCAATTTGGGAAAACCCATCGATCAAAATGGTCCTATATTGATTCTTCTTAGCACCCAACCGTTACGGGGACTTATCGAGAGGACGTTGACACATAGTGAATCAGGCACTGTATCTTGGCATGCCGCGGGCACTGTACGTATTGTATTACCCATCTACTAGGGAGTCTCTTATTTGAGAAGTCGAAACACAGCTAATCAGTTTCGAAGATACTGCATGAGCTAATGGTCAGTTGCAAGAATCTCAAGTCGTGGTAATTATCTAATAAAATACCAGCATGCTATATGGATGCAACGGACTTGGAGCGGTCATTTTATTACCGAGCCTGTGAGTCCAGTCGCTCGAGGGCACCACCATCTAATTATCTCGGAACTGACGTGCTTGCTTTAGTTTCTTGGGCATGATGGAATGGCCGAGCTAGGTCGCTCGTTCGAGAATGTGGTATGGGGTGGTATTTCCTTCATGATGCATCAGAACGTGTTAAACTTCAACAGAACGTTCCACAGCAGAGCCATAGGCTCACGTTTGGACGATTGGCCAAATATTTTCGATGTCCAAAGTTATTCTGGGTCTGGTCAGCAGCGCAGGGCAGTCGCTGGCTGGCGTGAAACCGCTCAGTCTGGTGATGGGGTAGTCTCGTGGCACATCCCGGCGAGGTGGACGACATTTATGTTCACCAAAGAATTCTGGGATATTTTGGTCCCGGCATATGGCCTTCGGGCGTTGAGACCCCCTAAAGTGGTGAGCGGAGTCGTGGTACAATGGCGAAGCCGCCTTCGGGGGTTTCGAATAAACGCCAGAGATCCTGTCAACGAGATGAAGCAACTTGGGCCGTATTTGCGATTTCTAAAAAATCGTCTATACGACCGGGAACAGCAGATCAACAGCCTTCGACCATGGCAAACCGTCGAATATGACAAGTGGCAGGTCTCCCCATGGAGTTGGACAGCTGCAAGGATTCTCATCAAAGACTACGCAATGTTCCATGCTCAACGCAACTATAGACAAGCCGCACATTCGGCTATGGCATTGTATGCCGCCACGGTAGAGGCGTTCAACCTAGATGTTGGCGTACCTGGCGGGTACCCACAGCTGACTGCAACTTATTGGCACTACTACATAATCTCAGGACTCATGTATGCCGCCTTGCCAATGGTTCCACCGCTACCTGCGAAGCATTCCAAGGTAACTGTAAGGGTGGTTGTGCCAACGCAACACGCGAACAGCGTGCATCCAGCCAAAAGCCCAGATTGCCTAAAAAAACAGCCTCTGATTCCGAACGAGGTTCATTACTTAGTAGGTCCAAAAGCGGAAGCCTTCCAGATAACACAACCGTCAGAATTCTTAGCGTCCGGACCCATCAAACATCCCCTTGAGTATATACAGCATATCTATGACTTATTTACGAAATTGAAACAAAATGGGTATCCATTCCACGGTGACTGGTACAATGCTGCGCTGCAAGCCATCAAGGATATTCAGAACTTCAGAAAAACTGATCAGATACCTCATTCATGGGCCGATTGGACTTTTCAGGTACCTGACTACAACGCCGATGCGGACCGCTGGATGGAGTTTTCTCCCAGTCAGAATGTATTTCGGAGATATACTGCGGGAATAGATAAGTTTGCCCGTGGGTTTTTCCCAAGTCCTCCTCAAGTATTGCCTCCCATCCAGGCCCCTGTGGCTCAGGTGCCCCATGGTGTTGTTTCCTTGCAACCGCAAGGGCAGGCTCCCGCTTCTTTTTTCCAGGGACAAGCACCATCGTCTGGGCCGCCCGGACCTACAACTATGGCAACGGGGCCCAAGAAAAAGTCTCCATACCTACAGTATCATTACTTCACAGTCGCGTCAGTTGCGGATATTTCTCACTGGGTCGTAGACCCGAACCCAGATGATGAAACTTTCGATGTGTACGACCTTGAAGGTATGGTTACACCTTTTCGTTGTCTTGCGGTTGATGTATGAGCTAACCAACCCGTAGCACTGCTTGACGGACTCAACTATGACAACGTCGAGACCAAGAACGTGACAGTTTGTGGCCCCAAGGGCCGCCAGCTACGCCCCGAATATACAAAACTTAGAGAGGAGCTTCGAAAACCAGGCATGCGTTGTCGTGTGGGCAAACTGCTCCCTTGGTATCGTAGGGAAGAACTGGCCGAATTTGATGGCAGTAAAAACATGCCTAGTTGGGTTGCGATGGCGGATGCGATCTTTGATATCACAGGTGCGTCACTTCTTACGCTTCTTATGCGCTCGGATATGTAGAAACAGCAAGAAGAGAAACACACTAATTCCAGGTACTAATCACAGAGTATCTACCCAAGGACGCCGAAACACAGAAATGGCTCAATGGGAGCGCCGGTGGACCACTCAGGCCGGATACGCAGGAACGTCTAGATTGTATCTCGGAAATTTTGAGTTCTCCTCAAGTTCGCAATATTGGAATTGTAATGCCAGGGCCCTGCAAGACAGCGGCTCGAGAGCCGAGTTACTTGATCCCGAAGTCTCGGCTCCGCCATTACGACAACCCAACTGATGGCCTCTACACTGTTATCAATGGCCATGTATACGACGTTGCTGGTAGGGATATCCTGACGCTGTTGCCACTTGGCTGTAGTTACTGACAGGCTTGATTTAGACTATATGGACTTTCATCCGGGCGGCACTAAGCTTTTTAACGCTGTTCTGGGGCGTGATGGGACGAAGGCATTTGAAGAATATCATCCCCTCAGTCTGCTCGAACGGCCAGACTTTGCAAAGTTCAAAGTGGGCCGCGTAATGAAGACTCGAAGAAGTGGTCATGTCAGGGACGATGAAATCGCTTTGCATGATCTCGTCTTTACCGTCAGAGGTAAGTCACTTCTTTTCGTCTATCAGCCCGGGCTGTCGCTCGTGGGTGGGATTGGCGTCCGCAAAATTTGTTGGGGTCGGAAAAGGACATAGGAGATGACTGACACCTTTCAAAGACCTCGAACACCAAGACCCATTCCTGTACGATATGCTGTCGCCGTTCTACGGTACGGATTCGACTCACATTCTCACCAGCGACAAGCAAGAAGACGAAGAGATCCGCGACGCCCTCACCACGTTTTACCTGCACCGCAAGGACCTGATCGTCGCGCAGTTCCAGATGCGGAAGCGATTGCGCAAGGTAGATCTGGACGAGGTCAAGAAGCATCGGTACATTTCTACGTCTATCGTCCCTTGTGGAACCCAGGACCCGTGGGTTGTGGTTGATGACAACGTGTACGACGTGACTCGTAAGTTCCTATATTTCTGATATTCCCCCACACGCCTAGCCACTCCCAAGCCAACTCCTCCATTGAGGATTTCTATGGCTGACCGAGGGCACCCCATAGCTCTCCTCCGACATCCACAATTCTACGACCCCAACTCCGGCCTCACCACGCGCGACGCCGGGGAGGTCATAAGCGGCTCTAGGACTGGCAGATGGCTCAGGAGCGAGCACGGCCACCGCATCATCGCAAAGGTCAAGACCCCGCGACACGACTCCGTGTCGACGATGGATCTGGATGCGTTCGAGGAGTCTCTGGACGGCGATACCGGCAAGAAGAGAAAGGCTGGCAATGAGCAGGTTCATCGGAGTTTGGCGGCGGAAACAAAGGCGACCCGAGCGGCGGCCAAGAGGCAAAAAGGTTCGGGGGGCTCAAGAGTAGGTGGTCCAGGGTGTCCGAGGGTTGGGTGAGACTGCTGTGGGTTGTTTTATCCCAGGATTTCATTGCGTGTGATGATTTTTCTTTAGGTTAGACATGCGACACCAATCGCGCCTGATAACTTCCCTGATAATTCGGTAATCATTGATAATTTCTGAACAGTCAACAAGTGCAAAATTGTACCAGTGCAGGCCAGCCGATTTATTACTTGTGCCTGTCCATTCGCTTGTTTATTGTATACATGTGCGCCATGTTCGATTCACATGTGTTCATCGGTATTGCTCAATTTCCTAATATACTTGAATCCACCAATTCATTGGTTGTACACTTCTGTAACTATGATATATGTACAGCCGGGCCACTTCCGTGTATGGTATGCTAGAAAATAAAACTGCTAATGCTCAAAATCCAAAGTGCTCCAACCCAAAACCGCCAATATGGCTATACCCATAATGCTATTGGCTGGATTCCAAACTCAAGTTTGAAATTGAAATGGTGGTGGATTTACGTCATTCGGCTTGACAAAGGGACTTACAACGACATTCAGCGAATCGATGCCCTACATCAACGCGCATTTGCCGGCATCAAATCCATAGCTCGCCTGACACTGCTCCAGGTACCCGGCCTCTTCAGCGGACCCTTGCAGAGTGTTGTGCGGCCTGACCAGTCCTGTGACCTTGAGCTGATGCGTGCCCTCGCCGTGCCACCACCGCAGCTTCTGGATCCATGTGCGCTCCTCGTCATCCGTACTGATCTCCCATTTTCCACCTGACACCTCCACTGTGACCTGATCACGCGGGAAGTGGTACTCAGGCAGGAATATGGTTGTGGGTTGTGCTTCTGGGGTGGTTGAGGATGAGGCGAGCGACAAGTGGAAGACGCATGTCTTGAGATCGAAGCCGTAAGAGGTTTTCGTGCCACTCACTGCTATTGGAGCCGGACGGACAAAGGCCTCGGCGGCACGGAGACCGGGAGAGTTGGTAAGTTCGGGATTAGGACTGGGAGGCTCGGAAGAGATGGATGGGTTGGTCATGGTACGTTTCAGATTGCTTGGGTTCACAGAGGTTTCGTCATCGACCTCAGATCTGCTTGCAGACGTGACAGTTTTGAGCAGACTAGTCTGTGACTTATTCGCGTCTGAATTGCGCGGCAGTTGTGGTTCGGGGAGCGTCCGATCGTCAACAGAGAAGATGGAAAGATCCTCTCCGTTCCACTGATCGCCGCGGATGTGGTCGTTCTTGCGAAACATTAGCGCGAGCACGATTGTCCAAACCAATTAGACTTACCTGCGTATCATAAACCCAAAGTGTGTAACCATCCAATTCAGCGCCTTCCACCGCGTAATGATTTGCATCCAACGCAGCAGACTGGCTAGAATAGTCTCCTGTCTTGTATGCATTTTTATCGTCCATATCATAGGGAATTCCAAACTCGCTCATCAACACAGGGTGGTTACCCATATAGTCCAAACATTCTTTCCTCATGGCAGCCATTTGATCTCTGAAACAATTTCGAATGGCACTTTCGCCCACTTTGATCGCAAATGCAGGATGCAGATACCGGCCACGAAGTATACCGAGTACGTCGACATTCCATGTGCGGTTCCATTTCTTCGTCATAAGGGTGATTCCATCATAGAAGTGAGGCGTATAGACCATGTTCGGATCGTCGTCAGCTGTTCCCTTGATGCTCGGTGGAACTTCGAACACTGGAGGCTGGCATAACATGATCGCATCTGTATGCACAGCACGTACGGTATCCCGATATTGGCGATAGTGCTCCATGTAGTATGTGTTGGTAAACTCGTGGTGATCGAGGACTTTGCCTGTCCGGGGACTCTTGGCAAAATAGTCTTTCTTCAGCAGGAGATCTTTGGAGGGATCCCAAACGCCATGCTGGGCCCACAAGCACTCACCCAGCTTCCAGCCTGGGTCGCGCTTCCAACCGTACCTCGAATCGTCGTAGTCGGCGGGCAACCAGGCGATCTCACCGTGAGGATCAATGAGCGATCGGCCCACCTTGTACGGGCCTAAGCCACCCATATCCCAGGTGTCCACCTCGCATGCCCTTCCGGAGCCGGTCAGGATGGCCTGCCAGAGCGTTGGTGCTGTCCCTTTCTTCAAAGCCTGATCTTTTGGTATTACGCTCAGGTCCGCATTTCCAACGATGCCTCTGTTGGGTTCGTTCAGACTCTCCCAGCCAAAAACGACGTCATTGAGAATACCCCCAGCTTCCTTCAACCGCTTGGCAAGATGTGATATGGCAGCCAGGTAGTGGCCCAGCAGGAACTCCTGAATGTTGATGCCATTTATTATGGCTTTCGGGGCAAAGTCCTTGCCGGCAAAGAACAGAGTGAAGATAGTGGCGGCGGCGAGACGGTAGTAATTGGTTGACCAAATCATCTTGGGGAAGTTTTCGGGATCGGGGTATGTGTTGTGTACTATGGCGGCTTCGGTGGCAGCAAAACTTTGAGGATTAAGGCCACAGGCGTACAGCGTCCACATGGGAGCGCCTGAACCTCCAGAGTATCGTGACCACTGTCGTGGCAATGGTTAGCATGGAGCCTATAGCAGGCGGACGGACATGGTTCGGCGACGTACCACATCCTGGTGCGGATCCATGAAGACGTAGAAGCCATATTCTTTGGCTTCCCGCAGGACGTCAATGGTGTGCTGTATCCATGCTTCATCATATTTGCCAGGCCCGGCGGCTTCGATGGCCTCCCACGTAAATATGTAGCGAATGGTGTTGTAACCGTAACGTTTGAGCCTGGAGAAATGGATATGCGCGTCTTCTTTTCGAAAGGGTCGGCCGTGAAATTTGACGTTGTCGCCGTCGAAGAAGTCGTCGGAAACATGCGAGGGGACATCTGGCGTGCTTGGCAGCTTCGCATCTCCTGCTACGTTTATACCGCGAAGGAGGACATGTCTGCCGTGGTTATCTCTGAATTGACCATCTTCGATGACGAGGCGCAAGCTAGACATGGCCGGTTGAGATGAGATTCTTTGGCTTGTATGTTGCGACGCAATGTCTCTGGTGGTGTTTCGATCTGTCCTGTTTGTCAATTAAGGACGAATGGTAGTGTAGACACTATCTATGAGTCGGTACCGCAGGTGGGTTATGTTGTTTAGGTATGCGATAATGGATGCTGAATGACGTCGGGGCTCGTAGCGCCTCACAGTAAGGGTAAGTAAGTAACCCAACCTAACTTAGTAGTTATCCTTGTATTTTGGATACTGGATATCAGGTCTTCTTCTTCTCTGCAAGATATTCTGCGCAGCTAGAAGCGGGAAAGATAATTACGACGATGCTGAGTCGTAGCAGAAGACAAAGACACTACTGGGACCATGTATTACCACAAGGAGTGAGAATGGGATTTATAGAAAAGGAACTGCTCGACAGGTCTAACTAACGCGATGTCATACCAATCTTCCAGCGACTCTGGCATGTCGAGCTTCCGGCCGCTGAGAATGCCCCGTCCCTGTGCCCAAGTGATGATCAATCGCATGCATGATGCGGGCGAGCGATTCACCAGCGCCGCTAGCCCCTGTAAATCCTCAGGTTCGACCCGGAGTTTAGCCTTTGCAGCGCGCTAACAAGATGAAGTCTGCGCTGCCTGCCACTTGCACCTCGAAAAGGGTTTCCCCTTACAGTAGCCAACCAAGCACAGGTAGCGAAGGCGGGACAACACACGCCCAATCAAATCAAATCACTGCGTCGCACACGAGCCACACGACGCATTGGCGGGCCACTTTTTGTGGACGACACAGCTTCAACCAGCAAGCAATGACGAGCTCGTGGATTTCAAGCGTCGAATACCACTAACTTAACCTTACTGTAGTACTGCTTCATCTGCTTCATGGAGCAACTTCGGCACAATCAACCCGGCTGAACTGCTTCTCTCATGGCCATCTTCACCTGCTGATTTTAGCATCACACCACAATCACCATGTCGAGTACAGGCAAGCAGCTCAAGGCTATCCGTGAGCTAGTCAAGCGCAAACAGTGGGATGATGTACTGCAAGAATCCCAAGATATCATAAAAGAAGACCCGAAGAACTTCCAGGCGTAAGAATGGCTGATCCCCCGTGCGTGACCACATATCTGACACTTTCAGCCACCTTCTGGTTGGATTCGCATCAGCCGAGAAGAACAAGGTCGAAGATGCAGAAAAGGCATATGAGGCTGCCGGCCGCCTCAAGGCCTCCGACTCACAACCATGGCAAGGCTTGATAAAACTGTACGAGAAGCAAGGTTCCGCTAAAATCGCAAAGTACCAGCAGGCCGTGCTGAGGCTTGCTGCCATATTCCATGAGCAAGATGACATGTACAAATGCCAAGATGTTGTGGAAAAGTTCCTCGATTTTGCCAATGCCCATGGGTCTCGTGCCCAGTATGCAGAGGCGCTAGGCGCAATTGTCCCCGACAGTCCCCTTTACTCAGCTCTAGAAGGCCGGGTGCCACACCCAGCCAAGACGTACGAGAAGATTGCTCAAATTCTCGAAACCGATGAGAAGAAGCGAATCAACAACCTTATTGGTGAGCGGCGGACAAGGATAGGCGCAACACTCGGAAGTGTCACCGTTGAGGTGAATCGCGAAATTCTCAGCCAGAGCAGCCTTGGCCACATTTACGAACAGCTCATCAACTGGTCCACGGATGATGACATCAGGCGTCAGTACGAAGAGAAGCTACTACGGTTTCGCTATGACCGTCTGTTGGTTTTCTCCCCCGGCCCTGAGAAGGAGTCAGAGCTCGCAACAGTGCAGAAGCTTGCTGGTGACATGGTAATCATCAACCATCCTTTCAGGCTCGCATGGGATGTCACTGTCAATTGGCAAGACTACAAAGAGATTCGAGAGTGGGGTGTCACTATTCTTCACGGCTACTGCTCTCATTTTCCAGAAAGCGACTTGTACAAAGTACTCACGGCGTTCTTGACCAGTAGCATATCTCCCTTTCCAAAGAAAGAGGCACCGGAATCTGGATCTGCACACTCAAACAGGGACGAGGATACCAGCGAAGATGATGAGGACGGCGGCGCGCCCACATCTGTCATCCCATTTACTGATGCTGACAGACTGTCGATGATGGAAGAAGGTGTTGAATCAACCGACTCGCTACTCGCCTATCGCCTCATCGGAGAGTACTATCAGCACCTCGAAGAGCATGAGCGCAACGTCGAGCTTATGCGCAAAGCGATGCAGGTTATGGTCGACTTAACAAACAAGATCGGAAAAGTCTTCATCCACACAAACCAATCATACATGGTGTACTTGGGCACAGCTTTAGTCTTCTATCAGTCGCCAAGAAATCACGGAGAGGCAAAGTTTCTCTTTGATAAAGTTCTCGAAGTAGACCCGTCTTCCACACCTGCCCAAATCGGAGTCGGTCTCATTTACGAGGAAGAGGAGGAATATGACGCTGCTATAGACTTTCTCGAGCGAGCCCTCCAGCGGGACAGTAGCAACCTGCGCGTCAAAGCTGAGGTGGCGTGGCTCTACGCTCTTAAAGGCGACTACACCCGTTGCAAATCAGATATGGAGTCCATTCTGGAAATAATGTCTGGAAAAGATTCGGTCTCCAAAGAACTCCTTGCCCAGACGCAACATCGCCTCGGAGTCTGTATTTGGAATTTAGACACCTCGAAAGCCGCCCGCAAAAGCCGCACGGGTGCATACGCTTATTTCATTGACGCCCTGAAGAGCGACTTCGCTTATGCCCCAGCGTACACAAGTCTGGGTATTTATTACGCCGAGTACGCCAAGGACAAGAAGCGAGCTCGGAAATGTTTTCTTAAAGCTGTGGAGCTCTCGCCTTCAGAAGTACAGTCTGCAGAACGCCTAGCACGTTCCTTTGCAGACGACAGCGACTGGGATCGAGTTGAGCTCATTGCTCAGCGCGTCGTTGACTCAGGAAAAGTGCGTCCACCTCCCGGCTCGAAGCGGAAGGGCATCAGTTGGCCGTTCTCCGCCCTTGGCGTAGCAGAGTTGAACAAGCAAGACTATGCAAGGTCTATTGTTTCATTCCAGTCCGCTCTGCGGATGTCTCCCAATGACTACCACTCATGGGTTGGGCTTGGCGAAAGTTACGCTAACGCCGGAAGATTTATTGCTGCGACTAAAGCTATCCTCAATGCACAGAAGCTAGAGGAAACCGCCGGTGAGAATATCGTAGGTGATACCTGGTTCGCCAAGTACATGCTCGCCAACGTCAAACGCGAGATAGCTGAGTATGATGATGCTCTAGTGCTGTACCGTGAAGTCACAGATGCTCGGCCAGATGAGGCGGGTGTGATGCTGGCACTGATGCAAACCTTGGTGGAAAGTGGCCAAGACAGTATAGAGAAGGGATTTTTTGGCAAGGCAGTGGAGCTGGCGGCAGAAACCATATCCTTCGCTTCAGGTCTACCTCTAGAGGTTTCAAGCACTTTCAACTTCTGGAAAGCAATCGGCGATGCTTGCTCTATATATTCCTCAGTCCAGAGCTACACTGGAAATTTCCCCGCCGAAGACATCCGAAAACTTATCGACTCAGGCGAAGACCATGCAGCGGCGTACGCCATTTTACATGACGTTGATGGGGTTGAAAGGACTGTCATCTTGGCGAAAGGGCTGTATCCGGAAGATGAGCGCCCCGGTGTGGATCTGACAAGAAGCCTTCATGCATCTATCCTTGCGCATAAGCGAGCTGTACACCTGTCTGCTCAAGATGTGCACGCTCAAGCTGTAGCGTATTATAACCTGGGCTGGGCCGAGCATCGAGCGCATATTTGCTTGCCCGTCAATCTCAAGTCAAAAGCCAGCAGATATCACAAAGCTGCTGTAAGGTGTTTCAAGCGAGCTATAGAACTTGAGGCGGGGAACCCCGACTTCTGGAACTCATTGGGTGTCGTGACTAGTGAGATCAACCCGTCTGTCGCCCAACATGCATTCGTCCGAAGTCTGCATCTGAACGAGCGGAGTCCTCACACCTGGACAAATCTGGGCGCACTGGCTTTGTTGCAAAACGACATGCAACTTGCCAATGAGGCCTTCACGCGAGCGCAATCCAACGATCCAGATTATACCCATGCCTGGCTTGGACAAGGGTTTGTTGCACTGCTCTACGGTGATGTTCGTGAAGCTCGCGGTCTATTCACTCATGCAATGGAGATATCTGAGTCATCGTCTTTGCTTACAAGACGTCAATATTCCGTCTCGCTCTTCGATTACATTCTTACGAACCCCTCAAATCTGAGTGTCATGTCAGTGGTTCAACCACTGTTTGGCCTTGAGCAACTGCAAGCTCTAGATCCTCAAGTCATTGCTTATGGTCATCTTTCAACATTATACCAAGAGCGCACGAACGACAGCCCTCGAGCTATTGCGACACTGGAAAAAGCATGCGATAATTTGGAAGCCAACTATGAAGCAACCGAGTCTCCAGTCTCTGCCGGCCGTTTTGCTTTGGCCAAAACAGACCTGGCGCGATCTTACCTTGCTGCTGGTAGGTATGAAGATGCGATTGAGTGTGGAGAGATATCATTGGAGCTTAGCAGCATTGAGTCTGGAAGCGAGCTTACAGAGGAGCAACGGAAGAAAGCACGTCTGTCCGCTCATCTAACAATCGGACTAGCTCAGTATTTCAATGATAATGTCGATGACTCCTTGGCGTACTTTGAGTCAGCTCTCGAGGAGTCGGACAGCAATCCTGACGCCGTCTGCCTACTAGCACAAGTTCTTTGGGCCACCGGCACGGAAGAGGCACGGGAAAGAGCTCGGTCTTTACTGTTTGATGTGATTGGCACAGATTCAACCCATGTGCAGTCTGTTCTGTTACTAGGTATAATTGCCCTGCTTGACGAGGACCAAGAATCTCTTGAAGCTGTTGTGGCTGAGCTCCTCACTTTACGAACAAGCGACAAGATCACGGACGCCGAGCAGTCCAAAATTAGCGAAGTACTGCGGGCTGTTGCTGCTCTCTCTGCTAACGGCACCGAGGATGATGTGACTGCTCAAGTACAAAGCGATGTGATGCTGTATCCGAATATGCCGCATGGCTGGTCAAGGCTTGCCGATTCCAGCGGTGAAGAGTACCCCGCTGAAATGGCTCTGAAGGTCGCAGCAAAAGCCATCCCACCCCGAGGAGATCTCGGCGCAGCTGATCTAGCCAATGCGTACGCGGGTACAGCTAGGGCCGCCGATGCTCAAATATCTATATTCATAGCGCCATGGGCCAGCGTCGGGTGGGAGAGCTTAAACAATGCAGTCGCGGGCTGAGCTCAGCCTCCAGCCAGGAATCATTGTCTTGATAGGCACTAACACGACGACTAGCTGGTACGAGGGACGAATGATGACATGAAAGCATTGGAGGAACGTTGTCGTAGCCGAACGCTTTGGTGAATTGAACAAATTGAGGAAACTAGTGTCCACTCCCATGTATGATGAAAATGTTTGAGAGCTGTGGCGAGGCCTTTTCCTCCAGAAATCGTTGAGTAGATTGGATAAATCTCAACGACCAGTAGACAACTTGACAACACCAAAATAACCCAAGCTCAAAAGAGCTTCCAGACACAGACAAGCCTCTTTTTCTCTGAATAAGCCTACATCACCAGTATCAATCATGAACGCGAGTTGCCATGGCCAAAGTCGCAGAAAGCAATACGGTTAACGAGGTTTTATCTGAGCGGGGCCTCACAATTAATACCCTACCATCGCTAGATTTTTTATGAAAATTTCTAGAGTTATGTAGATCAAGACTTCACCACGGTGATTCCGAATGGGGTCAAGGCTCGCTACCTCTGCTCGAATTTTCTGATGAAATGAGTACGTGAGATGCTGTATGGTATCGGGTCATGCGCCTTGGTGCATGTAAGGCCGAGAGGACGTCTGTTTTCGTACGTAGACCACGCATCGAGGACGTGGGCCGAATCAATTTCGGATTGGTCGTTTGAATTAGTCATCAACAGCGTCCTATCCATACACACCATTAACTTGAGTTAGGCTAGGTCTCTTCGCTTACTCATGTGCTTGTAATATAAGGAGGTGTGGCTATATCATCGACGTTGAGCTCCAGTCCATGTACTTCATGCCATTGTCTGATATCGTGTACGACCACTTCAGCCACCGAATATTGTTGCTTCCCTTTCAGCCATTCTGCGATAGATAATCCTGCCCAGGCGAACGGGATTTTTTTGTCTTTCTCATGAAGACTTGAACTTTTCTTCAACTCGAGAAAAGCGGCCGCGGATTCCGTTATACAGAACTGAAGAGAAACCAGGCCATGGCCATGTAGCCACTGTAGTATTAGTAGTCTCTTTAGAGCAATAACGGCGTTTCCGGGACCACTACATTGTCGGAACATATCGAGCTGTGACAGTAGTATGGACGTTGCCGATGCCTTGGCTAGACTGACTCCCATTGACTGAATGGTGCGGCACAGCTTGGTAAGCGAGTGTCCCGAACCCAGCTCGATATAGCACATATCCGCTAGAAACTTGGCGAGGGATAATGCCGCTTGTTCGTTAGCAGGGTCCATCTCAACGAAGACGACGAAAATTGCCCATATCAGCACATACTGTTGTTGCTGTAGGACCGACCGAAACTCCGCGCAGCACTCGTTCAGGAGTTGAAAACCGAGAGCGTGGTTCTGTTTCATACTGATTTGCATGGCGGCTTCTCTGAGCTGAACTCCCCAGTCGGTAGTCGCATTGACCGTAGCGTGCAGCGACGAGAAGTCCCACCATTGCTGCTCCAAGCCGACCTGCGACCACCTTAAGGTTTCGTATAGTGCACCCTCCGGGAGATGTATGCTGTCCGGGGGTCTGATGTATCTTGGACCATCCGCCCGGGCACATTTGCCCTTCGCCATACCTAAGGCTCGCTCCTGCATCTGTACTTGAGCTCTCAGTCTCTTGGAACCCAATGGTCGTCCGCCAACAACTGGCAAATTTGCCTTCCCGGTATACATCTGACGCTGAATCTTCATTGATTCACTCGCGGTCATATTTTTTCGAAATCCCCATTCCTTCAACCGGGACTTGTACATTTTGGTACTATTGCATAATGAGTGATAGTTCTGCATTATGTTTATTGCTGATTCTACGCAACATATTCTGTAGGACTACTTACGTCGCGTGGAAGTCATGCTGATCTTTTAGCACATGCGCGACTTCTTTGAGAGGCTTTTGCAACTCAAAATAGAGATGCCTGATTAGATCCTTCTTGGCTGACCAGTCTTGTTCTGTTGCCCAGTGGCCATTTGAGGATGACGTCGCCATTTGCTCAGTCGTGGATGAATCTGTCATGTGGAGCATGTGAAGCACTCGATGCCTTTACGTTCTCATGCAACCGTGACCTCAAAACTGTGTGTCAATGATTTTATCCAGCGTACATAGTCTGCTGGATACTTCTCAATGGAACGATGAGAATGGTCAGATGGCGCCGCCATTGCTACTCAATTGCACTGCTGTGCCGCAATCCGGGCCATCTAATCCCAACCCCCTCTAAAACCCGGACGGCTCCATTTTCAGTGCATCCCTGAATCTAACACTTGCATCAAAAAAGATCAACTCATTAATGCATTAAATAGACATCAATAATTATAGATAAAAATATTAAGTATCCATGTACGTTCAAGATCCAACCGTCCGAAATAAGACCCGAGCCCCTCCTGCAATTGAAAGTGCTTGCCACCCCGACATCCTGTTGTGCACCAAAGCCAATTTATTTTCTAGTAATAATAAGGGTTCTCCGGATCGGTAAAGTCAAATACCACAGCGGAGTGGGGCTTGGCTCCTCCACGATTAGCGAACTCGCGCTGGAAGTCGATGCTGCGGTTGAAGCTCAGGGACCCGTCATCCAAGATGTCGATGTAGAGAGCCTTGAAGTCGGCGGGAGTGTTGACGATACCAATATCCCCAGTCTGCACGAAGTAGTCGGTGACGACGATGTGCTTCTGGTCGGGGGTGATCTTGATGTAGTGAGGGCCGATGGTTGGCTGGACCTCGTCGGGGTCGTCCAGACGCTTGACATTGCTGAGATCGCTGATATCCAGGGCGGCAATGTGGTCGGCCGTGGTCAGTGTGAAGTACGCGAATCGACCGTCTTGAGAAATATCGGAGCTGATACACCTTTAGCCTTGTGCACTTACGAACCCGGTAGCGTAAACTTACTATATGGCAATCACGTCACGAGCCTTCTCGCCGAGGTCGTACAAGAGCTCTGCAACACCCTGGTTTCCATTGGAGTCCTTGCGGTGAGGGTAGATGATCCAGACTTGACCGAGGTGAACGGCAGTAGCCAAAGCAGCTCCTTCGGGGTTGCCAGGGATGAACTTGACATCCTGGATACCTTGGCCCTGTTTCGTATTTAGCAAAGATATATATCAGGACTGTGAAAATAACGGTTGTCTACTCACATCTGGAATTGTAATGGTGCTGATGATGGAGCGTGTTGGAAGATCCCACAGACGCAGTGTGTTTGCGCGTTGGATACCAAGAGTCGGCTTCAAGATGGACAGGGGAACAACGAAATCCGAGGTCAGAATCACGTTTCGGTCCCAGTCAACTGAGAGGCCATGAGGAGAGTGCTGCTCTCCGAGGATGTTGAGAGTGCTTGACACATCGGTCAGTTTGGGCCACTCTTCGATGATGTTGAAATCAGCATCGGTCTCGACCAATCGGCCGGGAGAAGTTCCAACAGCAGCTAAAAATCAACTTTAGTACAGGCTTAAGCGGTTTTTCTGGAAGCATCTTACAGCCCATATAAGTGATGAAGAAGCCACCATCAGGCTTGGCACGGATCTCATCAGTGATGGATGAAAGGACACCACGGTTGCTCTTCTTGAATGTTGGCTGGTAGGGGTTGGTCGTATCAAAGTAGTATGCTGTATCTTGCGTCTTGAGGAGAGACAGAAGACCACCTCCAACTAGAGTTTTACCATCCAATGACGAGCCCAAGTGATGAGGGCTGTTTCCACTGGTTGGTACATCGGTAATCCAAAGGAGGGTTCCGAAGGTATCCTGATCATGTCAGCTGAAGTATGGGAATAGTCAAGAGTGGTGATTGCTCACATCATCCAAGCTGTAAGTCGCCAAGAAGTCTGCATGAATGTTGTCGCCAGCTCCAGTCCAGAAGTAACCGATCTTCTTGGGCTTGATATTGCTTGGAGTGAAGGGTGGGCTCTCTAGAGGAGGCGTAGGTAGCTGCAATACAGGCAATGGCGGTGCGTTGCTGGCCAAAGGTTCCGTCACACCTGGGATTGATGGAATGAGTGGTGGAAGGGATAATCCGTTGACCGCTTGAGCAAGGATGCCCAAGGCACCGAAGGTCTTCAAGATTCGCGAAGACATTTTTCTTTTTGGTTGAGCAAGTAAATTCCCAGATGAATAATGGCTGTCGGATGCTGGAGAGTTTCGAAGAACCTGGTGAGTGAGTTTGAGTCAATTCTGAATCGTGCTCATGACGACCTTATATATATGTATTCACTCAGTTCATTCATCGATACTGGAAGGCTGAAGCCTTTTCACCTCTTTTACCACAATTCCGCCTACTTGCACCCTCATGACCCAACAAATGGTAAACTTCGACAACCCGATGGTGTTCACAGTACCAATAATGGTAACATCGGACTCTTCAAGACAAGATCTTCATCGACCTCCAAACCAAAGGCACTTATCCCACGCCGAAAGTCTTAGCTCGCTCAAGATGCCCCTACATGTATTGTATGGCAGTCATTAAGAAACCCATTGTCCGCGGCACAGTGATCGATAGTTGGAATAGACTCACATTGCGACATCGATCTGCGAGAGGCAAGATCTTCAAGCTGAAAGGCTAGTCGGAATAAAGATGTGCTAAGGCCAGGACGGTTTGTAGTCACCTTTGGCTATTTCGTCTCGACAGTCTCCTACGGCGACTAGTATCGACATAACAAAGGCACCATATGCCAGTTTCTTTACTGACCTCAGATGCTCCCGTTATAGGGACGCCTCTTGATAACCCTTCAGATGTGTGCGACATTCGCGTCACATATTGCCATTTTGATATTGCTCGACCGGTGCTGGTTAGTGGAACATGTGCACATATGTCTATCGCAAGGCACGAGACCAGTTACAACGGACACATCCAAGATATCAATCTTGGCGCAGACGATCGATGCTACTGCTCTTGTCCCGGAAATTTGGATTCCCGAACTATTGGATGTGGCCATGAAGAATTGCCGATTGCCTTAAACCACTGCAGCAGACAGGGGCAAGATCTGTGGGGATTGCAATGTTCAAAGCTTAGTATAGAGTGACAGCTGCAAAGGCTCGAAGATCCCAATCAACCAGGCACAAATATGCTAACCAAACTGTTTAGTCTCGGCCATAGTAGCGTGAATGGCGAGCTTGTCGGTCGCAATCATAGATCGTACTTTTCGGTTTGGCAATAAGCGTTCTCTCCAACGCCAAGGCATCACGCCATATATCGTGCTTATATCATTTAAGCTTCATTCCCAGGTAGTAGTGATCGACAACTATCCATTCATTCACGGGAGTATGGAGATGTAAGGCTTGACGTTGACGACTAATGCAGTCGTTAATTAGAAAATAGGTTTCTAGTCTGCACCTGTTAAAGCGACGATCGAAACCGATTGCAGACGCGTCAATGCGCAGATATTTGGGAAAGTACCGGTCGACAATGCTTCTACGCCAGGGAAATCGACATAACAGCAGCACAATGCAACCCCACCACGAGCAATGTGGTTGTTTTAAATTGGCATGAAGTCTGACAACCTGTGTGTTTCCGTCACGATATTCCTCCTGATGTCATCATGAGCGCGCTGCTCGGTGATCACATCGCCAGTATACTGATAAGTGGGTGTCATCGTACTCCGTGGCGGTCAATTATTCGATACCGAGGGTCGAGGATCTCCAATAGGTGGCCAGCAGATCTATTGATCTTGATGACTCGGGTCCCTGCTGTCGGTTTCTGGGAGCACTTAGAGTCTTTACCATTCAGACCGAGATAATGGACGCATCATGGACCATCGCCTCTATCAACCACGAATTGACTGGGTATAATGACGTTGCTCCAGATGCCGGGGCATCACGAAACACATCTGCCGGGGTCATGGGTTCGGAGTGAGGCTCCTCACTCGAAGCATCAACACAATGACGATACCGTTGTGTCTGCTACCAAGACATCAACTCCATGTGGCGCTAACTTTCCGCAGAATTGCGCTTCCTTGATATCTGCTCAGTATCGGAACTGGGACTAAGCGGTTCTCCTCTGATTACGCTCTTTTTGCACCGTCTTAGGTGAATTGTCAACACCAACAATTGCCGGGTCTGAGTAGTAAAATTGCGTTAAGAGGATCGGTGTTCTGCAACTGATCTCATGATGACTATTGTCATATTCATGAGACTACCCCTTTGGACACAATAACTACACTGCGAATGCAGAGAAGTGGCTAATACAATGTAGCTGAGCATGGTTTTGTCGAGAGCACTCAGCCATGCTTACTCATTGAGTGGCATAATTCATGCGCCAGTCTACGTAATACCTGAACTTTCTTTTGATTAACGTGTTCAACATGGTGGGCTATTGAATTCAATGATATTAAATCACAGATAGGCTAAGTCTAGTATTTACTCTAATCACTTCGATGCGCTTCGCTCGAGCTCCTCTCCCACAAATGGCCTTCATACGTTGACGTACCGCGCGCCATCGCAAATATGATGTTACTGGTTACCGCCAACAGCGATTGCGTTGCGTATCTTGAAGACACTCCGGCGTCCGAGACTGTGGCTAGCAATGCTTGCATGCTACTTTTGAGTTGTCAATATTGCGTTTTGTTCTTGTCTTCTAAACTTCTAACAAAAATTTTACACACTGTTTTTGAATCGATTGGGCAGCGTTGTGAGTATTCCATGACTTACAAGTAATTCGTGTCCGTAAGAGAGACATTTATTTGGCGCGTATAACTTCATGGCACCCCATACCATGCTTCATAACATCTAACACTGATCAATAAACTGCCAGCAAATCCAGCCCACTTCAAAGAGCAACTTGCTTCTGAATATGGCAGACATATCCGAGAAACGGGTAATAACTCTCAGTTGCGCTGGTGGCGTTATTGGAGGCTCAGCTGTTGATTGAGCCTGCATACTAGTGTCCAGATATATAACAAATACATCAATTACTGGGACTTGATTATGCATGGCTTGTGGGAGTCTCTAACGAGCGGGAATGAGCGCATCACCCCGCTATATCCTGAAGCCCTTAGGTCGTCATCATACTTAAGTTACCAAGGTCACTTTATGTAAGCCGATATGCTGGGCTGGGGAGTGCAGCGCTACTCGTTCTCGCATTCAGGTACCATTGGCGATTTGCGATGTTATGTTCTGTGTGGGCCGCCAGTATATTTTATCCGCTTTGTGACGCGTCAATTTGATCAAAGGAGACATCGGTGAATAGTAATAACTTAACAATCGTAGGTGCACCTCTTGTGGATCTGGTCAACGGATCTACACGAGTCTGCTGGTTGACCGAGATGTGCCCGGAGATGAATGGATGATTTGCAACGTCTATATTATAAACGGCTATGAATGATGAATGAAAGAAAAATATAAAGGATTAAATTGTATGTGTCAAAAGCATTCATGAGGGTTTAATACTATCCCAGCACGTCAATAGAAGCAATGGCTGGCCGCAAACGCACATCTTCGACTGCCCTTGTCTGGGCGTCGTTAGCAAATGGAGTATCTCTAGGTCAAGCGGATTCATTTTTCAACTCAAACATGCTCGACCCCCCTACAAGCTTATATTACATCTCTAAATATCGGACGACCCTCTTTAACATTGCTCAGGTGACAAATCGTAGAGTTTGTGATATAGGTCCTCTCAACGGCATGGCCGATGTTACTATTTATCCCAATATTGGTCAGTCGATTGCAATTTCTCCATAAGCCTGCGAGCCGGGTAAGGAGTCATGCCTGTTATCTAATACGCTGTCGACGTAGACCTGTCTATATGGAGGTCCGCGCCTATTTTATACCATGACAGCCAACATACCCCCATCGAACATGAAGGCCTTTCTGGAATCAAGATGAGCTACAGAGAAATCAGGCACTTAGAATAGAAGAATCGAATTTGAGCTTCCTGCGTAGTTATATGAGACAAGCGTCATCATTCCGAGGCCGTGTAACTAAGCAGATGTGATTGTTAAACCAATAGCCATTATGCAACACATACGTGTTTATCTTCGTTGTAGCAGAAGGATACTTCATTCAAGTTGAGCTTGGACTCACGGAAAAATTATTCACGGCTCGATGGGCAAGTTTGGCCCAGCATTGATTTAATTTTGCAGTGTTTTACAGTTCGTAATCTGCTGAAATATTGATCGAAAAACGAATGTCTTTTTTTTTTTTTTTTGGAGTACCAAAAAAGGTAGAAAGGTCATGAGAATAGGACAAGTGTAGATGGTGTCCAAGAACATGAAGCAATCCCGAGTCATTTGCACTTCATTTCGGAACACTGTGAATTAAAGCAATAGTTCAGACCACAATATTTGCTTGTATTGGTTGACTTGTTAACCGATGAACAATACCGAGATCTGACCTGGAAGGTGATAATCGGCGCTAAGAACACATCTTAAGTTGGCGATGAGCTACATGAAGACGCAACAGACAGCCTTGACGGGTTTATAAGCAGACAAGTCAACTTAAGCATCAAATTAAGCCCCCTTGGTCCATGTATCGTTGCGTCGAAAGCGTGTTAATGATATCGCGCGCTCTACGCCAGACTACTTATGCCTTTCTCGCCAGTCGACAATATAAGACCAACTTCAGTATGGGCTGGAGAGGACCCATTCGCATCAACAGAGCGCCCAACGGCATCGTGTTTCCTATCCCACTCGGCAAGTTCCTCGAGAGGCACCTTGACAAGTTGATGCGTCTGCTCACCTCCACTTAGTTGCAATGCTTCTTGCCGAAGGCGATATCCTTTCAAACGTGGCAGCCACTTGACCCAAATAAAGTAGTAAAGGCCACATGCAAGGACTATCGCAATACCGGTTACCACATAAGTGCCATACCAGAATGAGACATCCCCCTTTCCGCCGGCGGGTGGGTACCAGGGCATGACAACAAGGTAAAGCTGCACTAGTATGTTGAATATTACCACGGGATGCCATGCCTTGAAAGACGGCTGAGGGAGGTCGGCCTTCTTGCGTCGCCAGCGTACAATATATATTCCAATCGCCATGGCGAGATTGAAGAAAGCATTAGGCAGGACAGCCAAGTCGCTCACTGTTGAAGCATTAGTATTTTTGTCAATGAGTATATCAGCGTTGACCTACCGAAGTTGAAGGCATCGCCAGTAGGAACTGCCAGAATGACAATAACCGTTAAAGCCCAGTCGAAAAGATAAGGGCCAGCCGGGGTACCAAGAGGCCATGTCGAAACCCAGAAGCGAGTAAAAGGTAAAACACCTTGCCTAGAGTCGGACGTTAGAACCACTAGTCTTAGGTGTATTGAAACATAATCTGCTTACCTGCCGCATTCTCGGAGCTGTCTCGCGGCGCCGATCAACACGGCTATCAGATTACCAAAAGAACTGAGGGCGATCAAGAAATTCAATCCCCGGGAAGCGTTGGTGGACCCGAAAACAGAAGAAAAGAACAGACTAGCTGCAATGGTTCCGGAGCTCTCTAATTTTTCCTTGCCAACTAAACACCCAACCTGTCAGTCTACTGTCCATCTAGTTCAAAGCCAAAGAGAACTCACCAGCAGCTACGAATGCCACATTTGCAAAGACGTATAATGTCATGACCACTACGATTGCGATAGTGCCGTTCCTCTTGATCTGCTTGACAGGATTCTGGAGTGATCGACGAGTCAGAAGCTTGCGTCTCAAGTTTTGGATAGTCACGCTAATAACTTACCCGGATCTCGTTTACAACGTTGAAAGCGTTGTTGTAGCCTCCGTAGGAAAAGATAATCCTGTAAAGCGCATTGGTTAAGCCGTATGGCGTGGCAGTTCCTTGGAAGGAGTTCTTAAAGTTATCCGTGGGATTTTGCACACTGGTGTGTCCACCCAGGACCACTAAGCCAGTGATTGCGATGAAGACCAATGTTAAGAGCTTGACTATTCCGATAGCGTTGCTAAGATAATATGAACCTTTGGTGTGAAGTATGACAGCTGTACGAGATTAGTTGCGTTCGACTGCGAAGGGTGCATGAATTGAGTTACCGAAAATGGCGACCGTGTAGCCAGCGATGGCTACGCCTTTTATCTGCCAATCTGTACCTTTGGTACCAGCAGTCGCAAAAAGATAGTTGGCCAACACTGCAGAAAAGATTAGACTTGGTATCTGGGATTAGGAAGTCGACTCACCAATGCAGTTGCTGCTCCGGAACGAAAGTATGATGTTCTGCATCGCAAATGAAGTTGGGAAGAGGTGTCGTGGCTTCGGGTAAGCTTGCTCAAGGTTGACAACCTCCGCTCCCGATCTGCTCGGGAAATATGCTGCGTACTCTAGAAACACTGAAGCACTGCAAAGCGAGATGATTCCACCCAAGACCCAATAGATCATACTCAAACCGACAGAGCCTGTGCCACTTAGAATAGCCGACGCTGACTACGAGTTAGCCGAATACGTAGTTCTCAGGTATTTGAGTTATCAACTCACGCGTCGAATAGATACCAGTACCAATCATCATACTGATGTTGAGAAACAGGATGGTGGTGGGCCCAACAGAGTATCCCAGGGGCGAGTGGCTCTCCACCGGTGCACCGCCAGCCTCTTGGTACGTCGGTGGTGCATCGTTGCCACCCAGCTCCCCGACATACTCGAGGCTTCCATCATAAGAAGTTGTTTCTGCAGAATCGGCAACGTGAGTACTAGAACTCGGATCGTGACGAGCAGCGGTCCGCCGTTTAAAAGCCATCGTATATTTGGATACCCTCTCTCAGGAGTACGATCTATTCTTTTGTTCTGGAATGAAAAGTTTGTGTCGCCAGCCAATATTGAAACGCGTGGACTAACTACCGTAGACTTTCATTGAACCACGGCTTCCTGAGAGTATAAAGTTGTACAGCTGCCTGCGAGATCCTGGAGGCTTAAAGAAACATTCTGATTGACCTCGTGGCAGAGGGAAATGGGCAGACACTGAGATATCTATAGCACTACCACAAGTCTAGACTTACCAGTCGGAAAAGCCGCGCGATGGCGAATTGCCGATGCGAGTTCCTGCAACCATTTAGCTGGCCGGGGCAGCACGCCATCAATTCCCGGGATGACAGCAGCCAAGGTACCCATGTAGGGTGGAGAGGACATTCGGAAATCGTTAAAACACTTGCAAAACATTTCCCGAGTTCCATCGAAACATTCACTAACATTGTATTTATTCACGGATTTCAAAATCTTTCTAAAAAAAAATATGAAAAGTTTTCCCACGTGAGAACAATCGACTGGGCAGGGTTGCTGCATATGCAGCGGTCAACAACAATCGCATTCCACAACACAGCTATATGAGGTTGGTCAAACATAATTATATTCTCAGCGACTCGTACAAGAACCCAGATTGCTGGGTTTGTTGAGTTCGGCCGAGAGCAAGAGGCATTATAGATAACGCCAAAAGGTCAGCGTGGGTGAACGAGTTGCTTCGAGTCGATAGTGGTACGTAAGTGACCCAGAACGACGGGGACATAACGCAAGCCATGTATGACGCGATGCTACGGGCGTGGGTATGGTGGACCATGTTCAGCTATCTCCAGATCACCGCTAGGCTATTGCGCAAGCATTGGTTAACTGTTGTGGTTCGAGTTTGTCAAAACCGATGGGCCATCCAGCTTCAAGGATCATGACTCGAAGTATTAACTTTTAACAATATGTCAGTCGGCCGGCACACGCTCGAGCACTTCAGCGGCTATGGTGTCATATGGCGTAAGTTTTAGCGGCTGCGGGTCGGCCCGTCACCGCGGAATATAGACACCGAGATTATAGTGGAACGCATCTGATCAGATTCAAAATCATACCAATTGACATAAATCGCAGGATATCAAATGATGGCTCTGGAATTCATCAGCATTCCATGGAGGGTGTAATTAACTTATGGGTTCCACATTTCACGCTTTCATGAAATCCATTTGCTCTCTAGGCAATCACTCACTCTTCGATCATTCCGTGCACATTTCAGTTTGGCTGGTCGCCACTGGTGAGAAAGTATACTTCGATTGATGAAGGCCAAGCATAGCTAAGCGGATCTCTATGATGCCCCAACATCCAAATCGCCTTGAATGAGTAGTGCCTAACTATATATACTATTTCATAGGTAGCACTGGTAGGAACCGATGCCAGATACTACAACACCAATTATAGGGTTACCTATAACCCAGCGCGGGCATATTTCCATCGCTTTACCCCATAACCCCCAGTTGTCTTTTATATAATCAAACACCAGCTGCCGCTACGAGCCATACCATCTCTTTCAGAGAAAACAATATTTCTTGGGATTTTTGCCCACATTCTTGGGACCTCCTTTGACTTCGAAATATCGTCACCAGAAGTGAGGGTATCCCACGAAACACTCTTCTGGTCAATCAGTTGTAAGAACCATAAATATCTGGACCGATGTTGGACTTAGGGAAGCGTTGGATGACTTGATAGATCTCTTGAAATATCAGAGTTCCCTTCGAATCCGATGTCTGCAACGATGGACGAGCAAAGGTTGGCAGAGTGTGGGTCCCGCGTGGGTTCTTGGCGCCACCCAGGAACAGTCTGATCTCAGTCTCACTCCAGTAAATATGTTGAGTGAGGAGGGCACAACCACCAAATATTGTATACACGGCCATGTTGCCTTTCATTGAGATTGAGGCTTGAATGACATGCGCTCTTCCTAAGCCTTACACTTGCCAATTCAGTGAAGTAAAGATAGTAACTAGACTCACGATTTAACACCATGTCCCATAACTGACTTGTGAACCACGTAACGCCAATGTGCTCCCAAGGGGACAACTGAAGCCAGAACTGCACAGGTGGTGCTCTATCAGCAGTACCGTCGGGAAGTTCGACCGGCAAGAGGACCTATTGATCTCTACGATGTGAAGTATGCACATAAGCTGCACCTCCTCTGTCTCTTCAATGTAAGGTGGGCCAACAGAACGGACCAGCTTGCCAAATTGTAGGAGTAAAGACACCAGCGGCTGTGTTTTTCCGACATAGCCACACACATTTCTATCATCCAGACATCTCTTGTATAGGTCTGTCTCTTGTTATTTTTAGCTAGATATAGCCGACTGAACTCGCCAGCTTTACTGGCGAATTCTTTTGAGACCAGTCTGACTTCTAATTGGCACTCGAAGTTACCAGTCAAGCAATTCCCAAGTGAGTAGCTTCGGGACATAATGTTGGTTTTAGTAAGCGATAGGCTATTAGACCTCAGGTTTGCTGGTAAAGATCGTATAGATTTTGTGAACAGAAAGTCAGCTGTTGAGCAAAGGCCATGTCTCTGAGGTCCATAAATACCTGCTGCTTGATCTCATTCGAAATCAACTAAAAAGGAAGACTTGCTAAGTTCTTTAGGGGACTAGATGGTGATGGGGGTGTATTGAACGAACTAAAAGGTGATTTCAGCATGGGTGTTTCGTTCTCGATTGTTACGCGCAACACCCCTACCTATGTTCTGCGACAGCAGCTTGCTTCTGGAAATCTCAACAAAAGGGGCGGTACAGGCCGATCACCCTTCTACCAACATGGATGGGAAAAGGTGGAATTTATGGATGACGGATGCGAGTTTGAGCGACCAAAGTAAGTTAATGGTGTACAAGTGTAAAGGGTCTGACGATATTTGATGAGGAAAGGCGATATTAAAATTCAAGCCTCTATGGACCAAATTTAGCGATTTATTAGTCTTCAAGAGAGCAGCTGTTTTTGTGTCAACTTAGTTGTAAATCATTGTGGTGGAGAAAAACGAAAAGAGAAGACTGGAAGTGGTAAGAGAACCCTCACCTATATTTATATATATATATATATCTTGGAAAATATTTTGCTACCTAGGTTGTCGGCGAGCTTTTCGATCGCTACCAGCTGTCACCACTTTCTACCAGAGCATATCTCGCACAACCGATTGTGTCGTAAGGGCTACCTGATGGTAACCAGGCTAAATCTTGGTCTCTTTCATTGGATTTTGGTACCAGTAATTTAACATCCGACAGTTCCCGATACTTTGAATCTCGGATTCTCATATCTAAAACTACCGCTTAAAGGATTTCAATTTGCGGCTCCTGGCAGACTATTTAAATTAATATAATCTTGTTCTTTATTCGGCTCGAGAGGCGTCTTACTAGTATCACATCATTGCGTCCTAAGTAAATACAAATACTGTTTACACACACGTATTAGCACATCGAACCGATCGTAGAAAGTATTTAGGCCCTTTGCAAATAGTTTTGTCATCATGCACAATGCCAACAGTGCAAAGAAAAATTCGCGTTGGTTTTCGTTTACGTAGTATCTATGCCAGGTGTCTAATGCGACAATGTATCTATGGCACTAGATGCGGGCAGACAGTAACATAAATCAATGGGACACCCAAGAGTCTTGACAGCATCCAAACTGCTAAGTATCAATGTAGCAACACAAGCTACTACCATAACCCTGAAAATATGATGAGGGTTTGGTTATGCCAAGATTTTCTATCCACCGTTCGCTTGGACGATGATTTGGCACCATGGAGTGATCGAAAATTACCACACCGTATGTGCGGCCAGATTTCTCTGGATAGAAAACCCATAGCCATGGCCCTAGTAAAACCCAGCCAGCTCGATCGTTTGGCAGTCATTTTCATCAATCATTCGAATTATGCCACCTGGCTTTGATCGGCTGAATATGCTGTAATGATCCCTTCCAAGCAATTTGGGTGTCACAAGGTGTTCTAGGGCTGCTGCACGTTAAGACACACGCATGGAAGATCATGAACTGCTAGTAGATGCTTTGTGGTTTATACTAAGGGAATGGCCTGACGCAACGGGTAAGAATGGGTCCATCATCAGGTGTCTATCGATGGCGAAAGAGGACAATGCCGCCTTCGCAAACCTGTCGAAGTTATCGTTGAGTGGTGAACATGATACTTTTCAGCTCAACATGTCGCTTCCCACCTCCTTCTGACCGCGAGTCTCCCACTTGGCCCTATCAAGCATAGTGTTGTGTAACCTTGGCGGACGCTAGGAGGCTTAGGTTTCAGTAATTGGGGCGGTGGCTGTTCTGTTATCGCCATTCTGAGTTCACGAGAGTACAAGGCTCTTCATTATGCTATCCACTCATAACCCGAGGGCAGCTCAGGCGTCACGGCTGAATTTGTCCTCGGCCCTCACAATTTGCAATTTTTTGTGTTGATTTAGTTGAGAGTTGCCAAGTAGGATCATGTCTCTTCACGTCCTTGCTGTAGGATGTCACCCAGACCGGGCGTCAAGACTAGCTGGCAAGCGAGAATGGAAGGTTAAGAGGGGGCAGATAAGTAGGGTGGCTATGTATTAAGGCTGTCTCATCCACCTCCCTTCCTGACGACTACCTTCTGTGTTTTGAATTCCAAGCAACTCGGCCACATTTTTGAGCTCATTAATGGCCAATATGTTCGAAGATAAATTGAACAGACCCCACCAATTGGAATGGCTTGCAGATCTTCACAAATGTATATGCGCTCTAAAAGGGGCTTCGAAACCGTGTACATATTGTCTGGGCTAACATTCATTTCATAGCGCAATGTTTCACCACTAGTGCAACAACAAACCCAGCCATATCCAGTGACCTGGGTGTCGATGGCTTCACAGCTTCCCTCACCAGTCACGGCATGCTCTTACAAATCACTGCCCCAGACCCCCACTGCGGTCTGGTCTTCGTGCGGGGCAGATTTGCGAACAACGCGGGATCCATCCTAGCCCGAGCACAAGGCTCTATTTACCGTCAGAGCAAAGACCTTTTTGGTGCTCGTCTCGCCAGTGCTAAACTCGATGAAGATGTCCAATACGGCGAGAAGAAGGCCCAGGGATGGGTCAACTTCCGTTGGCCATATGTACAATATGAGCTGAGAAAGAAAAATCCGTCGTTGGACCGAACGATTGGTTTGTATGAGCAGATCACATTTATTAGAAATGGGGTAATATTCCAAGCTATCAGACTCAAATGGGGACGTGAGAATTCCATTTCTGACAATGGAGATGATGGCGAAGACACGTCTAATATGATAACCATCAATCTTCAAACGGGTGGGCGCGTGCGATTTGGGTGCCCCTGCTCAGCTACTCAACCACATACCGCGGACAGCTTCGAGATCAAAGTTGGGCACACACAAAGTAAGACACTGAGATGTGAGAGTAGCAAATATGAAAAACAACTTGAGACGCAGTTGTTTGTCAACGGCATTCTTGACGACTTTGCTGGGCAGAGGCCGAGAACAATAGAGACTGTCGAAGCAGCAGATATTACCACAATACACTCAGTAGAAGTGTCTATTGGGCAACCGACCTATATCGTTTCTGCACTCGCCCTACGTAATAAAGGTGACGACTGCCTCAGTACGCTAGACGTAGCATTTTCTGACATTGAGGACTATTTGGGTGTCTGTTCGGGGTCAATTCGTATGACTGATAGGCTTTGGACGGGTTTATGCTCACCTAATTACGAAGATGGAGAAGCCGTTGAGCTTTGTGCAGTTGGTAGATGTGTAGAGCAGATTCTGGGAGTTGCGGCATTACCGCATTACATGGACAGTTCCAGAGCATACGGCGGCAGGGAACACATGCAGGGCACTCAAATGACCAGTGGTGTCTATAGAGGTTCCGGAATCGCCCTGGTGCAAACCATCATGACGCCGCAGTTTGTCGACGTGCAGTCAGCATTGTGAGTTCAAAATCTTTATTCTTCTCTACAGAACCAACAGCCTTGACATCAAACAGCTTCCAAATTCGATTTCTAGTCAAAGCACACAATTTCATCTCCACGAGATATCTAGGAAAAGATTTACTCGAGACTGAAATGCCGATCCACGAAATTAAGGAGTACTATCTGAATAAAATACGTTACGTACTTGGAGGAGCTATTCACTGGCTTGTCAACACGGATTTCAAGAGTAGCAGGCTTCTATTGGGAATCAGCGCCAAAGAGAACGATGAGTCAAAATCCATCCCGCCGCCGCGACTCACAGAATGCGAGCATGACAGGGCTGATGCCAGCTTCGATCGGGACTACAATCGCAGTTGTTATGCAACGATAGCTGTGTGGTATGTAATGAAACATTGTGGCGCTGCTGTATCAGAAACGTTCAAAACAAAAGTTCTTATCCCGAAGCTAGCCTTGGCATATCAATCAGTCCAGTCCCGAGCGATCCGAGATCAAGATTCGACATCAAAAAACGACATATTACAGTGGTACCACATGAGTACTTTGTTTTTGATATGTAGTCAGGCCCTTGCAGTGAGCCCTAATGGCCTGCCAGTCGACCCATTTGGCATGGCTGGGGTGAAACGTGAAGATTTGCTGCACACTCAACAGCGCTTCCAGAAATATGCATCGAGACTCAAAGGCAACAAGGGTAAATACTACTCCCCCAGACATGAGGAGCTGGACCGCATCGTCTTGCTTGGAGAGGAGTTGGATCTTCAATCTATCGGCGACAATATTGCTGCAGCTGCTGCGATTGCGCAGATCAAGTCGCGTGCAGATCAGACCCGGGCACGTCTCGAGGCTAGAACCCGCACAGGAAGGTTCAATCAAGGCCCTACAGCGCGGAACGCTCGGTATGAACCACTGAATAGTCCTTGGGAATTGCTATGTACGAATCACGAGCTCTACCTGCGAACAGCGCCCAAAAGTAGTACAGAAAGTGCCCGGAACAGGGTATTCCAGTTCATGACTTCTGACTATTCATTTATGGCGTCTTGGGACAGATCGGATGGTGATATGGTTGCTAAGTGGTGGGACTTCGAGCCAAGCGCTATTGTTTGCGCAACTATACTTGATTTGAAAACCGAAGGTATGTTTCATTTTACTTACCTCCATATATAATCTAGCAAGCGTACGCTCGAGAAGGAAATTAGACACTCTCAATACGCACGGGAAGAGCCAAGATATATGAATTGGGTCTGAATATCCCTAAACTGACACGTGGTGAACAGGAAAGCTGCCTTCAGCAGATATGATTGTTAAACGACATGAAAATCGAATGATGCCTGTCGAGATTATTACTGAAAACACGATGAAATTTTTTCGGAACACCAACGATTTGGAAATGCCGTTTGACTGGACCATATTTAAGCCTAGGAATGAATTTCACTCTGTAAGCTGCCGAATCACATCCAACTTTCGTTCAACTGTCTCATATTCATATAGCATTGGTGGACGCACTCACTTGACGATACACCAGAGGTTTACGAAGTCAAACAAACGAAGAATGTTGACGAACAAAAGAACATCATCCACTATCTTCAAGACCGTGACAGGGACAACACGATTATTGAAGATTCTGTGTACTCGGAAATGAATATCAACACGAAGATCAAACCTAAAGATTTGCTGGCGCTGAGCTGCTTTGATTTGTGTCATACGGATCAGGCTGATCTTTTGCTACGTGACATCACAAGTTTGGCGAACCCAAGCAATCCACAGGTCGAGGCGCATTATCAGACTATGATACTGAAGTTGCGTGATAGTGTATGTCCCTTTGCTTTGACCACTGTTCCATATACTGATAAGTATAGCTTGTCGACCTGGACGTAAAGCATCGAATCCTGTGAGTTGGCCACTTTCTATGTATGTGGAGGCCCATTGTGGCTGATGATGGACGACTAGTTTCGCTAGTAAAGTCACGCCGGCGCTCGTCGGTGCTACGTTGTATCTTTGGCATCCGCAGGCCCTGAGTGCATTCGATGACTATTTCGGGCCAAACTCGCGATTTATGGATAGTCGCGAGGGAATGTCGTGGACAACAAGCATAAACATTTCGCAGTAAGTATCACTCATGAAAAACACTCATAAAAAATACACATGATCCAACGTTCTAACGCTTCAATGCAGTTGGCTCATTTCAGAGGGCTCGATTGATAGTATTTGGGAAAACAGTTTCCATGAAGGTAGAAACTATGGTAACTTCCCCCCTGACACGATTCCTGTAATAGCAGAGCTTCAGAAGGAATGTATACTCGAGGAGCGGTCATCGTTGCTGGTATTTACAGGCGACTCATTGGGCCACTTGTGGATATGTTCCATGTGGAGCTCACTCGTCGAACCTGATGCCCTACGGGCTGTTGTTGCTGGGGACATCCGCCGAGTTCAACAGATATTCATACATCAGCAGAGTACTGGGAGATGTCTTGTTTTCCTCATCCTCCTTGGTCATATATGCGAGAATCTAGCTGTTGAGTACGAAAGAATCTTAAAACGCCTTGGGCTAGTGGTCGGTCTTGGAGTATGCTTAAAACGCAGATTGGTCTTAGACTGCGCTAACCAGAGGCAACAGGAAGAAGTGCTGCTACGAGGCATTGATTGGGCTTCCACACAGACCCTAGAACGGCTCAAAAAGATGCTTTGGGGCCTTGAGGCTCTACGGGCTTTTGACGAGCGGCTTTCAGCTTCAATCCACCAGATCGAACGAGCAACCGAGGCGTTGGGCCGTAGTGCTGCCAAGGTTAGTTGTGCGTTGGGGTGACTCTAAAATGCAACTAATCTTTTCGTCACAGGAATCAAGTAATCAGGTTACGGATCTGCTACATGAATATCAGCAGACTCTCGATGAGTTCACTAGACGATTCGATATGCTTTCGGATGTCGATCTGAGAACAAAATTAAAAATAAAACAAGTCATCAGCCTTCGCGATGGTGTAAGGCCCCATCAAGAGAATACTACCCGCTTTCTGACTTTTTGTTAGATATCGACCGTCACAAATGTTGCAGACAGCAGAGCAGCACTTGAAACCGCACGAATTACAGTAAATCAGGGTAAAAATATCAGAACGCTGACATATATCACTGTAGCATACTTGCCTGTGGGGTTTGTCACGGTAAGAACGTCAAGTAGAGTATCTCTGGGGTGTTGCAGTGCTAAGGTTCCACCAGGGGTTGTTTTCTGTGTCGCATGCGCCGTTTATGGACAGTGCGGGCAACCTTGCCTTTGCACTTCTTATGACGATCACCATACTGGTCACCTATATGATCGCGCTCTTTCTGCAAAACGTCATTGATCAATGGCCGAATGTGTCTTGGCAGAAGCGGAAACCGAGCAATGGTGTTGGTTTCGTGGGTGTGTAGTCATTTCCAAATTGACTACCAAAATGATTTATATTCACAAATGGAGTTAGTGAGGTGGATGATTTCCATAGTTGTTTCGGAAAATCACCAAACCCTGTTTCCTGTTGTTCTGCTCGAATTAATCCCACTGCTACCATTCTGAAGCAGAGTGCACTGCCAAACAGGAGTTATCCAACTTTGAGGATTCTATGTTCACAAATACAGCATGTTATGCTCATCAACCGTTCTTGCTAAAGAAGGCTGATTCTATCCATAAGTGGTGTCTCTAGCATGTGTTGCTCGCTTGACGAACTACGCTCTCGGATAAGCGAGTTTGAACAGCAATACCATGTCCATGGAGGTCTGAAGACACCTGTTGAGATAAACCAGTTCAGCTGCGGGATGGCTTCAGAGAATATTGCTTTCCATCCACACGTTCCCACTTGAAGGCTTGAATTTTATGAACGCGATTATCTCTGACCCAGCTACATTGTGAAACGCAAGGTCGAGCAGGCGGCATACATCCTCGAAATCATCTGCTTATTACTCCCCATCCACGTACCATCTCGTTCACCATCAGGTGGGGACTGAGCCGTTTTTGGGGCATGTCTGTCACTATTTTGCGCCTTGAGAGCGTGGTAAGTCTCTTGCAGAATCTTTTGTCTTCGAAATCTACCAGGTTTTGAGGCGATGGATTAATTTTGCAAATCATAGGCGAGGCTGATCGCATAAGCTCAGTTATCGGGTAAATTATGCGTATCGAGCATGCAGGATGTACTGTTATAAATAGATAGCTGATGGGGCCACAGACTTCGCTTCCGAAAACGACGATATCGAAGACTGGTATCATGATAGTTCCTTGGAGGTGGGATATTTTTTGTTCACCAAATATCGGCGCCAAGGGTTTGATTGAAACCCGTTATAAATCTTTAGAAGGGATTAAGGCTCAAGTACACGCAACGGTGTCAACTGTGGACAACCTGTATTCACGACGTGCTGCTAATCTTCGCAGATATTGCACTATACTAGCTTTTCAAACACTCCCACACGCCTATGCTTCAATTTAAACAAGCTTGGCCAGAGACCTTCCGCATGACGAATAACTTCTTGTGTCAAATTTCGAGCTGTGTAGCCGGATAGCATTCGGCTAACCCCCGACGATAGCTTGGAAGATAATCTCCAATCCAAATATTCCCACATTGATGAATACCTCATTTTTTGTCCTCAAAGTAGAACTGTCCTAACCGTTCGCCAGTGCTGTGCAGGGCCGGCGCTGCGCTTCCAACATGGCCCTCGCCGCCATCCAATCTTTCCTTCACAATGCGCTCAGCAGCCTCGCGCGAGGTAGACCCGGCGTTGGACTGTCCAGACTGTGCGGGAAGAGGCCCCGTGGCTGTAGTATCAACAAATGCCTCGTCGTCAGCTGTGCCGACATGGCCGCCCCCATCTGCAGCAATTCCGTTCATCATCCTTGGATCCCTCCTCTCAGCTTGGGCTGCTGCACTAGAGTAGTTCTCAACGGCATCTCTCAGCTGCTGCGCTCTCAGGACTGCAGCCTCGCTCAGACCCGAACTGCTCCTTTCTAGGCCCCAGGCTCCTGTTGCGCCCACAGTGCCGGGCAGCGGTCGACGTTGATATATGGGCCCGCTGACAGTACTATTCGCGCCCTCGCCGAACCCAACCAAGCTAGCGTTGCCATCGTCGCTCATACGATCTTCGAAGCCACCAACAGACCGAGTCGCACCATCATCGTCTATGTTGTCTACCACACCCGAGGTGGAGTTCACGTCCATTGTGCGGTAGTCGGTATCCATACTCATGGCGTCCTCATCCACCTCGGTGGGGTCATCGCCCAGCTCACCCACTTCCGTCGTCGTTCGCGCGCCCACGCTGCCTGTAGCGGAAGCGCTGCCGACTGTGCTCATCTTGGTCGCCGCCGTCGGCTGGCCGTTGCTATCAAAATAGGCGGCGGCGCCTGGCAGCGCATTGATCTGCTGCTGCTGTAGAGCACCCTGGGGGAACCCGGTAGACGTCGGCGTGGTTTGAGGTGAGATGGAAGAGTGGCCCTGCTGCAGCGGCTGTTGTTGCTGCTCGGGGCGCAGCGTCGACACCCGTTCTAGCCCGGCGAGGCGGGAGATGCGGTCAGCTCGCTCGGCCTCGAGGCTGTTGGTCGAGGAGGTGTACTGGTGGCCGCGGTGGCCGCCGAAGCCTGGGATGGGATGCGCATGGCCGCGGTGGCCGTCCTTGATGGCCGTCGTTGAAAGAGCAGATAGCGAGGTGGTGGTGCTGGTCGGGGTCCCACTATGACGAAGAATGGTCAGAACAGCTGCATCCGATTGTTGTAGTGTTTGGGGTGGGACCTACGGCATATCATTGGGGGTGTCTGGGTTAGAGGGGGGCTGGGGCATATTGATGATCATGGGCGCTGTCGGTTGTGACATGTTGGCTACGATTGTTTGGCTTGACAGCCTGCTGATTGTCTCGATGGATGTTGTTGGTGATGATAGGCCTCTGGGAGTCTGTCGTCCAAATAAATTGTAGGAAAAGGTATCGTGTCTATTTCAGAGCGCCCCTAACCTAACAATAATAGATCGTCGATTGGCCTCGCTGCGCCGAGTGGTTCAGCGATCAGAAATGACGTTGCGGTAAACTTTCCGGGGTATCCAAGGAGCTTGGGCTTTTGGTGGGGGTCTTTCTAGGTTGAAATAGGTATCTTTCAAGGAGTATCCATACAGTAGCAACCCACGGGTTCAGGTGTGAGATATTTGGCTTTGAGTAGGCTTGTCACAGAGGCCCAGAAAGAGTTATAATCGGCTGCTTTGTTTTCGTTTTCCTCAGTTATTTCTTTTGCTGGTGGTTCCTCATTTGACATGTGTGTCGTGCTTGCCTTGAAATCAGCCCCGCGACGTGTGAAACAATGCAAGGTGGGCTGAAATGATAAGCGAGGTGGGCCTGGGGCCATGACGTTTGTTGCCTAACACGCGGGGTGTGTGGAGACGACAATGAGACCCTGAAATCCTCATGGCCTAATTTAGCAAGAAGAGTCCCTTGCAACCCGGAGTTTGTCAAGACGAGCGTTTAATAAAAACAAGAGAATATCCTCTGTAACATCGAGCACGGTTTCATCATAATACACAAGTTGGCTTAATCGGCTGCTTTGGAGTATTCTCGTACAAGCGGTTTCAATTGTTGTGATAATATCAGGACGGAAACAGAACAAATATAGAATGATGGGATCATGGCGAGCTTCCAATGCGATCTTGGAGCGCAAATAGCCACATTCTACTAATTACCTAGGTACTCAGCTGCTGATAGTACCCATAGGCGACGGCTGCTTAAAATATGCCAGGGGTAAAGTCAATTACTTGGTGCTTATCCAAGATATCCCCTATGCTTTTCACAAAGCTCAGGTGGGCTGGATCTCCCTCCTTTCAAGCTGTCAGTGTATGGTTCAACAATGAATCTGGCGTGCATCTGCTCACAAGATAGTAGGTCCGATCCTTCTCATTGTCAAATTGGCTGATGAAAGCGTGCGTAAAGCCATTCTGGAGTTCTGTAAGCCAGTTGGGAAACTTCTAAGAGCACAAGGTACTCCGCATACCGCTGCATTTTCAGGGCTGTTATTAAGACCTCCTACTGAGACCTTGACATATTCTTCCTTCGATTCCGGATGCTTGCAGTTTGTCTTGAGGGCCAGCATACGCTGGCACGCCTGTTGCTCGTGTATGGATCAGTCATGGTGTCCCACTTCGCAAGTTCGGTGGTCTGGAGTTCTCACAGCGTCGACTTCATCAGCCGGCACAAGTGCCTTGAATTTGAACATTACAATGTGATAAATCGTCATTTCGATCTTGGTGATTTCACTTGTATTGTGGTGGTTAAGGAAGGCTGAGCTATTTGCACATTGGCGATCTTTAGGTTGTGTTTGTGATGTCGTGCTGCTTGGATGTGAGCTGGAGCTTGACGGTTGGTTGTTCCCCACCATGTAAGCCTCCACTCCATGCTCTGGCCCATCCCATATCGATCGATTATTCCGGAAGAGCCCTTAGGTTAGTACTCTAGGTTAGAGTAGCGTATACTCTCTCGTTGCTAGATCTACGCAAAGTCCAAGCTGTCAGAGTCTCGATTTAGCTTTCAGGTACAACAGCTCAGCGCTTAGTTGACGACTATGCAGCACTACGCATAAACTAAATGTCGATCTCTGGGACATGCAAGCTTCCAAACCCCACTTTCCAGAAACTTGAATCGCCAGCTTTTACTATACATAAAAGCTCTGTGAACCCGTGCCCGTTATAGGGTTACACCTGGTGTGGCAGAGAAACGTACCATACATGATCAAGCCCTTTTAGACGAAGTGTGCAGTACACATATACGTCGCGTGCTTGGCTCCCTGCAGTGAGATCTCCTGCACCTGTCAGACCATGCGGCCGCCCCGTAGCACGACCTAGCAATCTTGCCAAATAATAGCAAACTCTCTGGATTTAACAAGATCTCGTTTGTAGCCTCCAGGATTTACTGCTTGTCTGGTAAGAGCAACATCGGCGAAACGCTCCTGACCATAAAATGTCTGAAATCATTGCGGGAAAGGAATACCATGATGTGGCTCTTGTGGGTAGTAAACTCCACAGCGTCCAAGCACACGCTCCGGCTTTGCTTGCTCTTCTAGAGAGGTATCCAGAGATGCACATTTACACCAAGTCACACCCGCATTTTGTTGAGCTAAGCAGGGTCAGAGCCGATCGTACCGACATGGAAGCTCTGGCTCTGGTGAGGCCGGTCTGTGAGGCAGAAGTCTCCGCTGTGGTTAAGTATTGCGTCGAACGGGGGATAGGCATCGCCATTCGCAGTGGCGGGGGCGATATAGCGGAGCGGTCTCGCAGCCATGGTGGCGTGGTTATCGATATGAGGTCCATGGACTCCATGGTGTTAGCTGCGGATCGCAAGTCCATACGAATCGGAGGGGGTTTGAACTCGGGTACTCTCTTGAGGTTCCTGGACGCAAACGGACTGGATACGCCTTGTGGTTGGGGCCACGAGGTGGGCTATATTGCCTGGGCGTGTGGCGGGGGATACGGAGTCGAGTGTGGCGCAAGAGGTATGGGGGCTGACCAGATCCTCAGTGGGAGGGTTGTGACTGCCTCTGGTGATATCTTGGATGCGCAGCCTGATAACGAAAACAAGGATGTATATTGGGCACTTCGTGGTGGCGGCGCCGGCATTCTTGGCGTTGTCAGTGAGCTGACGGTGAAAGTCCATCCAAAACCGAAAGCACTCGCGGGATATGTATGGTTCCCATACACTGAGGCCGAAAAAGTATTTGGCAACATGCAGAAGCTCTACGAGGAGAACTTTCCGGACAATTTTGCGGCCGAGGTTTTCCTCATTGACCCGCTCAACAACGGAGGAATCATCAACCACTTCTTCTGGTGGGAACTGAAAGCGGATGAGAATGACCTAGAAGATGCAAAGGCGTATCACAAAAAGATCACCGAATGCGGGACAGTCGTGATGGACACAGTCAAGGACAAGAACGGAAAGTATAATATTAGTATGCGCCCCTGGTCGATCTCAAATATTTGTTGCTCATCATGTATTGACCGTTCTGCAGCATCACCATACGAGTTTCTATACTCGATCAAGAACCCAGGTGCCGAAACTCGACTGGCATACTACAACAAGTCATTGACGGTCCCCTCGATCTCTGCTGAATTCGGCGCTATATTAGCTCGTCATCCGCTGCCCACCCCTACTTCCGTGGTTGTACTCCACAACTGTCATGGAGCCGGGACCCGGTTTGACTCGACCGCCGCTTTTGGTAACAGAGAGCAGCATATTCTGGTTGGTCTCGCGGCACTGTGTGATTGGGCGGACGAGGATGCGAAAGCCCAGATCAAGAGTTGGCCTGGAGCGGTATATGATGAACTCGTGGCGGCAGGATTAAATACGGGTTGGAAATATGTCAACTTCAATATAAGGGAGAAGGATGACGGGAAAATGTATCTAGGTGAGAAGGGGGTAGAGAGGATGAGAAAGCTCAAGGGAAGATGGGACCCGGATGATGTATTTGCGCTTTGTACGCCGGATCTAGGTATATCGGCCACTTGAGCAAGTCAAAGCTCAAGCGGAGGATGGCTGTCACATCTGAAGCTAACCTACGGATTATTCAGGGATCATCTTTGCTAATACCATGAGGGTGATTGAATCAGTACTTTCATTGTTGTTTGATTTATAAACTATAACGTATTCTGATCATGAAACAACCACCAAAACAAAATTCCTTCAATGCCTCATCGTCGTAGGGTATCATGTTCAAATATTGCATCCTGTCAATTCCAGAATCCTCTTTATATTTTACAAGGTTCATTATGAACACACTAAGTTGCTCAGTTACTCTTCAGGGTCTTGCCGGCTCTGGTGGAGCCCTGCTGGCGCTGCTGATAGAGGAGGTAACCAAAAACAGCGGCGGCAACTGTGCCAAGGAGGAAGAAGTTGTCTGCAGGCCAAGTTAAAGGTCTTTCCCCGTGATAGTGGGTGGAATATTGCAATTCGAGACTTACGAATGGCGAATCCAAGTGTGCCTTCAATGAAGTGCACTGCACCCTTGCCGGCATCAGCGACGGTGTGTAAGGCCAGCGCGAAGACGTTGAAGATGGCCTGGAAAACTCCGGTGAAGACGTTGATGATTGTCTGGAAGATTCCCTGGATCACCTCGATGATCGATTGGAAGAAATGGCCAATTCCTGATGCGATACCCATTTTGACTGGTGGAATTTAATTTCTTTGCTTTGCGCGAACTTGATGTCGGTGTTTCTGATAGGATCAAGTGGAGGCAGGTTTCGTAGGGCTGAATGTCAAATACTTTAGTGTGCTCTCTGTCTAGTCAGATATCCCTCCCAAAGTTGGGCAGAAGTGTGGCTTTTTATTCTCGGAAAACAGCCAAAGCTACGTAGGGGTATGCGGTCACATCAGCCTGAGGCTGAAACTACGTAATGGGCTTGTCTCGTACGGCTCGCTTGTGGCACCTACGTAGGTACATGGATCCATTCATCGGTAATCTACGTAGTTGTGTAGTTCCAGGACAATGGAAAACTGGTTTCGTCAAATGACAGAAGAGGGCCGTCACGATCGCGTGACGGGCTCTTGCTTGTGGTTGGAGAGAAGTGACTACATGACGTCAAAACGCCGCAAGCGGCAAATTGTGGGCATTGCGGGGAAGAATCTCCGTCCCCAGCAAAGAGGTTCGTGTCAGTATTGGTACAAGTTCTCCCCAATGTTCGGTGCAACTAACTGTCAGGAACGCGTACATTAGATGAAGATCGCTTAACTTTACTACGCAAAGGCTTTTTTTCTTATTTTTGCTTCTTGAAATCTGTCTTTCTTTCTTTTCTCCTGCATTTGTAGTTGTAAATCCGATCAAAGCCGGGAAAGCCATGCGCCCGCTTGTCTGCACACATGGTCCTGGGAACGCGTCAGCTGCAAGCAAACAAAAACATGATACTTAGTTCAAGGCGATGACAATTGCACAGTGCCCGAAACACATGCTAGCAACCTCAGCACCCAAGCCATCGTCGACGACTGGACATGAGATAATGATGTCTTACACAACACATTCTTGCTTGCCGCGCATTCGTTGCTATTGAAAATGGAGCAATTCTCATTGCATAGCACAACTGGAAATAGGCGAAGAATGACAAGCTCCCAACCACCTCTATTCCCCCATTATCCGGAAGCCAATTACAGCATGATGAGGGTTCTTGTATAAAGATAGTGAAGTCTTGTTGTTTGACGGCTAAACTTTGAAACACTCACCAACTCGTACTCTGGGAGGGGCTGAGGATGGCCTAATCCGGTATTTTAAGAACTATCGTGTCACGACTCTGGAGTGCTAGTCACTGTGCTCAGAGGAGCAGGCCTTCTCCCAATTATATATATATATACATATATACATATCTCGTCGATATAGGTCCGAAGAACCTTACATATTTTCTAAGTTGACATACTGCCTGTGTAACTGACTATCTCAATGAGCCTGATGATGTGGAACCTTGGTGCGATACTTGCTTTGCTCTAATCAGTTCAGCACGAAGAGACCAAGTGCTGTCACTTCAGATTGGATGAAACCGAAAAAGGATTCCTCAAAACATGCCCAAGATCGTCAATGTATATGCTGACGCAGTTGAGAATCTCAAGGAACATGCCAATCCCGATGCCAAGTACCCATCAGAAGAGTCCATCAAAGGCTGGATCAAAAGCAGCGCCGACGTATACAGCATGGCCGCTGTTGTGGATAACATTCCCTTTGGGGATGCTGGCAAGTTATTACTCAAGCGCATTCTAACGAAGGACAACCGGCCGCTCTGGATTTTACCTTAGGCTGGCAGAAATTTCCTGGCACAAGTTCTGCTTAAGATTCGGATCACTTATTCAGCGGAAAGTGCGAGGAGTTTATACACCAAGTTGCGGGTTTCTACCATCTCCAACCAGGATGGCACCGGCACTTGGATACGATAGAGCTTTCCTTCGGTATTCTATATCAAGTCTTTGCCGTCTGGAATCAATACAAACGCGTACTTTGAATAGCATCTCTAGCGACAAGTACTACTGTTTCGATAACGGCAGACCTGAATTTACCAAAATGACCAAAAAGTAATAAGAGAGCACATCCAAATTCAAAGTCGCTGTGAAATCAATACTATAAACACGCAGCATGAGTTGCGCTTCTACTTCAAATGTACCGCAGCGGATCAGGTGTCATGATGTTCCGAGCAACAATATACAATCTGTGTCCTACTACGCAGTGAGTATGTGTTCAGGATGATATAAAGTGGCGAGTCACCCAGAATATGTTCAGATCCGCATGATTTCAGTGTGAAGAATAGTATTTTCAGAGGCAGTTGCATCTTAAATCTTGCGATGCGTAACGTGTGATTATCATTTGAACAACATCATCGACAACCTCCGTTTTCCTCGTCGCCCATACGGTCCCACCACTTAGTACGAGCAAATGGGTTGTCTCCCACAGTGTCAACTACTCCGTTTTGCGCAAAATTGCCATTTATGCCTCTAATCTCTTTTTCCGTAGCCTTTTCTGCTCTTCGAACAAGACGAGCCTCTCTCTCTCTTTTCTTCAGCTTTTCCGTCTTCGTCCGAGCTTCAAGACGAAGTTCACTGCTTGGCTTCTGGATGTCCAAGTATCGTTGATACAGCTTTGTATGAACGAATAGGGCGGTCGTAGCGCGCTTGTACACATACCACACTGCGGAGCGCACCCAGGAGCTGAGTGAGAATAGGAAGGTTAGTGCAATAACACTGCTAGAAACACCCACTGTAGAAAGTTACTATTACATTCAGAGCTGCCACCTGAAGAAACTTACACATATATGTGATTTGATCGCTGATAGTCATGGTGTTTCCATCGTCGTCCGAGAACTCTTTCGCATTCATACCGAACACACTCGACATGAATGACAGAGGTAACTGCATTTAGCGATTAAAATTTGATGCTCAAATGGCATAAGGGTAGTTCTTACGAAAACAATCGTGACAACGGTAAAGATCATGATTGAAGTTCCTTGCCTTGTCGTTTCTTCTGATTGTTTCATGGCCTGCCAAGCTTGGAAAACGCCTATCCCGATCGAATTAGTCACCTCAATCTTAATCCGCCATCTTAAACTGCCCTGGCTCTTTCTGTTCGAAAACAGGCGGTGCAAGCACTGAGCATAAGCACTGTCTAATCAAATAATGAGTCTCCCAGAAAAAACTAACCTGCTTGCTGGCTTTTTAGATCCAAGAGATCCTTGACCTTGATATGTGTTAGCTGTTTGCCTTGAATAATGGGGAAAGTCCTACATACACTACTGGCGGTGGCGTTGGCGCTTCGTTCAAGCTCTTCCAGCTGCTCAATGCGGCCATTAACTCTAATGAGTAACTCGTCCGCGTTGACTTTGAACCACTTATACGTGTCGCGCTTCTTCTTGAACATCTCTGCAGCCGTCCTGCGCTCTTCGACAGATGCCATAGGATCTTTAATCTCGATGTAAGGAGACCCGAAGGGTGTTTCGTTCGGAGTTTTTCGAGCGTCAACTGCGCTTCGAAACAAACTGCTGTCGTTTAATGAGGTTTGAAACTGGTCAAGAGGGTCAAGAATGTGGGTAACATGTGTGACGAATTGTTTCAACACGTCTCTATGCTCCTTGTTCACATAGATCATGATACCAAGCTCTTCGACGATGTCCTTTATCTCCTTTTCGAGTTCGCCTTCAGGCTTGATGTCTAGCAGTGTGACATGGATATCGGATGGTGGCCGATCGTGCGGTGAACGATAGTACATTCTAGCGTCCTCAGTCCATTGCCAAAGGCGTTCAAACCCCTCTGTTTGCTTGTGCATCTACCCACAGTAATCAGCATGCGCATCGCTATACATATATCAGGCACCTACAATGTTTCCGATAGCTTCTGAGAATGCATCAAGGACCTGCGGCTGTTTATCTGAAGTTCTTGTCCTGTCGAAAAAGGTATTGCTGCATTCTTCGAACACGATCAGAGCGAGGTCATAAATCGACTTAACATGCTTGTACCGGCCTTCTCCAATCCGGAGACGCACAGATTTATGTACTCCTAAAGATTACGAATTAGGCAAATGAGTAAACTCAAGAAGGCGACAAGGTCATACCCGACGAGTCGTGCTTGTTGGCTCCATATCGTTTTGGAAAGCAAGTGATGATTGTCTTCGAGTCCAGTATCCACATCCACAATTGATCTACCATGACTACGCGCGATACCTTCCTGATGCTGGTAGTGCAGCTCTCACAAGATTGATTTTCGGGTAGTCGATCGTGGTGTTCCCACTCCACTTTTTCATTATTGTAGGTATGAAATGAACCCTGATCTGGCGTTGTATGACGGTAAACCACCTGATCTTTATCTCTTTTCTGAGTAGTTCGAAGAGACCTGATACCAATATTCAGTATATAATTCTTGCGAGGACAGAGGTCACTTACCAGTAGTAGGCTTGATCAAGAGTCCTGCGGGGATGCAGAGGAGGATCATTCGTGAGATAGCTTTCCAGCAATTTCTTGTCGCGATAGCTGGCCATTCCTTCGTACAGTCGGGCCGCGTCGATGAGATATTGGCCAAGCTTACTTTGTGGAATTGTAACTCTTCTTTTTCCATCAATTTTGATTTGGCTCCTGGGAAGATCCAAATTTCGCAGTAGAGTGTTCATTGTCGATACTCGCAATGGCGTTTGGCCACTTTCACCCCCAGTTTGATGCACATTCTCATTATGGTTCTTTCCGCCAATCTTCTCAAGAACAATATAGAACAGTTTACTGAGTCTCTGAAACCTATTGCTATGTTCCTTAACGGGCTTTGGTGTTGGTCTTTTCAAACCCTCCCTAGTCTTCTGTCGTGCAACTTTGTCCTGAGCTTCGGTCTCGCGCCTATTTTTTCTTTTCTTCTCAACGACGTCGTCGATAATTACAGCAAACCGCGCTCTATTCCGTGATGTTTCCCAATGAAGGTATGGCATCTGTCAAAACGTTTAAGCCTAGGTAGATCAGCGCTGGCATGTGTGACTTACGAACAAGACCAGATTCTGAGGGACCAATTCTGCCTCCTTGGGATTGGTGGATGAGGATACTGCCTCACAAAATGGTCGCATAAATCTGGAGTTAGTCGTGTTACGTCCCCCATGGAACTGTCCTCTCCAATGTGATTCTCGGAGAATAAGAGCAGCCTCTGATCTGGCTTGGCGCTGCACCTCACGTCTACTTGCATGAAAGTTTGGTCTTTCCTGGACGTAATATCTGGCGATAGCTTCCTGTGGATCATCAACCCATCTTGATCTATTGTCGAGCATTGAATAAAACATACCTCAACCCACTGTGGAGTAATCAGCAACATATTATTCAAAAATACGTTGCGGAACTCACCTCCATATTATTCGAAGGCAAATGAAAATACTTGACTCCTTCAGGCAATCTCTCCCGTGATAGTAAGTTGTGTTCACCCAGGCTCTTGTCAAGTAGATGATGCACTGTAGTCTTTTGATCCGGAAACTCTCCCCAGATGGGAATGCCATCCTTGATTTCCTCATTCGCCTTGGTCAAATTCACGTCTGCTGGGTCTGTCCTAACAAGGTACATGAAGGGAACGTTGATGTCTTTTTCGCTTTCGTACTTGCTGGACATCCAGTCGACGTCTTTGACATCGTACAGGTTCTCTGCATTTGGTTGAGATTTTGAGTCAATTTTCTTCCACGCTCTCACGTTCTTGATGCCATCCTTGAATTCCGTGGATGCCCTCCAAGTTTTCCCGCTCTTCTCCACCTCCTTAACTAGATGACTGTCTCCCCCAATATCTTCCTCCAACTTCTGTCGTAAGAAATCAATGCGGCGTAGCTCACTCTGGCAATCAGATTTCCATCGTTCTCTTATCCTTTTGGTTTGGATTTTAGCCTCTTCAAGCATTTCTGGCTTCTCGACGCCACCACCAAGAATTTTATGCTGGTGTTTGAGTTCTTTCTTCCACAAAACCGTATCATCGTTGTTGAGAAAGCCGTAGCGTTCAGACACCTCTAAACAACCTAAGAAATGAATTAAATGGTCCTTGATATGATCATCATGAGGATCAGATGAGAGACAAGTGGTAGGATTTTCGTCATCCATAATGTTGTTGCTCGAATCATTCCGTGTGACAGCTTGACGAACCAATACAGTCCTAGTGAGATATTTACTTCACCCTGAGCCAGCCTTATATATTTCAAGGGCTGTGATTGCGACTGTAATCACTAGGTGAGGTGAGGCTCTGCGGCTTTCCAGCCAAGCCACAGTGTATATTTTAGGCTTTCTGCATGGAGCTAATCATCTTCAGCAGGAATTGGATAAGTAATTGACCAGTCATCGTGCCCTCAGCGGGTTTCCAGGTGCAACTGTAGTCAGACTCAAATTCAGGGGTCAATATCCATGCTTACCACTCAGTCCCCAGCCGCACCTTGAATGACTCTGAAATGAGTCAGTGGCTGGAAAATATCCACCACCATTGTTACCTACACAGCCTGGTGATCTCCATCTTCCTCCGATGGAATTTTTGTGAAGCCTTATCCACCAATGACTGGAAGAGGCAGGCGCCTTTGGGGGCCATTCGTCTTCTCCCCGACCGCGATTTCAAAGGGAATTGTGACATTATAATAAGTTGGGGTTGTCGCTCAGTTCTTCAAAGTTCATCATAAGTGCAAATGAACACCTCAAATAAATGTTTCTGGAGATGGTTGTGTGACAAGTCCACATGGGTTCGGGCCGCAACTTCGCTGCCAGTACTCGATATTACAGTAGCGTCTGCCAAGTATTGTTCCCATCTAGCGGCTACATATAAGCTCTAATGCAGCCACAAGCATTAGGGAGGATCTCTGCACATGATCTAAGCTGCTAAGAGTGCGTTCATGCGCTCTGATTCTCGTTTCTGATTACGGCCGTGCACGCCTTGCAATAAGCATACACTACTGACGTAGCTTACGACAAGGGTATGAACAAAAAAACACTATTAACGTAGCTTAGGACTAGGGCATGAATTAAAAAACAATGCCTTGCAGCGTGGCTTATGGGGGGTACAGTCAACCTGGCTTATAACGATTCTGGTATATAACGATACCTTGACACTTGTATGTAGTATACAGCGATAATCGCAAGGAATTACTGGATTTTGTTAGCAATTGTAGTAAACAGGGATGAGAATCGCGATCGCCTTACCTTGGTGAATACTTGTGAGCAGCGTAATTTCCAAGACGCCGAGGTTCCAATCTCTTAGCTTATCGAAGTCTTCCTTTTTGGTCACTCCACGCTTATTCTATCAATTCTTTTCCATTCGCGATAGTTTTTATATCGTCATTATCGTATCAATCTCTCAGAAATACGACTCTTAATACTTGTAGGATTTCCAAGAAAGACAACTCGAAGTGGGCATTACTAATTAATATCTTATGATAAATCTAAATTAGATACTAGATTTAGGCAAAGTGTTATAATACCCAGATTAGGACTGTGTGTCGTGACAACTATGTAGAGAGATCTCACAATCTCTACCTAGAATAGTCTTCGAGTCAAGACATATTACAAGCCCAAATTACCTTTACAGTTCGTAACGTCATAGGCTTGTTGTCTCACACCGTTATTGTCAACCCTTACAGCTTATTCCTATTCGCACCCATACTCTTACACAAAGATATCGTGAAATTGCCGGTGGATGGAAGCAACAATAGCTAGATAAATACCCTGTCTAACAGTTTTGTACTATAGTTACATAGTATATTGTTAGTGTCACCATAAATAGTGTACATGGATCATCCTATCATGCAACAATACCTTGATATAACGATGCTAAGCTGTGCAATTAAAGAGTCATCATAAGCCCGGTTTGACTGTATGCGCAAATCTATGCCTACTTTCCCTGCAATTTCCTCCTGCACGTAACTGCTGCAGACTCGCCCGTCCCTGTCTATCCCACTCACCATCATCCATCACTATCTAGTCTAGTTTCTTGCGCACAGCCTTGTACTACTTCCCGTGTAGTTGTTGAAAATCATGAGGGCGGTACGGAGTACTTGGTTCTCAGGCACCGTGCACAAGCCATGAGCCCGTTTCCTTGCTCACCCTCCGTCTTGCTACATTTTGCACATCTACCGACTATCACCTGTCTGGGTTCACTACCCATTTTACGCCAATAGGACCTTGTCGGCGAATTGGTCGTAGAAATATGGAGAGATGGCCGCTCTCATGGCGTATCTTGATGCTATGTTCCGATGAGCGAAATATGATAAAACCGGGGAGGAACTTTCAGTTACCGTATGTGCACGGGAAAGGCTTGTCATCCTCCACTGTCAAAGGTGCTGAGTTCTCCTGGGTGTAATCGCCGTCTGCTCTACCATCCGAGGCTCAGCAACGCTCACCATATTCAGGTATGTTACGCTTTCACAGCTGCAGCTCTGAATGATTCACTTTGACTTCACACAAACCTCAATCAGTCGGAGCTGTAAGGAATCTCACCAAACATCAAATGGTTCGGCTAAAAGATGTTCCACCACGCATCTCAAGGGGTTCACAGCTGATAATGTACGTCAGGCGTACCAAGTTTGTTGCTGTTCATGCCAGCGAACAGAGAAAAGGACTTGCGTGGTACCTTCAGTGTCAAGCACACAGCCGAGGGCATGTCAGTCCAGTCGCGGAGGTCTCCCCAAACATCGTCAGTTGGCGAGATACGGCCCACACTAAGAGCAAATAATGATTTCAAACCATGGTTGATAACTTGATATCGTTGCGATTGTGGCATTCACTTGAGATATCCGAAAAGTTGGCATCAAACAAGTGAAGTCATATTTACTCCTTACACAATTTCTGAGCGCGCGGTCGCAGCACATCACTATCGTTTCGGTTGAGTTACACGTAGTAGTAGAGTTTTCATATGGTCTTTGAGGCAAGGCCGCCCTGATTTTACTGCATGTTTTGTAAAACCAGAACTGCATAAGTGCCTGTTAGGCATATAAATAAGTGCGCATTGTTATCCCCGACTATTCAATACGCTCAGGAGGTCGCAAGTCGCCTCCTTTCTTCATCAGCTCCTCTCTTTCTCCGTCCTCTACCAGGGTCTGGCTTAGAATGGTCTTCCTTTCTTTGTCATCCACTCGAAGTCCAGCACATCCGATGATAAAGTCTAACAACATGCCTTCTACTGCCTTGGCATTATGGCTTAGAGCATGATTATCTCCTTCAAAGAAATGTATGTGCCTGTTCCCTCCTGATCCATACATTTCATAGAGTCGTTGTGAACAATCTGAACTTATTGTGCTGTCTCCAGTTCCGTGCAGTAGTAATACTGGAGTTGGTGCCAGACTCCGGATAGGCTCTGTCTCCGCAGTTTGACTCGCCATAGTTGCACACCCGATAATCCGGTCATCGCTTCCACCAACAGTGAACACTGCAGCGCCGCTGAATGACCAACCAATCAAGACGAATCGGTGTATGCCGTACGTCTCTTGTAAGTATCCTATGGCAGCCTTCACATCGTCTACACAGTACGTTGTGCGTGCAGGGTAGCGGTAATCAAGTCGCAAAGTTGGAATGCTTGTTCCAAGCGCAGCAAGCTTTGCAGCTAGTGAAAGATATATAGAGCTGGGTCCCGCGACACCTCCACCCGCACCTGAAAGCAGGATAGCTGCCGTGTGGTGATGTCCTCGGGGTGGAAGTGGGACGAAGTCTTGTGGCATATGTAGGAACCCCGGCACGAAGCCATCCATGGTGTCTTCAACCTTGATGCTGAGGGCTTCGACTTTAGTGGGGTTTGATGACAGCTTCAGAACTCGAGGCGGTTGGGCAAGGCCACTGTAGTCGCTAATGGCATAAGGTTGGCAGTCAGTGGGTTTAGAGCCACTTTTGGACAATGATGTATTCTCAGTTGATGCCATCATGATATTGGATACCCGCTGAAAAGAGTTGCTATCAATGCCACCGCAAGTTCGTGTGCCCAACTTGAAATTTTGAATTCCATTTTCGGACTTTTCTTTTTAGCTGCTTGTTCCTGCATTAAGTGGTGGTATCGTGAATTGTTCTCTACGGCTTGGCACACCCCGTCCATAGTAACGATGAGGTTTGCTTGATGTAAAGTGTCGTAACGTATGACGACATATCTGAGTGCCCGGAAGCAATCTTCCTAGCGATTGATCAAACGACCAATGCTGAGTGATAACATGGTTTTGTAAGCTTTTGAACTACTAGAGACTATGTATTGGAAGCATTTTATGTTCCTACCGGAGTCATAGCCTCCACGAATCGTTGTGACTGGTTTATACAATGAGAAGAGTAAACTATAAGATTGCAATGCAGCCACAGAGTGCTCTGTCGGTCCAGTAGTGCTTCTTAATCAATCACTCCCATATAATTGCAACTGGCGTATATTTTGTCTCACAAACCTAGGGCGAGATTTTGTTGTGATTCTACGGTAAAGCTTTGATCAATGCGATCCCAACCGGCCTTATTAAGTTGTATCGTGATAAAAATGGGGTGAGGAGTTGCGATCACCCAAACTGCCAACTGACCGTCATGTTGTCTAAAGCTGCAGCTAGTTAGTTAACCTAGAAGAGTCTAACAGACAGCCGCTGGGCTTAGCGTCATATTCCTCTCCCCACTAGTCTAACTCGGCCAAGTAGGAATTCCCAACAACCTGAGTAGGTCTCACGACGCGAAAATAGTATTGTCCCTTCCCGTATTAAATATTGCAGAAGTACTGAGCATGGTGCTATGTACCCTAATGATTTCCCAAACCTTACTTGTTGACCAGTTATTTACAAGGAACCATGTGCGAAAACTCATAGATTTATTTCTCACAAAGTTGATGATCACCACTTACGCTAAGCCCTGACTACACCCTGGTGGAAAATGCTAGAGCACTAGCACGCGTTCAAGGCCATCCTCATGGGAAATACGCAGCGCCCCAAACGTGGAAAAATTTCACGCAAAACAAACCAATGAACACACCTGTTTCACCACCTCACGACTCTTTACAAAACTGTGTTAGGGAATCTCGTTCCTCGAAGTTTTCCAAGAATCTATGATGTACGAAAATGGGATAATGGCGGAAGGCGGTCCAGGGCGGGCCGCTACTAGTGAGAAACACACAATCGGGAAGGATGTGGCCATTCAAATGGTCGGGGAAAGAAGTCATGCTGTTGACCCAATGGTGACTGCACGTGCTGTGCGCAAAATTGACTGGTTCCTCATTCCAGCCATGACTATGGGCGTAAGTGACAAACAAACTCGAAAATTTTTTGTTCCGAGAGTTGAGATACTGATATTAGGAGTTTGTAGTATGGACTTGTATATTATGACAAGGTGCGTTGATCAAATATGGCGTACACTTCATAGTTTCTGCTACTGATCCGCCTTAACAGGCTATTCTTGGCTCAGCTGCCTTATTTGGCATGACGGCAGACCTTAAACTGAGTGTGGCCAATCCGAACAACCCGTCTCTTGTTGATACGTCCCGACTGTCATGGGCGACATCCTTGTTCTACTTTGGCATGTTGGCGGGACTGTATCCTATGTCATATGCGCTTCAACGCTTTGAGATTGGTAAAACTTTAGGCCTGGTTGTATGTACGTGGGCTCTTATATGCATGCTGACGGCTTCGGTCACATCTTATCAAGGGCTATATGCTCAACGATTTTTCCTTGGCTTTATCGAGAGCATCATTCCCACGGGATTTATGACAATCGTGTCGGGTTACTATACACAGCAGGAACAATCTTTGCGGCAAAGTTGGTGGTTCTCGTCTACTGGATGGTGGACCATCATTGGTGGTGGGCTGAACTATGGCTTCGCGCAAATCACCGGCGGTGGACTGCATCGATGGCAATACATCTATCTTCTGGCAGGGTCCCTCACATTCTTGTTTGGCCTATTTTGCTTTACTATTCCAAGCTCTCCTGTTACTGCTTGGTTTCTGTCCGAGGACGAGAAATTTGCTGCAGTCGAAAGGTTAAGAGCAGGACAAACGGGCATACGCTGCACTCAGTTCAAATGGGCACAAGTCAAGGAGAGCCTTCTCGATGTGAAAATCTGGCTGATTTTCATTATGATGGCGTCTGCCTATACTGTGAATGGCGCAGTTTCTGGCTTTGGTCCGTTGATCGTATCGGTAAGCACCTCCCCAAATCTCGCCACTAGATGAGCCACAGGAGAATTCAGGACCATAAGAAGCACTAACCGTCTGCTAGACCTTTGGATGGAATACACTTCAGGCAATCTTGTTTCAATTTCCACTTGGTGGGCTTTGTCTGATCGTGATTCTTCTGACTGGGTGGCTGGGCTCACGATTTCCAAACATCCGCATTGTTATGCTGATAGTATGCTGCTTGCCAGTTATTGCAGGCTGTGCGCTTATTTGGAGAAGTGAGTGGTCATACCACGCCGCTGCACCTGTGGTCGGATATTCCATCACAGGCACTTTTGGTGGAGTCGTCAGTCTTGTCATAACTATTGGCATGTCGAATGTCGCTGGCCATACCAAGAAGAGCTTTACCTCGGCCACCATCTTCGTGGGGTACTGCGTCGGTGCGTGTTTTCAGTGTTGATTCTGGACAAGAATCACCTAGACTGACAGTTTATAGGGAATATCATCGGCCCACAGCTAATCAAGTCTCAGACCAAAGCAGACCACTATCCAGAGTTATGGCTGGGGCTCATCATCTGGTGAGTACAGCCATTAAGCGCTAGCATATCGACTAACAGGTTATACAGCTACTGCATTACCATTGTCGCTGCAGTGGTGCTTTATTTTGTGTTGCGAAGCGAGAACCAAAAGAAGGAAGCATTGCACAATTATGACGAGACAGAAAGAGCAAAACTTGCGTTCCAGGACTTGACTGACAAGGCAAACCCCTACTTCAAATACCAGCTCTAAGAAGCTGCACTGGCTGGCCCGAGGTCGTCGGCATTCTCTCTCGTATGTATTCGCATTGCGGATGTACTAACGTTGGAGGGTCCGCACGCACGACGCTTGGATCCTCTAGTTCCCAAATCTAGTCGGGCCTCATGACTTCTGGGCAAGGGTCAAGCTTTGGTCATAAAGCCGAATTTGACCCTCGAAAACTACTTAAACCCAGGAGTCCGCAAGATAAATAGAATAAAGTAAAGCCTTCAGTGACCAATGGTGGGCAGGTTAGAGCTACAGTGCGAGTACGCGCAGCGAGCTGGAAGAGTCAAGAGACTACATAATAGTAGACAAGAATACACCGTCGTGGTGACCCAAGGTGGCTTATTAGGCCAAGGGAGTTTTTCTTTTCTGTTCACACGACGTGATCGTTCCAAATAATAGAGAAGTCTACAATGACTAGCAAACGAGTAAGCAAGACTCGGAACTCTCGCGGTCGCGGTCACGGTCGCGGCAGATTTCCTGCAAATCCCTGCACGCTAGATCCTAGTCCATGCGGGTGTTCACGGCAGTCTAGATGGGCCTGTTTCTCGCCACCCTGGTGCCATTTGAATCTTTAATGGTTCTAGCGCCTACACACATGCTGTAGTAGCCGTTGGAACCCACCAACTCGTGTCAAAAATAGCATGCCTCCAATTGCCATGCACAAAGAATCCCATTAACGCAGGCCTGGGAATTTCTTATCTATATTATTGATTAACCTAGACTAGTCGCTGGCCAGTTTCGTTTTGTCTGGGAGCTTGAAGCTTGGAGCCCTCTACGGATCCCGTACACACCAGAACAAACCACACCCATTTTGATGAGTTGTAATGGTATGTTAGTCATAGCAGTCCCCGGGGAAGTACCTGGCATTTGCTTTTTGACGATGAAAACTGAAACCGCATTCTCAGGGATCAATTGAGGGCAATCACACGCTCAAGTCTACTTAGTCGCATCGTTTACATGCATCCTGATCATGTACGAGTCACTTTTGAATATGTCTTTTGGTTAATGCCTATCGTTTTTGGAATCTAGTCTAAGCCGAACAAACCGATATTTCTTTGCGCGGTAGCGTCAAACATTAGACGAACCGAACCATTTCATTTTCTTGCTAAACCCCGCGAATTTCATCTTTCTGCGAAGCTGGGACCTTTCGGTTTTCAAAATTCCCTGTATTGCAATTCACCGAGGACAGTGAGGTGCCAACCTTGATAATTCATTGACATGTTCGCGCCTTGCCTCGTCTCCCTCCTGATTCCTCCAACTGTTGTTTGACGTTGCTGCCCCAAGCAGGGAAAATGAGCTGCGTATCTGAAGTCGTGCGCGAGAGGGAAACCTACAGGTACACGTCGCGGCTGTAAGTATAATTCCCGATTTCTCTTTGTGTTGTGTTCCGCGCTTGCTCCCTGGCCGAAAACACTTTCCGTTGTTGCACCAAATCGTGCCAGCCCAGCCGGAAGCCAAACCTTGAGGTGGTCCAATTTCTGACTTTGCAGTGTTGACAATGCTCGAGCACATTCAACGACCATCGCCACTCCGGGCGAGGGCCAAACAGATGATATCACCAAGACCTCTCTATGCGCCGATACTACGTTGACCGCATTCGCGCAACTCAGCGCGTTCAGGCTCAATGCAACTCGCTGTTTGATATCCGTATTCGACCGTAAGAATCAATATGTGGTCGCCGAGGCCACAGTTGAGTCTCCAATAGTACCAGAAGTGGACAGCCAGCACAACCTTTGGCAGAGCGGAACCACCATCCCACGGAGCTCGAGCCTCTGCGAGCATGTCCTCGTTGCTCACGACGACGGAAACTCCCACTCGGATAGAGAGATCCCCGTATCAGTTGTCTCCGATCTAGTGTGCGATTCGAGGTTTTGCAACCGCTACGACATTGAGGATCCCTCCAACAATCGCTTCTACGCCGGAGCACCCATCCGGTCCCCCAAGGGCATTAATATCGGTGTGATTTGCGTTTTTGGTGATAAACCACGAGATGGCCTGGATTCTAGCCAGACGAAATTCCTCCGGGATATTTCACAGACCATAATGCAACATTGGGAGTCTAAGGCTACAGCGACCAATTTCACCAAGAGTGTTCGCAGTAAGTAATTTACTTTCACCACAAAGAGGGGGGTTTTATCTTCTTTCTTTTTTTTCTTTTTAATTTTTTTTAAGCAAAGGCTGTGCACTGGGAGCAAGCCAACTGTACATCTCAGCAGACCTCGGATCCCCAAAGCTAGCTCTAAATTTTCAAATTCTCAAACTTCGTTTTCTTTTTGGAAAATCACCACTAAATATACATTTGTAGTGATAAGAGGTTTGGGCAGTTTCGTTGAAGGCAAAGCTACGATGCCTGAATGGCTCTCTGATATCACCACCGAACCGAACTTGGACTTGAAAAACAAACGAGACTCGTTTGAGAGCCAACAAGCAGCCAATCTCCGACAAGCCCAATTCACCATGCAGTCAGGAGAGCCTCAGGCCCAACGACCCGATCCTACGCCTCTTCAGGGTCAAAGCAGCACATACCATGACGACTCGGGTCCTACGAGCAACTCAGGACAAAGCTTGCCAGATAGCGACGGAAATACTGAAAGAGCCTACTCTGGAGCTATGTCTGTCAATACCAATGTCTCGGTTATACGAACTAATGCAACAGTATCGACGGAAGAGCCCATAATAAAGGCCATCCAGGATGTCCTAAGCAGAGCTGCAAGTATCATAAGAGAAGCAGTCGAAATTGAGGGAGTCATGTTTCTGGATGCGAGCGTTGGATCTTTTGGTGGATTAGTGCCAGACAGCGACACTGGCTCCAGCAGCTCTTCTATCCCTTCATCTACACTTAGTGGCGGAACCGAAGCAACCGAAATGCCACGAGACCAGGACCCTGATGGCAAGATGTGTAGCATATTAGGTTACTCAACGTCCGGGGTATCAAGTATTAGGGACAAATCGTGTTTACGATCACCTGAGATATGCCTACCTGAGAGGCTTTTACGAGTCCTGCTCGGACGATACCCTGGTGGCAAAGTCTTTAACCTCGACGATGACGGCACAGAACATTCTACCGACGAGGTATCTGTAATCCAGAACGAAATCACAAACTACTCGGCGGTTTTAGATTCCAGCGGCCGTGACGGCTCTGCAAGCAAAAGATCGAGTAACCCGTTCTCCAAGAAGAACGAAGAGAAGACGCTGAAGACGATATTTCCAGATGCGTGCTCTATAGCCTTTGTCCCTCTGTGGGAATCTCGAAAAGAGCGGTGGTTTGCCGGTTCCATTCTGTGGTCGAACAAACATACACAAAGCTTCAAATCGAGGGATGAGCTGAGCTATCTCCGCGCGTTTGGGTCGACCATTATGGCGGAAATCGCGAGCATCGACTCCTCAATAGCTGAAAAGGCTACGAGTGACCTCCTCGGATCTTTGAGTCACGAGCTAAGATCCCCGTTACACGGTGTGATTGCTGCTGTAGAACTGCTTCAAGATACGGACATCGACGCCTTTCAAGGGAATCTCGTCCACACTATGGAATCATGTGGGCGAACCCTCCTTGACAGTATCGATCACTTACTAGACTACACGAAAATCAACCGCTTGATGAAGCAGCCACGACGTCATCCCGATCCACAGACCATTCCTTCGGACCACTACAAATCTTTTCAATCGCAGATGACCAATGTTTCGTCAACTGTGGAGTTAGCTTCATTGGCCGAGGAAACAGTAGAAAGCATTTTTGCCGGTCACAACTTTCACAAAATGTCTATTGCACAGCTCATAAACCATGAGAAGCTGCACCATCGTGATGTCAGAAGTCTGCGGCGACTTGATTCTGCACAGGCCATTGAGACCTTTTCGGCTAACGAAGTGTTGGATCTACAGACATTGCTTTCAGGTGAAGACCCCCTATCTATCTATCTTGACATCGATCCGACCGTACCTTGGCTGTGGCACATAGCGCCGGGTGCAATACGTCGCATTATCATGAACCTCCTTGGTAACTCCCTGAAGTTTACGAAGCGGGGATTCGTCATTATCAGTTTGAGGCAAGAGAGGTCGCTTGCTGAACGTGGCGGAGGTCGCGTAAATCTGATTCTGAATGTTACAGACTCAGGGAAGGGTATTGCATCAGACTTCCTGATGAATCATGCTTTCAAGGCCTTCTCTCAGGAGGACTCGTTAACGCCAGGTACAGGCTTGGGGTTAAGCATCGTGCACCAAATCACCAAGTCGCTCGGTGGTTCGGTGGAGATTGAAAGTCAGCTCCAACGTGGCACTTCCGTCACTGTATCGATTCCACTCCGAACACCCTTGAGCGACGCTAAAGTAGAACCATCATTTTCGGAGCATTTGAGAGCGTTAAGAGGTTTTCGGGTTGCTCTTCTTGGTCTCGACGATGTCGCGCAAGCGCCAGGTATATCCGATCAGTGTTCAATGACTGAAGCTCATTTCATGGAAACCATTTGCCGAGACTGGTTGCAGCTCGATATTACTTCGAGCGAATCACCCGACATTCACTCAGATATGATCCTCTGTACAGATTCTTATGTGGCAAGGATTGGACCAGCCAGTCCCACCGAATCTCAACCCCCTATGGTAGTCATCTGCCGAAGCGCCGTCGCTGCACATAGTCTATCAGAAAAATACTCAAATGCATACGGAAAGGGTGTATACGAGTTTATTTCTCAGCCGTGAGTATATTGTTGTTTGTTCCGTGGCCACTTTCTAATCCATCACAGTGTCGGCCCTCGCAAACTCGCGAGTGCCATGGTTTTCGCACTTGGCAAGTACAACGATTCTAGGGCCTCTGAGCTTCTTACAATCAGGTCATCAATATCGTCTCAGAGCATGTCAGATATGTCTTCAACAGTGTCATCGACTACACCAACTCCGTTTACTGAACAAATGACACCTCTTCTAGACGTACCTGAGATGGTAATGGGAGAAGATACGACGCCAGGGATTACACTACCATTGGGACCAACAAAACCAGAAGCTGAGGCACACAAAGAGCAACCTGAATCGACGGCGACAACCCCTCCGCATACGACACCTGACCCCATCGTGTCGATAACTCCTGCCACGCCGATACCTGACGAGACGACACGATCAACCGCGGCTGCCCTTGATGCTGATAATGTCGGAAAAACGCGATGTCTCCTTGTCGACGACAATGACATCAATCTTCGGGTTAGTTCACTGATGATATGGTAAAATAACCAAACTAATGCAAACGCAGATTCTGGCGTCGTTTATGAAAAAGCTGAACTACTCCTACAGGACTGCCACGAATGGTCTCGAAGCCTTGGAATTGTACGCAGCTGCACCTGAGAAATATAGGCATATCCTTATGGACTTGTCTATGCCGGTCATGGATGGCATGGAATCCACACGTCGTATCCGGGAACTTGAGCGTGCACGACATCTTGAACCAGCGTCCATCATCGCCCTGACGGGACTGGCATCGGCAGATGCGCAGAAGGAAGCCTTTGCCAGTGGGATCAATCTGTACATGACGAAGCCGGTTCGTTTCAAGGAGCTAGCCAAAGTGTTGGCCGATTTGGGCGATCAGGGTTGATTGAGATTCCCCCCAAGAATATAACCTATTCAAAATGAGGTGCGGAAAGGGGAAACGGCGGGTGTACTTCGTATCTGAATCTCTGTTCAGGATGGAAGTGGGCAATCATCACATGCTAACACCGAAACCGCAAGCCTCCCTCCCGCCCGCAACGACCTAGATACTCAATTGTGAAGCACGGGTTGCTACCGCTGCACTAATCATTCCACAAAAGGAACTAAGCAGTACCCTTCTAATTTTCAAGCTCTATATGCTTGGTTGTTGGTGCTAGTCAACTTGTGTTATGCTCGACGATATGCAAACGCTCACAAAACTCACCAAACCCAATAAGCTTAACGTAACCGGCCAAACACGTGCAGCGGATTACTGCCTTGCTTTTGATAATCTTAGTTGAAAGAGCTTAAAACGAGGCTCATATTGGCTCAGAAAGCACCGCCCACCTCTTGGTTCTCAAGAATATTGTTAGGCCTGCAGCCAGCACGACAGAGCAGCATGCTGCAAAACGCATTACATACGTTTGATGGAAGACTTCCCGCTTTCATGAACATATATAGTCACTTTTGAACGTTCATGGTGTCATCAGACTGCCACGCGACATCCTAGATCGTGCGTGGAGCTTGGTAACTAGATTGCGACGTCATGATAGCACGACGTTTACTGCGGGATGGCACGAAGCATTATGAACCATAGTCGCATAGAAAATCGATTATCTTGATATGGACAGACGGGGGCGACAACACCATCAATCAATGAAGCAGGAAGTTGGTTATAATTAAGTCTTAATTTTTTGCCGGTAGCGAGTTCACTACCATTTTGGCTAGTAAGTTGAGCAACACATAGTTCTTTCTCTACGGCCGTGAAAAGAATTTATATACAAATCCACACATTATATACATTCGTAAGTTCTGATGTCCCATTATTCATCCCTGATCAGGATGTTGCTGACTCCGCTGCTAGCATCCATGGTGCCCTTTACTGGGTGTAGACACAAGAGTTGGGTGTACCAGCGATCTCGACGGCGCGGACAGAGATGCCGAGGCAGTCGGAGTTGCCGGCGGGGTTAGCGACACCGGCATCGGCCCAGACGCTCCAGGCACCGTCGATGCTGTTGGGGCAGGCGATGAAGCCGGATCCGTTCAGTGTCAGGTCGCCGTACTGGTCGATGGCGAAGGTGGTGCGCTCGCCGTTGCGGGGCGCGGGCTGCGCACCCGTCGTGTAGCCGAACTTGCCCTGGCCCATGCCGGAGCGGTCGGCATACAGCTGCTGCGGCGTCGCGCTGGCCGCGTACAGGTAGAGCTCACCGTCCTCAGACAGCGTAAAGGTCGCGTAGTCCGCTGTTGTGGGCTGCGTGCCGTCGTCACACGTTGCGTTCTGCGAAGGCAGGTTCAGGAATACGGAGCTGAGCGCCGCGTCGAACTGCGCAAAGTGGACCGGGCTGGCGGAGCGCAGAGCCATCAGGCCGAACTTGTCGCCGGCGGCGATGGCGGTGGCAGATGCGCTCGCCGAGGCGCTGACGGTCGAGCTGGCTGCTGCTGCGCTGTATGAAGGGCTGGTGGTGCCCGAAGGCTGGCAAGGGACTGCCATGGCGGCACCGGCAAAGACGGCCAGAGACAGAACGTTGGTGAACATGTTTAAGGTGGTTTGGAAGTGCGTTGGAATTGTGAAGTTGAGTATTGTTAGGCTGAGTTAAGTCTGTTTGATTATATTGGTAGTTGTGGAATGTTGCTGCTGTTGATGATGATGATGATGATGGAATGAAAATGTTCTGAGAGAATCCTTCTAGTTATATATACAGGTTTGTTGGTCACAATATACTCGACAATCATCACGGGCCGCTTAGTATACCGGACAACGGCACCGGGCAGGGAGTATTGCGGATACTAACTGACATCATATGCGACGTTCCTCGGCCAGCACTATACGAGGTGGGACAATACGAGAAAACTAGAGTCGTGCCAAGTTGGCTGTGCCCCCAGAAGACCCGCTTCGGTACTTGCGTGCCGCACCAAATGGTCTGCAACCGAGCTGCGCTAGGTGAGAACTTTATTTACCGCCTTATTTCGCCTCATGTTGTCTCCAGCTGAACAGGCGATCTTCGTTGTTTATTTGGTTTGGCTCCATTGACAGCGAGCTTAGTGCACCCTAGCTTGGTCCAATTTTAGAAGCCCATGGTTGAGTAAGAGGATGTCATCCGGGAGGAGTGGCAGACAATGCCAGAATGCCAAATCGACCACCCTGGCGTAATCGCAAGTCAATGCGGTCCCGCTGCAGACAGATGAGAGTTGGGCTGTCATTCATGCGCCAATGCGATGCCCCCTATTCGCCTGATGAGAATGTTCCTTTGATTCCGTACATACCATCTTTTGCCGGTCTTCTCGGTCTTTGCTTAGTTCACATTGTCTGTATGCTGGAAAGCCATTTCTTCATCTGTGCGTATGTAGCTTGCTCGTATCGTATCCCCGCCTCAAGACAGTCAGATGCTCTGTGGTCGTCTAGCGCATATGCCGGTTGATGGGGGCATTGTTAACGACCATCACTCAATCCGTTTAGCATGCGTCGACACGAACATGTTTCTGTTGGCTGGAATCGTCAACGCAACGGATACTGTCGAAGCTTATTTTCGTTTGTCTGTGGGCGTTAACTCAGTTGGGTGATGCTCAGGAACCGCTGTGCATGCATTTGGATGCATTGGGGGCCAAGGGTTCAGTGGTGTGGGGCGGCATCGACCCTAAGCCGCAATAAGAAACCTATGCCCGGTAATCCGAGTCCACTTGCGACATTTCTACTGGTTGCATCATAGGGGTCCACCTTGTGAGCTTGAAGGTTATTTTATTGCTGCTGTGTTGTTTTCTCCTGCAGGGCTCTAAAAGAAGCCGTCATGAGATCTCCACATCCCGCTCTGCTCCGCTCGATCGTGAATCAGTGTCAGCAGAATCTCTGGGGAAACGAGTGCTCAGAGTCTCTCCGAGAAGCGCCGGTGCTTGATACGAGATGATGACTACGATGTGGCGCTGTGCCTGTCTTTGGCGGGCAATCGTCAGTGTTGATGATATCAGTTCAATTGTTTGAACGTGGGCGTCAGTGTGGTCTCTTTGAACGAGTTTCGCGCACCAGAATATTCTTTTCGATATGAGCTGATGTGGGGCAAATCGCCCTTCCAGTGGCGTTCACGACTGGAAGCTTGGTCTCCGAGTCGTTTATTATTATATAATCCATTGCCGCATGAACAAGACGCTGATCACGAAGTAGGTTGTTGATGGATCTGTCCTGTAATATGACGGTGTACCGGTGCACCAAACCATCAAAGTTCATGAAAGCTCAAGCTTGCAAGATACTGAGCATGAGGTTAACGGGGGAACTGCTGCTACCTTATGTTTTACTCCTAAAACCGACTTTCCCTAAGTGTGCTAACACCCAAGCAAGACTAAGACGTTGGGACTTTCCGGAAATCATAAGAAATCAATACCAAAAATGAGTGATCAATACACAGGAAGCACCAAGGACAACACGAAGCCAAGTCTGATAGCAGGACAAACCTACACATTGGCTGTGTAGCCTTGCGTTTTTCTCCCGGTCCCCGAACTCCTCACCTAACTGACCTGTTGTATGCTTTGTCCGGGCCCTAATCACGACATCATGAATGTCGAAACCGTTCGGTCTACCCAGAGCTCGTGTACTGTGATGTGACCAACACAGTCTACAGCCGTGAAACACTACTCTTCATCCGCTTGCTCCTTTTGTCGCCGGTCTTCAACAACATTTACTATCTTTTCTGGGGCATTATCACCCGGATCCTTGCTCTGTACATTTTTCTCTCCGTGTATGGGGCCTAGAATAGGTGCGTCCTCGTTATAGCCAGGACTCCCATCGAAGAAGAACAGTGTCGCAAACACAGCCCCAGGCGGCACATGAGAGCTATGCCACTGGTCCCGGGTTACCGTATACGTCATATTCCTGCTCAGCGGCTCGGTATGTGAAATTTTTGCCCTCGCGTACTTCGAAGAAGCGTAGACCACGGATTCTGTTTGGTGTGGCTTATAGCTCACGTCTGACGTCTTGCCGTCACTAAAGTTAACCGTATACTCGGTGTGCGAGGCGTTTTCCTTGTCTGCGTTGCGCTCAACATTCCACGAGAGGTTCTCTCCATCGCCAGCCAGGATCCAGGAAATGGTGTTGGTATTATGCATGTGGGGCTCGAACCCCTTCGTGCCGCGATTGCCATCGGGGAGCCAGACGTGTAGGCGCCAAAGCTCGTCTATGCGCATTTGGGTCTTGCCCTTTGCGTCTTGGACTGGGTTTAGGAGACTGCAAAGTGGCACGTAGATGAAGCCCGCCGCACTCCGGTAAGATTTAAAAAGACCGGTACCCGATACGGCTGCATAAATTATCGGCCAGATGAAGTTGAGACTGTGGGTGACTTGAAGCTTGGCCGAGTCACCCTTTTTCTGCCGCATGTAGGCGATCCCGATCAACAGATTTGCTATCAAATGTGAGTCTTCCTGACCAGCGAATTTCTGCTGTGCGCTGAGCCATAAATCCTTCACGGAAAATGACATATCCTCCTGTAGCCATTCGCTAATGCGGCCCATTATGTTCTCGACACGATTCTTTTCAGCGTCGTCCTTGTCTTTGAGGATAGCGGACTTGATGCCCGCCAGTGTTCGCTTGATTTGATCCAATGGCAGATTGGTACCTGGATCGATGAATAGAACCTGGGGTTCAACCACCCCGGGATAAAGCACTCCGCGTGCAGTTGAGTTTTCCGGAAGCGCCATTCTGAGGGTAAATTAATGTGGAAGGGCTTTGAGTGTTATCTAGTCTAATGCAAGACCTTTCGAATGTAGACACGGCGAGTTAAGCAGGCCCAAGTCCATGCTGGGTAGCAGAGATGCTATATACTAAACACCAGTATAGGTGAGACAAAAAAGAAGAAAAAAGCCAGTCAGCGTCTCCTTGTCGCGTGATGCGACTCATTCGGTCCAACTGACTGAGCCAGCCACCAATGTTCAGTCAACCAACATTCAGTCGACCAACTCTCAATCAAGCAACATTCCGCAGGAATGCCAGAAGTTCCCTCCTGCATTGAGCCCACGAAGGCAGCAGCCAACCAACGTGCCGCAAGATTAAGCGAGGCATATTTGCCTGCATCTCAGCATTGCAGCTGGGCAGTCCGTGTGCCGTACCCAGGGCTGTGGCAACGCTCTAGCGCTCGGCCTCCCATGTGCTGATGGTGTGTAATACTGCAAGCCAATTTACAACACAGCCCCCTTCCCCAAAAGCTCACCTTTGTCTGGCCCAGTTTGATATGGAGCAAGATCTGGAAAAACTTTAATGTTGAGATTGGTCCGAAGAGTTATATAATATGCCAATTAATATGAAACATCCATGCAAGGTTACAGCCCCGCGCTACCCTGTAACAGCCAGTCCAGTATTCAATCTACACTTCTGTCCCTCACCAAGGGGGGTTGTGTAGTTGCAGTAAACCTTAAGCCAACGACGAACCTCTCTATGTACTACGTGCCGTGAGTCCTTAAGTCAGATTGCGCCTTAAACATTTAGCATCAAAGGACTGGAACGACCAATGATCGTGTGTTCAGTCATAATCGATAAATTATCGCCCGATTACTGCACGTGAATCAACACCGGGGTAAAGTACAACCAACTCAAGTAACGAGTATGTTGATGCATCGCAAGCGTATATACTAACCTGTGCCCCCCCTCAGACTATAGTAGAAGCGAGGTGCAAGCAAGGCTCGCAGGTCCAAAATCTGTCACAATGTTTGTAGATAACCTCAATACCGCAATCGCGCCAGTGCGGTGCTCCTTCGGGACAGGATGGTGTCATGCATGGCTCTTGAAACACCTGACGTCTCAGCCCTATTCTCACCATGTGCTCCATCCGAACCTTTACAGATCGCCCATTAAGATCTCTTGGCTTTCTTGGCGATTTCTATAATCATATATTTTCTTCTTTTTCTTCTTCATCTTCACTTCCGTAATCCTTTGCTGTCGGACTGCGGTTTCTCCGTGTAGCAGCACAATGGGCGTACTCCCATTTCGCAGTCGTCCCTACGCACCCAATCGTGCGATCATCTCGACACGCGCCGTCGTAACCTTCGCACTGCTCCTCCTCCTCCTCCTCCTCCTGCTGCTCCGCTACCACCAACATCCCGAAGCAGACGCATCACCAACCCCCTACACCAAAGCCCTCGTAGTAGCATCCACCTCGGCCACGGCGCCCAACGCGACAGCCTGGCTCCCCGACGTCCCGCCGGGCTGGGCTGTGTACCACTACATCACGGATGACGCAGCGCCCGCGCCGCCGGCCCTCCCCGTGCCGGCCGACCGGGGCAACGAGGCCATGGCGTACCTAACGTACATCATCGACGGGTACGCGGCGCTCCCGGACGTCGTCTACTTCCACCACGGGCACTACCGGTCGTGGCACCAGGCGCTGGACTCGGTCTCCGAGGTGCGCGGCCTGCGGGCTGAGCATGTCGTCGAGCGTGGGTACGTCTCGCCGAGGTGTGTGGCAGGGTGCGAGAACGTCATGCCGGTCTCGTCGGACGCCGTGGGGCTGGGGAACCTACACCTCGTAGCTCGCGATGTGAGGTTGAGGACATTCCTGGGGGAGTTCCTGGATGCGGGCGAGGAGATCCCGGAGAAGATTGCGGCGCCGTGTTGTGCGCAGTTTGTTGTCAGCCGGGATGCGATAAGGTCGAGGAGCTTGGGGTGGTGGAGGGGCATGCGAAATTGGCTTATGAATACTTCGCTATCGAGTTATGACAGTGGAAGGTTATTGGAATGGACTTGGCATATCTGGTTTGGTGAGGCGCCGCAGTTGTGAGTAGTCATCCACCAATTAATATTGATGAAGCTTGAATACTGATTGGTATAGTTGTTCCTTTTCCTCGGAAGAATGTCTTTGCAACGTCTTCGGTCACGCTGAGAGCTGTGAAACACAGACATGGTAGAGCAACTTGCTCAACGTCATGATGAATGCTGTTCTTTTACATAGAAGGTTGTGCTCCAGAGCTGATCTGTATGTCATGCGTGTGTGCGGACTTATGTTACATTTTCCATCTCTATCCGATCATGACTTCACCTTCTCAAGATCCTCGGCATTCTTGGCGTCTTCGACCTTGGCTTTGCCATCCTCGCCAATGCTAGCAACAGTGATTTTTACAGTTGGCTCGTCAGCCTTCGCCGGTGGTTCCAAAGCCGGTTTTGGGTTCGCCGCCAGATCGACTGCTTGGGGGGCGGCACCAGCTGGAGCATCAGCAATTTCGTTGACCTCCTCCTTGGTCAAAACATCGCTAATTCTTGTGCCTCTACTTGACATAAGAATTGTTGTAGGACCCTTGAACTGCAGGAACAACCTGTCTCCCCATATGGTCCTCCGCGTTGTTGTCCGTAGACTGTACAGTACGCGACTAAGGAACTGGTATGCCGATGTCGTACGCATGGTTTGGAAGAACTTGATGTTGCCGAGCCAATTGGCTACAGATGGTATTTGGAACCTGATGCCAGAGCTCTTGAACCTGAAAGGTAGCGGTGGGGTTCGTGTTATCGTGTAGGCCACCACATGGGAAGGGTGGACCACAAACTCCTCGCCTTCAGCCAGCGTCAACTGGTGGATGTGGCCTGGTGCGGACAACGCTGCTAGACCTCGGCCCGTAAGCTCTGACGAACCCCAATGAGCAAGCGGCAGCCTGTACTGGATACGAGGGGTGACTGCCAGAGTGTGGCCGGTCCATGCCATCAAAGCCGACCGCTGGCCGACTACCCAGTCTGTTGTTCCATCTAGATGCAGAACGGAGAAGGTGGTCGTCGGGGACTTGGTCGATATCAATGCTTGTATGGGTGTTGTGGACGAGACTCGCTGGTAGAGGAATGGGACGCCGGTAAGAGCGCGGCTGAAGGGCGAGAGGAGCGAGAGGGTAGATTGTGCCTAGAACATATTCCAGTCAGCGATAAGTCCATAATAGGATTCGTGTACACATGTACACGACAAGCACCTACGTTTTGCGCCTTTCCGGACACCCCTACTAATGTTCCCCTCCTCGTGTACAGTTTCTGGGATGCAGACAGAGAGACAGACAGCAGAGAGTATGGACTGCCCAAGACCTCAAAGCGCGCGTCGGCCACTTCCTTGGAGGCATCTAACGGGGCGCCGAAGGCATCTCCACCGGGGCGCGGTGATTCTGTCGTGGGCGACGAGCTGATCTGAATTGCTCTGCATTGCCGGCAGACATAGCTGGTGCGCTTGGCCAATTGGCTCGCACGACCTGTGCGAAGCAAAGCCCTGGCGCTGCTCATGGCGTCGGTGAGCGATATCTGGCCGTATTGTTGATTGTCGCTACCAGGACGCAAAAAATCGCGAGTTGCTGCGCTACACAATACGTCAGACCTCCAAGAAGCTGTCCCAGTTCAGTTGTGACTTTGGGCGGGTGGAAAAGTTGTGGCTGTGCAGTCGGCAGCTGGCAGTTGGCAGCTTCAGCCACTGGATCAGTTGGGTTTATTTAGACTAATCACCTTCCTTCCGCGAATGCCTCTAACCCTGGTCAAGAGGCAGGCAGAACTATCTTCCACTTGGCAGTCTGTTGCTTACAGAATGTTAGCAATCTATCCAACTGCCCATGAATTAAAACAGTACAGCGAGCGTACCGGATTCCTGGGACTGCTAACCAAGATCTCGTACTGTAAATTGTGCACATTCCATTACTCACCGGCCTCCTCGAGATCAGCCTCTCACACTTCCGCAAGATGCTTGTCAAACCTCTCCGCCACGACGATCACCCGTTTCAGATGCGTGAACGTCGTTTTCTTCTTCAGGTGATGGCGCATCGTTTCTCTCTGAAATCGGCATGGTACAAAGCCAACGTCTGGTTCTACTCACTCTTTTGTCCACGAAGGAACAGTTCGGGGACTACAGAGCCTCACTAGAGGAGTTGATCTCCAGATACTCATCGAGAAGCCTCGCTGCATTTCCCAAATGCTGCATTGGGGTTAATCCGCCATCTGGTCGAGCTTGCGCAGGCCTACGCAACGACAACACAACGCTTACAATCAACAGCTCCAGATAGGCGTTGAGTTCTATCGCATTTCTCTTAATATTATGGCGAGCTCCCTTTCCACAAAACTTTCCTCCCGAAAGATTAGTCAGGATTGGCGGTATTATTAGTTTAGCATACTTGAACTTACCTTTAAAACCGGAAACGCCCCAGTTACAGCACTGACTGCTATTTACAGGAAGGAAACAAGCCCGACTTAGTGCGGCGTAAATATAGCTAATTAGACTAGGTCACGCTTCAATGCTATAGAGTGTCGTAAATCATGCAAAAACACTGAACCTTGTGGCCAAAACAATCCCTCAGGTAGCAGCACGACTCCCGCGCGTGCGGGTTCTATCCGGTCTACACCCAATAGAGCAGAAATGCATGGAGCTGTTGAACGCCTATGCTCTGAACTCCTACGTTTCCACAAAGTGAGGGCTTAGATATTCATGACCTACTCACAAGAGCATCAGGTAAGTGGGCCACGTTTACTTTGTTACACCGAAATTAATTTTGGATCAGCTTGTCATTCTATCCAGACGGGCGCTCAACTAGATACCGCCCAGAGATTATTAGATCATTGCTTGTCGCAGGTCATGTCAACTTTCTCATTCGAGTTAAAAGATCTGTATAGCTATCTGCACTACATCCTACTTTGTACTCGCAGGGTGTCGGGTATCAGCGGTAAGGTGCCGACGAATGAGTTCGGTTGTACCCGAGCCTCCAAGCATTGGCAACAAAGGGCGATTCGGACATGGTGGTAGTAAAGGCACCTTTACTTCACTATCAACAATGTAAGGCTTCGGCGTCAATGCAATCCGAACCCTTGTTGGTACCGGCATCCTTGTTACCTGGGCATAGAGACAGTATGAGAAAGGACTTTTCAGCTCGACCTGGACTACTGCGGATTTGGTCAAGCATACAACGTACCAGGTTTTACGAATGGGCAACGGTGCAACATAAATTCATCTGGCTGTGCGTTTCTCTCAGTTTCACACCGCGGAATGACCATATGAGACATGCGATAAGCACCGAGGTTGTCCCAAGGTGAAAAGGAGACACGGTGATAGTCCCAGACCGCTGCAAATAGCGCCCGAATGAATAGCCTTGTAGTAATTCATATACAATAGGTGAATTTAATATAAATCTAAATTGCTAAAAGTGTGTAAGCGCATTACTCAGTCATCCCTTTTTGTCGAGGCGAAAAGACATAGGCAAGCTCTATACCTAGTTTGTTCCCATGCGTGTCGAGTAGCCCTTGATTTACAGCAGTTACCTTAGTACTCATCACCAAGGACTCATTTGGAACCAATCTAATCTAGGACTTATTATGCAAGTCCTACGGATTTAGGTTACAGTTTAGGTAACCCGCACTATAACAATCCCACTATCCAATCAGCACGATTGTCTGCAACGGTGCAATTGGACGCTATCGTTTTGCTCGTTTGTACTTGGCTTAGGCATTTCGGCCATTCGGTGTTCAGCTCATGACCGATGGCAAAGCCCCGCAAGCATGTCGAATAGATCGATTAGTCCGAACTGGTATACATAAAGAATGGCCACGCTAAGTCAATGATTGAGAAAGCAAATAATCATTGATGCTCGTTTCCTTTTCTGATCCGTGAACATCACCAACGATCATGGATATTTTGACCTCGAATCAGAAGAAGGCTGGAGAGCCCCAGATCGAACGATCTGTGACATTGAACTTCCAAGGAGACTGGGGCCAAGCCAACTTCCACAGGATCTGCGCATGGTTGACCCAAGAGTTCTGCGACCGGGCGGGGCCGGAATCTCAGGTCGCGATCTGGAGCATCCGGCACGGAGGTGTCGAGGCCGTCCCCAACGTGTTCCACGGCCGCATGCAGATGGCCATTGCGACGCCGGCACAGCTAATGACCACCGCTCTAACGGGCACCGGCATCTTCGCCCGGTATGGGCCCATGCCGTCCCTGCGAGCCTTGGCCGTGCTGCCCCAGAATGATCGCATGGTTCTCGCCATACACCCGAAGTACGGTATCGGGTCGTTTGAGGAACTTCGCGCCAAGAAGCCCTCGATCCGCATTGCCACGTCCTGCAACGACGGCACCAATTTCATCGGGCATGTTGCAAATGCCTACCTCAATTGCCATGGACTCAGTCAGGAAGAGCTCGCCTCTTGGGGCGCCACCTTCGTCACTGCTCATCGCCCCGAGCAGGCTGTCGCCAAGGTCATCAGTGGCGAAGCCGATGTACTGCTTGAAGAGGCCGTCATGACGTTCTTTTGGGAAAAGGTCATCGACGCAATGAACTTCGTTCCCTTGCCAGCAGAGCCGTCGTCCCTGGCCAAGTACGCGGTGGACAATCCTGGGGCCGCCAACCCAGACTCCCTTCCGCTACCTGCTGGGTTCTGGAAGTCGCTTGCAGAACCGCTTCCAGCGCTGGACTTTGCTGATTTTGTCGTGTTGGTCCGGGACGATTTACCGGACGATGTTGCGCATCTGCTGACTTGGTGCTTGGTCGAGACCAAGGACAATATTGAGTGCCTGTACGAAGATTTCCCACCGAACAGAAGCCCTCTCACTGTGCCTCTGATTCCTGCCAACATGGCAAAGACGCCGATTCCGCTGCACCCCGGTGCTCGTCGGTACTATACAGAAGCTGGATATCTTTGATCAGATTGCTGGATTGGAAGAGCAGTGGAATGAGAAGTGCGTCAGAAGCAAACTAACGTCAAGAAGGGAACAAATGTGCTACTAAATTTATAGCATTCAAAAGCTTATCTGAGGGTGCTTATCTCTCTGCAATAGATATGAGGCGCGTTAGGTATCTCATATAATCATCGTAGTACGTAATTAGACTACAAAGTTAAGTCAAGCGCCATGAACATAAGGACCAAAAAAGACGTGCCACTCGCCTTCGTGGCCCAGCCTGTACCCACGGCCATATTAATATATTTATAGATCAGATATAACTTACCCGTGCGATTTCGGTTTTCATGGCTGTAAGCCTGACACTTGCTATGCTTCCAGTCATAGTCTGCGTGATCACAGAGGGAACAGTTTTCCTCGATTAGGATGTACTCTGAGCCTGAAACCTGTCCCGAGACTTCTCCACTCAAGCAACACAGGAAAAAAGAGGAAATAATGCGGTGCCTTAGCTTAAAGTGGTAATAAATATCTCTTAGCGACCAAACATGCACAGAATCAGTCTCGAGTCATCATGAGATGAGGGCTTAGCAGTAGCAGCAATGTGAGGACGCGATATTGACAATCACGACAACAGCGTATAACCACGAGAATGATAAGAACCTCTACTACGGCTACCAAGTCCTGAAAGAAAAAAAGCCGGATATAATAACCACGAGTTGCTAAAACGCATGCTAGAATGGGTTATTATGTGCAGCCATACTGTTTCGGAGGCATAGCCAGGATGGGAAGTTGTGGGATCACCGGCCATATATGTGCGAGGATGAAATTACTCAATTACAGCTTAGCCTTAGATTCCGTCAGTATTTTCTGCTTACTGACCAGGTCCCAAGCCTTCTCGCCGGATGGCTTGAACGCATCCGCATACGCTTTCGCCTGCTCGCTGGTCGCCTGTCGCCGTGCCACGCGTGCGGCGATACCCTGCAGGATAGCAGCAGATCTAAAGACCCCGAATGCTATAGCCCAGTCTATCTCAGGCCGCGGGTCATAGCCAGCTGCCTCCGCGTACCACGCCAGGATTGTCTCCGGACGCGGCAGCCCAGGAGTGGTACCTGGCAAGAAGGAGGGATTCGAGGTGGGACCTAGCCCCGCCGTATGGTATGGGTATGTCAGGTTGACGACGTCGGAGAGCGGGTGGCCGATGGTGCTCATCTCCCAATCTAGGATGCCGATAACACGCGGTTCTGTCTTATGGAACACCATGTTGTCTATCTTGTAGTCGCCGTGGACGAGTGTGGCCCGGTCTCTTGGCTGCAGCTTCTTGTCTGAGAAGAAACGGACGAGCTCTTCGAAGTACGGTATCTGTCCTACCGGCTCGTTCGTGTCCGCCTTGCCTCAACACATATCAGCATATCTTTTGCGCATACGTAGCAGCGGTGCATGTACACACATCTACAGCCTTCGCCTGAGCCCCACATATTTGTTTCCACGTTGCTAGTTGCCGATCATAGAACCCATGACTTTTCCCTTCAACCAAGAGTAAGCAGGTTATCTGATACGCAAAACACGTGACATACCAAAACTCGCCAGCCCAACCTTTCTAAAGTCAACCCTGTGAAACCTGGCGAGGGTACGCACCGCATCCCTCCACAACTCCGTCCTCTCCTCCGGGGAGACGCCGGGCATGGCATGATCCTCAAAGATGCGGCCATCCAAAAACTCCATGACGTAAAATGGGGTACCAAGGACGGAGTCGTCCTCGCAGAGGCAATACGCCCTGGGCACGGGCACATCCGTGGACCCCAGGGCGGCGATGACGCGGTACTCGCGCTCGACCTGGTGGGCGGTCCTCGACAGCAGCCTCCCCGGCGGCTTCTTGCGCAGCACGTACCGCTGGCCCGTGGGGGCGGCCGACGTCAGCTGGTACGTCGGGTTCGACTGCCCGTACCCGAACTGCTTCACCTCCAGCGGCGTTCGGATCTCCGGGACATTCTGCCGGATGTACTCTTCCAAGGCTTGCACGTCGATAGGTTGCCGGACGGGCCCGGCCATGATGGTTGATTAAATTCTGGTAGGCTTACAATATAGTAATAGCAGTGCCGATGTGAAACCTTCTGTTGGGGCGGAGCACTTTCCCCTTGGTATTAGTTCGAACACCGTTATAGAGTCGTTGTGTTCGTTAGAAAATAAGACGCCCCAGCAAGCGAAGCCGAGGTTCCCTAACTGCTGACTTCAACATACTATCCCAATAGAGTTGTGGGGTAGTGCAAGGGACGCCCCAGAATGCGGGGAAGCGACCTGGTCTATAGAGATCCTTACGCTGCATACGTCGGTGAGTGGGCCCTTCTCCGCATTAGAGGACCAGGAGCGACTATATACGAGAGACTAGTCTAGGACAACGTCCGCCATGTCCCACTTGATACACAAACCAAATCAAAGCGAGATAGTCCCCAGAGATTTAGGAAAACCGTGAATAAAATAAGCGCTCCTCCAAAAAAAATGAATTTCGATCTCCCCACAGACTTACAAGCGTACATCTCCAAGCTCGACGTCTTCATCAACCAGACGATTCTGCCACTGCAGCACAGTGATGACAACGACCGATTCTTCGACCACCGGCGCGAGCCGTCGCGGACGCAGTGGGACAACGGCGGGCTGCCTACGCTAGAGTGGGAAGACCTGCTGAGACGAGCGCGGGAGCTTGCGGACGAGGCGGGCTTCTACCGTTTCCCGCTGCCCAGGCGGTACGGCGGGCAGGGCAACCCGTCGACGCACCTCTGGATGTGCGCGCTGCGGTACCACATGGCGTCGCACGGGACCTACGGCGGGGGGCTGGGCCTGGCCAACGACCTGCAGAGCGAGCACAGCGTCGTGGGCAACTTCCCGGACGTGCTCATGCTGCACCACTGGGGCAGCGAGGAGCAGCGGGCCCGGCTCATACCTGCGCGGCTGGCGGGGGAATTCCTGATGACGTTCGGGCTGTCCGAGGCGCACCACGGTAGCGACGCGACGCACATGGACACGCGGGCGGTCGCGTGCTCGCTGGCCGGCGGCACGCCGGGCTACAGCATCTCCGGGAACAAGAGGTGGCAGACGGGCGCGCACAGGGCGACGCACTTCCTGGTGTTCGCGCGGACGTCCGGGGCGGGCGGCTCGCGGCGCGGCATCACGGCCTTCATGGTGCCGCGCGGGACGCCGGGCCTGACCATCCAGTCGTACGAGTACACGCTCAACATGCCGACGGACCACGCGTCGATCGCGCTCGACGACGTGCGGGTCCCGGCGTCGGCGGTGCTGGGCCCGCCCGACGACGGCCTCGCCATCGCGCAGACCTTCACGCACGAGAACCGGATCCGGCAGGCGGCGAGCTCGTGCGGCGCCGCGCAGTTCTGCATCGAGCGGTCGGTGGGCTACGCGCGCGCGCGCGTCGTGTTTGGGCGGCCGCTGGCTTCCAACCAGGCTATTCAGTGGCCGTTGGTCGAGTTGGCGACACAGGCCGAGATGTTGCGGCTGCTCATCCTGCGGACGGCCAACGAGATGGACGAGATACAGCGGCGGTACGAAGGAGACGAGTCTACTACGCCGCCGTGGGTGGCGATCGAGGAGCTTCTAGGGCACAAGATCAGCATGTGCAATTATTATGCGAATCGCCTGGCTACGCAGGCAGCGGACAACGCAATCCAGGTGCATGGTGGCAACGGATACAGTCGCCATGAACCCTTTGAACATATCTGGCGCCATTTTCGAAGGTATCGCATTACTGAGGGTAGTGAAGAGGTGCAGATGCGTAAAGTTGCGGGTCATTTGTTCGGCTATAAGAAACCCATTAAAGGCGACCCGAAAAAAAGCTGTAAATTGTGAAGAGAAAAAAAGAGGATCAAATGTCGACATGCCGCGTCGATCACACCGGTACGTTATCTCTCCCTGTCAACCAATACGAAAGAATCATGAATCTGTCGAGTTGTTATAACCGTTTGATAGTTGACGTTGATGACTCTATGGCGCCCTTCTCGATAAGATGACAAACCCTATAATTTTATATCAACAAAGAGATCACAGAGGCGAGTTCGATGTTGGGATATCTCGCGAGAGATTTTGGTGATTGCACTCATATATACAGAACCTGAGCTGCCCAGCCATTAAAATCTGTGATGTTCCATCTATCCGGCCATAACTATCTAAGCAGGTCACAATGCCGCCGGAAACCTTCGTCCCGTTCTGTTCTGTTCTAATTACGTGTATATCCGTTGGTCACATGATCACATTCCATCCGTCTGTCCTCGTTCCTTCGTATTCTCTCGTCATGTCCGCATCAGTACCCACCCCTTCTCCCATTTGCACGTCTGCCATTGGAAAGATTCGGGACATTCAAGAAGGGAGTACCGTATGGATAGATGTTTACGGGGCGTTTCTTGGCCGGCAATGAATTTAACGCATCCCACATCTCCATAATCCCAGACCGCTGTGCAGGTAGCATACTGTACTGCAGCGAGTACAACACTTTGCGGTGTATCGGCGGGACAAATCGGCCGGTGATTAGGCAAAACAGTACGCGTGGCGACAAATAATGCTTCCGTATGCGACTTCCCATCTGAAAGTATTGGTGAAACATGGCTGTGAATGAGAGCGGGATCGGTTTCAGGTAGATGACAGAAGTGGGCGGATGAGATGGCGATGCGAGCGTATTAGAATCAAGTTTAAGTCTATCTTGGGTATCACGAAGTTCAAAACGAATGCCGCCTGTATGGGGTCAGTCTGCTGATCTTGCAAAGAAGAATATCGAAACTCACCAGGGAGGCGCCTAGGATCTTTGATCCGTAACATTAGGGCAAATAGCGGGAAATGGTTGAGACAGGAAAGCATCGTATCGAAAATCGCCTTCAGTGAGATGATGGCCATTCGAGCGACGGCGAAGTTCAGGTAGAAGACAACGACGGTCGGAAGCAAGAAGAAGAGTAATGTGAAGAAGATGGTGCCCACCAGAAGCTGATCGAGATCGTAGTCGCAGGAATCGACACGATTTCGAAGCACGTTGTACTTCTTTCCCCTGAAAAGCTGAAACAGCGAGAGCAGGATGGTGAGCTGCCAATGGTATATGCGAGCGGAAGCGAGATAAAAGGAGTATATATGGACTGTGAGGATCGAGACGAGATCGGAAAACATGGCGATGGGCATACTCGCGCCGGCAAAGCTTGAGAAGCCAATGAACCATATTATTCGCGGCAACAGGGGCTGAAGGGTCTCGATACAGCTCGACCAGTACTCAATAACCCACAGAAACAGGTCGCCAAGAAACAGCGCAAGCTCCTTGTTGAGTTTTAGTCCGGCCGGCCATCCCATAAGCCACTCAATGCTGCTGTGCAGCGCTTCCACGGTATACTGTCTAAGAAGCAGACCGATCTGGTCTGCCACCCACCCAGCATTGTCGATGATGTATGACCCAATGGCAATGCCGATAATAACGTCGTTGGCGACGAGCCATAGGCTGTTATAGAACCGGATGTAGTCGGGGTGACTGGTCGTGACGCTTTCCCAATCGTTCTTGCGCAGTCGCAACTTGACGTACTGCATAGGCCAATAACAGAATTGCTGCAGGCGGATCTCGATCTGCTGCGCCGTTGCGGAGATATCCTTGAGTGCAGGCGAGCTTGGTCTAAGTCGCCATTCGAGCAGTTGCAGCAGGATCTCCGCAGCGGCCCGGTGGCCAACCAGCATGAGTATGAATAAATGTCTGACAATGGGAAACAGATAAAGAATTATCATATCCCATATCCAGAGAATGACGAAGTCTCTCATTGTGGTTGCTTTCTCCACCACTCGTTCGGAAACGCTGAGAGCTCTCCTCGGTCTCGTGCCGATCAATGAAACGTTCTTCTGCAATAGCTGCTCCAGCTCGTAGGCCCAGTTGACTTGGTTGACTATCTTGGCAAGGGCCTTGTCCTTCTGGGACTGTGTATGCTTGATGACGGAATGCTGCTTTAACTTGTCCATGAGTTTCCGCTTCTTTTCCTTGTGTTGCCGCTCCTGCTTCTCGTCTTCTGCTTCTGACCCGTCAGATACTGATATCAAGGAGGCATCCTCTTTGTCAGTAAGGGCCAGGGCGATTGGGTTGAGAGATATGTACTGCATCCGATTGGGCAGGGGCCGCTCGAAGGATATGATCTGTACACTGGACGCCATCTGGCACTTGACGTTGGGCACCCTCATGGATGGTCGCGTCCTTGCAAGTACCCATGATGGCTCCAGCACAAAGGCGCCTTCGGGAGCTGCTTCTACGTTGGTAATACCGAGTACATGCATGGAATCGGGACCGCATAACTTTCCGATGCGGTTCGGATCGTGTGGGGCGCCTCGGAGAAGGATGGCAGCCTTGAGGGCATTCTCAACGTTTCGGGGCTATAGATGGGCATTTTAGCAACCGGATGAGAAGCGCCAGAGGCGGGACAACGGCAAAGTCCTTACATCGACATGTTCCAGTACTGCTACGACCACGACATCGAGGCCCGAGTTCCTCCACCCAACGATGACGCCGGGCAGCTCTGATTTTTCGATATCGGTCGGCCAAAACACTCTCATCAATCCATCATGCTCTGGCATGTCATACGAGCCTCAGAGGACTCCTGGTCAGAAGGAGCCTCTGCGCCTAAGTTGTTCACGGGCGGACACACCAGCGTCGAGAGTCCGAGGATGCTAAAAGAGCAATGGTCAGCAACGAGCATTCGTGTGAGAGAGCGCTTTTCTTGTTGGTGCTTCGGGCGAGGCAGTATTGAAGGCTGTAGGTGCTGTCGTACCACTTTAGCTTCGATTCGAGCGAGATGCTGTACGGGCAGGAGAACGACTAGGAAGACCAGAGTCAAGAAGCCGAATCCCTGAGCTGCGCGTATCTGTCGAGGTGGGCAAGGGTCAGTGTGGTTCTTGTCCTCGGTCTGGGCACGGCTGGGGACTGTGGCGACAACGTACGATAACTCCCTTGTCCCACGCAAAAAGTGAAAGCTCGTAGAGACGTGTAACGAGATCCCATCTAGCAGTACCGTAGCCAGCTACAAATATGGCAAGAGTGACGATCGAAAAGGGGTGCATAGATATATCTGTTATCGAAGCTGATGCATTCCCCGTGTCGTTTGCGATCGCAGCGAACAATCGCTCGGTTTTGTCGGGTTGCGATGGAGGGATGGGATGGGATGGGATGGAATGTGATGGGGATGGGATTGGATTGGTCTTTTTGCTGGTACGTAAAAGCGCAATGTCGCGAGGTGCCAAGACGCAACTGCCGGTAGCTCAACCCTGCAAAAGCAGCTTGGTAGGAGATACAGTGAGTGCCCTTGGGCGTGGACCTTGAGAACGTGGAAGAGAGTTGCTATTGTTGAGCGTCGTCGAAGGGGATTGCCGCAAAACAAAACCAAAACCAACTTTGGTCGTACAATGGCCAAGATTGGTTGGAGTAGTTGGCGATGCGTCCACTGGCTTGACTTGAGCTAAGTAGCTGTGGCTTTTTTTTTCCCCCCCCCCGAGCAGGCTTTGGAGATGTCGTAGCGCAGATAAGAAGGCGCGGCTGATCTCATAGATAGATAGGTATGTAGCATTACCTGCAACTGAACTGGCGGGAGTTCGTCTAAGTTAACCTGACGTTAGTGCCCCTTGCAGTTGCATTGCATTGCGCTGCGCTGCGTTGCGTGATTCGACCGATGCTGGTGCTGGTTGCTTGTGTGTTTGGCGCAATTTTGGTGTAAACGGAGGTTACGCGGCCAATCCCTACCGTGCCATATCTCAAATCAAATCAAATCTCGACGTCAGCCTCTCCTTTCGGCCTGCAGTTCCAGTTCAGTTCAGTTCAGTCCAGTATTCGCTGGTGGAGCGGTCATGTTCGTGGCTCCCCTCTCTTTCTCTCTCTAGTTGGAGTCTGGACCGCCGTCCAATTGAGCATGTGGGGGAATCCATAAAGCTAATAAGGATTCGCGTCATGTTTGAAATGCTTCCGGGCCACGACCGCGTCGACCTGTGGTCCTACCTACCAACAAGATTTGCCGGGAAAAGCAAGTTGCCGGGAAGGCTGACTAGGTGAGGTTGGCGGGTGAATATGAGTGAGGCTGAGATGGGGTAATCATTGTTTATATACAATTAGAATGAGGAGAAATGCGGCTCTCTGCTTCTCACTGGGGTTATACGGGGGAGCAGGAGCAGAGACATCTAAATACGAGATTCCTTAACGCCAACCCATGCCATATTTGTCCAGCGGCTTCAACCAGCTGTACACGCCTCATTTAAGTTACCTAACACGCCCAGCCTCTGCCATGTTCCGGAGACGGCCGAGTCCATGATGACGATGTCGAAACCCATGGGATATCAAACAATACCCGAGCTTTCAGCCAATGTTATGTATAGCCACTGCTTTCAAGTCATTTCCGCTTCAGATATATCGCATCGTTTTCTTTCGTGTCCTCCCGTGCATCGTTCATGAGCTTGTCTATGCCCTTTTCCTTGAGTGCAACCTACAGTTGAGTTGGTAAGCCGGTCCAAAGGTGAGGGTTACGACATATGCATACCCCGAGACATGATCTGTACTCCTTGAAGAGATTTTCACATTCGTTATTCTCCGTCTTGCCCTTCAGATACTCTGGGGCAGCATGTTAGGATGACGTGGGAAGAGTTTTTGCGGCAGTGCAAACTCACTCTCGCTATACCACTTAAGAAAGCATTGGTCGTACCGTCTACTCCATGTCAGCACAAGCGAGTACAGCTCACTGATGAGAGACGACTCACTCCTTGACCTCGTTGCATTCCGGTGCAAGCGAGGCTGACATTGCGATTATGTATGACCTTTCAGGTGAATATTGGTGCTGCGACTGGGTGATGAAGCCATCTCCGAGATCAAATTACGCCACAAGCCTGCGCACAGGACAAAGTACGGATCGGCAGGCGGCCACAACTTCAGGGAGTCCATGCAGCATCTTATCACTATCTTAGCGCTCGCGAGGGGTCCACTTCCCGCGGGAACCCCTGCCGGTGCAGCCAATCCGTCTGCAAGTCGGCGCGTTGAGCACCGACGATTTTCTGAAATTTTGTCCTGTCTCTGTCTGTGTACATGGAAGCAAGTTAAACGAAGCTCTGGCGAAGTAACCATACCCTTGACATTCACCATCCAGACCACAACCCGAGTCGCAACTCCGCGCGCTCGCCTACAGCACGACCATGGAGTCCTCGCAAGACTTCAAGTCCATCCAGGAGCAGGTCCAAGCCGCGCTGGTCAAGGCGACAAGAAGCAGCAATTCCATTGCGGCCGAGGATTTGAATTTCCAGCGCCGGAGCAACCCCGCCGCCGGCGAGGCACTCGACGAGGCCACCGAACGCCTGCTTTCTCTGTCCACCTCGCTGCTGAAATCCGCGACCAAGGGAACAAACAACACCCCCCCGACTCTCGAAGATGCCGACGACGTGGACGCCCAGTGGTCGCGCGTTGTCGATGTCATAGATGCTCTGCTGGAGAAGGCCGACACCTGTCTCGACGAATACACTGGCCTCGTCAAGAGGAAGGCTGCTCCCACCGACGAAGCTGTAAGACAGACTGCTCAGCGCCTCTGCCCCGCTCAGAGAGCGATACATGCTAACCTGTCATCAGGGCTCTCTTCCAAAGAAGACCAAGACCTTCACTGCCCTCGATTCCTCCATGCGCCGAGCCAACATCTTGAAGCCACAGAACGCCTTCGAGCTGAAACCCGACAACCTAGACACGACTACCTGGAAGCCTCTCCTCACCAAGAAACCCCACGCTGCACTACCATTGGAGAAGAGTCTCGTTACTTTCAGCAATGAGGAAGACAGTATCCAGTACGATTACACTATTTTCTTGCAGCACGCTTATAGATTCTCCCCACTTGCAACGCTTCATCCTAGTGCGCCCTCTCCAACTCAGGCGAATGTGCGCGGGAGGATTGCCAAGAAGCAAAGGCACCTGCCAAGGCGTGGGAAGAATGTGTCTTCAGTGTAGAGTGCTGACTCCAAGATTAGATACAAACATCCCTACGAGACTGAGATTCTCAATCTCAAGTATCCCGACGCCATCTACCAGGTCGCCGAGCCTATCAAGTACCAGCCGGTGGAATCTACCACTGCTACATTTGTCAATACATTTCAAGGTGTCCTCGACATGCTGGCCGAGCTCAAACAGGCCAAGGAGATTGCCATTGACACCGAACATCATGATTTTAGGACTTACACCGGACTGCTGTCACTCATGCAGATCAGCACAAGAGACAAGGACTGGATAGTGGACACACTTCAGCCATGGCGCCACAAGCTTGAAGTCCTCAATGAGGTCTTTGCCGACCCCAGTATCGTCAAGGTATTTGTTCATCACTCTCGGGCTCACGTTGAACCTGCCACTAACCAGCCTAGGTCTTGCATGGCGCCTATATGGACATCATCTGGCTGCAGCGCGACTGCGGCCTTTACATCGTTGGGCTGTTCGATACGTTCCATGCTGCAGATACACTAGGATACCCTGCCAGGAGTCTTGCTTATTTGTTGAAGCGTTTTGTGGACTTTGATGCTGATAAGAAATACCAGTTGGCTGACTGGAGAATACGGTATGTATACATCTTGGCATGTTGCTTCCGAAATATCAAACTAATTTATGCAGACCCATCCCCGAGGAGATGTTCTATTATGCTCGATCAGATACCCACTATCTGCTTTACATCTACGACATGATCCGAAATGAGTTGAACGAGAAGTCGAATCCCGAGAACCCGGAGGAAAACTACATGGACAACGTCCTAGATCGCTCCAAGGACACGTCCTTGCGACGCTACGAGAAACCGACTTATGACGCAGACGGTGGGCAAGGGCCCATGGGCTGGTTCAACATGATCATGAAGCAATCATCCGGGAACTTCTCGCGCGAGCAGTTTGCTGTCTTCAGAGCCGTCCATAAGTGGAGAGACGATCTGGCACGGGCAGAGGACGAAAGCCCAATGTTCATCTTAAGCAACTCTGCCATTTTCGACATAGCTAGGCGCCTACCACCAGATCCAAAAGCGTTGTTCAGTCTGGTAACTCATCCCTCTCACCCATTAAAGCAGCGAGTTTCGGAACTTTTCAAACTCGTGGAAAACGCCAAGAACGAAGGCGCCAATGGGCCCAGTCTCACCGAGTTCTTCAGCGAAAAGGCACGGGATGCTTCTGGTCAGGGTATTGGAGCTGTAGCGCAACAGGTGTTCCCTCACCTCAGAGGGAACGAGGTGATCCTTGATACCAAGGAACTAGTGTCTGAGCGCTCCCAGTTATGGGGGCAGGTTCCCATAAGTAGCCGGTGGGAGGTAAACGGTATGAGTGGTAGACCTCAGGCTATGGAGTTTGCACTACCTTGGGCCGCCTTTTTGGAAAATGTTTCAGTGACAGAGGCTCAACCCTCTGCAAAGGAAGATGCTGCCACTCAGGCGCCAAGCACGAAAGATGCCCAGATGAGCGATCTCAATCTCGAGGATGCCGAATTCACACTCAAGCAGGGTGTCAAGCGAAAAGCTGCGGAACCGGCCCTCCAAGAAGAATCATCCGCGGGCGAAGGTGAGGCAGCACCCACCGCAAAGACTCTATCGTCTGCCGCTTTAGATGGTGACGAGATCTCTATCGATGATACAGAGGAAGAGGAAGCCAAGGAGAGGGCACGCAGGAAGGCTGCGAAGAAGGCTCGCAAGGAAGCTAAGAGGAATAAGATACAGGCCAAACCTGTCGTGGCTGATGCTGAAGACCAGGGTGAAGAGGAGCCGTTCGATTACAGCAAGGCCGAGCCAGTACTCAACGCTAAGAGGGGCGCAGCTGGTGGCGCAAAGGGTCCGAAGGCCAAGATCTTTAATCCGTATGATAAGCTTTCTGTCGAAGGACCAAAGGCTGCCAGACGCATGCATGGCGAGAAGCCTGGAAAGAGCGCTACATTCAAGAGGTAGTAACTCGGAAGAACGGTAGGCGAGCATGCCTCATTCTGTGGCGGTCGACACCACTCGACAGAAAAGGGGTGCTGCTGTATCCAGCAGCTGTTGCATTGTCTGGCGTTCAGGTCGTTTGTAGAGATATCATTAGATACCAGGAATTGCATTGTCTTCCACGGAAAGAGAAGCGGTAGCCAACACCTCAAAAACAGCTGTCGATACTGCACTTTCTTTCACTGGCTTGGTTACTATATCGTAGATTTTTCCAGGCAGTAGAATATAGCAGGTCCCAATTTGACGACCTTTGTCCCTTTCGTAGGGGCGACAACGCTCGGCAGCTGTGCAAACTAGGTTGTGCTTCTAAACTCACAGCCTCACTTGCTTTCATGTGGCTATTGAAATCTTGAGGAATTGAGCTAATTTCCTCTAATAATTCTATGCCGCCCTCCCAAAATTATAGTCAATCGGCGTACATAACTTGGTGAGACGATTTCCGATCTGTTGACTCCAGTCGCAAGGGTGTTTGACAATTCTAGTCTCAAGCCATTGACTATATCAGTCCTTGGCAGCATACCTCCAAACGCCCGTTATTTATTCATAACCATGACACGGGCCAGGCTGCCAATGATCTACCCACAACTCAGGAGTCGGGGACTATGCAACCACACGTTTTCAATATGGCTGGCGCCCCGACAGATCGGCCTCGGAAGAAGCCCCGTGTCCCTTGTCTCGGGACTAACATTGCAGTGAACATAGTGTCCGGTTCCTGTTAGCTGTGAGCACGCTGGTCGGGCATGTTGTGAATATTGCCCCTTTGGGAGGAATGGTTTGCCATGAGATTTGCTGAACCAAGATTGGTCACCACCAAACCATATATCATGGTATCCGCTGTCCTACGACGTTGCAAATTCAAGCCAGTTTCGTCAGGAGTCGGGACCTGAGTGGGAATATATAAGCCGACTCGATCCCCGGAACGTTTGGGTTTCAAAAAGCAAAATCCAAGCGAGGATTATAATAATTTCAGCAGGGTGCTGAGAATATAATACCTGCCTAATTTGCAGCTGTGTTACTCAGTATGCTAGGGTGCGTGGTCTCGGGAAGTTAGACGCGGCTCAAAGCAGCCTCATTGCCGGTATGCTTGTACTCTTCAAAGTTTTTTATTGACCTTTCCACCTGATTTTGCATATATGCGTGGATGATGCCGGTTCCAAGTCTTACAATGATGAGGAATCGTATGATCATATCTGTGGGGTTCTATAAAGCATGCAGTGGTTTGCCAAAGAATACCAACGAGTTCTTCTATATGAAGTGGCGAGCTCAAAGACTATGAAAATGAAACTAGATTTGAATGATACAAACCACACTCGTTTTCATAGACTCAAATTACTTCACTGCCTAGTCCCCCTTCTGTCCGAATCTCGTGACGCTGGTGGACTCGCCGTCGGGTCTGCAGCCGCACTCGTTGGCTGTGGCGAACGCGGCGAACAGCCAAAGGGGAGACCAGGTTCGAGAGCTGCATGTTTGGTACATACGGGGGAGGTGGTGAGTCCTTTTAAGATTGGCGTTTGAAAGGCGTTCTCTCGAGCGGTGCAAACTTTCGGGTGTCCAGTAGAGTGGACTAAGCTATTCTTAGTACCTTCTACAGCTAGTTTCAAGCAGCTTTTTTATGTTATGATAAAACCCCAGTCTATAGCCTGGCAGCTTGGTTTCTATGGAGGTCCTGATCCAGAATCACCTTAGCATACGTCCCCACCGTAGCCAAGGACGTGTGTTATTCAAGCTAATCAGAAAGTAATGTTGTGAGCTTTTGGTAATTTATGCTGTCATTAGAAATGCACCGCAGCTAAGAGCATTTGGTTTTTGATGCCATATGATATGTTATTAGAGATAATCATTAATCAATGTAATTCAAGTCAGAGAGTCTCATCACATCTTCTCTCTTATTACTGCGCAGCACAAGTCCAATTTTCGTATTCCGCGGGCACAACCGGCAGTTCATCGATGCCATCCTGAATTACCATTGACATGCCACCTTGGAGATGGGACTGGATGTGACAGTGGATCATCCACACCCCAGGGTTGTCACTCGGTCTCCTCAACACCAGCCAGCTCTCCTCGTTCGCAGATGGTGTAGGATATGTATCCCTTGCGGGCGGGTTGACCAGGTTGAACGACTCCGGTATAGCTAGTACCGCTTCCGCCGTGCTCGACCAGTTGAAGTGGCCGGTTCCCTCACCGACGACATAAAAGTGCCGCCCGTGGATGTGGACCGGGTGAGGAGGCTGGCCCGGCCCGACCTGTATCACATAATCGACCCAAGACGTCTCCGATGGGACGGTAATAGTGTGATTATCCTGCAGTCCGGCGACGGGAGAGAAGAGCAGGGGCTGAACATCGTCGAGGTCCTCGGGGCGGTGAGTGACGTTGAAGGCCCAAAGGTTTATGCTGCCATCGATCGTCATTTGGACCTTGTACGTCGCGTCGACGTCTTGCGGAATCGGGCTGGCCGGATATGGAACCACGCCCGTGGTACCATCAAAGTAAGCCACATCAGCAGTTAGATTGACTCCACGCTCATTGATGAACGGTATGGAGGCCGTTGTGTCTTGGCCTTCCCCTTCGACTTGAAAGTCGATGATAGAGGTACCGAAAAGAATTTGTGGGGCGCTGACACCGCTGATGCGTAGGGTGTACTTCTTAGGTTTATCAAGCTGTGCCAGCACCGTATATCTCTGACCATTAGTCATTAACAGGGAATTTGCAGTGATGGGCTCGATATAGTTGCCATCGGCGGCGACGATGATTAGATCTAGCTCGTCGATCGACACTTGTACGGTGTGCAGACCAAATGCGGCGATAAGATCGAACATCACCCATTTCTCGGCATCACATTTCTTTTTCATGATATGAACGACGTCGGCCGGTGCATTTGTGGGAGTACACTCGTAGAAAAGGTCGTGAGGAATGACGTCCAGATTAGGCGCTTGAGAGCCTGGTGGCGCGATAGCAGCCAAAACTCGAGGTGGCAAACAGCTGAATAACAGTCAGTACTGGAAATAGGTCGATATGGAGCAGCAGGAAAAGTGAGACCTACGCTTTGTCCGTCAAGGTTGAACCGTTGACGAGCGACAGCAATCCAGCTTGAGCAGGTATGGTCAAAGGTGCCATCTGTTCCGGTGTGAGGCAATTGACGTTGCCCTTTCCATTTACAATTATGGAATCGAAGCATATATGCTCGATGCGCGATTCCTTGGAGATATCCCACTCAAGATCCGAGATAATGTGTCGCCAATCAGAGAGAAGCATTGGAATACGATGCTTCTCGGCCTCCTTGATGGCGTGAAGTGATGCGGGATCCTGGGTAATTAGACTATATGGAGTGACTGTTCCGGCTTTAGGATGAATCACGATGGGTCCGTAAAGCCCATCATTGATTTGACTGTCTGAGTGAGAGTGGTAAAAGAATGTCCCGTGTTGTGTAGCTCTCCACTTGTATAAGAAACCACAGCCTGGCTGGATATGGTTTTGAGTCAAACCTGGTACACCGTCTGACCATGGCGTATCTAACATCTCAATGCCTATTCGAAACATAAGCTCCAAATCAAAAAGGGCCATATAAGCTAGAGCCATACCATGATAGTGAAGAGTTGTGTTGTAAGGCGAGTCATTCTTCACCATAATCTCAACATTATCACCTTCTTCAATTTCCAAGAGCGGTCCAGGGAACTGGCCGTTCACTTTGAACATTTCACGTTCGTACCCATCGGGAGCCCCTTTCTCCCACGTCAAAACAATATCGAAACGTCGAGTATTGTTGAAATTCTTGTGAGAATAGGGGAAGGCGGATGTCAACGAAAACAAGAAAGGAGATGCCGAAATACAGGCTTTGACAACATTGAAGAGACCCATTGCTTGAAATCTACCTGAAGGAGCGCAACGATTGTATCAGAAGAGGTGGCCATCCCAACTTCACGAGTAGAGAGTGAGCCCCATTGCTGAGATATATGTAGTTCGCTTTTATGCGCCGCGGAGCCTAACAGGATCATGCAGGACTACGAGTCGAGCTTCAACAAATGAGCAGGATGGCTCACCTCCACTGTAAAAGTACCTCGAGCGGCCGCGCACCGTTGGGCAGGTATGGTACAACATAAAATGTCAAGTATACGGCTAGTGTTCATTGGCTTGCTATTCCAGACTTGAAATAAGATATGCAGCGTCCAGGAAGCTGGAAATGAGCACTAGCCATTTTGGTCATGATGGTCAGAGTGCAGGGAAACATAGCTGAAAAACATGACCACTCATGCTAGACTTTCAGTACAGCCTCATGTGCTGGCAGCCCAAATAGTGTGGACCCCAAGAACGTCGCTTCATAGAATCCGATCTGATCCTTCGCTAGCTCAAGATTGGCTTCAAAGGTACATACAGAGATGCATAAGAATAGTATCAGCCTCATGGCAAATCAGCACTACTGACATGCTCAGCAATGTGGGGTCCAATCATGCACGACACACAATTTTGTTTTGATGGAGGCTGTGTCAGCATCATCTTAGCTTGGGATCCTCGCTTCTCCAAAAGCTGTCAGCCATGGATGAAAGTGCTATTGCTATTGGGACCGTAGAAATCAACAAAAAGCGAGCGGCCGCTTTGGCGATTTTAAAATCTATTTATTCATTACGAAAGTTTATGCAAAGCGGCGGCCTACCAATCGCCTATTGGTGAATCAATTCTGGTCACGTCATAATAACAAATTCTTTCCCGAGTAGATATCGCGACACACGCGAGCCTGCAGTGGTCGGAAAGAAATACGAAAACTGCGACATAATAGTCTCGACTCTCTGCACGAATCCGATCCGAAGAGCAGACCACAGCTGCATGGGGATAGCTGTGCAACATATTGTACTGCTCAAGTTAAACTACCATGCTTTTGCTTCTCACTCCAGGTAGTGTACCAATACTTGGAGATTAACGGGTGGCTGCGTGAGGCGTTGCAATAAGCTTTCTATGAACACACAATTAGTGGGGGTTGTGACACGGCATGATATAAATTCCTTGTCGAAATGCAGCCTCTTTTGTGATTTCAAGGCAGGGCCACCCAGGTATTTCTGGCAACACAAACAACGCCATCGTATTATTTCGACAGCTCTGTATAGTTAGCGGGTCTTTAGGCGGAGCCGAATATACCTACTCTCTCAGACTTTCGCTTCCTGCTACCAGACTATGGAGCGTGCAAGCGTCGCGCCGATCAGCACCCAACGATCCCTTTCTATGGTTGCGATTAAGTAAAAAAAAAATTTAAAAATAAAAAAAAACCTGTGCATTGCCAGTGACGGCGCCACCTTCGAAATGTACCTAGTTTTCTGATACCCCAATAAAATACGCACCCGCCGCTTAGAGATTATAGGAGTTCAAGTAGCAAGGTATAGTGGGACCGGAGACTCTCTTATTTCAATGAATTCGTCCAATCCACGTCGCTTCATCTTTTTAACACCATCAGATTGTAGCACGTAGACTCCAAATGCTCACTAGGTAAAATCAAGTAGCACTGGATACCAAGTCTATACTGCATTTAGTATAAAACAATTCAGTGAGGAAAGTTACCAATAAAGCCGCTGTGAAAGTTCGATATCCGGAGCAAACCATTAAGTAGCTACAAAACCTGCTTACTCATATATCCGAAGCTGTGCCACCAATTGTGACTACAATACTCGATGTAAAGCAGGGTATAATTTGCCAAGCACCAGCCAGCTTAGATGTAGCAAGTAGCATCTTCATAATCCCAATGCCTAATGATACGAACAAATGCCCTGGGAAAGATCATGTCGAATTCTCATAGGGCAGTCCTACAGACATGTAGCGGTCAGAATATGCAGATGGTCAAAACCGCGCCACCCAAGCAGTAGGTCCTTTTGCAACAGGCACATAGTTGGATTGGAGTCTGAAACTTTTTCGACAAGGAGCCCATGTCGAGGGTGAATATTTGGCGAGTTTCTCGCATTTATACCAATGATCATGCGACACACCGGTCCAACATTCTCGACATGACATGTTTAAACACCCCTCTGAGCGACAGGCTCTCGGGGTGGGTCGGCTTACGATCCATAGGTACGGAAAATTTGTATTTAATACTACAGCTTCAGCAAGAAAATCTATAAATCGATAGACAGATTCGTCTATGATTTACCCAGGGTAGCATCATCCAGCCAACGTTGGGCAAGCCACGTCCGCCAGTGACATCTGCACGCGCTTAGGATCTGTCTATGTTGACTATCTGTATTGCGCCTTGCATGCATGTGGCACCTGCTACTATAGTGTAGTGCCACGCGAAGAGCTAGGTCGATATATTATCTGAGCCGATACTAAGTAACGAAACATTGGGAATCTTCTTTATGCCACACAAATGAATGATCTAGCCACGACTAAACTCAGAACCAAACTAATGGAGATCATATAGTGTTGATAGCAATAGTGCTGGACAAAGTTCTCGAGGTTGCCGACGAGCAAGAATTGGTCATCCACATGTCTAGTATTGACAAGCGTGATGGTCAATATCTTTGTCTCAGCCACGGGTTTCAGCCATTGCAGCGGCATCTCCTGCGGTGTTGATTGAGCGGGAGACAAACAATAGTTCATAGATTCTCCTGGCAGTTGAACGTGATCTAGTCCCAATGGTAGTGCCGGGCGCAGAAGCTCTAGCGTATGTTACATCGCAATGTCACAAATTGGACTATTGCTTTTTGCACAAAATCGGTTGCTCGCTGTCACTCCCGTCCACTGGGCTCTCTAGAAAGTGAATCAACGCGTTCAGTGTACATACGGTACTCTAAGGCCTGAAGATAATTCTCAAAACTCTCTACAAAGCTCTCGTGAGTTAAAAAAAAAAATTTTTGTTTCACGAGCTGTGGAAAACCTGCGGGGGAGTGTTTAAAGAAGGCCGTCTTGCGAGCAGAACCTCCGCAGACTGGGGCGCTTTTCCAATAATGCCCACAGATCGGTCGTCCCCTATCACACTATTGCGTATCATGCTTGGGCCGTTGTATGCACATTAGTGAGTAAATCATACATTAATTTCCTTTTTCTCAGCTGACTTGTCTCACATCCTCGAGATAACGTGGCGACCCCAACCGTACTCTCGATTGCCTACAATCTTTCCCTCGAAGCAGCTCACATATCGGAATCGGGGAGCGCTGTTTTTCCCCGTATAGAATTGTATAGCCCATATCTAGCAGACTGTCATTGCGCAGCTGATAAACCAGGACGATGAGTCTCAGACATCGATTACTGAGGAATCCTCCAAAAGCCATGTCTCAATCCCAGAATTGGTGCACCATGCCCAGTTTGGAGGCATCGCGCGATTGTTGCATTAGCACATTGAGATCTAACCCCGCCAAGTGAATTTGCGGAGCTGCCATTCTAGGTACTCTTTTCCCATCACTTAACCACGACTTGACTACCAAACTGTACGTTGTGCTTTTCTTGCAGTTTTGACTTGGACACTATTCCTCTTGATTCCTTCGATTGTCTTTTCAAGGTAAAGAAACAGTATATATTATGACATTATAAGCCCCAAGTATAGATTTCGGGACCATGGGGCCGAAGGTTCAAGTATCAATTGTAGTTAGCCGAATGCAAAACCCTGACAACTGAATTGATCACAGCTTAGAAGCTCAACCCATTGTCTCAGCGGAACGTTTCGCAAGGCCTTCTCCAAAGCTGAATCGCCACATTGCGCCAGCTGCTGACATGCTAAAACCCATATTTGAAAATAGGTTTCAAAACAGAAGCTATTTGTGCATCAGCAATTGCAGTCACGGCAGCATAAAATGAAGTATATCAATTCAAAACTCTATCTTGAGATGCGTGATGTGTATACAACATTCCCCGGTAAAAGTAAAATAATCGGAGTGCTATACACAAATCCTGCACTATGATACGTCTTTCTATCCTCTAATTCTTGCTATTTCTCGCGCTGTTGTTCTAGATCCGACGCTCCTCTATTAAATCTGCTGCTGCGCATATCTTTTTCGTAATATCCGAGATCTACTCACGGTTAGTCTATCCCGACGACGTCTTGTGCGTTGAGGTGTTATACTTACATGTTGCTCATGGAAGACCGTAAAGTGGTGCCCTTCGATGTCCACAACCTTCCGAATAAAGTCTCCATACTCCTCGCTGTATGGACCCCAACCGAGCAGGCGATCGTGTCTCGTATGATCCACGAACTTTTGGTTCTCCCCATCAACCATTTCCTTGGCACGCAATAGGATCGTAGGAGGCGCCAAGGCCGTATCCCACTTTGGCTTCTCCCAGCGTACAATCATGGCCCGCGCGTGCGTCATGTTGACATCGACTTTGTCCTTGAGAGCCATGGCCTTGATCTTCTCAGGACTCGTAGCAAGGCGCTCCTTGGGCCACGTTTGGGCCAGCTCTGGGGCATCCAAAATCTCCGACAGCTTCTTCGGATAGACGCTGTCTATCATCACGATGCCCAGCACCTTGAACTTGGGCGTTATACTGGCATCTGTTGCAATCTGGTGCGCCATCTCCAGCGATAATATGCCGCCCAATGACCATCCTGCTTCCCACGTAAGCCGACGGCCCAGTCAAGTCAGTCACATAAGAACGTAAGGGTAACAAACCGCCTAGGATTATATCTCCTCCCCTAGGTAGCGCCTTGGAAATGAGTCCGATGTAATGCCTAGCCATTTCCACGATGCCACCATCCCACCAGCCGCCCTCGTGCAGATGTACATTCTCAACACCGTAGAGGGGGCGATTCGTAAAATCCAGACAGTGATAACTGAACGTGGTACCGCCGCCATCGTGCATAAGGATCAGGGGTGTGAGTTCATCTCCTCCATCATAGATCAATGCCGGATTGGTCAAATAGTCATCCATGGTGGTCGGTTCTATGTATGTTCCTGGTTCGATGTGATAAGGCGAGATCTGCCCCGCGATAATAATTATGGCGTGCTATTTCAAGATTGGCTGAGATATGTATGCGGTTTATGAGTCTAGAATCAGATATATTTTCAAACTGTTTGCGATAAGAAACATCCTAGTACGAGTCAACGAGCGACACTGCTTGTCATGAGTTCTGAGTGCAATGATGTGTCTCAGACTTACTGTGCAGTTCTGACTGACCTTTGGGGCTCTGGCACATGCTAGTTAAAGGTGGGTTGGTGGGATGTCGCCAGTGGCGATATCGCTCCTGCTACACCAGCTGCCCACAGCTGCTGGAAGTGCATATGTCTCTTACCTGTACCAATGTTTCTTACCTTCGTGCAGGCGAATGTGATACGCGAGCACATTAGGGCAATATGCATTTCGTTGACTTCGCAAGTCTTGAAAATCAAATATGATGCTTAGACGATGCATAATTTTGAAAGACGCTGAAAATGACGATTGAACAAAGCCCAAGGATACGTTACACAATTAGTCAAAGCAAACATCATTCAGTTTGCGTAGGCTAGTTATTAAGGCGAAGCCTCCATTACCCACCTTCCAGCTCTTGGATATCCTCCTGTCAACCTTGTTCGTGCAAAACCTTCCTTGATCGATGCAAATAAGGGCAGCTCGCAGTCTCGCAAACCATAAGAATTAACGATGGACTGGCCTGTCTCAGATAGGAGGTAGTCTATGAAATCATTCGGTCTGCTCGTTTGATCACCGGCCGTGTTCGGTGAACACAAACCGTAGCAGCTGTTCATCAGTTCATCGTCCCCGTTTGAAGGCTCGAAGAACACGGTGGTCTGCGATATGGCCTGCAGTCCTGTCTGGCGGAGTAAAGTTGACCTGTCCGTGACAAGGTACGCGCCCACAGCATCAGCTTTTCGGACCGCTTCGGCCGGAGGAACAGCTGACTGCTTGAACCAATCTGCGTCGCTCGCATCGCTCCAAGGAGTCAACCCATTCTGATTCCACAACTTGGCCTCTTTGTACATTGTGGCCGAACCGTCCTGTCGACTGTGAAAGAGACTCCGCGTTCTAGCGATCCGCCCCAAAGCTTCCGCCGGTGAACCGGCGCCCCTGATACTGGCTGGGTCAGACCGAGGACCGGCAATAACAAAATGGTCATGAAAGAGACATCCCTTTGTAACTGACCACCCCTCGGATTCTGCTAATGCCTCCTGGTCGCGCTCGTATGTCAAAGCGATATCTATGTGTCCCTGCAGCAAAGCAAGCTGTGTGTTCCGCGAGTGGTTCGCAACCCATGAAATTGAGGCCGGGACACGTAGAGTTGCCAGGTAGCCGTAAGCCAGAGCCTCTAGCAATCCGGTTGCGCCTGGGTTTGCTTGTCAGTCGTACAACGACGTACGGGACTGGCTGATCTGCCGACTGAAGCCGTCACTCACCAGCGCCACCGTTTCTGGAGGAAGTCTTGGTAAGCTCATATCTTGTGATTGGCCTTCAAAGCTCAAGCTGGAGATCGGCACTTTACCCAAGTCGTAGAATGACTTCTCCTTCGCCGTATACCGCGCTTGCATATGGGTTCACCTTGCCGTGGCCCGATATCCTTGTTTGGACAGGCGGCATCGTTGAATGCGTGTATTGCTCTGAAAACTAGATATATTTAGTCTGCGCTGCACCGTCGTAGTGACGAGGATCATTCTCTTACATGTGATAGCTCGCGTATACTTTCGTTTCCCAAACCATCAGAAGCAGAAGGGGATGAGTCCCGCCTTGAATGCGGGGCCACACCAATCCCATGTAGTATGGACTGCCTTACGCAGTACCTGCGTACGAGGTACTTAAAACCTATCAGTCTACTCATTATGACACTGCAAGTATACAACAAGCGCCAACACGGCCAGTATATTCTCTTTGTACGAGTTAGCCTGAGCTCATGGAATATTCGCAGGTAATATTTCATCACCATATGCCTTCCACTCTTTAACTTGTGACCTTTCCCCCAAGTAGTTACAAATACCAATGTAGGTAATCCCACGTATCAAATCATGTTGACGTGTGATAGTAGTATTTGTCTTTTTTTTTTTTTCTCTCCTTTCTTTATACGTTTGGTACGTCATCAGTCGCAACTGCCATGCCTTAAGCCTTAATAATCACCAGTCTCTCAGTCGCATCTCTGACTACGTCGACTAAGAATAAGATATACCGTATATATTACTCCACCACAACATAATATGCTGATTAGTGCATCCTCCAAGTGCCAAACAAACATGTAGTCTTTTCGTTACTATTCCAGCTTTCCAATACTGTAATACTGTTAGGTTCAACAATAGCGATTGCCATACACGTCATTTAGTCGTCATGTGAGATAGTTCACTTCATAGTGTGCAGGAAGTTCACACGTACAACGTACGGAAAGTGCCGAGGCATACCTATCGGTCATTACACGATGTTTCTGTGTGGTTGGATGTCTACTGATCCATCCCAGTGTTATATCCCCATAGAGACCATGTAGCTTCTACGCAATCTTGTTGTAGTGTTGTTACTCGATTATGGAACAAATATCTAATTGAGGGCCATCTCGGTGGCTACTCAGTCAGTGTCTGTACTGCAATTACACAATAGGTGATAGCACAGGCATTCTTATATAGAGATTTTACTTTCTTTCATTAAACACTACAGCTACTTGATTGAGAGATTCTTTTTGACTCCAAGCACCGTGTGAGGGGATATCATGCAATCGTACAAATCATCATCCGCCGAAACATTTATCGGCAAGTGTATCCACCATCGATAACAAGGTCCGCACCGGTGGTATACGTGCTGGCATCGGAAACCAGGTAGACGTAGGCACCCTTGAGCTCCTTGGCCTGGCCGTTCCGGTGCATGGGGATCATGGAGTTCCACAGGTCCTGGGTCTCCTGGTCGATGAAGTCCGACAGACCGGTGTCGATGTAGCCGGGGGAGATGGAGTTGACGCGGGCAAAGTCTCGCCACTCGTTAGCCAGAGACTTGGCCATGTGGATGCAGCCGGCCTTGGCCACGTTGTACGAGGTCTGCTCCTGCGGGAAGTTGGCGACGTGGCCGGACATGGAGGCGGTGATGACGAATGATCCAGTGCCGCGCTCCTTGAAGTGGGAACCTACTGCCTTGGCGCAGTACTGTAAAAGTTTGCTCAGTCAGCGACGTGCGTTTGAAAAAAGTTAGAAACAAGGAATGAGGGAGTTAGCTTACAGCAGTACCGTTCAGGTCAGTCTGGATGACCTTGTCCCAGCTCTCCTTGGGGCTGTCGAGGACACCGCCATCAGCGGTGGCGCCGGCGTTTGCAATGAAGCCGTCGATCTGGCCAAAGTCCTTGAGGACGTCCTTGACGAGCTGCTCGCACTGCTCGTACTCGCCGACGTTGCACTTATAAGCCTTGGCCTTGATACCGTACTCCTTGGTAAGCTCCTCGACGTTCTTGTCGGCGCCCTCTTTGCGCGAGCTGTAGGTGATGGCGACGTTGGCGCCCATCTCGGCGCATCCACGGGCGGCCTCAATGCCCATGCCTCGTGGGCCGGAAGCGCCGGTCACCACGACGACCTTGCCCTTCAGACTGAAGAGGTCGATAAGCTTATCTGCGGAGGGAACACGTTGAGGCATGTTGGCGTCTGTTTGATTGGGAATATGTGCAAAAGGCTTGAGATGGAGTTGTGGAAAATGGGGTATCGTGAAGTGCTTGTTGGGAAGGGGATGAATAGTAAATGCAAAAATCTATTGAAGAAATCTGGAAGACAGTCACTTTAAGAATACGCAGTTATTGCAAGAATACCGGAGCCAACGTCAAATCATCACACGACCTACATCTCCGGGGCTACCGTATCCAGTATGTGCAGTGGGTATAATTCAGTGAAAGTGATGTCATCGAATGCACGACCATGACTGAGGGACCCGTATAAACACCTGGAAACGCGGGGGCATAGCTGGGACCTCTTCTAAATGACATAGGAAGCAGCCGACAGTGTGGCCGAAGAGAATCTCATCGAGTACGATCGAGGACCTTGATAGCCACTGCCCACTGCCACCTGTAGCTGTGGGCAGCAAACCTATCTCATGCATTTCAATGGCACTCACGAGCGGTACATTTTGACCTTTTCAGATACGTAGATGGCCGTTAAGGTTGCGCGACAACCGAGATCATCAGACTATGCATTATCGCTATAGACGTGTACTCCAGTATGAGGTATATAGCCGACTCTATGGTCAGATCTGACTTGCTGAGATAGGGTGCTTACACATCTAACTCGATTAAATCAATCATTAAACACATGCCATTTCTTTAAGGCTGAGACTCGGTTGTCGCAAGCTTCAGATGTTCGGCGTAGCGCAGGTTCAAACTCTGTTGATGACGTCTAAGCTATCCACCGCGGTCCACGTGTCTAGCGCCCGAGGCCCGCTGCAGGCCAGTCTTAGCCGGCGGGAGAGAGGTCGTCGTCGACTAGAACCAGCTCGGAGTCTCTACCATGCGGAATTACTGCCGCAAACCACCACAGACGGGCCGGTTTTGCTCTATAACGGGCCCTCATGGGATGTGCTCGCAAAGGTGACGTGCATCCGTAACGGAATATCGGCAAGCAATCTCTCCAACGTCAAGATGCGGCCCCAAACACCTAAATACAGACTTCAGCAGACTCCAAGCGTGAGCCCCTTGGCATGTTTCGCTGAATATACACCAAGCGTGATCCACAACAAATATCCGCCCTCCCTGTGGTCACTGACGTAGATAGCCCTACTTACACTCTTTGTGGGTCCTGGCAACGCGTTTGCTGGGATAGCAGAAGACAGTTTGTTGAGTATCTTGAGTATTAACTTGGTCGAGACAATGTTTGCAGGTTGCGGCCACAGGGGCGATATGGCAACTTTCCCATGGCCGACTGTATTCGTCATCCAAGAGCGAGTATCTACAGACTTATAGACGAAGCATCACATCGAGATGTCACATTGGGCTTGGAAGTGGTGATATATGAGAACAGAAGTCTAAATGTGGTATGCAAATTCTGCTAGGTATAATCAACTGGTTGGTATATGTATAAAACTCGTACACTCTAATCATTCTTTGTTTCCGATCCTGGTGTTGGTCAACTCCGATTCCATCTAGATGGGCATGCCGTTTATTATTAGGCCCAGCACTGGTCTCCACGTTTCTGCCTTTGAATTGATCACAGCCAAGTCTGCATCAGATTTTCCAAATACCAAGGACTTGTGATGATGCGACTCAAGCACCAATGCTGCTTGGGCTTATGGAAACTGTATAGCTGGTAGGAAAATATGGTGAAAGCTGAGTGACCATAACAACAGTTGCTCTCTGTCATGACGCATAAGTAATTGCAGTCTTTTAGAAATTCTCTTTGCCCCAAACGAAGGAGAACCTAGTTATTGTCAGTCATTTCTCCCAGACTCGTTGCTCGGAAATTTCATGTGAACTTCGACTTACCCAGGCTCACTATACTTGTTACAGAAAACATGTAGCGCACTACCCAGACCCTTCGGACCGCAGAAGAACACACCAGCTTCAGCAGGTGCATGAAGCTTCCTGATACCACGAAAGATCATATCCCAATTGGGACGGCCAAAGTTGGTTGGACTCCTGAGACCTGTAATGGTATCCTTGTCGGCATTGGCATCGTTGATCATGATGTTGGTGGCATCGTCAGCCTTGATCTTGGCAGTTAGGTATGTGTGGATCTCGATGCGGCCATCGACGTCCTGGGCCTCAATGGCAAGCAGGAGCGATCGGAACCACTCGAATGAACCAAAATCTCTGCAAATCCAGAAGAAGTAGACCTTGGCGAGACGGGTCTTTTTCTGTGGGTAATTCATACGGTACCAGATAGACTTCAGGATTGAAGCAAATGGTGTAACGCCGATACCAGCACCGCAAAGAACCGAAACTTCGTACTTGAAAACATCCTCGGAAGCGGAACCGAAAGGACCGTCGACATAAACACGAGGCAGAATTCGCTTCAGTGCGGGATCGACATCGCTATTCTGACCATCTACACCAACAACCTTGGACTTATCTCCCTTTCCGCGGTCGAACTCGCAACCCAGAGCTGTAGCGACCTGCCTTGTGAAGTCACCTACTACACGCATGTGGATCGAGATGTAGTCCTCTTCCGGTGCGCTCGTCAAGGTGAAAGGATGATATTGCCACAGAGACACCTCGGGACAGCAAAAGAAAATATACTGTCCGGCTCTCGTTTTGGTGTGTTCCTTCTTGATCTGGATTTCACATACGTTGCTAGGGTGCTGAATGACCTTGGAAACGTAAGTTTTGTGTCTGCCACGAACTTCACGTGCGATACGCTCCGCCAGATAGATGAAACCTCCGTACATCCAGTATTGCCAGAAGACACCAATGGCGGTGGTACCAACCGAAATGCAGAATGGCGCAGTGTCGGGCTGAATCATGCAGAAAGCTCCGTGGATTGACCAGAACAGGAAGAACACGATAAACATGTGGTGAGTGTACCAGAATCGCTCATAGTTGGCACGTCTGGGCGCCTCATAAGATGTGACGACCATTCCCGTCAAAGCGATCAACATGATGTAGCCCGTCCAACCAGGTCCAGAGGTGAAGTTTGCAAGAAGCCATCCATAAATTCCCAAGTTGTTCTTGGCAGCGATTTGGGCGAAGTTGTTCCAGTGAGCAATAGTATGAACCCATGAGAAAAAGAAGATTGACCACGCTGTCGTGATGTGGAAAGTGATGTTCTTGTCGAACTGAATAATGCCGTTCAGTGGCGTCTGTCGGGCAATCGAGATGAATGTTCTGCAAACTGGAAGCAGGACAAGAGCGACATCAATGTGGATCACTAGGGCTGCGGATCTGGCGATCATGTATGTTGGCCCGAAAGTGTTGCGGGCATTTTGTAAGTTGTCCTTCACGGCATAGTTGACGAAACCGAAGGCAAATACCATCGCATGAAGGGCCATAAAGACAAAGACGAAACTAGTGCTTCAATTAGCAGGATGTAAGCTTGGTGTATATTCATGCTGTCCACGTACAATCTTCGGTAGCCTTCATTGACCATCCATCGATCGAAACGTTCCGCCATGGTCAGTTCCTTTTGTCTTTCCTGTGTCATTTCACCTGACAAAAGAATTCGGTGGAGGGGCGTCCATCTCGATCGTTCAGTCTGCTTCTCCCCGTAGTCCGTCATTCCGTAGCCCGACATATTGGCTGATGTCAATATGTGGAATTATGTACGACCAGTAGATTGGTTGAGGCTCAAAAGACTGCGGTCCAAGTACCCCTTCAGAGTCGTCCTGTGCTTTCGTACTCCCGTCAGCGGCCACGTGAGGCGGCACTCCTTCAATTATGTCCTCAATTATGGTCGTGAATGTCGTAGCGTCTTCAATATTTTCAGAGCCTGCTGAATTGCGTGTCCATCTATACACCAGTTGTCGAGAAATAATGTTTACTTAAAAAATTATGCGAAAGAATGTAAGATTACTGAAGCCTGCAATCACAACGAAGCGAAGAAGCCGCGCCTGTCAGCTATTGAGAAATACCACTGATCTGGAGTCGCGAGGAAAAAGACGAAAGTTGATGACAGAAGGGAAGGAAGCAGGTGTCTCATGCACAGGGCCAGAAAGAAAGGGCAGGGAATAGTTGTTATGGGGATTGCCAAGCGTTGGGAAACCGAGGATCATTCGATGTAGATCATACCTGTGACTATGCCTGCACCTGGCGGCTGCTTCGATGGCGCGTCCTATATTAAGGTGCCAATGAAGTTTGGTATCTGGAAATACCAAGACACTGAAATGAAAAGGAAGAAGCAGGAGAAGGTTAAGGAAACAATACTGCGGGAGGACGGGGGTAGAAATCCGGGATGTTTCTGAGCTTATCCTGCTTGGTGCGAATCTGTGACATGCGACGATAGGATGATCATGGGAAGGCTTGCGCGGCTCTGGGACTTTCGCAGAGGTTACCATATGGCAAGGATGATGACAGAGTAGGGGTCCTGGTCCGGGGCGATGTGTAAAGACAGGGGATGTACCATTTGAGAGGACTCTACGGGCCCGTAGTCTGCACATTTGCCAGAGCAACTCGCCAATTACCCCCGGCGTTGGCACGAAGATGGACCAGTGAATAGGAGTGACAATACATCCGTCAGATCTCGAAACGAATTGGTCTCGATCAAGTCTAGAGACGGTTACAGTGTGGTTCAGAATAGGAAGGGCATGGGCGTCCATCCGGGATCCTGTGGAGCCAGAAGACTGTTCCTGACAGAAGTGCCGGGATATGCCTGTAAATTGGCCGAGCTTGATTCCAACCCTAACATTGTTCTGACCTCAGTTGTTGATCAGAATACCGACCTTGGCCTCAGATAGCCCTTCGCAAAATGCGAATTACCAATTTTGGAAGATGGGCTCAAGTTTTGTCGCATCACTGGATGAGACTGCATATGGGCTTTCTCGTCGTGTGGTAGACAGGAAGAACCGTAACCGTATACCTAGTGTCAGGTTGCACAGATATCAGCGAGCCTCAGGTTCGCAACAGAAGCGTACGAGAAGAGTGGGTTGTGGTGCCACTCTCTTCAAGGCCCAGGGGCGGCTATCAATGTGACAAGTCCCGACAAGCTCTCAGGGGATCTGTGTGAGAGCCCCCCACCTTCGGCTCATCAAGGAGATAGATAGCTGGAGTTGTTGAAGAGAAAGCGAGAAACTTCAAGTATGCTAAAAGGTGGATGGGCGAAGGCTGGTGTCCATGCGGCAATCCCATGTCTGCTATGCTGGAGCGTTGAGGCTTATGGCGGGGTCTGATTGGCTTCTTGCTTACCAATGCCTGGATAGCGTGTCGCAAAGCGTTTCGCCAGGGGCCGCTGTGACACTTGCAAAAGACTTGGCGTCTTGAGCCGTTGCAGATTTTAAGCCTTGTTGCTTGGCATGATTTCTGTAAGGTACGTACAGTAACAAAAACTTTGCCAGACGAAAAACTTGAGTTCGTCTAGTCTAGTGCCCTCATCTTCATAAATGGTCATGATGTGCAACCTTGAGGCATACTATCCAACATGTAAGTATGAGTGAATGGGGAAACTTCGCAGAAGGCGGTCTCTCTCAGTCCCAATCTCGTTGTCTACTCGAAATTCCAAGCGGCATTCCACTACTTGCTCATCTTTTGGATACCTGCGCATTATGCATGAAATCTTTGGGGACCAAGAATGCCAGACTAGTTGATACGCATGCATGTACATGCTAGTTTGGTTTAGTCCAAAAGGTGACATTCAGATCTGGCCTCACAGGCACATCTCCCGTCGAGCAGCGCGTGGCGCCATTCATTGCAGGTCACAGAGTGTTAAGCATTTGTGCATCCTTGAGGTCGATCAGTGTAATTATAGCAACGAATATCCTCGTACGTCCATCACGTGTGCTGGCTCCTTAGAAAATTTCGCGAAAGCCTTTTTCTTAGTCATTTCTTTTGCGAATTTGACTAGCCGGAGCAGATAAACTCCAGGAGGGCCCTGGAATATAGATGCATATGCGGGTTAGTCAATACGCAGCAACAGCGAGATGTTTTAAGAATAATCTCCAAGATTGAATAAAAGCTACCCTTTGGATGCTGGGCTATGATGAGGTCAGAGGTATACCGTTCCATGCGAGGTATACTGTTCCATGTCAATTGTGGTTTCCCTGTTAATAACTTATGCCATCTGCGCAAAGAATTCAGAGCCTCAATTATGGAAGACACCTGAATGTTACGCAACTCAAACTTTTCATGATAACAAGGAGCTCGCTCCACTCACAAGCGCAGCACTCTTTGTTCAGTCCAAGGCAATCACAAAAAGTGTCGCAGCCACTGTGACCTGGAGGCATCTGTGATCCTACAACAAAGTTTGTTTGGTCTGATCTTTCCTGGTACTCGCAATCTGTCCGGATGCCGAGACTTAGCGTCTTCGATATACTCGGTACACTCGGCAAGCTGGATCACGGTAGTCTCCACGACGTGCGTACTTGACTTATGTACATGGGAGGCTCAAGAGAACAAGGCAACTGAACGAGCTGAGACCCGTCCTCTCACGAGATGTGGGGCTGCCGATATAGGGTATCAAAGTTTAAGCACTTAGAGACCTTCAAGTATTGATGAGGCAGCCCCGTGATTCAGGCTATGACAGGTATATGCACGTACGAAGATGCTCAACAAGATGGTGCCTGATCGTGTGTAATGTTTCTCACAAATTGTTGTTCTGGCTGCCCAGCCTCTACGTAATAAGCAAAGCAGCCATGATCCGAAACCATGCCAATCCTCCGAAGTCATGCGCAACTGTTCTGAACAAAGGAGACAACCCAATACCAGGGCAAGTAATGTTTATCGATGAGGACGCCAACGTAGAATCATTTGGTGAAACTGAGTACTAGTCGACGATTGTGCTCCTGCCAACCTGAGTGATATCTCCAGTCCTCTCATTCCTTGCCTTCACCCACTGGCAACTGGCCATGCATTACGTCCGACCTGCGCCCTCCAAGTGATTAAATGGCGTATTTGCGAGTCCACTCCCGAGCTGTTGCCTCGTATCTCGGGCGATCTGTCTTGTAGACGTGTGCAATCTCCGGCACCAGCGGGTCGTCGGGGTTGGGGTCTGTGAGCATGGAGCAGATGGAGAGCAGAACTAGCGGGGCACAGTTAGCAAATTGTATACAGTATGACAAGACCTGACATGTAGCCACTCACCTTTGCTAATGGTCAGAGCCGGGCTCCATTGATCACGCAGGATATCCAAGCAGATGCTACCGTTTGAGTTGATATTGGGGTGATAGATGCGGGTGGTGAAGTTGACCTTCGGGGGCTTGAAGGGGTAGTCTGTGGGGAAGTGGATGGCCAGAAAGAAGACACCTCCAGAGTACGGGGAGTCGCTCTGCAAAAGACATGGTTAGCATTGTCATCATATCGGACTTGGCGGTCCTGAGGGGGTTGACGATGCGGCTGGGGCAAGCCATGTGCTTTGGGACATGTCCTGAGTTGGGCATGTAGCCTGGGGCTTGGGGGGAGCAAGACGAGACGAGGAGAATGAAGAGGTCTGACTCACGGGACCCATGATAGTTGCTTGCCAGTGGAACTAAAGAGAGGCAACAGTCAGCAACATTTCAACAGTATCTGAGCAGCGTCTCGCTCATGGTCGTGTGCTGTCGCTCTCGAGTCATGAGAGCAGAGCGGGCTGACGCTTATCGCTACGGCGGGGTCGGCAGGGGGAGGCGGCCATACCAAATCTTCACCAACGGGACCGGCGGAGCATGATGACGGAGGGTCACTGTGAAGAAAATGTCAGCACGGCCATCAACAGGCAGACGGGGGCATGTTATGAGGCTCCGTGAGCAGTAAGCAGTGGTAATGCTGGATTTGGTGAGGGCATCGTGATTGTGCCTGTGCTGGTCCAAACACCGACACCCACAGCCACACCAACACCCCTCTTCACGCTGCCCCACCTTGGCAGTGAAAACAAGGTGGGATGTGTCGCAACGCTCTGGATTGGATTGGAAACAGCACATTTCAAAAAAGGACATACCGGCCCAGGTCTGTGAGTTCCTTGTTGATGCGCTTCAAAGCCATTGTGTTTTATGTGATGATGGGTGGTTGCGTCGAGTGTGTTTCTCGGTCAAGGGCGCGCTCGAGGCTGGGCGGCGAAGGCTATTTATTTCCCGAGTCTGTCAGTCAAAAACATGGAATGCGGGAGAAAAGCGTCGGCGGAGGCGATCCGTCTTGTAAAGCAGGAAGCGGCCTTGAGCAAAGCGCAACGCAACAAACAAACAAAGAAGGGTATGGTATCGGGCAGTGCAAGAAAAGTCAAACTGGGGCGTTGTTAAGGCTTTCGAGAGAAAACGTACCAGAAAAGGGTATCGATTTGGTGACTAATGCAAGAACTGCTGTAACGTGGTGTGATGGATGTGGTTGTGGTTGTGGACGAGACGAGACAAGGCACGGCCGAATGCGGTTCAGAAAATATTTAATGCTTTTCTGGATGGGATGGCCGGTTGTCGACGATGAATGATGGACTGATGGATTCCAAGTAATGTATCGGTGAATGGAAGGGGGGGGAGAGGGACCCAGTTCTTGGTCTGCCAGCTGGAGGAGATATTGGCTCGTGCCATCTGCGCTTGCACCTGAGGCTTCCATATGTAACCAGTACTACGGTACAGCACACACATACCTAACCTACTTAACCTAGACTAATGTGATCCGTACTGCACCGCACAGTGTGCACAATGCTGGGATAAACGTTACTGGGGGCTGACCCGGGGTCGAGGTCTCAATGTCCACCCTCCCATGTCCAGGCGCTTACCTGCAATTAAGCAGCACTTTGTCCCCTCTGCCCTGTTGGCGTGCATTCTTCAGTGCTCCAGCGTCCAGCGTCCTCGCCACTTGCTTCACGCGTTGACTGGACAGTGCATCCAGCTGAGGCTCACATGCCCCTGGCCCGCCTGCCCGCTTTGTCTGCCTGAGCCCAATTCACAGCTTTTTCCCTCACTCAGGCGGCAATGGCGAAATCCTCATTCTGACCGTACATGTAGGAGCAACCAGCCCGAGCCACATGCCATAACTACTTTAGGCCTTGAACAGGCGCGATCCAACCCAACTGTTTTTCACCCGGCTTTTCCTTGGAGAAGCATTTGACGCTGCCCTCTCAGAGACTCATGCTTTCATTGACACCGTCTCGGGATTCGCTTGGGGTTTATTGCCGGATACATCACCAGTATGCCATAGGCTGCTGATGACGAAACTCCCTTGTTCAGTTCAGAGGATACACGGACAGCAGCCATGACCTTCTCGTTCTCTCTACCCAGGTTACCATGAACTCATTTGGATGCTCTTAAAGTAATTAGCGTGCGTGCTGCCCATTGTCTCTCCCACAAGATGTCTTGCCAAGATCCGATGCAATTCTCAATATCTTTTGCCACAACAAAATAACAGCAAGATATGAAAGTCGGAATGTCCACTAGAACCACAGGTTCTAGTGCGTTCAAGTCGGTTCAAAGGCTAACGCCTGAGGAACATCTTGGCTTGCGACTACGACTAGAAACTGGTCCGACTGGAATAGACATGCCCAGGATAATAAGTTCTCGAGGCTCTTCAGCCGCTTCCGACTGTTCCTCGGGTGGATTTGCCCTAGCTTGGGGTCTTTAGATGTGCACTATAGCACATGAATACTGTGATCAACAACATGGCCAGTATGTTCTCAACGTTTCTCTTGTCCAGGCTGATCTCGCGTTTAAGAGCTTTTCGAAACCATCCGGAACGATTTGGTAGGCGTGCTGATGGACAATGGGATCATCGCTTATTGGCTTGTCTAAAACGTGTCCTCTAGAAGTTAAGATCTCGCCTCCGAAGTCACATACTCCAGACCGGCCTTCTTGGATAAGGCAAGAAAACAATCGCCCATGAGTCTTTGAATAATTGACGGTAACGTCCGCATACTATCGCTGCAGTGAGCATCAAGAAATGCATATGCTGAGATACTACGTGAACTGTGAGGAACATCACGTGGAAGGAGGCAACTGATGAGTAGTATGACGAAATAAAATCCAGTCTATAAGAATACATATAGCTGTCATTCCCGTAGTTCCAATGAGTTTGTGATTTATAGATATGGCCAAGCTCTCATCTTCCATTATCCTAGTTTCATATAAGCAGAGAGCCATGTTTTGATCACTATTCGGCAAATGTTGTATATCAGTGCTCGTTCTGTCCGACTGCCTTCATTGTAGACAGCACTGATAAGTGGTGTCTGCTTTTCGGTAGTACCTCCCTTATACCATGATTTGTATGATAGAGCTGCAGTCATCGCAACGAAGGCCATCTGAGATGCCCGAGAAAGTCGACCTAATCAGCGGAGCAGAACTCTACAGAGAAGCAGCCAAAGAAAAACAAACGAAAGAAAGGAAGAAAGCAACACTGCTTCAGAGGCCGATTTGCGACCGAGAGCTGACTCGCACCTACCGCGTAGTCCTCCCTTATCTCTGAAGCGATCCACCCAACAATGTGACCTGCATATTGTCACGATGGCTTTGGACACCGGTTCAACCACAACGTGTATAGTCTGTATAAGTACAATCGTGATGGCCCAATGGAAATCGATGCCGCCACGCTGCTCGAAGAGATCCTGCCTCGACAATGCCGCCACAACACTTGCACAATTATTGTCCGAGATTTCGATTGGCACAATCCCTGCTGGAAGCTCCATAGCTTGCCCATCTCATTTATGGCTAGGCGAAATTTCCTGCAGGTCGGTGTGTAGAGTTAATCGTTTCCCTGTTCGCACTGCCTCGGGAGCCGGAATCAACCCAAACAGATGGATTTGGCAGGTTGAGAAAATGACTTGTTACGAGATGCTGTGACCAGTTTTTAGCAAGGCACCGTCAGAGAGATATCACTTAATGAGCCAAATACATCTATCAATGCATTGCTAGCATCCTAATAAATCTTGAGGATGCTATGTGTAAGCATATTCTGGTCATTACTTCGTTAGCACCGGGCGATGAGCATCCGCAGTATCGACTACCGATCTAATGAAGTAATTACAATCCAATGATAGTCTTCTTACTGTTGAGACACGACTCGAAATACTGATAACTCTCTTATACAGTGGTCAGCAGTCTAAGCCAAGAAGGGCCATTTATATACTAGGCTGCGGAATATCCGAGACATTCCAAACGAATACCGCAAGCCGATTTGGCGGGCTTATCGCGTAAAAAGGGGGTGGGGGTTGGCTTCTATTCGACCCTCTTGCCATCTGAGATGCTTTGAGAAGTCGAGGACCATTGCCTTGCCTAATCCAGACAACGACCGTTACGATAGTTCCAAAAGCTGGCTACCCATCTGTCTGCTTTCTTCCTTGGGCAAAGTTCTTGACGAGCTTGTGTCGATGGGTCTGACGGATTTCGCCATGATGTACGACGTTCTTCCCAAATTGCAGTTCGGACGTCTGGGCAGAACCCACACCGTATAGAATTTCCTAACAAGTCGATGTGCTTATCCCACTTCAACGCGGAGTCGACTTGGACACCGAGGATACGAAACTGAGGTCTGCAGTGACCAATACGCGATCTCCAGGTGTTTATGGATCAGATTTTCAACAGATCCATGGGACGCGAGCCATTTTTATTTGCCCCTCGTCCAGAATACAGCACACAATATCTGTGATTTGAGGATTCGACGCCGTTGTTGTCAATGCAAACTTACAAATGCATGTGGATTGCTGGGAGTATTTCACAGGCATTCTCGTAACCTTTTTGACCGCACCAATATAGATGCGTCACTAAATAACGGCATTTTGATACCCATGGTAGAAGTAAGCACCGTTGTGCATTATGTGGTCAGCATCAAGATATTACAGGTATATGGTTGGGCAAAGTGGAGAATCTATACTTGAATCCCTGACTTTGTGGAGGCTATATTGGGAAGTGCATGTGGTCTTCGTGTCATTGAGTTTTGCAGAGAGATAAGCCGACGCAAGGGAAGTATAGTGGCAATTCAATGAACGAAAAATACTCTTTAGGTGATAGCTCCTGCGAATGATACAATTCGACCTCTCCTGCACACCTCTATAAATTCATACTTGAATTTCTTGGCCCCCTCCCCTTCTTGTGAACTTCGCGATTCTGTCTCTGGATCGTATGTCGCAGTAGAGGGAGGCTATGTCTATGATGCCCAGAGTAGAAAACTTTGAGCCACAACCAGTTGCGTTAATCTTGCACTGGTCTTTGGCAAAGTGTCTCAAATAAAAAACAACACAGAAAGAAGATAAGTTCAATGATAGACGACACATGGAGGCTACTGAAAGCAGCCCTGCGTCGGAATCAACCCGTGAATGGATTGAGGGCCGCGGAACTTACCAGGCCTGTAGCCCGTTGGGTCGTAGAAGTCGTGTTTCTCACCGCAGCTCTGCTCGGAGCTGCTTGAACTGAGGATTCAGCGTGATGTGGCATGGCAGCTGGCCTATAAGCAGGGCACCGACCGCGGGCACTTGCCCGAGAGGGAACCCTTCTGGAACAAGCAGAGACACATTGGACACATATTCGAGGACTTCCTCAAGGTCATCGCGGAGGAGTTGTTGAAGAAGTCACCCAATCTCAGACAACCCGGCTCCCACAGCTTGCGAAGGCGCGCCAGGACTAAAGGCTTGCTTGGTAGTGTAGTAAATGTTTAGCAGAAGGAGAAGCGGTATATTATATTGTTGATTACACAAACGCTTGCAGCCCAGTGATGGCTCGGCCCAGTATCAAGCCTGTGCCACGGTCAGTAATTTGTTTCTAGCCATTTTTGTAGTTGAGACGGAAATGACTTACTGTGAATATCACTCTGGCCTTCATATGTTTGGGTCACAAATAGGTTGGCTACATGCCTTCCGATGCCATACTCATCGCTGACAGCGTTGCCACCGAAGACTTCCTGAAGTATTCTTGCATTAACCAAAGCCCTATCGCAGTTCTGCCTCTTAATCAATGAGATCATCTCTGGCGTAGCCTTGCCCTCATCCTTGAGTCTTCCGACTTGAATGGCTGCCAGGGTACCGTAGGCGGCATCTGTAATTGCATCGGCCAACTTCTTCTGAACAAGCTGATATTTGGCGATGGGATTGTTCTTGAACTGCCGCCTCTCCAGAGCATAAGTCCTAGTACGTTGAATGCAATCTTCCAAGGCGCCCATGGTGCCAAATGCAATACCATAACGGGCGCTGTTGAGACAGGTGAAGGGCCCGGTGAGACCCTGGACGTCAGGGAACATGTTGGCCTCAGGGATCGGACAGTCGTCGAGGTGGATCATGCCTGTAATACTGGCGCGAAGACCATTCTTGTTCTTAATGGGTGGTGTTTCGAGGGTGCCCGGGGGACATGCCTTGCGCTCGACGAGAAAGCCTCTGATCTTTCCCGTCTCTTGCAACTTGGCCCAAACCATGAGGACATCTGCGATTGGGCTGTTGGTGATCCATGTCTTGGCGCCGCTGAGGAGCAGGTAGCCCTTCTTGGTCGGGTGTGGACGTGCCGTGGTTTCCATGGAGCCTGGGTCGCTTCCGTGGTTTGGCTCGGTCAAACCAAAGGCGCCGAGCAGTTTGCCTTGGGCCATGCCTGGGAGGAACTTCTCTTTCTGCTCGGCCGTGCCAAATTCGTGTATCCCGCCCATGACGAGCGAAGACTGGACTGACATGCCCGACCGGTAGCCGCTATCGACACGCTCGACGGCTCGTGTGATGAGGCCGGAGGCTACGGTGCTGACACCTGCACAGCCATAGCCCTCGAGGTTCGCTCCGAGGAGACCGAGCTCGCCCATTTCCGAGAGGATCGTGGCATCGTACTTCTCGTCGCGATACGCCTCTGTCATGCAGGTATAAGGTTAGTGCATACAGTAGACGCAATCGAGTTCAGCATGGCCGCTTACGAAGTACACGAGGAAGCATTCGTTCCTGGCAATACTTCTCGGCCGTCTCGGATATAGCCAGCTCCTCTTCAGTGAGCAATGCTTTGCTGTTCAGTGGGTCTTCCCATTCGAACGCTGCTGAGCCGGCAGAGGCGTAGCTTCGTGAAGCTCTCGCATTACATGGCTTGAGGGGCGTCGCCAGGTGACGGGGATGAGTGCAACGGCGAAGTGCAGATCGATACATTGTATGAAGGTCAATCAATTCCTGGGAAGACGAGGTAGAACGGCTTGCACTCAGGGGACCCCATCGTGAGTATGTATAGTTTCGTTCTCCAGCACCCTCGACGCGTTATTCTATGGGGAGTTGATCAGCACGCGGGGCTTGGGACCGAGGTTAAATGTACGTAGTGGCCACAGGGAGGCAAGACCGCTAAGCAAGACCGCTAACTTAGCAAACACAACGACCAATTCTTGTCACCACCACTTGACTACCTCGAGCCATAATTATTTACTCAGCGTTCTCGGGTCGGGCTCGCAGTCACAGTTGCAGTGGACCATCCCCTCCAGATGCAGCAAATACACACCAGCCGCGAGGTACGTGACGCAGTCATTTAAAGAGTAGCACCCCACCTGATCAAGACAACGACTTCCAACACGGAGTAGATCATCGTAGATACCTCCAGGTGAGCTCACTGTAAGTACAACTCTCAGAATAACGTCAATAGCGCCTACACGAATCAATTGAATGGCGAGCACTCTCGTTAACCCTAAAGCCCGGCCGTTCTGTGTTTCAGTGGATTGATGCTACCAAATCGAAGCCACATTTAATCTTGTTCAAGATGTAACCTACTATAAGAAGTCATGCCGATTCTCTCCCAGGAAGTGAGCCAGTCAATAGAACTCCGCCCCTGAAGGGACTGGTCGTTCTCACCATCGTTCAAAGACATGCATATAACCAGCGCTTGCAAGCTTCCAGTCATGATGGTGCCCAACAGTTTGCGGCTTCCAGACAAACATGAGGATGGCCTCTTTCCCGAGTGGATGGGCGCCTTTCTGCTCTTGTACGTCATTCAGCACTGCCTTCGAGAGCTCTTGCCTCAGATATACTGACTGCAGGGCTTCGAGGCTTATGTGCAGCTTCGATTCCATCTTTAAACCTCACGATGCACCCAGTCTCGACCTCAACCTAGCCTCAACTTGAATTATTCTAGTCCCACCGCCATCCCTAGCCAGTATCACTTTGCGACCTTCTCATGGCCATAGTCTCACCTATTACTCGCTTGCGTTGGGCCCTCAAAATATTCTTCTGGTATCTTGGCAGACGTGTTTCCAAGGTCTGCAAGGCAATTCAGAAGTGGTGGAGCAAACCTGCCAACAAGAAAGCCACCAGTGAAAGGTCACCTCTACTTCCGCAACATGCTGAGCCTGGTTCCGCCGAAACTTCTGAATCAGTCCAGGGCTATCAAACAACCCAAGTCGAGGAGTAGTGGATATCATGAGCCCACCTCCTTGACAACTGACATCGTGCATGCACCTTGCCCTATTGCGCCTGGGAGTCCAACTCGTTGCGGGCATGAGCCGGATATCATACCGCGTGTCTCGTGTAGGCCAGGTCTGGCAAAACGATCGTCGAAGGCTGCTCATGACAGTGGGCTCCTTACATGGGATGACAAATGTTTTAGCATGATATCCTCCCGTGTCTCGCCGTCATCAAGTCCACAATATCATACTGATTGCTTGTCCTCCCTCAACGCCGATGCCCGCGAATATTACATGCCATCCGAAGCCTCTAAAGTCAAACATTCTACATCAGATCGCTCACCAACAAATCTTTTGCAACGATTCGGGCCTATACCCCTGGGAAAGCCCAGTGAACTAGAAGAGGATACATGTACAGCTTCCACTCCACCATGCTCGCTGAAACAAACTCCCTGGAGTTGGCCGCCTTCACGAAAATGTCCTCTAAATTTGGTAGACCATGAACCCGCGGATTTTACCATTGATTCAGTCTTGGCCAACCTCGAAACCACTCGTTTATTACGGAACCATGGCGAAGACTTGGTTGAATTATCCGGAAATACGGAAACAGACAGTGACATTTTCGAGTTCTCCGAATCTTCCTCGTGTGATATTCCGGAAAGTCTCCCTCTTTCAGATCACCGCGGTTTTCAAACCCGATCGTTCTTCGGAGATATGCCCAATGACTCAACTGTTAAGCCGAGAGAACGCTCCCATTTCAAGCTTGGGTCTGGCTATGACGGACAGTCAAGTCCTATCAGCAATACTCCTGCCCCCTCTGCATTTAGGTCTGCTGCACGTCCTGTGTCAGTGATGACTCATAGGGATAGCATCAGAGATGCTAATGGAGTGACTGGTTGGGAGACGAGCTGGATTGGATACAAACCCAGGCGGCCCCTCAATGTCTCTGAAGTGACTGCTCCCGATCCCACCGTATACAAGCATGCGATTGATTTATTCTCAATGACTGGGTTCGAAAGTGATGAAAGTGGGGAGGACGATTTCACAACAGGCTCGACCACCGGCGATTATCATGCTGGATTACGACACCAGTCCTGTCCCGAACTTCATCGTATGACTGAAATGATTGAAGACGAAGACAAACCTAAAGTAACGTCGTCTGAACCACGAAACCATTGGTCAAGGTCACTAACAGCGTGTAGGTGATCACGAAGGAAACCGATCGACATCATCATGCAGTGCATGAGATGAACATCCAACGACTCCATTGCCTGAAAACAAAATTCTATCGATCCTCCTCAAATTACTCCGTTCGCTCTGAATTTCCAGATCCTCCACCTGGGACCGAACGTCGATTGGTATCACGGGATTCTGCTGATATATACCCTTCATCCGGTGAGGAGAGTCCTCTTTCCTCTGCACCCATACGCGATATAGCGACAGGGTCAGCAGCTTACCAAGCAAACTATCTGTCAACAGGGAGATCGACTGTCCTGTCCAATGAACTCGAATTCTCGGGTTTGCCTTTGTCAACCCCGGCAAGAGTCAGCCGCATCGACTCGTTACGTCAATCTTGTGTCCATCCACCGGACATGCCGATCATTTTATCTTCACATAGGTCACCGACAACACATAGGGCCAGGAAGAGATATGCTACGCCTAGTTGCTTATCCGAGGTCACAATGCTGCATAGTTCTGCAAAATACAAAACGCCGCCGTATCTTTACAGTTCAGTTCTTGGTGACATGTGCGACGAGCCAGTGTTTGAAGACCAAGCGGAAGGTCTTATAGCTAGCCTTCACCTCAGGCCTCTGGGTGTAAGTTGTTGGAGTGGCATTGCATCACACGAGCCTCAATATTGTTCGACATATGCAAAATAATGTCTAAATTCTCTCCTACCAACGGATGAGGCACAGCGGCGCTTGAGGTCTAGGCTATCGTTAGGTTTGGAAGACGTCGTCAATTTCGTGATAGGTAACAATGGAGTACCGCAACGATCTTTGTCGCTTGGGGAAAAGGGCGAGATTATGCTGGTGAACAAGAACGCAGCTCAACTCCCGCTTGATAACTTTGATAGTCAACAATATTCGGCATCCAAAATAGACTCAACACCGTCATCAAATTCTAAAAATCGTCAAGTCGAGCATGTTTTTGCACATTCAAGCAACCACGACATCCTAGATGTGGTCACCACTCGATATCAAGATCTTGATTGTATTAGTTGTTCATTTGACCAGTCCAAGATAATGCCGCACGACACATGCTGTGCCCGTCGAATGGTTGGGGTGGCTCTATAGGAGTATCATGCGACCCGGCATCAAACTGTCTGTCATGTTGCAACTCAGATAACCCCAGCACTCAACCGTTGAGAATGGCTAGGGAAAGTACGAGTGGTACAATGAGAATACTGGACCGGACATACTCAAGTAGTATTGAGTTGAGTCAGGATGCGAATCCTGGCGAAAGTTTGGAAGGCTATGGGTGCAGATGTCCTCTGGAAGATTAAAACGATTTTATTGCGTTTGAGCATACCGGATCGGTCTTCTTTCCCGGTTATGTAGAGAAACGCACTTAAAACGTGAATCAAAAATACACCTCTTATTTCTGACTACCTAACAACATTGCCTGAACTCTCTCCGCCCACCACAAGCGAGGTGCCTCCTGTTCCATGTTCGACGATGCGAATAGATTTCTTGAGTCAGGACTGTCATCGAGTCTGCATTTCAGAGCAGCTAACGTAGTACGGCAACTTTGTTCAGCTACCCTCACAGAGTGAAATCCCGTCGGTTTTCAAATCCAGATGACTGTTCCACCAAAACCGTTAATCGCGATAATATCTTCTCGAGGTCAGGCAGTGCCCTCTGTGGCGGTTGGCGGACGTACCAGCATGTGGCTGCTGGGTCAGGTAGTAGTGGGACTGCGGCTGTGGGAATACATACCAGGCCGAGGGAAGCGCTGTTGCCCCCGCCGTCACTACCACTGCCTGGGTGTTTGGGTAAAGGGTGCCCGACGAGTGTCTGGCCTGGGTCCATCGTTGGCCGTGGGCCGGGCATGTCCATGTGTTGTGGTACTGATATTGTGGTACGTATGTGTACGACATTTTCTTTTTGTCCGTTTCTCTTCTACTGTCTTTTTGGCGGCCAAGTTGATCGAGTGGGTAGATTGCTGGCGAGTATGTTGTAAGATCCAGGGGAATATTCCTGGAGAGGCTGCTTCTTAGTCGTTAGAGGTAGGTAGATGACTTGATCATCTATACATGCAGGAGGAGGACTTAGAAAGACGCGGTTCCGCGACGGCTTATATATACTTGTATTTGGTTGTGATGATGAGAAATCGAATAGAGTAAATTGTGATGTTTGAACTGCAAGGTGTGGCAAAAGTGAATCAGATGTGGTTAATACAGAACAGAAACTCAGACATGGCTCTCGCTATAAACTTGCGAGGCGCATTGCATAATTTTACCCTAAGCTTTTGTTGTTTCGTGTTCTGTTCTTGAATATACATGCGCAACGAAAAGAGTTGTCGTAGATTTCTGGATCAGATTGTGCCATTAATAAACACCCCTAGAGGACATGCAAGTGCATCAAAAGAGAGGCCTTACCTCCAAACACTTTTTGCGAAATGCGATTCAATCACACATAAGGACACTGACGGTTAACGTAATCACTAGATTATAGGAAGAAGTCTGTGAATATAGTGAACACAAAGGTGAGAGCCTAAGTCCTTCGTTAAATATTCGGTTTGAATTCTAGTAGTGAATGCGTTAAGCTGTGGACACAAGAGTTAACCAAAAGCTCATGATAATATACTTGAGTATCAGTTAGTCTGGCTACAATGCACATCTTTATCTTTCCTTATATTATGAGCATTGAAATCAAAGCACCAGTCCATCCATCCGTCTATCGACGGCCCTACTCGACTTGACTCTCTTTACATCATCAGTGGAAACCTCCGACGATCAGCGAGGGGACGTGAAATGTACTGTCTGTCTAGCTTAGTAACCTTGGAGCATTATAGGCGACCCAATATTCAAAACGACTGTACACCTAAAACCCAAAAAGAACAAGCAAAGACGCTGACCCAGCCAGCCAGCAGCCAGCGCCTCTAAGAGAAGAGAGAAAAATGGACAAAAAGTATTTCCAATTGCTCAGCCACAGGATTGAACTGAGGACCTTCGCATTAACTTGATATAATCTTCTGAAGATTATATTAGTACGACGCTCTAACCAACTGAGCTAGCCGAGCAACATGAAGCGACGCAGGCCTGATTTGAACAGACGCCTCCGAAGAGATGAGATTGCACTGTGATTAGAATCACCGATTCTAGTCTCACGCATTAGACCACTCTGCCACTGCGCCTTTGGTTGTTGAGAACGGTCCCCGTAACAGGCTAGATGTTAGAAATAGTACGATGACAAGGTCGGCGACGAGAAGTTGTGAGTATCTTTGACAGCTGAGGTTGGGGGAGCATGAGGTGGTCGGTCACGATAGCTCAGCTCAGGTATAGAGCGTCAATTGTGGGCCAGATGAATAGGAGTTTGGGGGGAATGATACCTCCGCACAAGTGTAGAGCATGTCTACTGGGGCTAACCGAAATTTGTTATTTATGGCTCTACTTTTGTATGGGTTGCGTGAACTAGGTTGGTAATATACATGTATTTCGTTGCGCACGCAGCCTCAACTTAACAATAGGCCATGGCTGGATGCCTAAAGAGTCGCTCAAAATCTCTTTCTGTCTCGCTCCCCTACTTCTTGTGATTAAACACATGGCACCAATCAGTGGGGACTGTCTCGAAGTAATCCTCAAAGTTCTCCCTGCAGATGTAACCCATGACCTCCTTCTTTACAACGACACTGCCGTCCACTATGGCCTTTGGGACTCAAGGATATACCTGTTCCATAATGTGTAGCAATCCCTCAATGGGTCTCGACGTACGTAGGTTGACGTGAGGGGCGTTCAACCCCGGAGGATTGAGCTGGTGATCATCAGGATCCTGATGCCAGGATAGAGAGCCATCTACCTTCATCTATGATGGTTTCCAAGAAGTGGTTGTGAGCTTGCAGGTGAGCGTCCTAACGTGGTAAATTCGTTTGGTGTCGCCAAAGACTTAGTGAAGATAAATGGGTTAAGGCTTCAGAGACTACGTGGGCACCCGAGGTGGTCCAGTATTGACCTGAGAATCGTGGAAAAGCGAACAATCTGGGAGGTTGTCATGCGGACTGCAGCGTTGAGGTAACATATGTGTGACCTAGTTTAGCTACTTCTTTTGAAATACCAACACCACACAGGTGTCAGTCAATGGGGGATAGTTAATCTCGACATGTAACCTATTCAATAAGAGCAACCAGGGCAACAGATTGTAGCAAAAGCGCCAGATTCAAAGAATGAAAGTTGTGAAGAACGCTTTATTACTGAAATAAATATCCTACGGACATGCAAAAAAGAAAAAAAAGAAAAAAAAGTTCCACTTCAAATATATATTACGGGCTTCAAATCGTGTTTAGACACCGCTTTGACTGTTTGTGTGCCTGGGGTAGTCGACAAGCGAAGTAGCGTTCATTAGCTGTTTGTGTTCGTGTCTGTCTCTTAAAGAGATGGCGATATTCATGTAATTGAAGCGTATTAAGTGTAGCAGCAGCGTTAAGAAAACTAAACAATCTGACAAGATGACTCAAATTCGCTTATACTACGAAGGGACAAGAGGCATTCAGGTTAGGAATTATTGAGATTACCAAGGAGAACGTTCTCTAGTGTATTGAGAGTGGGACTGATTTGGATTACTTTGTTACACTGTGTATCAACAGATCGGATTGCACTCGCTTAAAATGAAATAGTTCTCAGCTGCTCTTGCTCAAAGTCATATTGAACTAGGAGCAATTCTAAGAAAAGAAAAGAAAAGAATCTCGTAACAATGATGACCTGCAGATTCGTGCCTGGAAAGTTCCCAAACTCCCGTGCACGCCTGAGCACCCGAAAAACCTATATCCGCTAGAGCGCCGGCTACCCATTCCAACTATGCAAAAGCCGGGATCATGAGACGTGATCTTCTAGTTCAATCTTATCTACAATCACATCACAGCGCAATCTTTGTCCCTACCAGCAGACGCGCTCTGCTGATGACCTATTACCGGACGACCTCGGCCCATTCCTATCGGCGTGCTAGGCCCAGCTTGAGCTGTCACGGGCTGTGATGGCCCACTGCCCGGAAGTGTCGGTCTTCTTCTTGCGTCAGTAGCGCCACCGGGGCTGCTCGAAGAATGGTTAGGATGACCACTTGGTGGCACATACAGCTCATCTTTGCTCGCTTGTTCGTAAGACGGTGGCGCATCATCATCCGCAGCATTTGCGGGCCGATGTGTTGTATTAGCCGGTGGTACTAGAGGTCGAACTTGCTGGACGGGACGTCCGCCTCGGGCTGTAGTACTACCACCGCGGACTGGAACATTGATGGAGGTCGAGCTGGTGCGGACTGGAGCATTGATGGAGGTCGAGCTTGCGCGGGCTGGAATCAGCCCACCCCGGCCGCCTCCCCGACCACGTGGGCCGGTTCGGGCGGTAGTACCCCGACCCTGCTGCTCGATGAAATGTTCTGATAACTGACTTTCACGCTCGCGAGCAGCTTGCTCGTTCCTATGCCGCTCATCCTCCTCTTCCTGTAGTTGAAGAGCAAGTGCAAGATCACGATCCTCTTGTTCGTGGTTTGCTGACATTGGCGAAGCAGGAGGCTCAGGTTCGCTGTTGCTAGTACGTCCGCGCCTATTCTGAACTGCTTGCCATTGCCCGCCGTGAGCAGATGAATCTTCATCGGTATACCAGGCGCCCGGAACGTCTCGAGGAGCCTCCTGTTGCGGACCACCGACCAGCCTGAAGTCGCCAGAGAAGAACTCAGTTCGTTCGCCGTTAACGTCAACGAGAGATTCCCATACGATTTCATCATGTGTATAATAGCCAGCATCGGTAACCAGCGTGAAGAGCTGTTGTGTCTGTGGGTGTCTGTACAGGGTAGAAAAGTGATCGTTGCGGAACAAGATGGCGAATGTGCCTGGCTGGATACCTTTCGTAATTACTTGAAGGCCCCATTGAGTGAGTTGCGTGGCGGAACTGTTGAGCCATCCTCTGATAGTTATTATATCCTGGTAAATCTGTTGTTCTTGCTCGGTGAGACCAGCGCCAGAAGTGCTTAGTTTGTCTTCGAGTTCTTCCTCTCTGAACATGAGGTTCTGTGCATCATCATAAGACGCAGCCTGCCTAGCAAATGCTTCATATGCCGGATCTTCCTTTGGTGGAAGCCAACCGTGGATCAGAGGAATGGAGAAAGTCGCGTACAACCTCATGTCACGTGTATCTTCGAAAGTTCCTGGAATAAAATCACCACGTTCCGAGGGGTGCTGATGAGTTGAGGTTCGCTTGTGGGCGGTGATGAGCTCTTGCGTGGGTACATATCGAGGGTTGACATTCATGCCAGTATGCAGGCCCTTGAGGAAAGCATATAATTCGGTTACGTCGGGCAATGCAGCATCTGATTGCGTTCTTCTAGGCGACATGAGCTCATCGAATACTGCTTCGAGCAACAAATTGAGACTGATCTGTTCTCTTGATCTTAGTGTCTCCACCAGAACAGTGTTAGATAGATCGGCAGGAGTCGTTAAAGTCAATGCATTGACAAGTGCGACCAGAGGGCAGGGGCCGTTGGCATTCTGTACCAAGATAGGCGACCGTCGAGGGTTTTGCGAGACATTGGCATCAAACCAATGGATGTTTTTGATTTGATAGGTTTCAGTCTTGTTGGCTGCACTGGGTGTGCTCGGTCGGGGAGGCTGAGGAGGAGGCGGGTCTAAAGACCGCCTTGGAGGTAGTGCGGGCGGTTCTTCTGAAGCTTCGGCCTCCGGTGTGTTCGTGGTTGGCACCACTGGTGCCTTCGAAGTATCGTCTTTTGGCTGGTCATCATTATCATCGAAGTTCTCCCACGTACTCTTTCTGGAAAGACTTGGCGCAACTGGTGATGGATCTTTGTCGATTAGGTTCCAGCCATCCGGAATGTTGGTGTGTCCCTGAGGCTGACTCGCAGCGGGCGCCTTTCCCTTGTCGAGAGTTGCAAGATCATCCCAGGCATGTGCATCTTGTGAGAACTCATTAGCTTCTGTCGATCTCCCAGGCATTGGCCCCAGAGACGGCTTTGCGCTTTCCACCTCATCCCATGCAGGTGACTCTCCCTCTGACAGGAGTGAAACTGGCTTTGGCGAGCTCCCTGGTATAGTTGTGGTAGGCTTCGGCGTGTAAGTCGAGCCCCATACATCACTGCCGGTGTTCTGATTACTGATAGGTGGCATTGGCGCAGGGGCAGCAGTCGTTGTGGACTCGTCGATGACTGGTTCCCAGGGATTCGTGTTTTGCTCATTCTCGACAACCTCTAATTGCGAAAAGGCGTCGGTGGGCGGTACAGGTACGGGTACAGGTACAGCGCCTGGAGACGAGGTTGAAGGGTTGTATCCTTTGGGACCGTTATTGACAGGCTTTCGCTTGAAGGGATTGGTTTCCATCTTCCCGCCAGGTCGCAGGACTGTAGGTGTATGCTCGAGGGTGATCTTCGGCTTGCCTGTTTCGTCGCCCACTTCTCCCCAAGGGTTGTCGTCTCCCGTGTCATATGGGCTTGGACTCGGGCTCTTCGGTGAGGCGCCGGGTCTCAGTGGTGCGGGAACGTCGTGTGGGATGGGAGCAGGCACGGGGCTGTTTGTGCCGTTTCGAGTCGGCCGTGTCGAATCCAAGTCCCCCCAAACATTCACGCTGTCCTCGGAGTCTGTCGGCGACCAGATGTCGATTGTGGGAGGCGCATTGGCATTCGCAGGTGTGTCGTCGGGCTTTGGCCCTCGTGTGACCATGGTGCGAACAACTTGTCTTGTCCTGCGTACAACAGGCCAAGCGTCGTCACTGACAGCTCTTTCTGAGTCGGCAAGTACGCCAATGCAATTAGTAGCACCAATAACCACTGCTAATCACAAGCTTGCGACAGGTTAGCTTTGGGCGTGCTGCAGAAGATGCGATGCGGTTCTGATTGCTTTGGCGGCTCTTGACAACGGAAGAGGCGACGCTTCGTGGTAACTGTCTGCTATGTATATCTGTGTCTGTACCTGTATCCTGGCAGCTCGAGCGCTACGTCATTCGCAAGTGGGAATGGTATCCGTAACAGGGAACAATAAGTGGTAGATCTACTAAGGCAAGACACCCACAGGAAGAACGAGTCTGTGACTGTAAGCAATTGATTGCCTGTATTCAATTCTAGGGGATTGTAAGTCCTATCAGACAGCTCAACTATGCAAAGCGAACAACAGATGTGAGTAGGTTAGCTTGCAGGTGATTGTTGGAGTAGGGACGTACGTCAATGTCATCGGGAAACAAGACATGTGGCGGTGCAGCATCGGGGGGCGCTGGTAGTCGTAATCCGAGTCGAGTTCCACTAGGCAGCAGTATCGGGGGACGATAGCCTACATTACTCCGTGGCCTGGCCGGATTGCTTGCTTGTGAGGCAAAGCATTTGTGGCTGAGCTACATTGTTCAGATAATTGATGTTAACTATTGTGATATATAGTTGATGCTGGAACCCATAGTGTCTACCGATCTGTACTCTGATGCAGGACAACTGATGAATATATTATACTAGTCTAGGTTGGTCTGACGCTGAACAACACGAGATGCACCAGCCACAATGTCACACCAGGAGCCCGGCTGTGGGTGCCGGGTGGCCTCCGAGGCAGAGAATCGTTGGAGTTGCACAGGCCAAGTTGTCGTCCTCCTCCGTATGACCTAATCTAACGTTTTCTCATAGCAAGCATGATGGAGCTTTTGTGTCCTTAGTGTTGTTAAACCATGATAAAATAAGCACGCATACTGTAATAAAGACTAGGTAGACTCACTTGTTTAGAGCTTCCCCGGATTCCCCACTTACTATTAACCCGAGCCATGGGCCTGAGCTATGGCCAATCTCGTAAATAGCCGCCGCACGCTGCTGGGTGCAACCTTGACTTTTGGAATGAAAACAATGACGACACGCTAAATTCGATGATACGGAACGGCGCCTGTCTTAACATTTATAGATAGACTTTTCTGAAGGTCTGATAAACTAGGTCTTGTTACTTGAGATACATTTGAACATTTTCAAAAACCAGCGAGTTATCAATCCTTCTGCAAGACCGACACTACCGACCTGAAGTGCGTCTCAGAGCCAGAAGATGACCATAATCCAAGGTTGGCTTCCGGCTAGCCGCCAGAACTATGAGTTCATCTTATTTTGGTGGAGCTGGTTAGTACCAATTGTACGTTACTACACTTCCCGGAAGCGTTATATAATACACTGACTCGATCTGAAAGGGTGCCTCCGTCCAATGGCTCACCTCATGGTATGGCATGGGTAAAACCTCCACCAAATCGCCGCTTAACATCCCGGGCCGCATCGCCTGGTTTACAATGGAGTGTCCTGGTTTCATCACCCTACTCTACATTATGAACACCTTGTCGGCTGAGCACGGCATCACCGACCTACCGTGGCAAAACAAAGTCCTTGCCGGCCTTTTCGTTCTGCACTACACATACCGTGCAGTCATCTTTCCCATCATCCAGCCCTCCATGTCACCCATACACCTCTTCGTATGGGTCGCAGCTCTTGCTTTTCAATTCTTGAACGCGACGTGTCTGGGCTCATGGTTGGCCGCGTATGGGCCAACAACGCAGGCGGAATGGCGTGCTGAGGGGTTCACAGTCCTCCGATTTGCCATTGGGTTAGTCGTCTTCTACATTGGACTTACGGGCAACTATTTCTGTGACGAAGAACTCCGCGAGATCCGCCGCAAAGAGCAGAGACGCCAGGAAAGGCTCTCGGGTCAAGGCCAAAAAGGCATTGGAAAGCATTATTCTATTCCACAGAACGGTCTCTTCAAGCACATGCTATACCCGCATTATTTCATGGAATGGGTTGAGTGGCTTGGCTTTTGGATCGCCGCCGGATGGTCTTGTGGTCCGGCACGAGCCTTTTTGATCAATGAGTTCTTTTCCATGTTCCCACGGGCCGTGAGCGGCAAAAAGTGGTACATTGAAAAGTTTGGGGAGGAGAAAATTAGGCGGAAGTATGCTGTTATTCCTGGCGTGTGGTAAATTAGAGGCTAGCCACGATTTATTGCAAGGAGATTACGGCACACAGGCTTCGAGACGTATAGGCCAAAGCTGAACTGAGCTAGGGTTCTGCTCAACGCCTAGCTGGAGGAGTTTTTCTTTTTTCTTTCTTTTCATTACATGTTAGTGAAATCCTTGTCGAGGCAAGATAATATACCTTCACGCAGCTTTGCCTTGCGCTGGCTACTTTGTGTGTATCAGTTCTAGGTCAGAGAGACCCACACGTGCGCATAACGTTTTCATAGGTTGTGCGGATTAGTATCCCAGTCATCAATTGATACCCAGGCATCGAAAAGTATGGACTGGCTCTTCTCGGTTCAGCTTCCGAAGATCGACAGGGACAAGTAGAAATGGCGTGGTCATCTTACTACGCTTGTGATGATAGCCCGAGATATCAGAATCCAAGCAACATAATTGCCACTAGCCTCAGCCGGAGTTCAAGTGTCATGGCATGTATGTGGTGAGACTCTGCCAACACGAAAAGCACAGATGACAAGAAATTCGTTGCCTAAATAGGTCCAACTTCCCTTATCGAGTATAGAACGAGAGCCAAGACATATCCTGCCAAGCCCAACTCGTAAGAGGTCTCCATTTTGCGACGATCCAAACGATGAATTGTCCTAGCCTTTCTTGGATGAGCCGCTGTGAGGCGAGTGAGGTGAGGAGGGAGGGTGAGTCGCCCAAGCTCCTAACCCTTGTTCAGTGCGGCAATAAACAGTGCTCTCTGGTAATCATGCGGGTGCGCTTCCGCGATAGCTTCGAGAACTTCTGTTGCAGCGAGGTTACTGCTCGGTAGCATTAGCACGATCCCAACCCGTGGCAACTCGAACTTGGTGGTGGGCGAGAATGGATAGGTGTGGAGTGATCTTTTGAAGCATTGCATGTCGTCAGCTGGGCTAGCGTGTTTTTCAGCACCGCTGTGACAGGGACCTTTTGGCCAGTCATGGTACTTCATACCTAGAGAGAAGACGTGATTGACCAACTGCCAATTCTTTATCTCACCAAAATTTTGCTGGAACTATACCAACCAATGGGCACACGAGAAGAACACCGGGGGCCTGGCTGGTCTCGGTCCTTGTGCTTATCTGTGGGGCAAGCGCTACATGTGCAACCCCCATTGAGAATCTGATTGAGAATATTGCATTTCCTCACACGACAATGTCGTCAAGATTCCTCCTTCTGCTGTTACGGCCGGCGGATGGAAATAAGCAACCTGCGGATACGGGAGGATAGTTCTTGGCGAAAACAAGCATTGAGCAGCTCAGCCCTATCACAGCGTAGCAATTATAAAGAGCGACTTGGCGGAGCTTATTAAAGCTTGACATCTTGGGTGTCTCTGCACGACAGTGAAACTAGCTTCAACGCTGGACCCACCGCTACAGTGCCAAGCTGCCTCTTCCGCTATAGTCCCGCCCACCCCCGGCGAGATGATCTCTGCTACGCTGGGACCATCAGGAGACACCTTCCTATCTGAGAGTCCACCTTCAACCTAGAGCCAGCTACTATGGTAAGGATCACTCTCTGGTAGGTAGGCACAAGGATCTCGACCAGCTATGTATGGTGGCTACAATCGGTCAGCGGCGGCGCCGCATCTGCATCGGGTTACTTACTCCGTCAACCCTCTGATACCTAGACACTCATCAAATTGCTACATCTCTTAACTCGGTGCAACGTCGATCAGCAGTTTTTAGCAGCTCATCGGTGCGCGTACCGCTTTTAATAAGACACGTCCGCCCCGCGTGCCCTCGTTCATTTAGCTTTCATTCCTATTGCCCTTGCATTCCATTGCATTAACCCGTGCGCCTTGCTTTGCAATTCCATTGTAACAGCAAGCCAGAGGACAACAGGATGTGTAAGTGGCATCCCTGGAGTTACTCCTGATGTTGAAGTTTAACGAGTCCTGGGAGGATAGGCTGACACAACATTACAGCGACCAGAGACGGAGTCGAGCGACCGGCTGAGGCCACCGCTCCAGCTTATGGCACGACCGAGGATGAGAAAGTTCTTGGCAGACTCACACCCGATGGCGACAAGCATGCCGCTCTTCAAGACACAAACGTCCTTCACCAGGACTATGAGGGCAAGCCTACCGATGAAGAGTTGGCGACTCTGCGCCGTGTTCCTGGAAATGTCCCATGGGTGGCCTACTGCCTTTGCGCTGTTGAGTTCTGCGAGCGTGCCTCGTATTACGGTTAGTATTCAATAATATAGAAGCGGCATGATTATAGATCATGTGCTGACCACGTTGGTCGCAGGCTGTGTTACCATTTGGACCAACTACATCAACAAGCCCTTGCCTGCCGGCGGAAATGGTCTCGGTTCACCCCCTTACGGCAGCCAGATCACTCAAGGTGGTCTTGGTCTGGGTGAGAAGGTGGCTAATGCCACAACTCAGTCTTTCAACGTGATTGCATATGTACTTCCTCTTCTTGTCGGTTACCTTGCAGACACCAGGTTCGGTCGCTACAGAATGATTTTCTGGGGCATCATGCTCTGCGGTCTTGGTCATATTCTCATCGTCGTAGGCGGTGCCAGAGATCTTCTTGCAAACGGTAATGCGAAGATACCATTCTTCATCGGTGTCTACATTTTGGCCCTGGGAGCGGCCATGTTTAAGCCGAACGTCACGCCTCTGTTGCTCGATCAATTGTCCAGTCACGTTCCGATCGTGAAGACTTTGCCTAGCGGCGAACGCGTAATCGAGGATCCTGAGCACTCCACTGAAAGAGTGATGCTTTGGTTCTATATGCTGATCAACGTCGGCGGCTTTATGGCTACAGCAACTTCGTACTGTGCTCGCCTTATTGGTTGGTGGTTGGCGTTTCTGCTGCCGCTCATCCTTTACCTTCCGCTCCCCATTCTTCTGATTTGGCTCAAGCCTAAGCTGATCATGCACCCCCCTGGCGGCTCAGATCTTCCCAACATCTTTAGAGTCATCGGTCGCTGCTTGAGGAACGGCGGTTGGAAGCGCATTGGTAGAGCCGGCTTCTATGAGCCTGCTAGACCTACTTATCAAGCTGAACATGGCCTTCAGATCGAAACCCGATGGAACGACCAATTTGTCGAGGATGTCAAGCGTACCCTCCAAGCCACCGGAATGTTTAGCTTCTTTCCTGTCCAGTTCTGGAACGACAACGGTATTGCTAACTCAGCAAACTACCTCGGAACCATGCTCACGGGCAATGGCGTTCCCAACGATGTGATCGGCAACTTCAACTCTCTGAGTATCATCTTGTTGAACCCAGTCCTGAACTTTGGTTTGTATCCGGCGCTCCGCAAGGCCAATATCCACTACGGTCCGGTTGCCCGTATCACCACTGGCTTCATCATCTCCACTCTTGGCGGTATTGGTTATACTGTCCTTCAATACAAGGCCTACGAGACAAGCCCTTGTGGATACTACGGTTCCACAGACCCAGCATGTACTGAGACAGGCCTCGTCTCGCCTATCTCCCTGTGGTGGGAAGCTATCCCGTACGCCCTCGGTGGTTTCTCTGAGCTCTTTATCAACGTGCCTGCTTACGGTATCGCCTACTCCCGCGCTCCCGTCAATATGAGGGGCCTTGTCTCTGCCATCAACCTCTTCAACACTGGATTCGCTTACATCATCAATTTGGCCGCAACCAACAATATTGTTGACCCTTACCTCGTTTGGGACTTTGGTGGTCCAGCCATCCTTGGCGGTATCGTCACCGTCGTTTTCGTAAGTCGTCAATGATACTCAAGCAGTATAATCCAAAACTAATTAGTTGTGTAGTACTTCTTATTCCGCCACATTGACAAGGAAGAGTACGTTCTGTCTATGAACACTATTGACAGCACTACTGGAGCACGCTCTCACTTCGTGGAAAATGATTTAAATGAGACTGGGAACCGCCCAGCTCCCATCGCCGTTAATGAGCAAAGTATCATTTCTCAGAAGCAGTAGAGCTCCACTTCCTCACGTGGTAGCGATCACAGATAACCGTCACACCCTTCTTGATACCCCTTTTTCGGTCATCATTCTGGACGACCAGCACTCTTTTGAATGTATAGAGAATGTACTCTGTCTAGATAAGTTTAGGGGAAAATAAACGTCAACAAGAGTCATTATTTAAACAAGACATCTTATCTTGATCATACTTTTGCGGTTTATCCCAAATCGCAGCTGTGACAATAGATTTATCTTCGTAGTGATGGTTTAGTGTTCTATTCATTGTTTTGCTGCGCCAAATACGACTTTCACAACACTCTCGTACGAGTTGGGAGATATTCGTATTCAGACTAGTCAAATTATAAGCTGCCACCTCATCCTGATATGTCTGCTAAGCCCTTGAGAGTGGCACTGGAAAACCAACATGAATCGGTATTGCCTGGAATGTGTTACTATAGTGTGAACCACTGTAGATGTTACTAGATTCAAAGGCTGGACTTTCTCCCAGTCTCTAGTGAAGTGTATCATATGAATAGAGCCTTTTTCAATTCGCATTTGCCCATGATATTCGCGGTGTTGCTGTTTTGGGTGTGAATCATAGAATCGAGAATGTCTATCTGATCCAACGCGGGATGGAAGCTGTAGTCGGTCTTTGTATCGCAGTGAGAAACAAACGTGGCCAAAGAGAACAATGATATCAAAACACCAAATTGAGACAGCCATAACCATGCCCTAGTCACCACGAGCACAACACACAATGTCGTCCTCCGTATCAAGATCATGCGACATGCATGGCAGAAGTAGTGGCAGAAAAAACTACGGCAGCAGTGGCAGCAGACACATCGACAACGATAGCGGCAATAGCAGCAGCGACGACAACCGCGGCAACCGACCCTACCTCAACGAACGCTCCATCCGCAAGGGAGTTGTGGACTAGGAGAGTTTGAATAGCTCCTGTGCGGGTTACGACAGAAATGACACGAAGGAATTAACCATCGCCAAGGATGTAGTCCAGAAGTGTGCCCGCAACAGCGACAAGAAACATGCTCAAAGCTACAAAACCATTAACCCTATTCTCGAGGACTCATACAAGGCTTCGAAACCCTCCCATGTGCATAGTAAGCCTACGAATATCAACCGATAGAATGGGATATAGTCGTACATTGGAACTCTGTGACTCTAGAGGAGCTTTTGGGGGTGGTTCCGAGACACAGACATAGGCTCACTTTACTCAACGCGCAAAGTGTCTGTACAATATTATAGTTGCCAAGTTCTGTGATGGTTTCCCTATTCGGAATAGGACGGTCACGTGCTGAAGAATATTTGAAAGGGCAGTTTGCCTATGCTAAAGCCAACTTGTAAACAAGGACACAGTCATGATCTTGTTGTATGGTACATCATGTGATGTTTGAAGGGCAGGGTTTACTTGACTGAAATGATGCAAATGAACCATGGCAATCATTTTCATAGAGAGAATATGGATTATTCATTTTGGATAAGTCCTTATAGTTGAAGCTGAGGTGAATCTGTCATTCATGTCCCTTCATATTGAGCGATTGTTCGTAGTTGCCTTGATAAATTGCCAGCACGTCAATTCTCACACAATGGGATTCATTTGATTTGACTTATACGCGCCTGCCTGATCGGCGATTGTCCACATTCATCCCCAATCTAAGCAGTGAATTCAGTGTTGCATAGAGGATTGACGCCCATCTGACTGGTGTGTTCCTGCCCGTTCGGCGATTGTTAGCCAATATTTTGTAATTAACTTGTCTAATTTACTTCACCCCATGATTCTATAAATACACCATCACCCTTCCATAACTTCAAGACTTTCATTTATCCTTGCAACCAGCACCACTCACCAAAAGCACCCACCAAGCATCTTCAAATCACAACAGGATGGCTGAAGGTCGCCTTTACACAAAGGTACCTTCCGTACCACACACAACCGCTTATAGCGAAGATGAGAAGTGTCAAGTTCTGGATCTTGCTTATTGCGGCAAGGCTGCAAAAATGATTGGCCTCATCAAGACAATCGCCGACCGAGAGTCCCTCACAGCCGGACATATCGCAGCCATTACAAAAGACCATGATGGTGCTTCTATCGGACATTACGCAGCTCGTGGAAACTCTGTAGAGTCTCGTGGTAAGCTTCCATTTCCCCGGTGATTCTTCAATAGCAATTTTCCCTGTTGCTTCTCTGATCGTGACTTTCCTTACTACTTCCTCGATCTCGAGTTTTGAATCGAAACTGACATTCAACCTTGTAGCTGCCTTAGGACGGGCTCTCATGGAGTTTACTGTTGGTGAAGCCAGCGTGAAGACAGCTGTCACTTTAGACAAGGACAAGAATGGCAACTCCCCCATTCTTGAAGCTTGCTACGTTGGCCATACAGCAATCATTGATATCCTTCACAAGAATGGAGGTTCTCTCACATCTGTCAATCTTAATCAGGACACAGCTGCTCACCGCGCTGTTCTTGGCGGCTCCATCACTGCACTGAACAAGTTGATCCAGCTCAAAGCCCCTTTGGGCAAACAGAACAAGAACGGTGCCACCCCACTTCACCTCGCAGTTAATGAGGAGGATCTTGACCTGGTGGACGCATTGTTGGCAACTGGTCTGGCACAGATGGAGGTGAAGAACAAGCAGGGCATGACAGCTTTGGATATTGCCGAGGAGAAGGAGCTAGGGGAGATAGAGGCCTTGTTACGACATTACCAGTTCTAATAGCAGTCACATCCTTTGCAGATTTAAAAGGATGCTGCATATGCTGGGGCTGCATCCGAAAGACTTGACTCATATCCAGCATAGAGCATCATCGAGGTTTCCTATTTGGAAAGGATTGTAATAAATAAGTCAGATATGCCGTACATTCTGCACCATATTATGATACCGTGGTAATTCTGATATTCTACGAAATCTTGAGACATTATATTTTAATCACTTGCTAACGACATAAATGGGATAAATGTAATAGGAATTGGCACCCTGTCAAAGATATGCACCAGTATAATGCTACAGATGTGACCTATTGCAGTGAACAGCCCAATAATCAATGTTGAGCAAGCCCTAAGAGATTTGGAGTGCAAAGGTGTAAAACATGATACCAAAACATGCACCGAATGGAAGCTTTGTCGTCCACCGCATTATTTTAAACTAACTCTCAGGTACTTGGATCTTGGCTCTGGAGTTGATATATGGTCCACAGGTTTGTTCAGAACTTTTGCAGAACCAGGGGGATTCCCAAGTAGTTCTTCCAAATATCTCCCCAAGAATTTCCACGAGTTTAAAACTGGGATCCGAAGAGATTGCAAATGACTGACATAAATCTGTGATTCGCGAGACATTGGTGATACTCAAAATCCATCCTAGAGCAAACATTCTACATCTGTGTTCGGAATCTCCGGTCTGAAACAAGTCGGCCTACTTACGTATATTGTCGCTGTAGTAGAACTGCTGATTGCCAGTACTTCGCAAGTAACCCGGCTATTTTCTAGCATACATGACCGCAGCTAACACCAGTCAGAGCAATCGCACCACACCCCAAGGTGAGACCCTTCGTTGAAGAAAGATTCCATGGGACTAAGCGGGAAATGGTCACGTCTGATTCGCAAGGACCAGTACTCAGGCCCACTGCGAGATTACTATGAGGGTCTTTCATGTCGGAGTCAATGTTTCCGGGATGATGTTCTAGTGAACCAATGCCTGGTCTGCCTTAGTTCTAAACCACTATAGGCGCACAAAGCTGGATTCGTATGAGATTGGGATGATGAATTGATCGTATATGAAGTCGAATAAGCTGACGGGCCAGCGGAAATTTTTAATGGCAGTGGGTTTGAGAATACGAGTTTTGTTCAGCAATTGTATTACTATCTCGGGCATGCTTGCTCGTGTAGGGAAGTCAATAGGCAACTAATCCTGTGGTTGAAGAAGTAGGACGGTCTAGTAACTTTATCTCGGAGTATATGACCCTAGACGGGCAATAAGATGTGTAAATAACACGTTCGTGAGTTATCGTATACAATATTAGTGTAGACAAATCACACAACACCAGGGATTCCCAAGTGGTCACTAACCCGAGTACTAATCCAGCGCTCTAGGGGCATACCTAGTACTGCAGGGATCGACTCCCTTGTCCGGCGTCGTTACAAAAATGTACCACGAGCACTTGGTGAAGGTAGTATCCATGATGAAAAGAACCTTTGGCGAAGGGCTCGGGGCAGGGTCTGCAGGTTTCACGGTTGTCGTAGTGGTCGGTGTTAGCTCCTTGGTGGTGACGACATGGAGCGCAGTAGTTGTTTCTGGTGTTTTGGTGGCTGCACAGCTCGACGTCGTCACGCAGGCATGGCCCTCACCGCCACCATTACATTGCGTTATTGTCGTTGTGGAAACACAGTTTTCGGCCAGGGATCACTGCCGAGCAGCGTCGGGACTGGGCCAAGAGTGACGGACTGTGTCGAGAACGGAACACCAGATCCAGGCAGGTCGGGGTCAGTGAAGTCGGGATACACGCCAGTGGGCTTGGTCTGGCAATAGTGACCTGTGCATAGATTGCCACAGCCTGCTGTACTGGTCGGTGACGGAACGCCAGACTGATATGTGAGGCGGATCCCTGAACCCCCTCCTGCACCTGAACCCCCTCCTGCACCTGAACCCCCTCCTGGGCTTTCAGGCTGACAGGCTTGACGCCTTTTTAAGTCTCTACCATTGCTGCCACTACCACACGTTGGCTCTTTACCCGGGTATAAGCCACCGTCAGGGTCGAGGGTGCCCAGATCTTCGGGAAGATTGCCGCATATAGTTCCTTGGGAGTGGGCTTCATCCGTTAGACAATTTCCTTCTCGTGTTTGGCCGTTCTAAGCAACGGGGACAATCTCCCAGTCCTCTCGATCCTCAATATCTTCCAGAGTCCATAGGGGTTTGTGGAAGTGGCGGATCAATGCTTTGACTGTCCTTGGGTTGGTAAGTTGGCATGCCCATTTGGGAAGCAGCGGTAGTCCACGGAAGTAGGCAGCGAGTCCAGCCACTTTGGGGCTCGCTGATCCAGGAAATACTGTCAATCACGATCATTAAATGAACAGTTATATGACGTACAGATGGACGTTCCATCCATTGCAGTGTTAAGGTCCAGCCATGTCTGCGTTGCCGTTATGAGGCCTTCGCCCGGAGCATGTGTGGTGATCCAGTCCTCAAACTGGCTCCATTCAGATCGAGTCCCATCAATTGTTGTGGAGCCTACCACTATCACATCGTGTGTTTCCTTTTCGGCGAGAACAGCAGGTAAATGGGCAATATACAGGTTATCCGGTTCTCCTTCGTTGCCGGAAGCAGTCACCAGGACCACTTGAAGTTTATCCGGACGGTCGAGGAGCTCCACTGGTTCATTGATACGTGTCAGTATACGGTGCTCCTGTTGATCGTGTATGTTCTCGGAGATTGATGGTCAAGTCAACATACCTATTGCCTTTCTAATGAGTTGATCCTGCACGAGATCTTTCTGATCGCTAGGTTCGAATGAGAAGGAAAAGTTAATGATTGCTTTGCCTTGAAGTTGCCGTTCGATAACATCATCCATGATCATCAGTAGATACTCCAGTGTCTTTTCTTGTTCTGGCACGCCATACGCGTTTGGCACGTTAAGAAGCCCGGCGTAGATACCGATGAGATTGGCATTGTGTATGACACCAAGGTGATCTCCCGCGAGATAGGCGGCAACTCCAGTGCCGTGCGTCATATCAGGCGCATCGAACTCAGCTCCGTATGGCTTGCCTGGTGTGGTGGAATATAATTGATACGCTCCTTGTGTTCTTCCACCCTACTGAGTTTAGAAAAGCCTTTCAAATTCTTCGTTGTATTTCAACATATAGAAATCTGCTGGATGTTGGACTATTTAATTTAAATAGAGTACAATGTAGTAGTAAGAGAACTACGGTTGACTCTGACATGGAGCAGAGTGCGACTCACCAATTACACAATGATCTCTCAATACGGTCTGTAATAAGAGACCGAGACTGAGGCATTATTATAATCAACTGAACCTTATGGGAACATAGACGCTACATTATACTATGCCCAAAGTCTTTGAGAAGAATGTTTTTATTCCTTGGTAGTTTCATGTTCATCGAGTAGACGGCCTCCTTTTGATTCTAAAATTTCTTTATTGAGACATGGAAGGGCGGGAAGTTTTGGAGGAGAGATCGAGGAACGAGAGCTAAGATAATTTTCCAAGTCAGTGTATCTTTCAGGGGATTTGTATTATCCCTTCAAGGCGAAACGGACAAGTCCTGAATTGGCTGGCTTGTAACTTCTCGTAGATATACGTCTGGCTGCTGATTTTTTTAGTTTACCTGTGCAACGTACCAAATAGACTATTATGTCCTACAGACCCAAAATGCGAAGCTAAGATACGCAAACAACTCCATGCCGTTTACTGGCAGCAATATATCTGGAGGATCGACCCCGCCTTGCCATGATGGCCAGTTCTCATAGAGACTTCCAGTTTGACCAATAAGCTGTAAGAATATTTCCTCAGACTGTTTTTTTGCATAGTTCTGATCTGTGTAAGCCAACTCAGTGCATAATGAACCCATACTATTATTCAAAGCTAGCCAGCATTGGAATTTTCCCGCCGGAAACAGCTGCAATGCAATAAAGTCCACCATGTGAACTACGATCCGATCCACAATATGACTCCCGCAGGACGTTCCCCAGAAGGCTAATGCGCGGTGTTATCCAAAAGAGCCTAATCGATGCCTCAGGTACATACCTAGGGCAACCACTTTAGGTAGCCTTCAGTGGAACAGAAGATAGCTCTGTTCCTCGCCGCTATCACACTCTATCAATAGGCTACGATTGATCACCATACGCGACGTTTCTATCACAGCCTCATACACGAATTCTCAGTCTCATCCGCTCGGATATTATGAGTTGCCTTTTTGGGCAGAACGACGTACTAGAGGCAAATCACAGTTTTCTGTAAGTTGACCATAAGTCGCGCACACTTTATTCACTAGTCTTTCAGATATTGAATTTTCAGTGAGAGCCCACCTGCTTAGTCCAGTCATCTGGCACAACAAAGCATATGTCGTCGAATATCCGTAACCTAGTCACTTCTGTGCGGGCGACTACTAGCTCTGTCAGCTATAATTCAAGAGCATTGGATGATTGACGGTAGTTATTAGGCTGCATTGTGTTCTAATGCATATACCGCCACAAGTCGGTTTTGTGCGAGAAGGAGAATCAACGTGGTAAAGATCCAGTGAACCAAGTTCGTTGTCACACAGTTGTGCGGAATGTAAAATGTCTTGTTCTCAAGAATATTCTGCGACTTGCCCACGAAAACCCTGTTGAGGACTTAGTAGAAGATGATGTCAGATCTGTAGGCAACCTAGAAAAGGAGTCCTTGAATGCCCTCAGAGCAACTAATACACGTTTGTCTATATACTGCTGCTGACTGACATTGCCCTTGGAGGAAAATTACTTGTAACGATGCTTGTTGTTTGTACATTGACGCTTGTCCTCCTCAGTGGCTTGCACGACGCAAAACATGGGCTGCCAATTCAGGGGATAGATTTGCTGGCACCCGAATGTGAATCTACGTTCCCAAAGTCAGCACGATTCTGGTAAGCACGTTCATATTCTTGGAGAGAATGACAATAGATTGATAACAAAAACCCCAGAATCCACTAGTGGGGATAAAGGTTAAAGTGAAATGTAAACAAGCGAAGGGAAAAAACAAATGAAAGATTTAAAAATGAAAAACTAAAACAAAGATCTTGCTTCGTTAAAGAATATTAACATATTTATAATTTTAAGTTAATTGATGGAATAAAATCTAGTACATCATAGTTATAAGACTAATAATATATTTAATATGAATAATAAATGTTAAGATGTTAATATTAAGAAGAGACAGCTTTTAAAAGCGGGCTTAACGCGTAATAGTAGCGTTATGAGGGATATGAAGTCAACAAAAGCCATGCGCATTACTATGAAACTGATTGCATACTTAACTTCGAAAAACAACGATGCTATACGGACCCGTACGGCTTACATGACTACGATCAGACCGTTTCATAGTCTGAAACCAAGCCATGACTCGACGCAAAGCCATAATCCATACGCCACACTTAGGCGACCAAACTGACACTTCAGTATTTATAAATATAAATCGAAATAAAGCCATATAAGGTTATACGCTGGGCCTCCGTGTTGTATAACAAAGGGGGGAATCTCTCCACCCCTTACTGAGGAACATAGGAAAGAACAGATCTTGCACCCCATCGCGTGACTCAAGACGGGCGTCAAAAGGCTGGAAAAGCTGGTATCTACCAATAGGCCAGCGAGCGCTCCTGGAAGACACCGGGGACGCGGCGTGCAAGGCCTCCAGGGGTTACGCTGATCTTTTTTTTTTTTTTTGTAGTATTTGAGATGATTTGTTTTAAGTAGTAGTTGATCCAAGTATTTAGTACCAGTATGGAATGCAGAGCAGCGGAGAATACTACGCTGGTTTGGAAGTCTGCCCTATGGTGTAATGGAGTACTTATTACCTCGCCACATCTTTCTGAGATGCGGGCATTTCGATTTGTGCCACGGAAAACAATGAGCGTAATTTTTATTCCAGCTATTCGCAATGCCGCTCCTCAAGACTTGTGATGCAACTGTGTGCTGTCAATCGGCCGGGTATAAGCCCAACCTTGCATTGTATCCGAACACTATCTCGGGAACAACTGGTCCGAACTCCATGCTAAAGCATCACCGAAGTCTTCTAATGTATCCGAACTTCACGCTAAAGCATCACCGAAACCCTTGCATGCGATTTGCTTTTTCCTATCTGAGAGAATCTTGCTGGGTCTGAAAAACGTTCTTACTTTGTTGTGAACTTTGTAGAGACTGATTGTCTCAAAGTGCATGTTTGGATAGAAGAATTTATGCCGCTACTTTCAGCAACACGATCAAACGTGCTGCATTTGTGTGTATGTGCTGGCTGTGTAACACTACAGGCGCGTATTAGCGTTTGATGTAGTCTAATCCATTGAAGCCAAGCTCCAGTGACCCATTTTAATGCATGCGATACCGCCATAGTCGGGGTATGTCCAGTGTCGATCCTACCATATGATGAATTCTCGGGACGGCATCGGCCTGTTGCGCCCTTCCAGCGATGTCGTTTGTCTTGTTCACAATCTCGTCTGGTCATAGAAACTACCAGTGTTTCCGCAGGAACTCCAAATATGCCCACTGCGAAACTGTCATCTCTCTTCTGATGCCACAATGCGTCATGACCTCCGGTATAATAATTGTTCTATTCAACATCCTAGATTACCATTATGTCTAATGAGAAGGTGGTCGACGTGGAAGCCGGTTGGACCGTACGGCCACGTGAGTCTATGGCCAACCTCGATGCAGTCCACTATATCTAACATTAATCTCTAGATGATGGCCGACATCACAGTCACATCTCCCAAGTGGTGCAGAGGTTAGATACTGAAGACGCTGATGAGGCGTATGGTGGAGCTGCAACTCATCATGCCACGAACATCAATGACAACCCTGCACAAATAATCATATCTTGGGCGGCAGACGACAAGGACAACCCATATAACTGGCCGAAAGTGAGCTTTATCCCCCAAAGGATAGGGCCAAGGCTAATCGTTACATAGTCGAAGAAGTTGCCATTTGTACTCTCAACTATGATCTTGGTTGTGAACAGCACAATGGGCAGCTCATTACCAAGCATGGCGATTCCGTACATGATGGCAGAGTGGGGGATCGCTGATCAAGAACAGAAAGTTCTTCCCATATCGACTTATCTTATAGGATATGTGTGTGGTCCTATAATATGTGAGTAATACTTCCGGAGTTCCCCATCTTACGATATAACAACAGATACTAAAGAGTGACATTAAATACGACAGGGGGTCCATTAAGCGAGCAATATGGCAGAAAGAATTTGACATTGGTGACCTTCACGCTGTTTAGCGGATTTACATTGGGTTGTGCGCTTGCCCCGAGTTGGTCTGCATTCTTGGTCTTCAGATTCTTCACAGGTGCAGTTGCCAGTTCACCTATAGCCATCGTTGCAGGCCAGCTTGCGGACACTTTCGATGACCCTGTTACGCGAGGCCGTGCTTTTGCCTGGTTTATGGCCGTGAGTGACTAAATTGTGTGGGTTATCAGACTTGACCAGCTGAAATCAGGCAGATGACCGTCTTTGGACCTCTTCTCGCACCAATTATATCCGTATAGTGAACCCATCATCATTTTTTTTGGGGGTTCACTGAGGCTGATACGCTTCTAGGGTTTTTGTTCGACAACAATCGGCTGGCGTTGGAGCTTTTGGATCGGCCTAATCTATGCCGGATTTTCACTGCTAGTAGTGCTGATAATCGTACCCGAAACGTATGGGCCCAAGCTGCTTGCTATAAGAGCCCGGAAAATGCGAAAAGAGACAGGAAACCCGAACATATTCGCAGCTTCTGAGCTAGAGAGTCGTGACCTGAGTACTGTCGTCAGTCGTGTGCTCACTAGGCCACTCCGCATGCTCTACTCGGAACTTATCGTCACTTCCACGTGTATGTACCTAGCCTTGTGCTACGCTATATTCTACATGTCGTTTCAAGCTTTCCCGATCATCTTTCAACAGCTGTATGGCCTCGCACCCGGTGTCACCGGGCTGTGCTTTCTCTCAATCGGAATCGGCGCCTTGCTAGCACTGCCAGTCTTCTACGCTTATGATGGGTATCTCCGCCGCGCTCAAAACCAGAAGAAAGCCTGGAGTAGACAAGAAGAATATCGTCGAGTACCTCTTGCTTGTATCGGTGGGCCGTTGTTCGTTATATCACTCCTCTGGCTCGGATGGTCCGCAAGAACGAATACTACTTTTGTAGTTCCAATGCTGGCAGGAATTCCATTTGGATTGGGCTTTCAATTGATCTTCATGGCACTATTGAACTACCTCACAGATGCCTATGAGATATATGCTGCAAGTGCGAATGCGGCTGCAAGTGCCACACGATCTCTGGTTGCCGTCGTCCTGCCTTTTGCTACCACACCAATGTTTCAACGGCTGGGAATCGGAGGGGCGTGCAGTGTCTTAGCAGGACTGAGTTTATTCATGTGCTTCATTCCGTTCATATTCCTCTGGAAAGGGGAGCAAATCCGGGAAAGGTCCAAGTTCTGCATCATGTTAAAGCAAGAGAAGGAGGCACATGCTCGAGAAGCCGATGGTGGTCAGAGAAGCAGCCAGCTCGGACACGTTCCAGAGCATACCTAGGTATACCTGTCTGCAAGCTAGGTCTTTTAAGGGACTGTAACGGCCAGCGAGTTATAGTAGAAACGAGTCGGACCGCTCGGGGTAATCTTACGTGGGCCCCACATGTCAATACGAGCTAGGCAAAACACGATATACATTCAGGCAGAAAGATACTTCATAAACCATGCCTAACTGCGGCCATATTCTGGTGGATATGAAACACAGTATTGATATCAGGCTTGTTTAAAAATAACCTATCATGATATGGGGTTTCAAGAACGGATTAAATTTCTTAGTATAATGTAATCGCAACTCCACGCTATTACCAGCATAACCAGATAACTTATTTCTTTCTCTACTAGCTCATAACATAGAGCTATAAATAATTATAACCGTAGGCGTACCATATTCAAGGTATTTTCCGTCGGTATGTATATTGCCTGCGGTACCCACTCCGAAACTGATGCCATCAATTCGACGACGCAAATCAGAAGTGGCACTGCTGCGCTCTTTTTATGTTGCGCTGAGATTGATGGGCAAAATGGGAAAGGATAATTTCACCCTCTGATGAGTTAAACCCCGCAATATACCGAGAAATGGGTAGTAATTATGAGTAAAAGAGAAAGGCAGCTCGAGAAAAAGATGTTTCCTTATCTAGTTTGGCTTCTGTTGCTCTCATATGATCATCCTGAGACCTCTGAGCTACTTACACCGCTAAACTGTCCACGTTCACCACTGAGCCGGGTCTGCATCTGCAAAAGTGCTGCCAATGCCAACCTCATCAATCCAGAGCTGTCTATCCCCAGATCCGACAAGCTTTTTCTGGTCATGCCAACTGTTGGCATATAGACCGACACTGAACTGAAAGTGACCCTTCTTACTCACATCAAGGTAGGTTGTGATGATGTTGTACTCCTCGACCTTCTTGACGCCATCAAGCCAAACCTTGTAGAAACCGGTGGCGTCGCTCTGCCAGCTGGCTTGGATAACCACCTTGTACCAAACACCAGGTGAGATCGTGCCAACGGTGTACTCCTCGTAGTCGTAACCGCTAGTCCACTTGCTATCGCCGTTGGTACCGCACATATTGTTTCCCTTTCGTCGGGTTCTGAGCTGGCCCTGCTCAACCCACATCACTATAACGGCAGGTCAATACAAGCATAGCGTGCCTCTATTGGGGATACGTACTCATAGACGGAATCCAATCATCACCACATGTGTTGTGCTCGTTGGTGGCCAAGTTGGCAATGGTTTGCGCAATGTTAAAAGTCTGGGTACTGGAAGTATCCCAATCAGAATGCAGACGAAAGGCAAAGCCGTAAAATCCCTGGTCGCCTACAGTGTAGACATTTGTTTTGATGGCCTCTGAGTGGTAACGACCATCCCAATCCGGATCGTAGGTCTGGATCATTTTGAGAGATGTGCTGGGTTCATAAGAGACACTTGTGCTTTCGCTAACGGTGCCTTTGTTCTCATGATTGAATGCATCCCAGCCGGAAAGTGTACCATGGTTTTGGAATAGTGGTGTTCCAGCAACACCAATGGAGAGTTTAAGGAGCCACAACAGGCTGCCACTGGTGTACTGCATGATCAAGACGGGGCTAGAATAAGGTGTGCGTTTGTAGAGGCTCTGACCAGCAAAAGAGAATTCTGAGATCTGTAAGTGGAATGTCTACCTTCTTATATATTCTGAGACTGCAATTTCTGACCACTATCAACTCCTGCCGCTCTCCCTGGCCCGTCGCTGGACTCGTGATAGCCCATGAAGTCGAAAACAGTACGATGGCGTTGTGAGCTACCCATGTCTTCAGCTTTTCTGTCGCTTATTACGAACAAGTAGTAGCCAAGGCTGATTGAGCCACTTATGCATGGGCCTCACGTAATCCAAAACATGGCTTCACAATGGTTTGATGAATATGTGTTAATTTCCTGACATGAAGCCGGGATAACGATCATGATTAGTGAGCCAATACCCTTTTTAGAAACGGCCAGGATTGTTGAATTATCCGAAAATGTATATGCCACGATTGATTGGGTCATTGCTTGCATGGAGGATTGTGATGATCTAGTCAAAATCTGTCTTCGGTCATTTTGCATGGCAACTTGCGCAATAGCCAATCCACGCCTCATAAGCAATGACCCTCGTGTGCATGGGGATCATCTTCAAGATATCAAGTGAGTTTCTAACTGCAATCGATCCCCACATCCGAGTTCATGTATTAGTGCAAACGTTCTCTTGAATTCCGATTCCGATTCCGTGAGGCGACTCGGCTTAGCCCGTTCAGTTGCCCACGGTGCTTGAATAGTTGAGTATTCATATCTCTGCCACCCGGACCAAAACAGAAAAACGCTAATACACCATTACCAAGACTTCGAAGGACTGAATGCGCCAACAAGATTCTAACGTTTTGATGCTGTCGTTAAAACTTTTAAGTCATTTTTTAAACGCGAAGACCTCGTGTGCCCAAAATCATTGACATGCAAAACCTGCTGCTGTAAGGTGATTGCGACCTGAATAGTTAACTACACTTACATGCGTTCTTCGCGGACACCATCGAATGTGGGGAAGTGCAGCGCCGGTCACTTGGCCCAGGGCGATCACCGCTAATGAATCCGGGCGGCCGACTAGATAGAGGTTTATCAATGCGGACGTTGTAGGATCCGCAATCTCCTAATTACAAGTTTGGAGCAGGACAACATGTTAGCGATAACGGTATTGATTCATTTGCCCGGTAAGATACCGCGTAGGAATAGTGCTCTTGTTGGAGATCATGATGCCGCGTTGGCACGATACGTTGATTTGCGGGGTCGTCCTACCGTATGCTGCTTAGAGTACGTTGCAGGCTATAAAAACGGTCGATGGAACATCAAGCATAGAGTAGATGGGCGTTACAACACTTCGCAGTCTCTAAGGATATTTGCATTTCGATTTCTCGAACTCGAAAATATATATTCCGCTCTACTAACTTTGAAAATAATCATTGGGGTTCCTTCACCATGGCTAGCTCAAAGGTCCGCGTCGCTGTTACACAGGCTGAGCCAGTTTGGCTCGATCTACAGGGCTCTGTCAAGAAAGTGGTCAAACTCATGAAAGAAGCCGCCGAAGAGAAGGCACAGCTTATCGCGTTCCCAGAATGTTTCATTCCTGGTTATCCATGTTGGATCTGGTAAGCCTGCAATCCTCCCACATTTGCACCGATGCTGAAACTTGACAAAAAGGACACGATTGGTAGACTTCGAGATGAATGTCAAGTATATTAAAAACTGCCTGAAAATTGACTCTCCCGAGATGGAAACCATCAAGGCTGCCGCTCGCGACAACGGTATCGCAGTGTCGCTTGGGTTTTCTGAGAATGACGATGATTCGCTGTATATCTCGCAGGTCCTTATCGGTTCGGACGGAGAGATCAAGGTTCATCGCCGTAAAATGAAACCGACCCATATGGAGCGCACCATATTTGGAGATGCATCAGGCCATTGCCTCTCGTCAGTCGCACAACTGCCATTCGCTCGTGTCGGCCAGCTTTCTTGCTGGGAACACATCCAGCCACTGTTGAAGTTCAACACGATGGCCCAGAAGGAGCAAATCCACGTCTCCGCATGGCCAAGTTTGACACCCCACACAGGCGGATCCGATTTGTGGTCCATGTCCGCAGAAGGTATGCCGAACCATTGAGCCTCTATATATCCGAGATTCGGTGGCTAATTAGGAAAAGGCTGTCGAACATTGTCGGCAACCTATGCCATAGAATCCACAGCCTTCGTGCTTCACAGCACGGCTTTGATCACAGAAGAGGGGGTGCAAAAGCAGGGTACTGCCTCTGGTGCGCTAATGTCATCGGCTGGTGGTGGCACTTCAGCGGTTTTCGGACCAGATGGCAGGAAATTAACTGAGGATCTGGACTCCAAAACCGAAGGTGTCATCTATGCCGACCTTGATCTCGACGAAATCACCAAGATAAAGATGTTCGCACATTGTACAGGTCACTACAGCCGGCCTGACCTCCTATGGCTGAGCACTGACACCAACGTCAAAGGTTTGGTGAGAAGTGCAGTTGCAAAGGAAGTTGCAAGGGAGCTCTCGACTGATTTAGTTACTGATCTTTGAAATGATATCCGAACTAAAGTTGTACGCTTAGTTGATCAATACCCATTTCAGTTGCCCCATAGCGAATTGTTAAGATCTTGTTCGCCGCTAAACACCCAGTTGCTACCACCGTCGGCAAAGATATCGTCAAATTGTTGCTGAGTCTCCAGTCCAAAATTGAGGGTCGTCGGCACAGTGAAATCAAAACTCGAGTAGGTCATTGTGCTCATAGAATTTATATCGGTACCGCTAAAAGTGGGAAGTGAATATGGATTGGGCTGAAAGTGGTTGGTAGTTCCTGCTGGGATATGCGACGTGTTTGTAGTCGGAAAGGATGCTCGAGCGAAGTATTTTGAGCTCGGCGATGCCGCGAGTTCGACTGGGTAACTGAACTGGTGTGGCAAGGCTCCAAGTACACCCCATCGATCAGCAAGCACTCGAATGACTTTTATAGTTTTGTTTGCTCGATTAGGCCATGGCTGACTGAGGTGAACCAGAAGCTCCATGCATGTTTTCAGCCATCGGGTGCTCTGTGATCTCAACGATGTTGTCTGGCTGGTAGCGTTCATCAACAGAACTATTGCGGCGCTCAGTAGATGATGTATGATCACTGGGTTGGCAGTCTTCCATTGCTCGGAGTGGGCATCGCGGTACATCCGTACAAGTCGTATCATCATAGATGCGGCACTGGTAAGTGATCTTAAAATCAAAATGATGTAGTTAGGATTGGCAGTGCTCTCTCCTTTCGAGTCCACCTTCGACATGGCGAAACATCTTAGGAACGGAGGCAGAGTCACCAAAGAAGCCATCTGATATGACATGTGGAAGAACAAAACATGCCTGCTTGTCTCTTGGCCTCGAAGGTCAAGACGCCGGTCGCGAGATTTGAAAAAGTTACTCAGTGCTTCGTGAGTGGCAACGAGCAGGTAGGCTTGTTGTTCAGCAGGCATTGCTTCGAATTTCGAAGTGAATCTGCTTTATGTTAGCGAGATCTAGATTGAAGGTTCCTTGTACATACATCTGGTCCATTTGTTCATCATGTAGATACCAAAGTTTGCATTGCCACATGAAGGATATCTGCGCAATATCCGCCGTTTTCGAATCGAACGAAACGTCGAAGTCCGGCACGTTTACACGACGCCAAGGCAGCACACAATTCCTCCCTAAAACCGAGATCGCCGTCCGATCGATAAGGTAAAACATCCAAAAGGTTCGTATATCCTCCATTTGAGGCTGCCATGATCTTGCCTCGCATTCTTCGAGTGCAAGTACATGAAGGCGCAAATGGACGCATAACCCGGCCGCCATCGATATAAAGATCCACCCAAAATGATCTCTCCCAAGCGCCAGAGATCTCCAGGCCATGATAGAAAGCCCTTGGACAACTTTCACATTGGGGCTCTGACGAAAGCAAGGGAATATTAGACTCTCTGCGAAATGAGCAAATGCGTCGCCAATCTCTTTTGCATCGGCTCGTGAAGAGAACGCTGCACCGGTAGCCAACAGTGCACTGTGTAGGAAGGTTTCTCCAAAACTTTGATATGGGTAACCTTTTAGAAAATCGGTAGACTTGTAAGATGTGAACTGCTGCTCTTGGTTGATGTTTTCCAGAAACAATGTTGTCAATTCGTGTAGTAGGGCAGAGTCTTGGCAATATAGCAGAACTTTTGGTGGCGGTGGTATAAAATCCTGGGGATCAACTTGCTCTGAGCTATCGACTCGGTGCTGTGCATCGGCTGCAGCATCACTGATGATTGTGACGCCATCGCCGATATTCGTCCGCCACATCATGACACTTAGTTCCTCCATGGCAGTGACAGATCTATCATCGGGCTCTTCGCACTTTTCGCGCTGAGACGAGGTGTCCGGGTCTGCGCCGTAGTTGCCATTATAGCGGTTATGATCAGTAACACTGGTGGAAGCCAATTCGGTTTTGGAGTAAGAAGGCTCCACCAGATTTCCGGGGGACGTAGAGCTACCTGCGTTCTTGGCGTCAAGGGCAGCTAGAAGGGTCTTGACCTGATTCTCGAGGCTGGCGACATAGTCCTCATCCCAGTACTTACGCCTACACGTGGTCCACTAGTGTTAGATTATATTCATGAACGAATGAAAAGGTATGAGAAAGTATGAGAAAGTGTGAGCTTGCCTCTTGGGTCGTTCCTCAGTTGGATACGTGCAGGGTTTGTCTTGTTTGGCGCATCGTGAACACTGGGGTTTGACAGCATCACACTGCGGATATGATTAGGCCGCAAGTTCGTCGTAGCACCGTCATGCTCTTCAGATAGATGACGCACCTTTCGTTTACCTAAGCGGCAAGCGTCGCAAGCAAAGTTTGAGACTTTCTTCGAGTCCATATGGAGTGCGCGCATATAGCGACGGGCAGCGAGATAGAACGTTACCTTTTATTGCTGAACCTTTTCTTCGATACCTGGGCCGTAGCATCCTGAATATCCAGGTTGTTGGTTATGAACCGAGACACATGATTCCAAGGGTGTCGAAAAGGAGGTGGAGAAGCTGGAAAGCTCATCACCTCCCTCTAACTAGGTGGGAGATAGTCGCAAACTCTATTTTATGATTTTCGAGATTATTGGCACTGCGCCCTGACACGATCTTCGGGCCTGTTACCTATCGTAGCGAATCTGACCGAGCTGCATCCACATAAAGCCATAGAAATCTGTCAGACTGAGATGGTATCCATCAGGCGGAAGGACACATGGGCTGTGCAGTTGCCTTGGGTCTTACCCTTAACGGTACAGCCAGAGTACCCACGTTATCTTATCTCATTCTTATGAGGTTTTTCTCTAGATCCCTCACAAGATTCCGGTGACCAGTTGTTTTGATTCCATAGTATGATACTGTATACTAAGGTTAGGTTGGTCTAGTCAAAAGGCTATATATTTAGGGTGCCTCCAATCCTGATATCCAGCACCTGCCTGTCCCAACGTGGAATTCAACTCTCTGGTACATTTGAGTGTCGTATAGCACCGCCATTCCGTCGCTAACAAGACGTACTCGCGTTGTGTTGGGCTAACAAAAGTATTATCTTTGTAGCGCTGCTCTTATTGATAAAAAAGAAAGCATAAGCGGTAGTGAGTGGTCCGCAGTATCGAACTAAACACGCACAACCAGCACCAGCGGCTATCCATCAATCGTACATAGATAACTTCTCTAAATTCATTTTGATCTGTGACAAAAACTAAATAGTAAATCGTATGATGTTCACTATAATGTGCTAGCATGCCGAAGAGACCGCAGCGGGGCAACGCTTTCCCCGTGGGGGTTACATCTATTCTCGCGCATCAAATCATTTGACAAAGAACTGACGCTTGCCGCCTTGCGGTTAACAACCTTCCATCCCATAGTACTGGGGTTCCGGCATTGTTCAACTATCCTTGTCAAGTATTGACAAGGGTGCCTGTGGTAGCCAGTTTTGAAGTTAGTTCAGGGGTCACCACTTGGGAAAGGCAATTTTGATATCCGTCTATACCAAGTACGAATCAATCACCACGTTTTGGCAAGACGAACTGCTGACTATCTAATCTCCAAAATAACAACCATACAAAATTAGGAAGATGACCATCGAGTTGCTCCGGTGTGCCGTTGCAGCACATCTTCGAGAAGAACGAACTTCCGCAAATATGCGAACAAGCATTGATTCACGTCTCCTCATATTTCTCTAACGATTCTCCATTTCAATCAAAGCGCTACTTACGACCCTTCGTAATGCTTGCCTTAAGCCTGTTGACCTGAATGACGGCCCGATTCTGAACACCATATCATGCCTCTCATGCGTTTCCATGCCTCCTCAAGTACGTACAGTCTTCCGAGAGCTGACGGCTGCTATAAATTATGGTAGTTATTACAATGTCGCCATTCCGACATGCTGGCCCAAACAGGAAGTCTACGGAGGCTGGGCCAACATGTGGATTCAGAGAGTGGCGGGGAGAGCTGAGTTTCAATAGCCAGTACTATGGTTGATACCTCAACTATCAACCTCGACCATTGAGACAGTATTATTTAAATACCGAGGTGCATGAAAATGTGGCACATATCTAGGGGCTAGTCTGGGGTCGGATTCGAAAACATGTCTACAAAAATAGTATGCTTTACCATCTTCCCGCTGCGCAGACGGATGAATTGATGGGCCAGAAATCCCCCGCCGGTAACAAGTTGAGCAATAGCGAGGAGGTTGCGCTTTGGTAGAAAAATATGATCCTTCCGTGCGGGAAGAAATCGCCAGTCATTAGCTATGTACAAAGCTGGAGGAACGTAAGCTATATTCGGTACCAAGACCCAGCAATAGCCGAGGCTGAGGTCACAGCAGTAAAGCTAAATTGTTCAATTTCTTCTCGATGAGTAAAGTTAACCCGAGTACCGGATCTTGACAACGGTTAGACTGTCATTTTGGCATGTCTCGACAATCTCCTACCGCTGAACCGATGAAGTAAGGTGAATCGATATGATTTGCTTTTTTAAAGGTTCTTCGAATCACAAGCAGACGTTCAACAATTATATCACACTGTGGCATTTCCATGGAGTTCTAAATGCAGTCAGGCCAGCAGGTTTTTGAGTAAACCTGCTGTTACGATCGCTGGGATATACTTAATACAAAGTAGACTGTAAGAACCCATTTCTAGATTGAGATATCCAATTGATATCTGAGAGCGATCTTACAAAGACAATGTATTGCTAAAACACAATGGTTAAAATAGACTGCTTGAGGATGGCATTTGGCAAATAGAATCATGCATCATTGCGTCAACGAATTATAGTAACGGTGTCTTAAAAAATCTAATTTGTTGCAATAAACAAGTTAGCTTGCAGTTGAAAGCGTTACGGCGGTGACTCAGGCCGGTGGCGCTTCGTCACGGCGTAAAACGTTACCATTTGTGGATCAGAGCTGGAGAATCACCAATCAGATCCTGAAGACGAGAGGGAGTAGAATCAAACCGTCGCTTGTGACTGCACATATTTAACGCATAAGGAATGGTATGCAATTCTGACCTTGCAAGATACAGCAATTACATCTAAAGAACGCCAACTTTCTTTTCAAGACTCGTCACTTACTTACAATCCCATCGCAATGTCGTCGGTGGATCCGAACCAAGCGGATATTGTCGCATTCATGAAGAAGGCGTCTCGAGAGCTTGGGAAAGACCTTCCTGCGCCAAAGGACGTGTTCAAGTTCGGAGGGGACAACCCTGCGTTGAGTGATCAAAGGCTGCAACTCGCCATCGAAGGCAAGAAATCAGCGACAACATCGTGGCCCATTCCCGATCCGCAATATTGGGACGTTGGCGATTGCTCCGTCATACTGAACGGCAAAGACCAGCCAGCAGCTGTCATGCGCACCACATCGTTCGTGCGGTGCAAATTCAAGGACGTGGCAGAGGATTTTGCGCTTGCAGAGGCAGAAGGTGATTACGAAGATTATCGTAAGGGCCACATGTGGTTCTACGGCCGGCAAGAGAATGGACATGAGTTCAACGATGAAAGTATGGTACTCTGTGAAAGGTTCGAGGTGATCTACCCGGCTAAGCCAAAGAATTGAGGTTTTGCATGAGCACGAGTGAGGAATGAGGTCTGGATTCCAGGGTAACAAAGAGCATGTGTCTCGGGACAATTTCAGCCATAGTTGCGCGCATAAAGCAAATTGTAGATTCAATCCGAGGCTAGGCTAGCATTGAAACTGTGCGACGTTGTGTATGCTGCATCCGGCCGAGTTTGTGAGCCGCAGGGAGCTTTCTTGGTCACTACTCATCGGAATCAGACGATTGTTGCAGTTGGAGCGACATGTATATGTGTTCAATCATGGGAACGCCTTTTAGGTGTCGCGACGCTTGGAATACTTACTTACGCTATTACTATATTCATGATCTTCACCATGATCGACCGAGGGTTGACTGGAGTCGTCGGTCACGATTTGGCACGGACAGTGTCACATGAAAGCCACCAAACTCAGATAAGCCAGACAGTCAGTGTTGGTCGAATTGTCAACGGTCACTACAGAATAGTCGACAAACTCGGAAAAGGCAGAGGAGGCACAGTGTGGCTCTGCTATGATCAGATTGATGAGAAAGAGAGATGGAAGGCAGTCAGGGTAATAGATGTCATCCATTCAGCAGAGGGCAGCGGAGATCATATCATCGCACAAATGGCAAAATATCGACGTGAATGCGGTGAACTCGAAGATCACAATATCTGTTGGCCCATCAACCATTTCTGGCTCGAGGGTGCGTATGGTCGACACCTATGTTTGGTCATGGAATTACTTGGTCCCTCAGTCTCCTCAATTCATCTGGACGACCCCGAACATGTAAGGTCGATTTGCCTTCAATTCGCCAATGGTCTGCAATACTTGCATAATCAGGGTGTGTGTCATGGTAACATTACACCGTCAACCATTCGTTTCCGCATAACCCAAGAGATCAACGACATTTCAGAATGTGAGATGCGAGAACTAATCAATATTCAAAATTGCACAATCAAGAGTACAAATACTCAAGGACTTCGGCAATTCTCCAATATGCACGAAGTATGCATCAGTAATTTTGCATCCACCTTCTATATGACAAATTCGTCATTGTACATCGGTATACAATCTCCTCACGCGGCCCCCGAAGTACTATTGAATCGCAGAATTACTAGGGCGGCTGATATATGGTCACTGGGGTCCTCAATAGCTGAAATACGTACAGGTCAGCGGGTATTCGATATGTTTGTCCATGACAACAATGACGACAGTGACGTCTCGTATGTTATTTCAAAGGTGGAATGCTTCTTAGCATCTTTGCCTAAACCTCACCGGAGCTCTTGGCCAGGTTCATCACATAGGGGTGAACTGCCGATGGACCTTGACCCAAACCTCGGAGGTGAACCTGCCATCACTGAAGACCTCTCTCAACCAGTGTCATCCAAAACCATTCTCGCCCGATTGCAGACTCAACGACATGATTTATGCCAGAGACAAGAATTTTCCGATGCGTTAAATTCAGTCATTGCACAGCCCATAATACGCAAAGTTTCCTCAAAGGACGGCAATATGGACGAAATAATGAGCACAGTTACTCATTGTTTGTCACGCGCAGAGGTGCTTATTCTCGGAAATCTCCTGTCCAGAGTATTCAAATACGACCCAAATGAGAGGTTAACTATTGACGAAGTCATAAATCACTCGTGGTTTGGGTCAAAATTCAGGCGATCGAGTGAAGTTACATCAGCGTATGGGATAGCAGAAAATACGGCCCCATCGACGAGCAACGAGGGGTTCTGTGCAGAAGCTAGCAATGAGTGTCTGCGACGACGAGTAGGACATGCCGACCCGTCAGTTACCAAAAGGGATACACAGTCGGTAATTAAACCAAAAAGTGACACGGAGGAAGCGGGATCTAGTATTAGCTCAACGTTTGTCCGTAACAACAGATTCGATTTCCTTAACACTGAAGCAGGTGGCTTTATCATGGGTTTGGTAATGGCCACGTTCTTATGGACAATGTTGATTTTCATACGGTTGAAACCAATTACGAGCCAGCTACCTTGGGTGCCAGATACGCTGCTGATAGAGCGCATTGCTAGGTCAGCGTTTGGTACCGGGCTAGAAGGTATCACAGCTGAACATACGACGAGAGATACAGACAGGAAGGCCGATATGAATCTGGCTTGAAAACTCTCTGTGTCCTGATTTGATAGGCATCAATTTATCACACAAGGAAGCTATCATGTGTTTCGCTCAATTTTCATTAGCAAATCAGTCGGGAATAGCGTGTGCAAGTGGCTACCATTGTTGGGAAACTCACTAGGCGACTTCGGAAAACAACTGATCTGATTGCAATGCGATAAATGAACAGGGCCAACGGTGACTTGTACAAAAATGGACAATCGATTGAGAACCGAACGTGTGATCTTCAATTGTCCCTGATCCACTTAGCCGTTTTGAGCGAGTTTGGGTGTTGAACTCACACCAGGAATCCAAATTGGGTGCCTGATTACCGTTTTCTGCTTGAATGTTACTGATCTTGAATGCCGCAGGTCCGAGTTATGATCAAGAAGTGGGGCCGGTTTTTGATCCCAATCCGGCCGCAGTGCTCCGTGAAATCAGTAACCCCCCATCAAGGTGTATATAAATAAAGGTTCGAGCTCCAGAGCTCTGAAAAAAAATTTCCCTTTCTTCTTCATACCATTGCTGGCATCAACCACATTTGCGAAGAACTGGCAGTAAGCACAAGATTGACCGGGGAGCTGTCGTGGGTTCCTTCAGCTTTCGGACCTGACCCTTGTCTATGTTGTCGTATGATCGTGGCATTGCACCTTAGCCATACTTACGATAGCCGATGCGTGTCTGATGTGAACTACCCTCCTCCTAGCTCCATCCACCAGCTCGGCGCCCTGACAGCTTTTCACTCGGTTCGGTTTCGGCGATAGGAAGCCAACTGCCTCCAACGACGGTTCTGTCGACTTTCCAAGTTGGCCACCTCTGAACCATCAGGACAAAGACGGTCTAGCTCTATGCGTACTCTCACAAGGGTAACGGGTTCAAAAATCGTTCGGGGGGACGAGGGAACCCGGCGCGAGCTATCAAAACGCGTATCATCGTACATACTTCTCTTCTTCACGGAAGGGAATTCTCTTTTTTACGGGAGGGAATGGGAGGGAATTCTATTCTTTGCGGGAGGGAAGCAACGCGGACCATATGGTGTGCAAAAATAAATCCTCATGTCTGGGGTCAGGATACACCTCCACGACTCGGTTGACTCGGTGGGACTGACAGCGATTTTTGTGCGTTTTTCGTGGTGTACAGCCCGGGTGGGATCCGGTGTAACGCCGCCAAATAGTGGTTGCTTGTCGGCAATTTCATCAATCTTTGGAACCTTTATCATTGACACTGATACTTTTACTTCAGTTGCCTCTGATGCTTTACAATTTCTTTTTCGTTGCAATTTCCAGCTTGACTGGGAATGTGAGGAAGATGTGACATTGTGAGCTAAACGTGGCATGTGAGTAGTTAAGCGCGGCATTGTGAGGCAGATGTAACATGTTGAGCCGCAGTGGCTCATAGCTTATACAAGATTATGTCTCATGTCGAGCTATCAATTATTATGCGAAGATCTAGGCTTCGAAGGCATGGGTTTCGACTCTAGACAGAGACAGTTTTCTAACTAGTGTACCAGCCAGCAACGTTAAGAGGACATGAATTCGAGCATTATTATCCACCTATGCTATTCTAAACATCGCTCAAAGAGGATGCCAAGCACGTATGCACATTCATGCAGAAGGAGTGACTTCGTCGCCGCCGCCAGCGCTGCAAGCATCAAGCACCATTCAAAACCCATTAATGTAACTAAAGTACCACAAAAATACCACGAATAATAGACCAATGGCCTTCCATTCCAGCTGTCATTTACATCCAAGCGAGAGCCGCAACAGCAGCACCTACGAGCGCGCCACCGGCCATGGCAGTCGGCACAGCCCCAGCATTGGGCGACGAGGTCGTCGTGGCCGCAGCGGCCGTGGTCTGGGTGCTCACGATGGTGGTGCCTGAGCTGGTGATGGTCGTCACCTGAGTCACAGAAGACCCAGGGGAAGATGTTCTTGTACTGGCGCTGCCGGCGGTGGAAGTCTGCGAGGTTTGACTGTAGGTCCATCCGCAGTCCCTCATGAGGTCAGTGACATCTGCTCCCACAATGAATATGTCAGCGACCGTGGTATGTGCTTGGATAAGCTATACTTCTACTTACCGTTATCAGTGCGGTCATCACCCCGCTCGTTTTGGTCGACGCAGGCCGCGCACGAATTAAGGATGAATTGGGCGTTGGTCGAGTTGCAGACGCAGTTCACGTAGCCGTCGTTGTTTCCTGTCTGTTCGTCACAGTTCCTGGAGAGTGTGAACACCGACTGGCAGTCGTTGTTGCTACGGCATGCTTGTGGCACGTCGTCGGATTCGACATTGTTCTCGGCCAGAGCTACTGAGGCAAGCTGGAGAGAGAGAATAGCGAAAAGCTTAATGGTGGGCTGCATTGCGAAGTTGTCGGTGATAGCTGTTCTCGTTATGATATTGGAATTACAATTGATGAATGAATATTTGAGTTGATATGATGATGATTCAAGTTGCCTGTGTTTGTTCTTGATGCGAGTCTTTATATTCCGTGAAGCTACAGGTCTCCGAGGCGCAGTATATGTGTGCTGTCGTTCTTGAAGAAGATCATCAAGTTACGGCTTTCCTGACGCGCAATGCGAAGTCTGGAGTTTCACTGGCGGTCTACGAATAACGTTTGAATCATCCAGTCAATGAAGCGGGTGATCAACTCAATGTCACGTCAAGCTGGACCACATGTTGTATGACTTCGGGAATCCTTACCGATCGCAACCCCAGTAATCATGATCCACAATTTGCTGCAACACAGCCACCCATCAACAGCTGAAGTTAATCGTGAAATCGGTTAGATGGACAGAAACGGGTGTAATGACATGGCAACTTGGCGTATGTCATCCCAGCCATCCCGGCTTGGCGTTCTAATATAGTGGAGAATATGGAGGCACAACCAGCATCTTCAACATAAGGTTATTATAGTTTTCACCATTAACCAGGAGGCTTACCCTGATCAAAACCAGCACATGTATCACACTTGAGCTCTCGTGACCTGCCTGCCCATGAAACGTCTGCCTGAAGAGTCATACTAGTCTTGTATAAATCTGTAGCTCTTGATTGATATAGCCTCCTGCTCACCCAGGCTTTGAATTATAGTAAAGCAGAACTGGTATAGCAAATGGCTTTGTACAGACTTCCCACAGAGTCAAGTTACGTGACATTATACCAGCCTTGATCAGGGTAAGGTCGTCCCGTGCAGATCATCTTAGCTCTCGGCATTTGCGTTGCCAGCACAACCAGGCACCAGGACAGTGATGCAGCCACAAACGATGATGAATACTGCAACACACTGAAACAACACAAGAAGTCTTGGTATCTTGTCGTTCCTGAGTGACACAGCCTGGTTGGTGCTAGGCTTCGGACCACTCACTTGGCATGCAGGGCTAGCCACCACGATGATCTGTGGGGCGTGTGCTTGGAATACAATACGAAGAAAAAAGAGGCTCATCTCAATATAAATGTGATTCAATATGAGTTTCTAAAAACGTATTTTGTACCTATTTTGGGCGACGTTGACTCCTAAAGAATATCACATTTTTGAACGTGGCCGAGACTGTATGGTAGTACAAAGATGGCCGGCGTCCGTATTTTCGGACGAAGGGATATACCGAGATAGGAGACATGATTGGACTAGGGCGCGTATTCCAAGGTTCAGATGAGATGCATGCTTGGTATCTCCGATACTGCGAGGATGGCGAGAATCATCCTTGGGATCACCCTCTACAAAGTGATTAACAACAGGTTCTCGAGCCACTCCAAAGTAGTGCGGAGATGACGAAAGCCCTGCGAGGCTTTTATTCTATCGTACTATTGCCCTTGCCATGCTCTCGCGGTTTCCAGTGCCTCGGCGAAAGAGCCAACTTTTCCGTCAATTGCATAGCCTTCTGCGCTGAGCTTCCTCACCTCTGAGTACAGGTCTTTGAGTGGTATCGAGAAAGTCTCGATGATCTCCCCCTCTTCCAACTCAGGCTTGGGGCTCTTGTTTTGATCGTTGTTAAGGTCGATTTTCATCCTGATCATATAGGTACAGGAGCTAGACGATGCAGGACCTGCACTTCAGTCAGCGCACTGGTAGGTTATCACCGTTCGGTGTAGCAAGATAAACCCTGATAAACTTACCGTTCCAATGAACCGGCCTGTCAGCCTGCTCTTGAATCACCTCGCCAACATATCCCGTCTCCTCTCTCAACTCTCTGACCGCAGCTTGTTCCGGGGTCTCGCCCTCGTCCACCATGCCAGCGGGGAACTCGACTACGACCTTTCCGGTGGGAGGACGAAACTGCTTCTCTAGCAAGACTTCAGGACCGGTAGATTTCTCTAGAATAGCAAGGATCTGGATGGCGTCCACGGCGCTGCTTTTCGGGCGAGTGGGACGCTTCATGGCCTCCCACGTGCGGGCTTTGCCATGCGCATCTTCATAGTTGATTCTGTATGCGAGAGATAGAAGTCAGCCTTGAGAGCTATCTCCCGCGCCGTTCTCGAGAAGCTTCCCAGGCTTGGGAATTGACCGACTTCACTAGCTTGAGCCATTTGGAGTCCTTGGTGTCCTGGAATACTGTCAGCCGCGCACGTAGGATCGACCCTTTTTGGACTTACCAATGGCTCCGTTGAAACAACCCTGGCCCTTCTTTCGGACATGGTTTTCTCTCTTTCTTTTTTCTTTAGCTGTATGAACGAAGACGGCCAGTTGCGACGAGGCTATCTGGTTTGTGGATTCTCCGGATCCGGCGCCGAAGTCGAGCACTGGAGCTCTGCCCCTCATCACCGGTTTTCTCGACCCCACCATTGACCACCTCGTCTCCTGAAAAAACATGGCTCACCCAAGCAAGGCGCGGGATCGGCCAAGTAGACCCAAGAAGGCGAAACCCCCAAATGCCGTCGAGGTCGCCTTGAACACATGGTTCGCATCGCTACCAGAGGGCGTGCTAGCGGACCACAATATCCAGGCACTGGTGGCCCAAGCCCCCAAGGGATGGAGCGTCTACGAGCCCATGGTCCTGCTCCCGGCTGGCTCCTTCACGAGCGAGGCTTGGAGGGCGGTCCTTGAGCACATTCCAAGCGGCGGCGCCGCAGATTTGTGGGAGAGGATTCTAGCCAATATCCCCAAGCCGTCCAGACATGCCAAGCTCACCCACCTAGCAGCGAACGAGGGCATACCGCTGCACAGCGGCGATGGCGCCGAGGAGAACATCCTCCGGAGCCCCATCGGGCTGCGGACCCTGTACGGGGACTTTGGGCCTTCCGCTGTGCTGGATGCTGCGAAGCGCATCACGCCCGAGGACCTTGACAAAGCCTTCTGGGTGTCCACGACGCAGAACGGTATCTACCAGAAATGGGCGCCGCGGTGGACTATGTTCAGCCGCGGGAATGTGAAGGAGAAGGCACGCCTTCTAGATTTTCACAAGCCATCTCCATCACAGAGCCGCGAGAACAGGGTCATGAGCCAGAAGGCGCTGAAGAACAGGTGGGCCGTGGACCTGTACGCGGGCATCGGGTATTTCACCTTCTCGTATGCCAAACTCGGCCTGCACGTTTTGTGTTGGGAGCTGAACCCTTGGAGTGTCGCCGGCCTCAAGCAAGCTGCTTCGCCCAATGGGTTTGACGTTCGGGTAATCGAGGGGGAGGACCTCCAGAATCTCGACATGCGGACAATACTCGCGCAACCGTCACAGATCACCGTCTTTGTCGAGAGCAACGTCAATGCAAAGCGGCGGATTGACCAGCTGCGAAAGCTTGGAGGGGAGCTTGATATGAATGACGACGGCGATCCAGACAGTAACAGCGGCATCAAAACCAAGAGTAGCAATTCGAGCTACAAGTCGAGCGATTCGAGTATGCGCCACTCAGACCTCGTGGAAGAAGATGAGGGCGAGGTCAGAAGCTTGAATACGGTGGAGGTCCTACACATCAACGGTGGGTTCCTACCCACGAGCGAGCCGACGTGGCAGGATGCATGGAATCTTGTGCGAGAGGGTAGAAAGGCGTGGCTACACTTGCACGAGAATGTAGGCGTCAATGATATCGAGAAGAGGAAAGCCGAGATACTGCAGCTTTTTGACGGGTTTTGCACCTCTGAAGGCCTAATGAGACATATAACGGTGGAACACGTTGAGCAAGTCAAGACGTTTGCACCTGGAGTATGGCATTGCGTGTTCGATGTATACATTACGAGGTAATCTGGACACATAAAGGGTCGTCATGTTCATAATACAGCGTCATTGTACAATTCGTCAACCGAGATGTTCCTGAACGAACACTCATCCAGACCTCCTGAACTTGGCTGGGATGTTCTCCTCGACAATCCTCATACGGTTCATTCGCTCGAGTTTCTCCTCGGCCTCCTCCATGAGCTCGTGCTTCTTGAAATGCTCAATGTCTTCGGGGTGAGTCAGATCCTCCAACTTGGTGTTCTCGTCATGGTACTTCTCCCAGTGGTGGATTTCGTACTCGTACTCGTCGTCCCCATGGTGTCCTGGCCCTGTGGCCATATCGGGCAGGGTCTTTCCCTCGTTGATGAAGATAACAAACTCGTCGCGCGTCACGAAGCCTGAACCGTCTCTGTCGAGCAGCGTGAGAATCTGCCGGGAGATCTCAGCCCGGCGCTGTTGTGTAATGTCCTTATTCGAGTCGTCCATCAAGCCGTACGTCCTGAGGATCTCTTCGGGTTCCCATTTGCCGTCGGCATCGTAGTCGTGTAGCAAGAAAAAGGACGAAGCGTCGAACTCGGAGATGTGGTGTTCCTCTAGATGTTGCTGTCAGTTGTGAATTCCACACTCGGGAGGGCCTCTGTCGCCTTGTATGGCAGTGCGCGACTATCGTGACACACACGGGCTGGAACAAAAGGTCGAAGAGGGACAGCCATGGGAGAGGCGAGGCGACATACCGGCCATGTGCTTCGTCATCCAATCCGCGTCGGCAGCCACAATGGGCTTTTGCGATGGGACGTGGTCGCCGTGAGCCAGAGCCCCGCCAACCAGAGCCAGTGTCGTTACAAATATCGAGCGCATCTTCTCGCAGTGTGCCGTATGTATGTGAATGGTCTCACGGGTATGGCCGGCCGGAAGAGTTCTTGGATGTGCACCTCCGCTTCTCTAGCAAGGCGCGAAGTATTGACAAATATCGAATGCCCATCATAAATTCACGACAGGTCTCTTGTTGCATCAAAGATTGGGGGATCTGCCGGCGGTTGCTGCAGGGGGGAACACCGCTAACGAGTCAGGGGTCCTCGGTTGGGATTTAGCACTTCTGGCACTCTGGCACTCTGGCACTCTGGCACTCTCCAACCTTACTTAGCAGGCTTAGTTCTGTAACTCAGGTTAGGCCCATGATTCCGTCGAGACTGCGGCGGAGTTGGGACTTGAGCAACTCTTACGGCGTAACACTTGTTGGGATGCAGAATATCCTCGTCGCCGATATAGCCTGAACGCACCGGATACCGAACCTCCCCGCCCATGCGTCTGAGACAGATAGTAAATACAGCGTTCAAGCAGTAAAGTCTCAGACTGAAGCTCTCGGGTCAATTCATGCATGGGGACAGATAGTAAGAAGGTAACTTGGGGTATTGTGCTGGGGTGACGTCAAGCGACAGGCCTATTCATAGGAGGGCCCAGAACATCCCCAGCGATCAATCAGCTCGCTAAATTTAGCGCTCTCAGGTACAAGTAGAAACAAAAGCCTACTGGCCAGAGCTCCAACAGCTTGAGCTCAAGCTAGACTAAGGCTAATCCATGTGCTAATAGGCACCTTATTTTTGTGAAGCTTCAACGGCTTCCATGTAGAACGAAACAAGCCACAGCAGCAGCAGTCATGTCGCGCTCCGTTGAGCCAACACTGCTCTCCTTGCTCCCTACCCTGCCCTCAGCCGAGTCTTTACCACAACAGCTAGTCAGTCTCTCGGCCAGTCTCCTCGCACAGTCGCGACACAATGCCAGCACACTCAAGGCCGAAGAAGAGGTCGCCCGTCTGTACGCATGCGCCCACATCGCCTGCGAACGCCTGAAGACGACACTCGATCTGCCTCCCATACAGGCCCGGCCCCCCGTGCCCCCGCGCATATACAAGCGGCTATACACCCATCTGGACCACATCCTGCCTGCAAGCTCAGCAGCAAAGAGTGGCAGGATACGCACCCCGAGTGGGAAGGCAAGGGAGGCAGGTTCGGTCTTTGGTAGCGGAAGTGCCCTGAGGACACCACAAAGAGCGACGCCGAGCAAGGAGTCTGCATTGGCACAGTTCAGGTCAAAGGCCGATCATACACCGAGCAAGTCTACAGGCAAGGCCCGCGTCCCATCTACAGCAACAAAGAGTCGCAATGCTTTACCTCCCTGGGCCCCACCAACCATACGGTCTGTCTGCAAGCAGCTCGACTCAGAACGTATAGCCCCGACCGTCCTAGCCGGCTTCCAGACCATTGTTGCACCTCATGGCAAGCGGACCAAGGATTCCTGGGTCAATGAGCATCTTACACCACTACTTGCTGCCGTGTTTTTTCTTGTTACAGTCAGATTCACTGTGCTCGTATCTGGAAAGCCGATCAAAGGAACCCAATTCGCGACTGTGCGAAAAGATGTAGTCCAAGCACTGCGACAGGCCAGGAACGACGTCGACGATAAGGCCGAGGATGAAGAAGTATTCTGGGATGGATGGGCCAACGTCGGCCCCAAGGACGTCGACGAGGCAGCCAAAAAGTTCAACGAGAGTGGATGGCAAGACGAGGAGTGGTTCAAGGGTATTCAAGACCAAATTGGTGCAAGCGCGGATGTGGCCATGGACGACGCTGAGGATCATGCCGCTGGGGCAAAGGCGAAGGTACAACGCGGCGATACCATGTTGCAGGGACGTTGGCTCATGGACGATACAAAAAGACACGAGTACAACCGCTGGAAAGCAGAAATTCTGAAGCGATGTGACGAGGTCCAGAAAGGCGACAGTGCCATGCATGTTAATGCATCTGCTTAGGTTGAGGCGGTCTTTCTGATTGAAGTATTACCAACTTGCTCCGAAGGCTTTCAGAATAACTACTGGTACAATGATTTTTTATTCACCTTAAACCCAACCCTCGACGCTGTATTGCTTCTATAAATAAAGCGCGCCCATGCAGGACTCGAAGGATCAATCTTCATTTCGGAAAAGTGCTGCTACATGCTGCGCCCTCTTGGCGCATGGTGGCTAGGCATTCTGGCACCAGCATGGTACGAAGTAAGTTTTCGGCGAACTCTTCACTGGCAGTCAAGCGATTGTAACAGGGGTTCCGCTGCAATCATAGGAAAACTGTCCAAGCCGTCTCCGTAACAATGACTAATAAGTCGTAGAATGATTCAGCCTAGGAACCCCCCTCAACGCTCTTATGGTCGACAGTTCCAGTTTTCCTATTCAGGAATGCCAACCTATAGTAGTTAGTCTAGCAGGAAGAAACACACTGGCGCAGTTTGAACAACAATACCTCGCTGTAGCGCGGCCAGCCACACTCTGTATAGTGGAGACACGGCTATAGTGCCAGAGTGCTGTTGGGTAGGCAGGCCCCTGCCTCAGTCCCAACGTTGTACATACATAGTAAGGTCAGAGGACAAGCATCACGCATTGACTGGGGCAAAGTGAAGATCAACAGGCGTAGGATCAAGGCTGAGTCACAGACAAGATTCCGAGCGTCGACATTCATAAAGACGGCTATTCCCTACGGTCTATGTCCTGGTCGATCGACCCATTAGAACTTTTATTTACTGTGCCGCAAACAGACAGCAAATCGCAGGAACAAGGCGGCCACTTTGTGGTTTCGAGTCACGTCATACAGAAAAACCAGATCACATTTGTCGCGGCATAGAAGCTGCCTGAAATATTTCCTGCTCATCTTACCTGCTCATCATACCTGCTCAGGCATTATTTGATCCCGCTCTCGTATACGACGACAATGTGGAAATCCAAATCAGACCATGCTGGAAATGCCCAGCAAGATAGAGACATCATTCCACCAGATATTGAAGACCCTCCGCCCCAACGCCAAGCTCATTTCAATGCGGCAACGCCGAGTGCAAATTTCCCACAACAACTGCCCCCTCGCCCAGAGCCATCTCGTCGGCAAGGGCTCTGTCCAGATGCTAGATTCGTAAGCCAATATTACATTGCCTCTCGTCACGACACCTCGGTGGTATCCTGAAATCATACGATCACGCAGGAGATTTTTTTCACCAACTCTCTATGATTCCGAATATGAATACCTGTTAACGATCTCTAGTGCTGGCCCTTCAGTTGGGATTCGTGGACTCTCAATACAAATGGCGATACACCCCTCCTTCTACGTCGACTCTGCATGTGGATTACGCTAGGCGTGAGAGTATTCAACTACGTCCTCGCCTTCATTTTCCAGTTGTTCGGCTTCCATATCGCATCCATGATTGTTGGTATCATCCTAGGCGTCTTGTCGTTCTTCTTCATTGCGTATTGTCTTTCAGGAATTGGCAACGTACAAGGATCACGGAGAGTTTTGGGTATCAGTGCAGTAAGTTTTCCCGGCCATTCTAGAGGCAACTGAGTCGAATCAAGACACGGATTGTTGATGCTGACAGAAATAGAATCGATGGCACTACGATGTTTTTCTGCTAGGGTCAGCGCTCATCCACATCATGCTTATTCCTATCCTGTTCAAGTACAGGTCACAGGTCGCGTATGATGTGACTTGGTACGGAATGTGGATACTCATATTTGGTACATGGTGGACAACTACATGGGTACCAGAACAGACGAGCTATGTCTGATTTATCGAGCTCGGTGTAAGTGTCCGGCTTCTCGGCCGTACTATATCGATATTGAGAAGGGTGTCCGGAAGCAGTAACTTGGATCGGGGAAGTTTTGAATGGATGATGATAATCGTGACCGGAAAAATGCTCGCAAGGACTCTCCATGACGACGATTAGACTACGATCAGGATTGATTTGCAGAGCAGAATCTCTCGTACGGCGACGCTGGCAATAGCTCCAGCTCTACGATACCGCTGATCCACTTCGATTACGACCTTGTCTTTTATACTCTGCCGGCATTAGATGACGAATGGTATTCCCGTCTTACCTCATCCGGCCGGGACTGGGCACATCATTTATTAGACACAAATGTGACGATGATGAGCTCATAATTGTGACGAGAGCTCTTCGTGAGCCCAGCGCGTACTCCTCGAGAACCGTCTTGAGCCATACGGTGGTTCCAGTGCAACCACCACCTTGGCTTCTCCACGTGCGCATTGGCTTTTTAGTTCTCATAGTGCACAACAATGACATAGCTCCTTGATGTATCCATGAACTCAACACTCTCTGGACGACGTAATGTGGTCATTACCCCACACTTAGCTCTTTCATTTCTGTAGTATCATAATTATAAACATGTGATCAGTAATGCCTTTGAGAAGTCTGGCACAGTTTCCGATGCAGTTTCCGATGCAGTTTCCGATGCAGCTTCCAAATAAACTATCGGTCAAAAACACAACTCGAGCGCATTGCTCAATCTTCAGATACAAACCATCAACATGTCTACAGGCGGCGGCACAGGCTATGTATACCCCATCCAAATCACCGATATATGTTTCCTTCAAGCTAACCAATCCGCACCGCCAGACCCCGGAACAAGTCCACAGCCATGACAGATCCCTGCTGGACAAGATCAAGGACGCTGTGAAGCCCAGCAAGCACTCGAAATCGTCCTCCTCCTCAACGGGCGCGGCGGCGGCGAGCGAGTCGCGGCCCGTAGAGCAGGGCCACGGCCTCGGAGGCGGCAGCGCCGGTGGCGAGGCGTACACGAGCAGCAGCCGCGAGAACGTGCAGGGCCGGCCGCAGGAGGGCCTCGCCGGCGCGGCCCCGACCCACGACCAGAACACCATGCCGGCCGGCACGGGGCTGCGCCACCAGGGCCAGGACACGAGCGGCGGCGTCACGGATGCGCTCAAGTCCGGCAGCGGCGCTGGTGCGCACAGCACGACCGGCCAGGCCGTCCGGGAGATGACAGACAGTGCTGGCAGCTCGGCGCCGACTACCAGCAAGAAGCTCAGCGGTGGGTTGGGAAGCGATCCGGGCAGTGCGGCTTTCGGACGCTGAAGCAACGGAGGTTGGAAGAGTTGCGATGTGAGAATATTATGATTTGAGGTAAGACTGGTAGAGAAAGTGCTGGAAAGCCGTGTAAAATATCACAACTTCTTGAGTAGCTATTACTAGGTCCCTTTATCTCTCGTGAAGTTTTCTTTGATGTGGTAATCTCGCCAGTACGAAGGTCGTGGCTTCAGGCCTGTTTATTTGTGAGTAGCTTCATCAGTCGCTGTAACACGTACATATACAAACGAGCCAGTGATCACCATTATGGCAACATCGCTCTCCGAATCATGGATGGGCTACTCCTAAGTCAACTGCATCGCTCTGCAAGTATTGCCGCGCTGGTGGTTACTTATGTACTACATCTATGTCTTAAGTAATATAATGAATTTGTATTGTTTAGTTGCAAGAATAGTTAGACATACTCCTTGATTTATTCTTGCTTTGTAAATGTATTGTTTCCTCTGCGGGTGGAACAGATCGTTAAGTGGGCTTGAGAACTGTGTTGTCGCGATAGCTTCTGCAGAAACACTAGGTATACTCTCCTGAGCGTTGACAAAGAAGCCACTAACCTATCGAATGTACTATTCTCACTGCAGACAGAATAATTGAAATTCCTAAGTGGGCTGCTAATCCCCTCGCTTTCCGGACCTCTACATATGCTTAAGCTCCTATACTTGAACTCCGGCCCCTGAGCTCCACTGACCCCTGAGCTTGAATTTCTTGAGCTTCTACTTATAAGATACAACGTATAAATCATAAGCCCTGAGCTTAACATCTCTCTTCCGCTTGATCTTCCTTCCCTGACTTCGGATTACCCCGGAATGTACTATTTCTTTCCAGTAGAAGCAATGATGAATGTCGACACCTGAATCAGCGAATGTACAAGTCGAGAGTCCGGACAGCTCCTTTCGGAGCCACTAGACACACCTGAGCAAAATATTCACTAAGTGACAGTAGTTTAAATTTCACGTTCCATGTAACAGCCGTCCTGTACTTGACCTTCTCACCAAATGTATTGTTCTTTCGGTGAAGGGAATGATCAATTTTATTCAGCGAGCTAGAGAATCGCCAATGTCGGCTATAGACTAAAACGCTGGTTCATTGGGGATACATCTTTTCCGGAACACTTCTTATACTTGAATCTTAGCCACAGGTCTATTATAAATGTCATACCACTTGAAATACATCGATGAGGTAGTTAGCTGTCTTCCTTTACATGATCTACTCCTTCAAATGTTGTGATTTCTCGGCACATGGAACAAATCAGAGTCGAAAAGTGGGCTTGACAGCCAAAGGCGGATTCCATCTGTGATGAATTGTTTCTTGGTCACTCTATATTTGAGTTATAACTCTTGAGCTTCAATGGATTACCCCCCACTCGGCGATTCCCTGACTTCATTTACCCATTCAGATGTACTGGTGTCTTGGTATCGGGGTTTATCTGCTTGAAGCGGAACGACAAAGTCCAAACCAAAGGAATCGGGTGGACGAGATCATCTTAGAGAATTTTCGAAGAGGAAAGGAATGGATGAAAGATAGGTTTCAGGTCTAAATGTCGGGACAACATTAGGCGATAAATTATTACGCATCAGCAACAATTTGGCTTCTTCTATGCATCTTGCAAGCTAGCCACGTCATATGACCCCTGGGAGTTTGCCGCAAATCTGTTGACATAGACCTCACACCGACGTTAGAATCGAATCAATCAATCAATAGTGTCTTAGTGTAGGGAATGAGTTGAAACTGCCAAGTTGGCTATAATATGCAAGGTTAAATCAATTGTGATGGCTTGTTTAGACCATTTTGTCTGCTTGAGTCGTAGTCCATGAATTATGAAATCGATGAGTTGGGTGAGAATTACTAAGTGGACTGTGAGAACGCAAGATTGAAAAACTCGTCCGGAATACTTTACATACCTCTGCTTTCATCCCATGAGCTACCACAGCTCATTTGGAGATTCTCATCCCACCTATCGATTTTACGCAGGTAGTTGCTTTCCTCGACGACATTCGACCCACCGCCTGCGGAGATATCTCTAAACTCACTTGTGATGGCTTCTTCTCGAACACCGTTAATGCCTGAGCTCCAACCTCTGAGTTCTCTCCCTCAAGTTACTGCATATCAATCACAGAATCATCAAACGAGCTGAAGAGCAAAAGGTTGACCTACCCAAGCGTGTTTCGGAACACCAAAAACACCCGACCTTCAACTTTTGAATCGTGTCATCACCAGGTTGGCAAGAGAGTGAAAGGTTAATGAAATATACCTGAGCCCAACTCCTGATACTGCATCGTCAAGTGGGCTATGGGAATAACCTATCCCAGAACATAAAAGATTCTCGAGCTATAACCACATAGATTGACAAATCGTCGAGGAGATTTCAAAGTCGCTACGTGATGATAAAGTGAATGCTTCACAACATACTCGAGCTCCAACACTTTGGCTTCAACAATGAATAAAGAATCGCTAAGTGGGCTGTGGAAAAGACTTGTTTCGGAGCACGAAATATTCCTGAGGCTCAAGCCATGAATTAGGCTATAAAGTGATTGTTTATAACATACCTGTGCTGCAACCTTTGGGCTTGAACAGCTAAGCTACTCCTTGCTAACATTGTATTAGCGAGTGCCCTCCTCAACTACTTTCCCCCAGCCAGTTTATGGCTGTTCCGTTCTCAGTTGTGATAGCTACTCTCCCGAATTATTATATATCTGGATTCCGCTCCCAAAACTCCAACCTTTTCCAACATCCAACCACTCAACCACTAAACTACTCTCGTTACAACCTCCAACGCATCACAAGACCATACAAATCCACAAAAGGCACGAAAAAGGCACGATAATTTCTACAATATGTCAGTCCACCTTCGACCCCAAAAGAAGTATGGCCGCGTCATCGCCGCTGATGAACGCGTGACCGCCCGACTTCCAACCTGCAAGGGATGGGGCCTTCTTTCTCGAGTGCAAAAGCAAACGATCAGGTTGGAGATTAGATCTCACATCAGCGCCTACATGTACGTTATTCTGCTTTTCGCACTCCTAGCATACACAAACACTGACTCTGACGACCTATCCAGCGATGAGATCATCGACGATCTCGCTGTGGGCACAAAGCTCGACTACGAGGAGCTCGCAGAGGACGCCATCCGCACAGTCTTCGAGAAGAACTTGGACATTTTTAGTGTCAAGGACGAGCAAGGAAACATGGCTGACGACAGCTTGGTCGTGGAGCTGATGTGAACACGGAGGACACGGGACGCGGCCACGATCGAAATCATACAATCAGCCCATCACCAATGACTTCAAGATGTTCCGATATCTAAAGATGGTCTCTCGGCCATGGGGATTTCTTTGGGCTTGTTTCGAGCAAGATATGAGAATTGCACCTAATTCTGGAACTGCGAGCCACGATGGCCGCTGATAGCTTCGGCTCCGGCTTGGACCCTTCGTAAAGAATGGAGAACAATCTGGGAGACATAATATAGAACTTTGGACATTGCTCTGGATGACTTGAAGATCGTGATGTTTTTGTGATGATTAACTTAGGGTCGTGGCCAATACCACTCCAAGCCACAACATGGTTGAGTGTTATTTCTCGGTGGGAATGGATGTCAAGAATTTCCGTTTGGCATGGATGCTATCATGGAGAACATCATCTAGGGCATTTTGAACGACTTCCTGGAACCTCCTCGAAATTAAATGTGCCCTTCTATGTCAAATTGAGAGTATATGGATTACCTCAGGTTGTCAATTGTGCTATCTCTGCCAGACTGCCTGTGTAGCAAAATACGCGATGGAAACGCAATATGGACGGTGATAAAAGGGCAAGTCTATCGATCGAGTGTGATGTTGCTATTGAGGAAAAGAGCTATCCTCTGTTTCGCTGTTGGCTAGCCAGAGTGTTGGACTGCAAACGGGTTACTACTACCGAGTTTTTGCCGTTCAACATACAGCGGTTGGCCCAGGTGGATACCTAAGGCATTTGTTGATATGCCTTCGTTGTTTTGCAATATTAGCAAAATGTTGAGTTTCTGGTGGATCATCATGACTTATGTGTGAGTTGATTAGTTAAATTCATTCAGCCTGGAGGTAATGGTTGTTGATTGGCCGTTATAACCTCTCAAGGTGTATGAAACGTATCTAGCTTTTCACTATATCATACAAAATTAATGAAGAACAAAAGCTAACCCTTGCCTTTTTGCATGCAATTCTAAGTCTCACGGTTGCGATTGTTCGATTGTCCGCGTGTCTTTTGTCCCTGCTTATGACAGTTTGTTTGGTTATGGTACGAAGGGATGCTTTCGTTTGTTGGTCTCTGTTAGACGCTAGTCTATATTAGGACTGTGGGGTAATAGTATAACCTTAGATACCTGTCAGTCCCCGCTACGGCGATGAGGCATGAACAGATCAGCTTGAGACATGTACGGCTTAGCTTTTAGTTGATCACCATAATGAATGTCCCGTTTGCTCCAACCACTCCGATCAAATCATAATTTATCACGGCTTTGAACGGGACGTATCGGTCCTTTGTGGCCATGGAGTCGCCTGTGGTTTTGATGTTTGTTTTTTTACCATTTACCTATTTTGTGCCTTTCTCTTCTTTTATTGCCCGCCACTGGGTTTCAAAATCTTCAGAACATAAAAGACTATTCGTCAGGGCCCATCCCCTGGAACATATCCTACCGCTCATTCTCCCTCAAGCAGCCATGAGTAGAGGTATATCAGATCATCAAACCGGCTCCTTGTGAGAGCCCCTGATTACGACGCGTGACGGACCTCTGATCTGATATATATCAAACTGATACCTCCATTCAACCGAACCCCAGTGCTCCTTTCTCTTTACATGTCTGTATATGAACTATATAGTTTATGAGTACTGAAAGGTTACAGATTCGAGGACTTCGTCAGGAGCACGTCCGAGTTACATTCAACTTCAACTGCAAAGGTCGATACACAAGGAGCAATACCAATATAGTTGAAAGAAGGATGCGGTAATTATCATGGTAGCTATGCAGCAGAGGATCGTCGCCGTCTTCCTAGAGGATTGCCATCCATTTGCATAATTAACTAGCTAGAGAGCGCCAGGCTGGGCGGTTTTGAACCCTGGATCACGATATGCCTGTCAAGCATTCTCGAAAAAGCACTCGGCACAAGCACCTCAGAATTCTCACATCGAAAATGGAAAGCAAACAACATTTTGTGGAAGGCTTATAAACGAACTGACATGGACACGAGGTAAAGGCTATTCTACCTGATGGCCGCGACTCCCCACTGACCCGCTGTTGGGGACACTGCCCCGTTGTACATCGAATGATTGGCCGCTTGCCGGAAAGAGTTCTCGACGAGTTACACTCATGTCAAAATCGAATGTAGCCATCTATACAAGTTGTTAGATATGCCGATTGATCTAATTATATAGGATCATGTTTGAGTCGTTATGTGTTAGCAACATTCTTCGTAATGGCGCGATGTGGCCCTCATGGAGCACGTTTCACAACGACGCCACGACTGGTCTCGTTGTTCCGGCTTTAGACTAGGTTAACCTTAGTCTAGTCTAGGTTAGTTGATAGGTAAAGATACAGCGATGTGCCGTGCCAGCGCTCAGCGAGAAATGTCTGTTGCCGCTGAATACGTCGCTTTGGTGACTAGAACTGAGGTGCGACGAATACTTTGCCCTTGGGAGATTGCAAAATGAGACACTAGCTCGGAAGATAGAAATATCTTGTGACTGAAGAGTAAGCATCTAGAGAGTTTGTTTCACATGCACCATGATGATCAAGCCTACCTTTCTGGCTTTCGCAAGGTTCAGATCGGTGGCTGTTGGGGGTTTCCTTAAACAGACGAGCTAGGAGGCACTCTCCAATGACAGCGCTTACCCGATGTATGGTACCCGATTCTGGCTTACTGTGAGTTACCACACACGTAATCAGCATTTCGCCAATCATGCGGCAGGATTCCAAACAGCCGCATTCGGTGCAACAACGGGCTGTGAACCAATTAGTGTAAGCATATTGGGGGTTGCGGACGCATGATTGTGACAAACGGAGAGCGCATATATACTTCTCCTAAAAGTTCGTTGGGATGGCAAATAAAAAAAATAAAAGTACATCGCAACTCTCCGAGATCTGGCAGTCATTGGCGTGTTCACGTTTTTCTATCGGTTTCGTTCACAATGCGGAACGTTCACGCAAAACAGAAACGAGAACATGAAAGTATAGTCTGGTGGATTCCAGAAATTGCGTGGTGCTGCATTTCTGTAGCATGTGTGATTGGTGAGTCTTCCAGAAGCACGACCTCGACCATCAGTTGACTGGATGGAAAGGAATCGTGACCATGCTTCAAAGCTTCGATGGTCAAGAACCACCAAGATGGGTTGATGGCATCACTCTAAATACCTTCATTGCCTTCCTCGCATCACTCGCAAAACTGGCCCTGATGATCCCCGTCATTGAAAGTCTCGGCCAACTGAAATGGATATGGTTTGCATCCAAGCCTCGCGCCCTTGATGACTTCCAACTGTTTGATCAGGCCAGCAGAGGTGGACTTGGCTGTATCAAGTTATTAATCAAGCTCAAAGGGTTAGCAGCTGAACCCATCAACAAAGTACGAGGTCCTAATACGAATTCAGGCCTTTAGGATGCTTGGGTGCCCTTATTACTTTGAGTGGCTTCTTTACCTCAACGCTGACTCAGTTGATGGTTACATACTACTCAGATCTGAGCAGGAGTCCGGTGAGCCAGAATGCCACTGCCATGAGAGCAACGACTTTCTCAAGATGGAATGGAACGGATCTCGTGATTGGTAGGATGACTTCTCTTTTTAAAATGGCCGGTATTGCGAGCCGGTCACGAATGGTAACGTTGGATGAACTACAGCTAATCGGCAACAGGAGCAAATGACACACTGATGCTACAACAGGCCGTTATCAGCAACGTGTATCTCCCAACCACACAGTTAACGCCTGTCATTGTTCCGAGGTGTGCAGCCGGCAACTGCAAATGGGATTCTTTCGGTACCTTGGCGATCTGTAGTCAGGTAGTCAATCTCACAGCTCAAGGCAATGAGACATTACTGGCCAGCCTTGGCAAACAGACTGTCTCTATGCTTGATCTATTCCATCGCCAATCGTTAATAGCGTTGAAAGCAACAACTAACACAACGGCTCAAGAGGGGACATCGTCTATTGTATGGCCGCTTGCCATTGCTGAACTAGAATCTCCTTCTGGCGCCTTGGATATCTCGTTAACAAATGTTGCACTGGCTGACATGTTCGTTGCCTTTCCGAAAGATTTCATCGATATCACATCTGTTACAAACAGCACCATGCTAGAAGGGTTTGAGTTCTTCGAGTTCCTGTTCCATTGGTGCATACCAGCATTGGACGTCCAGGTGACCGATGGAATTTCCAAAACCAAGGTATTGGCCACTTCTACAAAGATCGCGTCGCCCAACCCGCCCCATTCATTAAACAGAAAATGGTCACCCGACTTCGCGGACTGCGCAGCACCGATGGCTTGCAACTACACTCTCCAGGGCGAAACAGTCGTACTGGCACCGTCAGGTACAATTTCTGCTGGTGAGCGGTCAATCGAGTACGCAATAGACGTGAACACTGCTCTAGCGGCTTCGGGCTTCATTGGCTCTCATCTAGCAGGAGGTACCTTGACTGAGCCTGGCGATACGATCATTTTCGAGAACGGCAACATCGCATATCCGCTGTCGGTCGCGCTTTTCGGAAGCGTAGAGCCACAATCACTTCCCCCAGAAGTACAGCTGCAAAACATGCAAACCATTACCAGTAATATAGCGACGGGAATCACCAACATGATACGAGAAATCGGCACAACCTTTCCAGACTCAAAGGGGCCTGCGCTCGGTTATGTTTATGCACAGGAACAGTTCGTGCGTATCCACTGGAAGTGGGTCGTGCTCATCGCAACGCAGCTGGTTCTTGCGTCCGCATTCCTGACCGCGACAATCATAATGACGAAGCGGGCTCGCATTCAGATCTTGAAAAACTCGACGTTGCCGATGATGCTAGCTTTGAACGAAGCAGATAAATCGGAGTTCAATGAGATACACGGTATACACACACTCAACGACAAGGCAAAGCTGATGAGGGTGAAGCTTGAGCGTTGTGTTGGTGGCGTAGGTTTGTGGTTAGGACTAGCGAAGGACGACTCGTCGTACAAGGGCAGCCCAGCATTCTAAGTCCGTTTAGAAACGTGAAGGCTATGCACTACGCCTTGACTTGATTCGTTTAACATTATAAGTATAATTTCAATTCAGTACTTAATTATATATACCTGATCGAGGTTATATACTAATGATCTATTCAATAGTTGATTCCTCAACTTAGACCTTGTCTGTAGTCGAAAGTAGTCTCACTTAGTAGAAGAGCTCAATTTTGTGGTTTAACTAAGTATACGTGGTTAGTTTTCGTGTTATGAAGACAACTATGCGTATCACTAATGTCACGTATGGCACTTTTCAGGGCAGATACATTCTCGATTTAATAGCTAACCTCCTCTTTACAGAACTCTTATACGAAGATATCGGTTCTTAAATATCAAGAGATAACTATAGCTAGACACGTTTCTCTCAATAGGCCGAACAACCGCGAAAATCCTCGAGCAGGCTCATGGAGAAAAAGAGCTGATAGCTCATTCTTTCGAGGCACCTGACATCTTAGTGGACGTGAACAATCTCTAAGTGATAATGAGAGCTTCGAGTCCCACGTGCCGACTTTAAATTTCAGGTCCAAAGTTTGGGTTCTACATAAACAAGTTCCACATGTAACGGCTAAGGCTGAGCTAAGCTAAGCGGAGCTCTAGGGCTAAGGCGAAGCTAAGCCTGCAACGTAAAGCTGGGCTACGCGACTAAGTATTTTCACGTAATTCGCGATCAAGTCTTTTTGTTCTTTAGCTTTCTTATTTTCATAATATATGAGGTATATGGCAAGCCAAGTCTTCGTTCCTTGATGCCACCGGGATGCTAAATAATTAATCGGACGCAGTAGTTTGGCGAGGATTTAGTCTAACCTTGTATATATCTAGTCTAGCCGACAAACTGCTATATATATACGCATAAGCTTTCTATAACGATCGCCCAGCCGTTAGGGCTGCCAGCCACTATATATTAACCGTAGTCATGTCCGTCCCATCGTTAGTTAGTCCGTTAGTTTTGAAAATAATATTATAATGATCACGAATTATTTCAATTATATAAGCCCCGAATGCATCAAAAACTGTGGTTTAGAGGAGGAGCACCGCGCCTCCATGATCTTGAAACCCATAAGAGGTAACGTGCAGTCTTTGAAATTCCAGGCGAGACGCCAATGTCTTGCATTCCATGCTCAGTTGACCAACCGGGCAAGATTTCACTACATTGAACCACATCGGAGAACGCAGGTGGGACTAACTCCGATAAAACATCTTCTGCAAGGTCACAGGTTCTTCCTGGGAGCTTAAGGCGGCTGGCTATATTGTGCATAGCGAACGTCTACTTGAATTCAAAGTACCTGGGGATATCGATCCCGAATACGACATGGTACACCAGCAACGTTCAAACCTAGATCAGCAAGACGTATTGCGTCCACGGAATAGGCCGAGAGGAAAATGTCCTCTACCGTGGAGTATGTGCGCGTCACGAAAGCGATCAAACGACATATCAGAGGCACCGGCCGGAGGAACGTGGGCCGATTCCTTGGGAAAGAAGTGGAGTGCAGGGAGACGCAGCTTGGAGCTTATAGTAGGTCGATCTAAGCGCGAGGGTTTCGGATAGCCGCCGCCACCTAGGCGAGGGCCGGCTGGGGGCCGGCTGGGGGCCAACACCAATCTGACACACTAATGTTAGCGCATTTCGCTTGAGGCGGCAGATGAAACGCCTGAGGATGTTGGAAGTCACCAAGTTCCGGTTCATTCTCTCCGGCATGCGCATGCTCACTCGTCCCATTCCGTACGACTTATCGCCATGTCCGGCTTGAACATGGACACATCCATGAGCGTGGAGCAGACAGCACTTAGCGCCGCCATTTCGCTTAGACTGTCCGGGGTTCTTTGCATCGTTCATCCAATTGGAGCTCATGGGTTGACTTACACGAAGCGAACCCCGCGCGAATTCAGAGCACAGCTGCTGTTGGCCTGCAAGCGCCTGGAACGCCTTGTGACGAAACTGACCTTCTCGCGAACCGTTTCTACACATCCCAACGCGGATTCACAACTATACCTCCAACATACTCCCGCGCGCCCAACATGATGAACTGCGGAGTCTTCAAAGCTCGTCGTTCTCAAACGAAATTATCGAAAAGCCTACAACAACAGCTGCTCGCTGCTCTCGCCAAGACAGGTACAGGGAATGACGAACGCTTCGTGAGATGTGCTAATTCATCGCCAGAGGTCGAATCGCGCTCGAAGGGAATACAACAACCTCCAGTGACGGGAGATCAGTATCGTAACGCGCCAGTGCAACCCTCCAAGAGGCCATTTAATGCAACTTCTGTCACTGATTCGTTGCCCGCGAAGAGGCCGCGATTGACATCCATAGACGCACCACCGTTTACAGTTGAGGACACTGGGGAAGAGCAAGAAGACCAAGGAACACAGGTATGGCAACAGTTTCAGAGATGATTCAACGGCCCGAGCTGACGATTGATGTAGAACATATCACAGACGATCTTACAACAGCCAACGCCAGAGCGCCCGAAGCACCGGTACGCCTCGTTTCTCGAAAATTTCGCTGGCTCAGCCTGCTCGGATCAGCCCGATTGTGCCGCCGACCTTGTCTTCGAGTGGCTTGAAACCGTCGGACGAGAGCGAGAAGCTCGTTGCCGTTCAGACAGCTACATCAGCACCTCAATTCCCAGGCAGCCTACACGATCTGTGCAAGAAATGAGCCATTCACGATATCAGGATGGATTTGTCGTGCCCCCCACGCCTGCTTCGACTGGATCCTTATCGGTTGATGGAATACAGTCCGACTTTACCGCTGCCACACCAGGTTCAGGCCGGTCGTCTGGAAGGAGTCTTGTGGAGGATCCATTGTACCGGGATATCAATCTGGCTGCGAATAATATTTATTTACGTCACTCGTGCGATCCTCTTCCCGAAAATATAGCCGACTTGGTTGCCCGCGTACATCGAGCTCGGGACTCACCCGGCCCATCCTCAGACGATCTCAAGCACAACCGGGATCTCTATGATCTTTCAATGGGTACATCAGAGCCTGAAGTGGAGAAGTACTTCCACACGCATGTTTTCCCCGATCCGAAGTCATTCGAAACCCTGAAGCGCAGCGACAGACAACCGATGGCCAAGCACACAGTTCCTAATACTGGATCCAAGTATAAGGTCAGCACTCCAGTACCGGACACGCTCTACGGATACAATCGCCAGAACGCCTTTCCTCAGCAGCAAGGTCAGCTCTTATCCATGGGAAGCGAGATGGTAGCCAATAACCAGGGACTGATATATCCATTCTTTGCTATTGAGTTCAAGGGTGATGGCCCCTCTGGGTCTGGCAGCTTGTGGGTGGCGACCAACCAATGTCTAGGTGCATCAGCTTCGTGTTTGAAAATCGCTCAACGCCTCAATCACCTACTGAGAGATTGTCAAGGCGGCAGCGTACAGTCGATTGGCAATGCTGCATTCGGAATCGCTATGAGCGGAACAGAGGCGCGACTTTATGTGTCCTGGATACAAAATGAGCTCGACTTCCATATGGCAAATGTCGATAGCTTCTTGCTCCAGAAACCCAACGATTATATAGAGTTCCGCAAATATGTTCGGAATATCATTGACTGGGGTGGTGATGAGCGGCTGAAAGAAATTCAGGAGTCTTTAGACTTTCTTTTGGAGAAGAGCAGAAAGGAGGCTTCGGCTGCTGCGAGATCTCGCCCACCACCATCCACTGGCTCTAACAGTACGAAGAAGCGTAAGTCCTCGACAACGCCGAGCGTGATCAGCAGCAGATCCACCAACATACAAGAACGAGGCGTCGGTCAAGAGATACAATACTGGGAATTGGATCCGACGTCTGAGAGATGGTTTCACAGACACGCCAACGGGACGGTAACTTGGGCAGAAGGGAACGGGCGGTCGTGAGTCACAGCCTGTGTAGGATGGTGCAGATCACGGAAATAGTACCAGTCTGTGATTCATTTCATGCCAAATCTTTTGAAAAGTAAGACCTGTATATGGTATATAGTGAGGGCAACTTCAAAGCTGGAAAGATTCAAGTCTCCATAGGGTGTGTATCAATCCTGATCAAGAACATGGCCGAAGTACGTTCCAAGAGTACATAAGCCAAATGCGTTCCAGATTCTCCGAGCACTAAATCGACCTCCCACGACTGATTGTCTGTGCCTGGTTATCTAGGCTGGAGTAATCAGGCAAGGCGGTGTTTTTCTCCTCGTAGGACACGGCTGCACCGAGAGCGGAGCCTTTCGGTGCCTATCAGTCATTTTATTCAAATCGTGTATTGTGACTTAATGACGCGCAACATCGAGCGCCTGTGGGTAGCTCCGTTCGCACTGTTTCCCGGTCCCTAGGTCGATATTCGGAAACAGAAATGGTCCACTTTGCTTATCATTACGGCTGCGATGATGCCCTATGTGAACCAACAAGGGTTCTCGTATCGCAAATGACTTAGCAGACCTATCATATATACAACAATAGGGTGTGGAGCTTTCGTGAGGAGGCAACGATGGTGCCAAACATTGACCGCCCTGGCACCTTCACTTGGACACAGGATATCAGGAGGCTTGCATATAATGAGAATTGCCCCAGTGATGCGCTTAGTCAGTTAACCGCATTCCGTCATACAGCGACCAACCACGGGGGAAACAAAATGAAGTGAACGCGTTGTAAAAACTGGAGTTACATATCAATTTAATTAGGGAGCAGAAAAGTCCAACGGAATGCATGTGATCAAGCAGAGCTGAGGAAATATTCTGCGGGACGGATCGTTTACATCTACACAAAAAATGCGACTCCTTGCACATTAATTGTATTTTGTCGCAGGCACTTGAAGATATCCACAGCCCTATCGTTCGCAATGATACATCGTAAATACTCAGGCATTTTAGATATTATTAGTGTCAATCGCACGCAATGCGCTCGAAGTAGCGGCTGAGGGTGACGGTTAAAAGGCCCTGGTGCCTTTACCATTTCATCATCTTAAGACGCAACCTTCGCAAGGTGGGGACACACGAAGCCGACATTTTGTACTGTCCACTAAGACGGGATTGATGAGATAGACTGTGTTGATTAAAATTCGGCTAGAACCAACACGCGCAATCTGCATATAACCAGAAAATCTGATAGGATCAACAAGATACAGTCAGCCGCATAGTGCGCGAAATATCACCTTTTGTATAAGACAGCTCCAAATTCAGGTTCACAACGGTCGGGAAAATTCTGCTCGGGTATTTCGCTCTGTATCTGAAAGTATAGACTATCGTTCACGACCTCCAGAATTTCGAATCTCAGGTCTAATCTTACTCAGTAGTGTCGACGGGACCACTCTATACATATATTGTACCCACAATCGCCAGAGAAGGCCTCCCAATTCGCATTGCCACAAGATGGTTAAGCCACAGTCCATCATGACGATCATCTCTGGTGGTTGGTCACTGCTGAATAGGACCAGGTACGTTCACTCTCTCTTCTACTTTGTCGCGGACATAAATATGCTCGTCCAGCCGGGGAAAGAAAAGGCTCCAATTGATAAAACGGAAAGACTCACTGCCTACCAGCTTTACCAATGGGACCATAACCGAGATCAACACCTCCCTTGTCGGCCAGATTATATACCATCCTGCAGGCTTCATGTCTGCAAACACAATGTCCAATAACGGCAGCGATCAGCTCTCATACGCCGGGCGATTGAGTGTGCGAGAGGACACACCAACCACGGGCCGGTTGACCCACGGCCCGCTCATTCAGGCTAGTGAGCTATCATGGATCGGGACCGACCAGCATAGGGACTATGAGCTCTTCGACCACGGGAAGACGCTGAGTCTGAGTGCTACCATTGACGACGGAAGAGTGGGAGTGCTGTTTTGGGAGAAGCTGAGATAAAGCCCAGGCTAAGGAATAGATGTTTCCTCTATAATGAGTAACAGAGAGCAGGTCCGAAAATATGAACTAAAACTTCTGTGTTGAGATCGGCATGCGGACATCATACAGCGACGATGCAGCAATCTTCCTTTGTTGTGAATTGAGGGTTAACGGGAATTTAAAGCGGTAAAATCAATAATAATGTTCTAAAAGTCACTCTTAGGCACATCAGCGAAGCCAATATGATCGCATGGAATGGTATTTTATGGAACATGTCTAACTACCTGTCTGTGGCATTACCTACGCCAGGTCCATGGCTGGTCTTTGGCGGGCACCATGTGTTAAGTCTATCCTAATAACCATTTATTTTTAAACCAGTAGGCAGCATGCTAAGATTTTCAAGTATTGAGTATGTAGCAATTACTGACCGAAATTAATAAGCACTTTAACTTTGAGATAGTCTTTGTATTTAAAGAGATATTGAGAACTGGGCATGTCTTGAGGTCATATCTATAACCGTAAAGTCATTGCGGCTTTGCTCAAACTTGATGTTGGCAAGGATGTAATCAATCACGACAACCACACTGCTCACACATGTCTCCTGAATGTAAATGAAATAAGTCTGTGAGCTAAAAGAGATTCCGCAAGGTGTTGAAAATGTTGCAACTTTTGGATATGCATTCCACTGTAAATTTAGGTTCATACGAGGAAGATTATCAGCACAATTGAGAAACCTTGTTTACAGCCTCAGAAAGGGAGTGAAGTTCGCCGAAATTGATCCCTGAAGGGAGACCATCGTTCAAATGGAGAAGATTACGGCATAGTCTGGTATATTGGTTGATGTTTTATCAGAAATGAGACAACGACTTCAAGCTGATCACGGAAGCCCCGTGACTGAGATTCGCACATAACCCAGAATTCTGCTTGCGAATTACCTTCCGTCCTGATTTGTGCATCAAGAAATTTGTGTGGTGTCAAAATTCGCCGGATCTCGATCAAGGCAGCTAATCGTCCTGAACAAGTTGTACAGACTCCTGGCCGAGAGCTCACGGATTTGCCGATAAGAACAAGCTATACGGCCTCAATCGTTAGTGAAGTCTTCGTCATCATATGCGGTGGACCAAGAAAACGCAACACTGTCTGAAATGATATGTACTGGGTGGTGACCGAAATGCCTTCTATTATCGTGCTTGCCTACTTGCTTTTCGATCCATTTATTTAGGCATGACCGCTAGATTCTTGGGTGTTCCCATACTCCTAGCCTCGATAGTATATCGCATACATGCGAGTAGACTCGACATTGGACTGCCAATGAGCTTGCAATTGTTTGGCAGGCAATTATGATATGATCCCGCCATTGTACGTTGCTACAAAGTTTGTGTACACCTATCTACCATTATATGGTCGCACAAAAATCTCGACTTCGGGTGCTTGTACTATAAATCCTTCCTGAGATATGTTGGCATCGGCTTAATTCACCATGGATTGTGCATAGCCATTAATCTGTAAGGTCAGGGTTATTAACCCAGATGCTGATATGTGAGAAAGATAGCAGCTTGCGACTAAATCCAGAGGATGACGGTTCCATATCTCAGAAACGAGACTACGGGTGCTAGCGGAATCATTTGCTCTCGAGCCATTAGCAAACGACATCGATTTCCATAAGGAAATCATCATGTCGACTGCAAATTCAGGATTTGATTGCCGAACATATCATATTCACATTGTAGGTTTCTTACTGTTCGCGATTAAGGGCATGCCCTTCATCTCTCGTCTTATTATAGAATTGGACGAGACATCCATATCCTAACATCGTGCTGTGGCTTCCTTTCTTGCCCCCCTTTTCGAATAGATCGCTTAAATAGTACGGTTGCAATGATATTGTTGAGTAATCACGGGCCTGTAGAAACGACGTAGTGCTCGGCTCGTTCACTCGAAATTTGACACCCTCGCTAAGTCCGCAATAACTCTCAATGCTATGTTGACTTGCCGCGTCTTCGTTGATACCTAAAAATCATTCCACCGCGTTGTGATTCGGGTTGTGTATGTGAGGGCCACGTGATAACATATGGGGATATCTGGCAATTAACCTTTAGATGTTCAGATTCTGAAGTACTCAAATCGACGTATTAGTTTTGGTAGACATAGGTACCATAACTACTCGCGCATGGTGTCACACGAGAATCCACGAACTCGCATAATTTTGAACATATATTAGTCTGGTTGTGGTAACGTACCCCACGGGCGAACGGATCACACGGGCGAACGAACCACTTTTGATCATTTTCGTACCATCTGACTTTATTCCTCAATAACACCATAACGCAACATGGTCGGTACTTGTAATAAAGACCAAATTAATCTAGCGCTTTAAGCGCTTCGTACGAACCCAAAATTAAGTTTGTGACACGCCGCTACGACGTACGATATATCATATAGTACCTTACGTAGCCGATAACGCGGTAGAATTGCACGGCGCGAAATCTCCGCGAATAATCGAAAGTGAAGCGATTCTGAAGAACTAGTAATTACACGATATATAATTAACCTAGACTCGCGATCATTTCCTCCTCGAATAAGTGGTGTCGAAGATATGGCGAACCGACTTCTTTCCTAACGCGACGCGGGACGCGTCGGAGTAAACTAGGCGTTAACCTTCGTACGACGACAACTATAACTCCGGACGCGTTTTAACTGACGGATCGATTGTTAAAGGGTCCTTTGCGAAGATCTAAACGCGTATCGCGCGTGGTTTACCCTCGTACGAAACATAATCCAAAAATACTTAGGACCTCGTCTAGTCTTCCTCTTATTTGGGAATCAAAGACCCCGAACAACCTAATCGAAGTAGTATCTTAAAGTGAATATGTACGGAATCGTATTATAAAACACCATAATAGCTCTCTTACGGCTATAAACTAATTTGCGAAGGGTATAACGCAAGTAATGTACCGGCTCGTTTATTTAGAAGGTGAGAATCTTATACTTCGAAAGGCGAATAATCTGTTTAGTTAACGCCGTTATACGAAAAATACCTAATTATAAGATAGAGGGTCACTTAGTATACAAGCTATAGAAAACTTACGGTCTTAAAAAGAGGTAGACGGGCAATTATAAGGTAAATCACGTCAAGGTAGTAGTCGTACGAAGAGGGTTAGACGCAGCCATAACGTTGTAAAAGGTGCGGAGAGCCCGGACATAATACGCGCACTTGTTAAAATGTTATAGAATCGTCCTCTTCAGACGAGGACGATTAATTTGAATTGATTTTTACCGTTGTTGTGAAGATGACTTATACTTTATGGTACGAGGTTGTAAGAAGTGGTTCGTTCGCCCGTGTGATCCGTTCGCCCGTGGGGTACGTTAGTCTATGCTCTAAACTATGTATTGCCGAGTGATTGCGTCACCCTTTGACTGTGGTGGTTCATTTTGTTATGTATTATACTATACCTCTCCATTTCAAGTACATACCAAAAACAGCACCTTTCTGAGATTCCCCTATATTAAATCAGTACAAGTCCACTATGAAACACTATGACCTCCATAAATTTTCGCATGCACCACTCACCGCGCTCAGAATATGGTCGACCATCAGCTAGAAAACACACGCTAAAATAGATCTCGGTAAGGGTTTGAGGGCCCTCCAGCAGCTCCCTGCGGGAGATATGCGTCAGCTATGACAAATGAGCGCGCTACGACAGAATTGCAGTCCTTAAATTTGTGGCCAGATGATGAAAGTGTGCGCTCTTGGCACCGTCAAACATCAAAGTCGACGCTGATGAATGATTCTGCTTGAACGGTGGGTGATTGACAAATTGTTCTTTCCTAATTGTCTTTGTGAGAGACGTCCTCAAACGCCATGAACATTATAGCGGCATGTGAGACCAAGGCACATCTACAGGCTTTCGCGCTTGACGTACAATCCGAACCAACATCGCCTCGCGTAACCAAGTGTTTGAATTCGTCTTGGGCGCTTTGCGTTGCGCAACGGTTTGTTGAGATCCGTGGGGATGTCCGGTGCTCAGTCGTAGCTGAACCCACACTGGCCGTTCGCCGGTGGTGGGGTGGGATGCGGACCCCTATCGGGGATCCGATGAAACACGTCCTTGGTCCGTGAAGTTCAACTAGACTACTTCGCAACAGGTGCGAATATATATGAGCATTACTACCGGTCTTTGTTCTTCGGTCAATTCCTTATCGACCCAATCAACTATAATACCCAAACAAACTATTACCATGGTCAACGGCAATATTACTTTCGACGGTAAGTTCACTACACCTGTGTAACGTTATGATAATCTGACATTATACTATTAGACTACCTGGGTCTCCAGAAATGTCTTGTCGAGTGGGCGGATAGCTACGACAGCAAGAATTGGGATAGACTGAGAAAATGTATCGCTCCCACATTGAGGGTAGGTAACGTGGAGGCCAAGCTACCAAGAAAAGTCACTGACATGCTTTCAGATCGACTATCGCTCTTTCCTCGACAAGCTATGGGAGGCCATGCCAGCCGAGGAGTTCATCGCCATGATCTCAGACAAGGCCGTTCTCGGCGACCCTCTCCTGATGACCCAGCACTTCATCGGAGGCACAAAGTGGGAGAAAATCAGCGACACAGAGGTCATCGGTGTGCACCAGCTCCGTGTCCCCCACCAGAGATATACCGACGAGACAAGGACAAAGGTTGCCGTCAAGGGTCATGCACACAGCACCAACACTCACTGGTATCGAAAGGTCGATGGCGAGTGGAAGTTCGCCGGCCTCAACCCCGAGATCCGATGGGGCGAGTTCGACTTTGATAAGGTGTTTGCAAGCGGGCGTGATGCATTCGGCGATGAGACAAAGACTGAGGATGCAAGGGCAGAGGGTATACCAGGGAAGCTGCAAGAGCGTGTGACAGTCACCGCAATCTAGGCTATGCCACTGGTTTGTGATGTAATGATCAAACTAATGAAACCAAGTTATTTGCCACACCCGCGACTACCATGTCGTGAGTTGGTGTCATTTTGCGGCAGGTACATACCACAAGTTCAATAGTATCAACAGTCCGTTATTTTACTACAAGAAATAGATTTCTCCAGCAAAGTTTGAACAGCGAGTTATTTCTCTTGAACTCAAAGCACACAGTCATTCTTGGTCAACTGATTTGCTACTAGTGCTTCACTTTTCACTTTTCACCTTTCACAACGTTACAACTTCACAGATTCGAGCTTTGAGAATATCAACGTGTCCTTTTCCGTGTTTTAATCACAAAAACTACTCAATAACGTACACCATGGCAATTATTGAGAGAGTCGAGGGGCTCGAAGCGATTGTCAAAGTGGGTGGTACAGCTCTACCCGAGTATGATGACCTAAACGGGGACGACGATGTGGAACAGGTCGAAAGTTTGTTGGCATTGGCTTCTAAAAACAGATTCGTTGATGCTAGAATGATTCGTCATGTAGTCAAGTATGTTGAGGCCATTTCTGATGCCGAGTTCGAAGTGGTCTTCACTAAGCGGCAGAGCTTCCAGCACCACAGCCACCACATCGCTTTTCAGCTCGAGAACGACAACCATGCGTTCGGTCTTACACACGAACCTGAGGAATGTCGAGAGAAGGAATGGAATTATTCATGTGAACACAGAGCCTTTTTGGATGGAGAGAAAAATTGGTGTAGACAACATTTTAAGTTTGGCCCTCTCAGACTAGGTACGTTGTCTCCTTCAGAGTTTTTTATTCGTACTGACCATTGAAATCTTCAGTTAAGCCTGCTGCCAGTACCTCAAACCCCCACGACCCGTATATCGATCCACACCGAGATCTCGGTGTTTTGCGAATATCAGTTCATCATATGCAATTTACAAATGCTATTGAGTTGCCATTTGGGCACGTTCAATCAGTCACTGATAGCATTAACGAGGAGGCGCTCAAGGGTCAAACTGTCACGCACATTGTGCATTACGGGGATCTCGAACCGTCTAAAGAGCCCAAGGACATCCCCATGGACGTTTACCAAGATCCTCTCCAGCGACCCTTCGCAATTTTTGAGTTTCGTTATCTTTCCAAAGGTGATTTGTTTTGATCAACTAACGAACCGAATTACTTGAATTAACTTTCAACCAGATGCTCTGATAGCAAAAGGAGTAAACTATGTTCCTATTTCTGTCAAAAAAGTACATCAGCAGCAGGAGCTTGGTACTTCTGTCCAAGAAAAGCACAAGGTAACTAATTGTTATTTCCAATTCATATTGTACGATCTCTAATACACGCCTTAGCTTCACGATAGCAAGGACTCTAAGATCAAGCAAGAACGAGGTGAATCGACATTTAATGAGCAACACATAGCGAAGCGTTCTAAGCGGGGCATAATCCATGGTGGCGAGGCCGAGATGGCTATGAAAGACCATGACCCGAATCAAGATGCGCCTTGGGAATGGGAGTAACACATCAGTTACACCCGATGATTGATTTCGTTTACACTTTACTACTAGTATCATTATAGTCTCACTCGCTGTATTGAATAGGAGACGCAAGACTATTCATCGATGCGCTCCCGTGCGAAACGTATCAAGTTAAGTTAGCTTCGTTCAATCGCAAGTTTAAACAACCGTATACCCGTGAAAACCATGGACTATATATTCTGTGCTATGTAAGCGATATGAAAATACTAGAAACACTATACTCTGGCCTAGCTCTCTGAACATACTTTGAATGCTTACCTCGCCATCCATGGTCTAATTAACTTCATACTTCAGTGCTCTACGATCACAACGCCACTGGCAGTTTGCTGCACGCGTTTTGTCTGATAATCATTTCCATCATCGCGATGTATATGCCGGCATACTAGGTGACCTTTGAAAAAGATAAATAGATCCATACGCGATGTTGCCACCATTTCAAAGAAATTCCATACTACCTGGGACAGTAGCGTCGGTGGAAGACGTTAAAAATTAAGAGACATTTTCTTACTCGAAAGGCCACAGAGACTCGAAATATTCGACGTGGTGATTATACCTAGTTCGAGGTTCATTATGGAAGCTATCTACAGAGGAATACCCACCGTAATAGTTTCTGGGACATAGACATAGACAGCGACCTCAAATCTTGTTGAATAGCTGTCTATCAACATAAATCCACTTGGCAGCGAGTATGGTATACATAATGTCTTATCCTTGTTTATTACCTGGGAGGAAGTAGACATGAATAGTCCGTTGCGACCTGTAAATAACTCTCGGTCCTCTTTGTTACTCTTTTCCGTTTTTGTATACCTTCACGCTGGTGCTCCAAGGTCCACACCGCAGGCCTTACTGCATCGACCGACGTATCTGCCCTTTCTTTAGCCACATGTTCGGTCGTACTCCTTGTTTTTCAAAGAGTAAGTGTATCCCCTTCATTAGAATGAATACACTCCGCTGTGCTTCTTTCCGCTACATGCAACATCTGTCGGCAATAGTTTTATGGCAGGTAGTTACCAGGCGAAAACTCGAATTCGCATCTAGGAATCGTGGTGATGTGATCGTGGATCTGCTTGTAGAGTTGCTCAACCCGCACCATGACGATGTCGTAGCGTGCGTGCGATCCTTTGAGCTGGGTAGAGAGCCGGCTGTGGTTGGCCAGCAATTGACTTCGTTGGGCCTGGAGCGTCTTTACAGCTATGGTATGTCGGGATCGTTCGTTGCGGAGCTTGGCGCCCAACCTTTCACGATGAAGAACAGAGCCAAATCGATGATCGAGTGCTTTCCTGGCTTTTGCGTGCCGGTCCTCCATCTTGCGTTGACGTTCTCTCAGTTCGTCAAGCATAGAGAATGCTTCTTGCATTACGTTCTCTTTTGCCTCTGTCTCACGGGCCAACACATACTTAGTTTCGTAAAGCTCTTTCTCTTTGCTGGCGAGATTCTGGCTGAGTGACTGCCTGGTCTCTCGAAGCTCCTTCTCTCTGCTGCCAAGTTGATTACGGAGTGACCTGGTGGTGTCGGTAAGCTCCTTCTGCGTGACTTCGATGTTCTGGCTGAGGGCGTCGGCAGTGTTGGCTAATTCAAGCTTATTAGCCTCGAGGTCTTTCGCAAGTCTGTCTTTGATATGCTTTTGTTTGGTAATGACGGAGCGAATATCCTCCATGGCCACTCTCAAATTCTTATTGTCCTCCTTCGACGACATGATTTCTTTGTTCTGGAGGTGAATATGCTTCTCAAGTTTCTTTACCTCCATTTCTAGCAGCTTGTGGCTAATTTTGGATTTGTTAAATTGCGTCTCTTCGGCAGACAAACTCTCAACTTCAGCACGAAGCTCTTTGTTCTTTTCCTCATATTGTGCTATTAGACTCTCGTAGTAGTCGGGTCCATAGAGGTTAGGTAGTCGCGACGCGCGTTCAAGTCGATCACGCGCAGCAAGGCTCAACTCCTGAGGCCTAACCCATGATGCTGTGTCACGATGATCATCTTCCATCACGGTGGCTTCCTGACAAAAGGTGTAGTGTGAACAGTTTATTGGCAGGTCTGTTTATGATGATGGATATTTGATACACGTGCCTTGAACTTCGTGGTTGTGTTGCTAAAAACGATGCTGGAGCTGTCTTAGCCCTAGCACAGTTGCATAAATGAGCTGTTAAAGGGCAGGTCCTGAACAGTTCTCTAATTGGACACGTCTTACGTTATCTGCCTGGTTCCAGGGTGTCGAAGTTCTATCTAGTATCAAGTCTTCAAAGGGATTGATTCAGCTCATACTTTCCAGAGTCCAGGCTTACTGCCTCGCTGCGGTTACCCAGTCGACTAACTTTGGTACCGTTATGAGAGGGCAGGCATGATGCTCAATCGTATCGTAGTTTCCTTCACTTCATGCACTCACTGCCTACTTGCATGGAAACTAATTCACTCATAGCTTGAGTTTTGCATCTAGTATTGAGAACTTTAGTATTGACGGAACTTTAGCTAAAGCATACACGAAAACCTCCCCGATTGTGCGATAATTACATCGACTCCAATATTCACTGGCACAGCTGTAATGAGCTTGTCCTACGCTGTTACTTTTCCAGTCACTAGTTATAGAATACTCGATCTGTTCTAATAAATCTCGATATCAATCCACATATCATATGTGGAGCCCAGTTGGCAGCCTATTTACATTCCCGTGAATATCATCCATAGCACTTGGTCTATCTCCTTCGCTGTAATGATGATTAAATTGACTTTTTCTCTCTCTCTTTTTTTTTAGCTTTAAATCTTCCTTATTCCCTTCTCCGTATCCTAGGAGTCGATGTGCTCTTGGATGCAGCTTTCGGGGACTATACTTTGAGCTTACAAGCAGGTATTGGCAAGATGTTGCCCAATTTTCATTTTCAACAGGAGTAGACATTGATGGCACACAACTCAAGTTCTTAGGAACCCTTCCATGAAATAAGGTGGCACCTACGTGGCCATCCTGACGGCTTGGTCATGAATAGCAAATATTGCATTTCTCAAATGCGCAGTTAGCAGTACCCAGACTTTCAACCTCGTGTATTAGGAACAAGTATTTCTTTATGCATGAAATATTGTTGAATGTTCCCTATTTCACCTAGGTGAAGATAACTCGAACTCAAAAGTAGCAGTAGCAGTATCAACAAGCCTGACGACAGAAAGGTTCATCCCGTACTGCTGGAAGATCTCAAGGGTATGGTTCTATGACCAAATGTGTCGTGAGTTTACTTGCCACTGCTATCCTTATCTTTCAGTATCATTCGTTGCCAACTGGTTTAACCTTTTACTTAACATATTTTAGTACACCAAGACTTGGCCTCAAAAGGTGTCAAGATTCTCGACAAGACACCACGTTTTGGAAGGAAAGCAGGGATGCCAATAACTTGAATTCCAAAGATGAAGCCCGCATTCATGAATTTCTTACCCATGATACGCGTAAGCGTAGACCTTAAGTCTTGTGAGCCACTGCTCTGTAATAATTTCAAGTGATTACCCTTGAAGCCTGTTCCTTCGACGGCGGTCGGACGCTGCTAGACAAGATATGACGCTTAATCCCGCCATCAACATCGTCCATCTCTTCTACGGGGCGTTCGGCCTAAGCTTTTGCTCGTAGATCATGAAATATGTGCTAACTTCGCCTGTTCCCCCATACTTGGAATCATCCTGGGTCAACTCCCTTTCGATGCGGAATCCGCATCGCTTGTACGCTCCCAATCCGGCTTTCGTGGCTTGTATGTAGATATCCAGCCCCAAATTTTCAGCTACTTTCATCCCGCTTTGGATCAATGCAGTGGCAACTCCTTGACGCTTATTCTCCGGATGCACAGCCAAGTAGTCAAGACCTAGGACTCATTAGCATCAGACACCTCATTCAACGTTCCAAAAAAAGAAGGTCTCGATTGTATGCGTACGCATATAGTCTTTTCTTGTCAAAATCTCGTTCCGGATCTCATTCACTTCCACGAGAAGCTCGTCTGATTCCTGGTTAGGATCGAACACAGCGGCCTCAGCAACCCGCCGTATCTCGGCTTCTTCTTCAGGCCCAACAGCCGGTACTATGGCCTCCGGCCACTCCAGCGTGCCGTCTTCCTTGGTAGCACGTGAGGGCGGGATCCTCCAGCGGGCATAGCCCAGCAAACGGCGAGTCTCCAGGTCAATCGCCTTCTGGTGCCGCTTGATTGTGCGATTGTCGTCTAGCAGGTTGAGGGGTATGCGCTTGGCTTGTTCAGCAATGTGCTGATCAAGAGTCCTGTGCGGCCATGCAAGAATGAAATGCGGGTCTTCCCAAAAAGCCGACATGTTGTTGCGACTTAGTTCAGCGCCGTCGGCGACGGTGCACCCGGTGATTGTGTAGCTGGCCATTCTGGAGCGGAAAGCTGGCAGGCAAGTGGAGTCGAGAACACTATACTAAAAGGCTAATCTTGGTGGAGAAGACATTATAATAGTGCTAATCTTGGCGAAAGACGAAGTCTATTTATATAGTCAACAGGAATGTTGCTGCCTGGAAGTGGGGGGTATGCATTTCGATATCGCGCCTTACGGACCTCCCTACTATATAGGACATGAATAGTTGTGGCACGCACAAACAGTCGGCCGTGTCAGGACAAGGTGACTGGATCGCACAATCTCAACAAGCGCGCTGTAAATAAGGTGTAGCTACCTACCAAAGGATGTTTCCATTAAGAGGGTTCAATGAATGAAGCAGCTGAGTTTACCGGGAGACCATAAGTTGACGTCGCACGAATCTTGGCAGGAATCTGTCACGTATTTATGCTTATCAGTTTAACCATCACTTTCAGCTTATCCTACCACCCATGTAATACACGCATATATTTGTTGACTATTACGCCACGAAAAAGCATTCTAGGCTCTTGGGCACCAAAGAAGATCAAAAATACCGACGTATATATGCTACCTCTGGCGACATAACAGAAGGTGTTGAGGCGTGATCGAGATATGTACGACCACTAGCACGGATTGCCAGCATCTTTTTAAAGTGGTTCTGCGTCCAAACTTGATATATGACCTATACAGGACCTGTTTACTGCTGGCCAAGATGACGGCGGCGCCATTGATAGTCGCGCAGAGTACGACCACCATGACAAAGAATACCACAACTAATCGTCGATTTTCTTCTCCTCAAGCCTGAAGACATCATCAGTTTCACTGTGTCATGCTGAGGCGCCAGTGAACCGCACTTAGTATTGATACGAAAGATTCGAGTCTCTCTCAACCATGCTCGATTGTGCTATATACCATGATTGTTGTCGCGGCAACATTCCACATATGGAAGGTCGCGATGACGAAAAACACGGCAGTTCCCCCGTGGCGCCAGCTCTCGGTCAAAAATGAACTTGCGCCTCAACACCTCTCATACTCTCCCACCACAAAGTAGGGACCTGGCCACCATATCCCAACGCCGGTCAACCCAACAAGCACACGGCTTTCACATGACCTTTTCTGCACCTCATCCAATCGACATGGACATAATAAACTCTGTTCCGATAATGCCAGGTGCTGGTAAGCCGGGAGGTCAATCGAGGGCATACGCTCCGGCTGTGCGGTGGAAACCTGAACAAGATTAAGACTAAAATCTAGAGAGTGTGGTTCGGACGGGGCCACAACGACACTTCATATTGTGAGATCGGGATATAGACAGGTTGGCGTAAGAAGGGCAACAGGATGAACAAAATTCTATTCGTTCGACGGATTTGCGCTGTCTCGATCTATCTAATTACTCCGTAAAACATTCCTAAAATATAAGGACGAATTCGCAAGATTAATTTAACAATCTCCCTTCCAGTTCTCCTTGATCCACTCAAACATAAGTTCTGTAACAGTCTCGTTACGATATGGTGTGACATCGTCCGTATTATAATCGCCTCCACTGAACTTCAATGCAGTGATGATCCAGGGCTGGACATAGTCCACGAACACCAGGTCCACTGTCTCCGGTACTCCTCCCTCAGGGAACTTGATTTCAGTTTGGATGCAGTTGGGCACGGCATAGAATTTGATGGCCGCATGGACTGTGTCGTCACCATCGTCGCCAAAGTCATCTTTCGTCGTGTATCCCTGGATGAGTTTTGGCTCTGTCAAAGTGCCATCCTTGTTCATCAATGGTCTTTGGGTGTCGTCGTTTGTGGTTTGTACCGGACCAGCTTGTGCTGTGGAAGAAGATATCTGTTCTGCCTTCTCGGACAGCGCCCATTGCTCTGGACTGACAAGCCACCTTGTGTCGAGAGCAGAACCCGCTTCAGCAGCAGTGAAAACAGGACCGCCTCCATTGAGCATCCCAATCACCTTCTTGGCAGCCTCATAAGGTACATCCGGGATGTAGTTCCACTTGCTGACAAATGGAGACACGATGTAAGTCGTGTCGGTGGTAAAGGCACCCTTGAATATGTCAAAGCGAATCATGCCGGTATTGGTAATTGCAAGTCTAGGCACATCCTTCCTGTCCTGTCGAACGGCAATATCTGGCACAACCTGCTCCTCGAGCCATGTGAAGACGCTCGCGTTGCTGGGGTACACGGCTCTGCTCATCCATAAGTCTTGAGGTGCGCACCCATAAGTCTTGTCCAGATCCAAGGCCTGGCGACTGTCTGCGATCAAGTTGGTCACGTTACGGCCGTGCTCAGTTGGGAACGTGGTGTCATTGAGCCCGGTATGGTAGTGCAAACCAAACAAGTTGTTGTCAATGTAGCGTCTCTTGAAAGTGGGCGAGGCTGCAGCCGAATCTTCGGTCTTTGACTTCTTATTGATGCCATCGATAGACATCCATCCGATCGTCTCCATATATCGGCCACTGGCGATGGCATATGACTTGTCGTCGAATTTACGGAAGTCGCGAACATGGGCATGACCACCTAAAAATGCAATGGGAGTGTACCAGTTCTGGTTTCTGAGGGCCTTGAAGATCAACTCGAACTCCTTCATGCGCAATCCGACGTGGCCAGCGACGACGAAGAGATCGGGCTTCTCGCGAATAGCATCCTGGAACCATTGCTCCTTGATCGTATCCTCGACATCCTGTACAACACTATTGTTCGCGTTCCTGTCAAAGTTGAACAGGAATCCGAATGCGACAACGGTGAGCCCCTGATTCTTGGTGGTGAACTTGCGGTAGCGTTGGGCCTGAGGTATTTGGTTGCCCGTCTGGGGCTCGATATAGTCTAGGTTCGAGGCCAAGTATGATCCCTTGTAGTTTGGGACGGTGATCTCGTGTTCGCGCTTCACTGAATCGGCTATGTATAGTTCGTGATTGCCAGTGCATATCACATCCATCTCTTGCTCTTTGTATATATCCGACGTGTATTTACCTTTCGGGCTGGATGCATCGTACAGACCGTTGCCTTCTATTCTGTCACCAGTATCGACTAATATGATATCCACACCCTTCTCGTCGGCTTTCTTGCGCATATGGTCGGCGAAGGAGATATAGTCGCCCCAGTCAGCGGAGTACTGGGATCTGCCAAAGATGTGAGCATGGCCACTTGAGGCAAATGGTGTCGCCGTACACTCACTCTTGCAAATGTCCACCATGCCAGCCATGGGTATCTGTCGTATGGAGAAAGTTGATCTGACCCCAGTCCAACTCTCTCATGGGCGCGGCGACGGGCGCTGCAGCACCAGGCTGCATCCCACGGGCGACTTGCGCCAGGGAAGCAGCTACGAGGGCGGCCTCACGAAACATGTTGAGTTATATGGGTGAAGTGAAGGCCAAAACTTTAGGAAGAGCAAGGAGACATGCGAGCTTCGGGTACGGAGATGAGAAACGGTCTCGCAGGTATGAATGGAAGCTCAGAAAGGGCGGCTGACACGCAACAAACAGCAGACGGTGAAGCGAAGCTTACACTGCCGGCAGCTGACTCTGGGGAGCTTGAGGGACAGAAATGACACGCCGAGCACGGGGGAGAGGCTCACGCGTGAAGCAAGCGCAAGAGGCTATGGATCGTTGATTACGATCGCCTCGCCGCACTTTCGTAATCGCCGGTCTAGTTTCAACAAAGCAATGCTGATATTTGTGTGCACAAGTGTTTGTGTCAATGACAGCGCGGGCAGCCATCTCCAGCTTCCGCTGCTGGGTACCTGCGTCATCTCAGCTGCAGGCAGATAAGCTCGATAACGCTTAGGTTAGTTATCTTGAGTCAGCGGCCAGCAGTCGGAGCTTGGAGTCCTCGGGGTTCTTGGAGCGCCATGTCATTCTCCAGGCCATCATTACCACTGATTTACAAGTGGTGCGTCAAAAGGACCAGGAATTCTTACTGGCCTTCCACTAGTTCAGACTAATACAATATTAAATCATCTGACTACAGTAACCTAGGTTAGCTATCTAGGTTAGGTTAACTGAATCCATGCCATGGTCCTAGTATGACAGCTCTCCAGGCGTTCTACGTACATGTATGCATTGAATATCTATAGCAATACTGGGCCGCTAAATTTGACAAACCCCCCCTGTTAGCCTACCCGCCGGAGCTGTGCATGTCGAGAATAATTTCCAAGCTGTCCAGGTAGCACTTCGAGATCGCCACTCCCCAAGCTATAACCACTTTCTGCGGCTACATGTCAACACATGTCAAACATTGCCGCTCCAAGGTCCCTCGGGGGATCTCCTCTGCCCTCGGCGGTGGCAGGTTGAGTCACTGGCGAACTCTGCACACAGGAAACGCATACATCGCCCACCACGGGGACGACACCCTGCGATCCCTTGATCGTAAAGCTCGCCTTGCGGTCAAAGACAATATTGCGACGCAGGGTCTACCGACGACGTGCGCTTCGAATATCCTCGCGGCCCAGGAAATTCCCTTTACTGCGACGGTCGTTCAGCAGTTGCAGCGCCATGGATTGACTGTCGCGGGAAAGACGAACATGGACGAGTTCGGCATGGGTACACACTCAACAGCGTCCGCCCACGGCCCCGTGTCGAACGTGTCGCAACTCGAGGGAAGATCTGCCGGTGGCAGCTCGGGAGGGAGTGCTGTTGCGGTGAGAGCCGGAACAACCAATCTCGCGCTTGGCACGGACACAGGCGGCTCTGTTCGCATGCCTGCCGCCTATACGAACACGGTCGGATTCAAGCCGTCGTACGGCATGGTATCTAGATGGGGCGTTGTGCCATATGCGAACTCGCTGGACACGGTCGGCTTTATTGCACGGACGGTCGACGAGATTCAATCCGTCATCAGGTCCCTCCGTGACGAGCACGATCCTAGAGATCCCACGTCTCTGTCGAAAGCTACTCGCGAGAGATGCACGGCGCAAGGGAGGCGCGTCCCACAGGATCTGGCATCCTACACGGGAAACTGGCTGAAGGGCCTCACCTTTGGCATCCCGATCGAGTACAACATCGAGGAGCTCGACCCCAGAATCAAGCACGGCTGGATGCAAGCTGCCGAGAAGATCCAACAGCTGGGTGGACGGGTTGTTCGCGTGTCATTGCCTTCCACCAAGAATGCTCTTGCAGCGTATTATGTCATCGCCCCGGCTGAGGCTGCATCCAACCTGTCAAAGTACGACGGGATACGTTATGGCAAACGAGCCGAAGATGCTACCAGTGATGCCCTGGATGGTGTTCTATATGCCAAGACCAGAGGAACTGGTTTCGGACCCGAAGTCAAGCGCCGCATACTCCTTGGTTCATACACGTTGAGTTCCAAAGCCATCGATAACTATTTCATTCAGGCCCAGAAGGTACGGCAGCTAGTGCGGCAGGATTTCGACCGGGTCTTCAAGCTTCCCAATCCGTTATATGATGAAGCACCGTTCGACCTGAGCGAAATGGACGAGTCGATTAGCCTGGAGAACAAACTCGGCCCTACACAAGTAGACTTTATTATCTGCCCAACCGCCCCCACGCCACCACCAAAACTAGACGACGTGGCTAAGCAGACGCCACTGGATTCCTATATGAACGATGTTTTCACGGTGCCAGCAAGTCTTGCGGGACTGCCTGCCATCAGCATACCCATGGATATTCCTGTCAAAGAAAGCTGTGCCGAGGAGGCTGGCTTGGACTTCGGTGGCTTACAGATCATTGGACAGTACTGGGATGATGCGATGTTGCTCGCTGTATCAAACGGTATCAGCCGAGAAATATCTTCAGAGACGGCGAAGCATTATAGTGCTTGAACTTGCAACGAATGTAATTCTATGTATAGACTCTGGCCGGTGGGTATCGAGAGAAGAGCCCGGCTATGTACAATGAAACACGATGAACTGACCAACTCCTCAATCCGCTGGCTATGCTCGCCGTAATGATTCCACGATTCGAGGTCCATCGGTCGGCGACCTTGATCTTGACTCCCTGACATGGCCCCGCTCATCATCAACATCCATGAGGTCTCCTCTGTCGCCACTGTATGACCGTCGCCTAGAGCGGTCACTCTCTCGACTCCTAGATCGCGATCTAGCTGAACGGTCGACCTCTTCCACTTCGCCCTCGTCGCTCCCAGCATCTCCGTTGGCCTGCGCGTCTGCCTCGGCATCCATCTCCTCCAACAAGTCCTCGATATCACCCAACGGACTGACCCTCGGCTCCAACTTGTCCAGGTCCTCGAGCAACTCCCTCTTCGTTAGCTGCCACAGGCTCGTACCACAGACCCTCTCCTTGGTGAGCAGATCGTCCACAAACTGATCGACAAACGTCAGCGTGGTCCCCTGGTTGCCCTTCCGCCTCAGCTTCCTCTTGTCCTCCAGGATGGGCTCGAGCGTCTTGTACACATCCTCGCTCCTCCTCGTGAGCCTCACGTAGAAGGCGGCCAGCGCCCTGAGGTACTTGAACTTGTCGCCGCCGTAGCCCAGGTACTCGCGCAAGACATCGTCGCCGGGGCCGAGCTGCAGCAGCTTGAACAGCAGGCAGAGGAACGGCGTGGGCTTCTGCGAGGACCCGTAGGTGCCGCCCACGAAGGTGACGTGCGCCACGACCCGGTCCACGACGTCGGCTTCGTTCAGCCCGAAGCACGCGTCCTTGAAGTAGAAGCTGTCGATGACCCGCTCGATCATGGCCTTCTCCAGCAGCGTCGCCGGGTTCATCCCGTTCGGGCACAGCGGCGCCGAGTGCCGCTCGTCGAGGAACCGGGAGGGGTCGGCGCGGTGCGTCATGGTGGGCGATGGCGAGGTGTTTGGCGCAGATTGGGGAGCTGGTTTTGTTTTGTATCTTTGGGTGGTATGTGTATATTCGGGTTGGCAGTTGTGTTCGCGATGCCGGTTGTCGGGCGAGTCTCACGTCCGTCGAGTCGGGCCAAGTGGGTTGCGTGAAAGGCAGGTATGTTCCTCGAGAGTAGCCCTGGTATACTGAAGAAAGTTGTCGCAGCTCGACTGAAGCTCCGCGACAAGACCGATATAGCGGCGGCGAACTTTGAACTTTTGGGAAGCCGCGGGCACTATCGATAGCGGGTTTGCAGGGGGTCTCTGCATCTACCGTAACCTAAGGACTCCGTAAATTCAGTGGATCTTTCAGCTCCGTCGCCCTAAGTTAGTCCTCAGCTACGGATCCGTACTGCAAGCTGAGCTCATCTGGAGAATCCCAACCTAAGCAGCCCGGAGCATCCTTTCTGGCGCGCTCAACAATACAACCAAGGCAAGCTGGGACCTCGGGAACTTTGCGCAGGACCTGTGCAGTCTATACTCTACCGCATCCGCCGAGCTGTTCACCCCACAATCTACGAGGACGCGCGCATATGTCTTGGAAATCTGGTCTCTCTTCGCCGTAGAAGTGCGACCCCCGCTTGCACCAGGGATATCTGTAATGTTGTATACACATTCTTCTTGTTCTGTGCGCTTTTCACTATCACCTTCCAATCCGTAGATGAGTATATAAACAATAGATACAACCTTCGGGTCTCAACGACTTCAGCTCGATAGGCACAAGCTGCAGTGATCACGTATGCAGTTTCCCTATCTGCCCCTGTCAGTCACTATCACGCCCTATCCTGAGAAGTGTATTGATGTGCCACGTCAAAGGTCACTGCATAGTATTGTGGCTCTGGTTCACTTGAAGTGCACGATCGAAAGGCCTCTAAGAAATGGACTGTTGCTTGGAGTCATCTCGAACTACCATGTCCCACAAAGGCATTGGGATCCGGAGGTGCGCATGCCGAATCTTTTCGGGCCCATCTCACGCGACATGGATGAAACTACCATCGGCGAGGGTTCAATCATCTCTATTATGTATCACAACTATCAGCGTGCCAGGCACTGCTGCTCACCTCTCATCCACCGATGGTTAAGGCACCCACGGCTTGGTGGCATTGATTCTGGATATATTCCGTAGGTTTTCTATTGTCGAAGAAGCTATTATCAAAGTACCAAACGCAGCCTTGGAAGTTGTAGGTAGGACCCTTGCAATGTTTGCCAGCTTTTATAACATATACAGCTGCTACCTTGACGTTTCCGCACAGGAACTCGCAATTCCGCCAGACCGAACAAGTCACCGATCCCCTGTATAATTGGAACTGGGCCATTCTGCATGTAATTGTCTATTGTAACGTCGCAGTATTGGGTTTCATGATCTGTTGGAGGCCCTTGGCTTTCGCTCTCTATTTTGAATAATACAGTATAGTTTTCTATGCTACCTCTACCTGGTATATATATCACTTACTTTCTCCAGGACCATCGTAGCTCTCGGCCTGCATGCCATGGCTTGGAGCGCTCGTCGTCAGCTTTGTTTTTCTTGGCAGATGATACGACATAATTATCGATAGGCTCCTGAACGCTGCGGTGATGCGAGCGACAGCTTTTGTATAGCCGGTTAAGCCGGAAGCAGCGTTGAAGTACTATTGTTACATGGAGCGCACACGCTCAAGTCAAGAGTTTGTAGACCCCGAGCATTTTTGAAGGGCTTTGGCACGTCGTGAGGGCAATCATGTAGTATGCAGAACAGCCGTATAATCACGATCCAACAAGCAAAGGATCGCAGGTGGAAGGCAAGACTTATACCGCCACCTCTCCGAATCGTTCTTTTGCAAAGCCAGGACCAATGCACAAATAACGCCAGACGCCCAAACACCCGTCCCCATCCTACCGACTCCTGTACCAGGCCACAGATTGATTGGAACCAACAAAAGCCGGGACGATGATGGGAATTGGGAGGAGAATTGCAAAGCAGCCCTGAGTGGCGATCACTGGAGTTGGTCCAGCAATCTCTTCCGTCTCCTGTCCATCAACTCTTCTTGGACTTCCTCAAGCGTTGGTAGGTCCCAGCCCTTGCCATCGCCACTGTCGCCAGGTAAAGGCTCCCAGCCCGGCGGTGGCTGTCCCTTGGCTGCTTGCATTGACAGAGATTCGAATGCGGCTTTCTCTTTTTCCAATTCGTACTCGAGCATTGCGTCATCCTCCTCATCAGGTGCATATCCGTAGTATTTTGCATCGACCGCTTTCCTCAGGTCGTCCCTCGTCTCGAGCGGTTTGTCCTCTTTGCTCCCCTTTGTGGCGGCTTCGAACAGCTCTTTCACTCCAGGCAGTTCCCTAGCTCTTCCAAAATACCTGTAGCCCTTCCCACCGCCTGGTATTTCTTTGCCGCTTTCATCGTAGACTTTGCCACCGCCTCGCATGTAATTTGGGCCGCCTAGATTCCGTATTTGAACCTCCCACATATGCTTCTCCCTCATGAGCTTGTTGATTTCATCGTTGAGGTCGCGAATCTGGTAGTCGCTGAGCATAAGGTCCTGGATGCGGGAGACCTTGCGGCTGATCTCCTTGAGGGTCTGGCCTCGCCATTTCTCGCAGGACTGTATGGATTCGACTTCGGTGATGATCTTGGGCCGCCGTGTCCGTCCTGCGTCTATGATACCTAGGTCTGCTGCTTGGGCTTCGCGGAAGCGGAAGAGCATGGACTGGGCCTTCTCACTGTTTCGCGCCTGGGAAGAATTAGCCAGTTGCCGCCTATAGACCAGTGTTCAGACGTACCATGTTGACTGATTGATAGACGACGTTTTCGCAAAGCTCTATGTGGCGTCGAAATGGTCTTGTTGGTCCAATGCTGTATCGCTCGTGAGCTTGTGGGCTTGTGTTGGCCGAGGGGAACTTTTCTTCACAATTAATTCAGCCGCCTTGACGCCCAGTACCTACAGTACATGGAGAGCTTTCGCCGCGGGGGCTTTAGTGCTAGACTGGTGCCATTGCCAGTGCTACAAGTAGTGCTAGTGGTGGGCTTGCAATGGATTGCGCCGCCAATTACATGCATTTCAGGTAGGTTAGTACGTTACATGGGTGATTATATGCATGCATTAACAATGTACATAGTAGGTCTTTCAATTAGTCGCGCTTACCGAGACTACCCAAAAAGTTCCAACGACTGACAAAAAAACGCGTCGAGAAGCCAAACTGCACCACCACGACCTGGAGCAGATCGCTGGTTCAAACGATAACAACCACAAACAATAATCCTTTTCGAAGCCTGTCAACTGTCCTCACCTCACATGTTCCAATCCAGGTAGGAACTGTACTCGTCTGATCAACATATCAACCCCTGGAAGCTGGAAACTCGTTTTCCAGCAAGCTTGCCGGCGAGAAGTGACCAGCAAAAGGGTTTACCACTGCTTTCTATCGCATGTGTCCTTGCCAATACACGTAGGCACTTGGTAGGCCCGTTCAATCCAAGATGGAATAAACGAATGGCTTCTCCTATGGACTGTCCCCCTTTTTTCCTTTTCTTTTTTTATCTTCACCTTCTCGTAATACTTACCCCTTTGCACCTTGCAATGATGAAATCTCAATACTGATGATTTTGAGCCTAGCGACCTCGAGTCCATGGCGCATGACAATTCCCCAAGAACAGAGATCTGAGCAAGACTGACCACAGTATGGTCGACCCCCTAAGCGTATTCATGGCACCGCAATCTCCTTGTTTCGCTCCTTTTGGGACCATGCATCTGGCTTGAACGCCCACCGCCGACAAGGACGACAAATACACAGTCCGAGCTCAGTTTTATCGAACTGTTCGATGACGGCTTACTAATAGTTTTCAATCGGAGTTGGCGGCGATGCAATGAAACCCTTGAGAGCCAGTGGTCTAGGGAGATTGCTATAGCTGTTTATGTGCTGAAGGCATATATTTTCTTCTTGTTTACACAATCAGAAAGACGAGATACCCGGTGATGACCAAACCCAAAAAGCCAAATTTGCAGACAGCCGCCCGCGGTCACGCGAGGAAGGTTGTCAGTGAGAATTAGAAGAGCTAATCTGAGGGTATACATCTGTCTTTTCTCTTTTGCTTTTTTGTCACCATATGCTGCTGTTTTTTGTAGTTGCTTTACTCGAGGCGCCAAGTACCAGCCTAGTGAGTCACGAAAGGCTTAGGTAACCATATCATAGTCCTTCTTCGGCCACTATCCCTGGAGCGTTGAGGTATCGTATCGATTCGACCAATGTACTCAAGCGGCGTATATTTACCACGTTGCAGCTTGGCGCGGTGCATATGCCATAAATTATTGCTGTTGACCGCGGCAGACGGTTACACACCTCTTCTGACTCAACATTTTGACTTTCTACTCAGACAACATTTGCAACAACATACACTATTACAAAGCACACCATGGGCGGCACACAAACCGAGTTAGAGTCCCTAAAGGCCATGCACAATGTGATAATAACTACTGAGCGCCTGAGATTACGGCCAGTTCTTCCCTTGACGGACATTCATTCACTTCATCGGATGAGACAAAACCCTACCTCGATGAAGTACTCGTAAGCACTTTTATAATTCCTCAACCACTGGTTCTAATCATCGCTGTTGCATCTTCACTCCAATGACTCACAAGGCTGCTAGATCAACTGGGGTTGAAACCGAGAAGGATCCATTCAATAGTGTCACTTTCGACAGGATCAAAATCATGGCAGGCGCGGAGGGATTCGCGTTTGCCGTAGAACTCAAGTCTAGCAATGGAGATGCGCAGCCGGAGATGATCGGTGCTGTGGGTATGTTTCGGCCTGGAGCCTGTGGCTATCAGTTTGATGAGCCTTACTGGGGCATGGGCTACGCGACCGAAGCCTTGACGGCCTGGCTCCAGAAATACTGGGAGTACTTTCCTGAGGGGCCGGAGAGTATTGCACCAGAGAACCGCAACCACCTGCTGGCTCATGTGTTTGAGGGCAATGTTGCTAGTGAAAAGGTGCTGCTGAAGTCTGGGTTTCGAGTCCTAAGAGCGAAAGTCCCGGGAACTCAAGCTGGTCATCCGGTCATCGAGACTGTATTTATTGTCGAAAGGCCTGAGCCAGTGCCTATCCCAGCCGACGCTGCTGGGCTGCCGACCTGAGCTGTCAGGGTTAGAACATTGATTGGTCTATGATGTAGATGGCTTTTCTTACAATACACACTCACAATTACAACCAAGCATTGGGTCAATATCCATTATTGATCTACTCAGAATTAGTACATTTGGATCACTATTCTTTTCACAGTGTTAATATCATTATCAGCTAGCTACAGCTCTCGATCTTAGAATAAGTCCTACGATCAAATGCTTACTCCTTATGCATCTGCATTTCCCTTATCTTGCACAATGCTCTCATTCAACCTTCGGAATCATGCTCGTCATCGCCATCGTCGTCGTATTAAGGGGGAGATCACTGGGCTTCCTCATCTTTCTCGTGACCTGGCCCAAACATCATGGCGCCCCAATCTACGGTGTTGAGGGTATCCCGAGTGTTCCGCATCAGCACCTTTCTAAGCAGCTTGGGTTGCGAGGTTTCGGGCTTGCTGATCTTCTCGTCTTCCTCGTCATGCATTTCGTCCGCAGTACTGGCCATATCTATACTCTTTTGATGGGTCAGGAACCACCGTGCCTGGGAATAGTACTCACTTCGTCTCAGGGGCTTCGGGCTTCCCCCAGGGACGTTCACCCCGATGACGGCAGACGCCGCTTCCGCCCCGGATTCTGGTTCGTGCGTCACGGCCAGATACGACCACGACCATGGTCTGGGGACGTTGTACTTGTGGTTTTGCTCGCACTCCCGAGAGCAGTAATACTCCAGCTCTATCGTCTTCTTACGCTGGCTCCCGCACGTATTGCGCCTGCGAGATCGATCGTATCGGGGGTCGACCTCGGGTGCTTCGCAGCCTATCAGCCTGGCCTGCTCGATGTAGGCCTCCTGCGCCTTCCTGCACATCTGAATCATCGTGTTTCGCTGCCCGGTCAGGGGGTCGGTCTCCCCCGGCCTAATCCGACTGCTGTACTTCAGGCAGTGTTGGCATACCTTGTGGTACCAGTAGTTCTTGCACATTGTGGTTGGATGTGGGCGGACGGTTACGATGCGAAGACTGCGGTGGAAGTGTTATGATGATTGCAGGTTGGTCGAAATCGTAGGAAAACTGGTTTGGGGTTTACTGTCCTAAATATCTTGGAAAGCCGCTGGGGACAAGCTTTCACAATGCTTTGTGTCAGCCCCGGCCCTTTTGGTCATCCATCCTTTGTTGCCTGCCAATGCATTGTGCAGAACGGTATATCTTGCGCCTCGCGACAATATAAGCATTTGTATACAATAAGACAACATTTATTATACTAGCATAGCTCAACTAGTTATTTTAAGCTGCCGGCCAGCCTCTTGTACAGGTGGGATAAGTACTGGCCTATGGTTCCTCTACTACTCCTCGCCGTCACCACCACTGTCTGAGAAATCTGCCCAGTCCTTGGGCTTCTTCCAGTCGCCTGAGTGGCATGACTCCCAGCAACGACGGATTCCGCACGTTAGGGCGTATCTGAACAGCAAGGCCCTCCTGGGTATCACAATTTCGATGAAGCTCTCCCCATGCTTTGATCTACGTATCTCCTCCGCTTCGCCGCCGCTGTATAAATTGTACCAACGCTGCAATGCACAGTAGTCCACCTTCCGGACCTCTGTGAGACCTGCAGCGTGCGTACGAGCTTGATCTTTATGTCTGTGATTGACGGCGACCACGGCCGACGTGATATCGGAGCTCGCTGCTGGGAAATGCACCTCTTTCAGCGGAGATTCCTTGTTCACCTGCGGTAAATAGCTCTTATGTTTATCGGCACATTCCGGGAGGCAGTAGGTGGACAGATTGATGACTCTGCGCTGGTCGTCACCTTCATCTACATGCCCACATTCCAGGCGCTCGACATATCTAGCATACTCTGCCGACCCATAAAAAACATCCTCCGACGTGTTTCTCCCACCGCTTCGGATGACATTATTCTGCGCTTCAAGGCACGGGGAGCCGGCCATGTTTCGGGATCCTGTAATCGGATCGATCTCGCCCGGCTCAACTGTGCTCACGAGCTTTAGGCAATGCCCGCAGACGTTTAAATAGCAGTAGTTTCTGCACATCGCTTTCCAAGAGAATATTGATCGACTTTTCGTCTGAGAGCTGTAGAACAAGAAATAAATGCAACACCAAATATTGTAAATTTCAGCTCAAGCACGCCGCAATTAGGCTCTACCATACTATTTATATATGTAGACAAGTCGCTTCGTATATAGACCGCACAATACTTTGTGTGAGCACAAGCCTTATCTTGCAACTTCTCTTTGTCTGATCGTGAATAACTGTCCACTCTCGTGCCAAGGATGCCATAATATCTGCTAGATTCAGTCATGAAAAGTACCAGCTGGACTTCTATAGTCAGTCACACATTGTCCGCCGAATGTTTGATCAGCTGGTAGCGACACTAATCAACGGCACAATATATGATTGCCTTATTTGAGTGCCATATACATTATCATGGATTAGTTACATTGCATGACATCCACCATCCCTTACATAACCCTATTAACGAACTGGTCCACTTTCAACACGCTACTTTGTTCAACTTTTACATCTACGTGTTCTCTCGATACCTTTTCACAGGCACTGATAAACGCTGCTAACAACAACTGGGATAAGAGAAACTTCTGCTTGCAGAGAGAACCATTCCAAAACGGGCAGCATCTGCCTATCAAAAGGAAAAGAAGAAAGAAAAAAGGAACGAAGAAAGAAAAAAAGAAAAAAGGAAAAAAAGAAAAAGGATTATCGACTTATATCTCTGACACTAGTCTAGGAAGTTTACGTGCTAAGACACATGCCAAGCAAGGTTAGCATCTGGCTCTTAAGTATACACGACCTACAGCTCTTTTGCCCCTGGCATTGTTATTGTTATTGTGAATATTCTGACCACAGAACCCGACGATGTTACTTATGTTAGAGTCCCTCTTTCCAAGCCGACTGAGTCTGTATTATAAGGGGGAAGGAGGATTTATCGGCGATTTCAGCCCACACAGTTTAGCTCCGTTTGGATGTGCAACGACAAGGTACCGCCAAGCGCACTGCTGGCTAGTTGTGCTTGAGTTGATTGGTTGATAACCGGGTTCCTTTGAAAGTATATATTTGGCCCTGGCCCCTTTTATAAAAATTGGCGAGCCTCATAGGACAGAGACCATATTGTCTTGAACAAGGCCACTGACTTCTAGTCTCCCTTTTTTGTTTTGGCCACGTACATTATTACACATCTACCTTGAAACTGTTATACTGATCATCACGATAAGACGTCCAGTGAGGAAATAGTAGCGATAGCCTTAGCTGATGTATGCTTCGGCTCGTGTGTTGAAACTCCCAAAAAGCCAAACAGGAAGTGATTACCAGGGTCATAATTTCCATCAAGTATAACGTGTCTCTGGGTAAGAACCAGCTCTTGTTTGATTATAGTGATGCCCAATATGGTAGACAGATATAGGACAGCGTAGGAGTGCTTTTGACCAACGCGAGCCATCTATCACGGTTCTAAGATTGATACTTCGCAGAATTCTTCCAAGTAACGCCATGCTCACCAAACGAAAAGAAAAGAAAAACGAAAGAGAAAAAGAAAACATGGATCCTTCTCAAGCCGAGCAATGCCCATGGCGTTACACGAATACGGTTTCCTCTCCAACCCTATGAGGTTCGAACGTCCACTCCACACATACATCCAGTACTGCTACACGCTTCGTGGCAGACCGGTTGTGTAGCATCGACTAATCCATCTCGGTATCCTCTATACCGTGAGTATAGTCTTTTAAAAGTGCAACTTCCTCAAACGCTTTAGCCAAGTTCTCCATTCTTGCGCCTTCTGGATTCTTGATAGCCATGTTGAGATCACCCATAAAAGTGGCACGGATCTCTTCGTCAACAGGAGCCGTCAACCCCCGGTACTTCAAGTCGTTCAGTATTTTGCGTGCATCTTCGGTCGTTATATCCGTATCACGCATCGTCATCGTCAAGAGACCACCGCCAATTGCTTCTGCAACTCGGTAGGGCCGCCGTAAGGTTTCATAACCATATATGCACAGCATGAACCAGGGACGCCAGGAAGGGTCTGCCGTATCTTGGAGAACGGAAGTGGCTAGATATGTCAGAGCAGTTTGCCACAAAATGGTATATGCCGAAGATTCGTAGGAAGATCGATAATCAAATATCAACTGTTTGAGTTGGTTTACTGATGCCTTAAAAGCTGCATCGGGCGTGCTGTCCGCAGCGGAAAATGTTCTTAATCTCTGTGAGTTGGCGTACCCTTGTTTCATGAATGGACGGAAGATGTCGAGAATGGTAGCATGGATCCACATGCTGAGTTTACTTTGATCAGCATCAGGATCTGTTTATGTCAGTATTGGTGACGTAGGACTTACTGAAAGATAACGACATGATGTGGGCAGTTACTGTCACGTGTAATTTGTACAGGTAGATTCTCTGCCCACGCCAGAATTTCTCGATACTTCATCTCAGCAAAATTGAGAGGGACGTTATCTGATGGATCTTTGCCTTGGGCAAAGTAAGCCAGTGACACCTCACGCACAATTTGCCAGAATTCGCAGATAGCGGGGAATGTATAACCCATGTATTCCGGGAGAGCATCCTGCACGATTGGGTGCGATGAAATCGGGTCATATTGGCCAGAAGTTCCTGGGATAGGTAACGTTGGCGGAAATCTTAAATGTAGTACCCCAGGCTGTCGATAAAAGATTGAGACAAGCCTGAACTGTTAGTGCCTCGATCTACAAAAGTCACGCCACAGGAGACCAACTTACACGGCCCAGTTGAAAACGCCCCATGCTGCATATGAGTAAGCCACCAGATGCGACTGGGGAAGTTTCCTTAGCCTAGCCTCGGCAGTCTTACGGTCGACTCCCAGCAACCCAAGCCGTGCACCCATCTTGACAGCCTCCAGCTGATACTTGAGTACTTTATGGTCCTTGCCATTACCCATGTAAGCCAGGCTCAACATTTGGGCACCGATCATGTTCAAGCTGGAATCAGATGACTTTACAATATCCCAGAGTCTCTCTGATTCTTTGCCAAAGTCTTTGGCATAATCGTTGAGCCTCTTGTCGATAGCGCTATACATTTGCTGGGGCGGTGTTAGCTAACGTGGTGCGCATACACGCAGAGAGTGGCATATGGGCAATACGTACACATCCCCAATAGAGCACGCAGTTCGCAAGAAATGGAGAGCATGAAGTTTGTTGGTGGTTGACCAGATCTCCAACAAATTGGGTTGGTTCAAATGTGCCGAGGAGCGGGTGATCCGTTTCTAAATACATTGATATGGCCTTGGCCGCCAGATCGTTGGGTATCTGGACGCTTGTCCAAAAAGAAACACTTAGGTTGGCAAGCCTATCGTCGCATAACTCACGATATTTGTTCGGTGAACCGCTCGGAGATTTTGGACCTCGAAAAAGTCTAACGGCCGAATCGGAGTCCATACCGTCCCTGGATGGATTTTGATTATGGTCAGCGTCATGAGCCTTGTTAGTACGTAACGGGAAACTGGTTTGTGATTATTGCGGATCGGGAATCTTGAGTGGAATGAAAATAAGCATAGAGGCTTGACGTACTGCAGCTCTGAAGACACTCCAGAAGCCGGATCGATGGGGCGAAGCAGATGGCTTTGCTCCAGGCCGGTCAGAGAGAGCGACCGCAGTCCAGGAAACGTGACGGGGTTCTTAGACATTAGCTCGGACTCCATAGACGACTTGATACGCAAAGCCTCATCCTGGTCAGAGGTACTCGGTGATGGCTGCTGATTATCATCTGGAGTGTTTCTGGCAAGCGCCAGGATGACACTATGGTCGCCATGAACACGTATAAGTCTTAACATTTCCGTAGCCCTCGGCTCTGGAGATGTCTTGAGAAGTTCAATAACCTCGAGTACCTCATCATTGACCTCGCGCTTTTCGTTATATGTGCATTTCTCTATACCCTTTTTCCTGCATACACCACATACTGGACGTCCTCCGTCACACTGGAAACGGATAGGGTTAATCAAGAGACAAGTCGAACAGCATGGTAGATTTGAGGTCGGCTTACGCGGGTTTTCTTTGCGCGGCAGAGATTGCAAGCTACCTGGACGCCTACGCGTTTGCGTTTAAGCCGGTCCTCCGATTGACCGGAAGCGGTAGACGATGGTTCCGAAGTGGAGCGACTCTCAGACTGAGGCGCAGGTAGCAGTTGGCGATACTCCCTTGGCATCATGGCCGGAGAATGCACAGTGAGTGAGCAGAATGGTGGTTGATAAGGTGTGTCATATGTTACATATCAGATGCTTGGTGGCGTTGGAGTAAGTGGTGCAAGTCCCACTCCAACATAGTAGCCAGGCGCAGGCAGTAGCTAGTGGATGGGAAGACACGGCCGTGGCCAATTTGGTAAAGTACGATTGAGGTTCGCCTCGTAAACTGGCTCGATATTATAGATGACCGGGAATGTGTATAGAGCGAGGCGGTCGGGGCGTTAGAAAATTCGCCACTCTTGAAAGGAGTGGATTTAGTGGCTAGATTCCGGCAGGAAAGCTAATATGTGTTGCTGCGTTGATGACAGTAAGAATCAGCAACAGGGCAAAACATTAAAACCCGGCATTTGGTATTAATGTTAATGTTAATGTTGATGTTGATGTTAATGTCGTTCAGTGCTCGGTAACAAGAGCGGGCTTGGTTTTTGACGATGTTGCCGATCAGCTTCGATCAATCTGGCCTGACGTCTTGGCCCGCGTTTAGCATCGAGATCAAGATCACACATGCCCATGTGATGTGAGGTGAGCCCAGGCTCCAAAACGCCCAAAAGTTTCTGAAGCTCGAACACTACATTTGCACCCGGACCTGTACCGGCCATAGTACTGACTCTCGGAGCCAACTCCTGCTTTTCGAACCATGTGATTGGACGAAAGCCTACGGGGGCTAGCTCCGTGGCAAACCCGCCTGTGGCAGGGTGGCTATTGGCACTGGCATCTATCTTTGCACAACGTTAGGTAATTAAAGTAAGTACTCCTGGCCACACACTTGCAATCATCGGCCGTGTTGCATGTACTCTCATCAATAATATCCCATTACATCCTTACCGTAAGCACGGGAAGCCGCCGTGGCGCTCACCCTGTGAACACCCTCCTCTCCGAAGACAGTTTTCTTGACAGCGGAGGGGATGAAACGAAGACACCAAGACGTTCTTCACGACAAAGTACCACGGTATCTTCATCATTCTTGCTGGGGACCATGCAAAGTCCCTCATGCTCTGCAAATCTGCTACCATCATCGCTGGTACCACCTGCAAACATCGACCAGAATGGCCACCATGCCATCTAGGACAATGACGATGCCGACGGTTATACTTGGCGAGCACAATCTTACCACCTTTTCCATCATGTCGTTCCGGATACATGGCGATGATACCGCTAGTAGTTCGCGGTCATTGCCAGATTTATGAACTCCTCGATGGTTCTGGGCCAAAACAGTGTAGTCGTTCTCGTCGCCAAACAAATTTATAACAGCGAACTCATAGCCACTCTTGGGCTATAGTTTGGTCATGTACACAGGTTCTTTTCTGGTGTTTCGTTAGAAATGTGTTTCTTGGGACGCATCCCGCCGACCTTCGCCCAACCCATCCCATGGCACGCTCCGTTGTCCTACACTTGAATCAGCGGCTACACAATTTCAACACAATCAGGTCAGTATATCTCTCGTTACCTTCAAGGTCCAATATGACTGTATCCTGCTTGTGCCAATTGGGTGAAGAACAACTTCAAGGCATCGCTCCGCATCTGTATTTCTCCTGGTACGCTCTGACGACTCAACACAGATGTCAGGCTTCGTCCTAAGATGCATAACTACGACTCGATATCCTCAAGGCTTCTACACCCCCGACAGTGCCGAGCCGACAAACTTCAACTTGGAACAGCTACAGCAGCGTACAATATGCCACTCAATAGATTGATATCGAGAGGTGGCAGCTACAGGATCCAGCCCGTCACACCATGACGCAAGAAGCCCATCGATCGATTCACTGCAGACTCCCTTCGATTCTGTCGCGTGAAGCAATAGCCGCTCTGCCTATTGACAAATCAGTGTCTGGACCACCTAATGCCTACTTCCTGAGTATGGGTATTCTTAGCCGGCGCGACGACGATGATCATTCTTCAGTGTCGGCGGCTGTCACATTGAGCGAGCGAATTATACTCTGGTATTCTCAGAGGGCTTCTTTTGCAGGGTCTTAGTGCCCTGTGCAGACACGGAATGAGGGATCCTGATGAACTTGTGGCCACCGACGCGCGATCGATACACAGCATAGGGAGTATTTCGAAGCTCGGATCATGTTTGGGGTATGCTATTAGGATGATGGAGAATGTATCAGTCCTCTCGGTTCCAGTTGTGTTCCGCGCTGGTATGCTTCATTTGGTACTTGCTCGTGTTGCACGACAAGAGTTACCCACACCAAAGGTTTGTTTTTCAGCCTCTCTTGGTGAGGAATATACGGTCGCCACCATATGCCTCGAGCCCGGGGAGGCCTGTCAGCCAAACAGCAAAAGAGATGAATTCGCTGGACGACACTCTAAGGACACCATCCAAGCGTGGGTATGGGCGGCCTGGGAGATATGAGCCGAATATTGACGCCCTCCAACAGCCACGTGGACAAAGGACTAAAGGTACCATCCGCCTGGAACATGCGGTTATTGAGTCGACCAATCTCCTTTCTCAAAGAGGATCGACCTAAGCTTCCCACGCTACATTTAGGACGTCCCTTGAGATGGTTGGAAGTCGATTGACTGTACAGTAGACATGAGTGCGTGCGCCATTCTCGGGACGATGGGGTTGGATTTCACCAATCTAGCAGCTTAATTGTTACGGCCGGCGTTGATCAACTGAATCATAGAGGTTCTCGGAGGCACGATCGTTGGCCTAAATAGATTTCTCGTTTGCTTACTGCTGAGATGGGGTTCTAGAAAGCCAACGAGCGTCACGGGTGGTATGTACCCTGGCGTAGCACTGGCTTCGCGCTAGGATGACGCACAATTGAGGACATCGACGATGGTCACGGCCATAGATGATTGGATGAGACTCCTCGGCGTCGTCCCGACCCGTAAAAAGGGACGTATATTTTATGGCAGAGTTGAACGTTTTCACACGTGCTATACGGGGTATTCTTTTATGGAACAGGATCCGGCGCACGCCAGGGTTTCTCAATCAATAGGAAGAATACTTTGGGGTCGATTGAATATGGAGTCAGGTATCACTGCTATCATTCTTGAGAAAGCACTCACATGCATGCTCGAAGTGTCGTGCTCTACGAGACTCGGGGTGATTTAAAACGGTCAGGCCTCTCACAACCTCCGGAAGACCTTGGAATGCTTCAGCTAGCTTTTGTCCACCTTGGCAAGGTGGAATACAAGCTTAGAAAACTGTAAGCTACCCTTCTCCATGCTCCTTCTGACCCTCCAGTTTCAATCAGTTGCGACGACAGACTTCACCGAGATACCCAAAAAAGCGACGCTCATGTTATCTGTCAAGAAAGAGGGTCTGAGCAGTCACAGCGCTCAAGGCGCCCCACTGACTACAGAAGTCTTTCATTGACATGGTAAGTGTTATGTCCTAACCCCCTGCTGGAGATAGTCTTCCAATCTCGTCTTATCGACTCATTGCCTGCGGTCATGGTGTGCACGAGGACGGGCATCTACTTTGCTGTGCCCGTGCTGTAAACATCATATAGCAGGTATCATTGTGAGAAAGTCTGGCGTCATGGTGATGTGATGCAATCGGTTATTTAGGCCAAGGTAACTCTGCCGACGAACGTTTTGCTCAGTAACGGGACATTAAGATCCACTATCTACTGATTGGAATCATCGTTCTGTATTCTGACCAGACGAAAATGGAGCCAAATATTACAGAATAAGATATCCCCGAGGTCCTGCATAACGAACAACTCAAGCATGTAGCCCCCAGATGTATTTATTGGGTGGAAAGCACAATCCAGTAACTGGCACATAATGTCCGGCAACCTTCAGGCTCACATGAGGATACAACCTGGTTGAGAAGTGCTCTGTTGTGCATAGGACGACGATGACATCCATGCAAACCTCCTCCACGCATCCACCCTGGATCATCCCAAGAATGCCGCAAGATGTTTGCAAACAAAAAAAACCCGCCCCCAAAAAAGTCAAACAGTAATCGATAAAATTTTCTTCAGGAAGGTAATGACTTAGCCATCAACGTTACAATCTATGCTCTAAATAAGGCAACGATCTCGACTTAGCAGTCCCTCCCACCAGCCGACGAAATCATAAATTGCTCTGTTCTAGATGGTAATTGCTGCGCGGCAACATCTTTCGTACAAGGTATTTGAGGCATTTGAATTCATGGCGGATTGTACATAAAGGTCATGTATGAAATGCCGTGAAAAGTGTCTTTCAGTGGTTCTCTTTGGAAACAACGCCACGAGGCATAACCGTTGGGAGGGTACCCATCGTGACATTAGACGTAGCGGAGAAAACATGGCTTTTATCCACCAGAATGCCTTATTTTGAGACCAATAAAATTCAACGTTGATGCATTGTAGCGAACCCCCCGATTGGAAACTTCCCCCCGCCATCATTAATTGTCTCCAATCGGGGGCTCGGGACAGCAGGACCCTATCCAAAGCCGGAAGATAACATACAGCGCATGCGTCCCTGCGGCATCCAAGCCTCACCAACAAACAACATTGCAGACCCTCCCGTAGTCTGACCTAAATTTTCCGGAAAGTCTACCCAAACATTCCTAACACCACTGACAACCCTTATACACGCCTCCACCCCACGACCACATGGACTGCTACGCAGAGCCCTTTCCCCCCGACTTTCACTGATCCCACCTTCATCATCCTCCTCTTGGCATCTCTGCTTATTCCTCTTCTCTCCTCAATCAAACCCCCCGTCTCCTTCTAAACACCTTACTGAATGGGCGGTACCCCCCAGAAGCATGCAAGACCTTAACCCCCTCATCCTGGGCGCCCCTCCCCCACTAGACGCAGCATGGCAGGCCCACGAAGCCGCCGCGGGCTTGCTTCAGCCCAAGCCGGTACTCTCGGCACTCGAACGCCAGCCCATCTATGCGTCCGACTGCCGGGCCCGGAACGCGGCCATGATGGCGCTGGGGGCGCGGGACCACGAGCTTTCGCGGGGCGTCCGCGTCAGTTCCCTGACGGTCCCCGGTCTGGAGGACGGGTACGAGATACCGGTGCTGCGGTATGAGGCAGAAGAGGAAGACGTCTCGAGGGATCTGGGGGAGGAGGAATTTGACGAGCTAGGAAGAAGGGGCGGAGAGGAGAAGAAGGAAAAGGAACAAGTCATACTCATCTACATCCACGGCGGCGGCCTCCTGGTCGGGGAAGCGGACAGCGAGGAGTTAACATGTCGGCGACTCGTCAAGTATTTCCCTCGCCCATCCTCTTCTCACACTGGTGGCCAGGAGGCTGTCAAGCTCTACTCGATAGGCTACCGCCTGATGCCGCAGGTGGCCGCCCAGACGTGTCTCGGCGACGTGACCTCCGCCTTCAAGTCAATAAGGCAGCTCCATCCAGCCGCCAGGCTCGTACTGGTCGGCTCCTCGTCCGGCGGAGAGCTCGCGGCGTTCCTGTCGCAGGCCCTGGCACCTGGGTCGCTCTCCGGCATCCTGCTGCGCTGTCCAGTAACCGCGGACGCACCTGCGCATGTGCCCAGCGGGTTTGAGGACTGGCATACGAGTGCGAGCCCGCCGTTCGTCACGTCGTTGCTGGGACTGTTCAACCGCCAGGTGCCTCGGGATGGGTTCGAAAGAATGCCGCTCGAGATTCCCACTGATGAGGTTGAGGGCCTGGAAATGGCTCGTACTTGGGTTCAGGTGTGTACAAATGATGTTTTATACTCGGACGGGGTATGCTATGCAAAGTTATTGCAGGATGCTGGAATTGAGGTAAAGGTCGACGTCGTCGAAGGGTGGCCGCACACGTTCTGGTTGAAAGCGCCGCATCTCGATCGAGCGCTTGAAGCAGATAACGAATTGCTGAGAGGTTTGGCCTGGGTGCTCGAACTCTAGTGTAATGTTGTTATGTTGTTTTTAGAACTTAATGGTCCGCGGTAACCTATATTTCAGTCTATCGCTCGCAATAAGAGGTCAGTTTCACCAAAAGACTAGAAGGTCGAATTAGAAGTTTTGTCTGAATTCCGCAGCTTGTTTCTGCAATGTCCGCTCCCAGTTCTCCTATCTACAATGCTAGAGTACACAAAGGGGAAGGAAATACACGCAAGGCGTTGTCGTTTATAGTACGGACAAATCGCCAAACTTCTCCTGTAGAATTTGTTAGCGCCGCCATGTGTGTTGTGTACATCAGAATCGAGGCATACCTTGTACCCCGGAACTGACCAGCGGCCCTTGGAAACCAGCTTGGCAGTCTTCTCGTCAATGGAAGGCTCAGCAGCAGCAACCTCGTCCTGTAATGCGACAAATGATTAGTCTCAGGTCCACCAATAGTCATAAGGTCCTTTGTCCAGCTGTCAGACGCATGACATACCACGGTAAGCTCCTCGAATGGCCTGGCAGTCTCGATGTTCTTCAGGGTAGCATCGAGGTCCTTGAGCTCGAGGTCGACCTTCTCCTTGGTGGCCTCGGCGTTCTTGACAGCCTCGACCTCGAAAGCCTCGATGGCCTTGAGCTGGCGGCTCAGGTCGTAGGTGGAGGGCTTGAACTCCTTGAAGCGCCTCTCGATCTCGTCAACGACGGCCTGGTTCTTGAGGGTGGAACGGTACTGGGCGAAGTCGACGGTGGTGGCCTGCTCGGAGAGCTGCTGGACCTTTCGGCGGGCGTTCTCGTTGCGCGTCTTGAAAGCCTGGAGGGAGGTGACGGTCTGGCCTCGCAGGCCGAGGGATTGGGTGACCTTGGCCCAGTCGAGCTTGAGGGCGGCGCTACGCTGTGGGAGAGGAAGGGAGAAATTAGCTCATGGTTCATGGGGGGTTTTGAAGATTTTTGTCGAGGGCCATTGCGGCGCCAATTGGAGGGCGGATTGTCGGAATAGAAACTGGCCAAGCTCCAATAAAGGCTCAATTGACAGGTGTGACTTACTGCTGCCATTTTTGCGATGGATGTGTATGTCTGAAGGAGTGGAGAGGTCGAAGCAATTCACAATCAGAGGTTGCTACACTCGTCTGGTGCAGCGGAAGAACTCGGCCATCGACCAAAGTGGAGATCCGACCAAGTCACGTGCACCCATCAATCGGGTCAAACGAGAGGCTACAGGTAAAGATGAAAGTAAAGTAAGGTAAGGAAATGAAAAGTAAATCAAAATAAAGGCACTCACTCACAAGGGGCCGCAGGAAACCCCCGGAAGAAACAATGCACCATGGCCAGAAGAGATGATGTTGAATGAGTTTTATCTATTGGGCTGGGCCCTACGGCTGTTCAATCGCTCGTGCGTAGCGATACATAGATTCGTGTATGTAGCCATGTCATGCATTAATCCATTTAATCTAGTCTAGGTATGTATTCCGACAGGTCACCGTTCCCGCAACAAAAACACGATATACGATGTGTACGATTGTTCAAGAATCGGGTTGGTGGTCAAGAAGGTATCGTACCTAGCATAGCATGAAACACACGGCCGACCGTCCATCCAGATGTTTTCCCATGCAAAGACTTTTTGTTTACCCTCGTCGCCATGCAAAATCGCCCCGACTCAGATATCGCCGGCAAACTTCTCACCATTGCAATGAGAAATCGAGTAACTCAAGTCTCTTCTCATCATCGCACACTAAATCTAAACGCTTAGAGCCATGATGGAGTTCACTATATCGTTGTCGTTCTCCTTCAGTGCCTTGACGGCCTTCTTGCGGGAGACACCGGCCTGGGTCATGACGAGTTCAATGTCCTTATCCTCGAGACCCTCAGCATCGACCTCCTCGCCATCGTCCTCATCATCGTCCTTCTTGGCAGACTCTTCGGCCTTACCGTGGTCGTGGCCGGCGTGGTCGTCGTGAGAGTGCTCTCCAGCGGCAGCGAGCTGCTGTGCGGCAGCCTGCTGGGCAGCAGAGTTGAGGTCCTCAATCTTGGCCTCACCGAAGACACTGGGGACATGGTTAGCAGGACAATTTCGGGAGAGCAGTTGCGCAGTTGGCAGTGCATGACATACATGTAGGTGTTGCTGTTGGGCGACTTGTAAACCTCGGGGCTGTTGATAACAAACAGGATCTGAAGGCGATCAATCGTTAGCATTGCGACCATGTTTTCAAAGCCAGAAAGCCAAAAGCCATTCGGGAAACCACGGCAGGCCGCTGGTTCTCCTCCAGTTCAAGGTCTCGGGAAGCCTGGCTCGCGTCTCTCCGGGGTTTGGACCCCCTCCTTCCACCACATTACGCAATTCCTGCCCGGGCAAACACTCACGTTCTTGGGTCGGCGAAGGGTGACACGGGTGATGCCGGGGACCTTCTGGAGGTGCAGCTTCTCTATGGCCTTGCGAGCCTTCTTCTCGTTGCGGCTGTGGATCTGGACAGAGGAGCCGGAGGGGCCATCGCCAGTCTCGATCTCCGAGTCGGAGCTGTCGTCGTCCTCGACGGTGGGCTTGGTAATCTGCTCCTCATCGGGGAGTTCCTCGACTCTAGGGTTGGCCATATTGTCTGTGGGGTTGGGGATTGGATTGCTGTTTGGCGAGAGAAGACAACGAATTAGCAATTGCAAGATTTCGTCAATTGTTCCAGGCTTGGGTCTGCTGTAGCGGGCAGGAAGCTGTCTGGAGCTAGCCGAGCCAGAGCACACACAATTTCTGGAGCTGCGGGCAGAGGGCAAAACAGCTTCAGCCGGAGCCAAGACGAGTGCTGAGGCAAATGCGTCGCGGTCGCCGCCTTGAGCAAAATTCACTCACCTTGAAAATGAAGCCGATATGTCCTGATTCTAGCGGGGGTGATTGGTTATCGCCTGGGGTTGGTCTGACTGAAGTGAAAAATGGTGAAGTTCAGGCTGTCTCCTCGCTGCTAGGGTTCAATTTTCCGTGGCCCATTCCACGCTAAGCCTATTTCGTTTCTGTCCCTTTTATACTCGGCCAAGCTGCAACATCTGGAAAGAAGAGTGCTCCCATGGACGTTGCTAGGTTAATCAAGTCAATAAGACAAGAGAAACGTAATTCATTTCTCGGAGATCAGGTCGGAAGGAATCTCCTCTTCCAGCGCTTGTTCTCATCTCATCTCCTGCGACACCAAAACTCGGAATTCGTACAAGACCACGGCTTCTATATTCATCAACGTTTCAAATTTCAAGGCATTCGGGGGGGGGGCCAGTGTTCAATAACACGCAACGAATGTAAATGTGTGCGGCTACGTTTACGTCAAACCCGTCATGAGAAGATTATTTTTTATGTTCGCAATTATCACCCCAGTTCGGGACGCGTGTAGTGCGTCATGTAGACAAATCTAATAATAAAAAAATATGCAACGCAATTCTTGGTTGTCAATGTCCATATATCATTCGACGCCAAGTCATCATCTGCTGAGATGTGCACATACAGTCCCTCGATGTAGCAAAAATCCATCAACGCCGAAACCCTCAGATTCATGCAGACCAGATCTCCGTGCGGGATAACGGAAAACTGAGTTTGACTAATAACAGCCGCGACGAGACTTCACCGTCCGCCAGACAGCTACGCTACCAGTCGATGCCCAACCACACACAAAGGCCCTGCCTCCCCCCTAACCCGTGTCATGCCATGCCATGCCGTAATCAATCGTTCTTGTCCATCGTTTACGACGAGGCCTTGACCTTGGCCAGAGCCTTGCGCTGCTCGAAACGTCGCTGCTTCTTGAGACGCAGGACCTGGAACCGCTCAAAGTCGGTCAGGTTCTTGCGCGCCTCCCGCTGAGCCTTGGTCTTGGCCCAGTTGCTGTTCTTCCACTTGGAGTCGATCTCGGCCTTCTCCCAAGCGGCCTTGACGGCACCGGTGCGGGCACCACGGGGCAGCTTCTCGATAACAAAGGGTGCCAGGAGGGCGTCTTTGAGGGCGATGGATTGTCTGGGGACGAAGAGCTTGGCGTCCGCTGAGGGTCCATCAACCAGAACCTAGAATTCCCAGTCAGTTCCCATGCTTAGCTATTTACATATATTCCAGATCGTGACATACTCGCTTGTGGTCGATGATCTCGACAATGGTGGCGAGACGGCCGGTGGAAGGTCCAGCCTGGAGGAGGAGGACACGGCCAACCTGGACGTTGCGCCAGCCTGAGGAAATGATCGAAGTCTCAGCCATTGTGTCGGGTCTGTTTGCGAAAAATGTCGGAGTTAGTGAACTTCGGGATTCGTAGAAAATGGGGTGAGTTGGTCGATTCGTGGAGAAGGTGCAAAGTGACAGAGATCCGCTGACGTACCGTGTGTGTTATGCCGGGGGGAGTTGTTGTGTTGTTGTTTGTTGTCGTCGCAGAGTCCTTACCAAGCCCGGTTTGCCTTTCCTTTCTCAATTATCTCGAGCTGTGGTGCGTGTGTGGGACAAATTAGGAGCAATTACTAAAAAATTCCCGGAATTTTGCCTTGGCCGATCCCGACACCTGCCCAGTCCTAGAACGGTTAGCACGGCGAATTTGTGCTTGGTGGGGCTTTTGGTGCAGCTATCAAAAAGTCGAGCTGCAAGCCCTTGAAAGCAAATTCCTCTCTTCTCATCAACTTCACTCAAGTCTCGCAACAGACTTCGCAATGATGTCTAGTTGCTATCTGCGACTGTCGCACTCAAGGTAAGCATATTTATTCCTCCAGGACCCTTTTCCCAAACGCTCAAATGATGAGGTAATTTGCGATTGATTCTGCTCCGATGGCTCCCTCGCCGGGGATGCTATATCGGGTGGAAAGGTGATATTTAATTCTTACATATTCTGATTGATCATTCCTACACCGTCTCTTCTGATCATGCAACGGAGAGTACTCTGGCTAATTCAGACTTCAGGCAGTTTTAGATTTACGGTTAGGTGATGTTATCACCTGGGCATCAGATCGCAGTCTTCCTAGCTAGAGTCATCAATGAACAAGTATTCATCCATCTTGAACCATTGCGCTCTACAGAATACTGTGTCTCGTGTAATAGCCTTGCTTGTTTGTAAACTACTGGCTATCCGCTATTGCACACGCTCCCTGTCGCCCGTTACGCCGAACATCGCCGCAACTTCGCACCACAATTTTCCATTCATCTCATTTATCCTCTTTGAATTTCTATTGACAAGGTAAGAACCCTGATCTCTCATTCGCTTTCACAACCCAAACCCCCTCCGCCATAAATGATGAGAAGTTATTAGCTCTAGACCGGAACTTCCAAGTTTATAATGACGATAACGTACCATGTTACACAGTCTCTGACTTTTGGCAAACCCCATGTTAAATTATTAAGCGTTCGCCTAATAGACATTTTGGCTAACACATTATCGTAGATGCACTCACCCATGAATCATTACTACGCTACACAGTCGCCCATCATTCACGCAATTTGTTCGGCAATTCCCCCAATGCAGAAACTCGATACTTCCGAGATATCTCAGCACTTCGCACTGGATATCTGGAAACGGACATCCGACGTTCATGGTTGTCAAATGACCGCGACATACTATTTGAAGAATAGTCACTACAACAACGCGGTCCGGCGAGTCTAGCATCATACTCATTGCAGGTACGTTTGCTGCTTGCACTTCCTAATCGCCTCTTAGGTGCCCCCTACATGATGACTGCTTCAAAAAATTCGATTAGTCTTTAAGACACATACATGGTTACAAATATTGTTGCGAGCCTCTCTGATCTAGCTTCGGCTCTTGGACTGCATATATCTGTTGTACACTGTCCCGGTTAGCCATTTAACTAACCTACAATCTCAGCATGCATTATTCATGCCTAATTTTTTCCGTTCTCTATCTACATCATTCGCCACGCCACACAATGGCCTTTATATCTTTCGTTGTCATCTATCCTTAAAGGATGGAGATGAAGAAGGACTTGATGTTGACCATGTAGCTTTTCCCAGAGCTGACATCATTGGTCATGATGTTTCGGAGAACTGCCGCCACAGACAGATGAAGCTGATGTATACTTCTTATATATCCTAATACCATATTATAGCTGTACCTAGATACGCTCGGAAGAATATTATTGAAACTTTTTTGGGGGTTTTTTTTTGGCTCGGGGGGCGGCGGCGGCGTTGGAGAGTCGTAGTTGCTGTGAATGAAGGTCATTCGAATTTGCTGCGGAACGTGTTCCGCATATTTGTTAGTTGGAGACCAGATTACCCTAACCTAGAAAGATATGTCTTGCTGATCATATGAAAAACAGTGCTAAGCTGTAACAAAGCGTAAGTGTAAACTCAGCTCGGATTTCCATACTCACCTCGACGTGCGATGTCTGCTTAGTCCTCATCCTTAGACGTTGTCTTTGTTCCCAAATGCTTACACGCAATCCAGCAACGTGAAAACGCCCTGGTGATGATCAGAATATGTAAGCAAAGTCAGTATCGTTTTTTATCCGCACGGACTACTAGCCCAGGCAGCTATTCGACATGAACGCAACAACCTAAAATGAGTGCCCCGACTATCTCCCACATTCTGCATTGCATACTCCTGTCCTGTGAAGCCCGTTAACCGTCTAGGAGAAACGGTAGGATCATCTTGAATCTGTGGGGAGCCCGCATACCGACCGCACTATACTCGAGCTAACGCACAAAATGCTCTTCTAAAAAGGTCCACTTCCTCATAAGTTACATCACTACCCGCGGCAATAAAGAACCCCGGTAACTTCACAGCTTCGCCGCATGGTATCATTCAAATTGCTTCCTCAATTCCGTGGCTACGGGAATTCCTGACTCGTTCAGGGCGCAATGGCCGCGGAATGACTGCAAGTTCAGGACCAAAAGGAGCATAGTGGGATTTGCACCAATTTCCGCTCTTAGTTTAGATACTGCATTTTGATAGATGACTATGCGTGGGCACATTGCACCCTGAGAATGATTAGGTTTACCGAATCACACTACCGGTGCTACGTCTCCCCCTAGTTTATGGAAGAGACCCGGGGTTCTGACAATCTATCAGTTCTTTATGCGGAAATGATTCCTGCCCTGCCGACGCAGGGGTTCCTACAAATATGCGGGGGTTCGGAGTCTCGAATCTCACTTGGGGAAATGGATGACTGTGTTTTGCATCTCGGTCTCCTTCTATCCTTTGCAGTATTTACTCACTTGTTCCTAAAGAGAAGTATCGCTGAAGGAAGGCGTGATCTAGGGGTGAGGTTGTCGTTCCCAGTGTGCTATCACGGGACCTGTGCTCTCTAACTGTATCTTGAACGCACGGCGTCCATATATACTTCGAGGTCGCAGCGATGGTTTTCACACCACCGGCCTGGGTGCCCAAACTTCCCTTCGGTAGGCTACGGTTTCCTGTCGAGCTTTTTGGTGTAATCTCGAAAAGACTAACCGGCTGTCCAAAAAGATCCTCCGGACTCTATCCCCATCCACGAGTTCTGGGACAATGAGAGATACGGCCGGCAGCCACACGACAAGTCCCGCACGCCCTTTACGTGCGGCTTGACGGGCAAGAGCTACAGCGCTGCCCAAATGAAGGAGCGGTACGAACTGCTCGCCCGCTCGCTGTCCAAGCGCCTGGGCTGGGGGGTAAACGAGGACACGCACTGGGACAAGGTCGTCGGCGTGTTTTCGCTGAACTCGGTAAGTCCCCTCGCACGTTCGTTTTAGATGTGTATAGCATGAGCGAAAGGGGCGACTACTAACGCGCGCCTTGCGGAAAGATCCACTACATCATGTCCACCTTCGCCATCCACAGGCTCTCCGGCATCGCGACGCCCGCCAACGCCACGTACTCGGCCTCGGAGCTGGAGTACCAGCTGAAGGCATCGGGCGCCAAGGCTCTGATCACATGTGCGCCGCTGCTCGAGACGGCTCTCAAGACTGCGAAGGCCGTGGGTATCGCCGAGGACAAGGTGTACCTCATGAATGGCCCGTGGGAGACGCCAGGGCAGAAGCTGCCGTTCAAGACTCTGGACGAGCTCATCGAAGAGGGCAAGTCACTGCCGGAGCTCGAACCTCTGCACTGGTCCACGGGACAGGGCGCCCGGCAGGTTGCGTGCTTGTGCTTCTCGAGCGGCACCTCGGGATTGCCGGTAAGTCTGAGCAAGTCCGCTGAATTTTGAACCAGAGGCCAGCAGGGAAAAAAATAAAAGGCTGACAATCATGGACAGAAAGCCGTAATGATAACGCACCGCAACGTAATCGCCAACATGCTGCAGATGAGGTGGTATGAGTCGGTGGGTCGCGAGAAGTCCGGCATCGACACGCAGATCGTACTGGGCCTGATGCCCATCAGCCACATCTACGGCCTCGTCGTGATAACGCTCGCGAGCGCATACCGGGGCGACGGCGTCATCATACTGCCCAAGTTCGAGCTCAAGGGCCTGCTGGAGACAATACAGCGGTTCAGGATCAACTTCCTGTACCTCGTACCACCGATCATCATCCAGCTGCTCCGCAACCAGGATCTGTGCGCCAAGTATGACCTCTCATCTGCGCATTTCATCTACACGGGCGCGGCGCCGCTGGGCGCCGAGACGCACGAGGATATGCTGAAGGCGTTCCCAAACATGAATATCGGCCAGGGCTATGGCATGACCGAGACCAGCACGGTGAACATAACGACTAGCACACACGACGTCATGATCGGGACGTCCGGGTCACTCATGCCCGGATGCAGGGCCAAGATCCTGGACGAGGATGGCAGGGAGATCACGGAGCTGGGCAGGCGCGGCGAGCTCTACATACAGGGCCCGAACGTGACGCTCGGATATCTGAACAACGAGAGGGCAACCGCCGAGGCGTTTGTGCACGACGACGACGGGCGCTGGGTGCGGACGGGCGACGTGGCCGTGGTTTCGAAGAGCGAGAACGGGACCGGGGCCGAGCACTTTGCCATCGTGGACCGGATCAAGGAGTTGATCAAGACCAAGGTGAGAAAACTCCCACAGAATGCACCATGGTTAGGGATGCGATCTTGTACTAACATGGTCCAACAGGGTCATCAAGTGGCGCCAGCCGAGCTCGAGGCGCACCTGCTCTCCCACCCGGCTGTCAATGATTGCACGGTGATCCCAGTGCCGGATGAGGGCGCAGGTGAGGTGCCCAAGGCATTCGTAGTCAAAGCAGCAGCGTATAAGGACAGGTCAGACGCGGAGACGGCTCGGGAGATTTGCAAGCATGTCGAGGAACACAAATCCAGGTACAAGTGGCTAAAGGGGGGGGTTGAGTTTATTGACGTGGTGCCCAAGAGTCCGAGCGGGAAGATCCTGAGGCGGTTACTCAAGGACAAGGAGAGAGAGGCCAGAAGACAGGCAGGCTCGAAGTTGTAGACACGGTTTGAATTGGTCGAAATATTAGACTGGGTTCGCTTGTTCGCGGAAATATTTGGAGTAAAGGGTCTCTTCCCGTATACCAATGCACTTCTTTGCCTTTCAATTAGCATTTGTCCTAAGGGTACGGATTACAAAATGGCAAGTCGTCAAACTCGACCTGGAACACACATAGTGCAACCGCGTTTGAGGATGTAGTTCAACATAGCATAGTGCAAGAAATTTAAACTTCAACATGCGGGTGAGTCAGCAACGGCCAAACTGCAAGCTGAGTCAAACGCCCCACAGTCCAACACGTCGCGGAGGTATGCATACACCGAAAAGTGTCACTTGATGAGAATATTTGACAATGCATTGAACTTTTTGCTCATTGATCTAGCATGAACCAACTCGGAGCTAAATCCGGTTTCTACAATATATGCTATTCCCAAACGCCAACCCATGGTATCGTCAAAATCGTTGACAGTCACGTTGTGAGTACAAGAAAACATTTAGGCCTTGCCCTTGCGCTTGAGGTACTCCTCCTCCTCTGCCTGGATCTCGGCATCGATCTTGGCGCCCTTCGAAGGCTCGTTGCCGTGCAGCCTGGCCTGTGGAAGAGTCAGCACATTTGCCCATTGGCTACGAGCGGGTACGCATTGGTAGACGAGTCACTTACGGGTGCGGTAGGATCCTCCTTCAGTGCCTTGACTTCGGGGGTGTCGTCGTCGCCGTCCTTCTTTCGCTCCTCGGCAGCGAGGCGGTTGGCAATGGAGCGCTCATCCTCTGCAAGAGATGTTAGTGTTCGGGGATAGCAGCTGGTTCCTGATGTTGAGCTTACTGGAATCAGTGGCCTGGTGAGAATTCTCCTTGCCCTCCTCGTAGGGAGTGGCCTTGTTGAGCTCGGACTTAGGGGGGTTGCGCTGGTCACCAGCTTCGTAGACCTGAGCGTTGCCGACGTTGGATTGAGACATGTTGGTAGATGTGATTTCTATTGAGTGGATTGATTTGTAGTGCAGTGGGTAGAGAGTAGTAAAAAGCTGTATTCAGTGAAGATGAAAGGTGATAATGGCTGATGGAAGCCGTGATAGCTACGGTTTTATTCTACAACAAGCCCCTCCAACCCCTCCATTGACATTCTACGTCATTATCTGCCCTACGACCTCTGCAGGCTCCATTTCTGAGGTAATGCGACTCAGGTACGTGCCATCCGACACCAAACATGCGAGCAATCGCGCGCATCAGAAATTTGTGTGTAGGTCGAAAGTGTGTATAACGGAGATTCGACGTCATAGATGACACTATGTCGGAAATATTTATGGAGTAAGCTGAGAGCTTGCTCAGTGGGGGCACCTGGAATCTGCAAAAGCACGCGAGTGGGGTACATACACGCAGTACGGATCTGGAGGTAGCTTTCTCTTGGCACCCCGGCGTCTGCCCAAGTAATCGCCGGGCCGTCAGCCTCTTCGACCCCTGCAAGGACCACCGCGAACGTCGGCCCAAAATTTCGAGCTTCAAGCACCGGACGTGATTAGACAGCAGCAATCAAGGTGACAGCTCCGTCAACCCACCACCATGTCGATGTTCAGGGCCAAGAAGCTTGATATTGGGTGTTTCCTCAATATCAAGACCATCCGCGATCACACCAAGAGGAAGGTGTTTGCAGAGAATGAGCCGCAAAGGTTTGTTTCTGTCCGCCCCTCGAGCACATGCGACACGCCGTTGTTAACACAATTGCGCGCGACAGACAAGCACTACGATACATGATTAGAAACACAACACTACCTGCGAGGACGAGGGCTGAGGCTCAGCTGCAATTGACACAGATGCACTGCTACACCCGACCCACACAGATCCGCGGCAGATGTATACTAGGAGGAAAGGGGCGTGGTATCTTCAGGGACTTTAAGATGTCAAGAGTATGCACCTCCGAAATCGTCTTTACAGGGACAGTTGACTAACCTCTTGTAGTACAACTTCAGAATGCAAGCATTGGAGGGTAATCTTCCCGGTGTGCAGAAGGCCAGCTGGTAGACTATGCCACGCTATTGTACTATATCTGGGAGATTATGAGCACTATGCAATAACGTAGACCACCAAGCAGCATAGATGTACAATAAAAATGTATAAAAAAGATTTTGGATGCTATACAAGTTGGGACTTGATTTTCCGTCGTGACTATTGCCAAATCAGATAACAAAATCTACAAGCCAGATACAGACCACCCAAAAGCAAAAAGTACAGTGACCAAGATGATTATTGGGTTGTCGTAATCATCATGACAGCAATCAGTTTGGTGCCATTAGCTGGAGCACTCGAATCGGGCGACATGTTGTATTGTTCCTCGCCTTACATTTCTACCGTGCAAGCTCCCTTGTCCTCCGTTTGCTTGCAGGAAGCCAGGCCGGAAACTGAGGCAGACCTTATTTCATCAACTTCACGTTTGATACATTGACATTGCATGAACTACAAACTCACCAAGGCAGATTACCTATCGGCTTATCTTGATGAAAGTCGTTCCTTCTAGTGTCAATCCATTAGGCCAACTTCGAGCGATAATCTTCCTGAGAATATATTTTTTAATCCCAAGCACACGTAACAGCACCTTCCATCTGAACCACAAAATCCCAGATTCATCCCAATAACAACTCATCACAGAATCACCCATCAACCATATGATCAAACATCAAAATGTTCTACCGACCTTGGAAGGCTCTGCCTCACGATCCCAGCTTCCCTTCTGACCTGGAGGAACTGGGGTGAGCTTCTCTGCCACAGTCAAATGGTTATCGACGCAGCTTTGCTGACCACCTTAGATACCATGTCCACGAATCAAACGAAATTCGCTCCATCGAGAACCCCAACAACTACTTCAAGTTCTTCATCAGCCGCAACCAGCGCTACAATGAGCGCCAACGCTATGCAATGAACGGTCTGTACCTTGTTCCTCTAACTTTCGGGGCTTAACACCTACTCTCACCGCTCTGCTCGCTCCGACGTGGTTACTGACAAGTACCAACAGAGGCCAGCGAGAAGATAGTCCACGCCGGCCTCGAAGCCTTGGGCCTGAAGAAGACTCTGCTCCCACTCGGCACCACCTCCCCCACCACGCCCAACGTCCCCATCTTCGTGTCATCGGACATCGAGGCCAAGTCGCGTGTCATCGTCATCATCGGCGAGACGTACCAGGACCTCGGGATCCTGGCCCACCGCGTGCTAGGCGGACTGGGCGGCGTGGCCAAGGGCAGCATGATCAGCGTGGTCTCGGCGCTGCAGAGACAGCCGTCGGGCCCCGGCGACGCCACCCCGCCGGGCTTCATCCTCGCCAACACGGGCCAATTCATCTGGCACGCGGCGGTGCAACGCAGCCTGACCATCGTGGGGGCCGAGGGCGCGCCCATGCCGTCGGCGGTACACGCGGGCCTGAAGTGGCACGGCGAGGTCGGCAGGGACAGGGTCCCGGGCAGCGAGGACACACGGGCACACATCAAGACCATCTTCGAGGGCGTCGTGCCGGCGATGGTCGACCCCGACGCCGCCATCGATGTCATCGCTGTGGGCGACGGCGCGGATGCCCTGGAGCAGTACCTCGACTGGAGCGAGACCTGGAAGAAGCTGACGGGCAGGATCAACTGCTTGGCCATCCTCGGCGGCTATCATTCCATGGACGACCTGAAGTGCGATGGCTTTCGGGAGTTTCTGCGCGAGGTAAGCTTTTCATCTGTTTATTTTCATTTTCTTTTGGCCCTTCCTTCCCAAGTCGTTCTTTTTTTCCTGCAGGATAATTCAACCACCACTGCCTACTTATTCCAAGGAGAGACAAGAAAAAGAAGAAAAAAAGCTGACGCTTCCCTCGTTCCCACCCCACACAGAGAGCGCGCGCCTACGCAACCTCATCGGAGCCCCTCGGCACGCCCCTCTCCGGCCCGGACGGCAACCCCCACACGGCGACTTTCACGCGGATCGGCGCGCCCGTGTACAGCGGCGGAGAGCCGCACTTCGTGGAGACGCTGCTGGTCCACGCGCTGCCACACCTGGCGGGCTGGATGCTCGAGGTAACGCGGGCGGGCAAGGATAGCTACCGCAACCCCGACGTGGCCGTCCTCTACGCGGACCCGGCAGACGAGACCGCCCCGCTCGAGCCGGACTGGAGCAAGTGGCAGCAGGCGCCGCTGCACGAGCAGCCGCCCACGGACTTCGGGTTCGTCGCGCCCGAGGCCGACATCAGCGGGGAGCTCGAGGAGGAGACGACGAAGAGGGCTGGTAATGGCGACGGTGTTGGTGTCGATGCTAAAGATGGGAACAAGGCAGAAAACAAGACCAAGGGAAGAGAGAACGTCGTGGTTATCGATGACCTCGATGAGGATGATCGCGATCAGCAGATCAAGGACCTTGAGAAGACGTTGATGATGATGGATAAAATTGAGAATGAACCATTCTAGGCACGCGGAGGTTGATGTCATTGCCAAATCTGGCAATCTCTGGCATCGCCACCCTTCACTCGTACGGGTAACGAGCCTGAATTTATGATGGACAGCATGGCAGTTCTGCGCGAACCGCACAGCAGGCTAGACATCCTTCGATCTGCCTAGATAGCAATGGACCTGAACTAGACTGAACTTGAGTTTTACTTTTCATGTGGGAGGATGTCAACGGATCCCCTATAAGACAGTATACGTACAAGTGGGTGCGTATAGTCACCCTTCCTCCGCTACATCCAAAGTTACAACGCTTGGTAGCAACCCAAGCGTAACAGATCGCAAACCAGGCATGTCTATTATGCCCAGAACAGACTCGCAATACCCGACTTGGGTGTATCCAGCTCATCAAGCAAATCCTGCGCCCTCCTCGTGCGCTCCTTGACTAACTTCTCCTCCGCCGCCCATCGGCCGGCTTCATCTATCTTGGCCTGACCGTCTCCCCAGAGGCCGAACCAGCTGCTCGAGGGCCCTGAGACTACAATCTCTTTCCTCTCGTCCTTTGCCAGCTTGGAGGCCATCTTCATCCAGTTGTCCAATCCCGTGCCTAGGCAGTCCCTGCAGGTCTTGACCGCATCGGATCTGAAGTTGACGTCGGACCTGATCTTGTCTATCTGCTCCTCCGCGATATCCACCGCTTCGCGGGTCCAAGCCAAACCTTCCTCACGTCCGGAGGCGCCTGAGCCGCTGGCGTAGATGATCTCGCCGATGTAGAGGTTAAGTCCGGCTTCCTCGCATAGACCCTTGGCATCGCGGGTAGGCGGGGCGTTCCCGTCCGGTGGCGGAGGCGGATACGCTGGGGGGGCCACGAGGCGCTTGACGACGCCGATCATGTTTTCTGTTGTCCAGGGCGTCTTGTGGTCCTCGGGCAGGACCTCGGCTCCCACATGTGCGCTGGGCGCTGCAATAGGGAGCGAGCGTCGGGCTCGCAGGATGGAGATGAGCATCGGTAGCGCCGAAGAGACATCTCCGTTCCTAGCCCTGTGTGCCGCGAAGGCAGTCAGTGTCGTGAGGACATTCGCAGAAGGCCTGGTGACGTCGCCTCGCACGACATATTTGGACGCATCGTAGGGTAGCGCGGTTTGGGGCGTGTCTTCTGTGGCTAACTGCAACGCCCACTCGTACATCCTCTCAGCTGCTTCTGGAACGGCCTTGAAGTCGAGCCAGGAAGCATACTCGAGGGCCGCGTCCATCTTCTGCTTGTTGGAGAACCCCTTAGTCGTCAAGATGCGCATGTAGAATGTCTCAGGTGGGTCATAGAAGGGTTCGCAGTCCTTCTCCTGCGGGGCGCTTGGCGATCCGGGAGGGATAGGTCTCGGGGCAGGGTTGGATGGACCATGGACCTGTTCTGCGGGGAAGACAATCCCGCGGGTTGTATCGACGACATGGTCATCGAGCTTCTCGGCGGCCTTGGCGCAACACATGAGCACTTCGTAGTACCCCCTCCTCCAGGGCTCGGATTTGGCTGTGACATCGTATCCCGACTTGCCCACATCTGCGATATATATGCCGCCCTCTGTCAGTTCCTGCAGGTCTGCGCCGTCGATATTCGGATCTTCCAGGCGCTCCAGCAGGTTCTTTGCGTAGTTTCCGATCTGTACCCAGTTGGGCTCCGGTGTATCGGTTCTGTCAGGGCCCCATCTCAGCAGGCGGAATCGCAGACGTGTTATGAAGCCCCACTCGTGCGGACTGGGATATCGTCTCTCGAGCCATTCCTGCTGCACACTATAGTAGGCAACAAGCAGAAAGGCGCCAATGGCCCATGTGTATATAATGTATTTGAAACCCAAGAAGACCTCGTATACCAGCCATCTCTTGCGCTCTGTCGTCAAGTATCTGAATTGCTGCCCATTCCTCGATAGCGGCACGGATAGGAAGGGCAGTTGCGGGCGGCTTCTGTTTCGTGAGGCGAGACTCGTGTGCCGGGTGAAGAATCTAGTTGCGCCAGTCGCTGATGTGGGGTTCGAAGGGCGCAGAAGTAGAACCCGCCGGAGAACGAGCCGGGGCTGCATCTTGTCCATCGCGAGGCAATGGGACAGAGAGCGAGAGCTATTGTGAGGTGTCCGTTGTTGTCGGGCACTCGTCTTCGGCAGCAATGCAGAGCTTGACCTAGCTACGGCTTGCTCGGGCCATTGCCGGGAGAGAGCTCAGCTGTACGATACAAATCTCCAATTGTTAGTCGAAGCCAGAAAGACAGCAGAGCAACCGAATGAGCGTGTTGCTGCTGGTTTGATGGGCACGTTGCTTGGGACTGGCACCTTTGAAAGGATGATCACAAATTGGGGCCGACGACTAAGTTGACTAAATTGCAGCTCAACTAAATTCGAGCAGTCAGAGGCCCAGCGGGCAAGCGGGCAGATGTGCAGGTGGGTTCCGCCCGGTCTAGCTTCCATACAAGCTTGAGCTCTGCATTGCACTGCACGAACCTCGGCGTCGACATCGGCGTGGCTAGGTTAGCTAATATCTATGCATGCGCCCCTCTCTTAGGTATCCAGAATGATACTACTGGTACTCGAACTTCATGTCAACGTATATCTAATTAGGATCATTCAAGCCACGCCAATGAAGCATTCGTCATATTTAGCTCCACTTGGTTTAGCATTTGTCCATATACTTAACCTTTGTGCTTGACTTACCCCACGCTACGACCGTATTGCTCTGACTGCCATGTTCTTCTCAGTGAAAATTCTCATCTGGACTTTCATACAGTGGAAGCGAATGAAAAGTGTGTGTCAATTCGAGCAAGATCTCAAAGTCATTCGTTTGTTTCTAGCAGGACATGCATCTTGAAAGTTGGTCATCGACTGTATTGGTATCATTGAAAAAGGAACGTGACTATCGACTTCATACTCCGAGTATGCAAAGCAATGGGGTGGGCTCGGCGGGGAGGTTGAATGAGTGTACTCCGTAAAACCCAACGGCCACCAGCCTACATGTGAATTCACTAACTATATAAACGCCGGGTTTTGTGTCGCCCAATTTTGGGTGTCTGTCATGTACATTGAGATGTCGGCGCAATCGCAGTCAAGTGTGTTCCGCCATCATCCGTCCTAGACGAAAGGGTTGTAACCATAACCTAAGCTTGGTCTTCAGTGGTCTTGTTGTTCTCCATCAGGCCCTCCTCAACATAAGCGGGGGGTGCCTCGACCTCTTCCTGGTTCGACATCAGACCAGCCTTCTCGTCAGCGCCAGAAGCCTCAGTAGATGCGGCCTTGTGAGTCGAGTGTCCGCTGCGGTGGTGGTGGCGACGCGTGCCAGCAGATCCAGATCGGAAGAGCTTACGCCAGACGAAGACGATGGCAGTTCCGACCAACATGCCGAGGATGCTAGCAGTGATACCGGCAACAACACCAACAGCGACGGGCAAAAGGATGTGCATGGCGATGTTTCGTAGAAGGTGGGTGAAGCGGTGACGGTGTTGCTGGCCGTGGGGGGCTTGGCTATGGCCAGAGTGAGGGCGTTGGTGGACGTCCTCCTCTTGCTCGTCAACAGCGTGACTAGGACGGCGGCTGCCACCGCAGTGGCCTCGGAAACGTCCCATTTGTCCAGAGAGCATAGCCTTCCATCTGCACAGCATGGTGGTGCAATCCTCGGGCTTGTCCATGGGGGTCTTTTGAAGAGGCTCTGAGGGGCCGGTTTCGATTCCGCCAATCATCAGGCCACCCTCGGGCGTCTTGATGATCTTGACCTCGATGCTTGGCACTCCGTCGACAAAGACATTGCCCACCTCGATGATCTGTAGGTTTAGCTGGACGAGCTCGAGGTCATCTTCGGTGCTCTTGGCGACCGGTGTCGTGCCCAGCGCATATCCAAGAGGCTGGATGAAAGGTTGATGTTGCTTCCTGTGGCCGGGCAATTTACCCTTGCCACCCTCCTTGTGGTCTGGTCGTACTTGTGCGCCGAGGGTATCTTTCAATGTGGCTGAGTGGGGGTAGAGCTCAAAGTCGTTCACCATGAAGCGGTCGTGATCGACGCCATGTTCAATGTTAAAGGATAACTCCAGATGACTCGGGATATCAGTCTTGATCTTGGCGTCTTTGCCCTTGTGGTGGCCAACGCGGACTGGGCATCCTGGGCAAGGCAACTCGAGCTTCTGGGCCTCGGCTGCCTCAGGAACCTGGACTTTGAAATCTGTGTCGAGAGGCACGGGCAAAGTGGTGACAGTATCGGCTTCGGATGGATCGGGGAAAGGTAATAGGAAAGCGCTGGTGGTGGAGACAGCCAGGCCAGCGGCGGTAATCAGTGAGGTCAAATGCATGGTTGCGGGTTTCTTTGGGTAGGGGGTATCTTAGAGAATCATGAAACGGAACGAAAAGGGAGGGGGAAAGGTGTTGTCGATTTGTTTGATGAGTAGAGCGAAAAAGAGGGATCCGATTGTTGAAGAAGGTTATCGAATGAAATGGTATGGTATGGTGTGGTGGGTGGTTGTGTAGGTGAAGTTAAGGGAGGTGACGGAGTGTGACGGAGACGGGGCCCGCCTTTTGTCTTTTGTGCTGACGATTTGAGGTCACTTCGAGTTTCTTGTCCCTTGCTGCTCCCTGCACGCTGTTCCCAACATAGTACCATACTGTACGGAGGAGAAGTACGACAGTACATACATACATACATACTCCTTGTCCCGCAGCGCTTGTCTCAGAATCCATGACCTTGCAAACTCACGGACACTCACTTGCTTGCCTCCACAGGACCCAGTGCTGCCAGTGCTGCCACTTGTCCCAGGACCCAGAATGTCGGATCGCCGGCGTGTCCAGCTCTAGCCAGCTGCTGCCGGTAGTTACTCGTTGGCTTGTCCGCCGTCTATCTTGGCAGCTCGTAACACTCCACTTTCACTCTGTACTGCAGCTGTACTGAGCCAGCCGCACATCCGTTCAGTTAGCAGGCAATCAGCTGCGACCAATGACCCGCCTCTTCCATCATCCTTGACGTGCCACCGTAGGTACGCGCACGCAACGACGGGCGACGCAACAGCCCTCTTTATTTCCGCACACCATGTTATCTCCGCTCGGCTTCCTTCATCAACACCGAGACCAGCTGTCGGATAGGGAAGATGGCCTACAAGAGTAGCATCTGGAGTATCATTCACTCTCAATCTTACTCTCATTACACACTGCTTCTGAGAGCCTCGGCCCCCCACCCCCACACAATCATCTTTCCTGATACAAGCTTTCTTATTCAGGCATCTACTAGGTCAAACTCGTCTGACCATCTTGCTTGAGAACTTATGGGTACATTAGGCATTCAATGAATTCATAGTTGGATTTTTTTTTTACGCGAACTCCAGTCAATATTCGCTGAGAGGCTGTTATGCACTGTGAAGCAATCCTGCAGCTTTGTTTCTCCATTTCTTCGCTCAAGCAGTCCTGTCCTGTTGGCATGCTACCAGGCATTGGTGGAGATTAAGCTACGTCTTATGCAGACTTCTGACTTGATTTCTTAGACAATACTCCCTGCAGTATTTAATGTTGCACATATATATATATATCTCGTAAGAGAGCAGGCCTTGAAGAATCACCAGACGACATAAGCTTTGTTCAGACTAGAGAACGTCTCTCGAGCTGTTTCATCGTCACAGGCCAATTCCTAGCGAAATCAGGCTCATACACTATCTAGGTAGGGCTGATTCATGAGTGCCAAGAAAGTATACCGACTCCCTTGTTCCATTTTCGGAATGTGGTTTCATGAAAAAGACAAGAGAAAATGTGGCCGTAAGTGTAATCCTTGGAACTGATGCTTTGCCGAAAAAGAACGCAACATGTTATTCACCAACCCTCATAGTTAAAGGTTAGTTCAACCAGAGGCTACGATGTTATTTTATCAAAGGATTATACTTGTCGCCCGATCATGTGAGGCTGGGGTATACGACACGAAAATCTGCTTTTCTTTGTTTACAGGTTGAAATGGTGATTTGATGTAGCTACTGTGATATCCCAGTACAAAGAAACCTGCAAACGGATCATCACATGATTTAGAACTACAGCCCATCCCATCCTAAATAATTTCTATCATTAGCATAGATCATATCTTTCCTTACCATTTATTTAGATAAGGCGTTGAAGCTTGAACAGAATTGTGGAAGTATCGCATATCGAAATGGCTACCAGGCCGATTAATTAGCCAGGTCTTAAAAATTATCCGTTTTGCTCCGTGAGATGGGTGTATCGTTTTAATGTGTGCCAAATACTGACCCGAGTAAGCCATAAGCATGTGAGCAACTAACTATGTCATGATGACTGCTGCTACAAAATGCGGTGTTCCTACCGAAATATATTAGAAGAAACCTTTCACACTGGAGGATTATTATCCTAGTCCTTTCTCGTTAGTCGTCTATTGCATTGGGTTTCTTGACAAATATGGCTGGGAATATTATCTTAGTGGATTCGTATTAAATAACTATGTTACTCGAAATTACCTTTTAGAACAGTTTTTTATTATAATATACATGACAGAAACTCAGTCATTTTATATGGCTTCGTTCGGCCTCGAATATAGCGGGATTCTTTGTTTGTCTCTAAAGCTTGTTTAATCAGTGAATCAAAGTACATGGATAACTGTTGCGTCTATAGCATCCACCTGCCAAAGAGGTATGATTATAACAAACACAGTCAAGTGGTGGTTCAAGAAAACAATTCCAGGTCTCTTCAAAGATTCAAGCCGCATGACTATATTCATCAGTGAATATAAAATCTTTAAAGCAACCTGAGACTAAACACACTTATGAATATCCATACCGGCAACTTCAGATCCCGAATGTTAACTAATCTACAAATCCGGCCATATCAGCATTAGAGACTTTAGAACTCTCATACCCCGAAGAAAAGATGTCAGACTCGAACGGAATCCAGGCCCCCAGTCCAGGTGGCCATACCAGTCAAGCCCCTGCCGAGATTGTAACCCAAAACGCAACACCTGAGCTGCAAACCCAATTCCCATTGTCCCAACGTCAGCAGGTAGTGGGTCTGTTGAAAATCATAACGACAAAGGTACGAACGGTGAGACGTCCCTGGAAGAACAGCTTCCACGCTTCGAAACTCCAGGAGAACTTGATGTGTTACCGCAATCGGACGAAAATAGAACCAATCAAGAACACGAGCAGTCACTCGCAGGATCGAGATGAATTTCTGGTAATGGTACGAACAGAAAAGGCACTAAAACATCCAGCTCTGGCTATGGCAATAAAGTAAAAGAATATAGCCTCAAAGCAAAACGAGATAAGCTGAAGGTAAAATATTGTAAACTAAAAGCAAAAGAGGATAAACTGAAGGTAAAAGAGGACAAGCTAAAGGTCAAAGAGGGCAAACTAAAGGCGAAAGAAGATCAACTAAAGGCGAGAGAGAAAGAAAGTATACTGAAGGCGAAAGAGGATAAACTAAAGACGAAAGAAGATAAGTCGAAGGTGAAAGAGAGCAGACTAAAGGTACAAGGATAGACCGAGGGTAAAAGACAGACTCGAGGTAAAACAGAACTTATCAACGGCGAAATAGAAACAAAACTCCGAGAGCAAGTCGTTCAAGCATGAAGCCAGTGAACATGGAAGGAAGGAAAGGTCTCGAGGAAGGAACCTAGCAAATACAAAAGGTTTTGCTGGCCGCAAATTTTGCCCTTTTCGTTACTTTAATCATGACTAGTTCCCTTAAATCGAAACCGAGAGGGAACCGTGCATAGAGGAGGAAAATATTATATTGCCTTATTGATAACCTTCTCTTGTATAATAACCAATGAATTATCTATTAATACGAAAATTATCTTGAAGGGGTCAAGAACCCACATTATGTTAGAACTTTGATAGACATGTAACACAAATAACATCAATAATTGGTATATTGACGGTGTTTGCGAAACGGACGAGAAATAAAGCTATCCTCTATTCTGGTGAAGGTTGCTTAGATAGATAACTATCTTAGGTGGGTCTTCAGGTGAATTACCGAGGCATCTGTTGAACTTTGTTGCGTAATAAATCGAAACAGAAGAGCGGCCAAGGAAATGCGTATCAAGGAACAAGAATCCTTGAAATATCACCACGAATAATTTCGAAGAACGCCCCCTTTGTTCACGGTGGAAGATGATATAGTAATGCCAAGTACTATACACAAACAGAATGGCACCCCTGAAAACACAATCCTTCTTCAAAAAATTTCGCAAGCATTCCTAAAGCTTAGACCCAGCTTCCAAGGCCTTCGTCTTAGCATTGTATAGCTTGACCAACTGGCGCACCGCTAGGTCCAACATGACGTCCTCCGAACCACCCGGTATTCTCGCGCCAGGCACTTCTCTCCATATCATCTCGGCGATCTCGCCTTGTCCGCTGCGGGTATAACCATTTCCACCGAAGAGCAGCACAGCAGTATCCGCACACTCCTTGAGCACGATACCAGACTGTGCCTTCAGCAGGCCCGTCAGCCCACCAAGTTCCCGATCCGCGTCGTCCTTTTTCATTTGCGTCATCTGGTATGCAAACTGCTCAACCCATGCAGCCTGGCTTTCTAAGAGCGCGCCAGCCTTCGCCAATCTGTGCCGTACCACGGGTTGGTCCATCAAGGGCTTGCCGAACGCCTCGCGCTTCAGCACATACTCGAACGCTGCACTCAGCGCGACACGCGCCGTTCGCGTTACGCCGACAGCGATGGTGAGCCGCTCGTGGTTGAAGTTGGTCATGATGTACCGCATGCCCATGCCCTCCTGTCCGATGAGATTCTCTACAGGAACTTTGACATCATCGAGCTCGATATAAGTCGTGCCCGCTGAGATCTGTCCGCCGACCTTGAGACGACGCATGTTGACGCCCGGCGTGTTCTTGAGAGGAACTACCAGCATAGAGAGGCCAGCTGCGCCGGAGCCCTCTGGTCCCGTCCGGACTGCCATGCTTGAATAGTCTGTCCATATACCGTTGGTGATCCTGTTGTGGTATGAGTAATATTTAACTAGAGGGAAAAAACTGACGAGACTAGTCGGCACTTACCACTTCTTCGTGCCATTTACGATATAGAACTTGCCGCACTCGCTCTTCACAGCCGAAGTCGTGATGTTGGCCACATCGCTGCCGGCATCAGGCTCCGTGATCGCGATGCAGCTCCTCTTTTCGCCCATGAGAAGTTCCGGTACGAACTTCTCCTGCAACTGCTTGCTGCCGAACTTCAGGATCGGCGGTATACCAAACGCAAAACCAGTCGTCAGACTCCCGCCAGGTCCCGCGAGACCGCTACGTGCCATCTCGTCCGCGAATATGAGACTGTGCAGATAGTCAAAGTCCTCGACTTTTAGTCCACCGAGCAGCTCGTGGATGCCTAGACGCTTGAGCCAGTCGACCGGCAGGGGCGCTGGCAAGGCCGGGATGAGCATGTTCGCCTTGGCAAAGTCGGAGAAGACGTGCTCGGGCACGGTCTCGGCGCGCTCCCATTCCTTAGCCTGCCTGGTGAGGTGCTCCTCGATGAACGGCTGGACAGCGGCCTGCCAGCGCCTGTGAGTGTCCTTGTATATGGGACTGGGCAAGCCTAACAGCCAGGGCGGCTCAGAGAAGGGAACCGGGGTGGACATGGTAGTGGTGTTATTGATGGGGGTGGTTGTCACGGCGGATACACAAAGTCTGCAGATATGTACTAGATATCTAGCAGATCACGAAAGACAAACCTTTGTGCGGAATCTATACACGAGCACCAGCTTGCAGTCAAACATCTTTGGGACTAAACTCATTTTTGTTGATCTCATGCCGCGAGGAAAGATATGCGGGGAAAGAAACCGAGGTTGACAGCTACAGTGGACCTCAACAGGGGTTCAATCCTGTAAATCTGGGGTTAGAATTTGGGGAAAGGTCAACGTCGGTCGCTAGCGGTCTTGGTAACTTTGTTAGGACCTAGCGAGGCATCGCCCTGGGCTGATTGAACGTTCGCCTTTGCTCAGACTCGGTGGCTGTGTTAGTTCCGGAACTGATCAACAACTTGGCGATGGCATTCGAAACTTTGGAACATATTTGCTCAAAAGCAAAGTTATGTAACCTAACCTCAGCAGATTGCACCCGCTAAACAAGTCGCTGTGTATATTTGCTACACTAGTAGCGTGTCTATACTGACTAGACTAACCTAGACTAGTGTAACGCGACTAATACATGAATGATTGGTCATTCGATCTGAGGTCCACCTCGCTTGGCGGTCTTTATTCTGCCCACTATACAATGCACATATCACAACGATTTAATTTGTATAGCATATTATGACATACCAAGCTGAAACACCCAGGCTGAAACTGAAAGAAGGCTACATCGATAAATAGAGCAAGTATCCACAACACACATTAACAGCGACCGCGGATTAACAGCATAGTGAAAACAGTCACCTCGCCGATGCCACGACTCGGCTATTGGACAAATCCTGCAAACATATGGTCACTTCATATATTTCTTGAGTTCTCACCTACTACCTACCCTACCACTGCCGCGAGTCTGCAAAGAATTGTTTGTATCAGGTTGATTGTTGTACAGCAAACTTGATCCAATGTTTGCTACCTTGTACACCCCTGTTAACGATAAATATATTTTTTGCCAAATGCAATGAGTCTCTGCGGGCGCTTGATCGATACTAATTGATACAGCGCGGTGGTTGGTGTTCTTAGACTTGTTGACCCCCGGCTCAGCGTCTGATGCAATACTTCTGAGAGCTTGATGAGTGGATGTCCAACTGTCAACTTGAGGTTGTCCATGTCTTGGAATGGCAAGGGCATTGAACAAGGGGATAGAGCCCTGAGACGGCCCAATGTTTACTCCAAAATACTCGCCGGCGGGGGCTGGTCGTGTCGGTCCAGCCTATCGTCTGGAACTAGAATGCTCTTGTGGATGAATAATAATGAGTGATGATGATTGCTTCATAAAACCCTATCCCCTTGTCGAGCCGTCCCATGAGACCTGAGCTGACTGCGAGCCACTACCGACATGCTGCGGGCATGTTCATGTCCCCGCAAACTGGCATGCTTTGATCAGAAAATACCGGGTCACCGGTTTGCCAGTTTCACGGCACGGGATATTTGACGCCACAACCTTACCAAAGTTCTCATGAAAGCAAATGATCTTGCTGCCACGCTGACTTCGACCTATCACAAGGACCGCGGTAGAACCCCACGGCCAGGCCTGTAAAATGCACGGGGCATGCTGGGCTTCCAAACGTGGATATCCAGCTAGCCAGTTCTAGCTACTCGCTGAAGTTGATCAATATTTACATTAGGTCTTACGAACGCAAAGGCGAGTCCATGATAAGAGCACACGGGACTGCTTCGTAGACGCAGCTCGCATTCCCCGGCAGTCCAACCGCATTCGAGCTTGGCGACAAAACCAGAAGCAAATCTCTTCATCAAACCTCATTTGCCGAGCGAGTTTCTTTTCCCTACGGGTTGAGGTGGCTTTTGCCAACCGCTAGTTAGAGAACATACTGATTTCCAAAAGGCGCCACCATACTGTAAGACAGCCTTTGAATGATTGACCAGGTCCCGCGCTCCGTGGGGGTCTCAAGGTCAGCCGGGGGACCAGGCAGTGATTTTGATTGATGTTTCACCGCCGTCATGGCGTCAGCGCAAGGTGGTATTTGCAAAAGATCAATGTTGTGTCAGAAATCTGATAACACAGGTCATATTTTTAAGGCAGGGAACGATTGCCGGCCCATAAAACAATCCCATGCAGTTGAAGGTTCAGAACGGCGTGTACAACGCTTCATCTAGCTCCCGAAACCAAAATGGGGAGACGAAAAGACACTAAAATGTACAGAAGGGGTAGAAAATTTGAGACATGCTCAGAATGGAGAATGAGGTTTTGCGGCGGTCTGAAGCCACAATCCAAGAAGTTGGTGAAAGGTCTTAGCCAGGCTGCTAGGCACGAAGCCTTCTGTCGTAGGACGGTTGTGTGCAATAAAACTATGGACTACATTAGCTATCATCGTTTGGTTTTCCTAGAGGGACCGTTTCAATAATTACGTTTCATCTCAGACTTACTATTGGCATCAAGTGCCGACACAGGCATCTAAAAGGGAGGTGGACTAAGTTCGATCAAAGACAGGACAATCCTAGCTTGGTAAGCTTATGAGAGGGTCGCTGTGCGAATCGGGGCGTTCCCCGGTTCGAACCTTACATCGCTGTGCCCTGTGTCAAATCTATCCCTCGCCCGATTTTTGGTTGTGAATCATTATTAAAGCATCGCATAAGCCAGCAAGACTCTAATTTCTTATCCTCAGGTCATACCTAGGACGCTGTCGAAAAACTAATAAGAAATGTCGAAACAGCAATTCCCAGGGGTTGATCCGTACAATGACTATTGTGGTCACATGATGATTGGATGGACACGGAATGCTTCGGAAAAGCAACGACTGCAGCTGTTTCATCCCGCTCGAATAGATGTCACTCGTTTCGGAGTATAATTCGAAGAAGCTGTTGAAACGCGTGTACGGACTTGAAAAGTGTGCTGTCGCATTGTTTTTAGCAGGAATTGTCAGGGTCTGGGACGTAGCGTTTTCTTCTTTTATTCCTCCTCAATGTGATTGCAAACCCCCACCTTTGCTCTTGACTTCTAGGGATGCTGATGTTTAAAAGCCATTTAAACTTGACGCTTACTTGAGTTGTAATTCATGCAATGCTCGAGAGCCAAGGGGAAAAAAGAAAAAAAAAACCCCCCTTTCCTGCTGCAGCCTTCAAATATCATTGGGGAGCACCGGTATTGAAGATCACATTTTGAGGATGCGTGTTGATTGTGACCTACTATTAAATATGCGATATATCGTAGGCTTACACGATACGGATCACTGATGTAGAACTGGAGGTACATGGAGGGGTAGCAGTCAGAACTTATCAAGATGTTGTGGGGCTTAATCCGGTTCCGCGCAGCATACCATTCGTCAGTAATTAGTGCACTTGACCCAAGAAGTTCTAGAATTATATTAGCACATTTTGTCTGGTGTGGATCAAGTGCCAAGTCAATCTAAGGCTGTGAATGCGCTTGTGAGCACTAGATCGGGCGCTCACCTGCCGCTAATCTTTTGCTCGGCACCCAATCAGATCTTTCTATCTCAAAGTCTACTTGGTTGACTTTTGCTCTATTCTTTCCAGCAGGTGTGGTGGAGATCAACCCGACGGAATCCAACAAACTTGGAGAGCCTCTCCTCCAGACCTGTATTCGCATGACGTTTTGTTCCAAGTCTTCATCTCCATACGCGCTAAAGCGACGCACGGTTTTGAAGGAGGCTTCAATTGTCGAGAACGGGCGCATGTATGTTCATGTTCTGGCATTCCAGGCTGGCTGATCATCATCTCGGCGTTAGGCCTTTTTGTTCTGTCTTCTTCCAACAGAATGTGGCCCCCCTGCCCCCGTCGAGTCAAGGATACTACTACCCACTAAGTTGTAGCTGAACAAAACCGCCGCAATGTTTTTACCATGAACTCAAGAGCCTTCGACTAGCTAACCAGATCTGCGACGATTGAAAACCAGCATACACGTAGTTATTGCTCTTTGTGCTATGCCACGAGAGTCGTCAGGCCCTTCAGCGATAGCCGACAGAGACAACACACTCTTGAGGAAACACCCACCACCACTTCGTCCATTTCTTGTGTTCCCACGCTGTTTTCATCCTACTAGTTTCGATGTGCCAGAAAATGTCTCAGACAGAAATGTCTCTCGTCATTGCTTTATCATTTCAGCTCGCCAACTGCTTTCTTCCCTAGGCGCCGGTTACCAAAAGCCCTAGAGAGCACGATACCACTGGCGGGCAAGGCAACCCGAAGTGCCTGCACACCATAGACACATGGCAACCCTGCAACGCCCAATGCGTCTCTGTCCAAGGTTGAGATGGGCAATTGAACGGCGGGACTGTGCCAGGGTCGACACCAGCACAAATCCCCACACCGTCTTCATAACATCCCTGTCATATCCTCTCACCGGTCGGCAGAGTTGGGGTCACACTCAATTCTGCATAACGCTTGTCAATTGTCAACTTTGAGACTGTGAGCAAAGCCTGCAAATATGCTGGATGACAGACAACCCAACTTCAGGGACTCGCAAAGTCCCGGGCAGGCACGAGATTTTAGACTCGGGGCTTCGTTGGATAGTTCTGATAGGCCATGACTGAGCAAATGTAGGATCATAAGAAACTCAGTAGTAGTGGCCCGGCTCAATTTCAATTCGCAAGACATTCTCCGAATCTTCCTCATTGTTGGTAACGTGCTGTCTCGCAATACTGATTTTCGCCATGTGAGCTTAACTTAAACCGCGCGCGCCGCCCCCCAACCAACCAACAATCGAGGCGAAATCCAGTGCGACAATAAGAGGCACTGGGCTCGATGCGCAATTATGTCTACGATGCTGACATTTACTCAAGCCTGTCATGTCTAGGACTTGGTAGATACGCTAGGTCGGTGTTCTGCTGGTTTCGAGAAGAGTAAAGTCAGTGACGACGCGGCAATCACGAGCGCGTAACATCAAATCCCATATATCCTCACTTTAATTGATGAGCCTGCCTGTGTCAATCGGCAACTGATCCACTCACTACTTTCTACCTTTCTACCAGCAGTGCCCCGATCTCTAACATTTCACTCCCAGACCAAGTCATGGTTGGTACATTAACTCAAATGTCATAAAATATCTAAATATATACATATATATATACAATCAGCGCTGCAAGCTGGGCATACCCTGTCATCATCTGGCTACTTATAAGCAGCGATTCGAATAAGGTTTCGACAATCCCCAAGTACTTCATTTTCAAACAACGCAAGGGCGCGGAACCAGGAGCTCCTTGCATTTACTAACATGATAATACCTCAATGACAAGCTATCTGCTCACAGCATTAGGTGATCCGGCTTCTGACGCATTGTTGCCTTTGGTCGTCATGAGAGTCCTAAGGACGCTCGGCACGTTTTAAGCGACTTTTGTGGTAGCACTGCTGGCCACGGATGGGGAGATGGAAAACCCCAGTCCAGAATATCTAACGGTAGCTATGCAAGCCACAGTCGCATATTCCGCGGTTTAACCCAACCCCCGGCAGTTCAGCGACGTTGGTTCTCAAGGCGAAAAATAGCATTTCTATGACCCGTTGGCGAGTTTCATGGCGGGAAGCAGCGTTGTGGATATATGCCGTGGCAAGAAAGCATTGTTCGGCCATATCTTCCCTCGAAGGCTCGCGTGCTTATCATGTGTTCTATTACCTAGTAGATATTCACTGTACCAGAACTGCCCTCCGCTACGCCCCTTCCTATGGCGCTAAGGATTGGACCGTGGAAATGTTAAACGGTCCGTTCCCAAATGCAAAGGCTGATTTATACTTGGTACGCGAACCTAGAAGCCAGCTTAAACCATGGTGCAATTCGGCCTTAAGCAAGCAACTGAAGTCCTCATAGCACAGGACTTACAGAGTACCTCGATATACCGTGCCACTTCTTTCACCCATACTGACTTAGTAGAGAAACCACCACTACGATTGTCGCCCAGCAAAAGCACCCAATGAATTGCATGCGGGCCAATGTCCCAATCCAACCACCAAGGTGCAGGTACCAAATCCTCTCGTGCCTGTCATCAATCAAATCACCCTGGTCCTGATACCCACCTACACCTCCCGAACAGCCCACCCATCCACTATCCCCGGCAATGAACAGTAGTTTGGTGGGCTCTGCAGCTGCATTCTGCTAGACTTTAGGCCTAGCTCGTGCCTCCCGTCGAGGTCCAAGACTCAAGCTTGCCTTGGAATGTATCTAGTGTGCCTTTTATCTTTCGACCAGCTTGAGGTGATTTTTTGGGGGGATGAGAATGGACGAATGAGCGCTGCGTCACGCCAACAGCAAGCAGCATTAGTGCAAAGTGATCCATAAACGCACACCTGAAAGGAGCCAGCATCGATTCCATTCAAGGCGCGAGAGACAAGACCTGAGAGAGAACGGAGTACAGACAAGAATGAAGGGGAAACAGGATAGCAGGCTGACCCCCCTCCCAAGATCTCGGCCGTTCAAGCCTCGAAGTTGTGCGCATCGCGTCCCGCAGCTCGAACTTCGGGTCACCCTCCATCTCCTGCACCCCCCATAACCCATCTCAGTTTGAGCTCAATCTCCTAACTTACCGTAGTCCAAGAGCGCTCATTCTAAAGTTGGCACTCCAAATTGCCCGTGAACAATCGGATTCCATTGACCACTAACTGCGTAACTAATCAAGTTTCTTCCATCCGTACCTTAAAACTTACATTACAGACTGTTCCGGGCCAGCAATCAACAAGTACGGAGTACGGGCAACCCGCGTCTCCGCCAGCCCTCTTTCTAAATAAACTCTTTTCTTTCTCGCACTTTGCTTTGCGGATTGACGGTCGGATCGTCCATCGCACACAAAGGCGACTGGACATTGAAAGGTCTCATCTCACTGAATCAACCACACACTCTCTCGCTTCTCCCGTCCCCCCAAATTCCCCATACCATCCCACCCTCGAGGCCCTTTCTCCAACCCCCAACTTTTTACCCTCTACCACTTTTTCCTCGAAGCGACTGCTGCATTCCTCCGTCGCTTGTCTTATCGCGCGTCCATCTCCCGAGCAGCATCGTCATTCTGCTCCATTTTTTCACTAGTCGCGCGTCTCAGACTTGTCGAGTCGACTCGATACTCGAGCTGCACTGCACGATTGCATTGCCCGCGCATCACCTGGGCCAGATACCGACAGACTTTCACATAGCCCTGGGTCCATGTTCCAGGTGCATCCGTCTGTCTTCCTCCTTGTCCCTATCCTCTGGTGAGCGCAACGCAGCACCACGCAACGCAACCCGGCCCAGCCAACCCCCAGGTGTCGCATTGCACAGAGACCGAACTTGGTACCTACATACGACCGTGCCCACCCGCCCACTCCTCAACTCCTGCGACGCTTCTGATCAGCGCGATCGCCGCTTTTGAGTTCCTGTTGTCGCCAGGCACGAAAACCTGCGAACCCAACGAACCGTAGAGATTAACCGAGTCGCATGAACCGCAAAGTATGACCGCAAGCCAAAGCACTTTGGGCACCACTTCAAACACCCTATCTAGGTCTCCGTACGCAAATTTGTCAATGATCCGCGCAGATCCATTTGCACCAGTCACAACCACCAGCACTCTTGTGGGTGCTATCAACGCAACCACGACATCAACGATAACAACAACGACAACCACCAAGGCCACCATGGCTGCGCCAGCCTTTCTACCGCCGCCGCAGGCCTTCAGATCCACCGGATTGTCTGCGCAGTCACCGTATGCGCTGTCTCTCAGCGCAAATAGCCCATTCGATCGCGACGCCTCCATGAAGCCCGTCGGCACACCCGCGAACCCAGCGCAAGTGTCGCCGGTCCTGATCCGTCGCCTACCGCTGGACACGACCGAAGACCAGCTGAGGCTCATGGTCGTTTTCTCCAAGGACTTGGTGGACGTGGAGGTATTATCGCCTGAACAGTCTAACGATAAGAACTTTCGATCGGCGGTCCTGAAGTTCAAGACGCCTGCTGGCGCGCAGCAAGCCAAGGAAATGCTTCATGGAAAGTCTATTTCTAAAGACGCCGAGATGATTGTCGATATTCTATCCAGTAGTCCATCTTCGTCGAGGATGTTTCCAAGCGAGATGCCAGGTTCTACAGCCTCTAGCACTGGTTCCTCCACAGCCTCATCCGGACCATCGTCGCGACAACCGTCACGTTTCAACGGTGGCTTCCAGTCCATGGAGAGGATTTCCCCGCCGCTGAGTTCACTCTACGGAACCACCGAGCTGCCAAATCCTGCATCAGGCGATCATTTCCAGAACATTTTCTCGCCTCAGTCTCCGATCGGCAACCATTTGACCGACCGCGCTCGTATTTCAAGCAAGAGTCTAATCATCCATGACGCTGCTGAGGACGAGGAGACCCAGGAATTGTTGAACAACCCACTCGCGTTTGCAGAAAATGGCCCTGGTCAAGGTCGACGAGCAACAGCACCTCAGCTACCAATTTCTAGAATGGCTAATCTCTCTTTGAACACTACTTCCCCTGGCCCTGCGTCAGTGCCCCAATACGGTCATCCAAATATGGCTCCCATGTCGGCTCATGGCAACACCATGTCGCCGACCATCATGAATAACGCCAGTCATTCGGTAAACTTCCAGATGTCGAATCCGCCGCCCTTCCAGCGCCACAACTACCCACCGGTCAATCCCGCAGATCAGAACCCACCTTGCAACACTCTGTATGTGGGTAATCTGCCGATCGATACGTCCGAGGAAGAGTTGAAGGCAATGTTCTCCAAGCAACGTGGCTACAAGCGACTTTGCTTCAGAACGAAACAGAATGGACCCATGTGTTTCGTTGAGTTTGAAGATGTTTCCTTCGCCACCAAGGCGCTTCACGATCTGTACGGCCAGCTTCTGCACAATAGTGTCAAAGGCGGCATTCGCTTGAGCTTCTCCAAGAACCCGCTTGGTGTTCGTTCAGGCCAGAGCCCCGGACAGGGAGGTGGCACTCCCATGGCTGGGTTGAACAACATGATGACTGGATCTGGTAACGGGTTTACTACTGCAAATGGCCCTCCGCCAGGTTTACCGGGCCCCCCGGGCATCAGCCGCTCGGGCTATGGAGCAACTCCCTCCTCCATGGTCAATGGCCATACTGCTCCATATTCCACAGCGACTTACGGTACCAACTCTCCTAGCATGTGGAACAACTCAGGCTACCCTGGCCCATTGTCAACTGGCGGCACGGCTTCACCCATGCCGGCCACACCCTCTGGATTCCCATCCTACATGATGGGCAAATAATCGAAGCGAAATGCAGATCACGATATTGAGTTGTTGTATGGAGTTTGGGAAAGCATTCATATGGGTGCATCAGAGCATATGGCTCATCGAATTATGTTGGATCATTGGTTACGTGGGATGCCCATCTATGCGGCTGGCTTGCGGCCAACTGTTTGTCTGAGTCTCAAAGGAAACTCGGTGGCGCATTTTGCTTACTACTGCATCTCGGGGGCATTTGTGGTGCAATGGTTGTGTTTTCACATGGTATATCAGCGTTTGCGGCGCATGCATCATCTCTCTCAAAGATTCCCCCTTATTCATACACTCCACCTTGACCGATGGGGCGGAAGTTTAGAAGCATGGGTTCACCTCAGCGTCTCATCTCAGTGGCATTGTCGGGTTTATAACAGCGCATGTTTCAGCGAGCTCACAGCGTATGTGTTTGATTTTCTCCTTTTTTCTTCTTTTTTTCTTCCCCCCCCCCGCCCTTTTCCCTCTTTAGTTTCTTGGGTATCGAGACGGATTTCGGCGTTATAGAGCATCTGTCTTTCTGGGGGGATGGAATCACACCATTCTTGAGCAGCAGAGGGGAGTCAAGCCTCTCCCTGTCATGAAAATGTTGAGCCAGCTACTGCATTGCCATCTTGTCATGGCAAAACCGAGATGCGTCTGCGGCGTTTACAACATCCATAAAAAGAAAAAATATAAGGCACAATCGTCATTGAAGGGCATTTTCACATCAAAAGGGCGAATAGGATCAATGGGATGGGAGCGCACATTGCATATGGAATAACGGATTTCGCAAGGCTTGCTTGACCTTCGACCAAATCCTGAGCTAGCTACTCATGCGGGATGGTGTCTGTTGTGTATTGAAGTCGATGAACGGTGAAGACTGCATTTCCAGTCTTATTTCCCAATGGACGGAGTTAAAACAAGTGGCCTGTTGCCGGTGTCGCCAAACTTCAAGGGACATTGGACCATCTATTCACCTACAACTTTTGCCGATTCTTGCCCTTTGTTTTCTTGAACTGTTCTACACCTAAAAGGGCAACCATGGAATCGGGAAATGATAATTAGGGCTTGCAGTCTTGTGGCATTTTGAAGTGATGGGCTGGCATGGTTTATGGAGCACAATATGGATTTTCTTTATGGGCGGTTCATTTTCACTCGGATGATATACCTTTTTCTTTCTTTATCGTCTCTTCATTTCTAGCACAGCTCTATCTCTTCCAATCTAATGAGAGAACTATCTGCTCCTGCTGGAGTTGACAATCTTTCCTCTATCGTTGGCATACAGTTGAAATGGTGGCTGTTTTTAGATCAACGGATCAAGTTCACATTCGGCATTCAATCAAGAAATTTGGTTTTTCAATCTCGCTTATTTTTCAGTGCCTGTTGGTTTTGTGACAGCAGGGTAGGAGCGATTTGAAAAGGGAATGTGGCATGTCACATCCAGAGCCACACACACCATGGTCAAACCAGACCCCCACGCCCAGACCAGTCACACCAGCCAGTCGGATACACTCAATCACGATCGATCTGTGTAAAAGTTTCGCGAGATGCGGGAACAGACTTTGTGAGTGCGATGTTTCCATGGTTCTTTGCGCGGGAGTGATGGCTTCCCGATCCATGTGTCCCTCAGCTTACCCTATGGTGAACCCGGTTGTCACCAATGATAAGACCAGGAGGGTTTGCAGGACAGACACGGACTCCCGATGATGGTCGTAACGTATCGGCTGGCTACATGCCAATGGAACACGTGTCTGTGAGTCCTTGAGCTCGCGAAACCAGGGGACGGCTACTTTTGAGGGGCGAGGCGGGAAGGCTGTGAGGAATGCCTTGTGCATGTAGCTGTCTTTGACAGTGAAGAGTGTCACTGGGTTCGGGGTATAGATACTTCATTTTGGTGCCTATACAGATAATTTATTATGGCTCAGTGCTTGTACCACCCCCCCCCCCCCCCCCCCCCCCCCCTCAAAAAAAGAGGTTATCTCATCATGGAATATGGAGTGGGTAAGAGCAGGTGGGCGACAATTAGATAATTATCACTAACCCGACTATCATGAGAGATGTTCGTAGATCTCCGGAGGAAATCTGTGTATTATGCGCCACTTTTGTTTACGCTGTCTGTTGCAATAATCCGAACATTCCTACTTCTTCGGTTCACCGGGCTCCTGCTCGCCTTTCACGCCACGCGAATGCAGAATACATATGCAGGTGGATCGTTTGTATTGATATCGTTTGAAATTCAGCTTCCCTCACTCCAGGGGACCGTAAATTTTATGGACCGTAAGACTTTCCACGAAGATAACAAGGCCCAACCACATAATCAGCGGCTACAAGAACGTATCTATCTCCAGGATCCAAACTCAGATGAGGTCACTTCACGTTTCGTTGGGAGCTATTTCCTGCCGTAGCAGTTGCTCCCGTTGGTTTGCATTGAACACTATCGTCCTTATCTGGCATCAATCCCGCTTCTACTAGTAACACATAATCTATGGGTTCTTTCTCTAATAGAGCATTGCGTTTTGCCCTAGACTAACCTTAGTTGATCATTTATTACGAACATTCCAACCACTCCTTCGGTCCCACCGATCTACCACGCAGCTCAAACCATACAGGCCAGCGGACCAGTCATTTGCCACGATGGTTTCGCATGATCAGTCGATACATGCTTTGGCCGTAAGAGCCCCCGTACATGCTTTTCTAGTGGTAAGACTGGCCTCCGACACCATCACGACTCAGATAATGTCCCTTCTCGACTGGGCACTGAGATACATTCATCAATTCAGCTACAATGTCCTGAGACCGTCAAAGCTGGAGGTTAGGGGATTCCCAACCTGGAGTCATCATGGCCAGGTGGTGTCAATGTTGCTGGTGAGTTTCTATATGAAAATCTAAATCGGTTACTAACATCCGCAGGACGCCTTGTATTGCGGTATAGCTGCCTCATTGGGAGCATCCAGGATAATCGGTATAGTACCTTCGAAAATTTTGCAGGGCTGCATATTAACCAGGCCATAGATTCTAAGGACTCGGCAGCAGTGATGGATACTTCTATGCGATCCATCAAGCTCTGAGACGGTAGTCAGAACCAAGAACCACTAATATGCACCAAATCATTCTTCGACTTTGGCTTGTTAGTCGCGCATGCCATGTTGCTCTTCAGGACGTGTGAGGTGCATACTGAAGCGTCCAAGTGCCGCTTGACATTCGACGAATTAGCAAACAACCAAGTCAAAGATGGCATAGAGTTCAAGTTCGCCACCAGCAGGTAAGAGATCAAAGTTCCAACCCCTGCGCCGTAGGTTATCATGGCGGTCATCGAATTGCAGCGACCGCATCTTCTGATCTGATGCTAGCATCGAGTATCAACTACCTGTTAGAAATTGCACAGCTGGCACATCCTCCCTACATAAACCCTCTCTAAGCTGTGTACACGCTCCAAACCTGCTCTTCATACCACGTGGTGGACTTGTTGGTGGGTCTCGAACAATTCCGTACCCATGCGCCGTGGGGGTCACTCGTCACGGAGGCCTTCCCCTCGAGCTTGGTTGCTGAAACGTTGTTCTGCAGCAGACTGTACATTTATGAGGACGGATTGTGCGCAGCGAGCGGCCTCTGCGGTCAATGAGTTTGTTGTGGTTTTCGGTAAATAAGAGGCTTCCAGGATAAAGCCAGGCGAGAATATGTGACTCTCTAACCCCTGTCTCCCTGAAGATTGGGAATGATACAAAGCACAGAATCGCGGCTTACACCTGGAAAGATGGAGCTTGAAGGGTTGAAGCAAGATCATGATCCTGTCCAATGCAGTGCGCATGTCAATCACAGGTGAAGCACTTGCCAGAAGGGGCCATGGAGGATGACCATAACAGACAAGGATTCGGGTCTCGCCAGAACTAATTATTGTCGTGGCTTAATTCCGAGTTCCGAATGGATTCTAGCTCAGTTGACCTTCACGATGCATAATCCTCGCCATTTTTGTAGGTGTTAGACGGGGCTGAAGTGCATCGCATACAACGAACAAAGTCTAAACTGAGGGAATTCCATCTGTAATGGTTCGAGAACAAATTTGGCACAGTAGCATTCTTCGAACTGTGAGCGGTCTAAACTTAGATCTCTCAATTCTGTTCTTAGTAACCACGTGGCTTTCGGAGAGATTCGCCATGTGAGATCTGCTAGAAGGGTTCAGTGAGGGGTAACCATAAGGCATCGTCAAGGATGGTGGGGCTAGACCATTGATGGTTTCGTAGGCGACATCTTCTAATCTCAAGTGCAAATGGTTTCGCGATATGGACGGCATGGCATGCTATGAGCTGGTATTGAGCAAACGGAGATGTTTCATTACATGCTTCGAGTGACCCGTTACGTGCGATACTGATTGATGGGCATCGCACCAAGCAAGCAATCCGATTTGGGCCGTAGAACCCTAATGTAAGCCGAGAATGAGCTTTGAGACAGGCTGTCATTTCAATTGAACTTCGCGTCGTATTGGTCATTCTGGGATTCTAAAGTAGACCACCGTCGATGTGGCACTTGCGGGGGTGCTCAAGACAATGCGGTCGTGTTGTAGCCCTGGAGATGCTAACTTTGCTGTCAACCTTTCGGTTCGGATCCTGCGGATCTTGACTGCCATACACTTTCAGCGCCAGAAGGCCAAACAACCATAAAAATGCACCAAAGGTTTCGACCTACGCAAGCGAGGATGATTTCAAAGCTGCATTTGAAGATCTATGGTATGCACAATTTCGAATGGTCGACTCACTGCTCGCCTGGATCTCAACGGCATCAATTCCAATTGGCCACGCTTGAATCGATAGCTCAAGTGCCGTCTGACTGGCTTGCTGGAATTCAGGAACGGCCCTGCTTTGAAGAGGACACTGGTCCAATGATGACTACATGACTAGGGTCTTTTCTTTAATCATTGACCCATACAAAACTTGGAGACTCGACTCGGATATATTGAATGACGTCGATGAAGTCCAAGTCAGCATTACCAAGGATGACCATGGTGCGTCCTAGGAAGGAAGAAAGAAAGAAAGAAAGAAATAAAGGAAAGAAAAAACCAAGCTTAGCAAACAAAACAGCAGAGTGGAGAAACCTAGCCTTTAGGGATGTTCTTTCGAAACTAGAACTCCGGGGAGATGGTAAGTGGCTTCCGATGGTCAGGGTCGGCTCACATCCCAGAGGTTATTTGTTCTTCTTATTTGCCAATGGCACCTCTCAGTGGGCTCAGTGGAACGTTGGTGGATGATGTCGCACAAGTTGTGCTCCTCGCTGCGCATTTTCAAGGCTTCCCATCGGAGATGATCCCTCGTGGAAATGCAAGGAACAAGCTGAGCTAAACTTACCGACTCGTTGTTAGTTAGCCAACTGCCTTTCTCTCGCAGCTGGAGCTTGTCAGGTGATGAGCCCCTAAGAGCAAGCACTCATCGGCTCAGACGAGGGTCGAGTTTGTCTTGAATCCAGACGCGTTCCGGTTCGATAAGCGCATGTTGGCCATTGCTTTGGGGCTTCCGTCGGCACATCAGAGTTTACTTGGCATTCCGTGCCGGAAGATGCCCACTATACGGCGCATCTCAACAAGGTTTGAACTGAGCAACCGCCAATGCGACTCATTTAAAAAAATTAAAAAATTAAAATAAAAAAAAGCAGCGAACAACATGCGTCATGGCAAAGTACTCGTGCGTTTGTGCAAGGCACAGTCGCAAGGCGTTCCTCTTCCCTTCAAGGGACATTGCACTGCATTTCTAAATTGTGAGCACGTACTCGTCCGGATACTTTTCGAATTCACACACTTTCGCTCATAAGGATAAGACCGGTGATGCCCAGCTACGTCGCTGCAAGCTGTAGAGCACAAGCTAAGCCGAGGCTGGCGTGAACCGCTGTGCATGCAAGTTTACCGTCTTTATTCATGGGGCTGCGCAAGGCCCCATCACACTGCGTCTTGACTCGTCCGATTCGGCGATGCGACACTTGTCAAGTCCACATATGCACTAAAATGTTTGTCTCTCCGTACCCTCATTAATAGGGCCGGTAGGTCTCCCCCTACTCTGATTTCCCATACATACTAATAAGGAGCTATGTTTGGCCGCGGCGCCGATGCCAAGCAGCCATTCAAGCCATTCTATCAAGTTGATCCAATCTCGTCTCAACAGAAGACTGCCTGCCCGGACCTTTTTTTAGGGATTATTTTAGTACGTGATGTGGGAAAGGAAACGGAAGAAGGAAAGGAAAAGGAAAGGAAGAAAAAAAGAGTCAACGTCCGTCCCACAGCGGCTTGCAGTGTCGTTTGCTTGCAGCACACCTACTTGGTACATGCAAATACAAGTACATGTGATACGTAGGGTATCCGTGCATTAGATGCTTCAATTGCGCTGTCAGTGCGACGCAGGAAGGACAACGCTCAAATTCACAAAAGCAAAGGGTCAGATCCAACCTGAGGACCTGGACAGAGACCTATCAGGCCCAAACAAGTACACGTACGACCTGTGCCCTGTGCACTCACTGGCAAGCTAGATTACTGTATTTTCGATGACGAGCCCCTACCATTGAGTCACTTACCCTTCCCGGAGGACACTGGGGGGCCCAATTTTGGAATGTCTCCATATCAGGGATTGGACTCGGTAAGTCGTCCGCTAATGGCTTCAAAAGTAGTGTGCATCTCTGGGGCTCTTTTGGAGCAATTGGAGCAATTGGAGCCTTTTGGGGTTTTGTGCAGCCAATAATCCCTGCTGGGCATTCTAGTTGGTCGTTACTGCTTCTGGGTCTTCTAACCAGTCTCCTTCATGCTCATGTTCCTGGGAAACTTTCATTGTGCCCGTCGCACGGAACAAGCGCAATATATTCCCCGGATACCCAGCCATCGTGCATCCTGCCACTTACTCGTGTATGTCTTTGTCTGAGTGCAGCTTCTTCCTGGCCTGAAACTTCAAAACCTCTCTTCTTTCCCTTGGAGCTTCAGATACCAATTCGCCTAGTCTCGGTTCCTTCGGTGGTCCATCCAAACGATCTTGAAAGTCTAGAATATACGGAAAGTGAAACTACATTTCCTATATTGAACTTGGCGTCACTCGGAACACGTTCAGGCTTGTTGCCACACGACCAATTCGAGGAGAACAGCCCAGAATCCTTAGGTTGCAGTTGGCTGCTCTTTCTGAGAGAGGCACTGGTCTCGTTGTTTTAAGGACCTCATCCCCCACCTCCGGACGGGTAGTTCTCATTCGCTATCACGCCCATAAAAAGCCAGGGTACGCGTGCGGATCATCCCGAAATCTGACAATTTCCAATCTGCGCCAGAAGATCACGATTAACCTCGTTTCATTTGCACATGGTCGCGACGCCTTCAGGCGGTTCAATACCCATTTTTGTGTCGCCTCGTCATATAAGAGAGAGAAGAGGGAGAGCGACAGAGAGTGGCCTGACGTGAGGTGGCGATCAGTTCGTGGAACCTAGTACGGCCGGTTGGCATTGGAATTTCTTTTTCGACATTGACCGCGCGCTGCTCGCGCCGGCCGCAAACCATGCCTCCTCGCCAGGGACGTTACCAGCCAGCGTTTGTCTATCTCCTCCCGAGCCAACCGCGGCTTTCAAATGTTACGCAAAAGCTGACATGCCAGCAGCCGTGAATACCACGTCGTTGTGTTGGGAGCAGGTTCGTGAGCCTTCTCTATTCGTCTTTTCGAGCTGCGAGGATCCGCAGGTTTCTTTTCCCATGAGATTGCAGCATGCTAACCAGGAGATTATCGTGTAGGTGGTGTCGGCAAGAGCTGTCTGACTGGTGAGTTTGACGCGTTTCGAGGTCCTTGGCCAATGAAGGCCGAACGTCCTGCCGTTACATTACTAGGTTCAAAGGCTGACGTTTTGACTTTTGTGACAGCTCAATTTGTGCACAACGAATGGATAGAAAGTTATGACCCCACTATTGAGGATTCATACCGAACTCAGGTCTCAGTCGATGTGAGTATATGTTCGCCCATGCAGCTAGACAAACCGACTGACGATATTTGCATCAGGGTCGGCAAGTCGTTCTGGAAATGTGAGACAAACTGATCAGCCGCAAATGGATATTCCCCACCGTACTGACTTGTTTGACAGCCTCGACACTGCAGGGACCGAGCAATTTGGTTCGTCACCAAGAGTCTCCCCGTGTGCATGTGAAACTGACCCGGCTATAGTTGCTATGAGAGACCTGTACATGAAGACGGGCCAAGGTTTTCTGTTGGTTTTCAGTATTGCGTCTGCGTCATCGCTAGCCGAACTTCAAGGTCTCCGTGATGAGATCATTCGCATCAAGGACGATGAGAATGTCCCTATTGTGATCTGCGGAAATAAGGCAGATCTCGAGGACCAGAGGAACGTTCCACGGACTAAAGGGTTCTCCCTATCTCAAAGATGGGGTGCACCTTATTATGAGTCTAGCGCAAGAACTCGAAGTAAGCGCACCGGCTTCTTCCCCGAAGCTCTATTCTGGCAATTTTATGGTCGCTCCCATCTGATAATTACGGTGCTAACAAAACGTAGCAAATGTCGATGAAGTGTTCGTGGACCTTTGCAGGCAAATGCTTCGAAGAGACGATGCTGGCGAAAACTATCTCCAAGAAGAGCCAGATTTCGATCCGTACTCAATATCTTATTACAAGAAGCGGAGACGACAAAGGAGAGAACGCGACAAGGATCCACAGCGACCCAAGTGTATTATCCTATAATATTATACCGTGTACAACATGTTCGTGTCCAGCCTTGCGGTTTGCCTTGCGGTCATCACGGCCTGAAGACATGTACCGGGGCGGGGATGCCCAAGACGTGTACGAAGTAATTTTTGGCCCAGTCCTTAACCACGAGCAGTACAGGTCAAAGCAAGCCTAGTCTGACTCGCTTTGGTCTCGATAGGTCAATATTCGAGATGCCAGAAGGACTGCCGGGGAGAACTTTTGGCATTTGATTTTACGATAGCGGAAAAACGCGGGTTTCATGACAGGCCACACAATCATAATGGGAGTTATCTTATCCGAAATGGGCATTTGAAGAGGCTGTTGCGCAGGCAAGAGATGTTTGTTGTAACAAGTCGACAAATGAATATAGGGCATTGTCTTTTTGATGTTTGCATAAATATATATACCCTCTGCTTCGAAACAAGTGCTGGTAGATTCGACTGTACCGCGGCCATTTCCACTACAAATCTACCTTGTTCGATAGCTTGGAGCGGATGTCGCGGATGCCTCATGAATTAATGGCAGAGCTATGGCAGAACAATCCAGGTGAAGAAGGTAAGCTTCAGTACACTCTTTCCCTCCATCATTTCCTGGGGTGGGGGTTGACGTGTGTTTATAGATGGTAATAGCACTACTCAGTCTTTCAGGCTGCTCATTCAGTTATACCAAGGTCCCAAAAACCAGACATTCAGTCCATAACATATGCCATGGTAATCCATGTTCATTATTCTACTAGTCTAGGTCCCACCCCTAAAATTGATACACCCATCTGGCAGGAGGTCGATTTTCGCGCTACAAAACCTCATCGAGCGTCTTGTCCTGGTTGAGTATGCACATTTCAAATTCATACATACATCAGGCGGCGTAAAATCATTATATCTCAGAGGTCAAGTCGCTCTACCTTGCCTACTTCCCGCCCTGCGCAAGAGTTATAGCAACAACCAAGCCTACGATCCCCCCAGCGCCAACACACTGATTGCGATACCGACCCACAGGTACGTCCTCACACCACCGCCCCCTCTCTCCCTCTGTTTCGTCATCCAGCCACCCTTTTCTTCATCTCCCCCCCTCTCATACTGCCCCTGTCTCTCGTCGTACGCCCTCTTCATCTCCCTGAGCCGGTCCCGCTGCGCGCTCGTCAGCGAGCTCGCGGTGGAGTCGGCATGCGATGGCCGGCAGCCGGGCTGCTCGACAAACATGAGGTTGGGGGAGCGCAGCGCCGTGTTCGACAGGTGTGTCAAGGTCCGGATGGTGAGCGGGCTTAGCGCCGGGTTCAGGACCGGGCTGTGGGGCGAGATGGGCGACAGCGAGTCCCGCGGTGGTAGCGGCGGTAGATCCGGCGACGAAGCAGCAGCAGCGTTCCCGCCTGTTTCCCTCATAAGGTCCAGGGGCACGGGTTTGGTGATCCGTGTGATGCCGGCCGTGGCTGTCGGCGGTGGTGGTGGCTGCTGCGACTGCTGCCGTGGGCTCGTCGGCGCCTGGACGGAGGTGACGGTGGGTGCCAGCGGGGAGAAGTAGTCGTTCGTTATGGGCGAGAGCGTGGGGTGGTACTCCTTCGGCGGTGGTGTCGGCCCTGCCAACGAGGAGGAGGAGCTGGAGGACAGGGTCGAGTTTCGGGCTGCTGCTGCTGCTGCGAACAGGGGTCGAATGTGGGCATCTTTCCCGTTCGCAGACGGCGGTTGTGGGAACAAGGAGGGCGTGGTCGACATCACGGACTCTCTTCCCCCAAATACTAGCGATACTGTCTGTCGTGGCGATGCGTATCTCGAGATTCTACTGCTGCTGGTGTCACGAACCGCTGCAGCGGCGAGCGGCGTGGGCGGCTTTCGAAACACGACGCTTGGGTGAGCATGCCCCGGCGGGGGAGGGAATTGCGACGGCGTTATCAGAACACTGTCATGTGCAGACCTAGGGGAGAATGGCGAGGGCGAGGACGTCAAGGGTCCAATCGCGGCTGGGCGGCCGGCAATGGACGCCCGGATCGGGACGGCCTTGGCCGTGAAGTAGTCCACCTCCTGCATTGAGTTGATGGTGGAGGCGGGCGAGGCCGCCGTTCCCGCTGGGGACGTCACTTCAGATTCATGTAGAAAGGGCTATCCCAAGGGGCACTTCGTATTAGTAGAGCCCATTAGGAAGGACTATCTAGTGTTGCACGTACATTGGTCGCTGGGACCGAAGCGAGTTCCTGCATGATAGTATAGCGCAAAAACGGGCACTCGAACTTTGGAAATGCCGAACGAAATCAAGCCTGATTGACAAACAACGTCTGCTTCAAAAAGAATGTAGGGGTGCGATGCGAGCACCATAGGAATGGAGAAAGGAATGGACAGCTTGAAATCCCAAGCAACGAGAAAAGACGTTCGGTAGAGCAACAGTACAACAAATAGTACCTATACTATCGACATCCCCAAGATAAAAAAGACAACATAAAAATAAAATAAAACATCAGAAAGTCAAAATCCCATACATGGCCATGGAAAAAGGAAGAGAGGATGCATCCTTTCCCCAGCAACCCCTTTGAACTAGAGAAAGCAATGACGTCTTTCCCGTACCTTTTCAACCCCCCAACCTCGCCAATCTAACCTACTGTACTAAAAACAAACAATGACCAAGTGCTGCACAGTTCTCGTGTGTCAAAGGACCCTGTGTTTCGCAGATCAGCCGTGCCTGGGGGAGATGGTTTCCATAGTTCGCGGGACGGCGTGGTTGTTGATTGGCTCATCGATTGGTGCCGGACGGGCTTAGTATGGTTTTTTGTTTTTTAAGCAGCGCCGCTCAGAATTAAACTTGGCTGCAACCGGTGCGGGCTGCGGGCATCATGATTGTAGGGGTCGTCAAATGTATTTCAGGGGCTTTCTTTTTTCCTTCTTTTTTCCGGCAAGTCATGGTGTGCATGTTCTGATGTGTTCTTCGGGACGAGGAGAGGAGAGAACGCAAAGAAAGTCGTATGGTTCGGTTCGGGAACACCGCTCGTTCGCTCTTTGAAACAACAAGAGAAACTTCATTCACATCAAGTCAGTCGCGTCGCGAAAAGGAAGTCTTTTCGGTTAAAAGAGGGTAAAGACGTTTTTTGCTGAACCCCATGCCAACCATGCGTACTGTTGATATCCAAGCAATGCACACAACCCGCAGCAATAGCCAGTAGCACGGCCGAGCTGCAGTGAGCTCAGGCTTAACGCTAGTCCTGTCGAGAAGAAGATCGACCTGCGATCATGCCATTTGTTACGAACAGACGGTACATCCGCATAAGGTTCTGATGGAAAAGCCTCATGGTCCGGGGAGCCACGTGTATCGAGAACGCTTGTGAGAAAGACGACTTAAGGACCTTCAAATGAGTATATTAAACATTTCCTCCGAAAATTGTGGTATCTACAAAAAAAGCCAGTTTCTACGACGCCTTGCTAGAATTCATTCCATTACATGCATTCAATGCTTGCCGCTTACAGTCGTATATTAGAGGGCTCCATTCAAGGTTGGTTTTGTACAGAGAGACCATGTTTGTTTGTTTGTTGGTCTCCAATTGGAAATGCCGAAATGTATGCCACTCGCTTCCATTTTGATGAAGGCATTGTGGATGCAACCAATGCGCCGGCTTTTGGGTTCAATGCTAGTCCAAATAACTCGTTTCGTTCTGCCATTACAGTGCAGTTCCGAACTGCGCGTCATCATACGTTGACCTTGAAATTGACAAGATCAACTGTGTTCGAGCCACCAATTGATACATTTTGTGCTTGAGCAATTGTGACTCCGTCTGTGGAGCTGGCAGAAGTGAAGAACTTCTGCAGAGTTGATTGAGCATTGACGCCGTCTTGTACTGTCTTTGATTGCAAGACAAATAATACCGCGACACGTGCAAAGTCAAGGACTTGATCAGTAACAGAGAAAGCAGATGTAGGCGAAGCAGTACTCGTGCTCGTTGCGCTTGTGATCGTCGAGGTACCGGTGCTGGTACCGGTGCCACCTGGAGCATATGTGGTAATGGTCGTGGTGGTTGTTGTGTCTGTGTTGGTCGATGAGGCACTGTTCGAAAGTGTGGTAGCAAAGACTGTCGAGAAAGTACCAGTAGTGAGCGGTTCAGTCAGAGTGCTCACAATGACTGAGAAGTCGCCTGTTGCAACGTTGTCGAGTGTTAATGTGACCTCAACTCCAGACATGATCGTCACGGTGACCGAGACGGCCTTCTCCGCTTGTACAATATCTGAGTCCACCCCTACATTCAGTACCGCAGCACTTGTGGTGCTTCTAGTTGAAGATCCGTCGAAAGTCACAAGGGCGTTTTCGGCGACGCAAGAGAGGTTGGCTGAATTGAACTTGGACAAGATCGTCGTAGCGGAAAGCGGCAGAGAGAAGTTGGTCTGGCCTTCCTGAATGAGACGAGGAATAGATTGACCGAGCGTAACATTACTGAGGGTGCTGTCGGAAGAAGTGAGACTCGTTGTGGTGCAGCCCGCGGAGCTTGAAGTAGTGCAGTCGTTTCCAGTAAACCCGTTGGTGCATATGCACGAACATACTCCGTCAGTGACAACGTTAGTCCCTCCATTCGCACACGAAAGCTGATTCTGGCAGTCCGACAGTTCAGGCTGTGCTGTAACAGTATTGTCGTCGCGCTTTTGGATGACGAAGAATTCCAAGGGAACGATGATCGCAGCCGCAATAACCACAAGCAGTGCGAACATCAAGACTAAAAAGCCCCACAGGGGCAAACCGCAACAACGACGTCCCTTCTTCTGTTGGCTCTGGTCCGAGTTTGGCGACCGATTATCCGCCGCTTGACCTCGTCCAAAGGGTGATCCCATGGTTGATTTTCTCCCGTTGAATGCTAAAGGCCATGATGTCGTGCTCTGGCGCATGCTTCGACGGCTCATATTTGCTTGGGCTGGAGGTGGGAAGGCAGCAAGCATGTCGGAAAGACCCGACTGGTGTTTCTCCAGATCATCTGCTCAAAAATCAGTCTTGTTCTCACCTCATCACATGTATGTCGCCACTCACAAGACCTGTCCCTCTCGTTGCGACCATAGATCTCCTCAGGAAAATCGAGGTCGTCGAATCGGCTGGCTGGCCTTTTCCCCCTGTCCATCATAGATGCTAAACGGGTCGCGCGCTTGATGAGATCTGGTAAACTTGTCAAACTGCCTCGGGCTTCAGCTGCTCGCACTGCGTCAATATCAAGTCGAGGTGGTCGCCGAAGTGCCGATAGTCTAAAAGGCTGTGGTGACGCAGCCTTTGTGATTGACGATGGATCTGACGCGCTTGCAGCTTGGAAAGCGCCAAGCATACTGTTTGTGGTCACAGCCGTCCCAACTGTAGGCAATCTACTAGAAGTGGTGTCTGAAGAGCCCGAAGACCCATCTATAAATCCTGTACCCTCTGGGAATGGCGACTTCGGATCTTGTTGCTGGGGTTTTGGCATAGGCCTAATCGGCAAAACAATGGGCACCATCTCTCCCTTTTCAGCACTTGAGCTTCTCATTGTTACCAAAGATGGCTTGCTTTTCCTTCCAATGCTCGCACTCCTGACCAATCTACTCTCATCGGCATCGTCGCTGTAGACAGATTCTTCTGCTATGTCATCGTAGTAATTTCCATCGTTGCTTATCCCTGGCGATATCGTTCCGTAACTTTCCGGGATTGCGGCGCTTGATGCATAGGAGGTGTGTGACCGTGTCCTTGGGCTCTCTTCTGGTATAGGCGAAACGTAAGATACCGTGGAGTAAAACGATGATTGTCCTCGTCTAGAAGATGGTGGTGGGCCCAGAGTGACACTCCTGCGCGATTGCACGGGTGGTACGGCTACAGGTAGAGGAAAATCGGGGATGGAACCAACAGAGGAGTGGGCAGTAGACCTCGAAGAAGGAGTTACGGGCGTCTCTGGGGCGGAAATCTCCGAAAGCCTGGGGTCTTGCTGTGTATATTGAAAAACGGGAGTGTGATCCTGCACTTTTGAAGCATCAAGTATCGACGGGACTCGACTGGGCCGAGGTGGTCTTTGAGGCGGCGCGCGACCGGCTGGCGGTCGGTACGGTTCTGATCCCTCTGAAGATGCGGGAGATGTGAGAGGACCTGCAAGTGGCCATTGAGGCACAGGTGTCGGTCTTGAGATGGCCAGTCCAATGTTTCCATCCTTTGATTGCAGACCTGCTGGCGCTTGTGGCCTACTGGCACCATTGTTGGGGTTCCTGATGGGTAAGCGTGGTATCGAAGTCGGCGGCTCTAATCGTTCCCTTGGTAGACCCGCCTGAGCTCTTTCTCTTGCCCTCCTCACTGATCCTCCTCTAGCTCCGAATGGCTCGTCCATTCCCATCCCATCTTGAGGCTGACTCATTTAGTCCAAGTCGACGTGCTATTTGCACTCAGATGGCCGTCCAAGCATTCCACGTCTCGCGCCTGATTTACTTCGAGCAACTTTTGCGTTCTGTATCGACGGCATATGCAAAATCCGGCCTGAATCCCAGCCTCTCCGAATAATGCGCGTAGCCGATAGTGGGCCTCGTGGATTCAACGATAACTGTTCCCTCGTCCGTTTGGCTTTTGGTGCGGTTGTGTTCACCAAGCGATGTCAAATTTGGAAATTCCCACCCAATCGCAAACGCAGGCTGGTTGCTTCGTGACGACACTACTATGGAGCCCGTGAAACCGAACAACGGCTTACCCAGGACGATAATAGGACAAGAAACGAATGCGATGTGATTTAATGATGCGCAAGTTGCAAGACGGATGGAAAGGAACGTAGTGTCTACCGAAAGGTAGAGCAGTTGTACAAAAAAGAAAAGTGCAACCGCGATTACCGCATGCCACGATGCTTGCAGGAACTGCTATATGATTAGTCTGTTGAACAAGGAAAGGAGGGACCAAGCAAAAGTGAACTGCAGGCGTTGCATGCAGCTTGCAACATTGGACAAAATAGACGAGGTCCCCTGAAAAGAAGTTTGGTGTGACAGCTTCAAGATCCGACAATAGATGAGGAGAAGCCTAGGCGTTACTGATTAGGGACGAGCCCGATGCGCACTTCCTCGAACCACGGAGCCGGCTCCAACCCGGCGAACATGGGACAACTAGATAGGCTGGTTGCGGGGAGGGTACGAAAACAAGAGATCACCTACAAATCACGTTTCGCGATCCGAAGACCCTTTGCATGCACCCCAGTTGAGCGAAGAGGAATTTGTGGCTGATAACCAACGGTACTGACGAGTGACACGACAGAAAATGCGTCGTTCAAGGTGAACAGTTACGACGAGCAGTGAAGCAGTGGGTTACCCGTGATACCAGTTCAAGAACCTAGATTTGAATTCGTGGGAAAGATCAATTGGATTCTGCATGCAGAACAAGGCAAGGGACGTGGGCGCACAGCGTCTGGTTGATCGTGGGTGATGCTGGTGTGGAGGCGTGGTACGTTGAAGATACTCCTCGCGTTTCAGACTTGCGGGAGGTTCGGGCTGAGGAAAAGGCACGCAAAGAGAGTAAGCTTTTGGCCCCTGGTCCGGTTTGATGTCGAGTAGGATGTGGCGATCAAGAGACAGCCAGGCGCAAGTAGTTAGCAAAGGTCCGCGGGTGTTGTTGTTTGAAGATATTCCAAAGCTGGTCGGGCCAGTGTAGATTGCGTCGGGTCGGGTGTAAACGAGGGACGAGACGGACAGCGCTGATATCGTCGAGACTCAGGCGATAAAGGTAGATGGGCTGAATTTGCGGTAATTAAACGAAAGTCGTAGAAGAGAATGAAGCCAGGTTTGACAGGGTGTGATGTGCTAAAGCTGCAACCTCAAAGTATGCGCTCAGACAGCTGGTGTCGATGCGGTAAAGCGAAGTGAAGCTCGAGACGGCCTTTCGTCAACCTCTGGCAGCGGTGGCCGAAAGTGGGAGAGAAGAGTAGAAAACGCGTAACAGAGGCATGCAGTGAGTCTTGACTGGCGGGATCGGAAGTTTGATCCATAAGCTTCATCACGGAAGTCAGTGGTCTGGTTCGACCAGGATTCTATATGACAATACTGCAAGCATCGTCATTACAATCTCAATTAACGAGCAAGGACGGACGGGGAGTCCTTGCAGCCCCGTTTTGGAGTTTATGCAACTGTGATGGGGTACGGAGCATCGCGGCCTGGCCTGGGCTAAAGTTAGCAAGACCAGTCCACTATGCAAGAAACCAGTCAGGTGCCTTGGCCGGAGACAGAATGCTCTTGACGGACTAAAACATCAATGATCATCCTTGTATTGGTTATTATCATTCGAGGGAAGGTTGATGGTGCCGTAAGGCCAGTACAACCTTCTCTGCGGCTGTGTTCCTTTTCCCTCGTGTGCCTATGCCCTTCACTTGGGGGTGCAATAGGGGAAATGCAAGATGAAGGGGGGAGGCGTTGAAGATGCCGTAACCTTCGGGTAACATATTACACACAGGCGAGCCCAGCAGCCAAGGCTCAAGATCTGGGTCAGCACGCCACAGTGAAAACGGACCAGATCCAGCAGCCAGCAGCCTGCCCTTGCCCTGTCAGCGCCCGCAGAACGCCTGGGGGACAAGAGTGGAAAATCTCGTATGGGGGGTTTTGATAAGTTCAGCCTCAGGTTGCATTCTCGTGGTGCACCCTGGCTCAAACCTCTTCGGTCCCTGCAGCAGTCTTCCAGATTCATGTTCTATGGCGAATCAGACAAGACAGGATTTGGTGCTTCACCAATCAGAAACACTAGCGTCATCACCTGCAGGTGGCCCGTTCTTCTAATCCTGGTCCGCATTCTCTGCTCCGTACGGTTACTTACAGTTAGGTACAAGTAGACACGCCAAAAGTCGGAGTGCAAAACGCCCATCCCTCCCAAAGACCTGATTAGATTAACCGTCGGCTCAGGTCACAATAAAGGAATGGCCCGATGCGAAGAGACCAATTTGATCCTCTTATCATCAACCTGCTGTGGATCAGTATTGGCATTAGACTAACCTTGGCCTCCTGCGCGTTCTTTCTCTGATGCTTTCGGTTTCTGCTGTTTGCGTGGCCGCGGCAGAGATAATACGAAAAAGTAAGACGCCACGCCGTTAGATCAAGTCCGGACAACAGTTCATCCCCTTGACACTCTTGCAAAGTTATGGAATGTGGTGCCACGGATCCGTCCTGGGACACTTGCCCCAGTCGATCGGCGTTGTTGCAGTCAATGCAGGGCATTCCGGACTTGACTTGTGATGTTAAGTTACCAAAGTTTTGTTGAGAGAGTGTTGTGATCCCATTGCCTAGCCGTTGCCCCGTCTGTCCCTGTGGTAACGGTGCGCAGCGACTGGCTCAAATTCGGCCTTGGAAACGTTTCTAGTGTACAGCTTCCAAACGAGTGTTGTCCAAACGCTTGATGTTTCTTTCGTCACGTTTTCACAAATCAGATTAAATAGTCGAACTATCACTGGGGCCGCCGTTGGAGAGGCCCCATCAGCGTGCGTTGGCCTACCTGGCTGCCTGGCTACCGAACCGACTGATGTCGGCTAAGACAAGTTGATGGAACATTATTGCTGCAGGTTGCGTACGCGCGTGAACTGCTTGCTTCTCAAAGGTCCTTGGGTATGCTAAATAAGAGAAACTCATGCATTGACGATTACTCCGTACTCGAGTTTTCCAGGATTGAAGAGGAACTCACATGGTTACAAGCTAAGCTGGCCTCCCCAAATGTAGTATTTTACAGTTTTTCCGGTCGGTCTTCTTCCGCACTCGAAGTCCATCAGCAAACCAACGAATCCTTCGCGGCATGCCGTCCAGAATCTGCCTTTACATCCGTCTATTTAGTTTGAACTGGGTTATGTCTCTGCAAAAAGTGACTGTGGCACCGCAAAGTCATTCAAGAACACTATTATCCCTACCCAAAGTGCACACTTGTGACAGATCGGCGACAGTTTCGGATCTGCTGGCCCCTCTACGGGTGCGCCTAAATCAGACACCTGAAGCAGTCCTGCCGGGAACCGAGAAGCTCGGATGTGGGGATTTCCGCATCAGGAAATGACCTGACGATCTGGGTTTGTGCTTCAACCTTGATTTGCAACTTTGACAGCTTCGTTGATGAGATGAATGGTGATCTTGATAACGGAATCAAGAGATTTAAACTCTTGACAGCGGCAGTTTAGATCAACAAACCAATTTTATGCTCCTTTCGGTGCGGCAGAACAAATCGAGAAGATTTCCTGCCGCGGCAATCTCTGGTGCAACCGCTCTCATGTAACTCAAATCTATACTGCCGCGTCTTAGACTTATGAACACAGTATTCTCGGTAACTCCTAAACTTTAGTTGTTGATTCGGTTGTCATAGAAGGACTATGCTCCCTCTCCGTGTCCCCTATATTTCTCCCTTCCAGAGCTGGCCATGGCCACATCCCCTATAACCGCCAGACTACTGCCCCCGTTGGATCGCGCTCGTACACGATTGGTGGTGCACGCGGCAGAAGAAGACGTAATAGATAGTGATGTAGCTCTCGGTCTGGAGCTGGTAATCTCGTAACGATTCCAGAAACCTGTGCTCGCCGTCTCGGTGTTCGTCTCAGTAATTGTCATCATGAGACACGGGTGGGGCTATAGTAGTCGCCTTGCGAAGCAAATGGATGAACTTCATCCACCTTTTAACCTGAGAGCCGAGTGTATAGTCATGCGCTAAGTACGGGGTATGAAAGACGACCAATTACATTACCATGGTTATCTGGACTACGTAGGTAGATTGCATTTAGTCTGCGTAGATCGTTCTTTATTATTCGCTTTAGTTTCCGACTATATTTCAATGTATGATACCGACTCCATATGTGTATTCTTTTCCACTGAGTAATTGGAGGAGAGGTTCATCATTGTTATGAACACAGAACGTGCCTTACTGACCTCAAAAATTTGACTCGAGGTAGCTTTTATCTATGTTTATTCACCAGCCTCCTTGCTAGAGCAAGATTGCCCTTGTACTTGATAATCTCCACCTCGTACTTTCCCATTATTTTGCTGCTAAGACGGGTGGATGAACCAGCTTTGCTCGACTTCGAGCTGCCGCGTGTCCTTGTACTCGACGTTTTATCTTTGTCGCCATGACCGGCCGACCTGTGCTTTGAGCCAGTTGCCTCAGCAGGTATTTGACTGCCCCTGTGTCCAGGTACATGTTTAGGGTGTGTCGGTATGGGTTGTGCAAGGTGCTCGTTCTGAATCATGAACGAAGGCATGATTTGTGAATGGCTCGCATACTGATGTTCCTGTGTCAATCTACTTCGTCGAAATGGGGAGTCGATAGAACTGCAACTATCATCGGGTACAAGCGAAGCCTCATAAAGGTCCTCATCTTGGCTAAAATTATCATCTTCTCTCACCTCGTAGTGTGCTGAACATCGATCGTATGGTGCGTTGGATGGACGACTGCCTTTATGTGAGACCATCGAGGCATTTGGCAACGGCGCCTTTGAATGCCTCGATGAAATAGAGCTGGGGTGTGAAGATTGTTGGCTACTCGGTCGAGACATTTCGAGCTCGTAAATTATGGAAAGCTTCTTTCCAGGTTCTTTAGGATGGAATATTTGGAGAAAATAATTGCTCATAGGGTAGACCTGGTAAGCGGAGACTGAGTATATAGAAATCTTTCCTTGTTCCGTCTCCTCAAAGGTGGCATTTTGCTCCAAAGAACTGTAAGGAATGCTCCAGTCTAAGTACCAGAAACGAGGACAAGACAATACTTTTCATTATTTTAGAACAAATAGCAGCTATTGTGCGGATTGTACAAAATATTGTTGGTGTATACCGTACATGACACCATCTAGAAAGACTCCATGGTGTATGCGACTCAACTAGCCTAAGTTGTCTTCGCGTTCAGTGACTATGCTGATATGAATACCGTTAGAGAACTCCAAGCAGACAATATTCCCGGGGCTACTTACCTTACCAAATTTGATTAGTATCACTAAGAAATCACAAGCCATTGCGCTTTCCATGCTACATAAGCCACACCAGTGCCTTCCAACTTTTACTCATTGCTACATAATGACCAGTAAAACTAGTACACATGTTCGTATCATTACTTGGTTAACATTAGCCCCAGGAGAACAGCTGGCACAAGGTCAGACGCTTGGTTTACTACGGTGTTCTTCTTCTCCAGAGACTGAATTCCAGCATGAGTCTCAAGATGAGAAAGTTTACTTATGTTACTCTCGTCGCAATCGCACTATTCGTCGTGTTTGCCCCCCAGCCCTATATTGCTGCTCGCAGCAGTACTAGCAAGTTCAACGCCCTAGCGAACTTCAAACACCAAGGCTCATGCCAACTATCGTCTCTCGACTTGTACGAGCCAAGATCTCATGTTTGCCACAATCGGACTTCAATGCTGGAGGCAATGTCATCCGGCGGTCGGGCAGGTAGAGATATGCCGTACGTTTCCAGAGGCTGTGATATGGTTTGGTATACGACAAGGGATGTGTGCGAAATTCTAGGGCGATTTTCGCAGGTCATGTTGATCGGAGATTCGATGCTGCGACACATAGTCGGGGCGCTTAACATTCTCATCCGCGAGGACTTGGGGTACGGTGCGGTCACAGACTGGAACTTCAACAAGGAGGAGAGGTAAGCTTTTCTTGAGCGTTTTGAAGTTATGTATCACTGACTTGAGCAGGCGTGATTGTTTCTGCCTCAATCAATTCAACGTCAAGACATGCTCCGTTCAGGGCATTTACAAGACGGCGGATGTCCTGGCGCACGATCCGAAGAGCTTGGTCTGCCCAAAATTGATTCCTGGATGGTCTACGGATCTGTCAAGTATTACAATAATCTCTGGCTGTTGAAAATGCTGCCCGACCTACTAATTGTATCTCCAGTTGAGCAAATCAATCGTTTCCCAATCCCAGATGAAGAGTCAACCCGTCTCCGTGCGAGTGTGCGGGTCAGCCAATCGGTGGTCTTGCCCAAGCCCAGAGCATTCATCCTTGGTCAAGGGTTGTGGAATAATCTAGAGCCCGAATCGTCGGTACACTGGCTTGACTATGTCCTCAGTATCATCAATCGCGGAGCGGATTTCCAGCCGCCCACGTTGCTTGTTACACCAAATGCAGCGGGCAAGGACAAGCCTGATAGGTGGCTTGTGACGCAAGGAAACAAGGCTCTGGCTCGATTTGAAGAAGCGATGGCAGATACTGCAAACAAGTTGGGAGTCGATCATCTAGGTACCTGGAATATGGTGAGTATTGTACTTGGCTACCAAACCGTCACTTTGAGGCTGTAATCGACAATTTAACAAAAAGCAATTACTAAGTTATACGAGTGCAGTCAATTCAAGCAACGTTGTATGATGGGGTTCATCTCGATATGCGTGGCAACCTGCTAAAAGCCATGATGGTGGTCAATTGGCTCGCTCTGCTAGAATATTGAAGGCCATATTATCATCCAGCTAGTGTTAGTTGATGGCTTGCTTGTTCTTAAACATAATAAAGATTGAGAAAGCTTTGGGGTTTCGAAAAGCGCGAATGCGGGTGGTAAGATCGCCACGATATGTTTCTGTAGGGATTCGGCAAGTCAACGAAGCCAACGTTGGAAGTTTATGATAGTTGCAATAACTCAATCTTTACATCAGGATTTCTAATTGATGGAGATATGACACACAAGCACCAAACCATAGAATGGAGATGATAACCAAGATCGATACACCGCAATTCACATCTGACTAGAACATCAAAGACTCCCGTAGTCCACTTGCGCTTCCCCTATTCCGAGATCATGCATATCGTCACCTCCCCAACCCAAAGTCATCATAGCCCAGAGATCAGGTGCTGTCATTGGCTTTGATGAATCTGCAGCTGGTTGGAAATCTGTCATGGTGTTCGTGATTACACCCGAAGTACTCGACTGCGAATCGGGGTAGGAAGAGCCCGACGTCAAGCCATGTCCATCCCATAGCGATATGTAATCGTCCAGGCTGCCGTCAAACATCGGACATTCTTGCGCCTTCCTCCTTATTTCCTCCTTTGCGACTGCAGTGGCGACCTTTTTGTCGAATTTGGTCTTGAGAGACTGTAGAACTACGCGAAACGCTGTGCAAACATCGGTCTTTTGTCCTCCAGCCATCTTGGGATCCTCAGTAGAACCCAAACATAGCTTGCTGAGGTAGGATCCGTAGTCGAGCATCTGCCGTGCCTGGGAGGCGTCAAAATCGGGACATATATCAATCGGCAAGGATAGGCGGTAGGCCAGAATATTTGCAACAATCACATGCAACCAGTCAGCGCTCGAGAACTGACTCATAACTTCGGCCGGTAGTGCGACGATCATGTCGAAGAAAGCCCTGACCGTGTGAACAACGTTCATCAGCCGGCTCGGATCCAAGGCTGGGTCTATTTCTCCAGTGCGTGGACGGTATGCACTCATCAATGGAGATGCCACAACTTGCATGTCATCGACGAGGCTTGACATCATGACGCATGCTAACTTTTGGTCAGTCTAGCGCGTGCAGGGTTTGAACTGGTGATACGTACGCATTAGTGCGATCGTCGATGGAATTTGGCTCTGCCATTCTCGCAGTTGTGTCTCTAGACCTTTTCGAATAAGCTGCCGGTGGTGCTCATTCTGGAAACCAGATTTCCGCGAACTCTTTTGCAAGGCAAGTATCTCATCGGATATATGGTGTAACCGTACCAGCCATACTAACACATGGTCTTGCTCCATTGCGCTGTATCGCTCGAGAAGATCGCAGCAATTTGAGAGCCAGGCCGTGAACGGGAAAATCAAGGTTCGCGAAAATGAATTTGAGAATCTGCATACACCATCAGTGATATAGCGAGCTGCGTTGAATTCATGGTACTGACGTGGTGGCCAGATAATAGCAACTTATAAATGCTCGAAAGCTTGCAAGATCTTCGAGACTGGGCCCGGTTTGTAGTATGGCAGCAAAAGTTTCTTCCTCGTCAAGACCAAGATCGTGTGCAATATCAGTGGCCATTCTGAGATACTGGATTGCCTGGCGGTGTTTCGGTCGTAGATGAAAGGGATACCTAAGAAGGTATAAGTGATTTTCTTTTGCTCGGCGATACTCCACTCACCAGGCACAGTATACTAATATACCTTGCAGAAGGTCTAACGATCTCTCGCCACCGGTGACGAATTTTAGTCCCAGGACCTTCCGGAACTCTTCATCATAGAGACTATGACCTTGGAGACTTGTAGAAGAGCTTGTCGCAGCGAGTATAGCTAAAAGCACGAAAGGTGAATCTCTCGCCATTGTCCTGACACTAGCGTCTTCTCCTAGTACGATACATGGGCACGACGGCAGCATGCCCTTGAATGTCCGAAAGAGCTTCTCCGCAGAATCGAGATTGAATTGTGGTTTAATGCCAAGGCCTACCATTGGCCTAGACCTAGAGCTGGCGATCGATGTTGGAGTAGGTAGGTCGGCGAAGCTGAAAGCTGGAGCAGCTGACGAAGACATTGAGGCGGCTTCTGCCTCTTCCTCGCTTGACGGCACCAAGTCGTCAATAAAACGCTCGTGCTGATCCCTTAAGTCGTCGAAACTCGCTGCTGGCTCCTCATCAGCAGGCATGCTGAAATCAATACTGAAGGTCTTGCTCGGTCCAGGCGGTGGCGGAAGCTCCAGTTCGCTGTTGTCTCTTAGTAGACTACAATATGCGACCACGACGAGTAAATGAACTCACCCTCTGGCAACCTTAGCTCTTCGTACCCGTGGCCCTGTCCGAAATATACATTCACGCTTAAAGTCAGAACACCTTTGTTCACGGGATGACAATGTAAGCATATGATTGTGTATAGACATACGTTTACAGTAGTAGGACCTACCGCTTACAAATGCCAGGCTGCGGGCCTATTTGACATCGTATCTTTGCCGCCCTACACGCCTCACATGCTCGAGACTGGGGTTTAGACCGAGCAGGCGTGGAGTTAGATGTCTCCATAATGTTGATTCGGAAGAAGGGCAGATGCGGCTCACTAGCCAATGTAAGTGATTGTAGCTTCCACTATCCACCACAAGTGAAGAATGTGTAAAAATCTCATGTCAATCAATGAGCTGACTGGAAGCACTTGCTGTGCCAATGGGCGATAAAATGCCTAAAGGCCAAGTAGAAATGCGGACGACCCTAGACCGATTCAGAGAATTTCCAGCCGCTGATAGTAAAGTTCAGTTTCAATTGTTCTTCAGCAAGGAGCTGACGCATAAACTGCGGCGCGTGGTACCAGGCGGACTTCCCTGCGCCGCTAAGCTGGCTAAGTCCGGTCAGCCTCGGGGGTGTAGGTGCGCACCTCAAAATGTGGACCCAAAGAGCCCCAATCAAGAGGTCCCATAGCATCCAGTCTCGGCCATCGAGGTTTGTCCCCTGATATGCCCGGGGCTGATAATGATAGCCCAATGCTTTATAGTGCCAGGAAGCACGCCGAACTAGGTATGAGTCTTTTTTTGACTGGAACCACGGGGCTTCTTGGGTCGACTTTTCGTAGCGGTCTGGCTGTGTAGACCATATATTGATATTGTCATGACTTGGGAGGTGTTCGAAGTGAGAGGTACCTTACTAACGACACCTACGTCCTTACATGTTGACACAGTGAGTCTGCAGCGGCGGAAACCATTCCGATAAAAATAGCAACAGCGTTTTGTGTGAGATAGCCTCTAACAGGGGAGGATTCAATAGAGCTCATGCAGTCGGAAGATTTAAACATTGGTTGAATGTGACGTGACTGGTTTGGGATAGTTGCAATATTACGTCTCATGCCTCTTCACAGTAAAGATGTTCCAGCCAAGCTTAGGCTCTAAGGGTGACGGAATCATGCCTCGACGCGGAAATGGCACTATGTCGCGTCTTAACAAAGTTATGTGCATACAGTTGGGGCATCTACGATAACACTAAACTTTCTTCATCTAAGGATTATTCCTTCTGCCTTCAAACTATCTGGTTGTAACATCTATTTAAAAGGAAACCTACATGCAAAAAAGAAAAAGAAAAATTGGTCGGGTAGATAGAAGTCCAAGTGACAAGCTTGACATTTATCAATATGTTGCTCGGACTCGTTTCAAAGGAAGAATTGTCTAGGGATCACACTGTAATCCATGTCTTCTGCGGTCGCTCTTGACTGTCAGTTACCATTAACATATGGTTAGCAAGACATAGACTAGCTTGGCGACATTGCCCTTGGAGTATAGTAGCAGGCGTTGGTTGAGAAGTCTGCGAAGAAGATCATAAGCTCTTTCACTTGCTTTAGAGTGCCTCAGACAAGGGACTTAGGTATGCATGATACATACGTTCGGAGGAGACTCTTACGATAGGCTAGTTTCCGCCATCGGCAGAACAACGTCACCAAATATAGCCGGCGAACACTTTGGTCCATTGTGCGTTGCAATACAGAAAACTACACCGGAAGAGCCACACGAAAACATCACAAGTTAAGATGGAATCCTCGTAAACCTTGTTACGCTCGAGCAACTTTCCAACGATGTGCATGAAATCCGCTCATCTCCCATATCATAGCTAATAACAACGTTTCGGAGTGTATGTATGCTACGAGCAACCTTGAAAACAGCCTTACTGACCCACCTCAACGACGATTTTTCGATATAAATATCACCTCTTTACAACCCTTCGATTTTTACGCATGTAAGCGATGACGCAACTTGCGATGACAATCGAATTGGATTGTTGATAAAGCTCATAAAGCCGTTATAATAAAAAGTGGGACTGGCTACATATCCTATGTTTCGGTTCCTCGTACTTGCCCGTTCGGCTTCAGCAGCAGCGTTCAATCCATTTCATAATGGACTGTTCACAAGTGAGTTTAACAGTAGGAACAGAGTGAGTTTAATATGTTAAAACTCAAAAACTACATAAGAATCTGACCTTTTCTTCGCAACTCAGGTTAACCCATCCCAAAGACAACATACTTTTCGCATTACCGCCAGATCATTCAAACAAGCGAACCCGTATTACACTTCACAAATTGAAGAAATAACCACAACTTAGATGATGTTCCACTCGTATGTACCATTAGATAGATGGCCAGCTTTCCAAAATACTGATAAGTTTCAGGGCGTTCGTCTTCCTTCGAGGTAAGCTTGCGGCAAATATAAAGTCCCAATCGTGACATTGTAATAATATCAAATTGGACCTGCGATACTCCAGTCGTCCAGCAGTGCATTGCTCCGGTCGAACAGCGTGCCCGAGAGGGCTGGGAATATATGTGCATGCGCAACATCGCCAGTGACCTTGCTTGGCACTATTCTCACGACATATTCGAGGCAATGTTCTAAATTGGCCTTATCAAATCATCATCACGGACGTTCTTTTCGGAGAAATCAACACGTCTCACTTTCATGGCCACGTTTCCTCGATATTCGGTTTGATAAACCTTATCCATCATGGTCCATACAAGCCAGCCATCCGTGCTCCAGATGCGACTCCATAAAGAAAATTATGTCGAGAACTTCATGCCCCCAATGGGGCTATCTTGCTCTTCTAATCAGATTGGTGGTTGTGCTTTCGGTTCTGGTTGCACAAAGTGACCGTTCGCTTGGCCCTGAACGTGAACGTGAGGCTGAACGCGGCCATCTCAGGTAAGTTATCTGGACATTCAGCCTCAATATGCTCTTTCTAACCTCAGCCCCCAAATTCACACCATGAGAAAGACGGAATTCTAAGCTTTGGGTTTAGGCATAGATTTGGGGATGGGGAGTTGAGAGGACGGGGGAGAGGTTGGATAGAGGGCCAAGTCCGACTTACAACTGCTATACAGTTCCTGTCAGAATATTAGATGTGTACGATGGTAGATCTAGAAACTATGAGATGAATACACGTCTACCAGCTGCTGAAGATATTAACACATTCACCCAAGTGATACGTTTGATTGACTCTAGTTAGAGCCTGTTCATCACAATAACATGTCACAACTCTACGATTGAACATTTGTTCTTGAGTACCCCCACTTGTGTCATGTCTAAAAAGGGTTCAAGTTCCACGTAAATTTCACCAGATCTGATCACTTTTGAAATTTCCGCAAGTACTTATCGGAAGGATGGTTGCGTGATCTGGAAATCTATTCATAATAGGCAGATTCACAACGCTTTCGAAGGCCGCGACATGGCCGGTGTAACATCCGCCTTCAGCGTCTTAAAAAAATTCCCCAAGGCCTTCATGGTTATAGTTCCTCTCGTTCCACATATCCTTGTGGTACCGCACGTTCCCTTGGTTATCCAGTCCCAGCGATATAAGACTGACGACCGCCTTTGGCGTACCCAGAAGTTTCAGTGTGTATTCATGTCGCTGCTCCATAATAATCTCAGACGGTGTATCCTTGACCACCTCTGTCTTTAGACTGCGCAGCTTGCTGAAAATATGGACGCGCAGTCAGTTTCGGGGTGGGGGGTTGCTCAGACGATCACGAGGACTGCACGATTTACCATGGGAAGACCATACCACTACCCAGCAATCTTGAGCCGCGTGTCACAGTATGAGAATGGATCGTCGTGGATTGCATCTTTGTCGTACACTATTTCCATTGTTGGCATCTTCCTACCGGTAACTAAAAACCGTCTACCATGAAAAACAATGCTACCTTGCATATCCTCCTCTGAGGCACTGCCAGAGTACAGATTTATGATCTTCTGCATGATCTGCCTTTGCCCGGCCGATATATCCAGCGACCTCTCCGGATGCGGCTCGAAGTCCACCTCGCGCTTTGCGTCGCCTGTTAGTGCTTGCACATCGGGCTTGGGCTCGAACCGTTTGTGCAGGTGATGCGCTGCGTGGGCCATGGCGTATAAATCCTTGTTAGTGAAAACGAGAAACAAGAATTTGGTCTTGCTGCCGGATGACTCGTCTGGAGCAGCGGTTTATCGCAATTATGTGCGGCCGTCTGCAAGTATATGTAGCGGCTTTCGTTGCAGGATGAACACAGCGCACTGGTGACATCATGACTGGATCAACGACTCATTAAATGGTGAGTCCGACCTGAACGTTTGCGTAGCACAAGAGGGAAGAACAACCATCATCTTTTGCTCGGTAAATCTGGGTAACTGTTGTGAACTGTTATTTCATGTAGCCATAGAACACGAACGTAGCACTTGGTGACGTAATGACTTCTTCAACGTTGAATTGTTGCAACTAGACTAGTCTAGTACTAGAGTGTGCCATAATTTGTCTGCACGTTAGCATTGCCCAGGCCTGTTGAGCGGGCTTCAGCGCTCTGCGGCGTTCCACAGCAAACAAAGTAGTATTACCAGCCGAGCAGTCTTGATCGAGTAATATTCCTCACAAGATGACTATATAACATGACCTAGTTATCATTTGGGTTGCAACTGTTTCAAACCTAACAGATCGTAAAGATACTGCGACTATCAACTGCGTTACTGGGCTCTAGATTGATGGTATTAGTACCGGTCGCGTGTTCAGGGGCTTTGTTGAAAGCATGGGCACATCAATGCATTGCTGTATATTGCTTTCGTATAGCAACCATCTATCGTCTAATACTGATCTCTATGCGTCCAACTTCAGCTTCTCGAGCATGGTGTCGATCTTTTGCAACAGAATCTGGTAGTTGACAGCGTCTTGGGAGAACTCATCGTCAACAAGCTCTCCATCCAAAGTACGCACTACACCATTGACACCATCTGCGTGGTTGCTTGCTTCTGCTGCAGCTGCAATTGTCTGACCTGAAACACTCTCAAGCTTCTCCCTTGTATGTTCCTCTATGTCCAGCCCCTCAGTGCCTGCTATGGTTTCCGCAAGCGCCGCATCGATTTCACCTTCTTCGTCTAGCATCTCATCAAGACCAGCATCCTCGAATCTAAGTCTAAAACGTTCCGACAGATAGTAACGAATGTCATCAAGAAGCTCAATAGTATCTGTCTCTTCTCGCTTCTTGATTCGATTTGCACTTTCTTGGATGAGCTCCGCAAACTCTGGGTCATCGATATAGTCCTCGAGCCTATATGCGATATACCTCGCTGTAAACTCTTCCAGTCGTTGTACTCTCAATTCCCAGGCAGCGTGGATGACATCGTAGACGTTGATGGGCTCAACTTCTATATCCCTGTCCTCTTCATGCTCATTGTGCGTCCGGTCTACCAAGACGTTGTTGTTGCCGCTACCCAATGTGCTAATTGCAATGGCAGCTCTCGTCTTAAGTTTGTCCAAGAACAACATGTCTGCGGCGTAGAGCAAGTCAAGACCCAAGTCTAGTGGGCAGTCGACCTTTTCCGTGTACAGAAATTGGAGAATGATTTCGAGCACCTCAGGTGAACAATCGACCTTGACCACATGTAGATGATCTGATTCTTGCGCTTCTGCGAACTGACTCGAGAACATTTTCTCGAAATATAGGCTTCGAATGAGCATAGCTTTGTGGACGGGGTATAGGACTGATTTCGGATTCTTCTTGTTGCCGTTTTGAGTTTGCGCCTTTGAAGCCAATCCGGGCAGCCCTATAGGTATACCGTTGGACTGGTCACCATTGGGGTTCTCCTGCGGGTCCTCCGTGTCTTGCTCTACTCCAGGCTGGTCAGCCCTTAAAAGAACGTCGGCGAAAATAGAGTTGTCATGCCGCCATTTGACATCCTGCACTTGCTTGGGGTCCACAAGCATTTTGTAGCCTATAATTCTCTCACGGAAGAAATCGCCGACCTGATCTGCAGCTCGGGCGACCTCATCTTGGTGCCTCTGACGTGCAAGCCTCCTGTCATTGCCACCCAGAATGGCTTCCCACAATTGAGTGACTTCCAACTGCTTACTGATTTTATCAATACCGGCAAGGACCTCTTCTTCGCTGACTGTGCTCCAGGCGCCAACGAGATCTCTTGGTAAATCACCAAGATAAAGATAGCGCATGACAACCTGAAAAGAGTCAGTGGGGATATGGGAAGGCAGTTTCCATGACGTCGTTTCTGGCGCATCTGCGAGCTTCTTCCGGAAGTAAGGAGTTCTTGCGGACAACAAAAACTTGTGCAATTGGAAGGTGTCCGTGGTAGCGTTGATGGCGATATCCGAAGTCTGCGGCGCTTCTCTGGTCAGCAGCTCGGTGATGTGAGCCGCCCATGGTTGTAGGGGGTCTGTGGACTTGGAGAAGTCATATTGGAGGAGTAGATTCCGTATCCTGTCATTAAGAGCGTTATAGATGCAACGTTCGCCCTGAAATGTATCGCGCTCTGCCAATGCGCCGGACTCTAAGAGTAGTTGGACCAATTCAAAGTGGCCACATAGACTTGCCTGAACAGAATCAGTATATCACTCGGGCCAAACCCGCTATCTCCGAAAGCAGGGACCGGGCAGAAGTTCTCTCACAATGATGAGGGGTGTGTAGTCGAAATTGTCCTTTCCATTGATGTTAACGCCCTGAGTGATGAGTTCCTGTGTACGCTTGAGATCGCCTTGTCGACAGGCGGCCAATAGCTGATGGAATTCCGCACTGTCGTCCAACGGATTCTCATCCCGAAGCACTCCACTCTTGACGAGGGCAATGTCGTCCTTGAGTTTCGCTTCCAGCTCGTACTTTCTGAGAACCATGGTGAAGGGGGAAGGGAGATTTGATAGAGAGCCCGGGCAGGAAGAAGCAAGGGCACAGATGCATCGGAGTTAAGAAAAGGTATTCATGACTTGCAGCATGCAACTCTGATGAGTGGATGTGGCAATATCACGTGGTGGGGTCTGGTAGCTTCATCGCACTGAAGGTCGCAGGCTTTCGTGTTGTTTCAATATTGCCCCCATCCTCAGCACCATGCACGCACTGGCATGGCAATATTTGACTTCCAACGTGCGGAAGGAACCCTGAGTAATCATGGTCCTACACCTAGCATGGCCGCGACAGAAGAAGACGGGACTCCCAACATTACTTACATACCGAGTCGCCGTCACAAACAACTCGACGTCGAGCAGCTCAGAGAAACGCTAATGGTGGGATGTTAGGGTCGCTGGATCAACTGGGCCGGGGGGCCGCCATGTCCCAGGTAACCGAACAACGGGGTTGGGCAGGGCGACAGAAATGGGCTCGAGCTCAGCGGGGCTTGTCGGGTTGACTACTGTGCTGTAGCACACACTGGTTAGTGTACGATCCACCTTCACTATCCATGTGCTGGGCTAGTACTAAGGTTAGTCTAGTCTAATCTAGTGCTAGGTCAGAGCCGGTGACGCTTTTCTGGCTGGGCGTTGCTGTGACAATGGACCCCAATTGTTTATTCACGAATCGTTAGGCCCTTTCCACAGGCCCTTGTGAAGGTCGTTCGTTCACACTCACGCTGCTGCATCTGATTTGCACTTTGGTCGCATCGTCTCCTTTCTTTGCTTTCCGCAGCATTCCTGCTTGTCTCCTGAACGGCAGCCAACATCGAGAATTCCTCGTCGACCGCTCCGCCCAGCTTTCCGTCCTTCAATTCTCCCATATAATCAGCTTATGTCGCAGCATTTACTACACCTTGAAGGCCGTTGTGAGTGCAATTCACCATGACGGAATCCGACAAATACGAGGTGCTGGAGAAGATCGGTACGTCCAACTGCCATGTCGCTGGGTCCTCATGCCTCCTGGACATGAATTAGCCCAAAGAGTTATGCTCTGATGCTCTGCTGAAACTAACTTTTGTCCCTCCAATCCAGGCCATGGCTCCTTTGGAGTTATCCGACGAGTCAGACGCAAGGTCGATGGACTGGTCATGTGCAGGAAAGAGATCAGCTACCTGAAGATGTCGCAAAAGGAGCGTGAGCAGTTGCACGCGGAATTCCAGATCCTATCAGGCCTCCGACACCCCAACATCGTCGCCTACTACCACCGAGAACATCTGAAGTTGTCCCAAGACCTGCACTTCTACATGGAGTACTGCGGCAATGGCGACCTCGGACGTGTCATCCGAGACCTCGCGCTAAAGAACAAGTACGCCGACGAGGCTTTTGTCTGGAGCATCTTCTCACAGCTCATCATGGCATTGTACCGGTGTCATTACGGCGTCGACCCCCCAGAGGTCGGCAAGAATGTGCTCGGTCTTGGTCCTCTGGCTAAGCCAAAGACACTTGCGGGTGGCATGACCATTTTGCATCGCGACCTGAAGCCTGAGAATGGTGAGTGCACATCTTGAGGGCTGACCGCTGGCCGCTGTGTTCTAATCTGTCTGCAGTCTTCCTCAACGAGGACAACTCTGTCAAGCTTGGAGACTTTGGTCTGTCCAAGATCATGTCGTCCCACGACTTCGCCTCCACCTATGTCGGCACGCCCTTCTACATGTCCCCCGAGATCTGTGCGGCAGAACGATACACCCTCAAGTCAGACATTTGGTCCCTGGGCTGCATCATCTACGAGCTTTGTACGAGAGAGCCTCCCTTCAATGCCAAGTCCCACTACCAGCTGGTCCAAAAGATCAAGGACGGCAAGATCAACAGTCTACCTAAGGTGTATTCGAAGGATCTTTCCGACGCAATCAAGAGCTGCTTGAAGGTCAACCCCGATGACCGACCAAGCACGGCAGATCTACTCAACCACCCCGTCGTGCGCCTCATGCGAAAGGAGAAAGAGGTTGTCGAGATGAGCAATCTTCTCAAAGTAAAGGAGGATACCCTGAGCAAGAAGATGGTCGAGATTGAGCGCAAGCTTGCCAATGCCGACGCGGACAAGTCTTCCATGCGTCACGAGATCGAGGGATCATTACGAAGAGAGTGGGAAGTTAAGGCGCGACTCGAGATCGACCGCCTAGTCAACGAAGAGATGGAGTCGCTGAGACAACGCTTCGAGGCCGAAGTCACGGCACGGGTGCAAGAAGAGTTACAGAAGAAGCAGGTCTCCTTCGGCACCATCGAGACACAGGAATACGTCTCCTCGCTCACCAAGTCCGACTATCCCCAATCCATTGGAAGCCACAGCACCGGGCATAGCACAGATGCGGATGGCGACTTCCCATCTACCACTGATATTACAGAGCTCTCTATTGACTCTCCAGAGCCGGTCCAGCCTCTCAGGAAGAGCGCCAGAACACCCTTCGGCCGCGCACAAACCATGTTCGCTGGTCCTTTGGGTACACCAATGGATATTGAGATGGCTTCGCCATCTCCCATTCCTCTTGCGGCTTTGTCATTATCGCCCCGTCGTAATGCTGCTGCCAAAGCACCTACATCACACCCAGATATCTTTGCCGGCAGCGACGGCGACAGGTTTAGAGACATGGAGCCAATCTTGTCAGACTCGGAAGATGACGATGAACCGATAATTCCGTCTCCGTCACGCAACATCAAGTCGACTAAGAATCCCTTCGGCTCGAGACGCCCGAACCTCACAAGCACCAAGACAGCCCCCATGGGACAAATCAAGGCCCTGAACCTCAACAAGCCTGTTCCCTCGTTGCCCCCTGTCACCGCTCAGAGCAAGCCAGGGAGCAATGGCCCACTTCGGGAGCGCAATAATTCGCCTAACAGACGACTTAGCAAGATCCCTTCGGCGGCAAACCTGCTTGCCCAAGCCAATGGCGAGAACCCCAATGGCCTCACACGCAAGAACTCGCAAAAGGAGTCATCTGACAGCGAGACCAGCAAGATTGGCGTTAGCAAGGTTCCCGTCAAGAACAACATCCGTGGTCGCACCCTCATCGAGCTGCAACAGGCTCGCGCCGGTGGTCGTGTACCAGACGTCAGCCCCAAGCGCACCAATTCATTCAAGGAGCGAGCTGCCGCTGCAGACCGCTTTATGGAACCCGCAGCAGTCTGGGATCCTGAGACGGACGAAATGCCCAGCCCGTTCCTGGTACGTAAGAAGCCAATGGTGCGGGTTTGAACGCCTTCCGCTGCAAATCGAGCAGACCATTTCTGGCAACCAAGCCAAAGACGAAACATGGAATTGTATACATAGAACAAAGAACGAAACATACGAGATACCACTTGCCTACTCATAGGCCCGACGACGAGCACCGACACAACTGTCATATTTTCTTTACTGTCCACCCACCAACAAGCGACTGACCGACCAAACCTCTCATTATATCTGCCATATTTCCTTTGTCGGAGGTTGAGGAGAGAATAGGACGGCGAACACATTGGCGTGTTGGGCAACTCATAAAGCATGAACTCTGGTACATTACCAGGAAAGTGCAAAAGCATCGGATAGGCGTTTTTCGATATCTTGCAGAAAGGAAAGGCGTTTCAGTGTTGTTTTTGTAATGCCCAACGAATATCCGTTATTTTGGCTGCTTGAAGCGTCTGGATATGAATGACTGGGCCACGGAAGGAGTATACAGACGTAGAGATAGTGTACCTAGGTACCTCATTGCTTTTGCCTGAATTGATAACTGTTGATTAACAACTTCCTTTTGCGATGGGTTGTTTTATTTTAATGAAGCTGAAGAGCAAATCATGGCAACCATGTTCTAAAGCTGTCTATGCCCGAGGATCTTGACAAACTCTTTCTGATCCGATTCGCTTCTTCGACGATACGTAGTACGTCGCTTGCTTTCGAAGTCCTAACTGTGAGACTTGATTCATGATCGTTCAAGTAGGTACTTACTGCTTTGGAGTATGCGTTTTAAGATATTCGTCATATTGCGTAGCTTAATTGTTATCACGAATTCTTTGTAAGCCAATATAATGCACGCTATATACAGCCTTGTCAAACATATAACTAGACAACATTGCGGGGTATCCTCTAGCGCCATTTCCCAAACAGTATTCAACCTCGTTCTGGACCATCTCCTTTTCCAAATGATCAATGACTTGAAGTAGACCCAATATTCATGCGTACAGCCAAGGCAGTGCCCCAGGAAGGGAAAGTCCCCAATAGCCCAAAATTCAAAGGTTGGATGTAAGCTGCCGTCTTAGATTTCTTTGAAGCTTTGACTCTGCCCAGGTGTATGTGCTCACAACGTCCTGCACTGTTTTCGAAAAGTACGAGGCACTGGTGTTCCACAGGATTCATCATGGCTGATACCCGAGGCAGCACTGCATGTTGATGGCTGGCCTCCTGCACCGAAAGACGATGGCTATATATGCGTCCAGCTCCCGACGAGGAAGGCACATATCTTTCTGTGACCCCACGATTATCTGCCAGATGCTGGCAGCCGAAATCTAGATACCTTATTCCCTGAACTTAAACAGGGAACTTTTATTTTCTTTATTTGAAATAGCAAAGAAAAGCGGTACTCCCACCATTTCCACAAACTCGTCCTTTGGCTTGCCAGCACTGGCCCACCTGCCCAGCCTTACAGTTATCACTGTAATGCGTGTTTGCTCACAGCCTCATCAAGTCAGCCATCAAGATGGACGTATTCTTAAGGAATCTTCCCGCTGATATCAATAATGGCATGCTGAAGAAGACTCTCAGTCCCTTCGTCAGTGACCTTGGCATCGGAGACTGGGCCTGTAACAAGCAACGGAACAAGACATTCGGCACGGTCCAGTTTCTACACGTTTTGGATGGTGAGAAGTTTCTTCGACAGCATGGCGAAATACAGACAGGCCTTTTCAACCACAAAGGACTGCCGCGAACGCGCGCACGATTGACTGTTATGGGTCAGCTGGTCTACTGTCGAAAGTCAAATCAAGAAGCTGATCCATTCATGATCAAAACTCTCGAGAAGGATGTCCATGATCGCAAGCTGCACGAGACGTAGGTGGAACTGAAACCATGGCAATATATGTCCTCAAGCTAACGTGCTGTAGTTTGCCTGAAGCGGCGCAGCAACTTGACGTGGTCTTCGGCGCAGCCCAGCTGTCCTGTGGTTATTATGACTACAACCAAGTAGGCCAACTGACTTTCTCACCAGAGGTGCAATGGCCCCTTGAATTCGGTTTAGCCAAGTTTTCCAGAGACCGACTCATAGTCAGATTCCATTCGGATGACTTGCACAGCATCAGAGTTGAGATGCCTTACCGCGCCGTTGATGCCATATTGACATCGACTAATCCGACTTCCTTGACACTGACACTTTGGGAACCTCCTCGGATTTTTCAGGTTGAGAATTCCGACCTTTCCAGAGCTATGAGAGGCTTGCGGATCCACGGGCCTATTGCACCGTCTCGAAGTCGGCTCGTGGAGATCCCCCATGGCAATCGGAATCATGGAGACATCATCGGCCAATGCTTGGTATACCAAATCCAGGCTTATCCCGAAGAGTTTCTATCCAAGGTCAAGAAGTTGCGTGATAGCGATCTTTTGACGTTGTCCCCCTACAACTTTCCTTCAAGACCTTTGGCCAACCATACATTTGCCGTAGGGTTGAAGACCTTCCGCAATACCATTCAGCAGCTCGTCACTTTGGTAAAATTCGAAGTTCTGTTCCAGGTTCAGGCGCTTGTACAGAACGGTTACCTCCTGCCTTGGACAGCTCAGAAACTCCTCATACGACTGTACAAGGAGTCGGCAAAGAACAAACCTACGGAGCGCAACGGCAATGTCAGCGGCACAATGACAGTAAGTTAGAGAGCTACACTGTGCACAATCGAGACTGACTTATTTCGTCCGTAGCATCCATCCATTTCTGGACTGGCCATCAAGAAGCTATTCTCTACAATTCCCTTTCCGGCACCTGAGATCGAGTCTTCGACTTTCACGGTCGACGATATAATGCATTGCCTTGAAGAATACGAGTCTGAGATCCGCCTGGGACTCTCAGCTGAGTTGATTTCTGTAAGTACATGATCAACCTTGCGCTCCGTATTCTTCCATGACTCCACCATTTGATGTCTAGTTTGTCGAAATAGAAAGCAACATCATTTGAAAGAGATGTTGACCTTGAGTAGGAGAGAGCCAAGAATAACCTCACGATGATTTACAAGATTCAAGTTACACCAGCTTCTGTCAGTCTCCACGGCCCCGAACCGGACACGAAGAACCGTGTTTTGCGAAAGTTTGAGGATAACAGCGATTATTTTGTCCGTGTCCAGTTCTGTGACGAAGATGGTCAGGATATACAATTTAATGTGAAGGTCTCTAACGAGATCGTGTACAATCGCTTTCAGAGTCTGCTCGATAATGGCACCCAGGTTGGTGGTAGAAAGTACGATTTCCTCGGATTCTCCCATTCATCACTCCGGGCTCATTCGGCCTGGCTCATGGCACCATTCATACACAACCAGAGTATGCAAACGTATTTCAACGTCATCGATATGTTAGGAGATTTCAACAAAATACATTCTCCTGCTCGCTGTGCCGCCAGGATCGGACAGGCGTTCTCCGAGACCCCGTTTGCTATTTCATTAAAAGAGCATGGAATCGATAACCACGACACCACGGACATTTACTCCAAGGATGGTCGGCGCAACTTCACTGATGGAGTGGGTTGGGTCTCCCAGGAGGTTGTGGATGCCATTCAAGCCGCATTGCCACAAAAGAAAGAAGCAACCTGCTTCCAAATCCGTTGGGGTGGCGCGAAGGGCATGCTAGCCTTGGATGCTCGGAAGACTGGCAATGTCTTTGCTGTTCGTAAGTATTTCTTTCCGTACGTAATACTTGAGTTGGGGGCGATCGTGCTGAGTAAATATGATGCGCAGGTCCTTCCATGGTAAAGTTTAGTAGCGACGCCATTGATAACCTGGAGATCTGCGACTTGGCGAGCAAGCCTATTCCCCTAGTCTTAAACCGTCAAATGATCAAGATCCTAGAAGATATGGCTGTCCCGAATGATTGGTTTTTCCAGGAACAGGACAAGGAAGTGAACCGCTTGCGCCGGATTACAGCGACCACGTTCAACACTGTTGCCTTTCTCAAGCGACAGAAGATTGCAGATCAGCTTGGACTGCCGCGATTGATTCGTCGCCTGGATCAGCTTGAAATTGACTACAAGAACGATCGATTTCTACGCTCTGTGGTTGAGGCAGTCATTTTACGTGAGTTGCGTTTGCTCAAGCACAAAGCCAGGATTCCCATCGAGCAAGGGGTAACTCTGTTCGGCGTTGTCGACGAGACAGGGTTTCTCGAAGAAGGCGAGGTCTACATCACCTTCGACCTGACAGACCTCATTGATACGGACTTTCTCTCACTGGAAGAAAAGGAGTTGATTGTCACTAGGTATATGGTTCCCCAGCGTACATTTGAGCTTGGCTGACAATGACTAGATCTCCTGCTTTGCACCCTGGAGATATCCAATTAGCCACTAACAAGATACCTCCTGCCGGTCATTCGCTACGTATGCTGAAGAACTGTATCGTGTTCTCGCAGAAGGGCAGCAGAGACCTACCTTCACAGCTCAGTGGAGGCGACCTTGATGGCGATATATACCACGTGATCTGGGATGAATATGCCGTTTCCAAGTGCGGGCGAGTGTTTGCACCTGCAGATTATCCACGTGTCGAAGCCAGGGAGATCGATAGACAAGTAGAGAAGAAGGATATGACAGAGTTCTTTATCGAGTTCATGAAAAATGACAATCTTAGCTTGATTGCCACGAGACACATGATCTTGGCCGACCAACGGCCCGCAGGAACTTTCGACGAAGGTAAGGGAGTCGCTCACTCAGAACTTTTCTCGCTAACACCTGTAAAGATTGCAAAAAGCTTGCACAACTGCATTCGACAAGTGTTGATTACTCAAAATCAGGCGTTCCGGTTGATTCGGATACGCTCAGAGCCATTAAACCCCCTCGCTATCGACCCGACTTCCTCGCACCAGCCCCTCCTACTCACTTGAAGAAGGGAACCGATATCATATTTGATGCTCCCACAAGACCAGCCGCAGACAATGATGACGATGAAGAAGAAGATTCAGGTCCTAGACATCGCTACTACAAGTCAGAGAAAATTCTTGGACAGCTGTATCGTGCCATTGACGAGAGCAAGATCTGGAGTGACAACGTCCGTATCAGCCGTAAGAAGGTTGACGAGTCCAGAGTATGGGACTCATTAATGTCGCATGTGGCAGAGCAATGCGAACAGAAGCTTGGTGGTGTGGCCTGGACCGGTTGCCTCGATGAAGCCCGGGACATTCGTCGAACGTACGTAAATCTCTTCTAAATGCAAAAGCCACGCTAACAGACGCCCAGCTACGAAGATGCTATTTGTACAGCCTGTATTGATTACTCCGAAGATGCCCACCGCTGCATCACAGAGCTCGAAATCTTCACGGGCAACATCTTCAATAAGTCGGGTGTACAAACCCGAAGACAGCGGGATCGATCTCTTAAGCTGAAGGATCATTTTGATTGTATTGCTACCTGGATCGAAGGATTGATTCGAAAGCGTCCGATAGCCGGTATCTCTGATGAGCAGAACGGCAAGTATGGCAGTACCACTACTGATGGTTCGAAGTCGACTTCCCTTCAGCTCAGCATCGCGAGCCTTCATGTCGGCTGTATTCGAGAGCAAGGCCGCACAAACGGTGGATGGGGCAAAAAGTCCGGTGGTGAGGACAATCTTAGTTTCAAGATTGTCGCAGCGTGCTGCGTGGTGAAAGAGCTTGACATTGCAATCAAGCAGGCAGAGATCAAGGGTGGTGGTCATGTTGGCACCAGCGACGGTTTATGATGAGATGGCATGTTAGCCACCGGGTCATGGATCAGGGAGGCATTGTAATGACAGGAGTGAGTCGTGTTATTTTGTTCCAGCAAAGGGCGTCTCAAGGGGGGGATATAACTGTTTGCTTTTGCTTATCTTGCACGATATTGTACTTTCTTCAGGAGTCGGACTTTTGCTTGGGTTGTCCACGGAACTCATGTATATGTACCTGACCATGGAATGGTCGAACCAGGTTTATAGAACTGGTTTCAATGCCCGTACACACTCACGAACAGATGATTTATGGTATCCGTGGCAGGCTCCATTCGCTGAAAGTATCCCATGGCTTGTGCGGAATGTGTCAAGAATGCCTTGAAGGTTTCAAGCGAAAAGGGTTCAAGTTGGTCCTTGGTGGGGGAGAGAAAGAGGGGCTAGTCTGGTGCCTCACACCTCCCATCAGAATGACCCGGTGCTGATGGCTCTGCGAACTGTTGACGATACTTCCTGGGGCAGCATTATCATATTTGGGTTTGGGTCGTGGTTGCATTCTGATTTACACCAAAGGCTGCCACACGCCCTTGCCGCCTGGCCAATCTTTTGGCACGCTCAGTGCTGGGGGGGCCTGGGGGGCCGCTGGCAGCCTGCAGGCCAGGGGATCCGTACCCCAAGCATGTGCTTGCATGGGCATGTTACCCTGTGAGATGTCCCGGTTGACGCAGGGAAGAGGCAACCTTAAAGTGCCAAACTCTGGGTGACTGTGCCCAAGATTATCTGATATGGTACAAGCATCACTCCGTCACTGGTCCAATTTGGGTAATTTCGGGGCTGGCTCTAAGTTCTGCCAGCTAAGTTAGCGACCTAACGTCAGTACCAACTAACGCAACAAGTAAGTAACACTCAATCACAACCACTTTCGTCCTCGCTATCTTACACAATATTGGGCATCAGTTATTCTCCTCCTCCCAACGCGCCACCATTTCTTCCCCTTTCCACCTCTCTTCTCGCCTGTTGACCAAACCGTACTTTGATTGGGGTTTCAATAATTCCCCCGCCAGATTTCCTGCCTCATTTCTGGCTTACTGCATCTTCGTCGCCCGCGGCCAGGCTGGACATTCCCCAGACATGAGTTCCAGCTCCGCGACAGTGGGCTCGTGTTAGGTTAGTGTCGCGTGTTTGGCCTCCGGGGACCTACATACTCCCAAACCTCTAGAAACTCATGTTATTGCAATGACGAACGGTGCAGGAGGACAACACCTTCATTTCACCATGCCACCGGGCCTTGAGAGATTCTCCCGCTTCAAGGATCTGCCCTATGACGTCCGGCATAAGATTTGGCAGGAGATCATCTACACTCCTGGCATTCATTTCCTGAAATTCGAACGGAATCATGTTCCAAGAGTTTCCGTCCACGAGGAGTTTTCCGATGATGAATTTGAGCTTTCTGAAGCTCACAGCCCAAGGAGACCCGAGCCCGGAAAAGCCCAGTCCAGGACGAGCAAAAAGAAGTATACGGCGACGCTCAAACCCATTTTCCCACTTCCGGCCGCGGACTTGTCGTATTATACGAGCAAGACGAAGACTCTCGCCCAGCTCTCATTTTCCTGCAACGAAGCATCAAATGAAGTATATCGGGTCGTGACAAAACCCGACAACTTGACGCTCGATAATGGCCGTCTGATCGCTTTTGCCAAGTCTTCAGACATCATATGCATAGATTATCCGGATCTCTTGTCTACTCGCCGACTCTCGTCGTGGGCTGAATGCCTCAACACCTCACAGCTACGCAAGATCCGGCGCTTGGCTGTACGTTACCAGCCAGAGTGGGACGAGGAGCGTCGGTTTTGTCGTGTCTGCGGACAATATCATGAAATATACCCGGGATCACGTAAAGAGCAGGCCCCGCGACGACATCTCTATGAGTTCGCAGCTCTTTTCCCCAACTTGGAATCATTCTACTTCATTGACCATCTTATCGTACGACAGTCATCCGAGCTGACGGATGATGAACAGGCCGATCCACGCTGGTTAGGACCTAGCGACAGGGCTAGGGTCATGGAGGAGCTCTCTGCCCGTGGCAGCGGACGGGGAAAACCACAGCAAAGCGAAAAGTTCGAAAGCGGCGGCATTGGCGGGCGTACATACTTTGAGATCGATCGAAACCTGTGCAAAGTCTGCAAAGTGCACAGCCACGTATTCAACATGCTTGAGTGGGTGCAGGCCAATTACATAGCTTATTGCGAAAAGAGAGGCCCGAAAAAGCACAAACACCCACAGGTCGTGCGCTTCGCCGTTTTGGCTTGTGAGTGGAAACATGAAAGGTTGGTGGCCGACAAGATACCCCAGAAGAGCTCAATGATACCAAGGAAAGTTTGGAAGATGAAGAACAGGAAGCATTCAAGGCAGAGAGTCCAAAATGATCTCGAGCTGATTGATGCTATGAACGCATTGAAACTGGAGTCGGTGTGTCGAAATTTCGACGCACCCTCCTCGCTTCCTGTTATCTTCGGAGACGAAGGAGTGTCTGCTTACGAGTTTACCTTCACAAAGACGGCATGACACACGAATACGCACAAAGGTTATGGAATTCAAGGGATCACAAATCATGAATGGGACGATGGAGTTGGGGCAGGGTTGTGGCTTTTGCCGATGCATAGGCGTTCAGGAACGAACTAACATGACAATGCTTTACTAAGATTACGAGACAGTCCAGGTAGACATCATTTCAAACGACTAGTACTTCATAGTACAACGACTGGAAGCCAAATATTAATATCAACGGGGGGTGTTTTAACCCTCGGTATGCTGTTTTACTTTTGTTGAAATCCCACCTTTTATTTGGCCTCCGGGTCTATGTAATTCATCAGCGAAATTCGAATGGTACTATGCATGTCCAAGACATGCCCTAGATGTTACGAGACTCGAAAGTCGGCCTCGGAGTTTGTATATCAAGAATTTGCCTATCTAGGTGACTAATGCCAAGAACTCTGCCTGGTGTATGCAAAGTAAGCCTTGCGAAACTGTAGGTGGAGCTAATATTATTCGCTGATTAGAGCATGCTTAAAGTGGCTCCTGGAATCGTGACTTTAGAAGATTTGGAACATGCCATATTACCAATTCTTCAATATACTGATCATGGTTCCTCATGTCTTTTTCAGAAAAGTCAAAGCAGCGACAGCATATCCATCCAAGCCAACCTGTAATGTAGGCATGATGACGGGGGCAAATAAACCCGAATGATTACTTGGAATATCTTGCTCTAGCACACCCTCTGCATTCGCTTTATCCCACTTCTCCTGGTCAGTTCCGCCGTACATGAAAAAGCAGTATGGCTTTCCAACGGCGGACGCCAAAATGCTAAAATCTTCGCTTGCAGCAAATTTCGGTATATCGCGGTCATAGCGCTGCTTGTCTTCGCCAAAGTGTTCCGTAAATGTTTCCTCTAATTTGGCCGTCGTGTTTACATCGTTGATCGTTAATGGGAACGACCTCGTCATCTCGATCGTCGGCTCCTTGACCGCCATCGCGACGGCGCTCTCCGCATGCACAATAGTCTTGATCCTAGAGAGCACTCGATCCCGCGTCTTCTGGGTGACGGACCGCGTGTCGATGGAAAGCTTCGCATCGTCCGGGATGACGTTCTCTGCGTCGCCCGCGTGGATACTGGCCACTGTCACCACAGCGCTATCGGCCGGGTCCACCTCGCGCGACACGATGGTCTGCAGCCTCATGACCGTGCTGGCGGCCATGACGATGGGATCGATGGCGCGGCCGGGCATCGAGGCGTGCGCCCCACGCCCGTGCAGCGTCACCCGCATGCTGTCGGCCGATGTGGCGATCAGGCCCCGGCGCGTCCCGATCACGCCCGCGCGAAACGGCGACACGTGCGCCCCCAGCGCGACGTCGGGCACCGGCACCCCGTGACGCCCCGCGTCGTACATCCCGTCGTCTACCATGGCCTGGGCCCCCGTCCCGCGCTCCTCGGCCGGCTGGAACGCGAACACAACCGTCCCGGACCAGGAGCCGCGCGCGCTCGCGAGCAGCTGCGCCGCCCCCAGCAGGCACGTGATATGCATGTCGTGCCCGCAGGCGTGCATAACAGGCTTTTCGACCCCGTCCGCGTCCCGCATGCGCTTGGTGCTGGCGTAGGGCAGCCCGGTGCGCTCGAGGACCGGCAGCGCGTCGAAGTCGGCCCGCAACAGCACCGTGGGGCCCCCGTGGCCGCCGTCGTTGCGCAGGATCCCCGCGAGCCCGTGGCCGCCGATCTGCGTCTTCACCTCCATGTCCGGGGATATATCCCGCAGCCGCGAGGCGATCGACGCCGCCGTCTCGGCCTCCTGGTTCGAGAGCTCTGGGTTGGCATGGTAGTGCTTGTATAGCTCCTGGAGTGGCGCTAGGTCGGGCCGGTGCTCGGAGACGATGGCTGATATGGACGCCATCACAGTGCTTATTTCTCTTCTTCTTCTTTTCCTTTTGAAGAATTCGAATTCAATGGAGAATCATCCAAATTTTCGGTATGCAACAGGTGTTTCGCTGAATTAGAGATTCGGTTAACGGTGCGGCTAGGTATCATAATAGAGTTGGCCGGCGTTCTCCGATATAGGCTCTGACGTCGACTATGCCCCTCATATCGTCGGAGTCACAGGTCGGGACTCGGTTGTGGCCGTGTGCTGAGCCGCAGGATTATGCAGCTTCTCTGTTCGGTATATTGCACCATGCACCAAAGCTCGAGTTACGTTATCGCTAGTAGCAAGTCCCCTTGTATCGTCCTAGCCATTTTGAGTAGGTATTGTCTACTTGACAATCTGGGATTCACTTACCATGTTGCCCCGACTATAACTTGTTCATAAATGCCAGCAGATTGAATGACCATAGAACTGCCTTTTACAACGAGACCAAGCTTTGTTCGTAGTATCAGCTGCCCTTGGTCTTCTCGTCTATCAGCAGGCTCTAATTCTACTAGATATTGGTATTTCCATGCCGTGACCTCGCGCGTTTATTAGGCATCCGTGTTGCTCAGATTCTCCAGCCGCTGTGCCAACTCGACATCGGTCTTGGTGTCCTCACGCCGCTTGTGAATCTTGGTGATCATTTGAAAAGCATCCTTATCATCACCCGACTTGGTCGGTCCGGCCAGGCTCGAGAACAGATCGCCAGGCATCGTGCCTCTCTCCTGGCCCCATGAGCGTCCGCTTGACACTGCTCCCATCGTGTGCAGAAAGCTGTTCAGGTCCTATACCATTTAGTCTTGACCGTGGAGCCCAATACGAGGCGACCGGGGGCGCAGGAGGTGTAAGGCCTGCTTCATGGACCGGCTGACAGGTGCCAGACGAGGCCGGTGTCTATCTCGACCACGGCTGCACGATGACCTCTTTCGTGTTGTACGTCGTGTCGCGGGAGCTGAAAGGGATGTTGGTCAGGATCATCATGCGGATGATAGAAACGATCAAGACGCAGCAGCCGGGCATGAGAACGCCGGCCAGGATGAGTCATGGGGGCCCGTGGGGCGTGACGACCCAGATCGTACTTGATCATAGCGAGAGTGGTCACGTAAAATGGCTGACCTGGTCTATGACAACCCTGGTTACCATCATCGGAGGCTATATCTTGGTATTCCTCAAAGCAGGGCTTCTCGAAAAGTTAGGTGGACTCGTTCCTGGGCATGATCTAAATCTTGCTCGATACCTTCTCCTTTTTCTTTTTCTTTTTTCCTTCCTCTTCATTTCTCTTTGACATAAAGATAAATTCTTGAGATGTTTGGTAATATCCTTTTCGCCCTTTGGTTTGCTTCATTTAAAGCCTTTAGTTACTCTCAGGAGAGAAAAGCATTTTGTCGAAAGTTAATTTTTACATAAAGTCCTCGTGTTACGTTCCACTTGATACTTCGCAAAGTGCATCGCTCAAAGGTATATCACCATCCTTTCCAGTCCAGGACGAGTATTTCAAGACCTTCAGTCTCATTGGTCAAGGATAGACTTCCTAATGTGAATGGGGCATGTTGATTTGCTTTTTGGCTGGTGCGCGGTTCGCAGAGGTGACTTGCAACTGGGTTTACCTTATGGAGAGATCACCCGTAATGGATCCATCTGGCGCAAGCTCATCGGACCAATGACAAGCAACTTGTTGAAAGAACAGCTGTGTTGCTGGGGTCGAACTCCGCAGCTCATGCATAGCAGTTGCGCCAAGACGAGCAATCCTTGTTAAGTCTACCATCCATCTATCCACTTTAACAACGGCTTGTATCCCCAAAGGCAGTACCGTCTGAGTAAAGGTATATGCAGCACAAGTCTACGGAGAAGATTAGGCCCTACATTCCTATATTTCCCGGTCAGGGTGTTGTTTTGAGACGCCCACCGCGTGTCGTCACCGTTTCGGTCCCAAAGGCGATATGAAGAAGAGCCTCTACTACGATATCTGGCCGCGCAATGTGTAAGGTCTAAATCACTGAATATGGCGGACTGGGGGTCAGTTGGCTTGTGTTCGAATTCTCGGCGATCTGTATTTCAGCAAATTATTTGCTATGAAGCAGCCAAAAAGCTACCTGCGCTAGTTCCCTTGTCCCCATGCATCCGACCACATGCTCGCCATTTGCTGCGTTCTGCATCTGAGCTAAGGCGAGAAGATTATATTACCTACTCTCGTTCCCCTCGCCATTCGCGGTCAAGAAATGGGAGGGCTGTGTTGAGAAGTGTCTAGCATACTGCACGAAGATTGAATCTGGCTTGGATGAATATAGTAATGCCGACGACGACCGATAGGACTTCTTCTCCTACATTTTCCATGGTGCTGATCTTGAGGCCGGCAATCACGGATTGCGTCTTGATGGAGCTCAATGGAGAGGCGTAGTTGTTGATTATCGCTGGCTCGGAAACTATTTCTACCATTATGAGCGCCGTGTGTTTCTACCTGGCGCGCAATCCTGCGATGCAACAGAAATTGACCCAGGAGATTATATATATGCTCTCCAGCTCAAATTAAATCAAGACTGGTTCCATGCTCGGTTCATGCAAGTATCTTCGCGCATTACTTAGGCGCCTCGAATGACGCTACTAGTGAAGGCTGAGCCGTCTCGTGCTGTCATCTAAGGCGGCGTTAAGGCCGATGACTAACACTTTCCCGAAGGTATAGATAGTGTAGGGTTGTGTCGCCTCAGCTATAATGACAACATATTTCCCGACTTTTCCGTTTCAAGCCGGTGCAACGGATTGTCAATGAGGGTGAAGAAGCTGGGGGAAGAGTCGAGTTGGCTGAGTCGGGTTTTGCGCAATTCCATATGGATCGCGCGGATGCCCCGGTAAGCAAGTCGTGTCGATGAATACGACCAATGTTATGGCCAAAATGATTTTCAATTTTTACGTGAGACCAGAAACCAACAACGCCCTTGGAGGAGGTGATCCCAGATAGTAAAATTGGCCGGAAAGGTTGCGAATCAGCAGCAGACGTACGATTGTCGATGGGAGATGGCGTTAATGGTGCAGTTCAAAAGGCGAGTCCATGCTTCACAATCCATGTTGGAACTTACTTTCATTTTGCATACCTGTAAATGTGCTTGACTTGTCAAAGTATCTTGGCGAATTGTACATATACTGCTTGCTTATATTCCCTATGTTACAATGGACAGACTGCGTTTGCATTCGCTTTTGCTACGTGGCTCATCTTTCGGCCGAAACGAAAAGTCGAGTTTATCGCTTCCCGCGTCGGGATCCTCACGAACTTCCGCAATCTCTTAACTGCGGGGCTTGGAGGATCGCCCCTTACCCAGCCCCTCGCTATGCTGTCAGCTTCAAAACTTGAATGCATCGTCAGCGTAATGCATCCTGCTTAAGAGCCTCATCGTTTTCTTTCCTGTATCTTCGTAAGATTTCATATTCTCATCTGAGCTCTAGGCCTTGGGGTTAAAACGTTGCTTTTGTTGTTTGGCCAGCAGCTTGTTTCTAGTTGTTTGGACGACTATTCTTCTATCATGGCGACTGCGGGAACTATCAGGTTTGGTGTGGTGAGTCTGAATATCGCCTCAATATGAGCAACGAGCTTATCTGACCCGAACTCAGATAGCCGTAATCATAGGGTTGCTAGGCCCGTATCTATACGAACGCTACCAAATTTTGGCGCGCTTCTATAGCAATGCGCCTGAGCGGCTACCAAGAATCAATGCACTGCAATCTTATGAAGTGAAGTTTGCCGATAGAGTTCGGAGCTGTGAAGAGGCGCTTTTGATTCAGTCTGCAGGATTGGCCATTCTGGCATGTGATCGGGGCCGAGAGAGATGGAACAATGTCATGGTGAGTGGCTTTTTATAACCCGTTCATGCTACACAGCCTGTCCAGGAATCCAACATGTATGCATCGAAAGCGAGCTGATTGAACCCAGGGATTTTCCGTTCCAGGCCCGGTTCCAAGTGGCGAGTTGTACTTGTACGACTACAAAAACCGCAACACTGCCGACAATGAATCACTGAAGCGCTTTGAAATTCAGGATTATGAGCCCGGTGAGGATTTTCATTCCCTGGGCTTGGCATATGACGAGTCATCTTCCACATTATTCGTCGCGAATCATAGGCATGATGGTCCAAGAGTTGAGCTGTTCAGATTGGATATCGATGGACTCAACGCGAAGCACCTACGGTCGATTGAGCATGATCTGATCCACGGACCAAACGCAATCGTGTTGAGGAACAGCCATGAATTTTTCGTAACGAATGACCATCATTTCCTTCAAAAGGACAGTCGTCTGCTATCGCATGCAGAAACGTACCTCGCTCTACCTCTCGGTACCGTGGTACATGTGGACATCTCAGATACCGATAGTGTCAAAGCAAACATTGTGGCCCGTCTACCGTTCGCCAACGGTATAGAATTGCTTAACAAGACGACTCTAGCAGTCGCTTCTACGAGTCAAGCGGAGGTCCGACTATACAACATCAATGACAAAGAAAAGCCGGGTTCTGTGCCAACTCTCAGCTACCAGACAGCGATAAAAGTGCCCTTCAATGTTGATAATCTGGCTGTTTCATCAGATGGCCGGCTTCTTATGGCTGGTCACCCACACCCACCCAGTCTCACGAAATTTGCCAGTACTCGGTATATTTGCAATGACGTGTCTGAGCTAGCAAAGGCCGATATTGTAATACAAGAGTATTGCAAAACTGGCCAGTCCTGCTCTTGGGCCTCCGAATGGACCGAGGAAGGTGGAGTTGAGCATCTATACGCTGACACAGAATACCCGACAAGTGCAACAGCAGCGTACGATGCGGAGCGTAAGGTTGGAATCATCGCGGGTCTTTACGCGAAAGGCATATTGGTATGGCGGAATTGATTACGGAATCAGAGATTCGTGACAGTAAGTGGGCCAGTACGATATGTATTGCGTTTTATCTGCGATGTTATAAAAGTCCATTCCCTCCAACAGTGGGCCCGGTAGCTAGTCTAGGCATGAAGCCGACTAGGAGACGAACCTTGACAGAAAAGACCGTGAACAGTGATTCTCGGAAGAGTGTCAAGGGCCGTTGATCAGATGTTTCTGAATGCAATCTATGGTTTGACTGAAGTTATAGCTAATGGGGCACTGTTTAATGACAACATCGGCTTCATTGATGTTCCACATGAGGCCGCTGACAGAAAGTGAAGGGTCAGGCGATATGGCCAGATAATCCATATTGGTTTCGGTAGCGAGCTTTTTGACGACAACCTGTATGTTTGTTAAAATGAGCACAATGCTGAAATGAGAGTTATGGGCAGCAAGAACTTACCATGCCGTGTGTAGTCAGGATGTAGTGAACATCGATTTCGGACCAGACTTTAGGGTCCAACATAGAATCAGCAAGTCCTGGCCCAGCTAGGAGCATAATCTTCATGGTTAGGGGGTTAAACGTATTCTTGCGGAGCCTTGGTTCATTCATGTAGGCTGTCATGATCTCGCTTCGGAAATGGTGTAGTGCCAAGGCAGTTTTTGCGGGTAGAATTTGTCTGGTCTCCCAATCATCGACCATGAGCATTTGATCAGCATCGGCGGCCATACGGCATATCTCCAATCTTTGACTGGTGGGAATAGGTTCTCGATTAGCACTAACATCGAGTGCTGGAGATACATATTTACCACATATTCGGTAGTGGGTATTCTGGTGTACCCATTCGGTTGCTTGCTTGAACATGCTCATATGAATCATAGTCATGGGTGAGAAGCTGCCGCACATAACGAGAATCATAGGCCGTAGCGCATGTTCGGTGGGGGGTTTCAGGAGTTTTCCGGTAGGAAACCTATAGGGAGTGATGAAAGGGATAGGATTGCCGGAAGCGATAATGGTGACAGGAGCAGGCCCGCTGAACGGATTGGGCATCTTGTAGAGAGGTCAGCAACGCATTTGACAATGGTTACCAAAAGCTTATAAAGTCTGATGAGAGTATATAGTGTAGAGGTTTTGGCGATGTATTCGTTGTGTGTAAGGAGGTCGGCTCGGGTAGTTGCCCAAAGCCTACAAAAGCTTGTATTTATGTATAGATCAGTTTGTGATGCAGTGCCAAACTATAAAACCCCAGCTGTTTCAATGGAGACCACGTCGACAATGTAGGTGCCGATATTATCTCGGTGAATTTCAGTCACCTTATATGTTGCCTTTCCAACTATTACTCTATAACTTTGCCCCGCTCAACGACAGTAACACCCAATGAGCTGTTCCAATATCTCTGAAGCTCTAAACAAAGCTGAACTATTCACTTTCACCAAAGACAAAAGTTTCCATTGCAACTCAGAGACACTTGATTCAAGTGAACCGTTGTTAATCATACAGTGGAATTTGCACAATCACAATCCCCGGCTTTGGGCCCAGCACCTCATCTATCGAAATGGCATCCAGAAATAAGAAGGGCGCCAAAAGTCCTCGGCCTTTGGTGCACTCTGTTTCTGCTATGTTGCTAGGGAGCAAGACAAACAAAAACCTTCACATTAACGTTAAGTACCAGGGGTTTTTCCCTTTTTTTCTTTTCTTTTTTTCCCCTTAGATGTGAACTAGGCTTTGTGGCAATAGCTGACATTTTCCTGGACAGAGTCCAATGCTGGGGGGTTGAAATCCTCAAATGATAAATTCTCTGACCCTGTTGGTAAAGAGATCGGCGCCATCAGAACGTTACAAACCATCATTGAGCCACAACAAGATGAAATCAACACTCAACCCAAGCTAAACTCCGACTCCCAGAAACACTTGGAGGTGAAGAAGAGGCGCGTCATTATGTTCCATGAAACAGTCGAAGAATTCTTAGGTGCTTTTACAGAAAGTCATGAGGAGACAAAGGAAACAGAAAGCCAGTCTGCCGATATCCAACATAGAAATCAACCAGTCAAGAAACAGCATCACCCAGCCTCCTTAGAGAATGAGATGGATATCCAAGCCGCTGTCTATGAGCAGGAGATGCGAGCCCTGGCTTCCAAACTCGAAATAGCAAGGAACGAGATAGCTCAGCACCACTCTGATATCTCAACACTCCATGAGGACATTGCTGCAATTTCGTTGCATTCCCAACACTTAGCCGCGAATAACAAGGCCTTGGTCCAAGACAACTCGGACCTACGCCGCCACATCGCAGGACGGGCTGTCAGCAATGAGGCACCATCCAGTACGACTTCATTCACAAGAAACGGCACTAACTCCGCATCGGATGGCAGTACTAGGTTAAAAGGCAAGAAACGTGATCACGGTTCAGTGAAAGCCCCGAATCAGCGGCTTGTTACTGGTAATTGCGATTCATACACCCAGGACCCTCTTGGCCGTACATAAGACAGTTCTCGTTAATTAGTATAGGCTTGAGGAGCAGTGTTCAGCACTTACGGTCGTTTCTCTGTCGTATGTATGCTTGAATGAGACACAGATGAATGGGTTTCATACAAATGACTACAGCGTGACCATGAGGCATAGTTTCCATATAAATTCATATCGCAACTCTCCATAGACTTGAACTTATGTTGGTGAACCTTGTTTCAGATAACTGACTATAAGTAAGAATTTATTGAAATGGCGAAATTTTCCCATGTCAAGCAATAAATCTAGTCAATAGTAAGTTTGGAGAAATGGCTAGGCAGCCAGTGCGCCTCAATAATATGCAAGTAAACCAGCTTGGTCGGAGGCACTGAATAGCAGATGGAAAGAAGTACAGACGTAAGCCATTATTAACCTATGACCCTAAAGCATCAGTGTCAGTCCGACGTCAGTGATTGTACAAACGGCAAGTCTCGCTTTGCGCTTGTTGAATGACAAACACCGGCGATTGCGATTCCTTTGCAGCACATGATATTGATTTGCGGTCAAAAATGAGCCTCACCAGTGCGACTTATGACAATAAGCTGCTGCTTCGGACGATCGAGCACAAACTTGATGATGCAGATGAACAAATTTAGCGGAAGCTATCGAAATTAAACCCAGGAATTCGCACAGAGGTGTGGTGGACAGTTCATCATTTTTTGACCTTTGTCGGGATAGATACATCTAGTCTTAGTTAAACAAATAAACACATGTCAATATTCGCCTAATTCAAACCAAAAATAGCAAGAAGAAGATGCGACTGCGACTGAATATGCTAAGGTGTGTCTGGACGACGGTTTGTTAAAATTTGTGTGTGCTAACTAAATTTGTATCAACTTTTACTGAGGAGTGTTTGCTGGTAAGCGTTATAAGCGATGGATTGGTGCCTCTGCGGTGGATAATTGGCGGTTATATTCCGGTGAAATCATGGAAAAACCTTCTATTTAAAGTTCATAATGTTGAATAGTGGCCGAAACTGTGGCTGGATAGCGTTGCGTACAATACTGCATCTGAAGTTTCGCATATTCTGACATAATATAATATGATGACTTGCCCAAGCAGTGGAGATGGTTTTCAAGATGCGCTTGATCGCTTGATCGAGAAGATCATGTTCATCGTCGACATACTTGCCCCTGAGAAGATTCGAACCCCTATAATAAAAATGCAACCAAAAGAGCACGACTTGAGCATAAACATGCCCGTGAGCCGCACTTTTTACATAAATTAGAAGCACTATTTGAGGAGACAGATGGGTACAGGCAGTCAACACAGCTTTGCTTTTTATTAAGATCTCAATAAGGGTTCTCCATATGTTTCAGGCAGACTCTATCTATTCTCATCAGGGTCTAAACTTGACTGCCACTTATATAGTCTTTGTTTGATAGAGCATTCACATGTCTTATGAATCCTTGCTTGCACACTGGTGCACACCAATTACTGTAGTACCGTTACCATTTTACAAATTCTTATAGCCATACCAGACTAGACAAAAAGCACGAGCTGTACAGTTATATTGCACTTGCCCAATACTATCACACCGCTTTTTTTATTAAGTTGTAGTTATTTCCTACTTTCTGCCTTGCTCTATCTTCCCGTATAACCATAACCGTGGCCGAATCACCATAACCGTAGCCGAATAACCGCTGATTCACAGCTTGTCACCAGCCCCCGCACTCTTGTACTCAGCTGCACCAAGCTCTCGACTCGAACAACAATACCACACCTTCTCTTTTTCGTCAGAACAAACTCTTGTTTTAATTCTGACCAGATCCATCTAGCAACCCTGTATTCGCGGTGGTCATTCCTTCCGGTTTGCCGGTCAAGTAAGTATCATAAGGCTATTCCCAGATGGAAGACCTTCCACGGGTATTTTCTTGAAAAGCAAATACTGTGTTCTCACTCTTCCTCATATCACCAACATCACGAAGCTCACTATACGAGTTGGCCCTTTCTACCCTGTCATCTTACGTACACTAGTTAGTGTCCGCTCCATCACATCGCTGCTTGAAGCAAGTACCTCTACCGTGGACAGCATTCCCATCGTTTTCTGCTTTCTTGCTGTCTTACTAACCTCACCGTCCAGTTATTACCATACCAAAGCATCAGGTCCTCAAGCACTACATCCCCCGTCACTGAACCAAGTTATCACATCCTCAATCACACTCACACTCACACCACCGCCGCCGCCATGAACTCACTAGGCAAGCGCAAAAACAGCGAGGCCAGCGATGAAGACCGCGTCTTGGGAGATGAGGCCAAGCGCTTGCGTGAGCTTAGTCAACCTGCTCAACACACTACTCGTCTCACTACCATGAAACAGAGCGAGCAGGACGGAGTTGATATTGTCACTCAATCTTCTGATACTTCCGAGTTTGCTGACACTCCCATGAGCGACTTCACCCCCCTCAAGTACGACATCATGTCTGCTGACAGTCCCATGAGCGACTTCAACCCCCTCAAGTACGACATCATGAAAGATTTTGTTCGTGGTACCACTAAACTCAATGATCCTTCCGCGGCTTCATCTTCCATTGGAGAGGATGTTACGAGATTGAATACCCTAAAGTTGCTTCGCCTCATACAAGCATCCCCCATCTGGGCTCACACCCGTAGTGCACTATGCGATTCATTGCCATATTTCAGATCCCACCAGGGAGGAAACTATCACATAGACAACGTCACACATGGAATCTTGGTTGACGGATGCGGATCCGACAGAGACCATAATGATGGCACAGTGATCATCACCACCGTGTAAGCTACCCCGATCCTGTTCTATCAACCTTCCCGCAGAAATATAAATCTCTAACAAATTACTCTGAAGTGGTGGTGAAAAGACTGGGATCTCTTCATCCGGTCAGAGACTTCTCCAGGCGGACCAGTCTGAGAGAACAGCCAATTACAAAGGCTTGAAAAAAAGCAAAGAGCAGTGTGTCTCTGTCGTAGTGGTTAGCGGTAAGTCAAGCTAACTAGAAGAAGTTGAAAATAGAGACCTGTACACTAACGTTATGTAGGCAATCAGAACAAGTTCTTCCAACTTCCTTTCCCGTACTGCGTCCTTGATGAATACCAGATTACAGATATCTGGATGGAGAAATTTCCTGAAGCAAACGATGGCTTTGCTGGCTGGATGGTCCGTTTCGAAAGACTCGACTTTGATAAGCCTGCTTGGTTCCTGGAAGATAAGAGTCACAGTTATGTGGCAGACCAATACCACTGCCCAGAAGAAGAATGCCAGGGCTGCTGCCAATCCAGCAAGCGCATTTACACTATCGGGTGGACTTGCTTGAATGCCCAATGCCCGATTTTTTTTCTATTTCCAGTTGACATTGATGGCGAGACCCATTGGCAACAAAAGAGTTCGAGCAGCCTTGTTTACAGCGACGCCTTCCTGAAAGAAAGGACAGATTACCGCAAGAAAGGAACCGTCCACCAACGCCGCACACTGATGCCAGACTTACCAACCGCCGGTGATAATGTAGGAACCGAGCTGCCATATGGCCGAGGCATTGTGTGCCCTAAATGCCATTGCTGCAGCCGCCGAATTTACTGGGGTGACTGGCGATGTGAGAACGAGTCATGCGACTTCACATACAAGCTCGACTTCCCGACTTATCCACTCACAGAGATCCAAAGAGAAACAGAGGCTGCTATGAAGAAATTCAACACTAACGATCAATTTTTGGTAAGTAATTGGAACACTGTCCTCGCCGGCCATGAGGCAAACTTCTACGCTCTGCCAAACGAGGATGGAAAGGTTTGCGGGATTGTTGTCGTCCTTCGTGCCACCAAGGAAATTTGCGACTTGCCGAATGGTCCTAATGAACTGTTCATTGGAATGCAAACTCAAGATCTCGAACTCATGAGACGTGGGAGTTATCAGACAGGTAAGTTTCGTCCCACTATGTGTGTTACACCTGATTGACATAGGGATTCAGGTAGAAAGAGAGAGCAACTGACCAATCACTTTGCCTCCAACTGGGTAAGTCATTGAATGCTCATTGCTGGATCTCTTCGATAACTAATGCAACTGTAGGGCGCTGAGTACGAGTTCGGTGTCCATGTCGACACAAAAGGCTTCAGTGATGCGCCCAAAGAAATTCTCACTGTAGCTTCTCAATTGTCATGGGCCCAGGCTCAAGTCATGAAGCTCGTCAAGAAGAAGTTTCTGGAGAGCAAAATCGACTACTTGAAACAATCTATGTCACTTGAGTCCGAGGACTTCAATGAAGTACTCTCTCTGGCTTATTTTGCTAACTCCGCAATCGGCGTAAGTTCATTGGGGTCATGTCTGGCTTTGCTTTCCCAAACAAGAGCTAACTCTCCATAGTATCACGATGATGGCGAGAAGCAACTTGGTCCCACGGTTGCATCAATTTCTCTTGGTTCACCCTCTATGATGAGATTCAAGCCCAAGCTGAAGAACAGCAGCATTGGCATCAAAGGAACTGAAAAATCGACAAACAAAAAAGCCGTCGTCAGTTTTCGTCTCTTTCATGGTGATATATGTATTATGCATGGCGTGGATATTCACAAGTACTATTTGGTATGTCGGCATTTCCTGACATTCGGGACACCAAAGACCTGTGCTAATAATTAACATAGCATCAAGTCACACCTGAAGGCAAGCTCCGCTTCGCTCTTACAAGCCGTTACATTCGACCGGATATGATGCGCGACGACATCGCTCGACACAATCTCACTACCATGAGCAAACATCCGTACGACATCAAACCCCTAGCCTACAAAGGCATTGGCGCCGAGCCCATGGACGACAATGAAACTACTATTCAAGAAGGCTCTGCCAGTATCACACAGCCAGGTGCCGTCGAGGATCTTGATACAAACGACAAGTTGATTGTCCGTCTTCGACAACCCTACCCCGAATTGTATATCCTCATGCAATCTTTGAGCATTTCCGGTGGAACGATTCCAAGCGATGATTATTTGCGATGTCGCGCACGTCTCATGCCTGAACTTAGAGATATGATTAAGGTGCGCAGGGACAAGTGTTGAATTTGAACACGCCTTCGAAGCCTGGCATGTTGTCTTCGCACAAGTAACAGATCTGCGGCTATAATATTGATGCTTCGTTACTTTCATCAAGCTCAGAGTCTGGTCCCTCATGCTTGGCTACCGCTCGGCTATTTCATGAATCACTTGTGTCATTCGTTGTTTTTGCTGTTTGTTGAATTCCTTTTATTCCGCACCTGGCGGATACTTTCGATTAGTAGGCTTGGGTCAGCTGCGTCGGAAGGCTTCAAGGGACCACTAGCTATCAACAAGGTCACAGTGATAATCCATACATGGATGAGTTGAATCAGGGAGTTCAACTTGTGTCAGGGTAGGGAACTTGAACTTGGCGGTCGAATGGGAGAAGTTTTCGCATCTTCGGATGTGGAACTTGACGAACTGGTTGGAGCTGATGTGTTTAATTACTTTGCATGTGCGCAATGTAGCTCTTGTACTTGCTATATAGGCAGACAATCCCACTCAATGATCATATGGGCCTAAATCTTCCCCTGAGGCAGTGGCGTGATATACCTAAAACAGCAGAGTGATAGAACAAGTCCAAGTCTGGTGCAACTCCATGACTACGCTGTTCTTTGGTCATATAGGTGCGTAAATGCCATAATATATATAGCCAATTCACCGGCCATGGAATAGTGGTATACAGAATTTGGCAATGGTATCTATAGTAGCAGTCAAGAGAGTTGACTGGTACAGTCAACCGAACGGCCTTATCGATGTTTTTTTTTGGTTCCGTGAACCCGGCTACTGTACTGAATGAAAATATGGGCACTATTGAACCAGCGATTCCATCTACTTCACTGAAATTGGCCATGCTCGTCCTCCAGGATGCGCGCTTCTAAGTACCACAGATCTTTTTCTTTACGTCTTCCAACCACGATGAAGGGGATGCGGTGCTACATCCAAATATCACGGGAGTAGGTGCTGAAGTGTCGTGATCTCAATCGGAGCCAGAATAGCATTATCATGAATATAGTCAATAGAAACTACCACGCTGCAAATCCTCAGTCATACAACGGCATGAAGTTCAGTATTGGTTCTCATGTGAGGCCGTTCTTGTTATGGAAAACCCGTGAGAAATATTATCATATGCTTGGCGTATGTTGCAATAGATACTGATTGATTGGGTGTTTCAGTTTGGCCCCACTACGGTTAGTTCCAGCCAGCCAGACTATTGTACTAGAATTTGATAATAGACGCGACGATTGACGCAGAAAGTGTGTAAGCTGCCAACGGCTCACGATATGATAAAGATACATACTCGCAAAACTTCGCATTTTACCATAAAGGCAAAGAAAGATATACACTGAACTACTTCTTAGTCGTCTTTTCTCCCTCAAGTTCGGAGTATTGGCATGGGCGAAGAGACCAGGAAAGCCTTCTCTTAGATCGCCGGTCGGTCATTTCCCTACAGTTGTATTGCGTTTGAAGCAATAAAACATGAGATTTCAAGCCCGGTTCCTAAGTTCGACTCATCTTACGACTTGTCTCACACCTTATGGACTGTTCGCGAGTTTCGCTATAGCTTTATGCGTCTAGGTGCCACGTTCGATGGGTTATCTCGCCCACTGTATACACAATATAAAGGCGGTAGACCCCCTATAACCAAATCGGGAAGCTTCAGCTTAATTCGTTGCTCCATCCATCGCTTTAATCCTTGATTCTCACACAATAAGCGACTTCACAAAGAAATCTTCGGTGCCCAGAAAGCACGCCATTTCCGTATTCTCCGCCGGCGCGCTCGAAGCTGATCTCGCCGGCAGTCGGCCACAGAAGGCATCTGTTGGCATCAAGATACAAGAGACGGGCTCCTTCGATAGGCCAGCTGAAAAAAAACATATCAAAAACAGTCTCAGATGTCTTGCCGCCATATCACGAAGACCGGAGAGATCTTTGAGATGGTAAGTGAAGATTCATATCAGCTTTAACCCGAGTATTATCTAGGGTGCCGAGGCAGAGGTCGTGTGAAACGTTGATAACCATTCTCTTTCAGACGGATAATGAACGCGACGGTGTAACCTAATCTCTGAAGGCAAGTGCAGTTGAAGTCTGAGTAAGGTCTGCATGAGATTACTCTGGGCATCTATCACGTCAGAGCTCTGGACCTTCCAAATATAACCTTCGTGAAGCGCGAGGAGAGTTTCATGGCGGATGATCGCAATCATTTACTCCCACTCCCACGGCGACCATTAAGTGGATGTCAAAGGCGTGCTGCAATTTGGCCAGGACATTTCGATCCGATCAACGCCTCAGATGGCTTCATGGAGGCATCCATGAGCGAGGATATTTTTGCTGGGCCCGCTGTGCTGATTAGGGGTGCTTCCATGTTTTGCAACGCACTTCCACGCTCGCCAACTGGGCGAGTCGGCGTAGGTGTGGACATGAGCTCAAGTGTAGGATCGAATTTCCTGATGACACCTACTTATTGTAATAGCGTACGAGAATCTGGACCTGATACAGAGAACGCTACTTGGTGTGACTTCTACCGCCGCAGAGCTCTAGGACTGAGAACAGGGAAGAGGGCTAGTATGATAGGTAGTGGAAGATGGTGCTAGGGCCCGAGTTGTCAGTAGAACAGTGGTTCAACTTCGTTAAAGTGCAACTAGACGGTGAGAGGGCTTCTGAAACATCCTTTAGCATCGACCTCGAAATTACAGATATAGATCAGAGGTGGAGGTTGATCTTGAGCAATGGCATATTAAAATCGTCGGCTTCTAGCCTCGCAAACTCAAACGCACTGCTTAGAGTGGTCAGTACTTACATTGGTACTCAGCAAACAAGATTCTTTTCGAGGTCTGAGAAGCAAGGGCGTGGATAATGTCAAGAAAGAAGGGATATAGAATTGCTGCATCAACCACTTCATTTGATAACTGTGAAGCATGATTTATCAAGTGGTCCAATATATTCTAGTGTATATCTTCAGATTTGAGGAGGTGATACAATTTCAAAGGCCATATAAGTGTCTAGATTGCCGTATTTCCTTTACGTTATAAAAGTTACCTGCTATAAGTGCGTTGTAGCCAACAGGGGTCTTCGGCTCTGCTTCCTACCTAAAGTTTCGTCTAAATTTAGAGCAAACGGGATATGACTTCTTGCCGTGCTTTTCATCAGTACCACAATTACACTGTTTTCGGGGGCTGCACTGATGGCAGTACCGTAGCAGAGAACATCGCCCGAGATGATCGATGTCATGGCCTCGACTAGGTCACATTGACTTATTCCACAATTCTGACCACTGCGAATACTCATTCAAGTGATTCACATGGCGGTCAGGTGCGGATCCGTTTTCCCCGACCTAAATCCTGCAATTTTCTTCCCAGAACATGCAAGCATAAGTCAGGGGTTCGTGGTCACCTTTTATGTCACGAACTGCCATAGGTTTGCGGGGTGTTACATTATGCCAAGACTCGGAATCCGTGCTTGCATACAAGCGATCTTCTATGTAAGCCGATCCTCATGTCTTTGAGGGTAGCATTCGATTGTTTTCAAAATTGTTCCTTCCAATTCTGAATAGGTCCTTGCAAGCGACTGGTCGGTTGTTTCTCGCCCTCGTTACTAGACCCTTGCCCTTGCGCGCCGGAATGGTTACCATTAAAGCTTTTGGTGAGTGCAACATGGATGTGCTTCCCCAGGCACGAGGTCGTACATGGGGAATCACATGCAACTAGGAGCAGTTGTGCGATTACGTATTCCCAGCTTTTTCTGTGAAGAAGTAGATGAGTGCCGCGGCTGTACCGAGGTGATGTTGGACCAAGCTGATGGCAGCAATGACGGCACGCACCAATGATCGATGGTCTTTGCGAGATCAATCTAAAGCTTCGTGCAAGGCACTGGAATCTATATAGATGACCTCGAGGTAAGTATCACGAATGTTTCTTAACGCTCCGGGGCATATCGTCGGCCGCCGCAACAATTTGCATCACGATGCTGTCATATTTCAAAACCATCTTACTTGTCGGCACGGCCGCCGTCCGTGTTCTAGCTGAACCATACAATACTTTCGACGGCCCTGGATTTCCAGCCTGTCGCGATGTCGCCGCCGTTCATAACGTCACCAGTGTGAACGAGATGGTAAGCATCGTGAAGGATGCTGCCGCTAACGGGACCCCAGTGCGAGCCTCTGGAAAGGGACACATGTGGTTCGACACCATGTGTCAAGACGACCCGCGCACCGTCATTATACGTACCGAGTATACCAATGGAATTTCCGACCTTCAGCTAAAGCCGGGAGCTGAATCCGGTTCAGTGGTCATTGAGGCGGGTGTCACGTTCCTGCAACTCGCGGAGTGGCTGCATGAGCGTAACGCTTCCATGGGCTACACCCTTGTTAACTGGAATATCTCCATGGCTGGTGCCATGGCGATGGGCGCGCATCGGTCTTCTATCCGTGAAGAGTCGATGGTCGCTGCTGGTGTTCTCTCATTGGACATCATCAATGGCAACGGCGACATTGTTACGCTCGAGAGAGACCAAAGCAATGATGAATGGCTTGCCGCGTCGACATCACTCGGTCTATTAGGTATCATCGCCCGGATGAAGTTCAAGATTTACCCCGATTTCAAGGTCTTCGCCAAGCAAGATATCTATGACGAGGATGATATCCTGAACGGAGACATCTATGGCATGATTGCGCCTTATGCCACAGCCAACTTCTGGGTAAGCCTTCCAACTCAACCTCTTTTTAAAAAGACACATCCAAACTCATCTTTCTCCGACAGTGGTGGCCATACCTCAAGAAGTTCCACCACCGCTATTACGACGAGATACCATCCACCCTCAGCAATCAGCAAGGTTTCCAAAGCACGTTCTCCCTGACCGACTTCGAGGCCGGCGTTGCCATTCCGCTGCTCAACTCCGGCAAGTACCTCGAAACGTCTAACGAGCTCGCCGAGACGACCTTCTTTTCACTATGGTCGGCGCCCAACTTCCACGACAAGACGACCGACGCTACCATCCTCTTCTGGCCCGTGTACGGGTGGAACTATGACGTGCTGATCGGCGGCCTGTACCCGGGCACGAAGGCCGAGTGGGACTACGGCTTGCGAGGGGAGACGCTGGAGCTCGCGTTCCCCGTCACGCAGGCCAACGCCATGCTGAGGCGCGTCCGCGAGCTGTTCGACGCGGAGTACACCGAGCGCGGCATCACCATGACGAGCACGTACCGTTCGGGGATCAACATCAAATTCGGCAAGCCGTACTATGATCTCCTCGGCCAGGTCACGTACAACACGAGCGACGGCGCGGACTGGAGCAAGGGCGCGATCATGTTTGATTTCCCGCATTTCAAGCCGAGTGTTGGCGACGGGCGGCCTTACAACGATGCCTTCTGTGAGTGAAGCCCTGTTCTGTTTGGTTCTACACTATAATAATGCTGATGGTGGACAGACCCGAGATTGGCGACTGCTTTGATCAACGAGTTCCCGTGCCGCCCGCATTGGACGAAGAACACCCGTGAGGTGTTTGGCAATGCGACCAAGAACATAGACCCAGACGTAAGAATCGTTTGCCGCCCGCAACGATATGAGGCCGTGCTGACTTGAAATATAGCATCTTGCGAGATTCAAGGCTGTTCGCGAGAAGTTTGATCCTAATGGGGTTTTTAAGAGTATTGTTGGCCAGATCCTTGGCTTATACGATTAGGTCTGAGTACAACTATTGGCATGAAAGTGTTTGTCCTCTTCCAAGTTGTGACGGGGTGGAGAGAGAACTTTTGTGGAGCAAAAACGGGCTCTTCTCAGTATATTACCATCCCCTCGTATATCCACGCTTTTCCAATTCCCTTTATAAACACAGGAGTGCCTTTATCTCGAGTGCGCTTCTGACATAACAATTCACACGTCCACAGACTTATTGCGTGTGAGCCTCCACTGTTGGAACACGGAAAGGTCGAAAAAGTCGGAACGATTCAGTCGATGATCTAGCGTTGAAGAACAGAAACTTGATGGCACGGTATGGTACAAGACGGATGTTTCCCATTATGACGGTGATAATAGAAGTGAGCGACTTCGTAAACTCTTGTAGCTCGGGTAGTAATCTCCAAAGCGACTTTGCTCACAGTGTCTCATCGAACAATCATACTTATGATTCCAAAGAGTTATGATACTTGCAGGCATTATGCTCGGAACAGTTGAGAATCAGAGGATACTGGAAGCATGGCTCTAGTGCTTGTAAAATACTGGTTTCGGACCACAACTCGTTGCATGTATGGAGTGACCAGATATGACGCCCAGCTCTTGCAGATCAACACAGACCAAATCTGCAAAGAAGCATCTAAAATTTTTGTAACAATCATATTTAATGTGAAACAAATTGAATACTTTTCGAGGTCTAATTTGCTTTCCGTCCTTAGTATAGGGCTAGCGAAAACCACAAACCGTGAATTTCTAGGAGCAATACCTACAACTCCAGCGAGTGTCCTCATCTTTGTGGCGCTCAAGTACGCGCCAGCAGGTTAATGATATAGCTCTATCCTTGGACGCCTGGCTTCCTACGGCGGCAACTCATATATTCTTCGACACGCTTCTTTGGTGTTTGCTGAAAAGTAGCTTCCTAGATTGGGGATGTTTGAGCTAAGAATCGAGCTGTGTTCTTGAATAGATTTCTCTGCTTCGTGGATAAGAGTGTCCACCGGTATAAGCAGCTGGAGGGGTAAAGAGACTGAGGCTAAGCACTATAGTATTCTGCAGTTTTGCTTATATTGACTAGTGGTACATCATGCACGTTTAAAGGGACTATATAAGAATATAATCCGCCGTTTTCGCTATCGTTGTGGATGTCACACCAACTCCCATTTAGCTAGCCATCCCACACTCTGACCTGAGTTTCGAACAATACACAATCTTGCGGCACGATCATCCTTGTTCATGTGTCTTTTGCGCTCAGCCAATGCTTTCTCAGCTGAAAGACTGGCGATAGCTTCAGCATTGCCTTCCTTCAGGTTGAAACAGCCTGCCGTGACGAAACCGATCAGATCTTCGGCATCCGGACATAAAGAATGCCCATTAATGGTTTCAGTCTCCAACTGGGCTGGTGCGGTGAGCTCTTGGGCTAACAAGCGTGTTCTCGTCCCTAGACTGATGTTCGCTGAGGTGTTATGCTTTACAGGCTTTGTTGCATGTGCTTGTTTAGCTTTCTCCGGAAGTGCCGCAAGCCATTGCTTCCCAAGGTCCGCTGGTACGCCACTGCTCTTAACAAGTGGCGGGTTTGTAGCTGGGACCTCGGCCTGTGTAGCAGCATCAACGGTCTTGTTTGTGGGGAGACGGTAAATCCGAGCACAAGGACTAGGAACACCGCGACCCAGAAATACCACCTTGACGGTGACAAGTGCAGCTGGTGGGAGAGAGGCGACCTTGCTAGCAATATGCGCGTTGAAAGAGAGCTTTGACAGGTGGGTCATTCCATCTAATAGTTGGCCTTTATGCGTGACATCCTTCTCCTGGTTGTTGGGTTCTTCGTTAGCCATGTTATCTTGACCGGTCATAACCACATCTGGTTTCTCTACATCGTTGGCGGGCAAATTGAGGTTCAGCAACGTCTCGAAATCGTTGTTCCAACCTTGTCCAATTTCGCCTTTGCGACCGGCACCTAGATCAAGTGTCTCGTAGTTAACTCTTTTGCCTTTGGGCATTTTATCCCATGCCTTCTTCCTCTTTTCTCGCTGTTCTAGCTCCCAGGCTGTGCCCGCGCTGGTGGCTGGGAAATCACCAGGGAACCACGGGAGGCCTTGTTCGAAGGCACCTTGCTGAACTTCCTCTAGTCCACCAAAAAGTGGGTTGCCGCCGGAAGATAGAGGGCAGTGCATCAGTGCGTACCATATAGGAAGCACACACTTCCAAGGGATCAGCACCGTCCACTTTCCAGGAGTGTCACCTTGACGGGTAGCTAGTAGGATGATGGGGATCTCTGGGTCAAGCTGTGTTGGCTCAAGGACCGTGCCCGAAGATTCCTTGCTTTTACGACGGTTGATTGATTTCTGTGAGGGTAGTCGAGATGCCTTGAAGCGGGCATCGCGATCGAATAGTGCCATCGGACTGGGAGCTAAGTGTTGCTGCCATGATGCGCTTGTTTGTTTTGCCCCATCAGTTGCGCCTGGCACTTGTATACGCCTTGGGGGGAATTGAAGACGAGGGTCTCTTGCGGTAAATGCCAGTAAAGATCCAATGGGAAGACTTGAAGGGTTAACACCTGCTAAAGACTGCCACTTCGAGGCATGGGGGTTTTTCTTGTCCAAGTCTTCATGATACGGCTTAATGCTGCCCAAGAGCGCTTCGGTTGCATCGGGGCCCGTCACTTCGATACTGCCAAGCTCGTAACGTAGGTCTTCCACATGAGGGCGAGGAGTCAACCCCTTGGACAAACGTAGAACTTCGTTGAACGTTTCGAGAAATGTCGAAGGGTGCAGTCGTATAAGGAGCCGCCTCGTTGCTCTCTTTTTGATATTCGCTTCTGCAACCTGGTCTTCAAGTTCAGGATCCCATAGAATTGTTGCTGGTCCGAGCATCTTTGTGATGTTATTTTGTGTCCTTGCCAAAGTCCCACTCCAGTGCATGGCGCCTGATCGCCATCTCTCACCACTGCTGTTCCACAGACTCTCTGCGGTCATGCCAAGTGCTTTAAGCACTTGAGCTACGCTCCTTTCAATGCCACACAGGCTGATGGTGCTCATATAGCTCGTATCCCAAGCCATTGCCCCCTTTTCTCGCATTGCACGATGCGTGGGTCTGTAGCATTTCTGGTTTGGTGTCAAAGGTATGGCGAACCTCCACAACGGCTCCTTTGGTGGAGTCATTTTTGCCCTTTTTGTATGCCAAAGATGTGTTGGCAGCCAAGTCTTATTAAGTTGTCGCCTTCTGAACTTCCTCGCCGTGATCACTGGTTTGTTTAGGCTGTTTCTCTTGATCTTTGGGCGAGCTAGGCGCGTCTGTACCGTCACTTCGTCGAGCTTTCCATCCTTACCCTTCTGGAGCAGCTTCTGCCTTCTCTTTCTTTCGGCCAGTTTCCCCAAACGAAGTGCGGTCTCTGCACGAAGACGACTCCGTACGGTCTTGGGCTTTCTCGTCTTGGAGTTGACGGTGGGCGTATTATCTTGATCCATCTCACGTTTGGCTCTCCTGTGTAGGCGCTTCGGAACGCGTTTGTGATTATGTGCTGCAGCCCTCCTTCTCAAGACGAAAGGTACCTTCTGGAAAGCTCGGCTCGTCTTCGAAGTCATGGTTCTTCTCATACTCTCATCCAGAGCCTTGATTTCAAAGCCACGGGCGTTGAGGAACGCCTGAACGTCGAGCTCTCCATCTTTGAGAGCAGCATCAGATGGCTGGGCTGCAATAGCCCTTACTGCTCTCCGATCCATGAAGCTTTTCCCACCAGTGCCGTTGGACTGTTTCTCTCCGACTGGAGTATCCTTCACCCGAGATGGCTGATTCCGCCCGTTACGAGCTGCTTGGGCTCGGGCTTTTCTCGGGTCAGGCTTTGGTGCTGGTGCAGCGGGTTTGCTTCCACCTTGATTGTTGCTTTCCCCGGTCTTGGGCTTCTTGCTTGAGGCAGATGCCAATGAAGCATCAGCTGGGCGTTTCTTTGGCTTATCGCCAGGGTTTTGATGACCCTGCTGCCCCGGAGCCATATTCCTCCAGCTACTCTACCTAGCACGTGAGAGTCATGGAATGAATTGGGTGTTTCGAATAATTCCGAGAAGTGCAGTATGAATATGTTCATAAAACAGTCAGATCAATGCTTTCAGTTCGCTTGTAGCAAACATTATTTCGCGGGCCAAGAGAAATACGACGTCTTTCTATACCATCAAATCAACTTGTTTTCATACTGCAACTTCAAAACTACTGGGCACTTAATTGACATCGCGTCCATCATCGCGTTGCCAGTGTCTGACTCTTGCTGGAAAATTTCGGCGCTAGCTTGTTGGAGAAGCACGGCCACAGGTGACCCGTTAATAATAACTAACCTAATAGAGCCCACCCCCAATTCGTTATTACAAGACAGCCACATACACGCGCCATGCCCCCCCCCCCCTCCAAACCCCTAAAACCGAGAGAGATCCATTGCCCCAAAGGTCAGCCAATTCCAGAGACTCTGGCAATTCTGAAGACATGACGTCTCAAGCGCCACGACTTTGGGTCTCGGTCTCGGTCTTGGAAAGAATAGATGCCAAATCCTTGTTTTCCCCACGCGTCTCTGCATGTCATCGACGGATCCATTTGAGGCCAGAACCTCCTGACGGTGGTTCCCTTTTTTCTTCACGTGTGCTCGTAAGCTGTCAGCTTGACTCTCTTATCTTTCGAGACAAGTTGTGCAGCGCATGTGCCCCGGATCGTCCGGAATTCTGATACGGTCGCGCTGTGTTTTTCCAATCCGTCCTACCATGAATGCATGTGCAGGCGCAATCCCAACTATTGCTTACCCGGCTCGGTAGCGCGCCCTCCGAGCGAATGTCCCACGACTGTTGGTAATCTGCTGGCGTAAGCCTTTGGGGTGAATCAGAATAAGAGTACAAATAGGGTTATAGTAAGAAACATGGCATCCTTGAGTAAGCCTAACTTCCCTGTTCTTGTTTGTTCGTGTTTGCCTTTCCCCCGGTCTTTGCATGAGAGTGCTCCCACTCCAATACGCCCTTGTCTGCCTCAACTCAATGCGCTCATGCTTCAGCTTCGTCTGTACCTCCCCATGTCAGCCGCGTTCCAGCCAGAGTCCGGATCCCACGAGCATTGCGTGCTTTGACGGAAACGGGCAACGGACGAGGCTGTAACCAGAAACCAAGACAGTGTTTCAAACCCCTATTGGCGAACCACTCCAAGCAATACACATGCTCTTTGTTTCTCTGATATGCGCCTATCGCTACCTCGTCATACCCCATCGCTTCTCAACAAGGAGACAACCACCGAATAACACCCGGGGCGATACCATGCTGTAACATGCCGATATACACCCAACAGCAGTCGCTAACATGCCGTCTTTCCTTCCCATAGTCAACAAGGCCCGCAAGCCTAAATTCGACCTCCATCTCACCATCTACGATCTCAACAACGTCCCGCTCGTGAGCGGCACCTCCCAGATAAAATGGCACCTCCCACACTCCATGCATGGCGAACATCGCGGCAGGACGGACAAGTGCCCCATCGACAGCATCAATCACCGCGTCACATATGACTACAGCAAGATCGTGCCCGTGCGCATATCTATAGACAAGAACAACAGCCTGACAGACTGCCCCATCGAGTTCGAGGTGGTACAGGAGTTCTCTTCCTCCGGCGGCAGGGATGAGAAGATCAACATGGGTGTTGTAAGGCTGAATCTCAGCGAGTATGTGGAGGAGAGCGAGAACTTCCCGAGAAAGAGCCTCGGCAGCCGCATGGGAGGAAGCCTCGAGCATGCGCGGAAGGACATACTGGGTCCGGCTCTGCAGGGCAAACGACGACTGAGCAGCGCAAGCGCAAGCGGCACGTTGAACAGCGCGGCTCTGGGAGTTGAGAATGGGATCGCCGAGGAGCAAGAAGCAGCCGACGAGGGCATCATACGGCGGTACCTCATGCAAGAGAGTAAAATCAACAGTACCCTGAAGCTGGGCATTCTCATGATACAGATCGACGGAGACAGGAACTACGTCGCGCCGGCCCTGAAGACCGCACCCATGTTTGGCGGCATCGCGGGCATTATGGCCGAAGGCGTCGAGCCCGTCGACGACGCTGCCGGGTCAGGAGCGGCGCCCAACGTGACGAGCCAAAACAAGTCGCGCGAGGCGAGCGAGCTGCAGGACATGTACCGCCGGGCACTAGCAGCGTCGTGGAGCTGCCAGGCCGGCGAGCTTCCCGCGGACGAGTGCATCGAGGACATATTTTCCGGGGGCGATGGGTGGAAAGACCCAAACAACAGCCGGAGGAAGAAGAAGAACAACGACAACGACCGCCACCAGAGCCGCGGTCGCCGGGCAGAAGACCTGGGCAGCACCACGTCGTCCGGCAGCGAGGAGGCCCACGGCGGAACGCTCAAGCCCTCGGACGTGCACAGGATGCGCGACAAGCTCTTCCACCGGCGACAGCACAGCGCGTCGTCAGAGCGGTCGCTGGCCACGGTCAAGGAGGGCCGCGGGCACTCGAGCAGCCGGCAGCGCCCGCAACGGCAGCACACCCGCGACGACCCCTTCGCGGACGAGAGCAGCCGCGTGCGGAGCGAGAGCCTGGCTTCCCTGGCGCCCACGATGGGCAGCCTGGGCAGCGGCAGCGGCAGCGGCAGCGCGGAGCATGGATATGCCGCCGGCAGGAGGGGAGGACACAAGGAGGTCAGCGAGTTCGACGTCCGGGACGACCTCGTGAGCTGGGGTCTGCCGGGCACGGTTGTCTAGGAACTCCCGTTTCGTCCCGTCTTCTCAAGACACATTTATACATATATTAATACGGTCCGAGCTGTATGGAGAAGGAAAAGGGCCGGTATCTATAGAAGTATTCTGCAAGGGCCTCATCTGGCAGGTAAATAGAGCAGGGGCGCATAGCGAGGGCGTGATTTTGGTTTAGTCTTGTCGGATTCAATGAAAGACGATGATTCATTTAATGTGGGACTTTTTTCTTCTCTTCCTCATCCGCTCGTGACAGAGACCGAAAGCGAGTGTGCGTTAGTGATGATGTGCACAAGTGTTAATATAGAAAGAAGGAAATCTTGATGAAATGTCATTCCATTCGTAACAGTAGTATTTTTACTCTATTGTCGTAACACCCAACCGCTTGGGGATCAGTCTATTTGTCCTTTTGAAGATCTAAGACGCCACGCGCCAAATGCCAAGCTACAATAGGCACTTAAGCACTCCATGATCCTATCAGTCATCAAAAACAGAAATTTTCAGGGGCAGTCAAGCCACTTCCTTATGGGGCCTTGATGTTACCCCTGACACCTCCTTTTCCACCGACTTCCCTGGTGGTGACTATCACGGCCAGGTCGGCGTTGACTTGGATCGTGACCTCGACCTTGCTACCCTTCTTGACGCCCTTGATGCCGGCCTCGGCCAAGGTGGTTCCGATCTTCCAGATCTTCTCGCGGTGCTCTTCCTCCTCATCTTCAGAATCGTCATCGCTGTCGTCCTCGTCATCGTCGTCCTTCTCCTCCTTGGGCTTAGGCTCGGGTTTGGTGACCTTGATGTGTGTGTTACCCTCAACAATCTTGACAAGCACGTCGCCGCCCTCCTTGGGGGCCTCAACGTGGACTGTGCGACGAGCAGGCAGACCAGTCTCGGGAGCGACGACAGGAGTGAATGACTCCTCACCAGCCTCGTTCAATGTGATGACACCGATGGCATTGGTAACGTGGAGCACAGTAGTCACAGCTGGGTGAGTAGACTGCTCGATATCATCGCTCTCATATTCCTGGATAAGCGATGCTTGCAGAGCTGCACCACGAGCCAAGAGCTCCGAGGGGTTGATGGAGCTGGAGCTGGTCGAGGGAGCCTGGATGACGGTGGTCTCGGGGAAGATGTAACGGAAGTTGGCGGCGACTCTAGGGGTGTGCGAAGTACCACCGGTCATGATAACCTCGTCGATATCGAGTACATCCAGGCCAGCCTTCTTGACAACACCCTCGACCAGGCGGTTGAAGCCCTCAAAGACCTTGCGTGCAATGGTCTCATATCTTAACCTGTTAATGGTAGCCTGGAAATCGATGCCACCAGCCAGACTCTCAACGCTGAAAGATGCATTGGTACCAATGCTGAGGGCCTTCTTGGCGGACTCTGACTCGGCCTTGAGCTTGGCCAAGCTCCTTGCGTCGTCGCGAGGGTCGACCTCCTTGTTCTTCTTCATGAACTCCTTGGCAAAGTGCTCCATGAGGACCTGGTCGAGGTGGACACCCGCGAATTCGTAGTCGTGGGCGGTTGCCAGAATGGTGTAAAGGCCTCCTCGCGAGGCAACAACGGCAACATCTGAGCGGGTACCGCCAAGATCGGCAACAACGATGATCTTGTCCTTGACCTCGGCCTCGGGCCGGGCATCATAAGCCAGGACGGCGGCTACAGGCTCGTTGATCAACTGCAGAACCTCAAGGCCGGCGTCGTTGGCGGCCTTGGTGAGAGCCTCGCGTTGCTTGTCGGTGAAGTTGGTAGGCACGGTCAGGACAGCCGAGGTGACCTTCTTGCCGATGTAGTCGGAGGCAGACTGTGCAAGTTTTCTGATGTAGCGGGTTGCGGCCTCGGACACGGAAATAGTGGAAGGCTCACCCTCAGCCTTGTCTTGAATGGTGAATGATACAACGCCGTCCTTGTTCTCGGCGTGGGCTGCAGCGTGGCAGTGTGTAGGGTCGACGGACTTGAATCTGGAGCGAGTGATCAATCAGCATCAGCCTCGGCCTCGAAAAGCAGTCCACGCAGCAGCAGAAGCCTGCTCTAGTGGATCGAGATGGGGGATGGCATACTCTTGGCCGAGGAAGTCCCTGAAGGAGACAACGGTGTTCTTGGGGTTGCGGATGAGGAAAGCCTTGGCCTGGCCTCCGTTGTACTCCTCACCGTCGACGTAAGACAGTACTGTAGGGATTTGACGGTCACCGTCCTCGTTGGCGATCACGATGGCGGCATCGTCGACGGTGCAGGCAATGGAACTGTACGAGTTACCAAAGGAGAGACCAATGACAGTGCGCTGGTCGGGCGCAACGCCAGACTTCTTGTCAGCCATATCGCTTGTATTTGTGGGATATGTTGATCGAGTTTATTGTTTTAACGTCAAATGTGGTCTTTGCAAAATCGAAACAAGCAAAGATGCGAAATGAACCTGTCAAGAGAGACCGTAAACTTGGTGGGGTTGCTAATAAGGATCTGGCAGTCCAAGGCGTCCCTAAAATTTCAAAAGTTCGGAGGAAAAAAAAAAAAAAAAGTTGCCCAAGCGTTAACAGCAGCGACCAATTGACCTTGACCTTGAACCTTGAGCTTGACTTTGACTTTGACCCTGCCAGATCTGGCATTTGCAATTGACATTTTTTGCACCGCCACAAGTGCCCCTCAGCGGCCCTCCAAACTTGCAAAGAATACTTGGTCTAACCTAGTCTAGCACTTGATTGGGTTAGTCTATCTACTGTAAGTATTCTTTGCACTCACATTCATTGATCAACGCCACAGCTAACCACATTTTCTCAGTGTCTAGCTCATCAATACCATTCATAACCGCCTCTTGATAGCAGATTCTCATAACCACATTTCCCCCCCAAATCAGCATGGGTACTTCTACTGAGAGAGTATTCGTCCTTCCCGGCGACGTACTTGACTCCTCTCTCATACCCTCTCATCCGAAACACCCCCTCAGGCTCGGTCCTGGGCTCAGACACATCCCTCCTAGTGATATAGTACCCACAATCGCTGGGCAGTTGGTCACGGATCGGAAGAAGAACTCAATATGGGTAGAATCCAACGGTGGTCGCGTGAGTCGCCTTGTAGTTTCTTATCCTTGAAGTATTCCACACTAACAACTCGCCAGTACATCCCGGTTGTTGGTGACCTGGTTATTGGCAAGGTCGACAAGAGCTCTGGAGATTTCTACTACGTCAATCTTTCCGACTACACGTCAAACGCATCACTGCCTCAGCTGGCTTTCGAGGGTGCCTCGAAGAAGACCAGGCCCCAATTCAACTCGGGGGCACTCGTCTATGCTCGTGTAAGTCTGGCAAACAGACATATGGACCCGGAGCTGGAATGTGTCTCTGCAACAACAGGCAAGGCAGACGGCTTGGGTCCTTTAGTAGGAGGCATGCTCTTTGATATTTCCCTAGGTATGGCACGGCGATTGCTCATGAGAAAGTCTGTCGAGGAGGGTAAGGTGGTGGTAATGGACGAACTGGCCTCTGCTGGCCTTGCCTTTGAGACAGCAGTAGGCAGGAACGGAAAGATATGGGTTAACAGCGAGAGTATCAAGACGGTACTTGTGGTAGGGCGGGCGGTCAAAGAAACGGATGAGAAGGACTTGACAGTCGATCAGCAGAGAAGGCTGGTTCGAAAGTTGATCAAGGAGATGTCGTGAAAAACCGACATATGATGTAGGCTGACTATGCGAGCAAGATGGCAATGATACCCCAATCGGGCTGCATACGAAAAGGTACGCAGCATCCGTTTTTTCATGTTGAATCTATGGTTGACGGTCTGGCTACAGTCACATTTACGTTCGCAAAAGTTGCTTCTACTTATAATTCCGAACCGTGTGGGAATAGTATGGGCATAATGCGGACACAAGAATCCCGTCTGGGACTTCACTCATAGAGTAATCTGTGATCCAGAGTTGCACTGCAGCCCAATTGTGGTCGCAAGCTTTCGTTGGTTGCGTTGCTCTGGAGATGCCGTCGTGCTACCATCAAAATCATATTTGAATAGATTGGCGGCATACTTCCCACGGCGAAAACTGTACCATCTTGATCTATTAGTGTTGGTTTAAGTTCGGTATGAGTACTAGTTCTCCTGCAACTATGATCAATCACAATCAAGTCCAGAGCAAGATCGTACAAACCAGCCATCCGGGTGCCAGGGGGCGGCCAAGTGACAGTGACCTCATTCGCATGTCGCACCTTCAATTTCCTGTAACAATCGAATCACGCGTGTAAAAAGCTTGATGGAATGCATCCATCACAGTTTGCCAAAACTTTCCAATTTGCCATTCTTTTTGCGTTGTCGCGACCGGTTTGCAGGCTGTAATCAGCTTGCTCTGTCGCAATGTTCTCCCTCTAATTTCACGAACGGCTCGCTCCTTCTCAGCCCCTCACCTCATTCAGTTTGAAACTCAATTTTCGTGCTGGAGCCCGACCTGCACTTATTGAAACGTTTTCCTTCGCATTTTCATGTCAAAGAACAACATCGCAGCCACATCGCATCCCTAGCTGTAGGTTACGAAACAATCAGCTGACGGATATGTTCCTACTGTGGTATTTTCTTGTCGCACATAGACGTGCCAATCGCATTTAGGCTATTCCCCATCTAAACATTAGCGTTCAACGCCAGGCAACGTTGGCCGTTATAAACAGCAAAAATGACCACCGTAACACCCCAAGTCAGCATCCAGGACCTCCCTCCAGAACTCCTCGGCATCGTGCAGGATTTCTTGCCTCTATACGATGCTGTTCGGCTAGGCCTATGCAGTCGTCGTCTCAAGGAGCGTACGGACCCTCATCTATGGAAAAAGGTTCTTTGCAATATTGAGCATGAGAAGTCCGGTGGGATCAGATACGTTGGCAGAAACAGCGACGGGGAAAGATGGACCTTTCTGAAAGGTATCGAGCCACAGGTTCCACAGCTGGAACTCTGTCATTATTGTCGGATTTTCCATCCTAGATTGCTTAGTAATCAATCGCTATGGAGGCCCCTAACCACCGATATCCATCAGGAATGTGATTGCGATACGAAGGAGGTCCAATTCCGCCGCTGGGGTATTGACTGGGGTTTCGGCTTCCGGGACGTCTATGCCATTATGATGCGCCAAGCATTATCGTTGAAGCATGGCGTTGCCTTGTCAGATCTGTGCATCTCGACAGACTGGACTTTTGCAAGGGCGTACAGGAATCTCCACAACGCTTCAAGATCCCCCTTCAAGCGCTTTGTCAGTTATACGAAGCTCGACACAGAGGCTGTCATCAGGGACGAACACCTCCTCGTCCACAGGATACAACGGCTGTGGATGCCTATCCATCTCCAAGGGACGGATGTTCTGGTTCGTTACGGTGCAGGGGATATCGCAGGTGATTTCAAGATTTGTGCGCACCATGGTCCGCAATCTGGCGAAATGATTAACAACTTCACCATCCCGCTTCGCGAGGGCATCAAGTATGTCCTGGCTGCTCGGAGAATGACCAGTAGTGATGAGGATGGGCCATTGCCCTACATCATTAAAAGGTGTGAGGACTGTCCTACAGAATACGCCATCTCATGTCATGTACATGATGACAACAGCGTTGAGGTTGTGATAAATGTCTGGCAAAACCTAGGCACCTGCCAAAGTCCTCAGACTTCTGGTTGGCTCAACTGCTGGGGTATGCTTAATGTGCGATTGTGCGAGACACCAGACGATACATCAAGAACTGCGTGGTACCACTCCGGGGTGGGCTATGTAGCCGATGCCACTCTATTCCAAACCCGCGCTGGGACGTCGGCCGTTGGCCACCCTTCCTCCGCGCCGGTGTTGCGGGAATGGTCGCAAATTCAGGGACAAGCCGCTGCTTCCCTACAAGCGCCGGGTAGGAACAACTACCTTGACGTTGTCCCTCAACTCTCGACACATCATTTCAGGAAAATCCGCTCGAGCATCATCAACGCTCGGTATGAGACCGGCCCCCGACGACCTTTGCATCCTTTTCGCCATGAGTTTAGAGGAAACGATGGCCAGTTTGTGCCGACGGATCGTCTGAGATATACACGTTCGCTGTATTGGGGCAAGAATCAATTGAACCCTGTGATTCAAATAGACACAAATGCGAATCAAACAGACACACGGACTGTTGAAGCGCCTACCAACTAGGTTGTAACTTTATAGAGTCGACGGATGCGTGACGGGTTCGCCGGATGTGGACTATGATTGGTACTTTCTTTAGCTAATAGATGTGTATGATTTGGAGGTAGTTAGTAGTAACTCAGCGTTGTAATTCATCGATACCCTGAAGCTGTTTTAGGCCAGATCAACTGTGGATTACTCTATAATCGTTTCTTGTGCGCGCGTGTCTTATACTCCTATTGCAAAACCAACCAAGCGCTCCCCCCCCCCCCCATCATGGAGCAGACGAGAGTCTCATCGATAATCGTAGTATCGCCACTCATTCTTTCTGCATAACGCTGCCATCACCACGGTAAAACACGACTCGAACCAATTGGTTTGTGTCACCAGAGAAACCCCTCTCGTAAAACGTCACGGAGTGCTTCACGCCGCTTCCACCTCAACATAGCGATCGCCGGCAAAGATATTGTGTGCTGCTTTCTGTAGCTAGGTCCAAATCCGTCGCCTTCGTACAGTTTGATGTTCTCCGCAGCCCTTGGCGATACTCGTAGGCGATAGCCAATGGGCCAGACAGTTCTTGGCCATCCGAGACACTCGCCACAGGTCATCGAAGACATCAAACACGCCTTTCATGCGTATTTTTGGCCTGTATAATGCCCAGAAGACCTCCTACCTCGGCGGAGACATATCCGATCTGGAATTCCAGTAGCGAGCCAAAACCGGATATTGTGTGAAGCGCCACGGCACCGGCCAGTATAAAGAAAAAAGTCGAGGGCAAGGTCAAGGGTTCCAAGATGCCATAGGTGGGATCTGCGAGACTATCAGGTGATTTTAGTTCGGTGCATCGAGACCCATACATCCATTTGGATTGACATATTAACAACAACCCCCACCAAACTGTGAGGACCTCGTCCTTTCCCATATTCACGGACGGCAATCTAGCGAGCGTCATATTTGGTGGGGAAAACAGATTCTTCTGAATTCGCAAACAAGATGGGTCCGTCCGTCCGTTTGTCTCTGGGCTCTTCGTCGGAGTTGTGCATACCTGTGAACATATCTGCTTGATGCGACTACACCGTGGTTTGCATGATGTTTACAATCCGTTGTCCTCGATGTCATCTTCGACAGGACAGACCGTGTTGGTTATCGACAAAGCCACTCGGCCGGAAAAGATGCGCACGTGGTTTCGGAAAATTCTGCTTGTATGATCCCAGATGAGACCCTGCAGCTCCTGGGAGAAGCAAGAAAATGTTTGGAATATTTTCATAAAAGCTCAGCTCCGGTATTGGGGAAAGGTTCATAATGGTTTGCTCGAATGCTTTCAAATGCGGAGGCACAGCGCGAAAGATATGTACCCATTACAAGCTCGCGATGAGGCACCAACCCTGCATCCTTTTTTCTGTGTTCCTTTTTTCTATCGATCCAAAGTCACTATTCAAGCCACAAACTTTTGAGTAGATACACAAATACACACAAAATAAGGCAAATCTAACATTCTTTATGCCATGGTGGACATTGTCCTCACCGTATGGTCTCTACTGTTGCAAGCGTTCCATCTCAAGCGAAGCAAGCACATAAGCGGCCGATCCCAATACACTATTATAGAGAATGGGTTGACCGACATAGTACTATAGCCCAAATTAGTTTCACTATCCGGTAGGAGTTTTCACAACATGGAGCTTACGTCATATGAAGCAGTAGAGTTAAGGCTGCAGACCGAGACAGTTCCATTATAGCCAAGAGCGCCATTTCCATTATCCACCACAAAAGTATTTGTCAGGTACGCGCTCGCTTTGATCCCAATCTGCGATGCATCACTTGCAGCTGCCACACCATCCAGGTAACCCAACCGCCGTCCCTTAAGAAGCGCATACGCAAACATGGCGCTGCCACTGCTCTCGATATAGTTCCCTTCATCGCCCGGTCGGTCGAGTACCTGCCACCAAGCGCCGCTCACCGGATCTGCAGCTCGAATTAGCGCCGCTGCGAGGCTCTGGAACATTTCCCGGAGCCGGCCCGTGTATTTTATCAGAGGCCGTGCATCCTTTGCTTTTCCGAGAACCTCCAGCGTATCCACAAGCGCCATGGCGAGCCAGCCCAGACTGCGACCCCAGACGTGAGGACTAGCGCCCGTATCCGGGTTTGCCCAGACCGCCGTATAAGATGCATCGTAGCCATGGACCAGCAGGCCTGAGGTTGAGTTACGGCAGTGCTGCCACAGAAGCTCCAGCTGGAGCAACATGTCATCCAAAGCTGTGATGTTGACGGTCCCATCGTCGAGCGCGGCATCCAGCGAATACAGCGTGTAGAACGGCGCAAGACTGTACATGCCGTCGAGATAGCTCCAGTACGGATATGTGTAATACCAGAGCCCGCCCTCGTTGTTGCGACGGTTGAGGTCGATACTGTCCCTTAAAGCCTCTGCCGCAGCGGCATAGTCCACGGTCGTGTTTCTGTACGTGCCGTTTCCAGACAGGGCGAGCAGGGCATTGCCGTTGCTGAGCCGGTCCATGGGATACCCGAGCGCGTCCTTGGTGGCGTTCGACACAAACGGTGCGACGGATGCTGCGCTGTCCCGGATGTATTGCTGCACCCTGTCTACGAAAGACTTGTTGGAGGAGTGCTGGGCCACGAGCGCGGTGAGGGCTTTCTGAGTGAACCCTGCCTGCAGCAGCTCGGACGATCCGCCGGCGCCGGTCATAATACCTTGTTGGCGAGACATGATACTCGCGGCCATCTGCTTTGAATAGAGTATTGTGCCATCTTGTGCCCATGCTGCGCTCACTAACGCAAGAGCCGGCAGCGCCGACGCCGGGTTCACTGTCCACCGCATATTGTTGCTTTCGGACGCGGCTGTGGTACCGTATTACGGCTAGCTCTAATAACTTTCGAAGCAATGAGAGCTTGAAAGGGCGTTAAGACTCAAGATATGTCAAATTTGAGGCTCTACAAGAACTCCTCGAGGTTGTTGAGACGCTTGGCCGCTTGGGAGTTCCTGTTCCTGTTCCTGACTCGGTTATAAACCCTATGATGTCTCTGCAACATCCAGCTAAGTAGTGCCCGCATGACTGCATAGCCAGAATAGTCAATGGTGATGGTGATCGGCGCTGTCTGCCAACTAACAGGAAATGTGCCGACAGCTCCGCCCTAGCGCGCTTCGCCGGCTGAAGTAGGTTAAGCCAGGCAGCTTTACATTTTGGGAACACGTTTACACTCATCTTACACGTCGAGGGTTTCGCTATAAAGTGGATAATTACATATCATGATAAGGATCAGGAAGTTCCCGATTGGTGTTGTTTTAAATATAAGAAGATTGGCCAAGCGGGCGTAGTAAGGCGTTTTGGGTTGTTGATCATCTAGCGGATCGAAGGTTTACTAACCTAACCAGTTAGGTTAATATGTATGACCTTGAGCACTACAACCGCCAATCGATGTATTTTCTATGTTCTATGCATTAACCGTTAACAACACTTACTATCATCGCGCACGACAATTAATATAAAGAATGGAACTAGGACGGGACGCGCTTACCGCTCGCGCCCCGAACGTAGCCTTGCCTTTGTGGCCGACTCCTTTTAACCTGTAACATGATACTTATGGCGTTGTAATAAAACCCGACGTTGGAAGTATTTCATTATATTGCATTCGAGCTAATTACAATACTTAGAATGATAGGCAGATATACGATATACGATCGATCGATTCTATCTTTAATAACTCGCACCTTTGTTCTTAGTACTGTTACCTCTAGTATGGGGTACGGTGGTATAGGGAGAGGTTAAGGATCTACGTTATCCTTGGTTCGGGGGAGATTATTTGCTCCTATCTGGCTAGGTGCTACGGGTAGCTATAGTGGCCTAATTACGATAGCGTCTTTAGGGTATATTATAATTGGTTTATCAATTACTATTAAGTCTTTTTTTAGGTTGTAAAGAGATGAGGTATGTTTCATGGAGCAAACAAATTCGAACCGGCACAATGGTATAGGGGGGGGGGGGGGGGGGGGGGTGGGCTGGTTATTATTACATTACACTGTGAACCAAACCATCAATTTGCCACACCTCAATCTCTTATTGCTAGGAAGATAGAGATATTTGATCTAGACAACGATCTCGGCTCTTTGCGAGTTGAATTATACGCCACTGTTTACACTTATTTCGACCAAATCCACCGCCATCACATTCGCCTTCTTGACCTGCTGAATACGAATCTCATACACATTCAACTGGAATCCATTCTCAATAAAAGAAAATGGCTGCATCAACGCTCGTTGAGTGTCGGGCTGAATATATCGCGGCGTGTGTTATCCTGGTCCTGCGATGGTTCACAAGATGTAAGACCGTCGCGACTCGCGGCTGGTACTGGGATGACTGGTTTTCAATCTCTTCTTGGGGGGGGGGTTACAGTTATCTACGCTATGATTGAATGTCTTTGTTAGTACTCACCATCAAACGACCGCTGTATGCTTGTCACTGATGTCATATAGCGATTATGGGCGCTCCAATTGGTATGAACCAGGCTGCTCGAGAAGCGCTTACGCCCGAAATGAAGATATCTTTCCAGAAAGGCGCGAAAGCAATATTTGCCTCGTTTTATTTCTTGATTTTTCTCGTGTGGAGTCTGAAAGGGACACTTATTGTTCTCTTCCTTCGGCTTACGTTTAGAATCTAGGGCATTGGGGCCCTATAGAGCTGACCTGGTCATAGGAAAGATACAAAGTTGCATTTCTACATTAGGATAGTTGCTGGCATTTCCGTGCTGTGCTTCATCGTAGCATTTATCACGCAGACCGCGCATTGCCTTCCGCTGGAGAGGAATTGGCAGATTCTTCCGGATCCAAGAAGAAAGTCGATATTTTGTTACTCAATTGTACTTAACAATCGTGCTTACAATATCACTTAACAATCGTGCTTACAATATCACCTAACAATCGTACTTACAATATCAGAGGAATGCTCGGAGGGTGTTACAATAAATATCGTTGTCTCAGTCGGTAATGTCCTGTAAGTAATGCATTCCTGACTCGTTACTTCTTTAACCATCCATGTCATAGTGTCGATGCTCTCCTTCTTGTGATTCCAACATTGATGCTGAAGAATGCTCCCATCAGTCGTTGGTGGTAAGTCACACATCGTAGGTGCTCTTGCATATCAAATGACTAATCAGCATCCAGAAAAATCAAAATCGTATTCCTCTTGTCACTCGGAGTGTTCGTAATGGGCATGGCCATCACAAGCTGCGCTCAATCTATCGGAGATGCAGCTGCTGTAGCTAAGAGTTCAGAATGGGTTGAACGTGAAGCGGTGAGAGTTTACCAACAGCTGAAACCAGAGGCCTACTAATATTGATGCTCTGCAGCTTGTAATAATCTTCGCTATAAATGCTCCGGCGTTGAATGCCTTGTTCAGACGCGAAACTTGGTCGACCAACAAAACCACCTTGTCTAGCAACGGGTCCAAGGGTGACACCTGTTCAGTTCCCACAACCAAAGGCAGGAAGAACAGTCGGATGGAGATCTACAAAATGACCGACATTTGCACAAGTAGCACGGAAAGTACCTCAGGTCTGGATCCTGAAAGAGCACTCCATCCTCAGTGGCAGCAGCTAGACAGTGCAGGCCGAGGGAAGCGACAAGGGGGACACGGAGAAACGGTGTGGGGCTTCAACAGGGGATATGATGTGATGCAGCCTCGACCTGGAATGCATGTCGTCGACGCAAAAAGACAATCGATTGGCTGAATTAACTAGCAGCATTTCGTTTATTTTCATAACGACAGACCAAGTATAATTAGTATACATAGGTAGTCTTTGTTCACAGCAGTGGAACATAGTAGTGAGACCAGCATGTTAGGCAGCGTTTGGCTGTTGGAGTGCCTAAAGACCAACCCTACAGTAAAAGACAATATGTCAGTCCTACCTCAAGCGGAGAGCAGTGCCAATGTTTACAGCGAGCTATGGTGGCCGCCACCAGCCCACTATAATCGTGTTTGCCACATATGAGTGATCGGCTGGTTGTTGATATCTGTTCTCAGCCCACTTCGCATAGCTTACCAGAGTATCGGGCCGCACGATATCACTCTGACCAGGGGCCGAACCAGCATTGTACATCACCCAAACCTCATTGAGTAAATTGCTTCAGTCGCCAAGTCAAATGTGGCCAGTCGACAATCTCGGGAATTGGGCCGGTACCAAGAGATGCTGCACTCACAGTCAGTGATGGAGACAGTGGACACGCGGCAACAAATGGTGTTCGGGTCCACGCATACCATGTTCTTGCATAAGTGTGTTTTCATTCGAAGCAACAATGGCCACATGAGCCCAGTACCGACCATGGATAAAACAATAATCTTTTAACAAAGGGACATCTCCCGCGGAAAGCAATTTATACGCATATCCAAGGTATCCATCCTTGTTATACATCATCATCATCATCATCCTCATCATTCTCGTCATGGCCGCAGTAGCAGACTCCGACAACAATATCTCATTCCTCGATGGCTTGCAGCCTGAATCTTTCACTAGCGATGTAGAGCGATACGCAGCCAAAGAAGCCGCGAGGAAACTCTTAGCTAGATTGGAAACCCCGTTCGAACGATCATGGGCCTCATCTTTCGAAACACCGGTCTTGGTTGCTGGGCTTCAAGTCTGTCAAGACCTTGGCATTTGGTCAAAGTGGTCTGAACTCGACAAAGAAAATACTGGAGCTTCTCAGTCACTCGATAATATCTTATCAATGGTACACAAAGACGTTGATCCAAATCTACTGCGTGCGTACTTGTAGCTCCTGCATTCAGAAGCACTCCTCATGCTGATGATTACCAGGTCGTTTCCTTAGGCATATCGCTGCTTTGTATGTCCTCAAAGAATCGGGCCCTGACAGCTGGAAACCAACTTCTTTCTCTTTAGCGATGGGTGACCGCAGGTCATACATAAACCAGACTGTACAATGTGGGTAAATTATACACGCTTTTGATCGTTGATCGGCAAAGGCTCACTAAAACGACAGGCTTGATCACACTATGCCCAGCGGCATCAATCTGGCCCGGTTCTTGTGCAAGTATTAATACAAGGAGCCTCTGGACAAGACGAAGTTCGATAATTACCGTGACTTGTTCGGAGACGACTTCTTTGCTTATTGCCAGAAGAACCCTGAAGTCAGAGGTAGTTTCATCGGCTTGATGACAGCTCTGAGGAACCACAAGATGGACTGGACCGAGGTATTTGACACCAATAGAATAGTCGAAGGCGCCAAACTTGACGGTAGCAAACCACTTCTTGTCGATGTTGGCGGCGCCCATGGTATTGATAGCGCACGCTTCCTTACCAAGCACCCAGACTTGCCCGCAGACGTGATCACCCTTCAGGACTTGCCGGATGTGATAGAGACGCATTCAAAAGAGAAGCTGGACAGTCGTATCAGACGCATGCCCTACAACTTCTTTACGCCACAGCCAATCAAAGGTGCTAGAGCCTACTTCTTCCACGCTGTGCCACACGACTGGCCCGATGCCGACTGTGTGCGCATATCTGAAAACATCAAAGCTGCCATGGAGAATAGCTACTCGAAGCTCATTATCTACGAGGTTGTGCTTCCAGCACGAGGGGCGACTAGTCTGATGACCACACTGGACTTGCAGCTGATGAATTGCACTTCAGGACTGGAGAGAATGGAGGCGCATTGGAAAGACCTGTTGGCGCGAGCTGGTTTCAAGATCATAGGTATCTCAAGTCACCCTAGAGCCGTCGAGAGCGTCATCGAGGCTGAACTCGCGTGATCGAGGTCATTATGGTCGAAACAAATCTCGAGGCTGAAGATCAAGTGTGCAATTATTGTACATGGGATTCAATAAAGGCTGCCTAGCCAGTCACTTCTATGGCTTCAAGATATTTTTATGACTTTTCCATCGTTAAGTTGCTTAAGAAATTACGACCCGCATGAGTTGCGGATCAATATTCCGTATACAATGGATCTACCTAATATCGATGTAAAGATAATATTCCAACGTGAGAATTGTAACCGTAGTTAGTTCATAATGAATCTTGCTCTATATGATCACCAAAACAATTCACATAACCATTATTCGGACCTCTTTCCTAATCCTCAACTCAGCCGTAGGTGATAATGCTGAAATCTTGCGCGACATATCTTGGAAAACGAGACATTATTGACCAAGCCAACTTCAATAGTACTGCTTGCAGAGGCTCGAACTTGTAGTTCCTACTGGTACAACACCACCAATTTATAACTTCCCAGCGCATCTCGGGCTTCAAAAGAACATCTTCGAACTCAGACATAACTAAACCGCCTCGAAGCAGCGAGTTCGACTTCAAGTCAAAGTGGGGCAGATCGATCGCCCAGATATTCGAGCAGCGCAAGAATTTCCACTTTGAACCTTGACATGACATGGCTACTTGTTTGTAAACTTCGTATCACAGCGCTTTCGCTGGACTGGCAAAAAGTGAAAAACAAGAACACCTAACATTTGATCTATATGGAACGTGTATGACTATCAAAACGGAGATTGTGTAATGCCCAAAAATCTAATAATACTATTGTAACAATTACTTGAGATACTTTGTATCAAAGATTAGTGTGGCTATGGTAATGCGCTTTGTGATTTTATTCTAACCATAGAAAGAGATTGTTGGATATGGTTTGTTTACTAGTCCTTCCCTCAACCGATCACTTTTAATGATTATATGTTCTGACCAAAGTGTTTGGTTGCCAAATCGTAGTCTTCTATTGCTCTTTTGCTTTCTCCTTTTTCTCCCTTGCTCTCTAGGATCTGACGACAAATGACTAGATTCTTCCTAGTCTAATTAGTCTAGACTAGTCCCTACCATAATTCCTTCTGGTTTCCATAGTCGTCGTAAAAATCATATGATAGCTCCCCGTTTTTTATTGCGCGGCAGAGAGCTGTAGCTTCACAATTACGGTAAGCAGCTTCTACAGAGATGGAGACTCTGAGCTTCGGGCAACAACATCATGTGGCGCCCAGGATCCGCCACCATCTATCTCAGCACTGATAAGCTTGTGAGCTTAAAGTCGTCCACTTCAAGTCTGACATCGTGGTTTTCACGATTAGATACGCAATACCGAGCTCATTGCGGATAATATCGATATATGCAAATAGAATAACGCTTACCTTCGAGATGATATCTTCAAGCGACATGCTTTGTAAGACTTCGAGGACCAGACGAACCAGATTGAAGGTACCAGCCCATGGGCGGCCCTCTGACACCCTGCAAACGTTATAGCGAAGGTACTTGGGGATGTTTAGACGATGCTTGGCAAACGAAGTACGGATTCATGGAAGATAAGGGAAAACTAGTGGGTCCTGACTTGACAGCTTGTTGATGGTATTGCATTGCGAATTGGTGTAAAAGCCACCAGGCTTTACTTATCTTTTGCCGATTTTCAAGATTGAGACCTCTGATATCAGTGGACTACACCAGGCCGGTAAAACTTCCTCATCTGTCATGAGATCATTGCCAGCTTTCCGATGATCCTCTGGTGTGGGTCTGTAATAGCAGTTGGATACAGTTTTCAGGTAGTCTTACTTTCCTTGGTGGTTTAAGTGGGAAGAACAGTGCTTCATACCACCTTCTTAGTGTATTTGTGACTATAAGTTCCCAGATCGATCGCAGAATTGACCTACGCTTATCTCCTGGTAGTCTGGCAATGCACGATACGCCCTTCTGCATGTCTGCTGTCTGGTGGCCGGGCACTAGTTCAGAGCCAAAACCCCTGTTTGAGTGCGCGGTCAGAACTTTTGTTCTTCTTAATCCCCATCCTATAAGCCGTGATCTGTACATTATTTCCCAGTTTTATTTTCTTTCGGCAACTGTCAGTAGGTTCTGTCTTGTCCAGGAGCTGCTAGACTTAACGTACGAACCATGGAAACTGTGTTAAATTCTAATAAGATTCTTCAACCTCGACAGTGGCATAAGTCAGTATTGTTGTGATGATACCTCATTTACCCAAAATTCTGGCGAAGAAACCGTGGCTTGCCACTGTGCAGCTACGCGTTCCCTTTTGCGAAAAGTTGACGTGATAACCCGATTATTTCTGCAGTCAAGAGGGGCTGGTTCCAATTCTACCGGTGCAGATACGTTCCAAGAAAGAATGTGTATTTCTTCCTGGGTCCGAGAAATAGTTGTTGATGGACAGTACTGATAGCACAGACGAATATTTCTATCACATCGGGTTAATTCAGCCGCACTTCTGCGTGTCCACAGATAGTCATGATTTCAGGCGTCCTGAGACTGGGCAGGATCATGAGTTTGACCAAGGCATGGGCATCAACATTCCAACCCATTTCGTAGTCCGAGCTAAGACTTGATGTACATGGTGGCGGGTCGCTTCTCGTACATTTGCGCGGTCACTGGTACATTAAACTGAGGCATCCTCTGATGGCATTGGTGGGTGGAAAATAGCTAAGTCAGAATCAATCCTCCTCTACTTGTCAGCTCATGATGGAAAATTCTTACAAACAAGCTCGCATTAAGATCATATTAATAATAAACCAAACACAGTAATAATATTCCACAGATTATGAGTATGCATACTGCCAGTTCTTGTTAGAAATGGTGCTAATAGTTTACTTTTTCAAATTGTGTTAATACATGTTAAGTGGAGTTCTTAGTGAGCAATAAGAAAAGCTCTCCGCGTTCAATCCCTTTCCTATCCGTATACCTAATCATGCTCATGCGTCGTGCACTATCATATGGGGGTTTTCTCTCTCTTTTATATCAATCATGTCTTTTTCATACTTCATGCTTCTCGTATAACACTGTCATTGTCGACCTTTACAATTCGCTGGTGGGGATTTGTTCCTTCTTGTTCTCCAAGAAAGGCTCTAGTCGCTCTACAAGCTCCTCGACCTCAATCTCCTCTCCATCGATGTAGTCCCCGTGATGCTCATGTGGAGGAATCAGTACACTGTCGAGGACCTGAACAACACCGTCCTTGGCGACACCGTCCTGGATGGAAACACGAGTAAAGCCATTGATCTTGAAAGAGATGAATCCACCCCAACGGGCGATGTCAATGCTGAGACTCTTCTCATCGAGTAGAGTTGGAAGATCGATGTGGTATTGTGCAGACTCACTGTTGACATCTGACTTGTCGTCCTTTCCATAGTATGCGTCGGAGTAAAGTGTCTCGTTGATCACAATATGATACTTTAGAAGCGCCTTTAGGTATCCCAGACCCTTCTCGGTATTGAAGAGGAAAGCATTGGCACCAGGCCCTAACTTCTCAAATGCCCAGTTGGTGGGAGCGAAAATTGTACCGCCAGTTGTCTTTGGCAAGCCATGCAACTCCTTACCCAGACCAGTCTTCTCACCAGCTAGCAACAAAGTTGAGAACTTCTGTGGGAACAATGAGATGATTCTCGGGGCTGGAGGCGGTGGCACAAGAATGCTGTCAACGCCGTAAATGACGCCGTTCTTCACGAACTGAAAGCACTGTCAGTATGTGTCATCAGACGTTGGCATAGATGAACGTACAATATTCGCGACGACAACCTTGCTGTAGAAGTTGACTCGCAGACCAAAGAGTCCGATGCTTACGCGGAGTCTCTGTGGCTTGTCGCCAAGTGCATCTTCTTTCACAAGAGTGGGGAGGGTATGGCTTGCTAGGATTCTCCCAGCAGGGTAAAGACCGGGTACAACGTGGTACTCGAGCACTTTCTCGATGAAGTCCTTTGGAGGTTCCTTATGGTGGTCTGGGATCTTTTCGAATGCCTTATCTGTGGGGATGAATGCTGTAATGTTGTGGTGAGTGCTGTTCAAGACTTTAACAATATCAGGGTACTCATCGACCAGCTTGGCAAACCTGGTCGAGTACTTGGACTCCTGGATCGCCTGATATACCGTGAGATTTGAAGCTTCGTGGTGACCATGGTGGCCATGGTGGCCCTTTCGACCCTTGCCGGGGTGCTCTGATTCCCATGATGTAATGAGGAAATCCGGGATCTCGAAATCAATTTCTGGGAGGGAGTCAACAAGCGACTTGGCGCCATCATGAACGGCGTTCAAAGCAGTCGAGGAAACGTCTTCAGCCGATGAGCGCAGGTCTCCCAATGAGGGGACACTGTCCCACCATGACCATTCGTCATGGATTGGCTCGGTTTCCAAGGCAATCTGATCAGCGATAACTTCGTTTGGAATCACGAAAGCCCAGGTGGCAGCTGCCGCGAAAGGCAGGATGGTTGTGTACCTCATTATCACACGTTCGATGGTATTGAAGAGCTTGATTTTAATGAGGAAAAGATGAGGTTGTAGCGAGGCTTAACCATAAGCTCAGCTCAACGCGTCAGCTCTTTTCAAAGTAATGTAAGCACCCGAGAGCTCCGCGGGTGCTGTGACGTCAAGGAAACCGTTGTCTCGTCTGTTGAATCACCGAAACAACCGTGCAGGATTGAGTTCAGATATCAAAATGAACCAGAAGAGATGGATTGAGCAACCAGACCTTCTTATTGCGTCGTCTCACGCAATAAACCAGCTGCATTGAGCCATTCGATGGCAGTTGCAGCCTAGCATCAGCGCGTCATGATTACCTTTCTAACCCAGACTAGGTGGCATTTGCGTCGTGCGTTTCGAGTGGTGTGATGTTATTTCATTGGGTCTCGGGTCTTTTTAGAAGCTCTTAGCCGCTCTCTATCGGTACTCTAGCGGTCCCGAGCCCGTGGTTAGGGGCTTCGGGGAATATGATTTGCTCATCCGATCGACCCGCACAGTAAAGCTTCTTTTGCTATCAATTTCTAAGGCTGCGAATAATATCCTACTAAGGTCGCAAAGTATTCAATCTTAGAGCTTGAAATGTACTTCGAATTCGACATGGATTCAGTGCACTGGTCAACTTCAGGATCGTCCCAGGACGTCATAACAACAACGATCAATGGCATTATTAGAGCCAGTATGATCCTATGCTGGCCCATACAGAATCCCTTCTGACCACCTCATGCTTAGTATCGTATACTCATTAATCATGCAATTTTCAATATGATATCGCCGATATAGACATAAAGGATTTAATAAGATATGGCAGAAAACCATGATTTGAGTATTATATGGCGTAAGGTCAATGAAGCAGCCACAATGACTGTCCATGATCCGTATCGGGATCTAGTCTAAATGACAGCGGTACAAAGCTTCCATCCACTAGTTACTTTCCTTTGTTTCTTAGACTATATTATCACAATGCACTTTCGTTGAAGCAACTAATCTTCCATACCGTGCTTTATCTTCTAGTGTGATCAACGTACATATTCAGCGGTGTTGTCATACTTGCCACCCAAAAGTAATGGTGTGTAATATATGTATGTCATTTCTGCCTATCTTCAAGTGCTATTTACTCTGAATTTCTTTTAATTCTTTTTTTACTTAACATGGCCCAGAAGCAGCAAGTAATGTCTGAATCTTAGCATTAGTTTCAATGTGATGTACAGCCTCCCATCCAGTGTCTTCCTCAGCTGTTGTATTGTGGCCAGTTCGCTTTTCTAAGGGCGTTCATTGTTTGTGCTGGAAACGGCGTAGCGCATAGGAACAAAGCCTCCCAGGAGAGCTTGCGAGATTGCGCCTGGTCAATAACATAACTCTATGCATCGCACTATTGAAACATTGCTGAGGTTTTGGTAATTTGTTAATTGATATATGTGCGATATTTTACTTGAGAGATGGCTCAAAGTAGTCGTAGAAGTGACCGATCCACGCAAGGCGAGCTCGACCTGCTCGAGAGCTTTTTTGCCCAGCAGCCACGATTTAGCTTTGGCGGTTATCTCGGGGATGGCGCTTTTGGAGTCTGCGCAAAAATCACAGAGCGCTTCAGTGATGGGCGACCTTATAGGCACATGGTCCTCAAGAGATCCACTGGACGAAGTTCTTGGAGAGATCTATTTATCGAGATTGATCGATTAATGGTGAAGATTCGGCTATCCAAGCCTCTTCCATTCTCTAGAAATCCGTCTTAGCTTTTTGCTGACTGTTAGAAAGATGATTGGCGGTGGAAAACACACGGTGCAAAAAATCGACATCGTTTCGCCGCCATGGGAACACACTCCCCAGGCTGTGGCTGCTGGGACTGGAGCTGAAGGGAATGATATCATGCTACAAGGACCGACTGTAGTAATGGAACTGTTACCAAATGGAACAGTGGAGGACTTCGTGACCAAGGCTACGTATTACATGGAGACAGAGTTGATCCAACACTTACCAAATCGCCTACTATGGAGATTTTTCTTATGTTGTAAAGACATCCAATCCAACGGTTCGAGATCGTTGAATCATATTAATTGGGTGCACAGTTGTACGGATGATGATTGGCATGGCATTTCCTCACGAACAGGTAGCTGGCGAAGCACCTCAGCTGGAAGATTTCCCGGCCGGTCTCTCTACAGAAGGTCCCTTTACTCATATCGACCTTCATATTGGTAACGGTATGTTCAAAGAGCTGCAACTATATTTATGTTGGGTCAGAACTTGGCTAACACCCAGTAGTCATGATCGGGGACTTTATACCAACTGAGCCTGAGCACGAGATAAGTCCAATTATGAAATTAATCGACTTTGGCGTAATTTCCCGGGCGATCAGGCCGAACTCTGTCTGGTAAAGCTCTTTAGACGTAACGATCTACTTGTGGTCGAGACTAACATGTTAATAGGCACGTAGCACCCATATTCTTACAGGGAGCTTCCCAGCACATGAGAGACCTGGGATTTGTAAGAGTCCTTGTTGATTGGCGAAACTGGTTGCCTCGCTGACCTTTGGTATAAATCATGGAATGCCTCATTACCCTCCAAGATCCTTCACCATATTCACCAGAGGAACCGAGAAGTTTTGAAAGAGTATCTGGTGGGCCGAGAATCTGGACCCGGGCCAGCGTTGTGCTCACTGACGAAGCTATTATCGACCTGTATCCCAACCTTGATCCAGACCTCAGGTGTCTTATTGGCGAGTGCATGGCAGTTGAAGCGGCCAATCGCCCAAAATTACGAGATCTTTTTACACGAGTGCATGATTTTTACACTGACAGAGATCCTGGCTTTTACAAGGATTACCTTGGTGGTTTCAGATGGGAGGAGGATGAAGCCATTAAAAACTTGATACATAATATACTGTCCACTCCGGCATAATACGTGCAAGCCGAAAGGGACTGGGGCGTGTTCCAGTGGCTTGAAAGAAGGGCCGTATATATCTTCGGAGATTCGTACTGTTACTATATAGATGGCCTACATCAAATGGCGGAGCAATCGCGAAATCGGAAGAAGTCCCCCACCTCTCCCCTGTCGATAATAGTGGTTATCATAGTAGTATATTTTCGAAATACAATCATAATTAGATTGACATTCCCAAATCTTCTAGAAAATAGGACCATGAAAGCTGGATATTGCTTCTTGCAACCACAAAGAGGTCATAGGTGAAACATAGATTGCGCTGGGAGTCACTGGCGATTTCGTTTTGGAGGATGGCGTGATGTGCTGCTGCGAAGACGGCAGGCACCCCGCCATCGACGTCATTATATGCAGTGGAAGGATAATTGAGCTTCAGCACGTAGCCAGTCCGACAAACAACAACTATTTACAAGGTCACAAAATTCAAACAAGCACAAACCAAATTGTCAGATTCCTCATCAACTGAGTCTCAGATTGGCAATGCCTTCTATACTCATTGTTGGCGCCACACGCGGCCTTGGAGCCGAGTTGGTAAAGCAGTATGCCTCCCAGGGCGACAACACAGTATATGCCACCAGCCGCTCGCAGTCGAAGCCAGAAGGATTTCCAGATGTTGTCAAATGGGTATCCAACATTGACCTGGCAAACTCAAATGTAGGAGATGAGCTCGCGAAGCAATTGAAGGATGAAAAGCCACTGGACACGGTTGTGAGTGAAGTTATCTAAGATATAGACGTGTATCAGGACTAACACACCCAGATCATTACCGCTGGTCGTTTCACAACGGAAGACTTTTTTGACAAAGGTCCAAACTGGGAGGAGGAAGTTACTATTTACACGACCAGCTCAATCGCGCCAGTATTCATCATCCACAAGCTGGTCCACTCAGACCTGCTCAAGTCGGGCTCCAAGATAGTGCTAGTTTCAAGCGAGTCTGGCAGCATCACGCTCCGCCATGAAAGTGAGGGAGGCGGCAACTATGCTCATCATGCTTCCAAAGCCGCGCTGAATATGGTTGGAAAACTGCTCAGTTTGGACCTCAAGGACAAGGGAATTATTGTCAGCACTGTGCACCCTGGGTTCATGAGAACAGAGATGACTAAAGGGGTTGGTTTCGACAAGTATTGGGACGATGGCGGCGGTAAGTTCAACCAGCACTACATAACATGTTGATAACGATAATTGACCATTGGTCTAGCGGTCACGCCTGACGAGGCTGCGCAGAGCTTAATTGCCTGGACTGACAAGCTCGACAGCAGCAAGTCTGGGGAATATTGGGCACCTAGGGGCCCAAGGGACATTGGTACAGCCGAGCCAGTGCTCGGAAAGGGCCTCCCTACCCCTTTGAAGCTTCCATGGTAATGGGTCATTAATACTCACATGTGGTGATAACATTCAAGTCTCCTGATTCAGCTTGCGCGTGTCAAAGAGTCTATGACACGCGTGCGCCAGCATAGCGTGTGTTCAGCAGCAGTCGAGCTCCGGTGCTAGCTCGCCCGAAGCCACGGACGAGAATAGAAAGCATATAATAAAGTCTCGTGTCCCCTCGTGGCTCGTGGCGCGCCAACTGAGCCTGAACCTTATTCAAGATAGTTCGCGTAGCGTGCAATAAGCCGTTTATCTGCATCAAGTCGGTTGCTCGATGTTCTCAGCGCGTTAAGCGCTATGTTGGAACTGCTCCTGAAAGAATTGTGCTTGATGAGCTTGTTGATCCTTGCTTGTCAAACGACGGGGACCGGCATCGCTTGGCATACTTGGTTTGATTTTCCCCACAATGTTACAGGGAAATAGAGCCTTGAATGTGGGGACACAAGGAAAAGGGGATCCGCCATAATTTGACTTTACGGGTCAGAGTCTCACGGTCAATTGCAGCACCGCACATTGCCAAAGTAGGGTTCAGGAGGGCATTGGTTCCGAGCATGAGCAGGCGCGTCTCATTGTGATGTCGTGCCCATTTCCCGGCTTGTCTCCCGCCCATGCTTTGGAGCACTCTTTCAGCGGTGAGAGTATACCGCATGGGACAGCAACGTCCCCTGTAACAGCTCAGGGTCTAGCTGGATGCCAGCGCCGGGATTACTCATGTGAATACCATATGTACTAATAAGTACCTTGCGGGGCGAGCCTGCACACTACTTTAGAGAGAATCCACCATCAAGTTCTCACGCTGCACGGAGTAGTTGCATGTCAGTTTGCTTGGCTTCCAAATCAAATAAGAAATCCCTGGCGTCTGTGGCTTGTTGAGCGTCGAGATTGACGAGATCTAGAAGATGCAAGTGTTCGTCAAGGAGGCACAGCGCATGTGGGATGCAGGGCCGATCAGCACAGTGCCCTCGATACCCATAGTGCTTTGGGACTTTTGCATGATATATACTATGTAGACGCTGCTACTGTAAGCGAAGTTACTATGCATACAAGTATGGACATAACCAGGGGTACTGAGCGCGATGCCCCTCGTCTGCATTCCACAATGTTGGCAGAACTGGGGTTATCGACACCGGTAGGGGCTAAAGAAGTTGGTGAACGACACTCATCAAACAAGAACAACGGGTGCTAATTTTGCAATTTATCGATCATCTGTTCTCTCGAAAGGTTGTAATTATACAGGTAGCTTTAGGAGAGCAAGAACTATTTCCTGGCCGCCAAGCATGCTACTAAATTCGTGGGAGTCTGGGAGGTACCCGTGTTGCATAAAAAGAACAGCTGAAATGGGTTGAGTGCACAAGAAGATCAATGGGCCGATCAGACGCAAGCCATGGGCTTCATAATCAGCAATTCCATCCGAAGCATCTCTTCTTTCGACGCCTGCAGACGCCAGGCGCAATAAGGCAGACGGGCAATATGGTCCGTAGATGGCGCTTATTAGTCTGCATCGTCCTGCCTCGAACCGACAGGCTGGGTGAAAAGAAGCATAGTATTTATTATATGCCACAAGTAGCTCGTGACCCCTGACGATAGGAACTATCTGCTCCGTAACCTAGGCCGCTTTCTCCTGAAGAAGACAAAGCAGCTGCATGCATGGCCGATTACATGCTTTAACGTAGCATTTGGTTGATTTCCACCTTCCCCGACTTTGAACAGCAACAGCCAGCCCAACAATATTGTAACCAACGGGATTGGGGAGGCGATTTGGTCATCGTTCTTGCAGCGGTGCTGCGTAACACACCAGGCAGCAGACCCTGCTCTTTCCTGGGTCTCCAAACTAAATTAAATACATTGGATATGTGTGTACATATGTAGTAGTAGCTATTACGGAGTACGCCAGCAAGACTCAGTTTCTGGATTTCGCTAAAGAGCTCAGCACGATTCGTTGTCCGAATTCTGTTTCCCTTTTCTCGGTACAGTACTTTACTACTCTAAACCGTACGTACTTTCTTCAAAGCAACTCTCGTCTGCATACCGAACTGTGTTCATCTTTCGCATCTCGCCTCCGGGTCTTGCACGAATTGCTTCATTACTGCAGTTCTTACCTCGGCCGCTCGGCGACGATCTGCATTATCACCCATTCTTATGCTGCCCCGCTCTTCATAATACTGCTACCACGACTACCCTCCGTGCATCCGTTCAGTACATTACTGCTAAAGTACGGCACCACCACTGCAGCCAGCTATTGAGCACGCTGAATTGATTGTAAACACACATACCCCGAGGCCAGCCAGCTAGCCATCGTCAGGCGCGCTCTAATCTCAAAGGAGCGAAATCACACTACAGTATTTAGACGAAAGGGTCCCGTGAAGATCGCAACATCCCCGACCAAGCTAAAGACCCAAGTCTCCGTCTGCCCATGTGGTCAGAAGACGTTACCTAACTGATTCTCATTCTCTGGATCAACACTGCTGCGAGCTCCTGTCCGCAAATCGACAGACATCTTTTTTTCCCTCCCCCCCTCCATCCCTCTTTGTTGTTGATATACAATACAGTCGATACTCAACACCAAGGTATTTTCGGTGTGAGTCGCGACAGCTTTACAATCTCGATTCGAGTTCGTTTTAGATTTGTACCAGCGACCTAGTTTAGTTCGTATCCTGCTCAGGCCTCAGCTCCCCTTTTGGTCCCCCTCTGGTCCCTTGCAGCATCTGAACGGACCCGTTGGAGCCAAAACTTTTGGGAACCCAAAAAACCGCTTTCCAAGAACGAACCACCAACTGAACACGACACTGACCACTGCTGTTGAGGACGCCAACATAAACAAAAGACTGTCCCTTATCTTTTCCACCGAGTGGATATAGGCCATCGTCCAGTCACCTCAATAATACCTAAAACAACAACAACCACAACAACACACTACTTAATACAAAGCCTGCTGCTTTCTTTTCTTGGCCTGTCGCAGCTTCGGTTCCAAACACCATTACGACTCCCCACGTCACGTCATAAGGCTGTATCTGAAGAGTACAGAAGTTGGCGGCAGCACACAGAGAGAGGGACAGAGAAGGAGACAGAGAGACAGGCTTGGACCTCTTGCTCCCTGAACCTGAAGATTGCCTATCCTTTTGGCGACTGACACACCATTACTACAGCACAGTCTCGTATGCATTTTGCCCTGCAACCGGTCGAGGATCTCGGCGACTGTGCATACAAAGCAAACCCACACGACAGACAGACGAAATTTGATATTGTTTCTTGCAGCCAAGCAGCTCCAACAGCACTCCGCCGACGATAGAAATCGAGATTACACCTTCAACAATACACACCGTCTACCAGCCTGGCAACGACCGCACAATACTTAGCAACCTCGGATAACACGCGGACGAGATCTTATTCACTGGCAACTTATTAAGAGCAGGGTAAAACTGTCCCTTACCATACCCATACCCATACCAGAGCCATGTCGGGCGATTTCTCAGCAGGTAAGATAATTTGACAGTTTCGTTTTGTTATGCCGTGTTACCCATTTCCCTTGGCCATGTCCCGGAATGCAGCCCTGATGTGCATTTGCTGGCGACAAGGACCCCTTTTGTAGTCGGCGATATTCATTGGCAGTGGATCATAACGACGAATCTATGACTTGCTGGAGCAAGTTCCAAGCTTTGTCCCTTGTCACAGGTTCTCCTTTAGGTGCCCTTTTCCTTGGTTGATATCTACCTGTTTGGGATGAAGGAGGGATTGGCAGGACTTCGCTCCACTTAACTGGACCAGTGGTCTGTGTCAATTTAAGAGACTCATGTTTCATATGCCTATCACAATCGTCATTGTTATCTGTACTGTACAGCGCTGTCGCGTACTGCACATGCTAACCTCCTGTTTGCGTCTTGCATAGGCCAATCCAGTGGTCGATCTGCCGGGTTGACGCTTAATCTCTCGTCAAACAACCCCTTTCGCAACCGTGCCGCCTCGCCAAATAGTGGCCTCAGTCCCAACTCTTTCCCCCCTCCCTCCCCCCATTCTCCCTTCGACGACCCTCCGTCTGCCCAGCAACAACGACCGGTCTCGAGGAACCCTTTCTTCGACCCTTCAGACACCAGCCAAACACAAAGAGTACAGTCGCCAGCCAGCATGGCTTCCGCCAACGAGAACAGAAAGTCCCCAACCGCGGAAGAGTTGTTTGTAAGTCCACACCGTTTGATCTTCAGCCATTGCCTGCTCATTACCACGATCACCACCAATTCATGCGCTGGAATGGTCGGTGAATATGCGCCTCGCATGCGCACACATCTCGCCGTGTATCGGACACGCTTCGCTACATGCCAAACCGCGACACTTGCTGATATGACGTGTTTAGGACCAATTGATTATTATTGATGACGACAACAAGCCCATGGCAAAGCCGGCAAAGCCAGCACCGCGACCGGACGGCGCTCGCGGACCTCCGAGGGGACCTCCAGGCGGCCCACCCCGCAGCGAGAACGTTCCTCCCAGAGGAGGACGAGGACCTCCTCCCACGCACCGACCGACCCGATCACAGGAGGAGGCAATGAGGGCGCGTCGAATGCAAGAGAGGAACGGATCAACTACTGAAAGAAGCCTGCTTGATTCACCCCAGAAGCGGCCAATGGAGCGAAAGCCTCGTCGTAACTCCGAGTCGTCGGTAATTGAACTCACGGAAGAAGAGAAGAAGCAGAAAGAGCTCCGACGACGTGAACGGGAGCGACGCCACCGTGACGGCAAGGGCAAGGACAAGTCTGGCAAGCCTAGCCGAAAACTCGATCTGATTGACCAGCTTGATGCCACGAGTATCTACGGTACTGGATGTAAGTCTTATTTTGGAAGGGATTTATGCGCAGACTGCCGGAAATCTTTTCATTGTCTTTTCGAATTTCTTTTTGGACTAATGATTTGCCTCAAGTATTCCACCATGATGGCCCGTTCGACGCCTTGAACCCACACCGCAACCGCAATGGTAGCCGGCACGCACCGATGCAAGCGTTCCCCAAGGATTCTGCTAATATGTCGCTCGGAGGCGCTGGCCCTCTCAACTCTAAGCCTGACCATAAAGCACTCATGGGCAAGTACGATGAGGAGGCATATCTGGATTACAACCAGTCCCGCAGGAAGGGTCAGCCAGCAGTCTATGATGAGCCGCTCAGCACCAAGAAAGTTGCAAACGTGTTCGATCCCCATGCACGAGCCTCGATTCTTCACGGAGATGAGTCCATAGGGTTGGGCACCTCGACTTTCCTGGAAGGCACTCCCGCTGCTCAGACCGATATCCAAAGACGTCAAGCCGAGGTGGCTCAAGCTTCCATGGAGCAGGGACTGCAGAGAAAGAAGTCACTGGCACAGAGAATTCGTGGTATCAACCGGGGGCCTCGCGACATGAACAACCGCAGCCGGGTCACGAATCCCGACGGCCTCTATGGTCCGCGTTCCGGGGATCTACCGACAAGCAGCAGCACGGGCGAGAGGAACCCCTTCTTCAACGACTACGACAAGGGCGGCGAGGAGCGAATGACAGTGCGACGACAGGACACCAACCCAAAGCCCCCTGTATCCCCTGACAGCCCCCCTCGTGGCTACGGTTTGGAACGACGCTCTACTGCTGATGCTACTGCTGCTATGTCTTCGGAGCCTGGAAAGTCGCAGGGTAACGGCGGCTTCATGACCCGTGTCAAGAGTCTGAAGGGTGGACGAAGACAGCGACCTGAGCCGCCCCAAGCAGCAGTGCCTTCGTATCCAGCTCCAGCCGCTCCTGGAACCGCAACTTGAGTTATAGGCGTCTGATCGGCCATTGAGCTTTTGGCACACAGCGAGGTACCGAACAACCTGATTATGAGTGGATACGGAAACGGGCAGAAGGGAGGACCAAACGGGTTGCATCCGTGGGAGAACCTAGCAACGGACTAATCCTGGCCCCTAAAATGGTACGGGTAACAGGAAGATTTGGCCCGATAGCGGTGATTTTACAACACTCACTCCATGTGCTTTTTTGTCAGGATACCGTTTTGCGTGCGTGCTGGTAACCAACAAGCACGAGCTTAAGCACGTGTAATCAATTTATGGGATTCAAGAAAAGGAGAGTAGAAGATGGGCGGGGAAATGGGCAGATTAGAAATTGTCGCACACCTACGGCGGATCTCTATAGACCAAATTCCAGAAGACCTCCCTGAGATGTCGAAATTCACTATGATAAATCGCTGCACTTTCACGACGCGTAACTCATTTCAATAAGACACTCGGCACCTGTGCGACCCAACTCAAACGATGCGCGCACTTGGCTCTTACTTCTCACCACTTGCTAACCGGTTTAACTTACGTACTCGCGCTTAGAGCCGTCTCTTCTACCGTCGCGCTCTTTCAACATCCGGTGATTCTCCACGCAAGGTGCCTATCATCGTGGAACCCTCTATGCACGAAATCACTTATTAATAGCACGAGGGAGTCGAAAACCTCAAGGACTACAGTAACTACTGATTTCATCCTGTTCACCTAGACGAGACGTACCATGACGGGCGAAATCGTATCGTGCCTAAGACGGGCCACGGAAGCTATTCTACCGTATGGCTTGCCTGGAATGCACTACGATACAAATTTGCTGCTCTCAAAAGTTTAAGAGCTGATGCATCTGAGAAAGACAGAGAATGCGATTTTAGCCCGCCTTGCCGCCGGCCAGGCTGACCATCCCGGGCAAACTTGTGCTGCAACCTTGGTCGAAAACTTTTTCATCACGAGTTCTAATGGTTGTCATCAAACAATCGTCACCGAGGTCGCTGGGTCTAGTGTTGTTATTTCCAAAGAATTGTGTTCTGAATGGATGTTTCCGCTTACAAGTAGCGCGAGTCGTTGCCGCACAGGTTCTGCAGGGGTTATCCTACGTTCATTCGTGTGACGTCGTACATGGCGGTATGTAGCTCAATATTTAGATTTACTCTCAAGGACTAATAGCCGCCGAATTATTCACACTAACACCGCCCCTTTCAAACACCCATATTTCTCTTCGTCATCCGTAAAAGAACTCTACCAGCGCGTTGACGAACCACATAGATTCCCAGTGAAAACGCCTCGACGAGCAACTACCAAACCAAGTCCCGAGGCACCACGATATTGCGTGCCCTCGGCGTTGGTAACCTCTCGGCGGATATAACAATAGATGCAGACAAAATTATTGAAGATTTCGGCGAGGTCCCCCCCTCCCCCCCCTTTTCTTCTCTATTTTTTTATGAGAATCCGGCAATTCGCACCAATATAAATATGCACATGCCCTTCTTACTCTTGCCACCTGAGGCCATCCTCAATGAGGGCCTTAATCAAGCCGTCAGTATGTGAACAATAGCGTGTGCTCTGTATGAAACTATGGTGGAAAGACCGCTCTTCGAAGGGGTTCGTGGCAGACGAGGACCACGCTGTGGCGGAGATGATTAGTACCATGGGTCGTATTCCTGAGCATAGGTGAAGTAGCTGGGATGCACGACGAAATTATTTCCTTGTCGATTGATCTTTGGGCCCACACATGACGAAGTCTCATGAGCCGCGCTCTCGACCTCTGACTGGGCGGTTAAGGATCATGGGTCGCGGCGATGGTACGACTAGCTGTGAGTTCAGCATGCAGAAGCTGGCTGCTATGGAGGTTATGTTGGGCTCATTGCTAACGTGAGAGCCAACGCGCCGTTACACAACGAAAGAGGCTCTGAACAACAGGTGGATGACACAGTATCGCCTGCCAGCTATTGAACACCTGAAAGCAAATTCATGTGCGCATGTTCCTTACTCTATAGCTTTGAGTCGGCTCATGCTACTCGGCAGGTCCGGGGCCCTCTTGAAAGTGGTGCTGGCGAGTGTCGCCCATTCCTATCTGGCAAATAATCTATATTGCCAATAACATTCTGTCCCGGCTTCAGTCAGCTCCTTCCTATGTCGTTTTTGTAATGAAAGGAAACACTACAAATATAATTCTGCCATTGCGTTTGCCACGTCTCGTGTACACAGGCGGTCTTCAGGTGGTACCTATCAAGAAAGAAAAAGACGAAATATTTGGCTGAAGAAGGTTGTTATTGTGTCCGTTGGCTAACGGATGAGTCAAAGTCGAAACTGCGCAGGAAAAGTGGCTGTGTTGTGGCAAGGGTCTTGGGTTGCAGTGAAAGCTTTTTCGAAACAAGAGGGACGGCTTTAATGATATTTACTTAATAGTCATTTAATAATTGTAATTAAAAAAAATTTAATAAAAAAAACTTGCTAATTAACATTATTAAATTCCGTGTATAATTAATTGATTATGAAGAAAATAAGTGGATCGTAACTAGAGGTGGCTCTTGACTTAGTCATTCACCTTTTGCTTTACACCTACCGTCCCCCACACGTATAGAGCTTGTTAATGCGTGCAACCTCGCAACTCAAACGTCTACAAAACCAACCATTGCAAATTGCATGAACCACGCATCAAACGCATGACACGCAACGGTATAAAATCTAACAGTTAACCATAGCGGTATCCTCTATACGATTGCTGTCAAAAATCGAGTCGGTTTGGTACAAAGGGCTATGATTCAAAAATAAGACGATCATATCTGCTTGATCACTTTTGTTCGTTGAAGGATCAACAATGATGGATTCCGAGCCGCTGGCCTCACAAGCGAGCTCACATCTTCCTCTGGAGCCAGTTACTGGAACAACACTGTTTGGACTTGAAACCACGCGAAGACAAGGTCTTAGCAAGAAGGGCACCCTAAAGACAGGATGTACGGAGCTCGATGAGCAAGTGCTAGTGGATGGCTTCGAGCGCGGCGCCGTCGTGGGCATAAGCGCCGAGGAGGTTGATACCGGTCTTCTAGTCAGCTCCTCCCAGGACCCAATGCCTCCCATCTGGACTAGAATGCTGATACTTGTACAATATAGCTCGGCCTGCAAACTGTGGCATATAATCTGGTCTTTGGCCCGGGTGGGAAAGCGGCCACACGGAGAGCTGCCATCATAACACATCTTGCCATACCAGTCATCTTGCCAATGCTCCGTAATGTTATCAAAACGCAAGTGCAGACAAAGTTTGGAATTGGCCATACGGATGTAAACGCTCAGGTACGCCAATGTTTAGAATGCATATCAGTTTCGCGCGTTTTTGATGTCGAAGGCTTGTGGGAGGTTCTTAGTGAGCTCGAAGAAAAGCCCCCGGCGCCTACAACAGAAAAAGAAGAGATAGTACATGACCTTCCTGTGCCAGCAGAGCCAGAGTCTTCACCACTATCTTCGCCGCCGCCATCATCCCCTATAACAGAGCTTCCACCATTGCGGTCGAGCAGAGTCGAGGAGATCGAAATACAAGATAGCGAAGATGAAGGCGACTTGTCTTCAGTGCCTGCTTCGCCTTCTACACTTGAACATAAAACTCTGCCAGCAGAGGAGCCAGAGTTACCGATACCGACGCTAGCAGAGCCACACCATGAACGGCTTACATATGAGGAATCTTTCACGGTTCCAGAGATCATCCTGGTCACCCACTTGTCAACGCTGCTAAATACGTTATTCACACAACGCGCCAAATCATCTGCACACACCACAATACAGCTTCTTTCTTCTCACCTACGGTACCTATCTCGGTCTGCTGGATCCCTCATAATGCTCCTGAACACCACATCCAACACGCCCGCCACCGCAGTCGCCAACCCAGCCTCCACCGTACCAACAACGCCAGGGCCCCCTGGAAAGTGGAGCTCAGAACGACCTCTCGACCCGACGCTGCGATCCATATTCAACCAGCCGCCGCCTTCCCATGTCGGATACGGAGCCGGAAGCGTGGCTCTGAGTCGAAAGAACAAGCCGGCTTTCGGCTTGACGTTCGCACAGTTCCTCGATCTACATCTGCTATGCACCCGACTACCTAAAACTCGAGCAGATGCAGCAAACGCACATGCACCTCCCGCGGCTCCATCTTCCGCAGCCACAGGAAAGGTGAGGTATGTATGGATCGTTGAGGTCCTTCTTGATGAGTCGGGTCTCTGGGATGGCGTCGGTAAGAGAATCGACAGGGAGCAGAGATGGGGTGCTGTTGAGGTCAAGGACGGCGTGAGAATTGTTGATGCTTTTGAGAAGAAGCAGGAGAGACAGCACAAGACGGAAATGTTCAGGCTGGCAGCTGGGTTTGGGGGCCGGCGAGTATAACGCCAAGGGTACGAACGAGCGCAGTGCTCCCCAAGCTGTCATTTGCTACATGTTAGCTATTTTTGCGGAAACGATCGAGCAATCCTCAAACAACACGAACGTGTTAGCACGTGTGGCCCTGTGCACAAACTGGCTTTAATCCGCCCTTGCGTCTACGTTCGGTGGGGAGGGATCCTTACCGAACTGGAGAGGACTTAATACTTCCATTACTCGTTCTAGCAACGTATTCGGCGCAGCAGCAATTGTTGGTGGACTCCCCCCCCCAAATCGACAGAGGCATATTACATCGTAATGCTTCTTCCAACGTATTTTTTCTCGGGCTTATATTAATTCCGCGGCTATTTATGCGTACCACATGACCATGGGATATTCTTTGTTATAATTGACGGGAGATACAAGCCAACGATGAGGTGACACTCAAGTAATGGACTTCTTGCTTTGGAGCTATGTGGTAACATGACCCGGCTCCGACTCATCTTTTAGCTTGCCACTCCGCTGAGACTGTTGGGGCGTCTGGTCTGTCTAGACATATTCAAATCATGTCTGTTAAGGTTGCAGCCGTACTCAATCGGTGGGTAGGCTGGGAGGGCGACTCACAGCGTCGTCGTCTCAATGCTACAACTGTTCTTTTTGGGTTCGATGAGCAACCTCATGTTCCAACCAATATCCAATTGGTGTCCGACATGTTGTACGCACTTGTCATCGATCTAGAATATGAGACAAAGAAATGTGCGCAGCTGAAAATCTATAAGAGCACGACACTGGAGACACATGCAGCCGTTCAAACATCTGCTTTTTCCCCAGGACACCAGCAGCTTGGTCACATATCACTCCAATTGCACAATGGACCGTACACATGCTCCTCGTCCCGGAGAGCTAGGAGAATATCGGATAAGTGGTAACTTCAAGTCGAGCATCGCAGCAATCGTTCCAATACCTGAGCGCCTCCGATACGTCGCAAAGGCTGCACGTCACGCCGGCCCCGAAGACAAAACCATTCGGACAGTTTTTGAGGCTCCGGACGAAACCATGAAGCTTGCTCAGCTTCCTGATGATGATCAGATGAGCATGTGCCATAACCAGATCAAGTCAGCCATTAGAACACATTGGTATTGTACTGTCCCGTGGAGTCAAGACGGTGAGTTTCCGATGCACGCCTGGAAAGCAAAGACTTCTTCTTATTCTAGTATTACCTGCTAAACTCACATAGACTCACGTCTCGCCTTTTGTGGCATAGATCTAATGGTTTTCGAATATGTTGCCTACGCGCACGTTGCATCAGTACCGTGCAACACCAAGGGCAGGATAATCTTGTCCCGTTTTTCGTATACATGGCAAAGTTTGATAGGCACTTCCAAGAAAATGTCGCGAAGGCCACAGATGGCTTCCTCGCCCCTTTGTGTAGATGTAAGTATCACAGTAGCTTCAACCATATGCAGCGAAACTGATGCTCAAAAGCCCTGACGTTTCAGTACGGTACTTTTGTCCTAGATGAGGGCTCTATCATCAAGCCCGGCCATGGTAATCTCTGGGTCAACATGCATGCATTTATGGCAAGATTCTTCAATGCTAAGGCAGATGATGGAACCTATGTTGTTTGTGCTTGTGTTAAGTCATGCCTCCGTCGTTCGACTGATAAAAGAGAGACTGATTTATGTGCATGAAGTTTGGTGGTAGGCAGTCAACTTGTGTTTTCCAATAAGTAAGGATCTTCTTTGTTCGGTCTGGGATATTTGTCCTAGATTGACGTTTATCTCTCGAGCTGTGGTTTAGATGCCGCGACCATTCGCTTTTTGCAATCTCTCCAAGGGGAAAGGGAAGGAAAAAGGTTTGGGACCATTAAAACTCCACTCATCGAAAGCCGGGATCTGAGAGGCTTGTTCTAGTAATATATACGCATGGCCTTTTAGCCTTTAACGTTGAAAAGGGTAATTACATCTCCGAGAACGCCATGCTATGCTACACGACCTTTTGTACGCAACGATCAATTGTTTTCGATGCCATTCAGAACACTTTCTTTCTCACCCTTTTCTACCATTTTTTTCTCCGCCGCCTTGGTGCTATGGTCCAGTGCCATACCCGTCACACCAGAGAAACTGCTCTACCGTCTCCCCAGTGCCGAAGATACGCTTCCGGATTTCTTTCTAAGACTGGCCGTACTACCCCATTGGCCAGCCGATTTTCTGAGCCGGTTGCCGAGGCTGATCCTGGCAGCACTGAGGGGCTGTTTACCGTCAGCTAAGTTACCTAAAGTTAGTGGCTTTCCTTGAGCATCGGCAGCGGGAAGCTGAGAGCCGCTTGCCACGCTCTCCCAGTCGCTCTTTTCGCGCTCAGGTGTCATAGGAATGTCCCCATCAGACGGCTGTTGATGATGCACTTTGCCTTGTCGTAGCGCACCCTGAAGTACGGCCCATGACTCGATTTGGCCATTGCATGCTTGATCCACGCAATTGCATTCATCTCCAGCTGGGCACTCTGTCTCACCCAAGGAGTTCCACTCGTTCAGACAGACCTCGTGAATAGCGCAGCCGCAACCGAGACAGGGGACATACATGGCATCCAGTTGCTCACGGCAATACACGCAGCTCAGCTGCAGCTGTGCGCGCTTACAGCGTTCGCAAGTACCCACCGCGCCTCCTAGCGACGGCGCATTTGCATAAATAGGTTTGACTGGTTCCAAATGTGTTTCGTGAACACGACAAATACCCACGACATCGAGACCGCGATCCGAGTTGACAATAGATTGAAGCTGCTCTTTCTTACCCAGCACAATTGGCGACTTGCTGCCGGTTTGCGCTAGTGTCAGAGTGGTATGGCTGTGATTATCGTTACTCTGCCAATCATGGATATTTTCTTGATCAGAACCACCGATTTGTACTGAGTTTGGTACTTGGTTGTCATCATTCATGACGTTGAACTTCAGTATCTCGAGTCTAGAAAGCGGAAGGTTCCACATGGACAACATTTCTGCATAGGAACGGCGGTAGTGTTCAAAAAATTCAACACGAGAAGGCTCCAACAAAGGCACCGAGAGCCAGCCGTCGTCGTCGAATTGAGACTGGTCTTCCATATGCATGTGTATTCCGGTACAGACCAGTGGTTGTTCTTCATCTTTTCTCACCTCGTCATCAGACATGGAATTCCGAGTGGTTGTGGGCTCGGATGTAGGTCCAATTATGGTATTGCCGCCCCATGTGACGTTCGGTGTCAAGTTGGCCAAAAAGTTCTCGCCCGGGCTTGGGCGTTTCCGCGTTGGAGGTGACGTTGAGACTGTGCTTGCAAACGGCCTAGGAAAGCTAGAAGCGAAGCTCTGAGTCAGCGTGGCGTTAGCACGACGGAAAAGCCGGGGCTCAGGAGAAGTCGAAAGGCTCTGAGTCGGGTCATGTTCAGACAAAGTATCTCTGGGCGTTATTGACGGAGGAGTCTCTCCGCAAGAATATGAGTTCGAGGCAGGATCACCGGGCCAGTAACCTTCGTTTGAATTCCAGGATCCAGGCGTCTTTAGGGGAGTGTGTACAGTTCCCGGAGTTGTAACGGCTGATGTCACATGGCTCTGATATTTTGGACTTGCATACCACAATGATGCATCTGTCGGGAAATAATCCAGTGAGAACGAAGGTGCCTTCATCGGCAGCGGCGTCTCCGGTTGAGTTAATCGCGATTCCGCGTAGGCTCTGCTGTCCTCAGCGGCGGCCTCGCTGAAAACACAAGAAAGCATGGCAAGCATCTGTGCATCAGCCATCGACTCAAAGTGGTTAAATAGATCCCGGATGACTTCTTTAGCAAAAGGATGGTGACCCCATTTCACTCTGCCGGTCAGAGTCCTAGCTGGGTTCTTGGAACGCTGATCTTTGAACCGGGAGACAATATCCTTAGCAACGACAAGGACCGAGTTCTTGCGCTGCGCCGGATGAAGCAATTCCAGTGGGACATCGTTGCGCAAAATCAACGCTGCATACTCCCACACTTGTACCAAGTCGGGGCGATTGTACTTCTCAGCGACACGTGCATTGTGTCGACAGACGTCAGGGCCGTCTCCAAAGATTGCGTACTCCTGTGCCAGCTCTCGTCGGGATGGCAACATGTCCCGAAAATCGTGCAAAGAAACAATATTCTTGGGTCGGGCGTTGCGCCGCCTGCTTGTGCCAGTTCCGGTACCTGTGTCGACGCCGGTGCCTCCGCCACTTGAGCGCATAGAATAGCTTCCGCTGAACGTCTTCCGAAATCGCTTGTTTGGTAGATACCACATGCTTATCTTGTGCATGTAGGTGTTCTCAGAATCACTGGAACTCGAAGAGTCATCATCTTCCGAATCTGATTGCTCATCAGCCACAGAGGATCCGTCGAGCTGTCCCTGTCGAGGCGGTGGAGAGTCTTGCTGCAGTCTGCCAAAACCTGCGAAGGTGGGTTCGCCCTTCGGTTTCTCCTTGTAATTGTCGCTGGAAGTCATGAACAAAGCTCTTGCCTTCTCGTCTTTGGAAGGAAAAAAGCAAACCAACCTGCCGTCATGGGACCAGCGAGCGCCACACAAGCGAGGATCTATGGGAACTGTTCCAATATTCAAAGGTGCGTGCATTGTGTCGCGGTCAAGCTCGATACTAGCACTAAGCTCCTGTGACATGCTTGCCGAACCACCAGCGGGAATATCGTTATCCTCATCGTCGCTCGAACTCTCATCAGCCATTGCGTCAAGTTCGTCGTCAAGATCTCGGACATTCTTGAAAAACGATGTACTGCTGGTCAGGTCGGTTTCGCCAAGCAAGTAACTAAATGTTACTTCCAGGCAATTCTGGCTCTTCTTCGCGAACTGCGCGGCAACTTGATTGACCTCAGTTTCGATTTTTGCATGTGTCTGATCGGACATCAATGCAGTCTTCTCTATGATAAACTTTGGCGCCTTGGACTTGGGATAGCCATGGGGGACATCAACTTTGATCTTCAAGTAAATCATGTCACCATCTGTACCCCAAGGCCCTTTCAACGAAGCATCGACGATCAGATTGATCATGTCGACGTTGTCCCACTGCACGTTAGGCAATCGGTTGTCGAGGCGCACTAATTCATCGTTCAGGGCCTCTGGCTGCTCCCAATGATCGTGGAAAGTTGAACCAAACATGGTCGAGTCTCTAGAATCCTTTCTCTGGGGTGGTTCGATGGCCGGTCTCTTCTTCTTGCTCATGGTGATACCTTTCATCCAGCCGAGTTGGTCTAGGTTTCTGTCGGTAGGCTTGCCCGATGTAGCCTTGGCTTTCATTGACGGACCTCTCCAGGATGCGGAGCCGGGACGATACTGGCCTGACACAGACTGCATTCCCAGTGTAAGTGCGCTGCGCTTATACGGATCTCCACCACTTCCAGGTCTTGGACCACTGCTCATAGTGGTCGCCCTTCTTTCTCTCAGCGCAGTGTCGCCAAATGACCTGTAACTTTTGTAGGCAGCCCCCTTCCTGGTGATAATGAAGTTTTCTGGAGCCTCTGTCCCTTTGGCATGGCCCACCTCCTCAAGCAAATGTGGCTCTACTTGATGAAGCCGAAGCTCATTGTCCTCACCCCAAGAGACCAGCTGGAAGTCTCGCTGATCAAGCCCATCCACGATACCACCACGAACTCTCCAGAGGAATTCTCTGGCCTTGTGGTTTCCATGGCCCGGGAAGATGGCCACAGGATCGACAGTAGCATCGCTGGCTTCACCTTCGCGCCGCTCTCTGTTGTACAAATACAGGTTACCAGGTTCACTCTGAGGCATTGCGAGAAGTCCAGAGCCGAAAGGTGTATGCCGGGCACGCCATACTGGGAAGTCTGTCCGAATGATACGTTCCGGTTCATCAGATGTTTTGTAGTCCCAGAGCTTGATGGTCTTGTCCAAAGAGCATGTAGCCACACGATTGGCGTCGGTGCGATTCCAATCCAAACCATAGATCTTGGAGGTATGGGCATTGATAGACTTGAGGGGTTTTGAAGTCTTCCTCTCGTCCCAAATATGAAGCCATCGATCGTGAGACGAAGCAAGGATGTGTGGATCCTGGCGATTGTACTTGACTTGTGTGGCTCCAGCATACCAATCGCAGAAAGTCAAGGCAGGCTTTCTTGGCCTTCGTAAATCCCAGCTGTGAACATAGCCGTCGACAGCACAGGTGGCGAGCATGTCGGGATGGTGTGCAGAGAAGTTGATGTCTGTGATTGCCCTGCTGTGGCCCTGCAGAGAATGCTCGATGGCACCATTTGCGGCATCTTCGCGAAGATTGAGGTTCCATATGAGACAACGATGATTAGCTGTTGAAGCCACCCAGTAATCTCGCGCAGCGAAAGGTGACCATTGCACATCTACCACCAGCCAAGGAGAGCCATGGCTGCTCAGCCTGCGAGGTGGACTATAGGGTGAGTCGAGGTCAATGACTGCGAGGCCCTCGGGTCTATCATGGTGTTAGTGTTCTGCCCAAGAAGATGGTTCGTGACCCACTCACGATGCAAGAGCTATATCTCGGCCGCTTGGGGAGATGGTAGCTGAGCCAACCAGCCCATCCACATGGATAGTGACGTCGGCTTCGAAGGTCTCGCTCTCATCCGCTGTCCGAATGACCTTGGCCTTCTTTCTCGAGACATCCATTGTCGAAGGCATCTTGGGATTTATTCAATGTGCCGGGGCGTGGTTTATATCATTGCGAAGACCGGGTGGCTTCATGAGGAGCTCACTCCACAACTATGAGTTGCCCTCCAGCCCATGTACTTCACGCTTGTGCCAATCCAGGAAGCACAACGGCTGAGCTCTTTCGCATCCCATCAACTCCCTCGATAAGCATTAGTGATTAGCTAAGTAATGCGGTGGTGATAAAGAATCTGACGATAACAGGTTACCGCGCGGCAAGCAGCATGTCGTCTTGGTGAGTACGAAGATGAGCAAACTTACAAGAAGGGAAGCGACTGAACGGCAGAGCGCATTAAGCTCATGAAGCGCGATGCGCAGGGATGGCGGCCCGTGCGTTTTTAGCGTAGGTTGGGTTATGGGTCAGAAATGGCTGCCATGTAGATGGAGTTCCAGAAGCTGAGATGGAAAAGGGTACCTCACTGGGCTTACAGAACTATGCGGGAAAAGCACTTCCAGCCGTGAATGAGGGGCAGTTGCGATATGATAGTTATTGGGGCGTGACCACCCGCAGCCTCTGGATGCGCTCTCCCAAGCAGCAGAGCCAAGAACCCCGCGGGCCTTATCGTTATTGCAAACAGTGCTCATCGATTCTACGTGTAGTTCAAGTTCCATGGTTAGCTATAGACTAGACTGGGCGAGGACATCAACGTCACCCGACCTTTGGCTATCTAGAACATCACCGCTCGTATCTCCGTTGCATCACGAGGCAACTGCAGGCTTCCAGTGCACTGTTATATGGTCGTTGACTTGCTCTTGCTTTCAACCAGAGTGTCACCTTCCTCATTCAAGCTGTAAATAACCTGCTGCTGCCTCTCGGGATATCGGGACACCCTGCGATACTTGTACCAAACTGTTCCATATTTACTTTACGTGAGTACTCCATAAGTTACTAGGTCAGCGAGGGGCGAGGAGAGGGGCGAGGCCAAATTCAAGTCACCCGCAGGCAAACCCCCACCAAAGACCACCCGACGGCATTCGTTTGAAACTAGCAGCCGTCCATCCATCAACCAGCAATCAACCTTTTCCACAATCTTATTGATTACCGAGCTTGGAGCTCTTCACATTTGACAAGACCTTGACCCGGACGGACAGCATATATCGTTGCGCCCGTTACTCACCACACTCGCGTCGCACAGCACCCCCCCCCTATCACCTCACGGAAGCCCTGGATATCAGTTGCGGACATGGCGTTGCCCAAGCGAATCATCAAGGAGACGGAGCGCTTGAACAGTGAGCCGTGAGTGCCACTCGGAACGTACATGCTATCGGGTTGCTCAACATGCTGATCGCTCTGCGCAGAGTACCTGGCATCAAGGCCACCCCCCACGATGACAACCTGCGATACTTTGATGTCGAAATTTCAGGACCCGACGGCTCTCCGTACCAGGGTAGGCTGGGCACCTCCTCTTGTTGTATCACGCACCGCTGACCAACATTGATAGGCGGCAACTTTAAGCTCGAGCTCTTCCTGACTGACGACTACCCCATGGTCCCGCCCAAGATCCGCTTTCTCACCAAGATCTACCACCCCAACGTCGACAAGCTTGGCCGCATCTGCCTTGATGTCCTGAAGAGTATGCAGCAGGGTATCGATATCCCAGTGAGGGGCTATGCTAACATCGTTCATAGACAACTGGTCCCCTGCCCTCCAAATCAGGACTATTCTTCTCTCCATCCAGGCCCTACTCGGCGCCCCCAACCCCGATGATCCACTCGCCGCCGACGTCGCCAAGAGCTGGAAAGAAGACGAGAACAAGGCCATCGCGACCGCTAGAGAGTGGACCCAGCAGTATGCCAAGTAGAAGGACGACAGACCAGAAGGGTCCCCGAAAGTCAAACAGGAGAGTACACGCCCGAACCGCCCGGCAGTAGTGCCACCAAAGGTCAAGGAAGAGAGCCCAGGCCCGAGCCCAGATAGGGCTGTGGCTGTGAATGAGAGCTTAGCAGCACGATATATACTGGGAGGGGACTAGGGGAACCCCGTTGTGTTCGGTGGCTCCGCGCTGCGAGGTAGTGAAGACGACGCGATTGTGCTCTGCGATTAAGGTCAACATGGGCCACGATGGAAAAGGGCCTCCCCCACGAGCAGAGGTCTCGATATTTGTCTATGGCTGGTGCAACAGGAATCCTTCAGACAGCAGGCATACTGATCATCTAGACGTAGGCGATAGGCATTCTTCAGAGAGCGTCCAGCTAAATTCATCATCACTTTTCTTATCGTTTTGAGGGGGGTTCCTGACGGCTATAAAAGTCATGTGATGACAGAATGTGCCGTTCATGAAGAACCCCGTGGTTTCTCTATTCGTTGCCGCTCTACCAAAGGGGTATAGCCATCATACAGTCCTTCCCGAGTATAAACATCTTAAGTCTCCCCAAAGACAAACACTCCCTTGCCTTGCCTAAAGCCCTGCAGTGTGCCTTGGACCGCCTCCCTCAATGTGCTCTCCTCCGTGTCCCAGTCCCACTTGACATCGACGACCGGCGTATCCCTGAACTTGCCTTCCCTCACCAAGCCGAGGATCTCGTTCACCGTCCGCTGCTTGTCCGCCGTGTTCTGGTCCGCCCACCTGCTCAGCCAGAAGCCGAGGAACTTGATATTCTTGAATATTAACAGGCCCGTCGGCAGAACCACGGGCTGCCTCGACATGCCGCCGTACGTGACCAGGCTGGCATTCGCCCCCAGGTTCTTGGCCATGTTCTGCGCCGACTTTCCGCCCACGCAGTTGAGTCCCAGCTGGATGCCCTCCCGGCCCCCGCGGGTCCACTCCTTGACCTGGTCCCGGAACTCGCGGCTCAGGAACTCCTCCTCCGTGACGACGTGGTCGGCGCCCAGCTCCTTCAGCTCGCGCCTCAGCTTCTCCGTCTCCTCGGGCGTGTCCCTCCCGCGCACCACGTTGATGCTCCTGTACCCCCACAGGCGGCCCAGCTGGATGGCGGCGCGCCCGACGCCCGAGTTGGCCCCGTTCTGGATGAACCAGTCGCCCTCGCGGAGGGGTGGGTCGGCGTAGTCCCTCAGCATGCGGTACGCGCTGCACGGGTTGACGGCGACGGTGCCGGCCTGGGTCGGGGTGAGCCCGTCCCTGTCGACCCGGAGGACGCTCCCGGCCTCGGCGACGGCGTGGGTGCGCCAGGTGCCGAAGCCCGTCTTGGCCGGGATGACCCAGTCGCCCTTTTTTATGTCGCCGAGTTCGTTGGACGAGGAGCCCGAGAGAACCTCGAAGACGCCCTCGTTTCCGGGGATCACCGACGGCTCCGAGGTGCCGATCAGGGGCGAGAAGGCGGGCTTCACGCCATAGGTTCCCTGGATCGTGTTGACGTCGGCTGGGTTTATCGGCGCGGCGAGGGCGCGGAGGAGCAGGGAGGACGAAGGAAGCGAGGGGCTTATGGAGTGGGTGTGTATTCTGTGTGTCCAGAAGCGTTAGCCAGGGTTTCGGTAAAAGGTTATGCTTGCCGGAGGTCGGCGGCACAGAAACTGAGGGTGTGTCGAATGGATCAAGGAAGCACTTTGGACTGACCTGAGGACATCATCCGGCTCGCCAAACTTGCTAAAAACCAGAGATTTGGCTTGCGTATAGCCATAAGGTCCTGACTTGTATCGGCGCTGTGTTAGTGGGGCTGCAGCGGCTGTTGTCCTTGTGCATCGCGCTGGGCGGATTGAAGATTTTGAGAGGGTCTGGGACACCCTTAGACACCTGATCGAAGCCATTTTTGACTGGGTATATGCAATGTGTTGTCCCTCGTCGAATCAAACTCTGTTGCCTGAGGTTACGATTCAAATGTTCAGAAGCTCCAGAATCCTGGGCTCGGAGCTCTGGAGCTTTGCACTTGCTAACGTTAGCCGGTAGCAGCTCGGCAATGACGTTTGAGTGCCGTTGGGCATCGCTTAGCGCACGCACCTACGAATACATGGTACATCCGTAGTCCCTACCTTGCCTACCTCCAACTTACCCTGTGACTTGAACCTGCACCCACCTCCCACCTCGTACCATGCTGAGGTGGAGCTCCAGATGGTTGAAGCTTACCTAGGTTAGCTCATATGTAGGTTCATGCAAGAGAAGCTTCAGGGCTCAGGGCTGAGGGCTGACTGTATCGGTTTTCAGGGTCCTGCCTGTGTTTCAAAGTTCCCGAGTTTCACCATATCTGACTGAGCAAGACGGCTTCACATGGCTTGTGGCGATAGTAGTATTAGTGTTAACAACACACTTGCTTTTTAACAGCACCCGAGTTTATCTTCGGAACACCGAAACAGTCCGAACCTTTCGATTGGTAAGCCCAAGTGGCATGATAATCATAGAATAGACTTGCGGAACAGAAGACTGTTAGTTACCATGTCAAGTCCGCCAGCCGCGGGCAAAGTAAACATCAAAACAAAAATAGCACCAGGTGGAGCGTTGGAGCCCTCGCCAGTCTGCTCTAAGCAAACAAGAAAGGGAGCCCCCAAGTTCTTCCTGCTTAGCCAGGCTCATACTGCAGAGGAAAGATTGCCCTTTGATGGCCCTATATCAAAAAGAATTGATGAATTTTGGTGAATATTGATATAAATTGTCAGTCGCTCTCATATCCCATAAGCACGTGTCGGCAGACGACAATTGGTGAAGTTAAATCTCGCCCCATTCATGGCTTTTCAGTCTTTCCTCAGTCGATTGGCCTCGCCTGGAGTTTCGTTTCCTCCCATCTCCCCATTAAAAACCTGAATAGCATCTCGTCAAAATATTTCGGGATGCCAAGTCGCTTCGCAAGCATATGTACACCATATCTGAGTGATACAATAGCCGTACATGAGCTTTCCGCTCGTAGATCGTCCAAAACGTAGAATGTATGGCGTGAAGGGAGGAATTGTACCAGTCAAAACAGACAGAACAACAAATTAAATAAAACAAAAAACAAAGAAACGACGTCGTATGTCAATGAATGAGCCCACGTGTGAGCTGGGTATCAAATCTTCCACTCTTCAGCACTCCCGCAAACTTGTGCTTTTGATGCAATTGCTTCGATCTCTGAGAAAACAAAATCAATCGTACGCCGGCCAATCATGCTCTCTCCTTCTCCCCCTCTCTCTTATTAGGTTCGTGAAACTGGGGCCTGCTGCCAAACAGGCTTGGTGAGAACCCGTTCACGTCAAGCATTACTTGATTTCTTTGAACAGGTCGTCGCCTATTTTCGTATCGACCTTGGACTCCCAGGAGCTTAGTTCGGGGATCATCGGAGGTGGTGGTGCCCTCTCCTGCTTTACATCCTCGAATTGCATTACGCTGTTCCGTTTGTTCGAGTTGTTTGGTTTGTTTGACTCGCCCGAGCGAAGACGTCGGAACCATCCACTCCCTCGTTTGGACTTCCGCTCTTCTGCCATGACGCTCGCTGTACGGCTTGGGGGCCTGGAAGCGCCCTGTCCGCTGATCGAGCCATGCTCATCGTATGTACCATTCAGCAGATTCTTGCTGAGGTAACGCCTCAGACTACCACGGCTGGACTCCGTTGGTGAAGCGGGGCCTTGCTCAGCTGTGCGCTTCAGCCCTGCTGCTGTCGAGCTGGTGGTATCGGACTTAGGCGACGTCTCTGCGCCATTGGCATGCCCATTGGTTATCTCAGTGGCTTCCTTCATCGACACATTCTCTGACCGCGGAGTCTTGGGCGGCGTGGGGACCTCCTGTACTGGCGATGGCAGGGGTGGTGGGATGTTAGTCCCCTCCGTAAGAGAGCCAAAATGGAAGTCCAGTGCTGGCAGTTCGAAGCGTTTCGAGGGTTGTGTTGCTTGGGCGACAGCCTGCCCGTCCGGTCTCGGGGTTGTTTTAGGCATCATGGTGGAAGTTTGGTAGTCGCATTCAGGTGCGCACTGAGAGAACTGGCGATGCTGCAAGCATAAAGCAAATTAATCACAACAAGTCGTAGCAAGAAGACAGACTAGTTAGTGTACGGGGGTTCGCGGGTTCCTGGTACAGACGGCTGGTCTGGCTGTGGAGAAGAGGCTATTGCTGGTGGCCTGACAGGATCTCAAACCAATGCCTACAGCTCAACTTTTGACGATGCAATGACGCTGATCAAGAAGCAAAGTATCACGTCGGGAAATGGACGCTGGCCAGAGAAACAGTAGAGAAGCTCCCAAGCAACAGGTCAATGGACTGAAGTGGACTGAGCAACAGGGACGAGAAGCAAGCAAAGAGAAGTGAAGGGGTGGCGCGCGTGGGCTGCTCTTTTAGGTGGAGAACCTGGGCAGACTGGGGACAGGGTCCAGTAGTGGTTAGGTACTTAGTGGCTGGGGGTCAGATCGTGTAACGCTGGAGACGGCTCGGATTTGCGGCTTCGAGTCAGAATCTGTCTATTGAAGTTTTGCTTCCATCTCGAATGAAGGCGAAAGCTCCTGAGCACTTGAGCCCTTCCGCCATACGCTTTTCTCGGTTTCGACCGTCCAAGTTGGTGTATATTGTGAGGAGATGGGGATTGTCGGACTGCTACGAAGACCCTGGGAGACGTGCAGGAGGTGGGGAATGGAGAAAGGCGTTGGTCGCCCAAAACAGTAACCCCCGTGTTCATGAATGGAGCGTTTTAACCTCCAACGTTGTGTGGCGCAACTGTAATGGCCCCCGAAAGAATGCGAAATGTATACAAGGGATCAGTCCTTTTCAACACTCACTCGCAAGAGCAACTGTCTTCCTTTTGTTTTGCTTGCTTTCCTCCCGTTTAGGCAAACAATAATCAATCATTTTTCAGGTGCCAACAGTGCTCAAGGCCGAATCTCATGCCGATACGACAGTTGGTACTACAGTACCGCTAAGCGACGGCCCGTGTCAAATGTGATCGAGCCCGTGTAATGTCATGAATGGCAGAGCCTGGCCCCTGTGATTGGATTCGGGTTCCTAAAGCAATTCCCTGCCGAAGCCGTCACTGACTCTTGCAAAGCCTCACTTCCCAAGGACTTTGGCCCTTTTAGGAGAGTGTTGGTGCTGAAGCTGCTGATAAATACAGTCCGTCGTGTGCTAGCTCATACAATCAGGCTTAGTTCTTTGGGAGCTGGACTATCAGCGGCCCTTATTTTAGCACTGTTACTAAATATTCCTCATGCTACCACTTTCTCGGTGCTACCAATTGTACGAGTTGGACTGCATAATACGGACATCATGAAAAAGAACTGTGGCGAATCGTGTGATGAAGCATCCGCCTCAAGTCTTCAAGGAAGTTTTATTCTTATTTAATTTTTTCTTCTTCTTCTTTGCAAAAGCATGGTCTTCCTGCTCATCCAGCCTTGCTAGCATTCATTGTCTTTTGCTTTTCACGGCAACATTGCAGAGCTCCGCAATCTACTCACAGAGAATGCCATGTGGGAAATCGCCCAGACCCCCAGTGGACCACTTGAGATCACTAGTTGCGCTAACAGCATACAGGGCAATTCCAACTCCACCACAAAAACCAGTTGGGCAGTGCTAATGAACATAAAACAGCATAAACTTCCAAACTCTGCAAAATATAGAAACCTGAATCCCTTTGGCTGGCAGGTAAATCCGTCGTGGCACACTTTTGCGCTACTGCAGGGGAAGCGGGAGTCGGCAACGAGATGGAGTGATACAGGCACACCACATTGGACGGGTATCTTACATAGTACTATGTAATCGACGCCGTGGAGCCCAGTCAGTGTTTCCGCAGTGGGTCAGTCGATAGGCTACGTGATAGCTACCCGACAGACAAGGTGTATTACCTAGGAAGGAGAAGTCTTACAAATGGAGCAACATAGAACACATTCAAACGCAGCCACTTGATCTCTGCACCATCAATTTATCAAGAAGCAAAGTTCGGCCACTTACGACGGGGTTTTGCACTAAACGACGGGCTTGCTCTTTGCGTCGTCACCTCTCGTGTTCTTTTCAATCATTGCATACATCAATACCTGGTGGGTTACCATTCACTTCTCTGGCAAGACGCCTTTCCCACAACGCTGGTGTTCTGTCATCGCCCGAATCTTGCACATTTACTTCAGAGAGTATCGACCGGTAGACCCCAACTTTCATATCGTGTGCCAATATCGATATATGTAGCGCCAAGTCATAGGATCCATTGCAACAGGTGTAATTGTATGCAACTAGGTTAACTAACTCTAATTTCGACAACTTACATTTTATGGCAACATGCTATTTATCAATATACACTCGAGTCTTGAACCATCATAATAGGGTCCAACAGTGTTACGGTCTAATGTCTGCAAGTTTTACTTCCCTTTGCAATGATGGACGCTGCTTGCTCCTTGCACAAGTTACCTACTTGCAGATGGCCCGTAATGACGACAGTCAAACCACCTTCTCATCTACCTCCCAGATGCCAGCTCACCTGGGCGCGGGATCTGGTCGATGCTCTGAACACTTAAAGAAGCCATCGCACTTTTCTGTCGCTTATGACTTCGGTAATACGCTTGCATGAGACGTGTCATTGATTATGTGGAAACTCGAGTCGAGGAAGGGCTGTCTCCGAGCCGTCATGGTGCTTCAATTATTATGACTCATAATTGGGAGATTTCTGGCTAACATCTTGTAAGGGGTATCTCAGTCCGTAGATCATCTTGTTAACTTACAAGCGGGATCGACAAGCAGAAAACTGAAGTTTGCTGGAGGCTCAAGGCGGTAATTTAGTAACTGCGCAGATCGGAGACATAGGTAGAGAGTAGACTGACCCGAACAAGTTCTGGCGCATTGTTATAAATGGGCGGATGAAGAGTGTGGGATCGGGAAGTAGTGATAGTAGAGCCCTCTGGCAGAACATAGTGTTTTCAGATACTTGAAAACACAACGTTCCCTGGGCAAGCTGTTGCTCCAGGTTCTAGAACAATCTCACTGAACAGATTGATGGGAGAAAATGGGAAGCCGAGAGAGTATTGGCGACGTACTGTGCTCACATACACCATGTAGATCACACGCGCCTTTTTCCTTTTCCTTTTCCAAGTAAATCAGGATAACGTACGTGCAGTTCTAGCCGATAGCATACCCCTTATGCGGATACGTTGTGATTTACAGGATCGATGGGAGTTCTGTGGTCCACGTCCATGAGAACACTACTTTACAATGTGAGACGAGAAGAGCCTGTTCATCGCTTTCACAATGTGCCCTAGCCACAAAAGAGAGAAGAGTGAGGGGGTGGGGGCTGCCTTGTTGACGTCTCCTATGAGATCTGTTATGGTTGATTCCATGCAATATTCTTCGCCTGAATTCGAAGCTACGTGGAGATTGGCTCCCGTACGCAACACAAAGCACTTCAAAAGGAGGTCAGAGTGGTGCGTAGAGCGGATATTACTCGGTCTATATACATATATAGTTCGAATCAAGTCCTTAATGCTTGAGTGAAAGCATGAAGCCTATCAATCATGACAGGCATGAATCCTGTCAGACTATCCTCCATAATCGACTCGAGTAGACGAAGAGCATCTTCCTCCTTGAGATCCAGGTGGAATCGTTCTTTTACCTTGAAAACGGCTTTGTCCGGCTCAATCTTGATGTCTGGGATATTGGCATGAACCATGAGGCTGAACAAGTTCAAGATCAGATTCGAAGACTTCCGAAGTGCTGTAAATGCAAGGAAGCAGTACTGCTTGAATTGTAGATAAAGCTCGCTTGGAGGGCTGAAGCCACCCATGGCATCGACCATTTCTTTGCTTAATTTCAAAGCAGGCGCAAAAGGTTTTGGGTCCCGTCCGAGGATGAATCCGAAATCCGCATGGAAAAAGTGACCATCAGGTGCAAGTAAAAGGTTCTCCAAATGTCGGTCGCCAACGCCAAGAATATAGGTTATTACACAATAACCCGCACAAGACTTCACAAATGTCTCCAAAGTCTCTTTCCGAACGCCTTGGTAGGCCCTTGAATCAGGATTATGCTGCTTAAGGTATGCCAGCGCCGGGTTGCTACCGTACTTGGACGATATTGCGGCGAAAGTCTGTGAAGGTACAAACTGAGATGCGCCAGCCGTCGTGCTAGTGGCCAAGATCTTGTATGGGGACAGCTTTAAGTCCAAGTTCTCCTTCTGCAGTAGTTGGTCCATGAGAGTGATGATCTGGATGACGAGCTGGTCCTGCCTCAAGTCATCGCCCGTCTTGAACAGCATAGGATATTTACCGCCTGACGCTGTCTTGAAAGTCACCATGATCGGCGACAATGACGATTTGAAAACTCGGGTCTCTTCAGGCACAACGCCCGTGACCAATACAAATGGATCGAGTGGTAACGGTACCGGTGGGTCAATGCTGAGCAATTCGTTCTTTGAATCTGCTAGGAAGGCCTTGACTCTGTCGATCTTTCGTGATGTAGTTTCCGATGATGTCTTAATCTCGCCAGATATCTTCGAGAGGACCGTGATAAGTTCAGCCTGTCGTAGGAGTGTTTTCCTGGTATCAGAACCGCCTGGCTTTGTTTCTAGTTCTACCATGAAATCGTGCAAGACTTTGGCGTACATGGTGCGGACTTCTTGACCTTGTTCGGGGCTCTTGTCGTCGTATTCAACGACGAGGTACCAATAGAAGTAAGTGGCCAGGGTGAAGTTTTCCACGGCTCTTGAGATGAGGAAAGATGCTAATGAAGACGACTCTAAAGCTGGCTGGTTCGTATCTGTCGGCACGTGTTCAAATTTGAGGGCTTGGACCAATTGTAGCAGATACAAAAGCAGTTCATTGTCGTCGGCCTTCCTCAAACGGTCAACTGAATAAGCACGAACAGCTGGTGCGTCAAAAGTTGGACCCAGAAGCTCCAGAGCGTCATCGACATCAATTTCTGTCCATTTTGCCATGACTTGAATGGCTTGTTTTGACTCGCTCTGGTCTTGCCAGTTGACGGACTTGATAAATTTGGTCAAGGCCCGCTTGTCCTTTGTCAAATGGTAACGGAATTTCCAAACAAGATCTTTCTCTTCCGGTGTCAAGCTGTGGGTGGGTGAATACGCCATTATCACGTTCAACTCGTCCCGAACCTTGGCATTAGGCTTCAAGTCTTTATCTAATGTCCCATGCCGGTGCTGACTTCGTACCAGGCGTCTATGTTTCGCTTCTGCTGGGTTGTCCTTCGCGGCAACTTCTGGATCATAAATACGAACCACGCGGTTGCCTCCATCGCCAGGTCCGTTGATGCCCGGGCCAAAAGATACCTCAGGCGGTGGTTTGAGATCCAAGTGAGATTGCGACGCTGAGAGATGCTGGACAGATGAGATAGGCGGCGGGGGATACTCGTGGTCAGTAAAAACGATAGGGAAGTCGAATCTTGGAAGTTCGATGGTGAGAGTGAACGTCGAAGGACCAAGATTCACAGAATCATCGCCTCTCTCGCCCACGCCGCCATTCTGCTTCGTGCCGTTTTCTTGCTTGATGCCAGCCTGCCTTTGCAGGGCTCTAATGGTGTTTTTGGTGGCAGCGGCACCGCGCTTCTCCGATTGGCGCCAGACCATGTGATCGAGCCATTCGACTCTTGGAATCTCGTTCATTTCGTACTTTTTGAAGAGCTTGTCCATGCGCTCTAACTCCTCGGCTTCTTTATCCACAATGCTACCATGTTTCCTGGCCGAGGGCTTTTTGTTTGTGATTGTTGTCCAGGGCGTGATGGTGTCGTCATGACCATCGGCAAGCTGATGTCTATAAACAAGACATTTCAATCTACCTTTTTGAACCTGGCTGTCTTTGTCAAAGAGAGGCAACGTCGTCCCTCCAAAGGGAACAGCGTGACCCTGGGCCTGCTTTCCTCCGGTAGGTGATACATCCCATATCGTAAGGGCTAGTCGCGAGTTGAGTGGCAACGATCTATACGGTATGGGGACATCGAGCCACTCATTCCAACTATCAGCAACTATCAGTGCCTATGGCCACCCCATGCATGGAAGTACTGCATTACCTCCTCTCGTTCTTGAATGACTTGTAAGATGTCTGCACTGGAACAGTCAAAGGCTTGGAGCCAGCCCAGACTTGCGCCGTAACGTACAGGTCGGAATGTGCGCTATCGCGTCGCCGGTCAGCAATTCTGGTTGATTGTAGAGATTCGTTTCGACTGTGACTCATCGCATACCTCGTGTTAGAGCCGATATATCTCAGATCCGGTCTTCGGAGAAGTTCGGATGGCTTCTGGGGTGGTTCTTCGCCTTCGAGATTAATTCTAAGGGTTGTCGCGGTCTGTTAAGTGGTGTTCCATGCATGAAGGGTCTCTACCAGCAGCATAGCATACTCACATGCGAACACTTAATGGATAGTCTAGCGACTCTGAGGTCACAAAAGAGAAGGGATCCATTTCAACTCTTCGGATCCCATGTTGCTTCAATTTGGACTAAGCGAGGGACCGATGGAACTCAGCGCGAGTGAACGAAGCAGTGGTCGTCCTGAACACGTTCAACAGGCAAGCATTCTGGTTAGCTGTCGTCATTTGACAACGATCACAAGGAGTCGAGATGGGCCTCGGACTAGGTTAGGTTAGTGCGCGCGACACCCAAAGACGAGTGGGGAGCTACCCGCAGGGAATCTTCGCCGTGCCTACAGTAGTTAATCCTTATCGTGTGCCTACAAGGTCTGCAAGGTGCAGGCGTGGTCTGAACCCCCATCTGGACCCCGCATGGCTTTTAGTGCCGTAGCTTAGTTTAGCGCACTCAATTAAAGTAAAGGTTCAGTCGCGTCTCGCCAACAGCGACGCGATTTCTCAAGCGGATTATCAGACCCTTGGTGTGCATAGAAAGCCTAATAAACAAGATCGTCTTATTTGACTGGTGTTTTATCATATGAGCAGATCTCCTGAGTATCTGACTAGTATCATTGCTCGCTCAGTCGTTTCCTACCTCGCCTCCTTGTTTGTACCTGCCGTTTACAGTTTCCAGCCATGTCGTCTTCGCCATCACGCTCCGGTTCGCCGGGCGTTGAATCGGACAGAGAAAACAGCGGCCGCCCGCTTGTTGTGAGAGACAGAAGCAGTCGCGGTGCTGAATCGTCAAAGCGGAAGCGGGGTCTCGCCAATGGTGTAGACCGGGCAAGTTCTCGTCGCCGCACGGAGGAGCCTAGCGATGCGTCGGACGGCAGCGATGTGGATGGCGAAGACTCGGATCAATACGATCCAGATCAGCCCATTGAGGAGAGGCGTGAGGTCCAGCGCGGGCTGAGGAGGCTGCGGGAAGACGCCAGGATAAACAGGGACAAATACTTGCAACCTGGCGAAGGCGGGGTGCGACAACTGATCAAGAAGGCAAACGCTTTATCTGGGAATGTCAAACAGACAGCTGAGGCCACAATCGACTCGCGACTTTTGGTCGAGACTGTGGAATTGTCCTACAAGAAGACTGCGTTGCTGACGTCTGGCGATGCTGGTCAAGGTGTTGACGTCGACAGCTTTGTCACACAGTGCTTACGATATATGCGACTAGGTGCCGGAATCGCCGACGACGAGGCTCCAGAGCTCACAAGTACCCAGCGTCAGCGCAGGCAACCCAATGGTAGACGACAACAGGCAGATTCCGACGATGAGGATGAAATTGGTGACGAGGGCGATCCTTGCAATTGGGAGCACCTTGGAAGATTTGTCGGTGTGCCCAATGTACGCCGGCCTGCTGCATCTGGCTTCTTGCTGGGCCCGCTATCTGTCGAAAAGAAGATCAGGAAGATAACCAAGAAGAGCGCTCCATTCCGGCCCAATGCTCTAAGGGAAACAAGACCAGAAGTTTTAGACGCTAGCGCAATACAGAGGAAGGAGGATAACGACCTGACTGCAATTTGCCACAAGATCCTACAGCGTCTGAAAGAGGCGCAGGCTGAAGCCCAGGACGCAGCAGAAGATGCATACAACGCTGGAGGCGAGGAGAAGTCAGAGGAGGTTATGAATCAATATGGGCTGAAGAGCACGGGTGGAATGGACTTTTTCAGATGCGTCATCAACCCAAAGTCATTTGGCCAAACGGTGGAGAACATGTTTTACGTCAGTTTCTTGATCCGCGACAACAGAGTCCAGCTTGAGGTCGACGAGAATGGTCACCCGACCCTCGGTAAGTCAGCATACACATGGTCATCCAAGCCCAGGATTGTAGCTAACTAACATTCTAGCTCCGATCGAAGAACCGGATCGCAACGAAACCGGCTCAAGGCATGGTTCTCAAAAACATCAAGCGATCTTCCATCTTGACAAAGCTCAATACGATGCAATCGTGAAGGCTTACGACATCAGGAGTTCGATCATTGAGCACCGTCAACAGCAAGGTAATGCTGGACCAGGGGCCCGTGGATGGTACAATTGATCGGAAAATGGCATTCCCGTCGTGTCTAGACCTGCGTTTCTCGACGGCAGCCCAGTGTTGGGCATGGCCAATACTCGAGGAGTTGCCCATGCACCCGGACGTATATTATACAACAAGTCAGTCGAAGCTACCATATTCACACCGCCGTTCTCATGCTCTCCCGTTGCAAACACCCTTATATCGAAATGAATCACAACTAACATAAGAAGACACAAAATTTTCCCAAGCGCCCTTTTGCGGCTCAGCTCGGGAGCCTTCGTAGCCATGAAGCATCATCTTGAACAATCAAAAGTTTAGCCATGATCACGTTGCTTACAAGGTACATTTGATGTTATTGAGTTTCGATACCGCTACCACAGTCTCCATGATCTGATTAATAGTACAGCTTCAGTTAAATACCGTTTTCGTAAAGCCAGCCTGGCAGTCTTTGACGACAGCTGAAAGAAGCTTTGGCTGTAATTTTACTCTATTGGAGACACAAAGGATCCCGACGAACCTGCACATCCGCACCCGGGATTCGAGACGTCCTTTGTAAAACACCACGGCATAAACTTGATGAGCGAACATGAATGAGTTTCCATGTTCGAAACATCTTAGCCCACATATTCAACGTACCGTACCGTTGAAGCGAATCTGCTTATCAGCTGTCATGACGTCCAAAGAAACCACAACGGAAGGTCATGAGCCACAGGATGAGGGGCAGGATACCGCCAACGCCAACGAACCAACAAGTCAAGGCGACGCCGGTGACGTAGTTGTCAACTTTAAGGAAGACATTCTGAAGTGGTATGAAAATGAAGTCGTCGCTTTCGAAGATGAGACTGCAAATCAATACGGAGCGCAGCTTGGCGCGATTCTGAAAACCATGGGTACAGAAGCAAACGACCTGGGAATTACGGTGCCGGAATGGATAAACAACCAGCGTGAAACCCTGCTCGAGGACTTGCAGGGTATAGGAAACGCGCGTGGTGAAGAGCGAGCAGAAATGTTTTCAGAATTTACGAATACCACAGGCGCGGCCTGGAAGAAGCACGTGACCAGTGCCTTGGAAAAGCTCCGTGAACGGGCATCTGTGGCGGAATACGACGAGTGGGCGGCGGCAGGTACACGGGATGCCACCTACCACAAGTTACGAGAGCTTGAGAGTCAGGTACAGGGGCTGAAGGAAGACATGGTGAAAGTAGAGCAAGAGAGCGCAGTTAAGGCACGCGAAGATGTCAAGAGTGACCTCGAGGAGCTCGAACGTTTTAGAACAGCCTGGGATGAACATGAAAAGGGTCTCGGCGAAATGAAATCACAACTGAAAGATGCACAGAACAAGGTTAAGAAAGAGGTAGAAGAACTGCAACGGGTAAATAGTAGAGCTGATCAAAATCATAAGGATTTCGTGGAGGCAAAAAACGCGGCAGAAGATTGGAAGGAGCAGTTGAAACAGGCGCAGACGGAGAAGAAAACCATCCAGGACGCTCTGGACGGCGAGAAAACTCGGGTTTCTCGCCTGGTAGAGAAGAATGAGGAATTGAATACCCTAATTCAAGAGCTTCGTACACAGATTCGACAGCGACGTGGGTCGTCTCCTTTGTTCAGCAACCAAGAGAATGTAGACACAGGCTTCACGAGTCCAGCGAGCTCTACGAAAGAGAGCACTGCCGATGAGGAAGGAGCAGTAGGCTTGTCGACCGAACCAACAGAAAACTTTACCTACGACGATGAAACGGCATCACAGTCCGCCATGTCCATTCGCTCCGTAGTCACATCCCGAAGATCATCTACACCGGTGGAGAGCATCGGGGAAACTACTAGAACCGACCCTTATGGCGAGTACCTAGGTTCTGTCTTGCGGCGAATTATTCACCAAAGCGGGAACGGCGAACTTTCTTCTTACGATCTGTTGTCTCACATCGCAGTAGACCACAATATGATGCTCCATGAAATTGCCGCAATGCTGGCGCAATATAGCCGTGTCAACCCACAGCTCATTAAGACTTCGGAGATCCGATCAAGCCTGGTAGACCTCAACAAATGGCTGGTCGACCGGCAGAACCTGGACCCATTTCCTAGTCTACCTGTGCAGCCATGTGCAGAGTTGACCGAAAGGGATACGGACGGGATCCTTGAGTTCTTCGACGAGAGCGACAAGGCACTCAGGGGGCGAGACGACCACGAGAAAGCAATGCGGGCTGGATTGGAAAAGAAGACGGAAGGTCTCGAAAGACGCAATCAGGATCTGCAGAAGCAAGTGAATACTGTGAAAGATCAGCTAGAAGACTGTCAAACTACTCGTGTAGAGCTAAGGGAAGAGATAGAAGCTAAACTTACCGAACAAGCTGAAGCCAACGGAACCATCGAGATAACTGAGAAAGAGTTAGAAGCCAAGAATTCGGAGGTAGAAGGTTTGAAGACACAGCTCCACGGCGCAAACATAAACGTAGCCGACCTCACTGAAGGTGTCCAGGAACGTCAGAAAGGTTCTACTTCTACTGCACCTCAAACACAGGATTATGACTGCGCTACCTGCAAGAAAATACGAGAACCCGTTAAAGCAATAGTTCTTCGTGCGATCTCCGAAATGAGGCGGATGGAGTCCATACTCCAGAGGCTGCTGGAAGAGGAGAGGCAGCGAGAGAGGCAAGATGAGAGCTCTGCCGCTCTGAGCACAGACGGGCAGGAGAAGCAGGGACACAGAATGAGGGAGCTTGAGATGGAATGCGAGGATTATCGGCAACAAGTGATCGAAGCTGCTCGGGAGCTGGAGATTCTGCAGCAGTACATCCAAAACAATGACCCCGAAACCATCCCTCCTGTGATCGACGACGCGGTCAATCTTCAACAGCGCAACGAGCAGCTTCGAGCAGAGGTGGATCAGGTAAACGTTATCTCCAAGAAGCTTCTTGTGTTCTATCAGAGGATGCAGCAAGTCATGAAAATTTTTAGAGATACCAAGCAGCCTATCGACGCTGATCTCGATGTCGGACAGGTTGCTTTTGCGGTTGATTTGGATCTGTATCTCGAAGCCGATTTGAAGAAGCTGCGAGCCCGGATGGAAAAGCTCGAGCAGGAGCCTCCAACGGCATCGGACGAGGAGAAACGTCAGAACCAGATCCAAAAGAAGCACGTCAAGAGGGAAATTGAAAAGCATGAGGTCCTTCTGAGCGAGCTTGATATATACAGCAAATTGGCCGACGAAGCAATGAGTGTCTCTGAAGTTTGTAGACTTGACCCAGCACCCAACCTACTTCATGTACTGCTCAAAGAGGATGATGCCAATGATTGGGAACATGTCCAACATCAAGGGTCAGGCCAGGGGGAGAGCGACGGCCCCCAGGGAGATGGTACCATATGGGATGGAGCACAACCAGGCGGCCTCGCCCTACCGTTTCCAAGTTTGATACCACTACTGTTGATGCTCACTACCATTATGCTGTTTATGTTTGGATTTGTGACCCAACAACAGCTAAAAGAGCGGTGGGCTGTGGCAAATAACTTCTCGCGAGCACTCTGGGTCAACGACGATACTGGGAGCGTGCCGTCCGCCTGGGTTTATTTGGCTATCTTCGTTGTTCTTAACTTTACGGCATTCTATAAGGGTCGATAGCGGTGTCAAACCCAGTCGCTGGACCTGTCCAGTGTCGGTTCAGAATAAACAGCGGCAAGAGGCTAGACAAGCATTTGTTGAAGATTTGATTTGTTACGGTAGTGTTTATATCGATGATAATATCAGCGATAATATCAACGAATGATCCATATATTATACCGGTCTTCTGTCAACTGTTATGCTCCTGTCAGCATGGCAAAAACCAGTCATGTCTCAGTATACCTTAAGCTCGACCACTTAGGTATCTCTGACAATGTCGCTCAGAGCGCAGCAAGATGTGGGCAAGAAATCTAGCCTCAAGGGAGTAATTGCCATGATGAAGGGCTATCCCAACTTCCAGTGGCTCAGCCGATGCGATCTGGATAAAGCATGTTCCGCCCCCTTGGTTGACCAGCATTGAGTTATCAAAGCACCGCGAATTGTTTTGAGCCTGAACATGCATCTATGCATTGTACTTATAAGTGTTTGGGAACATCGCAACTCAGGAGTCTTGCCATCACTACTCCTTGCGAGCAAAACACTCGGATTATAAACTCTGCTCGGCGGCTAGTCTACATTATGCGCGCGCGTCTCCGTTCGCCGACGACTCTCCAAGATTCTGCTTTACTTCTGGGTACGCTTTAACCCCCCTGATTTGTGATGAGCCATCCCAAAACACTTAGATGCCCACCAACAAGAGTATATTGCGATAATCCCAGACCTACTGACGCTGTCGCGGGATAAGCGTACCCGTTCTGCTTTCGCCCTGCCTATCGTCTCTCGGGCGGAACCCAATGAATAGCAAGCGTGGCCTACCACAATACATTCCGTAACCTTTACGCGATGCCTTCTTGGAGTGGAGAACGGCGCCATGTCATCAAAATAAGTTGATGGCATGTAGAGTCTTGGACGTTACTTGGTAGAATGTTCAAGAAGGGGTTCCACGCGAGGTGGAGCAAAGTCCGAAAGTCTGCGCATCGTCCGAAAATCTGCCCATCGTCCAAACCCAAGTGTTGTCGCGGAGGTCGACCTCTGAAACCCGAGCTAGGCGAGGGGGCAATCCACCAGAGCCCGTGAACTAAGCAAGCACTCTCAGTTAAGTGCTACATCACATATCAGCCAAGAGATATCGCAAGTTCCAGAGGCGGGGTGCACATCACTTTTACGAACAGAAACCAAGTAGGATTATAGTGACTAGTAAACCATACCAAATCAAACAAAACTGCATAAATCTAAAACAAAAATGGTGGTATCGATGCAAACACTGAATAAACCCCAACTGACCAACCTCATGTCACGAAAAACGACGAGCGACGAACCTCAACGACTCTTTCTCCTCAAATCATTTGTGACCTGCAAGATGCCACTCAAAGACTTTCCGGAATAGCTGTTTTCCGTTGCCAATCATGGTCTCGCCGTGGCATGGGATAATTGTATCGAAATCCCACGCATCGATTCTCTGTACACTCTTATTGAACGCAGGGCGGTTGCCGGCGCTCATGGCGTACCACAAAAATCGTTTGATACCTTTAGCCTCGCCTTCCGTGCTCTGGAGGCCATTGAAGAGTTTGTTTGCCAAGCCGTGCGAACTTTTCTCTGCCTCTGGGACGCGTGAGTATTGCTCCACACATGGTAGGTTAAACATCAGATCGGCCTGTATCAGGATCTTCTCGGGCTTGTAGAACAGGACGATTTCCTTGTTTGGGTGAGAGTCCATGTACTCGACCTCGAAGTTAGCTGCGAAATCCGCATCGATGTTGTTATCCTGGTGGTTCTCGGGCGTGTAAATGAAGTTGAACTTCTCCTTGCCAATCTTTTCATCGTTGGCCTTCTCGCGCTTTTCTTGGAGGCCTTGGGGGCCGACGAGTTTCGCATTTGGATACTCCTTGGCCCACTCCGAAATGAAAATGTGATGCTCAATGTCCGAGGCAACTAGATACGCAACATTGCCGCCTAACTCTGCCACTTTCGCCTTCACCTCAGGGGTGAGCGCGACGGGTGATATGACAGCCAACGAGCCTGTGGTCAGACGCACTATAAGACAATGTAAGCGGTGGAACATATTGCGTGCGGCGTACGAACTAACCTATTGTGCCGCGACCACCGACTCTCACAAGGCCAAATCGCGAAAAGGGCACGGAAAGAGTGATGACATTTGGTGTGATTTCGCGAATGACCATGACATCCGATGGTGTTAATGGAATGAGCTTGGACGACATTGTGATGGGTCGCAGGTCGATTCTCGTGGAATTTAGCTGTGGTTGCTTTGAAGCGACTGTTGACGTTCTTGCGGTACCTGAGATAGCAGTCGCCTGACGGTTTTGCTTTGTGGTGAAGGTTCTGTGGGCCACGAGCGGTATGATTCGTGAAGACACTCGTAAATCCAGATGCAAGTTCAATGCTCGGTTGCTGATAACACGGAAGGGTCTTGCTTGATATATATCCATTCTAAAAAGCCCAACAGGCTCTTGGGTGGCGTGACGTGCTCCAAATTCTGTCCACGGTAGTCGCCAACTGAAAACTGGCAAAGCCGAGGCTAGCTGGTGGACGTGGTTTCACTCGTTTACTGATACAGGCAATGTCAGCCCTATGAGAACGTGCGTAATACTCCGTAAACTGATACGCCCGACAAATCCGCTGTGAGCATGTGCGGGATGGTGCGGATTCAATACACTTTCAGAAGCTCTCAAGCTACGGGTTACAGAAGATGACATCATGCTAAAGAGTGCGCTGGCTGCCCATGGATCTGATTACTGTGTGCAGTAGACGACCGCGGCTCGTCGGAGAGCCCACGAGCATTCTGGGGGCTTCGGGCGCTAGAGAGAGACCGACAGGCCGTTCTAGTGGGTTTGCAATCTTGATGAACGGTGCACATTTGCCATTTGCGGAAATAGTGCTACAAACTTGCACGGACATTATTTGTGAGTAGTACACCATGCGGGTTCGTTCGATTTGGAATTCCTCAGTTCTGAATGGAAATTGTTTCCATGGACAAGAACCGCTTTCTGTTCATCAGAGAGTATGCATTCAACATTGCTGAGGGGGACAGCCCTACGGATTGCCTGGCGAGCCATCGTCTAAACTGCTGTCAAATCCAGGGACGAGGTCCTTGCGCGCATTCTCAAGTTGGTTTTGGAAGCTCGCATCCTTGATGCCTATACTAGCATCACCAAAATCCCAAGACATCAGCTTGTCCCGCAGCCCAGTTGTCGGGAACCCATTGTACGAGACGAGGGGGCCGTAGAACCATTGGCCCAATGCATTCTCAATGTGGTCGTCGTCCGCATTCGCAAAACGAAAGCAATGCGTGCTCAACCCGTCTTTGTGGAATACCATCTTGGGATGGTTACCGTCCCAACGAACATCACTGGCTGCTTTCGTCTCGTAATTGCCATGTTGTGATGCGGCAACAGCTTTGGCAACACCGTTTTGCACAAATATGACGATGTGTTCCCAGTCGTGCCGGTGACCTAGATCGAAAGGAAAGTTTTGAATAGCTACATCCTTCTCGAAATAGTAATCATACATGTAAGCGCACCTGTCACAGAATGAGTCTTCAACCGAATAGTGCGCCGGGCGATCACGGAATCGTTGCACTTACCATCCATTGTTGCATCGCGCACGGGAGTACACGTTGTTGTTTTGGAGATCCGACAGATCATGACAGCCTGTTGACAATCCTGTGTTGTCGTGATCAAGGCCTGGCGCAACGTTCCCGTTCGCATCGATTGCTGGGGTATTATAGCAACTACATCCCCAACGGTATGTTTAGTGCCATGCCAGTAACTGTATTGTGGCAAAGGAGAATAGCGTAGTGCTTACCTATCAGTGTCGAAATCCATTGCAGGTTGCCATCTACGCAGACTCGTTAGCTAAAGAACCAGACAGATTGATCGCACACACTTCTTGTCGTCTACCGTGGCTCTCTCTGGCAGCGCCGTGGGCGGATCACGCAATTGAAGAACTTTGTACGGAATGGCATTGACTATAACAGCATTGGTGGCGGCAAGTGCTAGCAAACGCACAATTGCGGTGAAAGGGACCATCGTTAATACACAGGCTCGATGAGCATACCGACAGCAAAACCTCTTCATTACTCCTAGGGCGGTGATCCTATATTTATACCCAAAGATTGGAACACTGCCTTTCTCGATCATCCAGCGAGGCTTGGTCTATGTTGCAATGCAGCCGTTTATGCTTAACCCAGGGTTGAGGCGGATTGGTCCATCTCGTGCGGCTGATCTGCTTGAGTAATCCTTCCAAACGACGAGTAATGGCTGCTCCTGCCATAACTGTCAAGAGTCTAAGCCTAGTTGCATGGAGGATCATGCTGCAAGGCATTGATCCCTGCCTGATGGGACCCTTCCTCCTTTTCACGAAGAGGCTATGATGCCCCTCGTAATTATTATGCATCGCAAATAACTCGTCGTTCGTCTACGTGAAAACGTACAGATGTGTATTAGTGACCCGGAATATAATCGATGATACGCGTTAAGTCAGTCTGCCTACTCGAGTATCTGACGCATTTCCATTTCGGATTTCTTCTTATTTCTGTTTGATTATTCGCGTACGTTATTGTATATATGTACAACAACTCTGAGAGAGGGGAAATGTCATCCTGGCAATGTAACCCTGCAGTTCGGCCCGTCTATATCTTGCAAGCCCAAACTGAGTAAATGACCATGGTCGACCTTACTGGTCAACATTCCTTATGACTTCGACATGGTGCATGGTGGTATGGTGGTATGGCTTCTAAAAGTATTGCTAAACTGATGGCGAAAACCCACGTGCTCATGTGATAGGATATATATCAGCATACGCGTGTCTCGGGAGGATAGCTCTATTTTCTTTCCAGGTCAAGAACTGAAGTACTTCATATTTGCAAAGAACTAACAACACTTAGCTCTGGGTGGCGCATTAAGTGTTGCGCCAGAACTATCATGGTTTGCAACGAACAGTTGATGTCGTGTTAATCATTCTTCGCTATCTTCCTTACAGACAATTGCTCGTAAATCATATGCATCTAATCGCATCTTGCAAGATGGCTTAACGGCCGCGTATACTATGCATCGTCCGGGCCTTTGATTTGCGAGGCCGTGATGCCATCATATTCAATGCCACCGCTCCACTTTTGTTTCTGGTTAAGTTCAACCTCCTCGAAGGGTAGTCTGGGGCTATTGCCCAGAACAAATCGTCTATGCCAAGCACCCACGAACATGCCTTCAGGGTCAACCTCGTCCCGTACCCTGCGCCACTGTTGCAACGAGCTGCCATACATGCGCTCAATTTGAGTGCCATCGGCCTCAAAGTTCTTAGCCCAGTGCGGTTTGCCGCCTAGATCACGCATCAACCACTCGAACCCTTCGTAGTACCGTTGTCGGCACGGAGGGTCCGCATGATAGGGTCGGTACAAAGTAGCATTGAGATAAAGTGTTGGTTCATCATGGCTCGTAATGTCAAGATAAGGGCTGGTGTTCGACCTGTTGGAGTTCAGTTGTGGGTTCGAGGTATCACTAACACGCACTTCCACCGGGGCATGAACGTAGAGGCCCTCAGCGGAGAAGGGGATGTTGTGAGGTACGTAGTCAGGATCTTCTGGTGTCAGGTGGTTCAACCAGCTACTGAGTCGGCGGAGTGCCTCGGGACCCTTGCTCAGAGGGATCGCCCACTCATTTACGAATTGAGAGTACAGGCAGTTCATCAGCAAAGCCTTGGCGCTCGGTTGAATGGCCTCCGTCGTGGTGCCATTGGCGAAACCATACTGCATACCAAAAACAAACCACTCTACCCAAGGCAGTATCCGGGGAACGAACTGGCCCAGGTAGAGTAGATTGTGGTAGATGTAGTAGCCGAGAGCCCCGTCGTAGTAGGATGTCGGGGGATCGCGAGCTGGCTCATCAGTCTCGGATGCAGACCAGACAACGGCGCGGCGGGTGTATGGGTACCACCAAACTCTAACGTAATGCGCGTGAGTCCATAAGTCGCCGGACCAGCGGTTGAGCATGCTGATATCTTTATCGATGATCTGTCTCCAGTGCAGTGTGTAGGCAGGCACGGCTTGGAAGGTGATCTCTGTGATGATGCCCAGTGCTCCGAGAGATATCAACGACGCGCGGAATAGCTCCGGGTTTTCTGTCGGGGAGCATTTCTTGGTGGTACCGTCCGCAAGAGTAATTCGCAAGGACAAGATATCCTCCGATACCAATCCGTGCCGGAGACTTGACCCATGAGTGCCAGTCGATATGGCACCTGCAATGCTCTGATGGTTGATGCTTCCCAGATTGGGCATTGCCAAACCCAGCCTGTCCAATTCAGCGCTTAGCTGGTATAGGCGAATACCAGCCTGCATGGTCACAATTCCGCTTTCTTTATCAGAAGATAAGATCCTGTTGTACTTGTCCAGGTTTACTAGCCATGAGGAAGTGCATGTGATGGAGCTAGGCGAGTGGCCACACCCCACTGTGGTAATGCGGCGACGGCAGCGTCGTGCGACATTAACCAGGTGCTCGATCTCCTCTAATGTTTCCGGCTGGATATAGAGCTCGGGCATCCAAGAAAAGGTCTTTGCCCAAGTCGTCTGGACGTGATTCGTTCGCATTCGAAAAGGAATATCGGAAGTGGGCTCCGCGGCCAGCGCCTGGGCGATGGCTGGGTCGATGTGAGTCGCCATGTTGCTTCTGCTGACTATTGCGCTGTCGCGAAACTGGGACTGGGTAGAATGACAGGAAGTGAGAAAAGTGTCGAGGGAGCGAATTGGCTCGGGTGGTAGGTAGCCTTCTATAGCTTCGCAAGGCCTGGCTCTGTGCACGCGGTCAGGGTCCGTCGTGCGTTTGCGGTCTTCTCAAGTGGACCCAAGGTTGTCTCGTCTTGTCTTGTGTCTTGTAGTCGTCGTAACGCCCGTGACATGCGCAGAGCTAGCTATGTTTCAACAACCTCTGACCAGATACACTGATGCCTGTGTCAACACTGGGCCGTTGAAGCCATCGTCTTCTCCGTTCGTTCGTTTCAGTGGCAACGGAGCAGAACAATAACACGGCATCATTCACAGGCTTCGTCTTTCCTCTTTTTCGACAAGATATGTTGACTAAGTTTAGTGTAGTTTTAGTTTGCAATAGCCGAAGTACAGCTTGGTGGAGGGGTCCAAACGCCATTCGCGAGCCATGACTATTTTTTTGGGAGTTCTGGCAGAATCCCCCCCCCCAAAATAGCGCAGGTCCTTGCGACGCATCACCCCCCACCACTCGTAAGTTTTGTTGTCAGTCTGTGGCATCCAACCCCAGGGGTCGTACGGAGAGACTCCCTACCAAAGGATATCTTGCATGCATCGAAGCCAAGAACCCCATCACTGTCCTGCTTCATCCCTTCCTAACTGTATTTTTCTGGAAATATTCATTATCAATCCCGATCTTGCGGATTCGGTACTCATCCATATATTAAGTACGAATACTGCAACGACGACACACGGTATTATTAGTCTGCACGGATCGTAGTCAAGGTCATAAATGATATTCAAGACATTTTAATAATCACGTATGTAAGCAACTTGGGCTCACTTTTGCCTAAGGTCTGAACACTGTTTCTGATCTTTGAAGCAGTAGTTCGTCTAATTTATTTCTCCCTCAGTTTTAACATGGATTAATTCGCTGGTCAATTAATCTGAGGGCTATCATGTTTATGGTTGGATCTATCTGGCCAGATCCCAGCCCCTGTCTTTTCCTTAGCCTGCGCTTACCACTTATTCGAGACATCTCCATCTTCGTTAACCCTCTTTAACCCTTGTTATTTTGTCATCTGGATAGAGCGTTTATAGACGTCCTTCGCGTGACACAGACACTGGCCAGACTGAATCAAAGGTCACTGTCTGCTTCGGGCTTTTGATTAAGAAGCTTGAGGAGCTGGAATTGCCTTTATCGCCTTGAACGAAAGGCTACTTACGTGCCAGTTCGGATGTTGCTAAATGCCGAAGGTCCAGTCACTTATGTCCAGATGGCTCTGGACCGCCATGGCATTCTTTTCATAGACTTCGAAGCCTCAGTGACGGCTTCATCAGGCCTTTTTTTTTTTTTTTTTCCCCCCTCAAGCCTCAGCGCGAAGCTGTTTTCGCTTGTTAGTCTTCTTTTCCTTGGCAAGAAGCTCCTCCTCGAACTTTTCTTGGGTCTCTGTAGATCAAGGCGACCTTGCGTGGCTTCCCGTCTTCCTGGCGCACCTCAAGTCTTCTTTAATCCAGGCGTTTCTGATGTTTCTCATCTTGTTCATTTTGCTAGCTTGGGACTTCTTTCGGAACCTTGATCTGATGTTACACCAGCATCTCCCCCAGAAAGATTGGTACTTGATAACAGACATATTAGAAGTGGCATATGTAGTTTCTTGATGTATAACGAAGCTCCCCGAATAATGTCATCGATATATTCTCTATACAGGAAACAACCCTTTTTCGTCTTATTGAATATATGTACGCGAACCCCCATCAGAAACAGTAGACTAGAGGCACAGGGTGCAGGGGGCCATCTAGAAGTCACGTAGCAAAGATGACGAACTAGTGGGGTTGTTGTGATTGTATGACATGTTCGTAATTACCTGTGACAAAATTTTGAAATATTGCAACAAGCCCACGGTAGTCTTGTATGTGGATTCTTTTTACCTAGGCTTGTACACAGTCGATCTCCGGATAGGCGAACGCTCCAAGAACTGGATTTGTATAGCCTGGCCTTTTGACCTGTAACCAAGTTGAAAAACATTACACCAATATCATTCCACTGTACTTTTTGAGGCGATATATCGTAAAATCTAGATGCGCATTGCAGGAAAGTTCAATAGACGGCTCGTCACATTCCGTGATACAATGATTGTAGAAACGTTTTAAGATTTGATATGAAAATCTATATGAATCCGAGAAATAACTAGTCATTTTCTGTCTTTCAGTGTTATTGAGTTCTTGGGGTTGGGAAAGACAGGCACGGATGACATCTTCACTAAATGTATCTAAACTTCCGTAATCAACATAAGTAATGTCTCCCGTTCCCTCATTTCCATTTCGTCATAAGTTTCCAATTCCGCAACCAACTTGTCGCGGCTATCTCTCAAGCTCTTCAGACGCCTCAAAGCCCCCCCCCCCCGAACTGGACCTACCAAAATCTAATAACTTCGAATCCCTAGAAGATGTAGCAGCGTGTTTGCAGGGATTAAAAAGGTGTTGCCATAGTTCAAGCCCTCGGTAAGTGCCTGGATTAAGTCGCTGAACTCGCCCGGCTTTTTTTCTACAATATTGATCTTCTTCTTCTTCTTCTTCTTCTTCTTCTTCTTCTTCTTCTTCTTCTTCTTCTTCTTCTTCTTCTTCTTCTTCTTCTTCTTCTTCTTCTTCTTCTTCTTCTTCTTCTTCTTCTTCTTCTTCTTCTTCTTCTTCTTCTTCTTCTTCTTCTTCTTCTTCTTCTTCTTCTTCTTCTTCTTCTTCTTCTTCTTCTTCTTCTTCTTCTTCTCCTTCTTCTCCTGCTCCAGTTTCTCCATCGCTAGCTCGCGGAGTGAACACTTTATCCATGTTCTTCGACACTAACATCAGCGATAGCTGGTGTCCGTCGCGCTTGAGCGTTCCCTCAGAGCGTGATTATTGTTCTGTCCACAAGGGGCCTGTGTAGCCACACAACCTAGCAGGTCATGTCCGCGCCTGGTCAGATGGTAAAATCTGCGGTCGCTCGTTATAGGTCTCAAACTCTTGCGGTGCCTCTTCTTTGCATGTTGCAAGCTTCGCAGATATTCGATATCATCACGCACTCTTGAAGCTCTGCTATGTTCGCAAGGGCGATGGCACAACTCAACCGCTCTACAGTAAGCTTTTCATGCCTGCAAAGGAAATACAAATACATGGTTGAGTATCCAGAGTTACACACCCAGGATTTCCCCTCTGCCCTACAGATTGTCTAGGCATGTTGTCCGTTCAAACTGGGCAGGCTGTTTATAGGCTCAGCAAACCGCATATCTACACCAGTGACTTTGGCGTTTGGTGATTTCCTGGATTATCCACTTAGTTATGAGGCATTCATCCACTGACCTTAGTTGCCTTTCATAGAATCTCGTTTTCAAGTACTAGTACACATGGATGTGTATGTAAAGCGGGATATCAATAGCTGATCTCAGCCATGCTAGCATAGAACTGGAAAGGACTGATTGTGTTGTCGTGATGCTGTGTTTTGTCTATTTCCTACGAAACGATTTGGTGTGTGCGGTACAACAATAATGTGAGACCACAGTTTGAAAGACTGTGCTGAGGACGTATCAATCCATCCGCATCGGGGAGAGTAAAATAGATACAACGATGTCATAAATTACCGCATAGGTGCGGGACTAGACGGAGGACATTTGCAAGTCATTGTATCTGAGAATTTGTCAGCTCGTACCGCGAAACATAATTACCCACCTATTACTGGCTTATCTACCCATAGGACTTCCATCTAGGACTCTTTGTGTGGTATAGTATACGGAAGCTTGCCGCATACAGAAGGTCTCCGATAACGTAGTATGGGGACATACCCCCTTTACTCCGCTTTGGGAAAGATTGGCGCTGCCACGTCGAGGCACAGCAGCTCGATATAATAAGAATTTAGTGGATTCAGAACGATCTCCTCTAAAAACTCATTGCGCCAAGCATAGTATACTCACAAGTCTTCTTACTGATCCCCACAAACCAAGCAACCATGAGCAAAGTCAAGCCACCTCAGCCCCCACCCTTCTTCTCTTATACCCCAAACGCCATCGCCGAAGCTGCAGATGCTTTGATTGCTGCTTCTGCCAAAGTCTGGGACCATGTCGCGACTATTGCACCCAATGATGCAACTTTCGCCAACTCGATCCAGCCTATAATCGACGATGAGAACGCGCGTCTCGCACAAGGCCGCATTCTGTATTTCCTCTCGGGTGCATCCGTCGACAAGGACGTCCGGGCCGCCTCCAAGCGGGCCGATGTAGCGCTCAAGCAAGATGTCATCGAGCGCTGCACACGTGCCGACGTCTTCGCTGTTGTCGAAGCCGTCTCCCAGCGATCCGATGTTCTGGACCTTCCTGCCGAGTCGCAGGTATACCTGCGCAAGCTCAAACAAGAGCTCGCTCGTAACGGTCTTGCGATTGAAAAGGATTCAGATCGTGCGCGGCTCAAGGAAATCAACCTGCGCCTCACGGAACTCTCGAGCCAGTTTCTTGGTAACATCGATGCCGATGTCAGCGGGATATGGTTGACGAAAGAGGAACTCGACGGTCTGGCACCGGCCGTGCTGGAGCGCTTCAAGCAAGATGATGAAGGAAAATACTTTGTCAACTTCAAGAGACCCAACATGAATGCAGTCCTGAGCGACGTGCACAATGCAGGTGTCAGGAGGAAGTACTACATTGCTTGGGACAACCGTTTGAAGGAGAAGAACAGCACGCTGCTACATGAGATCCTTCGCCTGAGGCGCGAGTCCGCACTGTTGTTGGGTTACAGGAACTTCGCCGAGTCTAGAGACCAGGAGCGAATGCTGAGTGCGGACCGTGTTTCCGAGTTCCTAGACAGTCTTAAGCAGCCGTTCAGGCAGCTTGGACAAGAAGAACTCAACGAGCTGGCTGAGCTGAAGAAAACACACCTACAGACCCTCTCCGCCGAACAGAAGGATGAGTCCTCCATCGATGCCATCTTCCGTTGGGACTCCCAGTACTACAAGCGCCTGGCTAAGTTGGAGAAAGTGGCGATCGACACGACCAAAGTGGCCGAATATTTCTCATTCCAATTAATGCTACCCAAGTTACAGGAAGTATACTCACTACTTCTTGGGCTCCGCTTTGTGACACTGTCACCCAAACACGATGGTGTAGACACCTGGCATGAAGATGTTCAGGTCTTTGAGGTATGGAATAGTGAGAATCTGGGTGGAGGGTTCCTGGGTTACTTGTACGTCGATCCGTATCCTCGAGACGGCAAGTACAGCCATGTCGGTGTTTTTGGTGCACAGCTTGTAAGTTATTGACTTGTGCTTTGTGTCGTTGTTTGAAGTGGCTGACCTCACCGGTTCAGGGGTACCTCAAACCAGATGGTACACGGCAGTATCCTTCAGCTATTTTGATGGCAAACTACCCACCTCCGACCCAGTCAAGGCCGAGTTTGATGAAGTATCATGATACCGTGAACCTGTTCCACGAGCTGGGCCATGCTGTTCACAACTTGGTCGGTCGGTGCATGTATAGCCGCTTCCACGGTTCTCAAGTGACCCGCGATTACACCGAGATCCCAAGCCGCTTTTTCGAGCACTTCTTCTGGGATCCGAATATGATTCGCGCCGTCTCGTGCCACTACGAGAATCCAGAGCTCAACATCAAGCTGCCCGAAGATATGGTCCAGAATACAATCGCAACACGATACGATCACGCCGCAGCCGCAAAACTGAGCGACTTGGCATTTGCCATATTTGACCAGGTTGTTCATACTACATGGGAGCCGACTGAAGACAACGAGCTTGAGCTTTCTGTCCTATTCAACAAGAACCGCCATGAGTACAGTTTGCTGCGAAGCGTCGAGGATCTTGGGCAAGGCTACGCTGCCCTCCACGGCCAGACGCACTTCCGAGCCATCCAGGGCGCTTATGCTTCAAGCTACTACACATACACCACGTAAGTCTTTTATTCATGTCCCCAAGTCCGCATCCCTTACAGCACTCTCGCGATTATAAAGCCCCAGCTTCTCATCAACATGCCGCTGACATTGACTTCTTGAACAGCGCGGATGCCTTCAGTGCAGACATCTTCAATGCCAAGTTCAAGCACTTGTTGAGCACCGAGACCCGCCATGAGCTCAAGGACATCGTCACTGACGAGTTGAAAGCTGAAGGACTGCGCTTTCGCCGTGCCATGCTCGAGCCAGGATCCAGCACAGGGTCGGAGGCGCAATTAATCAGGGACTACCTCGGACGAGATCCAGACCCTAGCGCTTTCATTGAGATCCTCTCCGCTACAGCCAAGGCCTGATCCGAGCCTTTACTACTAGTGGTCATGTGGTGAATTTTGGTGACGAGACAATGTGTGGCGCATTTTTGCACTTGCACAGAAATGCAGAACATCGAGATGATGGTTGATTGATTGATTGAATTTTCGTATTATTTGAGCACGTCTGGTATCTCCACGCTCGTTTTAGTCCCCTTTAATGTTAGATCCCGTCTTGATGCAGAAACAACCTGACTCCAGTAATGATGATGTCGTTGTCATGGGCGCTCCAGGCCCGAACCAGACAATACCGACGATTCCCAAACGCCGATGGCTTTTTTTTTGCAAATCCCATATTCTAATGCTTCACTTCTATGCCTTTTTTCCTGCGACCGGCACTCAACTTTGTTGTCTCACAAGCCTAGCGTCTTTCCTTTCTCTGGTGCGGCCACGACGGTCTTCCCGACCTGAGTCGCTCCGTGATGAATTGCTGTCTGAGTGATATGATGAAGAGGCTTGCAAAGTTTCATAGCGAGCGGATCTGCCCTCGTTCATGACCTGTAGATTGACCTGGTCAGCTCCAATCTAGGGTGGTTGGTCAATGGTGCACGTCACTTACTGTGCAAAGCCTACACCTTTCGCCAAATTGCGTCACCTTATTATGGCAGTTGACCGCGCCCTGTTCGTGTACGCATTAACATCGAGGTCGACTTTCAGGCCGATTCAAGCTTTGAAGAACCTACATAGTAGTTTGCACAATAACAGTTTGTAGGCATATTGATGGCGTTTGTTTAAAGGTTGTATGATGGATGGTGGAGTGGGCCGGGAGATCTACAACTAAGTACTGTGTAGTTTGCTAGCAGTTGGTCGATGTCGTCAGCGAAAGGAGCTTTTTGTCTTTAGATGAATAAAGCAATAATCCTTTTCAGTTCTGTGTCATGTATTGGTCGGATGTCAATAGATTATTTTCGAAAAAGCAAGTCCCGGGGTCATGATAATTTATATTGAATTCTCCCTTTGCCCCTGGCCTCGACGCCAAACCTTCTTGATCCGCTAGATCCGTCCACACCAACCGTTTAAACAAGGACGTGGTGTGAGGTCAGCTCAGATGGGGGACTGGACTCTGGAGCCCACAGACCGGGATGGAGCTCATTGACGCAGTAAGCGTCAGCTTCTCAAACCCAATCTGGTGCCGGTCCTTCAATGGAACTTCTGCCCTGTAACTGGAATCACCCCTGACAATCAGTTAGCACCCAGCAAGGGGGTGCTGATTGCTTGAACCAAAAGCGCTTCTCGTTGCTTCTGGGTCAGCTAAAAATGTGATTGCTTGGCCGAGGCGTGGCACCCCGGACTTTCCAGAAAACCGGAACTCGATAGCACTGGCAATCGTGCCACGGCCAGCCACGGAACCTGCTGTTGGGGGGCACGATGACAGCGGCGCTAAGGCATTTCCCTTCCTGTCGAGGGCGAGCGCGGCAGCGAGCCCGGGTGCCGTTAGGGTGGTAACTAGCGAACTGCAGACGCCGTAGACCAGCGATCCTCATCAATCAGAAATCACTGCATTTGAACCAACGCGCACCTTTGACTTCAGGTGCGCCATACGCACACGAGCTTCCTGCAAGTGGTTTGGTGCCACCGTAGTACCAGGTATTGAGTTGACGTCAAAGCGATAGCGTACTCAAGCGTTGATCTGAACGAGTTAGATGGGGAAAACCTTCTGCCAGCAAGAACTCTCACGAATCACGACCAGTCTCAATTCAGAAACTCCGAGCCATGTCCCATTGTTGGCTGTGGAGATATGGGACGGTAAGTGCAATGTCACAGCAGCGCAATACATACTCTTGGACTTTCTTGGTAGCGAACAAGATCCGCTGCAGGTAGATGAGATGGAACGTTTGTCTGTGACACAGTCCCATGTCTCCTTCGTGTTTCAATGCTATGAGTGGGACAAACGGGACCTCGTGTTTGGCAGGGCTGCATCGAGATCCTCTCTCGTGATGTTCCTGTGACAGATCTGACTGGAAGAAAGTCCCCGATTTCCCCGGATGGCGGATGCTGGCAGTTGTCAAGCGCGTCCAAAACACGCTCCACGATGGGTCATGCACAGCCATGCACATCAGTTCTAGAACGTCCTGTCGTGCGGTACCTCGTGCTGATCGTGCTGTCCAAGCCCACAATGTTGTCATGCGCTTGGAAAGTTGCATTGCGCTCGACAGCCTCAATCTTCGGGTCTTATTTGCCATACTTCGAGATTGTGTGAGAGAGTTTCGGCAAGTTTGAACTCTAGCTCGACCCCATATATTGAGGAACATTGAAGCTATTCTGATGAAGCTCTTATGCTACACGCTCCATCCCGCGGCAGCACGAGACATGTGTACTGTAACTTGTCATGAGCTACTGGCAACAACGTCGGGCTAGCGAAATCTTAAATGCCCCAAGGATACTTTCTTCTCCCACAAACGAGTTCACTCTCCGTTTCAAGTTGTCATGTCTTACAAACACGAAAAGTTGATTGGATCATGGTGCGTATCTTATGTGGTAACGACATGCGCAGAAATTCTCGCCTCCAAGGTGTGTCAAACTCCATAGTATAGTGTTATACGGCCTAGTTTTCGCGACGTCCAATGAAACATTCACGTAATGTCAGTAGCTGCAAATCCCTACAATTCTATAGTTACTGTTGGGTGAGGCACGCCGTGATGGCGCTACACCCTGATTGTCAACCACCACTCTTACAACCCCAACCACCACAACAGCATCATGATCTGACAGGCTACCAGTCCCGTGATCTCAACGAATTCTGATTAGCTAACACAGGCGTTGAATTCAGACCCAATCATCACAATATGCTGCGCTTAGCAGCCGAGCATAATACCCGATTAACCCCCATTCGCTGCCCCCCGCATGACCGACGCTGCATCAGTGCAGTCGAGCGTGCATATGCATACAACGCCCAGCCATAGTCCATACTCGGCACATCGTGTGCCCTTCCAACGAACCTCTAGAGAGCTTCCCCGCATCACGATTGGATGCTGAAGTCATACCACAATACACAAGCTAAACCAGCGGGCCATGTAAACCATATTTCAACGCACCATGCAACTCGTGTAACGGGCGAGAGCCGCAAGGCGCCGAGGATCATCTAGACCTACCTTTGTCGGACGTACGATAACCGCACGAACTGATACCTGTCCAGCAACAAACCTCTGTCACACTTATAGGCGACGAGTCTGGATATACATGTCCTACAAGTAATATCAATAGTCATGTATTAAACCGTCGTTCTAAACTGGGTTCTCGAGACCGAACTTTGTACTTCCGCTCGTGTATCCTCGAACACCAAAGCCGCTTCACAATCCTAGACAATATGTGCACCTCACTGCTTCAAGAGTCAAAGTATTGTCGTCGGTAACGAGCCAATCAGTTTACCTCTTGTTGTCGTACGACGAAGGCACGCCAACTCAGTCCTAGCCACATACACTGGATTCCAACCCGACTTGACCGGGGCACCGCGGAGACAGCATTCCGAAAGAATAGAGTTTATTTGACGTTAGTTTGACGGGGGGACGTTCCAAGCATCATTTTCATACTCACGCTATCAACAACTCTCTAACCCACTCCTCCCCCCAAGAAAAGAATCCATCCCCACATCGATGTCTTATTCCCACGACTTGAAGACGACGATGACCGCCCCCCCCCCTCTTCCATTTCATCATCATCATCGTCATCACCACCATCCTTCTCCTTCCTCATAATTGGACCCGTCCGTTAACTCACGCGAAGTCCAGAATCATCAGATCAACAGGAGAGACCTCAGGAACGCGCAATCAAATCTCCAGTTCGCCAACACTGCCACCCACCAACGCAGGGGAGGAGGGCCAGGAACTGTTTTCTCGTAATTTTCCCACCTCCGTTGTGCCCAAGGGTTTTCTGTCGTCACGTCGCGTTACATTGCGAATTTTTCTCCCGATCATAGCCACATTGCCTCTTTTTCTCCCCAATTAAAAAAAAAAAAAAAAAAAAGAGGGCGACCCACCTCCCACTCACTAAAACACGTCGTGGGCCGGGTTAAGGGAGCAATTTTTTTTGGACTTTAGAGGAGAGAAAAGACAGACTTTTGCCGCCAGGTCCGCTAATGGTTGTGCCTGTCGATCAACATGACAACAAGGGGGGAATTTCGAGATAGTTGTGCTTGTCGAAACCCGCCCCTTCCACCTAAATGCACTCCACACGATATGTAGTTCTGAAGAAAACAAGATTATGTTTCGGTGACATGAGTAAGTTGGCTTGAATCTTCGAAAAAGTCTTAATGTAATATTCTTTTCTCGAAATACGTAGACATGACTCGTTCAGAACGCTAAGTTTGATTACATATTTAGCTACGTAGGTAGTTAGTTCTACGGCGCATTGCTACAGTAGAAGAGAGGTTTCAGTTTCTAATTAAAGATGAGGCTGAAGAAGAAGAAACAAAAAGGAAAGAAAGTAAAAAAGAAAAGGGGGCAAGGCAAGACTTGACTAGGAAGGTAGGTCAGGATTGACAAGAGTTGTATGACGAGATGATGTAGACAATGTCCCTGTGGATGTGAGATCCCTCATGTCACGGTCATCGTCACCCCTGAGCCGTACTGTACTATACAAAAACAATGTCCGATGGAGAGCTCCAGTTTGCTTGTTAGGTTTATGGATTCTACAGAGGCACCGCCTCACAGAACTATGGGTCACTGAACATACCACAGACAAAGGAACATGTGCTCAAAATTCTTGGTCTCCAATTACTTTGTAGTAGGTTGACACAGCCCCGTTCATATCTAGACAACAATCCGCTGCAGTCGCCCATTCCCAGATCAATGCAGACAACCCGCCCTTTGCCACGATATTGCTTCCGCTATTTCCCCTTCCCATTGCACGCCGTCGCTCCGGAAGTTGTCCTGCCGGATCACTTCTGCAATGAATCCACCGGGTTGAAGTGCGAGCCCAAAGTGCGTACAGCACTTGCAACTGTGCGGGCTGCGGTTGTTCACTTCAGTGAACTATGGTGCGAATTACTGTTTAAGAAGAGGTAGCACAGCGGCTAGATCAAGTCAATAGCGGTGGAAGTCTCCGTGGACGCAATTGTGAAACGATGACAAAATATTTGCACCCAGTTATCCAGTTTCACACACATCTCTTCCCGTCCAATGATAATACAATCTCTCGGTATAATGCATATGCAAGTTTCCTATATCAAGGATATGACAGCGCTCTCGATGTCGAAACGCGCAAATACGAGTAGAAAGAGGAAGACCCGGAGGAAATAGGAGGTGCAGGTGACTAGTGAACACCTTGCCCCTTTTCCTGCGAGGACGGCATTTCTGATCTCCGGTTGTTCTTCCAGAAATCAATAGTTGCCACAACATCCTGATTATTTTCGTCTTCATACGCAAATAGAATCTGGATCGATTAATTAGTACAGTGACTGCGCAATACACTCTTGTAAATATGCTTACCTCATGCGTACTGCTATGTAGCATCCTGATGTTCTTATGCGGCACAATGTGCACGGCTCCATTTTCGATGTTTCTAATCTCGATGAAGTTCGGCTCAAACGCCAATATCCAGGGGTAGCTGAGGGCAAAACTTTGGGGAGTACCTTCCCAATCAATGCGCCACTCTGGCCGCGCTCTCCAACCGTTACGGTTAACAAAGAAGGAGAAGTCGGTATAGTTGAGGAGGAATTCGCCGTTGAGTCGTTCGATATGAATCGGCTTCACGCCTTCTTTCCGGGCAACAAAATCGAGTGACGTATCTGCCTGATCAAGCAGACTCTGTGTCTCCAAAGTCTCCAAAGATACCACTTCGAAACCTCGTGAACAAGCTACGCAAAGCTTGCTCTTCAGGAAGTGAACCGAAGTAGATTCTGTCGGGATATAAAACTCCTTGAAGGCCTTCAGCTCGTCTTGCCCAGCATTGAACATCTTACCAAAGCCCTTCTGTTTCTTTCCTTTGCTCATGGCATCGTTCGGCTCGTACACCTTGATTGTGGTCGAAAGTGCAGTAGACTTCACGCAACACACCAAGTGCCTACCGAGACAGATACCTGCTTTAAAGAAAGTGCAGTGGCTCTGAATCTTCTTCCCTCGTTTGGAAAGGGCCGGCTCATTGGGCTCTAAAGCCTGTAGGGAGTATGACATGAGGGTTTTGTTGCAGAGAATAAGCAGGAGGCCATATTCTTCGAGAACATCGACTTGTGTCACACTTGGGACATCGATGACCCGTCTGGGGGTTGCGTCCTTGTTCTTTCGATCCGAAACATAGATGCCCTGGTCAGTTCCGTAGATCAGTTTGCGGCCACCATCTGTATGTGTTAGTAGCTGTGCCTCCACGAGATAGACTTTTCGAGAGGAAATTTTTTTTTTTCTTACCACAAGGTGTAACTGTGTTGACCTGGTTGCCAACACCAAAGAATCCCGTGGAGATATTGTTCACATTGAAGAAATCGGCTCTAGACCGTAGTCGTTGCTGAGCGGTATCGATGAATTCAAGCCACTTCTTCCTTTGCGAATGATTTGCCGCATAGAGCACCTGCTCGTAGAAATTCTTACCCAAGTGACGGAATGTGACTGGGTAGCCCTCAGTCTTCTTGTTGTCGGTATTACCCGCACGGAGGGGAATCAAACTCGAGGAAGAGCGTTTCATGCCATGCTGTGGAATAACTTCGTCCATCTCTCTGATTGAGAGTAATTCCAGGGGAATAGGCTGGACTCGCACATTAGTATCACACGAGTCAAACTGCGTGTAGCATTACACTTACCCTTCTGTAGGCCTTCACTTCCTCGTTCTTGCCTTGGGTTTTTATCCTCACCAGAAGAACTGCGTGATCAAACAGGAACGCAGTAATCTCAGTAGGATCACTCGGACTCTTCTTGAAGACAGTTTTGAACACCATCTCACGGCCATCTTCGGTAAGCCTGAGGTCAACACGGTCTTGGGGGCGGAAACGCAGCTGTTCATGTAGGCGTCGCAGGTTGAATCGGTTCTCAGCCTTGCCAGACTCGGCATTGACACGAGTCAGGAGACTGCGAATCATTACGAGCACCTTGGGGATGTCCTCCCTGTCTTTGTTGCCCTCTTCTGTATATTTGAGCACATTCTCCAGGAGCAGCGGATATCGCGCTAATCTTGTCGTTGGTTTCGTGAGATAACCGTTAAGCTCGAGCTTCCTTGACTCCTTTCTCCGCTCGATCTCGTCCACAAACTTGGAGAAGAACGGATTGCTGCCCTTCTCGCTTTCAAACTCAAACTTAGCCTCTAGTTGCTTTGAACCATATAAGATGAACGGCTCGAATTGGGGCGCAAATTCGAGGAAAATGTCACCCAGATTGGGTATGACATGGTTCTTCTGCTGCCGTTCCGTCAAGGCCTTTGCGAACCTCGAACTGACAGTATGCAGGGCTGGATGGTCGATAATGTTGCTAAAGATGTTCCGGACAACCTTCTCCCGCTTTGGAGCTGGGATGGGCGAGTTTTTGGACCTCAGGGGCAAGATCCAGAAGTCTCGCAAGTATTCCAAATCTTTGACAAAGTCTCTTTCCGTGTAACATATCTCGGACATGACTTCTTGCCTCTTCTTCTCCCTATCATCAACACTCTCGGCCACCTCCTTTGGCACGCTGTTGATCCAAAGCTTCTGTTCGTCGGTCTGGTCAATGTCGTCTTCGTTAGCGACGGTATCATCCTCCCTCTTCAAGCCAGGCTGCATCTTCAGGTTGAGTCGCGAAACCTGCTCCAATCTTCGTGGACAAGCGATCGAATAACACAGCTGATCCCTTGTGCATGTTGGCGAATAACACTCGGAGAGCAACACGAATACACCGTTGACCGGGGGCTTGTCGTCCGGCTCGTCCATCAGTGTTTCTCTAAACTGGTACATCTCAGAGCTAGAATCACGCAAACGATGCTCGTATGTAACATCGTGGAAGAACTTTTGCGCATCAAGAGCTCGACCAAGCAGCAAAGCCAGATTCCTGTCTGTCGTCCTGATGATGTACGAGAGGACATCGACAGCTTCGGAACCACTAAAAGCGTTCTTGTAGGTCAGCTCGTTCTTCGTCCTGTCTCCAGTGATGATTTTCTGTTGGAATTTTTCCGCCACTCTCGATAGCAGGGCAGGATATACAAGCGGCGTCCGGACTTTGGCAGTAGGTGGCCTATCGCCCTCGCCCGTAGATCTTGACGATATTGAAGGACGGTGCATAAGATCTTTTTGGTCGTCGCCGGGGGATTCAGATGGTGTAATGGTACTAGCCATTGACATGGTTCGGCTGTGATCGCCTGCGGTAATGGTCGAGACAGTCGACGAGGCCATACTCATAGTTCTTGTGGCTGTACCCGGAGCCGGTGTATAGCCATTATAATTTGCGTAGCCATTCATCGCGGGGGTTTCGTTTGATGGTGCTCTGGCGCGATTTGGTATAATTCGACCACTCATGGTTTGGTGTGCATCCCTATCTGGCGGGGGATATCCAGTCATGGACATTGACCGATCGTCGTGACGTTCTGGCACGATACGACCCTGTGCTGTCGTTCGCGAAGCCGGCGCCACCGGACCTGATGCTCCTCTAAAGCTGTTCATGGGTGTTTGCTGGCTTTGTGGAGGGGGTGCTTGGTACATATTTGGTCGTTGTATGCTCGCCATGGATTGCGATCTGTAAGGGTCCTCTCTTGAAGCAGTTGGAGCGCCTGGCTGCTGAGGCGCTCCTTGATAATACCTCTGGGCTGGTGCACGCGGACCATAACCACTCGAGCTTTGCATAGTCGCCGTTCGAGAGTCGAACCTTGGTGGTGGCGGTCCTCCTCCTGCTCCTCCATGTTGTGGCGGTGGTCCGGGATATGGTCTCCTATCAGGGCCAGGCATCGGGCCTCTCGCATGCTGATGTTGAGGTGGATATCCGCCTGATGGGTTTCGTTGGTTCTGGTAGTATCCATTTGCCATGCTCGTGTCCATCGTCCGCGTCCTACCCGACATTTGTTCGTCGTAGCCACGCTGCTGGGGCCTCGGTGGAGGTTGCCGCCGCATGTCGTTTGAGGACATGCCAGACATGGTCGACGACATTGTTGAGGTTCTGCCGTCCTGCTGCATGGGGCGAGACGAGGGCATGTCACCGGAGGAAGATGTCATGGTTTGCGAGCGGCCTGGCGGGGGAGCTGCACCGAAGATGTTGGAGAAGGCGGCATCCCGTTGGTTGTTAGACGAGTGGCCATGACCCCGGCGTTGGTCGTAGTAGTCAGCCATGATGTCGCTCTGCATGACAAAGTCTTGTCAGTATCGCAGTGCAGAAATGCAATGGTCATGGCGGGGGAAAGCTGAGGTCGAGCTGTTGCTGGTTCTGGGGGGCACGGGATGTGCCACGGCCTTTGAAGCAGAACAGAGTTTACAGCAGCCCGAGTCACGAATTGAATGCAATGTCGTACGACAGTCCGGCGATAGGCTCATGCTTACGATGGGGACAGATGGTACTCACTCTGTTCACAAGCCTAGGCGGCCGCGAGAGCCTAGGACGGGAACCGGGTTGTACACAGATATGAAGCTACTGGCGATAGATATCTCGATCGGATTGTATGGGGAGTGGCCTGATACTTGTCGCCTCGGTCGGTGACGATGACTGCTAAGAGTGCCTGGGACACGGACACGGACACGGACACGGACACGCAGGCGAACTTGAATTGGGCGGGGGATCGATATCGAGATGTTTGTTGGAGTGCACGAAATCGATGGCGTTGTTGTGTAAACCCCTTACCAGATACAGTCCCCCAAGATTTCCTCGCCTAAAAGTACCCGTTATCGCACTTGGGGATCTGTCGGGATCCTGGATCGCGAGACTAGGACTGGGGGGGGCCGGGTCGTAATGTGCAGAAGCAGGCAGGGAAGGGATCTTTAGAGAAGGGAAGAGGAAGAGAAAATGTCAGCGGTGAGCGATGAGCCCGAGACTGCACAGGTGTTGCTCAACGATCGAAACGAAAGCAAGGCCGGGAATCAGGTGCAAACCAATGGCGCTATGTCGCTATTGCTCTGCCGTGATCATTTGTGGGAGGGCATTTAGAAACCTGGGCTTGTTTGGTATCACCCTGCCTGCGAAGTGCCAGTGCCGGTGACAGACAGTACGAGTGCGAGTGGCTTGCACATGTGCCTGTGTCTGTGCCTGTGCCTGTTGCAGTAATAATAAGTGGAAGTGAATGGGTGAACGCCCGGCTTGAATGGATCTCCACCCCCAAGCTATTCCTACTTGGACTAGAACTGGGCGGCCTTCTCGGCTCAAGGATTATTATGTAAGGTTGAGTTACGTCGGCGATGAGTATACCTACAGTAGCTTGAGAGCTATCCGTGTTGGTCAGGATGGTAACGCCACTACATATGTACGCCTGGCAACTCCCTCGCTTCTATGGCTGGCTAGGTCTGCAATAAGGAGAGACATGCGCGTCAACGAAGTTCGAACAAGACAACCCCTGGGCCCTGAGGACTGACTCGGAACGGCGGATCTCGCAGATGTTCGAAAACAGTTGTCCGTAACAAGAGACGAGACGAGACGAGACGGGGTCATTCAATATGTATGGGGGATTTTATTTTTGATTTTTGGCGAAATTGGGGAGTTCCCATACTATCAATTGCCAAGTTAGCGCAGATCTCCAGGTAGGGGTTTGAGGTATCCGTGTATCGAATAGAATGCTGTCACGGCACACGGCTGTACATGAATTGAAGAGCTGCCGCGTTTGAAGTCGCTTGAGTGTCAGTCAGCTGTAAATGCTCATGACCTGTTTTCGCCTGGGAATGCATGATGCTCGTTGCGCAATTACTACTACTGCCACTACTACTACTCAAACCATGAAACAGGCCAGGTGCACTCACAGACTTCTAGCTATGTGGTGTCATTTTGGCGGTTGGAAACAGCCCAGAAGTGCTTCTGTGGGCAGCGTTGCTTCTTCCCTCACATCGCAATTCTGCAGGTGTTGCCGGCGGTCGGCGGCATTCCCCCCATGTCCAAGACTTGATTGAGCTCAACATGAAATCAAGGCACAGGGCTCCTCAAGCACTAATGGAACTTGATTTTATCTTGGAAATTGATTGCCAAGTGGGAGCAGGGAGTTAACGTTAAGTACTATATGTAGCATTTTCCCAATCTACTCCAAATCCTAGCAGCGATTGCCGATCTGCACAAGTCAAGTAATAATGGCGCAGGTTTCCACGACTGAGCAGAATGGATGGTTGAATCTGTCGCAGGCCCTATCATACAAGTTTGTAGCTTCAATTGGATGCATACAGTAGCCAGCCAACGGCGGGTCCTTGTTGTTTAAACTTGGGGGTGTCTGGTCATACATAGGGTAGATAGGATTGCCATACATCAGCCCTCGAGCCCCAGGATGTATGGAAAGTAGTCTGTAGTTAGTCGCGCCTACGGTTAGTCTAGTACTACAGTCGGTTACGGAATCCCGCACAAGAAGTGAGCTTGCGACCGCGACTTGATGAACTCGTTATGATCAACTACGTCGCAGCCGCCCGGTTGAATTTGGATTTGGGGTTCGCCCGTTGGGCTATCACGTGACTTTTCTGCTGGGTGGCTCGTGCACCCTGGCAGCTCCGGCGCGAGGCAGCTTCATTTGGTCCATGGATATTGCGTTCGCTGGAACCGTTCCCGTTCCAGTTCCAAGCTCGAAGGACCCAGCATCATCAAAACGACCTCGACGCTGTCCTTCGCCCACCTCATCCCTCGACCTTTTCCCCGGCCACGATGAGTACATTAAACACCATGGCCGTGTCCGAAGCGGCTCCCAAATTCGCGCCATTCTTCGGCATGGTGAGCTCTCCTCACCTCGCCGGCTGCCAGTAGAGTAGTCTGCTGCGTCACAGTATCGCTCTAACTTCTCTTCACTCTAGGCCGGCATTGCAGCAGCCATGATCTTCGGGTGTATTGGAGCAGCATACGGAACGGCCAAGTCGGGTATTGGCATCGCTGGTGTTGGAACGTTCAGGCCAGATCTCATCATGAAGGTACGTCACCACCACCCTCACCCGCAGTGATTCGTAATTGATGGCTGATCTACCTCTCCTTCTTGATAGTGTCTGATCCCCGTTGTCATGTCCGGTATCATCGCCGTTTACTCCCTCGTCATCTCCGTCCTCATCGCCGAAGACATGCAGCCGCCGAGCAACCAGAGCTACACCTTATTTAGCGGCTTCATGCACCTGGCGTGCGGCATCTCCGTCGGCATGACAGGCCTGGCTGCTGGCTATTGTATCGGAATCGTTGGTGACAAGGGCGTCCGCGCATACATGGAACAATCAAGAGTCTTCGTTGGCATGGTTCTGATCCTCATTTTCGGAGAAGTTTTGGGTCTCTATGGGTAGGAAACAACTCTCTGAAGCTTTGGCCTTGTTGGTACTAACTTTGTGCTTAGACTTATCGTGGCTCTTATTCTTAACACCAAGACCAAGGGTTAAGAGGCTGTCAAGCAACAGCATGAGCAGAAACACAAACTAGTATATCGACGTCATGAAATTCGAAAAGGATGTAGAGGTTGTACGGATAGGGGCCGAGCTTGTCCAAATAGCAGCATATCTAACGGCGTTCAAAGGGGTATGTAGATACAAGTGTATTTTTCGCGCATGGTCGATGGTCGACTGCAGTGATACGAAACATTGCCTGTATCATAGGGTACAGTTGGCTACAGGTCAATGCTCGCCAATACGAGTTCAGTATTCTAAGACTATGTCAACGTATATCGTGTTATTACTAAGCTGCACAATTTGTCCCACCAATCATGCGGATATCAGCCAACGAGATGGAACAAAGGTCTTCTCGCGATTTTTTACAGCCCGTTTAAAAAAAGATCAAATTGCGGTGTGGTCATGATAGGGGCGGAACAGATTCAAACCGCCGGTAAAGGGCCTGTCACATCGCCGTGCTGAAGATAAGATGAGAGATAGATCGGTCGTAGTAAAATCATTAAGGCAGGGTTTTGCGTGCTATACCACATGCCATAACATATCCCCTGTCTACCTTAGATAAACCGGGATAGCTATAGTGAGTATACGTGCCTGGTACGAGATAGGCATTGCCTAGCCGTACTTATTATTACTACGATCCCGGTGGCGGCCTTCTAGCACGACGTTCGGAATCACGGGTCGCTTCTCCAGAAAATGAGGCTTAGGGGGTAAAATCAGGAAACGTTAAACCTCAGGCGGTTACGACAGAACTGTGACAGATATTTGTCTTGGAGACTCCGATCACCAACGACTATCCTGGGAGGTCCCCACATGTTTGGTATGTCGCTGGAAGACCAAGTGCCCAGCCGATATATTGAACATGTTGCCGATGACTCACTCACCGAACACATTCACCACAGCCCCTTCTCTCTCTGGCACAACAACGTCACGGTAGTTTATTCATGCCAGACTTGACGCATATCTTCAACAACAGCTTCTAGGCCTGCTAGTATAACGGCAATATACTTGCTTTGGGAGTAAGTGACCCTGGTTCGACCCCAGGGCAGGCCCATTTATCTCTGCTTTGTGCTTAACTCAAAGTCTTTTTATGTTTTGTTCTTGTTCCTTTCTCTTCTTATCAGGCTATGGCCCTGCGTGTTTCATATGCGTATTTCTCGTCATCTAGCATTTGTCCTTGCAAAACAACTTCCAATAACTCATGATGGCCTGCAGACCCCCTTCGCGAAGCTCGCTACAATACAACAGGCACGCTTCGCTGCTACAGGTCTCCTCTCATGACATGGCTAAATATCTTGTTGTTGAATGGCAGCGGATGCAGAGACCTCGAGCCAGCAAACCCAGAGTAGCGCCGGACTTGGCACGGAAGCACTTGGAGAAGCTTCACACTTTAGGGACATGGTATCTCCCGTTCTTCTTTTGTAGACGCAAGGTCTCAATATCAAAGCCATCAAGTATACGAACTTAAGAGCATCTCAATCAAATACCAATGCTTTATATCTCTGCTTCTCTCGTCCCCTCCATTATCACGGCTCGCAAGCAACTAAAATGCCTCGGGGTAGCTCATATCGGTCCCAACGACATTCCCGGCCCATGGGTTCCAGGACTCGCTTATGCAGTCCGTCTGCATGACCTTGAGCATGGGGTAGTTGGTCCAGCAGCAGGCGACGCCTTCCGCTGTCTTTTATTCGTACGGATATGTCTTGTTTGGATCTGCCGTTGTTATGACAACTGATTGGTTTAAAAACAAAATAAGCCCGTCCCCTTTTCCGAGAATTTGTAATTTTATAGCTTAACTCGTAAGCCTCGTACACTCTTTTGAGATGAGTAATATTCGAAAGCGGTCGAGTTCTATTTTTAGACGATATCTATTTTCTATACCTGTAAGCGTTCAGCGTCATATGGAGGAATGGTAATTGTAGAAACTTTGAGCTGGCCTGCCTTGAAACACAAATATTATAGTTAGCGATACTCGGAAATGTAGTCACATACGACCATAGCTCTTAGAAAGCTCGGCATCCCGTCCGCTCTGCCCTAGATAAACTGAGAAGCGCCGGATTAGTACTCAGGTGGGTGACCACTGGGGAATCCCTGGTGTTGTATGTTTTATTTTTCCTATGTTTTACTATGTTTTTTCTGTTCTCAAGGATCTGTCTATCTATACCTCGGTACAAGCATGCACCGTCACATACGACCATAGCTCCTAGAAAACTCGGCATCCCGTCCGCTCTGCCCTAGATAAACTGGGAAGCGCTGGATTAGTACTCAGGTGGGTGACCACTGGGGAATCCCCGGTGTTGTATGTTCTTTTTGTCAGATTCTTATATAACTCTGCTAGAGACTTCATGTCATGTAGATAGTCTGCCAATCCAGTTGCCGTTCGTGCGGGTGACACCGGCTGCATCCGATCGATCTAGCAGCTCATCACAAGTGTTAATTGCAGTAATAGTGTCGACTGCCCCAGGAGTAACGAGCTGGTTGATCTGTGAATTATCACAGCTCTTAGACTTCAGTCGCGCAGTTCTTCGCATAGAAATCTTGTAAAATATCGATGTTCGCAATCCACTTTCCGCGATCATGTATCGAGATAATCGATTCAAGGAAGTAAATTTCTGCATCTCGGTTCCCATGTATACCCATTCCAACGGATACCTGTAAATGACAGACGGAGGGAGGTGGCTTGGAAAAAATCCTCCTCTTGTCCATTGAATGGTGTATGGTAGATCAAATGCCAATTGTCTGGTTCCAATTCTTTCACCCGTAGTTTCTCTAGTGGGATCAGCATCGCGAACCCTAGTTTTGCGATGTTCTCTCTGATCCGGCGCACTTCGTACGGATCGGATCTCATGAAAGGGCCAGAAAGCAATGGCCATGCGATATTATAGCTAGTCTCCAACGGACACAGCCATCACTCTCTCGAAATCTGCGAGGTTCACGGACTGGGGGCCCAGTTCGAACTGAATAATACAGGCAAATAAATGGACCCAGTCCATTTGAAAGGGAGCGAAGCCCACCTGGGTCATTGGCTCCTGACCTAGCGGTACCCAGGACATTGCGTATAAAGAGCTTCGAGTCACTTCCATTGAGACTGTTGCTTCAAGGACATTCGTATAGATCTTAGCGGCTATTGCCAAAGCGACCAGGGACTTGACTATATGGGTTCTTGCCATATATGAAGACAAACAAGCGACCAGATCAGCAGTACGAAAGTGTTTCTTTCGAAGCACATCTTCCAGACGTCCCAGACTGTCTTTAGGAACATTTATGAGCTCAAGTCGTGAAAGCTGCCCTTGAACTTCCACAAAAAGCGCTGCGCTTGTTAGGTCCCCGGCGAAGTACGCAAAGGTTGTCTTATGGATCTCAACCTGATGTTCTTCTTCCATGGGGAATATTTCAGTGTCATCTTCGATATCAATGAAGTCCTGGTTACCCTGTATTATAGCAGTGGGCTGAGACATGTTTGGGTTACACCGACAGAGACTAGGCGGGTTTGGGAGAATGATTATGTTCCTGACACCTACAGAAGGTATTTATGAGCGCGCGTTCCTCAATGCGTATTGATTGCTCGCCATAAGACATCACATCCTCTTCCGTTGAAAGTGACGCATTCGTCGCGCTATCCACAAAGCATTATGGAACCAACGAACGTGTAGCCCTGAGCTCGACAAGTGACTCAAGTGGGTATCATAACGTTATATCTAGGCACTATTATAGCATATGTCCATGTAGCTACGTGGAAAGTTTTATACCGAATTATGAAGCGGTGAGAGTCGTCTTATGCGCAATATCACGAAGAATATCGATGTTGCTTTCTAGAGTGAGCAATGGAAATATAATTTTAAAGTCCGCAAGACTAATCAAGTTGCTAATTTTCTTGCGATCTTCGTTAGAGATTATGAATTCCAGATAACATCTAGCACCAAATTCAAATATTTGGTTACAGATCTTTTTCTCTAGACAGCCTGATGTTGAGAGTATCGGATCGAGAGCTGTGGCTAGATCATGTAGCTATTGGATATGGTGGGAATACGGTGAAATACCGGGAGGAGGATTAGTATTATAAATCCCTGCCCATAGAGCGGCTAAAATACCCGCAATATCAGTGAAATCGACGTTCTAATGTTTGGACAGTAATGCGATTTCCTCAAATAATAAGTGCCCTTTCGGAAGTTATAGCGCCACCATAATACCGAAATTGAGATAGCGGTAAAGACCAACAAACACTACTGTGTATATGATGCATTATTTCAAGACCAATCGTAGGTAAGCCAGCCTTTGTGACGATTGAGTCGTCAAATTGAGCAATTGTATGTTGTTTTCTAAGTACGAGAAGGTCCCGGTAAATGTGCACCGACGAAAGGCCTAATAGAATCACCCCATCTTGGATTGATTGGGGCATGCCTAGTATCAGCTGGTCGATCGCCGCCATGGCCGATTTTCATGCGTCAAGGACACTGTCGTATAAACCAAGCTTCCTATTGATAGCGATGTCTACATTATCAAAAATAATCATGAACTATTTTTGCTTGTTTTGCATAGACTCGTCGGCGGCGCGCAACCAAGCTCGCTCGAGCGCTTGCGTCCCACTCAGCTAGCTGATCTCGGGACAGGTATATGTGAGAAGCCTCTTGTGATTACTGGTAGTCCGGTGAGATGGCCTTTACCGTACTGAGTTGTTGCCTTCATTCGTGTACCAAGTCAAGCCAAATGGACGTGGCGTCGATGACAGACCACATTCTTGCTGGCATGTAGGCGCCTAGACGTATCAGCAGCTCATATGCTTGTTCCGTCAATCCCCTACAAGGTTGGTGAAGATACCATCAGCAGTATATCCTACAGGATTAACATCGCGGCGGGATGCGATCTACGAAGCACGCTTTTCGTAAGCTATAAAGAGATTGTTAGCCTCAGGAAGAACTTGTTGAAAAATTGCACCGAGCTTTTTGGCAGTTACGTGAGGATTTCCTGCCTCCGTAGCCTCTCGAACAGCAGGGGTGAGCTCTTAACCTAATATCTTAAACTCAGCCGGGGCCTCGATTTTGTATAGCGAGAAATCGAAATGAAGGTTGGCTAAAGCCAGACTCTTCTCTTGAGTTCCAGATACGAGGGCAGTGGTCAGCTTTTGCAATGTCATTATTGTGCCACCTAGTGATTACTCTGGTAATCTAATATCTTGACGAGGGTAATTAGAGAAACATGTGGACAAAACTGTTACGAAATTATTTATATTGTATTGAAATGGTGTAATGAGGGACTAGACAATTGGCTGAGAAGAAGAGGAACATAGCCATAGCTCGTAGACCCCGTATGATTGCAGACTTGGCCAAGGCGTAATATGTGCGTTACCTGACTAGGCTGTGAGGGGAAGCGGGGTCATCGCAATGATTGGATCCGTGTAAAGGAGGTCATGATCGGGGTTCATGTATAGACTACATGTACCTTAGATGAGGTGAAGGGGCGGTAACTTACATAGTCCTAGGTCGGTATACCATGGCCGTTTTAACTCGTCGGAGGAGTTCAAAAAACAGTAATGTTTGTGCGAACAAGGACGGCCACCGTACGGTGGGAATGCCACAATCAACCTGGGCATGTCTCATAAGGCCGATATTGCTGCGTTGCTTATACGTTACATGTTTCCGTGTCACAAGCTGCCGGTTTAAGTAGTCCTTTCTCACCAAGTAGATATGTCCTTGAAGCGCTAAACTAGTACTCAGGTTGGTGACCACTGGGGAATTCCCAGTATTGTATGTTTTGTCTGTTCTATATTTTATATTCTTTTTTCTTTCCCCAAAGACATATCTTTGTGTACCTGGTTACAATAATAAACCACCACATACGACCATAGCTCCTAGAGAACTCGGCATCCCGTCCGCTCTGCCCTAGATAAACTGGGAAGCGCCGGATTAGTACTCAGGTGGGTGACCACTGGGGAATCCCTGGTGTTGTATGTTTTTGAGCTTTTGCATAATTTTTTGTACGCTAGTGTCGAATAGAAGTGAAAGAAGGGGATGAAAGATCAGGTCTTGTCGAGGGTTCAATGCCTGCGCCGCTGCGAGGCTGCCGCTGGAGGACTAATCCAGGTTCCCTGGTGTCTCCGTCGATAAGGAGTCCGTCCTTGAGACAGAGAAAACACATGTGGTCCTTCCTCTCACTCAAAGCACTGCCCTGAGAGGCAGCCCTAGATGCGTGGGAAACGAATTCGCAATAGCTGGGACATCACTTTTAAAGTCTGGGTTGTTAATTAGTCCTGACAGCGCCGTTCATCGATGCCGTATACTCTAGCGTTTCTGAAATAGGTAGTCTCCCCTAAGCCATCAAGAACATAGTATTCAACGACGTGAGAAGACATTAAAATCCGCCCCTCGACTTGTAATGTAAGCCCGTCGTTTCATGCTAGGTGTTGACCGATGTCTCGTCAGTGAGAGACAAAATATACATAGCGTTTACGTACAACACTCCGGTGCCCTATACGTGCCATATCGGTTCTAGACAAGGGAAAGAAGGTGCTCGTTGTGGCACTCTGTCTTGGGCGGTTGGTCTGGACTCAGAAAGCTATAGGAAAAAAATCGTTCTTACGCCTGGTAATGCTCCAACGTCCAGACGATTTTCCTCTATGAACAGGGTGATTTATGGACATGCTACAGAAATCAGTGACGCACGTAGGACACTACAATGCGAATCCAGGCAATCACTTAGTGGTCTACATGAACAATCTGATTTCAGAAGCCGATGAAGAGGATGTCATATTAGATGGCCCGCTCTTGTAGGAGAGGGAACCTGTTGAAAAGTTCATCCAACAACAGCAAGTTTATTGGGACGAGAGACGAGTGAAAATGGTTTCCACACTGAGGTCCGTTCGTAATTAAAGGACCCTTTGCCTTTTCCGTTGTTGTGCCCTTCATATATTGCGATGACATCAGATCTAATGGTAATCCTACAATTTATCCTACGTTCAACCTACAGAAGTTTCCAGAGATGGCCTTTATGACTGTCGCTTTCGCGTGTTTCATGACATTCAATGTGTCGTGTTCAGCCACTGACCTGAGGAGCTCGTCGAAGCTTAGTAACGACCATGCATGAAGTATGCTTCCGTCTTACGTGGACAATGAGAAATTAATTTTAGACCAAAGGCAACGGCTCTATAAGAAATTGCAGTTGTCACAAGTCACCTTTCAATATTCCACAAGCTCTTAAACTTATTCAATTTGGTCAATCAATAGTCGGCCCACCGAATACTCAGTTATCTTTCTCAAAGATTGGTCTCCCAATGTTGAGCGGCGTTGGAAGGTGACGCCGGAGTTCATCCTTCATAAACCTGTTCATTTCATCGTCCATCATAAACATGAAAAGGGGGGAGATGCATGTTGCAAAGTCTGTTTCATCCTTGAAACTCCCAAACCCTTGACACGACCGATACCATAACGCCCGAAAATGTAAATCACCCAACCTGACGAATATCGAGCAAGGCCCTGCAAGCAGGACATACTGTAGTGAGTGAACAAGAAAGCAAGTCTAAATGTTGATCACCAAACCGTTGGGCTTCTTCGTTATCTGGTCATCAGGAAAGGACGCCTAGAATCCCCAGCGGCTGCGGCGGGTGCGGCGGCTCTCAAATTGCTGCCAGCTCTCCCGTCGCTCATCCCAGTCTTTCATTTGACCTGGTTCACACTATTAGTAAGTGCTATTCCGATAGGTGAGACAAAACCATATGCCAAGCGCGAACTATAAACAGGCACAATACGCTGGTGTACGCTGGCGAGAGAGAAAAAGGATGCTTACCCAGGAACCAATCCCATCTCCGATCCTCCAGGATGAGAATATCGTCCCCATTTTCGCGTGCAAGTCGCTCCCTCCTAGCCCTTGAGGCGGCCTCTTCACCAACGAGATAGGGATCCTCCAAAGGCCGGACACGGGCGCGTTCGCGCTCATCTTCTACCTCATTTAAACGACTCAGCGCGGATCTCAAAGTTTCTTGCATTTGCGAGTCATTGTTCCGAGCACGAGAAGCCCTTCGCTGTGCAACATTCTGGTAGTGTCGCGCATTCGGGTTCGAGTGCGTCGTTGACCATGAGGGGATGCGGAACCCTTCGAGCTGGGGCATCTGGGTGCGCGGAGGCAGATCACGGACTGGGGGCAAGCCAGGTCCGTAAAGCATTGTACTACTACCACCGGCTGGCGGGACCATCGATCGTGGGTTAGAGGAGTTTGTCGGAGTCGTTGTGCCAGTGCGTGGTGGAGCATCCGCCCGGGCCTGAGCATAGGAGGGCAGGGTCTCGTTTGGCGGCAGGGTTGAATGATAGGACGGCGCCTCGGAGACTATAGTGTGTCAGGGTCGTATACTCACATGGACAACTATAGCGGGTAAGACTGACCATATGACGGAGCTGCGGAGCGGATCGAAGCTGTCTCAAAGTCGTCGGCATTCAAATGCTCATAACGAGGATGCATCATGACCTCGGCTGCCATCGTGACTTGGTTGTGCTGACTATCGTGGTCGCGTGCGGGGGAGTACAGACGGACAAGTTAGGAAAAGAGGAATCAGGGCAGGGGAAGGTCCGACAGGAAAGCTTCGCACATCTGTTCGGGAGGAGTAAGAAGTCTCATTCACTCGACCGTAAAGGGAGGCAGTAGACTACAGCAAGAAAAGGAGATTGAACCGATATGAAAGTTGGGGGGGAGAGAATGTGAATATACTCTCCTCCGGGGGGACCCAAGGCACGTTATCGGTACCACAGGGGGGAAAGGTGGCATGCAGGCAGGGTCCACACCAGCACTTTCGAGGATGACAATAGGAATAAACTCGGTTACACAGCCGGTTGAAATTAGTGGAAGTGTGAATACACCGGGAAGACGGTGACTGTGGGTTGCGCAAGTACAAGTCCTCGTTGATATGAACAGCACGTGAGGTCGAAGCGTATCGAGACAAACCTACCACTAATACATACCACACGAGGACGGCCCTGTGTTCCCTACCTTGGGCCTCGTGTTACTTGGCAAGTGACTGTAGGATTCCAATGTGGGCACTCACATTCAGGGCCATAAGACACGGGAACCCAACACCTTACGGACAGGGTGGGTGGGCAGCGAGCGAATGGCAGCTAAAACGCCGGACTGGGCCATGCTTGGCGCATCAGCAAGATGACTGCTGCATGGTTCTAAACCTAGGCTGGCGTCAACGAACAATCGAAATTCCCGCTCGCGGTGGTTGGCAGCGGTCTTCACTGGGTCCTATGATGGTGTGCTATCTCTGGAGAGTTGTCGGATAGCCGAGTGGTGAGAAAGAGTTTGGCCAGCTTTCCCCCGAATGCCCCAGTCTTGTAGTGGGGTTTATCATCATCGCTCCAGCTTGCAGCGGGGTAGCAACACGGCAACCCTTGTTGTAACTCAATGTTGCAGTTAATAGTACAATAAGTCATCTTGGGACGGAATGATGTTGCCGTGTTCATTCCTTGTGTTACACCATCAACTGTGTTGGAATCTCTTCAGCCGAGGTGTATAAGCCGGCAAAGAAGAAGCCTCGACTCTCTCGTCATTTTCATGGAGTACAAAGTAGAAAAGGCCACCAAAAGAGTTCCAGCTGGTTAGTGGAAATCAGTGATAGCCGCAACCGTTGCCAGTAATCCGTCGGTTCAAGCCTCGATCATTCTAGGGCGCCCCGGGGGTCATAAGGGGGGCCATAAGCTTTGCATAGGTCACCTCAAGCCACCTTCCAATAGCGCAAAGCGCTCGGGGGATTATTACAGCGTTACGGATCCGTATACGATTTCAAAAGGTCTCGAAAATGAATACCCCGACCCAAGTGAGCAAGCTTGCATAACTAGTGCTACATTATTGTGTCTAGTCCTGCATCGAAGCCCGAAGCGTGAGAGACGGACTCGGGTGGTCACGATTCTTTGGTCCTCATTACGCCATGTCCCTGACATGAAGCAAGTCTGATCTGAGATCGAATACCTGCAGTCTTAGTGCCGTGTTGCGTACAAGCAAACCAACAAAACTTGATGGGGCCAACAGCAGTCTTTTTCAATTCGAATCATTTCTTATGTGTAAAAGAAACACGAGATTACGAAGTAACACCTTTTCCGCTGGGGACATTCCAAGCATAGCCCATAGACATCCGGCACGGTGCGATACCAAGACTAGCTTACGAAGACAGCTTATGCACATCATCCACCTTTGCGAGAGGCCTCCTCCAGCTTGCAGAAGACGCGAGAGTCAAGGACTCTCCAAATGCACGTGGTTTCGTGAGCGATATCGATCGTCCAAATGTCCCAGCTGCCTTGTTTTGATTATAGTCCACCGAGTCCACCATTGATTCATTTGGTCTGTATGTAACTACAATATGCAACGCCTCCGGCCTCAAGCCGGCTTGCGCTTGAGTGGGCCTATCCACGTTAGCAAGATCCATTTGCTCAGGAACCGGAAATCGCGGGTAACGGTTGAATCGGCAGTACCTGGTGTCTAAACTACTCCATTAGTATATTAATTCGTCATAGCAAGAAAGAAGTCTTGGTAGATTACGACAATAACAACAACAAAAACTTTCATGGGGCTCAGAAAATTGCGAGAACCAAAACGTTCGATGCGACTGTTATAACTGCACTGAGTGCGCCAACATCCTTATACTCGTTTGCTTGCCTCAGTACCACGTAAAATCATATCAGCCGTAACCCATGTTCCAACCTATATACCGTAACTCCAAAAGCACAAAGCACATGCTTGATCCCGTGATTTACATAGCTGGCGAATTGCCTGTATGTACGTACCCTTTCCCACAACTGTGACGTCTCATACGTTCACCATAACCTACGCTGATAATACATTGGCGATTCGCCTTGTGAAAGCTCTCGGATCTCTTCCTTGATGCGCCTCCGCCTCTCAGCTCTACTGACGGGCTCTTCGCCCTTTTTGTCTTGCTTCTCCCTGCTGAGACTGTTGCCTTTGGCCTCTTTACTGTTAGGGTTTTCCTGCTTTTGCCTTATCCCTGTAATCACTTGCTGTTGCGCGTCGTCTTCAGGTATTGTAGGGCGAATTTCGATGACGAAATCGCCCTTCTTGTTTTGTGCAGGATTCCCACTAGACAAGTCTTCGTCGCTTATATCTACAACTGTGCCATCGGGCAATTCGGTCGTAGATTGCTTAAATCTGTCCGGCAGATAGATTTTTGGACTTGGTCGAGGATCTGGTCTGATAGCTTTCCGCAGGTCGCGCAGCGTGCGCTGTTGTATCACGTAGCCACTGAGGAACAGTGCTGATGTAAATAAAACCACTGTAAACTCATCTTGTCAGTTTCCTGTTGCCGGATATTCAAGCAGCTACCCGCTCCAAAGTACAGGAAATCACGTACCTATAACCGAAGAGATCGCTACGGATACTTGTGAAGGCGTCAATAGTACCATTTTCTGCGTATATATATATATATTAAATAAATAGCTTGCGTTACTTGGACGTACGGGATTTCAAACCAGCGAATTGTTTGCATATAGATTTTGTGTCATGAATTGAAACAGCTGGTTTGGCACACATGTGTGATCTTGGTCATGCACATGCCACACAATTCCTTGTTTGGTTCCGAAAAGTCGGTAACCCGGGCAACACTAGACTGGCAGTCAACCGGGCCGGGCGGCCCCACAGTCGGCGTCATGCCATGTTTCTCTAGACTATCTAATCTATGAACCAAAAATATAGAACTTGAGTAAAGACATGACCCGGGAGTAGATAATCTGCCAGCTTTAAAACTCCTCTATTATATTTCCATGTTGGATACTACTATATGGTAAAGTATAGGTCATTTCTAGGCATTCTGCTTTTACGGCCTGTTGCCACCACTACATAACCACTTGATACATCCCCAATCGAGACTATATTTTAATAATATATTCAACAATTGCTGAACAATTAGTACATACGATCATAGCTCTTAGAAAACTCGGCATCCCGTCCGCTCTGCCCTAGATAAATTGAGAAGCGCTGGATTAGTAGTTGAATCAATGACGGCCAGCGAATTCCCGGTGTTAGGTGTATTTGCTTTTCTTTTTGTTCGTAAATCGATGGCTGTGGAATGAATGGAAAATGTGAAAATTCAACGCGAACACCGGGAACCACCGGAGCCAGCTACTTGGCCGCTTTTGATGCGGCTACAATCTTTTGCATCTGAGAAGCAGAGAAGTGGGGGAATTAGGCCAACAGAGAGACCTTCCTTAACAGCCAAATCAAGTGAGCTGCACTTGCCAAGAGGCGCAGCACAGCGGTGGCGACCAATTTGAATTAAAACGATTAAGCCATCCGCTAGTATTGCCATAAATAATGCACCCGAAGGCCTGCTCGGTCCTCCGGGAAGCGACAAAGAGCAATCGCCGATAATCTACATCTCTAGGGTTTCCTTTGCATTGGCGTCCTTGTGGTGCTCTTTGATGCTAATCTCTCGTCCTTGGTGTATTATGGTCATGAGGATAAGAAACGACAGCGGGGGAGGTACCACACCAAAGTCGTGGTATTTTCTACTTATTTTCGCCTCTGAGTTTAAAGGGCACACAGAAATGGGGAACGAAGGTCCATAGAGTGTGGTGAAAAGGTGCTGTGGACTGGGCTAATTCCGGGTCTCTAGGCCTACCTAATTAAGTGGACGAACGGGCCAACCGTCGTCCATCAGAGTTCGACTCGTTACGAGCGTTACGGCTTGTACTAACCTTTTGAAAGAACCGGACCTAGTGTCGTTTATTTGGCCTGGTATCATAGTATCCAGGCCTTTTACTTACTATTAATTCGTTCACTGGTGTGTTTTGGACGTCTTTGCTTGCCAGAACCTCGGACTTCACAAGTCCCAGATGGGACGTTCTTTCTCTTACCTGAACCTCCCTCACTGTATGGCACAGCCCGTAGGCGACTGATCACCCCATTGCATGTATTGTGCGATCAAAGCCTTCTAGCTATATAGGCAGCCATTCTATGATCAGTTTTCTCAGCTTTGGTTGGGCTTTTGCACAGAAAATGAAGAGAATGACAGAAATGCTTCTAGGCACTCTCAGGCCAAAACCCCGGTCCCGCCCACGCGAAATCCGTCATCCCATGATCCAAACAGGCAAGCAAATTATTCGTTTTGAGTAGTGGAGAATTAGACAGGATCTCTTACTCACAAAAACAATGGTATTTTGCAAAGGTTTCTCACTACGATTTGATACATCTCCCGATGCCTTCGTAACTTAGAGGGCAATAAGGCTTTATCGGTTCCGAGATCCTAGCATGTGGCAAGCATACATAACCGACCTTCTTAGCTCCAATTGCCCTTAGGACGTGAAAAGAACCATGGTCTGGTGATTTTCCAAAAGTAAAGGCGAATATCCTGTGAAGCCCTATCTTGGTAGCTTTATGTCAGCTCACGGCTAGTTGCAAAATCGGGTCAATTAATTACATCAATGGACAAGTCGCTCCCCATATTCGCATTCATCACGGATCAAATCCTCATCTACACGCTGAGGCCTCAACGCTGTCAAACTGATATTGAATTGCCATACAGGGCTGCAATCAACTAAATCCACATCGATATCGGCCGAAATTGAGTTAATCAACCACGAGTAGATATTGAGTTCAGTCGACGTGGATTAAAATACATTGAAATAGACAGCCGGCGCCACAGGCGAGAAGCTTTTAGGTTTCTGTCTATTTCAACGTGTATCGTCAACTCAACTCAACTCAACTCAATCTCTCGTTGAAACTGAGTGGACTGATTGGTTAGAAACTGGATGTTGAGTTGACGAAATCAGACAAATATATAGTTGAGTTAACGTTGAAATACGTTGACTTGATTGCAGCCCTATTGCCATACAAAGCAATATAAGATTCTTTCACACAATATTTATCTATTCAAAGCAGGGCATCAAATCAATCAATCAACGTCAATATCTGCCAACATTGAGTTGAGTTGCCAAAGCTTGGCACAGCCGGATATTGAGTTGATCAACCACGTCCCCATATTAGGTTAATTGGCGTTAATTAGTTCGAAGCCCTGGACATAGCGGCGAAATGAAGTGGCCTGTTGCCATTAACGTCTGCCGCTTCCACATCAGCCCCCTTCTCAAGCAGCAACTTCGCAATCTCGAAATGATTTCGCCACACGGCTAAGTGAAGTGCTGTGTAACCGTCAACGTCTGCCCCATTTACATCAGCACCGGCCGCAAGCTGCTTTTGCACAAAATCTCCGTCACCGGCCCATACATATGCCCGCAAAACTTCTTCCTTTGAAGAACTTGATACCAGTAGTCGATTTATGGTTTCAGCCATGTTCTCATCTTCTTTGAAAGGAAATATGGGACGTTCATCTTTGGTTTCTCTTGACTGACCCGGTGTAAAGGTCAGACTGACTGGTGCTACGTTGTCGGCTTCCGAAGTGATCTGTAAGATGTTTCTTTCACTCTCAAACCTGAGGCTGAAATTGACGTTTCCCTGGGATAATAGAAGGTGCAGTTCGTCCACGTGACCATGAACTTCTGCAAGTCTCAATAAAAGATCTGCTGTCTTGAGTTGCCCTTCGTTGATTTGGTCAACGAGAAGTGCTGCCGTTCTACGCGATGAGTCACGTAGCTCTTCTCCTTGACCAAGAGTCCAACTCAGTGTCTTTTCAGCTAATTGAATCAAAGGAAGATACAACTCTGGTAACTTGAACACTGGAAAAGAATGGCTCGAATCAAGAATTTCTTTGAACAAGAGAAAGCACACAGTGTCTCTAAAGACTTGGTTGTCCGTTTTCTGGTAGCAAGGGTAAAATCTTTCCGGATTGCCAACATCCTCGGACATACCAAGTGAGGCGTAGACTTTGTCTCTTACAACAGATGCATGGCTTTTTTCGAACTTTATAAGAAGGAAGTGAAGATAACGCTTCCTAGACCACCAGCTATTTTTGCGGGTCCGGGACATGATGTCGAGAACTGCTTGAGTATGCTCAGTGATTTTCAACCCCATTAGTGAGGGCATTTGTGCAAAAGTCCGCGCCGGGCAAGAGAATATACCACATAGAATCTTAGCCGTTCTCGCCTTGGCAACTTCTTGGAGAATCCAAACCCTATTGAACCATGGTCTTCCCAAAAGTTCTGTAAGAGCTCCAATTTGCCTTGACCGTGATATTTGGCTGGGTTTATCTGGCCGCACGTCCATAAATCGACTGCAAAGGCTTATCCAGTCCTCATTGTTTCCGATGGCTTGGGCTTCAGTGGCTTGTACATCAATCGAAGTGATCCACTCCATCAAAACTCCAATGTCATCATTACTTGGGCCTAGCCAGATGAAAACTTCTTCTGCGGCACTATAGATTTCTCCCATTTGCTTGACTTGATGACCTTTCTCCTGTTCGTCTTCTTGGTTAATGCAGATAGCGTCAACCCATAGATATACGTCTTTGTCTGCACGTCGTATATATTGTATAGCCCAATATAAATTCTCTCCGACTTCGAACTTATGCCAATCTAGAAAAATATGGGGCGGGTGCTCGACTCCGTCTAACGTATGCTCAAGACCACCCCAAGTGTACGACAAGGCATTGTATCCGAATCCTTCTTCTTGGCTTGCATATGATTCAACAAGAAAGCAAACAATATCATCGCGCCAGTATCCCATTTGAATCCGCAAGATTCGGATAGACTTTTCGGCGGCGTTGAGAGGCGTGTATGGAAATTCAGACATATTCTTTTAGAAATATCAGCTGAAGAATGTCAAGCCATCAACAAGGCTACCGCAGAGCAAGCCGACGAATTCATAGATCTTGAGTTAAAGAGACATTCCGGACAAGGGGTCTAGATGAGCTGTTATATGCAAGTAGCGAAAATGGAAATACCTACAGGTTCAAGAGCGTTGAGTTATGGCAAAGCACATCTCGGGCAGCAGGGCGGGATGCAAGGGTATCGCATAGGATGATACGAGGCAATCGAAACAGAAGCCGCCTACACAATCTCGGATACTAGGACCATCTTCTAGGTCAGAGTCAAACAAAGCCTTTCTGTGCTGTACCGTAGCTCAAAATAACAAATGATTTAGTTATATTCATATTCGGGAAAGGTCGGTCGATTTGTGATTAGACAAGGAAAAGAAGGGAGTTTTAAAGCGCAAGGCTAATTCTAGGCAGACACGAATGCCGCATGCATAGCACATCGTCACCAGAACTCTTTTACCAGCGAATGCGAAAGTCAACCTGTTTTGCCCTTATCGCTCTCGATAAAAAAAATCGACCCTGCGTATTTGCTAGCATGATTTTCAATGGGCAGGCATAGAAGTACTGGGTCTAGCCACTCTCGCGGTCGACAGCGAGGTTAGTCGATTTGATTGACGATGAAGTATCATTGCACCTTGTGGGTTTACTTGTGCAACATTTGACGTCTTTGCTTCGAAGCTTACAATTCCATACACCACCAGACCAAGGCTGAGCTTTGTGTATGGTCGACCTTCAATCATTTACCATTCGGCGTATTATGGATTTCTGTCTAGGATGTTCAAAATTGTCCAGAACCTTGTGCGCCCATTTTTGAGTACCACCTTATGGTCAACAGTAATAGAGAGGCGGGGAAAATTATATTAAGCAACATGTCGTATAACATAGTGGCTAGTACTAAGTTGAATACCATGAAGATACTAATCCTAGTTCGTTTGGCACATATGACTTATAATTCTGCCATGTATGAATCCCGCTTACCCTTTGGAAGTGTTTGCATTCCAGCCCACAGCCCGTTTTTCTATCTGGTTTGGACTGCAGGTCGCTCGGGCGGAAGTGGTCTCATCTGAAGCCTGTTGCCTTATTTTAGACCTTATCACGCCACCTGATGGTAGACCGCATATGCAGGTTTGAGTGGCATGCATGACGGCGGATATTCGTAATTATACTGTGACGTAAAACGTCTAAAACGCACACTCTAGCTCGGTGAGTGGGCTATATGTAACCGTGTCACAGGCTGTTGGAGATGTCGCCGTCTTTCCCTTGGTAGACATATCCTCATATCGCTGAATTAGTACTCAGGTGGGTGAGCACTGAGAATCCCCGGTGTTATATTTTTTTTTTGAACTTTGCCGATATTGAATTTCTGACCGTATGAGGTTGTCTAATCTGGCGTAAAACGGGGACTGGATTTGTAAAGCCTTGACGTCTTTGTGAGACGCGTATCGAACTAGCCTATTTTGAGCCTGAAATAGCCCCTAAGGGGTATATATTGTATACTTTTGCGGAGGATGGTGTGAACCATTTAGCTCCTGCACTGTGATTTCCATTTGTGCTGTGTGGGCACAGACCACTACACACGCCCAGGTCCTCTAAGATGATTGTTGGCCCTAGTAGCCTTTATAAAACACGCGAGCGGTGATGGAATATAAGAAAGCCAGTTAGAGTGGCGCAGCGTAGAACATAGATGCACCTTAATTAATCTTAAAGGAGGCCACTTCCGTAATACGCCCAAAAAACTATAATGGGGCGGGTTCTTTCGCAGGGGACTTTTGTCACAGACTGCTCAAGGCTATAAGTGGTCATGCAGACCTAATGCGGTCTCATACACCGAACTATGTTCCGACTCAGCTAGCGCTAGCAAGTTCGCTAGTATGTAGGAGTCAGACCATATCTATAAGCAGATATAATAAGATAATAGAACAGAACAGAACCAATCAATCAATTGCCCACACTCATTCTTTGAAAATATACACTATATCTAAGTTATGTACGTGTCCGTTTACGCTTTGACAGTGGCTTTTCGAGGAAACTGTTAATAAGAAGCTACTTGTTACGTGGCATCTCCCTCAGCCTCTTTTCACGCTTGTCTTGTGCTGGTCTGATCTCTGCAATACTAACAAATATCTTATTAGGATCTTTAGTGACTGTTTGACCTTTTTCAGGTGCTTATTTATCTAGTTGTGTGTTTAAATTCCGAATTTTTTAACGTGTTAATTCAAGCTCTGTAGTCATTATGTCAACTGCCTTAACGCACTTCCCTAGCAACTCTCTTACGTCTCCAAAAGTCCACGGATGTTTGGCCGCGACGTCCCTACCTTTAAGTCGAAGGTCCTTACTGTTATGAGGAGCAACTGTAATAATCTCAACCAATTCTGATTCGTTTTGTGGTGTTACTGGTTGAGTGTCGGGTGAGGGTAGGAAAAATTCGGGGTCACCTAACACCATCGATCTATTTAGGGGGCATATACCCGTTTAGGACCAACCTCTTTGGATGATCTCTTGGGTGAAGGCACGCAAGCAAGCAGCGTCATAAGCCTTTAGCATTCGTTGCTTGTTAAGGGGCCCAGTTGCACCGATTGCTCGATGTTTACCAAGCTACTTGCGGTGGTGATGCTTAGGAGAGGAAAACACAATCTTGTTAAGTGGCTGCAAGGCTTCACTTGTGTGTGGAAGGTAGACCGAAGCAATCCTCATCCTGAATGCCGTGAGCATGAATCTCAGTGCCATATGTGCTTAGCATATGTTGAATATATGTCACTAACGCTGTTTTTTTTTGTCCCTGCGGAATTTTTGCCAAGCCACACTAGTCAGGTGGGGCTTGTACCTGACCAGGTCATTTTTGTACCTCGTCAGTTCACCCTCATTCCTTGTATTTCAAAGCTAAACTACCAAGCCAAGGCGTTAAATGGATTAGGATTCTAGAACATGGTGCTCTTCGTACTTCTTTAAGTTTCGCCCAGGCGTGATAGTAGTTAGAGGCAAATAGACCTGGATTTCTTAGGCGTTTTTCTTGCTCTTTGTGGAAGAAACGCATCAAGAAACTTGTTACCTGCTTTATTCAGTATTTTGTAGCATCCATCGATCAAGGAGACAGGGCTGTTAGCAAGCAAAGGTGTAGCAGCTGCAGCAGTAACACCTGCCCCTGGTTACAGCTACTTGGTAATTTATTCAAAGTGCCCAACACGACCCCGCTTCAAAAGACCTCGGGGTAGAGACTTTCAAGTTTCTGGAACACAGTTGCTCTACTATCTTGGCTAAAATCCCTATCAAGTTTGGTTGTTGACCACCGTCTTCCTACCCTCGTTACAATATGGAGAAATGCTGGTTTGTTTTGCGTCAAAGCCACTATCCGCCCCCCGTATACTCCGAGACAGAGGACAGCAGCAAGGGTGCCATCTGCCTGGGGCACATAATATCAGATCTTAAACACATCGACACGGTTCTCAACACCGATGGTCCCCAGCCTTACCCAGCGAGCATGCCGGTTTTCACGACCAAGAAGTGGTCCCTGAATTGGGAGTCTGATCGTGACCGCCAGGCAGAGTTATCAGCAAATGGAGATGCTCCTGTTGGTCCTGTCACTGCTGATGCCAATGTTGCAGTAGTTTTCAAGAAATCTACGAGCAATGCCTCGAACTTTGAGTCTCTAGACACAAGCATCATTCAGCCAACAGCAGCATATATAACGAACAGCCTCGACAGTGAGCTTGTGCAAGAAAAGCTAAAGAGCAGCCAGTTTCTTGGAGTCGATGCCTGGAAACTGTTCATGGTAACTGGTCTCATTGTTGCTAGAGGCGCTGCGAGCAAGAACTTTGATCTTATCGAGGCAGGTAACGCTGGCCAGGCGAGGGCGAATGCCCCAGGAAATATTGGAGGAAGAGCGAGTGCATCGGTCTATTCCAGGAAAGAAGACTCGATATCCTATGAGAAGGCATCAGATTTCGTTTGGGCGGTTCGATTAACTAAACTTAAAAAGAGGCCTTTTATTGCAGGCGTGAAGAGAGAGACAGTTGTCAAAGGAGCAACACTCGGGATGGGGGATGAAGACTCAGACCATACTCAGTGGAATGCGAATGCGGCCATTGAAGGTGTTGATACGGGCGATTATACCAACCTATCTCGTATTGGAGAGGATATACTTGTTGTAGTAGGCGAGTAACACCGCTATAGTGATTTCGATTCACACTCTGCAGTATTTCCATACTTCAAATCGAGTCTATGTACAAACAATGTCTCCTTGTAAACAGAGCCTGCCCAGGTCAGACTTAGGAATGCAAAGCGCGTGAAATCGTTTCGGCAATGTAAATCCGCTTCTTTTCATTGCTCCAAAATAAAGAAAACAGCTTATTGCATTCTAATACTTTCCAGGGAGCGATGCAGCGGTAGCCGCCGTCTTCTGTTGCCATTTCCTTGAACACTGCCGACATGCCCGAGACGGACTTGAGTAGCCTTTTATCGATGTGATCCCGGCAGTCTTCTTGCATTGAGAAGTCGAGAACGAGCGCGGCAAGCCCAGCCGCTATGAATGTTGAAATGGATGTTCCCTCTTTACGGACCGTGTATTCTGCTTTAGTGATAGAGACACCCTCCACTCCCTCACCTAGAACGGCAAAGTTCAGAGATTGGTCGAGCTTTGCTGGATTGAATGACGACGGCTTGATTCTGCCATCTGAAGAAAACATGCAGATCACATCTCCAACCATACGTGCTGGAAAAGCGACGCCATCAATGTTGCCTTGGTTTGAGGCTGCTGCAAACATGAGGACACTTTTTGCTTTTGCTTTCCGGATTGCGCAACTGATACCTTCATAATCTTCGTCGAAACCGAATGCCAGTGTAATGATGTCCACCATCCAAGTTTCTACTGCATGTTCGATTGCCTACACCTATTAGCGACATAGTACACAGTAGCTCCAGCAGGATAGGTACCTCAGCAACCAATCCTGGAGTTGTCAGTGTTGCGTTCTGGCTATCCCAAACCCTAGCAACATAGACCTCGGCTTCAGGAATGACCTTGAATGTGAGGTAGACCCCATTAGTGCCGTGACCAGTATTGTCGATCCCCTCTTTCTCGTCAGTTACAATATAATCTTTATATTCCTTGATTCTCTTTCGATAAGGGCTTTTGGAATTAATGCCGGTATCAAGTATGGCAATCTTGACAGGATCGTAACCGCCAGCCTTTTGCCTCATACTAAGAAGAGCAGTCATGTGGTCCAAACGCTCAAACCATTCATCAGAAGCTCGAGCCTGTCTGCTCCAGTTAGCAATTGGTAAATTTCATACTTATTCAAGGACATACTTAGTTAGGGACATCGTAGTCCCACTCGGTTGATGCGAAACATGTACGCCAGAGGACCTTTGATCGATGCTCATTTGATCCTGCCACCTTGCAAGGGCATTCGCTGTTGCCTTGGTAGTGGGATGTTCAGGACCTAGTCTTTGTTCTCGGAGTCGAACGCACCACTCAAGAAAAGGAACAGACTTCTTATAATTCCCTTGGCTTCTCCATGTCTGCGCTAGACCAGCCATAGCCCCCAAAGTGTGTGGGTGGTCGGGTCCAAGCACCTGTCTCATTGTCTCCCAAACCGTAGACGATAGCATCTCAGCCTCATTCCACCGTTGTTGGCCTTGGTAAGTTCGTGCTAAGTTGTTCTTGCTGATGAGTGTTTCGGGATGGTTCTCTCCCAGAACTATCTCCCTCAATCTGATTGAATCCAAATCAAGTTCCTCTGCTTCCTTCCACTTCCCTTTGCATGAATATATTGATGCCAAATTCGACATGCTGCTCAACGAATCTGGATGTTCCTTCCCGAGACGAGCTTCAGTGGTTGTCTGTACAAACTGCTGTAGCTGCTCGGCTTCATCCCATCTCTTTTGGAGCCGGTAAAGCGTTGCTAGGTTACCCACGCTGGAGAGAGTATGTGGGTGTTCTGGCCCCATCACTCTTGTTCGCACGTCCACAACCTGCATTGTGAGATCTTCTGCGTCATTGAGAAGTCCTTGACTTTTGTATATCAAGGCAAGACCATTCATACTCGATAATGTATCGGGATGTTCAGCTCCAAGCACCATCCTTCTGCCACGAATAGCCCGCATTTCCTGCGTTTGGGCATCCGCCCATTGACCTTGAAGCCAATGCAATGTTGCAAGATTACTTATAGCTGAGAGAGTGTCAGGATGATCTTCACCTAAAACACTCAAACTAATACTCATGGCTTTTCCACTTAGACTTTCCGCCTCTTTCCACCGGCCTTGAACCCAAAGAGTTGTTGCAAGATTGGTCATGCATTGTAGCGTGGAGGGATGCTCTGCACCTAACATTCGCTGCCGAATCTGCATTACTTGCCTCTCCAATTCTTCTGCCTCGTTCCATTGCCCTTGATATCTGCGTGTTGTTGCAAGATTTGCCATGCAGCTCAATGTATCTGGATGCTCTTCACCACGTATTCTTTTGCTCGTTTCCATTACTTGTAAACCGACTAGTGCGGCCTCCGTCCATCTTCCTTGATCTCTGTAGACTGTCGCAAGATTATCAATGCAGCTTAAAGTGTCGGGATGTTCTTGACCGATTTCTCTCTTGCTTGTCTCCGCAGCTTCTACCAAAAGCTTTTCGGCATCGTTCCATCGACCTTGGTTCCAAAAAGTGGAAGCAAGATTGACCATGCTAGTCAAGGTGGAAGGGTGGTATTTACCAAGAATCTGTTGTTGGATCCCCAAGATTTGTGTCTCCAGAATCTCCGCCTCTGCCAATTTCCCCTTATACCTGCGGGCCATTGCGAGATTGGCCATGCTACTTAGCGTGCACGCATGGTCTGACCGGAGCACCTTCTTGCTTGTCTCCATCACATACATAAACAGATCTTCAGCCTTGTCCCATCTGCCTTGATTCCAAAATGTCAACGCCAAGTTGCCTATGCTGATAAGCGTGTCTGGAGCCTCTGCGCCAAGCACCCTTCTTTTCTTCTCCACCACTTGCACCTCCAGCTCTTCGGCCTCATCCCACCGGCCTTGATTTCTATTTGTGGAAGCCAGGTTCTCCATGCTCTTTAGGGTGTCTGGATTGTCAGGCCCGAGGGTTCTCACACGGACCTTTAATACCTGCGAAAAAAGCTCGTCTGCCTCGTTCCATCGGCCTTGATTCCAAAGTGTCGATGCTAGGTTATCCATACTAGTCAGTGTACTTGGATGCTCTGCACCCAACACCTTCTGGCTCACCTCCATCACCTGTACCTCCAGGTCTTGAGCTTCGTTCCACCGGCCTTGATACCTGTACGTGGATGCCAAATGACCAAGGCTGCTTAACATGTCTGGATGCTCCGGCTTGAGTTTCTGCTCGCGAGCCTTGACTACTTGCACGAAAACCTCTTCTGCCTTATCCAATTGACTACTAAGATGGTACGCCAATCCTAACATTACCATGCTACTCAGCGTATCCTCGTGGCCTTTCCCAAACACTTTGCTCCGTACTTTCATGGACTTCAGAGCTAAGGACTCGGCGTCAGACGCGTTCCCTCTCCTCCATGCATACCATGCCGCATGGTAGAGGAGTGTGGCCCACTCAGCCAGCGACGAGTCTTCTTCTGGCGGTTGTGTGGCAGCGGACCGTGCATGTGGGAAGAGTGTTCCGCATATAGTCCAGTTTTCGTACTCCCCTGTTGGAAATAACGCAGAGAGATTTCGAATAAATCGCTGATTCCATTTTTCTAGCTGACCGTTCTCTTTGAGCCGTATTCGCATTGCTAGTTGCACAAGTTTCTGCATCACAAACATTGCTCCGTCCGGACGAATCAAGATGAAGGAGAAATTCAGTAGTGATGATATATCATCCTCGAATCCATCGCTTTCGCTTGTCTGTGAAGATGAAGCTTCACTAATATCATCGCCTTCTTCGAACCTTCTGTCTTTTTTCCTGCTACTGTGCTTAGGATGATACCGAAGCACATTCTCTGGAATCCCCTGCGCATCAAAAAAGCACATGAGAGATAATAAGTCGGCAGCCGATGGTCTAGTTTCGCGGATATAGTCAAAAGAAATTTGCCAAGTAGTGAAAATGGAATTACTCGCCTCAGCATCACGGCGAAACTCTTGTGAATCAATACTGAGCAGTCGAGATCTTTTGCGATCGCCTCCCCTCAACATTTCAAGGTACCGTTTTGCGGACATATGAGGCAATCTAGATCCGATATATCGTGCAGCCTGAACAATGGCTAGCGGTAAAAATTCAAGCTCAGACATCAATTCGACGTTGTCTTCAATATCCGCCGGCAATCCCAGCTTGTTCTTGAATAGTGTTAAGGCCTCGTCTGTGTGCATGGTGTCGACTGCGACGATATCGACCGCTTCAACTAGCGTCAACGCGGCCTCCCTACTCCGTGTGGTGACGAGAATAGTTCCATTCGCGCATAGGGGAAGGTATTCCCATAAAGGTAGCGAAGTATTGGCCGAATTACCAGGCTGGGCGAGGAACCGGGCATCATCAATACTATCGAGGATAAGCATCCAGTTCCTCTGACTTTCGTACAGCCAGTCGTGCACAAGCTGGAATATGTTGACTTCCGGGTCCAAGTGACCAGCTATTTTGACACGATGTGCAATCTCTCGGTAACCCTGCTCGAACCGAGCCGCATTGCTCGCATGGATCCAAAATACCCATTTCTCAGGGTTTTGGGATCGGGTTCGGTAGGCATGTTCGATGGCGAGTTGTGACTTGCTTGCTAAAGTTAGCTAGCCTAGTGCGAGGATGCTCTTGTCCTTACCCGACGCCGCCTAGGCCAACGAGCGCAGTCCGAGATCCTGGCCTGCTACAGCGCCTGTCAATCTCGTCGAGTATGGTTTCTCGGCCGACGAAGTCTTTGTCGCGACTGAAGGGGATAATGATTAACGGAAGTGTTGGGGGTGTTTCTGGACGCTCTATAGATGTGCGGTCAATTTCGGTGATCTGACCCCGCATGAACGCGGAATCACAGCTTACTAGGAGGAATATGATGAAAATTAACACCAATTGGCCCGTTGATAGTCCCAGCTTGGAAGCCAGAGTTAGCGTTCCCAAAGCTTATCGTATTCGCCATTGCCGTAATTGATTCTAATAAGTGGAACAACTATAGCATCTAATTAGATTAGCGTAGAACCTGCTGTATATATAGTATGACGGCGCTACGTTCCTAAGCTGAACGCTCGAGGTCCGGGAACGGCTGCTCTATTTCCCCGTTTTCGCTTTCAGATTAACACGTTATTCCATTAAGCGCCATAAGGTCACATGAGTGGTTTTTGTGACAAGTGACTTGGGAAGCCATATGTGGGCTTTTTAGAATCAGGCGCCCAGCTCTAACCCGGGATACAATTAGACGAAAATATATAGGAGAAACCTGTATCTTACCCAGCCACAAAAAGTCGCAAATTTTAAATCGCGCTCAATGGGATATTATACTTTGCTCACAATCTCCGCGATTGTATTACATGAGGCCGCCCAAGACTCTTACCTTCTCGTGGTGCTGGCCGAAATTCTGTGAATGCCTTTTGTCGCCAGAGTGTCCATAGACTTAAGAAAAGCCTCTACTGGCCAGTACTATCAACTGGCTAGCAGTACAGGTAATAAGGGTTGCTTTGCCTTACCACCTACAAGCATCACTTGGTAATCGAGGCCAAGCACTAACCAGGCATTATGAGGCAGATACATAGGAACAGAAAGCGAATTCCATAGGTTCAACATTTAGGAGCTCAACGTATGAACGAGAAGACATTTTCATCAACTTGTTAATGTATATAAGTGATAAAGCATGGCAATTCCACGTTAAGCACCAGTTAATTAATTAACAGTAGTCATGGCTCCGCTCATTCGCGTGCACCTTAGACCTAGGGGGTTCCCGGAGGTTACTCTATCGAGAATATTACAAACAACATCGGAGCCGATGTTACTGAATGCAATTCTTCCGCCTGGTATAAGGTATAAAAAGGGTTGCATGCAGAAAAAGCTCCGTAATATTATTCAACGACCGTCGAGCCTACTACCATTTTCGTCTTACAAACGACTAATCTACCTCCAAATCAATAAAACCTTCACCTCTCGTTTCATTATCATACCTAGAGATTGCCGGCACGGGCTGATATTGCGGTAAACAGGTCAAGATGATAGTGATGCTATAGTATTGTTGTTCTAGAGCTTTTTAATGCGCTATAAACTTGGAGTCGTGCACACTTCTCTGTATAGTTCTGATCAATAAAACCAAAACCAACAACATACATTACCAGGGATGCCCTAGTCATCACCGACCTAAGTACTAATATAGAGGTTCAAGGACATATCTATCTGCTTGGCGAGCGAAGGGATCGGTCGCCCCGCAGCTTATGAAACGGAAACGTGTGGCATACAAACCACCCAGCCCTTATAGTAGCTTTAGTCTAGGACTAGCTCATCGCTAATCTCACCTCACATGTACCTGAATCTTCTAAATTGTTAGAGGAAATGAAAGAAACGGTCGAACTTACGAGCGGGAACGGTTATCAAACAGTAGAGATGCAGTAGTTAGTACAGAAATGGTGCCGTTCAAAAACACTTGTAAGGCCCACTTCGCTGTGTGGTTCATGGGTTACATGTTTCCGTGTCACAAGCTGCGGGGAAAGTGATCCTCTCTCGCCAGGTAGGGTATGTGATGGGTGACCACTGGGGAATCCCTGGTGTTGTATGTTTTATTTTTCCTATGTTTTACGATGGTTTTTCTGTCCCCAAGGATCGATTAATTTATATCTTGGTACAATTGACTATTGTCACATACGACCATAGCTCCTAGAGAACTCGGCATCCCGTCCGCTCTGCCCTAGATAAACTGGGAAGCGCCGGATTAGTACTCAGGTGGGTGACCACTGGGGAATCCCTGGTGTTGTATGTTGCTTTTCTTTTTCTTTTCCCCTTCCTTTTCTTGTTTTTGTCAATTTGACCGAAAGACATTACCTAACCTGTTACGTGAAACGATTCAAGGTTTTGGCTCAAAGCTTGGACCTGGTTATAAGCTGCATTCAGCTAATTGATATTGGACCAGGCATCGAGGGAGGGATGATCAAATATCTTTCCTAGATGCACGGGATGGCGCACGATCGCTTCCTGCGTGGTCAGTAATGCTCAGAATGTTATTGCTGAAAGGATGACATGAAGGGTGTTTGATGTCTCTAAAACTACGCATCGCAAAAGAATTACTATATGTGTTCCTCCGATCAGGCTATTATGGTTGCCAGTCGAGAGCACACTAGGTTAGCCTACTTCAATATAAGATCAGTTTAATAATAATGTTATTATGATAATAAACTTAATGTTCTATTGATTATAAAAACAAGTTTTAATATTAGGTTTCAATAATAGGTATATTTATTCGATCATAAATGAAATGGTTTTAAAACATGTAAGTCGTTTATCTTTTCTTTACTATTATCCACCGACTTCTTCCATGTGTTATACTTAGATTGAGCGAAGTGCCAGAGGTCATCGACGCCATTGGTCGAAATGTATTCTGCCAAATCTAGTCCATCTTGAATGGCTATTTGAGCACCCTCGCCGCCGAGTATTGGAGTGGCATGAACAGCATCACCAATAAGGAGGACACCATGTTCCGAAAGGTGCTGGGCTTCTTTTGGCTCCGGAGCAAGACAACGCATGAGCCAATGGAGCGTTCGGTCATCCTCAACCTTGTCGGCGTCAAATATCTCCCTGAAGGGCATCTCAAGTCCTTTGAGACTTCTAAGCTCCTCGTAAAACTCATCAGGGATGTCGGTCGCGCCTGCGACAGGCCGATTTGGGTTGTGCAGGGGGGTCTTGGCCTTTCCTAGCCGGACGGGAGTAAATATAGCTCAACTCGACTTTGGACCCGGCGATATCGGTTACTGATATTTCCAGCAAGACATTGCCTACGCGTGTCTGTTTCTGAACGTGGTCTCGCATGTGTTCGTGAATGGTTCCCATATATTCTTCGGTGGACATGCGTCGCTTCCCGTTGAAAACCACATATGGCAACACTTCCAGTTTCATGCTCGGAGCCCGGCTTTGACGGGTCATGGAGTGAGGCCCGTCGCAACCAATTAGACACGTCGTCTTGTGCTGGTAGCCGTCTTCGAATACTGCAGTGACACCTCTCGAGCCGGGAGACATATTGATCTCCTTTAGCCTTTTGTCCCAGTTGATGGAGAGATACCGACTGAGAAGAGCTTCAAGCCGGCCACGATGGCATCGAAATGTATCACTCCCAGGCCAACTTCCAGTACCTCCTTGCTGTGCATTGACGGCCACCGATTCTCGAAAAGAGGACTCGTCCATGTCTAGCAGGCTCAGAAAGGGCCGGTAGGTTGAAGCGTAGAGAGTAATGCCATAGTTGTAGCGTGGTGAGGGAGCTGCACGGTCGTAGAGCACGGCAGCGATACCTTTGCTTCTTAAACTGAGTCCAAGCGTAAGGCCACTTAGTCCGGCACCAACTATAGTGATCTGAGGCAACTTGGATGCCATGATTCAAGTGCAGCACTTGCAAGCATGTCGTAAGTACAGTAGTCGATTGAGAGACCAATGGCAGAAAAATTGGGGAGCCCGCAAGCTTTAACTCTAAAGAAAGAAAGACGGGCAGGCTTCTCGGGTTAGATTTAGCGCCCTAGGCGGCGGGATTGTGCTGAATCATGACGTATTCCATAATTGAGTTGGCCTACAACACAGAATGACCACTATCATGCCCCGGTTGGAATGTGTTCTTGTCGGATCGATTCGCTAAATCCCCACCATAAATCTTTTTACAATGAATTTGTACTTGTATAGGACTGGTACTCTGCGCGCCACTAGGACCCGATAGGCGCCAAAGAGAAGACGAACTATGCAGGACTGCTGGTTCTAGCTGGCATGGTGTTACAAAGTCAACTAGGTTTGGTTACTATAGTAATCGGGGATCGACGATCTAAAGAGCGGATTGCCGCTATCGAAGGCGATTTGCCCAGCATCAATGAAGGAATGAACGGATACAACAAGAGGCGGATGTCCTATTTCATAAACCGTCATTAATTCAGTAGTCAATTTAGGCATCTACTTTGCCCAAAAGTGAAGCTAATCAACCTTTAATGACTACACTTGAGATTCATCTTACCAAAATACCTATTCGGCTCAGCTCAGCCCAGCACAGTCTATTCCATTATACTTCTCTCCTGACGTAACATACCTGACGGACAAAACTCCACTGCACGCTCTGTGGTTTTCCAGCCCAACAGTATAATCGTAACGAAACAGAGGGTGATGTTTTCAAGTAAATATCACATGTCTGGCCAAGTCTTACCGACGTAGTAGGTTTTGGCCCTGCACAACCTGTTCGCTGGCCGCACCTACAGCCAGGGCGCCGGCCATACGATGGCGACAGATATTGCTTTGGTACCGTGAGCTCAAGTTTCTCTGAGCAAAGGTCTATTTATATCTGCCACCATAGCTTCCCTGAATACCGAAGCCGGATTAGAACTGCTGTGAGATTGTCTTGACGCTACAACGTTCATCTCAGCTGCGCTGACCAGGCCTACGGCTCTCACGCGTCACAAGGCTAGAGTAGGATGCATATGTGCGGCAGATAGCCCCAATATGGGCGCTCCAAACTGACAATTATCTCCGGGAGCCTGATCCCCTCTTTACCACATCCTATCCTTCAATCCCCCAGGCATAGGACTGATCGTCATTGTCAACATTCTCATTATATGGACAGCTAGCGCCCTCAAGAATGGAAGCTTTTGGCCTTGTTTCAGCCGCAGCGGGCGTCGCTTCCTTCGGCATCACGGTTTGTGAAGGCCTGCTGACATACTACAGCTCTTGGAAAGACGCCTATGACACGGTCCGCTCGATGTATGAAAACATCGAGGCACTGGCCAAGACGTTTGTCATTCTCGAGCGCACCATTTCTAATCCCACACTCAGTGAGGCTGCAAGACATAGAGTTGAAGAGAGCATCGAGTCCTGCCGAAAAGGTATTGCAGCATTACGCAAGAAACTCGATAAAATCGAGAAGAGCTCTGCGCAGCAGAGCTGGAAAGAACGGACTTGGGTCAGGATCAAAGGAACAATATATCCCTTCAAAGAGAGCACTTTGCTCAAGCTCAAGGAAGGCTGTATAGAACTCCGCCATGACGTGGGCCTTGCCCTTGCCACGCTACAGATGTGTGTCTTCACTATTTGTAGTACATACAAGAATCTAAAACTTCAGCGACAGCAATACTTCTGTGAGGTCTTTAGATAAGCTCGCGGCTTTCGACGAAAGAATGTTCGAAGTGCCTAACAATATCGAAACAATTCTCGGCAATAGTAACGTATTGCTTAACCATATGGAGAATTTGGTAGCTTCGGGGAAAAGTATTCTACATCTTCTTGTGTTATTTTCCCGTAGTGTTGTCGTTAATTTGCTAATTGCCACCAAAGGCGAGGTTCTAACGAAGATATGCGACTGGCTGTCTCCACTTGCTGGGGACTTCGAACGTAGACAGCAAGAGCTTTCAAGCACTCTAGATCGCCAAGAAGGTATGGCACGGTGGCTTTTTAATACATCTGAGTTCAAAAGTTGGATTCATGATACGGGAACAGCCCTGTGGTGTACAGGAATGCGTGAGTATCGCAACCACCGCCTAGCAGGCTTGTCACTAACGACGTTCCAAGATGGCATTGGGAAGTCCGTTTTAGTGTACGTCTTTTCAGAGAGTGCGTTCTGATACTGGTGTGCTAACCCTGTCAAGCTCTTTCGTAGTAGACATCCTTCACCAAGCCAGGGCAAGCGAGGGAGTGGGTGTTGCGTATATTTATTGCAATTACGAGGAGGCTCACCGGCAATCACCCAGTAACCTCATTGCCGCCCTCCTCCTCCAATTTGTTATTCAACAAAATACGGTTTCGGAAGATTTACTGTCGCTATACGAGCACCACATGAAGAACAAAACACGGCCACTATTGAACGAATACTTGCGCCTCCTTCAAGACACTATAGCCGAGTTTTCGAAAGTATACGTTGTAATTGACGGGCTTGACGAATGTCCGGAGGCGAACTCTACCCGCCGCAACTTTCTTACCACCGTTCACGCAATACGGCCCCAGACCTCCACCTTCATCACCTCCCGCGACCTCCCGACGGGGATACACGAAATTATTTAGAGCAGCGATCGAATCAATAGGTACTTTTGAGAAGCCACTTAAAGAAAGATCCAAGTTTACACAAAAGGATCATCAGGAACATCCTGCAAAAGACACGGAGCATGTTCCTTCTTGCGCGGCTATACATTGAAACCTTGACACGATTGATTACCCTTCGAAAAGTAAAATCAGCTTTGAACACCTTACCAGATGGACTGGAAAGTATGTACCACAGCGTCATGGTACGGATACACGGGCAGGACACTGAGCTGGTCACGCTAGGACTAAACGTCCTCGGCTGGATATACTATGCGAAACGCCCACTCACTCTCATCGAGCTACAGCATGCTCTAGCGGTTGAGCCTCGGGATACGTTCCTGGATGAAGACGGCATGCCCGATAAGGATCTACTCACGTCCGTATGCGGAGGACTATTGTCTGTGCAAGATGGAGAGACGGTGGCCTTCATACATTATACGGCCCAGGAGTTCTTTGACGTACATAAGGATCACTACTTGAAAGGAGCAAGATTGAATATGGCTCAGACGTGTCTAACTTATTTGTCCTTCGATGCGTGGTCCACCGGAGCATGTACTACCGATGGTGCATTTGAGTCACGCCTAAAAGAATATCCTTTTTTAGAATATGCATCAATCCACTGGGGAGTCCATGCGGATCTTGAAGGGGAGCTTTCCACGGATATAGAAAAGCTCGCAGTAAAGTTCCTGCAGAGACCTGGAGCCATCTGTAGTGCAGTTTAGGTCAAGACTATTTGTTCCCGCAAGTACAAGACAAATTATGTTGGATACAGTCAGGAATTCTCGATCAGTACCCCCGGCTTGGTACTCGCATCCGCGTTTGGGTTGAAGAGGATTGGATCATTGTTGCTACAGCATGATGCAGACATCGAAGACGAAGATGCGCGCGGCTTAAGGCCAATCCATCAAGCTTTATGGGAAGGTCATGATGCAATGGTCCAGTTTCTTATAAATGAGGGGGCAGACTGTGAAATACCCATCGGATCTCACGAACCTCCACAACATTCGTCTTTGGTCATGCAAGGTGCGCCTGTCCATCTGGCTTCCATCAAAGGAAACGAGCTCGCGGTGGACCTGCTACTTGCCAAAAGTGTCAATGTGAATGCACATTTAGAAAATGGCTGGACAGCATTACACATGGCGGCGGCCAATGGTCATAGTTCTGTTGTAAGCCTCCTGTTGAGAAATGGTGCCGAGGTGAATGCTACAGATAGCGCTGGTGGGACAGCGATATACCGAGCCGCTGAGACGGGACAAGATGGCGTCATCAAGCTTCTCGTCCAGCATAAAGGCAATGTCAACATGAGAACAAAGCTGGAACAGACCCCATTACTCCGTGCCGCAGAAAATGGTCATGGGGCTGCAGTGACGCTCTTGCTTGAAAGCGGAGCGGACTGGAAAATCAAAGACTTTTTGGGCTGGACACCCTTGTACAGAGCACAAGATCACGGCCACGATGATGTCGAGAAGCTCCTGAAAAAATGGATCAAAGAGCATCGTGAAAAAGGTCAAGCCAAACAGGACAGTATGGCATTACGAGGTTGAAACAAGGGCAATGAGGCTCGTGCGCGCATTAAGCACCGCGAGCCATCGTCGTGTCGACGGCGTTTTAGTCGAGGATACGTGTATAGCTCGCTTCCAAGGCTACTTCTTCAGACTGCAAAATACTAGTATTCCAACTCCTAGCCTGGTGAACCACCGAGATTTCCGCTAACAAATACGACGAGGACAGCTGCGTATCTTTGTAAATATTCTGTCAGTAAAAACGTACCAAATTGGATGGTAAATCATAGGTTCATACGCTGCGGTGGCTCCAAAAACCTCTGCTCTTCTGGCATTGGTGAGAAGTCCAACGGAAATCGCAAAGAGGCACGTGAAGATTGCTAGCAGTCCTAGCTTCTTGTTCGGTTCCGTGACTTTGTACAGCACGATAATTGCGCCGATTAGCAAGATCGCAGCTAAGAGAGTGCTCAGATAGGAGATAAAGGACGAAATCGAGCGGCCAGATATGTAACTGATATCTGAAGTTATACCAGCTGCATAAGAGTTCGGCTTTGACTTCTCCTGTGGCCTCGCATGAGTAAAATTACTGTGCTTAAGTGAACGAGGGGTAAAATAGATAATAACCTTACTTGGAAGAAATAACCTAAGTGATCCTCTACGAACTGCGAAAGTCGATCCTGTTGTTCTTGTACCCTGAGTGCGGCCAATTCATTTGTCTCATTGTACAGGTTCTTACTGTGCCCTCCAATGACGCATAGGCTTGAGTTCGACGCCGTATCGAAATAGAATAATTCTTCCCGGAATGCCTTGAAGGTTCTTTTGTCAGGAGGTGGGATAGCAGCAAACCTTCTCTCGTTCAATAATGCTTCGCCTGTGAAGATCTGTTGGCAACAGACTTAATGCAAGGGGTTTCTGTGACCTTACGATACTCCTTCATGAGTACTCTAATATCTTTAACCAACTCTAGTCGTCGCGGTTGCACATCTCCTTTCCTCTTAAACTCTTTCCAGTTCCGCGCGGCCTTCTTCGATACAGGATCGCTGCCATCACTGGTGTCGTATGCATCAAGCTCCGCTTGCAGCTCTGCAAGCTCTTCCTGCATATACAGCAGGTTCCTGGCTGCTAATGTGTCGAACCGATTGAATATTAACGTGCTTTTGTCCACGTCGCTTGAAATAAAGGCTGCCAGTGATGGAAATCCCTTCACTGGGTTTGCTCTTCTATGCTGTCGATCCGCTGTGGCCATCATCTTCCAAATACTGGATCGCCGATTATTCAAGTTTTTATATTTCACTATTGTAAGAGGGATCTATGGTAAATTACGCACATAAGCTTGGTTGGGCACACCTCACGTGTCGTTGGGCATTTTTTCGTTCAGCCTTGCGTTGTACTTTTCCCCGCTCTGCCTGATTTTACGCTGATGAACCAGACGATAGAGGTCTCTATGTTCAAAAGAGCTTTTTCAGTAAATTGTGCAGTCAAGATGTCAAGCAATTCCTACTACAATCCTGACGAGGTCATTCCTACTAACAGCCCCCTTTTAACAGCAGTCCGCCCACGCCTGGAACCAAGTCCAAACATATCTTTCCTTACTCAAATTGGCGAATATAACGTCGACGACTACCATCTCGTAGGCTCACTCAACCACGCGGCAATCCCTGACTGATTTTATCTTAGGATGCCCCATGGACACGCAATTGCGCCTTTCTGGCCGTGCAACACCATTCATGTCCCTGGAGTCGACAACGATGCTCCCGAGCCCCGTCGATACTATATTGCTTGATCAATATAGGCGGAAGGGACCCAGACATCGCTAGGCATGCACAGCGTGAAGCCTTACCCCCTTTATCTTCCAGATGGAAAGAGCAAGTTAGCGATACCAGTCAATCAGTTATCCCAGGTAGCGCGCCCAGTGCCAAATCGATCGGGGTGTCAGACAATAATGCTGAATTCGTGTCGAGTGTATCGACGACGCATTCTTCATTAGACCGGGCGCCATCTTATATTAATCTAGCAACAAAAGTAGTGTTGTCACCCTGTATTCTTTCATCCGACTACTCTCCTCAGTCATTGCCTTCTTCAGAGCAAGTCTTCACAATGCGATTGCCGGTGGCCGCTCGACGACGCTGGGGACTCCCTCTGTCCTTGAGCGGCCGCAGTAGAAACGTTACTGTTATGTCTTGCGCAGACTCGGGCGCTGACGATAATTTCATGGCGTTGGACGTAGTCCATAGTCTTGGGCTACCCTTGAGTTCTGAGCAAGAGTACCTGAAGGAATTCTGCATAGCGAACGGAAAGGTCATTAAATCTTTGGGGAAGGTTGTATTGCCATGCAACTTCTCACAGGGAACCGCCTCGCCCGATGCTCTTGCTACCTTCTTTTACGTCTTTCGGACCTTAGCTGAGCCTATTATCATGGGCTTGAAATTCCTGGAGCTCACTGAGACATTCAGTAAACATCGAGATCGTCTTGTAGAACTCAGCGTGTTCGAAAATCAGCCTCTCCGAGTTCTGTCCATAGGTGTACCCAGGAGGAACCTCGTATGCCTTTTGGCTGAAGATATAGTCTTCGCGATTGCGGACTCGGGATCTGATCTTGATTTTGTTAGTGAGAAGTATGCCTCTTCTCGTAATCTCACAATTATTCCTAATCAGGAGAGGATCATGTTTGCGGATGGCACCATCGAGACCACTTCTGGTGTAACGAGACTACCATTATTGGTTCAAGGCCTGGATACGGATGACGCTTCAAACGATTCGAAGAGCTCAGTCACGCTCTCAAGAGAGTTTCACATCTTTAACGGTCTTGTCCACGATGTTTTGATTGGTCACGCAACAATTGAGAAGCTACAGGTATTTACACGTTTTAATTCGTCGCTGTTGCCCGGATTTGGACTCGCGGACCTCTTGAGTTTAAACATAATTCGGCACCTGAAAAAGGTTCCGACGCTCAAAAAGATCACGAAAGTTGTTTGGCGTCGCCTCTTGCGCCATCATGGACCAGCCCAGAACGCGCCGCTAACCCGTAATTGGCAAAAATTCGATGCCATGAAAATGCGTCAAACAACTAACTTTGTACAGATTATAACGATGATGATGATCAACGCGAAAACGCCCGGCGGTCTGCGGAATTTGAGCGCATCGAAGCACTTAATGATCCTGCTGAGGTTGCTCGAGCTCGAGCAAAAGAGGACAGTCGCCATAAAGAGTATCTGCAGTCCAGATTTGCAATGAATGCAAGTATATCTTTTGGGAGGGTGGAGTAGTCGCTACTGTCATCTGTATTTTACTAATCAAAGTAGACACTGAACTACATTAGCAACCGGTCGGCATCACCAGCCTGGTCCACAACAGCCGATAGTGGTAGGTCGCTGCATTTTCCAGGGACTTTCGTATGCAAATTCTCTGGATGTGAAGCACCACCGTTTCAGACACAGTACCTTTTGGAGTACAATTCCCGAATTCACCAAAACTTATTTGTCTGATTTATCTCTAGTTACTATACATCTGTCCATTCATCAACGAGGCCACACTATTGTCCAGTAAGAGGCTGTCCTCGAGCTAAAGGCGGCAAAGAATTCAAACAAAAGAGAGAAATGATCCGTCATGGACTTGTCCACCATTCACCTGACTACATATGTCCGTTTTGTCCAGACCGTGAGCACAAGTTCGCTCGACTGGATAATCTGCATCGGTATGGAGTCCTAACATTGTGCACCTTGAATGTCACATCTAATGATCCTCACAGTCATGTTCGAGTTCATCATGTCGACAAGGATACAGGTCACCATCTGCTTCGGGGGGTATTACTCGTACCATTCAGACCACCCCGACAATTGAGCGCACCCTCCCCCGACGATTTGACCATAACAAGTCAACAATTAAATTGACTATGTTGCCAAAGTGAAATCATGCAGTTCAGTCATTATTAATACAAGCTTGTACTATTGCGCACGAGATTCACAATGAAATAACAAAGCACAAGCAAAAACATGGGTAGATTAATCTTTTTGGCCCTATTTGATTTTGCCGAACGATCCTTTGGCCTACGGTGCGAGGGGAGGGGTTAAGAGAACTCACTTCTCTGGGATACTAGTCATTCAATGATAGGTACTATTATGGGGTGCGAAAGAATGACATATTAGAGACGGATTCTGTCGAACTTTCCATGTTTCTACAATTATCTATAAGAAAGAAAAAGAAAAAGTAAAAGAAAGTTGACTGTCTGTTCATCCCAAGCTTCTCGTCTCAGCACTTCTGACCTTGCTTCAACAGTCAGTGAATTCTAGTGTAAACAGATTTCGGTGAATATACTGTCAAGGTCTTGGTTTTTCTTTTCAGTTTTCTCCTAGTAGTCCTTGTAATTTATCCTTTTAGCTTTCCGCAAGAGCAATTCGGTGCTCAATGCCGCCGTCCAGCAGGGTCGATACTATCGCGACGCCCCGGGCTCTATAAAGCTATCGATAGTGGTGGCATAACCGGATCCGTGACGGGATTAGGGCCGCTTGTCATAACTTGGAAACTAATCAGGTGTCCAATTGCATAAGTTGTTGGGGACTGGCGAAAATGACGGAAAGTGATGGAGCCGGGAATCAGGTAGGCCAAACTTGCCAAGGCCTAATATCGTCAGCATCGGTGGGAGGATCTGAAATTATTGGCTGAGATCATTTCTATCATATTCTAGTTCATCCTTGTACCTGGCATGAATACTTGCTTTCACTTCTGGATCTGTCATGCAATACTGACTGACGTCATGGAAAGTCTGTAGATCGATATTATCCATTGTAAACATCAGACTTGTGGCTTCCTCTCGTCCCGGCACCTCGTACCAGCCAAGTCCCTTGACAGTGGACGTACCCGGATCTGAGTGGTTGATAAATAAGAATCAGGTTACGATCGGCTCGAGTTTGTCGATGCTCGTGGATTTCTTTGACTGCCGGGCTTTGTTTAGAATATCTGTCGGTGTTTCTAGCACTCCTCCAGCAGCTTCGCGGATAATTGTGCGTAGACTTTCAGGTGCTGGTCATTGCATGACCCCGTATTTCTCAGTCAAGGTCAGAGACTTCGGCCAAGCCAGTGCCTTACTAATGAGATCCCCACGATCCAGAAGAAGGGCCCGCTGGTTACGAATTAGCATGGGTGTAGCGATATAGAGGTATAGGTCATTACCTCCTTGTCAGTCATATCGTCGTTCTAAGTCAGGGCTTTGATGTATAACTCCTTAGGAATCTCGTAGGCTTTCTGATCAGACTTAGACGAGACTAAAAGTCATAAAACTGGCATAACATCTAATCTCAGTTACGTATTAGATATCAATACCTAATAATAGGGGCCATGTATTTTACACAAAAAAGAACAGTTTCCCAGTTATGGACGCCAGTCTGCTTTTGATGTAGAAAAGTGTATGTCATGCTGGATAAAGCAAAAGATTTTGATATCATTCCTAGCCAATCCATTTCCCGTTGCGACATCTAATGAGTCTACCATTAAATTCCACGAGTCACTCATTACCAGCAATGTGAATGTATAAGTTGCATTGTGTCATTTGAGGTGGCATCTAATACACCATAAACTAATGACCAAGTATTAATGTAAGCTATCAGTATGATGATACAATAATTGAGATGGGAATACCGCTTGCTGATAGTAGTAAAGTTGACAAATATCTCATATCTCACTCCGTGTTTGTCCTTTCATTCTAGTCACTGATCTCATCAAGTATACATATTTGGATATATCTAGTCCAATAACAAGAACTCATATTACCAATGAGGCTTTGTAGCCGTACAGTAACTAGTCATAATTAAGTTCAAGCAGAACCAATTGGTTATGGCAGTGATAATATGTGGCCTTGGCAATCTGTATGTAGAGATTATAAGGAGTAACTCTGCTTCAAGCTCAAATATTACAAAAGTAGCGACCAGGACGATTCAATTCATACCAAGGCTGGCGGCACTGGCGATGGACCTGCCATGAAGATTGTTTGTCGTCCGAATCAGTTACCGCATACTACCAGCATTATCAGGAGCAGCGGCCGAGGGCGGAACTAAACCACATGACGACAACGACACGGGTGATTGAGAAAGTGAACGACAGGCAAGACAATGCATCAATGATGGAGAATGACTGTCAGGCTCATGTTTAAGGTCCCGATCGGGTGGAAGCAACGTTAGCAAGGTGGTTATTCCATTCTCACGACACGCGTACCCCAATTTATGGCTGCCTCGGACAATCCGACAACCAGTAAATGACCAGAACTCGGAAAAGCTCAGAACTACTCAGCTTCAGAAAATAACAGCCTCGGATTCCTGAGCATCAGATTATTGCCATCTCAACAATACCATTTCTTTTTTTTCAGACTTGTCATGTTGACGTTTTGACGCGTACAGGGCGCGCACATATTTCTTCGTGTCGTCGCATGGGATTCGGAGTCACTGCTTTTTCAGCTCTTGGTGTTGGAGCGCAATTCTAACACGTTACGAAGCCATCGTCATGTTTTACAGTCACGAACGTACGTCTACTTGGTAGCTTACAGCTATCTACTCGCACTGACAATTCCCAGTTCTCACAAACCGCCAATATGGCGTGGCTACCATCTGGTGAGTACGAGCAGCGCAAAGGGACACCTCAAGCCCGCTATCATCTTGCTTTCGCAGGCGGAAACCAGGATCAGTAACTAATGTACTGCTTTCAGGCTCGTGGCGACGATAGGCAAAACTAGCGCCAAGCGTGTCAGCAAGAAGGCTATCCAGGATGTCGACGTCGCGCGAGCATGCGACCAGATCCTCGAGCCAGGAGCTCCAATCGCGTTGCGCCTACAAGGAAGTCTACTCTATGGCCTCTCAAAGGTTTATCATCAGAAATGGCACTATTTTGTTTCCGATCTTACGAGTGTCCAAGAGCATATGGCAAAGTTTATGAGACAGTTCGGCACCAATCAGCTTGATCCTGCAGTAACAAGAGCCAGGTAAGTACCTGACATCTATTGCACACTTGATATGTGAGTGCTAAGTTCGTGCTTGCTAGGCCAGAGAACCTCATGATCCATGACGATCCTGACTTCTTTCCCGGCGCTTTTGATTTGCCAGATCTCAGCCAACTACTTGCTACTACGAATCAAGTGGTAAATCAGCACAGCAATAAAACCTCGTCACAGATGTCACCACACTCGTTGTGTTCAGATCGAAACTCTTCGGGCAATGAACAATTCTCCCTCCAGCTGCAACTTCGCGAGTCGAGTGTGAACGGTTCACACGCTCCACGTCACGGACTTGAAGGGCTTTCCTCAGCACAAAAGCCGGCAGCCATGGGCGGCAACGACGACATCTTTGGCGATGACCTCGAAGGTTCAATGGACTTTGGCCTACAAATCGACGAGTTTGGCAACATCATGGAAGCTCCCGAACCAAGAGTTGCAGTTGTCGACGAGCCCGACCTGCCACCATTGCCAACTATCGAGAGCCTGGAAGGTGCACGTCAACCTGAGCAACCGCAGATTGACGCGCAGGGTGGATTTTTCATGATGGATGAGCAGCCACTCCCAGATGCTGAAGCATTGCCTGGTCGCCGAGGCGAAGCCAATCCAGAAGCCATTACTGCCGAAGAAGAAAGTGCGCACGCCGCCCCTGCCCGACGTCAGTACAAGCGCAAGGTCATCCATGCAGACGAAGAGATGGAAATACCCAGAGCAGTTATGAGAAATTGGCAAACACAATACCTTACCAATTGTTGCACGGAGAAGGCACAGCCGGTCACCACTGCACAGGCTCAGAAGAACGCAATTCATTTGACATTCGGACTAGGGATTGGCAATATCGGACAGAGCCTTGGTATTCCTGGCATAATTCATCCCCTCGCTCAAGTTTTCTCTGGTGACTCTTTATTCACTGCTTATACTGGGCTCCAAGTGTTGGACAAGGCCAGCCGAAAGCGAACACGATCAGCAACCGAGTCCAGTAAGAATAATGCGGAGGAGCGGCGAGTTCGACCTAGAATTGAAGAAAAAGAAGGCGAGCAGCAAGGACGAGGTCTCGAAACGAATGACATGTTCGACTTTGGCGCACAGCAGAGTCCTCCAGAAATTGGTCGAGAGGCCCTGTCAGCACTGGATGACAATCCTTCTTCCGCCATGCCTTGGAACAACCGCGGCTCATCACTCATGCCGGGTTCGTCAATCCAAAAGGGTGGCTCAGTCCGGCTTGGTCGCGAGCAATCTAGTCCGCTGGGTAGGCGTGGCGTTGTTCAAGACATAGTCCGCTACAGCTCAGATGCGGATATGGGAGGCATGGATTTCGGAGACGCTGCCATGCACTCGGGCGACTCTTCCTTCGACGGCATGCCGCTTCCTGCTGGCCTACCCGAGAACGAGGGCCCCGCACAACAAACGGACACGCAAGCCGAAAACCAGTACTCACGCGAGGCCCTGGATCGTGAGGGCAAGAATTTCCTGGGCTTCATCGAGCAGACGCTTCGCGAAAACGGCGAACGCCGCCACGACGAAGATTTCGAACGACAGCGCAAGTGGATCGCCTTCGATGATGTTTTCGTGCCCAGGGACACAAATCGCGCAACCGCTGCACAAGCCTTCTATCATGTCCTGACGCTGGTTACCAAGGGTCAGATGGTCGTGGAGCAGGATAATGTGGGCAAGGAACCATTTGGAGGCATTCATGTCGGCCTCAAGCTGCCTCCCGGCGCTTAGGAAAACCGACTGCAGAAGGATCCAATGACTTGAGACGGATGGGGTTTGTATTTCTGCTTTGTTCATCGATTGCAAACAGGCTAACATGTATCATTTCCTGCTCCTTACTCCTTTACCGCATCATTAAAGAACAAGGAATCGTGGCGTTCGGGGAGGAAGGTAAATTCAAGCCCGAGCATCAATTGCCTGTTGAAAACCCAGTCTTAACGGTTGATCAAGTACGATGACACGGAATTTAAGGGTATTCCTGAAACTTAGCTGAATGGTTGAGGATCACATATTCCGAACACGGGATATCTATGGGCTAGAAAGGGCAGAGATATCACCAGAAATACGTGCATGACGGAGTGTGGATACTCGTATACAGACGCAGCCGGGCATCAGCGCCGTTACTCATGAATTGTATGCATTGTGATACACCCTGAATGGCAACCCGAAACAGTCTCCTCACTCGTATATGTCGTCATCCTGAGCATCTGCGCCTTCTCGGTCCTCGAAAACCATATACTCGTCCTCTTGTGCCTTGTCCCCCATGGCTACCTTCCAAGCCTCCAGAACCGTATCGAGGCTGGTGTCGTCCAGAGCAAGATCGACAGGAAGTGACGGAAACGAAAATTTTGGTACTGAGCCGATAGTATCCGTTGAAGCTGCTTGAGCACTGCCCTGCTGCTCGTAGTAGAGCTTGTATAGACTAACAGGTGCTTGTTCATCAGCGGACGAAGAGTGAAGAAGAAGTCCGAGGGCCTTTTCTAGTATATCCTTGGATGTAGGGGAAGCCAGTGTTGTGAGATATATGGTACCTATTGCGAAGTGTTGGTTAGCATCAAAACCAGTGTCTCTGCTACCACTTCATCGGTGCGGTCGAAATGGTGTATGTCGGTCTATTAGAGATTGTCCTCATCAAAGCATAACTCGGGCAGTGTAGATAAGAACTCGTTAAATACATCATCCTAACACCAAGTGGCTTGAGGTAAGGTCGTGAAAGGATGACTTACTTTGACCATGGGGGCATTCGCCTGTATCGCTGGAGTGCACCATAGCATAAACGGGGTTGTTGGTCGCGGACTCGGGAGAGTTTATTGCAGTGGTGGGGAAAGCGACCACGGCCACAGCAGGCGTTGGAGAACCTTCTACTACCACCTCGAACAAATGTTTGAGGGGTGACTTGACGACAGCGACGAGCCTGCTGATGCCTTGTCTGTCAGATTTAGTATCTGGAGATGAGAAGATCGAACAGGCTTGGACAGAGATATCATTCGAAAGATCAAGCGTGACTTTGTCTTGCTCCTTGGCTGTACTAATTTTCATGCCAGTTTCGAGCATGTAGATACCGCCACCTACAGCTCCGGCACGACAAGCAACTTGGGCAACTTCCGAAAGACCTCCCCACTTTGGGTAGACAGCACAGAAACCAGGCCCAAAGAGACCCGTAGAGGTCAAGTGGCGACTGAGAGTAGATAGTCCGTCCTTGACGGTGATCTTACCATCTAATGTCAATGTCAGTGCGAGAATGTGGTTGCGTAGAGTATCATCAAGCTTGTATTGGCTAGTCAAGAAGTCGGAAAGGGGCGAATCGGCATGTGGTTGCCAGGATTCTTTTTGCTCATCGGAGTCGTAGTCCATCACAAACTTTAAGAACTTCATCAGGGCTCGCTTAGACTTGGCGGAAATAGACGACTCTGCGAACACATCTTCACGGCTGCTGGGGATGCGGGAGAGTCTTGCGGGCGAGGCATCCTTGGATGGCTCATATACGAAAAAAGAGCCAACTGCTAAGAATTCCACCTGCCGAAAAGCCTTGGACGATACCAGCTGCGACAACAACTTGGATTTGGTATGAATGATCTGCGGAGCCAGAGCAAGCGAGTATGCTCGAGGAAAGGCCAGTCCGTTGGCTTCAGCCTCGGGATGTTTCCACGTTGTGGCATTCCGGAAAACTCCACCACTAGGCTTTGCTTCGGCATGAGCACTTGCGAAGCGGTCCGCTTCCTGCAGAGTCAGGGCAGCCTCATGTTGGCCGTAGTAGTCATTGGGATCAAGATGCAAAATGCGCTTGTCGGATCTCGATAGAGCTCTTCAACGCAGGTCACAGCTAAGTCAGTCAGATTGATTTTCACGGTGTACTTGCGATGATCGTGAAGCTTACAGTGCAAGAAGTGATTGCTGCAGACCTGTACCGCAGATCACCACGTCCCAGGGCTCATCGCCAAGAGATTCCATGATGTCGATGATTGCTCAGATCTGGCCAGAAGAAGCACAAGGTTCGCCTGCTGATGAGGCGGAAAATCAAGTGTTTCCACCTACGCTGCAACGGATGGGACACCATCCTCAGTACGGAGTATGTCCCACGCTAACTTAGGGAGGCTGCCGAAGCCCGGAACAACCTGGCGCCGCGTACACCCCACCAGCCCAGTGCACTGAAATGCACCGACCGAAACGCACTGAAGTTTTCTTCTTCTTTTTCTTCTCTCAACCAACCGCTCAACAACTCCAGTTTTCTGCTGCTTTACACAACAGTATCGCTGGATCGAGCGCCTTTCATTAGGCTGCTCGCGATGGGCGGCAGAGCGAATCGTCGTCCCGTATCTACTGTCCTGGATTCATTCACCTGATAGGATAGTTCGAAGGGTTGATACATGCTTTTGCCTCGTGACAAGTGACTGTTTTCTAGGAGGAAGGCCCAGGTTTTTCCCATGATGGTTCAAACTTGCAATTCTTCTCGATCTTGTCTTGTCGTTGCCGACCTGGCTACGCTATGTGAGGTGAATTCTTTCATCGTCCCATGATCCCCCGAAACTAGGTGCATAAAAAAACTACATTCCAATTCGGCCGCGTCTTTCCATGTACCACCGATACCCTTCACGTCACACCACACGCGTGGCTGACTGCGCGTATTGATTGACCCTGATGTACTCTTGTTGGCTCATATCACTATGCAACCAGCACCAGTTGTTGTCCGTTCCTTGCACGCTCGCGTTGATCCATACGGCCCCCATGCAGGCGCTGGACTGGGCACAAGATGCGACGCAGTCATCCATGGAGTATGCTGTGTGATGCGAAATATCTGAGCCGTCGTGAGCTATGCCGCATTCGCGTTTGAACTGCACCTTGGTGCTTGGATCAGTGTATGTCGTACCGTTGGCATTGGGACAGGACGGCATGCCGCTCAACGTCGGGGTCGGCACGACGCTAGCTGTTGCAGTCGAGGGATCTGACGTTGCTGTCGGCAACGGAGAGCTTGTTGAGCTGTGAGGATGTCAGCGTTCCCGCGCGATCTAGAAGAGAATCATCTCTGATTTCTGCTCACCTGGCATCTGCGTGAGCATCGCCATGAGTTTTCAACGTCAGGCCAAGGACAACACCCAGGACGGTGGCCACGACCAGCAGCACGGCACATAGGATAATCCAACAAAATGTCCTCCTCCGCAAGCCCCATATCTTTTGTGTTCCGAATAGGCGGCTGAAGATCCTTCCCCTCTGTGCCAAGGGGATCTTTTCGGCTGATGCCGGCTGTACAACCTCCAGACCTGGCTCTGGCGGATGCCACTCGGGAGCTGCTGACTGTAATATGGTTGTGTTAGTCGACATTGCAATATTTGTGAGGTTGAGAAGAAAGGAATGCAAAACATGCCCGAATCGTCAATAAATAACGCCTATGTCTCACATTTACTATACCATTACCACTCGAAACAAAGAGACAATACATGGCAGCACTCACCACGCTTCGTCTACACGGGAACAAGCGAATGATGTGGATGTTACAGTGAGAAATTTACCGACCTGGTCTCCAGGCGTTGACACGCCATCTGGATATCGTGCCTCGAGGCCCGGTTCTGGAGGGTGCCATTCCGGTAATATGGATGATTTTCCCAATGTCGTGCCGTCACCGAGTGTTGATCCGCCCCAGCTTGAGAACTCTCCTTCTCTTCGGAAACGGCCCTTGAAGTGTCTCCAATTATTGCCTCCCGGGAAGGAGACACTGTCGGCCTCTCTTACATGCCCTTTCTCTGTGCAGTCCCAGCAAATAGGGACACTGGTGTCATGAGTATGGCGGCATGTAGATGATGTGATTTGTCGTGTCTCTGGATGTCGTTTCGTTTTCTTGTTCTTCCCGTGCTTACTCTTGCCCTTCATGATGTTAGTACTGACGGAGTCGTTGCTATTCTCCATCTTCCCTGGGTATCAGAAATAATTCATAGATATCGTCCAATGAAGAGTCTCAGAGTTACAAAATGCTACTGGAGATGGTCGTGAGACCCAATGTGTGTAGAAGCTGAAACATTTCAAATAATAGAAAGGGCAGAGAAAACATTAATTTCTCGCCCTTTCTTGTGGAACATATGGGGCTGGCCTGTGCAAACTCCCTTGGCCTACAAGATATATGTTCAGCTACGGCTATCCAATAGGATAATCGGATGCAAGGGATGGCTGTAAGCCACATTGCACTGAGGGCCAATTTGGGTTGCATTGGGGCCATATTGGGGCCAATTTGAGGTCAATTTGGGGCTGAAGTGCCTGGTGTCATTCGTTTGCATTAAGATCCTTGTTGTACTGAGGCAGCTCGTCCTCCTGAAGAGTACAGTACTATGACTAAAAACAGCTTGGTGGCGGTTCTCTGGGAATGCAGATACGGATGGGGTCAAAGGCAATCAGGACAGCAACAAGTCTTCTATCAGAACAATGGTATACAATCCGGAGCCGAGATGGCCACTGCCTCCGTTCTGAGTACGTTTTGAATTTTGCTGTACCGACACAGTCCTCGTTTCTTGCTTTCTTTTCTCCTTCAGGCTGTGTTTTCAGAACATCAATATCCTTTTTAAGCTCGAATCAGTAGAGATCGCCTCGACCAGTCATTGCATTCGCTCCGGATTTGCCATTTCCGGGAAAGTGAGCCTGGAAGACAGTTGACTGCCTAGCTACAGCAGGTTCTTCGACGACTCCTGGAACTCTCCTTGCTTCTGTTGAGCTTGACTGTCGAATTTGGTAGTATACTGCATCCTTTGGCTGGTTGGTCGACAGGGCCGAACTCCCACAGCACCGGGTCTGTAGGGACTTCGGTATTATCCCATCCGATCTCGATGAGTAGGCCTCTGACTTTTGAGGCTCTTGTGATTTCACTTGGTAGCCTTTTGCATATCCTCCCATCTTAACTCAGCTATTGCAACCATGTCGCCCATGACTTCAGGACCAACGACAATGCCGCCGCTCTTGGATAATCCCAATATCTTGGTTTCGCCATCCGTGCGATCTACAACAACGGTAACACTCTCATCGCACAGACTCTCCTCCAGTCTGTCTGGATCCACGAGAGTCCAGTACTTGCCGCCACCCTTCTTTTGCTTCTCCTTTGCTGTGAAGATTGCTGCGGTAGTGGCCACCGGGAAGCCATGCAAGCTCAGTGGCGATTTCTTCTGCCTGCACAGTACCATTTCTCGGTCGGGGTCCCAGTATGCCTCGGGGAGCCTCGTGTCTCTCAGGGCTGCTAGAATGGCTGCCCAGGCGGCATCGAATGGGTTGCCGTCAAATGAGACGAACAGAACATCAATGTATAAGACCCAGTATGCCTTGACGACAGCTTTTTCGCCTGCCTCCAATTCTTCGGGTGCACCCCCTTCCATGGCTTCGCCCGTCTCCTCACTGTTGCTGACCTCGGAATTGACATGCTGGTGGATGCGCAGTTGCGAAACGTCTAGGAGCTTGGAGCTATGGAGCAATGAGTAGACACGTGTACTCAGAGTCTGTGCAAGGGTTGTAGGCGGTACGCCCGGCAGGAAGTTGGGCGCGCATCCTGTTGCCAACTCGATGTTGGGGACCAGTAAGTCATAGTCCTTGGCCTCGTTCAGGTTTGCATCAGTCAAGTCGTCTGGGGCACGATAATTCGGAATAGCAGAGGTGAGCAAGGTCTCGCCACGTACGCCGCATATTACTGTGGTATCGCCAGTGCGTACGACTGCACTTCCATGGGCATGCGATAGAGAAGAAGTGTTGATATAGGGCTGTCGGGCTTGTTTTGGCTGGCGGCCATTTGTACGAATAGACGTGCCTGAGGGAGGTTGAAGGTTGGCAAGCAGGAATGGGTGGGGGGAAAGCTTAGCGAATGTGGCGCTCGAGAGCGTCAATGATTCAGTCGAAGCCATTCCGTGGTTCCAATGTTGCTGCGAGGAGGTGTCGCAACAGAGATTCGTCAAAGAAGCCGAAGCTCAAAAATATTCAGCCCCGGAGCTTGAAACTCGAAATTTGCGATGGGTTTGTTCAGCCTTTCCGACTGCCACTAACTTACGCGGGGTCCATGTCCATGTCCATGTTCGCGGGGCTGCAGTTAGTACTAGCACTTGCCTTAGAACGTCACCCGTCCAACCGGGTACACCTATCCGTAGTACTATTAATGCTGCAAGGCTCTACTGAAACTTAGCTTCTTACATAATTATGTCTGTTGAGCTCCTATGCAACTTGCGGAATCCTGTGCGACCATAGTTGTAGTGGACAGCTTTCATCGAGCATTACCATCGCCACACATGCTCTTTCCTTGGCCTCATCCCGCCCTTACATTTCTTCTGTCCCATCAGAACGAGAAGCCGCTTCTCCTCATGTGTGACGTGTGACTGGAAGGAATGCCATTGTTGCCAATCAACATGGAAACCAAATTATTTGGTGGACAACGTTGTGAGATCCCTGAGGCATCTTGTACGATCAAAGAATTTTCTTGTTCGACTTCCAAGTCATGCATGGCAAACGCCAAAATCTGTTGTATTAACCCAGTAAGATTTATCACCAATTTCCTCTTCGGGAACGATCGAAAAGCGTCTCCCCAGCCCGAGACCCAAGGAATGGTGTTTGTACAAACCATAGTAGCCACCCGGTCAAAGCGGGCCGGGTCCGTTGCAGTCAGGCCCGTTCATCACTAGGAATACCAACAACAGAGGACTAGCAAGATTGCTTGCTTGCTTGCTTGCTTCCAGTTGGGCCCCATCACACCTTTCTCAGGTCACGAATGCAAAGATCTATCAGAATTGCTAGATTCGGCCTGCAACTGGAGGAGACGGCGATACGAGCGGAGGTCAAATGTAACGCAGCATCAGCATCGTTTCTTGTCATTGGCTGTAATTTTACCAACAGTTTGGAACGCATATATTGCATTGAATAGCACAATGCCTAACCGTCCGACAAAGTAGACGGCAATATCGGTTGTAATTCAAAAAAGTGATGAGCACCCACTGACCCTTCCGAAAGCAACAAATGTGCCATCTAGTTCGTCAGGAACAGGAAGCAACACTATCTGACGGGGGGGCTCCATGCTGAATGCAGTGTGAAAGACGCACAGAGGTGGAGCTTCTAGCATGTGTGAGCTTCGGCCAATTATAGCTGTTGTGTTGCCGCCGGCCTGCGACCCACCGAATCGGCCACTGACAAGCTCCCGATCGAGTCGTCGAATCCCATTGCAACCTCTCACCATACCAAGCTTCAGCCAATATGTTCCCTCGTGAAAATCACGGGAGCCACCGTACTGCCAACTTTCATTTGATGATGCCCATCAATCCCCAAATTGGTCACCTCCCACTAGTTACCAGGGGCACCTAAATCATCAAACAGTGGACTTGGAGACCCTGACTCTTGCACGTTGTTGGTTCCTTAGCCATCGACTCAAACAAGATTGCTCCGAGAGGATGCGTACCTGCTGGCAATGCTTCATCACTGCATACAGTACAATGCCACCTAGACTAGTAGAAGGATCTGCCGACTTCACCGTTGCAGTGTGACCTGGCGTACGGCGCAGTGACCAAGAACAGACTTCTAGTCTAGGGTGAGCACTTTGCTTGAGCTCGCACACCCTGGCAACTTGACGGCATAGATTGTCTTGCTTCTCTTCACAGTCCGTCAAGCGCCTCGTCTGTCTATCGACACATAGCGACCCACCGACTAGTGGTAACTCAAATCTGCATTGCGTGGACTCGCAGAACAAATCTCGGAACCCCTGTTAAGATGCCGATGCCTCCCGCCTCCTAGACCTCTGTGATCACGGCCCGCCAAGGGTGCCGCGCGCAGCTCACCTCAAGCGCCCTGTCATATCTTGCATACGCCCACCTGTTCGGTGCGACCTGCAGTCTGCGGGGAACGACCACCTTTCATGACCAGCCAATATTAAAGTGCGGTCAGCCGCTGGGCCTTGTGTGCCATCCTAGTTGCCAATTCACAGTGACTTGCCGGGCCTTTAGTTCACACCAGGCTTACCTTGTTCCTGGTCGGCCAACCGACCTGGTGTTGAGCTTGACTTACTAAACCTCGTCGACACGCCGTTCTAATTTCGCATGATCTCAAAATTGCGATCGAATCACTTTTGGCGTGCGCAGTTGAGCGTCATCAGATTGCCCACTCTATACTGCACAAAAGCTTCTTTACAAGTGGATCCAGTCTTTGGTTTGTGGCTTTAAGTTAGCATTCACCTATAGCCGGCCATCCTCTGTCGAACGATCATTTGTCGCGTCATCTTACGCGTCGTCATCCTCAACATTGTTCAGCAGAATCTCATGTTGATCAATGAAGGGGGCGAGGTGCCATTCCTCATCGAATATCATAAAGCTTATGTCTGCTTTGCCGGCCACTACGATACATATATGGACTATTTACAGCAACTGAATCGGTAATCAGACATCAAAAATACAAACCATTTCAAGTGGGCTTGAATCACAGAAGATATCAACAGAAGCATACTGCGAGCTTTTCAATACTGCAACTAGCGACACTCTACTTATATGCTTCTGTCGAAATGCCCCGAACGTAGATGCGCTCCGGTCAGAGTTGTATCGGTGAAAAACACGGTGTCTCAGCAGAACCACAAACTCTATTAAAATGGCGACAGAGGTCCGAACACTTATAGATGGGGCGACTAGGACACTTTCGCAGCTCGCGAAAAGGATACACATACCACTAACCGCAACAAGTCCGCCGGGTTTGGTAGAAGCTCTCACCGTGGACCCGTGGGACCAATCTGGCAAGTATGCCCTCGGGTGGACTTATTTCTCGTTGGCGTTGATGGGATGTGTTCTTTTTGTGAGAATATGGCATTGGTGGCAAGACAAAATTCGACAGGCGATCTATAAGCAAGAGGTGGACAGACATTATGAACATATGTATAGCATGGATCCAGGCTTTGCGCACACTGCTATGCAGACTGGCCAGACCGGACAACATTTCTTCCCAGAGACAAGCGAGGAGAAGCGAGACTTCAAACCGAAAACCGATTTTTCTTCTATAGGACCTGTGCTCGACGCGCTTGCCTTATTTAGATGGGTGTTTTACCGTCCTCTTCCGGACTTGGTGTGGCGGAAATATCGGCTAACTTTTTCGTCGCTTTCCGTGCTGGCGATTGGCTTCATTGCCCTGGCGTTCGTCACGCTTTACACATTCTTACTACAGCCTCTCTACTGGCAAAGCATTCAATATGGGTCGCCACCCGTCGCAATTCGGGCGGGGATGATAGCGGTGGCAATGACTCCCTGGATTGTCGCTACGAGCATGAAAGCCAACATTCTCACCTGGATAACAGGCATTGGGCCAGAAAGGCTGAATGTACTTCACCGATGGGCCGGATATCTGTGTCTCTTCTTATCGCTAGTGCACACAGTGCCGTTCTATGTCCAGCCAGTCTGGGATGATGGTGGCATGACCACGTTCTCACGTTTATTCCCTGAAGGAAGTGGCGTCATATATGGAACAGGTATTGCTTGCCTTGTTCCGCTTATATGGTTGTGCGTTGGTTCTTTGCCGTTCATTCGAAGGATAGCCTTTGAGGTCTTTGTCATGTTACACGTTCCGGTAGGTGCCGTTTACTTGGGCGTCTTGTTTTGGCACACGAAGAACTACCTTGCCTCCTGGGACTATCTCTACGCTTCGGTCGCCATTTGGGTGCTTTGCTACCTTGTGCGATTTTCAAAGCTCAACTGGACGAAACCGTGGCGCTTGTCATTCATGGTAGGCGACGAAGCAGCCATTACTTTAATGACAGAGAACGCCATCAAAGTAACAGTTCCAACCCAGATGAAATGGAAACCTGGGCAATATGTGTATCTTCGCATGCCAGGTATCTCCTTCTTTGACAATCACCCGTTTACCATATCATCACTTTGCAGCGACGATTTCCCATCCGAATATGGCGAGCAATTTCGGGATTGTGTTCTCGTGTTCAGACCATATGGTGGTTTCACCCGGAGGGTACTTGATACAGCAATCGAGAAAGGGCCATTCCATACATACCGAGCTTACCTCGACGGCCCTTATGGGGGCATGCGCCGGGAACTGGCCGCTTTCGACACCTGCATTTTGATAGCAGGGGGAAGCGGTATCACATCGCTAATGTCGCAATTATTGAACCTCATCAAACGCATGAGAGATGGCAAGGCCGTTACGAAGAAAGTTGTGGTTATATGGGCTCTTAAGCGTCTGGAAGCAATGGACTGGTTCCGCGAAGAGTTGAGGATCTGTCGTGAATCAGCTCCTCCAGAAAGCGTCACCTGCAAATTTTTTGTTACATCAGCTGTGAGGAATAGACAAATGGGTCCTGGTCAAAATCGGGCGCCAGGCCATTTGAGCCATCAGTTCCACGACAAGCTCGATGGATTTGTCGCCGGCATAGCCTCGAAACGCAACTCCCAGTATATCCGGGATGAGGCACATGGTAACCCTGATTATGAGGAGGAACTACGAGCCGAAGATGAAGACAGGATTACTGCCCTCCCGCCTCAGCAGTACTTACAGCCACATTACCTGCCGCCTCAGCGATCGATACCAGCGAATCGCGAGTCCGCGCAAGAAGAGTCCTTGGCAAGGCTTGAGGGTAGAGATGGTGAAGATCTTGATGGCTGCGATGCCCCACCTCCAGCGCCATCATCAGAATATCCTGAAGACAAGCCAAAGAGTGACTTCCATTTCCCCCCTCTCCAGACGCGTCCAGACTTGAAGCCTCACTTCAACTTTGCACCACCAACTCCACACAATTTTGATCCCTCAGCTACCCACACGCCGGAGGCGCGCTCTGTACAACCATCGCAAGATCTGCCCGGTCCACCTGAGTTAGCTCACCTCCGAACCACGAATTTACCTAATCAGGGTCCTCGGCCAACTTCGACTTTCGGCCCCCCCTCTGGCTTTGACTTTGGCTTCCCCGGAACACCCACGGAGTTTCAGAAATCTCTCATGCGGTTCGCTTTCCCAGTGCCCCACCAGATTGATGGTGGCTGGAGCGTGGAGTACGGCAGGCCGGATCTGGGCTACATGCTCAAAGAGTGGGCGACGGGCGGCGCTGACGGTCGTGGCATCCTTGGTCGTAGGACAGCCGTGTTCGTCTGCGGTCCGCCCAGTATGCGTGTCGGTGTCGCTAATACAGTGGCCCGGTTGCAGGCAGAGATCTGGGGTGACGACCTACTCGAGGAGATATTCTTACACACGGAGAACTATGCTCTTTGAGGAAAGTGATACCCGGCCTTCATCGCCTTGATGCCTATTGGCGAGCCTCAATTGTATAAACAACAGCACCGCCGTCTGAATGCAAACTTAGATCGTCTGCAGCAGGGCGGCTGAGCGATGAACATCGGCGTTGGTTTTTGTGTTCGAGATACCAATTATTAAACAGAACGGGGCTCAGAAGGGAGCTCCAGGGTGTGTACCATAAGACATAGTTTTCTTTGCAGTCCGCTATATACCGATGAAGGTGGGTATATATCACCTCCCAGGGTACATATTAATGAACGATAATGACAACTTATATTGGTAGCGTTAATGCCGTTGTTGCTTTGTCGTCTTCGGGCTGCGAGTTTAGACTAGTAGCGGGTTCGCAAACCTTTCCAAGGCAGTCAGTCCAATTATGACTTCCTTGGGTAACATCCGATACGCATATGTGATACTCAGTCAGTCGGAACCCCCAATTCAAAGCACTTCCCAAAGTGCTAGGGCGTTTTACTGTATACCCCCTTTCTACAAAGCGGCCCAACCGGATCTCAAACACAGCCAGCTAGCTATACCTACCGTACGGCAAGACCTCCACTCGTTCCCGACCCGACTATACGATCATCAAGGCCGATCATTGAACTTGAGACTCCGTAACGTTTCCAGCGTCAACAACAGCAACCACGGTGAGATGGCCGAGTTGGTTATGGCGCCAGGTTAAGGTCAACCTTAACACCTACTTCCTGGTACGGAAACGTGCGTGGGTTCAAGTCCCACTCTCATCATCGCTTCCCCCAGATTCAGTCTGGGAACTTCTCTTTTTGCAACCCGCTTTGCCGTTCATTGTCGAAAGAATTGGTAACTTCATTTGTTCATTCATTCGTGCCTCGTCCTCGTCGTTGTCCGTAGCACTTTATCGCGGGCAACTTTTGGCACAAAAGGGTGTTGGGGGGACTTGGCAGCGGGCTCTGTAGCGATCATCAGAACACAAAAGTTTTTGGTGGCATGAGGGAAGACTAAAATATCCGTTGGAGAAACGCTAAATAAAGCACGATGGCATTGAGCCTTTGTTGCGTTGCACATTATCTCATAGTAATACAGGATATCATGATGGCAGAAATATCGGCCTCTCAAGAAGCGGCAGACCGCTACTAGCTACGCCATTTTTGCGCCGCTGCCCCTACCAAGCTTTATGAAATAAAAAGATAATAAGCATGTGGGAGAACTGGGATGCGCCAAACGTCCTGGGAGCAAGAGTGCCGTGCTTCCCAGAATAACATATAGTCCTTTCTCTCGACCCTCTAAGCAAAAAGCGACAGTGCGTATCGTTATTTGGTGAAAATTCATCGAGCCCCTGGACAAGAAAACAAGAGCAGATAACACCAGATGACAGGTAACAAGAAAAATGAAATATCAGGGAAAATGATAAAGTCGCCAACGCCGTTAAATCACATGAGCCGTGAGGCTTTCCCGCTCTTGTGCAGCCGTGAGGCCCGATCAATCTTTGGTAGTACTAGTGGTGGTGAGGCGATCTGAGTAAACCAGATCTGTTCCCAGCTGGAGAAACCAGTTCTTGGTGGTTTTATAAGTATGAAACGTCCGGGAAGCGGTGAGCTTCGGTTTGGATGTAGGTTTCGCTCCTTGGGCAGTGCTGTCATATCCTGCCGTTAGTCGAGAAAAAAAAAACATCTTCCAGGGACGTCGCATTTGTGGTCGTGTGACCCATCTGATCTAATCTTTCGTCTCACGGTGACGAAGTTCCGCTCGTTCCTGATTCTCTGACAGTGCGCAAGCTTCAATGGTGAACCACGCGGCTCGAAGTCTCCCAAAGCCTGGCGCACGATTGTGTCACCATCCCTACATCTTCGATTCCTCCAGTTTAGTGTCGATGTCTCCTTCCCGATGAGGTTCCCTCCTGTCGTTGTGAATGACTGTGGCCATGGCGGTGTTGGTGATGATGCCCGTCGCGATGCCGCGACGAACTCGAATGTTCCAGCTCGCGATCCAGTTCCTCTACGCGTTGGCGATATCCTCTCACAATGTCTCGTATGTGCCGTATACGGTCGAAGTCCAGCTCCAACTCTTCGATCTGCTGTATCAGGTCCGTGAAGCGTGCGATCTCGGCATCGGCGTTGTCGATGATGTTGCCTGCCCGATCATATTGCTGCATTGTAACTATCTGACTCTGCTCACTCAGATAGTCGATGCGCTGCGAGATCTGCTGCATCAACCGGTGCAGATGCGAAGACAAGGCAGCCAGACTTGCGCCATCGAGAAGCAACCGGCCTTGGGAAGATGCACGGCTCGCCGCTCGTGAAGACGAGGATCCGGCCGCTTGCGTCTGGTGATAGCGGAGAAGCTGTATCTCATCTTCCGTTAGACCCAATTGTGTGTCCGGGACCGTGTTCGTCTCGGTCGATGGCATGGCGCTGCCGGGTAATTGTACGTCGTGCGCGGCGCCCGCAACGGATGACACCTGCTAGCTACCTTGGACTACAGAGCAACCTTTGTGCAGAGTCGGCGGTAGCAGTACAGGGGGTGGTGGTTCGGCGGCGGCGAGCCGAGGAGGGACAAGCGTGCGGGTTGCAATGTCGTCTTGTTGTCGTGAGAAGGCGGCTGGGACAGCTCTTGGTCAAGCGTCGAATCTCGCAACGGTCCGGCCTCATTGTCTCGAGATGTGGTTTGTAAAGCTCATTGCAGTGTTTTCGTGGCAGACTCGGAGGAGCTAGGCACCACCTGGTTGTTGTGCAAGTAAGACTGCGCCGGCTATCACTTCCTCGATGAAGATAAATATATCGGTAGGAAGGATGGGGGGGCGGGCAGGATGGGCGGCAAGACACAAGTGACGACGTTTGCTCGTTCGGCGTGGGCGATTCGGGATGGTAAGTCGGTGATACAAGCGCGGTTGTAGAGCACACCCACACACACATACGGTCTCGGTCTCAGTCTTGGTCTCAGTCTCAGTTGTTCCTACCACTTGCTCACACCTCCAGTATCACAATATAAGTGTGTCCCAACTCAATTCAGAGGTTGCGCCGGCGCCTGTAGCTAGAAACAATTGCTTCTTTTGCGGTTGGACGCATTAGCTAGCAGTAATGAAGAACTAAAGAAATGCTAGTTCATGCGCCTGCTGGCTGACAAGCATGGATCTGCTCGGCTTCGTGGCGCTGTTACGGTACTCCGTTTGTATGGCTGGTAATCATGTGCTGTGCTGTGGTGACCAGGGGACAATGCCTTTTTCCTGCACTGAGTGTCGTCCCGGTAAACCGCGGGATTTATATGTGATTGCGATAAATCTAGGTCTTATTCAAAGACAAGCCACCAACTGGTATTATACCGACTGTAAGACGCCACAGGGACGGGGTGGTGTCGCGTTGACTCAAGTATCCAAGAACTGATCAGTTGGATTTGCTGTGTTTGCTTTGCTTTGCTATGCCCTGAACGCTTCCGGGAATCTCAATCAGACGAAACAAGTGGGAAAAAAGCAATAGTCGTAAAGCTACTAATTGCTCTTGAAGAAGAATGAAATCCATCTACTTCAACTTGGGGGTGATTGACGACCCGGAAATCTTCAGTGTGGCCCACTCGGGCTGCCTGTGGCTCTTCACCCCGGCGTATCGCGGGCGTCAAAACGTCCCTTGCAATCACATCACGGCACTTTTGCGATGAACTTGAAGGTTCGCTGTTAATGCAGCGAGACCTATCTCACTCTTCAATCGAAAGATACAAGGTGACCCGGGTAAGAGGCTCTCCCAGATAGCATATACTCCCAGGAACATCTCGACTGACTAGGTGTTCTCACGATTAACGATGCAGAGACCGACTGATCTTGTCGCACTTCATCCCGGCACTGGACCCCTGTCGAGCGCAGTTCGGGGTCCTGAAGGTTGATTGGGGGAAGCTCGCTGAGGCGCTTCTTAGGTGCATCTGGCGTTCCATCGGGACGGTTTGAGTTTGAGATCGGCGAGCAGCTGCCTCGTTCTTCTCACAGCTGTCAGCCCCAGGCTCATACAAGCTACCCCATAGAAATATTCACGAAGTCAGTCGTATAATCTCAAACATGTTCAGTCCAATTGTTGTGATTCATCTTGTTCCACATTAGACTGTTGGCTTTCTGTGTGAAGCACTTCCTGAATTCAGTAGCTGTTCAGTTTATTCTTGTCAAAACAGTGGAAGACAACTAGGAATTCATTATAACCTCTGTAAACTTTTGTTTGTATCCCTTACTCACACAATTGAGTACCACAGCAAATAAGATTTGCCATCCGTATAGGTCGACCGTATAAAATACAATTCACTTGCTTTCTTCTTTTTCTTTCTTTCTTTCTACTAATCACCTCATACAATAAATCGATATGTAACTACGTAGCGCGAAATGGAACAGCATACAAATGGTTCGTCATTGACTGAGCGGTGCCTGATAGAGATGCGGAGCAGGATCTTCCGACTTGACATCGAGTGGCGAGCAACAAGACCTATCAGCTTTATACCCTGTTCCCCCGAGCGATCACATTACTCGCAACCAGATAGTATTCGTGCTGATACGTATGATGTTTTTGGAACCATGTGTCACAGACCATAACCTGAATTCATCTATTCGATCTTGCAGATTCAGTTTACCCTGCATGCCAACGAGCATAAGGGCAGCCCTCAATGTTCTTGGCTAATGATGTAGAAACATGAGAATATGACGTTCACTTGCTTCTGGACTACTTGATCCGTGGGAACTACAGTATAGATCATTTCCGAGGTCGGAATCATATCGGTTGGCGGCTCGAATATCCTATATGCAACGAGCCTAGGCATGCGGAGAAGGTACTAGATGGAAGTATAAATAGGACTGTACATATACGGGATGGTGCTTGATACAGACATCTCGTGAGATCCTCGGGATTTCGCAGTCTTCCTGGACTTAGAGTAATCTTGTAGCGATGTTGTCACGACTAATTCTCGTAGCCCTTGGCCTGATCTCTTTGGCAAGAGGCACTATTTTGCAGAATGGCCAAGTCAGGCTCACCGATTTTCCGATGACCAAGATTGACGCATCCTCATACTCCTTCCAGACCTTCAGCGCCACTGCGCCGGAGCTCTCGTACAAGGGAAGATGGGATTCTAGGAAGATTTCCTGGTGGTCGTATGTGCTCAACACACTGACACCGGTTTCACTATACTGATAATATACAGCGCTTCAGGACTAGTGTTCGGATTCAGCGGAGACACAGTTGCGGTAACGTTTGGCGATGCTACTATAAATGGCACTCTCGTCGGTTACAGGCTTTCCGGCATGGACTGGCAATTCACCAACGTCACAGCGGGTGGTACACATCTGCTAGTCACCAATGAGACGGCTGGAATTGACCAGACCAGTCCGATCAGTCCTCACACGTTCGAATTGCGAGTAAGCAATTGGGGTTACGGTGTTCAGATTGACAAGGTTCACGTTGCTGCCAACGGGAGTTTGATCAGTGTCCCCAATCATGGGCGAGCGATTGAATTCATCGGCGATTCCCTCTCAGCTGGCATGTATCAGACGTACGAAGGACTATCAAGCTTTGCTGCAAGTATTCCTTCCCGCTTACAGCCAACCATCATGGTCGTGTGAAGATTATTACATCACAAGACTTGACTCTGACACCAGAATGGCTTAATTCTTGAATATTGTGTCTATACTGACTCGTCTATAGTACGGTACCGGAGCTGGTCTTGGGGAGACCGAGTACTCCATCATAGCCTATCCGGGCATATGCATTTCAGATCAGAACTGCTGGGGTAATCCCCGAGGCCAGGTTCATCAATGGTTCTACGCATCGGATACAAGTTGGAGAGCAACGGAGATCTGGGGCGGTCAGTCCTGCAAGCACCTCGGAAAGATCAAGGATATTTCGACGATATCTACAAAATATGTAGCTGACACTATTCTGCAGATAACCCTGAGCCTTGGAATTTCAGTGCCCAGCAACCTCCCGACGTTGTGGTGATCAACCTTGGTACTAACGACCTAAACGAACACAACAACGTGACATCGACCACGTACGTCGATGCTTACAAGAAGCTAATTCAAGGTGTCCACGGCAAGTACCCTAGAGCCCAGGTCATTGTGATGGTATATTTCTACGAAAAGCCTCCTAGCTTAGAGTCCTGGCTGACTGCTCGATGATAGCAATTATGGGTAGGCTTCTCCCAATATGGAAATTCCTACGCGCAGAACCATGGGTTCGACACGGAGCTCTTGAACGTGGTCCAGTACTTCAATTCGGACGAATACCTCTCAGCGCCTGTGATATGGGATGGCATAACGAATACGACCACGACCCTCACCACCATCGACACTACCAAGCCATTTGTTCACTTTTTCAACACCACCGGAATTTTGCAACATAACGATATTGGGCCACAATGGTGAGTATTACAACAAGCAGTAGTCGCTTCGTTTCAGCAACATCTGATCTGTCAGTCATGTGTTTTGATACAGATACTCTCGTTGAATGGGAGATACTAACGAGCGTTCCCGCAGGCACCCGACAGACGTTGGAGCGATCAAAATGGCTAGCCATCTAACGCAGTATATCCACCTGACATTTGGCTGGGATCTGCAAGCAAATGGGCCCGAGTAAGTGACACGTAAATCTTCTGGACTATCAGCCTCTCAACTACCGAAGCTCCCTCAGCGCAGATCTCGCATGCTGACAGCCGATAATACTAATTAGGATCTACCATGACACGCTATACTGGAATGATCAGTCAGGTTACTAGGCACTAGGCACTGCTATTTATTACAACCTCAGGGTTCGGATGAGGAGTCTTGCGTTTTGTGATTGCAGCTGGGGAGAGTATCGACTGATAGCCCTTTGAAAAGGTACTTCGTGTACATTGCTATACTTGCGGAATATCCCAGGACTTTGAATCTGATGTTTTTTTTGTCTAATGGCGATCATGAAACACCAAAAGAATGTTCAGAGCATCCCATGGGTTGTGTTTCCTGAAACATTACCATGTATGTATGGTACAAACACATTGAGATCCCAAATATAGCAAGTAACCCCTCCCTTCCATTGGATCTGTCACCAGGATTTCGAGGGCAGAAACACCAAACAGCGGCCCTGAAAGCCAAGGTTTCTATAGATTGCTCCATATTGTTCACCCCCGCGAAACTTGCGACACCTTGATGCGGTTTAGGATTCCAGTGAAAGCTTATTCGACTGCATGACTATTCTTAGCTTGTCCCGTCTGAAGACTGCCAACTGCCATCGCTTTCCTGCGACAACGGCACCAAGATGAATTGTCGAGCGTCACGGAATCACATCACCCCTAAGACGAGACTGGTTTTCTTTTGGCCAGGAGGCACAGTGGAAATTCAAGCTCGAGGATTCGACAATTTACTAGGGCGGGCTGATTCCTGAGGAATTTCGTTTCGTATCTTGGCTTAGTGTCACCACAAGTCTCGCATGGCAAGCCGACAAATCCGAGGTGGAAGCGGCCTGCTATGCCCAGCTGCTCGAGTATTGTTCAGAGACAGCTTCGTGTCAGCCATGATAATACTAAAGCAGTTACGCCTCAAGTCCATCGTGTAATGATCAGTCAGCACTAAATTATTGATGATCTTTTGGCGGCGCATAGCAATTACCGAATCGTGGTCTGATTTTACATGAGGGCTAGACCATCTGTCAAACTGTATGCGGAGCCTCTGCAGCTCACCATGCGACTAACATCTCGAACCCTTTTAGTTCACATCAACCAGTACTTGTTAGCAAAGATTTTCGTCAATAAAATCCGACAATATTTTTGGTCCTGCAGGTTGGGGGCAAAAAGTGGACGACCCCTGTTCGGGTTCGTCTGGGGCCGTGATTGACGAAACACAACACAACACAAAACTGTCTGGGCACCCACAACCCTCGGATGCCCCTGACATGAAGTCACAACGCTTACTTCACATGACTTCATCTTGTGTTTCCGAGTATGAGCTCGCTTAACTGTCCCGCAAACTAGCGTCAGTCTTTAACGTGAACCAAGTTCGTTATGTCCCGCAGTTAAGAACAAAAGGATCGAGCCAGTGAGGTCGAGCGTGACGCTAAGCAATCGAATCGTTTCGAGCTATTGAGGCTCCTAGTCCGCGGAGAGATATTGGACTAGAGCCATTACTATGTATTCCCTTCAGCTTCACGGACGGCGTTCGGCCGAACGTCGAGCACATGTCAGAATTCTCCTAGTCGGCCCAGCTGACGATCACCGGTGCTGTCGAGTAGCGTTGAGAAGGGCAAAAGGTGGAATAAATGACGACGCGCAGCAGGTTTCTCACATTCGGTGCGAATCCTTAGTAAAGACTAGATTCGAGACCATTAGATGGCCGCCAAGAAATCAATCGATCTGTCGGAGATCTGTATAAGCTAGAAAAGAAGAGAGTTCTAACACATCTTTCGGGGGCCCCAGGATTTCCGTCCTTTAGGTCACTCGTTCAACGTGAAACTGACCGAATGGTAAGTCTGTGAACAACGAATTGTTATCCGGAAGCACTTTAACTCTTGAAAAGAGGCGCGCTATCGTAAGCGCGCCGGCGTCTGTGAGCAAGAATTTAAGAAAATAAAAATAAACCCCAAACCCCCCTTCCCCCCAGGCTTAAACATAAGATGGTTTCCCGCCAGATAGAATTAGTCTCATCGATAAAAGTGCTACAGAAAAGATAGTCTCATCTCTTGAAACACATCGTCGAGCGCCTTTGGTGGAGATGGCATTTCGCCAGCCCGCGTGAACGGAGCTTGAATGCCAAGCTGAGGTGATGCAAAGTTTAATTGTACCACGCTCATTTTGCCGATCTCCCTTGAGCCACTGCAACTTAATAGAGTCAATTGCCTTGGACCCCTTGGACTTACGCGGCCAGGTGTACTATGTACTCCGCCACGTACCTTAGAATAATGCCAGCGGTTGGTAATAGCGGCGCGGACTAGATGGCGGCGCTCTGTCTCCCGCGAAACACAAAAATCAAGGAGTCGGATAGATTTATGTCAATCTCGCCGTACTAGAAAGCAACGGCATCAGGACGAATGTGACCCATTTCAGCTTGAAGGTGGCTAGCATTGTACCGAACTGACCTGTTGCAACCAGGAGCTGCGCGCTCCCCGGGCTGCCAGGTTCATGGAGCTCTGTTTGGCTCATGAACGATATCCGGAACCAGGGGATTATGCGCCCATTGGGTCCTTATATTCTTAAGGTTATGATGATCTAGGATCGTCCGGGAATGGGCTGCAGGGATTGCTGCATCCTAGACGTTTTACGGAATACAACGCAGCAACAACGTGTTCGTATAGCCTTCGACCTTCGACTCTAAGAGACCATTTCGCTGCGCTGTGCCTTGATATCTGTTAGCATCCATTACACAAGAAATTTTACCTACAAGAGCTGTGTTGGGTCTTGATGCTGCTAGAGGGCACATTCTACTTGAGATGGCATGCTATCCAGAGACGGGCCCTTGTCCAATGCTGGTCAGCACACCTGACACGCGGGGTATTGCAGGCTGAGGCACAGTGAATCCATGCAGGGGCGTGCTGCTGCAGACGAAAAGCTTTAGACGTCATTTGCAGCAGATCATCTCATCTTCCTATATCAATACTGCACGGCAGCCCGTGTAGTCCTTATTTTAGAAGCATCCAATTTCTCTCATCGATGAGTGTTTGGTGAGAACAAGAACAGATAAAGGTCGGATGAAAGGATATTATTAGCTTGGAAAAGATCGATGATTCTCGCATAGAAGACGCCCAGAATGCCAAGTGCGCATATCGCGAGTGCCGTCGGGTGCTGAAATCGCTTTTTTGCAGGAACCAAGTTACTGCTGTGGGCCCCGGGTACGACGGATAGCTGCATGTCAACGTCTTTTGCAGAGATGGTCTGCCAATATTCCAGCAATTCCATTTGAGCTGGCGCATTGAGCTTGCACTGCAGAAATGGTCAACAGAGACGTAGGTAAGGAAAATTGTGCCTAGAAAGTAGCGTACTGAGCCTGGCAAGTGTTGCACCGTAGGGATCCTCATCGGTAGAAAACGCGACGCAAGCGTGCAGCAGAGCGATATAAAATATATGAAGTTTCCCTGCAGTAGGCGCCGTTGTAGGCTGCATCAGGTTATACATCGTGGGTCAGTGCGGTGTTACTCTGCTCAATAGAAATTGAACCAATGAAGCTACTGCGCAGAGAATGCATCAATCAAATCAATACGCATAGACTTCATCGGGCATCGGAAATTGACATGTTGGGTTTGTTTATGCTTCAGAGTGTGCTGCAGCTAAGTTAGTAGAATGCCCCCATAATAACGGATGCATTGTTACAAAGTATTAGGTACGGGCGGTATGAAATCTGTTGAGTTGTATCCTATATGGATTTTCATCACGACAGCCTCAGAAGTTGGCCCATGTTTCTTAAGTCTGTGCTGGGCCTACACCGTCTTATCCATTGGAAATTGAAATCAGTGCGATCGACAAAGGAAACAATCCTAAGGGGACAATAAGGCGGGTCCGTGCCTAATCATTCAGCCGAAATTGTTGATACGTACGGATCCGTACCTGTTAACAGGAGAACACTCAGCATCTAATTATATTTGCAAGCATCCGATGTCTTTCTCTCACAGTGGGCACGTTTTCTACGTCTCATGGATATCTGTGGTTTCTGCAGAAATCAGACGCAATCCATAATGGTTGGACGAGAGCATGGTATGTAACTACCGAACCGGCTATCGCTTGGATGCCGAATCTTTGATCAAGGGACCTGCCCTCAAGACGCTCATCTTCCGTCGGATGACTGAATCATGGTATCGTGTCTCGAATCAAGATCTTTGTAAAATCTTTATGTTGTCGTCACCGGCAGATAATGGGAAACACAAATCCGGCTAAGGTTAAGTTAAGTGCTTCAATCAACGGCGATCCTTTGCCTGGAGACAGGCACACATGGGAATCGGCCACTAGCCCCCACAGCGGGATGGGGCATCTCATTCATTCATTGTCTGAGGTCGCCAAGCTCGGTCTCGTTATGCACTCGGCTTGGTGCTGCCACAAACCATGCGACCCTGTTCGAGAAATTGTGGTGCAAGTCACTAACCTAGGAATACCGTTTAGCGTGCTGACTTGCAACAACGGTTCTTCTAGTGGGAAAGCCCACCAATAACAACCCGTTGTCCCGCACAAACAGTGCGGTGGGAATCGCCGGCGTGATGGCCGGCGATACTGCCGTAAAGGCTCTAATGCTGCGCCGCTTCGCTGGGTCGGTGAAGATCATGTCCAGATACCATCTTACCATAAGATACCCACCTAGCTTTGCCGCTCATAGCGGTGCTAGCTTTTACCAGGTGTTTAGCCTTCCGGCAATCCACACTCTTGGGTTGGCTGCTGGCATATCCCGGTACTTGGTATATGGCCATGCGCCTGCGCTTTTTCATCTCAACTTCCCGCACTGACTCCATGAACGCGACACTCGTGAACAGGGTGCATCCTATCGCACGAGAACGGCCCTGAAGATGCGGTCAACGTAAGCCGCAAGGCTGTTGAAATTATGTTGTGATTCTTCTAGTGAAGCTAAAGGAATTGATACCCAATCTTCATATCTTGGCATACATCGATCTCGCAGAATGTTGGCCATCGTTTCGGCAAAGCCTTTGCCGTTAGTTAGTTAGCCTTTACACTTTGGAGAAGCATGTTTCACGTGACAATGTGGTTACGATGAGGGCCATACGTTACCGTATTATAGGCCAGGTTCCTGTAACAAACGTTTCTGAATCGTGACCTTCACAAGCGGCACCGTGAGGTCAGACACCACACGCACACACACATTGTGTTGGTCCGATAATTATGTGCCGATGAATAAGCTTTACTTGCCGCACCGTCGGTTCTGCGCATATTTACGCGAAGCAGTATGAACTTACTCGTAATAAACTTGGCTGTATGCAATACGACTCATCACGCGATTGTGGCGGAAAAGGTAGGAAAACTCGACTTGGTGACAAACAACTCATTCCAGCCGCAAGGCTATAGTTCACAGAAATTTGAAGCCAGGGTTGCCGGTACTGAAGTCATGAAGGAATCTCATTGTAAAAATATTGATCTGCTTGTGAATCTTCAATTCATCGTTCGTTGTGAGAATGTTCCCATCCTCTCGTCTTTCGTACAAGCTTCAAGCCAATCCTTGCCTAGTCTTTTTTTGAACCATCTCTTCCTTTCCTCTTGACTATGACTGACAGACACGCTTCTTATCTATACATTAAATAGAAACCCCAGAAATAATTTTGATGTCTCAATCGAGCTGAACGCCCGATAAGTTATAACGCCAGTGTAAATGCTCCACAGTTGATTCCTCTGCGCCGTCCTGTCGAAAAAAACTGAAAATAAAATAAAACAAAGTTTGCGGGAAATAATGTCCCAATCCAAGCTGAACCCATGCACCAGTACTAAGCGTTGGGAAGGTCCCAATGGTATTAACAGAACGTGACTCCAAAATGCAATAATTGCAAAGCGTTGTACCGTGTGGTATCATTCCTTTCGTGGTATCCTGTTCCGCCAAATTCGCGCAGGATTAAAGATCGTAAAGCTCAAATAATGACAGTTGGTGAAAGTTATGCGATCCTCCATATATGTACCCATAAATCAGCGTAGCGTTGCACTGCTCGCCTCGAAGTTATGACAACCGCGCTCGTGTCTCTTCATGTTACTTCGAACGCTAAAAGCCTTGCCACATCCAGAGTGTGGGCACTTGAAGGGCTTCTCTCCTGTATGCGAGTGGCTATGGATTCGGAGAGAGCTGGGCCGCGAGAATGCTTTGTTGCAAGTTTGGCAAATGTAACGATCCTGTGATTGGGGGAAGGCGGCCGCTGAAGAGGGCGAAATATAGTGATGATGTTGCCATGGGTTGGGTCCAGCTGCTGGCGGCAACGGAACAGACACAGCTAACGGGGGGAAAGCCTGTGAGACGTTAGTCATAAAATTGCAACCAAGTGATGAGACAAGGTCATACCTGAGGCAACGGTCTCTGGTAGTACAGTCCAGAGATTTGAGGCTGCGCTGGTGGAGGAACCGCTGAATAATAGGACATTGCTGGCTGGCTCATGTAGGGTTGAGGAGCGTAAGGTTGCTGAGAATATGCAGAGGCATGGATGTGCGCCCGAGGAATAGCGGCGCTCGACACTGAGTGACGCTGGAGGTCGGCCTCGAGAGGTGGAGTCGATTCATAGTAGTAGTTCGGCGCAGACACTACTGATACCTGGCTGACTGATCTCGTTGATGGGGAGCCATGGCCCTCGAAGGAGGCATCTGTGCTCATAGGCGGGGTCGGCGGCATGGCTTTGCCATAGTGAGAAGAGTTTGGCCGCGTCTCAGACTTGATTGACGAGGCTGCAATATTGTTAGTACATCATAAGGTCTGTTGCTCAAAATCGGCCGCACCTTGTTGTTGAGAGGCAGGAGAGTGCTCTGTTGTCGGCGATCCAGCATCCGCTACCACCAACAAATTTGAGATTGAAGGAAGCGAACACCTTGAGTTCTCGTCTACCGGAGGAGACGGGGGAGGTTGAGGGTAACCATAGTGAGCACCAGGCTGACTTGAGTATATGGATGCTGCCATTTCTGTGATGTACTTGTGTCGGAGGGTTGAGAATTGGTCGCCGAATTAGTCGCACGGAGATGAATATGATTATATGGTCGTCGACTGCTTCTGAATATTAAGGTTGGTCGTATGTATTGTTGCTTGAGAAAGACAGCACCAGTATCCTTCGTGTATTAAGAGATCTTGTTCTATTGTTGACTGTCCAAGGCAGTTTGGTTGGGGGGTGGTAGGCACTTATGTATGGTTGTTGTGGAAGACCAACGACATGGATAGGATCTGTATCTAATAGATCTCCCGGGGGTACATAGAATAGAGATGATCAAGCGTCAATCTCCAAGATAATCCCTGGGCCACAGCTGTCACAAATTGTATGTGGGTCTGACCAAAGCTTTGGAGGGGGTCACTGCAGACCTGGGATGAAGCAAGTGTTGATCACCGGTGGTGGGAGGTACTCCTGCGTCAAAACCAAGTACATATAGAGCCTCCTGTTATTGGGGTGAGCTCTGACTCTGGGGGTGTCGATGGGATCCTGGAACGCTTGTCTACCCACAAAAATGGTCTAATCTGCCCCTTGTGCGGTATGGATCTGGGCTGGGTCAATCAGTCCCGGAACATGGCTTACAGGGGTAAATGAAGCTCGACCGCTATGGGTGAGATCGAAGAGGTTGTATGTAGGATGAAGGGCTACAAGGATGATTCAAGTATCCAGGGATCGTTAAAGGTCAAACGGTTACTGGTCATGCAAGGTGAAGGGCCCGTGGATGCCGCGGCAGCTTGTACTTTGTATCGTCTCCCGGTCCTTGCACGAGTTGGGGGAGCCTTGCCATGGTATACTCCAGAAAAGACCCACAACGCTACGCTCAACTCGAGTTAGCCGAAGCGACTAAGTGATGAAGCCCTGTCATCTGTAAGCCGCGAGGCGCAAAAGTCTTCCGGCGCACCATTGCCGTTTCTGGGAGTTGAATCCGCCCGGATAGCTGGTCTGCGATCCCAAGGATCCCTGCCTCACGATCCAAGGATCATGTTTTGGGACAAGGATCCTTGCAGGCTCTATTGGTAACTTGAGACGATAATCGACTCGAGCTTCTCGGACCATGTCGTGGTTTGATGCTGCAAAAGCTTCATCACATCAATGCTGCTTCCTTAGCTGTCGCCCAGGTCGAGCTGTGACCGGATTGCACAGCTGATCTTATGCCGTTCATCCCCACGAATCTGGCCAAGCACGTCACAGACCAGCTGTCATCCCCATCTTCCATGTAGTCAATCTTCGGATGACCGGTGCATATGTTCCAGATTGTTTTGATCTATTCAGGCATCCTGCTGTCATTCTGATCAAGACAGAAACGGAAACATGAGACTGGTAACCTGCAACATGGACGATCTGAAGATTTCGGCACCAGAAATTGCCGGACTACGAGGGAGCGAGCCTATGATGGACCTATGCGACATCCGGTTCAAACAACTATCTGCACTGAGTTTATTCGACAGTCTGCAGTATAATGCAACGGCATCACCGTTTGTGAGCATAAATACACTAAGGTTAGTGAAGACTGCAATTCCGCGCGCACGATGTCGTTGAATCCGTCCGTTTAGTCTTCATCTTTCAGTGCCAGCCAATGCTATTGCGTGTGCTAAGCAGGCTCATAGATCTATTGTAAAACTCGATTCTAACGAACAGATTTAAGTATTGAGCTGAAAGCCATCTCTTCCATCTGTCTTGGTCTGATCGTCAAGCGATATGATTGTTTCGAACTTGTAAATGATAGATACTGAATGGCATGTAATGCCTGAACGCAATCAAGGGTTGCTACTTTGCTGTGCTGTGTTGTGCTGGAGTTTGCCGAACTACACCTTCGCCTCTGCTGGTCGTCATTGCTCGGAAGAGGCGTTGTTGTTTTCAGACGAGCACCAGGGTCTTCCTTAGAAACGGAGGCTAATTTAATATGATCGTCAACTTGGCGCCAGGAGGTGGCCCTTCGCTTGCGCAGGGTGGTGTGATAGGCTTACAGGGGTTTGCAGGGGGCTTCGCTTAGGGGTCCACGACCACGCTGAACTCTGTCCAGCCGACATTTCGGTACATGTCTTGAATGATCAGCGAAACGTGGTGTATGGCATTAAAGTTCTAGTAAGCTTCCGAAAACTATCCCGCGCAGGCCAAGACGGATCTGACGAAAAGAAACCTCAACGAGCCAGCCAGACACAGGCTGTCCTTATGCGCTCAGTTGATCAGAAGTCGGATGTGTGAACACGCACCTCGACCCACATCGGTACACAACGACATGGGAGCGGTATTATCACTAACATCAGAGACGAGATCTTGGCCCACCCAGGAAACCGCACAGGCAAAGACCGTTTGTCAAGACTGAAATGGTCGCCGACGTCCAAAGGTCTCCGACATTGGCCAAGCTGGCAAGTGTCGCTGATGAACAAAGTGGAGGAGCCGACGCATCTAGGGAGAAACACGTGCACTTTAGCGTTCTCCCTTGGAGACCTCGCTTAACTGGTGTCTTACATTCATGAGAACTAACGCTGGGAACTGGGCGCTGTTCCTGCCTCCAACGCCAGAACGGCACCAGAACACACCTGTTGCTCACTAACTCATATTTAGACTTCACCTAAAGGGCTCGTGGCCCCTTGTAGCCGTGGCGGAAAGTGGATGGAAAAATGTCGCTGATCATCGCGCCGCCGCCGGCAGTCTGCAGTAGAGTAATGAGCTGAAAACTTTCGACATAGCGGCAGTTGGCACACACATGAAGTGTACCACTACACATGAACACATCGAGATGTTATTGTGCGTTGTCAACTACAGTTTTCGCCTTCCAGGCTGCTTCAACTTCGTCAATTTGGAGCTCCGCCACGAGCATAGCGCTCTCATGCGCCAAACCTATTGGCATTATACGCGATCAATGCACATGTGCGGTGTACGGCGTTGTCCGTCTGCTATGCCACCCGAACCACAGCATTTTGATGTCGTTTAAGAAGGGCGAAAGCCCAAGTGAGGCCTTTCCCACACTAACCATCAACCGCTCTGTGCAGTGTTGGGGGAGCTACGCTCTGATGTCGCAATAGTTACAGGCTCCAACCCAGTTGTTTATGGTCCACGAAATTCAGAGGCTCTTGAACACAGGATTCAGTTGCCTTGAGGGGCGTTCGGGAGCCTAACTTTTGGGCAAGACTAACTTCTTGAATAGTGTCCTACAACTCTTCCGGCTAATCCGAATGTAGGTACCAGTTCGTAGGGTATTGCAACCGTTGAAAATGAAATAGGGTAGACCTTGTCAATCAACTCGAATGGCCAGGTCTTGCTTAATTGCTTCTCTGACTTTAGTTCCAAGCTGCGTCATCAGCCTAGCCAGCCTTGACACTAATCTCATATTCGTATCCTACCAGTCTGCACCTTGGGGGTACATCGCGTTGCCCACTGGCTTCCAATGCGGTCGTACCTCGGGCTCTTGACTATCCAAACCAAGAGCCTCCACTTTGAGGATCTGATATACTCCGAAAATGTACGGTTCTCCTCCATTTCGGGTCAATGACTTTCCAAGATCGTCCTCTTCGGCTTCCCTCCCACGCAGCGAGACCCGAGTCGGTGTAAATGTGTTTTCTTAATGATGATTGATGCTGGAGGTTCCCGGCGCTTGTGCCGCTGCTGCATCAGATCGCCCACGCGAGCGTGTTGATCTTGATGCCCACTGGCAAGCTTACTGCCACCACATGCAGCCTACTGTGTCCTATGCCGACATGAAAGCCATGCCTCGTGCCGCCACGGCAGATCTGCTTAATTACATCATATTTGGAAAGATCTGTGAACTTTAACATTGCGCTGAAGCCCAGCAATACTGTACTAGGTTAGTTGCTGAACCCCAATGATGGTCCAGGCTGAATGATCAAGTAGTTTAGGCATAGTTTTGCACGATTTCCGCTGAGGTGATGATAGCTGTCATAGAATTGTGCCCCGACACAATGCCGTCGTGTCCCACTTCTATTTGCGCTTCATATACAAATGGTGAGATGAATAATGACTAGTGCTATGTGTTTCTTCGAATGACTGACGCAAATTATGTTTGTTGTGGTGTCAGAGCTTGTCTGTTGATACGGCAGACCATGTAGTCGATCTGATTCACTTGAGCTTGTCGTTGCAGCAGGGTCCATGAACTTTGCACTCTACCTACAATCCACCTTGAAAATCAAGATTTGGTCAATGGCCTGGACCTGACAGATTACAATACTTCATAGTTGAGAGCTATTATTTACGAATAATTTCCGCAAGCAATTAGTTCAATGCATATGCATTGATTATAATACCCAGTCAGTCACATCCTTCATGAGGCCAATCGCGACTGTGCTTACGACCTAAAGGGTGCTGTTCAGGAAAAAATTTATCTAATACAGATTGGGTAACTTTCTCTCAAAGAATACGGGCGTGCCTAGACTCAAGTATTGCAATACGACAACAAACTAGACTGCAACAAATAAGTTGGGTTAATAGTTGTCAGGACACGATGCAGTGCTTAACACTTTAACCCCATCATTTACCTACGCATTGAATCGTCTGATGAATCCTCCGCAACCGAATATTAGAGGGCATCTTCGGTTGTTCTAGCGTGCTTCTGGATGCGACTCTAACCCCTGTTGGAGATCGTCCGATGGACGGGCTCAAGGATCGACCCTGAGCTTGTTGATAGAGCCCACAAAGCCCATCGTGAGAATGCCTCGTTGAAAGAAAAGACAATGGCGGTCAGCGCGGCTTCAAGCAATGTGCTCAATTTGCAACCATCGACACCTCAATCTATGCGGGGGATACCTCGTCGGCGTTAGTATCCCCTATCTGCGTATCGGTGATTGCGATGAGCGCTAATCGAACGCACTGTCGCACAACAGGAGCACGGCCCGGATGCTGGTTTGGAGTCTCTGTATTGACACCTGATAGACAGCGGCATTTCCGTTCTTTGATGCCAAACATGCGCTTGCAGTCCCGTGAGCACCTGCGGCCTCAGAATGGCCTCACCCTTCGAAGTAGAAGCGTCTTGGCATGGTAGTGGGAGCTCTTGTTTTTGTGGCATGCCACGATGCTGTTTAGCATAAGCTGGATAGATTGGACGGATCTACTGCGAAAGACAAGGGTGTGCACCATGCCGGCACCAATCAAAATTTGTGATTGGTTGCAATTCTCCAATATCACCATCTTTTTTCATCCCTTGCCGTTATGATCTCCGAAAGCCACGGCGATCATCGAAGGTCTTCGACAGGGCAGTGAAGCCAGGCTTTCACGCCTTTTGTTTTGATGACGCTCTCGTCCCTCGTCCATGCCTCCCCTCTACTCACGCGAGGTTGCTTTTCTGGCTGATCTGTGCACTTGGTCTCTGCTTCGACGTCGCTTAATGTTAGCCGTCGAACGTGCGTTGAGCCTCTTTCCGCATGTTCCGGGCCGCGCACTGCACAACGTGGGAAATCTGACTGGGTTTTTGCTGAGGGCATGCGTCGCCCGATAGCCATGTCCTGGGAAGCAGTACTTGGTTTCTCCAGCCGGGGATGCAAGGGTCCCCAGCATCACAGGGTTCCAAGAGCACGGGGGACGGGTTCAACCAGTGAGCGCTACACCTATTTGAGGATATCTCGACCGTCATCACATAGCATGGGCTGATGTGGCTGCAGACGTGCTCGAAATTTGAGCCTTGAATCTGAATATTATCATGATTATCTCCGAATCTGCGGCCGAGCTAGAATCCTCCACGACCGGGACTTTTGCGACCTGATGTCGGCTAGCATTGCTGGTTTAACAAACACCAGCTAGAGAAAGTTCCATTCGACATCATTTAAACATGGAATGGCATGGGACACGGACAAAATTTTCAAAGCTTGCTAGTTAGTTGACGCAAAGTCGGGACATACTCAAGTCAAGCGGATGATGTTTTCCACACCGGAATTTTCTGAACATGAGCACAGATCACGACTTGAACCTGATCTCACTCAGTACGCACTCGCCTGTGAGGGAGGGTTCCATTAGGATTTGTGACGTTAATTGACGGAACCCTAATCGGTTGGTCAACCGTTAAGAAGCATGGATTGGTCTGCTAAACTCGAGTGACAACACGCGGCGAATAGGGATAACCCCTTGCCAGCCACGCGAATATAACAGCGCTATTATATACAATCCACAGCGTTCGTTGCTTCCCGACACTGCAGCTAGTCCTAAGCGATGTTCCAATTTACAAACATTGTGAAACGTGCCAAACAAAGCAACGGCTTTGTAAGATTATTGGTATTGGAAGATTGGCCTCTCAGCATGCCTCGCAGACCCTTTAAAGCTACCCAGCTACCTTTTCTAGGAAACGGCCATGATCCCTTCAATATGTTTACTACATTTGGACATCTTAGCAGGTCTCCATAAGCCGAATACGTGAAGCGCAAAGTAATGGAACCCAGCAAGGAATCAAGGTTTACCTTTGCCACTCCACAAGGAGTACTTTTGAGGACGTCTGGAAGATGCCGCGAGCTATTTCTCTCATTATTTTCACGATACGTACGCCTCCTGTACAAGTGGGATAATGGCTATGTGAGCAGACGAAACACGCCGAGTTTTCTCCAAGGCTAAGGCAAACATAATGTATTGTGGCCCAGCACCACCAACCATCTAAGACCAACCTGACCAAAACATTTGCTGATATTTCACATTTGTCGATGGCTACTTGCGAAAATACATCTGAAGTGGGCCCGGGTGATGTCGTCGACATGTAGCGACCCCCTCCCATTCACCAATCCTCCCAAGCCCTTGGAAACCCCCCTCTACCTGAACACCCCCTTCTTCTCCACCTCTGATGAATGTAACCCTAGGACTCATGATTCACAGCAGGGATTACACGGGCAAGACGGGACAATGTTATCTGACGGAAACTGGCGATGTAACCCCGTGAATCAATTCCATACCTTGGATATGAAGGCAGTCCGAAGTGCCATCGAGCTGCCAACCACCAAAGCAGGACAAACATAGCCAAGTACGGCTGTCCCGAGGCAGTCTGTTTACATCCATTCCTTCCTTGCGCAAGCTTGACTGCTATACGGCGAGTCAGTTTCATAGGTTGCATGGTATGAACCGCTGTCCAGTGCTCCACCCGGCGAGATAATTCCTAATATCCTGGCGTTCGGGAAGCTGTTACCGACAGCTTGTAGAATACCCCATACCAAAATGAAACTCAGCATTGATTTGTAAACTCACTGGGAATGATCAGCACATATTTTGATTAGGTCCCGTCGTCAAGAAGAGATATTCACCTTTCTAAAGATCAGCGCGAGGTTTCTTTTGCTCCATATCGGCGCTGCCCCTGCACAGAATGCGGTACTTCCCTCCTCGAATACGGTGTTACCCCCATATATACTTCATCGTCACTTGCATATTTGTTCCATGGATGGTAATCAATATGAAGATCATGATTAATTACCCACGCGCCGGATCCTCTTCCACCACGGCGATGCTGCTGTTCTGGGCGATGATGTGAACCCACGGCAATGGAACAGAGGACCCGATAGAGAGGCTGTCCTTCCATGGGTCTCGGCCCACAGCTTCCAAATCAAGGGGAGGGCAGTGTTCGTTTTCAGAGAAATCCCAAAAGACGAACCCATCCTTTGGCGGCTGCAGCAGCCTCCCGGCATACTTTACCATGCCCCCGAGTGGGTTAAATCTAGGTGTCCGAGATCGACCTTGCTTCTGTACTATCCGAAAGGTTCCCCTTGCTCACGGCAGTTCCTTCGGACCATGACCAGGGAGCACACTGTTGTGCTGCTGCTCCGTGTCACCTGGCTCTGTTCTGACAGGTCTGGAGAGAGGAAACAGACAGCCAGAGAAAGCAATCAATGAAAGCCACTGCGAGCAACCTTCCGAAAATGGGCTTCAGCTAAAGCAACTACCCGATGGAAGGGAGTCATCATTTTAGACCAAAGTCTTTCTACCATGCCCAAAGAAGCACGGTCTCTGCGGGGGGTCGCGCAACGGCCACCAACATACAGTTTGGTTCACGTGGCTTTTTTTTTTTTTTTTTTTTTTGCTTTCCCGCTCGCCATCGGCTCGAAATTCCTCCTGAAAATCATGTGGAGCAAGGCATCCGGTACTCCACACGGTCGAGTCCCCTTTCAGTGGATTATCTTGGGATGCTTATCACGATGTTGTTTCTTTTTACAATTAAAAATCAGTCGACGGCTGAAAGTTAAAATGAACCTCAATTCTTTTCTGCGCAGGTTTGCTATACAGCAGTAGGATCGACGGCAGTTTTTCCTTTCGCAGAAAAAACCCGCAGACTGTATTTTGGGAGACTACGAACACACGATCTGATCCCTTTCACAGTCTCATTGATTGGTAGGTCATATTAAGAAGACTTATCGGACTCATGCAGACGAAACCCCGGAACTCGGAATGCCCATAAAATCTGTATTGCTTTGGTCCTTGAGCCACCTCCCCACTACGGCACGACTCGAGGGCCATCGCAAGTAGCTACGCAGTTAAAGTTTCGACGTTACTACGTAGACATCCGGTATCATGCATATTACGATTCAGGTAGCACTTCTGATACTGTCAGAGGGGATATGTAAGCCCTGGAGGGTTGCCCGTCCTCAATGCCTCACTGACGCGGCCACTAAACTCGCATTGGTGGAGTTATCCTCGTGAATTTCGCAGCCAATAGGAGGAAATACCAAGAGCTTCTTGCAGCATAGCCTGCCTTCAGCTACCGGTAATGTGTAGGCTTTCGAAGAGATGACAAAGGATCAACCGCTCGACGCCATCGGTTGAGAACGTAGAAAAGGTCATCCGCATCTAACGAGCACATCTGTAGTGACATCCCTGATCTCGGGTTTCTATTTGTCAAAATACAAGATCCCGGTTGTCCAGCGCATACTTCCCACGAGCACTGAGAAGCACGCAGGGCACCATCTTGAAGAGTAAGACATCTTCCAGGGATCTTTCGCACACGGACCGGCTGTTGGTAACCTGGTGCTCGGCGTAAGGGCAACACCCGCGCTTGGTGGGTGATCATCCTCATGATTGGGTGAGGATCAAACCAGTGATCTGCATGCATCCGTCACTGGCCAGAAACAGCCAGTCTTCTATGTTACTTCTCCCCTTATAGTCATGGGCCATGACCAAAAACGTGCGACGGTCCGCCGGAGACCCTTGCGGGATGTGTAAAAAAAAAAAAAAAAAGAAACCCCCCCCCCCAGGGCGGGCCCGAGGAATTGCTTATAGATACATGTCACGACGTGTCTACATGATAGAACATGCTTTTCGATGCTCTCTTTCAGCCGGCATGGATTATTAGTCTGTGAACCCGGAATAACCAACGCCAGACAGCGGCTACAGCGCAAATCCATTTTAGCATTCAATAAGGTGTATCAGGATGCATGTGATTGATGCTGTGCCACTGACCTACCTGAAGATGACGCACATGAGTGCTGCCGTGCTCATGCTGGCCTTTTCCGTTTAGTGCTATACGAGTGGCCAGTAAAACAGTGTATTGTCATGGGAGTTTTGCTACGGAGAAGTGGTGTGCATTGCATAGTGGGTGTGTATCGGGTCATCGTGGTAGGGGTGTGGTGAAATTCCAGCACGCTGGCACCATTGAGCTCTTGCGCCGATTAGCACACCATCAGGCTGCTAGCACCGAGTTATTGTGATATGTGGCCATTGGGGACGTGTAATAGTGCTTATCCAGTTAGAAGTATAACACCCTCAACTGACTGGGGGGTTTTCTCCAAATAATTACAATGTGCCAAGTGCCCAGTGTGTAAGCGAAACCTGCAACATATCGTGAACACTCCTGCCATGGCTAGCCCTAAATATTCAGGAACCTGTGTATGTTGTCCTACTCTAGAATCTCGGAAACCGGAACAAGCGGGGTGGGAAAAGGTTTTATTGTCTTTCGATACGATAATCAACTTGACAAGACCACAGCGGGACTTGCCAATGGAAATCACCACGAAGAGTGGTAATTACAAGGCAGTGGCGAGCCAAAGCCCCGATGAGAAGCAATATAACTAATACGACCCGTCCACTGCCGCCCTTGGCCAGTCTAATGTTGTTGTTGTCCCGTACAGTGTTCAACAAGAATATGCGTCAGAGACCTCGCTGTGCTTAATATGGCTAGAATTAATATCATCTGACTGGAGTCATACGGCAGGAAGCTTCGCAAGATTTGCTAAGCTAAGTTACCTCGTCACCAGAGGTTCACGAGTGTCGATGTAACATAAATGTACCGGGTGCAAATTTTATGATTCATGTTCAATTCGTGTTGGATATCTCGAAAAAGCACGTGGCGAGGCTCCTATGCCAGCCGCAGAATCCGCGAGATGTACCAGCGTGTATGTACAAGTCGCCGTGATGCCATTTTCGTTTTGTCATGCTGGTATTGCGACAGGAGATCGGGCAAAGGTTACTCAATGACCTGAACCCAGTTTTTCTCCAGCTGACGCCTCTCAAAGCGAGTTTCAGCCTCTTGACGAAGAACTTCCTCTGCTTCCAGCTTATCAGCTGCCGCCGTGGCAGTCTCCTTGACCTGATTACGGACCGCACTCGTAAGGATCTTGTACCAGCCATTATGTGCCTTACACCGCTTCTTCTCACACATGTTCATTGTAGCCTCATCGCCCTCGTTCAGCTCGACAGGCGTATCAAGTTTTCCTGCTGTGAATATCGCTTGACCCTCAGGTGAATCGATCCAGGCGACGAACGCGTGACGGACAGAAACTACGTCCAGGCGATTATCGTAGCCGCAACTGTCTTTGGTAAGCTTTCCCAGCTCGATGGCAGTCTGTCTTCGTTGATTCGCCCAATCTATGAGCTGCATCATCTTCTTATACTGCACGATCTCGTTGCCGAGAGAAAGACGCTCAGCTGCCGACGTTTGTAGAAATTTCTGCTCCTCGTCGCTGAGGACGCCAGGGCGAGTAGGCAGGCCATTGACCCACAAACCTTCGATGTTGCCTGTTGGGAAGTGTTAGTGGTATATGCTGTGGTAAAACACCTAAACCACAAATGCTTACCGAAAGGCTGATCACCTAACTTCCAACCGCCATCGTTGGCTGTCGAAGCTAGCAGACCCACGAAGTCTTCCTGTGTCAGAACTTCTAATGCTTTCCGGGTAGCCACCTTTGTGGGCAACTTCCCAATCATGGCGGCCCACCACGCATCGCAATGGTCGTTTGAGCAGAAAACGGATCGTGTGTCCTTCTTGCCGTATAAACGTGCCGCATTGGTACAGCTGCCGAACGAACACGTTTTCTTGTACTTTGTGTAGTTCAATTTGCCGTCAGTGCAGTTGGGGCAGACGAAGCGTTCCACAAGCTTCTCTCCGAACTCCTTACTTAGATCGACGCACTCTCCATGGAACCAGTCTTCGCAGACGTCGCAACTTATCATCCATCTGTGGTCGTCGGGGCCGCGGCAGAGGCAGTAAGGGCCGTTGTCGATCTCATCATCCGAGCTGTCATCGTCGTCATCTTGCTGAGGTTCTCCAGATGCATTCTCCTTCTTCGGAGCCTTGGGCTTTGTTGATTTCGGCCTCTTAGGGCCCTTCTTGGTGGCGGCTGCCGTGCCCTTCTTCTTGGGGGCAGGCTTCGGCATCTTGGTGGCTGTTGGTGATGGAGATGATGGTTGTGTTGCGTATGGTTCTGATTTGATGTCTAACGAGGTTGAAGCTTGAGCACCGCTGGGTTGCTCGACAGATTTTAGGATACCTGCATCACTGTTGGACCCATTGGTAGGCTTGATGCTCACTTCGGCGTCAGCCATGGCCACATCCTCCTCACTTCTGCCATCTTTTGTGTCCGCCATCCTTGATCTGTAGGCTGGTACGACAAAACAAAACAACACAACAAAACAAGGGGTTTGTGGTTCGTTCCCTCCCTAGCCGCAATCGTTGTTTACGCAAACCACCTCTTCCAGGTCTCGCTCACTTATTCAAGCTTTGTTGATTTGCTTTCCCAGTTGCTGATCCGTGCATATTTCCTCACATACGCTGAAGGTGTTTACTTCACAAAAGCAGCATAAACACTCCAGGTTCCGTTAATATGATCATGGAAATACCAACAAAAACAAAACAAGGTATGTTTGAATGAAACCTTGTGAGATTTATTGATTTGAATTAGGGATGAGCGGGCAGCCACAGCAGAACAGCTAACAAGGATGAGATCGTGGCGCAATTCGTTATCGTTATCGTGCTCACGCTAACTTCTGAACTCGTGCTCAAGTACAATAGGACTTTCATCTCAACAGCTTAGGCCTATATTTATGATGGGACGCACCCAAATACCATAACGGGCGCACAAATGAATTATGAAAAGTACAGCCAGAGATCTGGCATACAATGCGTTGAAGGGATATATGGCAGATCCACGTTGTCGATAATAGCACTGGGATGTAAATGAGAGCCCCTAGCCAATATTGTTAATCACATGGTTGAGGAAGCACCCGGTCTATGCAACAATACCACAAGGCAGTCCTGTAGCTATCCTACATCACTACCAAGTTCTCCGCTTCTCTTCGCTTCGATGCCGGTAGAGAGGGCTGCCCTGGCCCACTTGAATGACCATTCTTCATCCAAAGCCCATGCGAATCACGTTTCCATCCCATCCCTCTCCGGCTTCCTTCTCGCAACCGCGCTCCCGAAGACACCACCGGCCAGCCCAGCGACCGCGGCTCCGAGGACCGCGGCACCACGATAAGCGGGCTTGAAGTCGCCCCTCTCCAGCGCTCTCATATTGCCGAAATACCGGCCGGTGCCGTACAGGATGCTCCCGGACCCCAAACCCATCAGCGCGCCGACCAGTAATTGCGAGTGCTTCTTGTCCTGGTGCTTCCGCAGCCTGTCCTCCTCCGTCTCCTCCGCCCGCTGATGGGACGGCAGCAGCTCTGTGAGGTCGAGCTGCGAGAAGCGCTCTATCGCGATGCCGAGCGCGACGAACCCGAGACCTGTTCGGATCCACGCCAGAAACGTGCGCTCGGATGCCAGATGGTCTCGGGCTACTGAGCCCGTGTTCTTGTATAGCGGCGCTGCGAAGCGAAACCACGGCGCCATTGTGAACTTATGTGATAGATATGCTGATGTAATAATCTGGCAAATTATTGGCCCATATCGATAGAATGACCAAATCAGAGCCGCCAGACCAAATTCAGCGCTATCAGAGACGCGTGAGAGGCCCGTGCGGATACGTAAGGATGATCATTTCTACAGAAGTAGACGTTTTAGGCTTCGGTTATCATGGTCCTACTAATTTCTACTGGTTGTAAGTCTCAAATCATGATTAATTTGCCAGTTATTACTTGCATTCTATAAGTACTCGGTGCTGCTTACTTTCGCTCGTGTTGAACCGCGCGTGCTCGCCATGCCCATCTCATGTGCCAAGGTCCTGCGTACGAAGAATGAGGACGTAGAATGCTATCTAGTAGTCAACTATCTTGATTTTCTGTTGTAGCTCTTTTGGGAAATCCTCCAGCTTAGCAAGTCCCAGCCCTACACAGTCGCCCCAGAAGAAAAGTGCTCGTTCATGAGCATATCCAAGGTAATCGAACTCATCAGCCTCACCTTCCTCCTCCTCGGGCGCCACAAGGGAGGCAGGTTGAGTTCCGGCAACCTCTGGCTCTTCGATAGACTCCATCTTTGAAAGACCTGGAACCTTCGCTTGCATGATTCCCCAAGCGATCCAGTGAGCGCTGTTCGCTGTGCGCCACAAGCGTGTCTCATCCATTAGGTGCTGGATCTGCTTTTCGTTTTGCTCCTCACGGCGCTTCTCGTCCTCTCTCCAACCTCCAGGTGGTGCTCGAGCATCTAGCATGAAATCCGTGATTGAACTGCTTGCTCCGGCCATGTACGAAGACATACCAGGTGTTCCTGGTGTTTCGGCGGGACTGTCAAGCGGAGTGAGGTTAGGCGTAGAGCCACGATGAGGAAATTGTGGCCGATGGTTCACATATGCCTTGAGGAAACGCTTTTGTTCCGCTGGTGTTGGATAAGCGGTAGCGTTGCATCCATATGGCCTCGTGGCATCGTGATAGTTGTAAGCCCATTCTGTGAAATGATTTGCAAACTCTAAACCCCTGGTATTCGCAGCTGCGTACTCGAAGTCGATGACAATGAGTTGTTTGTGTTCATTTTGTGGATGTAATAACGGAGACTTTTCGTTATCAACTCTCACGCGGAGAATGTTTCCATATTGGGCCTATTACAGTCAGCAAGTTTCACAAGTAAAGGGAGCCGTATACTCACGTCGTTGTGGCCAAAGACAAGCTGCTCTTTGAGAGCTTGAAGCCCACCGTAATAGGCTTCCACATGTTGCCGATACTTGTCAAACGTCTCCCTGAATTTCGACCATTCGACACCACATACCAAACCACGTTTTTTCCAGGCATTGGCGGGGCCCTTGAGAGATCCCAGGTCACCCGATAATATCTTCTGGTCGAGAAACGTTATCCTTTTCTCGACGTTATCATACCAGGAGTCCCAATTCCTGAACACATTGGGGCCCGCTTCTCTTTCCTCGTCCAAGACCTCAATTCCATCATGAAGCTCCCTCATCCGCTTTGCGATCCTCTTGGACGTCTCTGGGTCTCGAATATCAGCCGGCGTCAGAGTTACCGCATCAAAGAATTGCTCAAAGCGGCCATTCTCAAATATGCCAAGCATTCGCGGGCCAATTTTTTTACGGGCCAGCCGGCGAAGCACATTCAGCTCATTTTCGCGGTCGATTTCAGCCTGAGGACCGTAGACTCTGAGCAGCAACTTTGCGGGGGTTTTCTTTCCTGGCTCAGATTTATCCGTAATATCTTTTGGTGGCGAAACGACGTAGACTGCATTTGTCAATGCGCCGCTTAAGCGCTCCACGTCGATAATGTCCCCACCTTCTAGAGGTACACGCCTCCAGCCCTTGATTCTAAGAGTATGTGCAATGCGGATGATGTCGTTCTTGAAAGTAATCCATGCTTTGCGCTCCTCATCTTCCTTGCGGTTTGAGATTGACGCATTGTCGTCTATTCCACCTGTTTTTCCGCCACTATAGCTCATGGTCTTGGAGTTATCAAGTACAGCATCGCATTTCGGTACGATCACATCACCATCATGATAGTCTGTGTCCGAAGAGGCGGTTCGATGCAGATGGAGCAAAGATCGTTTCTTCTGCATTCTTCTACCCAGAAGTTTAGGGTTATAATGCGGGACATTGTTCAAACCAAGTGCGCTCATACTATCATCAATGATCTTTTGGAGTCTGTCCAGAGAGACATCACTGGACTGAGAATCGATCGAGTAGGATCGGCTATGTCTACTCGTCCGCGCTGAGGAGCCAGCTGCTGTGGACGAAGAAGCTTCAGCATGATCTTCTGATGTGTCTGTCGGGTCCGCCTTGGAACGGCCATGACGACTTTTCCTCGATTTCCTGTTAGTCTTCTTGGTGCGTTCATGCTCAAGCCATTCAGCAACTTGAGAAACGAGTCTTGAGCTCAAGTGATGATGGCGATGGTGCGACCCGGATGTTTCTGAATCTGTGGGGCCTTGATCCGGAGACTGATGGCTCACAAGCCTTGAACTAGGATCAAGAGTGCTCTGGCTCAACAAGGACGTCCTAGAGGAGTTAACAGCCGAAATCGGCGGACGCCCACTGAGTCGTTTGCCAACACCTGCAGAGAATTGTTTGATAGGATGACTCTCCTCCGGACTCTCCTGTTCCGGTTCTTCGATTTGAACAGCTAAAAACATCGTTAGCGTAATGAACGGCTGAATATCCTTCATATTAAACGAATGGATTTTGACCAGTTCCGTTTGCCCGAGCGATTTCGATATACATTGTCTTGTACAGGGAAGCCAATCCATACAAATCAGTATCAACCTATACGGCAAGTGGGCTTTCACTAGAACCAAGAACGATGGTTTGGATATGCAATGAAACATGTACACTGGATCTGTGAGACATGGTGCACTGAACGGCGATCAACGAGGCAGCACTGCTCGTACAAACACGACGCTCATACCGATCGGTAAAATGGTGGACTAAACGGCGACAAGAAATAGCACAAAGGGAAGACCAACCTTTCAGAGGCGGCGTTCGCTCATGGGCGTCTTCGGTCTTGAGCGCAGGCCTGAGAGCAGGGCGTCCGCTCGACGCTGAGTCGGGTGGATTGGACATGTTCGAAGATATACCCAACAGGAGTTTGGGGATCAACTATCGTGAGGATGTAGGAACGGACAATAGACAGTATCGTTTAGGAGCCGACGTAGAAAGCTCACACGACCATTCCCAGCCCCTTTGTGGACTGCGCTAGATGTGTGCGGTTGTTCGCGGGGTCTGATAAGAGACTCAGTCGACTGTGGGTTGTGGCTTCGTTCGTTTAGATAATCAGTAAATCCAATTAATTGACGATGGCGGGGTCCTTGCAGGGGTCGGTTATTGGAGATTGGGCGCCGTCCTTCCAGAAAAGGTATGACGTTGGACCCTGATGGTCACGCAGCGAGTACCTCTAACAAGCTGAGGAATGCAACAGATATTGGGCCCGAATGAATGGTTGCGTTCAGGAACTGGGAGAAGTAATTGCTGCGAGCAACAGATAAGCACGGTTACCATGGTTCCGGCACAAGCATAGGCACAAGCACATGAACATGCTTCGAACGCAACGATGCAGCAGTGACGTAAGAGTAAACAAGGTAAGCTCAGCCCAAAAACCGGAGCTCGGTGGGTTGGCTCAAAGCCAATCGAGCAGCCGCTTTGTAGAACGTGACCGATTTCCACGTTGAGGAACTGCTAATTCACAACGCTCCAGTGGCCTGTTCATATTTTGGAACAGGCAGAGGATCTTTTGCATTTGATAAAGTGTTCGTAATCATGTGTCTATTAGCGTGGGTCCTCGTTCGCTATTGCCGCCACCCTTCCTGCTTCAGTGCCCATTCCACCGCCGCAGCAACATCGTCAACGACCATTTTTGGGCGATACGTTGGTTCTCCGCGCTCCGCACTCCACACGCCTGTGCGTACTAGAACCGAGGTCCATTTTGTGCCATCAGGGCTGTTGAACTCGTTCGCGCCTCTAATGTCGCTCTCTGGGTTGTCGCCGACCATGTAAACTCTGCCCAACGGCTCCATGCTGCTCAGTCCTAGGACCTTGGCACGGTGGCTGTTCAGCACCCTCTCAGCATATCGATATGTCTGCCGATATGGCTTGCCAATGACAGTCCGTTTCAGATCTACACCGTTTGTGATCTCACGCCATATTCCAGCGACTGCAGCTTGGAAGGCGCCTTGCCCGAACCGAGGGTGGTGGTAAGCAGCACTCCAGAAAAGATCAGGGTTTGAGAAGAACAAGGGCGGTTGGCCATCACTCTGCCAGCCTAACTTGCCATTCTTGGAGGAGTAAGTCCCAAGTACTCCGTTTTCTGACAAAAGCAAATCTGTGATAATCTGTATGTCTAATGCCCAATCACGAGGATCGTTGAACACGAATATCGCGTCGATCTTCGGCTGCGCACTTGGTAGCGGTCGCGCAGTCGCAGCATATAACTCTTCCATTAAAGGTTCAAAAGGCCAAATAGTCGGATGGGCTGACAATATATCCGCCGGCGTGATCACATTGTTGAATCCGTAGGCCTCGGCGATCGTGCGAGACTTTGCCGCGTCAGAGCCTATGACTAAAATGTTCTTGTCGCCCAGTCCTTCAACACCATGAACGAGCTCCTGGAATGGCGTGTGAGATTGAACAAAGTTCTCGGTCGAAAGCTCAACATTCAGCTTCTGGCTGAGCTGAGCAACGCGATCCTTCTCATGCTTTCCACCGCCATTGGTGAGAAGAATGAAGGGTATGTCATTCTTCTGTAGATACTGCAGACTCTCCGAAGCGCCGGGGATGGGCTTTGCTACGTGCAGGAGGACACCATCAATGCTAACGATTGTGAGCGTGTCGTTTTCGTGAGACGGTGATGTGTACTCACTCAAAAGCAAAGGCGAAAGGAGGCACCTTTTTACCACTCTTTGCACTGTAGCTCCGCCGTTGCCTGGCATCCTTGAAACCTCGGGTACATGCGATTTGAACTGCTGTGTATTGTCCCAGGTTGGGGCTGGTCGACAGGCCAGAGCGGGGCCGCAAGACCTGACCAAAAAGCCGCGTGCTACCACACGAAGATCGTATTGGAGAAGCCATCATGCTAGACCGGAAAACAAACAAAGTCATATTTCCAAATACATGTCTTTATAATGGTCAAGCCGTGACATCAGACATCTGTATGTTTACGTGTTTCAGGAGAAGTGGATCGTTTAAGGTACGGGAGTCACGGTAGTTCCGGGCCATTTTAGGACAGCAAAAGCGTTATCAGTGGGGCTAAAGTCCTACCCACTTCAAGTCCAGCATTGAAATAAGGAAATCACGATTAAGTTTACAGCGTACATAACGATATTTAGTCGTACCTTTCTTTACTATGTCTCTTAATGCCTACCTGATGTTACGACTTGGTAGTTGGTGTGGGAATGACGGCAAATGCCGCCCGTCTTTGTGCTGAAGGCATGCCAGCGAAGTTGGTGGTTGCGCTAACAGCGATTTTGGTGATCTCCAAGCCGCCGACATGACGACTTAGAAGAAGAGTGACGTGAATAAGAGTAGCGCCCTCAGGTTCGGGGTGCTTTCCGTACCAGGTTTCCTCATAAATGTCTTTTTTGCTCATCATGCGTGAGATAGGTGACTCGCTTAGAAATTTTGCAAGGAACCCGCGCACCAGGGCGGTACTCCTCGAAAGTGAATACTCTTTGGTTCTAAGAAGCCACTCATACAATCGATTATTGATGGAAGAGAGATAGGTAACCAATTGGATGCGAAGACAGTCTCTTCCAGCCATCCTGGAGAGTCTTGTTGGGCAAAGACGGCAAAAGGTCTCTATAGTTTCAGTAGATGGAACCCTGAAGACATATTCCCTGAAAGTGTACAACATCCTCCCCCCCAGTGCCTCAATTGCGCGTACTGGAACTGAAACACATCAGTATTCAACGGTCGAGACAGCTAGGGCTATGTGTCAGGGAAAGTACTGCTCAGCAGCTGCTATGAACGCCATCACACCAAACTTCATACTGGAGCTGATAGACTGAGGCTTATTAGGTGTGATAAGCTACTATCGCAGAATATGTTTCTTTTAATTAACTCCAGAAGGCCATAGACCACGAAAGAAGCACCAACGGTTTCTGTAGAGAGCTATATGCCGCATTTCAGGAACCGACCAAATTTCATCTTGTTGTGGACATAAGTGCAACCTGGGTCAAAGATAACGATATTGTCAGTTTTCTTATCAATCCCAGCGTTTCTCTCGTGCAGGTCGCCGTGTATCAACGCAGGCGGAAATCCGCGGTCACCCATGCACAAAAACGCCTCACAGTCTAGGGATCACGGTTTAGGTGTTTGGCGATGCTTTTTGGCCACGTACTTCCGCAATCCTCAGTGTATCGAGCACTTTATGACCGTTGTTCCGCCCCCAGAGCCCGAAGGGGAATGGGATAGTTGCAATAGGTTGTACATTCTCTACCATTATCTGATAAGCTCTGCACTTTTTCCTGGTAACAATGGAAGGCGAATGTAAGCGCCCACCCTGATACTCTCAAGTCGAAGAGGATAGTGAACTTGGATGGAGTTCCGGCGCTCATGAAGACAAGATTGACCTTTGCAATAAGTACAAATTATTGAGGCGTATGTAATGTTGGTCCTCGACGCACTAGGAAGTATGACCGACCAGGAAAAACTTTGAGTACTTTCATATTCTTTTTTTCTTCTTCTTTTCTTTTTGCATGATCAGACTGAATATTTACCAACAACGTAATTAGTGCCTTGAGTCTCATCTGATGCGAGAAAGTTAATAACGACGGGCAGTTCTGATGCTTGCTGCACATTCCCATATCTATCTGCCTAGTACTGGCGTAGAGAATAGAGGGCCAAGACTGCCTATTTGATAAACAGCTCTGGTGAGTATGTTCGGTATCTCCATTCAAGAAAGCTATTGAGAAGAACATACCGACCAACAAGAGTTAAGCTAGAGGCCCCCTTTCTTCTCTTCTGTGGAAGTCCAAAAATTGCATTGCTCCTGAATCAGCGCCTCCATATCACTTTTACCACAGTAAGCATACATAAAACATCCATAGCATCGTCTAGTAATGTCTCTTATCTTTCTTGTTTGGCAAAAGTTCGTTTGTTCGGAGTCATCCAGAGTCTACGACTCCCATCACGAGTTGCCTAGTAGCCCGATTTGTTGGAACTGAAGTGGTCAAGGATATGGTTCATTGTGGCGAGAGGTGATTTTACTCTGTGGGGATAAACCTCAGAGGATGAGTGGGTTACAGACGGGCATGGATACTGAATTCAGGGCACGAAGATGTTGGATGACAATATTCCAGATTTGGAGGCATCGGTGAGTTTTGTCAATGAGTTTGAGGAAGATAGAGTGAATGAAGTAGATTGTGATGGAACGAACCCGAAGTTGAGGTTGGGTAAAAGGTAGGAAGCAGAGTGGGTTAATGGGATGGATGAGCTCGGTAAGGGCAGAAGAGCAGCATTTGAGTGTGTTTGGGAGAAGCATAGTCGACCCTTGTCATGGCCTAGCGGCGAGAAAGAAAGGTGAGAGGGAAGAACGGCAGACAGTTTGGTATTGACCTTCGAAGTTTGTTCCAATCGCTATTTTAGGAAGTTGGGGGGGGGGGGGTTCCTTTCTTCTTTTTTCCTTCTTTCTTCCTTCTTTCTTTTGGTCATCAATTCTTTTTTAATGTTTATCTAGCAACCGATTTGCCTTGACGAGGAATACTTCTACTTCTGACCCACAATGGGCGATAATCTAATATATGGGTACAAATTGTTGTACAGTAATCATTTGTAATACAGTCGTTTACATACCGAGTAGAGTTGTTATCCGCTCCCTTTACGTTTTTGAAATCTTTACCTGCTCACAGGTCCTTTCCAGTCCTTGGTGTGATCTAATATAATCTTGGCGGCTGCGTCTGGGCTGTGCTGTCTGCCCAGTGCTTCAACGAAGTCACCCTCTGGGTCCATCAAGTAGAAATAAATACTGTGATCGACCAAGTAGTCCTGACCAGGGGCCACGTTTCTCGGGGTGCTGAAGTAGACTCGGTATGCCTTGCACATGTCCTTGATCTGGTCGTAAGTGCCCGTCAGACCGACGAAGGCGGGATGAAACTCTGCCAAGTACTCCTTGAGCACGTTGGGGGTGTCACGGGCCGGGTCGCAGGTGACGAAAACTGGGAGGACAGCACCGGGGGTCTCGGCCTCGACCAGGTCGAACATGCGGGCCATTTTGTCGAGCTCTTCCGGGCAGATATCAGGACAATGGGAGAAACCGAAGTAAACCTGATGATGTTAGTCACAGATGCCAGCCTCTGGGCGGATTCGAAGACAAGGCAGGAAAAGGAAGGGAAGGGATTGGACTCACCAGACTGTACCTACCCTTCAAATCTGCGCTTGTGAAGGGCTTCCCATCCTGATCGACCAAGTCAAAATCGCCACCGACCTTGGGGGTGCCCACACCCTTTGTGGCCTCGGCGATGCGCTTCCGTTGCATGCGCTCCTTCTCGTACTCGAAATAATAGACCAGACCGGCGCTGGTGCCCACGAACAGCAGACCTGCCTTCCAGGAGAAGGGGCCGGTGCGGTACCTGCTCTTCTGCTCCTCGACGGAGCGCGACTTGAAGCGGCGCTGCTCGAAGGAGGGCTGTGTGGTGCGAAGAGGACGGGGACATTGCTGCTGCGACGATGCCGTGGGGCGGGTGCTCGATGTTGTGGCATTGGCGGAGGTCAATAGAAAGCGCTGGCATTGTCGCCGGGTCTGCTGCTGTTGGGGTCGCAAGAGCGAGCGCAGAGCGCCGGACGAGGGCGCCATGGATCGTGACATGGTTGCTGCGGGCTCGGGGAACCAAGACTGGGACTAAGACCAAAGACTGGGATTGATTGTTTGGACACTGCCGTAAGGTCCAGGAGGGGACGACAGGTGGGAAGTGCGGAACGAATGAATGGTGATTGTGTCGTATGATGTGCCTCTGACTTGAGCTCAAGCTCAAAAATGGTTCCCGCGAAAATAAATTTCCAATTCGGACGGACGATCCGGGGGTGTGCAAGCGGCTCAAAATGATAGCCAAGTTAGGTTAACCAACTTGCATGCAAGTAAGTTAATCTGTCTGTACCTACATAGTACAGAGCAAGCGCCACACCAGGTCAGAAGCTCACGCCACAGCCGGCGGCTTTACACTTGGGCATTGTTGATCCTTTGTCGACCTCACTGCTAATAACGTAGGCCACCACCCGCAGGTTGCCATAGACATTACAAAACATGGCGAAGTATTTACCATGTTACACGATAGACAACCTCCTCATTGTGCATGTGCCGCGTAAGACTGTAGGCAAAGATTGGAGGTGCCGTATGGGCTAGGCCGTGTCGACCAAAGCGGCCGATCGACTACTCATTTCACGTAAACCTTCTTCACATCTGCCGCCAGACTCAGGAACGAGATTCAAAGGTCGCTGAGGAGGCTGGGCCCGTCCCACGCCGAACGATATTACTCGTGCTATATCTACAAATACAAACACCGAGACGTGCAAGATACAGAATGCAGACATTCTGGTCTATCTAGTACACATCTCCCTCAAAACTCCAATTATTACTTGCCATAAATTGGCTGTGGCCCCGCCCTCATGTATTTTCGTCCCCCGCGATTATCCCTCCACCGAATGAATGAAGCCGAAACGATATATGTATGCATACATATACACCAAGTGCAGGTGCCAATCCAAAGGATGATGCCGTGAAATCTGGACAAGAAACGAATTGTGAATAAAGCAAAAACCGATTCCCATATGATGCCAATCCTCAACCTACGCGAATGCCGCCGAATGCCGCCGAATGCCATATAGAAGCTGGCTTTTGTGTTGTTGGTGCTTTCTGATCCATTACTTCTTCTTCCCTTTCTCTCCCTTCCCCCCCTTCTCTCCCTCACTCCCCCTATCTCTCACTGGACATCACGGAGATAGAGAGGATCGCCAGAAGCAAATTACGCCAATCAATTGCAAAGTTCTCGCTTCCAACATGCGCATGTGGTATCTCGACAAAAGTCAAACTTAGTGTATGTGCTCCGCCTATGTTGAAAAGAGTAAGCACCATTGTGTACTCTCTGAAACACCAAAATGCCAAAGCAGTGGTCGTATCATAGACAGTTGCAGATCATGTCAGATCTCTTCTCTCTATAACGAAAGAAGATGTCAAAGATCATATAGACAGGTTGTATTCCAGGTCAGCAATGTGACTCATCTTGGAATGAAAAAGTGACTGAGACGCGACGAGTCGATCCTGTCAAGGCGAAGAGTTCCACAATCAAACACGGCTGACCTGGCTCTGGCTTGCGCTCGTGCGACTGCGCTCCTCCTCTTCCTCGAGAACATCGCTCAGTCTAGTCGGATGATGGTGTCGAGCGCCCCCTACAGTGTCCCATTCGGATGAGCTATAACCCGCCCCCGAGTAATCTGGCCGCGGCTGTGCGCCAGTCGACGTCGGATATTGCGTAGTGGGCTGCGCTCCGGGGGTTTCAAATTCGTCTATTCCAACGTCAGATTCACCATCCGAAGCGGGTGCACGGAAGGGCATCTTGTTTCCTCGGGAGTCTCCGACAAAACGCCCACGTGCATCGACTGGGTACTCACCTTCGCTGTAGGCCCCCTCGGAACCGTAGCTGCCTTGGTGATGAACAGTGGTCGGAGGCTGCTGAGAAGCACCAGTACCAGCCCCGGCCCCAGACGACGATGCGACAACGGGCTGAACAGCTGGCGCTTCAGAATATTCGGGGCGAGAGCTAGACGTCTGTCCATAGTCGGATTCGCCTTGAGCATATGGCTGCTGGTCCCGGCGACTGCTATGGCGGCTGACTCCCTGAGTCATGGGTACAACTTGCACGCCGCCAACAATTGTCGGGTGGCCCTGCTGAAGGGATGTGGTTCTGTCTCGCTCCTCCTGCTCGCGCCGACCGAGCTCGTCCCAGGCACGACGGGCTTCCTCTTTTGAGATTTGAAGTTCCTTGCGCATCTCGCTCAACAGCTTCTGGGTTTTGGAGTTACCTTTCTCTTGTTCTAGGGCTTCACGGATTGCATCTGCTCGGCTGCGACGTTCTTCTTCCAAAGCTGCCTCCAACAATGCTGTAACTTCTTGGTTGCGCTCAATTTCAGTGCGCGTTTCAAAGAACCACCGCTGGAATTTGCGTTCCGAGGAAGCTCTGAGACGCTGGAGCTCCACCACAGCATGGAAAAGGTTTGCGCCGGCGGAAGAGAGATCCGATACGTTACGCGCAAGTTGCTGCGAAACCGGATCAAGGTTAATCTCCTCTGCATTCTGCTTGAGTTTGCGAATCCAGAAACTAGTTAGGCCCTCCCAATGTGCCGACAAAGTCTCCCATCTTTCAAATGCATGAGGGAACGAGTTTCTACCCCGCCCAGCTGCAGTCACGGAATCAGAGGTTGACAAGTGCTGCGATTGTGAATGCCCGGCTGTCGCATCTGCACTAGAAGGTTGTTGTGTCTGATGTGGTGCGGCTGTTTGGCGTTGCGATGGCTGTGCAGAAGCACCTACTGCAGCAGTTCTCGATGGTTCACCTACACGGGGTTCGGCCTCAGGACCTGTACGGCCACTAGGTCTGGTGGTCGTTGCTCTTCTAGACACATTAGAATCGACGCCGCCAGGCAGGTTCTGCCTAAATTCAGGACCCCCAGCTCCAGCAGGGGCTCTTCGCTCAGCTTCTCTCCGATTTGCTTCCTCTAATAAGCGAGCTTCTTCGGCGGCATGTTGACGTTCTGCTCGCTCTCGTTCCTCTCGCTGCCTAGCCTCTCGGGCTGCTCGCTCTTGCATAATCATCCTGGGCCCTCTAATCCCAGATGGTGAACCTGTAGGAGCTCGAGCGGCCGGCATTCTTGAAGATGAGCCGCCGTTGCCATTGGAGGTGGGTATGCCACCGCCCATTAAATCAGCCATTGAGGCGGTTTCCTCGACAAAATCAGAGCTAAGCTGGTGCGGACCACGCAGTAGCTCTTCGAGCGTATACAGAACTGCGCGGTGAGTGCGCTTCGAGATACGGAGGACAGCGTCGGGCTCCGGAAGGTCGAATCTACTCCGGCGATGTTGCGACCCAGGTGAGTCTTCTTCGTCGTTATCCTCACTGCTCAGATCTTGAGAAAGCTTCCGCGGTGGCGGACGAGGTCGCACACGAGCTTTGCCCTTGCCTTTATCTTGGTCGCCAGCTAGAACGTATTGACCTATGGGACCAAGAGTGACAGTGACCTTGGCAGGCGCAGACTCAGGCTCCCGGCGTTTTGGTTCTGCTGGCTTGGGGCTGGGCGTAGCTGAGAAGCGTGGGGTGCGCCGCAAGCGATGCTGTGATGAGGGAGTTTCTGATCGCTGAGCCGGAGTAAGACTTGAAGTACGTGGTGGGGGAGTCTGTATCAGAGATCGGCGCTGCTGGCGCTGGGGTAGTGTAAGTGCAGATGGGTCGTTACGGTCGTGACGGTCGTGAGATATGTTGGGGTTTGGTATCGACAACTTTGCTATCGCGTCTCCTGCAGCCTGGGGAGAAGCTGGAGAAGACAAGTTGTCAACTCACCACGTCTGTGGTGGAAATATTTGGAGAGTCGGTTTATTTAATGACGTATCTTGAAGCTGTAGCTAAAGCTGTACACCAAGTTGAAGCCAGCCAGCTCTGAGAATGACGTGTCCAATTTTCGTGATGGTGGTGGGCTTGGTGCAAAGGCCCAAGGATATCCGGCCAAAATCAGCAGGCAAACGTTGCAAACAAGTTGACACACAGTGAATGCAAAAGTCGAGAGAGAAATTGCTAGGTACACCAGAGTATGTGTAAATGTGGGTGTTTGATGTGGTACCTCTTTGCTGGGATATGTTTGTGGTGATAGAATCTAGGAGGCTGGTCCGGCGCAGGGAAATGCAGATGGCTGGTCAACTCAGTACAAGCCGGATGAGCTGAGCTGATTGAAGAGACCTTGCGCCGCGGCCAATTGACGATACTGCACCAGCTGGAAAACGACCAAAGTAATTCAATATGACTGATGGTGAAAATGCGCTTGTTTTCCCGTGGCGATTCCACACCGACACCGCACTCTTTGCAGAAGCTCTTGAGGCCGCCGCTCTTTGGGCGATCCCAACTGCAATGGCCCTGCCGCCCGACTCACTTTCACTTTCACTGCCGGCCTAATGGTCGACAGCGCCCGCGCTGCCTACCCACATAAATGGGCAATTGGGTTGAGCTGGGTGCTCCAAGAGATTATATGACTCCTGAGGGACTGATTACTCGCATGCGCGCATCCCAATGGCCTCACGCTGTAACAGTCGTGTGAGTTGAAAAGATGAGAAGGCAGCTGAGAATACCGTGGAAGATAGCGGCGGAGTGGCAAGCTTACCGGCGTCAACTGTTCGCTTGCTTCAAGTCGCACGGCCCTCAGCTAACACTTTAAATGGCACTATTGACCAACAGACTTGAACTACGTTCTTCGTTTTTAATCTATACTTCTTCTTTTTTGGTGAAGGGATCCTTGGCATAAGTGACATTCAAGACAATATCACTGGCCCATTACTCTCATGTTTCCGACTTGTCTAAGTTAGCCAGGTACCAATCTCAATCTGGGGCTGTTGTGATCGTGCCTTTGATGGTTCATCTCATCAGTGAGAACTAAGTAACTGCCTGAAGGTAATAATTTGGGACAGCCATAACGTCTTCTTTCCAGCTTGTACATCACATCATATCACAGTCCTGGGCTGCACATTCAGCTAAAGTCATCTCTGGTCTGAATATCATGCTATTGCAATCGAATCCCCAAATCACCTGTGAATAGCTGTCCTCTTTTTCAACATAACATTTGCCATGGTGGCAAATCATCATTGTACTCACAGTGCTTGAGAAAGACAAAACATACCACTTCCTTGTTCTACGGCGCAGATAACCAATAACGGGAAGGTCGGCTGCAAATTGAGATGTGTGAGTTGGCAGATGGATTCCTGCAAGCCTCACGGTCGCAACCAAGCGAGGTAAGCGACGCAATCCCAACCCAACGGCCTGGATCCCTCCATCCCTCCAGACACCAACCCGATGTTGGTTGCTTCTCCGCAAACAAGAGCCTGGAACTTGGAATATCATATCAGGGTCCTCCTACGGAATATACTCCACCAAATCACTGCAATGACAAGTTTTTACTGAGTGCAATCCAAGAGACCTCTTTTGCTCAGGCTATCGCTACTCAAGGCCCTGAGAGACGCCACAACACAAATTCATAGCCACAAAAGTTCAGAGGTTTCGTGAATTGAAAAACAAGATTGAACTTCCGTTTTACAGTTTGTAATCGTTCACTTTTTCCGTAGATTCCAAGACTAGGTGGAGCATGACGAATCTAGATTTCATTGGGTTGGGAACTCCCTAGCAGCCACAACAAGGACGGACCATTGCAGGTGCGTGGCATGGCGTGCAGGACTCCGCGTGTACCCATTCTGGAACTTCGAATAATTCTAGCTCTGAAATTCAATGTACGCGACAACTGACGCGCAAATGGACGAAACGATTTCTGAAAAGAATGTGTCATCTTTCTAAGGGCTCTTTGACAGGAGCAGCATGGATAGCTAGAAACTACCCTAGCTTGCAAAGGAACGACCCGTCCCTCTTCCAACTTGTGCTGGAGCCTCTTCTCGTAAGCCCAAGGACTGAGCCATTGGCCAATCAGGATCTTCATTACGCGTATTGCCAAATGAGAGTTTCGCCCACGCATCATCGGCTTTCAATCTTTCTAGACTACAGCTGCAGAGAGAGATGCGTTCATCGGACTCAGATTTTCGATATCCTCATGGGGACTTCACATCTGACGAGAATGACTCGGATGGCTCTGATGATGCAGCAGTACAGTCACTTTTTTTTTTTTTTTTTTTTTGAAACGGCATTACGCAAACTGTGCTGAGTTATATGTCGCACGAACTAGATGATGGCGAATGTCTGCCCTCAAGTTGCGAACCCAAGACACAAGATTCTCTATATATTATGTTGATTTTTTATTATCATCCGGAAGGCTTCCGTCCCCTTGTAACCTGGCACTGGTTGTGCAGAACCTTGTCAGACACGGGAGGATGCTTGACGGGCGCTGAGCCGATCTGCAACATGCAGAAGTGCATGGTGTATTGTTAATGGCGTATCATCATAGAGCTTTTTGGATACCATATCTTCCAATCTGGCGATTTGATATCTTGGGAGCAACATGTCCTCGAATTACTCGCCATCATTGTTAATTTGTGGAAATGTCGAGAATCGCCATGGTAGAATAAACCATCGAGGAGCATTGCTCATGTGCCACAAGTGTTATAGGAGCTCACAGTTCCTACCATGTTGAATATCTACAACGGCACATCCTGAGGCTTCATCAATACTTGTATTTCTATTGGCCATTTTATCGTAGTGCCATACATGACTGTAGCTGCTTCAAGAAGTAGCGCGGCGTCACATTTTGTTATCCTTATCGTTGCGGTAATTCATCCGAGCACCAACTACAACGATGGCTCGACGAAGATATTTGTGAAGTCTTGGGTTCTTCATCTTCTGTCATGCCGCAAGGGAGCTGCTTTACAATCAGAATCATGAAGGTCTCAAGGGCCTTTTGACCAACGAGCTCAGATATATCTCAAAATTTAGCACAATGACCTCTTTCTCTAGACTCAAGTACTTGAAGACCTCTTCACGAGTGGGCACTGCAGTTTGTTGCGCGAACTATAGGAGCCACAACCAAAGCATCATCATGGAAAGAAGATTTCATGAAGAAAAAAAAAAGAAAAAGGTGACAAAATAGGCCACCACATATGGCAGAGTTGTGTCGAGACTCTCAAGCCACCAAAATCTAGATCTCATGAGCAGCCTATCGGACAGAATCCTACTAAATCCCCACAAAACACACCGGCGCAGGACATAATATCGAATCAAAACATGGCAAATGAGACATGTTTGGTCACAGCCGAATACTAGATTCGGCACCTGATTGAATCATTCCCCAGTCGATCTTGGAATGACAGGACCTACCCTATTCCGACCACTCATATATTGTACTCGCTTGGAAATTCCGTTTCTCCAATAAACCCTCGAGCAATCTCAAACCGTGAATTAGTGCGGTTTTCGCCCGGATTTACATAGCTTACATTTGAGCTCTAGGTAAGTCACCGAGAAATAGTTTGAAGATTTCTGGAAATCTTTTGCCCAAAACGTTGAGCCCAGGAGACTTTATGCTGTGAGTTTTGAGCTATACTCAAACACAGCATCGTAGCCTTGTTTATAAATGGACCTGGCAAGTACTGGTAGAGTTTCAGCGTAATGGGTCGCAAGTGTCCGAGGACTCATGGAAACCATTCTGTCGAGACTCACCTCCGCTTGAGCTCCGCCCTTAACATGGCTTTTGAGGCTGAACGGACGCGCCGTTTGTTCCACCCGCCCGAAAGCACCCTCAACTCTGCTTGATGGGATCCGAAGTTGGCGACTAGGCACGTATTTGAGTTTCAAAGTGCCCTTGACTCGAAGTATTTAAAGGACTAGCGACACCTGACTTCCTAATACCCCTAACAGGAAAAGCTTAACAATTGCGGTATAGACCCTCAAGCAGGCCGCAGGTGCTGATCACAAATCTAGTCTTGGCGCTTCACGCGCATCACTGTTGTCGTGGTATGGGTTGCACGCAGCTTAGAATGATCAATACTCACATGACAACCCGGATCTTGCGTAGCAGACGACAGTTTTGCAGGATCTTCAGTCGCCCATACAACCCACCGCATAACACCTCAGTATATTGCGAATTCATTTGGACCAGATACTCCTCAACAGCACGACAAAAATCTGATATATAATTATTGAGAATCATGATGGGGACTATTGATGACCGCAGGATGGGACCGGCTTGATGTGTATCATACCAAATTTTCTAAATTGGTACTTGGCATAGAAACCAGGATCCAGATATGACCAATATGATCCAGATTATGCATTGGTCCGGCACAAGCTCAGACCCCGACCGTTTAGAATTTGCAGACGATGCAAATCCAGGCGTAGCTCAGGCCGGCTCCCCATCGAAGGACTATTGACAACGGCCCATCAAGAGCCATATTCCTGCGGGTTGCTGTGGGAGGAGCCGCACCAGATGGACAGGACATTGATGGTATCTGCATTTTACACGGAATGTGTCTGATGTTATGGGGCCCATAGTAGTACAATACAGGTTCAATCCTTGTTGATAAACACACAGAAAGTCCTGTTTTGCAACTGTTGGCACGCCTAAGGTCGAAGTTATTGTCTTACAATCGACGACTAAGATAAGGGTGCATGAGTCGGATGGGCGGTTGGACGGTTGAAGTCACAGATCTACCCTGCAGTAGAGGGGTCCCTCTCGGTCAAGCTTGGGTAGATTTTAGGATTGTCCGATTGGTCACATGTACCGTATTCAACTTCTACTAAATAGAGAAAAGCGGTTCTGGGGTCATGCATTCGAGCCCTCTGTTGCGTACCACGGCATTGGGTTCGATATGTAGCTCTTGAGCTGAGCTCGAAGTCGGTCAAGCAGAAATACAATAGCCCTGCATCGAGTTTACTCATTGATTGAATCAAGATAGGAACTCTCTTGACTGGAGAAGCTTTTTTCTGGCTATTCTATGGACTTGGCGGTTCCGTAACAAGAAGCAATTGCCGCGTTTCAAAAAGCAAAATGCAACGTGCCGCTGCGCGAGGTCTCTAATGGTGCTCGCGGCTCATCCTAGCGCACACGACTATCCGCAGGACCTATGTAGGTACGGAGCAGTTTTGAGGGGAAACATGTCGACTATTTGCATTCATGTTTTGTGACAGCACGACTATGACATGACAAGTCAAGGCACGAACAGTCCGTCGATGAGCTGTTACATCTCGAGACCGATCAAACGACACGCCACAAGCAAACCTCAAACAAGGCTTCCGGGTTTGTCATGTAACGGGGAATTTCCTTTCATCGTGATTATGACGGAAGATCAGCACGCGCTAAGTAGCACAATCCAGCCGGCAGTCATGGCGAACAGCCGCGTCAGAGCCGCCAGAAGAAAAGCACCGAACCGACCTGTACATCGCAAGCATAATAAATCCTGTCGTTATTCATTCAGCGTGTTTCACAAAATTGCTTGTCAAGCTTGTGCAGCAGTTTGTGCCCGCGGTGACGTCGAGTGTCTCGGTGTTTCGGGGCTGTAACCAACAACTGGGCATATATTCCTCCCAGCCCGCGGCTCAACGACCGGCGGCTTAGCGTAATGCAAAACATGCAGGAACAATTTGTGTTCCTGCTTCTGAGCAACATCCTTGCAGCTGTGCTTATGTACATAGTATACTTAGGCAATTTGGTGCTTGCCGTATTCTTCTACTAGTAGAGATGGCCGGCTGATCTTGACTAGTTGGCGCTATCCCTCACGATGCAGGGCCAGGATCTGGTGCAGACAAGCGCGTTTCTCCTTCTGTATCTACTAGTATGTAAATGTGCGCCTCATTCTTCTAGCCTTAGTTTCCCTGATCTTATGTCTCGAGACGTTGGAAAGACACACTTCCACTAGCTGTGCTGCGAAGCATGAATATTTCCGCGGTGGCTGGAATGGAAGCCAGAAAACGACCCCCGATACATTCTTCCCGGTCTACCTACGAATAAGGTTTGCACAAGGCACCTTCACAACTTGTTTGTTCGCCGAAACTCCCCTGTTGGTTCTACGGCCTGTATATCCGTCGTCTCATATCCCATGTTTACCTCGTTCGGACTCAGCAGAACATTGTTGATGCGCTGCAGCAATCGTGTGCATCGTCTGTTACAACTGCTTCCCCCAAGACCCGCCGCCACACCGGAGTCAGCGGTCGTTCTTCTGTGCATACAACTGTCGTGTTGCATTCCGGGTTTGGTGGCGTGAGTACTTCTACTGCCAAGGGCGCGGATTGGAGGCATGGGCGAGACACTTGAGAGGGGCGAATCACTGGAATCCCCCTTGCTGTTGTTATGCATCTTGCACAAACATTTTTGCTTCAAGCCGGTTCCGCCCACTGCGCCCGTCTGAACGGCTCCACCAAGCGTCAAGGAAATTCCTTGCCTGTTGTTACCCAACTCAAGCTGTCCCTCGTGTTTTGTTGACGATCGCACGAGCAAATATTCTACTTCCCCGCTGTTTCTCAAGTCTCTCGGAGGCCTAGATATATCTTCTTAGCTGTTCCTGGCTTCTAGGTCTCCACCCAACATCTAGTTCTCGACCCTAGTGTCTTGGTAGATCACCCTTACACGCTAGGCTATCCTCTATAAACCTGTATAACCCGTCATCTGGACTTGCCTTTAAGGCTCAATCCATTTGGATAACCAGAATTTCTCATTTCAAGCATATCCAGCCTTCTCGAGGAATCCCAACAACAACTTCGTCATGATGGAACACAAGCAAGTAGAGTCTCACACCCCACGAGGTCATATGAAGAGCGACAGCGTGACATCGCAGTTGGAAAGGCCTGCCAGTCGATATCAACTAGGGAAGAACTTCTCTTATCCTCGACCAGACGGAAACACCATTCGCCATGAGACTTCCGACAGCAGATCGTCCGTCAACTCTAATGGTTCCGTGCCAGGGATGACGGACAGCTCTGACTCTGATGGGTCGGGCGACGACGATTACCATTACAACACTTCTGCCAGTCGACTATGGGACAGTTTCTGGCCGACAGCAACAGAAAAAGAACATCCAAATCAGACAGCGTCAAACGTGATTGATCGGCCACCGCAAAGTACAAACTCGTTCAGTCTTGACTACTGTACCGCAACACGCGACGAGGATCCAGAGGATGATACAGTTACCATAACGCAATCAGTGCAGAATGCGTCAGAAGCAAGGTCAAACCAGTGGCCACTGTCAAAATCATCACATCTACAACCTGCACCAAAGCTGGCACGAAATGCAGTATCATACTCTGTTTACCCGAAGCCAACACCACTACCGACTCGGATCACACTCCCACCAAGAACTTCGTCGCTGACTTTGGAAGCTAACCTTCGACCATTGAAAGGCAGCAAATCCAATGGTAACATAAGTTCAAGGACCTCAATCCCCAGTCTGTACTTGACGCCTCCACCGCCAATCACCATGACAGTCACAACACAAGAACCACCAAGGCCTGCCCCAGAGCCACCAGCTGGCCCTCCACAGAGACTACGACAAGCTACATCTGCCTATAGCATCCGGGAATCGTTGCACTTTAACGCTACTGCACCACTGGTGCCGATGCCTCCTATTCCCGATCAGCTTAGGTCAGCACCTCCGCAAATCGAGCACTTCGTCTCGGTCTTTGAGTTTGACTCGGAAACTGAAGACGACGGAGAAAACACTTTCGCCAAACGCATCGCCCGCGGCCTTTCTCACAAGAAGAGTGCCAAAGAACTGGGTTCCAAGAAGGAGTCTCACAAGGGCCACAAGAAGAGCGTCAGTGAGAAGAGTGCTCTCAGTCCCAAGAAGAACAGCTCTGTTCTCGACGAGTCGTCAAGTCTGAGCCGCAAGAGGGGCGGTTCACTTGGCCGCATGCTGCTCTTTAAGAAATAGGCAGTGCTCGATGATGCAAAAAAGGTTTTATTTGCAATTGCCCGTCTAATTTCTTTTTCATTTCTCTGTCTCATTATCATCCCTACTACAAATTTTAACTCAGCACGTTGAACGTGCACATTGTAACATAGATGCCTGCATTGGGATGGAATCAGGAGTACGCATTCTGATACACGATTTAAGTCGTGTCTATGGAGTCGAGGACTATGGAAAGCTACGTGTACACGTTTGGCCAATAATGATGTTTCATACCGGGTGGCAGAACTAGATTGTTCGGTTTCTTTACAGCAAACGGCGCCAGGAAATTGGGAAAATGGGAGGCATGGAATTGATCCGGAGTAGTGGGCGTGTTACTATTGATGCATGCATATACCCCCAAGACTCACGAAGACTGGAACTTGATTTGATTTATTGTATATATCTCTCAATGCATTAGTATAAACATACAAACTGGCTGCATTAAACCTACGGATCCTTTTACAAGGTCAATTTCCTCGTGCCGTCTCCTCGTGCCGGGCTTTCGAGGTATGGACTTTCCCCATCATTGAGTGGTGGTTGCTCCCCCTTTACGAACCTTTTGCGGCTCAACACCTCCTTGCTATACAGTTTGACGCCATTCCCACATATGCTTATCCCATCAAACGTTGCTTCTAGTAGTTGCTGTATTTAGGGTTTACCTCCACCGGCCCAAACTGTATACTACGGCGGGGCTTACTCTGTTCATTTCCCCCTTTCAACAACAACAAAAGACCCCCCGAGCCCATGGCTCAGAAGAGAACGAAAGCCCCGAAAAGGAGAGAATTCTCCACCGTGCTCAAAAAAAGGCCATTCAAGACAATTCCGGCAATCGTGGACGATCATGACAGCCGAGGACAAATTTCGAGACATATACACATGTCAGTTGACGGGGGGCCGGATAGACGACGAGTTGGATGAGTATAGCATCGCCGTTTCATCTAATGCGAGCAGCTGAGTAGTGGCTGAGTGGGAAACAAGCCTAAAAAATACCCTGCATAACACATGCCCGGTACCTAGGTACGAGCGATGATGATACCCTTCCCCATAATCTCAGCCTGCAGGCAGCCGGAAACGGCAAATAGGAAAAAAGGTGAAGCAGCTAAACGTCATCGTGCAGGCAGGGGCCTTGATCCCTACGTGCATCGCATCTGTCAAACCTGCACCTACATACATGACGATGAACTCTGTTTTCCTCCTAAAAAAAAATCGGGGTTCTGAATCACGGCTTACAAGCTTCCAGACCTGCATAAGGCAGAAGCGTAAAGAAACGCACAGGCCGCGGACTGTTGATTTCTACGTAAAGGGAAAAAGAAAGAAGAAGAAGAAAAGGATCTTCTGTCAACCTCAAGCTCCAAGCCCCATCTCCACAACTGTATCGGCCGTTGTGGACGGAGTGGAGATCGTTTTCCTTTTTCTGTTCTGCATCTTTCATAAGTAAGTTAGCTCAGGATGCGCCATCATCCGTTTCTACTACAGTATGTAGTTACTGCACAAAACTGCTCCACATCAGTCAACGGAAGGCAATGAAGAAGGGGGGGACCGCTTATGCATCCATATCATGTGGTCTAGATTGTAGCTTAGGGAGATAAGTCGCATATCAAACAAAACACAGCCTCACAGAGAGATACGGAAAACTTTTGGACGTGTGATGGAGAATGCGAAACTGCGTGCAGCACACGTACAAGCCGTGTTTTCTTTCTCTTTCGCTTTCTTTCCTTCTCTCTCTCTCTCTATCACTAACTACTACACCATTATAAACCCATACACCCATTATGCGTAAATATCGTGGACCAAAAATCAAAAGCGCCGTTATCATGCATATCTCGTTAATCCGTGGGGTTCATTCGCTCATCCTTGAGATCCGTGAAGATGTCTCCGTACAGTATAAATTCCATCCTCCCTAAAAGTTCCAGAGAAATTGTGTAAAAAGTTTTAGCGCGAGGCAGGCAAAATACCTCTCCAAGTATTGTGTGGCACATGTTAGCACTGGATGCTCAGTGCTAGATCATCGTCGAATTACCCTTTGGCACCGGTCTTGAGATAGCTCGGCGCTGTGTCTCCTCGAGGTCCCTCTCGAGTGCCCTTCTCAGAGCTTTGCCGGCAGCGTCGCGCGTCTCCTTTGCTCGCTGCTTTGTGGCAGCAACATGGGGAGTGTCGCCAGTGAATTTGCCGTAGCGGCGGATGCCCAGTGTCTCTTGCTTGCCAGAACCAGTACCGAAAATCCATCTGCTTTGCTCTGCGTTGTCCCTGTAGACGCCCAGCTTCTGCTTGAGTAGCCTATGACCCTGTGTGCTTTCGAAAGCTGGGTCTGCGCGCAACTCTTCGGCGTAGCAGAAGCTAATGATCTCGTTGAGGCAGGTGACTGCATGGGGCAGACGAAATTGGTCTCTCTTAAAGATTATAGAGATGATTCCGAACAGCGTCAGTATCAATAAAGTGAGAACCACGCTGAGGACGGCCACGTTGGGATACATGCGAACGACATGATCAGTGGCAGTCAGCGCCATAAACATACCACCAGCCAAGACTGGAACGAGAATGGATAATGTCGATAGTAGCGAAATAAGCGCTACTCTCCAATGACCGTGCCTGCAAGCCTTCCAAGTCGACTCTAGTGGCAAGCATGCCGCATAATCCAGCAAGATTGAGTTCTTAGCCAAAGAGCCATCTCTATGAGAAAGCTCTCCCCAGGGCGTCAGAATTCGCAAGGTCAAGTCGAGTGACTGGAACAGCAGAAACACAACCATTCCCAGCAACGACGGTAGGAACGAATATAAGAAGTCGGCCGCTGAAAAAGCACCGGGACCGGGTGCAGCGCTCAGAAGAGGGAGAAATCCATGACGAACGTCCGTAGCTGGGTTGAAGCAGACAACAAATAGGACAACGAGCAGTATCGTAGCTGAAACAGCCCAGAAACTGATCTGAGTGTCCCGAATGCACCATGGAAGATAGCGAGTACGTACGTCTCCGCGAAATGGCATAAAGTTTGGTGGCACACCACGCGGTCCTTTTTCATGAACTGGGTCGCCCAGTGATTCAACTTTTGCCTTCTCTTCGTTTGTTGAGACTCCTATGCCATACCAGAGGCTTGAATCGGGCACATCCGGGGATCGCCAGTATCCAAGGCGCTCAATGTTGTTGTACAGCATGTGTCGCATGTCATTCCTCTTCTCGGCCGTCTCGGTTCCTGCGTACTGTTGAACGGAGTTGCTCGGGGCTAATAAGACAATAATGTCCGCAAGAGACCGAATATCCCAGTCAGGTACCAAACCTGTTCTCCTATTATGCCAATAAATAATCAGGAGAACGGTTGCCAGTAACATCGAGAAATACAGGGCGACGAGGAACCAAGCCACTCCTTGTACCGTCGACCATGTCCAAACTTGGCCGACATAAACCACAGTAAATACACAACTTTGTAAGGGTATCGTAATGTTCAAAATCCAAGTAATAACAATGGGTATCCAGACTTGCCACGTGCTGATGAGCTGTGGCCAAAGAAACGATTTTGGGTATAATGGCAAAAAGCCCACATTGCGCCGCGAGCGTAAGTCGTCGGATGCGAGCGCTGAAAAGGGCAGGATTCTGAACACTGTGGTAATAACATTTTGGGCGTATAGTAATAGAACAGCAGCCAAGAGTTGCGGAAATATTCGGAACAAGAAGTAGTAGCCGTCGTATAGTGTGCCGCTGTAAACCGTCAAACCATTGTGACGTTCTGAAAAGATGGCCGCGAACATCAGCGCCGCGATCATTAGCACGCAAAGCGCTGCCAAGAGTGAAAGCGACTGTATGCGCAGAATCCAGGGCCTGTACGTTAATGGCGGGTAGCTGGCAGCCTTCTCGGGATCCGCAAAGTTGTCAGTCTGGGATTGCCAGTTGATAACATCCCTGGGAGATCTTTTTGGCGAAGCTGCTGCTTCAAGCCGGTCGAAGTGATCCAGCATCCGCAGCCTGTCACCAGGCCCGCCTGCTTGGAACCCAGCCGGGATCTCCGGGGAGTCTGAATAAGGAACCCTTACGACACCTCCTGAAAGTGGTCGCAGCCGGCTTGATCGACGGCCAAGTCGCGGTTCCGGATGTAGTCGGTTTTCTTGTCTCGAGCGTCGCAGGGCGGCAAGTTCCTCGTCGGGACTCGTCAACTCCCGCGCTTCTAGTTCCGGAAACCCAGAGTTCACGGGCAAATATGACTGGGTTGGCTGGAAGAGACCCGGTATCGCTGCAGGAAGGTAGCGAAACACGGGGTTTGTCCCTTCGCTACTAGACGAATAAACAGCCGAGACATCGCGCTCGTCTTCACGGGGCTGGGTCATGGTCTCTAATGCATATTGTATGAACGGGGTGCTGTCGATACCCGGGGTAACTGACTTCTCCACTTCTCGGACAAGGTCGTTCTTGAAGTCGGAGACGGCCCAGTCGACTGGTGGGTGGACGGCCATGGTTACTTGTCGGGGATCGAAACGTACTAATGGACGGGGATCTACGGGCGGTTGAGCAACATGATATGTGGCTGCCGGTTGTTGAGTCTGCTGGGCTTGCCGAGTTCCTCGAGTCTCTTGAGGAAATAGTCGGTCTGGCCCGTCTAGCTCAGGAGTTGAGGGAGGAGATGGGACGTATGGCACGATAGTCGGAGGTGATGATGGAGAAGACTCGTGTCGGAACGTCTGTTGTGTAAGCGGGGCGTGGAGGACTGTGACTTGTGATGCGGTCGCTGCCGCTGGAGGTGTTGCATTGGTAGAGTTGGTTGTGTAGGTCTGGTTTGGATCTATTGAAGGGAGCATGAGTGAGCTGCACCTTTTACACCGCAACTATGATGAGGGAAATGACATACGGTTTTCGTTGACATAGTCAGGGCCGGGGCCTTGGAAGTTCATACTTGCACACGTCGTTCTACTGCAGGCTCAACTCCACCTGCGATTCGGAACCAATTGCTAGTACAATTATAGCGTCTTGCAAATGCAGGATTGCGGAATGCATAATGGAAAGTTGCAGAAATGAGATATGGTTGAAAGATTTTGTTACGTTGTCAGTGAGGTGGGAGGCTGGTGACCAGGGGCAAACATGCGAATAGAGGCAGAATTCCGATGGTTGGGCATCGCGCACCCAACCACCCCCATATTCAATAGCCGGCAAGCATATGAAACGACGTAACAAAGACGCACGGTGGGAAGACCGGCAATAGCACCAAAACCAGAGTACAGGCCTGTCCAATTGGTAAACATGGTGGTCCCAGTCGATCAATACCGACATGTCGATATCGTAGTTCTACATTGTAGTTGTACCACAAAGTGGTTACATTCGACGCCGTGACGAATGCTATGAGCATTAGTGGGGGCGCCAGCTCCCGGGAAAAGCGAGCAGTGGTGGGGTCCAACTTGAGATCCAGCTAACCTAGAGCCGGGAGCTGCAGTAGTCCTGCTGTATACCCCAAAACACCTCCGATAAGTATATCTTGAATGGGGTTCATGTATTAACTAACCTAGGTTAACCTGAAATCCTCTCTACACTCAAATACGTTCAGCGTCCCCCAGCTTTAAGCTATTCACTGCCAGCGACCTATAAAACCACTTTCCGGAGCTAGATCAAGTTGGTAACTGTTGAATGATATGACAGGTATATTAAAAGTTGCCAGCGAACTGAAGAGGTGCTCCCTCGCGCGACCTGTTCTTGGGTTCCACGAGCATCAACATCCTCATGTACGCGTCTTTTGTGATGACTTTTGCATTGCCTGGCGTTTATCTGGCTGGCTTGGATTGCTTGATCAGAGTGTTGAGATACACCGGTAGAGGGTACACGTTCACAACCTCGACGCCACCCTACATCGTGGATATGATCAAGGTGCTGCTCGAAGACATTGTCATCTACTACGACTAAGAGAACAGCATCGATATGTGGTATCTCTCGAGAATTGAATCCCCATATCGATGCTTGACATAACATGCTATCGATAGACAGTGATCCAATTCCCGATATCACTGCATGTCTTTGACGTCGAGGTTCGTTGGGTGTGTTGTCAAGAACTCTCACCCACACGACTTCTTGATAACTAGATAGGCTATATTTAACGGTAACTACAATGTGTAGTAGTAACATGCTACGTACTACATAGCCTACTAAATTAATTCAACTCTCATCTTGAAATAAACTAGTGCCAAGCTTCGGTACCTCACACCAGCTGTAAAAGACGTAGCAGATTCCAATTGCGACACCTTCTGTCTTGGCAGCAGCCCTTCCGTTGTTCCCGGACGGCCCGACCGGCTGTGATGTAAATATGCCTACCGGGGTGCCGGCCCCCGTTGCCCCCGATATGATCCACCAGTAATCATGTATGCGATATCAAGATCATGGGCGACGAGCCTCACGGTTGCCTACTTATGTATACATCGTATTCCGTGCTCGCAACTCACTCTTCGCCCAAGAATGACACAGAACGCACAAGAGGACGAGGTTGAGCATACGCTCCTACGATTCAGTATGGGTGTACGCTATGGAGAGCTGGCACACAGCGCGCGGCTGATTTGTATGACTTGGGGGTTCGCTTGTGGAAGAAAAAGTATTTCGTGGACATTGAGCAGCAACTCTCGCAATTTGTTGTTTTGGAGTATTCCACAGTTCATCGATTTGACGGGAGTTATCTCGCATCTAGAACCCCATCTTTGGTATTCAAAAACCAATCTAGTACGTATACATTGACTATGCCCCCCCCCCCCAACTGTGTCACCCGCACAGCTTGACCCAAAATTCCTGGTTTTATCTAAGAGACCATGTGTCAAATTCCAAATTTATTGGAGGCTTGTACGAACTGCTCCTGATGGGCCTTCCGAGACATACAACTGCACTTACCTCGTCGACTGAGAAAATAACGTTGTTGGTAATCACGAAGGCCCAATCGCAAACGCTCCCAGCCTGTTTGAAGCTGCTAAGAAACGATGGGATAACAGCGCGGCATATGAGACGTTTAGCAATGAACTTCGTAAATTACTCTTCTGCACCGATAATACTATGAAAAGGCCACCAAGATCGTCCGCTTTGGACTTGGTGACATGAACAGAAACCCCCCCTGACTAATCGAGGCATCAAAACAAGGAAAAGCCGGGAGAAGAACCGGAGCTCGAGACAAGTGTTATAAATGGGGCTCTGACTGATCATGCGATCGCATTAACAATGCACGATATCATCAACACTCTTTCAAGTATTGGAAACGCCGATGGCGTAAAAGTAAGATCGTTCACGCACGATCCAGCCTATTCGCAAGAGACGCAAGACGTAATACACCCACTAGGCTTTGAAGTGGTTGGGAAGTACGGTGCTGAGGGTTTCACCGAATTAGACGACGAACGTGTTGTATTTGCACCCTTTGTTCAGGCACCTGTTTTCTCAAATTGTTGCAGATTTGGCGAGGCCAGTGATAATCATCTGCGCAGAACATCAAGGCTTGGTGTTTAACGAAAAGGGGCACCTTCCCTAGTCGCGCCATTGATAATAACAGGAAGGTTGCTGACACGTGTCTGCAGAAAGCCTTTTGCCAACGCAGAATCGCCAAGAACAAGACAGATGTGGCGAGAACACTCTGCTTCAGATTTTTCACTCGCCTCTCATACCATTGGTGCGAAGAGCTCACTTAGGTAGCTGAAAATGTATACCAAAGTTGAGGAGGCTGCAACGGAAGGGGTTGATGCAGTGCCAAGCGCAATTGCCAGCTCCTTGAAGGTACATGAACCCTATTACACTACAGAAATGTAAATAAATGACAACTAGGAATTTTTTTCATACCATAAAACTTGACGGCTTATTCATTAGGCGCGTGGAAATAATAAGGGTTGATCAAGTCCCATTACTACAGCTTCAACCATGTGAGTAGCCCATAGGAACCTATAATGCTTTTCAAACAAGCGCAAACGGCGCGTTTGACCCACCAAAATCTCAACGAAAACTAGATATTTATTAGCGATAGGCGGGAACTAGGGGTTGGATACTTGTTCTTAGTAGCTGGTGATATTCTGGCTCTTGTACAGCATGCAGCATAGAGATAAGTAGAGGCTTGTCGTCGGCGGTCCCAGGATGTCACCAAACTCAGCCGGCGTAGAATTCGCCCGTTCCAGACACTCGACGAGAACACGATCTCACTCCTCGATGCCGATGCAGTATCTACCTACGCTGCTGCCATCACACCCACTTGTCTCCAGACACTATCAATTTGATGCTCTAAATCCAACCTACCCGGGCATGTGTGGATACAATATAGAATTGCAGTGCGGTGTCTACAAGCCAACCAACATGATCTCTAATTATTTCCTAAGAGTCAGCAGAAGTCGGATATCCCCGCGCTGTATCAGTAGCGTCAGTGCAACGGGGACTATCTGAATACGACCGGTATCTACAACTGCGGCACCCCCGACGTGGCCGCCAATGGCAACAACGTCGCCATCGACCTCTGGGGGAGGCTGGGCACCCAGGGCGGCACGAGCGTATCCGCGCCCATCTTCGCGGCGCTGGTCAAGCGCGTCAGTGAGCAGATGCTCACGGCCAGCAATACCTCGGTTGGGGTCTAGATATCTGGTAATGTTCATAGTTCGTATGTGTATCAGTACATAGATATCAAGTCACAACCAATAAACCATATTCGAGATGAAGTCGGCGCACGTGACAAAGAAAGCTGCTTCCTTGATTGCCCCCCTGATCTAGGCGCAAATCTGTCTAGTTGTTGGCAAACATGTTGTTGCAGATGTTTTAGGCAAACTGTCGACACAAAAATTCTCCGTGTAACATGAACTCGGACATTACTGATCTGACCATGTTTCGCCCATGTTAACCCATATTATCCTCCTATCTTTCTCCTTTGACCACGTCCCTCCCCCGCTCCCCGGCCCTGACAAATGTTCTCGGTATTGTCAATCTTCCGTACTTGGTGTAGTGAAGTATGAGCAATGATATCTTTCGGGTTGGTGGTATCATGGAAGCTCGTAGAGTAAGGCGCATGGGGGAAAGAAAATCATAAACTTGCGTACGGTATAGATTGCATATTTTCACATGCGGAAAAGTACACGATCGGTAGTGATTTGAATCACAAAATTGATTTCACGAATTACTGGAAAGACCAGATTGACCACCTGTGTTACTGATCGTGATTGGGACCCGTCTCTCCCCTGAATGCCTTGGGTCCATGTCCTGCGTTTCCCATATGCCCAACTGGAATGACACGGTTGACCCGTCTTTTTTTGACTAACCGGCTCCCAAACCCTCAACAGAAGAATTCCAAATCAAATCAAATCAAGCCAGGCCTTGTTTCTTAAAAGCCTGCTAACCCCGAACGCCATCGCCAATGCTCCAAACTGTAGCTGTCATGGCCACTTGATTGTAGTCTAGTAATTAATAATGTACAGGAATTTCTAAGTGGACAATAATAATGTATTTGCGGCAAGTTTCGTCTAATAAAGTTCGTAAGGATAAATGTGGGTATCGAGTAAGGGACAGGAAGGAATCGCAAACTATTAGATTGCGTCGAATGATCCCGGAATCGTAATAGAAAGCCGCTTGATGCCATCTATCTCGGACTCAGGTTGATCGACTGAAAGAGATTGGGTCGAATTTCTTGGGTTCGCTTCTACCTCGGTGACTTGTGGCTTTTCGTCGTGGTCAAGGCCTTGTGTTGCTGGCTGAGCAGTGGAAACGACATCATGTTCCTGTGGCGGCGGGGTGTGCGCATTCTGGTCAACGACTGGCGGCGTGGTAGTCTTCTCCGTGACGTCCGAGGACGTCTCTGGCGTGAGAACATGCGTCGTCGCTTTGGTTTGTATTTCATGGCTGACGCGCGGACTCTTCTCGCCGATACTGCCGGCATGCATTGCGTGTGCTTGGGCAGCCGGAATAACACCGCCTCCTATGCGACTCCAGAACATCTGCTCCCTCAGTCGGACGCTTTCTTCCCAGGCTGCACGCTCCGCATCGGCATCGTCGGCTCGCCAGTGACCATCCTTGACAATACGCAGAAAGCCCAGGAAGTCGCAAGTAGATCGGAGACGGGTCAAGCAATACTTGCAGAGAGGATAACGCTGTGCAGATTCAGACTCGCTCGTCTTGAAACGGTGCATGCGGAGGTGAGGAGTATCCCTACGACTCTCACCACATAACGAGCACGGGTAGAACTGAGGCTTGGTAATGTGCGCAAAACTGCTGTTCGTGGGTACCGGCTCCACCACCATGTTCCCTTCAGTCATGGCAGTGAGCACGGATCGGCGCGCAAGCCAGGATAGACCTGGTGCGATATCGAGGCGCAACGTCGGCTCTATGTCCTCAGCAAGGGCCCTTTTGAAGAACTTTGTCTCCTTTAGGGGTGGCAGTGGCGCAGCAGCAGCAGAGGAGCTACTCAAGGCTGACGCGGGCGTATTCGGTGTTTGCGGCGAGGAGTTGTTGGAGGGTGTTCCAGCTGTTGAGAGAGATGTAGTGGACGCGTTAGAGGGCGTAGAGCCGGCGCCTGTGAAATTCAAGAGCGGATTAAGTCCGCTGTACGATCCACTAGAGACGCGGCTCGGAGCTCGCTTCGATGTCTGGACAAGGGCCAGGAAGTCGTCGTAGGCTAATAAGTCTGTTCGTAAGACTGGTTGAAGCAGGTGTGTCAGGCTCGTAGGATAAGTGGGCGAGAACGGCTCTGTAATAGCCGATTGCGAGGCCATATCGCTCGCATGCTCGTCATCTCTCGAGTCGAATTTGCTGAAGTCAGGAGACGAAGGCGTCGTCCCGCTACGGTCATCGCGATCGGACGTCATCTGTTCCATGACAGACTTAAGTTCGATGAGTTGCTCTTGTTGAGATCGTAGCAAGCTCTCCGTGTCGGCTAACTGGGCTTTCAGAAGGTCGTTCTTGCGTTGAATCGCGTCGTGCTCTCTTTGCGCTTCTTCCTTGGCAGAAATGACCATGTTGTTGGCTTCCTCAAACAGGGCGGTAGTCAGATTCTCCAGCTCCTTCTCCATCTCCTTCTTCTCCTGTAGGATTTCAAGCTTGGCCTTCTTTTCCTCAGCAATGCGTACGAGAAACTGCCTCTTCTCGCTCTCGACAGTCGAACGCCTTACCCAGACATCCCCTGATAGCTGTTCTTGTTGACGGGCTACTGTTTCCTCGAGCTCGCGTATCTTGTTTCTTTCCTCTTCCAGTTCCTGCCGCGTCGACGAGAGCGTGTCGTCAAGAGTCGTCTGATGGTTGATTGCGTTTATGAGTTTCGTGCTCAGGGTGGCAACTTCGTTGTCAAGGTCAGGGTGATGTGAAGGGGTCGCGCTGCCATTGCTTGGGCTCCTTCTTGGATCCGAGGTGGTGTTGAAATCTTGGTCTTCTGCAATTGATTGGTTTGATGGCATCCTTCTGGGTTGTAGAATGTCCAAGGAGGCTGAGTTTCTAGGTGAGGCCATTTCTTCCAAGTTGGACACCGAAGGCGGCCTAGTAGGCATGTTCGCTCTGTTGTTTGAAGAGACGGAGGACTGTGAAAAGGTCGACAGAGATCGAAAATGGCTTAGAGTGCCTCGTGGCTTTGGGCTTGGGCTCTGGTGCTGCGTCCAGGCCGGCACGTGGATGAAGCTGGAGATGTGCATGTCAGCGAGGGTAATGGCGCAGTTACGCAGTCCTAGTTCAACATGATCAAGGACGAAATGTTGGGACGGCAGTGGTACAAATCAGCCAAGCGAGCATGCTGGAGGTAAGAGCAAGGGTCGAGAACATGCTCATGTTTATGCTCGCTCAGCCCTGGCCATGGATTTTGGCTGGTACCCATGCCTAGGCTCTCAAGGGAGAGGATAACGATATGGGTCATTAAGGAACCGTCATTGACTTACGAATCCAGCTTGACGGTAAGTGGACCTCGAGGTCCAGTCGAGCAATGGAGCAATGTAGAAGGGCTCGTCCGGTCGATTTTGAGTTGCTGTCGTCGGAGTTAAGTTTTCGTCCGTGATAGGGTGGAAGGCAGGTTGATGCCCGGTGCCGAAAGCAACGGCAGCTGGACGGGGCCTGTAGTCTGCGATGTTTTGCTCTGTTGTGTTTTGGGCGTCGTTTGTCTGTCTCACCAAGACCACTGTTGTAGAACTTCGATCCACATCCGACGGTTGGCGGCGCTTACTGGAAAAATAGAGTGCCCGGAAATAGCCTGAGACCCAGTAGGAAAAAAGGTTATAAGGTCGAGGTAGAGGTAAAGGGAAAGGTAAAGGTAGAGGCAGCGAGGCACGAGGACAAGCACAAACACAACCTGACAGCCAACGGATAAGTGATGAATCAAAACGGTCCGCGAGTGCTCTCGATTGTCCACCCTTGGCAGTTCACGACAGGATCATGCCTTGCATTGGGGCAGCTTTGCGAGAAGGAGAAGGGGAATGACGATGAGGAAGGACTGGAGGTGGAGGGAAACACGACTCTAGGTGTGCATTAGGTTAGGGACTTTGGGTAGACTTTCAGATCGGAAAGCTGCACAGTTCCATGGCTTTTGCGGAGAAGCTCCCTCCAGTGATAGGCCTGGGCGTCGATGAATGACATGGATGACAACGCCCCCTTGGCCCCCCAACGCGCCAGGTACAGCGCTACGAGGGAGAAGTACCTCTACAGAACACCGAATCGTGCGTAGTGCCATGAGAAATCGCCAGGGCCCCCGTCAATCGCTACTGGCTGAGCTCCCTCAACAGGCAAAACGTGGATAAGGGAAGGCTTAACAGAATATGCATGTCAGGGTCAGGGTATTGTGGTGCAGCTGATGATGGTGTGCCGCAAGCTGAGCTGAGTGGTTGCCGACTCTTTCGTTCCATCACCAACAGCGCACAGTGAGTGGGCTAATGACTTGGCCGTTCGTGTGGTTCTGCAGCAATGGGATCAATCGGAAGACATCTCGCCTCCATGCCCTGTCATGCGCATGCACCTGCTTAGTAGAATGAGAACGACTCAGAGCGGTTTCTTGACACCATTCATCTCGTCAAACGAACCCACCTTGACAACACTGTCAGCTGCATACTGAGCATCAACCTCCTTGGTAAACACTAATAATAAAATCACGTCAACAACAACAGCAAACGGCACAATACCCTTTCCATGTATCTGCGTCAAATCTCAATTGCATCTGCGCAACATCATGGCAAAGCCAAACTAGTGTGCGGTATCCGCTCTGTCTGCCGTCTTCGTCATGGTACGCGGCGCCGAGGGTCTTCCAAGATTTTGGCAATCATCGTATCCCCATACCCTAGTTCGTCTTTTTATGTCGTAACCGATACGCCCCATGCTTTTTATTTTATTTTTATTGATGACACTGTGTATCAGTGCAACGCGACTCTGCCGAGTTGCGTGTATAGAAAAACTTGAATTAACCAAATTAGCATCTCGCCATTAGCGATGCATTTGGTCATCCCTCCGAGGACTATTGTTACTCACTAGCTGACTGTCTTTAGAGTGGTTTCGAGTCCAGATGGGTCTAGATACATATTTACTATTCAGAGGAGATCCAGATGCATCTTGTGCAGTTGTCAGCCGCAACATCCAACGCGGATCTCTTCCTGATCCGAGCCTCGGGGCAGGCCGTGACCCCGACAGGGATATCGCTCAACACGGGCTGCATCTCGAATCACGAATGTTCCTCTCCTGCCGCTGTTTGGGTTCGTATCATCAGGTCGTAATACCCCGCTGAGGAGATCTCCCATCGACTACATACCCACTGGTTTCAAAGGGTCTCCATATGGGTACAGACCATGAATACCTTCCAAGTTCGCCATCTATCTCCATCGACTATGGATCCGTAGCTCCTTAGCAAAACATCGAGACTGGAGTCGACAGTTTGCACTGCCATACCGGGAAATTGGTTTAGCTATCCACCTAATCGCTCGCATATCTCGAAATGCGAGCGACTTCCGAGAGGAAAGCTTGAGTCCAAGGCGCACCGCTAGTGGAGCACCTACGGCTCGTAGTGCTACTTGGCCTGAAACCATCAGTACCCTCTCAGATCATCGCAATAAACCTGCGCTGTGCCGCCGACCGTTCGCTCACTGCATGATTCTGACCACAGCACCTTGTCGCCTGATCCCCGGATGCATCATTGTTTCCCTTTACTTCTTCTTCCTCCTCCCTTGGCCATGCAAACCAGGATACACAAAGCCTGATGTTTGCTTTGCCGTCTGATCACCTTTCAGATGCAGGCTGGATTTTCCGATCATACGTCTCTTCCGCAATGCGACTCGCTTATGACCATCAAGAAGTTCCCGTGAGGTATCCGCTGATGGTATGCAAAACGCGACATTTCTTGAACTCTATCCACGATCGCGTGTTAATCCAAACTGTTGCTAAAAGTTCGTGGCGCTACTGCACTTGCCCATGAGACCGGCTTGCTGTCGTGTATTGCACGAGCCGCTTCGATTGATTTTCGTGGCTTGGGACGATACAACGGCAGGCATGGATGGCCTCCACAATGCCCCAGAATCTATCGAGGCCCTGCTGATACAATGCACGACGGCTTTCAAACGGATCTGGTTTGCTACTGGAGACCAGTGCCTCCGTACATGCTGCCTGTAGCCGAGCTTGCAGGCCCCGGCAATGGAAGGTATGGAGATCTTCCATAGTGATTGTGATTATTGTGTTTCGAAGTTGTTCCTGGATGTTGGATCCTTTCCACCGCAGGGTTGGTCAGTTTCGACAGTTCACAAACATTGCTCACATCGCATGCTTTTTTTTATTTTTCATTTTTATTTTTGGAGCCTAACTTGGATTCATAGCTGCAGGACGATAGGGTGGGTTGGCATTTCCAAATTGCTTTGCCACGTCGTGCGACTTCGGGATGGTTTTTCTTTTTCTTCTTTCACTTGCCGTAGAGCCTCCCAGATTCGAGGCCTACCTTTCCAAACTACATAACTGCTGTGGTCCTGTGGATCAATGTATACAACTAACATCATGATATACTCGTGGCACATGTCGCGCCGCTGCTTTCTCAATACTATCCAACACTTATGTATTTTACTCTGATCGAATTTCCATGAACCAGCAGCTTGGTTAGCTCTACCTTTAAAATGAAGCAGTAACCAGACCTATGTCCTCCTCGGCAGTTCATCGGTTTTTTTTTTTTTTTTTTTTTACCTTTCGTAACATGTTCCGTAAATAGATGACTATTATCCCGGTATGCCAGCTGAACGTATACCTGGAGACCTACTTGTCATAAAGAGTCATTAGCATGGCGCGGCAATACTATATCTTAATCTATCTCTCAGCCATGAGATAAAGGGCGGGGCACTGCCTCGTGAGGCAGTCGCACGATTGCCAGCATATGGAGTTGCTGTGACGCATTTATTACTATACATCGTGAGTGCAACATATATGAGGAAGATCCGTTATGCAAGGCTGGTTCCTGGCTGACAATGAGATACTAGTTTTATAGAACATATTGCTTTGCATGTTGATTAAGTCTTCCACGAGCTGCGTCGGACGACTTTGCTTCACACTTGCACTTTAGTAAACTCACAAGAATGAGAGCCTTTTCAAAAACGAGATTACGCTTTCGTCTTGGGAATGATCTCCTCATCGAAGTTAAATTCCTGTTAAATAGAGCGTGCATTTGAGTAGGACATATTGCTCATTAGCAGAATTGGCGATGCCGATGTGCTCCGATTAGCTCTGGGAAGCTTTAGCAAACTTTTCGGCCTCAAGCGGGGAGTTGATTGGTTGATCGAACCACCACCACTCTCAAAAGACTCATATTTTGGCAGGTCACTTACAAACCTCCGTACCACGGAATCATAAATACTGTACTTGTGTCCAATACTCTCTCAAACCCTGCCAGACACTTCATCAAGGGAAAGATGGCTTCACAAAAGGGTTTGACAAACGTGAATATCACGTCTCTGAAGAAGCGTGCTGAGGGCAAGGTGCGCAATTTATAGTAAGTACCAATCACACGGCCAGATGGGCTATTCCCCAATGTCAGAGTCAGGTTCTGACTCTTTGGCGATGGTTAGCGACGTTGACGAGAAGACGCTGCTGTTCGTTACTACCGACCGCATCTCTGCCTACGATGTCATCATGAACAACGCAGTGCCCCTGAAGGGAGCTATCCTCAGTAAGTGATCACATCTGTTCTTCTTCATATTTCATCTTGGCGTATGCAAATATATGCGTATTATCATGCCATCGTAAATTCGACACATGACCTCGATTAGGCCACAAAACTAATCGATTCGGCGATTAGCACATATCTCTAAGCACTGGTTCAGTGTCCTGACTGAGAGGGTTCCCGGCCTGAAGACGCACTTCTTGACCACAGATGCGCCATCAGCTCTAACACCCGAGGAGGCCGCCCAAGTCAAGGATCGTTCCATGCAAGTGCGCAAGCTTGAGGTGATTCAGATTGAGGCCATCGTTCGTGGTTACGTTACTGGTTCCGCCTACAAGGAATACAAGAGGAACGGAACTGTTCACGGCATCAAGCTTCCCGAGGGGCTGCGCGAGTGTGACGCCATTCCGGGTGGTCCCATCTACGTAAGTGTTGAACCTGAAGTGAAGTACAGGCTCTGCCCTTTGGCCTCCCCGGAAAAGGATGCTGTTCGTGGGGTACCAAATCAGAGATTAGGGGCCATGATATGTGCCACACACAAGCTCGGCTACCCCTACAATAACGACTTGTTATGTAAATAGCTAACAGATTTATTTGAACAGACACCCAGCACCAAGGCCCCACTAGGACATCACGACGAGAACATTTCTCCCCAGCAAGCAAAGGAGTACCTTGCAAAGGAGTACCCTGGCGGCAAAGGCGAACAGATTGCCGACCGCATCGCGGAACTGGCGGTGCAGATCTTCAAAGCTGGTCAGGAATACGCTGCGGAACGCGGCATTATACTCGCCGACACCAAGTTTGAATTTGCTCTGGACAATGAGACCGGCGAGATCATCCTCGCGGATGAGTGTCTTACTCCTGACAGCTCTAGATACTGGCCCAAGGATAAGTACGAGCCAGGCCGAGACCAGGAGAGCTTCGAGTAAGTGTTCTGATACAATCTCTTTCCGGGCGGAGCTAATTGTCTATCATAGCAAGCAATTCTTGAGAAACTATTTGACTGAGAATGGTCTCAAAGCGAAGGAGAACGTCTCGGTGCCAGAGGAGATCATGACCGCTACATCCAAGCGATACCTCGACGTTTTTGAACGGCTCGTGGGTAAGAAGTTGCAGGATGTGTTGAAGGCATAAGGATGGGAAGACGGGTTCAGGGAAATGTAAGTAGGAACATTCTCACTGCAGTACATAGTTTGGGCGCAAACTTTTATCCATGAGGGATTGGCGATCTCAGGACCAAGCAGGGTGTTTGCTGTTCTACGTCTTTCCGATAAATCACAATGTGAAGGCAATCGTAACAAATAATATCAATCCCTCGATAATGACTGCAAATAAATGTACACATATATGGTGAAAGACTTTAAGTGCCAACAACCTTACTGGAGAGCCCTCAGCTTCCCTTAAGCTTTGGTCGCGTCCTCGAATCCATAAAGCTTCATCCAACACGGCCTTGATTTTCCCAGCTTCCATCCATTTTACGAGATGAGCGAGGTCCTCGTGCTTGTTCGAGACGGCTTCCATAGCAAACTTCCGCGAGTCTACGACGAGGTCAAAGACCTGGAGCTTTTCGACCAGGTCGTCTGGAGTGTAATCGAGCACCTCATCCGCCCCGAAGCTCTTTGCTCTTTGCACAAATCCACGTTTGCAGTAGAGTAAGAAGCATCCGCATGGCATCCTAGTAGCTTGGCGATTTGAATTACAAATATATCTATGCCCCCTCCCCCTGCTTTCCCCATTGATGATGGTACGAAATTTGTTATTCGCCGCCGCACGCGGACTGTTTGTCCTCTGGAGCAGCGACATTGTGCACAATCGATCTGAACGCCACCGGCTGGCCGAACCCACGCCGCTTGTGCCCAAAGTTGTCTACACGAAGAAGACTCGCGCACCCAGAAGATTTTGCGACGACGTGTTCTGCCAATGCTCAAAATCGTCTCAGGTCTAGGCGCTTAAAAACTGTATTGCCGTTCTCGCATTACTTCGGGGATTATTGATACCATGCTTGAGGCAGGATGATAATGCTTGGAGGGCCAGGTTTTAATGGAAACGGTATACGTCAATCAGTAAGTCCTTCTTTGTATTCTGAAAAAATGTAGAGCAGCTTCGTAAAGTGTTGATGAGCACATGATACTCGAAAATCTGCGTCACTTAAATCATGGAGATCGCGGTGGCAGTATCAACCCCCAACAAAGCATAGTCTTATTGATAATCTCATACGTATTAGCATAATATGGATCGTATTTGATATAGGCTGTTTTTGGCTCAGTTTCTTGGATTGTATTTCATGGATGGAAAGGGAGCTTCGCAACAGTTGGAGAAGCACTTTGCTTTCATATACGAAAACATTTTCGTGTGCGCTCGTCGATGCCTGGACCCAGCTTATGGCTCTCGTCGAGGAACTCTATTGTCAGCTGACGAGAAAGATAACGAAAGAGGTCGTCTGACATGGCTCCCCAGATCAGTGGCCAGTGGTCAGTTTGTGCCACATAAGGGCATAAATTGTTAGTATGATAGGCCACTAAAAGCGAAAACTCGTCGTATCCTCCCTCTGTTCAGGGATGCGAAGGTCCAATTGGGAATACACTCTGGTCCATCAAGGCTCTTTCTAGATTTTCGTTGGTTATCTGTTCAGGTTTACTCTTGTTGTTCAGTTCATCGTTCAGAGATCAATTGCCTGCGTATATAATGATAGGCTTTTTATCGTGGTAGTCTTTTTCTGTGCGATTATACCCCTGTCGATCAATTTGTTATCGGAGAATAACTTCCCTGTTGATGCGATATGCTGCATCGGAAATGCGTGTGACTATTCCGGGACCAATCCCTAAGCGCCCATTTAGCTATGATGTGCTCCTTTCCTGCATAAATATGTGCATCGACCGCCCGCACTTGCATTTGTGACGAAAGATGTCGAATAGATCCCTCAGTACGACGAGCCATGTCGGCATCATCCGGGAAAGGATGACGTTATTCTATTAAGTGCTTATTTCTTGACTCTGATCTCAAGGCTCCTGCGCGATCAGTTTCGCCATCTCCGGATTTCTTAATTTCAATTTACACTTGAATGATGCAGGATGTCTGTCAGAGATTAGCAGGTGCTCACAGCCTCGTTTGTGGGTGCGACATACCCTCCAAGACCAATCGACACGCCAGGCTTAGGGACGATCGGTTTGCCATCCTCTCCAATTACCTGCTCCAGCTCGAAAGTCGCCAGGAATGTGGCAAGGAACATGTACACGCTTGCAAGCGCAAGCCAGTTACCAGGGCACTTGCGACGGCCGAAGCCAAAGTTGCCGCTCGGGTACGGCTCTCCCCTATCGTATCGCTCTGGGTCAAATTTGAGCGGTTCCGCATAAGTGTCTGGATTTGTTGTTATTGCGGTGGCATTTGCGAATACTGTTGTGCCTGCTGGGATGAACATGCCCTCATAAATATCATCCTTGAGACTTTTGTGTGGAATGACCAGCGGGTTGAGGGGCAGGCAACGCATCGTCTCCATCATAAAGTTGTCAAGGCACCTGAGCTGGTCTCGGTCTTCGAAGTCTGGCAGACGACTGTTCCCATCAGCTGCTAGTAGTGCATCGAGCTCTGCGTGCACCTTCTTTTGGATCTCTGGGTACTTGGTCAAGAACAGCATATTGGCAAGGATGGTACCCCATGTGCTGTTACCGCCGGCAATGAAAGCAGCGCCAGTAGCTCCCTTGATATCTGCAATAGTCATTTCCTGGGCCCTTCCTGCTTTCTCGTTCTCTTTGTATTTCTCCCACTGGGTCTGCATAAACGAAGGCGCTGCGTTGCCGGCTTCAATATCTTTCATGTTGGCTTCCCAGGGTTCATTGTGTATTCTCTGGATAGCTGTACGGCTAGCCCTCGCATGTCGTAGTGGCGCCGACGGATTTAACCAACTAGGAATGAAACGTGCCAGTGGGAAGATATCGACGAGCGTTGCACCTGCGATGCCCCCATTGGTGGTAGCTTCGTTGGCAGCCTCTGACATTGCACAATATGGAGAATCCTTGTCAGTGATTTCTTGGCCAAAAGCAATGCGAAAGATGATGCTAGTTGTCAAGAGAAGGGTAATCTTTTCCCAGTCTGCTGGATCTCTTATCAATGACCGCACAGCTTTTCTGCACTCATGCAGCTGTATTGGCCTGAAAATCTTGACGTTGGACTGGGTGAAGGTGTTTTGAAACAGACGACGATGCAGCTTGAATCGCGGTCCCCATCTCAGAAACGTCAAGGTAAGACCCCACCCCATACTTCATGAAGTTAGACAAGATGAAAATCTGGCAGAGGGTAGATGGATGCGTACACTTCGAAAAGGGTAAATCTAGGTCGGTCGCAATAATTGGCTCCACGGCGGTCAAGCAGATCCGTCGCAGCCTTGACACTGTTGAGGCTAATCATGTGTTGGCCCAGCACATTGGTGTACACCACATCGGATTCTGCGGTACGTGTTAATAAATGGTGTTGACGAACAGGTAGAGTATCCTGGCTTACTATACTCCTTACCCCATCGAATATAGTCTTCTTCAGGGTGATCAACGCTTAGCTGGCCGAGGTTTCCAACTAAGAACTTCCTCGGTGGTCCCGGTGGTAATGGGTACGGCGGCTTCTTGCGAAATAGTCGAGTATATAATAAGACCAGGACAGAGGCAAAAAGAGCAGCCCCAACGAGACCGCGTATGGGAGCTGCTGGTAGAGAAAACATCGTGTGCTACAAGTACGCGCCAACCAAAAAGGCGGCGAAGTCACGAAGCTCTTGATACTGATTCTCACTTAGGCGTCTGCGGTGTACGGAAACATAAAGTACTTCTGGTCAGCAACATCCGATCCAATTGGACCGAGACAATTCGTCATAGCCGTCGCCGGCACAACTCTCCACAGCTCACCGGCGTGCTCCGCTAGTAATCTAGAGTCTCGGCCGAGTGTATATGGGTTAATCGTGATTGAGGAATCGCGGCAGGCACATAAAGGACTCAACCAGATAAGATGCAACCTCCTATACTCCCGTTAGTCATCGGCATCAACAACTTGCCGAACGGCCTGAATCGAGAAGGAGAAGTTTCGAATTCAATGGGGTTTATCTGCCAGAATAGTGCCCGAAGCTTTAAGGTTCCAACATTTCAACTAGTTCGGCAACCTTGAAATACTACGGGCTCGTCTTAAAGACCAATGACAATGCTGCACATAGCATGAGGGCTAGCCTTTGGTGCCCTGTGGACGTCAGCCACGCCATCTATGCATGAGCCATTGTCCCTTATATGGCGGTCATGTTGTGGCTTTACATAGACTGACTGTCCCTCCGTCCGATTTGTGCCAGTCCATCGACGGATTTACTCGCCACGGGAAAACCCACACTAACATTCTTGAACAAGACATCCGGGACATCTGATTCACAAAATCACGAGACCGGCTACGATCGACAGCATGTTTAGCAAATGGATACTCTCTAGATAAGATGTTTGAGCTACTAATATCAATTGGCGGGCTGCTATCGTAGTGTATGGTCCCACTCTATCTGATATGGTGGAGAGTGATCACTGACTCATGGCCATGCAATCTGGAAATCCCGTCATTGGTGCCGTGGGGAAAGGCGGTTTAGGTATGGTAGGTGCGGTCTCAAAGGCGGGATTGAAATTACTGAAGCAGCTGAAGCCAGTCATGGAGTGATATTAGAGCCCATTGCGGAGGGATCAAAACTCGTCATTAGTGAAACACTCTTTGGCTCGAGTTTTCAGGGGTTTCCTGCACTGCCTGCTTGTTGAGCACTATATGTTGTCTGCTGAGTCGAGAATGATACTAGATAACAGAGACGTGCGACTGGCGGTTTTTTCCGCACTGAGATTCCGCTCCTGGCACCCTTGCATGCCAGAATACTTAGTCCATGTGCTCGAGCTTCATGGTGCATAGATCGACAACCGCTATAAGATCAGCACACCTTAATCTTTGTGCTTACTAGCTGCTCTATGTACTGTAGGAGAGTTAACTATTGTCCTCGAGGCATTTGCGTAACCAGATGCCTTTAGTTGCCAAGAAGATGAGCTCAACTCTTCTCCAAGTTACTCCATAGATACCATATGTTCAGGCCCACTTTCCCCGCAGCATTCTGGTAGCATGGAAGCTCGCGTCCAAAATTGCATGCTCAAGCAGTAGCAACATCCAGATCTACATCGATCTGGGCAGTTTTGTTTCAAAGCAGGTAAATCACAGCACTCAGCGTTCGGCACCACTTCCGAGGAAACAGAAGTATATCGAGTATCTAGTGATTGGTTTCGTCTAGGCAACTCCACGAATTTATGGACTAGAGACACCTGCAAATTCTTCAGGTCTTCGCGCTTGGATTGTTTGGCAAGCTACAGTACCAGGCGAAATGCTTACAGTGAAGTATGCATGCGCATCTTCAACGATTCGCACGTGTTGGAATTGTCTTTTCGTGGGGCTGGATGTTTGATAGTTTCAGACGCTGAACTGATTCAGAGTCGATGAGAGAGCCAAGACCGTAGTACTTCATTCAGATGGCACTTGGTCAATGAATCATTCGCGAAGGCACTGCGTCAATAGGCCCTGCTAGCTAGGGTCTTTGATGCTTGATATGCACCATAAGATAGTGTACTGTGTAGTGGCCTAGAGCTTTCCGGGATCCGAGAACTAAGAATAAGGATAAAGCCACCGTCGTCAATGCGTGACACTTCTGTACACGTCGAAATGGTGTGATAGTATTTGGTTAACAATCGATCATGACAGTTAACATAACCTTCTCCTGCAGGTTTCGCGGTTGAGGTCCTTTTGCTGTTGAAATCATGGCGGCCCGAGAGCCCCTAATGGCCCCTGCTCTTCCAGCCGAATCAGCCTAGAATTAGAATCCAGTCAGACCAGTGTCTCTGCCTCTGCCTCTTGCCTCTGCCTCTGCCATATAATTCCCCGCCGCCCAGCTCTGCCCAGGCCCAGTGGACCTCAATTTCTTGCTGCTTGCGCGCTCAACTTATTGGCAGCAAAACTCGTGTCTCGTGACGCAATATATCTGCACAGGTTAGTTACAGCAACGTCAATATCTGGTAACACTAGATATGAGTGGTTTCAAGTTCTGCATCGTGTATTAGTATTATTAGTTTTCTACGGCCGGCAACATACCTTCGGAACTGGGAGCCGCGACACTGATTGGCTCCCAAGCGGCCAGAAACCTTGCGGCAGGCAAGTCTTGCGGCAATCTTACATATTCTCCGCCGCTTATACACAAACACCCAAGACCTATCGTGCGACTCCTGTCCCGTTTCGCAACGATGAACACGTCGCAAGCCTCAGAGCACACCTCTCCCAGTGTTGCTAGTCCTGCATCTCCACAGATACATGCGTCAGGTCAAGGCGGTCGTGCGACCTCCGGCGGCGGTGCCGCTCCTGTCAAACGTCGAGCCCCGATAGCATGTCGGAGGTACGTCTCTCGTAGAATGTTACACTACCTATTTTGCTTCTATACTGACGATTGTGATCACGACAGATGTCGGCGGATGCGAAGTAAATGTTTGCATGACAAGCAAGCACCATGCAAGCCTTGTCTGGATGCAGGTGTTCCCGAGGAATGGTACTCATCACTTCGAGGCCTGCAGGCTTACATGCTGACACATTCGCAGTTCTTTTCCGTCTAGGGGTGATCCCGACGAAGACCGGCAGTTTCGCCACCCCCGGCAAAGGTCGGACCGGCGACCTAGAAGCGAAGGCTCGAAGATCAAGAGAGAATCGATTTCCTCGCCAGTTGTCCAAGATGCGCTCACGAATGTAGTGCCCCCGAAATGGGGGAATGAGTGGTCCTTGCTTCCCGACGTAGACGTTATCAAGGAAGGTGTTGTCGCCTTCACCACTCACTACTTTCAGCTGGGCTTCATACCCAAGGAGAGGTTTCCCCTACAGCTTGAACATAATCTAGGTTCAATGAGCGTCTTTTTACTTCTAAGTCTCCTTAGCATCTCAGCAAGGTTCAACAAGAAAATTCAAGTGCACTATGGCGAAAGCCAAAAGGCCGTTAACTGGTTCATGAAGAACGCTGAAAGACTGGCACTTGGTGAACTATACCAGCAACCGACGTTGGAAAGATGTCAGGCATTCTTGTTGTTGAGCATCGCTCAACAGGGATGTGGCAAATCCAATGAGAGCTATGTAAGTTTCTTTATTTGCTACGAGACCCTGAAGCTTATAGCCGCCACTATAGATCAACATGGGAATTGCGACCAGAATGGCTGCGCTCATGAGGCTTCACCGTGAGGAGACCTATGAGCGGATCACACCGAGTTCCTCTGCCGACGAAATCATCCGCGCTGAGTCCGCAAGACGAACCTTCGTAAGTTACTATTCATATTGCGCCATCTTTCTTATATGGTTGCTTTGTCAATTTCGACACCTAAGGGTCTCTCCATTGAGTGCTGACGAGACTGACCTTTGTCCAGTGGGTGTTACATAGCCAGGACAATCTACACAGCGGACCGTACAAACCATTTTCACTTGCTCCCAGTGACATCACTGCTCTCCTTCCCTGCGACGAGGAAGAATTCAAGAATGCTATTGTGCCACCAAGTCGTGCTGCTCTTGAAGGAACGCCACCTGCTATTCAGAACCCGCAGCTCACGACCCTTCGACCTAGATCACTCTTTGCCACATTGATCCAAACACATCACCTCTGGGGCATCATTGCTCGACGGGCCTTGGCCAAAGAGAAGAGCTCAAAGCCTGGAAGCAACAACAGCGAATACTCGAGAATGGCAACAATATTACGACGGTTTGAGGACAACCTGTTTGGAGATCACAGGTTTGGCATTAAATCTCTCAAAGGGCATAGACAAGACAACGAAGACTTGGTAAGCCAGATATTCTGCCAGTCTCGATGCTCATGAGTACTGATTATTGTGATTATTCCAGGCGTTTCTAGGTTGCACTACAGGTCTTCGGTTATGCAACATTGTTTTGAGAAAGGCGTACATGGACGAGTATGTGTCAAATCATGCCATACTGCACTACACACATGATCTCGCCTCTAATGATAAGTCAGAATGATCCATGCAATACGGGGCAATCCTCGGGACCAAAATGTTCACATGTACCGAAAAATGGGGGGGGAGCTTGTAGAGAACGTAAGAATGCTTTACGAGCAAGTCGATGCTCAATACGCCAATGACCGACCATCAGAAGAGAAAGTCGGATCTCAAATGGCTGTAAGTATCATGTTTGATTACACTTGGCATGTACTGATTCTGTCTACAGACTTTCTGTGTTTATAGTTGCGGTCTTCTTGCTGCTTATATGCACAAGTTCCCACAATGTGAGTACGCCACAGCTTCACAACCATGTTCCGCTGACAGTGCTGTAGTGGATCCCCGCAGACACCCAGATGAGGTTCGAATGGAAGGCAAGAGGATGTACGAACGCACTACTATGCTCCTGGAGGAGGCACAAACGATTTGGTCACTTGCATCCAGTTGGTTAGTAGGTCTGAGGAAGTGGTTCGATGACCCCAACACAAACAGGATCTCGTTCGAAAGTGGAACAATGACCGACGGTGTAAGACTTTCTCAATACTGGAACTCCCACCTCGTACTGATAGATCCTTAGCAAGATCCTCAACCACATGCACTCCTGCATCCGCCTACTTCTACCTCGGCTTGGCAAAATAAGATGTCAACCCTCTATCGAACCCACTCCACCCCACCCCAACCCACAGATAGACGGCATAATGCTGCAGTCGAGCCTGAGCAGACGACCTTACCACCGCTGCAGCCACCATCGATGTCATCGAATCGTGCAGACTCGCTGTCTCTGCCTCCAATATCTCCGTACTCGCATCCACAGCAACCTCCGCCGCCACCGTATCAAGTCTCAGAACAAATATCCGGACCAAACAGCCAGCACCAAGGCTTCCAAGCCTTATATCAAGCTGCACACCACCAAGCACCACCCCAACAAACCTGGCCTGATGCATATTCCAATAGTTATATGGCAGATTTCCAAGCCATGCCAATCCCCGACGATGGCTTCGGGTTTAACCTACAGCAGATGCTTGACCCTTCATGGAGTGCTCCAGATGCTCCGGCTGCTTTGTATAATTACCCTGCGCCGGATGTTCAGCAATACCCTCCGGCCACGATGGATCACTTCCGTGGGGCTGCAAATATGTAAAAAAAAAAAAAAAAAAAAAAAGAAGAAAAAAAGAAAGAACAGATTATATGTCATCTCATGCCAAGACGCTCGATGGCGTTGTGTGAGTTTCGTCGTGGAGCATAGGCGTTATCTTTTCTCGGCTTTTAACAATGTATTATTTTGAATGCGAACCTTGCTGCGTGGTCTTGAGATGATCGTTTAGGAGTTTTGGACACCTACCATAGATACCAATGTTCCAATACTATATCATGAGGAACATGATTCCTCGTTCTCAATGGAGCACTGTCTTGCTCATTTGTCCGCGTCATCGATACTTCACAGGTCACAGTCTGTATTACTTGATTCTCGTTGCCTTGTATGGCACCATAGCTTCGCCGATCCCAGCAGTGAATTCACGTCAGCTGCAACTCGAAACTCAGTATGCCTTGAGAAACGGATGGGCAATCTATTGAAATCTTTCCGAACACCCTCATACTTTGCCGTTCGAGTCCTTCCAAATTGCACCAACTGCTTCTATCCTAGACTACAGAGGAACATCAGAGCCCTGGCTTTGCTACACTGTCCTGAAGATGACTTGAAGTTGAGCCCTGCAGCGTGAGAAGGTTCTGATAACCCCCGCATACAAGACCTAAAAGGACTCCAAAACGAAATTGTGGTTAGAACCGAATATCAACGCACAAATATGGAGGCCGAAGCAAGATTCATTCCTGGTATTTCACTCACAAACGGGCAAGGGGCATTTTGTGGGTTTCAAGGAGACAAATAATCGTGTGGTTAAGAAGAAAGCCCGGGGTATCACGGCGGTACACTGGTCGAAGTGGCTCTAGATGGTGCAATGCAGGATTGTAAAGCTTTACTAACTATGCGACTTCCACAATCGACACGATCAAGGGATGGTGGCGGCAAAGAAGAAGAATCGCCTGTTGGGTATGCTCAAGTCGTACCTGTCAGGAGTCTTTCACTGTACGGTCATATCTATTACTTTCCTGATGAATGTGTAGGCAGCAGCACATGGATAAAACGAGGAACTCGGGTGGACACTAACAACTAATTACCAGTTGTAAATTCACTTCTAGCAACACAACGTTACAATCAGAATATAAGATAGCTCCATTGATTTCGGCTTAATCAAGCTGGAACAAATACTGAGGATACAAATGGTCCTCAACATCGATATCATCGATATCATCTCATAGAACGCCAGTCATTGAGCAAGGCCTGAGCCTGTTACCCTCCTCCCAGTTTGCTGAATGTATCGAATTGATATCATCATCAGTGAACATTTAGCAATTGATTGTATGTGAGCGATGAATTATGCGTAAATTTCACAGAGTTCCTAGGTCCTTGGATGTAAGGACAGTCATCATTGGATTTACAACCAATTGATCTAAGGAGATCATGCAGGTTGAAAACAGTGAGTCTCGATGTCACAAAGAATTTGTTACGCATGACTACTTTCGCCAACCGAATTACAATTTATACGACTCAACATATCAGAATCACGCATAGTGCCTCGCATGATTAGTACACAGGCACTGCCTGCGAGTATGGATCGCGTTTCATAAATCATTCTTGAATTAGACAGAGCCGAGCGAAGGAGAAAAATGGCTGTGATCTAGCCCCTGCCTTTTAGAGATGGGTGATTGGCTTCATTCAACCTTATTCTGGCGTCTCAAGGATTATGACAGCCGGGGTATACCTACTGGACTATTTAGCCCAGTCTGATCGGCATATATTACACGGGGTGTACGTAGTATGAGGCAGCTATACAAGATACTTCACGGGCAGCCGCTTCGGGTAAGGCGCCGGCGGGAAGGCTGATACAACACCAATCTTGTGGCGAAGTTTATCACAGCATGAGATGACTGGTCCTCGAACCATGCCGGCAAATAGATCCTTCCAGGAGGAACGACACCACAAGCAGAATCTGAGCGGCGCAGATGCCTTCCAGACCGCCTCGATGCTTGGATGTTCCGCTCCAGCTTTCAGTCATTGCTCGTTGCAAGCAAGACTACCGCAGCTTGCGCAGATTGGACAACAAATTTCTAAATGTGGCAACTGCAGTGAAGTAACCGCGTCTGGACCCTAGTTCAAGTCAACGGTTATGGAAACCGGCTACTTGCGGACCTAGCTCATTCGCCAGCAGCAGGAGTGGACCAACTAGACGTGCCTGAAGAGGGGAATGCTGAAAAATATCGAGTTGACTGACTTCATGGAGTTACCCACACATAGTAGACATGATGGTCACAAATAGATATTCGCTTATAGCTGGATGTTGCCCCATTTGCAAGACCACTATTGTTTTGCTCCGGTAGAGGAGCACGAGGAGCTGGAAGAAAGCCACTTGCAAGACTCCCCGTGGCAACTCAGAGATCCCACTACTGTACGGGAAACGCGCATAGTCAGATCCATCGCGAGGTGGGTACCTTTCGATCAATTTGGACAGCTGGACAAACAGAGAATGGAGATCAGTATTTCCGAACTATACTGCTAAACATTGATGTACGGCTGCATGAAGTCCCCTATGGCTAGCCAAGTGTTTATGATTGTCAAACGAAGCAGAATTTTGGTAACGAAGAGACCCCCGGACTATGCTGTCCTGAATTAGTGGGCGGCGGCTATGCATAAGAATTCCATAATTGTCGTGTGAGTGAATATGCCTGGACATGACGGAGAACCATGTAGGTGAGACATATCCACGGGTTGCATACATTAGCGCAGTGGACTGGGTTTCGTTGACTCCGTCTATCTAGATCCTTGCACCGCCATCAAAATGTGGATGGTTGGCGCATTAAAAAAAAAGTTTTCGAAGCCTGATGAGGGGTATTCTTGGAGGGGCAAGGCTGGAGCTGTTTACGGGTGACGTTGATGTGGCAATGTGAATTAGATTGACCCACGCCGAAGAAGATGCCCTGTATCCAGGAGGACGGTGATAGTCGTGATTCTGCCAGTTCTACGTAGTCGGATAAGGCGTACAGGAATGGACATGTCATCCAAGTTAGATAGAATAGAGCAAGAGTGAGTGAATACATGCAATTGGACAAGGACCACGAATAATGTTGCTCCTTCCAACCAAAAAAACTCTGTCTCGAGAATGGAGAATGGAGAATGGGGAATGCGCAACAGGCGTTCCATGGCTGAGGCAAAACTGCAAAACTGGAGCCTCTTGGTTCAGGCCTCAAAATGAAATCGAGTCATTGGCCGAGAGATGGACCTAGCTGGGACCCACACAAAAATTTTGGGCTTAGGGCAGCTCTGCACTTTTGCTTTGGGCAAGAACACACAACCCCGCTTCCACCTTGTTTTACATTCTCGACTCCTACATAAAGCATCACCTCGCGCCTCTTTCTCAGGAAAGCTCTTGGTTTCCCTCTTCGTCCGCGCATACCGTATCAGCAACAAGCCTGATCATCTGCCAAAGTGAGTCCCCTCCCATCATCAACCATGCATCGACGCTCGATGTTTTCCTCCATCTTCCGACGCTCTCCAAGCTAACCATGCTCGTCGCAACAGTTACCTCACAAACCACACACGAAGAACTGATACCAAACCGCCAAAATGGGGTATGCATTCGAACGACCTCGATTCATCCAGGCATCGAACTGACAATCATCACAGTAAGGAGAAGGCTCATATCAACATCGTCGTCATTGGACACGTCGATTCCGGCAAGTCCACCACCACCGGTCACTTGATCTACAAGTGCGGTGGTATTGACAAGCGTACCATCGAGAAGTTCGAGAAGGTTAGTACATGTCTTCCAACCCATCATCAACAACATTATGACCGTCACCCTCCGCATCATCCCGATTTTCGGTGACGCAGATCTCTTTTTTTGCATGCCACACGCACTTCCTTCACTTTTGCTTCTGACACAATTACCCCGCCGACATGCAACCACATCACAACCCCGCGGACCCCCCCTGAAAATTTCTTATCGTGCGCAAATAATCCACGATAATTGGCCTGCCCCCATCCCACCCAAACTCTACCCCCATTCCAATTCATCTGTTGCACATTTATGCCGATCTCGACGCAATGCAAAGATGACTGACCAATTCAATAGGAAGCCGCCGAGCTCGGAAAGGGTTCCTTCAAGTACGCATGGGTTCTTGACAAACTCAAGGCCGAGCGTGAGCGTGGTATCACCATTGATATCGCTCTCTGGAAGTTCGAGACCAACGAGTACCAGGTCACCGTCATTGGTCAGTACCCTTCGTCCGCTCTAACCAGATGTATCGTCCCGTGCTAACCCGCAACAGACGCTCCCGGTCACCGTGATTTCATCAAGAACATGATCACTGGTACTTCCCAGGCTGATTGCGCCATTCTCATCATTGCCGCTGGTACTGGTGAGTTCGAGGCTGGTATCTCCAAGGATGGCCAGACTCGTGAGCACGCTCTGCTTGCTTTCACCCTCGGTGTCAAGCAGCTCATCGTCGCCATCAACAAGATGGATACCACCAAGTGGTCTGAGGCCCGTTTCAAGGAGATCATCAAGGAGACCTCCAACTTCATCAAGAAGGTCGGCTACAACCCCAAGGAGGTCGCTTTCGTCCCCATCTCCGGTTTCAACGGTGACAACATGTTGGAGGAGACCACCAACGCTCCCTGGTACAAGGGTTGGGAGAAGGAGACCAAGGCTGGTGGCAAGAAGGAGGGCAAGACCCTCTTCCAGGCCATTGACGCTATCAACACCCCCTCGCGTCCTACCGACAAGCCCCTCCGTCTTCCCCTCCAGGATGTTTACAAGATTGGTGGCATTGGCACGGTGCCCGTCGGTCGTATCGAGACTGGTACTCTCAAGCCCGGTATGATCGTCACTTTCGCTCCCGCCAACGTGACCACTGAGGTCAAGTCCGTCGAGATGCACCACCAGCAGATGCCCGAGGGTTTCCCCGGTGACAACGTTGGTTTCAACGTCAAGAACGTTTCCGTTAAGGAAATCCGCCGTGGTAACGTTGCCGGTGACTCCAAGAACGACCCCCCTCTGGGAGCCGCTTCTTTCAACGCCCAGGTCATCGTCCTCAACCACCCTGGTCAGATCGGTGCCGGATACGCACCCGTTCTCGATTGCCACACCGCCCACATTGCTTGCAAGTTCTCTGAGCTTCTTGAGAAGATCGACAGACGTACTGGTAAGTCCGTCGAGAGCTCCCCCAAGTTCGTCAAGTCCGGTGATGCCGCCATCGTCAAGATGGTTCCCTCCAAGCCCATGTGCGTTGAGGCTTTCACCGACTACCCTCCTCTGGGTCGTTTCGCCGTCCGTGACATGCGTCAAACCGTCGCTGTCGGTGTCATCAAGTCCGTCGAGAAGGCTGCTGCTGGTTCCGCCAAGGTCACCAAGTCCGCTGCCAAGGCCACCAAGAAATAAGCGCATTTCTGCATGGAATACTTTCTGTGCGCGATGGGCAACACCACAGCTCATCGAGTGCGTGTAACAACCTAATGACACGAAATGGTTTACGACTTGTGCATGGGATCTGATGACTCGGATATCTGGCTTTGGGCATGATGTGAGGAAGGGTTATGGACTTTTCTGCGACAGCTTTGATCATGTTGTGCTCGGTAGTACGAAAATAGAGTCTTAGAAAAAGTCTTCTTTCCCCAAACAAAATCTGCTGCTTCTTTTGAATGTGACATGTTACCTGGTACTTCTTGTGCGAACAGCGATGATGATGTCGCTACATGACATGACATCGACTGTATCGTCGGCTCAACCAATATGAAACCATCCTGATATTGTCAGAGCAGGATACATTACTCGACCATGGTGTTTAGAAACCTGGTAGATTGTCCCAATTCCACCTAGACTTGTACCCACCTTTCTCTAAGCAATGCCAATACGTCGGGTCATTATAAGATGTTGAGTGGTCTTGATAATTTGATATTTATTACAACAATCACCGTAATCAAGGCCCATCATGCATATGTACAGGCTCTTTACTAGATTTACAGTTTCCTCATGCCATCATCCATGTTGTTATAGTATACATCATATCTACAGGAGGGCTGTTTGTTCCCTTTCTTCTGAATCTCGTCTCAGGACGCCTCTCTCATTCTTTACGACCCGTTGTCTCCCGACGAGATACCGGACCAGTTCTCCACCGTCTGCGCGAATTTGTAACAAGCCCGGACGTAGTCGTCGTGCAGGTTGTCGCTGCCACTGGCGGCTGCTTCTGATGCTGCCGCCGCCGGAGGAGGAACAGAGGACGAAGAAGCGGGAACGGGTCGAAGACTCAGTTCGGCACGCCGCCCGCCGCCCTGGCCGGCCTCGATCGAGGTGTATGTCAGGCTGAACCGCGGGTCGGCCGAGTACGGGACCGTCACGGAGCGGTGCAGCTCCAGGCCCGCGAACTCGTACAGGGTGCTGCGGAGCGAGTTGGGGTGGTCTTCTCCCCCCGCGGCGGAAATGGGTTGGGCTATTATATCTCCCTCCTCTTGTGCTGGGCTGGTGCTGGTGCTGTCCCCCCTCGTCTGCGACTCGTCGTCAACGGCGGCGAGTTGTTGTTCCTGCTGCTGCTGCTGCTGCTGCTGCTGCTTCTTCTTCCTCATCGCCTCCTGCGTCATGGTGGCTTCGCCGAAGAGGCGCAGGGGGACCTGGAAGCGCTGCTGGGCCGCCATCTCGAGCTTGCCGGCGGCGATGTCGAGGCGCGAGCGCGAGAGGAAGTCGGCGATGGGCTGCCATGCCGACAGGGCGCTGGGCGAGCCCTGCAGCGAGGCACCCCGAGTCTGCGTGATGCGGAAGTCGACCGGGCTTGCGGGCAGCGGCACCTCGTTGTGGTGCGTGGCCACGAGGGCACGTAGGGAGTGGACGCCGGTGATCTCGGGGTCCTGGTCCGCCGACGTCGGCTCGGAGAGGGTGAGCCGCAGCTCGAGGGGCGGCGCGACGAGCGGGAGGGCGAGGGCGGCCGAGCTTGGGTTGTGCAGGAATCGGATCAGGACCGTCGAGGCTACGGGGAGCATCGTATTCTCGTCGAGGAGTGAGAGCTCGGCGAGCCTTATTGGGTGCGGGACGATGGGTGAGAAGTTGTATGGGCGCGATGCTAGATCCTCCGTGCTTGGGTGGGCCGGAGGTGCGCCTTCTGCCTTCGCAACGTCGGTACGGGGTGTGAGGATGTGACCGAAGAGGGCGGAGGTGCTGCTGGTAAGATCTGAGGTCCAGCGGACTGGCTGGTGGGGGAAGCGAGAGCTAGAGCTGTCTTGAACCTCGACCTGCTGAGGCGGAGATGATGAGGACCAATCCTCAGCTCTCTCGCCATCTTTCCAGGCCACACTGTTCGTCAAGGTTTTGTTTGGGACATGCACGTTGCGTGGCAGAGGCTGTAGTTTTTCTATGGCCATAGAAAGCTTGGGGGGGTTGCCGTCTGCTGGCCCTGCTTGGGTATTTTCGATATCTGTAGACACTGGAGTCACGAGGCGAGCCCACTGTTCAAGTCTGTCTTTCCATGCCCACTTCTCCTTGTTCCCATGGTCGACTACTAAGCGGCCGTTGCCGGATGCGATTGCTTTCTCTGCGTCGGCGGTGTGGAGAATGCGCTTGGCGGAGTTGGGCTGGAGAGCTGTCTGGAGGAAACGGAATACGACATGCGACAGATTTTCGACGTCCTGCTCTTCGCGGCCAGCCACTTGGATCCAGGCGACTTGTAACTGGTCGAGTGAATCATGTCAGTACTCGCTTTATCTCAAGGAGAGCATATGGTGCTGGATTGAGAAATTTGGTGCACTTACCCGGTGCCCGGTCTTGGTAGGCCGCACATGTGTATTTGTAACCTTGCCAACAAGCTCCAAGAGTTCGGGGGTGAGCTGTGTGGGATCCGAGGTTACGTGCGATATGGGGAACGTGTGCGTGCGGATCTGCTGCATAAGTGTATCGAGCTCTGTCAAGATGGTCTGGCACTTGTAACTCGGGGCCACAATGGTAATCTCGCTGGCACTAATATTGGCCTCGAGAGCCTCTCCCTCTTCCAGGTAGTCCCTTGTGATCCTCTGTAGAAAGCGCCGCGACCCCCGCATGAGAGGCATGAACTTTTGAGTCTCAAGGACTATTCTCATCTGGCCTGGTCCATTCGCCACCTCTTCGACTTGCAAGCCCCAGCATTTTCGCATGATGAGGACTGCCGCTCGTGCTTTCGGACTGGCATCCTGGGGAAGATAGGCATGGAAGTGACGAGCTAACGGGTCTTTGGGCGGCAGTGTTGTGCCGCGGGCGTCCAACGGCGTCCAAGGTGTAAGTTTCCTCACCCACGGGTACTGGGGACGGGCATGTTCTACCGAGTCTCGACCGGCGGGCTCGGGCTTGAACTTGGCGATGTAATCGATGAGCTGCGCGTTCAGGAAACCGTCTTCCAGCTGCTGTTGAACCCTACGGAATTCCTTCTCCTTCAAGATAGTCTCGGTCTCGGGGGGTCTAAGCTCGTTGATATTCTCGCGGACTTCGGAGTCGGTCGGCAGCTCGTGTCGATTGTCTAGCAGGGCCTGCATGTCGATCTCCTGGCGCGTTTGCTCCTCATTTAGTACGTCGACAGGCCGCGTCTTCGCCTTGTAGTCCCGACTATCTTTCATGACGATGGCATAGGCTGGTTTTCCTAGCATGTCGGAGCCGAGGCTCGCAGAGGTTTCCGTGAGGACCTTCTTGCCCGACAGGCGTCTCTTCTTCAGGTCGAGATGCTTCCAGGGCTTGAAGTTCTCCTCTTCGTCGCCTGTGGTCTGGCGCCTCCGTTCTCTCATATTTTCGTTTGTCTTCCCCCCGCGCGATCGCCTTGGCTTGTCTGGGCGCCCATTATCGAGGTCGGAGAGGGCGTCTTGCTCGTTAAGATAGTCGCGGTACTGGTCTTCCGAGGCCTCCTCTAGAGTATCCCAACCGTTTTTGGTCTGCTTCTGATCCGCATCGTCGGGGCGAGCAGAGGCCTCGCTCGCGAACCATCGTCGACTGCGCGGCCATGCGACGGCCGGGCTGCGACGTGCTATAGGCTGGGGAAGGGAATTAGGCCGAGTTGCTTGGCGCAGAAGTCGCAGACGGCATCCAAGACAGATGGTACCGCTGGACAATGCTCTGGCGATCATGAATAATATACAAGAAAGGACGAAGCAAACGTCCTATAAAATGACATTGGTACAGAATAGAATGACGAATGCTGGGCAATGGGGGGACTTGGGGAACTTTTTTGCGACCATAGTCCCGAATAGGCAATGTACTACTGGTAGGGGTCTGGGTCTTTTTCTTCCTACGGGGGCTCGGTTTTCTCCGGGCCGAGACAAGAAGGAGACGAGGACGGACGGGCGAGACGCGATTCAATTAAGCAAGGCGCGTCTGCGTCTGCGTCTGCGTCTTTCGTCTCACTGAATTTAGCTGACTCAGTGACTAACTTGGGCATTAATGAATAGCACATGCAACAGGGACACCCCCTCCACCCACGTTCAATGCACCCATGAGCGACGAGACAGCATCGCCCAAATTCATTGCCAGACAGGCCAAGTTTTTCTCATAGCAACACACTTTCTTCGGAGCTTGGTGTTTGCCTCAGCGGTTACGCGCATAATTGCACCTTCACAATGCCACCTCAGGCGCAGAGAAGGCGGCAGGCGGGAAATGACAGCCAGGACGAAGAAGACCCCCGCCGCCGCCAGCCGAGGCGCCAACAAGATTCCGACGAGGAGGAAGACGACGAACAAGACGACAACGGCGACGTCGACATGGCCGGAGCAGGCGACGAAGCGCAGATGGTCAAGAAGCTGGTCCGGTACACCCTAGCATGCGAATACGCAAGAATCCCGATCAGGAGAGACGGCATCAGAGAAAAGGTGCTGGGGAGCAATGCCAGATCCTTCAAGAGAGTCTTTGACGGCGCCCAGCTCCAGTTGCGCCAAGTCTTCGGCATGGAGATGTCAGAGCTGCCTGTCAAGGAGAAACGCACGCTGAAGGAGAAGCAGAGTGCGTCCATCTCTACCTAGCATGGCGGCGAACATACTGCTGACACAAGAGCCCTTTCAGAGGCAAGCGCAACACAGAGAAGAGCCGCCGCTCAAGGCACAACCTCCTCCAAAACGTACATCCTCGTATCCATCCTCCCTTCTGCCTACAACTCCCCTGCCATCAAAGCACCCTCGCGAGTTCCCAGCTCGACCGAAGAAGCAGAGTATATAGGTTTCTACACCTTCGTTATAGCGCTCATTTGCTTGAACGGCGGCGAGCTCAGCAAGATCAAGCTCGAAGACTACCTCGACCGTATGAACGCCAAGAAGAATCTGCCGTTCGACACGACCGACAATGTCCTCGCCAAGCTAGTCAAGCAAGGCTACCTTGACAGGGTTGTTGAGAAGACCGATGGCGACGATGATACAATCAATTGGCACGTTGGAACGAGAGGCAAGGTCGAAGTTCCTCCCGAGACCATCGCCGCCTTCATCAAACAGGTTTGGCAGCGCGACATACCGCAAGACCTGAACAGAAGAATCAACAAGAGCCTCGGACTTCAAGGTGCTTCGGAGCTCCCCGAAGACGAGGCTGTCGGGGACGACGACGAGGAAGCGGAGTCGTGATTAAGCATGGTGACTCGGGGCGTTGGCGGCTCGGCAAGCATATTGGTTTGGCGTTACAAGGCAAAGTACGCTGAAATAACGGCAGCTTTGATGAATAGCATTTGTTTTTGGTTCGGTCTGGTTCTGGGGTTGGATTAGACCATGAGACCACCCCCAACTGCGTCAGTGTCTCTATATGAGAGCCACGACTTATGAATGGCATGAATGTTACATACCCTTTGTGTTTATGGGTTTCCTACCATGGTGTACCGAGCCTCATGTCTTGCGTCATTCCTCTAGTAGCACTCCACTGTAAGAAGGCTCCTATGCCTGCCTTCTATCACCAGTACATGATCCAAGAGGCATCCCAACGAGGCATGACTGCAACTCTGCGCGCCGCGTTGAATGCCTTCCATGCAGACATGAACTACGTCCCGAAGCACGTAATTGCGACCAGTCTTATCAATTCACGTCCATCTACCCTGGCGCTACATCATTCCTCTCGCGGCGGCGGCGGTCCGCACGGCTGCACCATCTTTCTGATGTACTGGGCGCGCACCTTTGCGGCGGGTTCACCCATAGCCAGCGCGTGGTACGCGAGTATCGGCGGGTGGCCCACAATGCTGCTGTAGGTGTCGCGCGAGATGTTGGTCCGCCACTCCCACGAGCTTGTGTCTGGGTGGCCCGTTCCGATGTACTTGGCCTGCAGGCGCTCGAGTTCTTGTTGGGTGCGCAGTTTGTCGGCCTGGGAAATGGTGGTCGGTCAGTCGATTTACGAACCCTCTATAGATGGGCAGAGCAGGAATTAGACACAACGGGACATACCATTTTGGAAACCTGCTACTGAGGTCGTAGCTGCTTCTTGTAGAGAGATGTTGTGCGTGTGTGTTGGCTGTTTGAGTAGGATTGCTATGCTCTTGTCGCGACTTTCCAAGCGCTGCTCCATGCGGTAAAGGTTCAGAGGCCACTGGTAGCGCAGTGTCCGAAGTCCAGGGCAGAACAACGTACGGCAGATATCACTCCCAAATCTATGCTAATCCAGCTGGAAATCTTTCTCCATGCAGATTATCTCTCAATAATAGTTTCATACTCATAAGAAAACAAACATCCTATCCATTTGACCAAGACCATCGTCCACAGTCGACGTTTCTGCAGATTGGGACACTACAGTTTCATCCCTGAGTCGGTCTTGTCTATGGCAGAAGCTTGGACTTTCTCAATGCAAGTGCTCGTGTTGTATTTATGCTTTCAAACTCCCATACCTCGATCAAACCTTTAGACATTTATATCATACACCGTGAGGCTCTTCTTTTTAATCTCTTTCATCGCCAGAAAAAAAATACCTGCCACAACAACTTCGGGGCTTTGTATCATTGATAATTCTTTTGATGCCGTTGACTCAGCCTGTCATAAATCGCCGCGTTGACGTTGTGGAACAAGTGGTTCAAGACTACCACTGAAATACAAAAGTACACAAACGTCAAGCACAAAATGGGGGAGATTTGGGATGAGCTTTTAGCGACACAGAGGGAAAGGGAGTTCCTCAAAACCGCCATGAATGGATACAAACAGCTTTGTGTCACTGAGCACAAGAAACGCTCCCCACTTGAGTGTGAGGAATGCTGGCCTCGGTTGATCAATCGAATCAGGGATCGATACCTCAACTCTTCAAGTAAGGAGTGGTTTTCAGGCAGGCGGCAGTTTCTGCAGGAGCTCGACACCATGTTTGCGGAGGCTAGAGAGCGGAAACGAAATATTATCGACATTTCCACTCGCATAGATGCAGAGAAGGAGGAGTGGTGTCGGGAGAAACTCAGAAACCTGGGCCTCACATTGGCTACCGATCAACCAGATGCAGTGAACCGCGTGCTGAATGACAAATCAAAACCGGTTGAACAGCTAGTATCCGAACTGAAAGCGATCTGGAGCAGAGACGCTGGCGAAACCGAACAAGCATTCAAGGATTTCACAGCGAAGCTGGAGGCTGCCGGATCACCCGAGGCGAAGCGTGAGGTGTATGTAGAGGTATTTTTTCAGCCAAATAACGACCCTCAGGGTGCTGCCAGATGTAAGAAGTACATTGACATGGTACGCGGTGGCACTTGTATCTCGGATGTTGTTGCTCTCATGGTTCGCGAACGTCAGTCCCAAGTTGGCAAAAAGGAAGAGAGGCAGCGCCATCTTAGGAGGAAAGACGAGCTTACTAGAGCTAAAGCTGCGAACGAGGCTGCCAAGGCAAAGAAGGCAAAGGCGAAGCAGGATAAGATCAGAGCCGCCCAAGCTGCTGCACAGGAGCACGATCTTCCGCCTTGCACCAACTGCAAGAAGAGACTTGACGACCAGAATCTACAATACTGCGATTTCTGCGTCACCCTGTCGGAGGTCTACGGCTTTCAGGATCGCTCGCCTACCTATTTCTGCTCAGACGCTTGCTGGCAAGAGGGCATCGAACCGCACATCAAGGAGGCCGGCCACGTGTGCTCTGGCGATGGATTCAGAGGCGGATCGACCACAGAAAAGCCGGGCTATTGCAAAGAATGTATTCTTGATCACAAGGTGGAATCCTTCTTTTGCTGTCTGGAGTGCTTCGATGAACACTTTCAGGAGCACAGGGAGAAGGTCCACATGCCAAAGCGGGATAATATCGGCGAAATTTACGAAGACGAGGACGACCTGGTTCACACTTCTAACGACCAGTACAGAGCGCGGAAGATCGAGGACCACTGGATACCCATTGAGGACGCTGTGCAGCAGTGGGCGAAGAAGCTCGGCGCCACTTACACCACCATCGACGACTAGATATGCGCCCAAGCAGAGGTTACTAAGACGTGCAGCCCATGGTTAAGATGACGGAACGTGCAACCGCTCTGGAAGATGATGAAGTTTTGGGATTCCGGAAGAGGGCGATGTTTGAGATCGAATCCCCCACGAAGGAGTACAAAGTCACCACCCAAGTACTCCAGAGACATCACTCAATATGTACAGGGACAACACCGTATGATATGGATGTTTGTCGGGTTTTGCTGGGTATTGACAACGGCGATCCTTCCATGGCAGGGCTATCCATGTATAAGCAACACGACGCAGCCATATTCATCACTGCAGTGAGAAACATCAAGCACATACAGAGCTCGATTCAAAAGTCAACTCCGGCGACATGGAGATTGGCGCAGAATTTGGAGTTACGGCTTGCGCTTGACAGAGCACGGAAAGTGGTCAGTAGCAGTAAACCAATCATACATAACATAGCTCATGTAAAGGTTTGCGTAGAAAATGGAACTGTAAGATTGAATGAGGATGCTAGCACTCAAGTTTGTATTCTGATCCAGTCCCCAGGACAAACCGTTATGATAGCCGGGTAGTCTTAGCGGCCCATTACAATACCATGAAATGCCAACTACGATGCACATTCTGTACACGTATAACACTCGCTACTTGCATGCTGTGTGCTGTATGCTGTATGCTGTATGCTATGTCCTGTATGAGCTCTGGACGGATGAATCGTACGATCATTGCGCCATCGTTTCCGCACTGGGATGGGTGATCGCAATGACAAGCATACCCTGTAGACCTATGTCATTAAACCCCATTATATGATCATGTTCTTTACCTTTCAAATATCACATGTTTCCACCAAAGCAGTATCTTTTTGATTTCTGCCAGGAAGGCAATATGTCCGCACCGAGCTGTCGGTCGGCCGTAGGTGGGTTATCGGCGCAAACGGGCTTTAACATCGGCAACCGCAATTTTTGGGCCGATTAGCAATTACGCCGGAACTACCCAGTGAGCTTGCATCATTCTTTTTTTGGGGAGCTCCTTCGCCTCTCGCAAACCAACCAAACCAACCAACAGCGCCGCAACTACAACAGCAACGTAAATCTACGCGCAAACGCAACAACAACACCCAGACAGCAACGAGGGAATATACACACAAAGCTTGCGAACCGAGTGCCTCGAGCAGAACCATAAACGCAGAACGCAGAAGCCCGAGATGTCGGTTGTCAAGGCCCTGAAGGGCGAGTTGCCGCAGCAGGCGAGGTCGCTGGTGAGTTTCTGCCTCTCTGTCAATATTCTCCCCTTAATCCCGCACCTTGACGGCCAGCCGGAGGGTCGAGGCCATTTCGAAACTTTGAGGAGTTTTACTGGCTCTTGAAAGAAAACAAGATGGGCCGGCCCGAGCATGGTTCGTCTCGCTTGAATGGAACATGTAGCTGACCATGGCAATTGCGCACACCCACAGTACCGCCAGCTCCTACGACAGGGCAGCAATTTCGGCGAGTACAACTTCAGAGAGTACGCGCGCAGACGGACACGGGACGCCTTTAGAGAACACAAGGATGTGGCGGACGAGAGACAGATACAAGAGCTCCTCCAGAAGGGACTCAAGGAGCTCGCTATACTGAAGCGCCAGACGGTTGTCAGCCAGTTCTACCAGCTCGACCGGTTAGTAGTGGAGGCGGGCGGTGCAGCGGTATGTTCCACATCTGAGCGCCTGTCTCTGGCAGACAGGCGGGGCAATACACGGAAAATGCTAATAGTTGCACACAGGGCAAGCAAACAGGGAAGTCTGGAGGAGTCGTGAGACAAAAGGACACTGGGTATGCTGCATGAGCTCTGCGTGGAATTCAACGATGGTTGCTAACAGTCCACAGCTGGGATTAACATAAGCATTTGGTTGCACGAGACAGTCAGTCCGGTTGGCATAGAATCCGGGTACAGCGGCGCTGCGCTCATTGTACTATACAACATGACACAACGGAAATGTACAATACAACACGAAGGATAGAGAACTCGCGCCTCATATGAAAGGGATCAAAAGCAGGTTGATACCCTTTAGTCCTTTGCCGGAAGGACGATAATCACGTTAATACATAGACAATTCAGTAAAACTTGGTAGGCACTACCAGCATTGTCCACTTTGGACGAGTCTCTACCCAACAAGGCACCGTCTTCCTGCCTGTCGTAACATTATGTGTATGCCATGATGGGAAAGGGTTGCATTGAATCGTGTGGCCAGAGTTTCATCCTGTTGTAGCAAGCATAACCGATTTGCGCTTCCATAGGGGGTCGGGGCCTCACGTGATCAGGGGGGCAGGGGGGTTTCGATCTGGGGGGTTTTCTGTTACTCTACGGAGTACTAGTACGGATCCGTACTGTTACGGCTTAGATAACCCCCGGTTTTGGTCCGTGCTTCTTAGCGTAGATACATTAGACATCGTACTTCTTACTATGTACAGAGCATTTCGCGACTTGTCTGTTTGTTCGTCAATTGCTAGCAGGCGCGACGAGGCTGGATTTAGTGACAATACTTTGCGACAATCCAAATCGGCGCCATCCAACCTAGACACCTCCCATCGAGCCACCTGTTGTATGATCCTCGATAGAGCTGGGTCAAGGTCAATAGCATCAAATCGCCGAATTGTGTCGTACTCGCCTTCGTCTTCAATGCGCCTGGTGTCCCTCGCATAGCTGCACCAACCTGCGCCCATTGACCGTCTCTCTGTATAGAGGTGTTTGGGACACAGTTGTGAGCCTTTGTTACAATGGCGCCGACAGTGAGATACCCCGTATGCTGTTCCCTGCATGAACTTGACTGATCACGCCCCGTAGATGCGTACTCACACCACCACTAGGCGTGGAAACCGAGCTGGCTATCAGGAACATGACGATTTCGAAGGTATACTTCCATCGCGAACAGTTTTCATGCACATGTGTTGATCGCGTTCAACAGGCCTACCCGTTCGGCAATGGCGACAGGAATGGGTGAACATATCACCACCTTCTCAGGTCGAAACCACTCAGAAGAACGACGTCTGGGCCATCGAACTGCCTCATGGCATGCCCAAGGATTCGAATCTGTTGCCCACCCATACACAGGAACTGCTACGAGCAGCCCGCTCCGGACGACTCTACAAACGACCCGCGCCCGCTGAAGAAGAGGAAGCTGAGGCGGATACCGCCCCGGAGAAGCCAGAAAAGAAGGACGAGGACCCCACTACCAAAGGCTACATGGTCAAGGTCTGGAAGCAGATACCTCGCAATGCCGAGGGTCCCACCATTTCGCATCTGGCCAAGAGGAGGAAAGGCACGGTGACACTGTCCTCCAGCCTGCCCGCCGGAAACACGTCTGGCCCAACCGTCACCAAGGCTAGAGTGCGGCGCATTGATGCTGCTGGTAACCCGTACGATCAAGAGGTCATCCTTGCCCACGGTCAGCCTGTCGATGGCGAAATCATCTCCACCACGGTCGTGCAGGCGCCGACAGCCAACGCGAATGCTGATGCTGCAGCTGGTGCCCCTGTACGGAGACGTCCCCCACCTCCCAAGAGGAAGGCCAAGGGTCCTGGCAGAGGCCGGAAGAAGAAGATCCTGCCGCTGCCTGGTCCCTCAGTTTCCCAGACTGGGGTTTCTGGTGCTGGTGTTGGCGAAGGCGGCGTTAAGCCCGGAGGTGCTAATGATGTGAGCTTACGTCCCTGTGCTAATGTGTTCTGTCTATTAACTCGAGCTAGGGCATCAAGCAGGAGGGCGGCGAGGACAATACGCGCCAGGACAGCGAAATGGCAGATGGCGATGATGACGAAGAAGGCGACGACGACGGCGAAGACGGCGAAGATGGGGAGGAAGGTGACGAAGACGAGGGCGAAGTTGCCGAGAGCGAAAAGGGAACGCCTGCGGCAAAGGAAGGCAGTACCGACCAGGAGATCAAGCACTCGCCTTCTGTTGGGCCCCCAACCATCACTACTTCTGTCCAAGACCCAGACCCAGACGCTATGGATCTTTCAACGGACGAGCCACTCCCCGAAGTCTCACAAACACAACCACCGACCGCACTTGCCCCTATTCAGCCTCCAACATACCTGAACTCTCCTCATTTCGAGGGAAGCCCCCTGAAGAACGTATTGGTACCGTCACCAACTGAGCTATTGTTACCGAGCTTACCGCCAGTCTCTGCTCCAGAGGCCAGTGCCCCTGTGCAGGAGTCGAGCTTACTATCAAATCCTATACCGGATCCTGTGCCGAGTGTTGAAGTACCACGACCGACTGTATCAGAGCCCGTCGTCCAAGAGACCACAATCGTTGAGACTCATACTCCCCAGGATACAGAGATGACAGATGCTGCGCCCATGACACAGCCAGAGACCAGTGTTGAGAGCAGGGTCCTTTCTAGCACAGACACAGGTGTTGATCAAGCAGTAGTGGCGGAAATCATCGAGACGACGAAAATCCCGCTCAATGACGAAGAAGCCGCGCCTGCAGAGCCTTCTGTCCTCACAGAACCCACCCTCATTCCTGAAGTGGCCACCACAGAAAGCATTTCTGAAACCCCATTACCGATCGTCGAAGACTTCGTCAAACCTGTTGAAGAGCCGGTATTGTTGGTCGACCCCGAGCCAATCAGAGAAGCGCTAGTCGAAGAAGCACCAGTTGAAGAAGCACCAGTTGAAGAAGCACCAGTTGAAGAAGCACCAGTTGAAGAAGCACCAGTTGAAGAAGCACCAGCCAAGGAAGCACCAATTGAAGAAGCACCAGCCAAGGAAGCACAAGCCAAGGAAGCACCGGTCGAAGAAGCGCTAGTCGAAGAAACACCAGTTGAACAAGTATTAGTTGAAGAAGTACCAGTCGAAGAAGTGCTAGTTGAAGATGGGCCACTCGAACCAACAGTACCATCACCCATCACACAAATTACTGAGGTTACAGACCTTTCTACAGCCCCTGCCACAGAAGTGTCGACAACTGCTGAAGAGGTACCAACGACAACGCTACCTTCCTTGAATCCTGTGCAGACAGAGTTCTCGGCAACTGTCCCCTTAACCGAAGAACCTGAACCTGAGAGTCCTGATCTGCTTGGTGGTCTTGAGGCTGTGCTCGACAGACACCATGACTCTAGAAACGAGCACCGGGCGGACGTGGCGCCGGAACCCATACTAGCGGCTGCCCCAGAGCCCGCGTCAGTCAGTGCGCCGCCTACAGATATGCCTACTGCTGATTCTGCTGCTATACCGGAGTCAGCACCAGAGTCAGTCCCAGCTACTGCTGACACCGAGGAGAAGAAGATTGAAGAAACGGCTGAGTAACTGTCGTGCCTGTTAGCTTTAGATCTTCAAGCTCAAAGTTGTACTTCCTGCTTCTTGTGAACTATATTTAGAAGGTTTCCGGAGTCTCCCGAATCTTGGCGCAGGGTGTAATGTTCTATTTGATTTAAGCAAGCGATACTAAAGTCGCAGGCGTTTGAGTCACCTGCTATGTAGTACTGGACAAAAAACAACACGCATTTGTCATGACCAAAACAGAAGTCTTCAACACAATTATTGTCATCGAGTGGCTGCTATGGCGGTCATTCACTATCTATATTACGTACACATGAACTGTTCCGTGGGAGGAAACGAAAAACCAGAAATACTCATAATGACATGCCGCGTCCGGCTTACACCAAACCAAAAACCAAACCTCATGCCTACTCGTCGTAAAGAAACGGGTCATCATCCTTCTCCAGGCCCCATGTGAGCAGCTGGTCCAGGGACGACAGGGAAGGCACGGGCGATGGGTGTTCGAAATGCAGACTGAAATAACCAAATTCATCAGTGCCGACAACCTCCTTCTCCTCGGCATCATCATCATTGTCCTTGCCGAGCTCCTGGTCTTCGTTAGCAGCGCCAGAGATACTAAGCTCGACGACCGAAGTCAAGATCCGTGCCTCCACGGCGGTATCGTCGACACTAGGCGAGTGGTGACCCACCTCTGGATCGCCGCCGTTGTACGGGTTCTCCGGGCGGCCGTTCATGACGGTGGACATGTTGTCCGGCACGTGCTGCAAGAGATTCTCGACGGCCAGCTGCGGAAAGGCCAACGGGAAGCGGTACGGCATCGACTGGGGCGTAGGTGCCTGCTGCTGCTGCTGCTGCCACTGCTGACGAGGAGTCGTGTAGCCGATGGTGTAGCGGTGGCCGGAAGGCGGTGCGATGCCGCGGCTGCTGCTCGGGGGAGGGGTACGGGTGGCGGTCGTCTGCTGCTGTTCATTCTTCTTCTTCTCCGAGGCCGGTTTGGGCTCGTACTTGTAGCCCGGGTACAACGTCTCGTGCTCCTTGCGGGCTTGCTCCTGCCGGCGCTTCCAGACCAGCTTCTCCGGCGCGGGCAGCTCGCGCCACATGGTGCCTAGTAGCTTGGCTATAGGAGAGTTCGCACCCCCGTTAGCTGGTGGTTTCAAATGTAGGCGTTCAACTGGATTGGTAGGGAAAGGAAAGAAGATGAAGTTGAAGATGATGAAAAAAAAAACTCTTTAAGAGAAAAGCCCTGACAGCACCAAGAAAATAATGAAATGAAATTCCATACTTACAGAGCTCCTTGTTCTCGACCCCGGGATTCTTGGCCTTGACCTCCTTGCACATGGCCGAGCGGTAGAGGATAAAGGCATTCTGTGGGCGCGGGGCACCAGATCGGTAGGCGTTCTTGCGGTATCGCGAGACGTGGTTGATCTGGAAGCCGTCGTCGTCGTTGTTGTCTGCTGCTGCTAAGGACAGGGAGTTCTAGTCCTCAGCCCCGGCAACAGCAGCGTTGAATTCGGGCAGCTGCACTAGGTTGATGCCCACACCACCACGGCCGCTCCCGCGGGGGTGGTAGTCGTCGTCGTTGTCATCGCAGTCGTCGTGTTTGCGACTGGTGCTGGCGCCGCGCTTGCGCGATGCTGGCGTCTTTGAGGCGGCGGGCTTGCGCTTGCGCGACGAGGCGTGCTTGGTGGGCGTCTGCTGCTCCGGGGTCTCGGGGAGAGCGTAGGCCGAGGCGCCTGGCATAACCATCGTCATGGGGCCGGCAAAGCCCATCGGCTCGGGGTAGGCGGAGGGAGGCGCTGCTGCTGCTATTGCCGCAAGATGACCCAGGCCGGCGGGCTCCTGCTGCAGAAGAAAATGGGTGTCGGTGTTGTTGTTGTTATTGTTGTTGTTGTCGACGTTGGTGACGAAACCGTTCTGGCTGGGATCATCCCACAGGTTGGCACGCGGGATCATGATCGGCAGCCCGAAGCCGGGCATGTCGATGATAGCCGCGTCCCGGGTCGACAGGTCCTGCATGGCGCCGAGGAAGACACGGCCGCCGCCGGAGTCGCGCACGAAGTGGGCATGGTGGTGGCCGGTGTTGCTCCTGTCGTCATTAGTAATATATTCTTATTGTGTACGATAGAGTAAAGCGAGATAGGATGGCATACGATGGGATAAATCAGGTTGATACATTGTATAAGAAGGGATGACATAAAATGAGATGTGTTATACTATGAAGAAAACATGGCACAACTGCTGCGGAGAGTGGACTTGACGCAGGCTTGAATACTGGTCGGTGAAAAGTGCTTTTTACTCACATGAACATCTGGAGGATAGAGGCACGCGTCTCGTCGGTCCAGGCATTGTAATCGCTCTCTTCGATAGCAATGACGCGGTTGTAGGGGCTGAGCTGGATGCGCAAATGTTCCCAGCACTCAAGCGAAAGAGAGCCAGCTAGACCACCATAGCCAGGCCGGCTGTTGTCGCGATCATCGTAGGACATGGCGAACGAATCAAGTCACGAGCGTCAGTTGAAGCTGTTGGATGGCTAATGAATGTTCGTTGGGGTTTGAAGGCAGGTGTCGTCAACCAAGATTGTGAGCTAGGTGTAGTAAAAAATTACGAATGTATTTCACGGAGCCACCAAAGCCCATTTTGATGACTTTGGTCCGAATCGAAACAATGTGGAGCTGGGACTGCTTATACGTCTTGACTAGCTGCTTATCTGACATTCTATGGACTTTTGTTGGTTGGGCAACTTCGCTCTTGCATACTAATACACGGGTATGTTGTCAATTTCAGTAGCATGATACAAGTGGTTCTTTTACGAACATGAGATTAGGTGTAGCGCATGATGTTCGTTGATAGGAATGCATGGCTCAATATGTGGCTACTCAACATAGTGAGACACACAAAGGTACGCTGTGACAGTTGGGATAGACTCACAATACGATAATATAACTCATAAATCTGGAATGTCCTGTCCACCAGCTTGGAGAGATATTCCGAAGATCCGTGTGAGCGCTTCAGGTCTTTTACTAATTGATTTTTACTTCTCGATATGAACTGTACTTTTGGGACACAGCATCGCTCATAACTAACTTGAAGTTGTACCGTTTTCGTTGTAATAACAATACACAAATGAGAAGGTCCAGATGTTGAGATGTCTCGTGAACTTTGCGATAAATCTGCTTGGGTCAACTTTGCTATTGAAGAGATAAATAGCAACCAGACAATGACAACATGTTGTAAAAATGAATTAGCATTTCATAAATTCCGAGGCGGCATATAGTAGTTTTCATGGTATGGTTACCCTGAGAGCTGAGCTAAATGAGTAAATATTATGAATGAATAGTTATTCTATTTACACGATAGTATTGCTACATACCCTTTGGTGTATGGAATAACCGGTCACCTCAACATGCGGGTCGACAGTCGCACCCGGACATTCCATCTGCAATCAACGATTTGTTGCATTAATGCTCTTTGGGCTTTTATTAAAGGACTGTACGTATTCATCGACGACACGGTTTCAAGGTCTGCGTGCTTACCCACGTCTCTGGGCAACCGATCAAGTCCTCGAGATACTGGACATTTCCAATAACACTTTTTCCCGCCATCACAACACAACGCCGTGCATTCATCGCACCGTCATGTTGCTTACCAATATGATGAATTCGACTGAAGAAATTCTTCTCAAGCTGGCCATGGCCATTGCCAAAGAACATGATCTGAGCGTTGAGTCATTGCTCAACCTGGCTGAAACCCTTGAAGCGCTTCATCTTGACGCTACTGTGCCCTGTAAGTATTTATACAGAAGTGATTACTCATGTAAGCAATAAAACTGACAATACAGACATCACATTCCCCAATCTTGTCCTCCTGCTATCAAACACCAGTTATGAGGTGCCTGGGTGGCTTGCTGCCTCCGAGTCCAGGTTGGATCAGTACACTGCTAAACAATTCAACGCGATTGTCAAGCTTGTCGAAGCTCGCTACTGGCTGGGTGATGCCGAAAACATGCTCGAGCAAATTGAGGCCTGGGAGGTCGTCTTCGGCTACCCACGACACGTTCATCGGCAAATGTTGAGCAAGCGTGACGCCAAAGCTCTTGTCGACCTGAAGGGACCTCGCGGCAACTTCTCATTCACTATTGGTCTCCCCGAGTATCACTTTGAGGACTTCCCCGATTGTTTGAAGGCTCTTCGCGACATGTACTTTCCGACGGGCATTGACGATGCTATTCCCGCTTTCACCAAGCACTACTGCCGAGCTAAGACCGCCAGCTTCAAACTTCGCAAGTGTGTTGATCGTCTTGAGAGAGCAGGCGTCGTAAGCCGAACTTGCACCCTTTACGCGAAGTCCCAAAAAATCTTCAATGACGACCTTGTCGACAAGACCATGAGCATGGCCCAGCGTTGGCACGCGGCTACCAAGAAGCAGATGGAATACTACCAACTCCCCGGCGTCAACCTCGGACTTCCCTACGGTCCGTCTGTCTTTGCTGAGTTCGATGGAAACAGAGCCTTTGTCATCCATACTCCTCTTGATGGCGGCAATCAGCATTGGGATTCTATTGGTCCGCTGTATACCCCGATCCGCTGGCGCCCGGGTACTCCTTGGCTTGATTACTTTCGAAATACCCGACAGGATCATCCAATGATGAGACATTTCGATGTTGAAGACTTGCACAAATGTGCAGGTTTGGGTAAGAACATTCCACGACCGTATGAGATGCGGATTCCACAGTCGATTGTCAACATCTGGCTTCACTACGCCAGAATGTACGACAGTTACGAGAATAATTATGCTCAGGTCAGTTACGACACCACCTCTGGGAATGAATATTACTAATGAGCCACAGAACGATGGATCTCTTGCTGGCCCAGAGAAGACCAAGGACGAGCTTGCTGTACGTATATACTCGGGTGATTCCAGGCGATAGTTCTAACAGTGGGCAGAAACAAGCAAAGCGTCTGTCAGATGCCACTGGCGAGCCTTACTGGCACGTTCGCGAAATCGGAGTTTGTCACTATGTGCTCCCTCAAGTAACCCTAATACTGACATAAGAACAGATCGAGTATGGTACCGTATCCATGTACTTCCCTCACAATACTCTTCTGGTAGGTGTATTGGCTTGACTAAGTTACGGGAGACAGCTAACGTCACCACAGGCTGGTCGTCCCCGATATGACGCTCTTGGCAACCTGCGCTTCGATTACATGGGAGCCATTTTAAAGGAGTTGAGAACCGGCCATCCTTCCAGAGACCATAGAACGACGCAGTCGATGGCCCTTCTCCGAGCCGATTGCGAGGATGACACCGAGATGGGTCGAGATTTGGAAGGTTCTCAGTAACTAGGTTGCCCTGAAGAATTGGAGGAGTAGGATAGACTCATGTACATGTAACATCCAGTACATGTGTGCTGTTGGTGGAAACTCGTCACGAACATGGGTGCATAACCGTTCAATATTGTTGTATTGCTTTGTTTGACAAACGACTCTGCAGGGTGAAGCCGTTTCGACGTATGAGATAAGGTTGCACAATGGAATTTCTTGTTGGGGAGTCATGATCACCGAAATAAAACGTATTGCTACGTGTGTTGGATGATATGAAATATAATTCATGACCAATTGCCATGCACCCTCACGGCGTGCTCCAGTGTGTAATATGTGCTGCTCTATATCCCGCAAGAATCTGCTCGGTTCCTGTCACTAGATATGGCGGGTCTAGTATACGTATTATGGTGTTGATATCTGTAGAATAGGCAAGTTCCGGAAACCACTTGGCCGACTTTCTCCTCGAATTGGAAGATCATCTTGTACTTCGAAATGAAATTTAACGGTTACAAAACATCTGCGCTTCCGCCGCGTCTCGCCTTCCTGAGTCCGTGATACAGGGATTGGAGATTACAGTGAGTTTTCATTCTTAAATATATGGTAGTCATCGGGATTTGAATTCAAGAGCAGACGATATGATTTTAATTGGGTTATGTGATTACTTGTGATATTTCAGGCCTGTAACTTTAGAGTCTCGGCTATTGTTCAGAGAAGCAAAGTTACTGGGAATTCCGGATAAATGCTCAAACCTTGAGCCAGGAGCTCTATCGCCTTATCTGCCATTGTTCTCAGCATCAGCATAGTAGTTCGATACGAGTCGACTATTCCTATGGTATCATTAGAAACCCAAATGATGAGAGCGGCAGTAGTGATATCAGCAATCAAAGAAGTAACTCTCCCATCTCATTGGTTCCGATTTACATGACTTATCGAGCACTTCGTGTTGTACTTTCAAGTTTAAGCATATCCGTGACAGATAAAACATACATCTATACTGTTAGAAAAGACCCGGACTGCATAATGGTTATAACTCGAATGAGAATTCTGTTCATGTCATTAATCTAATTACATTCCAGTTCAATGATTTAGCTGTGTATTGAGGTCTCTATTGTTTGTTACAGTATTACTCAGTTTTAGCAGTTCAATTAGCCGCGCTAAGTCAAGGTCAGGAGAGAATTATGCAATTATAGCTCATTACGCCAGGCCTGTTTGTTGCATAACACCTGAACGCGCTCAATCGCGACGTTGAGGAAGGGACAAAAGATACGAAAGTTGTGCCTTCTAGAAGTGGTATTTTCAGCAAACCTGGTGAGTCTCATTGAACAGACGGTTGCGAGTCGCAGCACTCATCTTGTTCAAAAACTCGAACCCCGCGCAGCCGTCTGAAGTTGTTCACACAACTACCACTGCAACACATGGACGTTAACACATGGGGTATTGTGTTCGCCAGGCTTTGACAGGGGCACCTCTGGTGATTAAGCTCGGCACAATTCTCTTGACCACTATGACGCCTGGGGGCTCCGACGAAAGGACACATACATGTTGAGCACAAGCTACGGAGATGTCACGCTTTCTCACTCCAGCCAAGATCGGGCTCTTGGCCCTGATCGAGCTGTATGTCGAGAAAGCCGTACCCATTTCGGCCATGGTAGAGGTGCTCTCTTTCACAACCTCGCACCTGATCGACAGCGATATCACTCGCTCTGTCAATGCCAGTGGCCATTGGAAGAAGGCCGAAAGCACGGTCAGCCTGGTGATTTCGATCGCGGACTTTGAGAAGGTGCTGGGTCCGTACACAGCCGCAGCTGGCATTCCCGGTCGAAGTCTTTGGTATGTTTTTCTGGACAAATTATGGAAGATCAATTCGCTCGACGCGCTGCACGAATTCTTCGAGCGTCGTGCGGACTTGCTAGCCAAGACGAAAGAGGAGACTCGTCGTGATGCAGAGATGGGCATTGAGCCACCTGACGCAGAGGCCATTGTTCTGTCGCGCAACTCGCCTTTGGGAGCCTTTATCCGGAAAGGACAGCTCGAGTTCAGCCGACTGAGATTCGAGAACGCTTTCGAGTTGTGGAAAGATTTTGTCAAATACCGTCAAACCACTGCGGCTTACTATAGGAAGAAAACGCCGTCTTTTCAGAGGCTGAGCTTTGACAATGTGCTTCTTGAGGGTGAGCATGGTTGGGGTGAGGACATTGAGGCTATTGCTAGTGTGGCGTACGGAGACATGCTGAGAGATGACCCAACTTCAACTTTGCCAGTCAGCACGGATGACATTGAGAAGCTGTTGGAATTCCAGATTGAGCAGATGCAGAGTACGTTCTCAGGGGAAACATGGATGTTGTAAATCTGCTGACTGGATTACTCAGAATATGGCAACCGGATTCCACTAGAGATCCGCCACCAATTTCATGATTTACTGAACGACAGCTACATGATTCCGAGCTTGTCGCATTATCTAAGGCAAGTGCTATGCTTTTGAGCCATGATATCCGGATGTACTGACATTAAGAAGCTACCTCGACGCTTGGAGGGCAGGGGACTATTCAACGTCTTTCGATTGCCTACATCGGTATTTCGACTACACCATGCATCACAGAGATAGGCTATTCTACCAGTATGCGCTTATGAATTTAGCTGTTCTACAGTCCGATTTTGGCTGTTACAAGGAAGCTGTAGCTGCAATGCTAGAGACTGTTTCCACAGCAAGAGAGAACCGAGACATGACCTGTCTCAATTTCGCCTTGAACTGGCTCTTTCACTTTGGTCGAGCGCACCCAGAAGTCACTCGAGATTTGGAATCCAACAGTATGCTGGGCAACGGCAAAGAATCCCTAGCATTCCTTCGTGCTAAGGCGAAGGAGACTGGTATGTGGACGCTTTGGAGTTCAGCTCTTGTTAGCGAGGCAAAAATGAACCTCTCCAATGGCGATAGCATTGCGACGGCACTTGAGCACATGGTCCGGAGCTCACAAATACTTGTCGAAAGAAACATGAAGAGCATGATGGGATCACAAATGTCACTCAACATTGCATTATGGGATCGACTCGGAATCTCATTTCTCTCTACTACCACATGCGAAGTATTCCTTCGCTGCCATGCTAAGCACTGTGTGTTTGATGACGAGCTCAAAGTTGCGAGTCGCATAGCTTCGATGCTGGCCCTGAAGGGAAAGTACGACGAGGCTCTGCAGAGGCTGGAGAATATGGACTCTAATTCGCTGCGTTCCTGGAAGGCCAGCCAGTATTGGCACAAGTTCAGGGGCATTATCAAGCTAAGAAGGGATCTGCATCGCAATGATTTAGATGGTGCGGAATACTTGTTGTCACAACTCTTACAGAACAAACAGGAAGACCTCGAGCCTGACCTTGCATTTGTCATTGACAGCCTACATATCGAATGCCTCGTCCGGCGTGGGGATCTCAAGAAGGCCTTTATCAAGGTCGAATCGCTTATTACCGAGCTGCGTGATGAGAACAGAGACATCGCGCTCAGGGTACGGCTACTTCTTATCAAGGCGGATCTCCTAGATCGATGCGGTCATCCACAGAAGGGCTTCACCATAGCCGTAAGAGCGGCGAACGTAGCCTGGCGCGCCCGCCTGATGCCCTACCTGTGGCCCGCCATTGGCGCCATCTCAAACATTCTGGTATCTCTCGGGGACTTTGAGCCCGCGGTGCAGCTCCTGACCGCCGTACTACCGCGAAGCCTAGAGTGCGAGAACTCAGCTATGACGGCCAGGCTGTACTCGATTCTCGGCGATGCAAATATGGGGTTAGCGGGCACGGCGGCGCCCAAGTCGAACAAGAGGCGAGAGTACATGACGAAGGCTGTTGAAGCCATTGAGAAATCGTTTAACCACTATTCCAACATGCAGGACATCAGCAAACAGTGCGAGATGATGGCAAAGAAAGCGACAATCATGAGAGTTGCCGGAGAGCATGTCCTAGCGAACGATTACGCAGCAGCATATCTGGCGTTACGGCGAGATGCTGCACAGATGAAGATATGACGAAAATGAATAGGAGTAGATGCAGAGGCAGAGGGGAGTGGTCATGTACCACTATATGCAGATTTCATTGGGTTTTTTATACAAGCTCTATGTCGAGCTGTCTCTGCCTCTTTCGGGGCATAAGAATATATAGATACGGGGGTTGGTCATCCGAAGTGTGTCAGATAGAGATGTGCTTTCTGCCCTCAACGATGTGGGTGATGTTGCATGTCCAAGGTACGAGCCGTACATGCCTTTCTTCATTTGGCTCATGCAGACCTCAATCGCTCCACTTGACGTTCTTTCCGCTCTTGCTCTTCAGCCCGCCCTTCTTTGCTGCTTCTTTCGAGAGGGCCTCCTCGAGTACATGGTCCTCGTGGTTGTCGGCCTCCTTTGCATTGTTCGTCGCCCACATGCTTTCGATACAAAGCTCGAAAGGGCCTGGCACGCGGTCCGTCAGACCGATGCCCAAGCTCGTGACCTTTTGCCTTAATATTTCTGTCTGCGGCTCAACCACAAAACCATGGTTGGTACGGACGAAGTCGTTCCACTTGATCAAAATGGTTTCCCACTCTCCAGGCCGCCTCGTAAACAGTCTGTGCTGGTGTAGATCCGTGGGCACGACAGACTCGGTCTGGACGTTGACAAAGTACGAGCGGCCGTCTGACTTGATGCGCAAGGCCAGGTAGGCGTACATGTCTATGTTCCAGACGGATCTGCCGAATATGGTCGGGGGCTGGTCGAGGGTGCGCCAGGCGGCGAAGCCGGAGCGTTGTATGTCGGGTTTGTTGGGGGGCAGCTTGGTGGATATGCTTCCGTGGAAGCGGGCATGCGCGGGCACGCCGTCGCCGTCGGACGGTGGTATCCAGTCCAGCGCGGCCTTGGAGAAGCCGCCAATGTCGACGTCGCACATGAGCTTCGTCTCGGATATGGAGGAGGGCTCGGCGAAGGAGTGCAGGACCCTGGGGCCCGAGGAGCCCTTGATGCCCTCGGACGTCAAGGCGATCATGCTGAGGCGCTTGAACTCGTCGAGGGAGCGGCCCCAGAAGCCCTTGCTGCAAAGCGCGGTGGTGGTGCGCATCTTTGGGAATGTGGGCGTGCTGGCTCACGAGGGCAGCAGCTTTGAGAGGTGGAAAAATAGGCTGGTCTTTTAGAAAGGAAAAAAATAAAAGGCCGAGGTCTCAGTCTGACGAGCCGAATGGCTCTCACTCAAGCCTTTACATTAGCCGTCGAGAATATCGATTGGGTCCGGGGCCGAGCTGTAGATGGGCGATATCTCAGACTGAACAATGCAAAGCTTCGCGATGGGAGGAACTTAGTTTAGAGACGTTGTGACGTTGGGGGCACACTATCAACGCCGACACAGCACCCCAGGCCTGCCAGGCACCCCGTTGCTGCACCGGCAGGGCGATCTAACCGCTATGAGTTAGCGAGCCTTGGGAGAAGGGAAAAGCGAGAAGCAAGAAGCTTTGGGAGCTTCCCTGTTCTGTTCCCGGTTTCAACCACTCGCTGCCAGAGGCCATGCACCACCGACTGCTGCTGCAGGGCCGCCTGCTCCAGTGAACCCCACCGTAGTAGCTACCTCCAAGTTACATAACTCACCTTGGCTACCTTGCAGTGATGCTCAGCCTCCATCGCATGCGCAACTTCTACCACACTGGCCAATCTCGGGCGCTGACCAAACGTTGAAGCTTGCCGTGGTGGTTTTTTTTTTTGCCAGAGGCTGACGTTGCGAGTTTAGCAAACCTCCTTTGGGCCCTTTTGACTGCTTTCTTGTGCTTCCTGTCGTCGCCTAATGATCCGAGATATACCAGTCTAGGTTACAGTACTCCCTCCCTACGTACCGCTCTTTAGACTGCCCAAATCTCTCTGCCTATTGTGTCTCCCATCTCTGGCTATCCTGCTGCCTCATTGACATCATACTTGAGGCTTTTGGCTGGCCGTCACATCGCGAGTCGAAGCCTTCGTCTTAGCCAGTGCCCCCTCCCCCACGCCCCCAATTCCGATATACGCTCTCCCCGCCGCCTCCCGCTTTATTCCACTGTTGTACGAGGTTATCCCAACATTGTTCCAAGGGGGACCGGTTTGTGTACCCGAGGAAGCAGCCATTGTGCAACTAGTTGCCCAACATGGCTTCTAATCGTACAGACCATACCAAGTGCGTACACCCTCACTCCCATCATCTGAGCCGCCTTTGCCGTGGGCACCCATCGCCATGGCTGGCTTTCCAGTGCCGCACCTCTCTTCCAGGATGGGTCCCGGCGACACCTGGACAGAGAGCAGATCAGAATCAAGGCAACTGGACCCGGCTTACCATGGTGACCCTCTTAGATCCGAGGCCGAACTGGCCATCAACATTCGAAAAGCTACGAACAACGACGAGACCGCCCCGAAGCGAAAGCATGTGCGCAGCTGCATCGTCTACACATGGGACCACAAGTCCTCCCAGTCCTTCTGGGCTGGCATGAAAGTGTACGTGGGACGGCGAAGAAGAGCCGTACACATGAAGCGTTTGCTAATGCGGACCGGAACAGGCAGCCTATTCTGGCGGATGAGGTTCAGACATTCAAAGCCCTGATCACAGTGCACAAGGTGTTGCAAGAAGGTCACCCTGTGACTCTTCGGGAGGCCATGGCGAACCGTGGGTGGATCGACAGTCTGAACCGCGGTCTCGCCGGCGAGGGCGTTCGAGGATACGGGCCCCTCATCCGTGAATACGTCTATTTCCTGCTGGCGAAGCTGTCTTTCCACCAACAGCACCCCGAGTTCAACGGCACCTTCGAGTACGAGGAATACGTCAGCTTGAAGGTCATCAACGATCCCAACGAGGGCTACGAGGCCATCACCGACCTCATGGCTCTGCAAGACAAGATCGAGCAGTTCCAGAAGCTCATCTTCTCCCACTTCCGCAACGTGGGCAACAATGAGTGCCGCATCTCAGCTCTGGTGCCTCTGGTTCAGGAGAGTTATGGTATTTACAAGTTCATCACAAGCATGCTGCGCGCCATGCATTCGACCACCGGCGACGATGGAGCTTTGGAGCCCTTGCGAGAGAGATACAATGCCCAGCATTACCGTCTTGCCAAGTTCTACTACGAGTGCTCGAATCTGCGATACCTGACGAGTCTCATCACTCTCCCGAGATTGCCGCAAGACCCGCCCAACCTGCTGACCGAGGACGAGGACGGCGCGGGACTGCCCGCAAGACCGAAGCGGGAGATCGAGAGACAGCCGACGCCTCCTCCGGCGCCCAAGACGGAGGAACCCGACGAGATTGCTGAGTTCTGGCAGGGTGAGTTGGACCGTCAAAACCGCGAATACGAGGAGCAACAGCGAGTGCTCCAAGCACAACAGCAGGCTCAGCTTCAGGCTCAACAGCAAGCTCAACTACAGGCTCAACGCGATTTCGAGGAGCAACAGAGGCAGCTTGCGGAACAGCAGCGCAGAGAGCAAGAAGCTCTGATGACGCAGCAAGCTCAATGGCAGACACAAGGACGCTTGGCAGAGCTCGAGCAAGAGAACCTGAACGCGCGAAACCAGTACCAGCAGGATCAGCTCATGCTTCAGCAGTACGACCAGCGGGTCAAGGCACTGGAAGGCGAGTTGGGTCAGATCCAAGGCAGCTTCGGCCAGCAAATCACAAGCAGGGACGACCAGATCCGTGCCCTACAAGAGCAAGTAAACACGTGGAGAACCAAGTACGAAGCACTAGCCAAGCTGTACTCGCAGCTCCGTCATGAACACTTGGACCTTCTACAGAAGTTCAAGTCAGTACAGCTGAAGGCTGCTTCTGCTCAGGAGGCAATTGACAGGCGCGAGAAGCTCGAGCGCGAGATCAAGACCAAGAACTTGGAGTTGGCGAATATGATCCGCGAGCGAGACCGCGCTCTGCATGACAAGGATCGCCTTAATGGAAGCAACAAGGATGAGGTCGAGAAGCTCAGGCGTGAGCTGCGCATGGCGAATGACCGGGCCGACAACCTCGAGCGGAGCAAGGGCAACGAGCTCTCGGTCATGCTGTCCAAGTACAACCGGGAAATGTCAGATCTGGAGGAGGCTCTCCGGGCCAAGTCGCGTGCTCTGGACGAGGCACATTCCAAGCTCGCCAACGGCAGCTCGGACCTTGACGCACTTCTTCGTGAAAAGGAGGAGGAACTCGAGGTCTACAAGGCAGGCATGGACGAGATGTTGCTCAAGATGAACGAGCTCGAGCTCAACCAAGGCGGCGGCGACGAGGCCACAGATGAAATGCTGAAGACTTTGGTCGAGGCCAACTTGGACCAGATCAAGGAGATCATTGATTCTGTCCTGCAAGCAGGTGTGGCCAGAGTGGACGACGCTCTCTACGAGCTCGACTCTTCCATGCAGGCTGGTAACCAAAATGCAACGCCTGCCTTCGTTCTGTCGCAGATTGAGAAGGCTTCAGCCAGTGCTATGGAGTTTGCGACGCAGTACAACAATTTCATCGCAGATGGCCCCAATGCTGCCTACTCGGATTTGATCAAGGCTATCAACGTGTTTGCTGGCTCTGCCGCAGACGTATGCAGTAACACCAAGGGTATCTTGAGGTTAGCCCCCGAGGAGAAGAAGGGTGATGCGCTGGTGGGCGGCGCTCGGCAAGCTGCACAATCCGCTGTCAAGTTCTTCCGCGGTCTGCTGAGCTTCAGGCTGGAGGGCATGGATGACATGCAGAAGCTGGACGTGGTCATCAACAGCAACAACGATGTCCAAATGGATCTTCAAAAGCTGAACAAGTTGGTTGAGCAGTTTGCGCCAATTGCCAAGCTGTCAAGCACCAAGGGCGATATCGGTGACCTGGTCGATTCCGAGTTGAGCAAGGCTGCTGACGCGATTGCTGCCGCTGCCGCACGTTTGGCTAAGCTGAGAAACAAGCCCCGTGACGGCTACTCGACCTATGAGCTCAAGGTCAACGACACCATCCTTGATGCCGCACTGGCCATCACGAATGCCATTACTCGTCTCATCAAGGCTGCAACTGTAACACAAAACGAGATTGTCCAAGCTGGACGCGGCTCTTCGTCGAGGACGGCATTCTACAAGAAGAACAACAGATGGACGGAAGGCCTTATCTCAGCTGCCAAGGCTGTCGCTTCGTCTACCAACACGCTCATCGAAACGGCAGACGCTGTCATTTCTAACCGTGCCACCCCTGAGCAGTTGATTGTGGCATCCAACGACGTCGCCGCTTCAACCGCACAACTCGTGGCTGCGAGCCGTGTCAAGGCCGGCTTCATGAGCAAGAGCCAAGAGGGTCTGGAGGACGCCAGCAAGGCTGTGGGTGCTGCCTGCAGAGCACTCGTCAGACAAGTCCAGGCCCTGATCAAGGAGCGTGGCTCGAACGAAGAGCAGGAGGATTATGCCAAGCTCGACTCGCACACCTTCAAGGTCAGAGAGATGGAGCAACAAGTACAGATCCTGCAGCTCGAGAATGCCTTGTCGGCGGCCCGAACGAGGCTTGGTGAGATGAGGAAGATTTCCTACAGAGACGATGAGGATTAAGCTAGCTTGGTGGAAATTTATTGTTTTGAATTCGTTCCACAGGAAACTTCTTATTGACTTTACACTTTTGGACTCCATGGTCTAACAGATCTCTTACACAGCAACTCAATGTGCCCCAAAATGCAAACATATCTTTGAAGTGCGCGAGGTCGAAATCCTGAGGCAACAGGTATGGGGACTGATGGTTTTGCCGATTGTTGCTTTTCCATTATCCATCCCTCCTCCTATCTTGACATGATCACATGGGAACCTTGTATCAGTACGTAGTTTCCCCTCCGTCTCAGACCAGCATCACTTCAAAAAAATTTCGTTGGAAGAAAAGAAAAGTGAAAAAGTAAAAAATATAAAAATATAAAAATAAAAAAGGGAATCCCCTTCAACGAAATCGAGATCGTGGATATTATTATTAAGGAGAAGATTACAATCAAATATCTTTTTTAACCTGGCAGTGTCCATTGCATCTCGCTCTTCGATTTGCCTTTTCTTCTTCTTTCTTTCTTGTCTTCACGTCTTCTAAGTCGGCGGCGACCATTTCACCTTGATCGAAATGAAGTCTCGCTTCGCTTGTGAAGAAGGTCAAGTCCTCTCGTTTCCTTCAAATTCACATAACCGAGGTATCGCTGTTACCATCCATGGGGTGCGCGTCCCAGCCATCGCTCCATCGGCACGGGGTCATCCAGGAGTAATTAGATGGGAGCCCCCCTATCGTACATACGCACGAACCCCCAAGGAGCGGACATATTCTGTGCAGTAGGACTACCCATGGAAAGGCTTCCTGTGGCCAAGCTGGATCGATAACTATTTGGTGTGAGGATCGTGCAGACGGTTCTCGCGTCTAGCGACGCTAATCAACATGCTAGAGGGCACTCGGACACGTTCTTACGAGTGATAGACCGTGTGTTACATTGCGAACCGTCAGGGAATTCGCAGACCACGGTCCACAGGCTGCAGATCACAACCTCACCTGGGCGTTGTTGTGAACTCACCAAGACCTAGAAACGAAGGGGCAGAGTAGCCCCTGAGGCCAGCCCAGAGCTATGCTCCGATCTCGACAGGATTTAAAATTAATTTGTGCAAACCGTGCCTAACTAATTCCTCATTACTGGCCGTAGCCAGAAAGCCGCACCAAGTTCTGCGCCATAGCAAGTCGATTGCGAGTCAACAAAAGTATGGATGCACACAAGCTCCTACAGGCACGAGATAATAGTTCGCAGCGCTCAACCCGTTTCGGGGTCGGGGTCTGTCATATAAAGCACAGGATTCAAGACACGCCAGAGCTTATGAACGTGACGCGCGGTACGCATCATTAAGACCTCAGGTGATCCTCGAGTGTCTCCTCGATGTTCCCGTCACCAAACCCCAGTTGTCTAGGCGGCCGGTGCCGTGAAGTATGGGAGCTCTTCGCCGCATGTATTTTAATCAAGGGGCTGGATGGGAGTGGATGTGCAACATATGAAGAAATCGTGCTTAGTAGCAAACTCGCCGTTTGATCCAGGGTCATCATAAAGGCAGTGGCCCGGCCACAAAACCAGCGATCTACTTCGTGGGATGTAGTTTGTGGGATTGATTACTTTGTTGTATGCCGTCTAGAAGTTGTTTCAAGTATCATTAAAAACCATTTTTACCATCCTTGAGATTCTTTCAGAATGAACTCGACGGCTGACTCGGTATCTTGGTCTCGTATGTATGGTCAGCGATGCGTCTACGAACCGTGCTCATGGCGCGTCTTGCGGGTCAGCGATCGATTGTTGGCATGTAAGTCATTCCCGATGACAGGTGTATTTGCCATGCGCGAAGAGTAGGTCGGCGCCTTGTCGACCACCCTCGGGTCGCCCCGGGAAGGAGCTGTACTCGAACCACAATCGGCCGATCACGATGCTCGCGTTGTCGGAGCGGCAAGTAGATGGTGCAATACAGGCCCGGGTTCAACCGATCTGGTCAGCCGACTGCACCTTCGGTGTTACTGCTACAGACCTTTTCGCAACTCCATGGACCTGCCTCGACACCGGGCTATGTGTGGGTAAATATAACTAAGCATAACGAGTGCCCTCAATACCTTGATAGCTTCAGAATATATGGTGGTAATTGATCCCAAGATGGCTGCCTCGGCGTATCCACGGTGCCTGACCATGATTGATGGTGGCCCATTGGGACTTGCCTTGAAGCGTTATCATCATGGCATGTGTTGTTCAAGACCCATACTTGGGTCCCGAGTGCGAATCCAGGCAGGGTATGTGTAAATGTACGCCACAGCCTCTCGCCCTAACCAAGCCGGTTTCAACACACGGCTGTCCGTCACATGCTACTTGACGGTTCTATCCTGGACACCAGCATTAACCACAGACGACACAAGGCGCAGGTGGCATCCGGTAGTCTTTTTTCTTTTTTCCTTTTTGGAATTCCTTCCGAATTTGTCTAGACAACCCAAGCCACTGGTTATTGAGCAAGATAATATCAGATCGCGATTTAAGTCATGGGACATCACGATTGAGGAGATATATTGCTTCCCATAGGGGGAAAGAAATACACGAACAGGCTGTAGGATAGATACGAAGCTTATTTGATGGTGTGATGCCTACCGGTTGGCGTCAGTCTGTATGACGATCTTGGGTCGTGACAAGATCAGGCTGATTAGAAGGAGTGAGGCGGCATTAAAAAAACTGCCGTGCAGTATAGCATTTGGTTTGAACAATATCCGATCTGCTCTCTTGCATATTATATGACTTCGGCACTAAATCAATCGATTTCTGGGGAGCTCATAGAGGCCTTGTGGCAAGATCAAGCTTGCAGTAACTTGTATTCGTGTGGTGTGATTATCTCATGTCGGGAAGCTTGAGAATCTGGAGGCCCCCGGCTCCATGGTACGATGTAATCAACGCCAAGCCATAGTCAAATTTCGTGACCTGTGTAGACACTCAAGGTGAGAAAACTGCCTCCAGGGATGTTGATTAATTCCTCCCAGGTCTCTGTGCTGTTCTGTGCTGCGCTTCCTGATACAGACACGTGATTCCATGCACCGGCTATACTTCAGTCGACAGAGGGCAAGGGATATCCTTCTTGTCAGACGAAATTGAAGATAGCCCGCATGAGTGGCATGATGATAACCATCGACGAGTTCGGGTCTTTGTCCCGGTTCCTGGGCAATTGACAAGTCGCTAATTGAAAGAGGGAGTAGGTATATGGTACGTAGCATTTGGTCTCAAGGGTGGCCATGAGAGCGTTATCGCGAATATGCGTGTCGCTTAAAAGGCACAGTATTTGATCGTGGGACTCTGAGACCGTTTGTTGGTGTGAACCGTAATATGATCCTCCGCTAAGGCGCTTATAAGGTCCGAGGACATTGAGTGGCGTCAATTTCGCCATTTGCATCACTGGATAGGCAAATCATCATTGCTAGAATTTTGCCCATTAACGTACATCGGATCGTGACCCCATGACCATCTTGATATATTCTACCGGTTCGGGCAGTCGTGCGCTGTGGTAGCGCCGTGCCAAGGCAATGCCGGTAGGAGAAGATCCGCGAGCCGCTCAGTGGCCCGTCTATCCGTTCACGATTGGTGGTGTGCTTGCTCGCACGATAATTTTGTTGTTTTCTTTCTGTCGTCCAAACTGGAAGATATTGTCGGCCATAATGTAAATACCGACGACAGAATCTATACCGGCAGTATCTTTGACTGGCGATCTTGCTGCTCGCACAAGAGCCGAACGTTACACGGGCTAGAAGCACAACCTTAAAAAAAAATAAAAATAAAAGTAAGCAGCACCTTATACAAATACGCTTGGCGGTACGGCTGAGTGTTGATGGGGTGTGTTGGCCGATTGATCGCCGCTAGGCGTCCAATCATGTCAGCTGACTTTATTGGGCTCACATGAGAACTCCTTATCGCCACGAACAAAGACTTGAGTAAGGCCCGATACTTTATTGTGGGATGCTGGAGACCGTCGGCAAGTGTGTGAGGGATCCAAACGATTCGACTTTCGGGCAAGTCATAGTTTGCGCACTTTCGATCGCGTTATTACTGTCATTGCCAACCTTTCACGGGCTGCCATTGCACACCCGGACATGGCAGGCAATACTGACTCCGGCTGGAATGTAACTCGAGCTGCTGCTCGGAGCTGCGGCGTGGAATGTGCTGATCATGAGGCCATAAACAATCGATCCATTCGGATTCGCCATACTGTATAGACGAACGAGGGCAGAACCAAGCGTACCCGGGTTTACATCCTGGAGAAGGGAGAGGCAATCCGGGGGCAAGAGTAGGTTTGCTCGACCCGACGATTTGGATAAACTACATGGTGGTCTGACATGACCAGACTCTTCAATTGCACAATGTGGTGGATGTTGAACAGGAAGCTTGGCTTGCTTGGCTCTGGGATGTCATCAGATGGACCCAGTGAAGAAAGATTAGGAATGCAACTCTACGACGAGGCGTTGCTGTTCTAGATGGTACATAATATTCGTGCCCATGCGCAAAACTCTGTTGTGGACGTGCCTCCCTTGCTGTCAGGGGGCACATGCTTGCCGAGCCTACCGAACTAGACAGTTTCTGGCGTCTTGGTACCTGTGGTGCCCCGCGGATTAATTGGCCAGTATACTCCTGAAATTTACGTCATTTGGCTCTGACCCGCTTTATAGTGTCTTTGTAAGGATAAATCAGACCAATTCGGTCTCCTTGTCAATTCTCGAACCATATCCTAGGCATGCAGTATTCTCGTGATTGGCGTAATCAGGTTGGAAGATTAGACGGTGGGGGAGGAGAGTAGCACTTTTGGTGACAGTCGGCCGGGTCCACGGACACTCTCAGGGATCTCGACCCATGACTGCCATGCTATGAGGCTGAATGACTTGGTCTCTTGCTAATACATAGTACAAGCGGTACAAGCGATATGATCAGACAGACAGACTCGACTGTCGCCGCAGTAGTGGGCGGCACCAACCTAGAAAGTAGCCAAAGTGCATGTATCTGAGATCAATTGTCTTGGATAGACCAGGGTCTCACCGTCGTGGGGTCTTTGTTCCCCACGGAGGCGTAAACTGCAAGATACATACGCGTACCACGCAACATATAATAATCAATTCAGACCGAGCCCTTTGTCGTGTCTTCGTAAGACTTTGTCGGGCATGACCTCGGCCGAGAGGACTCTGCGTACGGGGTCCGGAGAAGGCGGATTGTTGTAAATAGCATCCAGCACCACGATTGCGAATGACACACGCTACATTGTCGCCCGCCATGGGGGTGACTCGTTTGTGCTATATTGCGGGCAAGGATAAATGGACGCTTGAGGATTCAAAGGGGCAGCGCTGAGCGGTGACCAATCAATGATTCCTATGCAGGCCCTTATTCAGTTCGTAGCCGCAATCCAGAAAGCGGTGGGAGCCGCTGAAGTACCCCCGTTTACTGGCTGGGTTAAGGTGAAAAGCCCGCTTTTAATGGCCTTTGGCGGTTTCGAAACGACTGGCCAGCAGCGAGGTTAGTGGTTGCTTTTAGCACCTGCAGGGGGCTCCCTGAGATCGCTTCAAGGGTTAGTGCAGATTCGCTTGACCTATCAGATCTGCCTCGGGTCGCTCTCCTGAATCTCGTCGTGCCAAGGACAACTCCATCTCCTCCTTTCTCCTTCGCTTGAGAACACGATGGTCAGGCCATTGAAAGGCCGTCCAACATGGGACCAGGCTCCATGGAACTCGGAATACCTGTCCCAGAGTGGACTAGAATGCGCCTGACAAGCTGACTCGAATCCACTCATCATGGATCTCGCCGTTGAGCTTCGGGAACGGCTGGCGAGATAGTGACTGGTTCCAACACGATACGGATCCGTACATTCTCTTTTAAACTAAGCATCCCGCCGCCGCTTGCTGGACGATCGTCATTTTTCTTCCCTGTGTTTGACCAATTCGCCCTCCATTGTGTGGCTCGTGCTATTCTCTGTTCTTTCAATTGTGATTAAATTCAATTCGCCCTATTCAATAACAGCAACTCATTTTTCGAGCTAGCCCGCTACTCAAGCTTGCTCCCTCAGAAAACTAACTTGCATTCATCCACATCACCCGCTTCGCTTCATCAAGCTTCGAAGCAATATACATCAACGTTCTCTCTTTCAAAACCTTAGGCCGCTGGTCGCTTTCATTCGTTCGGAAAAAGGGTACAAGACTACCAACTACTTTCTTTCACCGTAAATTTGGACTAGTCCCACCAGATAGCCCACTCTGCTGGCAGCTCAACCACACCACAACATCATCATCACGCATACATATTGTGACATCAACCATCAACTTCGGATACTACGTTGGCATCTACAACGCACTAGTCCTTCTTGGGTCACACTCCTTCATTTACGTGTCTACCTTGATTGAGTAGCCGTTCAACCACCTTGTTGTCGGCCTGGCGTCCCGTGGTCAAACCTTGGGAACAGTACCAAGAGACAGAGGATACCCATCTTGTGGATCAGGATTGCACTCAACACTGTCTTTGTTCTCCATCGTCCCATAACAAAAGATTTATCCCTTCAGCGCCACTGGACTTAAAAAAAGACATCCCGGAGCTGTCACGAAAAGGCAGACCGCCGCTCATCAATCATCCCAGGCTATTGTTCGTGTCACAATGCTTTTGTGACTCGACCTTTGACCTGTCAGTTTCTTTGCGCTTGACAGTTCTGAGTCTATAGGGGGACTTGTTTTCGTACTACTTTAGATTCTTCCTGTCGCCCGCTTTCAGCAGCTACCCGTACTTCTTTTTTCTAAAGAACTGCCAAGGCCGCACATCCACTCGTTGAATCTTCACATCCAAAATGTCTCTATTACGACGCAGGATCGCCGCTATGGACACTTTTGCACCTTCACCAATCTTGGCCCTTCGCGAGACAGCTGTGGCCACAGCAACAACAAGCTCCGCGTCGGCTACGTCGACCATCGACCCATACACCCATTCCTTGAATGGCGTCAACCAGCCTGTTAACATGCTGTTCAAGGAGATGCTGTGGTGGACTCTCGGCATCTTCGCTCTTATAATCCTCTCAGTACGCATAATCGAGGTAGCCTGGGCGAAACTGCGACACGTGTCTGCTATGTCAGTGCCAGCTGATGGGCAGACATACTGGAAGCGTTCGCAATGGAGCTGGATGCCAGGTCTCAAGAAGCATCTCATCTACGCTCCACTTTGGAACAAGAGACACAACCGCGAGATCAAGCTGTCAAATGCTATCAGCATGGGCACACTGCCATCTCGGTTCCACTCCATTCTTCTGTTCCTCTACCTCTCCAGCAACCTTATCTACTGCTTCTTCCTCAACTGGGCAAACGAGAACTACTACTCGTTCTGCGCTGAGCTCCGTGGTAGATCCGGCACCCTGGCCGCCGTGAACATGGTCCCGCTCATCATCCTTGCCGGTCGCAACAACCCCCTCATCGCTCTGCTCAAGGTCAGCTTTGACACCTACAACCTCATTCATCGGTGGGCTGGTCGCATGGTAGTGCTGGAGGCCATTATTCACACCGTTGCTTGGTTGATCGTCCAGGTCGCCGACGGCGGCTGGGAAAGTGTTGACAGCAGACTACTCACTGAAAGCTTTGTTGCCTCGGGCATGTGCGGAACGCTTGCCCTATTTGTCCTCCTTGTCCTGTCTCTTGGTCCGGTCAGGCACGCCTTCTATGAGACTTTCCTAAACGTCCATATTATCCTAGCAGTCATCATCTTCGCATGTACGTGGGTGCACTGCGCCACCTCCAACATTGGAGTCCTTCCTCAACTGCCATGGGTTGTCGCCATCTTCCTCCTCTGGCTCGCCGACCGTCTAGCACGCATGTTTCGCCTCGTCTACTACAACTGGTCAGCAAGGGGCTTCACCGAGGCTCATGTCTCGCCCATGCCAGGTGAGGCCTGCCGAGTTACCATGCATCTTCCTCGACACGTCGATGTCAAGCCTGGCACCCACGCCTACCTCCGATTCAAGGAGGTCAACCCCTGGGAGTCTCACCCATTCTCCGTCGCGTGGATCGAGCATTTCCCAAGTTTCGATGGCAAGGAGGGCAGGGATGAGGTTACCGAACGGGACATTCGCCGTGGCACCACATCTGTATCCTTTGTCATCGGTGCTCACACCGGTTTCACCCGTGCCTTGTTCAACAAGGCAAGCGCCACAGGTTTGTCAACTGTCACCTTGCGGGCCGCCATGGAAGGACCTTACGCTGGCCACCATTCGCTGGATTCTTACGGCCATGCTGTCCTGTTTGCTGGGTCTACCGGCATTACACATCAGCTCTCTTACCTTAAGCCTTTAATCGAGGGCTTCAACGCAGGCACTATTGCTACGCGTCGCGTCACTCTCGTCTGGATCATCAGAGATTATGAAGCTCTGGAGTGGATTCGTCCATGGGTGGACGAGGTCCTTCGCATGCCCCGACGGAAGGAGATCCTGAAGATACAGCTCTTCATCACCAGACCGAAGAATCCAAAGGAGATTCAATCAGCCTCAAACACTGTGCAAATGTTCCCTGGCAGACCTAATGTCATGACAATACTCAAGAAAGAAGTTGATGAGCAAGTGGGAGCGATGGCTGTGACCGTATGTGGACCCGGTGCTTTGGCGGATGATGTCCGCGAAGCCGTCAGGGCAGTACAGGACGAGCAATCTGTTGTCGACTTTTGTGAGGAGAGTTTCACTTGGTGATCTCTTCTAGCTCTCCACTCCATCGATGATGACCGCGAGAAACAAAAGAATCAGAAGGAAGAGAAGAGTAGGATACCCATACCATGTTACGGCCGCAATAGCGATTTATTGGAGACTTGGCGTTTTGCAAGCGTTCTTAAGAACGATTTCACGAAGTTTTGGCGTCTCGGGTTGCATTAGAGACATACAGGGGGATAAGAATCTCATTGGCAGTTGGCCGGGGACATCTGTTGCAGGTTCCTGGCGTTATTAAGGTCTCATGAATCTGCATCATCAGAATCAAACCTGAGAGGGTGTGCATAGAGGCAAACCATGCATGAGATTTTGGCTTTATTATTCATTTTTGTACATAATACTTTTCTGTTCATAGCCTCCACCTTCGGTGTGTATATAGGATCTTAATCGATCTGCAACGTTAGCAACACTCCTTCTTTCACCTGTCCCTTGTTTCACTAGCAATTGTTGCGCTGTGATGTTGCATAGAGGGCGTCAAGGAGCTGATAAGAAGCCTTGTTCATTTGTAGTTCTGTATAGGGATAACTTTTATTTCCGATAGATTTTCAGGAAATTTCCACAATAGACAGACTTTTTCTGATCCGGAAGATCAGGTGTACATACGATTACCAGATGGATCTCACTTGACCATATACCCTCGGACAACAAGTATAATGGGCCGATCGAGCCCATGTTCCGTCCCTTGGCACATTCAGAGGCAATCCAATACTCTCTTCATATAACGGCCCAGTACAGCATGTGGCTTGTTGGCAACATCTTTCGCGCATACTTGACCTCCAGTATAAACTGTAATGACAGCCTTCGTTTATCCGAACGTACAGTAGTCTCCTTGGTACCCCGTTCAAAGGTAAACTCGGCCTTTCAGAAGTCGATGAAGACATTTACGGAGAAGCCTTTGAAATGCAACGGTCGAATATCAGTGAGAATATAAATTACAAGGTGACCACAACCGTCGGAAAACAGGGTAGTGGGTGTCTCGTCTAGTCAATGACCGAGGCTGGTATTAATAGGCTACTTCATCGTCAAATGTCTCAACCGCAGGAGACAGTTGGACCTGGGTTATGTGGAAATGGAAGCCGAAGTGATGAGGTGTTGTGCTTCCCCGGAACGCAGCCAGGTATTGCTCTAATGTCAGAGACAAGCGATGGAGGGATATTGGCACATATGACTGCTACTAGCAGATCTCGACACACTAGAACGGAGGTTCCGATATCATGAAAAGGAACCCCCGAGAAAACATGGCAGACGTCTCAGAGAGCATGTACATCATCATCATCATAAAGCAACTCACCAAAGGTAGCCTTAATATTTTCCGGGACAGAATCTGGGGGAGGCCGTATGACTTGAAACCGAACGGTATATTATAGTGAATCTTCAAAACCCACAATTCCAGGTTAACGGTGTCTGGGGAGAAATGCTGATTTGAGGTCATTAAGTCGCTGAAGCTGTTTTTGGCTCGTCAGATGCCAATGAAGGGTACTGCCTTGGTGATCGCGTTCCATACAATGGCAAGTGCTGCGGTTGCAAATGTTTAGACCCTCGGCAGCTTACACAATGATATTTGAGTTTGGTGAGTTTGACGCAGAACACGTCTTGGTGCCAGCTGTGAAGTATATCGATTTTGTAAGTGCAATAGGCCACCAACGGAAACCTGGCCTAACTTACACCCACTTTATCACGATGGGTGTGGGAACCTTCACGGGTATACAAGCGAACCTAGACGATTTAAGTAGTATGAATGCCCTCTCCAATGACTGGGCATGACCTGCGTACTTTCACACTTTTCTTTTTAGGCGTCCCACTAGTATTAAACGCAACAAGGTTAGTAAATCTCGGGATCCTGTAGATGATATAGAAGTGCATGACGGATAATATATGACTGTATCTAAGCTAGTGATAGTGGGAGCAGAAGTGATTCTGCAAAGCCTCGAGCCCGTTGATTCTTTACTGTAAGCTTCAACATGATGTATTTAGATATAGCCCCACCTCGCTGCCTGGTATCCTTCCAACCCCTCCACGAAAGTTGACATGGGTGTGTCATCACGGAACCTCGATTTCCTTTTTCTTCTTTTTTGTTTTTCTCCCAACAAAATACCGCAAGGCTCTTCAACATGTTGGCCGACGAGCATGCTCCGGTGCTTACGTTGAAGGAGCGCATCGCCGCTCTCCAACTGGCTCAGGCCACTGACAGCCAAGCCCACAATGAACGGCTTCCTGGTCCCAAGGCACTCAAGCCTGCTGCTCCGACACCAGTGAGACGGCAACTAAGCATGCCAATAGCACCAAACAGCTCAGCGCCGCCTGTATGCAGAGTCCCAGGCGACTGTGACACAGATGCGAAGAAAGTTGAACCGAAAATATCCCCTAGGAAGTGGGAGAGCCGAAGAGAAGAGCCGCCTCCACTGCCTGCAAGAAGAACGTCGCAACCGGCGGCAGTGCGGCCACCGGCCTTGCCACCGAGGCGACCATCTGAAATGAGCGTGAATCGAAAACAATCGAATGAGTCTATCTCCTCAGTGCAATCAAATCGCTCATCCCTTTCTGCCGTGTCTTCAAGAACAAGTCTCAGCGCTGCCTCGGAGAGCAACATAGGTACTGGCTCAAGATTTCGCGTCAAGGCTCCAGAGTATGACCCTGCAAAGCTTCCGGCTTTGCCAGAGCGTGGAACCCAGCGGCAGAGCGAGGATATGGAAAGAAGAGCGCCGCTCAGACCGTCGATATCTTCACCAGATACTATCCCTCGCCTCCAGGAGGGAGTGCCTCCATCTTTACCAGTCCGGCGTCAAGAACCTCTAGCTCATCGGACCAATAACATGGTATTACCAAAACCGACCCGTTCTGCGCTCGAGTTTGGTTTCAATAATAAGGAAACCCCTCCTCCAGTACCTCTGAACCGTCCTCGGCAGTCTTTCAGAACAAATGACTCAAACGCGGTACCACCACCGGAGCAGGGCGTAGTTGAGCTTGATGCAAACACATTTGACGACATAATTCTCCGATCTGGGAAGCCGGCATTTGTAGATTTCTATGCACCATTCTGTAAATGTATGTCATTCACAACGTATATTTTAGGATAGTGTTTCTAACGCTCCTATCAGACTGCAAAGAACTAGATCCTGTCTATGAAGAACTCGCCATAACCTATCAGCATAAAAACATTACAATTGCAAAGATAGACTCTTATGGCCAAAAGATAATTGGTGAAAGATACGAAGTTAATGGCTGGCCGCAGCTCAAATTCTTCGATGGCACTGGTGGTCCTCCGGTGGACTTCCAATGGAGCCGCAACATCGAATGGATGTCCCGATTTATTGACGAGCAGATGGCAGCGAGGCATGCTGCATATGGCTCACCACCGCCCGTTCCCATTGCCTCTAGGCCGACATGCTAAGACATGTGATGGAAAAACGTCTAGTTATATAGATAGTACTTCTAGTCTTAACGGCAAGTGGTCATTACACCGGGACCATGTTAATATGAAAACAAGAAGTTAGTTTTGAGAGTAATTTCGAGAACGTGGTCGCTTACTACACGAGAGACGGCTCATGGCTTAGTCGCACTACCCAACCCTTATATGCGATAGCGGCCGCTTTCTGTCGACTGACAAGCTGTTGGAAACTTTATGTAATACCGTAATCTGACCCCGTACTCCCAAGTGCACGGCTAGGGCAGGTGCCATATCATTGGGGGAAACAAAGCTTACAGAACAGATTGAACCCTAAAAAGTCTCAGAATAATGCCAAATAAGGAAATGCAGATGACTAATGCTTCACAAGTGATGTAAATTCATACAACACCGCTCGAGCCACGCTGTAAAGCCAAACATTCGGATCGGCTCTGTCCTGATCCCTCTCACCACAAGCCAAAGATGACATCAATCAACATCAAGAAAATGGTCAATGCGCGTTTAAACTAAGGTTGACACTCTATAAAAGTATTCTATTGGATGTTGGAGTAGCCATTGACATGGACTATGCAAAAACAAGTTACGGAACATAGTCTGTGGCTCACAAGGGATGTATAGGAATGCTATCCGCTCAACGAACTGCTCTGCTTCATTGTGGGTAAGGTTGGAGGTGGCATTCTGAAATTTCTTGGTTGATCTTCAACTATCACTTCGTCGCTGATGAAGCCCAGTCATATAGTGAGAATAAACATAAATATTTGGTTAAGTTCGTACCATTTGAGCCGGATCGATCTCGAACATCACCGGAGTCAAATTCTAGAGCAACATCAACATGCGAGACATAATGCCAATCTTATTTCTGTTTATATTCTTGAACGTTGTGCCATTAGGTGATACTTTAGTTGACTGTGGCATGGAGAAGTGTACTGTGAACTGCCGTGACCTGAGCCCGCCTATTGATAAAGTAAACATCTACCCTATCGGCTACTCCAAGTTATTCAACCTAACGCGACCAATTAACGGCGATAACGAAGTTCTTCCTCTTCTGCCTGTTGACAATAGGCTTTTAGGACCTCCTCTCAATAGAATATATCGGGCCCATCAAGTCACGACCGCTGGAGACGTCGATGATCTGACCAACATCGCGCCGCCTGGTCTACCCAACATCATCTATCTCTCACCTATGAGAGGTCCGCAGGGCACCTTCACGCCTAAGGACAGCGGTGCGAATGTCTTCAAAGTCTCAAGATTCTAATACTCACAGTCCTACAGATTGCTGCCAAGTGCATGTTTGAATGGTCATGTAGCGTGTCTGGGTCGAAAAAGCCCATCACCCAGTACTTCATGTTTACATAAGACTATCTACTCGAGACCACATATAATAATGGGGTTTTTCGAGCTCGCTTTCGACAACTTATTACAACACAACCTTACGGTGGCAAGTGGAAATCTAGGAGAGTTCCCTAGCTATTTTCATGGGAAAACTTGACAGATTTGTCTATCGCCAACGTTGAAACTCAAGGCTAAGTCTGTCGATCCACTTAAGGCTGAAGCATACTGGTTTGGCAAGTTCTCGGAACATATACACGGGCGGGGAGAAGGAATTGAAGCCGACTAGCGTAGATCGTCCAAACCATAAGCGAAATGCCCATTCCATATATTAATAATTAATAATGTACCAAGTACTACACTTTTTGACGCCTCCCAAACTAACCGTTCACCCTTTAGAGTCCTTCCGTTCAATAAGTCCGCTGGTGTCCAAGCAAACTAGCTGTACCGCCTTATCATACACTCTTGAAAGCGCCTAACCAAAGTTTCAAATCGAAACTGAAAATCTCATTTGCCTACTGAGGCAGCCAAAGTCCTTCGTCCTGCAAAAGCGACTGAATGAAGTCATCCCCAGGTAAATCTTTGAACACCGTCTGCGGTCTCTTGAATCTCATGCGAGGGAGTCCATCCCCTTCTCGGACAACATGCACAGTCTCTGACAGATGTTTGGCAAGCGCTCGACGTCTATTCTCCGTGTATGACGATTCGTATTCATCGGAGCGATGATCCAGCAGCCTTGAAAAAACACCGGGCTGCTGAAGAGCTTGCAGTTTCTCCTCTACCGTCCATCCTTCCACGTTGGCGGAATCGAGCCTGGCCCCGGACTTCTGGAAGCATGCTAGGAGATAGGTGATCTCGTCCGCCCAGTGTGGACGGCGCCTGCTGCCGATCCATCCAGGCATACATGCTTCGAGGTATCTCAGAAAGGCGAACAAGGCCGTCTCACCATCTGCGTCACGTTCCTCCGGTTTCGCGCCGCAGAGAAGCAGGACTCTAGATATGTTGACGAGCGTATGCTTTGGCGTCTGCTCCAAAGTGCCGTATCCGAAGAAAACGAAGAACTTGTGCAAGTATTCGCCCCGCAAGCCGAGCGTATTTTCTTCGTCAAAAGAAACGTGGTGCTGTAAGAACCGATGGAACCTATCCAATGCGCCTGCACTAGCGTTGGTGGTCACGGCTCTAAGTGCACATCCCAAGGGCGTAAGATCAGATGCCTTGGAGCAGCCCCGGCCAGCCTTTTGGGGATTCTTTGCATGTACATTTCCGCCCCGATCCAACATGGCCTTAATGATCCGCTCGCCTATCTGGCTCGGAAATTCGGAACTGAAATACCATGTCATGAAGGACCCCAGAGCGCTGTTGGGGGTCTTCGAGCCGTACGAGTTTATGTCTGCAGGTTCGCACCGATCAAGAACGTGCATAATCAATGACAGACGTTTGTCGTCTATAGTCTGCCCCTGTGGATGGATGGAGCTGGTAGGAGCAGGACACATAGATCTTAGGAAGTGTCCCTTATCCGAGACCTCGACTCCATAGTTTAGAAGCCAGGCACAAGCTTCTATGTCCACTGCTTCAGCTGACTTTCGAAAAACTGGTTCAAGACTCTTCTTCACGTCATCTTCTAACCCCGTGTCTTGGGCAAAGCGTTCCACGATCGCCCAGTGGTGGCACCTGGCTGCACAATACTCTATGCGACTTTGAGAGAGGATCTCAGGTGGGAAGCTGAGCCCTGCACCTGGACTATCGTCTATTTCGTGCTGCTCAATTACGAAAATCATCCAGTCGAGTAAGAATTCGAATGCCTGCATGTCACCGATGATGGAGGCCATCATGAGTGCGTGAACAGCGGACACTACCTTCTCCTTCGTAACCTTAGTCGATGATGTATCTTTGTTGCCGGATGGGCCATCCAGAAGAGTTTTGAGGGTAGTTTTGGTATCATGACTGAGCGATTGTGCTGAGCAGACCGCGAGATGAATTGCAGTCTGATCATCAATATTTGCCCTTGAAGATCGGTTATCTTCGTCAATTGGAATCGACACAGTGGTGCAAGTACATAAGCCGGCTGAAGGATTGGCCGGGCTGGCACCGCGGCTAACAAGCAGCCTCACCAATTCCGAATTGCCGTTGTAAACAGCTAGATGTAGTGGTGTCCACTTGAATCGGGATTTTTTGTCCCCTGCTGCTGCCCCTGCTCCCTCCAGATGGCCGTTACTTATCCATCCATGTTTCTTCCCTTCAACACCTTCCCGCTGTGAAGCCCAGGCCAATCCTAGACGATAATGAAGGCACTCGTCTAGGTGAACTCTCGAAGCCCAGCGAGTATATTTCCCAAAAGCAGTCTTAGGCGCGAGAGCACTGCACCGCTGTAACAGGAGATCATTCTGCTGGCTTGAGGTTAAGCAGAAATACTCGTCTTGGTCAGGAACAGAGCTTGTGTCCATATCGAGGATATATTTAGGCTGTGGCGAAACCCAGTACTGGTCCGGGTCGGCCCCTGCGTCTAGCAACTGGCTTGCCATCTCCAGATGACCGTGTTCAGCAGCCCAATGGAGTAGGGGACTGCGATTCCGCCTCACGACGATAGTATAGAGCGTGTGTGAAACAATCATGCGGATAGACCGGCATGTCTGGAGGAAGGCCGAGAGATCTTTCTCCGAGAGCTCGTCATCCCGAGCGATCATGGTCAGGAGTTCGTTTGGAAGGTTGACCAGGCATGCTGTAGAAGCTGGCATCTCCTCCAAGCCCGTATACGCACGATTTGACATGCCACTTGTCTCTGTGATCTTCAAATTCGTCTTCTGAGAGGCTCCCGGTGTAAGAAACGCTCGGCAAGTGGCCATTTGTAAGTCAGAGTCGGACATTATCACGTGAGCCTGCTGAACGCGATGGTCCTGAAGCAAGGGCCTGTAGCCGGTGTAGATCTCCTTTGGTGTCATGATTGCAGTTTTGATCACACCTGGGTGATTTCAGATGGGGTTTTTCTTTTATGAAGGTGCCATGTTTTGTGCTGACTGTTAGGCAAGTTTCAGCCACTTGAGAAAGCAAGCACAACGATACTTATACTAATACTAATAACTTCAAAACAGAGTACTTGAAGTAATGGAACCCGAAAGGAGGCCGAGTTACAATGAATAATAGTCAATGGATATGATGCTATAATACGTGATCTTCTTGTCAGCTGATGGATTTGCTTGGATGTCGCCAAGCACTATTATATCACGTTCGTTTCCCTTACGTACTTAGTTACTGCACGGTTCTGCTTCGAGCAAGCCGACGCGGTCAAGGTAGCTGTAAACTGGGTTGCTTCACGCAGGGGCGCTACGGTGAAACTCAAATTTTCTTATGCGCATGACCAAGAGGAAGATTCGATTATTCATTGCCCAAGCCGGCGTTGCTCTTCAGCCATCCGCGTGTTCTATAGTGTGGTAGCGTTACTTGATGTGTGGTCCTAAGGCTAGAAGTTCAACCAGGAACGGGTAAGTGTTATTGTGGGGTGCAGGTTACCCATCGTTGGTGCTCGGGAGATACAGTAAAGTACCTAACTTCCCCAGCTTCCACATTCTTTCCACAATTTGAAAGGGAGACTGCAGTAGCGAGCAGCAAATCTTCCCGAAGTAAGAGAAGAGGGGATGCTTTCATGGCTAGGTAATAAATCGTGCCTTCAAACTTCCTATCGCTCTCTGCATTCTAATCCGATGTGGTCCGTAGCACACAAGGCCATTCATTATACAGTGAGGAGGGCCCGAGGTTGTTGCAAGGGGAAGCATCATTGAACCATCCGTCTATAACCGAGAGTGGGTTTTGCTGCTGTGGCTGTGTGGTTAGTTACTCGGAGTCAGAGGAACATGTACTCAAGGAACGTGCGAGTAGCCGTGAGTCGCAATTCAACTGGCGGCTTGCGTTAGTCTCAAGTCTCGTTGAGGAAGAACAAATACCTAAAGAAGAACCCCCGGATTTCGTGCTTGTCCCCGGATGTCACCACCGAGAGTGAAGACGTGCTCCGAGCCTCCCATGGCCAGTAATTATGGCACCTATTGCATGCGGCAGACTGGAATTGGTCGCTTCTTGCAAGATTGCCCACTGCTAGCCATTGCTAGAATCCGAACGTCGGCCCCGCATCGGAGCTCCCAGTGACGTGGGGTCCAGCAAGTATGGGCTCATAGGGCGCAACGCGTTGCGATCGGCATAAAAAGTTCAAACTTGGGCATGACGAGAGTTGCTCTGGATCATGACTCTTCTGACTCATTGACCTTGTTCCTTGACTAACATCTGAGCATATCTGATATTTCACACGATTGAATATTTCCAGTGCCACTGCCAATTCCTGATCTTGCAAGTACAAACAAGTAAAGTGTTTCTTGTTTCCTAGGCTCTCAGAAACGCTACCGACCACCCCGCCATCCGTTATAGCTGCTGCAACTCGCCAAAAAAAAAAAAAAAAAAAAAAAAAAAAAAAAGGGAAAGGAACCTTAAAAAAAAACCCATTATACAGTGAGAAGAAACCAAGACCTTTGGCCATGCCTATGTAAGCCTGAGAAACCCACGTGCTACCACTTAGCCATTGCGGCTCGATTTCTGACATGAAACACCTTGCGCTCTAGGCTTCAAGATCCCTCCAAGAAGTACAGGAAGTTTCAACCTCTGAATCTTCCTAACCGGCAATGGCCGTCTAAGACCATTGACAAGCCGCCTCGATGGCTGGCAACCGACTTGCGAGACGGCAACCAGAGCTTGGTTGACCCTATGGTTAGTCTACGAACGAATCATAGCGAGCCTAGTTTCCGACCAATTGACTAACATGCGACCAGAATGGCGACGAGAAGTGGAAGTACTTCAAGATGCTGGTGGATCTGGGCTACAAGGAGATCGAGGTGTCCTTCCCGTCTGCGTCGCAAACCGACTTCGACTTCACGAGAAAATTGATCGAGACTCCGGGTGTAGTACCTGATGACGTCTGGATCCAAGTCCTCTCTCCGTGCCGTGAAGAGTTCATCAAGCGAACAGTCGACTCCCTCAAGGGCTCCAAGAAGGCCCTCCTACATATCTACCTCGCCACGAGCGAATGCTTCCGAAGGATAATATTCGGCCATAGCGAGGAGGAGAGTCTTGAAGTGGCAGTCAGGTGCACCAAGTACGCAAGATCAATCACCAAAGATGACCCGTCGCAAGCTGGCACGGAATGGGCTTTCGAGTTCAGCCCGGAAACCTTCTCAGACACAAGTCCCGATTTTGCCATCAAGGTGTGCGAAGCAGTCAAGGCTGCCTGGGAACCTACCGTGGAAAACCCCATCATTTTCAACCTTCCCGCCACTGTCGAGATGTCGACACCAAATGTCTACGCCGATCAAATTGAGTACTTCTGCACAAACATATCCGAGCGCGAGAAGATTTGTGTTTCTCTCCACCCGCACAACGACCGAGGATGCGCCGTTGCTGCTGCCGAACTGGCCCAGATGGCTGGCGCAGACAGAGTAGAGGGATGTCTCTTTGGTAATGGCGAGCGAACCGGCAATGTCGATTTGGTCACTCTTGCATTGAACCTTTACACTCAGGGCATTAACCCAAATATCGATTTCTCTGACTTGGGCAGGGTTATCGACACTGTCGAGGTTTGCAACAAGATCCCTGTACACCCACGAGCACCATACGGAGGTTCTCTTGTTGTTTGTGCCTTCAGCGGCTCTCACCAAGATGCTATCAAGAAGGGCTTCAACATCCGCAAGCAGAAGCGTCTCGATGCCGACGCCGAATGGGAAATTCCTTATCTTCCTCTCGATCCGCAAGACATCGGCCGCACCTATGAAGCCGTCATCCGTGTCAACTCGCAAAGTGGAAAGGGCGGCGCTGCCTGGATCATTCTCCGCAAACTCGAGCTGGACCTACCTCGCGGCTTACAGGTGGCATTCAGCAGAGTTGTCCAGAAGCGTGCCGATGAGCTCAAGAGAGAACTTTTGTCTGATGAGATCACGAATCTCTTTGAGGAGACCTACTACTTGAGAGACCACCCGCGCTTCAACATTATTGACTACTCCATCTCAATCGACCGATCAGCGTCACCTGTGCCTCCGGCTGTCGGTAAGACACAAGATACCAAGAATCTTGGTCGTGTGTTTGACGGTGTCGTTGCCATTGACGGCAAGGAGTACAAGCTGCAGGGCCGTGGAAATGGACCCATCTCCTCTTTGGCTAACGCCCTCAAGGGGGTTGGCATCAATCTGGATGTAGTTGATTACAGAGAACACTCTCTTAGTACTGGTAGTGATGTCAAGGCTGCGACCTACATAGAATGTACCGCAGCGGGTACCAACCAGAAGGTGTGGGGTGTCGGCATCCACGAGGATGTTGTACAAAGCTCCCTTATCGCTCTCCTGAGTGCAGCCAGCAACGTAAGTTATGCTCTGAATATTACTCGCCGAGTAATTTTTTTCTTCTTCTTCTAACAATTTGTCTACAGTTTGTCCTAAGCAGACCTGGTAGTCCTATCACAACCAAAGCCTTGCCCCAGCGAAGTCTTAGCCGAGAGCTGGACCTCAACGGGAACCTGACGGTTCCGACTGGCTCCCATGGTACTAATGGTACTAGTGGTCCCATTGAGGTCGAAGGTGGTGCCCCTTCTGAGGTTGTCCAGAACTTGGAAGCCAAGGTGAATGGTATGTAGATACTTTTTTGACATGAGGTGAGGTCCTCAACTTGATGTGGAAGACACTTTGGTTACTCGTTAGGGCGCAAAACATTGGCATGCCACGATGAAAAGTATTTTTTTTTGGTAGCGACGCCTGTTTTTGGGATTAGCTCTTCTAAAAATCAGTTTTTTTTTCATCTCCCCCCCCCCCAAAAGAAAAAGGAGAAAGAGAAGGAAAAAAGTCGTGATAGTGGGGAAAGTAGAGGCCCAATTGCGACGCAATGTTATACCCCCTCTAGTCGAAGTGCTGTAAGCCTTACTCGAACGTGATAGTTATGAAATGAATTGGAACCAAATGCATAAAAGAGACGACCAACACACTTAATTCAAAATTAACATGGATACTTATCCATCAGAGTAAAGGCGGGTTCACGCAATTCGATGCCATATTACAGATACTAGTCATAAATGGAAGAAAGTCCACGTCTCTTGCTGTGTCCCTGCCAAGAGTGGCTTGGCACTTTCTCCTGGCAGCTGCCAACGCCCAGGAGTGTAGTCCTCGGCCTGGAGGCAAGGTGCCGGCCAGTTCTACTGAATACTTATCCTAGGCATATGTTGTACTGGTAGCGTCGCTCGAGAATGAAGAGGACTTGAGCGCGGGGTGACATGCATTAACGTTAGGGCTGAAGGATTAATGGAAAAACCGGTTACCCGAGCGAGGCTCAGGTTTGTTCAGTTCAGTTCCTTCCTTCCCCTCCTGTAAGGTTCTGTCAAATAAGCGGCGTTACACACTTAGTTAGCGGTTAGCGATTGCGGAGTTTCTGCAGCCTCTACCGTCAAGACTCGTAAGTATGTTCGCGAAATTGCATGTGGCTGCTTTCACATTGTACTGTGTGCCATGTTATTCGATTAAGACCCTGCGCATTGTTCACCGTAACTTATCTCCCATATGGACAGGAGTAGGATTAGGATAGCGGCATTGCCTCGAAACAATTGCCTGAACGCCGTGCTTGTGTGTGTGTATGTAGCAGTGCCTTGAAAGCAAACCCGTTTGGAATAGAAAGAAGGAAAGAAAGAAAAACCCCTCCTGACCCCCGGAAAACCTGTGCACGTCTTGAATACGGGACTCTGTTCAAATTCTTCAGTTACAGCACTTGACCTGCTTAGCTCTTTGACGTAGGTCTTGTTTGGGTCAAAGTCAATAAACCAGTCAGGCCCGCCACTATCAAAAAGCTGCCCCTCCGCGGCAACGAGACCTTTCCTTTTTGACAAAACCAGGGCTCGATTAACGACCATCATCTTCTGAGCATTCTCTTCATCTACACTGCACGACCAGACAGCCTTTGTGTTTGTCAACGACTTCCATTCATAAGGCCCATCGAATTTTTGATGTGCGATAGGTGCCTGGATTTTCCTATTTACCGACTTCGAGCCACTCCTTCGGCAATTTCAAGCCCACCACCATCCCCAAACCTGGAGATCGCATTACAATAATTTGACACGGAGAGGCTGCTGGAAAGTCAACATGGCTGAAAACGGGGACATCAACACCGTCCTCAGCAACTCGCTGTCGCCTGGTAAGTCCATTACGCCTTCTGCCAGACTTTGGATAGCCAAGTCTGCTCCCGTCTGAAGTCCAAGCCCTTGACCTGACCCCTCCGGATCTCGTAATCGCTGACCTGCTCTCCCTATACAGATGCGACTACGCGAAGCTCCGCCGAGCAACAGCTTACCCAGGCTGCCGAGAACAACTTTGTAAGTACTTTCCTCACGCACAAGTCAGATGTCCGCAAAGGCCTGGCGACATGCTAACCTTTGCGCTCGCCCAACAGCCCCTATACCTAGCAACTCTCGTTCAGGCGCTAGCAGACGACAATGTCGAGGGCCAAATCCGAGTAGCCGCAGGTCTTGCCCTCAAGAACGCCTTCACAGCCCGCGAGTTCGCCAGACAACACGAACTTCAAGGAAAATGGCTTCAGGGAACAGACCAAGATACCAAGACTCGCGTCAAGTCGTTAGCTCTGCAGACTCTGTCGTCGACCAACGCACAAGCTGGTCAGGCTGCCGCTCAGGTCATCGCCTCCATCGCTGGTATTGAACTTCCTCGTGACCAGTGGCCTGACCTCCTCAGCACCTTGGTTCAGAATGTCAGCAGCGGAGGACCTCACCAGAAGCAGGCCTCGCTCACATGTATTGGTTACATTTGCGAGAGCCAAGATCCCGAGCTGCGAACCGCCTTGATCAGCCATTCTAACGCTATTCTCACCGCCGTTGTGCAGGGTGCCCGTAAGGAGGAGACCAACAACGAGGTCCGTCTCTCGGCCATCTCTGCTCTCGGCGACTCTCTCGAGTTCGTCGGCAACAACTTCAAGCATGAGGGCGAGCGGAACTACATCATGCAGGTTGTCTGCGAGGCCACACAAGCCGACGACTCGCGGATACAACAAGGTGCTTTCGGTTGTCTCAACAGAATCATGGGTCTATACTACGAGAACATGCGCTTTTACATGGAGAAGGCCCTCTTTGGTCTTACCATCTTGGGCATGAAGAACGAGGACGAGGATGTGGCCAAGCTTGCCGTCGAGTTCTGGAGCACCGTTTGCGAGGAGGAGATCAATATTGAGGAAGACAACGCGCAAGTCGAGAGCTCGGACCAGATGCGACCTTTCTACAACTTCGCTCGCGTTGCTACCAACGAGGTTGTCCCTACACTCCTTCTCCTGTTGACCAAGCAAGACGAGGACGCTACAGATGATGAGTACAATCTGTCCCGAGCCGCATACCAAAGTCTTCAGCTTTACGCTCAAGCTGTCGGGGCCAACATCATCCCACCCGTCATTCAGTTCGTCGAGGGCAACCTGCGTTCTGACGACTGGCACTTCCGTGAAGCTGCCGTTGCTGCTTTCGGCGCCATCATGGAGGGCCCTGAAGAGAAGGTTCTTGAGCCCATTGTCAAGCAGGCCTTGCCGGTTCTCATCACCATGATGGAGGACAGCAACACCTTCGTCAAGGACTCCACTGCATATGCCCTTGGCCGTATCACCGAGGCCTGCTCGGAGGCTATTGACCCCAACACCCATCTCGATCCCTTGATCCGCTCACTGTTCGCTGGTGTTCACGATGCTAAGATGGCAAGCTCTTGCTGCTGGGCACTGATGAACTTGGCGGAGCGTTTCTCGGGCGACTTGGACGCCTCCACCAATGCTATCACTCCTCACTTCAATGCCAGCGTCACCAACTTGCTCAATGTTACGGCATCACACGAGGCCGAGACCACCGTGCGCACGACTGCTTACGAGGTGCTCAGTGCTTTTGTGCAGCATGCTGCCACCGAGAGCTTCCCCGCTATTGCATCTCTTTCGGAAGTCATCATCAAGCGCCTGGAGGAGACAATTCCCTTGCAGACCCAGGTTGTCAGCATTGAGGACAAGATTGCTTTGGAGGAGATGAAGACCAGCTTGAACACTGTCTTGCAATCCATCATTCTGCGACTCGACAAGGAGATCGCACCTCTGGGTGACCGGATCATGCAGGTCTCCCTGCAGATTCTCAGCAACACTTCCGGCAAGTCGACCGTTCCCGAGGCCATTTTCGCCACCATTAGTGGTTTGTCCAACGCCATGGAAGAAGATTTTGTCAAGTACATGGATGCATTCACTCCTTTCTTGTACAACGCTCTTAACAACGCCGATGAACCCAGCTTGTGCGCCATGGCCATCGGTCTTGTAAGCGACATTACGCGCTCGATGAATGAGCGTGCCCAACCTTACTGCGACAGCTTCATGAACTACCTGCTCAACAACCTGAGGGTTAGTATCCCCCACGTCCACGTCGTTCCTCTAGCTGCATACTGACCATCCTGTAGAGCCCTGCGTTGGGCAATCAGTTCAAGCCTGCCATCTTGCAGTGCTTTGGTGACATTGCCAATGCTATTGGAGGTCACTTTGAGACCTACCTATCAGTCGTCGCTCAAGTGTTGCAGCAAGCTGCGACTGTTACTGCTAGCTCTGACAGCAGTTACGAGATGTACGACTACGTCATCTCGTTGAGAGAAGGAATCATGGACGCGTGGGGCGGTATCATTGGTGCCATGAAGATCAGCAACAAGAGTATGATCCTGTTCTCCTCATATCCGTTTGTGAACAAATTCACTGACATCTGCTTCAGCTCAAGCCCTGCAGCCTTACGTGCAGTCTATCTTCCAGTTGCTCAACCTGATCTCACAAGACATGAACCGTAGCGAGGCATTGATGCGATCATCTATGGGAGTTATCGGGTAGGTGGTATTCACAAGCCATTGATAATTTATCGCTAACAAACTTTCAGTGATCTTGCTGACGCTTACCCCGGTGGTGAGCTTGTCGATGCTTTCCGACAAGATTGGTTGACTACTATGATCAAGGAGACCAAGACCAACCGCGAGTTCCAGTCACGCACCATTGACACTGCTCGATGGGCTCGAGAGCAAGTCAAGCGTCAACTTGGTGGCCAGCAATCGACTATGCAGACTTGAAACTCCAAATTTTGACTTGCAAACGCATCCACCGAGCCACGTATTGGAAGATGTGATTGCGACCGTCCCTGAGAACACCCATAACTTCCGGGGATAGCCCAACAGCCGAGTCAAATGTCGATTTATCGCCTCGTATGCAGTTGAAGGCTATCTTCGCCGACCCTACGAATCGTCCCTTTCGTCATCATCACCACCCATTGAACAAGACCCATATGTATATACACACATTCCCATTTGCCTTAATGCCATACCCTCATATCCCATACCCAAGACACAACACGGCATACACTTCCCTGCGATTCACCATGTACCCCTTTGCTGCGGATTTCGGTTGCCACTATATGCCACCGAGAGATTTACGCCTACCAGGTTTAGAGAAGACCACATCATGTACGCCCATTACTTACGTGATAGGGCCACGAAGTCATGTATCAGGGATGAAGATGAGACAAGAGGATAAGAATGAGAGGTAGACAGCTCGCTCCGACATGTTCAAGTGAACACCCTTTGAGCCTTTACGAGATAATGGTTCATTGCTGGGCGCCGGAGAGCGGAGTGAAGCAAAAGCACCATGCGTTTTGGGCTGCAGGTCGTGAAATCTATAATGTTAGATTGCCCCCCCGGAAAGAGCCTTTACGGAGGTTGTCGTTCAGATCTGCTGGGCAAATTTCTGCCATTTGGTGGAACTCACGTTATGAGCTGTGCTAGTAGTACAGTACTGATCTGCAGACAATAAAAATTATTCCCTAATCCGTTTCTTGAGCGGGATAGCCCGTGTGAAGTGCAAGCTTCTAGAGAAGCGCATACAAATTGTATAGCGTAAGCTTCCTACTCATTCTACGTTTCTACACAGTTCGAGATATACAGAGTTGGCAAACAAGATTTGATATAATTTTATGATATGATTGTGCTACTTTGTTTAATCAGGTCTTCGGCCATGCAGAAAGGATACAGGTCTACACATCCACGAAGTTGCCTGGGAACCCCCGCACAACGGTTGAGGCCTTAAGCTTCTGTCGATTTCATTTGGTGAGCGGCGTTCTGTTGTCAGTCAATATTACTGTTGATATAACAATTCCACTTGTGTTACTAACGCAGCGCAAGTGGCCCAATTTGGCGCCATAGAGATACCCAACAGAGGCTTTATCATACATTTATAGGGCATCGACATCTCCGACGAGGAAAGAAAGAAAGGCAAAAACGAAAGCTCACCGCGGTTCTCTAAACTAGTCGTTGAGTTCTAGGTAAAGGAAAATCCTATCTTAAACGCCGCTCGATGGTGAGAGCGACCCCGCAACCGAGTCACTCTCATCGCTTCTGGCAAATCCTTGAGCATGCCATGGCCACCCAATACACGAGGAACCCCGCCGGCAGGTTCATGGTAGTGGGTGACAATCCCGGTCGACCAGAGACTCTTGCTCAGGCTACCTGAGAAGAGAGACCCGGGCGGCGATTCGCAACCACCGCCAAACATTGGTTCTAGGGCAATCAGGAGTTTTGGTAGAGTCATCTCCGGATCGAGATGCCGCTTACGCATGCTGTGTACATAGTTCGGATATGTTTGAATGGGTGGGAACCGCCTCAATGACAGTGCCGTTCTGTCGGTAGCAGCAATGGGCGGCGTGTACGAAGAGCAGGGACGTGGCCGGATCGAACGTTCGGCTCGCCAATCTCGGGTACACCCTTGTGCCAACTCGTTGCAGTACAGAAGTGGGGGGGGGGGGGGGGGGGGGTTTAACGGCTATAGATGAATGTCACAAAGAGTGCGAACCAGGTGGCTTACGTGCGAGTCGATGGTTGGTCTCTGATACATGTTTCGAGCACTGTGTAACAAAATCGCTGTTGACGCAATTACCGCATGTTAACCTGAGGGTGTTTGACGAGAAATTCGTCACTCGGGTAGCTTTGGCAGCGTGTCAGCCTCAATGGTGGATTGCTTCGAGGATCGGTTTGTTTTTAGCACCCGCCCGCAGGTTCTAGAAGGGGTTATATTAAGCCAGGGTTCCTATGTATCGTTACGTGTTCCCCTGTATGTTCGTCATTATTTCTATATATTGGAGATCCCATCTGCACTTTGGAACCTGATGTATCCATCTCCTTCAGGCCCACTACATGTTGGCAAAGACTGCCGCTGCTGCGCCAACGGCACCCACGAGGGCTACGGTAGGCATGGCTGCGTGGCCAGCAGCCACCTGCGCTATAGTCACCGGGACGATAGTAGTAGTAGGCTGAATACCGGAAGTAAAAGGGGCGTTGACAACAGGACTAGCACCAGCAAAGTCAGCAACAGGTGTTGCTCTCGCCGTGTCGGGCAGCAAAGTGGTGGCTAGTGGGTTCATAACACTACAAATAGCAATTAGTTGTCTTCCTTTGTGCCCGTGGGATTTTTAAAAGAAATTGCGGAGCCCAATAGGGGTGGACTTACTTGTTGATAACATGCACAACACCATTGCTTGTCAAGATGTCTGCCACGATGATCTTGGCATTGTTGATGTATAGAGCTCCGTTCTCTTGCCTCACTGTCAGGGTACCCCCTTGGAGTGTTTTCAGCATCGTGGACGCGCCGTTAGCTGTCATCCTCATCAGGTCGGTGCTCTTGACAGCGCCACCCGTGACGATATGGTAATCCAGGACAGTGGAGAGCAAGTCGTTGCCCGCAGCCTCGACCACATTGCCTACCTGGACGAAAGCTGCGTTCGAGGGCGCGAAGATGGTAGCATCTTTGAGGGTATCGACACCTGCAAGCATGTTGGTCTTCACCAAAGCTCCGGCCAGAGAGGTCAGGCCCGTGTCGAGAGCAGTGACAGAGTTTGATTCAGGCTCAGTGAGCACGGTGTCGACAATGTGTAACACGCCGCCGTCGAAGAAGAGGTCGGCCTTCGTGACTCGCGACACCTGCTTGAAGCCTGATACGACCAGAACGTCAACACCAGATTTGACCACTTCGACCATCTGGGAAGATGTCCCTGTGGCTGACTGGATCTTCAGAGCGGTTGAAGCGAATATAGGTGTGGTTGAGATCATGGATGACGGTACAAGACCCTGGATCACGTGGTATTCCAGGAGGCTGGTAAGAAATGTCGTGTTCTTTACCTCGGTGGCCAGGTTGGGCATTGCTGCCATAGCCGCTTGGAAGGCTGCATTGCTGGGTGCAATGACTGTGATGTTTGTCGACGTCGCCAGGGCATTGGTGAGTTGCGGAACGGTGCCCAGCAGAGCTATAAACAGTGATTAGTGCACGGCTCCTCGTAGATGCTAGCAGATTGCGGTCCCTTACAGGTCAGTGTGCTGAGTTCATTGCTGTTAGCAGAAAGGACATCAGTGATAGAGACGGCTGCCACAGTGGCAGCCAAGAATGGGAATAGGCTTTGGAGATGCATGTTGAAATTAGAAGGCTGGCCAAGCAGCTTGAATAATTAGAAGTATATAGTAATATAGAAATTACACGGAGTCTCGCTCAACGAAACCAATATGCATTCTCTGGTGGCGATCCGTAGGCATTCATATAGCAACATCTCGGATTTGAGCTCTAGCATATCGGATCGGCCAAGTGTTGACAAGCAGCGGGTATCATGAGCCCGAAACCAAAGGATTGATGGGGGTGGTCTTGGGCTTGCAAGCACGAGGCTCGTGGCCTTCGGCATCACAACCGAGAAGCTATTCGAAACAGCCAATCGCAATGAGTTGTTTTGTCCACGGACCCATGAGTAAATCGCACTGACTGTGAAAAGCTCGGTGTTCAGGCTGGGGGCGTTCTGAACAGAACGATATATGCCAATAAGGAGATGGGACGAAGTCAAAACCGCAGCTTCAAACATGGATGCAAGATGCTCCAGCAGTTTTGATCGTGCGCGGCGATCTCTGAAAAGCTTGGTATGAAAGAGAGTTGATGCGGCCACTTGGCAGCAATGGACACCTACATATCTCGGCTCTTGAAGTTATCGCAAGCAAACGAGGAGTTGCTAAAATGCCAAGTGTATAGCATAGCGTGCTCGATGATTGAATGTCGGGACACAAAAGCAATGGTAGCAATCCATTTTAGATAGGTAGACATGTTTCGAATGCAATGTTTCAATCGCTGTCAAGTGAGCATTCACTGTCATTTTTCAAATGCCGAGCAAGAAACCCCTGTGGACGTTGTATTTCAGATACCCAGCTTGAGGTTGTGAATGACCAAACAACAGCTCCAACAAGTGGAAACTCGAAATCCACGAGGTTCGTACGGAGCAACGAGTAACGCAATGGATCGACACGGGACCCCCACCAAAGTCGGCCACACAAGCCAATCAGAACCCGGTCCATGCAAAGCACGATGCTTTCCCCTCGGACCCTCACCACGTTTTAGGGTTAGATTGCTGTGCGGCTCTTCCTCTTGCAGGAGCGTTGTCTTAACGTCTCGACATCTTTCACGATGGCTTCGGCTTTGTCTGGGATGGAGGGGTGTGACCTCTTGGCAATGAAGACATGTCATGAAGCGTGTGGCTTGCCAAGGGCGCACAAGACGTAGCAGAGGTCTGCCCCGAGTCGACCCGGCCGAAAGCTCGCAGTCTCAAAGGGTATGTGTTCCACAGAGTGAGCCCCAAGCATGTTCTTCGTTTCAATGCCTTTTCATTGATCATGACTATGTATGCTAACTAATGCAGTGAATATGGTGAAATAGGCCATGTGCCATTCCACTGAGGGAATCGTTTTAACGCCCAACGCCGCCGCAAACCATCCGACCATTATCGTAATTCCAAAACACTTGTTATAATATCCCAAACGCCGACCATGCTGAAGCTCTTGTCTATATGCAAGCAGTGCTATGCGATTTCAACAGACGCACCATCATTCTGCTGTTCAAGCTCCACTTTCTCAAGTGCGGCGGCCAATTGGTCTTGACCCTTTCGTGCCTCAAGGGCCTCCTTGCGCTGTTGCTCTTCAAGGAAGAGTGCATAGCGAGACTTTTTGTTGTGAATTCCACATTCGGTCTTCTCTTGACCCTTCCACCTGCCAGCACGTTCATCTTCACCCTCGCCGACAGGGCTTGTTGAGTGCCAGTCACCGACCGATTTGTATCCCTTGTCGAGAAGACTGTTGTACGGCACGTTGTGTTCGTCGATGTATGCCTTGACCTGCTTGAACGACCAGTCGACCAAAGGGTTGATCTTAATGATACCAGTTTCCTCTTCAAGCTCGAGGACGGGAATCTTGTCACGCTGACCCCCTTGCGATCGGCGGCGGCCTGTCAAGACAGCTGCAACGTGGAGTTCGGAATAGGCTCGTTGTTGAGGTTCGACCTTGGCGATGTAGTCGTACAGCTCTGAGGCCATCTCGTATAGCTTCTCGCCGTATTGCTGCTCAAACTCGGCAGTGGTGTTTGCTCCATTTGGCTTGTAAGTGTGGAGCTTGACATTGTCGTACTTGGTCTTGACTGCATCAACCAGATCGAGCGTCTCCTGGAAGTGGTATAGTGTGTCGAGGAAGATGAGCTCGATGGCTGGGCCCTCAGAGTCTTCAGCTTGGATCTTCGACAGCATGTCAATTGTGACGAGACCACTCAGGCCGAATGCTGTTGTCTGGAACAAGTTGGGGAACAGAGTTCTGCAGAATCGGAGTCGGTCCATGACCGATAATCTCTCCAACTGGTCATTGAGGAATCTAAGGTGTGGTGCCGTCAGGGAAATCAGAGGCAGTTCGCCTGTTGAGCCGACTACCGACGATGCTGCAGAGCCGTAGCCTGATTCCACCTCAGAAGCTCGGTGCTCTTTCGAGTCAACGGGCCTCACCCGTGGCGACGATGAGTAGGACATATCTGTGGAATCCATTGCGTGTCTGTCAAGAGTACCCCGCGCGGGATGTGCTTCAGGTAGTGCGAGTATGATTCTGAGAGCGATGTCGACACGAGTCCACTAGGAACACTCGCAGATGATGTGATCTTCTTGTGTTGGATAATATGACGTGCGCGGGGGATGGAAAAGTGTGTTCAGGAAAGAATAGTCTGGGGAAAGTTACAAGGAGAAGGAGGCGTTGTTGTTAAGAAAGGTCTGGGCTATTGTCTTGGAGATGCAATAGGGCAGGGCGGTATGGTAGTGTAGGGTATGCAATGTGTGCAACCTCGTCTGGTCGTCTGGGTTTGTAAGTCCACTTGGACTTACAAACGCCTAGAATTAGTAATTACGTGCTTGGAGCGTATTTACGGAAACGGGCAGAATACTGCGCAAATCCCACTCAATTGATACACTACTTCTACGTCCGTCCGTGTGTGCGGAAATACGGAAGTCCCTCTCATGTTGCGTTGGCCATAGCCATCAGTGCGAAATTCCCCGTACTCGGGCTGTGACAGTATGAGATGATGGTCCTTTGAAATTTAGAGGCAATCACGACATCCGCGCTAAGCTATTCGCGATTTGAGAAGCTATAATGATTGGCTGAAAAGTCAAATTCTTTCATCCAGATTCCAGCCGCCCGAGTACCGAACCTTGCGTTCCATGACGGGCTTCCGCACATATGCACAAGGGTGAGACTACAGATACTCCACATATCAAACTCAGAGGATCTGTGCCTGTCCCTTTTCAGGCATTATTGGACCTCTTCAGCCTCTCAGACATCAATGTTAGGCTTTCGCCTCACTATGGTCCACTTATTCGTTAAAACGAAGGCTTCTGTGAAATATCCGTAACAGCCATTGATCGCTAGAATTCCTCCGGCCATACCGCTGCAAATCATTACTTGTGCCTTGGCGGTATGATGTAAGATGCGCACGTAACTGCAGTAAAAATCACGTCTTATGGTGCATAGTCAGAGTAGTGGTACTACTGTAAATTCAATGTATGTATGCACCCAAGCTGAGTAATAATCTTGGTTGCGAGGGAGATATGCACATGATATAATCACAAGATCTCTAATCAACAACCAAGCCAAGAGATGTGACAGTTCTTACTCCGTACTCAACGGACTGTGTGGTCCCGAGATGGTGGGGGCTTTCCAATAGACCAGATATCGCGGAATCTACAGGTGATCAGACAGGTTTGATGCCAGGCTGCACAATCCCACGATTTCATATGGTTAGGGTGCCGAAATCCGGCTCACTTGGAGTCAGTGTTCTAATACCAAGTACAATGTAGACACGATTCACTGCTCCCGCAAAACAAATAAATAGTAGCAACCAATCCTCATTCCTCACAGAGGGTCAGTACTTAAGGTTCAATGATACCTTTCTCGTCCACTATGTCGCCATTCAGACCACGGCAGCCAAGACGAAGCCATTCTCTTGCCCAAGCTCAATCCAACCTGCTGTCCGTGTCCGTGTAAGTCCTTTATGCATGGATAACTAGTTCGGCATGATCATGCCATACGTCAGAAACCGTTTGGCCATAAGAAGAGCCCACAAATTTCCTCGATTCCCCAGAAACTAAGAAAATCACGCCTTCGACAGGGACGATTGCGTGATTGAGGCCATGTCAGACTAAACCTTTGAGCCATCACGTTGGCCGGGCCGGCGTCGATGTCGTGATATTTCGAGCGCTGAGCCGCTCGTGCTGCAGGGCGAGCAGCCACCGACAGCCAGGGCTTACCGTGCCCGATACCCACTTCAGCCGCACCCCGACACCCTCGTTGGTTTGGCAACGTCTTAAAAACGCTCTGGATACGTAATGAATAACAGCTATTAACCCGAAAATATGCTATGTACATATAAGATGCTGCGTCTCTACACTGTTCCTTTTGTTTTCGCCATTGAGATTGTCTTCGCCATTGAGATTGTCTTCGCCATTGAGATTGTCTTCGCCATTGAGAATGTCATTACAGCCTATGTGGCTGGTATGCATTTGCAACACACTCTCAACTGAGTTTGTATTATTTGATTCAATTTGAAATCAAGAACTTCGAGGAGAGTGCGACATTGAAATTCAAATGTCCTCCCCATTTACGGGCTCATCTATACAGTCTGGGTCGCATCCACCAGCATTTATGTCGATGTTTTCTTTTCCCGTGACATGCGACTTGTGCTATTCTGCTGCCCTACCCATGACAGCCCAGCAAATAGAGCACGTTGCTTAAAGTGTATCTAACACATGATGTTGTCATTAACGCAGCAGGTGCAATATAAATGTTCACCTCGCCCTATCCCAATGACTGTCAGTCTGTCAAGTTCAGAACGCAACGTATGGAAGCCCTGCCGTCGTGCTGTATTGCTCTATTGTTATTATCAGTAGTCCCAGATCATGGCGTCACTACGACAAGGGCAGCTGCATTTGCTGTAGTATTTGAAAGGAGGAGTTTATATGTAAGAGCGCACATGGTAAATGCCTCCATTACCCGTATTGTGCATACATGATGAGAATTCATTTGCTGTAAGATCTACCTGGGTAATTACGGAAAAGTAGATATTCCCCTCCTGTTGATCACTGAAGTTCAGAAATCACTCTACCCATTGACCTGGCACAACAACTCAAGCTCGTTCAATCCCTTCCTGGAACTCTCCCCCTACTTTCCCAAACGGCACATTCCATTCAAGACCGACCATCCGAGGCGGGCCCATGCGTGTTGCGCAAAGGTATGACTACCCAGCTGTTGGCGTCCATCATTCCAACTTTCACCGTTTGCATTACATAGTATGGGCCCAAATGTCGAGCTTGCCGCATGACATTTATAAAGTAGGTCCATAGAATGCGAGGTCCATTCAGAGCTTGCCCAGGATCGAAAGCCAACATCGCACAGCCGGCATGACCTGCTTCTGTTGAGTATCTGCTGAGTACAGCGAATACTTTTGAGAGAGAGCTGCGTCCGTCTAGTTTTTGTTCTCATTCGTGGAAGCTCCCTTGGATGACAAAAGCCAGAGCGGAGCATTGAAAGAAAAAGGCCATGCGATTGTCGTTTGGATGTCGCAAAAGGAGTGTAGGCCACGGATCCAGCATCCCAATTAACAAGCCGCTGAAATACCTGCCATCCAATTGCGGTACAGCCAATAGGCATACCTGGTAGTGATCGTATTTCACCGCTCTTGGCATATTTCTATTTAGAACGACCACCGCAAACGTGTGATACCGGATAATCCAGGTTACTTTTTTATCCTTCGAAGCCAGCAACCTCCCCTGTATTTGTTCAAGCTTTGTCTGATGTGTTTTGGCTTACGAGAGCACGCTCCTGCTGCTGCGCTGCTGTCCACTGTCCGACTATGACTTGAGGCTAGGGTTTCATCACTGCCCCGTATGATATGCGTGGGACATCGCTAAACCTAGTATCAGTGATCTTTACATCATGCAGCTCTATAGCACAAGTGTCAACAATCCAACAGCCCCCCCTATCCGAATCTCAAAATCTACCAGAGTCTGCCCCTTCAGAATAATCTTCACCTTGGCCGGCCAGCCCGCGCTTGAACTTCTTCTAGGTCGAGATTTGGGCAGTTATATCATCAAGAAGATTTGTTAAGCTCCGAAGTGGCTTGCTGCAATATTCGGTGCTGCATTGCGTCACTGTGTCGTCAAATAACAAGATATTGATAACGGCACGTCGTGTGCTGGGATCGTTTTCTATGTCTTGTATGAGAGGCACCAGGATCTAGATCTAAGTCATCAGCTATTGAATTATATCAGGCACATTCTGTATCTCGTCTCACAGAGACTTGGGTTTCGGTATTGTACTGCCTCCTTTAAAGGCGACTTCTGCTAGGGTGATCGCATTTACAACCACATCAAACAACTCTGCTATGATAATATAATCCTTTCAAATTTCTGGGCACTATTATGATGGTCTCGAAAGACTGCTTATGGCATGGAAGATGTTAGGCTTGAAAACTGCGCAGAGGTTCGGGTTGAGGTTGCCCAAAGGATTGTTTGGGGGTTGTGTGAAAGCCTTGCATGACTGCTGCATGATTGAAGAGCTAGTTAGATTGAAACATTGTAACAGCTATTCGGTTTCTAGGCAATGTCGTCTATCAACCAAGCGATCCCACCCAGCTCTGAGCGATACTTCCTGGACACTGAAAAGGATTTTATGAGCTTAACTATACTCGTGGCATTTGTTAGAACAATGGGATCAGGTACCTAGATTTGCCTGTAGTCCAAATCTGGCCATGATACTGCGACCTGGAGTAATAGAAAGAAGTCTCAGATAGAAGTACGCTAATGTTAGTATGAGTAAAAGAGGTTATGCGGTTTGATGTGATGCGACTCCGAGCATGTGTGCTTCACCACCGAAGGTGATGTTCTATGTAGTAATTATGGCTAAGCCATAGAGCTGATACGTCCGAAAGGATAAGGTCACATCGTGATCTAATACGAGTGACAACAAAATGGAGCTCCCACGATACTTCGAGTCGCATTTGGTACCTAGAGGACCTTTTCATCGCCGGACCGCGCATAAAGGCTATCAAGTTGATCGTTTGCCCTCGAATATACTTCAAGGCGTATAGAAAACAACCTTAAGATGTACTTCAAGTTTCTCATATCATGCATACCTCTTTAGTACATTTTTGAAGCCATCGTGACGGAGCGGAGTGTCCGTATTGTTCGCTCCGCCGGTGGTTCTAATGCGGCCGTAGGCGGTCCCACCGTCTCTGATTGGCTTCGCGGCGTCTGCCGAACGAAAAAGGCGCGCACTACCCTCGAAGCGGACAGATCCCTGAAGATCTCTGCTCTTTGGTGGTGAAATGACCTGAGAAGTGGAGGTTTGACGCATTTCCACTCAGCCTCGTTTTGTCTACTGTGACGATAGAGCACACCCAACCCACCTAACACCTGTCGCAGCATCTCGCTTTCTCGTTGCAAGTTCTGTCCGCTGAGGAGAATTCGGTTACTGGCTTGAGGGTTCATTGAGTTTCAAGGCATTTCCTCGTTCCTTTTACACTTTGCTATCCTTTGTAAACCTTATTACACATTGCCTGAGATCAATATGTCTGAAGGTAGCCCCGCCAAAACTACTCCTCCCGCCGCCCGCCCGCAGTTGGGCGGCATGCGAAGCAGTTCTTATCTGCAAACCAATCAACAATATCAAGGGCCTCACAAGCCTGAAAGCCATTTCGGCATCGATACCGTGGTCGAAGATTTGAACAATGCTAGACTGTCTCCAGCCAAGCCCTTCAGCCCTTTCAACGGCGTGCCGTCCAAGGAGGAGCCACCCCGCATAGTAGATGGTGGTAGCCACGACTACACGCACCCGAACTGCTCTCCCGCGAAGGGAGAGAGGAGCAATCGCCTGATTGCAACGCTCACATACAAGGCGACAAGCCCGCGCGCCGCCAATGTGGTCCCGTCACCTCGGCTGGCAGGCTCAGACTCAGACATTCCTGCCAATCTTGCGCCGACGACCGACATTGATGAGTTCCCTCTCGAGCCGCCCGGTGCTGGCGAGCCCGAGCCTCTCGATCATTTGTATGGCTCGTACATCTCCCCGCTATGCATAACATCCTTCCTTCACCTCATGTCAACTTTTCCCCTCCCGCCGGGAGTTACGGAGATTACCTCGTCGCATCGATGCCTCGACGACCCGGTCCACCCTAACATTGTGGAACTTACGCTGTCGCCGGCTCCTTCGCTCGATTACCTGCCCCTGGCAGATCTCCGGAGACATGAGTTGATCTATCGTTTCGAGCGGGAATGGAACATCGACGTGGCGCTTCAGCGCGATACACTTTGGAGGCGGCACCCTCGGCTCGTAGTCTTTGATATGGACTCCACTCTTATCACACAAGAGGTTATTGACCTCATGGCCGCCACGATCAAGGACCCACCGAATCTGGCGGAGAAGATTGCCGACATCACACATCGTGCCATGAATGGAGAGTTGGAGTTCGAGTCTGCCTTTAAAGAGCGTGTTGCGCTTCTCAAGGGCCTTCCCGAGACAGTTTTTGAGCAACTACACCCTGTTCTCGACGTGACGAAGGGGGTGCCCCAGCTTCTCAAGGCTCTCAAGAGATTGGGGGTCAAGACTGCTGTATTCTCAGGCGGATTCCAACCACTGACGGGATGGCTTGCCGGGCAGCTCGGCATTGACTATGCGTACGCCAACCAGGTGGAGATCGACAGCGACGGCAGGTTCACCGGCGAAGTCAAGGGTGTCATTGTTGGAAGAGAGCAGAAGAAGAAGCTTCTCATCGAGACCGCGGCGAAGGAGGGCATCGCACTAGAGCAAACCGTCGCCGTAGGTGATGGTGCGAATGACCTGTCTATGCTTGCTACTGCCGGTCTCGGCGTGGCATGGAACGCTAAGCCTCGCGTGCAGATGGAGGCCAGCGCAAGGCTCAACGGCGAGTCTATGACTGACTTGTTGTACCTATTCGGTTTCACGCGTGAGGAGATTGAGCTCCTCACTGAATAGTGGTGGTTTTGGTCAAACTCGGAATCAGGGACATGGGACTTTACCTGGCTAGAAGCTCAGGATGAAGTACCAGAGACTTTGCCTACTTACAGCCTTCTAAGTAGACCTTATGAATTTGATGAGAGAGAAAACAAGTCCATGTTGTGATGCGACGCGTGATCGACCGAGCGCCTCTTATAGTTAGTCGCCTGTTGGGAATCAGGATTCTCATCAATCGCCCACAAAAGAAAACACATAATACGTCATTTCATGTATGTCATATGTCTTTTTATAGTCACAACTGGCGTCTTTTCGATAGGGGCACGGTGGTACGTGCAGATGTAGTGCCATTGCAACGTGCGGGCGATGGTCATCTGGGCCAAGTGGATATTGCGACAAAGCGCCTTCGTAAGACACTCACGTATGCCGTTGTGTTCTCTCAAAAAGTACATTACAGGCAGGGTGCTGTGCGAGACCTCTCAACTACGATGTCACTATTGAGTTTCTCTGAAAAAGACCAAATAGTACCTCTGCTTAAGTCGAAGCGAACTGGTGCCGATGATACGTGACTTTCACCATACGTTAGATAGGAAGTACAATTTCTCCGAGGTCATGACTGTGGATATCAGCTCATCCCGTTTAACTGTCCATTCCTGGTATTGAAGGATTCAAATCTTGACAGCCTCTTTCACTCTTACGAGCCGTGACCACCCATCATAACTTATACGGGTAACGAGGAGTTTTAATAGCGTATGATACCAGGAAAATGATCACGGTGCATGCTGAACTGGCATTATGCACGAGTGAGCGAGAAAAAAAAATTTCGGAAGAGGGATGAGCGTCCAGTGATGATCCAATGCTTGATTTGGTTATGTACAAATGGAATGAGGTCCCAAGTCGTCTAATTTAGTCTCTTAACACACTGCTTCCAGTGTTCGCACACCTATAACTTGTTCGCATCCTAGTAGCCGTCCTTGCCCCATTTGTTGTACTTGTCGTGCAGGTTCTGTTCTGCGTTAGTATTCTGTGTTGTGTTTCCGCGGAGACGAGATGCGTGCGGTCCATACCTTGGGGAGGTTGACATCGGGAATGACAACAACGTTGACAGCGCTGGGAGCGTCCTTGGGGGCGGCGCTGGTGTCACCACCGGGGTGGTACTGGTACTTGCCGTCCCCGGAACCGGACTCCCAGGGCATACCGCCCTTGGTCATGCCGACTTGGGCCTCAGAGGTAGACTTGGTAGGAGTTCGGCCTGGTGAAACTGTATGAGCAAAGCTTGCTTCTGGTAAAGAGTCTTTTTTTTTCTTTCAAATAGGCGTACCGAAGTAGAGACCGGCACCACCGAGAGCGAGGCACATGATACCGCCGAGAATCTATTACCAGCTTAGTCAATATATATTTCCGAATGATAGTGCTCCGAATTTGGGCCTTTTTCATGTCCGAGTTGAACAGGGGCCGGTGGACCGAGGAATCGGGATATGACGCACGAAAAGTTCGGGGTTGCGCTTTGTCTCGCCCTTGAGGGCCTCGTCACCAGCTCGGCGAGCGGTGGTGGTGGTGAAGGTTCTGCTGGAGAAGGCCTTGCTCGAGAGAGCGGCACGGCGGGCGATCATAGAGGCCATGGCGTCGTGTGTTTCTATCGTCAGATTTGTTGTGGTAGAAGGTGTTTAGAGGGTGTCGTATGATTGACTGCACTAAAACTGCTCTCCGAGCTCCAAAGGCCGACCGATGAGGTCGGGGGTGATTCGATTGGTCAATGCCACCCTCAGGCGCCCAGGCACCAACAGTCCAGCCTGGATTGATTCAAGCCACAGGTGCCACAAACGCCACAAATGCGGTGCTTCCTTCTCTCGGCAGCGGCCAAATGAGGAGGCCCGTGCTTGCAGCATTAGTCTGCATTACACACGGGATAACTATGTCGTGTAACTAATATCACAGCAGCGGGTCGAAGCCCGCCAGGCAAACCGTGGACTTGGAGCCAATAAACTGGGGATGGAACGGAGGCCAAGAAAATACTGTACAGTAGAAGAGCTCAGCTTTCCCATGCGGGACGAGCTGGAAACTGATGGTTCCAATGCCGCAGATGTAGAAATACATATTCTATCAAGTCCTACAGATATACCACAGATGCGCTGCAATCAAACAATTCACATGCTCACTTTCTGTCTCCATCCAATGACATCTCTGTCAGGGATCTTTTGATATGCAAGCAACGGGATGCTAGGAAATTAAAGAGCCCGTGCTCCCAATGACCTTGACCCAAGGACGAGCTTTTGCATGCAACTCGCTGCACCTCTGGGGGGGTCTTTGCGTCTTTGCGCGTTGCCCATCTCCAAACGTCCATGGACAAACGAGCGCGGGCTTTGCCATTTCTTCTTTCAACTCTATTTCGACCAACATAAACCCACGAGTTTCTGACTAGCATCTCTGCTGCGCAGACTGCAACAAGAAGCAACCACACACTCATTCATCTAACTAGTACTAAACTTAGCCCGCTCTTTTGCATAATATCGTTTCTCCCGTATCATCCGACCCGTCTTGCCCTTCACTCCGTGTTCTACGATATCTTCCATCCATTGCTTCCCAACCATCAGCGCGCCGTCGCATTGTAGTTCGAGTCCCTGCATACATCCAGCAAGGCCAACCACTACCGAACCGTCGCTCCTTTTTCGCCCCTGCTGCTGCCATCTGCCCGTGTACCAAACCATATATATTTTGAACAAGAACACATTGCGCCTTGTGTGACATAAGCGGAACGGCATGACAGAAGCAACACGGTAGCCGCAAAGCAATTCGCAACGTCAACTAGCGACTGCGCATACTTTTGACCATCTTAGCCGTCTGCCATGACTACCAACAACTTACGAGGAGGTGGGCCGGCCACCTCAGAGGAGAGCGACTTCCCACGACCTCAATTTCCCGCTGGACCTCCAAGTATAATATCCTCCCGCATGACGGACATTGCATCCGAGGATGGAGATCGTTTTGCGGAAGAGCAACCACCAGCCACTACTGGTAACCCACAAAGGAGAAGTCTCATAGGGTCGGAATCGCGCCCCGGAACCGCCAGGACAGGCTTGTCTTCTTCCAGAGGTGCATGGTCACAAGCGACACCGCTACGGCGAGGGTTCCAAAGAGGGAGTCTGAGTGGCAGCATATCTGGTTCCACGTCTGGTCGACCGCCAAGCTCAACAAGCAAAAGCCACGTCCCGTCACTGACGTCGCATGCCTTCTTTCATCCCATGAGTTCACAAAAACTCCAAGCGCAGAGGGGCGCATCGAGACCGTCCACTATGAACCAGCAACAAGGGACCATAGAAGATGCTGCTGCCGAGAACCATGCTCATATTGCACAGCAGCGTGGCATGACCGCAAGTCCGATTCATCGCATTGCACGGGAGCCTGTCGACGACGCTGACATTCAGCCACCGCCTTCAAGAGGGACAGAAATGACCGAACAGGAGACCTATGATAGAATAACCGCCAACACGAGCCCTACCCACGGTCATACGGCAGGCAGTCTCAGCGATAGTCTACGGCCTTTGCATCGAAAACCAGCTGAGGCTCTCAACCTGAGCATAGATGTCGATAAGAGCAAAAACCAGAATCTTGGTGCCAACATATCGACTCCCATGAAGTCACCACGGTCGTTCAGGTCCAACTTTTTGAGCCCCAAAGGAGAGTCAGCAAACCAGAACCGCACCATGGCCGGTGCCGAGAAGCTTTCCTCTGGCGCATCATCACCACAGCTTACACCGGTTGGTACCGCCACACGTACTGATAAGGACAAAATTATACAAGGCAAACACCCCAGTCTTGGTCGCAATCACGAATACTTTGAGGGAAACACATTTTTCTGCATTGGGGGGCGGCTTCAGAACACACGGCACCGTCCCATCAATATCGCTACAGGTTCATTCGTCGTGATACCGGCTATCTTGTTCTTTGCCTTTTCAGCGCCTTACCTATGGTATCAGGTCTCACCAGCGGTTCCTATTGTGTTCGCCTACATATTCTATATCTGTATATCTTCTTTTCTTCATGCATCAGGATCTGACCCCGGGGTATGTACAAACCACCCTGCTTTGACCAAGGTTGCGCTATCTTGCTAACTTGTTCTCTAGATCTTACCGCGCAATCTGCACCAGTTTCCGCCCCCGGCTAATGACGAAGATCCTCTACGGCTGGCACCACCCATGAATGATTGGACACTTATCAAATCGGCCGAGTCCAGTACTGCCGCTATGGAGGTTCCAACTAAATATTGCAAGACTTGCCAAATCTGGCGTCCACCTCGAGCTCATCATTGCCGACTATGTGATAATTGTGTCGAAACACAGGATCATCACTGCGTTTGGTTGAACAACTGCGTTGGTCGCCGCAACTATCGTTACTTCTTTACCTTCGTCACTTCAGCATCATTACTGGCCGCGTACCTGTTCGGCGCCTCGCTGGCCCAGATTCTCTTATATGCGAAGAACGAGGGCGTATCGGTCGGTTCAGCAATCGACCATTTTCGAGTCCCATTCGCTATGCTCATCTATGGGATAATCGCTTTCATATATCCTGCTGCTTTGATGGGTTATCACGTGTTCCTCATGGCTAGAGGCGAGTCAACACGAGAATTCCTGAACTCTCACAAATTCCTCAAGAAAGACCGTTACCGTCCATTCACCCAGAGTAGTGCGTGGAAGAACTGGGCCGTTGTTCTTTGCCGCCCGCGCCCACCAACATACTATCGATTCAAGAATCGGTTTGAAGAAGGAGATCAGCGGTTAGCTGCCAAAAAGGTTCAACATATCGCCAGAATTTCGGGCAACGGACAAGAGATGGAAATGCAAGATGTGCCGCCGTCATCTTCAGGTTTCCAAGGCCCGGTATCTTTGCGAAGCGACCGTAACGCGACATAATTTTTTTATTTCTTTTTTCGGGGTTCAAAGTTGTTTTCGTTGCTTTCCTGGCAACATGTATGTATGGCTGCCCGTCTTGTATTTACTGTGTAATGTCTTCACCTCTATACCCCCAGTCACTTTCTTCATGTACTATAAGCGAAAAGAATCGATTCTGCAAAGCCAGTGTCACAGACAAAAGCAATATAAAAGCGATAGCGAGATTAGCTCTAATCAGATGTACGTCTTGATGTAGCGTCATACACTTCGTGTCGGGTGTTTTGCGGGGAGAATAGAGTGACGAGGAGGATAAACTCCGGGATGTGATCCTTTTGTCCATTAATGCTGCCACAGATGGCGAGATCCTCGCGTCAAATGGTATATACCGACTTCGGATACCGAGCTGCGTCGGCTGTAGTCGATACCAAGTCTTCCTGCCTGCCTGCATAATTTTGATAGCCCACCATGCATCACGACACGCCAACCCCCTGTAGCTGAGATCACATCCCCTGATGCTTGCCTCGCCCCGGACTGCATTGCCCCGAGCTTGGCAGACCAATATGCGGAGCCCCACAACCCCCAATCATTGTGTCTTTGACAACCTAAAGCCACGTTTTTTCCACATATCATATCCTATGCAGCATGGACTACGAAATGATAAAATTAGCCTTATGCGGGGAAATTGTAATTCTCCATGGAAACTTGGGGTAATCAATGAGATAATGGGCTCTATCACGCCGGAAAGATTCACTACACCTGAACATACCCTGCCAAGATTCCAGGTTATTGTTGTCGCCCCGGTCATTGGGCAAGTTTGGTTCCGAGAATGATCAATCGTGATTGCTTTCGATCAAGATCAACACTGAGTATATATAGGCTAGGATGGCTACCTGGGTAACGTCAACAATGCTTGGCATAGTAGCCGATTTTGGGTACCGTCTCTTTTACCGCTTTTGTTCTTGAGACTCTTGTTAAAGAGCCTCGCTCCAAACTCAGATCGGTACCATGAAGATGTTCATCGCTTCAATGGCAAGTCTGCTTGTCGGCGGAGTCTCTGGGTACATATTGCCACCTCGTGCGGCGCCTACTGGCCCGTTCTTACGACAAGTTGACAATGCGACTTGGGTTATTGGTAACGAGCTATGGAATCTCACACAAGGTCAGACCTATGGCGTCAAGCTATACTATAAGGACCACGATTGTGTTGGTGATGCTGTTGGGCACTATGTCAGCTACAGTAAGTCGTTCATCCAAATTGCATTGCCTGATGGCCGTCGATGCTAATCATGATGCATCTCAGATGGCGCCGCAAGTAACTTGAATTGGACTTCCGCCTCCATCGTCAACGAAGGCAATATTGACGGTAAAAAGTACATCGACATCAGGTTCACTGCTAAGGAAGGTGACTTTCACTGGGTTATTCAGTCTGGACTTACCGGGGCCTACCAATACTTTGTGAATCACGCCCTGCCGACCCTTGGCGAGTTCCGCACTCTCTGGCGTCTCGATAACACCACGTTCCCGAACGGGAAAACCGATGTCAGAGATGAGCCTCTCCCGCCCCTAGACGAGTACCTTGCAAACCTCAAGGTGCAGGACGAGACATGGTCCAAGCCCGACGGCTCAGGCTATATTACCAAGTATGACTTCACATCGTGGATCCGCACACAAACCTACTACGGTGTTTATGGTGATAGCTTTGGCAGTTGGTACATAAATGCTGGCAAAGACTACTACAATGGCAACCACCTGAAGCAGGAGCTGATGGTGCACCGCGAATCAGCCACCGGTGACGCCGTCCAGCTCAACATGATTCATGGTACACACTTCATGGTTTCTTCGTCTGATGTCTTCCCTGACGGCAAGCTCTGGGGGCCCTGGCTTTGGTACCTCAACGACGGATCTAAAGACGACGCCGCGGCGCGCGCCGTGGATGAATTCTCCTCATGGCCGTACGCCTGGTTCGAGGACGCCGACTACCAAACCCGGGGCTCAGTCAAGGGCAAGCTTGTGCTCTCGGACGGCCGCCCGGCTACTAACGCCGCCGTATACCTCGGCGACAATACGCCCAACAAGACGGCACTCGACGCAGGTTCCGATTACTACTACACGGGCTACGCAGATGCCGAGGGCAACTTCGAGTTCAAGGACGTCCGCGTCGGCAGCTACGGGCTGCAGGCCTGGTCCAACGGCAGTGAGATCGCCGACGTGACGACGTCGCTGATTCAGAACGACGTCGTCGTCTCGGAAAACCACGCCACCGACCTCAATACCCTCGAGTGGCGCGTCTCTGACAAAAAGGCCCTGTTCCAGATCGGCGAGTTCGACCGGTACAGCTACGGCTTCGCGTACGGCGGCTCGCCGCACGCGCACGCAGTCGTGGACAATTGCCCGGCCAATCTGAATTTCACCGTCGGTCAGAGCGCGACCGAGGATTGGTGTTTCGGGCAGGGCAAGATCGGCAACTGGAGCATCGCATTCGACATCGACTCGCTTCCTTGCACGGCCGCCAACCAGACGGCCAAGCTGATCGTCTCGCTGGCCGGCTACTCGTCGGGCGTCAGCTCGACCATCTGGGCCAATGACGTCAACATCGGCAATCTGACGAGCGGCCTGACGACCACCAATGCCACGACGGGGCTGGTCAGCGACCCCTCGCTGTACAGAAGCGGCACCGCGGCTGGTGAGTGGAGATATTTCGAGTTTCCGTTCAGGGCGAGCGTGCTGGGGAAAGGGTCAAATGAGATTGTCTTTCAGGTCACAAAGAATACGACTTGGCATGGATTCATGTGGGATGGCATCAAGCTTGAGTGGTAAAATTTAGACTATTTTATATATATAATAGTTAATTTAGTTATATGAGTTGATTAATACAACTGAGAGATACTCTCGGTTGTGAGTACGAAAATCCCCTGGTCGCTTTGTCGCGTTCAGGAATATCGAATCGATTTACGGAGTAAGAGACCTTTCGTGAAGGTTAACATTGCAGTGAAACTGCGGTTTTCAAAGCCATATTAATAAAATCACCTGCATATATCGTATCAGAAAATGTGTCTCTTCGCTGTGTCTGGATGCTATTGGTCTCTTTCAGTCTTTGAGAAAAATCTTTACTGTGACGTGTGTTTGGTACAGGAATCAACAATTTGCAGCGCAATAATATGACCGGATCTCTGTAGTGCTTGATCGGGCTACACGATAATTATAATTATAACCATATACGTCCCTATATGAGATCAAACATAGCAGACTAGATTAAGTCCACGTTTTTATGGAATTTCGTGTGTTTTATACTTTCGTGTATTACTTATGTTGGGTTTAAGAAATTCAGAATCTTAGAGAACAACAGTTGTAAAAATGAAACAAGCGATTTTATACAGATTTTAAACTATAATATATGGGCATTTTTTTGGAGCGAAATTCGTAGACTAATGAAGCTAGGAGCTGAAATTCGGAAGTTGCAAAACTTCCCTACATTGTTCCCTAGATACATGGCTCCATGAGAATTCACGGGCTAATAAATTTTCTGTTATTCTGAGGCACATATTTCTTAGTTTGTGAGAAATGATTCGTTCCAGTCCACAACATGTACGATTTATAGATTACGATGTGTGAGGTCCCGGGATTCACGTGATGCCCCAATAAGTCTCAATTGAATACCCACTCCACAATTACCCAAATTCTACGCAGAAAGTACACGTCAATCTTCCATACTCTGAGATTTATTTAATAATTGAATTTATTTTCTTGACGTTTCTGGCCTTTTGCCTGGGCCAGTTTACTACAAACATGCGGAGTCTCCCACAGCCCCCACAAAGCTTCCTGCAGAAGAAGAGCAAAATTTTGGAGCAGCTCTCAATCCCGGATACCGAGTACACAGACGCATCACCCAAAGGCTCGGTGGATGTTGGGATCAGAGAACTAATCGATGAACTCAACGGCTTAGAGGGATTTGTGACAACCAGCAGCTGTGCGGGACGGGTCAGTGTTTTTGTGGAGGGAAAGAAGGCTGCGGAGGGCGCCAGTCAGGAGAACCAAGATGAAGAAGGGGCGCGAACAGCTACAGTTGCTGGTGTCGGCGGTAAAGGGGGAGGAGGCCATTGGCTCTTTGTCAGTCATGATCCGGTCGAGGTCGAGGACGGAAAGACATTGGACGATCTTTTCGGGTTGAAAAACCAAGACGCATCTGGCGACACCACGACTGGTGACAATGAGGCAGCTCGACTTATACACTTCAAGTTCGAGCCAATGGTGAGTTACAGACCGGTTTTTGCGTATCTCATATCAGTATCAGCTAATTCTCTCACAGATTCTACATGTTTTGACTGCATCTCTAGAGCACGCTCAGCTTCTGCTCAAGTGCGGTCATCAAGCAGGCTTCCGAGAAACTGGTGCGTTGAACCTGACGGCTGCTGGAGGAGAAGCTGTCACCCCGATCGTGGCTATTAGAACCATGGGCCTTGGGCTGGAATCACTGGTTGGCATTCAGAAAGGAGACCTAATACAACGAACCGTTACGCCAGATTACCTGCAAACGCTGCTGGATATCAGCCATGACAGGTTCGCTGAGAACTCGAAGCGAATCCAGCGGTTTCGTGCGGCAATCTTCGAGGCTGCTCAGCCACCAAAGAAGAAGGATGGGACGGAGTGGGAAGATGCTGCAGCTCGAAGGGAGAGGAAAAAAGCACAGGGGCTTCGAAGAAAGGCTGAAATGGAGGCTGCGAGAAATCAAGGCCAGACCTCTGATAAGGCTGAACCTCTAGACCTAGCCCTAAATTCAGACCTGACATGACCAATAATACCGACATCGCCGTTTCATGATAGTGACGCAGTGAACCATTCCGTCTACCTGGCCTTTTGTATGACCTCTATGTTGTAGTTGTACATATCAACAAAGGGGCATTCTGTTCCCCTTCTATCGCTGAGCAAGCATGATTCTTGATGCTGAAGCCGCAGATTTATCGCACAACTCTCTCGACCCACTCCTTCTCAAGCCTCCTGACCTCCTCCTTGAAGTCCTCGACCTCCTTCCAGCAGTTCAGCGGCCGACGATCGTTGGCGAGCAAGCACTGGACGACCTGGCTCCTCGACTTCTCGACGCTCTCAGGCAGATCGCGAAGTTGTTTCCGCTTCTCAAGTCTCGTTCTAAGTGCCTCGACCTCCTTAGAGACCGTCTGTCTACTGTTTCCGGCCTCCTTTTGGGCATCAGCCTCTGTGATCTCGGAAGCCTTCTTGCGGGCGGCTGCGAGTGCCTCAGATTCTTGTGAAGAGAGCTTCTTCAGCTCTTCGGCGACGCGAGCTTGAACGGCGAGTTCGAGGCTTTGTGCACGGGATGTGTCGGTCTGGATGTGGCTGTTAGATACAAATCTCTGGCGCGGATCGCACTGCACATAGAATCCATACCTCAGTGCTTCCTTGCAGCGACTCGACAATGTCCTGGGATACGCCTATGGGTCCGGAACTAAAGTGTCGCATGAGCAATGAGTCCTCAAATCAATTGGCTCCAGGGAGACACGTACGCTTTCCAGACGTGCGAGGCCTGGCCGCTGGCCGGCTTAGAGGAGCTCGAGCCCATGGTTGTGATGGTCAATGGCTGGCTGCGAAAGTTGCGCCTTTAGGGTTCCGCGATAGTGAAGCTGCAGCTTTGTTCTGCTGCTAATATTTCGAGGTTCGGAGTGACCCGGCTAACCTTAGCGACCGCCAACCTTCAAAGTGACGTACCGACTAGTCGTGGTCCGTGCGCAAGGCCCAAGCATATGTACGTACGAATCCGTAAATATGTAACGACCAACGCCAAATGTCGAAAGCTGTACTTGTATACGAGTACAGCTGACTTCAAGGTAGCATCCCTACGGTAAAATCGGTTATCAGGTAATTCCATGAACTTTCTATGTGGCCACCGGCAATAGTGTTCAGATAGCAGCACTTCCTGGTGGCCTGGCAGCAAGTCAGTGTCGGTGACTACATCAGATTGGCATTGCAATCAGACCATAAACCGGAGTATTTCTTTATTCCCAGCCCTCTAACACATTTATTTTTATTTTTCTTACTAATTGTTTTTTCTACCAGACCATTTATACCAGACTATTCCAGAATGTAATTTCAATGTGTACTCATGATGTGGGTGTCGGCATATACTATCACAGGGAGCCGTATGCCTGATATTGCGGTTAGAATACAGGGTGCATTTTAGCAGTGATACATCTCCTTGTCTTTGTATTATTTCTCTGTTTTGCCTGTCATATGTTTACCTTGGGTGGCCCTTTGCTATAGGCCGCTCACGCAGCATCTGTAATCACGTTTTTAATCATTGCACTTATGATGAATCATGGTCGTTAATACTATGCAATATCCAACCTGATTGCAATGCTTCACAAAGCCCGGATTTACCAACCTGGCCACTCAACGCTATTCGAATGGGCAGTACATCCTCCGTGGGTGGTCAGTTTCGGTATCTAGCACCGTTTCAGTATTTAGTACTACGAGCAGACATTGCGCTTGCGCTCAGGAATGTTTGAGAGTAGGAACCCAAGTATCAGACTTTCACGTGTTAGGCACAAGGCAGTGATATTTGGTTCATGGCGTCTATTGCTGGTCGCCCTGCTTTATTTATGCTCAAGTCGCCCAGAATATGCCGATACTGGATTGCATCTAGTCTAGAGCAAAAGGCATATCGTAGACACTTCTGGCATGATACCAACATGCACGAGATCTTCTCATGTATGGCCAGTCCTCATATTGTTTAAAATCATTTTCTTTTGTGTGCCCAGAAAGCCTTGCTAATACGTTGTCAAAGACCATAGCCAAGAACAATCTACGAAGCCGATTATCATGTATTCAAATCAATATCAATGTGCGTTTCAGTGCGAGTTGCTGGCTCGGATGGTTCTTGTTACCTAACAATCAGGCTGCATGAATTCGTATGAATTGAATAACTGTGCCAATCAAAATTTGCAGCTCAACAGTCCATTCGCCGATTTGTGAACCGCACCAGAATCTGACCTTTTACAACACAACCCCTCCAACCATTTAATCTTCGACGACTCTTCTATCCACCACAAATTTTATCCTTCACTCCCAAACATTTATTCGACCTCGTCGATACTGTTCTCAAAGATATTTCAGGACGACGACGTTAGTCACTCGTTAGTACTCGTCGAGCTGAATATCTAGGTTGTTGCCTAGAAGCAGAATTTTGGTCACGAAGATTCTTTTTCGTCGACCTTTACTTATCACGATCATCTCACCATCAACCATCATCACACAAGCTGATCGCCGACTCACTATTTCAGATCTTCATCTGGAGATCACATTCATTTTTTTTATTAACGTTTTGAATCGGCGATTTGTCACCATCAGACGACTGCAACTCGGCGACAAACACATACAGCCTGCCACTACCATCAGCTGGCCGCCCAAAATTTTCCGTAGAGCTTGGGACGTTCAAACAAGTGTTTTGTCCTCCTTCGAGCTCACATTGGGAAGGCATCACGGGTTTTTAAGCTATTGTGGCTTGAGTCTCTGCGTTGGACAGCTTGGTATAGCTAGAACAGCTCCGAAAGCTGGCAACTACGTTGGGGACCACAAACGGCAGGTGCGCCAGATTGCGACGAGACTTCAATTAAAATATCACTATAACTTCCTGGTCATCGAGGCACCAGTATTGAAATATCTGACTGGAATTTTGGTTCCATTTGGATACCGATTCCTGACAAGCACGAGAGATCTTGCCCGCCAAGAATCGCAGTTGCCGTGTTTTGAGAATTTAGGAGTGGAAGTTCATTCCTGGAGGTCAGTTTGAACGGCCTAGACGACACGAATGGCTTGGGCAGCACCGTAAACAAACGTTCTTATTGCCAAGGCAGTTACCGTCCGTCCCGTCTCGCAGTCGACGTTGCCGATCGCTTCTCTCGTGGAGCCAGCGGGATCATCTAGCAGTATTTCTGAGAACTGTCCCGCATATCAGCAGACTACGTCTAGTTCAGAACGTGGGCCGTATTGCAGCGCAGGTTAGTGATTGTACCGTGTTTCTGCGTTGCTTTCAATATCATCATTCCTTTGATTGTATGGGCCAAGTCATTGGTTCATGTCAGAACGTCGAAAAGTCGACACAATGCAGCATGTTCTGGATGCAGTGCTACACCTCCTTTTGGTCTCAGCATAGCCTTGCTATGAGCGACTAAACTAAGGGATTCCATGAACATTGCCATCATCTCAGCCGGATTCGCCGCTTTCGTCAACCATACGAGTACCGTGTGGAAGCTATAATTATAAGCTTGGTATTCTCCTCGGACATTCCTCACGGGGACAATCATCGAGCGTGTCGTCCAAGTTCTTATCGAGTAGAACATATTTCTACGTTGAGATTCTCAAATTGGCCATTATGCCTCCTTGAGGACTTTGCTAAGGATGGGGTCGAAGTTATGGCATATCTATAAGCGTGTTGTTCACCTTGGATTATACCTGATTTATTGAGCTCTATGCTTGACGATAATTTAGATGGCAATCGACATTGGAGAGATGTGAAGATGCTACTTAGAAGCGTGTCCTATTCTTCTGGATACCTAAATACTTAGCCTATGTGCTCGGTAAGGACTCGGGCTCGGACGGCACCTCCCTAAGGATTGGATCATTGTTCTTATTGGTGGTCATGAGATCGATTGTATCTTTCTCCGAGCGCTCTGCCAATTAATCTAATCTCTGGGTTTCGTATCAAACCAAGAAGGAGCTTGAGAGCTGAGAACTGAAGAACTCAAGAAGCTTGGGCCTTGCAAGCAGCATATTGTGTTCACCTGCTCAATGCAGATCCGATTGTTGCAGGCAGGAACCAATTATCCAACCTGAGGACCTGACTGGCTTCTGAAAATCTATTTAAGAAGCCTAACTTCTGGATCTTGGAACTAATCTTCCCTTCTTCACCCAACCTCAACATCAATTCGCATAGTCGTTTTGTTTGTTCCCGTTCGCCTGCGCGTTTTGTTTTTCGCGTCAGCGAACCAAATACTAATTATCTGCTTCAGCATTGCAAGCTTTTCCTGCTCGCCCAACTCCTTGATTTTTCAAATCGACTTTAGTACCATCAGCGTCAATCACCAACCATGGCTGATTCGTTCAAGGGTCGTCGGCCTGCCAGCACTCAAGGCACCCGCCGCCCTGATCACGGTGGTGTTTCAACCCAGCGAGGTGGTCTTACTTCGCCTAGTGCAATCTCCAGCTCGTCTGATGATGAGGAAGGTCAGTTATCTATTTTTATTTTTATTTTTATTTTTATTTTTATTTTTATTTTTATTTTTATTTTTATTTTTATTTTTATTCTTTTGGTCTTTTCTATATATATTCCCACCTCTCTACTAGAGGCATGGCCAAGTCATTACCTTTCTCTTTCAGCTCACCATACCCAACTGCAAATTGTGGGATCATTCTCGGTGCTCTTATGGCAAGCTACGGTGTTTATCATCAATATTTGTTAGAACGGCAGGGTCTCCGAACGACTGTGTGGCGAGGAAACCGTTAGCATTCCATAGCAATTCCCTTATCACAAAGGATATCCCATCTTCTGATTTATCCCAACTCACACTACGTATTGACGTATTAATATTAACGCTCATAATAGGTGGCGCCCCTCTTTATGCTGGCTTGCCTAATATTGGCAATCGTAACGCTTCGGGTAACGCTTCGGGTAACGCTATGTAAGTACTTAGATGTTGGTCGCTATTATAACATGAAACTAACTTAACATTTGAAGCTATGCTCCTCCCCACTTGCGTCAGTCTCAAGACTCTAGCTTAGGCCAGGATTTGGGCGGTAATGCTCTAAGGTTAGTTTACTGTTAAAGGAAAGTATCTCCTAGTTATTAACATATTGATAATACAGAACAGCTACTCGCTTCCAGCTTGGAAGTACCCCGGATGATAGCAACGTCTTCGAGGCCGCCAATGCTCGTGCTATTAATAGCGATCCTATCACCACCGATATGGGTGCCACCATTGTTCGATCTGAGCGTTCTGATGAGGCTACTCCTTGCGATGACAACATGTTATCACAAGCAAGCTCTTACTCTACAGGTCGAAACCGTCAGATCACTAGCGGTGCTTTGTTCGATAGCCCTATCCATCGACCATATCGTGGAACCTCGCCTCCTCTGATAGCTGCACTTGCCCTTCGCACAACCCCAACTGAGTCTAGCAACCGTCATCAAATTGGCGGTATCGATGCTCAGGTGTACTACTCACCTGGAGCTTGCGTTTTTGTCGCTAAGTTAGTTTTATCACATATTTTATACATCTTCTGCTAGAATTTGCTAATAATTATTTCAGCTTGCCTGAGGGCGTTGACGATACCCGTCTCGAAGCCGAAGTCACACGACAGTTCAGCCATTACGGCACAGTCTTCGTCAAGATCCGTCGCGATGCACGAAACATGCCCTTTGCCTTTTGTCAATTCACTGTAAGTATTTTGAAATCAGTCTATTACATCTCCATACTTACACTAATAATCTTGTAGGATGAAGCTGATGCCCAACAGGCATTATTTGATGGTCGAGGCCGTATTATCTACGGTCGTGCTTGCCGCACTGAGCGTGTTCGTGCTAATCGTAAGTACAAGGATTTTGCCAATTAAAAATTCGGCGATCCAAAGAGTTGGCAACCTTTACTAATAATAACATAGGTACCTATATCATGTACCGAACTGATGGCGATGATCTCGAGGAGGAAGATGCTAGACAGGGCCTGTACGATGCTGGATTTTTGCATCTCGAAAAGTGTGTGCAATTGCCTACTGAGATTCAGAACAAGCAGGGCCTGAGCCGTGCTGTCCTCGTTAAGCTGGAGAAATTCGACCCTACTAAGGAGTTGCATCAGGTAACTATACTTACAGGTTCGTCTCATAAGCCACGTAATCGCTAACCCTTTGCTTCAGGCTTTCAAAAACCACCACGAATTCCGCGTCATTACATACGATGAGCATAAGAACGCACAGGGACCAAAGCCTGACCCTGCTATGGTTTGGCTAAACCGTTACGAGGTCGATCGTCGCTCTATCTTTATTGGCAATCTTCCTAATTACGTTGAGGATCTTAGCGATCAACTTCGCCAACTCCTTGACGAGGTTGGCGATGTCGTCAACCTGCAGCTTATTACAAGAGAGTCGCGAACTGGTGGCGACCCACACATCTTTGGCTTTGCTGAGTTTACTCGACCTGATATGGCCGCACTCGCTGTCGATCGTCTGGTAAGAGTTTTTAAATTACATGTTGGGCAATACATGACTAATAATAGTATAGGGTGGTCGCACTCTATGGGGCCGCAATGTTCGGATTGAGCGTAAGGCTTCTCGCGATGTTCCCTCCCGCCAACACCAGCGCCTCACACCGTCAGCTCGAGCTCGCCTCGAGTACCAGAGCCCCAATCATCGCCAATTCGAGCATCATGACAATAGCCTGAACTCTCCAGAAACCCCTCTTCATTACAACACCCGCGACACCCTCCCGGTCTACCAATCTCCGGCTCGCCAGTCTCCCGCTTACCAGTCTAATACTAATACTCCAATGCCCGCCACTCTGGGCTGGAGCAATTCATACGGTCATCAAGACTGGTCCAGCCCGCCTCCATATTACACTACCTCGCCTTATGCCAACCTGCCTGGCTCGGCTGAGTATCAAGCTGCAACCCCTCAGATGCCGACTCCCTTTGCATCTCAGGCTATGGCAACACCCTACGGCTTGTTTCCGGCTTCCAACTACCAGTGGATGTCCCCATACATGACCGACCTCAACCTTGCGCCCTTGGCCTGGGCACAGGCTTATGGTCATTTCCCCACCAATGCTGGTGGTAGTGGTGAGGAGGAGGGTCCTGATACACCTACTCGCAACCGTGACCGTGGTGATGATGGTGCCCGCCAAGGTAATGACGAGGCTTAGGCGTAAGCTATGAACAATTGGCAAACACGATGACTGGCAAACAAAACGACTGGCAAACACAATGACTGGCAAAGACATATGGCTCGATTTCATGGTGATCACTCAGGCACATAACAGATAGCATAGGGAAGGGGCAGTTTCTAGTAGTAGATAGATACACTAGATAGAGGTATAATAAAGGCCATTCCCTATAACAAGTCCTTTCTCTCTTTCATAATGATGCTTCGTATAAGGAATGCGCACTGACTCATCCACCAAAGGGAAGACAAGATCAGTGTCTTTTTGAGAATCGCCTTCAATGCCTTGAAGCACTTTGGAACTGTGCTACGAGTCACGGTGATAGGTATAAGTTGCCTTTGTTCAAGGCCAGCTATCCGATAATTGATGGTTGCATCATCCTTCTACATCTGCTTCGATCACTTCTCCATATCTGCATAGCGTCCATCTTTGAGCTGAGCCTGAACGCTGTGGAGCAATAGGTGTAAATCCTGGCTCGGTCTCTGCCATCACGATATGAATGATTAAAGCAAGCAGCCAGATTGCTCTTATTCAATAGGATGATTTCTTATAACAGATTCGTCTGGGAACCTTCATTAAGCAGGTTTAACCCAAGGAATCGCCGAGGACTTTCTTACGCCATCGTACACTTCTGCATTCTACGTGCTTCTTGTTCTTTGGGCATCACTATTCTAGATGCATCATTTTCCCCTAGACGCTCTTGTTTTGGTGTGTCCCTATTCTTAGGCATTCTAATTCTCCAATTGCCATGCCATGCGTATAGCACAAAGGAAGTTTAGGACTCTTTTCGGCACTCTAAGAGACCACTAGGCACCATCATGGAACAAATACGAGAGAGGGCGAACCTGTTGCTCCTTAGCTCTGTTCGACAAGGTCGCATTCTGACACTGATGTGCTGAATTTATTTGTTGCAGCCTGGGCTGCAAATAAAGACTTGTATATCGTAAGCTGCTAAGAGAATGGTCACTTGCCATTTACTACTGAAATCAATCATGTATCTAGCAGGCTGAGCTCTCCTATGGCATGTACATCTAGCCGGCTATAACTACGCCTGATGGCAACTACAGTCCACGAATAAATCGCCGAGGTATTTCCTCCTATAGTAGTGCTTGACAGTCAGAGAGTCAGGTATGCTACCGTCTCTCGCAAACTGCAAAGACATCCATATACGTTAGCTGTGCTAATACTAATAGTCGATAGCTAATAAACATGTTGTTGGTAATTACTAACTGTCTTGGAACAAAGCCATCTGCGACAACTTGTGAAATTTGATTACTGTCATCTCTATCGAACATGATGAAGTTGAATGATCGTTACAGATAGTGTTCTGGAGCGCTGACTTGATATCTGCTAACAATAACACAAAAACCAAAACTTCAATTTCCTTGGTTACATCTATTGCACACTCAGTCATATCCTTCGTCCTCATTCTGACCTCAACTGGCAGAGATGCAACTATGATGAATTGGAAAGTTGAGTTACCTTCGAATATTAGAAAGTTCGCAAGGTAGCCGAAAACTCTTATTTTGGTTGCAGATTTTGGGTCAGGGCATTATTTCTGGCTGTCTTGATTCTTAAGCTGCTGTGATTAGCTCAAAACAATCGAAGATAGGTTTGAACCAAAAGAGCAAGAAATTTTTTCGATAGTGTACGCATCGAAGTGGTCGAATGCTCCCTAAAGTTATTGCCCAAACTTGAGCGCTGACAAGAATGAGACTGCTTGGATCCCGAATTCAAAATTGTGGAAACCGTGGTTCAAGTGGAAAGCCTTTGGGAACCTTGTTTATGACCTTGGGTTTCAAATCTCTTGGTATCTCAATTTGGGCAGGTTGCCAGATAGTGTGAACATTTCAGAACCGACAAGTGTCTGAAAAGCAATGCTCAGCAAGGGCGCCGCATGCTCCTCAATAGACATGAGGTCGGCCTGCTGGACAGAGATCTTTGGGAGCACAGTCTTTGGCTTGATTTCTTTGTGGTTAGACTCGATACCCATGAGCTTCTCAAAGTCTCGATGTGTATGCTCGTAAGATGCTTCATTGATGGATTTTCCAAGCATCTCTGTTCCTTCGTTCCATAGCGCATTGATCACAGCGCTTCGGGAAATGTGGTTTTTCTTGTTGTTGCCCATATGACTTGTACATTCGTCGGTGGAAGAGTTACGCTCTATTGTTGTAGCTGAGGGCTGCGTTTGAAAGTTAAAATTTGCCGGTAAAAGCCCTTGTTGATAATACACACGGGCCTCTTCTGCGGAGAGAGTGTCGACCATCTTGGAAGAGGAGTAGCCATCTGCGCGGAGGACTTCTCTGACTGATGAGAGGCACGTTCTCGAAGAGGTGACATTGCGAAGAGATGCCCGGTCCGACTCCAGAACGACTGCGGGAATAGCGTCTTGTCGCATCGTATGTGTGTTAGCCAGGGCTTCAACTATGCTCCCTTTTTCGACGGGCTCAGTGGGACATGACTTACGTTGGCGTAAGCCTGGAGGACCAGCTGTCAATGGCCGAGGAGCACCAGGTCCCCTGGATAAGATAGAGCTCGCCGTTGAGTCGTTGCGGTGTTCGGCTGTGCCATCTGACTGTAGCATGCTTGCTACAGAAATTTGATCCGAGTAGGCTCGCGTAGGTTGAAGCGGGGTTGAACGAGCGCGGGATAAGATTTTTTGAGCAATCTTTTGCTTAGGGTTCTCGTAGGAAGCCAAGTTGGTCAATGATTTGACCGACAACTGTTTCATGGATGTATGGTCATCCAAGTTCTCAGCTTCAATACGGGCGGCTTTGCTTGTCATGCTTGTCTCATCTTCTTTGTCAAGAGTTGCAGCTCTGGCTGAGATGATATTGACAAACGAAACACTCGAGGCGGTGAGACTTGAGCGATCCATGGTAGGGCTCATGGCACGATCCGTGTTTTGCCTGAGGGGAGAATAGTGTAGGGGTCGTGCATCAGCAGGAGGCGGCGACCGCATACCAGAACCCAAGGAAAACCCGGATGTTGGTGATGTCAGGAGCCCAAAGTCTACTGGCAATGGCCACTTGGCGGTTCGACCTCTGCGAGTGGGCGGTTGAAGAGGCGTGGTGTTTGTATTGGCAATGGAACCAACGGTAGTGTACTTGGGGGTTTCCTTCACTGTATCCATAATGAAATGAGGTTTATAGTTTTTGGTTCGAAACGGACTCAAGGAAAGACCGATGAGATGGGACCATGCAAAATTTCTCAGTAAACGGTCTGATGTATTCTGTTTTAAAAGGGTGATCTTCTACTGAATGACGTTGCGGGCTTGTGAGCTTGTCTTGGCCGTGAATGATGATGAGCGAGCGATAGCCGATACGAGAGGCACCTGCGACCGGGTTAAGATGTTAAAGAAACCCAAGGAATCTGACCAATGGGAGATACCAAATGGATCATCAGGGACTTCTCTTTTCCTTCCCCTTTGCAAGAAGAATGATGGTGCTGGCAGGGCGGTTTTGCACTACTCTTTATTCCCTGGAGAGCTGCAACAGCGTCACTGGATGGGATGAGGGATGATAAAAGCGTAAGTAAGTACATAGGCATAGTGATCGGAAAGATGCACCGGAAAGCACAGTCTGCAGTGGGGGTGATTTACTCGCCCGCAGTGCCTTCCAGAAGCTGATAATATGTTCAAATTGGCAGAGTAATTTCATGCCCGCTAAACAACACAAGTAGGGAACTGTAGAAACTCAAATAGTATACCTCGTTCGCTCTTTCTCCAGAGATGCTCTGCTACTTCTCTGCCCAGCTCCATCTCCTATCTCCTATATCATTTTCAACGGATTCAGAAACCGTGTCTACTTCCAGATATTGTTGTCTTCAATACCTGATATTATCAGAAGCAAGAACTTGTGCTGCACAATTCCCTCAAGTCAACCGCTCCCGCTGATGATGTGTCGAATGTTTCTACTCGAATCACTTGCATAACATTGCCTCACAACGTTCCATCGTGTCGCACCAGGTGGCTTTGGGGAATTTATGAGTGTGCTGCTCAAGCGAGCCCTGGCCAAGATCACTAATGAACGATAGAAATCAAGGTGAACGTTTTGGTGTGTGTTCTTGAATTTTCTCGTATACTATAGATTGCGCATAAGGGACGAGGCGAGTCGTGCCAAGCATATTACCCATTTCTTCGAACGCATCGTACTTATAACATGTCGTTGCTCCAATTTTCCCTGCTGACATGGTAGATGAGAACTTAACAGCAACTCCGCCGATGCCACCAGAAGATTGCGAAACACGATATGATGTGATAATCAAAACCTGGGGAAACGCCGTCTCTCTTGTAGGACAATGAAGGTGTGCGTAAGCGGCTGATAACCTGCTTCAGTGCCTACGCAATGCTATTCCAGTTTATCGACACCTACATTGATTGGATTCTGTAGGAAGTTCAGGATTTCGTTCTCCATGACAGTGTGATAACAGCGGATCGTGAGAAATCTTGTCGCATGCTCCCATCAACATCACGTCCAGAGAGCACCGACTGTGCTGTATAAACAATCAGACAAAGCGACTGAAGGTTACTCGTGCACTATGCTTGAAGTATAGTCCCAGTATTTGCACATCAGCCTGGCTGCTGGACGCTGAGGCTTCTCTAAATAGCAGACTAGATCCGCAGAACCTACCGAGACATTGGTGATCTCCAACACCATTCGAGCTTGGCATATTTGGCGAGACAGCTAACCCCCTAAGCTAAGCGCAACCATACTATCCGACGACTTACGGTGTTCTCTTGAATACTCGGAATCAGGGTCATTCAGGTATCACACTGACAAACAAGCTTACAAACATAAGGGTTTCACCTGGCTGCCGAATGTCGGCAACAGAGGGGCCCAGAATTGAAAGGAGATCGGACTGATAGTCTATCAGTTGCAATATTAATTACTCATCATCATGGCTCGTGGCCGACAAATGATCCCGATGAAACGGGTTTGCATAGACTCGGACACATGGCTTCAAGCCTCCAATGTCGAGTATGCAGTAATCGATTCCGACCAGCAACCGGGCATCGCCACAGGAGTTTAGTTGTTGGCTAGTCTCGTGGTGATATTGGTTCTCTAAGAAGAACCGCAGGAGGTACGTTCACTTGTCTCCTTGTTTACACGTACAACCCAATAATCAGGCTTGCGTAGTAAAAAGAGATCTTTGGTAAAGACGTTTGGCCATCTGCAGCCACCCCAATTAGTATGAACGCATCGGCATTATATCCAGTTGTGGAGAACGGTTTGAACCAAAGCTTCTTAGGCTCGCTCTGTTGTAGTACTGTTACGGTCGCGATGAGCCTGACCCAGTTTTGGACTTCAGTCACCCAGCAGTTGTTGCAATTGATGGATGGCATGGCCACCTACCCGAGTTGCAAATCTAATCATGCCGATAACAAGTGCCTAGCCCTCTTTCAAGATTGTCGGTACACTAGTTCATGCTTTTCCTTCTTCTCTTTTTTGCTCTTCATGCACGGGAACATTTGGATACGAGCAAGGTTGGGATTGTTCACTTATCCGAGTGCATTCGTGGGGCACACCTGACGCTATCTACTCTTTGTTCGGGGTTGAAGTCCACCCGGTGTGTTTGACAGGCCCAGGAGTTCGCTGGTTCCGCTAACATCCTGGCTCATTCGGGCTGCGAACCGAGCGGGAGAAACAAACTCTAAGTCCTAAAATAGGACTTATCAACTACTAACGTTATGTATGTCTGCCGTTACCGTCCCACGCATCTGAATACGTCAGAAGACGACGTTTCACAGAAACATTAAACTCGCCTCTGGTCCATGTTGGACACGTGGTGTTGTCTTAGTCAACTGCGGAGTCTCAGTTCGAGAGCAGTGCCTCACTAGAGGCAGGCGCTCCCCTGCGTCTTCATAGAGTTTGTCCGCGCAGCGTCCCTCCTCGCTCTCCGCTTTTGGTTTGTCTATCCACTAAGAATCTGTTGCTCTCGACCACTCCACTCAATACACGATCTCGCGCGCACCTCAGTCAGGTACCTTTGCTTCTTGTCTAATACTGTATCGAAATACCGAAGTTCGAGACTATGGACTACTCTCAGCAATATTACGGCGGTGGACAGCCGTACCAGTTCCTTGGGATCCCACCTCCAACCCCGTCACACTCACATTCGGCGCCGTCTGAGGAATTCAACCGACAATCTCCAACGGTTCGTCCTACCCTGGGTGCCGGGTTGATATCTGAGCGCTAACATGGCACGGAATGGCAGGACGTCTACGATCAATTCCAGAATTTTGAAAACTATCCGCAGTTCAATGGTAATCACAGTCAAGCGCAGGCTTTCCAACAAAGGCAGAACCCACCCACGCCACCTACGCAACAACTCAATACACGAAATCAGATGCAAGCAGAAATCTTGCCCGTCGCCAAGCCGGAGTCTGATCAAAATGCCCAAACCGGATCGAACTCGGACGATGAGGATATGACGCCTGCTCAGTCTCGTCGAAAAGCGCAAAATCGTGCAGCGTAAGCTTAGTCATGCTTCAACCAGTAGCTAGTATGGATGTACTTGGTTAACTGATGTCCAATACATAGCCAGCGTGCTTTTCGCGAGCGCAAAGAGCGCCACGTCAAGGAGCTCGAGGCCAAGGTCGCTTCTCTTGAAGCGGCTCAGCAACATACGTCTACAGAAAACGAAAAGCTCAAGCGCGATCTACAGAAGATGAGCACCGAAAACGAGATTTTGAGAGCGACGTCGAACATGAGGGAGAACGGCTCCATGAGTCCCGCCAGCAATCCTCCCACAACGACTGGCCCAATGCGCTTCAACCCAACAGACTTCTACTCGGAACTGCTGGCTAATCATACAAATAAAACCCCGAGCCATCGCGTCGTGGAATCGGAAAGTGGAGAGAAACTCCTTGCAGCTGGAGCGACATGGGATATGATTATCAACCACCCATCGTTCAAAAAAGGGCTTGTGGATGTGGGAGACGTGAGTGAGCGGCTCAAATCGCAAGCAAAGTGCGATGGTCAAGGCCCTGTCTTCGAGGAGTCAGCCATTCTGCAAGCTATTGAAGAGAGCGTGGCAAGTGGAAGCGATGAACTTTTATAAGTTCTTGTTCACAATGCCATACGACTGGCAACCTTGGAGGCAGTTACCGCTAATTTACCACGTTGTTATCACGCCATGACGGTCTTACGCAAGCATACGAATATACAAACACCATTATCATTGCAATCCTATAGCAACATTTTACACGACATTTGGATATTCGACAAACGCGGCGTTCTAGGAGTCCAAGATATTAAACGTCTTGTATCTGAAAGAAGCTGCGATAACGTTTTCAAGCGCAAATTTGCGAGAAATATCAAACCAAATACCGACTTCAAAACAAAGTCGGGAGTTTACGGCGTTTGGGGGAAGCTCATTGAAGACGATCCATGAACCGGAAAGGGCGTTTGCTTCAGGGTGTTCAAGGCGCAGGTTTTGCTTGACTATGCATCGTGACAGCATCTAGTCATGACATGGAGTATATATTTAAGTCGCACTTTTTATTCGAATCATTGCTACGTGTCGGAAGTGACAGCTCTAGCTTCGGTGATTCAAGACTGTCCAAAAGACGAGAAAAATATTAGAAGATAAGCCACACGCCAACAATATCGCCGTTGCCATATCAGTTACACATTCATACATCAGCCATTGCCACATAATCTTGTTAGGTACAGGTAGGTATCTCGTCGGGACTTGGAAGTGCTTGATATCAGACCGCGGTCCTGAGTACTGCTTCAGCGTTATTGACGATTGCTTGAGCGCTTTGGCATTTACTGGCGGTTATCGTATTTGAATTATACCTTTTTAACAACCAGATCCTGCTTGAGAAGCAGGACAGCCGCCGTTACTCCGAACCTTGTCTTGCCTAACCTATAGAATTATATAAGAAACACGGCACCTCGTAGTGTGGCCGAGGAGCGAGACGATCCACATGAGAACAGACAGTGGGGCAGTATGATAAGATCGCCAATGATTTCCCAGTCGCTCTTCGCGCATAGGATTAAGCCCCGTCATGGAGATCTATTTTAGAGCCGCTGTATCATGGCCCGGGGATAAACTGGAAAGGCCACGTACATAGAGTTAGAAGTATAAATGCATATATCGTTTGGCGGAAAATAAGAAAGAAAGAAAGAAAGAAAGAAAGAAAGAAAAAGAAGAAGAAAAGGAGGAAGGAAAAGTCCCCCACCATCTTGAAACTCTATTCGGTTGGTCAGACTTCACAGCTGTCATGACTTCAACACGAGAACAGCCAAAGCACATCCCCGTCGTTGTAGTTGGTATAACTCGGGATACTGCTCTAGCCGTCGGCAAAACATTCTTCGTCGATACACCTTACTTCGTGTCTGCCGCTCTGGACCTCACAGAATCTCCAGCTCCTTTCCAATACTCGCCTGCGAACTTGGCCGTGGTGCTGAACGCCCTGCACCCCAGGCCGCGGGCACTTGTCACCGGAACTGCCGTGCCGGATGACATGCTCCATGGAATCGTACAGGTATGGAATGACTATGTTGCAAATTGGAAGGTTGACGGTGTTTGGGTTGCTCTAAGCAAGACGCATCCGTCTACCGGACCGCCGCCGCCAGGTACCGGCGAGGAGATGATGAAGCAGTTAGGGGAGAAGTTCGAGTCATGAGGGAACATCTATTATGTAACAAACACATATATCTGTGGATCTGACATGTAGTGTCAAGTTGACGGAACGGCTTGCGATGATACCAGACATATTTTACAACGCTCATAACGATACTAGTGAACGTTTTGTACACTCCCCTTCAAGTTCTTGATCAGCCCATATGGGGCCATGGTATGCACCACTTGGGCGACGTCTCCGCATATATATTTGTGATGGGTTTCGTTTTCTAAAACCAGGTGAGCAATTGCAAATTTGGAGTTCTCTCGTGATCTTCTAAGAAATCGGTACCACAAAACAATTTTACATGTACAAGTCTGCAAGGGAACATACAAAGGTAGGCCAAGCAAAGACGGGCAGGACGGGAGCGTCCCAGCGGAGCGGTTCTCGGTCTTCTCGCACCCCCCACTCAACGTAACGCGCGAACCGGATAGCGTCATGGGTATTAATGGTCCCCCGCGCTATTGATGCACTTGACACAAGCGACGACCAGGTTCATTTTCCGCAAATTTTCATCTGCTCACTCCAAAGAGACTACATATTGACTTTTTCTTGTCAGCATTAATACGCTGTGTGCGCTTACTTGACGGAAGACGTCTCTCAACTCGATATATGTTTCTTCGTTACCCGGCTGATACTCGAATCCTGTCCCGAAACCGAAGAGATGGGCCAACCATCGTTCCAGGCATCTAATGCCATTATATATGTGACCTATGGAGCATTCCTGTAAAACTGATCCGAAATTCGTATCAACATGACGAGCGGCGCAGCTTTTGCTGACATCTTTATAGTGTACTGGGAACGGCGCTCGCGTGGAAGATGAGGAATCAGTCAAAGGCTGACTTCCTTTCCGGAAACAGAACTCAGTCGGGTTAGAAACACAACAAGGAACCGAGGAATTGAACTCTGATGCGTTCAGCGTCAATGATACCTTCCTGGTTCTCGTGGTCCCCATCTCGAACGACACTAACTTATTCTCATAGCTTTCCCGCTGGCCCTGAACTTTATCGCGGCTGGTGAGTTCCCGCGGGCCATTGTGCTCACATGAAGCGTGTCTTTTTGACGTCACGAGCGGTGGCACTATCGCACGACCACTCGATATATCGAGTCGACACTCAATTGTCCCGATTACCATGCAGGCTGCACCGTACGCAGCATAGTATGGCGTTTGAGTATGAGCTTGCAACTGACACTTAGGTTCGTACCCACCGATCAACAGGACTCGTCCTTCTCTATTTTCTGCATGCCAAGATATTGGTTGCAGCTATAGAGAGGAACGAGACTGTGGCTCACTACGGGCGCTGAGTTGACGCGGACACGCCATGATCCAACCCCTCCTGTCCATGCTCTGGGCTGTGTGGGGAGATGATGGGTTCCGCAACAACAAAGCTGAGATTGTACCGTAAATACTCGATCAAGTTAATGCTTGCGTGGGAAATGTGCTGCCGCTTCGATCAAAACCCCTCCCCCATCTTGGTTCATATGTACTGACTTTAACATGCAATCAGCCATGGGATCTGGCATTTTGTTCTCGTACCCGCAATTGGCCACATTGGCTGGTGTACAAGGTCTACTTGTCTATGCCCTGGCCTCAGCTCTGCCCCTGATGGTATTTGCTGCCCTGGGCCCAATCATTCGAAAGAAGTGTCCTGAGGGTTTTGTCCTTACCGAATGGGTGAAGCAACGATATGGAGTGGTTACGGCTCTGTACTTGAGTGCCCTGACACTGCTCACCCTTTTCCTCTACATGGTGTCTGAGCTTTCGGCCATCGGACAGGTCGTCACGGCCTTGACCGGTCTGGACGGATTGCCAGTGCTTATTGTTGAATGCCTTGTCACGACTGTTTACACTTGTAAGTCTTCGTCTGCTCGGCTTCTGTTTATATCCATGTAGACGGGGGTCGATTTAAATAGAAACACACTGACGAGTACTGCAGCGCTTGGAGGCTTCAAAATTTCCTTCATTACCGACAACATCCAAGGAGCTATGATTGTGGCTCTTATAATAATTGCTACCATCACTGTTGGCGTCAAGACTGAGATTAAGCCGGAGCTGATCGACTCCTCTGGCCTTCTTAACTCTAGCCTGATCGGATGGCAGCTGGTTTACATCCTGCCCGTCGCCATTCTCACCAACGATTTCTTCTTGTCCAACTTCTGGCTGCGGACATTTGCTTCCAAAACGGACAAGGACTTGTGGATCGGCGTCTCGATTGCCATGGTCGTGATTCTGATCACCCTGACTCTCGTCGGATGTACTGGTTTGGTTGCTGCATGGTCAGGAGCCTACGATCCTACCGTCGATGAGGATGGTTCTGTCGCTTTCTTCCTGCTCCTGGAGCAGCTACCCAACTGGGTTGTCGGCATTGTACTTGTCATGTCGATCGCTCTCAGCACTGCATCGTTTGACTCACTTCAGTCGGCTATGGTTTCCAGTGCCTCGAACGACCTGTTCCGCAATCGACTCAACACCTGGTGGATCCGCGGCGCTGTGGTATTGATCATTGTTCCTGTCGTCATCTTGGCCTTGAAAGCTCCCAGCATCCTGCAGATCTACCTCATCTCCGATCTGCTCTCAGCCGCCACTATTCCAGTCCTGATGCTAGGTCTCAGTGACAGGTTCTACTGGTGGCGCGGTTTCGAGGTGCTTGTTGGTGGTCTCGGCGGTATACTGACTGTGTTCATATTTGGAGCAATCTACTACGACAGTGCGCAGCAGGGTGCCGAGCTCATTCTTCTCGAGCAGGGTCTCTACACGGGCGACTGGGGTGCCTTTGGCGCCTTCGTCGCCGCGCCCGTCGGCGGTCTACTCTGGGGGTTTGGTGCCCTAGGTCTGCGACTAGCCTTCCACCTTGTCCGGGCCAAGATGACGGGCCGACGCTTCGACGCACTTGATCGCCCGTTCCCGGGGCCCTCACACCAGAGGCACGAGGACGACGACATGGCTGCCGTTACGAGCGATCGGGAGACTATCGCTATCAACACAAAGGTCACTGGAAAGTTCTTCTAAGCGGCCCTCGTTCGCCTGTTGTGGCATTTGAAGACCAGGCTTTTCTGACTGCGTCTCGATCTACGGACCGCAGTCGTTGTTAAGCGTTGGTGGCGTGGGTTGATTGGCCGGTTTGAAGGGGGCCAGAAAACATGGGGTTGAGTTGTCGAGCACTTTGGGGAGGCTCACTGTTGGGCATGAGGATAACGGGTTACCGATGTCTAGGAACTACACTGCAAGCATCCTGTGTGGTTTGCAAGGATACTCTGGGCGTTTGTGGCATGTTGTTTATAAGTGTCGGTGTGGTTGTTATGTATATTGAAGAAAACAATAAAATTGTGACCACAGGACTCGCCTTCAGGATTGTGAAACCGATACTACTAAGCGTCTACGAGGCAGCATATCCATCAGGAGTGAAATGAACTTGACATGGAGAAACCCATCATTGTCTTATTATTCATTTCGAGTTGTTCTATAACAGACATTGATTTATGTAGACTTTGTAATAAGCAGAGGCCTAAGGTGGGGATGCCAATATTGGGGACCTGATATAGGATTGTTTGGCTCACCTGCCCCCAAGCCACCCACAGCCCACAGCCACTCCCTTGCCTAGTTGCGGTGACTATGTACTTGAAGCTGTCGCGCTGAGGTTGGCCTAGAAGTTGCGTCTCCTTGGGTGATCTCACTTTAAATCTGATACAACCCTCCCTGATCGTAAAACGAGCCTCCCTTTGCTGAACGAATCCCTGTACAGATGTTTTCTTCTTTTCCTCTTTTTCTTCTTCGATTTTTTATTAGTATTTTATTGAAATTTTCTTTTAGTCATCATTGTTAGATGAGTAGGCTTCTGCTAGGCCTGTAGCTGGATGATTGCCCGGGAAGTCATCACTACTTGGCGGAACTTTAGGCGTACTTCTTATATTGAGGCTTCCTTCATGGACGAATCCTTAGAATGCCATCACATATCATTACCGTCTTCTGCGTTTCCAAGTATTGAGACGCTTGCAGAGAATTGGCATCTGACACCAATGCTGAGCCAGAGCAACTCAAGCGTCGTCCATTTGACGTCAGATGCATCAATCGAGCATCGGATCTGGTAGCTTGCTAATATAATAGTGGTGTAAGGCAAATATTAGCATCATTCAATGGGTTGTATCTATGGTGCGAATAGTGCGACGAGGAGCAGGTTCTCTCTTTACCTAATGGTTAGGGTACCGTTATGGAGTCGCAAGTCAGCGGGTATTTCGGGCGGCGACACGCCTATAGCATGGCAGCATGGCACGCACCTTTTCTGCTTGTGAGCCACTAACTCAAGCTGAGGTTAGTCAAGTTAAAAATAACAATAAAAATAAAAGCCTACATAACCCCGTACACATCGAATGATGGCCAATTTAACTTCGAAGCAGATATGCATGTATGATTTCTCACTGCATGTGTCTATTTTCACTTGGTGCACATTTGGGGGCCCAGCTCCAGCTTAGGCTTAGAGCAGCGTGGCCCATACTTGCGAGGTGGCTCGCTGGGTGTCGGTGACGTCGTTAACCGAGACCATCCAAGGCGATGAATATTTGCCCGGGAGGCAGGTGTACTTAGACTTCTCTCGGGACCATCACGAGATCCTGGTGGACAGATAGGTAAATGTGCAGAGCACATGGCTCGCGAGAAGGAGCTAACCTCACTGTATACCACGTATGAAATGAATTCTTGGCGAAACCTTGCGCGCAAGGGATGATGACGGTGGCAGAGATAGAGATATGTACACTAGACTAGGTTAGAGGTAGAATTACCCCACAATTCGGCATCCCATCAACTAATTACCCTTGCAAGCGGGTGGCTCCCTCTGACGTTTTGTTTGCAGGTGGACAGATGGGCAGCTTTCCGGGCTTACAGTAAGTAACTAGTTACAGCCAGCAGCCAGTAAGTTATTGACCTGGTGCCACAGCACTCGCTGCGGGTGCTTACAGTAGACCTACCTTACCTCAGGTTAGCTGAACGAGCCACCCAAGTACAGGACGGTAGCAGTAACTTGGCGAGTCCCGCTGGGGCGCATCGGCTCCTTCTCGTCCTCATTCGCGTTCGGGGCCAGCTTTCTCAACAAATCAACATCAACCCGAGACACGGGCTTTTGCAAGTTATTTACCTATACGAGGTTTTTCGTTTTCTCTCTCTTTTCTCTTTCGCGACAGCACTTCCCTTGCGCCCCTTTGCCTACTCTAGGACTCGGCTCCATCGGTACGAGAATAATGCTCTCTCAAGTACACCTAATCGATAAGACATAACCATCCACCCACTTCCCATGCTCTCCGAGACCGTCTGTTCCTGTCTCTGCTCGTACTCCAGCACGGCAGAATCGCTTCCTGCTAGCTGTTCCACACATGTTATGTACCGGAGCCATGGGCAGCTGGGCCGCATTCCTCTTGGCCTACCTTCTAGGTGGTGTCACCTTCATCCCGCTGGCCCTGGCAATAGCCTGGTTCACTCTGCCTCAGATCGAGACCGCCGTCAGCGAAACACCACGTAGCGGCGACGATATCGTACAGCCGGGCGATGACACCAAGGATCTGGACCAAGCCCGGAAGGAAGAGAAGGGCGAGTCGAAACAGAAATATGCAAAAACCACCGACGTGGCGGCGGGATACTTTGCAGTATGCCGAGAGTACACCCCCATGGGCATCAACGCAAAGCCCATCGAGCGCGCAACACCCGTCGGCTCCGCCACTGTCGCCGCCCCCAGCCGGAGCGTATACCAAACCATGTACCAGAGCATCTTCGACAGAAAACAGACCGCCGGTCCCTTGGAGGGCAACGGTGGCGCCAATGTCAGGCCTAAGCGGGCAGGCAATGTGTTTTACGTTGTACTTAGGTTCGTGGCCGGCAACGTGCAATGCGCACATGCATCGTGCTGCTTTCCATTCGCTAATCTTTGGTCTTCACAGGCACGGGCATCTCATGCTGTTCGACGACGACGAGCAACTCGAAGTACGACATGTAGTTTCCCTCGCCCACCACGATGTGAGCATATACTCGGGGGGAGACAACACCCCCGAGGGCGAACTCTTCATCAAGAGAAATGCGTTATGTCTGTCGAGGAAGATAGATGGACCCGAGTCGCCGGACATCCAGATATCCAAGCCCTTCTTCCTCTTCTGCGAGAACTGTTCCGCCAAAGAGGACTTCTACTTCGCCCTGCTGAGGAACCAGGAGCATGTACTCGGAGCGGCGAACAAGGCACCCGAGCCCCTGCAATTTGAGGTCAAGAACATCATTTCACTGGTGCAACGACTTCACTCGAGTGAAGAACATATGCAGACGAGGTGGCTCAACGCACTCATCGGCCGCATCTTTCTTGCTATCTATAAGACCAAAGATATCGAGAACCTCATTCGCGAAAAGATCACCAAGAAGATATCTCGTGTCAAGCGCCCCAGCATCCTCTCCAAGATCGCCATACAAAAGATTGACACGGGAGATTCGGCCCCCTTTATCACAAACCCGCGTCTGAAGGACCTCACGGTCGAAGGAGAATGGGGCATGGAAGCCGATGTCAAGTACACCGGCAACTTCCGGCTCGAAGTGGCTGCCACCGTCAAAATCGATCTTGGATCCCGCTTCAAGACTAGAGAGGTCAACCTTGTACTTGCCGTGGTTTTGAAGAAGCTAGAGGGGCATTTGCTTTTCAAGGTCAAACCCCCGCCGAGTAACCGTCTTTGGTTTTCTTTTCAGACGATGCCCAAAATGGAAATGACGATAGAGCCTATTGTGAGCTCGAGGCAGATCACCTACACTGTGATATTGCGCCAGATTGAGAACCGAATCAAGGAGGTGGTCGCCGAGACCCTGGTTCTGCCCATGTGGGATGACATGCCGTTCTTCAAGACAGAGCACAAACAATGGCGTGGCGGTATCTTCGAGGGCGACGATGCCGTTCAACACTCAGAGGACTATGAGGAAATTGCTGCCATGCTTGGTGACGTCGAGGAAGTCTCGCACATCGAAGAGACGGGCATGCCAACGTCCCCAGATCTGTCCGAGCTGCCCCTGGTGGAGAAGAGTCATAGTGTCCCGTCTCTAGAAACGACACAGCCGGCCGGTTTCTGGGGCAGAAAAGGCAATGCAATGAAGGCTGCACTAGCCAGTTCCCCCGCTGCTTCGGCCTCGACAACAGCACTCGATTCTAAGAACGGGTCGCCAGGTGCCGAGACACCACCACGACCAATCCGCGCTGGCTCCTTTTCCACTTCCACCCCGACCATTAGCACAGACTCCATACATGCTGACGCTTTCAAACCTTCCGCAACACCTCCTGACCGAGATGATGCAGCAAGTGTCATGGCCAGCCTTGCCGCAACCTACGAAAAAGGGTCTCCGGCCCCAGCACCGGGAAGCACACCGACACGGCCTACGTCCGCCAAGCAGTCATCAAGTGCATCGTCTTCAAATGAAGCACTAGAAACTGTGCCACGGACCGAGTCAACACCTACTGGTCCAGGACGTCGCAATACTGCTTCATCTGTTGAAAGTACCGGCAGTGAAACGAGTTTCGGCAACTCCTCCGCCCGATCTGCGAGGGCGTCGATAAAGAGTAGTACCGGCTCAGTGAAGACGGGCCTCTTCACACGTAGAGATACTTCCATGTCGACTAATTCTACAAACACCACCCCGGAGCAGAAACGCAACACTCTGGCTGCTGTCTCAAAGGCTGCAGCTACGGCAAAGCAGTGGGGTTGGAATGCTATGCAACGTCGTGCCGAAAACGCAGCAAATAATCACAAGCTTTCCGATCCTCCAGCTGTAGACCTGAATCAGCCTATGGGACGTGGCCAGCCACTACCTCCGCCAGGTATGCCACTTCCAGGGCCAGCTAGAGGCTCTAAGGTTACCCCTATCGCGGTACCGAAGCGGAAGCCTATACCTCCTCCAAATCTACCTGCCAAGAATGGAGCAGCCAACAACCATGAGGCGAAGAACGAACGCAGGCCGGTGCCTCCCCCTCCTTTGCCTAGGAGAAGACGAGTATCGGAGGCTCACGGAGACGACATGACCGAGGAACATGTTCTGGTCGTAGAAGCACCAGCTGACTCGGAGCCCAACACACCTTTGCGTGAGACGCACGAACAAGATATCGCGCCATCTTATGTACAGCCTTGGGTGGAGGACAATGAAGAGCTGGACATGTCAGGTGGTCACTCGACGCCCCATGAACCAGTCTCTGTATCGACCAAGGTGTCTCATGAGAAGTCAAATTTACACTCCGCGTCAAACAATCAGAGCAATCATCAAAGCAACCACTGCGGCGGAATCAGAGAAGAAGAAGAAGACGAGGACGAGTACTCGAGCTGGTTAGATAATCCGGAATTTGTGGCAGAGGGCCAGGATGCTGCCATCACGGCGGGCCAAACACATTAAAGCCCTGTATTGGCAGATTGCATATATTTATCGGCGTCTGGGAGGTGGGTACATCAAGAAACATGAAATACCCCAATCAGCATGTTTCTCATACAACGGAGTTTTTTCTTTTTCTTTTCTTCTTGTTTCGCATCGAAGACATGAGGTTGGGAAGGACAACCGGGCTTGCTTAGTCGGATCTCTAGGTTGTGGTAGAGTAGCAAATCAATGGCACTTATAGGCTACGATTGGGCTTTGCCTGTGATTTGGCTTGTTCTGTGAAACACCGGCGAAGCTGTGCCCAGGACCGAGAGGCTTTATTTAAACTGCGCTTCTAGATCATTATCTTAGGGTTTCTTATGGCGCATTCTGCGGCTCTCTCTCATATGCCGTCTTGCTCGGCTCCCTTGAGAGCTTGCCGGTTTGTCGCATCGCCCTTGGCTTACTGTTCGAGCGAGAGAATAACACGCCTTTCACAGCAGTGCGTGCCCAGCCAGAGGGTTCGGTGAAGTTTCATCGAAACGGTTCACGGCCTTGAATTTCAGATCGCGCCAGGCTGGTCTACATCTTACCCAACACCATGCCATGCTCCCTTCCATGTAACTAGTATGCAAATATCCCCGGCTGTCCACCCAGCACCAACACCGACGATAGCCGTCTGGCTACCATTCCAGATCCCGCCTCTCGACTTCCTCGAGCAGGTGCCTCACGGCCGGCTCCACCAGGCCCCTCTCCGTCCGGTACCTGGCGGCCTGCTTCATGCGCGTGTAGAACACGGGGCAGTCCTTGGAGTCGCACGGGACGTGGTCGAGCGGGGCGAGGCCGGCGCAGCTCCTGCATACGCTCAGGACGTCGAGGAGCTTGTTCTCCTCGGCGGCGAGCCGGCCCTGCAGCTTCAGCAGGCTGGCCGGCGCGCTGGCCAGACACCTCTCGCAGACGGGGCCGCCATCGTAGTCATTGTTATTATTATTGTTGTTGTTCTTGGTCTTGGTCTTCTTGCTGCAGACGATGCAGGCGGCAGCCCTCATGTAGGACTCGAGAGTCCTCTTCTTGGGCAAGAGGGTGCCGGCGCCGGTACCGACGCCGCCCTGCTCGACGCGGTGGATGCGCTGGATCTTGGGCATCTCGTCGTACCAGCTCCTGATGTTGGCGCCTACGAGGTTGAAGATGCGCTCGAGGGGCGGGATGAGGTTCTTGGAGATGTAGTACTCCGAGTCTAGCTGCAGGTGCGAGCTGGCCAGCAAGTCCTCGGGGGCCACGCAGCGGTCTATCAGCCTCGCGCCCGGCCCGCCCGTCACCACCACGTACGGCACCCGCTCGCCGTACTGCGGCTCCGCGCGGGCGTCCTCGAGCATCCTCTTGGTGCTGATCATCGCTCCCGGCGGGGGCGGGCCCTTGTCGCTGTACGTGCCCAGCTTGACCTCCTTGGCGAAGCAGAAATCCTGGATGGAGACGGCACCGCGCATGATCTTCTCGCATTGTTTCTGGAAGTAAGCTTTCACCTGACTCAGATCTGCTGTCTCAAAAAGCATCTTGAGGGCCTTCTCCTCGATCATCTGCTCGGCCGGTGTGCCATCTCTCCGGACCGTTTCTATACCCTTGGCATCAAAGTCCGGTATGGCCTGATCTCGCGACTCGTACTTATATCCAACATAGCGTTTCTTGGCAAGCAGCACACAAGGATGGTAAACCTTCTCAAACTTGAGCTTGATGGGACGTGGGCTGATGTCTGTAATCGTTTTGGCGATCTCATTGCCAACATCGAAAGCCTGGTCTTTCGTCCTGCCCGGGAGATAGATGAATAGACTGTCCGTATCACCGTATACAACCTCAGCTTTCCATTTCTCGACGGAATGGATCAGGGCAACAGCACGTTCCAGCGTCTCTCGTCCGGTTTGAACAATACTATCGGCAATCTCTGAGCAGGGCATACGTCCTGAGAACGAAGCGGAAGTGTAGCCATACGTGACGTTGGCAAGAAGCTTGAGGGCCAGCTGTCTATTGTTGAGAAGTTGCTGGAGTGTTTTGTCTTGCTTGTCTTGTTTCATGCCGCTCTTCACCATGACTCTCGTCTCCAGGATTTCTCCAAGCATCTTGGCCAACAATGACTTTCGCACCTCCGGCTTACAGTACATGATCCCATTTGGTGCAATGTTGACGTAATCCTTCACCAGTTCCAAAAGCCTTTCTTGACGTTTGTAATCGGTGAAGCCCATCTTGCTGGAGCCTCGCCAGTTGACAATGCGACCCAGAAATGTTGAATAGCAGTAATTGTATGCAATCATCACGCTAGGGTACAGACTCTGGAAGTCAAGTACCAAAAGCGGGCTGTTGTAGAAAGCACTTTGCGGTTCCATGACAAGCGGGAGGCACTCGAGTGCATTCTGACCACCAACCTGTTTACGATCAGGCGACACAAGCATAAAGTTTTCAGGCTTTGCAATTCGAAACATGATGGACTCGACCTTGAACTGGGAGCCACGTGAGAAAACAGAGAAGAAATCTACTCCGAGCAGTCGAGCTTGCTCGCTCGTACGTGCGATTAACTCATTTGCGTCCAGGATTTCGATGTCTAGTTTGGTGCGTGTCGTGTAGTATCGCAGTATTTTGCTCAGGTCCCGAGGCTTGCCACTGAGATACCAATCGCTCAGTGTTCTCCAAGAATAATGCGGGACGCGACGGTGCAACAGATGCCATGTCACGTTTTCCATTGTATACTGAAGCAAGTTGAGTTCGCCTCTCAAAGCCCTCCAGATATTGATCATGTGACGACCAGTGACTCGGATCGTCGACGTCGTGTTGAAGCCCCATTTATCAGCGTCTTTGCCAAATCTGCCGAACGATTGCGACTTCATCCGGGAGAACTCATCGCATAGGTTGTAGTCGTACTTAAATCTGGCGCGCTCAATAAGATAGCCCCAGGAACTACCGTGGACTTCGTATCCTGTAAGAATATCGGGGTCATGGTTGCGCACGATCTCTACCATTCGCACCATGAGGTCTAGCTCTGAAATTTCTTCAATGACCTCAATCTGGGTCTGCTTTTGCATCTTGCGTGTTAAAACTCCATCCTCAGACAAGACGATGATGCCGGACTGGATATCTGAAGAAGCATTGTCTCCGGCTGCAAGATGCTGGTCAGATTTGGAGCACCAGAAGATGCATTGAACTTCGTCCTCTTCCGGGTTTGGCACCAGCCTTCCCCGGGTATTAACATGAATTTCCAAGCTCATTGTACTCATGTATTGTGCCTCGAATTGAACGCTAGTTGACGCCTTCTTCTGTGAATACTTGAACTTCCTCGGCGTGGCACCTTCAATCTGGGAGAGATACTGCTTCAACTCTGAATCTTGGATCTGAATACTGGTTCCACCATGAGGCGCAACAACCTGTTGCTGTTCATCCCACCATTTCTCGACCACGGCAAAGGTTGGGGGTGGCTCTGCAAATTCCCAACTCCTCAGAGTACATTCGCGACGACGCTTGAGGTACATCTGCTTATCTGTGCTTCTTGGGCCCAAGTTCTCGGGCTTGATACCGAACGTGGCAGGGGAAGCCCCCGTCGCATCGAAGTCCGGAAGGTAAGGGAGCGTGTTACTTCTAAGCCGAAACTCCTTACCGGCATATTCTCGTAACCGTATCGGCACGTCTTTATCGTTGCTATAATAGGCATCTTGATAGATGACATTTGGTCGGCCATCATCATGGATCGTAGAAATGACTTCGTTAGTTGAAGGGGCAGAAGCCGCGAAGACGAAAAACTGGGTGTTTGGCCTTGAAGGACAGCCAATATCAACGGCTTTTCTCGTTTGCACATCCTTTATGGTGCTGCCACTCGAATTGGAAGAGCCTCTTTTCGTAGCCTCAGAAGATGTTGTGGCTGAGTTGTCTATTGCTGTCGCGATTGGATCAAAAGCAACTTGCTTCTTTAGCAAGCCTTCTTGACTTGGCTGTGAGCTGGAATGCTGAGTCTGCTGGCTTAACCGCAGCTGCGTGCTTGGGTCATGCGGATTCTTGACCACCGCAGCAAAGCTCTTGATATTACCAGACCTCGGCTTCCCAATTGAAGTCTGTGAAGATGATGGATGATCCACATTCTGACTGGAGAGTCTATAGTCCGCAGATGTCTCGGGATCAGGTTGTTTTTGACCGGATTTATGATGGCTGCTATCAAATGTATCAAAGGCAAACTCCACACGGCGACGCTTAACATCGTGGTCTTCATCTGCAGGAGTCCCAGGGCGCTTTGAGACATCCCTGGATGGTTCATGATCTTCTGCAAGTTGTTTGACTTTGCTCACGAGTCCTTTCTGTAGGGCCGCAGATCTCAATCTGTCTGAAATAGGAATATGAGAAAGCCTGCCTGTCATAAGAGAACTTGCGTAGACACCATCTGGTGATACCATCGGTGTAAAGTAGCTATGACTTTCACCGCTGAGATTTCCTGAAGATTTTGATGTGGAAACGTCTCCCAGCCTGTTGGCAGAACTTTTAGTCGTCGTGTTATTAGACGACCGATCCTCGGTGCCGGCCTTGACTTCTTTCAAAAGTCTGCTTTCTTCCTTCAAGTGCGTGAGTGTCCCTTCGTCAGAATCCTCTGGGAACATGCCGTCATCGGGCCTACTGGTATCCAGGATGCGATCATCGTCGACAACAATACTGCCAGGCAGCGGCTCCTCATCCTCGGCGAAGAATCCCGATAAACCTAGTGCAGGCGCTAGGTTTTCCGGATGCAAATCCTCCACAGATTGCAGCATTGTTTTCACGGTGTTCTCTAGTGGCGTTGTTGCGACGAAATTGTCAAAAGTTACCACGCTGCCATCGCTTTGACGGCTTTCCCCTTCAACGAGCTCGCGGATCTGTTCTCTGTATTCGTCTTCGTGAATCCACCCTGGTGTGTGGGTATTGCGCGGATCTGCAGACATGGAAACCAGCACCTCAGGCGGGAAAGGACTGCTCCCAGAAGCTGGGTTGACCATACGGCGTTTCCGGCGTTTCGTCTCGTCTTTCCAAAGGCCGGCCATACTTGCAACGAGCTTCATGTCAGCAGGTAGCGGGTTGTGCATCTCGGTAAAGTCGTGGTGAAGCTGCCGTTCTTTGATGTCATGCCGGTTCAAGATATCTTGAACACATATGTCAACCTCGATCGAGCAGTGGCTGACGCGAGGCAGTTCGGCATCATCGGTGATGCAAGCCACCGAAACCGACTGGCTGTGCCAAAGATGTGTTGTTTCTTCGTCGTCGTCATGCTGGGGTACTGGAGCCCGGAAGCAGACTTTGCTGGCTTTGATATAGTCGCACCCATAAAGATTATAGTCGGCCATGAACTGTAGCAGGTATTGTAGATGTGCCTCGTATGGCTGAAAGCTGCGCTTCATGATGACTCCCTGTTGAAGCAGTTCGGCCAATCTGGTCATGACCAAGGGAGTGAGCATATAGATCTTCAGGTAGAAGCGGTATCCGACGTGGTAGCCATAGAAGGGAACAGCTTTGCAGAGAGTAATTCTTGCCACAAATTTGGGGTTCTCGGCGTATGCATTGCGGCGATAGCTCACTGCCAGAGCATGGTCAATGGACAGGTGAAGCCGGTATATATAAGCACCAACTGAGAAGAACATTAGAGGAGATATGGCGAGTCTCAAAATGGCGACGTACCATCGTCTGGTTTCAAACTGCCATTGTACTCGATGTATAAGTAAGGGAAAGCACCATGGATATGAGCGCAGACTTTTTGACCGGTCTCAGTTGAACCGAAAACGCGGACAACAGGAAGCTTTGGTCCCTTGTTGAGTTGCGAAGGGCGGGCATCATTTCGTAGCACGGGGTCATATCTGGATGGGATGGCCTGATAATGGTCGATGCAGTTCAACCGCACTCGAAAGACGTCCATGATGAACTGTGCATGGTGGCATGGAACATGTGACCTGCTAGCCTTCCATCAAAAGACGTGGGACTGCATCTGTGATGGCAGATGGGATCAAGATTTTGAAACCTTGGACAAGGCAAACGCGATCCAAACTGGTGGAAAAATTCCAACCAAGGGTATATTCAAACAGTCGCGGTATGAAGCTCGGAAGACGCGATCTCTTTAATTGAAGTTGCTTGTTATGAACCCCTGTCCACTGGGGGGTCTGTCGCGCTGTCATGTGCGTGTGCGACTGTAAGCTAACCCAGGCTGGCAGGCAGCTATTAGTACTGTAACAAGGTATGTAACCTAGGTAGGTAAGGGATCCGCCACCCACTAACTAAATCCAACACGGCAAAGCTTAACTACCACAGTACAGTGTAAAGCAACCGCAGTCGCTTTTTGTGGTTGTGTCGAGCGCAACATTCTCAACGCGGCCCCCACGGCAGCATTTGTGGCTATCCTGCACTGCCCTTTTTGCCAGCTCTTTTACTTCCTGTGCAGACGATTGCTCCATCATGCCTCCTCCCCCTCCTCCCCCGCGGAGGAACGACTCCAGAGCCGGCGGCGCAGGCGCGGCCTCCAAGGAGGAGAACATATACATCCCGTCCTTCATCTCAAAGAAGCCCTTCTACGTCGGCGAGGGCGATGAAGACTCCACCGACTACCTCGAGCACCAGCGCCTGACCCAGCAGAAGAAGGACGACCTTGCCACCGCCAAGTGGTACGACCGCGGCAAGAAGACCGGCCCCGCCGCCACCAAGTACCGCAAGGGCGCCTGCGAGAACTGCGGCGCCATGACCCACAAGGCGAAGGACTGCCTGCAGAGGCCGCGCGCAAAGGGCGCCAAGTGGACGGGCCGCGACATCCAGGCCGACGAGGTCATCCAGGACGTGCAGATGGGCTGGGACGCCAAGAGGGACCGCTGGAACGGCTACGACCCCAGAGAGTACAAGCACGTGGTCGACCGGTACAACCAGATGGAGGACCTGCGCAAGCAGCTGGACCCCAACAAGGAGGACGGCGAGGAAGAGGGCAAAGACGAGGGCGAGAAATACGCCGAGGAGATCGACATGGGCAAACATCAGAGCACGGCCACGCGGCAGCTCAGGATACGGGAGGATACGGCCAAGTATCTCCTGAACCTGGATCTCGAGTCTGCAAAGTACGATCCCAAGACGAGGACAATGGTAGACGCCGGTGCCACGGCAGACAAGGCCGCACAGCTATACGCGGAAGAGGGTTTCTTGAGGGGCGCAGGAGATGCGGCCGAGTTTGAGAAGGCCACCAAGTATGCCTGGGAGGCACAAGAGAAGACAGGCGACACGAGCCAGCACTTGCAAGCAAACCCCACGGCGGGAGAGTTCTACCGAAAGAAGGAGAAGGAGGAAGCCGAGAAGAAGAAGGCCCAACGAATGAGGGCGCTGCAGGAAAAGTACGGCGGGGACGACCACGCTATGCCGGCAGGTCTCAAGGATCTAGCTGTCACCGAGTCCGAGGCCTTCGTCGAGTACGACGAAGCAGGCCTGATCAAGGGTGCACCTCGGGCGGTCGCCAAGTCGAAGTACGCGGAGGACGTCTTCATCAACAACCACACTTCCGTCTGGGGCAGTTGGTGGTCAAACTTCAAATGGGGCTACGGATGCTGTCACTCGTTTATGAAGAACAGCTACTGTACGGGAGCAGAAGGGAAGCAGGCCTGGGAGGATGCCGAGAAGCAAAGGACGGGCGCAAACTTGATGATCGAGGATAACCCTTCCGAGGATAACACCCAAGACGCTCCTCCGGCCGCTGACGCAGAGCCGCCGAAACCGGCAGCCAAGAAGCGAACCGCCGAGGAAATGATGGAAGAGGAGCTCGAGGAGTACAGGAGGAAACGGACAGCAGCAGATGACCCCATGGCGAAATACCTGGGGAGAGACGAGCTTGTATAGTAGCATTAGATACCCCAAATCCAACATTACGAAGCTCATATTATGCACTATGCTCTCGTGTTGTATTGAAGCGTCTGGAATGGGGTTTGACGTGACCTCGAGGTGTGAGTGACTTTGGATGAATTAGAGTGATACCAAGCAACAACGCGGTTGAAATCGTGAGAGGGGATACGCGAATCACAGTCATGTGACGACACAGGCAGTATAGTAGTTTTCACGGCAAGACAGGAGGATTGAAACCGGAGATGATCATGTTGAAGGTAAATGGTTGGTGGTGCAAATCATTTTCATGCAATTCCCTGATCCCTGGCCTAACGCCGTGAGCTATGAAAGGCTTTTGACTCCATATGCCCATAAAGTAGTATCAGATCCCTCAACCAGTGGATTCCTATCATGGTCCACAACATGATCATGGCTTCATACATTCGAGGGGAGGATTTACTCCTCCTCCTCCTCCTCCTCGTCGCCACCCTTCTCGGCGGACTTGGCCTTCTTTCTTCGGACACGACCGGGGCGGCCGCCACCGAAGGGCGAGGTCAGGGCGAAGTCAATGTGCTTCTGGGAGTCGAGACGGACGATGAAAGAGGGGACGTTGACGATCTGCTTGCCGACGCGTATGTGGCGCTGGCGGATGAGGACACGGGCGTGGTGGATGGACTTGGCGAGACCGAGCTTGTAGACGCAAGTCTGGAGGCGGCGCTCCAAGAAATCCTCGACCTTGAGGGCCAGGACGTAATCGAGCTTCATGCGGGACTCGTCGAGGACACCGACACGTACGAGACGACGGATGAGGGCATTTCCTTCGAAGAGACGCTTGGGGTCCTTCTCATCGAGGGTAAGGAGCTGACTGTATGGCGTGGGGAAATTAGTGTCTGCAGATTGGACTTGCTCGGGCCGTCAAGCAGGGCACATACCGGGCAGCACGACGAATCTTGGACAGGGTGAGCTGGACACGCCAGACCTCACGCTTGTTGCGGAGACCGTACTCGCCAACGAGCTTCAACTCGGAGTCACTACAATATGTCGTATGTCAGTTTTTTTGGTTTCAAACGACTTAAGCAGAGGGCAAGCTCGTGCTCATTGGCCGGTGAATACTGACAGTCGGGCGGCCTCGAAAGGACGACGAGGGACCTTGGCGGTCTTGGAGTAAGAGAGAGGAGCCATTGTTGCGACTCAACTACTGATCTTGCTCGGTTGTTGGGTGGTTGCAGAGGGATATCCGATCGAGAAGAGGGAGGGAGAAAAAAAGATCACGAAAATCCGTCAAGCTCGTACCGTAGTTGCTGGGCTCGCTAGAGCAGAATTGGTGGGTTGCGAAAGTTGCAGAAAAGCGGGTCTTTAGGGTAAAAGGTTGTGAGCCTGAGGCAGCCGCAGGAAGGGGCCCCTCCCTCAATTGGAGAGGGAGAGGGCAGCTGCGAGCTGCGACTGGGCACCGGTCGGGACGGTGCACAGACCAGTTTTCAAGTGTCTCCCACACAATTTCCGGGTCCTAGCGAAATTCCACTCTTGGTGAGGGAATCGAGAAAAATCACAATCTTGAATCCGACCAACGACAAACCGCCCAACTTCTCACCCTTCTTACTAACGACACCACAACACCGTCAAGATGGGTCACGCTGCAGGTCTCCGCGCTGGTACGAGAGTATGTGAACGCCCTTTTGGGTCCCGTCGGGATCATCCAGATTTCGAATTTGCGACCCGACGCAGATGGACATGTTGAAATTGCAGAAGCTAACACAGCTTTGTAGTACGCCTTCTCCAGGGACTTCAGGAAGAAGGGTTCCATTGCCCTGTCCACCTACCTCCGCCAGTACAAGTACGTTGCGCCGCGAGATCCCAAGGCCGGCCGAGCAAGCAAGATGCGAAGGAACCCGTTGGAAAACTAACAGTTCTGCAGGGTCGGTGACATCGTGGACATCAAGGCCAATGGTGCTGTCCAGAAGGGTATGCCTCACAAGGTCTACCACGGAAAGACCGGTGTCATCTACAACGTCACCAAGTCCGCCGTTGGTGTCATCATCTACAAGAAGGTCAAGCACCGATACATCGAGAAGCGCATCAACCTCCGCGTCGAGCACGTCTCCCTGTCCCGATCGCGAGAGGACTTCATCAAGCGTGTCAAGAGAAACGCCGAGCTGAAGAAGCAGGCCAAGGCCGACGGTACCGTCGTCCAAGTTAAGAGACTCGCCACCCTCCCCCGTGAGGCACACACCGTGTCTTTCAAGGACAACAAGCCCGAGACAGTCCTTCCTATCGCCTACGAGACAACTATCTAAGCCAAGAAGGGTCAAACGGTGTTTGTGCGTGTTTCTCTGGGTCCCGGTTGTCTTTACATCATTGCATGGGGTTCATGTGGTCTGGTCAGGACTGAAGTCCTCTTACGAGCATGGCAAGGCATGGAAAATAGCCGATGCTTGATAGGATCATAAAAAAATGATTGTGATGCCAAACGAAGTTGAATTCAGGTTTTTGTGAAATGAGTCAATGGCAACCGATCGAACGAGCAGTGCTCCCTAGGCTTTCTACGCGTGGCAGGAAGGAGCATGTATAATTTCAGATTTCACGCACGAAAATAGACGGGACATGAACCAACCCAGCCTTGTTCAGCCTTGAGCTTGCGAGTACATGGTGAAGGCATTCTGGAAAGAGCAAACCAAATCGCTGAATGATGCAATGCACTCATCCGCGACATAGCAAGTGCCAGTATAAACTTGTCTTGATATTCGTAAGTAAGATGAAAACAAATGGTCATTATTGCTACAATTCCAGCCCACCGATGCATCAGCCAAGCGTACTACCATGTGTTCTAGCTTCATTCTCACGCGCACTGCTGCACTCCAGGCACAAACGACCAGGACATGTCTTCAACCTACAGCCCTTTCTCTTCTCGTTGGACCATCTCATAGCTTGGCGGCGGAGCATCGTCCGAGCCCACCTCTCCCAGTCCGTCGCTATCGACGGACGCCCTCTCGTATACCTCCCACTCCTCGCTATCTTCTCCCTCCTTCCTCTTCTCGTGTTGTTCCATCATGGCGTTCTGGTACCCGAGCTCGTAAGCCGCCGCCGCGTTGCGTGCCGCGAGCTCCGCTTGCCTCGCCTCGCCTCTCTGTAGGGCCTCGCTGACGATCATGCGGATGATACCGCCGTGATCTTGGTCAACCCGGCGGCAGCCGCGACGCTGTGGCTGTCGATAGGATGATGCCTCCTCGAGCTTGGTCCGCTGGGCTTTTGGCGAGCAAGTGGTCCCGGCTGTAGGTGCTACACGTGCGGAGCGGTTTTTGCGGGAACACATGGTGAGAAAGTTTCTGGGTCGTGTGGATGGTGTTTCCGGAGAATAGTTTTACTCAGACGAGGACTTGTTCTTGTCGGTTTGTTATAAATGTCTTGTATATTTCGAGGTGGCTCCCTCCCACTACTTGGTAAGGCGGGAAAGTAGACTATATTATAAACTTGTTCGGTCGAATAGTCTGTTCCGTCACCTTTTGCTTTTGGGTCAAGCCGCCTGAGCAACTGGCCGTTTTGACAAAAATGCAGATGCAGATACGAATGCGCGCTTCCTGTCTTCCCTACATCCTCATTTGCGCGAGCGAAAGCGAACGACTAACCCGGGATGAAAGTCTGGCCGTGTCTTCGACATGTCCAGCTTGTCGGGGCGGCGTCGCATTCGCATTCGCATGATTAGCGCCATCCTTCCCTTTGGTCCCCCCAAGTGCAAACCCCCCCAATTGCCAGGTAACATGTTCTTCTCAGGTATTTTGTGCTCTGTGGGTTCCGTACATCCCAGCAACTCCCTGAACTCCTAAGTGGCCCTTCAAATCGCCTACCAGCTTTAATAGCCACCAAACTGTTCACTTAGGAGTTTGATACTCAGACGAGAAGATAAAAGCGTATCGTTTAGTAAAAGCTTGGCGCAGGGGGCTGACAGTGGGCTGGGGTATAGTGCTTAGTACGGAATATGTGGGTCGCACGCATAAGTCCATAGACACGACATCATATCTAAAGAAAGTGATACTTTTCCTTGGATGCGTATTGGTGATACCTCACAAGCACGATTTAACAGTTATTTTCGTTTGTAGTTGAGTGTAGCGTACTCTGGCAGATAGTATGGAATCATTAGTATGCTGGTCCAGTCCCGAAAGTAAGGCTGCTGGACCGCGATGCGGGTATCTATTAGAAGCTCGGATTAACTGCAATTTTTCAATACGTCCTTTTCTCAAGTCAATTTTACTCTCTTTATTATAAGTCTTAGTAGTCTTTCTCAATGGCATATGATGAGCCGATCAAGCTCCATTTGAACTATGACTCGAATCCCTAGAGAAAAACTATTCTGCGACATATCGATCCATACATTGGATGGATATGGTATTTCTGCACCCTCCATCTGATTTTGCAGGTAGACTAGCACTGGCCTTATAATTAAGACCGGTCGATAGAGAGGAAGAAGATGATAATGAAGACGCTATGAAGCAGCTTGAGGGCTTGGTTGAGGGGTTTTGCATCAAGACCTGGCAGGGATTTCCAGAGGTGAGAAACTCGAAGATTATTTACCGACGATATTCTATCTGCAATGAATAAGGTTAAGAGCTGTACATCGAGTACTGGCCGCTATACAAGCCATCTTATCACAACATGTTTAGAGACACGAACGTTTATGTTTCTTCAGTTTCCATCTTGAGGAGGGCAACACGAGCCGTCATGGCAGTGCTGTCTGTGGTTTTTCTGCTGCTAACAGTGTTCATTCGTAACATCTTATCCTAATCAGCTCATCACATGACAGTCATTGGTATCGCGGCAGTGTCACTCATTAGCCTGCTCTCAATTCTGACGAAGGGCAAGCCGCCAGATGTGTTTCCCAGTTTCCTAGTTTAAGCTTGATTGGGATGATACGGACTTTCCTAGGGAGCCCAATCTAGAATTCTATCACAGTTGCTGCTATCTGCCCTGTAACGAGTGGTTGTGCTATGCATTTCGTATGTCACTGATGATGTATCGAGGTATTCCTCTAAAATCCTATAGCGATTTCCAAGGCGATCTTGTCTTCCACGGACCACAAAGTTGCAAGTAGGTGAGGAAACCCGTTTCTTGAAAGGCACTAGCTGGGGTGGATTTTATCACGTAAAAGTGGTATTCTATCCGTCCGCGCGGTTGAACAAGCCGATATGTACGCCAGTATTATACCACGAGGTTCGCAGGTTGTCTATCACCTACAATGATGCAGTTAAGGTTGGCTTTACCAAGAAGGAGCGAGCTTTCCGAAGGTTCGAATGCGCTTGTTTTCTTCTAACAGGCAAAAAGTACCATAGAACAAGTGGAGAAGCTTCGTAAGACCTTTTGTGAAGTGGGTGATCGTAGTATCTCAATCTCAGTGGTATCCATCAAAGATTCCTTGGTAGCTCAGACCTCTTCCTCTGTATCGAGGACACCATAGTGGTTGGAAGCTCTAGGCATCGTAACGACGAGTACTTTTGAGATCGCATCACATTCTGGATTTTTGAACGCTTCGTTTTCTTTAGCTCGGCAGAACTGTAGAGTCTTGATGGTTGTGGGATAAAACGTTATGATGTGATTAAGCGTGTCTTGAGCCGAAACACTCTCGTAATGCCCAGCAGAATGCATTGCAAATAGAGATAAAGATGAGCCTCCTGCCCAGCAGCTCTGTAATAAAGACTTTGGGGGGACAAATCCCCATAGAAGTTCAGGTGGTAGCATACCTGATAGAGGGGTAGGTTTTTCTATTTTAATTTAGCAGAATTTCTCCCAATGACCAGCGCACTGGACCACCTGAGCGGTTACGTGGTCTAATCAGAGTATTGCCAGTCTGTACATGGAGTTTGTTATGGTAACTACGAACCGCTTGACCTGTCAGCATTTCAGACCGTAAACGATAACGCAGGGATGTACATTGAGGGCTTTGTGGGCACTGAGGGATATGTGGGCTTTCTGGGGTCGGCTTTTTTTAATCTTTTCTTTCTTTTTTCTTTTTTCTATCTTTCGTTATTATGGAGGAAGAGTTCGGGTTACCCCTTTCCTTATCTTCTTTCTTTGGCAATAACATTCTTGTTATGCCTATTGCTTTGTTAGATTGTTAATCTTATTTATAATCATGCTTACTGGGAGACCCAATCTGTCGGCCGAAGTGGAAACCCCGCGAGGCTTGGATTTCTCTACTTCGAGGTGCCTGACTCCCGGCAGCGGAATTAGCTTGCTCCCTTCTCTTCTCAGAACAAAAGAACAAATTTTCCAAATAGCTTGATTGTGGCATCGTCCGCCCTCACTCCCGTTTTCATCCTTGCTAGTGATGGTGCGTTGTCTTGGCACAAGTATTTTGCGAAGTAAACAAGAGCTTCCCGCAGCAGCGAAAGATCTGCTTTGTGTGTTTTGAGATATTAATCATGGACGGTTATACTAAGACGATCTATTCATATACTCGCAGGCGCGGGGTGGGTCGGTTCTCTCTCTTATAGAACAAAAACACCGTAAATCTTTTCCATCTATACGTATGCAGCACTGGGACATGGAAGTCTCTAACTCAGGGAGGCATCATACATTGTCCTGACCTACCAGGGGCTATTCACGGGGTTCTGTACCCTTCACGGCCATGTCGAAGTCCTAGGCGATTCTGATTGGAGTAGACTACTTCTCATAGTCTAGGCATCTAGAGGGCTGCTTGCACGATATCAAACTCATGGCTTCATTTCTCCAAAGTGTCCTCTCATTGAATAGCTTGTATCTCATCACTCTCACTTCAACCGCTTGATCCCTAAATTCATACATGGAAATATTATTTATAAGAGTCTGAACTCACAGCACATATACGAGAACATAATATCTTACATGAAGCGTGTGGCAAAAAAAAAAAGCAAAGCCCGGGGGCACCGTATTTGTGTATTTCTCTAATCACGGAACCATGTTGCCTAGCAAAGATCTGGTATTTGTTATCCTCGCCGAGGTCGACGAGATTAAATTCCTTCCAACTATAATTGTCTCCTTTAGACTAGGTTAAAGGATATGGTGGATAACAAGCTTGTAGCAAAACTTGTCTTGGGTTGTTGCCACTCAGAGCTAGCAGAGCAAACAACAGAATGATCATCCATACACTTTCTTGCATTACATTTCTCACCTCGATGACTACCGGAGCAATGTTTTCAAGGAAGTATATGCGGGCAAAGGTACCAAAACTCAGAGATGGTTGAGCTTGCCGCCAGATAATATGCGGTGCATGAGTTGTGCATGGGTCGGATACTTGGAGAGAATACATGATAAGTTTTGAAGAGAGAAAATTATCAGAAGAAAAGGCTAAGGAGAAAACTAGGGGATAAGCACTGCGAAGAAAACCAGTTTACCGTATAGGCCATTCTGCACAGTCTGAACTGGAAGTGGGCTTTCGCAAGAAGCTCTTTAGTGCAGAAGCTTGATAAAAGCATCGACCATGATATCTCCCGGTTTAGAAGCAAAAATATTTCTCTGAATTGAAAGCGGATTCGTAAATCTGAGGGATCGCTATCTAAGCATATTCTCTTCGAATTATTGCGTTTTGTCATGTGGTATGGAGGGTTCTTTGTTCGCCTAGTCTACGAGACTATCGACATCCCTAACCATGTCGACACTAGACTGAGGTCTCAAATATTGGAAAGTGAAAGAGATTGTAGCTTTGAGCAGTCCGAAGAAGGTTTTCTTACTTTCCCATTGCACAAAAACACAATGGCTACCGATGACAAATTCATCTCCCTTTCTCCTGGCATTTAGCTGCAGCTCGTTACAGACGAAAACGAAGAAGTACATGCCCGATGACTGAGTGCATCGCTCTCCCGCTTTCACATGCTCATAGGCTCACTAGTGAACATTTTTATATCCGGATAGCTTCACGACCACCAATATACATATCGTATTTGGGGACATTTCATGCACGAAGTGTTTATTAAAGAGGACAAGATTGCAGATTTGGAATTTGTTGTTAACGTCACTGTATTCATATGGACTCGATTTGAGCTTTTATGGCTTACGGTCTAGTATCCGCTAGCCAACTGAAGCAAGCTATCAACGATGCTTCACGTCTGTGCCAATCAGTCCGTTTCTATGTACACCACTAGACCGGCCTGTGCTTCACCCATGATCCACAAAATCCATCCGAGCGCCCTCACGATATCTTTTGGGGCACCATCAAGAAGTTTACATCCATTACGTCCGAGAAAGATGCCTTATATTTTCAAAACCTTTATCCCACGCTCATGTGAGGATAGGCTGAACAAGCTCGTAAGTGAGCTTTCGGAAGTGATAATCACCATGTGAGAAGTACGTTGAATCGTGAGAAAAGGGAGTATGCTGTTCCTGGTGTTGTCGTATTTGAAGAAAAAAGCAAAGAAAAAAGGTGAATGGCACGATATGCCAAGGGTTGAGGAAGTCGTGGGACTGGGGTATCCGAAGTGAAAACCAAATGGTTGCTTATCGTAGAAAATTGAAAGTTGGTAAAGAAACAGATTTCATGTTTCGAGTGAAAATGACTCTCCAAGATGTTTGCTCGTATCAGGGCTACCATTGGAACAGGATAAGCTTTGCCGTATCCTGCTTCCGTCTATATCAAATATACATCAATTAGGTCGTCGCGGTAAATAGGTTTGCTGCGGCGATAGTGAATTGCGAAATGCTGAGTCGAAATTTATAAGCCTGGGTAAGCCCCGTCCATGCGTCCTCTTCCGGGCACATTATTTCCTCGACTACTCGGCATTTGAAAGTCCGGGTTGCTATAAAGAACGTTCACTTCATTCCGATTTACCGGCCTGCGAGGAATTTGTGCACCGAAAGCGCCCGGCGGGCCGGGAGGTGGGTTCCACCGTGGATTCACACCCCGCTGTGACACCGATGTGAAAGTCGATCTCTCCGAAATAGCAGGGCTTCTAGCTCCTGCATAATGGGGATCTTCAAAGGTAGCTGGATCCGGGCCAGGGCCAGGTTGCAGTGTTCTTGGTACCGAAGGTTCTGCGAACCGTGGGTCAACATCTTCATAGTAATCACTAGCTGCAGTGACTGGCTGTGAAGGAGCCGTGCCGGAAGGTCCGTCAGCATTGCGTGGCTGAACATGTAGTGGTGAAGGCATCCTCGGTGAGTTTCGACCCGGTCCTTGAGCCCACGCTTGACGTGGTGGTACATATGCACCTCTAAGATTCATGTTAGCATTATTCTAATTATATAATCTTGTTGGCAGAAAACTCACTCCTCTTGGCTGTACTTGCTACCCTCGCTCATGTATGTGTCGGTACGCCTTGGGCCATTGGTTCTGGCTTGTTGTAGCGCAAGCATGCCGGCCACATCGGCATCACTGTCTCTGAGCTGGTTCGGAAATTGACCGAAATTTTGGGGTGGATGAGCCGGGCTGCCAGTAGAAGCATCCATTTCTACTGCCTGGCCAACAGGTGGTGCTAAAGCTGCATTCTCTGTACCGGGCAATGGTGGGGGAGACTCCGCTCGTGGCAGATCGCTCACACTCGCTCGGTCCGGGTTGTATGCTTCATAGCCACTGCTGCCCACAGTTCCAGTTGAGACACTCGGCATCGATGGGTTCGTGCCGTACGGCGGAGGTGCACGACCAGGTGATGCGTCTCTAGCAGCTCCGTAGTTGCCGTACACATCCGGCGCAGGTCGACCGTATCCGTTACCGTAATTAGAAGGCGGAGCACGACCGCCACGTGCGCCGTTCGGGCCGTATCCTGCTCTTGGCGGACCATACCCACCTCTGCCATTCGGTGGGCCGTAACCACCTCGGCCTGGAGGGCCATATCCGCCCCTCGAGCCAGATGGGCCGTTGTAGCTAGGACCGTAACCTCCTCTGCCATAGCCTCCACGGCCACGGTACCCTGCTGGAGGTGGTCCTCCTCTGCCTCGAGAGTTCATTGATCGCTCAGAAGGAGGTCCTCGCCTGGCGCCGTATGCATCCTGAGGAGCCTGTACGGGATTTCCGTATTGGTCCCTGGCCAGAGACGGACTGGAGTCGCTTGCGTTGACGTAAGTTCCTTCTGTGGAGGCAAAAACAGCATTCGGAGATCTTTGCGAAGGAGTGGTGGCAGTAAGTGGTATACGTTCGTCGCTGCTGCGATCGTCCTTCTTCTGCTCATAGGTCGCAAAGGTCGGGAGCTTGTTTTCAGCTGGCCCGTTCGCACCGCTGAGGACAGGCACGGTGGGCGACATGACTGATGCGCCAGGAGCTGTGACATCGCGCTGAGCTTCCCTGTTGTAGTAGTTTTCACCACTCATTTCGGCATTCTCAGCAATACGCTTCTTCCTTGCTTTTCTGCTAACAACAGTACGGCGCATAGCGCACGAAACAAGTCCACTCATCGCCACAAGGACTGTAGAGGCGCATACAATGTAGGAACCCCAAGCCATGTGAGGAACGAAAAGTAGAACATCAACTAAGAAACAAACAAGACACAGTAAGAAGGTGATAATGCCGACGATGAAAAGGACGAGCAGGTAGCGAGATGAATGAGAGGGGCCATGGAAATGAGCAGCGACGGACATGCCCAGCATAATGAGGGTGAACAGACATGCTACCGGATGTATGATCAAGATGGCCGAAAGGGTTGTTCGCGCTGAAGTCGGCAGATCAAAGGTAGCGGACTGCGTAGCAGTAAAGAGTGACGCTGCAGCAGGCGTCAGCTATCGGATGTGGGCATGGATAGAGACATGCATATGGACCAGCAAAAAGCGAAGCAACTTACATGTGTCGTAGCCTATCTCGAAGGGACTGCATGTGCTTCCCTTGCAAAAGCCGAAGACACCAAAGTTTACACCCTCGAATGAGCCTAGCGGTATAGCTTTGATGATGGGCGTCGACAAAACCGAGATGAGAAGCATGGCGAAAGCTGCGAACAGCAATATCGCCAGAGGCGTAGCAGGGCGCAACATATTGGCGATTGACGAATGCGCGCCGACTCCTTAGAGTCGCGTCGCTGTACAGACAGGACAGCACAGCTAGATCCGAACTGGTGTCCCCCCCTGAGGTAGTGTTGTCCTAAAGGTAGAGTTTGAGACACTGACGAGGGCGGATATATTCAACGCTCAACGGCGGTGACATAGAAATGCTGGGTTTTGGTACCTGGTCCGAAGTCGTTCTCGAATCACTTCACAGATGTACCTTCCGTCTGACCGAGTTATAGTAGTTCGTCAATGGGATTTAATTGTTCGACCTGGTGACTGATTGAAATGAAGTGATCCTGCACGTCCAGGCGGTCGTTTTTCGCCTACTTTTGCCTTGGAATGCCAGCCCAACACTTCAACCTGCGTCAGGGACTACTGTTGATTGAAGAGGAATCGAATAGTGACAATAACGAGCGAAAGTGCGCGATGCGAAATCAATCGATCGATGGTATAGCTGCAAAGTGGCGTGTGGGTTACGACTGGCCGGTGGCTGTGCCAGATCTTGTCAGGTTCAACGCTTCCACGAGTCGAGTTGAATCAGGTTGAGTGCACACCAAAAGGGATGGGTTGGCTGCCAATGGTGTGGGAAAACGTTTGTGAAGACGAGGGAACAATGAAAGGACGATCGATCAGTGAGTTAGTGACTGCGACTGCGCCTGCGTTGGGGTGGGTCCCTAGTCTAACCGTAGCACATACTTGCAGGAAATAGTACCTACTAACTTGATAAGTAGCTCCGTACCTTGGCGGCAGCTGGAGCAATGCGAGAATGCATCATATCTTCTAACGTTTTGGTTTTGGGTCTGGCCCGTCCGCGTCCGCAAACCCCAGTCCGCTTTGTGGCTCCCGTAGCCCAGGACCCAGGTGGGTGCTAGCTTGGTACTTTCAATGGGGACTCGAACTTGAAATTCGTGGCGCCTTTCTAGGTTACTACTGGGCCCCTGACAATGGGTTTCGCACTAATGGGTCCCACTGAGCAGTCGCTGTACAAAGCAGCTGGAGGAAGGAGGCAAGCAAGAAAGCAAGAAGCGGACCCACTGATAGGGGATTTGGATTAGAATTTAGATTTGGATTTTGGTTTTGGATTCCTTGAGATTGAGGAGAATTTATCACCATCTCTTGTCATAAGCGATATTAGCTTATATTGCATTAGGTCCTTTGGTTGCATCTACGCGCATACAGTACGCCGCGACAGTCTCAAGCACTACTTATACCACTCACTCCGTACACAGTGGCGGGACGCTGCGGTCTTCTTGTCAACTTTGAAATGGTCCCAGTCATGTCAAACCGACCCCGAATTATTTAAATTTTACATCCTCTACTATGTTCTACCTCTACTAACTAATGTGAGATTGGGAGTCATGTTTTCAAGGCTGTCACCCTATTCTTGAATAAGATTGGCTATTCTAGAAACTCACCACCTCCCCCCATGGATCCTGCATGTCGTGCATGCGGACACAGAGAAACTGGTTTTTAAGTATTATCGTAACGAGTGCTGTTGATTGGAAGTCTCAAGTCATACATACTATGTACAGCGGTCACCCCCCAGCCAACTTTGTCACCTCCAGGTAGCCGGGCACATACGGAGTACTTATGCCCCCGAATCAGAACCGGAATCCTGTATCCACAGGCGTATTGAATACGTATTCCATGCAGAAGAGTAGTTTTTAACATAAAAATATAAAAATATAAATTTCATGGAAAAAGACTTGGGCGTACTTCATCTTGCTATGACTAAACCGTTAAGAATCGATTTCATGACTCTCGGTGTCCGGAACTCCTCGCAGCGGGTAGTGGCTTTTTTGCTTCCCCCCGCACGCTGGGTAGAACTCTAAAGAGGTACCTGGCGATATTCTGTACGATAACGAATCATGCGGCCAGGCGAGCTGCGTCTATTCGGACAATGTCGTATGGTCATGTAGTCATCACCTTACCGAACACTATACCCAGAGCGGGGTATGGTGCTTCGTTCTAATGATCGACTGTGAAGTCAAACTTGCAGTGTGCAAAGCGCTTCAACGGTCATGTAACAATCTGTATATTACTCATGAGCATCACAAGTGAACCTCGAACAACACCTTTGAAGAACCACATCGATGCTTACGCCACAATCTTCGGAAAGCAGGTCTCATACTGTGTGCAGAGATAGGAACCGGAATGTATCTCAATCTAGTATGGTTGTTGGAGGAGGGTCTACAAAACCCGCCAATGATCATGCCTGTTCTCCGGCTTTTGTTACCGGTTCTGTGCTTCGTCAATATTGCAACATATGAATCCGCTTAGTTCTCGCCTTTCAAGAATGTCTCCCAAATGTGGACTCCGGGCTGTCAAAGGATTCAACGCCAGTGTAACCCAACGAGAAAAGCGAACTCGACATGCATCTGACTGGAAGAATACTGCTAAGCGAAGCTTTATAAACAACGTATTGCGAAGATCTCAGAGTCATAAGGTTGTGTAGTCGTTCTGGCCTTCCAACTTTCATCTCAAGAAACCAAGGTCCGATTGCGTTTTAGATTGAGACTCAAGAGTGGACCATCTCCAATGCTTAACTTCCCCACTGGGCAACTTGAAATGCCTAGCATACCTCGTGGCCTTCAGCCAGACCAGCTTCACTGTCAAAATCTTCGTCAAGTGCCGATAGGTTGACAAAGCAACGCCATGCGTATTACATGGAGACTGAGTGTTGCGCATATTGTTCTTGCGCCATCACTATTTCATCCAACATTGAACTCATGAAACATCTAACCAAGAGATGTCTATCGAAACGGTTCGCTCCAGCAGCCGAACGTCTCGAAATTGTGGATTGTGGGTAATTTTCCACTCATGTGCACAGACTCTTCACCTATGCGGAACAACACGTCATCTACAGAGCGGCAACGACTTTCTCATTGTTATTGATTTCCTTCCCAACACATATGCCGGGACCTGTTCTCTGATAGTCAGCATTGCGAGTTGCACATACGAGAAGGGATACATTTCGACCGACTCCACCTACTGTAAGTAACCACCAGTGATACAGAAGAATATCTATCACCAATAATGCTCAGTAATATTCCCACGATACCCAAGATACACCAACGGGATATGCAACTCAGTCACTTCATTGTCTCCTATGTCGACATTCAGTCAAATGGTTCTGCTTTCAATATTGGTAAAAACGGCGTCTGCAAGCAATTTGCTATTAATTGGTGGTTCTAAGCGGCCACGAATCTGAAACCGAGACCGAACCCACAAAGAATGAGAAGACGATTGGCCCCTTTTGCCGCCTGTATCTGCAACATGAATCTCAATTAAAAGCATAAGAGAGGCCTGATGGCATCTGCGCTATCATAACCCGGCTCTTTCGAAGAAAAATCCGTGGCATAGACTCTGCCCCTCAGTATCAGAAGTAAGATGAACGCACACTATAGTCTAGTTACACAAGCAAAATTAAGAAGGAGGGATCGTAGCAGTTTGTCTCGAACTTCTCGCTACCAAATATAGCAAAGAATGATCTACATGGTCGCGCGAACTCGAACTGGGGCTAATCGAAGATCATACGACCAGGATGACGAAGCTTCTGGGACATGTATGGGGAAGCCTTGGTACCTAGCTGGAGACAGAGCTCGTCAGCCTCGTCTCATAAGTTTGATGAAACAGAAATATCTCATTCCACCATATTATCGAACATGACAACTCATCGCCCTGCCTGTTCTCTGGTTTGGACCATATTGCACAGCATTGTGTGGTTTTGTACCAGTAGGAGATAACTTAAGTCGAAAAGCACAGATAGTCTGGGTGTTGTGTTCAGAAACATGTAGCTTTACAAGTTCATGTATAGTTGGAGCAATACCATTATACCCGGTAGGTGTTAATTTGCTAATATGGGCGCAATAGATTATATCTGCATTGTCGGTGTCACGCTGGCGTATATTACTGACCGGGTGGAATGCCTGTTGCCCTTTGTCTTAGCAACTGATTATCACACTTTGAATTACTACTTATCATGAAAAAATATAAGCGTGACTGTCTTTCTCCGCTCACTTACACAACCTCAACACATGGAGCCTCACATATTTTTACATGTACACATCAAAGACTTCTCATCCCAGCCTGCTCCCCTCACACCGGGACACCATAAATTCTGCTTAGCACACAGTAGTGATACTAAAACACTTCCAAACTCAGGGCTGAGGGCACTCCGTCCATCTACAGCCAAACTCACCGTCGTCAACAGAATCACCAGAGAGGCCACACTTGACTCGGTGCTGGAGTTTCGTCTGCTTGCAAGTAGCTGGTGCTGAAATTCATCTTAGAACTCTTGTGGACTACCTCGAAGGAAAGCTACAAACAGAGTGTGCAACCGTTCGTATGATGCTAGCTTCGTGTCTCCTGCATACCTCCATAGCGTTTTACGACCGCGTTACCGGGGAAGTAACATCAACTTGGCGAAGCGTTCCTCCTCTCCGAAACTGAATAATGCGATATTGTGCAAAGCATCGCACGATTAGGCTCAAGAACCGGAGCTGAACCCGCAGACTAATATCTTGTATAGATACAGAGCATTTGGAATCTCGTCCATTGATTAGCAGCACATGGGAAGGCAATGGCGCGAGATTTTAGTCCTTGGGAGACATCAAGGGCTTCATCAAAAGAAGTTAGCAAAATCAGGGGCTTTGACGAGAATATCCCGTTCGCTTCGGAGATATCAGAGATTTGACCCACCAAACTCGGGTCAAATCAAAACCCGCGTGGGCCCCGGGGATGAGGACGATTGCTTAGCTTACCTCGCCGTACCACTGCGTCATTGAAATCAATTTTCCGATTATGGACATTCTTACGCTTTGTTTTCGTTGTAAAAAAAAATCTGGAGGCTTGGAAGCTTTCGTGTTTCCTCCCTCTTCTCCGCGACGAGTGCATGTTTCTCACCAGCGGCAGTTATGTTTCGTCCACGCATAGCAGGTCTCTGCAACACGAGCCAGCTATCGCATTCTGCTGTCGTAGCAGCAGCATCACGGCGGACGGTGTCTCGTGACACTATTCTGCAACGAGCTCCCGCTTTCCCACGAACTCAACGTCTCCCTCCTGCTAGCCGCCGCCATGTTCAAACCACGTCGCAGTTCCAACCCATGCGGCCGCCGTCTCCCGAGTCCCTCGGCAGGCCAACGGCCGCTCGCGAGTTCAAGCGCAGCCGCAAATGGCTGCGGCGGCTCGTGATCGCGACCACCGTCGGCGGGACCTTATATCTCTTCGACAGGCAGCTGTTCGCCTCCGGCATCACGCGGTCGCTCCGCACGTTCGGCAACGGTCTCTACGTCGCCATGGACTACAAGCTCAACTTCCGGCCCGAGCCGCTCCTGGGGGGCACCGTCGGCGACCTGCACCGGCGGAGCGCCGAGCGGCTGTTTGAGCTGCTGCGCGAGAACGGCGGTCTATATCTCAAGATTGGTCAGGCGATCGCCATGCAGAGCGCCGTGCTGCCGCCGGAGTTCCAGAAGATGTTCGCGCGCATGTTCGACGATGCGCCGTCGCACGCCTGGAAAGACGTCGAGAAGGTGATAAGGCAGGACTTCGGCGGGAAGAGCACAGAAGAGGTGTTCGGCGTCAGTTTCACCGGTGAAGAGGGAAAGGGCATTTTAGAGAGAAAGGCAAGAGCCAGCGCGAGCGTGGCGCAGGTACATTGGGCCAGGCTGCCGGATGGCAGGGAGGTGGCCATCAAGATCCAGAAGCCTGAGATTGAGAAACAAGTTGGCTGGGATCTGTGGGCATTTAAAGTCGTCATGAAGGTATACACATACTGGTTTGATATACCATTATACTCGATAGTTCCGTTCATCTCGGAACGGTTATTGCTCGAAACGGACTTCCAGTCCGAGGCGCAGAACTCAGAGACAATGCGGAAACTGATCAGCACCGAACCTAGCCTGAAAGGAAGAGTATACATTCCACAAGTTTATCCAGAGTTCACGACGAAACGTATCTTGGTCACTGAATGGATCGAGGGCGTGCGGTTGTGGGACAAAACCGCGATGACGAATAGCTGGAGAGGCGGCTACGGTCGAGGCTCAGAGGGCGTACACGGTGCCCAGCTCAGCTCGCCGGACATGGAAGAGATTAGGAGAAAGATTCGAGATAACCCGGAAACGAACGAACTCAAGCCCAACCGTGAATTCTGGAGAGGACGCAACGGCAAAGGAGGTCTAGGTTTGTCTACCAAGGAGATTATGACCACTATCGTCGACCTCTTCTCTGCTCAGATTTTCAAATGGGGTGTTGTGCACTGTGATCCTCACCCTGGCAATATCTTTATTCGGCGATTACCATCGGGCAGGTCGGAAGTTGTGTTGATCGACCATGGTCTCTACGTATACATGTCGCCAAAGTTTAAGAACCAGTACGCCCGTTTCTGGAAGTCGTTGATGACGTTCGACAATGATACGATTGGTGAGATCTCAGAAGATTGGGGCATCAAAGCTCCAGATATCTTCGCCTCCGCGACTTTGATGCGTCCCTACGACGGCGGAGACGGAAGCGCCAAGAATGAAATCCTACGAGAAATGGAGGGCAAGACACCGGCCGAACGTCACTTCGAGGTGCAGCAACGCATGAAGCAGGGACTTCGCGAAATGCTGGCGGACGAGGATAAGTGGCCGAAGGAGCTCATCTTTATTGGCCGCAACATGCGCATCGTGCAAGGCAACAATCAATTCATGGGCTCACCAGTAAACCGTATCAAGATGATGGGCAACTGGGCGAGTCGGTCTTTATTTGAGGATCCGAACCTGCCGTGGGCGCAAAGATTTGCGAACATGTGGCGACATATGTTGTTCAAGACCGTTCTTGTGGCATCAGACGTCGCGTTCTACGGTTTCAAGGTCAGACAGTGGCTTGGCCTTGGAGGAGGAATGGAGGATGAGGTTGAGGCTCGCATGAGGGAAATGGCCAAGGATTTCGGCGTCGAGTTACAGCATGAGATCTTTGAGGGGTGAGATCTGTACATTACATAGTAGATGCATGTGCACGGATTGGTCCTGTTAGAGTAAGATTTGTGTATAGAGGATAGAGATCACCATGTGGCCTATACTGTAGATATCCCCACTTGCAATTGAAATACCTAATCATTTGACAGTCCACAGCAATCAGGACGTCGGCACGGAAATCCACAAGCGTTGAAGCTTGGCGAATTAGCATGACCAAGAAATAGAAATGTGAAACACGACACATGAAAAGACTCTGGTTCCCCCTTCATGGATCCTCCTTGTCGCGGGCGGTGTTTCCACACGCCTTTAAATAGCACTTCATCTATATGTTTCGCGTCAAGTCGAAATGCAGGGTCTACGGGAATTGTCTTTAAATGCCAAGGCGATCACCTTGCAGATCGCTCTCCAATTCGGAATCTGGGGAGACGCAACGAATAGTTCTGGACCATTGTGTTTCTCGTCTTCCGCGAAAAGTGATACCCGTGCATGCACAGGAGGGCAACGTGGGCGTAGCCGCCGGGGCACGCAGCCAAAAGAGACGTGTGAATCTCCTTGTGACACTAACAATAAACGCTGGTGTAGCGTCGATACTGCACCATACGATGAGGCAAAATGTTCCATGGGCACTCCAGTTTGCAGCCTGAGCCCAGCCTGCCAGCTTATCCGACAGGAGAGAGCCGGCGGCGCGTCGGTGATTGGCTCGTTACGTGATGCGGCTATCCAGGGTCCTGGTGGATGCCCAGGATGACTGCAATTTAAGGAGAGAAGACTCCCTGCAGGTACAAGGCATAGTGCATATGGTGCCCGATGAGGCGCAACATGCCATTAACTCGGCTTCAGAAAAGAACCGTTGTAAAATGCAAAAAAAATGAAAATAAAACCTAAATCTTGACAAAGCCCTCTTGCTACCCGAAAGACCTTCTAGACGAGTCCTCAGAGACCATCTCTTGACCGTCTCCCGGGCCATCAATTCGGCTCTCCATCAAACCGTTTATTGCACGTGGGCATCGAACTAATTAGTAGCTCCTAGCTCCATGCGGAGAGATGATCGGCTGCACGCACGTTCGTACAAGTCTGTGGCCTGAGATGCTGTCTTGGACCTTATCTCAGAAGACGGCAGCAGGTTCAAAGTGATGGCTGGAATTGCGTGAATGATGCTCTTGCGTAAGGAAAGACAGGCTGTAAACGGGCTCGAGAGTCGTGCTTGAATTACAGAGTTGGTGGCGCCAGATATGCCGAATTTAAGAAGGAATTGTCGTTGGTCTCACAATGCCGTACCTGCGTAAGACCCTTGTCGGTCGTGGGCCATCGGGACTTTATTCCTGTTCCCATCTCCGTATGAATGGCAAGGGACTATACCAGGTTGGGGCTGCTCTCCTTTTTGTATTGCGATACTGGCAGGCATTGCAATTCGAATGGCCAGCCATACATACACTCTTCTGGAGTGTCGCGATTAATAAATTTTTTTTTTCTCTCCCTCGCAAATCTAGCCCAACAGTGGGTTATGTTCTTCCTTCGTTCTCATAATTGCCAGCACCTAAAAAGGCGCGTATAGCAAGACTCGACCGTCCGTTCGACGTTTTCTTGACTCGTACTTCTTTTTCAATCTTTTCACACTGCTGATCGGTATCGCCCGTCCCATTCAGCCGTCACGCAAGACCGAGGCTGAGCTCTTGTTCGACACCACCAGCCAACCAACTTACTTGAGCGGCACCGAAACGTGCATATCGTCTGCTGCACTACAATACTCCATACCCCCAACCGAATCTATTCTCCACACGATTTCACATCGACCGCATGCTCAAAACGAAGTCGAATCCATTCTTCCACTGAATTTCCGGTAGGTCGGTTTTCCTCAGAGTTTTTGGTTTGTCTCAAGTTTGCGACTGTCTCGTGTATGCCCTCCCGCAAGATGCCCAACTAGCATGGACCTGGCTCTGGTACCTGGCTCGGGCTCTGGCTCTGGGCCCGCGGGCAGGACGACACCATGTTTAATAGCGGCTTCGCAGTGGGTTTTTGACAGATAACAAGGAGGGAGCTACACGACACGATCGAGTTTAGCTGCAGATCGGAAGAAGCGCCAATGGGTTCGGCGCCCAATCGCACCATCAGTGTTCCTTCGGGGTGTGTGGAGGAATTGCCGTCTCCATTGTTGGAGAACGTTGGTTGGAGGTTCCTGAAAAGCCCCCCCCTCAAGCAAACGCTTGCCGAACCTGCATTGCATGGCGCTGGCGTGTCTGCTACAGCCATTGGTTTTGTTATATTATCTCGAAGCTCCCTTCACTTTGCGCGCGGTAGTACCTTGTTCGGACGTGAATAGCCATTGCGCTGCTCATCTATCAGCATCATCACCTTGGTTGGTACTAGCAATCTGGTGCATGTGGTCACTGCTTGACTTTCTTCCATTGATTGTTCATCCGCGGACGACAAGAAGCTAATTTGGGTGTCTTTGTGACAAGTAGATTCGCGTTATTCGCAACAATCCCCCCAACCTCTTTCGGTTCGCTGTGGGCTCTTTGTTATTAGAAGCGGCATAGGTACGCAAAAGAAGACGAGTAGCACAACTGGTCACCACACTTCCATATCTCAATTCAAAGCGACTACTGTTCGAAAGCGGAGGAACGTCCCCGATCTTCAGCCAACAGCCAACAGCGACATTCGCGCTTACTTGCATACTCGACAGCGAATTGAGCCTGCCTCAAGTGTCACTACATACTCACTTGGGCCCACAAACGAAGCTTCTCTGAACAGTCGATTCATCAAACTGGAACCAACAGCTTTGAGCCACTCGCAATCGCATTAAGTTGATTCATTCTCGCTGCTTGATTTCCATCGAGCTCAATCGCGAACAGACCGATCGTACAGCAACCACGAACTGCAAGCAGGCATCTTTCGTCATTGTCTCCATACTGCAACCGCACGACTGTTCGTTACTGCCGCCTCATTCACCCAACATCTTGTCTTTGATCTTCCAGTCAGGCCCACCCTTTTTGCAAATAAGATTTCATATTTCAGACCAGTGCAGCCGCAGCGCCCTAACGTAGCTGCTAGCTGAAACATTTCAGTTTATGCTTAATCCGGTCTTTGTAGAATGAGTCAAGAGCCACCGCGACGTGCCAGCTTTGGGATGTTACTTCGACGCAGCAAGTCAGGTAATCTGGGGAAGGGAGGAAAGGACCAAAAGGAACAAGAACAACGTCCTGCAGTACCCAAGTCTCCTCCCCGCCTGCCTGACCTATACAACGGTGCACAGCCTGATGAGTTCCAAGCCTTTGGAGGATACACTCGTCCAGATTCTCTCGCTATAGTCTCGGGACAAGCACATCAGCCACGATACCAACCTCCGATTCAACCTCAGTACCCCCCCTCTGGCCGACCTTCCATGGACCCTGGCCGTCCTTCCATCTCGTCCATCCCTCCGATGCCTCCCGTTCCCGACAGCACGTGGGTTGACCCCTACGCCCGCACAGAGAGCATGACGCACCGTGGCAGATACAGCTATGCCAGCACTACGGCTAGTACCATCAATACCCCAAGGAGAGTCCGCAGACGCAAGGATCCGACTCCTTTCAAGTAAGTGTTGCGCTTTCTATTCGCTCGTTCCGTGCGATCTGATGAGAGTCTCTAATTCCCGGCTGCTCTTTTCATTCCACATCTGTACTTGTCCACTAATTATTTCTTCTTTAGTATTCTGATCATGGGCACCCGTAGTTCTGGCAAGACCTCTTTTCTAGAATTCTTGAAGACGGCTTTGGCCTTGCCAGAGAAGAACCGTTCGCAACGAGCGACTGAGATCGGCGCAGAGGTGACCCAGCGAACCACAGCCTCGGGCAACTTCATCCCTCACTACTTGGAAAGCGAAATCGACGGTGAACGTATTGGCTTGACGTTGTGGGACTCGGAGGGTTTCGAGAAGAGCATAGTCGATCTTCAACTGCGAGAGATGTCAGCCTTCTTGGAGAGCAAATTTGAGGACACCTTTGCTGAAGAAATGAAAGTTATAAGATCACCGGGCGTGCAGGATACTCATATACACGCCGTCTTTCTTATTCTTGACCCGGCTCGTCTCGATCGCAACATCACTGCTGCGAAAGCTGCGTCATCAAACGGACACTATAGAGGCCATGATCCGTCTCGTATTGTTGGCGTTCTTGACGAAGACCTCGATCTTCAGGTTATGCGTACCCTCCAAGGCAAGACAACTGTCATCCCAATCATTTCCAAGGCGGATACGATCACTACGAAGCACATGGCCATCCTCAAGCAAGCTGTTTGGGCGAGCCTGAAGAAGGCCAACTTTGACCCTCTGGAACCACTTGGTCTTGATGAGGAGGACTATTCTCCAGATTCTAGCAGGATCGAAGAGGGTGACGAGGAAGATATCGAGGACAGTCCAAGCTCGCCTGACGATATCAATCATAGCGAAGGAAGTGCCGAGGAAGACGATCTGCCGATTCAGGGCTCGAACTCACCAAATCCGAAGAGAAGGTCGAATACTTCGGTGCGCCGCAGCAAGCAGCTCCTAGAAGAGGACAGTAACGAGATTCCACTGCTACCCATGTCAATCATTAGTCCCGATCTTTACGAACCTGAGGTCATTGGGCGTAAATTCCCCTGGGGGTTTGCCAATCCCTACGATGAGGAACACTGCGACTTTACTAAGCTTAAGGATGCCGTTTTCAGCGATTGGCGAGGCGACCTCCGTGAGGCCAGTCGAGAGCAGTGGTACGAGGGCTGGAGAACCAGTCGACTTAAGCACCGGGATTCTTCCGTCCGACGCCGATAGAGACGTGTCAAGAATGTTTGAGCATTCCCCGCGCTCTTTGGAGCTTTCTTATTTCAGTCTCGACCTGCCGCCGTGCAGGCCGAAAGTCAATTCCGCATGACTAGCGATTTTTTTCTTCCGTCAATGTTTCACGTCTATGCAGCATACCCCGATTGTTTTCGATGTTCCATGTATTTTCACGGCACCCCAAAAATTGAAGGCTTTACATTACGGCGCAGGCTGGTATCTCCTCGAGTTTTAGAAATTTACATTCTTCATGATCGACCGAGTATGAGCTCGCAGAAGAGGCATACCTATAGGCAGCCTGGCTAATACTGCTCATATCTCCCTCTAATGATGCAACTGTTGGCATAAATATGCTACCGTGCCTCAAACTTTCGTGGACGATCGGTTCCCGCAAGAACGGCAACCAATTCGTCAGCACGACACCGTCTTACACACTTCTGCACGGCATCATCTCATTTCGTTTATCTCTCAAGGAAACACTAGGATTTGCTTTCCGGATATTTGAAGCGGAGCAGATTTTGTATCAGCTGGTCTGTTCCGTGGTTCTTTTTTTTTAAAGCCCAGAATAGGTTGATGCCGAATTCTTAGGATGGAAGGAGGAGAGTACAGTGAGTATCTGTACAGCTACTTCGGTATGCGTGATGGAGGAGTGGCCACGGGCAGAAGCTGCCTAGCTATGAGCAATGATATCCCACCACTTTGTATGGTAGAACCAGAGACTTTTTCTTTCTTTCTTTCTTGATCTTCGGAATTTTATTCCCATTTTTGCCTCTCACGCCTGATGTGGTTCCACTTTTCTCTACATTTTGGTTGTGATTTAAACAGTAGCCACTTGCTTCGGTAAGCAAACAGTCCCACCGTCAGGTCGCTCCACCACCATATGTTTTGTATCTTAAGAGGCTATTGATCTTTATTGTTTTCCCTTTTCTCTCTCCTCCTTCCTTCCTCATTTCATCGGCGAGGGTAGTTCAGCAGTTCCGCTGCCGTAATCTCATTTTGAGGTTGTGTGGGCTGGCTTACTGGTTCATGCTCAACTGGCTGTCGATTGTCAAAGCGAGTTGTTTAAAAAAGAAAAAGAAAAAAAATCTGGCATCTTACTGGTAGTTGCGTTATTGTATAATATCTTTCGGACCACGGAGTCCGAGGGTCTAAATCTAATATGTGAGTCTTACGATTTATGGCGCATTCTACTCGACCATGGTGGGTAGTGTGTACAAGACGGCTGCCTGTCACGATATTGGCTAGTGGTTTCACTCCCTGACGGGATGGCTATCCGTGACTGCAGTAACTACATGGGCACAGCTGACACCCGACGTCTTCTGATACGACGAGATCTTGGCGGTGAAGCTGATGTTCGCTGTACGAGCTTTGGATTTGCAGCAAAGTATCTAACCGGAAAAGAAAGAAAGAAAACTATTCAACGCGAGCTGAGCTGAGTCTCCTTCACGAGCTTATACAGGTCCTTCGGAACCCCTCAAGCAGCACCATGCTCCAGGTCCTCAACGGACGCATGTGCCGTTCACGAAACTCGGGTACCTTCCTGGCCCCAGCGATTGGGGTTGTGCGCCCCGTCTAGCAGCATCCCCAGCAGCCACAGCAGGTTCCGTCACCGCAGCAGCTAAACAAAAGGAGTCCCGTGTCAGCATGGAGGGAGAAGAAAAAAACAAGAAGAAAAAGGAACGTCTGGTGTCGTTACAGGGAGAGGAAGAAAGAGAAAGAAACTTGGACCTACTCGGGAACGATTGCGCAAGCCTCCTTGACCAGCGTGCTGCCCAGGTCCTTGGGGGTGACGGGGTTGGCCTGGACAAAGGCGGCCAGGGCCACGACGAAGGCGACCGAGGTGAGGGTAGAGAACTGCATTGCGTGGGAGATGGGGAAAGATTGGCGAACTTGTTTGTGTGAGTGATCCTCCGCTTAGGTATTGCCAAGTCTGGAGAAGTGATGTTGTGAGATGGTTAGAGTATTGCGTGATGGCGGTCTTGGGCTGCGATCTATATATAATTAAGTCCTTCTGACTAGAGGGGTGGGGGCGCCTGGGATGTACAAAGCTTGAGCAAAGGCTTGTGGAAAGCTTGAGCGGAAAGAGAAAGAAAAGAAAAAGGCAGTATCTGGTTCATAGCCCCCCGAGTTTGCAAATCCCCGGCCAATGGTATCGTGGTACTTTTCAACAAACGATCGATGGCAACTCAGCATTGTGATATACTAGGTAGGCCTTGGCAGGACGACCCCCTCTGATTGGCGGATATGGTCCTTGAGGAACCCGTAGGATTCACTATCTTTTTGTGCTGGCGTCAATGCGCCGCCTAGTTCTTACGAACTGCATATTAGATAAACATCGATTTCCAGGGAAAGTGAGGCTAGCGTATGTGCTCCCCCCCTTCGCTTGAGTTCTCGTTCAGAGACTATATGCATGACAATTATGTCCGTATTGGTGCTGACCTTCTAGGAGGTGGATGGCGACAAGATGTGGTTTCCGAGCCTGCTCTCGGCCGTGATTGCAGGGGGCGAACCTCCTTATCGCGGGGAGCCATATTGTTGATTCTGTATGGGGTTCTTAGGAGCTCTCTTAGATGTCGTGGCCATCTCGCCTGTCACGCCTGGCTTCGTGAGGGTTCAGATTTTATCACAATATCTCTATTACTGCATTGCATCTCCTCGCTACCCACGAACGTCTCTCTTTGGCGGTATTTCTCCTCTAGTAGAGCTGGCGATGGGCCGAGGAAAAGAGCGTGCTGCAGGTCATGGTCTGAACAAGACGCAGACGAGCGTCTCGCATCAGTCTTGTACCATAGCATCTGTACCGTTCTTGGAATCTTCAACGGTAGCCGAGTCCGCCCCGCTGGGTTCCTCGGGACCGTCGTTAGCGGATCCTTTTGGAGGGCGCTGTCCCCCCTCGCTATCAGCGCTTGTATGAATATGGAAGCCGGGAAACATATGCGGATCATTCACTGGGCAGGCACCCGAGGCTGACAGTTCCGCCTCGAGAGTACCTGGTTGTGTGATGTAAGTACTTGGCGTCTATTGCGGTATAGATCGGGCTAATGGTCCTATCTATTGTCTCCACAACATGATCAGCCCAGCAGCAGGGGGTACACGAGACATTTCTGGCCAGATTGGGCAACCTTTCTCTAGTCGAAGTACCATGGGGAGACTATCCGGGATAAGGACTATAGGAGGATTAAGTTTAGTGTCGATTTTAACAATGGAACTTCCAAGGTGTGCCGATAGATAGGCCTGTTCGATACACTCCCCTCGTTTCCTAAACAGAAACGGAGATAATCATGTCACTCTGGAGTCAAGAAGCTGCCTGGACGGAGCAAAGGCTGATTCAGACTGCGACTGAGGATGAAAAATAGCTATCTTTCCCTATCAAGATCTGTGGTGAAGGTACGTAATGGCTTTATCCATTTGCAATTCTGTGCCGTGCATGCTCCCCGTAAGGTAGCCTGCTCTATTACCGGAAGCGTGTGTGCAGGTAGAGACTGCAAGTTGTTTTCAGCATGACAAGAAGACTGGCATCTCGTTATTATTTTGTTCATTCTCAAGTACACATTACATCCGTGGGCTGGCCAAGCCAACTTAACAACCGAGACGCCCGAGCGCGACATGCTCAGGGCATCATTTACAACGGGAAATCCTGCTTTCCCATACTTGGCCTCGCCAATACTTCGTTTACCTTTCATGTGCCCTACTTCGTGTACATCCTCCCCAATTCGTTCTCCTCTCTTCTATGGTTGCTCCATACCCGGTTCTCCTCTAAAGTATCTTGGTCCATTTCGCTTGACATTTCTCATAAAATCGCATGTCGTTTCACGTTTACAGTGCCCGACCAGTAACTGGGTTCAAGCATTTCACAGCTCCTTCTTTTCGCCGGCAGACGAGTTCTGCACCTGTTGGCTCTTCTTGGCATCATCCTGGCCCTCAACGTAAGGATGCTTAATAGTCAGGCACCAGATGTCGAGGTAGTCACAAATAGTGACAATCACATCAACAACAAAGCTGCCGTAGACACCAACGGCCATGCCGAGCATGCTGAACATGAAGGCAACCTGGTACACATCGTCACCAAGAGCACTAGGCCAGCCAGAGGCCCACCCGATGTGCTTCTGCAAGAGTGGCCCGACCGAGTCCAGGACACCCAGAGCAATAGGTACGACGAGAACGTTCCAGTAAGGGAAAGGCAGCCGCACGAGATGCGCAGTGATCATCTGGCCGACAGAGTACGCGTTGACAAGACCGGCAAAGACGACGAAGGGAACCAAGTGCTGTGTGCGGATGAGGGGTTGCAGGTACAGGTAGGCCACGATCCACGCCCATGTGGCGAAGAAAGGCACAAGACCCAGCAAGGCGCCACGGCTGCGATCGCCTCTAGCTCTGCGAGCCTCGATGACGTTACGCGCAGATTCGTACGTGTTGAAGGCAAGGACAAGAATACCCTGGGCCAAGTACCACTGCGTGAAGTTAAGGCGGTAGATGGCCTCGGGAATGCCCCAGGTGCTGGGCACACCGAGTGTAGCCAACATACTCTGCTGCCAGAAGCTGGCGCCCCCCTTGTAGCCGGTGAAAGCAAAGATAAAGACCAGGATGAGGATACCTTCGACGGGGCCGTTTACTATTCCGAGGGTCAATGTCTTGGTGTGGTACTCGTCCCAAGTCTGGACGTAGAATGTGCATAGAGATGCAAAAAGCGTTGCAACCGTGTACCAAGAGTGACCCATATTCTGAGACCCAGCGAAGATCAAGACCTCGAGAGACGTGTTCAGCGCATCAACGCCATGGTCGAAGAGCTCGCCGAGGGGGCCGGACTGGTGAGTGCGACGTCTATATCATGGAGCTTGTTAGTGCCACGGCTTTCCCACATCTCTGAGGGGGGATGGGATGAGACTCGGAAGAGACATACGCTTGCGATCCATCGACGGCATCAAATGTCTGGTACAAAAACAGGCCAACGGCCCAAGAATAATACACCCAGGGCGGGCAGTTCTGGTCGAGGGTCGGGTTGTACCACAGTAGGGTGAAGAAGTTGGCGATGACGAAGCAGAAACCGGTCAAGGTGATCAGGTTGGGGGCCATCCTCATGGGAAAGCACTTGATGACTACATTTGTGTAGAAAGGCTTGAGAATGTACTTGGAGACAAGGGAGTGGTCAACTGACGAATACTTGTATAGCTTCAAGTTCGGCAGGTACTTCTCTCGCACGTAAACCATGTTTACGGTTGACTCGCGAGGGCGAGGTTCTCTTTTCCTGTTGATGTACTTTCCACGGATAACAGCAAGTTGTTGTGATGATGCTATCTATGACTGGAGCCGCACGGAGTTGCTCTTTGGCAGACAAGTAAACGTTATGCAGATAGGATAGATAGCTAGCTACTGTGAGAAATAAAGTTAACTATCGGGCACGCGGGAGCCAATTCAAGGAATTTGTGCGCGTATCAAGCTTGCTTTGAACACAAATTGCAACGTCATATTTTGGCCCTTGCTGCCAAATTTAGCGCGCAGGTTCGCGTTCTGCCACCCAGCGGCGCTACACCACTTGGGATCTAGCGTCTCTGCATTCCATGTCCTCTGTGACATCTGCTGCCAAGCTGCATACCACACCCCACCCTTCTTTGTTGTTTCCGCTTGTGAATGGACCAGAGTGCCTGCCAGGCAAGGGCGGCGTTGATCTCTGGAATCACTGAACAAGTCGTTCGCAAAATTTGTAATGTTTTCACTAGGGAATTCGAATATAGAAGACCAAATGGATGAGTAATATATGTTGTTGTGTATTGCACTGTTGTGTGCTTGTGTGGAAGACTCACTCGTGGACAAAGTCTCAGAATAGGAATAGACTGCGTCTGTGTACATACAGTACCAACATTGACTGAAGCTTGCTATAAATCCCCCACTTTTATGTTCCGAAGCACTTATCCTTGCTTGTGGCTGCCGAGGGCGAGAACTCCTGACTGACATTGGCCCTGACTGTGGACGATGGGTCAACACCAGCCCACAGTCCTCAAAGTGACTTGGTAAACCCAAACATTTCCATCATTGATATCACATTATTCCAACTCCTCCCTCGCGAGAAATATAAACTCAGACCCTGCACAAGCTGCCATCATGCGGAGGTGTATGGGCATATAGATGCTGTTCTAGATAGAGGAAGTTTGTCTATCGTTTCGGGTTCATTTGAACTTGGGGCGGTGAGGGTTTTGACTGCCCATACCTGTTGTACCTGCGCCGAGCTGATTCTTTCAAGGTAAATGGTCCGTCTTGAAATTAATTTCTGAACATCATCTTTGCCCAGTAATCTTGTACTCTTGTGGCAAGTGCCTGACAGATCCCGGGCTGTCTTATTATGAGGGCTAAAATTATATGGGAGTAGGAGCTACAATTGTTGAACCAAGTACTTGCAACGCCTTCAAATTATGTATTTTGGAGAGATGGATCTTCTTATGAGCAACAGCTAGGTGAATTTATCGTTCTTCATATATAAATGCCTACAAAAGCAGCTGAGACGGCAATACAGCCCTACATTTATAGCTTCATGTTTCTGAGGCACAATAAAGCATAGGCTCCAAGTACAGCTACGAAGGTAAACGCCGTCTTTCCTAGATGCCCGGTTACACAGGCTATGGTTCGGTGGCTTGCCTTGAAGGTAGGTTGAGGTAGTTAGTGGAGTGGGACGAACGCGCTTTCATGTGTTGTGAAATTAGTTGTTTTCCCCCGTCACGTTTGGAAAGGAATATTTTCTCCGCCGAGCTTTCGGTCAGAGTATCTTTTCTGCCCCGGTGGAGGTTTAAAGTATCCTCTGGCGTTGTCGACCGCACCCTGCTGATCCTTCACTGCCCGTTACAAACGGTAAAGTGGGTGTAAATCATTTCATTCGCAATATTTGACCTTCCATACGCCCCCTGGTTCATCCCCACGACATCCCCCTTTTGGCCGCTTTTGGGTACTAAATGGAGTTCTTTCGCAACCGAGCACGGTCTGTTGTCGTCTCGGCTAATATGTCTATAGTGCACGTCCTCAATATCAAAGAAGCCACGCTTGTCTTTACTCGGGAATAACGCCTTTGTAACACTATCATTAAGCGACGGACGCGATGATGAGAGCCGCTACATTCTCCTCTTCGCTGCGTACGGTAATCTTCGTGGTTACTCCCGACTTCGACGAGTATGCCATTCTGATGATGGCCACAACACGTCCTCCGTTTACCGTCTTACCTAATAGCTTGAGCTGGTGCGTGGTCTGGTTAAGCGGCACATCTGTGCCCTCCAAGGGCTGCAGTGAGAGAGTCTTGGCTAGCTGCTCTGTGGCATCTGTAGATCAAGTTAGACATATAAGCTAAAGAAAAGGCGACACAATATGAGTTGCTGTGTCAGCTTACCTGCTATGCTGTTGATACCAGACAACTGCAATGTTTCCTCGGCTTCCTCCCCGGAAGCACCAACTTGCTCCCAGATGTGTGCAAAGTTTCCAGCAAATGCAGGGATAACATAGTCACTGCCAGCCAGGTCAAATTCACCAATCTCGTACTCATCGTCATAACCAGTGTCCTCTGCCTCGTTCGTCGATGGGTCGATTTCTTTGCTGGTAAACTTAAGTATGTTGGAAAAGGTGCTGGTGGGCATTGAGCCCTCGCCATTGACCTTCTGGAAGGCAACATAAACTTTGCCAGGCTCGTCTGTGGGAAGCTTCTCGGCCTGAAGAATAAAAACCTCCTCAAGCTCTTCCTCATCCGAGGGAGTGGCGACCACGGAAACATTCTCCAAAACAGTAGCGGGAAGCGTGTTCTTGACCTCAAATTGAAGAACAACGTGCTCCTTGAAGAGATGCTTGACGACGCTGACAACATATTCTGTCTCAGCCTCGGTCAGTTCAACAACAGGCGATGACTTGAGGACGGCGCCAAACTCCTTGAGTTCTGGAATGGCCAAGAGCTCTTGAGAGTGTTTTTGCTGAGCAGCAGCCGCGGAAGCTTGAGCCTCTGCGCCAGTCGTAGGAGTCTTGGTAGGGCCGGCTTTCGGTGGCTTGAGAGACGGAGTCGTAGCAGTGAGCTTCTTTGTTCGGTCTTCCGCATCTGCTTGCTCCCTTGTGACAATTGGGATGCTGCTGACGTCGAAGGATGTGTCGAAAGTGCTTTTGTCGTCCGAGGTAACGTACATGACCAACTGATGCTCAAAGTACGGGAGGGAGAACATGTTCTCATTCTTGATGAATCTCTCCGCTGTCTCATCCTCCTGGTGCATCAGCCTGAGGTTGAGCGCCGCACGGTCACGGACCTCATCGTCGACATCGTCCAAACAACGTGTCAAAAGCACATCCACGCTACGCTTGACTTCGGGGTCCTTCTGACCAACACCAAATTTGGCCAAGGCAGTGACAGCAGCAGCTCGGACGATGGCGTTCTCCAAAACAACACGGTTGTAGATGTACCGGATGTACTTGGTAGGCTGTGACGTCTTGGGACCCTCGAGACCGAGGAGATGGAGGATACGAACAGCCAGCTTGGTGAATTCGCAATCTTCGATAAACTCGCAGAGGTGGGCGAGAGCATCTTCCTTGGATTCCGGCACAAACTTGATAAGATCGAACATGCTCTCCACGACAGCGCGCTTGAAGTCATAACCGCCCTCATCACGAAGAATACCGCTAAGGAAAGCGAGCATACCAGCTTGCTTGCTAGGGAACTTGAGACAAAGTGTTCGGATAGCTTCGACAATGGTGATCTTGAACTCGTCGGTAATCTCCGACATAAAACCACTGATCTGCTTCATCAGACGGTCAACCGACGCTTCGTTACCAGTCTTGAGCAGAGTTGTAATGGCAAAGGTGGCAATGGATCGGTTGCTATTCGAAATGAGAAGCTCGACATCAGGGTTGCAGATAGCGACAGCCTGGGGCTTGAAAGAGGCGAAGTTGTGAAGGATCCGAAGAGCAGCGAACTTGGTGACGGCGCGAGGTGAGGAGAGGAAGAGTTGAAGCACATGGACAGCCTGGGTGACCTCGTTGTCGGTAACGTCGCGCATGTCGCAAATGGCCTTGGCAGCCTCGAAATTGACCATCTCACTCTTGTGTCTCAACCAGCCATCCAGCAGCGTCATCATGGGTTTCCTGAGCGAAGGGTCCTCCTCGGCTAGTTGTGCGGCAAGTCGTACCAACATGACCGTGGCAGCGGGACTCTTGACGGTGCCGGGCTGGCTGTATTGTTGAACCATCTTGACCAGGGCCATTCTGTCGTGGGACCTGATTTGGTATAGGAGGCCAATGGCATGATACTGCGCCATGGTAGAGTTGTTGGTTGGGATGGAGCCTGACCCCGAGGAGAAGCCACCGAGGAAACCTCCCGAAGACTTGGACGAGGCAGCGGCCTCCTGGGTCTCGGACTGCCATCGGCGGACGACATCCTTGGCAATCGGGAGCAGGTGATACGAGGAAACGAGGGCGGCCGACGATACTGAGGGGTTCTTATCGACAATTGCGGTTTTCATGACACGCTCAATGGACTGAACGGTAGTTGCCTGTGAGACACGAATGTCAGTAAGAGTCGGTCAGATGTGGACAGGACATGGGCATCGTACGTCAATAATCCGACACAGAGCTCGGATAGCATTAGGCCTGTAGATGGCATCTGTGCTGCCACCAGTATCTTTCATGATGGTGCTTGTGACCATAATAATGTCCTCGGCCGAGTTGGCAATCTCCTTGATGACAAGGTGGACCATCTGGCGCAAGCTGGCATCTTTGTTCTGGAACAGCTTCGAGATACCGAAGAAGAGGTCTGTGGCTTCGCGAGTCGGGAACTTCTCGCCGGTGTAGAGTAGGAGGGCGATCTTGGTCAAGAGGATACGGCATCTTCGAGGTTGGATGGGGGAACTGTTGAATAGCCGAGCTGGATCGCCATATCGTGAGCTACCGCCTTCAAGTACAAGTGCCCAAGGTGAAGGTAAAGTAAAGCAGAGTAGTGGGGGACGTAATTAGGAGCAAAGCACTTACCTTCCTGGAAGACCTGAACTCGGTCGACCTTGACCAGGCCAAGGTCGGCATCTTCGTCTTTCTTGCCGTAACTCATGGTGGGCAATCTGGCAGTTACGGAAGTGGTCGAGGACGGGAGAGCTGGTGATCTATAATCATTACACACAGCTTTACGCTTTGCTTGGGGAATTTCGATTCGCGACGTTGTCCAAATGTCGGTTCCAGCCTGTCACTTCCAGCGGGTGGGTCCTGCCAGATGCTCCACTTAAACGAGCCAATGAGAACGTTATCTGAACCCCCTAATTGTACCTAACCTTGGGTAGCTACGTTACTGTACTGTAAAGGTGTCAAATCATATCCATGGCTGGCTGCGTTCGTCATTGTAATTACCTAGCTGAGGAAAGATCATATGGAAAGAAGACATCATAGATTTATGCTTTTTCTTCTTCTTTTTAGTGAAGAAAGGCCGACGAACTGTTCGTCATGCGCCCTTGTCCATGAGTCTTTGGAAATATACGTGCTCATACACAAGAGGACGTCAATGACCCCGTGGTTTCTGCTCTACGAGCTTCATAACATTTTCCGCAAATCCTTGAGTACCACCATACTTCTCCATGATCGCGTCCAAGTCAATGGAGTCGTACTCCTCACTTCTTGTCCTGCCAATCAGACCAGTATTCCTTGTACTCGGTATTCTGAGCATTTCCGTCTCCACTTGCCATCCGCAATCCGCAGCTATCTGCGCCACCCAAACCACAAGAGACGCATATGCTGAGTGTGACTTGTCTTTTTGTTTCGGTGCGGGCGCGCGGTATCTTGCTCCTGTAAGGTTGTGACTGCAACATGGGATCATGATGAAAGGGCACTTGGATGCCGCCGCCAGCAAAGGTGTCCACGGTGTCAACTCGTCCGCATGGTTCGAGATGATGAAGGTGCCTGCAGGAAAGCGTCCGTCATGAACGAGGTCGTTTGGCACGCTGTCCTGCTGGGGTTCTGTGTGGATGAGGGATGGAAGAAGGACATGCTGTCTCAGACTTGGGTGGCCATCTAGGTCTGAGGTACCATCGGCCTCCGAGTTGTAGTTCTCCCATGATTTGCGCTTGCGTGCATCGAAGCCCCAGCCTGAGTAACCTTCTTGACGAAGAATGTGCACCAAAAGGCCGTTACCACATCCTATGTCGACAAATCCCGGGAATGGCTTGTCGCGGTACATCTCAGCCCATAGTTCGATGAGAAACGCCGCGATACAAAAGTCCTCGAAAACATGCTTGGTAGGATCTGTCGATTCTGCCCAAGAATCGATGAGTTTCCGGGCATATCTCTGCTTCAGTCTGGCATAGGTAGTCTGTAAAGCAATTTGGGGGACAACAGTGTCGTGATGCACCCGCTTGACATAGCCAGCAACTGCACCCTGGCCATGCTTGTGTAGTACTGTGAGTAAGTTCAGGGCTGTTCTAGCCAATTTCGGGTCACGATCTTCATGTTCATAGAAGTGGTAGTGAAGAGATATGGTGCCTTGACCCATCTCGGCATTCCACTCATGTAAGAATGCCAGCGCCTGAACTCTAGGATGATAGAAAGGAATTTCGGACTCAGAAGAGACGTGGGGGTTGTATACGACCAGAGTCTTCCCCGCCTCACCTTGGCCACCATGATAGATGATGCATGTCTGATCTAGAGGCTGGTCTCTTTGAGTGTTTCTTGGAATGAGCCTTCGTACCAGGCTCTTGTCCACGATGAAGTCTTTGAAGTGGATAAGCCGTGGCTGAGCTCTGGCAGATTCCGGTGTACCAGTTGTTGCCTCTGCAGTGCTTTCGTACAAAATATCAGCTCGAAAAAGCCATGACGAATTGATGTTCGGGTTCCGTATCAAGTTCATCATGACTTTTAAGAAAGCGATCGAGTCAAAAGTACATTCATGGTGAAACAGAGGTTCCCATCGGGCTTCAGATAAATCTTGAATCACAGGTGGGGAGCCTGCGGCGTACTCAACTGCCTCGAAGCCCATGACTGATGGTCTGTCTTGCAGTGCAAATCTGACACAGTGACCAGTGCCTGGATCAAATATCAGATCCAGGCTACCTGGGTAGAGATGTTATGTCGCCCCAGCCATGCTTACCTAAATGTTCCGATCAAGGCCAGTCGGACAGTGCAGGAAGAGTGTTTGAGAATCCGTGAGTGTTGGTATTAAAGAAAAGAGAAGAAGAAAAGTAGATTTATGCGATGGTAAATTCTACTCTACAGAGTTTGCTAAGCAGCTTCTCGCAGCCTTTGTGTGACACAACCTTGGACCAGGGTCAATGCCGAGATCTGGACCCACCCGATGCCTCGGGGATATCTTTGGGGGGGAGTGAGACAAAGGGGAACAGGCGTCGAAGGCCCTCGATTTTTCTTTGTTCTAGTGCTCGTGCTCGTGCTTGTGATTTTGCTTTTGCTTTTGCTTGTGTCTGTACCCCACTGAAGAGCCAGGTGCGACAGAGCCAAGGTTAGGCAAGTCACCTAACCTAGCCCAGACAGCCACCTGCCCTGGCGCAGAAGTTGCAAGGCTGCCAGGTGACCTGCACTTGACGTCTTTTTGGCGTGACTCTGACCTTTCTGACTCCCCTCCCTCTTCTTCGCCCCCGCGCCGCAGGAGAAGAGTACCGTGCGTCCATTCCCGCCAATTCATCTAATCTCATCCACCTGCAACCCATCCCACCACCGCTCTCGAGTCTACTTACTAACTACATCACATCACACCACAGTCCACTACATTACATTCCACAGCCACCAGCGGCATCTTCAATAGTTGAAAACCATCACCCCAACCTCTACTCTATCTATCTCCAGATCGTCGCGAAACTTGACCGTTTGTCGCGCAGTCTCGAGTCTCCCCCCAAACAAACTCTTTCCCCCAGTACCCAGGAAAACTCGAGTTTATGTCCATCGAAAACCTTAAGACCTACGGTACGTCAATCTCTTTTCATATCTGTTGGTCACCATCGCCATCACCATCAAGTTACCCGTGGCTCCGGCGCCAGCTGTATAGCTGTTCTCCCATCAGAAATCCCAAGAAGAGAAAAAAAATCCATTCATGCCTCGGGGCCTCCTGGCATTCCCCTCCATCTTATATCCTTGTTGTGAGCTTCTCCCTTCGATGGAATGCTAACCTTGTCCGCACACAGACCCCTTCGCCGAGGCCGACGAGGACACCGGCGAAACCAAGCAGGCGTCAAATTACATCCATATTCGTATCCAGCGTACGTAGAATATTATCTCCCCAACCTGCCCCCACATCCCCGCTCTCTACTTGATATGACTCGCGAGACCACGTGTAATGGTGTCACCCAACATGACAGTCCTTGCAAGAGTATATTCTGCAGCAGCTGCACACTGCCCCCAGTTCGCTCGTTGACCATGTTGCTGACTCTCTCCTGCTACAGAGCGAAATGGACGCAAGACCTTGACTACAGTCCAGGGTCTGCCGAAGAAATTCGACCAGAAGAAGATCTTGAAGGTCATCAAGAAGAAATTCGCCTGCAATGGCACCATCGTGAACGACACCGAAATGGGCGAGGTCATCCAACTTCAAGGAGACCAGCGCAAGGATGTTCAAGAATTCCTCGTCGACAAGAAGGAAGGTCTAGAGCTTGATCCCAAGACCATCAAGGTCCACGGTTTCTAAGCTGACCGCTGCATGCCCTCGTTGTCCTGGTCTAAGCAAAGCCTGCACCACATGGTGGTCAGCTGCAGTCCATGGTAGTCAGGCAGTTTTGTCCCGCTCCAGCCTATCGGCGGTGGGCATCTCTGGTTGGCCGGGATCTTTCGGCACTGCTTCTGGTCATTGATTACAGGCGTTTAACGGACAGGCACGAGTTATAGGCATGATACCCCCTCACCGAGGATATGGCGATGTTTTGGAATGACTTTTACTGGCAAAGGAGTCTTTTGTTTCTTGCCATTCGTTGGCTTTCGCAAGGAATTGTGACACAGGCTCAGGTCTTGCACTGCATGACTCTCGTTCGGATTCTGCAGGCATGGCGTCAGATAGGCAATGGAATGGGCGATTCCCGAAAATATTTGGCTTCTTGTGAATGTGATATGCTGCCGTGACGTGGAGTTTCATGTAGAATTTTATGTTGAATCATCGGCCTCCCGACACGACAGGAGACTATCCGCAAAAACCGACAACCTGCAGAGATACACTTCAGAGGCCATACACACGATTTCTATCGCGACTTCCTGTTCCTGTGCATTGTTAAGCATTTTGTCGGCTGGTCTGCATTGTACATTACGGCGAGATGTCAAGAATAAATAACAGCTATATCAGCGGTCTACCCTTTCAGTTCTTGAGAAGGGGGAAGGAACATGGATTCCCAAATATACACATGAAGTACACTATTGATACATTCATTCCAATTGAGTCCTCGAGCTATCGCATTTTCGCGGGTGATTTCCCGTCAGCAGCAGCCACGACTACTTGGCCTGCTCATCTGTCAAGGCCTTGTATCCCTCGACCTCGTCAATGTGACTTTGGACTGTGCTGTCCGGCAGGGTTCCCCAAATCTTCCACGGCCCCTGCTGCCAGGTCTTGTCGTCCACGTAGCTCGTCAGCACGATGTTCTCCCGCATGGGCTTGGCCTTGGAGGTCCCCGGCACCTCGACGCCGCCCCTCTTGCCGTCGATGGTCACGATGCGCTGCGTGCTGGACACGGCGACGACGGCCTGGCGGACGGTGCGGTTCTCGCTCGGCGTCAGGGGCATCATGGCGATCCTGTCGTCGCGGACGCTGCAGCTGGCCCGGCCGCCCTCGAGCTCCCACCGGACGGTCCGGCCCCTGGGCCGCGAGTCCACGACGCCCGACAGCCTCTCGTACAGCTCCTGCGTGCAGACGCGCTTGAGCTCGTCCTTGTCGCCCGAGGCGATGGCGCTGTTCATCCGCGCGTGCAGGTCCCGGGCGGCGGGCGCGATGGCCGCCTTGCGCATCTTGAACAGCGGCCGCGACTTCCACCCCGGCTTCGAGTACACCTTGTGGATCACCATGTACAGGTAGTTGATGAACCGGTTCCGGGTCACCAGCCAGCCCATGTGCAGGAAGTCCTTGAGGCCGCGCGGCCACTTGGACATGGGGGGCGGCACGAACGTCATGGGCACCAGCACCGAGACGTTGTCCAGGCTGACGGGCAGCGACTGGTCGCGGCTATAGGGGTTCTTGCGGCTCGCGGCGGGTGATCGGCGGACGGGCTTCTTGTTGAGGGACCTCTGGACGCTGAAGGGTCGCGCGGCGAGGAATTCCGAGGGTGTAGTTGTGCTCGTCGTCCTGCTGGTGGGTGCCCTCAGAGAGCTGGGGGTGAAGATGGACCGGCGCGCGTATAGGGAGGTAGAGGGCGAGGAGAGCCATGGCTGCAGGAGCCGGGCTGCTTGCCTTTCGGCCATGATGGATATTCTGAGACTCGAGACCGAGCCGCTGATCAAGAAAGAGCCCGTGAGGCGGTGATGGTCGTGTTACGGGGTACCGGTTTCGCAAATAACCAGGCGAACTACTCGGAAGCACTGGCCGTCGACCTGGCACAGAGCTCCAATCACCCTCGAAGCTTCAAAAAATTTCCAGAGCCGCGGGCTTGCTGAGAAGCAGGGGTTCGCACAAGGCTGGCCAATGAAACCAGCCTGGATGTAGCTCCAGAATCCCCTGTCGGTCGCTAAACTTTAGAAGGCCTGGCTGCCGGTCGACCCCCTATCCATCCCACCTTGCAATGACCTCACAGCTGCCGTTTTACAGGCGGTACCTAAGTCGGGGTATCAATTCCACCTATCCACCTCCACCTTCGCCTGCGTACATATGCATATTGGACAAGAAAGGAAAACTGGTTTGTCTGCTCACGAACATGCTCGGGGCTCGCACGTGCTCAACCCTCCATTACTAAAGCCTCGACTATCCGACCCGTTTGCTGCTTAGTCTACATGCATTCGAATCGTATAACCAATTACATAATTGGGAGTAATCTGACCAAAACCATAGAATAATCACACACCCCCCTCCGGACCCCCCAATCCGCAAGCTGGCCAGTTGATGGCCGTACCCTCGACCGACGATGAAGCGGCCAGCGAGAAGCAGAACGACTCGCCCGTAGTTTCAATGTCCTCCCTGCGGCCACGGGTCGCCGTCGTGCTGGGCATACCGTCGGTCTGGCACTATCCCCTGTTCCTCTGCCGGCTGCTGTCCATTGCGCCCGCCATCCTGTGGGGTCTGCGTTTTGCCTTGCGCTTCCTGATCACCGACTTTCTCAGGAGCGAGTTTTACAGATCTCAACTCGAAGCTCGGGGCTTGGACGATGTGGCCAGGATACGCATCGTTGAGGTGGCACACACGGACTGGTCAGAGACGAGGCTCAGGTTAACCGAGACGGCGCTGTCACTTATATGGGTATGTCTCCATGGCACTGTTCAAGCTCACAAGACGAAACGAGGAAGAAAAGAAAGAAAAGAAAGAAAGAAAGAAGAAGACAACGTTCTGAATAGCTAAACTGATCGATCCCTTATCTTTACAGTGCGGGTCTTCTGCCCATCTGGCCTTTATCTTCGCCGATTGCCTCATGTCCAGGTGGCTGCTCAACTACACACCCCAGGCGACCATCATCCGGCTGCTCACCCTCTGCACCATCTCCGGCTTCATCGCGCAGAAGGTCACCTACCTGCTCGGTGCGGACCGGTCGCCGCTCCTGCTCCTGCCCGCCTGGATCGGCATCGCCACCACCCTGACCGTGTGCTACCACGTGTCCCAGCGCCGCATCAACATACGCAAGGAGACCAAGTCCAGCATCAGCATTTTCGGCATCGCGAGCTTCATCAGCCTCGTCGCCCTGTTGGTCAACCAGCACATGGGGATCCCCGCCAAGAGGGACTACCCCGAGATACCGCTCACGGCCGTGTTGGGCAGAGCCGCGGAGATCGGGGGCCGGGTGCTGGTCACGCTCCTGGGGGTGAACGGGGAGCGGGATGGGCTGTAGGATATGCTTCTTGTTGCTGGTATTTCTTCTTTTGATGCAATGAATGCGAGGCGTTGGGGGAGTTTTACGTCAGTATACCCTAGACTGGCTAGAGATTCGCTAGCCAGCAGCGTGGTGCTCTACCTTTTTTCTTTTCCTTTGTTATTTTCTCGCCATGACACCGTTACTAGTCCGTATGGTATATGCCTGATCTGCAGGGAAAAACCACTGTCTGTGGAAGACGTTGAGCACTATTTAAGAATTATATCAATTGGACTTCGGCTGGCATGCTCACATCTGTGTACTTTCGAGGCCTTCTCACCTTGGACGGGCATCCCAACCCTGGCGGACGGTTTGGTTACGCTTGATGTGAAATAACTGCAGGCGCCTAGCTGTTTATTGAAAATACCCTGATGGCATATGGCCACGAGGCATTATTATATCAAAATCCTCTGGGTGCCCCTGGACTCTCATATCATGACTGCTTCATATTTACCATGGATTTCCAGGATTAAAGAAGGACACATGTATATAAACATGTTTGAATATACCAGACTTGCTCGAACCTATTAAGACCATCCGGGTCAGATATTTGAGATGTTGTAAATTGGCGATTTGTGCTCTTGAAACGAGTCGTTTGCCTTTTCACCAAGTAGAAGACGCCAGTAGAGAAGGCCCAGAACAAACAATTTTGAGAAATCTAGTATTTAGAGAGAGCCAAGAATACATCTAGTGGTTGGGGAATACTTTCTTAGATGATCAGTACCGGCTCTCTCACATGCTCACCACCCATCCTTCCACGATATAAGCTACTTGTTTAAAAAAAAAAAGATGAATAGCTATATGACACGGAGTCTTAAGTCAAAGGCTGTCCACAGAAAGATGGTTGGGCTACGAATTGATACTCTGAGCTTTGAATATCTACTCTATTCATTCTAAGTAAAGCCACAAAACTTGAGTCTCACCTGATAAAGCTTAGAGTGCTATCCTCAATCTCGCTGGTGGGCTGTGCAGTGCAGTATGTGCTGTCATTCCGATTGGTCTGATCGAAGTCGTTCAGGGTCAGCTGGGTTGCCGAGTTTGACCGCACGTTGATAAATATCCTCTACCTGTACCTGTACCCAATTCGTGCACCTTGGAATCGACACTGCAGACAGTTTTGATTTGAGGCTTTGATTGATGTCTGGACAAAGGGAAAGTGTATTTACAGTTCACACAGACTATGCATCTCAGCACCTCGGCTGTCTCCATCTCCCATACCTGACGATTGGTGCCACAGGGCGAACCCAATGCTCTCTAGTTCGAATTTATTGATTGATCCTGGGCTCGTCTAATATAACTCTCCTGATTTCCAAAATCGTTCATCATTGTTGGAAGGAAAGGTCGAATTTAGGTGGTCTTGTCCTTGTTGTGGTAGTTGACGCTGTCGTTCCAGAACAGAGTCTTGTCGCCGTTGCCCCAGGGGAAGTTCTTGGAGCGGATGTTCTGGTAGGGGTACTCGACGCGCTCCTCCAACGCGGGCATGTGCGACCAGTGCTCCCAGTGCTCGCTCCACAGGTTGTAGGCGTTGATGCCGGCTAGTAGGATGCAAGGGATGACGCCGCTATTTCGCTTGTTAGTCCTGCATATTTCGTTCTCTTCTCAGTTGGGTTCAAGGCGGACACGGAGCCGCTGGTTTATCACAAGAAGCCCATGGTGTATTGGCCTTCTCGTCTGATCGTTGTTCGCATGGGTTCGGAAATCGCTCAGTGTGCAAGGCAAGGCAAGGCGAGGCAAGTGGGGTGAAGGGCTTACTAGATGGAGATCTTGCGCCAGAGATCTGTAGAGTGTCAGCAATGTAGTTCTGGAGCTGTTGCAGGTCAATTGGCTTCCAATGACGCACCGGTGGTGGCAGCAGCGTGCTCCTTGACGGCCTGACGCTCCTTGATGAAGGCGTTCTCGGTCGAGGCGAGACGGCGCTGCATGACAGAGCGCATGACGGGGCTGCGAACAGCGCGGGTGACGTTGCGTGCGGCGAACATTTCGTTGTGGTGGTTGCTGTGCAATTGAAGAGGGGAGATTTTTCTTTCGGGTGTTGAGGTAGAAGTGGTACGACGGTCGAATCGGATGAGGTCAGTTTGGAAGCACTGCAAGAAGCTCGCCTAGTGCGCTCTGGCGGACTGGAGCTTTTCGTGGTCTGGGTGCCTGAGGCCGACAGCTGTCAATTGACACACTCACACACTCCGTCCGCTAGACTAACTAGTTAAGTTAACGCCGACGAATTGCGGGTGACTTTTGGAGTCACCTGCTTTCGTGCTGCTGCCGTGATAAAAGAGTGGACCCGCAGCTCCCCCCCGTTAGGTGAATTGAATTGAATGGGCTGAATGGCGTCAAGACCCCCCAGGTTTCGAATAGACATGGCATAATTAGCTGGTGTTTGCACTCGCTCGCTCAATCGCTCCGCTCCGCAGGCAAGCCGTCGACAAAACTTAGACCAACTCATGATTGGAACCAGTTAGATGTAATTTGATTTCCTCCTACAAAGCAAACACAGGGGTGATTCTTTTTCGCCCGTAACATAAACCCTACCTCAAAACCATTAAAGCGCTTCCAGGGCATTGAAAGCTGTTACGACTACAAAACGAGCATCTCATTTCGGCCATCGTTCGCCTTCCTGCTGAAGCCAACGATTGGATGGTCTCGTAAGAACCCGCTATTTCGCTCCGAGGAGCTTTCTTCTCCCGTTCGGCTCAGGCGGTGGGAGAGATGATAATGGGCATAAGTCATCCGGCTTGAGTTTATGAGCAGTCGCCAAGATGGTGGTTAGAATTACATCTTGGAATGTGAATGGCATTCGAAATCCCTTCAGCTACCAACCATGGCGAGAGAAGCGGACATTTGCCTCGATGTTTGACATTTTGGAGGCTGATATTGTCGTAATGCAAGAAGCCAAGATCCAGCGCAAAGATCTACAAGATGACATGGTGCTGGTGCCCGGATGGGATGTCTATTTCAGCTTACCGAGACACAAGAAGGGCTATTCTGGTGTTGCCATCTATACACGGAACTCTGTTTGTGCCCCAATCCGTGCTGAGGAGGGAATCACTGGCGTTCTCGCGGGGCCAAACTCAACTACAAGTTTTCGTGATTTACCCCAAGACCAACAAATAGGTGGGTATCCTAAACCAGGTCAGCTTTCCGGTGTGGTCGATGAAGCGACTCTCGATTGCGAGGGCCGGTGTGTCATCCTAGAGTTCCCCGCCTTTGTTCTTATTGGAACATACAGCCCGGCGACACGAGACGAAACTAGAGACGATTTCAAACAGTGCTATTTAGAGGCGTTAGACACTCGTGTACGCAATCTAGTAGACATGGGCAAGCGGGTGGTGCTTACTGGAGATCTCAATGTCATTCGTGCGGGCATCGACACAGCTAATATTTCAGAGCGACTAAAGAAGGAGGCTCTGGACATGAAGGACTTCTTTTCGTCACCAGGCCGCCGGCTATTCAATCAACTTCTTTTCGAAGGGGAGGTGTACGGTGCTAGGGACGAGGGCCGTGAGGAGCCAGCGCTATGGGATCTTGGCAGGCTGTTCAACCCTGCACGTGAGGGCATGTTCACATGCTGGGAAACCAAGAAAAATGCGCGACCAGGCAATTTCGGAAGTCGTATCGACTATGTCCTGTGTAGCGACAACATGAAAGACTGGTTCATCGATTCTAATATCCAAGAAGGCCTTCATGGCTCGGACCACTGCCCAGTATTTGCAACCCTGAGCGATACGGTCAAGGTGGGCGATGATCATGTCGACATACGAGACATCATGAACCCCTCAGGAATGTTCAGGAATGGAGAACGACTGAGAGAATGGAATACAAAAGACCTACTTCCCTTGTCCGCTAAGCTGATACCAGAATTCGACCGCCGAAGGAACATCAAGGACATGTTCTTCAAGAAACCAAGTGCCACGTCAAAAGCTCCTACACCCACCGAGAGCGACCTGGCACCTGCGTCTGCACCAGCACTAGCAGAAGAATTAGAAATGAGCAAAGCATCATCTCAAACAGACCAAAAGGCGTCTGCGCCATCGCCAGCCAAAGCAGCACCTCTAGGCGTTAAGCGGTCGCCATCTGTCGCAACTTCAAATAGACCCCAAAAGAAAACGAAAGCCACATTGAACAAGGAATCATCTCTCTCGAAGGGCCAAAGTAGCCTAATGGGATTCTTCAAGCCTAAGTCTACAGGAAGTCCTGCCCGGAAACCAACGAATGAAATCGGTCAGACCCCCGAAACCGGATTGGACGGCGCTGGCGATAACGAGCCGAAGTTCGTGGAAGCAGAGGAGGTCAAAAAACTCGAATCGCCGTCGAAGAGTCAAACTCCGGTGTCACCAGGGAGAGTCTTTGACCCTATTGAGGCCAAGGAATCCTGGTCCAAACTTCTGGGGAAGCGGGTAGTCCCCAAATGCGAGCACGGAGAGGACTGCGTCAGCATGCTTACGAAGAAACCGGGCATCAACTGTGGTAAGTACATATTTTTATGTGGTGATATATCACGGAATATCTCAGCAAGTCTATCGCTAATGCCACACCCAGGAAGGTCATTCTTTATGTGCTCTCGACCGTTAGGTCCTTCGGGAGATAAGGAGAGAGGAACGCAGTGGCGTTGTAAGACTTTCATCTGGAGCAGCGACTGGAATGGTTCTCAATCTCAACCGGGCTGAAGCGACACTACCGCAAGGCGTGATTTCCACATCTCCTAGACCCGCATGGCTATGTACAGCAGTTGGGCATCTTGGCGTCAGGAACTGATGATCCGCGCCGCCGCCGCTCAAGCGCTGCTTCTCGAACCAAAGATGCGTATCGCCTTGAGGGCCGAACGGTTACCCAGCCGGAAGGTCCTGTTCACACGTGCTAGGGGTATCATGATGATGCGCCAAGAAAGCCTGGACCTGCTGCCTCTCTACAATCTCAGGATATGGTGGTAATCAAGGAGTCCGTCGATCAGCCCGTCGTAGGCTGATAGTATACTACCTACCAGGTAGCTACAGAAAATACATAGCTTTGAAGTGGGCCTCAACCGTGCAAGCCGTCATAAACGCATGTTCATGTAATCCCGATCCCATATTTCGATAAAACTGCGCCCCTCTCCATCTCGTCCATCTCCTTTCCCTACGCAGTGGGACGACATCCGGGCAACAGAGGTTTCCCCTTTCGAGAGTGCGCGGTGAGTTACTCCTGCCTATCCGAGAAGTAGGGATTGCTAGTTACGTTTGGTCAATGCATTGCGGTGCATGCACTTCCGTTTACATTCCCGCGGACGAAGAGAATCGTTCGGAGGGCTTGTGCGCAGAATGTCGAGTCTCTACTTGATATTTGAGGCTGAACACAGGACGCCATTTCAGGGTTTGAATACTCATTCAGGCGTGTTTCAAGCAACACGTTGGATATCTTAAAGTGCAAGCGGAGAAACAAGTGAGATGGGGTCGTGGTTGAATAAAGCAACGAAGTAGTAAACGCTTGTTTGGTCACGTAACTCCTCATGCGTCGTAGCACACATCAGTCCAAGTCGTCAAAGTCCTAGTCGGCGTCTTGCGGCCGGCGGCGACGACGGCGCTCCTCAAATTCAATCTCGGGGGCCCATTTGTTGTTGATCACTCGACCGCTGTCGTCGAGATCGTCCTCTTTCCTCGTAGGATTCTTGCCAAGCAGCCTGACGGCCTCGATCTCTTTCTTGCCAAGTGCCACACCATCGAACCCTGCGGGAAGCGGGAAATCCGCCTTCAGGAAATCAACTTTGGTGTTGCGTGCCTTGTCGCGTATTTGTTGCTGGGTTCGATAAGTGGTAAAGAGCCCAGCATTCTCCATATCGCTCCATGCACACATATAAACCGGTATAGCATTAATGAGTGCAGTCGTGTCTTCGTCGGCCCATTTTTCGCGCTTCTGTGGCGGCCTGTGGAGACGGTTCGCTGAGTCTTCGCGGCTCTCACGCGCGACCGCTCTAGCTTCCTGTGTTAAGCGCTGTATGTCGTCCGGTCGTAGGTCACTGGCGTTCATATCAGATCGTGCAGAGCGACTGCTACGATTGACCCTGGCTGGTTGAGACTCCGGGATCCGTGCTCTCTTGAAAGACGATATGGGAACTTGGGAGGCAATGGACGGCCGCCTGCTTCTTTTCAGCGGCCTCTCGTCCAGCTGAAAACTGTCGTCATCATCAGTTCTATTGTCTTCGCTGTCTTCGTGATTGGCTGCTAGTCTCTTGCGGCCGTTCATTTGACTGCGGCTCGGAGCAGCCTGAGAACTACCGGGTCCGTTTGCTGATCCACTCGCTTTTAAGATACTGATGATTTTCTCGGGATTCAGCTTGGATAATGTATTTTTGACTGCCTGCTGGTTCAAGGGTGGTGTTGTTCGTGGTTTTCCACCTGTTGTGTTACGAGGTGGCTCGAATTTCAAACTTCCATCAAGATAGCTTCCCCTGTTTGTATGTTAACATGAGTCATCGCGAATGACCTGTTTCCAGTACTCTGGATTGTCTGAGAACTCACATTCGGGGACCAGTCCTAACTACAGACTCCACAGGTTGGGAGTCAGAGTCGGAGCTGTAGTTTTGATCATCTTGATCGACAAAGAGGTCACCTTTATCTGCGTTGCTCTTATCCATGTGCTCTTCATTCTGTTGCTGTCCAATCGATTGTGATGCTGCTTTGTGAGGGGTTCCTGACGATGTCGCCTCGTTTTGACTGATTTCCGGTGTCACTTCTGTTGAGGGTGCAACACGCACTGGTTCTTTGCCCTTTACGTCTTTCGGAGGCTTGTTGATATCCTTGTATATTTGGTGGGCCCATTTCGTCAGGTCTTTCAGGAGATCTTTCACTGGATAAGTATCCCTCAGGAACTTCAAAGTGTCCCCTGACTTTTTTGGATATAAGTGAGAACACAATTTTTCCATATTCTTCATATGTGTCTCTTTGAGACCCTCAGAGAAATCCAAATCCAGATCCCCGAATGGCTCATAAGGACCATTCAAGAGCGATTCCTTGGCCGATTTGATTGTGCCTGGCATTGGCCCAAGACAAAATATCTGTGCCGCTAATTGCGCCGGGTTGCTACGGTCGGATGCCTCGATACGATCTGCCAGAACACAACAGCGGATCCGGAGCGCCTCGTCATAGGCAGATAAGTCATCGTCTGTGTCGTCTTCAAGCCATTTGAACAGAGCTGGGAAGATTTTGTTCAATTCCTCCAGCACCGGTTGAGCCTTCAATTTACCGTGACTTATTTGCAATGTAAGCTTGAGGAGAAGCGCCGTGTTTACGGACACAATGGTTTTGAACACCAGCCCAGAATATTCGGAATTCTCGAAGCCTGCCAATGATTTACGCATGTTGCGTGGGTCTATAAAGAAGGTGTCCGCGGATGTGATGTCTTGGCGGAATGCGTCGAATTTTCTCTCGTAAAGTGATAATTTGTTCCATTTTCCCTGGTCAAAAGCCCCGGGCTCTGCTGCCGTGACATGATCGCACATCTTGCCAGCCCATAGTCCAAGCTGAGGCAGAATGTCGTGGACGATATCTTCAAGAGAAACCCCCTCTTCTCCGTAGTCGTCTTCTTCTTGATGCCCTTCTTCTTGTTCCGCCTCAGCGGGTCCACTCTCAGGAGATGTTTCATCACGTGAAGGCATACTTGGCAATTCTGAAACACATGTGAGCTGGACCATATCTCCGAATTCGTGCGGAGAAGTGAGAAAGAATCAGATACCTTGTTCTTCAACAGGACTAAACGTTGTAGTCTCATTCTCAAAGTCATTCGTCGCGACGCTCTCAGGACTTCCAAACCCTCGTGTTGGAGCAGCTCGCCTTGGAACCGCAGACGGTTGATAGTGGCCCTCCGGCCTCTCTTCCTTTGATTGCTTGGGCGTTTCGTGCACATCTTTTGCCTGAGCACGAGTCTGAAATCTCGTTGCTCTTGTTGTTGGAGCAGCAGTGTCACCTGCTGCATCCACATCTTTCGCCTTCTTCTTAGCCATGGTATAACAGTCAAACAGGCGCGCAAATTAGAGTGGTTATCGCAACCTCAGCATCAGATGGCCAATGATGATGAGCTGGTTTGATGGAAAACGATTATTCCAGGGTTAGGGTCAAGGTTTACTTGAATGCCTTGTTTACCTTCAAGCTGGCGCAAGCGCCAATCAGCTGGCTGGATGCGGGGCACGGACTCCCTTCTTGCTCTCGTCCAAATCCAGGTCGATTATTTACCTAGGAGATAACTTACATTTTGTGTCATGCGTGTCATACAATCAGGGGGGCTTTTGACATTCTACTGACTACTTGTACTATACCATTGTTCTTTGTGAAGGCGATTTCGTTGGACGTTGAAGTCCCCGTTTCTGTGATACTGGGGGAAGGGGTTTGGGATATTTTGAAGCGTTTACTAGTCTAGAAGGAAACGTCGTCGTGATAATATTTGTTAAGGTGAGACATTCCCACCCCATGGAGCTCATCTGGTCTCGGAGCGGCAGGAGCGGCAAGACCGGCGCTGATGCAGGATGTTCTGTGTTTTATCTCGCTGTAAGTATTGCAGCATGAGACGGGATTGAGAGTGAACATGCTAATCTGTATAGGTACTTGTGAAGCGTGAAACTAGATTGGCCAGCAAGTTCAGAGTTCTATGATTGTGTTCTGGAAAACTATTTTAGGGAGCCGCACTCGAGCCACTGGACGATCTATAGAGCCTAGACTGGCCTTGGACAGGGCTGCAAATTGATGAACTGCCGGGCTTTCAGTGTGTACTGTGTACTGCGCGGCGTACTCCGTATGCGAAGCCACCGACGTGAACGAAGCCTGGGGTGGTATGGTTATGTGCAGATTACTTGTGCAGTATCGCTCCTTTCCCGTGCATGGGCAGTCCTCGACACCGCGTGTGAGCTACCTGCCAATTGATACCTACCGCAAGCGCCTTTCTCTGCAGTGGCAGAAGCAAAATTAGTGTTCACTGTTCACAGCGGGAAGTGAAGTGGTCTTGCACCGTAATGTACCCCTGACCCCCCCCCCTTCCTTAGCGCAGCCCGATCTACAACACGAACACGTCTACGGATCCGTACGCAGACGAATACAGTATGCCAATGTTACCTAACTTTTTTTCCCCCAATCGTCACAACTGCCCTGATCTCAACCTGCAACCCCTGAGTACGCCAACGCCCACGGGAGGTCTCAGCAACAGCACAATCCTTCGTCAGTCATCGTTACGGCTGCTTTGACGGCGAGACAGGAACAAGGCCATCGCCATCTTCAGCGTCTGCCGAGCAGGTTTGAGACTTCAGACGATATCCGAGAGGAGCATGCTCTACGGCTACCGAGTGCCACCAGCATAGTACCCAAACCTAAACCTAGTCCTGCTGCACAACTAGGTCGTAGCACCGTTGCCAGCGACACCCAGTCCGCCTTGTTTCCAACCCACGCGCTCGCTACATAGCCCACAAGTCCATCCGACAGCCCAATCCTCCAGGTTGGCAACACGGAAACACTCCAGCAACCACGGTCAGGCTTCCAAAGCTCGACGATACCTCCCGACGGCCCCTGCTACAGCCGCATCGCCAGACACAATGAAGTTGCGCCAACGACAAGCGCAGCTACTCCTGCTTCTACTGCCTGCCCTCGCGCTCGCATCCTCGTCGCTGGACACCTCCGCCAATGCCGCCGACGACTCGCTAAGTGGCGTCACCAAGCCCAAGTACGACATCGGGACCAAGGACGCTCCCGTGGACGGCAAGGATGGCAAACCCCACGAGGGCCCCTTCGTCGACACCAAGACGACCGAGACGACGGGCTCAAAGAAGGAGTCGCCCAAGATCGAGGACATAGTACCCGACAAGTCGACTTCCAAGAGCGTCGACGCCGACAACGACAGCGTCATGGAGGATCCCCTCCACAAGTCGCCCAAGAAGGGCACTACGGGCACAGAGGGCGGCGTCACTGAGAAGGACAAGGCCAGGAAGGCCGAGGAGAGCAAGACGGGGGAGAAGGCCGAGAAGATCCCCGAGTCGCCCAAGGAGGCCCCTCCCCTACCGCACAGCGAGCACGAGAAGATCATTGGCAGCAAGGAGAACACGGATTCGTCTACGGACAAGTCCTCCAAGAGCTCCAAGGACGATTCACAAGACGATGTCACTGGGTTTGAGAAGCCAGGCAACTTGCCCGACAAGCTACGAGACAGCCCGAACCCGATCCCCAACTCGGCTGCCAAGGACCACCTCGACCTCACCAAGCCTACCAAATCCACCCCCAAGAAGGACTGGAAAGAGGACGCCGATGAGGGCAACCAGGGCGTCATCCAGCCTTTCCATTCCTTCGTCCTCTCCCTGACCATGATCCTGGTCTCGGAGATTGGCGACAAGACATTCCTCGTAGCTGCACTCATGGCCATGAAGCACGATCGTATGCTGGTCTTCTCGGCTGCGTATGGAGCCCTCGTCGTCATGACAGTCCTTTCGGCCGTCCTTGGCCACGCCGTCCCTGCATTGATCCCCAAGCGCTTCACGTCTTTTCTCGCCGCCGGACTCTTTCTGGTTTTCGGTGCCAAGCTTCTTCGCGAGGGTATGGGAATGGATCCCAATGAAGGTGTTTCCGCCGAGATGCAGGAGGTTGAGCAGGAATTGGAGGAAAAGGAGCACGAGGCCCTCAAGGCAGGCCGCCGTCGGTCATCGGTCACTCCTTATGCCATGGAAGGTGGTTATGCGGGACGCAACCGCAAATCCAGGTCGCAATCACGCTTTACTCCTCCCCGCAGCCCCTCCACATCACCGGCAAGAAGCCCTTCGCCTCGTGGCGGGCTTGTCGGAAACGTGGGCTCCGGCCTCTCTAACCTCTTCTCGTTGCTGCTCAGCCCTGCTTGGGTCCAGACTTTTATCATGACTTTCCTTGGAGAGTGGGGCGATCGTAGCCAGATTGCGACAATCGCTATGGCTGCCGGCCAGGATTACTGGTGGGTTACTCTGGGTGCTCTCGTCGGACACGCCTGCTGTACCGGTGTTGCTGTCATTGGCGGCAAGGCTATTGCAGGCAAGGTCAGCCTGAAGATGGGTAAGTGGCAAGATCACAACCAAAACTTGTGCTGCAAGCATGCTAATCCATCACAGTCACTATCGGCGGTGCGGTTGCATTCTTGGTCTTTGCTTTCATTTACTTCATTGAAGCCTTTTATGCCTGAGGCTCCTCGCAACCTTTTTGCTTCATCTCTGTTTTCCTAAGATCTGCCACGTCCTGAATTTATGTAATATAAGAATCTAAGGGGGGCTACCGGTGGAACGCGCCTGTCATAGGTGACAGTGGACTATGATATGCATGGGCGGAGTTTGGGCTCAATACTGCTTAAAGAAGGGTCACTATAGGCGAGGACAATAACGTCTAGGTCACATGTACAAATAAATTCCAAAGAGTCAGGTTCTAGAAAGGTGGAAGTCACTGCTGTGGGCCGATTCGAGAGTCGGCCAAAAAACAACTTTTTCTTGATACGATCGACCGTGGTTTTGCAGAGCTTTCTTTGTATGCAAGCCACTGTCTCACGGTATATGAAGGTTCTTGGCAGGTCACGGACCACTGAAGTCACTAAACTTCTTCTCCCCAACCAAGCCCACTATCGGCTTGTCACTCAAGTAACCTGGTCACTATGACCGGCTGCCAGGCGCTGGGTAGCGTCATACTGCGGTATATTGCTTACTTACAGCTCTAACTAACTTCTACACCGCACTATCGAAACTCACTTGCATCAAGTACTGTCTACGTATCGTAACATTGCTTGCCCCCAATCTTCTAGGAGACTTGCTTCTCTGGCACCGATACGGACCCCCAGGCAAACCATGAATTACCAGATCTCTGGTGTCAGTAAGCAGGAGAACAGATACTGCCAAGTTGTTTGTTTTGCGGTGCGAACAAGACAGGAGACAACCACAAGCCTCAAGGGTAGCGGGTGCCAGGTATATGGGTGTTGGTAGGTATACTACGGAGTCCGGTGCAGAGGACCCCCGCGGGAAACGCAGGTTGGAGGTCCGCGAGACGGAAAAATAAAAAAAGAACGCAGACGACGACATGCGCGCTTTCGCTGTTCAATAAATAAATGAATGAATAAAGACAAAAAGTGATCGGGTATCTAACTTTTTTGAGAACCATAATTTTTTGAGGCAATTTGTGATCGGATGCAACGGGAACAACGCACAGGTTCCCATTGCTGACATTGCAGGCTAGACGGAAACCGCAAGAGAATCGCAGCTGGTGTTTGATAACGGGATCTACCCACGCAGAACTGATTATATATACATATCCATCCTTCGAAGACCCAGACGAACCCCGCATTCCCCATATTCGCGGCCGAATACCCCGAACCATCATAAATACCCCCCCCTCCAAAGTGCGGCTATACAACAGGTATACTCGGAGTCCTAGAAACGAACCAATTCCGAGAGCAAGAGGAACCTATCTGGACGAGAAATCCCAAGAGAATACTCTGCTCGCCGTGCACTCGTACCCTCGCAGCCTGGAGGAGGAGTGGATTCCTCTCTATAGACACTGTTTACAGCCCACGGTCGAACCAACAAGACAATGTCGCACCAACGCAAAGGATCGCAGCTCTGGCAGCCCACATCGCCGACGACCGAGACGCCCGCCAGCCCCCTGGCAGCGGAGGCGCCGGCGAAGCAGGAGCAGCAGCAGGAGCAGCAGCGGGACGCGACGCGCCAGCGCAACCCCGGCCGGCGCATCGCGCAGATCGTCAAGCTCAAGCCCGAGTACCTGGCCGAGTACAAGAAGTGCCACGCCGCCGTGTGGCCCGAGGTGCTGAAGCAGATCAAGGAGTGCAACATAGTCGACTGTAAGTTTCCCCCTTTTCTCCCTGGAGTTCCCTTTTCTTCTTCTTTTGGTTTTCTTTCTTTCTTTTCTACCTTCTCGGCCCTTTATTCATCTTCTAATCACGTATGTCTGTCTGTAATCCTACAGATAGCATCTTCTTCGACGACTCCAGCAACATCCTCTTCGCCAGCTTCAAGTACGTCGGGTACGACTACGCGGGCGACATGGAGAAGATGGCCGATAACCCCAAGGTGCGCGAGTGGTGGGCCTACACGGACAAGATGCAGGACAGCCTGGTGCCCGGCGCCAAGAGCAGCGAGTCCGGCGAGCCGTCGTGGTGGAAGGGGCTCGAGGAGGTCTTCTATTTCAACCGGTGATGAGATATACATATATATATATATATATATATATATCAATCTATGTGTAATCGCAAGATGATTCGGGATTCGGGATTCGAAAGTGAGGTCATGACAGCGCGTGGTGTTTCGGGTATTTAGGAAGAAATGCAAAAAAGAAACGTAGCATAGCGAAATCACAACGTTTTTCTCTTTTGATTCCGCCCCCTTGTTCCCTCTTTTCTCCTGAGTAATGGTCCTCGCTCGTCCGCCAATCTCCCTCGTCCCGGTCTCTTTTCGTTCCCTCTCTTTATTTCAAGCTCCCAAACAGACCCCCAAAGAGCCCCTTCCCGCCACCGCCCCTGCCGCCGTGCCGCCTCGCCTCGTTGCGGATCCATTCCTCGAGCCACGCGCGGTCGGCCAGCTTCCGCGCGTCGGCGGTGCGGGTGTCAGTCTGGGCCTCGCCGGCGTCGAAGCTGAGCAGGGTCGGGATGGCGGTGATCATGTAGCGGGCGCCGAGGTCGCCCGCCATCATGTCCGGGCAGTCGTACTCGACGGTACAGTAGGCGACGCCGCCCTCGGCCTCGCCGGTGCCGGACTCGACCAGCTCCCGCAGCAGCGGCGCCACGACCTTGCAGGTCCCGCACCAGTTCGTCGTCCACAGCGTGATCAGGGGTCGGCGCGACGACGACGAGAGCATGAGGTATGTGTGCAGGTCTTCGGGCCGGCGGACTCTGCGGGTGGGGGAACAAAGGCGCTCTGTTAGAAAAAGACGTTTTGTTTTTTTGGGCAAGACTAGAGACACGCGGCCGCGATGAGTATCACGTACGAGTTGTGGATTATGTTCTGGCCGTTCAATTGTCTTGAGGCAGCGAACGCCCTTCGTGAAACTGGCGCCGCGACCTTCGGGATGACGCCCGGCCTCAGAGCTGTTCGTGCCAATATTGTCCGCATTTTCGTCTCAGTCAGGTATTAGTGTCACAGTGCAAGGTGAGGTGAAGCAAAGCAGTTCTCCGAGAAGTTGCTGTCGCGATTAGAAACATGAGAATTGGCCCGATTTGGCTTTGAACCACGGGTCGTAAACGCAGAAGCTTGTCCCAAAAAGCTTATACGTAACTTAGCAACAAGCTCGGCGCTGAAAGTGCAATGACGTCGCGAGAGTTAGCACCCGTGGGACCCTACATGGTCAGAGGTCCACCTGCGGTCACAGGGGTAGGGGCTCACTGCAACGCTGAACCTTGGCTACTACCCATTGGACTGGTCAAATAAAGGTTGCATTCCAGTCTCCATCCAACGTCAGTTTGTCTTGTCTTGTCTGTCAGAATATGTCCTCTATGCTCCGAACGCCATATTTACCCAATGCATGTATGTTGCCATGCGCAATCATTGGTATATCCCTTCGGCCCCCCTTCGGGTCATCTATATGCTGATTTGATGCCCCTGTAAACAAAGACGTGCCCTCCCATGCCGATTCAAACAAAACGGCAGTAGGTAATTAATCTCAAATGCAAGAATCTCGTCCTTCCCCTAGAACTTCTCCATCAAATTCTTCCTCACCGTCCACATCCTCGCTCGCTTTCCATAGATGTACATGGGGATGGTAGTGAGAACCAAAATAAGCTGAATGACTCCGAGCCAAATATACACCGACTTTGGCCCGTCGTGTTCAAGCCATCCAGTCACGAACAAACTGAACACAAGTCCGTGCAAGACGTTCTTGCTAAAATTCAGCGTCACCAGTGCCTCACCAGCATACTGGCGGTAGCTATCAACGCAGAATGTGATGGACGTGGTAGATCCAAGTGAGCATCCGAACGACACAACACCAAAAAACAGTGTTGGCACGATCCAGTGATCGTTCGCATCCGCAGACCACCCAAACCCCATCAAGCCAATAACCGTGGTGACGGCGATAGGCGCTGCCATTACGAGACGGAACTCGGGCTCGTAGAGACCGCCATTGCGACGGGCCATGGCCTTGACAATCACATCACTGACCCGACCTGCCACCGCCGTGCCTAAAATGCCGCCGAGGAAAGGCGAAATATAGACAAGACCAGTGGCCAGAGCGCCGAACTTGTACGAGCCCTCGCGGTAGATGACGGCGACGGATTCGGATATCACAATGAGCCAGCCAATGGAGCACGCATATATCGCTGAAGACCATAGCACCGCCGGGTAGGCAAACAAGACGAACGGACGAAGTGCGACCTTCCACCACTTATCATTATTTAGGCGACCATGATAGATTTGAAGCTGTTGTCTGAACGATTTTGCCGGCGCTTGGCGTAAAGCATGCGTATATGCTTGACCTCTTGTTGTGACTTGGTGCAATGAGTATTTTTCGCTTTCTGTGTCGGGACTAGTGGTTCCAGCTTCTACACGAGAGATGTCAGGAGGAAATCTTTCGTGACGTGATGAGTTGAAGCTCCTTCGCTCGTGGGTATGAGAAGCAGCATTTGCTGAATTCGGTGCTATAGATGACACAGCTATGCTGTCGGACGCTTGAGCATTAGAGTCGGGCTCAACAGGTAATACCGACGTGTCAGGATGCGAAGGTGTGCCACCTCGGGCGGTGGTATTCGTTCCCAAATTAGTTGTGTGATCGCCTGCTGGGAAGTCTGCTCCTTGACTAGAGGTGCTTGGTTCATGAACATATCCTTGGGCTGTAGCTTGTCCACCAGCGCCCGAAGATTTCCCTGCAACAGGTGCAAAGCCCACGTGCATGTTCTTGTGACGGTGATGCTGGTGCGATGCTGATGAGACAAGGTCTTCGTTTACTTCATGACCAGATTTCGCTTGAGCTGGTTCGCCGCCTACAGGAGGATCACCTTCGTGCTGTGTAAGTTGTGCAACCACATTTCGTGACGACCGTCGGCTGAAAAAGCTCGGCCGCTTAGTAGGTCTCCGAACCCTGGGAACAGGAGTCCTGTCCCAGAAAGTTTCGGGAGTCAGGAAGAACAGAAGAGTTCCGGAAAATGCGACGACAATTGCCACGATCCTGTGAGGATGATCGTCAGTGACTATCTTTGTAGAGAGTTCTTGTGAGTTCATTTACCAGAAAACCCAGCGCCATCCCATGCTCTGAATAATCGCAGCGCTGACCAGGGGAACCAAGTTCTTTCCTCCGAGAAGTAATAGAGTATAGATGCCGATTCTGTAGGCTCTTTCGTGCAAGAAGAAGATCTCGGCTATCGTAGCAGAGGGCAAGCACTCCACAGGGCTGACTGCGATACCCTGGAAGATTCGAGCGAGGATAAGGGATACGAAACTGGGTGAAAGTGCGCACCAAACTGCTGACAGAATCCATATGATGGCACCAAAGAGGTATACTGGGCGTTTTCCGTAGAGAATGGCTGTCGGAGAGAATATAACAGAGCCGAGGCCAAGGCCCAGCATGTAAAGACCTGTCGTAAGCGATACTTTGGAAGTCTCGACATCAAGATCTGAATGTATTGGGTCAGCTTCTATCTTTACTATTTCGCAATCAAGGTGAGTTTACCATGTGCGACGTTAGTGAAGCCCGCTGCCATAAGGGGGGTGATACCGCCTCCGATCATGCAGTAGAGCCCAAGAGAAAGCAACGCCGAATCTCTGCGCCAAGTAGCCCAATTTAATGGATCATTGTGAGAGTCATCGGGCTGTGGCTCGAGGATGATTTGACCATCCTTGGTAGTTTTCTTGTCCTCAACTGCAGGAGGTGGTGGTTCGGGCACGCCTGTTGGTAGTGATGAGTGAGAAGTCCTAGCTGGGGCATTTCGAAGGCCAAGCGGCTCGTTGCGGCCCTGGGCAAGCAATAAGACAGATCCTGTGAACGAGAGTCAGTGCTTGTGTGCCATCTGGTCATTTGCCAGAATGCATACCTGGTACCTCGATGGTTTCCCTGTCGTTCAGCATTCCCATGTTCCACGTTAACCGGGACGACTTCTCCTCCTCAGCCGGGCCAGATGACCCTTCATTTTGTAGCTCTTTTCTTTTGAAAACCCTCTGCCATCGGTGATGGGATGGCTTTGCTTCCTGTGCCATCGTGCTCTTGGGGTGGTCCCTTTGCTAGCTTGAATATGGCGGCCCCTCCGAAGTTTTGATCCCAAACCGAATGATAGATGGAATCCCATATGGATACAATATAATACGCAATTGAAAAAGATGAAATGAACCAGTCTAGCTGTGTTGAGGTATCGTAGGTCTTCGCTTTGTGAAAAGCTGACAATTTCAGATCATAAGGTGTCGTTGGCTCAGCAAGCAATCAAGCAATCAGCGAATCATGCAAAGCAGATATCCCATACATATAAGGAGCGATTCGAAGATCCAAGCCGCGAGTTCCTGAGAGATGAAGTGATATGCCGTTGTACTTGGTTGCGCTGTATGATTCAAATCAGGACTTCCTTCTGAGCAGGCGGCAGGATCGAAGGCGGCAGGCGGACTTCCAACTAATTCCCGGCAGTGGGTTACCATGCGCCCAGGCAGTCTCAAACTCAATTTCAACTGCCAATCTGAACGGCGACGAATGATTTCTGTCGGCTTTCAAACGAATCGACGCAAGATGCCAAAGAGATGGTGAAGTCAACTGTAAATATCCTTCTCGTTCAACCACAAAGTTGATACGACACGTCTTCACCACTACTACTGAGTTTTCACTCAACAATTCCGCGTGGTGATGGAGCAAGATATTCAAGGAGAGAAAGAGTTCGACTCCAGGTATCAACTGGCTAATAAAAGAATGACTTTGGGAAGATCCATAAGATCACCGTGGGGTTGGGTTGTAGATATCTCGACCAAATGCCAGTCTAAACCGAGATATGCCTGATCGACAAACTATGGGGCTTAGAAGCGTGCTCCACATGGATTGACCGCTCACTGCGCGCCCCAAGGGTTCTTCATGATGCCTCAACTGACCCGCCGTGTCAAGCCATTCTGCTGGATTCAGGAAGCACGTTTACCTTATAGCCAATAAGCTGACACGGCCGTACAGATGGGTGTAGTGTATCTGGAGACAACACAATGCAAAGATGGTCAGCTGGTTGCGTTCACCTGCTAGTTGATGTCAACTAGACGTACAATAGCGGGGGCTGGCGAGACGTGAACGGGAAGTAATTAGAGCGCTTCTGGCGTCAATGAAGATGTGTTGCACCGCATTGCTTGCTTCAAGTGATTAGTTAGACATAGACGAAGCCGCCAAGTCTAACAAGCTTTAGGACCTTTTCTCTAGAGGAACAAGTCATATGCATATTGGATAGGTCTAGCATCAAACACCCTGTTGGATGGCTTGGAGGACCCTGAATACCAATGGTGGGATGTGATGCACTATGACGCCACACACTGGTGCTTGTCCCGCCATTTCCAGCAGTTTTGTTGTCAGCAGCAGCGGTCTGATTCGCTTGCACCGCGCCGGGGTCGAGGCAACGTGCAATGCCGAAAATGATTTCGCTGGGGCATCGCTCAGTATAACCTTCTGATATCACGGGGTTTAAAGCGTCCTCAAAGGTTCTGTTTGAGTCGCGTGTCATACTGTAAGCTCGGTTCAAAAACGGATCGGATTGTGATATCTTTGCTCATGTCCTACCCAGTTTTGAGTCGTGGTTGGGCATCCGCCAAGGGCCGTACCCTCATTATATCAGGGATGCTTGACTAGCCGCGAGTTGGTCCCTGACTCCTCACCAAGAAGTTTCGAGTCAGTATACTTGACCGCCATACCAGCTACACAGGGCAGTCAATATGGCTTCGTCTAGGATACCTCCTCTGTTGGAGCCGTACCTCGGCCTACCACCTGAGGCATCTCTCATCGTGCTCACAAGTGTGCTTGGCGCCAGTACAAACTGGCTGACTCAACGCTACCTGTGCTCGTTTTTGGCAACCACAAGTCGCAATGCACCTGCTGAGAGCGAGGGCAGCAATGGATTAGCAGAGGGAGATACATGTGTGGTTCTTGTGAGCTTCATGAGGGATTTTGCATTCTGGAAAGAGGGCATGGGAAGACTCGGGCTTGATTTGGACGGTCTGTCGAAGAAGCAGAAGTTCAAATTTGTTGATGGCCTGAGTGGCTTGTTTTCCGCAAGTTCGGGGCCGGGGATCAAGTTGCCCCTTGCAGGGAATTATGGTCAGCATATTCTACGAGCCGCAAGTCTTGCTGAACTACAGCAAGTGGTGCAAGGGGCTCTTCAAACGTGCGCTACTCGCAATATAGTCCTGGTCCTTGATAATCCGGATCTGCTGCTTGCAGCTTCCGGTAATGAGGTTTCAGCGGAGGCTTTGAAGGATACTCTCCTAAACCTTAGGGAGGTGAGTAACAGATACAATCACTACCAAAAAGGTATAAAATCTGCCCTGAGTCAAAATACTAATAACCCATCTAGAATGTTACATCAACGGTCGTGACATTAGCTGCGGATGAGCCCCTGGTCTCAGCGCAAAGTACGTCATTGGAGAAAGATCACGCGGCAGTCACTTTATCATTGGCTCATGAGGCGGAAATGGTTGTCAGTTTGAGATTGCTCGATACGGGCACAGCACGAGACGTGAGTGGGGTGTTGAGAGTCACGCCCGGAGGTGATGCCACAGGTTTCGTGACAGAGGAAAGAGAGCTGCTCTACTTCGTGGGTGGTGATGGAGGAGTTCGAGTCTTCGAAAGGGGCCAATAGCTCGCGGCAAAAGCAATTACTGAGATGCAGGAGAGCTCATCATAACCGCGAGAATTGACATTCGCTTCCTCACGGCCAATGGGATGCCTTAGACGTTACACGCTCATCTTCGTTTCATCGTCAAGATTCGTAGGGAGGCCAGAGATTCGTTCATGCGTCAGAAAAGCAACCCTGTTCGTATTGCTATGTTTGACATGCTCGTAAATTGGCCGAGATGTCGTTTTGATCCCGTGAACCAGTGCCAAAAGATGCAACCCATTTTCACGCCGGACCGCCATTCATTTGCCATGCCTTATCGTCTCGCGAAATGCCAACCATCCATCAACCCCTAATTTATGCCTTCAATGAGCCGGGGCCCCGCGAGTCGGCAGGGACACCAGTGCGGAATCCGTTCTTGAAGCGGCGGGTGACATCCTTGAGGTATTGCATGCGGCCAGTACCGACGGTCTTTCTGCGCTTGGCCTTCTCGCTCCAGTTGTCTGATCCATCTCGGTCAGTATTGTGTTCTCTCATCATGGCTATCGACTTGATCCTTCTTCGGGGGCCCAAGTCTGGATGGGGAGATAGGTTAGGTTAACATACACTTGCGAGTCTTAGCAGCGGGGTAACCGCACGAAGCGCAGGTGTGCTTCTGGATGTGAAGAGATCGGCGACCTGTGATCGAAAGCCATTGTCAGTCCTCCATTGCTGTCGCGCACTTGTTTTCGAGATCGGGCAATTCGCTACTGACCACATCGACGGCACAGAGTGTGCGTCTTGTTGTGACGCTTTCCGAAGCTGGAAGTTCCCTTGGCTATCCAACAATGTCAGCAATGATCCCTGAATCCAGTGGCCGCATGTCGAGTCGAGTTCTCGTTTCGCTCGTCATCGCCGGGAGCAGAGGGCACGCACTCATCTTGACTCTGTAACTGGGTTAGTAAATCGGGAAATTTGGTGTCGATGTGGAAACGGACAAGAATTCGATTTCTTGTCCCTGGGCGAGGTTGCTATCGTACCTTTACTTGGGGAATCGGCGCTGGGTGGCTGGTTAGTTGATGTTGAGAATTGGTCGTAATCGCTTCACCTGTCAATCGGTACGATTCTCAATTTTCCTCCCACAAGAAACTTTCGGGGGGAAGGCACAATTGGGGCTCGTGGATCAGCTGAGAAGTGGAGTCACCGAAGCTTTGCCGGCTGTCAGGACTGGGCGAGCGTCGCGCTAGCACGGAGCTGTATACCTCGTGCATAGGGAAGCACAATTGTGCAAAGACCCCGAAGAGTTATGCAATCGCCAAGGATGCAGGTGACGCAGCTGATCGGACATAAGATAAGAGCTCGTGGACAGTGCGAACCTCTCGGAACCACGTCCTTGCTCCTGCAGAACTGCAGCCAGCCGTTACCGTGCCCCAAACTGTACACAGCTTTACACTCCCCTCAGTCATGCAGCCCCCGTGAGAGCTGCCCCGCCATCGCCCATCACCTGGCGGGCGCTGTCTCTGAGAGCCGCCTCAGAGCTGCCTCGCCCATGTGACGAAACCTGTTGACTGGACGCCTAGATAGTAATGTCAAGGTGATTCATACCGTCTGCCTTTCTTCGTTAGCCATCATAGTCTGATCTTGATCTTCTTCTCCTTCTTCTTCTTCTTCTTCTTCTTCTTCCCTTCACCGTGTTCATATAAATCTTCTGCCCCCCATCTATTCAGCGGGGTAATCATCGAGCCTCCGTCTGTCTTTGTACTCCGTATTCAAACCAAAGCTTTCCCGACTATTTAAGTACCTTGCCAACCCCGAAGCCAACGAGGTGGCTGCAAGCCATCCAGCGTCTCTTCGTTGAGCGATTCAGTCACAAGACTCGTTGCTCAAGTTTTGCGACACACAAGGCAACAACAGACAACTACGCGACACGACACATCACACCTAATCCACCATGAACTATCTATACTCGACCGTAAATACGATAAGGGACAAATACACCCCCGTTTCCCATACATCCACTTTCCGCAAGACCGGCCAGATCACACCAGACGAGTTTGTCGCAGCGGGCGATTACTTGGTCTTCAAGTTTCCCACTTGGCAATGGGCTGCCGCCGACAACGAGTCCAAGCGCGCCAGTCATCTACCTGCGGATAAGCAATATCTCGTAACACGCAATGTGCCATGCCATCGCAGACTAGACGATGACTTCGCCGGAGATGCGGGTCACGAAGAAGCTGTCGTCGGCGATGGCGATGATTTCAAGCAGAAGAGCGGCGACGATGATGACGGCTGGCTGCGCACCGGCGGCTTGAGCAGTTCGCAACCTCTTAAGGCCAAGGATGTCCGAACAGTCGACGAAGCAGGAAATGTGGGTGTCTTGGAAGACGAAGACGAGATTCCAGACATGGAAGATGAAGACGATGACGATGAGGCCATTATCAGAGACACCGACGCACAGAAGAAGACAGGGTAGGTTTTGGCGCTAGCGTCCCGGGCATGCATCATTATACTGACCAAGCCAGGGCACGTCGAACATACAATCTCTACATCATGTATTCGCCTTATTACAGGACTCCACGGCTCTATCTTTCCGGCTATACGGAGGGACAGCCATTGGCACCACATGCTATGATGGAGGATATCGTTGGTGACTACAAGGACAAAACCGTGACTTTGGAAGACTTCCCATTCTTCGCCAACGCCGTCAAGATGGCTAGTGTTCACCCATGCAAGCATGCCTCAGTTATGAAGACTCTCTTGGATCGCGCCGATGCTGCCCTGAAGATCAGAAGGGATAAGCTAAAGGCAGGCAAGAACATTGGTCATGATGCTGGAATGGAGGGCTTGGTCGATGAGATCAACAAGCTCGACGTGAAGAGTGCCGAAGTCGCGGCTGCCGAATCTAGTAACGATGAGTGGGAAGAGGTTGAGGCCGAGGAGCAGGATGTAGCGATCAGGGTTGATCAGTATTTGGTGGTGTTCCTGAAGGTGAGTGACATCCACAGTATCTTGGTTACGCCACTCCTGTTGAGATTACTGACACAAATCTAGTTCATGGCCAGTGTTACACCAGGCATTGAGCACGACTTCACTATGGGCGTCTGAGCGACTTTTTTGCGTTATGATTTTGATTCCCCCCCCCCCCCCCCCCCCCCCCCCCCCGGTGATTGCTATTGTTAGCCGAGGCAGGCTTCAGACAAGGAAAGCCTAAGGCGTTTGGCGTATTGGATGTTGAGTTAGGCATAGAGATTTGCATCATAGTTGCTAGCAGTACGGAATAGAACGAATATCACTGAATCGAGATTGTGTCTACTTTGTGGCACATTCTCCAACAAGTACGAAACCGACCCGTCGTGCGCATTGTGCGTCTACCGCCTTCCCTTCAGACGTGCAAGTGGGAGCATTGACATTGACAGGGAAGGTCGCTACAAATTACAAATTCTGTTAATTAGCACAGTTCTGTTCCGTCACAACACGAACCTTTGGTGGTCAATGTGCTGGTAAATGGCGACCCAGGGGCCATCGGCGGCGGCCGCCTCCGCCAAGTCGTCTCGTCGGGTATTGTAAATTTTACGTACAACGCCAAATTTTATGTCATCAAGCGCCCTCTGAGCTCCAGGATATATGTCCAGGGAGCCCATTTCACTGCAGCAGACTCATTTCAGGCGGAGCGATGGTTTGAAGCTTGAAATTGACAAAAAACAGTTCATTACTCAAAAGCCCATGGCCTCCAAAAACTCTACGGGTATATATCGCCATCCTCCGGCTTTTGAACACTTATATACAGACTTTCTACACTCGTTCCAAAACGCATTCGACACCATCCCATCCGGAGCGCCTACAGGTTCTCTTTTTATAGAGTCGTGCCCTGAATGCCTTTTTCGGGGATACCTGACACCTCAGACTTGTCCTTGGTAGCGCTGTCTGGCGTCTCATGGCTAGTACGCTGCGAAGTAGACTCGGCAACGGGGTACTCGTCTGCGCGCCAGAAGTCCTTCTTGCCCTTTGAGAGGCGGACGACCCAGGGAGGAAAGAAGCCACCGGGGATCTTGTAGGTCCAGGGGTCCCGCTCGTCATGGAACTCGGGCACGATGCGGCCGCCGGAGGCAACCTTGATCAGCCAGACGAGGGTGTTGATCAGGATGTATGAGAGCACACCGGCAATCAAGCCGTCGGCGATCGAGTAGGTGAAGGGCATGAGAGCGATGGTCAAGAACGCCGGGATGGCGTCGCCCATGTATCGCCAGTTGATCTCGGTGACGGCCTTCATCATCATGGAACCCACCAAGATCAGCACGCAGCCAGTAGCCCACGGCGGGATCGAAGCGAAGATCGGCGCGAAGAAGATGGAGATGAAAAAGCAGATACCAGTCACCATAGAGGTGAGACCAGTCTTGCCTCCTTCAGAAATACCGGCACCGGATTCGACGAAGGCAGTAACCGGCGGGGTGCCCAAGAGAGAACCGATGGAGATAGCGATAGCATCAACCATGTAAGCGATCGACGAACCCTCGAAGTCCTGGGTAACAGGGTCGATGAGATCGGCGAACTGGGCCATCGAGTACAAGGTGCCAGTGCAGTCGAGAATATCGACGTAGAGGAAGGTGATCAAAGCAAGACCGAACTGTCCACCGTAGCCGGCAATGTTCCACTCCTGAACGTTGAGGGTCCTGGTGATCTGGTGGAAGTCCACAACCTTCCTGAAGAAGTCGAAAGCATCGTCGCCGGTCTCCGTGTACGGGAAGTAGGTCAAAGAGGTAGTACGTGGCCAGGAGATGATGCTGACTAAAAGGATACCGGCAATGATGGCGCCCTTGACGCGGTACATCATAAGGATGACGGTAAAGATGCCACCACAGAAGATACCAACCCACATCGCTGGGTTGCGCATCTTAACACCGCTGGGGCATAGGCCTTCCGCATCCCGTAAGCTTTGCTCACATCCAGCAAGTTCCAGAGGTGTTGATGTAGCGCCGACAATCAATCCGAGACCTTCGCTGTAAGTCAAGCCAATAAGTGTCAAGAACAAGCCGATGCCCACACTGGTAGCGAGCTTGATCGATCGCGGAATGGCACGCGCGAGCCACTGACGCATACCGAGGAGTGCGAGTCCGAAGAAGATCCATCCTTCGACGAAGATAGCTGTGAGGGCAACGGTGTATGGTACCGTCCCGCTACCGTTGAATCCGACAACAGTGTATGCGAAGTAAGCATTCAGACCCATACCGGGAGCCAAAGACACAGGCCTGTTCATGTTAGCTTTTTAAGCTTCTTCTCCAAGCGCCACCAAGTCTGTGCGCTGCGGTTGAACTCACAAGTTCGCGAATAGTCCCATGCAAAAAGATGCTAAGGCTGATATGGCAGCGGTGGCAGTAACAGCATCGCGCTTGATTTCGGCTTTGCAAAGATCGTATTCAGTGTTGACGGCGCAAAAAGGATCACTGTCGCCGCCGTTGCAGACACAGGTACCGCCACTATCGGCGACGATCGAGGCGTTGACAGCAATAATATAAGCCATGGCGAAGAAGGCGGCTACACCACCACGGATTTCGGTGAAAAAGCGAGAGCCCTTTCGCTCCTTGGGCTGTGAGTCAAGCATTGCGGTTAGCTGCTGGACTTGTGTCTCGGGTAGTCGGTCTGAGACAGGCGCACTCATGTTTATCACTTACATGACCCGAGCCTTCAAGGCGGAACCGTCTTCCGACCGCGCTTCTTGCGACCTTCTCGTCTATCCTCTGTATCCATGCCGCCATTTTATATATATATCGTGGTGTCGAGTAGACGTAGAGCCCTTGGTAGTCCCGGTGTATGGGCTGAGGTGTGAAGAGAAAAGAAATCTCCGGCGTGGAAGGATAGTTCACACAATTTGCTACGTGAATTGCGACGACCACAGTCGATATGAGTATCACAACCGACTAACTTGGTCGCGTGCGATTCGGATGGGCTTTACTACTCACCAGCACTCACTGGCAGAGGGCAATTCAAAGATTTAAATATGTGCTAGGGGGATATGGAGCGACCGAAAGGAATCCCTTCCACCACGAGCTGCAGCAGTAGTCCGCACAATCCAAGGGTCCATTCTAGGCCAGGTTCCCTAGCTTAAGTTTGTATCCTGCATCGTGAGGAGAAAGCTACTTGCGCGCAGTAGCATAAGCGATAGTCATGCCATTGTACCCCGGGTACTGGATCGTTTCCATGCCTTCGGAGGTGGTTGTGGGCAACAAATCAAATGTGACAATCCCTGACAGGGTTGTCCTTATCAACTGGGTTTTGGCTCCTTGGCATTTGATCCAGGTAAAAGGTCCGGACCATTGAGATTGACTTTCATGGAGCTGAGCGGCGTATAGAAGTTTGTACTTATCCAAGCAATGGGCAAGCTCAAGCCAGCTAAACCTCCTGCTCAACGGTTCGTTGCGCTCAAGGCTTTGATCAGACTGGTAACACGATGTGTCTACATGCGATCCGGACTTTTGACAAAAGAAAAGAAAAAAGAATGACTGTTTGGTCGCCCCCGTTGCCGGGCTGCTTGTGTGCGCGTCGTATTGTAAATTTTTTTGGCTAGGTTTCGATCCAGTGGCTTGGCGATGTGGGAGGCTCTTGACCAGACACGGCCAGCGTCCCAGCATTAGAAATTTCGCCGAACGCCGTTACAGGTGAACAATCGTTTCTAGAATGCCTGCTGATGCCTTGGCTCATCGGACGGGGAGGACGGGAAAGCCTAGAAGTGCTTAGTAGACCTGCCCAAAAGCCACAGACATGTGGGAAATCTACATGTGAGGGAAATGTGTAACTGAGGCCCCAAAGTGCCTTCACTATCGATGCTGGCTCATTTGCGGAGACTCCTCCTACCCCACCAGCCTCTTCCACTCCCCTTGGATATAGCGTAAGATGTGAGTAATGGTCTGGCCGCTCTCATCCCGGCAGGCTGTTACGGAACATTGTTACTGGACAACTAGAATCCTTATCGACACGCGACACCACTTTTCTTCTCACTTCGTGACAATTTCCTATGTGTCTTGGCTCTCAGTCAGAGTCAGAGCCCTAGTCAGGTCACTCGAAGTCATGGTGTGAAGAGCACAGCAGACAACAACCACTAGAACCGAAGTGGCACTTTCGCCTATCTCGCCAAGAGAGACCAGTCGTTTCCCATCCAATCCTACAGGCACCGGTGATTGCTAATAAACATCACGGTTCCTCCCGCCGAAGGCCGGTGTCCGTATCAATCCGATGAAGCATCTCTGGGTGTTGGAGCTTGTCACCATTCTGGGACTCAATCATCGAGCTGAGTGGTTGCCTGCAATCCCTCTGGCTAACATGAACGAGGCGGGTGACACTTCCAGCTGTTGTTGAATTAAAGCATGCGCGATGTGCAGCTAACGCCTACATTGTGGAACTCGGTCCTACCAGGAGAGGTGCTCCACGCTGTCGTGCCACAGGCCAGTCCTTATTTAGTGCCTCGGACACGTAGCCCGGTCAGAGACGTGCAGGAACTTTGCTCGACATGATAATATAAAAATATGCTGTGATTTCAGATCATAGCGACACCTAAACTTCCTCACGTTACCTATTTCTTGTCGTTGACTCTGTCGCTAGCCGAACCGCATGGCAAAATTCAACGCGACGAAAATCGAAATCAAGCAGAGGAGTGGCGGTGAGCTTTGAGTATTACAACAATCAAATCTGACGATATCAAGGGCAGCAGGCTTTTGTTAGACACTTACAATGTCAAAGATTGTCTACGTTCAACATTTTGATCTGCGGTAGCACTACTGCTGTGGTCTTCAAGGTCCTCCAGCATGTTGTATGTGCTTTGCTGGTAGCCCAGACAGTCTTTCTGTGCTGGTGCGTGACTGTGCCATCGATGTCATGCTTTCAGCGTGACAATTCGATGAGCGTTACGTCTGCCGGTACGGTTACAGGCATCTGCACTTTAAAGGTTGCTGCCGCATGGTCAAATGTCCCCCCTCAAATCCTTGTCACACGACGACACAATGCTTCGACTTGATAGTGCCGCCGTTTGCTCAGAGCTTTATGAAAATTAGTTGTCGACTCCTCAGAGACTTGACCCAAATGAATACCGCTGGTTATACAGAGCATGTGCATAAAGCCGCCGCATTAGGTGTAGTGTGCGTACTCAGTAAAGATGCAGGTTGGCCGTATCGTAAGGGCTGGATCGTCAATGCTAGCGTCAGCATTCAATAGCTCAATAGCTCTGGTATTGATGAGCACGGAGCGTGCCTGATGCAGACGTCAAAGTTGTGGCTGCTCCCTAGCAGAACGGCAACACCCGATATCAAGCCGCTGACGCTGGTGTGCAAACGGGATGCGGAGGTGGTGCGGGCATAATAATTATAAGACTGAATGCTCAACTCGCCGCTCTCCGTCTTCGGGATTTCTTCAACAAGCAGCTTGGGGTAAGCAACTAACCTCAGGTCAACAGCTTGAGATTCTTCCAGCTCCCAGATGACGGGGGCTTCCGCTACTATCATGAATTCACGTAGATACATTCGGACGAGAAGGCTAGCCACAAAACAATAGTACGCTCGGCCATTGATACCACTGGATTTTGGTAAGAGATAATGATATTGTTGTTAATAGATAAAGCTACACTATAAGGCACAGGTTACAGGACGTTACCAAAGAATGAGTTTAGACATGGGCTCGGCATTCACTGAATGTGAATTTACAGCTTAGTTTCTCATGCGATAAGAGATCAACTTTTGGCTATGCTTCGCTAGAGCTGACCAGAATTAGGTAGGGGGCCTATTTGTAAGTATCGCGGTTTCAACGAAACAAGGAACTGAACATGATGCGAGTTCTTTATATGTGTATTTGGATTTGTATTGATGCTGGGGTATTCTCTTCCGCCCGCAGAAGTATCAACATCTACTCTATCTGAACTGTCATGATCATCGCGAATTCAGAAGAACCACTCGAACGCCATTATCGCTGAGTCGGAACCCTATTTAATACAAGCCGATGCAGATGTCTCCGCGAACTCGTGCGGTCAAGTGTATCTCAGCTTCGAGGTCCAGCTTGATACCAACGAGTAGTGCAGCCTTGGTGTTTCTTCCTTCGTCATCGGTGGCGCCCCTGAGTAGCTGGCCTACTAAATAAGTTAGTAAGGGGTTGCGAGATTATCTAATTGAGGAGGACTTGCCAGCTGGTTGTGACAGACCAGTCGTAGAAGGAAGCTGAGGCATGCCTGGTTGCTGTTGTTGCTGAGGAGGGCCCATAGGAGCCAATTGCCGACGTCCTCCACGAGCCTGTCCATCCGAGTCGGAGTCGCTGTTGAAGGCAGCGTCGTTCTTGAGAGGGTTGCTGGAGCTGTATGTAATTATTAGCTTCCTTCTCAGGATCATAAGGATACGGGCGACTTGTTGGCTTACACAGTGGCCATGGTTGCTGGTTGAGTGATCTGACGAAAACGAATATGAAGTTATAGAGGTTATAGGAGTCGAGGTTCAAAAGCTGTTCAGTGCGAGTTCTATTGTGGTTGTGATGACTATATTTGACAGGAAGTAGAGTGAATCGGGATGATTGCTTCTTTTATACAATTAAACCTCTTGGGATTCGTCTGTTGTCTTGGAGTGCCTGTGAAGTGCTTCTCGTCGTCGCTTGCCCAAATCCCAAGGTTTCAGAGCTACCCGGCCTCAACACCGTATCACCATAGTCCATTCGTGAAGTCGAAATCATTCGATGAATCATGTCAAGAAACGTTAGTAGAATCTCTCGAAGTATGGAATTGTTTCGTCGTCGCTGACACTGCATGGTTCACCGTATCAGCGATGATGGGGATTTCAGTTAGTGCATGAACGCTAGGACTTTCAGCGTTCGTGCCGTCGCCCATGTTGAAACACACAACGGTCTCGCTCCGCAATTCCCAGGATGCGACCCAAGTTCAGGGTCTCCCTATGGCTCGATTATTCTCCTAGATATGGTCCGATAATGGCTCCATTTCCGAGGCGCTCAGATCTGGCCTTGACTGGATCAATCGACCGACCTTATTATAGACTTGGCAGTATAGGCTATGCACAAGTGACAATCCTTGCAACTATTCTAGATCTTGCACCCGCAACGACAAGCTCTATGATTCCTATTTTACATTCCTGGGTAGAGTCTAGAGTTGGGCACTGAAACAGCGAGATTCATTTCTTGATATCTCATTGCTCTCTGCAAGAACAGAACAAGTCGTCAACATGGTCATTGGTATGCTTCTGGCACTCACAGCGTGTCCCGCTATGCTTGGCACACAGGAAGCGATACGGCAAAGTCAATCTAAAACCCGCAGAGAAGAGCATCGTGGCCAACGATGTAATATGATAGTCAGTTGCGTGCAGTCTTCCACACGAAGCAAAGAGGTCAACAACAGAATAGTTGTATTGAGAGATAATAAGGTAAGCTAATATCGAAGTCTATTATAGTCAAATTCCGATCCTAGGAGTGTCAGGAACTAATATTATTATGTGTCGATAGTTATACATCGAGACTGGAGCAGAACCAGACGATATCAGCGGCGACAGACAACCAATTCCGGGCTCACATCCATTTTGTGGTTATTTCTTGCCTTATCCTGATTCAGATTATGAAGGTCTTGTCAGTACGATCACACATGTCGCACCTATTCTTAACTGGATATACATCGACAAAAGTACATATGAAGTGAAATACGGTGTACGAGACTTTGCGCAGCCAAACTTCACAGGGCCGTTCGATTGTACTCGTCAAGACAGACGTATGACCTTTGAGACGTGGGAAGGATTCCTTGCTGTCGAAGAAAATCCAGGAGTATGGGCTCTATATTTCGACCGAGATGACGATGGGCTGAGATCGAAGTTTCCACCAACAACCAGAGTCTTAGAAATAGAACTTATAAGGAGGGAGAGGAAGGTCGAAAAACCGGCAGAAGATGCAGCAAAGACTTTAGATGAGATGATGAAGCAGCAGCAACAGAAACAGCCAGAGAATCCAGAGATGGCACAACCGCAAAAGTTATCTACTCATATAGAAACGAGATAGAATATCATTATCGTAATCCTTCAGCTGAAGGGCACAAACGCAACACTAATTACAGCAAGTGGGTACACCAGCCTCCTGTGATGTGCGTGGGAGATGCCTAGAATACCTACAACTCCACAGCTATGCGAAGAATTCTAGTGATGTATTCAATGTATAATGAATGGAACCAACCAACAACTGTGTGACATTGTTCTTCAAGTGCTGAAGAGTCGTGCAACTAGCAAGTAACAACCCCTTCGACGGCAATTTTGGTTTCTGCACAAACCAAGCAGAAAGTCGTACGGTTAAGTCGGGTAATATTCGAGATGCAAAGACCGAATTAAGCTTTTTCTGCAGAATCCTAACACCCTGTGAGTATTGACTTGTTCAGATTGTTATCCAATCGGAGAGTTTTTCCTTTGACTTGCCTGTGGAGAGATATATGAAACCAGTCGCAAGGCCCTTGCACACGATGTAACAGCCAGAGCCGCTGCTGGAATCACGTTTCGAGCCTCGTACGAGAGCAGGCTAGATCGGACGAGATTCTGAAAACATCAGCCGCCACCGTCTCTTCCATGTAGCAGGACCTCACTGTTAGCTCATGTTGGTGATAACATCGTCTGATGTATATCGACCTTGTCTCAGTCACCTGGGGGTGCAACGTCCTTTATTATGCAGCCGAGCATTATTACCGTTGGGTCTTCCCCAGGCCAAAATTTTTTTAATTGTGAATAATCATAGCTTAGAAAGTGCATCTGGATTCTCGGAAGTACACAAGAACTCTCCGTCGCAATTCGTACCTTGTCCAGACGACCAAAAGAATAGGGCATGAGGCGGCGGGTTAACATCGCCATGCCGGTTTCTAGACGACGCTTAGAATGCTCTCCCAAAGACTTGAGGAACTGAGCAGAGACCCAAGTGACCCCAACGGCATCGCCGAACTTGTTGTCACGGCGCTCGGCACCGCAGGAAGTTACTACATATGCTGGAAAACGCGATCAGGACAGTACAAGCAAGGTATGTCATCTGCGGTAACCATTATGAGTTTTGCTAACGGTACACCTCCAGACAGCCATGGGCTGCCTATCGAGTTGCGAGAGTGGCTCTGTCCAACAGACGGACCAACGCGAGACTTTGACAGCCTCCAGGTGATACTCGGACCTGGTGATGGCGACTTCGTCGCTTCAGACTGCTACGGACGTGTCAAAAACAAAGTACCAGAACAGCGACCAAAGCCTCTAGAGAGGTCCCGCACCTTCAGATCGTACGATTCGAACACCAGATCTAGGCCATTGTCCATGATGGTAAGCCCCGCGGACTTGCCAGGTGATGTGAGGCAACGCCGTTCGGCCACGGTTGGTTCGTTGGAATATCCTGGCACCAACCGTAGGACAAGTCTCATTTACGAGGAGCCTAGCTCGACGCCGGAACGAAGCCGTGAAGACGTGCCTCGACTCGCATCGTTCGTCTCGATTGCGGCCCGTGTGAACCGGTTCCGGCGGCGCCCACTGAGCATGTATCATACTGGTACGCAACCTCTTGTGAATCCCGATGGCCTACAAGAGGAACAACCCAAGGAACCTGGGCATTCAGATGTAAACAGCAAGTCACGCGAGGGACTCAACCGATTACCATTGTATCGGTCGGCAGAGTCCGAACCCCAAGGAGACGCGGCGCAAAAACCAGTCAGTTCGTATGTTAATGCCGGCGTGCAAACGGACTCACCTCCCTCGCCTCCCCCTATGCAGACGACTTTTCATGAATATCAGCACCATAGGCATACAAGGGACTCTTCATCCGCTTCAAGTACGTCATCCGTCTTCACTTCATACTCTGAGACCTCTACCCGACGATCGAGCATTGTCGAAGACCACAATACGAAGTCAACTTTCCGCCAGTCTTATAATTATCATCCGAACCCTGTGCTCATGGGACGGATGCAAGACTACTTTCGAGCATCAGGATATCGCCTAGGCGATGCTCTTCAATTTTGATTTGTCTGTCACATTTTGTCAATTGTGCGGCACAACCAGAAGGTGGTTGTACTTTACTAGAACACCCGGGCGGATAGGCCTGTTTTCCGGTGTTAAGGATCGTGTTTACGGCCGGACTTACAGTGACACAGTGTCATCGGATATGAATTATATTAATAGAAATAATTGGTTATGGACTTGCTTCAACCGAATCGCCGCCATTGAGTATCCGGAATACCCGACTCTGGCGTGGCTGGACCTGGCAAGATCACTCTTAGTAGATCGTTAATATCCAGGCCGCTATTCCTGGCAGATTCCCATTGCTTGGGGTACCCCAATGAACACTCTTCAAATCGTACTCCGTCCTTCCAATCGGTCCGCGGGACGTGAAGATGTCCACTCACCACGACTTTAGTGTTTGTGAACCTTGTGTGCCAGTCATTTGTTTTCTTCGTTCCACACCATAGCTTGAAGCGTGGTACACGGGGAATAAACACTAGATCTTCTCTGAGGGGCCAATGGTTTACCTGACCACAGTAAGCAATCTCTCATAACAACTCAAAAGACACCAACGATATGCGAAAGATTCCGTTAGGGACTCACAATAACTAGTGGTATGCCTCTTCTGTCAGCTTCCTCCAACTTCCTCTCCGTCTTCTCGACCAAAGCATTGCACCAATCTTCTCGCGTTGGGTACGGGTCCGGATGTAAGACAAATTCGTCGGTTGCGACAGTATCAGCTTCCTTGGCCCATTCGAGGGCTTGATCTTTATCCATGTCATCCGGCCGAAAGGAATAGTCATACAAGGTAAATATGGGCGCAACGATGGCGGAGTTCCCGTCGCTTTCCCATACCGCAAAGTCGTCCTCTGGTGTCTTGACACCATACATGCGGGCTATCTCCACGCATTCCGCATACTTTTCCTCTCCCCGCAGGCTCGTCTGCATTACCAAGGTGTAAAGCTCATGATTGCCCGGACACCACCAGACGTCCTTGAATTTCCGCGTCGCACCATCGAAAGCAATTTCAAGCTGTGCGGCAGTCTCGCCAACATCGCCACACAATATCAAGCCGTCTTCTGGGTGAGGCGAAAGCCGCCCCCAGGCCGCTTTGTTGAAAGCATGTCCGAGATGGATATCACCGATCGCGTATAACTTCCCCATGACTGGCGAGTGGTAACGTCGAGACCTCAATTGCCAGATTTGATCGCGTCGAACAATACTCTGGCCTCCTGAAGCAAACTGGTCAGATGGCCTCAGCCCAAATCTTCGTGTCGAGCTCACGTAATTCGTGGCGATATTAATAAGCGAAGAAAAGCCCCCAAAGACGAGGCTTCAAGACCAAAGATAACGAACTTGGTGTCGAGAAATCACTGGGTCTATTGAATAATCTCGCGGATGAGTCTGGGATCGCTGATATCAGGATTGACAAGATTGCACAATTGTAGAGTAGGCAATCTTACAATGAGAAAGGCGCCTTTTGAATGCTATGGCGGGGTGCTGTGACTTGACGTGGGGCCGCCCAGATATACCTAGCAGTTGCACGGAGTCCAGCTATCTTGTATCGGTTGGCGGTTAAGGAATGTGGTAGACTGTCTATACAAATATGTGTTAAAAACTCAGATAGAAAAGAATCAAGCATTTGCACCGATGATACGAGTTGCATCCGTGCTGCTTATGCCATGGCCGATGGCGAAGTTGCGAGGATCGGACAGGCGTTTGGCGTCCACCTGGCAGCAGCCTGGCAAATCGGTTCAACTATGCCTCTGTTCAGACATCAAACCGTAAGTCTTGGCAAAATTAGCAGATTTTATATTGCTCTTTCGCAATATACACTAAACTTGTCAATATACAAAAAGAAAATTTAAAAAAAATAATTCATGCAGAAAGTCCCAGCATGATAATTTTATAAGTCTGCGAAAACTATGTCTATGGATAAAGCCTCTTTATGCTTGTTTCGTTGTGCTCCATCTACATGAACTGGGCCTTTCCTCATTTACACGGAACTTTTTCCATGTTTCGGGGAGGCTTTCGTGCCGAATGGTTTCGAAGGCTCGGCTTGCAGTGCATTTTTTTTTTTTTGTTCTTGGTGTTGTATCAGCTGGCCGGATTCTTGTTTGCGAGTGATCTCAAGGATGGTGGGCTGGTAAGACCCTTAAGCAGACTGGTTATTCTGAACGGATTGACTTCAGTTGTGTTTGCGCCGAATGTACCTTGCCCGATCTTCTGATAGGTAGTGCTATTGCCATTTCCTGAGCTGGATGATGAGATACCATCTCTCCTCTTCGGTGTGGTAAGGTCCTTGAGCGGAATGACTATGCTCATGGGGCTATCTTCTGAGTAAGTCATGGTGGATCTTTTCGAGATATATTTGTGTTTCCAATCTGTGTCTTCGAGTTCCTCGTGTGGATTGTGGTATGCCCATAGGTGTTCTGTAAGGAGCTTGATTGCTTGTGTTTTAGAGTAAAGAGTTGGTCTCAATCATGTCTCCGAAAGGGTTGCTAAAACATTATGTCCACTGGATGTCTTATCATTACAAACAGTGTGCTTAGTGAACGAACTTGTTTGCTATAGCAAGTAAAGCAGTGCAAGGACTGCTAGCATGGAAGCCCTTTCGCCGGAAAGTGCCTTCTGTAAAGTTTCAAAGATACCAGGGTCCGCTGGAATGAACGATGTTACGGAATTATGCGAGTGACGCACTCGCATAAGATCATTAGGATTATCCATCGGCGTAAACATATTTTTATCATGTCCATTTTGAACCAATGCGCAAGAAACCAACGTTTACAAGTTTATGATGCGCCGGACTTTTGCCTACGAACCGTTTAGCTTCCGAACTGACTTCGTATTTACAACAGGCACAACATATCATCAGTACGAGAGATCAATATGATAGTGATTTCCGCAACGGCTGACCTGCAATTTACAAAATGGTTCCAACTGGTCTTTATGCAACATAATTCGACCATATTCGTGGTTAGGGACTCCATGGCGGCCTGGCACCAGCTGGCAGTAGCTACGCTCCCATGTGACGCTATGGCGCTACTCCATTGAACCCTTCATCATTACTCTGGTTAAACGATGACCAATGCAGACAACAGGCAGGAAAGCAATGGAGATCCAATCGACAAAAATGATGGATTCACAATCAGCAAACGATCAATTTGCCAAACCGCGTCCTCGCGTGCCACGGAGCCCGGCGCAAGCGGCTCAGGTTCGGAAACAGAACCGCCGGCAAGAGTACTTGCAACGGCACCCGTCATATTTCGAATCCTTGGAACATGAGCTTGCTGGTAAGTGATGCTATTGACAGCTGTTTGCCTACCAAGATTGTACGTTACATTATATTCTTGCGTTATCCATCGGCAGTGTCGCTCATTCGCCGGGTAGAAATATTTGCTTATTGAATGCCTGTTGAAGATCCAATTCTGTATGATACATTGATCCGCCGATTTCAAACAGCGGAGGAACGAGAGGAGGAGGGCAAGACGAAAGGTTATTCGCGGGTTCTAGAAGTGGACTTGCTTCGGGGCGAAGCAAAGCTTCAACAGCTTGCTGCTGCTGAGTCTTCCACGGATCAGGCACAGCAGCAGGGATCTCTGACAGATGAAGCTTCCAGCATCCAACCCCTAGGAGCGGCCGGTGGTGAGCCCGAGACTAAAGAAGGAGGACGCCAAACATGGGACAACTATCTAAGGGAGCGGTTCGTGTTGGGCCGCGACGAAGACTTTGATTATGATCCCATTGATGCAGACGATTCCTTGGACACAATGGAGAAGCGAGATGAAGAAGATGCTTGGTTCGATGACCAGAAGCCAGAATGGGCAAGCGACAAAGACGAAAATGGCAACAATGTTGAGAAACAATTACATGGCGAGACTGGCATTCAAGATTTCTGAGGACAACGAGAAAACCTACCACAACTGCAGACAGCAATATAATATCGCAGGTTCGAACAATTATGATGATGCATGACAGTTCTGCGGCCGTCATTGAAATTCTTTTGATATTAAATACTAGCCTCGTCTCATGGTCCACGCAGGATTTGTCCAGTGAATCCTGCTACTCATGCTGCCCTACTGATCCAATACCGACTGACGCCATCGAGATGCATCTATCGGGCAAAGGCACAGTGTCGCAGTTGGCTATCTGTGTGAAGTCTGTGCGTGAGCACGTCTACGAATGGCGTTTCGTTGATCTTCAAAGGGTTTCATGATCTCCCCAGTCGTCCGGGAAAGAACACAGGTGTTGTTCAGCGGAGCGGCGTCTTAGTCGGCGTCTCAGGCGCTAATAACGCGCCCGCTATAAACAATTCGTCGGCGATGAGGAGTGGCCAATGGTGGCGGAGCTCACTCTGCCGCAGTATCCTCAGGCCATCATTGAGCGTTCTGTGTACGCCGCCAGTTTCTTGTTGGCATTTTACTTCGAACGATGATTCCCTGGTAGTGATACTTTCCTCTTCTTCTTTTCCCCCCCAACAATTACGATTGTCCGTGCTATCGATCGTTCACTTGGCTAGCCGGTGATCGATTGAGTACATACTGGCGCTTGTTGCAGTTCATCGCTGATATGCACCCGGAAATTTCGACATTGCTCGGTACAGGCTTCAGCCATTTTGATTCCTTTTACGTTCACGACATACTCGTTGATAGAGTCGAGATAATCTCGATGCTCAGCGGTCGAGAAGGGCGATTCAGCCACTGCCATGAGAGCAACAGCATTGTGTAACCACATATAGTCATTCAGACCACCACCACCATCTTCCTCTTGTCCACACAAGAACGGGATGCTGCCCACAATAATGTCTATCGCTTCCCGCGCTGCGTCCATCATTGCTCGGTATGCCGCAGTTTTCCGAGCATCAATTTTGCGCGTCGCCATTTCCACAAATGTCTCGGCCACATTGCAGCCAAAAAGTTTCGATGTTAACATGGAGAGGACAAGACTCGCATGCTCCTGGGTTTTCCATGTGTAGCTTTGCATATGAAGTGGAAAAGCTGGAATCAAATTCGAACGGCTCGGGTTGAGCTGCATGTCCCAAGGTATTGGCCTAAAGTCCTGAGTTGGGTGGCCATGAATGTCTGGAAGTGCGAAGAAATTTGCCGTCGTGTTTAAGTACTCCGTCGCCGTCCCAAGTAAATCTGGATCGTCATCGACCACACAATTCAAAATTTCGTCGGTTGCGAACGCCGGCGGAACCCGTAATGTAGCTCGAGGTTGATGTATTGACTGCCCGTCGCCTGCGGCCTTGTTGATCGATGAATGGATGACAGAACTCAAGCGGTTTTGTCGGCTGTGTGCAGTGAGGGAATGCGCCTCATGAAGGCAGGGGTTGTCGACTATCTCCATCGCTGACTTCACCCAGCTGCATGAGTATTTGTCTTGCGGCTCGGCGAATCTGATTATTGATGTTCTGAACTATAGGTCGCTGCATCAGCAAACTGTAAAGCCGTTTGATTACTTGCGCGGCCTTTGGCGACAACTACTTACAAGCTCAAAACGCAGGAGCATGAACAGCTCAGCCCCCAGCTCATCGTGGAATTTCCGTTTGCCTCGGGCTTTCAATATCGTGATGCCACCGTATAGATGGTTGAAGTACCCAGTGGTCTTGGTGGAAATGAGACACTTAATAAGAGTGAGTTGCTAACCATACTAACACTATAGGGAAATCTTACCTCCACCAAGGCGAGGATTACAATCGACGCCAATAGTTCATCATCGAAAATTGAACCTGGGGCTCCAATTGCATCATTGACTGTTTTCAATGCTACCGAATATGAAGCCTGCGTATCAAGTGTGGCTGCCCTGGAAACAGGCCGTCTAGAAAACGCTGCCAGGGCCAGTGTCGAAAGAGTTGATTGTAGGCATTGCCCTGGATTCCGGCGACGCATAACCAATTTCAGGACGTCCAAGTATCCAGGGTCCATGGATTGATGTTCGACGTTAAGATAGCAATTAGTCAAGTATGCAATAGCGTGCTGCCCAGGCGGTGTCCACGGAGGCACTCGTAAGGCCGATCTTGATACAAAAGTATTCATCGCATTGTCGTTCCAACCTGCACTCGGACTCGCGCTTCGCTGATTTGAGGCCGTGCGCTTTGCCACGGGATCGGTCTGCTCTTCGTCGTTGTCGTCGTCGTCGTCGTGGGCCTGAGCACCCCGGAACCGCCGAGTTTCCTCGTTCATGCGAGTTCGTAAACTGATTACTGATTGCGAATAATTTTGGTCAAAGAGACCATCCTCCTTCGCCTTCGGCCCTGCTCTATCGTATTCGAAGCGGTTGATAGTCGTTGCTGTCATATCCCGGATCTTGATGCGGGATGGATCCCGATAGCCAGGGCATTCCCGGCCGGCTTTCTGACATCTCTGACATTGAGGTTTTCCTTCATCACACTGTCTCATGCCTGTTAACTTTTATGCTGTCAAAACATGCATTCGAGTGTACGCACCTTGACCCGTCGCTTTAGGCACGCCAAACAGCCCTTGGAAGGCCCTGTATACACCATATTGCTTGCCGAGCCGAGTGAAGCAGCGATGATACCAGTTCATTGTCGTTACAGCAGCCTAGCATGGATGCATATGTGCTATTTGGCCAACGTTCAGGGTATTGATGTTAGACACCGGTGGGTTGATATCGAAGCCTTGTCATGTCACCCGTAGCGACTCAACAACACCAGCGTTTTTCTTTATGCTTCGGGGACTTGCATTAACCTAGCGGCAGTTCCGACTGCACATTTGAAATACTATCGATGTCAGGCCCAGGGATCTGAGATTTCGAGCACAAACGGGTAAACAGGCTAAGCGATGCATGGAGATCCAGGCTAGTACTAGTGTTGAGGATGTCGCTCACGATAGCCTCTGATCATCATGTCCTGCGCACGGTCAAGGGCAGCTGGGACGGCTCGACTAGCGGGCAATCTGGCGCTCACTAGTCGCCGTACTCCGGACAGGGTATCACATAGTAATGCCCAACTGAGGAGCGTTACCTGACGAATAATATGTAGCAAATCGGGTCGTGACCCGAAGTCACCTCGGTAGAGAAATTTGGCATGAAACAATAGGGTCTAGGCCATCGTGATGCCGCTCGGACCTGTCGATTTTCGATTTTTCCCTCATGGCTTGTTCGATAGGCCAAGAAGTGATGGACCACTAGCATCATGCGGCACTCACATTATACTCTGTGGATCAGCCCCATCGTATTCCGAATGCAGGAAATCACGCGAAAGAATGATCATCGTAGTAGTAACGGCAGGCTACACTAGCAGACGTAACGTGAATGTGCTTAGTATTGTAATCAACATAGCCCGACTCATTGCAGTCCTTGTCGACAGAACCGCCCAGAACGAACAACGAACGGAATCACATACGGTACACGAGCGGTACTTGTGCTGGTGGAGGACCCATCGCTCTCCGCTCAATCATGTTTTATCCGAGTACCCGTATTATCAATATCAGGGAATTGGGACTGCGAAACTCATCGAAGAAGAAATGTCATCATTGCACGGAAGGTAGTCACGCGCCAACCTAACCATTTGAAACCCAATCAGTCATCATCAACATGTAGGAGCTTTTTTCTACGGCCAAATGAAGCAAAGCGAGAACGGCCACATTGCAGCGGAGGTTTCCCCAATTGAATAAGACTAGACTAGATGAAATTTCTTAGTCATTGGCCCGCTGACTGAGACTTTATCTCGAAGCAACACTCTGCAATATTGCTCTTCGAGCATGGCGCAGCCTCAATTGGTAGATGCTGCGCACACTGTGCCTTACTTCACCACATACTCCTGAACGGCCGCGTACATGCTTATTGCTAAGCAAGGCACATCATCATTATGGTGGAAGGCAATGAGCAATGCTATACTAGAGGCCGAGCCGAGCAGAGCCGAAAAAGAAAAGAAAAAGAGATCTATCTTCGTATCGTCTATATTGTGCATACACGCTGTTCGGGACTACCATGAGCAGAGGAAACAAGTGAGCATGTTCAGCTCACAGACTACAAGACTAGACTCACGGTGTTCAGACGACTCGCAGTAGCTCCAAAAGGCGCATGGGATGTCTATAGCTAGAACCTGTTTCCAGTGCTGCTCTAGAAGCTCAAAAGAAGGTTCTAGTCGGTATGCTGAATGTTTTCAGCCCTATTCCACCTTCCCCGAATGACTTCATAGATAAATCGAACGTAATGGCACACCCAACGACTCTGTTCCAGCAACCATCGGTGTGATTTACCTCGATCGATCCATACAAGTCGCCAGCCTAAACGATATTATCAAGGGTCTTGTCTCAATATCTTAGAGTTTCAAACTACAATGAAGCCACCGAACTTTCAACCACGACCACTGACGCCTTTATCACGTACGATTACACTTTCCGCCCTGGCAGTGCCTGGCAGCAACTCTACGCTTTAATGAAGCTTTCCAAGCCCAGAGAGCATGTGGAACCACATCGAAATGCATCTTTGACGAAAAATTCTCCGCTATTGAAAGACGACCAATTTTCTCATCCTCCCGTTCGATAGACCTAAATGAATAGACTTGGTTTATTGAGGAGGCTTTTTTTTTTTCGGCACTTCTGGAAGACCAGTGGCTTCCCATTCGCCTAACACGCACTATCGTTGGCCATGTGAGTATGCAACAGCCTAGGTTAGTGTTGAGCCATGTCATTATTGATCGTCCACCGCAATTCACGCTCTGTTAGCTTGTATAACTACGTAGTACCGGGACCCCTATCCTTGAGCTTTGCACAAGCTAGGGTATTTTATCTATTCGCAGTCTAGTGGTGACGGAAAATCCGGTATAATTTAATTACTCAACATCGAGCCATGAACACGAAAGTACTTGCACCAGCTTTGTCAATCAGAGTATCTTGGTGCTGAACATTGGATCGTTGTATTTGCTTGTACTTCTGATCAATTTAACAACCAAATACTCGGATGTCCATTTTCCTTGTGTTCGTGGCATATTTACTCGCCTGATACGTTTTATGTTGAAGTCACAAGCTAGTTACACAGAGTGCAAATGACGGAAGGGAAGGAGATCTAGGTGGTATATGTGGTTTTCGACTAAGCTCGGCTATACTTAGTTTTTGACCATCTCTGTCCGACGCATTTTCCCGCATGCACAGGACTTTACCCACTGGCACTTAGACATTGTGTGAAAAGCGGACAAATTCTCGTGCCTATTTGACATCTTCATTTAAGATGCTTCGTTTAAGCGAAAGACGCCGGCCCCAGTACGAATCCTATTATGCATCATTCCACCTTAATTTTACGTTACAATATTCCTAGTGGACTGGCGTGTTCAACTGCCCTTCTTGAGCCCTTGACCCTAGTAACCGAGCAAGCTCAAAAATTAGTTGCAATCTCGACTGTACCGTCGGCTCATTTTCCTTCATGTGATTGAAGTGTCTTGTAGTTAGAGGGAAACTCGACTCTCTCTCGTTGCACTGTCTGTCCAACTCCACCGCTGTCAAACGAAAACAGTGATCAGGAGCTTCGTTGCTATAATTATTGGCCCCCTGGGTAGAGCGCCCGGTTGTACATAATTTTCGGCAGGCCGGAGTACGTGATATGAACCAACATCAGAAAATATCTCCACTATGTAGTTGTCCGCCGGAGACTCGGCGCTGGTCAACCGCCGGGCTTCAATCGTACTTGGATTGCTACACCGAGTCATAATGATTTAACAAGTTCTATGTTCCGGCGAAATTTTTTTTTTCTTTTCACCACCGTCTTCCCGGAACCCGCACCAGGCCGCTTGCAAGACGACTGCGGCGATTGGAACAAAGCTATCAGAGTCAACCAAAGCACGAGACCTATTTGTGGCCCCCACTTATTGCCCTTGCCCCTGGAGTTCAGGGCCATCCTTGGGACCGGGCAGCGGTAAGTTTGAACACCTCGTCTCTAACCTGCTCCGTTCTTGAGGAGCGGGTGCATCATACGAAGTGGAATCTAGCAGAGCCTTGTTGCAGATCTAGCGGCTGCCGCCGAGAAGCCGCGCTTCGCTGGTGCATCATTGTCCACTTCTTTCCTTCCAAGACGCTTTATTGGATTCGGCTTACCCAACCTGCCAACCAAACACACCGGCAAAGCTCGTACCACTTATCAACGCTTCCCTTTGATTAGCCTGTGACCGCTCCGGTCCAATCCAACTAGCACCCCCTATCCTCCAGGGCCTCTAGTCCCATATTGAACCTTTGAGAGCAGACCTATGCAATTCATGAGTAGTCTGCGGGGCCGCGTGGCCGCCCTCACTGACTCGTATTAATCATACAGCGCAGGTTCTAGGCTATAGATACCAGACACGACAGCTTCTCGCTTAGGAGGAAAAGAAGCGTAGCAACCTCCAGTTGCATGCGCCAGCATATGTGGAGAGTTTGTTCCATTACACAGCCGTGCTTGGTGTTATTGCCACATTCGCAGTGCACCGAAGTGTGCGCGATCGCCGCAGACAGTAGACGGCCTGATGCGTCCTACTTCTGTGGACGTGGACAATTTGCTCCTTGAGGTATCCAGGACCCGATCGCAAGAGTCTGTTGGGTCTCCAGTGGGATGACTTGCCCGCGTCGATCGATTGACTAGCAGCGCTCGTCCGGGATGTTGTGCCCGACTGTCAAAAGCAAGCAGTCTCGAGTCGATACATAGCCGCCTCCTCGCCTGTCACAGTGATATTCTCTTTTGTACACTCATTGTGACCGGCTCCTGAAAAATTCTGTCGACATCCTGAGGCAGTTATTGCAGCCTCTTCTGGACTCACATGGACAAAATGGATGACGCACGTTTCGTCAACGCTTCGAAAAGGCAAGCATCACTGATGAGTTGGTATCGACATGCAGAGCCCTCCCCACACCCATCCCCGACCTTTCAGGGGTGAAACTCCTTCATGCATTTCTGCATTGCGTGATGGCAAATTTCTGCTCACCGCACCATTTCCGTATTTGCTATTTGGCGACTTCTGGTACTGCAAGGAAAGCAACGACTAGCCAACCGCCCCACCGCCGCTGCTACAACTTTTCTCTACACCAAACGAGCCCTAGATTCAAGTATCTCGACGTTGCTGGAATACGTGCTAAAATGTACGAGGCATGCAGACCGCTGAGGGGTCTACATAAGGTCGCTTGACTGCAATGTCCAATCACATCATCTGGCGTGCACATTTGTCGAGGATCGGTGTATGTGGCAACACGGTCGTCAAGTTCTGGACCTGCCAGAAAGTCTCCGCCCTGAACGTAGGTGTCCGGCATGCATGGCCCCAAAGTAGCAGCCTCTGATGATGCGAAGTGCTTCGCTGGTGCGTTTCCTGGCCTTGAGAGTCAACGGCAGTTATATGCTAGAGTTGCGGGTCATGCCGTCTCATTGCTGCGACATTCGGTGTTGCCACGATCATGTGCATTCTTGGACATCACATTGGTCGAGCCGCCATCCAACTCGTCGATGTATACGACCGGCCTTACATCTGAGAGCTGCATTTATAGTAAAGCTGAGGTACTCTTCCTGCTGTGGCTGCCACCAAAGGTGCGAAGTAAGGTCTGCCAGCGGGCACTGTCATAGACAAAGCCAAAGCGCAACGAGACGGCTAGTATGGCTGCCTCCCATATAGTGCTATGTCAGAGGCTGCTACCCAGAAGCAGCATGAACCTAAAGTCTTGGTGGTGACGATACTCAAGTGCATAAAAGCACCTCGACGTTCAACTGCGGCGGTCCTTCATAACTTGGTGGGTAGAGTTGCAAATAGACATCGACCTCTGGGAGAACACCAAGAACCCACAGGGCCAATCAGTTCTTCTGCCTTGGGAGAAATTGTAGCACTGTCGATCCGGAGCGCTGAAGCGTGGCAATGGCCTCCCAAACAGCGAACGGGCGCATGCCTCATTCTTCCAGTATGACTATTCTGTACGACCCAAAGTGAAGCCAAGAATGTCGACGGAAAATGTCATTATGTCCTGTTTCGTCGGAATATCGGTGGTTATGATGATGATGATGATTACATAGTTGCGAGAAAGAAAAAGTTTTCCCTCGGTGCTTGGATTTTAGTCTGTTGTGTTGGTAATTTGTAACACCTTACCAATCAGCCTACCCCAGGAAATGGGATAGTGCCTACACCAAACGAGCCATAGCCATTTCCAGATGTTCACTCTTTGAACAAAGATCAGTTAGGGGCGCAGATAGTCTTTAATCGAACGCATTCCAATGTTCTCTACCAAGAAAGAGAGCTTGCATGCCGCGTGACCGAAACCTGATGCCAGTTACCGTTGGAGGTTACTGACGCCTCTGGATGAAGTGGAGTAAATCGGTTCGTGAGGTTCTTGTTGAGGAGTATTTTAAAGTATTGTTTGGATGTGTCCAAGGCACAAAAGATATCATTTGAGAAATCCGTACTTGACTGCACATTTTGGACATTGGCTGCAGTATAATCAACCCTCAGGTATGAATCGGCAAGGAAGTGCTCATGATAAGCAGCCCCACATTAATTCTTTAGGTTAATTGACAGGCGACGCGGACCATGACCATGCCATCATGGATAGCGCGCCTCATCGGAAGGGAGAAAAAAAAAAGTTTCGATGCCCTCCTACCGAAGGACCCTGGTTTTGGGAAGTGCGTTCATCGACACAAAATATCAAATTCTTTTTCACATTTTTCTTACTTCGTACTCGCGGCCATACTGTTTGCCCAAGCAAAGGACCTCCAGTACCTCACGATTCAAACTTGATTGAAGGGAAAACACGTTCACTGCATAGTTTACATGGAATCCAGGTAGCAGCAGGAGCAAAAGTTGAACCGAACTGAACCGTACCTATCGCCAACCCAATCGCCGACCCAATACTAATCGCCGACCTAATCGCAATCGACATCGATATCGACATCGCATCTGATCTGCAACCTAAAGCCGGCTGGTCGTGGAACAGCAATCACCCAGCACCATGGCATCGTCAAACGAACACCGCCAAGGTCTGCCCATACCACAGCAGGACCTATTGCCGCAATCGCGGGAGTTGGGAGTTGTCGCACAAGCACCGGCACAAAAGACATCACCATTTGCCAAGTCATGGCCACATCTGGTAGCAGGAGGGTACGGATGCGTCTGAAATCCACGCCAGCATACCTGCTGGGAGGTCTTTGCTCCAAGAGAGGCTAACATTCCGTGTGACCACAACAGAATCGGAGGCATGACGGCAGCCGTGCTCACGGCGCCCCTCGACGTGCTTAAGACCCGCCTGCAGTCCGACTTCTACCAGGCCCAACTCCGAGCAGCGCGCGAGGCGACGGGCCAGGCCCGGCTGGGCGCCCTGCGGTCCGCCCACTACCACATCGCCGAGACGATAGATATCCTGCGCGAGGTGCACCGGACGGAGGGGGCGCGCGCCCTGTTCAAGGGCCTCGGGCCCAACCTGGTCGGCGTCGTGCCCGCGCGCGCCATCAACTTCTACGTCTACGGCACCGGCAAGCGCGCCTACTCGACCTGGACCGGCCTCGACGCCACCAACCCCGTCGTCCACCTGGCCAGCGCCGTCACCGCCGGCATCGCCACGGGCACCGCCACCAACCCCGTCTGGCTCATCAAGACCAGGCTGCAGCTTGATAAGAACAACGCCGAGCGCAAGGGCGACGTCAGCGCCCGCCGCTACAAGAACAGCTGGGACTGCATGAGGCAGACGTTTCGAAATGAGGGGCCCACGGGCTTCTTCAAGGGCCTCAGCGCGAGCTATCTCGGCGTCTCGGAGAGCACGCTGCAGTGGCTGCTGTACGAGGAGTTCAAGTCCAAGCTGAGGCTGAGGGAGGAGAAGCTGGTGCAGAGCGGCAGGGAACGAACGTGGTGGGACGACACTGTTTCGTGGACTGGCAACTTCACCGGCGCCGGTGCCGCAAAGGGTATCGCCTCCGTCTTGACATATCCCCACGAGGTAAGCCGGGTGTTCTCGAAGCTGCGCCTGTTCTTTCCCCTTTTGTTCCTTCTCTGGTGGCTGACAAGACTTTGTTTCCTATCTAGGTCGCGCGAACTCGGCTGAGGCAGGCACCCATGGCGGACGGAAAGCCAAAGTACACGGGCCTCGTCCACTGCTTCAAGCTGGTCTGGAAGGAAGAAGGCATGATCGGTCTGTACGGCGGCCTTACTCCCCACATGCTCCGAACCATCCCCTCGGCCGCCATCATGTTTGGCATGTACGAAGGACTCCTCAAGCTCCTCAACACCAGCAGCTAGACAAAACGGACGACGACGACGACGAGAACGAAAAACGACGATGACCAAGAGCGAACCCCGCTTTCCTTCGCTACTCACCTCATGTTTTTGAAGCAGAAGTAGAAGAAGAAGAAGAAAAACGACATCTGTACTATACTATACTATACTAATCTCACCCGGAAGCAGCCTTGCCGCTCGTCGTGTACGAGCGCAGCAGCAACTTCAAAAAACCAACCTCATGTATATTTTGTATTATACAAACCCTGGAAATAGATATGGTCTCGGAGGAGAGAGGCAGCACGGCATGGCGCAGCAGAGCACGGTATTGCATGGTCACGAGCATTTCACCTCCAAACTGGCATTTATAACGGCGTTCGCAGGGGCACACACACACACACACTCAGAGAGAAGAAACCAACCAAAAGAGAAAACACCGCCACACTCGGGATCAGCATCAACGCCAGGATGAAGATGCATCTTGGTCTATGTACAAATAAATAAATAAGCAGTTCAGATCGGCGATGAGCACAAAGACAAACCCGATTTGATTCACCCTTGAATACATTCAGGAGAGCATCTCCCGACGGATAGCCTGTCAAGAATATTATGACATCTCCTTTAGTGATCATTTCTGTGCGTCGGCGACATCAGCGTGAAACGCATTGGGGACAAGATTGTAAAAATAAGCCCAGTCTTAGCTTAGCATGCAACGAACAGTGTATACCCAAACAGGTGTCATACAGTAGCTCACTTTCAGGAAACCAAGGCCGATCCATTCACACCACACATGTGCGTAGAGAGAGAGAAAGCTAGATTTGCAAAACGCCCTTTATACTGGTTTGTTTTTTCAAAAGACAACCTCCTGATTTGTGGCTATTGTGCCGGGAATAAATAAATAAAAAGGAACCTATATGCAATAGGGCAGCCTCAAAAAGGACGGAGAAGAACCCATTAGTCGCATCAATTTCCTGACGGTGCTCCATGAGCCTCGAGACCGCCCTTCCATCTTCCTGGGTGCTTCTGCCCTCAAACAAACCCCACAGGGGGTGGGCTTTATTCACGCAGTCAGTACACTTTCCCAGTCCCCTTTCGTGGCCGCCATTTTGTTGAGTTGAGCTTCCGGAAAACATGACCTCGGCGGTGGCCTCTTCTGCAGCTTTCTTGTGTTGCGCCCGCTGGCTGACCAAGATTCGAACAGCCGCAGTCACCATGCGTTGCGGTCCCAGTTCGGGTCTGTCAAATATCATCACCTCTCGTTAGCCTCGTATTCTACTCATCATACCTGGACGGCCTTTGATTTCCGCGTTCCAATCTCGGGGACGGCTGTAACGCCCATGGCACACAGAGCGACAGCACATTAGAGATAGAGAGGGCGGGGAAGCGAGAGAAAGAGATGGAACTCACCCTGCACGAAGGCCGCGAGCACCTTGCTCCCGGTCTGCAGGAGCGGGTGGCCGACGACGATCTTGAGGAACTTCTCGAGGCCCTGGCGGCGGTTCTCGATGACGTCGTCGCTGAAGCGGTTGGTGAAGACCTTGCCGGGCAGGGGGGGTATGGTGACGCGGGCGCTCTCGCGCTCGAGGATGTCGCGGAAGTACTCGAAGTCGCTGTAGCGGCGCCGCACCGTCGACTGGCGCAGCTTGAACGACGGGATGTTGGTCCGGCACAGGATCTCGTAGTCCGTGTACATGCTGCGGCCCATGCCGTGCGTGCGTGGGTTGCGGACCTGTTTACGGGGCGAACAAGGGCGTACTGTTTAGCCGCGGTTCTTCTCGTCTTTTGTTTTCGCGCACAGGGGGGCAGACAGCTGACTGCCGCCGCTGCTGACGGATCGTTGTCATGGTGAACCTACCTCGATCTCGAGAAAGTTCTCGGGCGGCCCGTAGATCTCCTCGAAGGACTGCTGCCTCGTGTCTGGCATGGACTGGATGATAGGTCGCGACATGCTGGCCATGCCCGCCATGCCTCGTGGCGACGCGGGCGACTGCGACTGCGACTGCGACTGGGATTGCGACGGTGGTTGTGATTGTGACATCGTTGAGGAGGGTTGGGCCGTTGCCGGCTGCGGCGCCGTACCGGCTCTGGTGGGGTTCTGGTCGGTGAACGCCGTTTGGCCTGGCCCTGTTTTCGCTTTTCTTCCTGGCTTTGGGCTTTCTGGGTGATGTGCTGCCCAGGGTCGCGTCTAGGAGGAACTCTGACCGATCGCAAGACAGATACCAAAGGTCTCGCTGCAGCTCCGGGAAGCTGTGTGTGTGTCAGGGTGTCTGCTGTGAAATGAGGAAAGTTGGATCGCTAGGCCTGGTTTACAAGGAAGGTGTACCCGGGTTCTTGGTTGCGTCGCTCGAGTGAAAAGTGGAGTTGAGGGGAAAGTGACATGCGTGTGTTTTTGCCAAGGTCTTGAGGGAGAGAGAGAGGGCGCGCGAGCATCTTACGAGGTTATTCACGTGAAGGGAGAGGCTAGCCGTCAGTTTATGCAGCGTATCGGGGTATCAACTCCCCTGTTTGACACATATTGGACAGTAACAAATCACACGAATGTCACGAAGACGTGTGCAAGTCAAAGGAGAAATGCAGACAGTGGACCAATGGAACCGTAGTTAGTTTTAGGTGGCATATATGCATGTGAGAAGATTATAGGTTTTACCTGGCACACTCACTATATGAGAAGATGGGCAGTTTCCAGGCCAAGTCTACCAAATTCAGCCAACATCGGACTGTGCGCCAACTTTTGTGTTTACCACTAGGTCAGGTAGGCAGTTTCGTTACATACGCAATGCTTCTTTGTTTGTTTATTTGTTTGTTGCAATTACAATCTCTGCCTCTTCACTGCATTCAAAACGTAGCATATCCAAGGCGTCACAAAAACTATTCACAATGACAAGGGGGAACTTTTGCGTCATTCTATGGGGCAGCTCGCTGCTGTACACCAAGTAACAACTAGGTTAGTCTAGTCTAGGCCAAGGCTACTACTGAATACTCAGCACCCCTCGAGTTTCCCTGGAAACAGAACAACCAAGAGCCGCCATATACAAACGAGGCGGGATCGATAAACGAGTTGAGGACCTCCAAACTCGTAGACTGTCTTCTCGTTCTCGTTCCCGGTAGTATCGTAGGTATTCTTACCAACTAGAAAAACTGCGGCAGCAGCTCCGGAACCTTGAGCAGTCCAGCTTCCCCCACAGTCCCTGCGAGAGATGACCCCTGAAGATTGTTATTAGCAGACACTCGCCCCGTCGTCATGTCAAATTGACATACTCCCAAAACTCCCCCATGTCCCCACTTTTTTTGGTGTTTTCTGTTATTAAATATTTTTTTGGTATTTTTTTCATGTTCATTGTGTCGTCCCCAGTAATTCATAAATCCCGAGTCCCATGAACGGTCCCGTGCTGTCAGTGACAGCCTGTCTCCCCCCCCGTCCGTCCTCATGACCCACATGTCATACAAGTCGCTAGTTTACCGAAAGAGCAGAAGTGAAGAAAAAGGAAATCCCGGCCAGTAAGTGATGCACAAAGGAAAGTAGTCTCGCACGTGTGAGAGACAAGTTATGAAAGTGAAGGACGCGGTTCCAAAAAGAGAGAAAAAAAACATTTCCCAGAGGCGTGTACCTGTTCCCAGTAAGTCTTCAGACCATGCCCAGGTTATAGGATGGCAATTCGCCCACTATGACGTGATGAAGTCACAGCTGGGCGCAGCAGCGAAGGGAGTGCTCTAGTTGGTCAATAGACCGGCACAAGACGGACCACCGAGCTGCAGAGCCGTGTTGTTGGAGTTTGAACCATCATCAATGTAGTCGGGGCCAAAGTGGATAGCACGACAGATGACTCGATTAACGGCCGACCACTCACGGTTGGCTGCATCCGCCAGAGTCGAATTATCCATGGCATGACCTGTAGGGTGACCAACATCCTTGAAGAAGTAGCCGAAAAGGCTGATGTCAGTCTCCGCTGCCAATGCTTCCAAGTGCTGCTTGGTATGGACCGGCTGTCTCCTGTTGACGTCCCGGGTGCTCTCCATGCGAAGGATGGAAATGTAGTACTGTGGAGAGGTTCTGTGTCAGTTTTCAATGTTGCCAAGAATTGTTTTGTGGGAATGGGCCTGTTGCCTACCTCAATGACATCCGGGGCCACACCAGGCTTAGGACCGAGAGCATAGAAATGATTCCAAGAATGTGCTTGGCGTGGCAAGCTGAATGCGCGGGACTCCTGCTCTGACAGACCAAGCATGTGAGCAATACTGTCCTTCTGGACCACGGAGAATCCAGGGCAGAGCAGGATTGCTTTCTTGAAACGATCAAGAAGCTGGGGAGTCAATCTCTCATGGCCCAAACGCAAACGCTGCTCTGGACTGGACTTCTGGCTCTGTGGCTCGAGCTCTTCCAAGAACTGCTCAAGAAGTCGTTGGCAGGCCTCGAAAATGTAATGCTGCTGGTAGATTGTGATGTGTGCCGACAAGTACCATGGCATCTTCTTCAAGGTCGAGATCATGGACTCGATAAAGCGCTCAGGGCAGTCGCGAGAGAAGGGAGACTGTACAGTTGGATGGTCAGTATATCATCAACAAAGAATATGGAGAAATAGTTTTCCGTGTGCTGCCAATCGCCGATTTTTCTGCGGGAATGGCATATCGCTCGCTATCCAAGCAGATTGGAAACTGGACTGCGACGGCTACCTGACAGTGGAAGGAAAAGAGACATAGGAGAACTTACGCGTCCAGGGGTTTCAAAGTGTCTGCAGATCTGGCTGCACTCCTCTTCACTGATAAAGCACTTGAAATTCTCCATAGGGAACGGGGAGTTGGTCTTGATGATCGGATATTCACCTTCCCAAGTGACACCGTGTGCGACAGGAAACAGATCTCTCATGAGAGCTGCCTGACTCGAGATCTCAATGCTAACTTGGCGGGTCCCAATGCGAGGAGGACGACCTTTTGCAATGTTTTCCTGTATGCGTTGGTAAGCTTTCTCGGCTTCCGCTTCCGTCTCAAACTCTATGTATGCATCCTGGGTCTTTGCGGTGACCTTTTCGAGAATGATATGACAAGGCTCCAGGACGTCGTTGAGGAGGCGCGCTGCACGACCAAAGAGGGCAATCAGCTCTGAACGAGGAACGCTGAACGGGCACTGTGAAAATGTTAACAATATACATCAACAAGAGACTGTTCAGAAGGAAGCTATTGCAGACTCACGTTCCTGACTTTGAGAACGCCATGGTTCGGGTCACGGGTAAAGAGGGTGCTGTTTGCGACGAAGGGGAACCTCTTCGGGTCTAAAAGAATATCGACCTTAGGAGTTCCAATCACGCCAGCAATCTCATTCAGTTGATGAGACCGAACTGCGACCTGCTCAGCCGTTGGAGGGTAGAACATCCTCCCACCAGGAACCGCCAACTGTCTAGAAGGTTGCAAGTCCTGGCCATGCAATGCTAAGGTTTGAGTGGCATTACCAATGCCTCCAGGTCCTAGCTGGTGGGTCTCAGGAACCGAAGTGAGGTTGTTCCCATGACCACATCCAAGTAATCGTCGGATTTTGCGGCTGGTGCGTGGCGTGGTTGTATCACCAAGGCGTTGTCTGTAGGAATGGTCATGGTTATCTTGGCTGTTGGTAATGACGCCCGACATGATACTGCTTCCTGGTACGCGTCTAGGCGGGGGGAGCTGATCGAGAGCAGCCAGTAGAACTTTGCGTTTGGCTTCAATGGTTGCTATATCGTCGTCGCTGTCTGCATCTAGATAGTTGTTGGACATGCCAAGGGTAGAATCGTGGCCATTGTCCTGGCCCAAAATAGCAGCAACACTAAAAGGGTCATGGACATCAGGTGCTGTGCGCGAAGCGCGAAGAGTATTGCCTGTCTGGCCTTGGCCGCTAAGTACACTACTCATCGAGGCACTGCTGGTCATTGCCGGCTGGTTGGCTTGACCAGAACGACGGAGGCCACTATCTCGTTCGATAGTGGGACCCTTAAAGCCATCATAGTTGGTACGGCTACGGGAAAGCAGACCACTGGTATTGGCTTGGCCCGGTGTGTCAAACAGATGGGGATGTGTATCGGCAATCATAGCCATGATGTCGACTTCGTTCTTGGCAGGCTTTCCCTTCTCATTGTCGGTGGTCTTCGCAACACATCTAGTCAGTTTAACCGAAAAAGTTTGGATGGTTCGGTTGAAGGACATACCAAGACCTCAGCCATTGTGTTAGCAACTTGAGGGGTGAAAGAAGTTGCAAGCGGACTGAGTCGGCGACTGCTGGAAGCTACAGCACCGGTGGGAGAGGCATTGCCTTTAGCAGGAGCGTTGAGCTTGTCAATGTTCTTGCCGTGGCCTGCCAAAACACCAGCGGCCTCGAGTCTGGTCAGTACGTCTTTACCATTGTCAACACCAGTGCGGATTTTCAACGGAATACCACCAGAACTGGTGTCGGATGCTGTCTCAGCAGTAGCTCTATAATTGGCAGTGGTCGTCGACATTTTGTGGTTGCCGTCGTCGGGGTCAGTCGTGACTGGAGTGCGCAGTGGTGCACCACCATCAGGATCGTCGTTGGGTAAGTCAATGTTAGTCTGGAAGACTTGACGCCAGTGACTGTCCATTGCACGTTTACCACGACCCAAAAACATCTCAATCGACTGCGTGACTAGGAATGGTTAAGGTTGAGAACGACGAGATGGAACTGCAAGTAGGAGTTAGCTTCCGATTGCTTATGTTTGTTGGCAGTTAAAAGAAGGTAGAACGTGATATGAAGGTACGAGAGAAAGATGAAAATCAATTGGCAGTGGGAGGGTGTTTTACCGCAAAGGTATCAAGCCTGAAAGTCTGGAGGGTCTGGAGGTCTGAGGGTGGGAAAGTAGAAAAGTGATGCAGAAGATGAAGAATGATACACACCAGCTGACGGTGAAGAATGTTTTAGCACAACTGATGTAGAGGTTTGAAGGTGCAAATGTGAGAAGATGGTGAAAAGGATTGAAAGAGATATTACATCCGGTTGATTGTGTGTTTTGGTCTGAAGGTGGGAAAGTGACGAAAATAATCAAGGTTCGAGAAAGAATAACCCAAAACCAATTGATGATTGAGTGTGCTTTAGTGTGAGAGCCGGAGAGGTTTGCAAATGGTGTGGAAGAATGAAAGAGAGATACAAACCAAGTGAAGGTGGAGAGTGTTTCAGTGTATTGGCCGCGAAAGTAGTGTAAAGGGTTCAAAGAGAGATACAAACCAGTTGGTGATTTGAAGTGAAGATGTGGAGGAGCGGCGGCAACGTAGAGGAGTAGAGGAAAGACAAAGACCAGTTAATTGTTATAGTTATTTTGGGCGTGAAGATGTGATGAAGCTGTGGAATAATGAAAAAAAAATTCAAAAAGAAATTTGGGAATTCACTTGCTGGTTCAGAATATGTTTGTGTGAAGGTTGTGAAGGTTGTGAAGGTTGTGAAGGTGTTGATAGAGAAATGAACGAGAGAAGGAAGCTAGTTGGTGGGTAGGGTTTTGAGCTAAATATATAAAGAAGGATCGAAGAATGAAAGATATGAGAATCTACTTGATTGTTCAAGGCAATTTGGCGTGAACATATGAGAGTTTGCTATGGTGAAGGTTGATAATAAAGGATTGCATACTAGGGTTGTGCAAAAGGACATATCAATCAATAATCCAAAAACCCAGGACAGGGCTTTTGTATGATCACCGAGTGTTATAAAGGTGTGAAAATGGGAAAGTGTAGGACGGTGTTGGTAACAGGGAGAGGATATACAAATGGTTGATTACCCGGAATGTAGGTATGCTAAGAACCAAGTCAAGTAGAAGCTAGAGATATAATAATTAATTTATGGCCTTGGAAAGGGAGAGAAAAGAATGGATAGTTCAGAGGATTAGAAAAGAAAACTGAAAAAAGAATCTATGTTATCGTTAGATATGGTGCAATTGTGACGTGGAATGTCAGAAAATTAGGAGGTGTGATAAGAAGGCAAGAGACATACAATCGGTGGAAAACCTGAACATAGGAATATCATGTAGAGAGGGTTCTCTTAACAGAGATAAACTCGAAGAGGCTGGCGATGGTAGAGTTAGTCTGTGCTTATGAGGAATCCAAAAAAAGTATGTGTGAATAACGGCGCCAAAGATGGCAAGAGACTAGTAGGTCTGGAAAATTTGAATATCTGGAAGTGGACGACACAAAGCGAAGCTGGAGGCTGGTAGAGATAGCTTGCGGTCCCGAGAAATAATAGGGGGAAGCATGACAGCGAAAGCACGAAGGGCTGAAAATCAGCTGAAAGATAAATGTACCTTGATACTTATTAGGAGATGAGTAGATTGTTTAATGCAAGCACACAGATGCTGGGCACGATTAACGTTTCAAAAGTACGGGAGTTTAGTATAATAGTCGTTGCTATAGCAAAAGTATGAAGCTTCATCAGGCAACATGCCAACATTACAGGAAGGAAACGATATACAAACCAACAAGGAAATCGCTGAGACTTGGCGTTTAGCAACTTACCAGCTTATAACCTGAGCTGGCAATTAAGATTCCTAGTATAAATAACTCTCTGTCCTTCTACCTTTCCGCCCATGCTTCTCGAGATATTAACAATTTCTAAGTCCTTCATTGAGGTCCTACAAACAATCCCTTGCACTTCCGCTTCTACTTTACCTTCTCAAGTAACCCTTTCCTCCTACTGACAGTATGCTTTAATACCAAGACACCAACTAGTATCAATGTTTCTGAGTGTAATAGGTGTTCGATTTCTTAGCTTACAAGCATATCACTTGCATTCGATGTTTCGTCTCCACTTGATCTGAATCGGGATTAACTGATTTGTTAAGACTGGGAAGGAAGGGGCGAATGTAGGGTATATGAAAAGGCATAGATGGTTGGCATGGCCGAGACAAGGGCCCAGAAACATATCAAGGACTGAAAAAAATGCGCGGGCATTTATTGGAAACAAAAGGAGCACTCAAGTTACCCATTTCAAGGACAGCTCTTTAGCAGCAGGTAAAGGGGGCAGTTACCCAATCTTCGTATAGTACTGGAATATACTCTTCAAATGTATTAAGAGTGTCTCAGCTTCCCTGCTGGTCTGGTTACACGAAAGTTGTTGATGATGTATGTAGTTGTGGATCTATACACAGAAGTAACAAGACGCAGACTCCAGGAGAACCAATAAACTCATTCGTTCCATCAGGTCAAGTAGGTTGAGAGGAACAAAAACAGGCGATCATTCCAGATAAGGTAATTCAATAGGCCTAGATCGTGGGTTGAGTTAGAGGCTCGACAAATCAATTCTCGATGATTTCAAGTGAAGGCTCTAGGATGGATTGAAGACCCATGCCCTGGAGGCTGTCGTGGCATGGCAGCAGTTGAGTAAGATGGAGGTTTGTGTAAGAGAAAGCATATCGAACACTGACGGTGAGCATCGCGTGACGACATTCTAGCTGCGCGAGTCCGCATTGTTGTCGTTGATGTTGTCGACAACGACTTCAGAACCGGATCGATAAAGGAGCATAAAAGCTAACCAGCAAGTAAATCCTTATCTACTTTTATTGACTGTGATTGCGCACACTAAAGTATGAGATGAAAGCAGAAGGCGCATGGTTGACAGGACTAGGAGACTGGCTGGCGTCTTGCGTTGAGCAAGTGCTACCAGTTATCGGCGGAGGAATGTGATTTTCATCCATCAATTCGGGGCACGCACTATTGATGATCGATCAGGCAGAAACTTGCAGACAGTAACTGCGGCTACAGCTGAGCCGAGCGTCATCAAATAGCGAGCCTTAGTTAGTATTCCTCTTTAGATAGATGTCCTAAAAGCCATTCGGATGCTACGTTCTCGACAGCGCCTTGTGTCGTATGAAGGACAGCACTAAGTCACGATTCTATTGGAGACTGTAATTATCCAATACACAATTGATAATGTCGAAACTAATTTGAAGCTGAGAAGAACAAACCTTTGCGTACAGTGGTCGAATTCTGTCAACTATACTGACACTGTACTGAAGCCGTGACAAATGGCCAACTCTGGGAACGAAGCAAGGGTATGGGATGGAGACACAAGGCTAGAACGAGCCGCAGGTCTTCGCACAGATCCAAACCGGTGACTTGAGGCAATAGTAGACAGCTGATGGAACTGGTCCCCAAGCTACACGGCCATTCAGGGGCCAGAATCTTGGGATTGGGAGACCAGAATTTGAAGAAGGGTAACACGTTGGCCTTGTCGGCTGCATGCCTTTGCTTCTGTCGACGTTACACTAGGCGTAAGGCCCAGGTGCCACTCCAGCGAAGAAATCACAAGGCAGAATAAGTGTCTTGCCACAACACGGGTGGCAGCTATGTAAGTCGTACTTGGTGGCACCATGCGACCCGGATGGCCGGAAATTCTCATCACCATGGCTGAGCAACAGGAGGTGAGACACTTCATGGGTTATCAAATGTTTTGTCGTATTCATCAATAATTTGGAAAGCTTCAAGACTGCCTATCGGTCAATCGTGCCATGAAACAACTTTTGTGTCATGCGGGGGTTTCTCTCGTCCCAGACGCTACAGGAACAAAGCATTGCTGTGTTTTGCATAAGTCTAGCATACGTAATGGCTCCCCAAGACCGTGCCCTCTTAATCGAACTAGAAGGCAATCAGCAAGATATGTGTTGTGTTTCGAATGGAGACAACTTACAGGTGTCAGGAAAGACTCGGCCACGAATCTTGCTCTTGCGTTTAACTAAAGGGCGCGTTAGAAGCAAGCGAGGTTGAGGTCGAGAGGGGGGCACGTACGAATAGCTTCATCTCGGAGATTTCCTTGTCGACCTCCTCCATGAACTGGATGATGAAGTCCACCAGCTTGTGCTTCAACATCTCCTCGGTATGGAAGTTGGTGATGAGGAAAGAGATGTCGTAGCCCTAGAAGCAATTAGCTAGGCGCGCTGCGCGAGGGCGGATGCGGATGCGAATGCGGAACAACAACTTGCCTTTACGGGCTTCCTCCTCAGGATGAAGAAGGCCTCTGCTCTTTGGGTCAAGAACCGGGTGAACTTGTGGACGAGGATGTGCTCGATCTCGTCTGCCTGCTTGATCTTGATGCTTATCCGCACACTGTTGACACTCGGTTCGATGAAGACCCTCTCGTTCTCGTTTCGGGAAATGACCAGGGGGTTTAGGAGGACTTCGGGAGAGGTCTGGGCCTCGATCTCGGGGACATTGTGTCGTTCAGACGTCTGGGAAGCAAAGTTGGACAAGCAGAGGGCGGCAGTGAGACTGCTCCGGACGCACTGGAGATAGGGGCGGAGGGATTGGGACTGCGCGAGGGTCAGTAGAGCTCGTAGTTGGCGAGGGGATTGACGAGAAGTACCATTGTCGCAGGAAGTGGCCGTCGAGACCAAGAGACAGTGTTTGTCGCGTATGTCCTGTCCCCTCGAGTGGTAGTATAAACGTGGGGTGAAGCAACCGTAACGCCCAAGGGAGCGACGACGTCGATGGTGGGGCCAGCCTTGCAGTGGACCGAACTCTGGGCCAGCTCAAGGGGGGGGCACTTTTGCATGGGGGAAGCTCGACAGCAGAGGAAGACAGCCTAACCAGCGCCTACCGCCAACCGCCTACTGCCCACCGCCCACCGCCCACGGCCTCCAATGCATTTGACGACTGGAGGTCCAACAGCTCGCACTTCAGATGCATTAACCTTAGATACGTACATAATTGCATAAACGAGAGGCCCCAGATCACCCTCCCCCCACTATCAACCGAGCCAATCATACCCCGCTCCGCCACTACATCATTGCCTCCGTGCATAAGCATAACGGTCTGGAAGCTACTGGCTAACTTCGAACCTCGTTGACGTGTACGCAACTCAAGCCTGCCTTGGCTGTACATCTCCAATCTCCGACCCTTCTTCTACTCTTGAGTTAGCTAGCAACTTCAAGCATAGAAACAACCCAGCAGCTCAAGCTCGTAGAGCAACGTTGGACAACATGGCGTCGATACCGAGTAAGTCAGACAGATAGCCCCTCCTCGCTCCTGTCTTCAAGCTTTTCGTCGCATCATGGCCTGATCCGACCTGGTTGCTAACCTTCCTAGTTGTGGTCAAGCACGCCGGCAAGAAGTACGATGTCGAAGTCGAGCCCGAATCCACTGGCGAGACTTTCAAGTTTCAACTCTACAGCTTAACCGGCGTCGAGCCTGAGCGTCAAAAGGTCCTGATGAAGGGCGGTCCCCTCAAGGATGACGCCGACATGACCAAGTTCGGCCTCAAGCCCGGTCAGACAATCATGATGATGGGTACCCCCGGGGACGGTGCCGCTGTCCTCGAGCGCCCCAAGGAGCCTGTCAAGTTCGCCGAGGACATGACAGAAGCAGAGCTCGCTCAACAAGATGGCGCCACCCCCGCCGGTCTACAGAATCTTGGCAACACCTGTTACTTGAACTCGACTCTGCAAACCCTCCGAGCAATTCCCGAATTGCAAAACGCCCTGACGAAGTACGAGCCCGCTGCCGCCAACTCCATCACCGGCACCCTTCCTCAACTGGACCTGTCGAGGCAACTGCGCGACCTGTGGAAATATATGGGCGAGACACAGGAGCCCGTGGTTCCTCACGCCTTCCTGAGTGCTCTGCGAACCGCCTACCCTCAGTTTGCCGAGCGCTCGCGGACCGGTCCTGGCTTTGCTCAGCAGGATGCAGAGGAGGCCTGGTCTCAGATTATCAGTCAGGTTAGGCAAAAAGTCAAGGTCAAGAACTCAGCAGAGGCCGAGCAGTCATTTATTGACTCCTACATGGCCGGCGAGTTCTCTAGCAAGCTCGAGTGTGATGATCCTGCTGCAAAGGAACTGGGCGAGGAGCCCATCCTCACCAAGGATGCCTTCCTCAAGCTCAACTGCCACATCGACAGCTCCACAAACCATTTGTCAGATGGCATCAGGAACGGTCTAGTAGAGAAGATCGAGAAGAAGTCTGAGCTTCTCGATCGGGAGGCTACATATACCCGGACCTCAAAGATCTCACGCCTGCCAAAGTACCTGACAGTACACTTTGTGCGATTCTTCTGGAAGCGTGAAACACAGAAGAAGGCCAAGATCATGCGAAAGGTCACTTTCCCCCACGAGCTGGATGTCGTCGAGTTCTGCGATGAGCACCTCGCCAAGATGCTCGTCCCAGTGCGCGACAAGGTTCGTGAGATCCGCAAGGACGAGGAGGACATTGAGCGCTCCCGTAAGCGACGCAAGAAGAACAACGGCGAGGCCGCGCTGGAGGATATTCCCGGCGGCATGGGCGCAAAGCTCGATAAGAAGGACGCCCAGCAGGAGAAGAAGGAGGAGAAGAAGAAAACTGCCGATGGCGATGTCGAGATGACCGAGACTTACAAGACGGACGCTGAGATCGATGCCGAGAAGGACGCTGCTCTGCTGGCAGCTAAGAAGGAGCTGAACGGCCTGATTCATCCTGACTTGGCCAAGGACGATGGCGCCAACCAGTCTGGTATCTACGAACTGCGCGGTGTCGTTACCCACCAGGGTGCAAGTGCAGACAGCGGTCACTACACAGCGTACGTGAAGAAGGAAGGCCGCGTCGACCCAAAGACGGGGAAGAAGTCAGAGGAGGATGGCAAGTGGTGGTGGTTCAATGACGACAAGGTCACTGAGGTTACTGCTGACAAGATCGATGCTCTCGCCGGTGGCGGCGAGTCTCACTCAGCTTTAATCCTCTTATACAAGGCCATCCCACTTCCATCTGCTGAGGGTATTGTCGAGTAGAGTGTCCGGGCCGTCGGTTGGGAGGCATAGCTATGGCGTTCTTGGCATGGAGCGGAAAGGCAGTCAGATGACATCCATAGGCAGATGTGTTCCTTAGAGATAGAAGACGTGCAAAGTTTATTTGAACCACGCAAAGGTCATGACTGAACGGATTCCTTCACGGCTTCATGCTCAGACCAGGTCGTTCCTATCTTGCTAGATTGAATAAGCTCGCGTTGAGGTGATCTGTCATGACAAGGACAGGCCAAAGGCACGGGTCGTAGAATATAGATAGTGGCAATAGCCTCCTTCAATTTCTAATATAAACAGGAAAGCCGGAGTCATTAGACGTTCGTATAGGTTGATGGTGTCATTCTTGCTTCAGTGAGATCGCTACGATATTCTTATTGCATGTTCATAGACGAGCCCATGGGATGTTGTCCATGCATTATATCAATAGTCCTCCTGTATTTGCTACTACGATTAGGGGGCTTCAGGATTCTGTAGGAACCACGAAAGCACCACCCAGCAGAATCGCCGGTTCATCGATGCTGTGGTGCTCGTAGCTGGTTCGCCGCCGTTAGTGTCGGGTCTCGCCAACATCCCATAGCATGAAGATGAAACATACCTCAAGGTGCCAATACCACCAGCCTCAAGCAGGAAAGCCGGGCCGTCCGGGAGAGACTTGCCCACCCATCTCATCGCAAAGGCCCGGAGAATGTGACCATGGGCAACTACCATGACGTCGCCTTGTGGCGTTTTGCCCTTCGGCTTGCCGATGACCGGGGCCTGCCACTTGTCGCGGATGTCCTTGATCAATCGGTCGACCCTTTCGGTCACCTCGGCCGGGCTCCTGAAAACATGCCGTGGTCAGCCTGCCAACTGTGGATATTTCACGATTGCGAGTTACTTACTCGCCACCTTCGCACCCGTCGCGCCAGATATCCCAGTCGCGGTTCAGCCCGTCCTTTTCCCGCCGATCCCTGATCGTAGCACTCGTGATGCCTTCATAATCGCCATCTAGACATTTCGACCTGTCAGCGCTATACCGGGTTGAGAATTCGCCAACACGGGGACTGTGGAGACTAACATTCCCATTCACGGATGTCTTGTGTGACTTCCACACGCGCAGTGCAATCATTTGAGCCGACCTCCTCGGGCTTTACGCCGTGTGCCTTCCATGGCAGTGGGTCCTTGATGCCCAGGTTCAAGAGCTCAAAAGTGCGCTGGGCTCTCTTGCGCGGCGATACGTAGCTACAGAGGACGAGTCAGCCCCGGCCGGGTATAGACAAGACATTATCCGCTTCCGCCGAGGTAGGTTTGTTCCAGAACTGCCGTCTTTCAAGACTGCCATGAATAACATAGGGCCCATAGAAACATGCTTAGAAAGCGGGGCCCAGCCCACACATGTTTGTGACGTCGTTTGACCGAGAAGACTGTTTTACTCACATATGGGCGAGTTGTTTTGGTACAATCAGCCGATCATCACCCACAAGCGCTCTCCCTGTGGCTCGGACTCTCTTCTCACCAGTGGCAGTCAGAGGGATATCTGTCGAGCCAGTGTGTCTGCCGTCCAGGGACCACTCGGTCTCGCCATGGCGAACGATGAACACTCTTGGGGTCGTCATGGCTGGGTGCTTTGTTTCGTCCCAAAGAATGATGCTGATACGTGTAAGAGCCCCTGCGCTGATACCCTCTTACCCCAGCCTGTCAGTGTCATGTCTTGGCTGATCTATAGGGAGCACCACATACACTCAATTGTTTATGATGCAATCGAAAATCAATGAAGACTCAAGGAATCTGGAGAATCATATGAGTTGTAGATTGTGACTGGCAAGGCTTGGTTACATGACACTGTTTTGAATGATGGAATGGATGGAAATCGACTTACACGGAGGTTGGGGGGAAAACAGGACCCCTCACACGAAACTACAGCGCGCAGAGGCGTTTCAGAAGCTGCTGCAACGAACCCAGTATTCGCAGATCTCCCAAGATACCAAGAGATCTAGAGATAGAAAGAAAAATAGAAACAACAGGCCAGAAGCCGACCCGTATATTCTGTATAAACCAAGTAAATCTACGCGAGAATATCTCCAGCAGAAAAGCACGCAGCAAAGAGCAAAACCACTACCTACGTCAGCGATGGTAATGATAATAATGCCTCCACTGGATACTGCACGCCGCTTAATAAGGGCGCTGTCAATGCCGAAAGCGACGGCGACCCGCATCACTAAACTCGGAACCAATTCCGCCAACGCCGGTGAATTTGTCCAAGCAGAAGTCGAGCTTCAAGATCTGCCAGAGAGCTCGTCCTCGACTCCAGACAATTCACGGCCGACCACACCGGCACTCACCGCAGCCCACAGCTTACGAGTCGACCCAACTGGTGTTTTCCCTGAGCCTGCATTGCGGTTCCGGTCAAGAGCGATCAGACGCGCCGACTCGTTCGAGAGCAGTACCTCGTGCAGCACGCACAGCCGAAGCAGCAGTCGCAGCAGCACGCTCAGCCGTGGCAGCTGTGATGAGGTAGTGCGGAAGACGCGGCCGACAAACAGGCGACGTGAGAGCGACTATTGCTGGAGAGAGTACTGGGATTGAGCGCAGGCGGGTTCATTTTTCACAACCAACCCAACGAAAACAAGAAAACAATGGCAACACCACCACCATCGCGAGGGCCCAGGGTGAGGGGCGCCCCTCGAGGACGCCCGCTCGCTCCTCCGCCGCCTGCGACCCCCCTCAAGGCACCAGCCTCCAATATCAAGCGCGTCATCTGGACCGCCGCTTTCGCCGCTGTGACAATGGTCGGCACCATCTACGGTGCGGGATTGAAGACGCAGCAAGAGTTCAAGGCTGTACGTATATTGCGGAAGGCGCATCGATAGCCCCAAAACCGGAAGTGCATAGCTAATAGGAGACGAACTGTAGGAGAAGCAGCAAATCGTCGAGTCAACGCCCGAAGATAGAATAAGAGATCTTGAAACACGGAGAGCTATCTTGATGACCTTCAAGATGCCCCTGGACCGTAAGCTGAAGGCACTGCAGGATAGGATGAGGGCCCAGGAGGCTGAGGCGAAAGCTAAGGCAGAAGCTCAGCAAATGCGACAGGAGAATGAGTCGAAATGAGAGCAATACATTTGTCCAAGCCAAGTGAACGCAGGATATCAGACGTGCCAACACAGCACGCCCGGGAGCAGGACAACGCCTCGATGATGTATTCGAAAGGCCGACAACGGCAGCCCGAGAAGTAACCAGGGCATTATGACTTGTGCGTAATGCTTGTTCCGAGCAGCAATACAGCTACGGAATGTAACCGTGGAGTCATTCATGACTTTCGGCAACCCTAGACCTACCTCTAGTAAGTGGTCACAGCTATGGGTGGAAAATGCCTGAGCGATGAAATCAGATAGATACATATGCATGAACACCAGCCAATGTAGGCATAATGAGGTTCCAAAAGCCCTCCATGTATATATATACGTTGTATATCAACACTGCAGGACAGACCGTCCACAATATAACCTACCAAACCAACTTTCCACGATCTCGTCCGAATTCTGCCCTTCTCGTCCTCGCTAGCTTGCACCCCAGACTCCAGTCTCCAGTCTCCTCTTCCTAAAGCCTTTCACTTCCAAACATTCCCATCATACCCCTTGACGTGCGCAGATCTCCACGATCTCCTCGATCCTCCCCTCACGTTGTCATCTTCCATCTCCAACCAGAACACGATAACGTGCCCATACCTACCATATACGCAGCCCCCCCTTTGACCCCAGAACTACGCCCTCGATGACCTCGAACACCGAAAATCAGCCCATGGCCCGCCGGTGAGCGCAGGCTCGCAAGTCCGACACGCCCAGTGCACGCTAGCCCAGGACGCGAACGGGACTCCTCGAGGGAAGGTGAGGAAGGGGCTCGGCACGCGATGTCCGGGGTAGTTACTTATAGCGTCCGGTCCGGAGTGCGAGGGATCGCGGAGGCGGAGGAAAGTCTTTCGTCCTGGGAAGGGTGGCACGGGGTGGGAGGGGTGGTTCGGGTCTTGGGTCTTTCGCGGTGTTTGGACTGGAAAATTAAGGAGTGATGATAGATAGATAGACAGAGAGAGAGAGAGAGAGAGAGAGAGAGAGAGAGAGAGAGAGAGAGAGAGAGAGAGAGAGAGAGAGAGAGAGAGAGAGAGAGAGAGAAAATACTTCCCCGCCTATCACGATCCCAAACAAGAAGAAAAAAGCAGGTGAGGAACAGACTCAAGACTCGAACTGCTTCCACGCTTACAGTTGATCCCAAAAGTGTTCCCAACACCAGCACAAGGGCGCGCGTCTCTACAGAATCTGGACCGTCAAGGGGTCAAGTTGGAGCAAAAATACACACGCCATTAAGCTTCATCACGGGATTCCATAGGGTCAAGTTTAGCACCATCAAAGTAATTTGAATACTCGAGGCTAGGATATCATGATCCAAGATAGCGAAATTGTATTATGTGGGTGGTAGCAAGATATTGTCATGTGTGTATATCATAAACTCGGCGGTTATGATATTGTTCTGACAGGCTGTCCTATTATGTGTCGCAAGCCAGATTATAATTTGTTCGTCCTGCAAGCGAAAGAGTTATCACTGCTTTGCAGAAATCTAAGAAGGTGGGAAGCACGTAGTGTGTAGCAAAAGACTGAATGCCATCGGAATTTGTGCACCACTTGTAGATGTAAGTTGACTCGGCTAGTATTGATATGTAGATAAGGCTTGTTCACGCTGGGGCAGGCGGGACTTGCTAGACCCGAAGCTTGTCACAGATGGCTAAATTGACTGTCTGTGATGCACACTGTAGGGCTGGTATTCCCCTTAAGCTGCTTAGAAAAGGTTCCATGCTCGACTCGCAATGGGTAAATTGATATGCTGTCAAGTCTCTTGCAGTAGTCATTCTTCCAGTTCGTGGAAGAAATCAGCATTTCCATGTTATTCAGACCCGAAGCTCCGCAGTATGCCAAGTTGTCGTCTGGGGGAGGCTGGATGCATTCTTCGTTTGACCGGAGCGGCTGAAGAGGAGCTAACCGCAGTCTATATGCTACAGGTGAAGACTTCACGTATACTTTAGCGCTCTGAGAAAGCAATATGTTCAGGCTCACTCGAAAGGGGAAAGAGGGGGAGAAGGAGGGAGGTGCCATGATCTGTGAAGTGCATCATTGGCATGGAATTGTATAGGCTCGTTTGGCACAAAGCTCGCTCGTCGTTTTCCAATGTTTCGCCCCGCGTTCTACGTTGGCGTTCTAAGCAAAGGCACATGCCCATCTTTTTGAGAACCGCTTATGGACCCTTGACTAGAAACTTGGTGACTGGATATTGACTGAGTCCTGACGACACTACGAAAGGAGTCCGCCATCCTTCGGCGGAATATTTCATTTATTGTGCATAACATTTGAAGTATGACTTGCATGCTTGGTTGTGTCGCTCTCCGTGAAACAGAGTATACAGCCGTCTATTACACTGCATGGCGGCGGGGCAACCTTCGTTCCATTCCGGCGCATCCACCTCGACGTCTGGCACTCGCGTCCGCATGTGCAGCTGGGATGGCGAAGTGCCACAGAAGAAGAAATAACAATCCCCGCGTCTATCTGTTGGTCAAAAGGGCAACAGTTCCCGCGATGGTGACTCGCTTCGGCTGAGGGTCGAATCGACGGCTCCACCATGCGCCAAGACACGGGGGAGGGTCGGTAGTGATGTTCCTAAAAGCATGTCTCTATGAAAAGCAAGACCGGGTATCTGGATACCGAGCTAAACACCTAGCGAAGGGAGTAATTTGCTTATGATATCTCGGGTTTGATATGACGAGTCATGTTTTGCGACAGGTTATTGAATGCTAAACGCGAGGTGTAATGCGTGACTATGCACTAGTTTTCGCGGTTGCGGGCAGTATCCGGTGCACCAAAAAAAAAAAAAAAAAACCCCCCATCACCACCTCGCAAAATTTGACCGTAAGATACCCCGCATAGGGCAAATCTGCTATGGAGGTGTGGTGTCTTCGCTGGGTGATTCCGGTTGCTGTTGCTTTTTTACTGCGGATACACATTGTTCGAGTATCTAGTTGTAGGTATATTGTTGTACCAGTTTTTTTTTAGGGGTCAAGGGCTAGATAGAATTCGCGGTCGCTCACATGCGTTATAGTTTGACCTTGCATGTATATCATATCGTTCTAACCGGCTACCGGTCTCTAGTCCATGTTTGTATAGTGGCTCCTGTCGGTAGATGTTTATTTGTTCTCAGTGGAGGGACCAAAGTTCCGGCAACATGGATACACTAATAAGCGCCGATGCTACCTTGACATGTGATGTCTTCCTAATAACAGGAGATGTGGAATAACATCAAGTCATGCATAACTTTTCCAGTAGCTATGTATCCTCTTATATTGTCGCCATGAACGGCTAGATATGCACAATTACATTACGGAGTTCAAGTAACTTCAGTCTGTCCCAAGTTCTGGTCTATTCATGGTTCGACAATACGGGGAATTCTCCGTTGCACAAGATTTTCTATTCTTTTCAAGCCTTCTGTCCTCTGGCGAGAAACGCCCGGCGCTTCATGAGCCTTTGGCCCTCGCCGTCATGTGCGTGGCCATGCTTATGGCCTTGTCCATGTCCGTCGCCATGACTATGCCCATGCCCGAAGACAACTCCGCTACCTAGATCCTTCAGACCGAAGTCTTTGCAACCGGCCTTCTCGAAGATACTACGCGCCTGCTCCTCGGAAAACCCATGATGCGTAACGCCCCTCGAGGCAAGATTAGGGTCTGCGTCATGCGATAGGAAGTCCCAGATGAACAAGACGCCGCCAGGCCGCAACCGCTCAACCAGCCGTGTTGCTACGAGCTGAGGATCATCGAAGTGGTGGAACCCTCCGCCCACTGCTGCCACGTCGAAATTGGAGAACTCAGTGCCGGACAGGGCTGCTGGCGTTGGATCATTCGGCGCAGCCAAGTCTCCGACTACTGCGTACATGTCTTCTTTTGATAGACCCTAAGAAACTCATTAGCAGTTGCTTCCTGAAATTGCTTCTGCCAAAACCAGTATTGCATGGCAAGTTGTTGGCCGTAAGACTGAAATTGACATGACTACATTGCGTTAAATGTTTGGGTAGTTAATACCTGATTCTCAGCTCGTGCATTATATTGCGCCACCATGTTATCGGATATATCGACGCCAACACACTGTGTCGTATAGGACGCCAAAGCCTGCAAGTGATGAGTTAGTCTCTTGTTGTACAATGTATGTAATCTGTGTGATGAGTTGGTCAAAGCGTACCCGGGATATCATGCCTGTACCACATGCATAGTCCAGAAGCCTCACTTGCTTTGAACTGTCGGTTTGCCCATCGTCGTCGTCATCATCGTCATCATCTACCCAGTCTGCCCCAATGAAGTCGAGCTTTGATTGGATTGCTTCTGTGAGTTGCTGTAAACTCTTTTCGTGCTTGGTATCATATTGTGCTGCTTGGTCGCTAAGAGCGTTAGCTATAGCGAACCCAGCAAGGGTGGTCGACCAGGGTATGTGGATCGACTATGCAACCCAAATCATATACATAATTCGGACTTTTAAAGTTCTGATGGAAAAATGCATGCATACTCAAAGTAAGACTTATTGACTTCGCTTGCGGCCATCTCGGAACCCCGTGCCTGCGGCTGAGTTTGGGATACAACGCCGGGTTGAAGACGACTTGCTGATACGTTGCGATATGGTTCGCAGTAGATTGCTCGAAGCGAGTTTCCTGGATATTTCAACACAAAACGGCGATATCTCGTACATTTTTCGTACACATTGCATGTCCCGGGAGCGGGGCGGGGACATCTCGGCGACTTGCGCCTGCAAATGCGCGCATTATCGCGTGCAGCCGAGTTTAGATCATGTGATCCAGTCATGATGAAATCCGGCTCCTCGAATAAATGACACGAAATGGTAGGGCCCGTTCACCGCTTCGTTTACCCCCCCCCCCCCCCCCCCCCCAGTAGTGCTTATACTATGATGCGGTCTATGGCTGCAAACCATGGTTCCAAGGATGATCTTCAGGTGAAATCGGGAGTCGATGGCCGTGGGTGCATCTTCTTGCTACGCAAATCGTGTCATGGGCGGACATAGGCGTATGCAAGGTGGATATTGATGCTACTCGAAGATCGCAACAGCTGCAGACTCGCGTCGGACCGTGGTCACAGGGGCGGCAGACATGCGGCAGGGACGGGTAGACAAGTAGCACACAGCTAGTGGACCGTGTACTGCGTTGGCTTCATGCAGGAAGCCCAAAGCAGGTCTTTTCGCAGCCACGACAGCCCACGCGAGAGCCCCGTAGCAAGGGCTCTGCAAGGTGTAGAAAACGGAAGTCGCTTCGTGCTGACGGTGGGGAAAGACGGTAACATGAACAGCGCGATGCGACAGCACTTGCGCAGGGAGAAGCATATTGGTATAGCTTGCTGCAGCTAGCAACTCATACAAGACATAGTATAGCCCTTCCGTATGGTGGTAGCACAATATATCGAATGGCTGCGTCGCATTCCCCGGGCCGGCAGCGGGTCACAATCTCATACAAGATGGTGCGCGACCCAGTTGCTGGCCGCTGTGCAGCAGCCTGGCAGATTCCGTCGCCCAGCTGCATGGGGACAATCACGGAGATGTGATGCAGATAGGGAAGAGATTGCGCACGCAAAGTGAATAGGCGAAAGGCACGGGACCGAGCTAGCTAGAAGGATTGCAGTGAATAGTTATCATGATCTGATGTTGAAGCTATTTGGCACGCACGCACGCACGGCTGGTCCATCGGGCCAGGATTCCAGCTTGTGGGCTAGCGCTACTGCACGATGCTCAGTTGTCAAAGAGTGGCCCCCTCCCGGCAGGCAGACTGAGAAGGAATACGACAGGACCGGATAGGACAAGAGACGACATGACACGACAAAACGGTAGAATATGATAGCTCACCGCTGGTTCGCAGTGCGATAGTCGTGCTCCTTCGTCCTCCAGGACGTCAATGAGTTGTCGATAACCGGGTCTGAGCGCCCAAGGATCAGTAATCCTTGCTCCACAGACGTCCAGACGCTCGAATTATCGCTTCGTTGACTGCCTGAAAACGACAGGGCTTCGAACCCGCATGTCCCAGTCTCAGCCCTGGCTGGCTCCAAACGGATAGCGCTATTCCTGGCCCGCCATACCATGAAGGCTGGTGATAACATGCGGATTCCGCAGCCTGCATTCTTGGAAGCAACCCAAGGTTCGGAGCAATGGAATGGGTGGAAATCCTACCAGAGCTTGCTGCGCTGGTCTGAAAACGGCAGAGGAAGCCCATGGATAAGCTCTGACAGCCAAATTCGAATTTAGGGCGGAAGCCGTTGAAGGCGGGGTAGTGGTTGGTCTTTTAGCACCTCGATAATGGAGGTTGGCTATGTAGCCATTGACCTGCCATCAGGGTCATGCCGTCTGCACAACCCGGGAGGGACACTACGTGATGATGGCAGGCCAGACTCTAGTTGGATTACTATGGAAATCGATTGTCAGTGTAGACGATTGCTTATGGCGGTTGACTGCAGCGGTTTTCGTGTCGCTAACGTGGGCGTGGATTCGAGTGCATGCATGACTGTGCCTACAGCAGTAGCCGTCAAGAGGCCACTAAGAAACGAGTTGTTGCTGCGTAATGTGATGGCGATGTGCGCATGCCAGTTCTGGCGGAGTTTTTGATTGCAGTCTCCAATTGAGATGGCTTCAAGAGACAGGCGATCCCCGAGCGTACAAACTAGAGCAACTCTGAACAGCGAATGAAAGGTTTCATTCACCGTGCACGACTCACACATTAATATAACTACCGGGTAGGTCTCCGGACGAAAAACCCCGCCACCAAGCTGTGTGGATATTGAAACTTGGTGGATAAAATGAGAGATCAGAGTGGAAAAATTACTGTGTACTACAGATGACATGCATCACTAGACTGAACGGCTTCAACCGAGTAGAGTGTAGAGATACGGGCCCGTATAGACCTCATTTCGTGGCGTAGGATATCCGACCAGCTTTCCAACGTACAACGAAGCCAAAAACAACACATAAAACAGAATGCGAGTCCTAGTGTTGCGTCCTGATACATAGTAGCGGAGTTGAGTTGCCCGACCAATGCAACGCACGCATTCGTGCAACAACCTGCTTCTAAACGCAACCCCGTGGGCCACTCTTGAGCAGAACCCGTAAGTATGCTCGCAAAATAAGACCCCAGCCATTGATAACGTGGAATGCAGGCAGGCAGCCTGGAAGTTCGACCCGAATATATCGCTAGTCGGTTGGAGTCAGATATGGGGTGTCAAGGTTGTTGACCGGGGTTTAGTGTCGGGGATCACAAGGCGCTTGTATTCGAATGTATTCAATTAATTGTCCTCGATAGACAGCTTCAATTCAGCCAGCCTGTCAAGTTTTTGCATTCAAAAGGTCGCCAGCCACTATGATCCAACACCCAGCAGTGCATGTGCCCCTAAAAACAGCCAATCTTCGATCAGCCGTCGTATCACAACAAATGGTTCCCCCCTATTTCAACATCCACGCCCCCTCCCTGCAATGCCCACACTCCACCCCAAACAAACTGTCGGGCTCAAGGAACATCGCTGGAGAGATTACTAGGGTTGAGAGCGTGCACGCGGGAAAGGCAAAGGTACGGGCCTTACCCGGCATGAAGCTACGGTCACGTGACAGGCTAGCGTGAGCTCTCCGTGCGAGTTGATTGGCTACGCTTTGAAAGACAATCTTGGTCCACGAATTATAGTCAGGGAGTCTGGCGCCGTGCAGCAGTCGACCAAGATATTGGGTCGTCAATGAGGTCCTGATCCACACACACAGATGCGCTTGAGAGCAACTGTCGGTGTACTGATGCCAACTTCGTTTTGGAAAATGGTGCGATCCATGGCCTTGTCTGACCTAAGTCGAGTTCGAGGCTAGAACCCGTTAAAACCCCTGAGACTATTTAGGCTATAAGAAACTAGTGATTGTCAGTCCATTTAGTGTGAAGATAGGTGTATTTAAAATATTTTTATTCCATCATTTGGTCAGCCACTAGTAACAAAAGGCTTTATGACGCATAGGGATAGCCAAAGCAGTCACGATAGAAATGAACAGCAGGTAGGATGCGTCATGGCGATTTCAGGTCTCTTGCTCTCCCGATTCCATCAAAATCAAAATCAGTTAGTCTTCAAGTTATTCCTCTTGCTGATGTCTTGGAATTGTGACAGCCCCGAATCTTCTGGCGTTGTGGTTTGAACTAAGGATGCTGAACTACTTCGCCATACACCAATAATATACCGCGACGTCGTGGCTCCATTTCGCAAATTGCAACCTTAAAAAAGAACACAGCTCAGAACATGACAGTTCTCGCCGACTTGTACGTGTGGGTGGTGTTCTTGATTACTTCACGTGTTCTTCATCTGCACGTCGCCGCAAATAGCAGTTGTGGACTAAGTGATGGCTGCGCAAAAAGCATAGTTCAGACCCCCTGTTACATGCTTCAAGGCCAAGGTTTTTCATCTTGACTACCTCAAATGAGGGCTTGCTTGCATTCGGTTGTCGGTCTCTTCGTACAGGTCTCTCATTAACCTTAATTCGTATTTCGTCGCTTGTCAACGTGGTCTCTTGTTCAGCTAGTCTTCGAATCGGAATCTGGGCAACTACGAATATGTGCCAGATGTTGGCGTATGCAGTATCAAGATATGTAGACTCGCATACTTGGCTTCACAAGGGCTTGCCTGTACACGACGCCTGTCAGTTTTCCTGGAGATCAAACATGAGGTAAAACTGTGCCCCTAGAACATATTTACATTAGCAGATACAAATATGGAAGATGATCACTCTTCTTTAAGCCCAAAAAGATCTAGCTGGCAAAAAAGAAAAAGAAAAAAAAATCAGATATGTAATATCTAGCTACAAAATGGTGGAAAGTTGGGTACAGGCGGCGATTCATATATCTATTTAAAAGAACCGCGGAAGGATGATTTGCATACCCAGCGGTACTAGTTAGGACTACATTAGACACACCGGCGGCTGGGAAGACCCTTGCTATTCCGGATTCATATTAAGGCTCGTAGGGGAAGTGCAAGGTTTGATGATCATGGATGGAGAACATTGAAGGTAGTCGGAAGTAACTGTATTAAGTCGGTGTCAACTATTAAATAGGCTACTTCGACGCCACTGCAGCAGCCACCTAAAGTATATTTTCACGAGCAAGTTTTTTAGTTTTCTACCGTAGACTATTTCTAAAAGGTTAAGACTACCTCCACTAACAGTAACATTATTCGTAACGAGAAATTGTTTGCAGCTGAGCATGACATTCGTACAATAACAAGAGACATTGTCTTAAGGAGAATGCACCGATCCCCTCTATCGTCTGAACAATGCCACAATTGCGCCGCCGTCTCGATCTCAAGCTTCGGGAGGCAAAAAGGCAAACCTACCCATGATAAGCGGTTCTTTAGGACCTTGTCGTATAACCAATAATCGAAGCTAATGGGCACAGAAATTGATATGATAAATCTTATACATTATCTCCAGAGATTCCGCACGAGACAAACACCTCATTGTCTTCGATGGAAAATTTCTCCGGATCAGCAGATATATAGCTACATTCGTGCTGCGTTGTCCTACGATAAGATGGGCTAATCGAAACAAGCCCCAGCGGCCTGTGCAACAGCGCCGCAGCAGTGGACCCAGTGACTGAGACACTGATCGGCCTGGTACCTGATTCTCCTGGCAAAAGGTAAAGTCGAAAAATTATTTTGCAACATATGATATGTTGTATACATTGCCATATAGCGGCACCAGAGTCATGAACTTACATCGTTCTAGAGTTTGATGCACTGAACAATATTAGAGCTCGACTCTTTTGAACGCCTTCTCAACGTATCTGATTAACAAGTAGCGGGGAACCAGGTCAACTGAAGATGATTTTACCAAGAAGTCAGTCTCTACAAGG